CAACAAAAACTTTCCGAGCTATCAACTTTCTTGTCTCCTACTCCAACTCCTCAGTATTGGCGACGCCCACTCTCAAATCCACCAGAAAATTAGTATTGATCCATAACTCATCCCTCTGGCTTTGTGTGAGAGAGGTTTGCTGATGATACCAGTGACCAGTGCCGATGTGGGTCTTCTGAAGATATTTGACAAGTGCAGAAAGACCTTTGTCTGTTCATAGAATAAAATGCGGTTGAGCGTGCATTCGGCAATAGGGATACCTTTGAAGGCGATATTTCGCTCGACTCTGTGCTTAGGACAAGAAAGAAGCACATTCTGGACTGACTGCAGTGGGATTCCACACCAACACTCTGGAGAAATACGAGGCTCTCTGCCCAATCTTGCGAAGTAGCTGTTGAAGAAGCCATGTCCAGTCCGAAAGCTCACAATACCATTGGCAACGCTACAAGGGATGTTCACAAGGGGCTTCTCAATAGAGAATCGAGGTTTGCCTTGATATTCACATTAATCTGATGGAGGCTCGTCATTCCATTCCTCAAGAGCGAGGTCATCCATTAGCTTATAAAGAAAGCGCAAGGAACTGCGCTTTCTGGAACTGCGCTTTCTGTAAAATCTCGTCGATGACCACGCTTTTAAGGAATGTAATGCCAGGTTTCAAGCCGCGCCTCAATCAGAATCTTACCTCAATCAGAATCTTATCAATATGAAGGCAAGCCTCGACTTTCTATTGACAAGCCCATTGCACATATCATTCGCAGCATTGCCAGCTGTATTGTGGGCTTCCGGACTGGACATGGCTTTTTCAACAGCTACTTCAAAGCATGGAAAAGAGCCTCGTGCCTCCCCAGAATGTTGGTGTGGAATCCCACTGCAGTCAGTTGAGCATGTGCTTCTTTCATGTTGCAATCACAGCGATGAACGAACTAGCGCTTTTGGAGATATCCCTATCGCCGAACGCACGCTCAATCGCATTCTATGGACAGCCAAAGGTCTTTCTGCACTTGTCAACTATCTTCAGAAGATCCATGTCGGCACTGGTCACTGGTGTCATCAGCAAAAGTCTCTAACTCAGAATCAGAGGGATGACTTATGAATCATTTTTTTGGTGGATTTGAGAGCGGGCCTTGCAAATTTCGAGATGGGTGAGTAGCAGTGAGGTCGCTTAAGGAACTTGATAGCTCGGATGGTTATTATTGGATTTGTTTTGGATTTGTTTTGGATTTTTATCTTTTTTTTTTGAAATATGTTTAGTGAATTTTGCAAAATTTCTTTGTGTTATTTTTGCCTTGGAGATTTAGTTGTTATTGGTTTATTTTTTATTGTGACACTATCTTAGGATCTATTTTGTTTTATCATATATTGGAGAAGGGCGAGATAGTCTGTCATAACCTAGTTGTTGCAACGGACTTCAAACAGAGATCTATCATCATCATCATCAGCGCGCAAGGAACAGTCATGATTGACGCGGTCTGGCGAAGAGGCTGTTTGAGTTGCTGAAGCCAGGGCGTAAATTGCTGCCCTCACCTTTGATAGCAGAGGAAAGCCAATAAATAGAGACTTTAGTGTTGGTTTCAGACAGTCGATCAATTGCTTGATAGATCACAGTAGCTTGGCGTTGATTTGAGACGCGCCGAGGCTTCTCCAGGCGTTTCAAGACCGTAGGGACATCAATACAGAAGTGGATGGCCTCGTTTGACAGTCTTTGTTTTGATGTCCGATGTTCAAGTTGTGGACTTTGCTAGGGCGGTTATCGCCGCAGAGTAAAGATCAGATTGAGAGCTCCAAAAGCCAAACCTATCATGCATGAAGTGCCGTCCATACTCGATAGTGGAAGCCGAGCCGACAGCGTTGTTCACGGCGTTTCAAGATGAACGAGTGTAGACATCACAGCCCTCGTCTATGATTTTCAAGATCCCCTTTCTGGTAATGTCTCAAGCCTGTTAGAGATGTCAAGGACGCGCCAGGGGGGATATTCGCCAACATTGAACGTCTCAGTGGTCGTTTGGGGTTGAACATCTAGCTTGATAGTATAGAACAAGTAGTCTAGTCGACATTCAAGGCGGACTTTGGATCCAGTCTGGAACCATCTCCCATGAGGCGCAGCAGGAGACGTTCGAGACTCGTCCGGGTGGTTGGAAGGGCGTCACATCTTGGAACCAGAGGCCCTTACCAGAAGTACTACTCTTGGGTACCCAAAAGACCACTCAAATTACCAGAGGCTTCCGCACTGGTACAAAGTTACATGGATAATCATTAGGAAAGCCCTCTAGCTCCGCTTTTTATACCTTTCGGCCAATATGTAAGAGGTATGACATCCAAATTCTCTTCATCCATTGAAGTCTAGGTCTCTGTAGCTTCATGAGACAAATTCTGATATTTGCAACCGTCAAATAGCCAAGAAGCCACGCTTAGGGCAAAAAGGATCCATGATAGAACAGAAATAACGTAATATGAGGAATGCGAACAATGCACAGCTATAAATGTGCATAGGGGGCAAAGAGTAAAGAATTGCTGAGCTGAACAAATGGCGCTATGCATTTGCGCAGGGACAGGACATAATGCGTGCACTTATAAGAGATACGCAGGAATGTCCTCTCTACAGTATTCCAGTAGTTTTAATTGACTGAACATGTTGTGGTTGCGTATCTATTCTTTTCAGATAAATATGTGCATGAAAATTCGCCGCCCATTGGGGGAGCGCCACTGGGTTGATATCCATGTTATATCATATCTCAAATAAAAGATTAGAATCTCTGAAATATAACATATTTCAAATAGAAGGTGAAAGGTCGATAATAACCATCCAAGCTCATTTCTGTCAACGTCCTTACTGCCGCTCATCTATCTCGAGATTACCAAGTTCTGCTCTCAAATCCATCAAAAGATTGATCCGCAATACACCCTTCTGACTCTGAGTAAGAAAGATGTGTGGTTGATACTGGTGACCAGTTCCAATATCTGTTTTCTGAGGATATTTTAGTAGCGCATAAAATCATTATCTGTCCATAAAATGCGATCAAGCGAGCGTTCAGAAGTAGGGATACTTTCAGAGGCGATATTTCGTTAATCTCTGTGATTGCGACAAGAAAAAACCATTTGCTTGATTGACTGCTGAGAAAATCCACTGACACTCTGGAGAATGACGTGTCTCTTTGCCGAATTTTGCGAAGTAGCTGTTGAAAAAGCCGTATCCGGTGCGGAAGCTCACAATACAGCCGGCAACGCTGAGCGAGATAATCACGAAGAGCTTGTAAACTGAGAATCGAGGTTCGCCTTCATAGTTCTTGTGAAGTTGGGCTTGAAACCTGGTATTCCATTCATCGAGAGCGCGGTAATAGACTATCTTATAGAGAAAGCGCAAAGAGTAGTCATCACTGGCGTTATCTGGCGATGAGGCTGCTTGAGCTGCTAAAGTCAGAGCGCGATTGCTCTCGTTGGCAGCAAAGCGGAGCCACTGAATGGAAACTGCTGAGTGAGTTTCAGACAGCTAGTTGATGGCTTGATAGCTCTTAGCAGCTTTGCTTGAATAGGGGCGCGCCGAGGCTTGTCCAGGTGCTTTTAGACAGCAGGAACATGTGTAAAGAAATAAATGGTCCCGTTTAGCAGTCCTTGTTTTTATATACCGACATCCCTGCTCCTGGTGACAAGTTCCTAAGGTGTCTTTTCTGTCAGGTCAAAAGATTGTGAGGAATGTTCGGAACGCGCCAGGACGGATTTTATGTGACATAATATGCCTCTGTCGTTGTTTGGCGTTGAGCTAATGGCTCTGTCGTCAATTGCTTTGATATAGGACACCTGCGGATCTCATAATATAAACGGTGCGACAGGAGATGCTCAAAATTCTTAAGGATAAGTTTGAAAGCTGATCACACCCCGGAACTAATGGAGAGTTATCAAGGAGCGTCATTGTTCGATGAGCATAGCTAGGCATACATCGTTGGAGTCTGATAGACAAAATTTCAATGTTTTCCCCGGTGATATATAACAAAAGGAGCAGAGAGGATATTAGATATATCTATAACTCACGAAGCAATGTTTAATCCATTATAAGCTCATCTCCATGTCAAACTTTTGAGAAATCTCCAGAAAACCGATATAGCTTGCTTGGCAAAGAAGAGAAGACCTTCTTGAAAATTTTAGAGGCCGAGCCGGCAAATGTGCTCTTACTTTCTCTATAAGGAACCTACCATGAATAACGCGCCTTCGACGTCATTGTGGAGAAGACGTAAAGAGCGGTTGTTGCGAGTACAGTTTGAGGGCGTGCCTGTGTTCGTTGCTAAGCGCGTACTCTCCCAGCTTCATTGACAGCAATACCAAGGCAGTTTTGGATAGATCGCAACCATCTTGCTTTGATCAAAGGCACGCAAAGGCATACACGGTGGTTAGAAGGCAGCGCCTCCGTCCGCAAATAGAGATGGATGGGCCCCTTTGGTGAGCTGAGTTGTGAATTGTGAATATTAATCAGTTTTCTATTTATATCTAGAATATCAGTCCAGCCAGTCATTATAGTCTAGTTCTGCATGCGTTTTGATGCGCAATCGATCGATGGAAAGCAGGCTCTGGGACATATATAAACAAGGCAGAGAATCTGAGAGAGATGCGATTGAGGAGCCGATATTTTTGCCCCATACTGCTAGTATCAGTGCCTACGCTATTTACTGGGCCTCCGTCAGGTTAGTACAGTGTCCGGAGACAACCGGTTACCTCATCATCAAAAGCGCAATTTTTAATAGAACTATAGTCGGGGCACAGGGATGAAATCTCTTTAGCACGGTTTGAGGACACAAGATGTGTAACCTGTGATCGATATACTCAGTGTGACTGGAGTGATTTATGACCAAGCTTACAGAACCATTTACAAAAGCCGAAGCTAACAGAGGAACCAAAAGTCTATAAATCGTAGGCATCGGGACGGGACCGCTGCCGATGATAAGTCGTAAATTGGTCTGACGATGAAAAAGATGATTCTTTAGTCCGGCTCAGGACATGGCCCAGGACAGCGTGGGGTTTCTCGACAGGAAAGCGGGACAGCGAGAGGTGAGCAATGGCAGCATGAAGCAGATCTTACAGAAGGAGGATTTACAGTTACACTAGTCCAACTCAATTTGGTGGAAGTACGCTCTAAGCGCTCTTGGCTCCTCCAGACCCTTCTTCGCTTACACCTAAAATATAGCAAACTGCCACACAACCTTAAAAAACTCAGGAGCCCAACCGCCAATAGAAGAAGTAACAGAAAAAATTCTCAGTCTGCCTCCTGAGCAGCCATCATCGGAGAGATAGGTGACAAACTTCGGAACAGAACAGTACAGAACAGAACAGAACAGAACAGACCAATCTAACCGAAACGAAATGACAAAGACAAAAACATTAAAAATAAAAGTCGTTCTGTAGCTTCGAGATAGACGCGCGCGGAAGCAAACAAAACAAAAGCTACAGAACTTAGAGACCCCAAAACATAACTGGAGAGCGGCTGGCAGCCATGATCGATGCCCAGGGTCGGGCGAGTAGAGGAAGAGAATGAATGAGCGCGCGCGCATGATGAGCCTCAAACCCTGATGTGGTTTCGAGTTTATGAATTCGTCCCGTTTCAAGTCGATTAATCTTGCCACCGTTGGCATAGATTGCTTTGACCTCTGTGGGTTAGAGGGTTTAGCCGTGCGGGTGCTCGAACTTGAATGGGAGCGGACGAGTCTTGTCTATGCGCGCAGTTAATGGGAACTAAGAGAACAAAGATAGCACTCTCCAGCGGTGAAAAATAGTCGTTTGGAGGTGCCAGACAGCGTATATTCTGCTTCCTCATAGAAGGATTTGTGTGGAAACCCATTAGGCGAAGAAATGTCCTCAACAGCGGTGGGTCGATCCATAGAACTGGCGCAAGTGCCACACATTCGCGACACCGCGCACCAGGATAGAAATTGCTTTATTTCAGGAAAAAGGCAGCCGGCACGGACTGTATGTCAATCCAAAGCTCTACGACATCGTTTTTAGGTTTAAATAGAGCGCCTTTCTATGCTTTTCTGTGAGAGCAAGGATGAAAAGCATTTGGAGATGTGATATGGAAGACAGCAGGACGGGCAATTAACGTACACGAGTTGCGGACAGGCAATTCTAGGAGAGAAACCGTTAGGAGTTGCCAGTGACAAAGATATTAATTGATCTGAGCATACCGAAAGCAGTCGACCGACTGCTTCACATGTCGAATCTATTCGGTTCCCCTCACCAGGCTACTCGTGAGAGAGTCGATGGCGAGAATAGGCGACGTGGTTTCTGTGCAGCAAAACATAGTTTAATTATACGCTTGCTCCATAGGAAGTATGAAGGAATAAACAATCGGGTAATCTTTTCCCTGCTATTTTGCCCTTCTCTCGGCTACTACTGCTACGACTAGCCATTTCTCTCTCTTTTTGCTCTCGGCATCCCGTTTATCGATGACTTCTGCTCATGAGCGTTGCGTCCGCATTCTGTCTTGTGCCAACCGCGCCGTTGCGGGCTGCACCTATACTCGGGGCTGCCGCTCCGAGCGTTTTAACGTGCGGTCCACTCCCCAACCGAGCCCTAACCTCCGTTCATCTGTTTCTCTTCAGCGTATATCAGGGTTGGGGCTTGGCTGATTTGATGTGCTGCAGGCCGACTCTGTGCAGCCACCGGCGACTTTGGATCCTCGTAATAAATAAGCTCTCCGGCCAGTATTGCTATCCCATTCTCTTCTCCTCCTCCTCTCCCTTTTCGTCCCTCGTCTCTCCACTCCTTCCCTCTTTCTTTCTCCTCCTCCTTTGTCTGTCCTTTGTCTGCCGAGTCGTATCACAACCATGTATCGCATCAACTCGAGCACGGGAACGACATACGTCGTGGGAGCTCTCCTTGTTCTCTTCGTCCTCAAATTCCTTTTCTTCTCTCCCGCCGTTCCCGGTGCTGGTGCTATCCATGCCGCCTCCATAGCTGCTCAGAAAAGCGCATCCAAAGCTGTCGATCTGGAAACTTCCCCGGCTCATAATATTCGCGACAATTATGACGCCTTCGCCGAGTACCGTTACCGAGATGTGTGCAAGATCTCGTCGCTCGAGCTTCACAAGCCCTTCGAACCTCTATGCCCCGATAAGCAGTCTCTCATTACTGCCATGTCTAGCGGTGGTCGCATTGGAATTGATGCGCCTTACATGCCCCGTGATTGTGATATGCGTTGGTTCACCACCGAGGAGTCCTGCGCTATTCTCGAGAGGTTCGATCGTGTTTCCATCGTCGGTGATTCCATGATGCGCCAGATGCTCGGCGGTCTTTATGTTCTTTTGCGTAAAGATCTCGGCTACGGAGGAGTCACGCAATGGAACTTCAACGATCAGGAAAAGGCCGAGTGCTTTTGCAATGCCCAGGTTAACGTCAAGTCCTGTTCTCTCCAAACCATCTACGCCACCAGAGACATCCTCAAGTGGGATCCCAACTCTTTCGCCTGTGATCCCAACAAGGTCAATGTTTTTATCAATCTTCAGGTTCGCTATCCCCAACCTGACGATGAGCTTGAGCGTTACGGAAGCGATCTAGTCGGTGTTCCCGAAGGCGAGAAGGTTGCGTTCATATACGGTCATGGTCTGTGGAATGATCTTGACGTTCAGGCGACTCTCAACTACCTCGATCGTGCCGAATCGGTGGTGAAGCAGAAACTGCCTGACTATGAGAAAGATGTCAAGCGATTCCCCCGTCTATTCATCACCCCCAATGCTGCTGGTCCGAAGAAGGCCGATGCGTTCATTCTAACCCAAGGAAACAAGCCTCTCATGCTCTTTGAGACTTCGATGTACGACGTTCTTCCTGATAGAGGCTACGACGTTCTCGGTACATGGAACATGTCTATTCAGTCAGTGTCCTTGGATGGTGTGCATTGTGATATCAAAGGAAACCTTATCAAGGCCATGATGCTTCTAAACTGGCTGGACAAGGTCAGTCTAGAGTAACACAGAAGCCAAAAGTTACAGTTTTGATGACTCCTCTCAATCACTCATATATTCGGTTTTGGATGCATATTGCATTTTTCTATATTACTTTCTTGGTTGTCTATGTTCACACTTTTATATTTTGCCCCGTTATGTCCATTTTTTCTTTGAAAGAAACTTTACTTCGGAAGATTAGCCCACGGTTTCTCTTCCTTTCTGTCTTTTCTTATTCTATGCTCCAGAATTCTAAATTGTCGGCCTAAGTGGCAGGCTTATGAACCATCCAAGTTTGTTTCTCTTAGTATAATTTGTTTTCTTAGTCTGGGCCGGAGTTTTCACTTCATTTGTTTTCGTCGCACCTTTCTATTCTTTTTCTTATATTTCCTATCTTTTCTATTATTAAGTCCTATTAATGCTTGCCTGGTTTTTGTTCTTGCAGTCACTTCTTACTTGCCAAAAAGGCTCCCCGATACTACATATATTTGATCTTTTGGAAAGATCTGTATCCACAATTCACAAACGAGTTAAATCGAAAGTATGCAAAGCTACATAATAAAACTTTATGAATTGCAATTGAATCCAATTGAACATCTTGTTTGCATAGATTTATCATCATCATCTTGTTTGCGATGTAGACTTTGCTTAGCTTGGATGTTGAGCGTTGAGCCTCACGCTTAGTGAGTTGTCCGAGATGGCTGGCTGGCTAGTTCAAGCGTGTATTCTGCAATGGCAGTGAACGGCCACTGTATTTGCACTCTCCAATAGCTCTCATCCTCATCATTTTCTGTTGAGATCATACTACTTAACACAACAGCCTTATCATTGTTTTTTGCGGTGTTCTGCAGCGTTCTTTCGACAATGGTGACTGTTGCGTCCCAGTGCTCCCCCTCGAAACAAAGCAGCGCGGCATTTCGGTCGACCCATTTGTCTACGTTCGATGATTATTTGACATTCATCTTGGTAGACTCTCTCTACTTTTGGATTGATGTTCGTAAAGTGCACTCGGGCCGCCGTCCTCCTAGAGGCTTACCGACAGCCGTGATATCAGGCCTCCTTCGACGACATCTTTCAGACCCCAGTGTATCTTCCCTACTGCGCGAGTTTCTAGCATTACCAACAATCAAATCATACATTGCAGGACATACCGGCACGCCACGTCTGATTCACGAGTTTGAAAGTCATGCGCGCCGATATTTGAGTATGTACCTCCCGTCGGTGCCTTTTGAACTTGGCACCACCGATCGTTATCGTGCAGTGTCGCGCCGATCCGAAGCCTGCGTTATTGCCCGCGCCGTGATAGAGTCTGGGACAATGATCCGTCATCTAGCCGGAAAAATGGTCGCCATTTCTTCGCATGACCGTACCGCACTGAGCCGTGATTTCTCTATCATTTACTCGCACCGTCTAGGGGAATCCTGCCTAATGCTGGGTCCTTGCCGGTTTGTCAATCACGACTGTGACCCGAACTGCCGCTTCATTGCGCAGGGTGGGAATGGGGTTGTAGCAGTTATGTCAACACGCAAAATCAACTTAGGCGAGGAGATCACAGTGTCGTATGCTGAAAACTACTTTGGCAAAAAGAACCGCGAATGTATGTGCGCGACATGCGAGAAGAAGGGAAGAGGGTTTTTCGGTGCCCCAAAGTCAAGCATGAGCTCAGCTTCATCTGATACGAAAGTATTTTCCGATAATGATACTAGTACAGATGAGGATTTTGATTCTCAGTCTGAAAACGAGGGAGAGGGTGTGAAAACACATCGCACGAGAGCACATAAGCGGCGACGCTTGGAGCAACTGGAAATGAAACACCCAGATTCTATCAGCTCAACAAATGAGCGTTCCGAGAACATCAATCAGACGACTGCCACAAATTCATTAGCTTCTCATTCCGAGCATGCACAGCAAGACGATGAAAGTAGACGTCGCTCGAGCAGAATTAGAGAACGTGTCTCTATTTCAGTCAAGCGTGATTACGAAGATGTCACTCGGGCTGTCGGATGCAAGACGCGGGTCAAGACGAAAGCCGACAAGAGATCTGCAAAGTCCAGGGTGAAGATCGAGAACGTTGATGCACAACCTCGACGATCTCGCGTTCAGCATTACAGTCGGAGCACGCTGAGACAGCCCTCCAATAACAGCAGAAATCGGGCCCCAAAGTCGAGAAGCAGCCTGAAAAGTCTTCCGACTCCACCTGCAAGCGTTTCTGGAACCAACAGCGATGGTATGTTGTCTTGAATTTCAAGTGTTGTTATTTTGATTACAGCGACTGACACAGATATTAGCCACAAGCGATAGTTTTTCCGACATCGAGTCTCAGGATTCTCTTCCTTTCTCAAATTTTCGCTCCACTCAACGTGGCAAACTTCTCTTTAACGCGTTTTGGGGAAGTTCAGACTATAGTGTTGATGCCGCTGACTCTGACAAAACTCCAACAAATCAGATTGAGGTGAACTGGGAGGGTGTCACGCCACCATTTGAGACTCGAAGATGTGCAAATGAATCTTGTCGCGCCCGGTTCGTGCTTGCAAGTCGGAGTTCTAAAAAGAACAGAGGAAGTTTGGAGAAACTTGACTCTATATGCTTTAATTACGTTCAAAAATATGAAACCAGTCATCAGTCTCTGGTGTGTCTGAGATGCAACAGACATGCCGGTATTTATGGTACCAAATGGCCTCAGATCATTCAAGGGAAAGCTACACGGGGCGGCAGCTGCATGGGCTCTGATGACGAGGAAGATCAGGACACTAAAGAGCGCGGTAATGACAGGTTGTCTCCAGAGGAGATAAAGGAAGCAGAGTTTTCGGTTATGCTTCAAGACTTTGTTTAGGAATTCAAACGAAGTGGTAATCATGTATTATCAAAAGTTACCAGCAGGAGGTCGTCACTTGTGCGATAACAATTTTTCCTAGTATTTGACTCGCTTTCAGATGTTAATAATATAATAAATCAATGGGTTAGCCTTATCGTCTGATTTCCGTCTGATTTCAATTGTCAAAAAGTTTGATCGAGGCAGATCTATGTATCGAGGACTTGCAAGAGTGAATTTCGTGTTTCTATGCCTCTTCTGCTTCTTCTAAACTCATCAGAGGAGTTCCTCCTCGGCTTTTGTCTTCCAATTTATTTGGAATTTCTCTCCAACTAAATTTTTCGAGCAGCGATTTGTCTAACGATCTCTCGAAGCAGCCTACGGCGTATTTTCCGATTATGGGAAGAAATTTGAGACCACTGCGATGGATTGTTAGTTTTGATTGGCGATGAATGAGAACAATAGACTTCAAAGGGTGTCTTAATTCACTTACTGTCCGCTACCTCCAGAAGCCACAAATAAATTCTTAACTCCGGGCTTATAATCGAAGAGAAAATCTTTGGTTGGTGTATCAGTATACCAGCACACTCTCGCACTATCGTAGGATCTCGAGGCAATATCGGACCCGAGATATTGCTCAAGACCTATACGAATGCATTCATTGGTATCTTTGGGTAAGTTAGTACGAGGAAGAGGCTGCTCGCCTCTTGCATAAGCAACAGGCGGGGGCACAGAAGTTGTCCGCTGACCGCCCTCAACCTCTGTATAGTTCGTATAGCCATATGAATGCCTTGCAGCTTTGACCAGATGTGAATCGGGGTGAGGTGGAAACACATAAAATCCCGACTCAAAGTTGATATAAATCGGAAGATGCTTATATTTCTCGTATTCAGCTTCGGTGAGCTTAACGAAAGCAACAGGCTATATGACGCTTCTCATTAGTCTCAAGAAAAGATGGTCAGATGCAGCGTAATACATACCTGGCCGGTTGCAAGCAGACGTTCACCGGTAGGGACTAACGTATCGGTCCAAGCACCACATGCGACAATCACAACATCCGCTTGGAACATCTCGCCGCCTTCCAGCTTTAGGCCAGTAACGGAATGCCCGTCCTCCGCGTAGATTAAATCGGCGACAGCCTTTTCAACGAAAATGGCACCCTGATCTAGACACATCTCAAATAACTGCTTCACCGCCTTGGCCGCGTACACCCATCCCGCTTCGTGGCTCAAATATCCTGCCAAACCCGACAAGGCATCTTGTGAGAGGCTCAAGTAGTCAGCAGCTGCTTTCCCGGATGAGAATTCTGTGACAGGGAGGCCTAGATCTTTCACTACTGGCAAAGAATCAGCCAAATACTTGGGATTAGTTGTCGGGCACATGCACAGCAGTCCGCTAGGATAGTAATGATCGTTGTATGTCGTCTTCCATAGCTCCAGCGCTTCAACCACCATCCTCGCATACACCGGATCGTCATAGTCAGCTCTCACAATTCGCGAGATGTCAACGCTGCTACCGTCCGGAACCGGAGGGCGTGTCCGATCAAAAAGCGTGACCGATTTGTAGCCGGCCTGGAGTAGGTAATACGCCGTTGACAAACCAAACTCTCCGCTTCCCACAACGGCGATCCGGCTAGATTTAGTAAATGGATGAGCCATTCCTGATTTCACACCGTTATAGATCGGTAATCTTCAACGAGACTGATGCGTCTATCCGGACGCTTTCAGCTGTATCTGGTTCGATGAGACTCATGTATGTTATCGGCGTTTTCACGTGATACGCCTTATCCTGGAAAAAATAGGCGGGAGTCGTTTATCACCCCGCATTAAGACATCCCAACCGTTTAGCACCGGCGGTGAAAATGGCTGGCAGATGCCACAAAAAACACACCGTTAAACGTATAGTATCTATCGATTTCTTGCGTGGTGGCACACTGTCCCAAATATTACGCGACCACTTGAATTAAATTATAATTACGTATAAATGATATCTTACTCAAAGACGTATTATGGCCATATCTGTTACTATTAGGGGCAAAAAGCCGTGAGATATATGTACATTCAACATCAAATCACAAGAATCCCCGACGCTGGTTCGCCTCTCGTAAAGAAGAAATGCAATCGATACTTAAGATTTGCATTATGACCATACCCTTTATGATGTATAACTTGAATTGTGCTTTCGAAACAGCAAGATTTCTCAGCGGCATAATGTCATGCGTGAATACCACCTCTTCTTCATCTTCACTTGTCCGCTTCCTTTTTCGAGATGTAGAAGAGTACGATCCGTGGGGATAAAAGCATTCGATTGATCCATCGTCCAAGTACTGAGCATCTGTCTCCACACCATCTATAACGATATACGCGTCGTGTAGATCCGATGCGAGACGACAAGGACCATTTGTCTCGGGACGGTTCACAGTAGGTGGAAATTTTGCAACGATGGCTTCTAGTTGCTTAGCCGTAGTGCTTCCTTGAATAATTTCAACACCCCATCGACATTTTCTCTTCCCGCTGCTGTCATTGTTGATATTCGCTATATCATATGCCCTCAAAACAATCTCCTTCTGGTCGACCTGGATCACTAAGTCACGCAGTTCATCATCTGTGTAAGGTCTCTTATATCGTACTCTTTGAAGATCGCCATCGATATTACTGTCCACATTGACACTAGCCGGTTTGATATCTCGCAACCGGATCGTGATCTCTTCTCTACCAGTGAGCAAGTTTTTTGAGATATCAATAGGAATGAGCTTTTGTTCCAGACCCCTGAAATGGTAATACTTGCATTCTTTGATCAACAGATCACGATGCTCCGGTGACTTGAATTGTAGAGGCGCACCCTTGAAGGCTTGAAGTAGCTGTTGGAAAAGCTCTTCTGAGTGCGCCAAAACCTGAGGGGGGGCAACAGCGGGAGGTCTGATCAAGCCGCGAGTTCCTGGGAACACTTCCTCGGGAGAAGCAAAGAAAGAAGAGAACCCGAGCGAGAAAAAGTTGGGTGAATCGCCAGGCTTGGAGAGAAGTTCTTTGGGAATCCGAAATGGTGTCGACCCGATTCGAACAAAGATCTCAGAATTGAATAGAAGTTTGACCAACTTGGGCAACTGGTAGTAATGGGCGTCCGCATACAAGTACACAAAATGATATTCATCTTTCGGGACAACATAGTATCCTTGCAAATGCCGGACAATATCCCGAAAAATCTCAGGGCTGCGATCGATATATAGTATCGGGTAATCGTTTCGTCCTTCTTGTCGTCCTTCTTGTCTGTGGAAGGAGAAAAAAGAAGTAAAGTATGATGGTCCATCCGAAGAGAGGGAAGCTCCGCTTAGTCTGAATAAAGTATCCCCCACTTGTATCGAAAAGACCTGCTCGTGCGGAAGTATACGGGGGATATTCATGTTGAGTGCAGGGCCATTGAACCGATTGCTACTATTCACGGAGACCGAAGGAACGGATGTGCCGGCAGCTGTCGTCATCGATGCAGATGTTGAATCCCGTATGGTACTCTCTGTTACAGCTGTCGGGCGATTGAATCCTGGCGTTCTTCCAGCTGACTGCCTCCGAATATTATCTGAATGCAGCAACTCCTCGGATCCCGATTTCTCCCCGCTGTCGGCAGCAGCTGATGGCGACTGTCGCAGGCCACTGAATACAGCCTCGTAATCGCTAGAAGATCCCAGAGGTCCTCTTTCTTCAGGCCTGACATCGCTTCCAGCGGTGGAACTTGGAGTCTCTGATTGCTGAATGCTATCCATAGCGACGCCAACTGATCCGAACCGTCTAGGTGGGGAAGCTCTACTCAACTAGCTGGTAACGGCGCCAAATTGAATTTCAAAAGCCTTTGAAAGTCCGAATAGAAGCTATCTGGCTGTGAAAAGGGAATCCCGACTGACGACACTAGAGATTCATACGTAAAGACCAAGGTTTTCTCATGTATTCTTCTGTGGAGCATTCATTGTTTGGCATCGAAAGAGAAGTCGTGATGACTAAGATCGATGTCACGTTGACTTTCGTGGCTGCAGTCCTCACAAGCCGCGAAGCAAATGGCATCTTTCGTCCCAGCAAGCATTCCTACAGATTAATTCAAGATGTTTCATTTCCGACAATTAGGGGTCTCTACAGTATTTTATTGTACAGAAATCCCAAATCCCGTATAAAAGAATAGACTATGTAACGAGAGCAAGAAGCTCGATGTATGGATCCAAACAACATAGACGCCAAAAGAAAATAGAAAATACTAATTAAACTCGAATGAAAAAGACCCGAGTGCTCCTAAAATTCCAAATCATGAATGAAATTTGGCGATTTTCGCTCGATGCTTTAGAACCAAGAAAATCGCTGCCAACTTTTCGTGAATAAATGAGAGACGCATGCCTCAGGCTGGTTGTAGTCGCCAGCATTCGAGTGACGCTGTCCGTTGCCGAAATACTGCACGGGCAAAACGATGATTGCGCCATTTTCGGTAGGTACTCTTATGGGCTTCTTGAGATTGTTCATCTGCGCCCAAGAGACATCTTTACGTCTGTAATTCATAGAGTCAATCAACACATCGGTCCACATTCCCGGTCCGCTGACCTCGAACACTTCTTCCGGTGTGTATTTCGAAATCTTGGATGGTGAAGACTTGTTTTTGAGACGCGCAAGGTGATGGGCGTGCGCAACAACACGGACAATGGCAGTCCTGATGGGCTTCGCGAAAGGCTTAGCGACGATGGTGAACTGAGCGAAGCTATATGGCCTATGCCAGTGCCATTGGCGCTGAGTTTCCAACGTGACATATGGCTCATCGAGCTCAATTCCGATTATAACGTCAGCATCTGACTTTGCGAGGTCATGAGGTATCCATTCGCTGATAGGCTTGCGACAATAAAGGTCAACATCGGCATATACCCCTAAATGTCCGGTTAGCTAAAATCACGGAATCAATATTGCTATGATAGAAGACAAGTACCTCCATATAAATAGAGCAGCAAGTATCGGAGAAGATCGGCTTTCAAAGCAGCGTTAGGAAATGACTTGTAGACTTCTACAATTTCGGGCGAAGCAGCAAAAGCGCGTTCGACGAATTCGGTAGCGGCCTTGTCACCCAGAAGCTACCGTATCAAGAAATGAGAAAGGTTAGTGAAGCTCAGACAGTATAAATTGAGCAATCAGACCCACCATATGCTCATATTGAGGATTATAAGCCGACCAAGACGCGACCGCGTCTTTATATTTATCGTTGACAGTTCGCGCGGTTTGGAATATCTTTGTAGGCCACACCTCAGGGTCGTAAGAGCTCACGTACTCCATTTTGAGCTTTGCGAGCACAGAATCCAGATAATTCTCAAAGATAACATCAGAATTCTTGCGATACTCAGTAGCGACTGAAAAAGTGGCGATAGGAGAGAGCTGGCGTTGAGGAACAGAATTGTTGGAGGACGTGATCTGATGGTACCTTACAGCGGCGAGCCAGAAAGCCACCGTCATCAACGCAGCTACTATGCCGACCCTGTAGCCCTCTTTCTTCGGAAGAGCATTCTTGCTCCTATTTGCGAGCGCGTATATGCCCTGGAGATAGTGAGGCACGAGCATTGTAGCTTGCGGTGAAGAGGGAATGAGAGCTGCCAGGCTCGCGTGAAGCAGCACTATTTAGCAGCAGCGGCGGCGGCGGTGGCTGCTAACGTAGCGGTGATATGATCTTATTGTGGGGGCAGAAATTCGTGTTTTGGGTATATTAAAAACTGGTACTCCCGTCCCCTTTATAAATGACGTACATAGACTATAGACTATTCTCTGCGCGGCACGGTCTGGGTTAGTCTCCGAAATCTAAAAACTGAAAAATGGAAATCCGGTTCGTTATCATTTGCCAGTTTGAGAGAAGGAAGTGCGTGTATTCTAGAAGTAACAGCGTAAACCGTCGACGGCTACTGAGCACTTAGAGCAGGCGGGCCCGGAATCTCTCGATGATTGTTTTGCTTGTTTTTGACGTGTCTGCTACCTACTGCGCTGGCTGATCTCTGACTTCACCATCTCGATTCTCAGCTTCTGCTGCTCGAGAATCTCTTCGTTCTCCTTAATCACACCTTCGAACTCTTTCTGCTCCTCTGCGGATTCTACTTCGTCGCTGTCTATAAAGGCTTGGATTTCCGAATTTGATCTCAGAAGATGCTCGACCGAGTTCTCCAGCCGGGCACGCTCGGCGTGGAGCGAGTCTAAAGGCAGTTGTGCTATCGCTACGGCGAACACTTCTACTGAATCCTGAGTGCTGGACATATTTTCCTTCCAATTTGACGCTATACTTGTGGAATGTCAGTCAAACAGTGCTAACCAGGACGGCTGGGTCTGCCACGCGTACCTAGCTGGTGGGTTGCCGCTCAAACTCTGTGCTTCAGTAATGCTCTTGGCTCTTCAGTTCTCCACGAGACCAGTAATTCAACAAGAGATCTCTTGTCGCTCCGGAGTTTATCCGATGATGGAAGCGGACCAAGGCAGCGACAAGGCAGAGCAGAGAGAAAGAAGAGACGGGGCTTGATAGATGACTTGTAATTGTACGCAAGTCGTAGAGTACAAATCCCTTGCGTTCATCAGCAGCCCCTGAATGAAAATTTTATTTTCTTCCGCCAAACTCCCAACGAAAGATTTTTTGTGGAACTCTCTTCACTCTGCTAATCCTGAAGCTTGAAGATTTTTCTTACTGCAATTCTTGAAGGTATCAAGTCAGAAACATGGTGAAGCGAAAAGTTGCCGCTACGTCCAGGAAGCCTGCTGCGAAGACTGGCCTTCCTTCCAAGTCTAATGGGACAAGTACAGCGTCTGTCTCAGGAAAACGCCAAAATCCAATAATACATAACGGCGCGGAAGACGATGACGACGAAGACGAAGATGAAGACGATCAACAGTTGGAGGAAGGGTTTTTTGACGAAGAAGCCGAAGAAGCAAGTGAAGAGGAGGAGGACGATGAGTTTGACGAATATGACGGCGACGAGGAAGACGAAGACGATCTTGCTGGCCTGATTGACGGGGGCATTTCCGATTCAGATGAAGAATCTCAAGACGAGCAGGCCGAAAAGACAGAGGGCGAGACCAAAGAGCTTGAAGAAGATGAAGCTGATGATTTTGATGGTGAAGCGGACTCTGAGAGTGAGGAAGAGGCCGCTGCAGTTATCAGGAATCAGGTCGAGGATCAGAGCGACAACGATAATGAGAGCGACTCTGATGATGAATTTTTGAGCAAGGCCAGCGGCATGACCGATGTCGAAAGCCGGACTTCTTTGTCGGATAACGAAAACGACCGTGTTCTTTTTTACACGAAAGGTGCCGATGGAAAGCCGCGCCCGATCTATCGTGAGATCGACCCTCATTACTCCAGCGACGACAGTGATTACGAGCAGACAAACACCATTGGGGACATCCCCTTGAGTGCTTATGATGAGTTCCCTCATATTGGTTACGACATCAACGGCAAGCGCATTATGCGGCCAGCGGCCGGATCGGCTCTTGACTCCCTTCTTGATACTATCGATGTTCCAGAAGGCTGGACTGGTCTTATTGACAGGGAATCTGGCGGAGACCTGAAGTTGACAAAGGAGGAACTGGAACTTATCAAGAAGATTCAGTTGGGTGAGAATGCAGGTGATGTGAATCCCTATGAGGATACGATTGAATGGTTCACCTCGAAGACTGAGGTCATGCCTTTATCTTCTGCACCTGAACCAAAGCGTCGTTTTGTTCCTTCAAAGCACGAGGCTAAGAGGGTCATGAAAATTGTTCGGGCAATCCGAGAAGGCCGGATCGTGCCCAACAAGCCTAAGGTCCATCCCGAGGATGAGCTCAAGTCATATGACTTGTGGGCGGACGATTTGCCAGAGCAGGCACCTCATATCATGCACATTCCTGCTCCCAAGCAAGCGAGACCTACCAATGAAGAGAGCTACAATCCACCTGAGGAATATCTGCCGACTGAAGAAGAGCGTAAGGAGTGGGAAAACACTGATCCGATGGATCGTGAGCGAAATTTCCTTCCCCAAAAGTTCAACTCATTACGCGCAGTCCGAGGCTATGAAAACTTCGTGCGTGAAAGATTTGAGCGTTCTCTGGATCTTTATCTTGCACCTCGCGTGCGTCGCAACAAGCTCAACATCGATCCAGAGTCCCTGCTTCCCAAGCTTCCGTCTCCTCAAGACTTGAGACCTTTTCCTATCAAATGCTCGGTCACCTACACCGGCCACAAGGGACGAGTTCGTGCCATCAGCATTGATCCGTCTGGTGTTTGGCTAGCTACTGGCGCCGATGATGGAACAGTGCGTGTCTGGGAGATTTTGACAGGTCGCGAGATCTGGAGTGCATTATTAGATGCCAGTGAGCCTGTTCAGAGTATCGAATGGAATCCAGTCAAAGATTGTGGACTATTGGCTGCTGCTGTGTAAGTCAACTTAATACGACGGATGAATATGAAAAGAAACTAACAGCCTTCTAGGGGTGAGAAAATTTACATCTGCCAACCACCGTTGTTTGATGATGCTACAGAAGCTACCGGTCAAGGTATGCTTGCTGCTGGCTGGGGACACGCCTCCCAGCCAACTACTGTGGAGGATGTCAATAAGGAACCTTTATGCAAATGGATCCGTCCCTCAAGCAAGATATCTAATGTCGGCGTCGACGTGGTTATTGTTTGTCGCAAAACTGTGAAACAAGTCTCTTGGCACCGTCGCGGTGACTACTTCGTCAGCGTGTCACCCGAAGGTGCAAACATGGCGGTTTTGGTTCATCAGCTCTCAAAGCACTCTTCGCAGTCTCCATTCAGAAAATCCAAGGGCATTATCCAAAAGGCTCAATTCCATCCGTTTAAGCCGATGCTCTATGTTGAATCCCAAAGATACGTACGAGTTTACGACTTGGCGACTCAGACACTAGCTAAAATCTTGCAGCCGGGTGCTCGTTGGCTGAGTTCTTTTGATATCCACCCGCAAGGAGATAACGTGATCACTGGCTCATATGATAAGCGTCTTACATGGCATGATTTGGATCTGAGTGCTAAGCCGTATAGGACTCTCAGATATCACCAACGCGCTGTGAGAGACGTTAGATTCCATCAGCGACTTCCACTCTTCTGCTCTGCGAGCGATGACGGAAATATCAATGTCTTCCACGGTACGGTCTACGATGATCTACTCAAAAACCCTCTTTTGGTGCCCCTCAAGGTACTCAAGGGTCATGCCGTGATTCAGTCGTTGGGTGTTCTCAAGGTGGAGTGGCATCCAAAAGAGGCGTGGTTATTTAGTGCTGGTGCGGATGGCACTGCCAAAATGTGGACAAGCTAATTCTTTTTCCATAGTGCATCTATTATTTTGTATGATAGCTTCGTTAGATTTCCCCTTTTATAATAAAATCGCATCTATATTACACAGTTTAAATTTCCAGACCGCAGTACCCGCGTACTGATGAGCTTTTCGGATATGTTGATGAGGTTCGGAGCGGCACTCGTAGGGTAAGGGTATCCGACGCGCGATTCGTGTTTGCTTCCGCTGCCTGGGGGGCATATAGCTTGGTGTTTATTCGAACTCTTGCTTGTATTCGTATTGGAGACTGACGCCGTCAAAGCCTACGCCGCTTCTAAGGCTGTAAGTAGTTTCTAAGCCTAGTAAGGCTTCTCTCCTGGTATACTGAGCTAATGTTCTCTCGGTAGCTGCCAGGTCGATCACTCAACATCCTTGAGTCAACACCCAACCGACGTGACTGTAACTGTTCTTAGCACCAAGTCCAGCTTTGGCTCACCTGGAATTTACAGAAGATATTGTTGACGTCAGAGTGTGTGCTGGTTTGTCGAGCGCGTCGCTGCGTTTCTGCTACCGTGAGCTTCGCCTCCTAGTCACTTCACGCACGCGCGCATACACGAATGCAAAGGAGGATGCTCAATAATTCTCGCTTACAGTTCACCCAATTTATACGTTCTGGAAACTGTGAACTGCTTTGATTGGTTTTCTTTGGTCCTTCTTTCTCTCTTTTTTTTGTCCCCTGTGTGGGTCGCAGAAGGTGCTAGTTTGGTCGCCAGCAAATCAATACTGCTATTCACAATCGACCTCCGTGTCAACCAAGCGAAAGACCTCTTAGACAGTGAAGCAGGCTGCTTACGGTCCTACTGAGTTGGTCATGTTTGACATTCTCAACAATATGAAGCGCAAATCGATGTCTTTCGTGCCATCTTCTCAGCTGCCTGCCGTATCCAGCAAGGTGTACGATTCTCCTCCTCTGAAGAAGCGCAAAACTGAGGAGCAAACTCCCGAAGTATCAGCTTCCTCCGCACCAAAATTTCCACCCCACTTGTTGCCATCGCCTATTGGTTTATCGAATATTTTCAGGAGTTCCGAAAACGATCTTTACAGCGACACTAGGCGGCGGCATATCATGCACCCTTATACTATACCGGACTCGCAAAGCTCCGGGAGCTCTCAATCTCAGTCGCAATCGAGTCAATCCGCCCAAACCACCGAACAGCTTCTTTTACCAGTCGAAAAAGAACAGTCTCCTCAGATTCTGTCGACCGAATCACCAGCGCTGGCAGATCGCTCTCTAGATCATGATGTAATATTCCCTTGCACTGATTTTGCTGAATGTTTAGCGCTAAAACTAACTTCATATACTCTGTAGGATATGTCATTCCGGCAATCTACATTAGGCAAACGTTTAACCCATGTTTACCCTTCCGATCAATACCGGCCATCGACAACATGGAGTCAAGCCTCGACGTTCTCGCCGTCAGGCGGTGCGACCCCACTTTTGTCTTATTCCTCTCCTGTTCCAACAACAGCGCTTTTACCTGCACGTCCCGGAACGCCCTCGTCGGTTCAGGTAACGTCTTCGAATTATGTTGATGGGAGTCGAACGATAAGAACTGTCGCGTCTAATCTTTTATGTTTACAGGACCTGGTTTCGCAGCCTGACTCGCGGTTTCCTTCCAACACCAATCAAGCTCTTGGTGCCCAATCTGTCCGAATGAATGCGGAGGCTGGTACCAGATTTTTGTTACCCGAGCCGAGAATATCAAATAATACTCGTGGTGCAAATCATTGCCCGCCTCAGTTAGTATCGTATGGAACCAATCCGATTCCTTCCAGGTGGGATGCGATTGAGCTCCCATCCTTGGAACGCGACAGCCTATCTCGGCATGTTGACTCGGCATACGGAGGTCATGTTCTTTCTAAACGCAATGCTTCTCCATTCATGCAGGATCGCAGTGTTCCTGCACCGCCATCTGGTGGTGATCCCTGCTCGCCCACGGCATCGAACTTGCTGCACTCGGATGGTGGGCAGATCTCATATCCTCATTCGAGAACTAGCTCGGCCGAAAGTCAATATGCCTCGGCGTCTTCAACAGCTTCAAATCCTATATCACAGCCTAGCGCGTTGAGACCGACGCTACAAGTGAAGGATGGTAGCGCTCTGTCTAGCCTTACTACACCTGCCAACGATTATCGCTTTTCCACATCGCATTACCAGTTTTCTCAAAGCAGCAAAGAGCGAAATGATAATGTTGAATTGTCAAGCATACAAACCTCGTCACAAGACCTCACAGCGAGCAGTTCACAAATCCCAGCGAATGATTCACCAAGACTGATTTCATCGAACCTGTCTCAGCATCATGCAGGCGCTACTTTTATTTCCAACAATTCGTCTGACTCGAGTTTTTCTGCGACAGCTGGACGCAGCTCTTCTGGGTTGAGTGGCCATCCGGCAATTCATCGACTTGGTGGAGTATCAGAATCGTTGCAACAACGAAGACCAGCTAGAAGCACGTTATCACTATCGAGGCTAACTGGTCGACACTATGACTCGGTGGAAGATGAGGAGATGAACTCCAGATCACCCTGTATGCTTGAGATTGGTAGTGATGGTCACCACGCCGGGTCTCCATCACCCACATTGTTAAGTCGGCCAGGTAACAGTGAACAAAGTTTTCGGTCGCGCTCATCATCGAGCAATGCATCACCGACTGTAAACTTGAGCGCCACAGAGCTTTCTACAGCTGTTCCTGTGGATGACTCATGTTCGAAGTGTGGCATACGTGCGAGCGTGCTGGTTGAATATACCAAGGTGAAGGAAGAGCTACAGGCGAAGAAAAAGCAGTGGGAGTTTTATTTTGCTGAAGACCATATGACTAAAAGCAAACTCCGAGAGGACGTCTTAGCTTTGAAGGCAAATGTGAGTCTGAATCTTATATCTTGGGGGTCATGGATGTTTACTGATTGTTTGTGCATGGTGCAGGAATCCAAGGCGTTGGGGGAACGAGACATATTGATTCAGGAACTGACGGGTAGATTAGAGGCTCAGCAGCGGTACATTGATGAACTTCTTCAGAAATGGGAAATTCAGCGAGACAAGATGTCGCACGGGGGCGGTGATGCGGCTACTGTTGACGTCAAACGAAAGATCAGTACTGATTCAGCGAAGGAGGTATCCGCCGCTGCGGCGGCAGCTGTGGTAGCCGCGGCCTCAGTGAACAGTCCACCGACCACGACTGAAGGATCGACGGCCTCGGTGGCATCTGAGAATGCCTCTGATTTGTCAGATGATTTCCATGATGCGACATATCTGAAGAATCCAAAGATGGGACCGCCCCAAAAGCAACAGGTGGAACTAGACGTATCGATCGGCAAGACAGGAATAACCTCAGAGAAGTCTCAGGCTCAGGAGTCTGGCGGCTTAAGTGTGGTTGACTGCTCGGTTGGTTTACCGTTCGAAGTGACCGATCAAGTGCTTGATCCTGTTATGCTTCGTCGGAAAGGGAGATTCACAAGCCGGTCGCCCTTCCCAGCTGGAATCCCGCTCAAAGGTGATGCGAAAAGTAAATCGTACCCGGAAAGCGGGGAGAGTGGGAAGCCAGTCCAGGTATCACAAAGACCTGGGCGCAAGCATCGTCAAAGACTGCTTTTTGATGGCTCGAATTTGAAATCGCTTCACGTACAACGAGTCGGTCGATTTGGTAAAAAAATTGAAGAGGATGACACGACAGATCCGTTTGGACTGATGCCCAAGAATGCTGTACCGGTGTTGAAAGATTTCACTCTTGGTTTCCGGGAGGGAGTTGTTGTAAGTTCACAATACTACATTTGAGGCGAGTATGAGCATATGCTAACAAAGATCAGGACTCCCGATCGAAACGCTTACGACGGGGGATGGTAGTCTACAAAGTTGGACGCAAAATTCCAGGAGAATTGATTTAGTGGCTGGGAGGAGGGAGTTGTACGAGCTTGAGCTTGTGTATTTTAATGATCTGTATACTAAGGATAGGAAGGTAAACTGCATGTAATTTTTTTCTCAAATAACTTCTAAGAACGTATAAAGAAACACCCTGTTAATCCTATAATCATCTGCACGACCTGAAAACTGAGTGACATTTTACACAACAAACACCTCAAGAGAAACTGCAACCACCCATAGAATAGCGATAATCATATAATACATATTCCTTAAACTCCCTCCCAACTATATACAAACGTCAACAATAAACATGAGCAAATCTAGCTTTATTTGTTGGGGCTAAGATGGTGGATAGCTCTCGATAGTCGGCGTCGGGGCTTGCTGCCAGAGGAAGGCGATACATCGCGCTGCTCCCACGAGTTGCTCGACTCGACCGAGGTAGCGGGCGAGAGATATTGCGCACTATCCGAAGACATCTTCGACGCGCTCGACTCAACTGACCAGCGTCTGTTATCCTTAGGTTGCGACGGTCTCGTTGCAGCGGTAGCGAACTCCGCACCTGGCCATTGCGAGCCCGCGAGCTGCAGCCGGTAGTTGTCAACCTCTGAGATGACTTCTTCCTCATAGCGTAGGCCCTCACGGCTTGATCCAGGGGGGAGGGCAGCAACGTTGTCGATAGGAGTATGACGCCGAAGGGAGTCATTAATAGAGGCCCGGGGGACGGCATTCAGAGCGGCGACGTTGGTCAAGTGAACGGCCTTCACTGGGGGGTACTTGACCCCGCTGTTGCGGTAGGACATGGTTGCGTCGAAGGGACCCTCATGATGGAATGCACCGCAGACAGAGTCGTCGAGAGAGTCGATGTAGTCTAGGGCAGAAAGACGTCTGCGGTTCTTTCTTCCGCGCCGGTCCTTTTCCCTTCCTGAAACAGAAGAAGAGTCTGCGTAGACTGGGGTATCGTAGAAGGCATTCTCATATGTGGGCGGGGCCGAGCTCGAGGCCGAGTATGATTTCAAAGATGCGGTAGCCATGGTGATGTGAGATTGATGTAAACAGGTGTAATAGAGGAGGTTTATGAACAAGGCTATCGTGGAAGGGCCGGCCCGACATCTTTATAGTCCAGGAAACGAGCGGGTCGCGTGGGGCGAGAGCGATGTCCGCTCGGCTCCGCCACTGCGACTACGCGTGGCAGACGATGAGGTGACGTCAGCGGGTCCAACTGCACGTGATGAGCTATTTCCCAGCGCAAAGCTTAAATCTCATCCAGACGAAATAACTTTTACCGATTTACGGTCCGGTCCACTTCAGCAAATGGGTCCACCACCAGAGCGGCCGCCGCCACTACCAGCTCGTTTCTTCGACCTCTATTCTTCGGCTCCACGCATTGGGGATGATCCGGAGCTCCACGACGGCCGGGAGCGCGGTACACCGCACCAAACTGGGCGCTGGCCGACTCATGTGTTTGTCGAATGTGAGAACCGAATGCCACCAACTCACTTATCAAATCTGCTTGCTCGCCGGTGCTAATTACTATTCTTCCTACTTTAGGGCTCCCGCCGGCCGATTTGGCGGACTCGTTAGAGCGGATACTTCCGGCAGATGCTTCTTCGCTTCTGCATTCGCCTTATGGGGCGCAGCTGCCTCTGCACGTCTCACTCTCGCCGCCGCTGATGCTGGCGACTGACGACAAAGAGCCATTTTTAGAGTCGCTGTGGGAGGCGATAGACGATGTTTCGTCATTCACAATTACGTTTACCGGTCTCAGATGGCTTACGAATACAGCTGGCACCCGCGAGTTTTTGGCGCTGGCAGTTACGGAGTCGCAGGAGGTAGGCTACATCATATAACGCTGACTATTACGCAATAATTGACGCTAACGTCCTGTCCCGGATTATCCAGCTCATCCGGCTGCTCGAGCAAACCGCGTCCGTGTGTAGATCAATGGCCTACGAAACCTTCTCACAGAAAAACCCGCAGCTCCATGTTTCGATAGCGTGGAGGCTTCCAGGGAACGCCCGGGAAGGATCCCAGGAAGAAGTGCCGGTCCTTGCGCAGGAGCTTCTCGACTCGCTCAGAGCGGACGTTGATACAGTCAAAGTCAAAATAGGACGCGTTATCCACCGGAAAAGTCTGTAAATCTAATGTCATTATCTGGTCGTTGTATCGTTACTCGTAATGGTAGTCGTAGACGCCCTGAGCTTTTCTTCGGCTGGTGATATGACGCAGTCCGCGTGGGGTGACGTAATTGAAACCAAATTTTGAAACTGAACCGTCTGCATGCACCCAAACCGAACCGGCGCTCGCGAGCACATGCACGCCGGGTTCAAGAGAACTCCAATGATTCAATTTCGCTTTTTGCATTTGATTTGGGCACGGCTTCCATCTATTTCGCTCCGGCTTATCACAACCACGGCAAGCAGGATCAATTGCAACCCCGTCGCCGCCCGAAATGCCTCTAGGAATCAAGCTCGAGAAGAAGGCTGAGCTGATAGACAATACGGCATTGGCAAACTTGAAGCTCTACAAGTACTCCTCCGTCGACAAGAGCTTCATCTCCAACCACATCCTACGGCACTACTGGAATGCGGCAGCTGAGCTTATGCCGTTATGGCTCGCGCCAAACGTGATCACGCTTATCGGCCTTATGTTTATCTACGCGAACGTGCTCTGCATCCTAATTTACGTGCCAGACCTTGTGGGCCCCGGTCCCTCATGGCTCTACTATTCGTTTGCGGCCGGACTCTGGATGTACTCAACCATGGACAATGTCGACGGTAAACAAGCCCGCCGAACGGGTTCGTCATCCCCGCTCGGAGAGCTGTTTGATCATGGTATTGATTCGTTAAATTGCACTCTCGGAGGTCTGATCGAAACCGCCTGCATGGGTCTCGGACCCACGCCCGCTGGTGCATTCATAACACTGGTATCGTGCCTCGCCATGTTTTTCTCGACTTGGGAGACCTACCACACGCATACCCTGTACCTTGGGTACATCAATGGACCCACCGAAGGCATCATTATTGCCTGCCTCTTGATGATTGTTTCTGGTATCTTTGGACCACAGATCTGGCAACTGAATCTTGACGAGATTATTGAGGTTCCCTCTTTTCTACCAGAATCTGCGGCTTTCATTCGTGTAAGCGACATTTTCGTTCTGGTCGTCGCCTCCGCTTTCTTTTTTGCCCATCTTCCCTTCTGCGTTTACAATGTCTACCAAGCTCGGGCATCAAAAGGAAAGTCGTTCTACCCAGTCTTGCTGGAAATCGTGCCCTTCGTCTGGGCATCAGTTTCGGTATTCGTCTGGTTAGGAAGCGAATATTCAGATGTCTTGTACAAAAACCATCTGGTCTTATTTGCCTTGACAACTTCATTTGCATTTGGCCGAGTCACCACGAAGATTATTCTTGCGCATCTCACCCTACAGCCTTTCCCATACTTCACCATTCTGCTAGTGCCGATCTACATCGCACCGTTCCTCTTCTGGGTACTCCCCAGAGTTTTCGGAGTGATGACTTTTGTTGGAAAGTTCGAGATTATGTATCTATGGGCATACTTCTTTTTCAGCGCCGCCTACTTCCTGTCCTGGGCACGAATTGTGATCAACGCCATCTGCGACTATTTGGGCATTAACTGCTTCACCATTAAAAATCCTACGAAGAACAAATAGAGTGTATGCTTTAAGGTTGTGGACTGATGTTTTTTCTGGTCAAAGAAGGACCCGATGTTAGAGGTTGTACATACAGACAGTATCAAATAGTGGTGTTAAAAAGTAGCTGAATCACTCAGTATTTGAGTGACTGAATCTCTTTGTTCTAGCTTCTCTGTTCAAAGAGCCGATAGAATTGCTGACTCCGTAGTATCTTTAGTCAAAGGAATAAAAGAAGAGCAATAAAAATTACAGGACAAATAAAAATGTAAAAAAAAAATAGGAATAGGTAAAACAAGTAAAACAAAAAAAATGTAGACACTCCCCTGCAGGGGCTCGAACCCTGGACATTTCGGTACCTTGGTAGCAGATACAGGTTCGCATAAAAGCCGAACGCTCTACCGACTGAGCTACAAGGGACAAGTGCTACGACTTTTTTGAAGCTCTGGTTCTTCATAACCCTAAAGTTTCAAGACCCTAAACCTGGAAGGAAATCTTTGTCGTGTAAGCCTTTGCTGCTTGAAGTCATTCAAACAAATAAAAAAATTTACCTACACTCTTAGAGCTCTTCACAAGAGGCTTTTGAGATGGTACTTGCGACCGCACTATGGCAGGGAGCCCAGATATGCCTACGTCTTCTAGTTTGATGTTGGTTCTCTCAACGTTTTTGTGGGGAATCAACGTGGCATCGACTTTGTAGCAATAAAGATCCTTCGTTAGAGTCATTAGAGCATATAGGCTACGAAGCCATCTGGTCGGCTGTGTCTCCTGAGATGGCTGAGGGTGATTCTGTCAATAGCCATCTATTGTGCTGATAATCTGCAGGAAAAGATGGGGGAGCAGCGGCCTGGCTTACGCGTCGACAACGCGTAAGTTTCGCGTACAATTCGACGTGTGGCGTAAACCTTAATATTATAGTCAAGGGGTGCTCTCCCCCATCCCCTCGCTCCCCTTTTGAGCGGTTTTGAAGACTGTTATTTATAACCTGCAGCCGGTCCTACATCAGAAGCAGTCAAGAATCGCAAGCTGAGAGTCAAAGAAGTAGAAGTTGCTATTTTACTTGGTATAGCGGTAGATCTGACATTAATCTAGCGAGTAGTGGACGACTTGTTCGCCGTCAATTCTTCACGCGAGCGTACACAAGCGATATGGCTTCAACAATCCTGCCGTACATTGTAGAACAGTACGATAAGAAGCTCTAGACAATAAATGAAACGTCGCGGTGATCTTCAATAGGTTAATCCTGGTCCATCAATAGGCCGCCCGCTGGGTGGAAGAGCAGAGTACTAAGCCCCTCTAGGAATGCTCCGCGACGGAGTTCAGTCACCAAACCCACGCCGTCTACCAACCTCCTTAATTCACTTCAACCTTCACTCTATCTCTTTTCTCAGCTCTTTATACCAAACCGTTAATAGTCACTCAGGTTTCTTTTGTTGGCCGGTAATCTCATTGCCAGTGAGACTCCTGCTCTTGTTAATCTTTCTAGCTTGGCTCGTTGCCGTGGTAGTAATTTGAACACAACACGCACGGACTGTTGTTTTGTTTATCTCCTTTTTTTTCTGATCTTCTCCCCCTCTCACTTTCGACGTCAGTTCCCGCCATTCTTCACTTCGTCCTTCACTATCCCTGCTTTCTAATCCGTTTTTTCTTGTAACAGTGGGTGTCCGCAATCACTAGTCATATGGCTTATCATTCGCACAGTCGCAGCTACTCCGGCGCTTATCGGCGCTACTCCTCGGGCATGCCGAGAGGTTCTCACGGCCAGCACCCCTCAATTCCAGAGAACGAGGGTATGTTATGATGCTTCTTGTGCTTTTGCTTGTTTACTTACGGTCTATGATCTAAATTCTCACGTTTTCTCTTTTCTTGCTTCAGTTGTCGACACAACCACCTCTCCTATGCCTGGGTCTCCTCCCCCAGTGGTCTCCGATGCTCCCAAGAACGACATGCCCGATTTCGATAACTCGGTCGATCTACTTGTTGCTTCATGGATTGGTAACAATCCAAGCCCGACTCCGGCAGCCTCAACACCTTCCCCCGTTCCTGCTTCCACTCCTGAAGCGACACCAAAAGCTGAGCAGCCAGCCCTCCAGCCGGTCGCAAACATTGTCTCGAATGTGAAGAAGAATGAGAGTCCGATAACTCCGCAGACAAGTTCCCCTGCAGAGCACCAGAGGCTGATCCCGCGGAACAATAACAATAATGGTAGCGGCAAGGAGAATCAGTTCAAGACTTCGGTGCGTTGGGGTAATCGCAAAATTCCAATTACGTTGCCTGCCGAATTCGCGCGGCCAAACTTGGTTACTCCTGAAGACCATCGAAAATATGAGCGCAAGCTCCACGACTACGTTGCTCAGAACATAAATATAGTGAGTCTTTTGTTGTGTCTTACTGCTAAAGCTTCAAATGCAGCCTAACTAAATGCTTATGTAGGTCTCGCCCTCAATGCCGGCCTTTCAATCGGCCTTGTACAATGGCCGGGCAGTTGTTCAGCTGCCTGATGAGAAAGGTATGCTCTTAAGCTATGATTTCTAACTCAGCGTGACCCTTTTACTGACAGAACATGCAGACTATAGAGAGCAGTATGCATATGCCCAGGAGCAGAGATTGGGAGTATCATCACCCGGACTGGTGAGTCAAACGAGAGCTTTTCTGTTGTTCATTGTGGGCAGTCGCTAACAAGTTATCGCACCTCAGGGAACCGAACAGCACTTGATGCAGCAGGGAATGAACATGTACAGTCCGGGAATGCACGGGCAGACTGCTCCCTACTATCAATACTCGCAGGCCATGGGTCGCTCTAACTCGTCTCCACTATCTCCTGAGGCTCCGGCGTTCATGTCGACAAATGGTCTCGGTATCACGTACGGCAATGGCCACCCAGCAGTGCCTCAACGAGCCGTGCACATCATGTCTTCTCCCGCTCCGGTCTCTGACAGTTCCATGGGCCAGTATGCATACTCTGAAGCGAACAAGTCACCATATGCACAACAGCCAGAATCGTTTGGAGAGTACCGTGCAGAAGTTGTCGAGATCGTACGGCCACCTAGAGAAAGTAAGAGAATTCCGATTGTTAATCCACAGAGCAAGCAGGCAGCTGGCACCACCGCAGCTGATAACAGCAAACTTGAGACCGAAAGGAAAGAGTCAGAAAAGTCAGAGTCAGAGCCTAGTGCGAACCGATATTCGTTCACGCCGTTGGTACAAAGCGGAGCTGCGGCGAAAGACCTGAATCAGGACGAGTTGGACGGAATTGTCAACCGTCTTTCAGAGCACACTCCCGAGCGTGTGATTTATCCTCCGGTAGCCATGAATATGGGTCAGGAGGATGACACGGAGTCCATGTGGTCGGACGGTACTGCTCAGGATGAGCAGCGTCAGCGTTTGGTTGACGATAATCCTACACTGTCGCTAGACGATCAGGCGATGCAGAAGCTGGTGAACGAGGCTCTGATGAAAAAGCTTGATCCTTTGGAGAAGATGATGTCGATGTTGACAGATCAGCTGAAGAACACGCTGGTTTCGCAAGTAACGGCTGGGACTGACGATGAATTTGAAATCGAATACGAGGATGATGATCCTGAAGGGGCGGAAGGCCAGCAGCTTGAGGTGGCACGTAGCCGCAGCGCATCATCCGGAAAGCCGCTGGATGGTTCTGTCCCTGGACGAACATCGTCGCGCAATGTATCGAATACGAGCGAGAATGGGTATATCCAATCTCTAGTTTCTCAGATAGAGACGTTATCGGCTCGCAATGAGAAGCTAGATGGTGAGCTGGATATGGTGCGACGAGCAAAGGAGAATGCGGATGCTCTGGTCACTGAGCTTACGCAAAAATACATTGAGAGCGAGAAGTACAAGGCAAAGGCTGAGTCGTATGTTGAGGAGATTGGCCGTCTGAAAGAGCATGGAAGCGAGAAGCAGAAGCAGCATGAAAAGGAGCTGCGAGAACAGCATGCACAGATGCTGCGAGAACGGGAGCTTCACGAGAAAGAGCGATCGATGCAGCAAGACCAGATCAAAATTCTTCAGGATAACGTTACTGTTCTCAACGACAAGCTGCGGATAGCTGCACAGGAGGCAGAGCGTGAAGCTGAGAAGGCTCGAGCAGAGGTCATACAGGCGAAGCGAGAGACGGAAGATGCGGTCAACTCGCGGGCGACCGAGCTGTCTTGGATCAAGACTCTGCTTGACGCAAAGGTCGAGGAACTCGATGAGCAGCGAAGACTGATCCGAAACAAAGATAGTGAGACGGTCGAGAAGACAAAGATCGAGGAGATGTATGCCAACATGAACTCGAGCTTCTTGTCTAAACTCAAGTACGGTTCTGCGTTGAGTCTCGTGTCAGATGAATTTGTGGAGCTCCTGACAGCAGCCTCGCTGACGCTGTCGTCGCGTGGAGTTGTGGAGCTCAGAGAACTGCGTCGGCGCCAGAGCAGCAGACAGACGTCTGAGAACGCAATGCCGCTTAACGACCATCCGCACAACGTGCCGGCAGGCATGAGCCCACTGAGACCAGGATTCAGCAATTTCACTAAAGGATTGAAGGATTTGAAGCTCAACCGGGCGAATACGATTCACGGAATGGGCTCGCGTGAGGATCATTTGAGGAAGTTCCAGTTGAGTCGCGAAGTGTAAAAAGAGTTTTTGGCTGTTTATTTTATCTTTCACATTTTGGACTTGTAATATTTTGATATTTTGTACGTTTATTAATTCAGGCTTTGGATATACGCCTTGACTTCACTGGAGATTGCTCGTAAAAGACATGCAGATGGGCTTCTGCATGATTTTCTAATCGAAGCTTCGAATATCGAAGCCGATGCGATGCGATAGAATTGTGACCTATCTGTGATCTATGCTAAAAATAAAGTGTGAGTTGTGAGCATTCTCGCTCCTCCGCTTTGGGATGGCCCTCACGCCGTCGTTTCCGTTTTCGTCCTCTACGCCTTATTTACATTCGTCTTTTGTCTTTTTACACTCGTTTTTTCCACAACAGCTGTTCTTCTTTCTCCAAAAACCAGCAAACATGCGTGTCTCCGCCATTACTTCCGTTCTTTCTCTTGCCGGGTACGCCGCTGCGATTGGTTCGGTATGTGCAAATGTTTTCCTGGAGTCCGGGGTGGATAGGAGCAGCGACCCACTGTTTGTTTTCATCATGCGAAAGAGCTTCTACTAACACCTCTCTTTCCTTCTCCAGCTCGGTTTCGACCTCGGCGTCCAGCGCAACAGCGACTCTGCTTGCGTATGTGCTTCTGCTCTGCTTGCTTACTACGAAGTGTGAAAGAATGCTAACACGCAACTTCCAGAAAACCTCGGATGACTACATCTCCGACTTTGAGACCATCTCCGGCTACACCAACATCGTCCGTGTCTATGCCTCGTCGGACTGCAACACTCTCGAGAACATCATCCCTGCGGTATGTGCACTGTCTGATTACGACCTTCATGTCCGTAATCTCAAGGCTTGCTAACGCGTGTTTGCCCATAATATAGCTCAAGGAGAAGGACTTCAAGCTTTTCCTCGGCGTCTGGGCCACCGACGACACCCACTATGCGGAAGAGAAGACCGCTCTGTCGACCTACCTCCCCACCATTGATGCGTCCTACATCGCCGGTATCACTGTTGGTTCCGAGGCCCTTTACCGTGGCGACCTCAGCGCCTCTGACCTCGTTACGCGTATCAACGAGGTTCGCGAGCTCGTCCAGGATATCGATGGCTACTCTAGCACGCCTGTCGGCACCGTTGACTCCTGGGAGATTTTGATCGACGGAGCCAACTCCGATGTCATCACAAACTCTGACATCGTCTTCGCCAACGCTTTCTCGTACTGGCAGGGTCAGACTATGGCCAACTCCTCCTACTCCTTCTTCGACGATATCATGCAGGCCCTGCAGGTCATCCAGACCACCAAGGGTTCCACTGATATCACCTTCTGGGTTGGTGAGACTGGTTGGGCTACTGATGGTGGCAGCTACGAGAACGCCGACCCCACCGTCGACAACGCTGCTCAGTTCTGGCAGGAGAGTATCTGCGGAATCCGCGCCTGGGGAGTCAACACCCTTGTCTTCGAGGCCTTCGATGAGTCGTGGAAGCCCGTCACCTCCGGTGTCAGCGGTGTTGAGACTCACTGGGGTGTCTGGACTGACGACGGCACCGACCCCAAGTACTCGCTCGAGTGCACCTTTGACTAAGCTCTGGTGGAATTCTCAAGATTATAACGGATTTTTATGAGATTGAATGCAATCTTCTACGAAACGAAAAATGAGATGTTGCGAGATACACGTTTAGAAGAAAATGAACGTTTATATACAATTTTATGCTACTGGTTGTCATTATTTATCTAAAGTCTTGTGTCTGGGTTTTCTTTTCAATATCTCTAATTACGTATTTTCATGTCTTTTGTCAATATACCTGCTCTATATAAGTTGTCTAACAGCGCTCCTAGTGCGCTATTATTTCACATAAAATACAAAATAGTGTTCAGACAGCCTGCCAGTTAACAATAATATTAAAAGGCTGTTCGCTATCCATTATGTTGGTACAATTCTATTGCGATTGTGGAGTAGTGTTTTGGCTCATTGCCGAATGCGGCGATCGATTTCGTTGTTTACAAAATAGCGCCGCGCCACGAGATCCTCGCGTGCAACAAAAACACTCATCTTCTCTACACTCAAATACGCCAAAGTCCACGCAGCTCCAGACTTGCTTCTTTCCCTGCACGTCTTTCGGATTCTAGAGGGAGAGGACGACTCGCTGCACATAAATCAGAGCGAATCTTCCGCGTGATACACAGTCGAATAGAGAAGAGAGAGAAACGATTCATATTGTTCACCATGGCCTTCCTCGCCCGTCTACGCACCGACATTATGTCGCTTTACAAAGGCTCTCCGCACCCCGATATCATTCTGTCTGAAGAGGGACCTACCGACCTCACGAACGTTACCGTTCATCTCCTCGGCCCCGCATCGACGCCGTACTCTGAAGGCGCGTGGAAAGTGCGACTAGTCATCCCGACCGACTACCCAAACAGTCCGCCAAAGGCGTACTTCGACACGAAGATCTTCCATCCGAATGTGCAGCCTAGCTCTGGAGAGGTCTGCGTCGATACTTTGAAGAGAGACTGGAGCTCGCAGGTCGATCTGCGTCATGTTTTACTAGTATGTTTGCCTATGTCTATATGCGAAGAACGAATCGCCCGCCTTGAACCCATTGAGCTTGTTTGCTGACTTGGGTTGCCATTTACAGGTTATCAGATGTCTACTCATCGAGCCCAACCCGGAGTCTGCGCTAAACGAAGAAGCCGGAAAACTTCTACTAGAGAACTTCAAGGATTACGAGCGCATGGCCCGTCTGATGACCACAGTTCACGCGTTAAAGCGCTCCTCGTTCGTCACACCTGTGACTGCTTCAACCGCCGACTCTTCTTCTTCTTCCACCGACGGAACTATCTCAGGTAATGCTGCTGATAGCAGTAGTACGAAAATCTACTCTGATGCCGAACAGGCGTCGCAGCAGCTATCGGTCGACAAGAACGTTCTACGACCGCTCGAGCATACACAGCGAGGTGCGCCGGGATCGCCTGTGAAGAGCACAAAGCCAAAGAAGAAAGTCGGTATGAAGCGGTTGTAGATACCGACCAAAATCTCTGCTTTGGTTCATTTATAGTCACTGTTGGCTATCGATCACCGTCTTCTATACTTTTCTTATTTTTGAATACTCTTGTCCCGGCTGAAGAAAAAGACAGACCAGAGATGACATCCGGAAGACGACCTTTATTGTACCGGATATGGTCTGCATGATTGCAGACAGAACTTTACGTTGTTCAGCCAGGCTGCTTTTACTTCTGTACTATAATTCTAATAATTAATCTTTTTCCAAATCTACCGTAGATAACATCATTCACAGCGGAATATAGACTAGCCTTGTTCCATTTCGCTGAGGGAAAGGAGACACAAATTGAATGAACATATAGTATTATGCATCTCTGTACAGGTGAAACAACTGAAACAACCCACGAGCACACAATCAAGTAAAAATCGAAAAGTTCAAAGGCATCGAACTTCCACGACCACTAGGATACAATTTCTGCTTTCCCTCAAACTTTCTCGGCTTTGGTAAGTCGCTCTCAGGTTTCCACCGGTATTTGCTGTCGTTGATTTCAAGCTTCTTGCCACTTCCACTGATCGTATATGACGCGGCGTTCAGATCGCGGATATTCTTGTAAGCTCCAGGGCCTCGGCGAACACCCGACGTCCGCGAAGCTGTGGAAGTAGAGGCGGTAGAGGCAGACTGAGCGGAGGGCGCCGATGGAGCACTGGAAGGCGGGGGAGGTGGAGGTGGAAGACCACCTGATGATCTGCCGTTTGATGCTGACGCCGATGAGAATGTCGGAGGAGGAGGTGGTGGCGGCGGGAGGCCCAGAGAAGATGAGGAGGCAGATGACGGTGTATGGCTATGCGATGAGGTAGGCGGCGGAGGCGGCGGGGGCGGACCAGCAGGCAGGAGCATGCTGGTGACCTGGTGGAAAGGCTTTACCGGCTCAGGCGCCGCTTCTTCCTCTTCATCGTCGTCATAGTCAAATCCCCCTTCATCGTCGTCAGACTCGTACGAATTTGAAGCTGCAGCTGGAGGCGGCGGTGGAGGAGGTGCATTGGATGGGATTGGAGGAGGTGGAGGAGGCGCACCTGTGGGAGGTGCAGGTGCAGAGAATGTGGGAGGTGCCGGGGCAGACGACGATGGAAACTGTGGTGCTCTAGGTGCGCTAGCTGTAGGAAGTGGTGGCGCAGGAGGAGGTCCCGATGACGGCAGCTGCGGTGCTCTTGGTGCACTCGAAGTAGGAAGTGGTGGTGCCGGCGGAGGTCCTGACGATGGGATTGGGGGCGCGCTTGTTGTTGGCAGAGGCGGTGCCGCTGCAGAAGGCGGAGGGGGCGGTAGGGGAGCGCTGAAGGATGGCGGAGCTGGTGCCTTTGCAGCTGGCCTAATCGATGGTGCTTCAAATGAAGATGCGGACGCATCAGAATTGTCTTTGCGATGACCTCTGATCTGAGCCATGAGATCAGAAGGCATGGCTCTGATAGGCGCCGCATTGGATTTAGCTTGCGATCCTGGAGCGGAGGGTGTAGATGAAGAAGGAGGTGGTGGCGGTGGAGCTGGAGGTACGCCTGAAGATGGAAGAGGAGGGGCAGCTGGGACACCGGAAGATGGAAGAGGTGGAGCAGCTGGGATCCCGGAAGATGGAAGAGGAGGTGCTGGGGGGACCGATGAAGGCAAAGAAGGCGCAGCCGGTGCCGCAGAAGACGGCAAAGGAGGGGCAGGTGCAGATGGAGGAGCTGGCGGTGGTGGTGCTGCAAAAGCAGGCGGTGGAGGAGGCGCGGCCGAGGGGACGCTGGGAGGTGGCGGCGGCAGATTTGAAGGGATCGGAGGCGCGTTCGTGATTGAGCTCGAGGATTTCTGCGGACGATGGGAAGGTTGTGACGGAGGAGCCAGCGAGGGAATTGGTGGTGCCGAGGTCGAGGGGATCGGAGGTGGTATAGCGGATGGGATGGGAGGAGCAGAAGACGGGGGTCTACCGGATGGCATAGGCGGAGCGGGTGGAACAGCAGACGGAACAGAGGGCCTGGAGGAAGGCATCTGAGGTGCTATCGAGGAGATTGATGGAGATTTTGCGTGCGAAGGCCGATGCGAAGGCATTGCTGGGGAAGGTGACGACGAATCGTTATTTTTGGCTATTGATGTTAGCAAAGAGTTTGGAGGAGATGTAGAGATCAATGAATCATACCTCCAGTCTTGATACCACCGGCGCTTTTGAGCTTCGGCATACCGCCAGCAAAGAGGCCTGCGAGCATAGGATTACCCACGGCGGGGGGGTCGGGAGCAGCAGCACCGGCACCGGTTGGAGGAGCAGGAGCGCTGGCGGCGGATCTGCCAGCACCGCCGCTGCTGCTGCCGCTGCCACCGCCAACGACACCACCGCTGACAGCGGGAGCACTTCTATCGTTGGTAACGGCCTTCTTGAGTCTTGCTCCGCGCTGGATCTCACTTAACAGGGCGCCTCTGCCGGGAGCGGCGGCGGCAGCGGGCGGAGGACCAGATGCGGCGGGAGGAGGGGGAGGAGGAGGGGGACCGCCGAAGCCGGGAGGAGGCGGAGGGGGCGGGGGAGGAGGACCGGCCATTGAGGGTGGATTTGGAGATCAGTGGAGGAGGAGAAGAGAGAAGAGAAGAAGAAGCGATGAGATGGGAGAGAAGTGAGGCGGAGACGGTGAGGAAGATGACGAACGCAGGTCTCGAGGAGGAGGAAGGCGGCGGAGTCGATAGATTATGTCATAGTCACGTGACTTGTGAAAATAGCAAATGATATTGAAGAATGGGGGAGATGTAGAATGCGATGAGCAGTTGATTAAATAGCAGTTATTAAGCACAATAAAAGAAGAACAAACAACAATAAACAATAAACAGCAACAACCAATGGCCAACAACCAGAAGCGATGACCAAAAACCGGTGCCGACATCGGCGAGTCCCAAAACTCTAAATGGCCGCAATCGCACAAAATCCGGATCCTGAAAATGAGTCGAAAAAAACTTCTCGTCCGGCTTAAAATCTTCTCTTCCCCACTCAGCCTTTCCTTCTTCTCTTCCTCTTCACCACTTATCTGTCGATAACAATCAACATGGCTTCTCGCTCATTCACCAGACAGCTCCGTGCTGCTGCTTCCAAGTCCTCCAAGTCCGTTTCCGCCGTCCAGCGGAGGACCCTCGTCTCTGCCGCCCGTCAGCTCACCCGCCCTACCCAGGCTCAGCGACAGGCCCCCGCCCAGCAGGTTCGTGGTCTCAAGATGATCGACTTTGCCCAGAACGGCCAGCTCGAGAAGGTACACGAGCGTGCTGAGTGGCCCGCTGAGAAGCTCCACGAGTACTTCAAGGGCCAGACCTTTGCCTTGATCGGCTACGGTTCCCAGGGTATGTTCTGATTCCACTACTTTTGCTTCTTTGTTCGAACAATTACTCATAGTCTCTTTTTCTTCTCTATAGGATACGGTCAGGGTCTTAACCTCCGTGACAACGGTCTCAACGTCATCATCGGTGTCCGAAAAGACGGTGCCTCGTGGAAGGCCGCCCAGGAGGACGGCTGGGTTCCCGGCGAGACCCTCTTCGACGTCGACGAGGCCATCAACAAGGGTGACATCGTCATGAACCTCCTCTCTGACGCCGCCCAGTCCGAGACCTGGCCCCACATCAAGCCCCTCATCACCCCCGGCAAGACCCTCTACTTCTCGCACGGTTTCTCCGTTGTCTTCAAGGACCTCACCAAGGTCGACGTCCCCGAGGGTGTCGATGTTGTCCTTGTTGCCCCCAAGGGATCCGGCCGCACCGTCCGCTCGCTCTTCAAGGAGGGACGTGGTATCAACTCTTCGTTCGCCGTCTTCCAGGACGTCACCGGCAAGGCCTACGAGAAGGCCACCGCCATCGGTGTCGCCATCGGCTCCGGCTACCTCTACGAGACCACCTTCGAGAAGGAGGTCTACTCTGACCTCTACGGTGAGCGTGGTTGCTTGATGGGAGGTATCCACGGTATGTTCCTTGCCCAGTACGAGGTTCTCCGTGAGCGCGGACACACCCCCTCCGAGGCTTTCAACGAGACCGTTGAGGAGGCCACCCAGTCGCTCTACCCCCTCATCGGCAAGTACGGTATGGACTACATGTACGACGCCTGCTCGACCACCGCCCGTCGTGGTGCTCTCGACTGGTCGCCCCGTTTCAAGGACGCCTTGAAGCCCGTCTTCAACGACCTCTACGACTCTGTCAAGAACGGTACCGAGACCAAGCGGTCGCTTGAGTTCAACGGCCAGGCCGACTACCGTGCCAAGTTCGAGATCGAGCTCCAGGCCATCCGTGACCTCGAGATCTGGAAGGCCGGCAAGGAGGTCCGCAAGCTCCGACCCGAGAACGTCGAGTAAACTAGGAAAAAAGCAAACAAAAAAACCCAAGAAACAAAAAATATGACTGATTTTGATGTAAATTCTTTGAAATGTTGGGAAAAGTTCTTATGATCTGTACTTTGCTATTGACGTTTACAAGCTGTATCTTTGGAATGAATTAGTTATATATATATACACGATTTCTCTTTATCATCTTCTTCTTAGTTATAATTATATCGAATATATTCAGATAAATGCAAACAACAAAAGAATGTAGAGTAAGTTGGAATGTTTACTGCAGAATCGCCGGGTAACTCGAACTCGCCCAGAACTCCTCGATTCGCCTGAAGAACGCGTCACGTCGGTTTCCAGATTCATCTTCAACAACATGTCTTTCTTCAACAATTTTGGGTGTGTATCGTTCTTTTATTATATAGATACTGCTTACTGACGAGGATCATCTTCTCTAGTCGCGGTTTTGGCCGTTCGTCGCGGAATAAAAAGCAACAGCAGCAACAGCAGCAACAGCAGCAGCAGCAACAACAGCAGCAGCACCCCTCCTTCCTCCGCACAACCTCGAGTCTGTCTTCAGGCCAGTCATCGCTCACTGGCTCGAGTTCCGGAAGACCGCCTTCGGGGCCGTCGTATCAGCAGCAGCAGCAGCAAATCGCGCAGGTGCCGAAGCCCCTCTTTCTCTCACAGCCGTTTGTCCGCACTGCCCTGGTAAAGGGGAGTTTCAAGACAATCGTAGTCTTGCCAAAATATGTTGATATGGGCGAATGGTTGGCTTTGAATGGTGAGTTGAGTTGTTTTGTGTTTATTAAAGTATCTGTTCTAATACGATTCGTGCAGCGTTCGAGTTCTTCACATACCTCAACCTCTTCTACGGCATCATCTCTGACTTTTGCACTCCGCAAACATGTCCATCAATGAGTGCCGGGCCTGGGTACGTCTTCTTCTTATTATCTTCTCAGCAGCAGACTCCTAACAACCCCACAGAATCGACTACACCTGGCTCGATATGAGTAAAAAGCAGATCCGGCTACCCGCTTCCACATACATCGACTACGTCCTGACCTGGACCTCAAGCAAGCTCAACGACCAGACCCTTTTCCCCACCAAAGCCGGCGTCCCATTCCCTCTCCATTTCCCCATGACTCTTCAGAACATTTTCAAGCAGATGTTTCGCATCTTTGCTCATATTTACTACAACCACTTCGAGACAGTAGTCCATCTCAGTATGGAGGCACACTGGAACTCCTTTTTTGCTCACTTCATCAGCTTCTCAAAGGAGTTTGAGCTGCTCGATGCGCGCGATACCGAGCCATTAAGAGAACTTATCGAGTCGTTTGAGGCGCAGGGAAAAGTGTAATCTAGTCATGGAGTTTTGCTTTTTGTTTTCTTGATTTGATATACAATTCTCATCCTCTCTGTGTAATATTACTATATATCGTCCACTTATCGTACAGGTCTCTTTGTTGTATGCAGTTTTTGGCCCCGAACCTGAATACATAAATAAGTATAAGATTCAAGAATGAATGATAGTAGAAAAGTGCTCACCTTATCCCAATCAATCTCAGTGTCCATCGCGACGTCAACAAGTCCACACAGCACGACGCTGTCTCCGCGGATCAGGTAGACTCCGAGATCCAGGATCTCTGTTGGTTCGTCCGGTGTTATTACGCGCTCTTTTGTGTCGGCGAGAATCAGATTTGTTTGCTGGTCGTAGCCTTGGAGGTTGCCCTGAATGTTATAAAATGTTAGTAGTTAGATCTGAGGGGTGAGATTGATTCCAAGTAGTGACGTACAGTGAACAGCCGTCCGTCTGAAGTTATGACAATTATTGTTTCTGTGATTAAAAAGAAACAGATCAGTCAATGTTTGCGATAGCATATATAACAGTCGTAATCCACTCACGATTAACGTATGCTTGCAGATGGCTCGACATTTTGTTGCCTCGTCCAGTCTCTCCTTGTGCTCTGTATCAGCTGTCGTCGCCCCGGTGAGCAGGGAAGTAATAAGAAAAAAGCGAGTGTGTTCTTTGTGCTTAATGTGAATTGTTCAGGAAGTGCGATCAGGCCGTCAGTTTGTAGCCATAGTTGTGTCTGGTTGTTGATTTGCTTGACTGTCGATGTTGACCGAATGAATCTGCGGCGGTTCAAAGTTTTGGTTTCTTCCAAAGCCCAACTTGTTTGCTTTGAATATTCACCTTCTTATTCTTCATTTACCACCACAACAACAAAGATCCAGCAGCTAAGACTATAAGATCAGCATTAAATACTCGTGGTTGCTATTACTATCCTCTTTAGTAACTGTTATGCGTTTATAGCACTGCTGCTACTTTGCTGTACCAGATCGTGTGTATCGACCCTCACGTCTCCCAGTCGACAAACAAGACCACATCCACCATCTCTCATTGCTGTCCAACCTGAGCTACGATGGTCGTTTTCTCCTTTGAGCCTGACGAGAATCTCAACGAGCCTAGCGATTTTCGCAAGGCAGTGCCAGCGACGCCAAAGAACCAGACAGCTCCCAAGCCCGCGTTCACACTTCCTGAACTCGATCTAAGTCATATAGGTGCGTTCACTCAGATGTTTATACAATTATAACTACCTGATCATTTGTCTAATTACTGATCTTTGTGTTTTATAGCGTCGCCTAATCGTACAGGGCTACCTCTCGTCCGTCGTCATCCCAACTACAGCACACAAAACAAACAAGCGCGCGAGTCGCGTAAACTAGACGAGCTCTACACTGCTACCTCAGCACGGTCAGACTCCTCGCTTTCAAAGCAACTGGCCGAAGAGCGGCTGATCTCGAATGAGTTTGTTGTTCAGCAACGAAAAGTCAACGAGCGCAAGATCAAAGAGATTGCGCGGTTGGAGGAGGCGTTTTGGACCGCGCAAGAGGAGAGGATTTGGAAGATCATCACGGACGGAATCAATGCCGATCGAGAGAGAGCAGAGGTGCAGAGAAGGAAAGATGAAGAAGAGCGCAGGATAAAGGAAGAGCTGCGCAGGAAGAAAGAAGAGGAAGAGCGCAAGAAGAAAGAGGAGGAAGAGCGCAAGAAGAAAGAAGAGGAACAAAAACGGAGAGAAGAAGAAGAACGCAAGAAGATTGAAGAGAAAGAGAAGGAAGAGAAGAAGAAGAAAGAGGAACAAGAGAGGAGAGAGCGAGCGCAAAAAGAGGAACAGGACAAAAAAGCAGCTCAGGAAAAGAAGGAAGCAGATCTTCGAAATCAGCTAATGGCGAGCCAAGCTGAAAAGAAAGCTCAAGGCAAAGACGCCCAGATTGATCTCCAACGCGAAGTTGCAAATCGAGCGTTTGGAAACCAAGCCAAGGTCAAGAAGAGTTCTCCGCTGGCCGGGCCGCCAGATGATGGCGACGATTTATCACTGGATTCACTGAGCACTGCTGTACCTGATGATGCTCCATTACCGCCTGAGCCGGATTTGAGCGCGAAAATACCTGCGGTGCCTGCGGGACTGATAGCAAAGCCTGCCAAGAAGGAGCCTGTCCATGTTGCTCCTCAAGCCATAGACGAGGCGAAAGCGGAGAAAGATTACTATACAAAGTTAATTGCTGTAAGTAGCAACTTCTTGAACAATTTTGTGTCATAACATTACTGACACCTGTAACAGTACATCAAGACAGAGATTGTCGGAGCGGTTGCGAAGGATAAACCATTGCAGAAGCGCTGCTCTGAGATTCGGCGCAAGGTGAAACCAAAACTAGGACAGATCACTAACAGTCACACGCAAATCCGAAAGATCGTATGTGCTTCTGTTATTTATTGTCCACTGTGCTTGGTAGCTGACATGTTTTATAGATCGGGGAGTTGAAGTTGCTGTTGGAGGAAGTGCAGGAAGCAGGACCGGATCTTGCTTACCGGTACGTTTTGAATGCGTTTAGTAAAGCTGTTGTCGATCAGGCAGAGACGGAGACGATTGTGTCACCTACATCCGCGTTTCCTTTGGGAACACTATGTATCTACCTCATGAGTCAACATCCACTCTTACGAGATCTGCTGATTGCGCGGTTTGTGAAGAAGTGTCCGTATGTGATTGGATACACGTGCCCGATCAACACGGAAGAGGGCCGCATACGCATGGGCTACAAGCGAGTGGATGACAAATGGGAGGATGAGACGCAGTACTGCGAGCGAATGGGCGGGATCATGATGGTCTGGGCAGCCATGACCGGCATGGGCAATGCTACGCAGTCGGTGCAGCCATATCCGATGATCCACAGCTGGACGTTCGCCGCGAGGATCATGAACACGCCGGTAGACCAGCTGACGAACGCGCACTACACTGTTGCGGCCGCGTGGTGGGATCTGAACGCACAGCGCTTCCTGGCGGCCTACGGCATGCAGAGCCAGAAGATGCTGACGCTGATGTGGGACAAGTGGACGGCAGCAGCAAGCGAGAAGCGGTACCCGGCAGCTGCACGGCTCAGGCTGCTAGGCGAGACATGGCGGGATACCGGGAATCTGGGTATCGCGCGACCGATGGAGCAGTGAGGGCGAGATTAGCTTAAGCAAGTGTGACGACGCGCACGACGTATCTCTCTGCAAAGTCAGAATCTACAGTATTTTATCTACAAATCTCAAAACACATGTAAACAAACCGCGGGGAGCAGGGCCATGTGGACCTGCTGGGCAAGGGCCGTTCTGGCGAAGGCTGTCAGGGGTCGAGTCACGAGACCCGCAGCCAAATGTCAGCGCCGGCCTTCAGTCTCCCTCATCCTCCATTTCCTTCTTCTCGACCGCATCACTCTCCTTTTCCTTCCTTTCTTCCCGTCCCTGTCCAGCTCCTTTCGCGAGCACTTCCCTGCTCCGTTTCCGCCTTATTCCTGCTTGGCTGCGCTCATTACCCGTACTCGTTTTCTTCCACACCCCCACCGGGCCCTTCCCTGCCGCGACTGGCCGCTCCCGAATCAGCTCAAGCGCTGTCTGTTTCATCTTCTTGCCGGCTCCCGATCTCCCCGGCCGGCATCGCTTCTTTCTTTGAAATACCTTCCATCTAACGCGTCGCTGCTACCTGCATTGTGTGCGTCTGCCCGTTTTTGCCTGTCGCCCGCGATCAGCCATCTGATCCGCTCCGATCTCCCGCTCTGACACTCACTCCTCTCAGTTTCTTCCCTTCCCTGTTCGTCCTGTTCCCTTCCCCGATGCAGAACCAGCAGCAACAGCAGCAAGGGCGCGGTCGCGGCTTGCACATCGCCCATCGCAGAACCCCTTCCGAGCTGACTCCCCTAATGAGTATGCTGTCCTCCTTTGCTCTTTCTCTCTCTATATATAAATTTCTACGCCGGTGCAGATGCTGACTGGTAATCCATCTTACAGTCGAACAACTCGCCCTCCAGCAGCAAATGGAAATGCTCCAGGCACAACAACAGCAGATCTTGGCGCAGCAGCAGCAATTTGCCCAGGCCGGTTTGCTCGGATCACAGGGCATGCAGACTTCCCCCGCTATACCCCAGATGCCCGGCTTCATGCCCTCTCCCAACCAGGGCTTCGGCTTTCCTGGCGTGTCGCAGACTCAAATGGCACCAGGAAATCACCGCCGTGCCCAGTCTTCCGTCCCTGGTTTCCAAATGATGGGCAGCTCGGTTACCGGCTCAAAGTCATTGATGTATGAGCCGAACAACAACGGCGGTCGCAACCAGAGTCAGCAGCGCCTGAGCAACGGCCAGGGTCATACCCGCAGACACTCGCTTGCTCTCCCAGAGGCCAAGCGTGCTGCTCAGCTTGCGCAGCAGCAAAAGCAGGCTGGATCATCGCAGCCGGCGTCCTCCGGAAACATCCAGACTACCTCAAACTTTCAATTCCCGCCTTCGAAACCGAGTGCTGTCGATAACTCTAGTGCTTCCAAGATGAGCCGCCATACTCACTCGCGCAGCCAAGGCACCAACGCGGACTTTGAGGAGCTTTCTCGCTCTCCCCAGCCTTCTGGGTTTAGCTTCCCCCATAACAACAACAGTAATGGAAGCGGCTACAACGACAACAATGGCGGCCATTCTCGAACTCAGAGTCATTCGCGGTCAGGATCGCGTAACTTTGATGGCGACTGGCGAAGAAGCAGCGCACAGCAGCAGTCCGAGGCTGCTTCTGGTGGCTTGAATCAACAGCAACCACAACAACAGCAGCAGCAACAATTCTTTCCCGGGCACCGTTCACGTGGCTCAATGTCAAACTCCATGAGCTCGCAGTCATCCTTTTCAGCGAGTACTTATCAGCCCGGCGTTATCCCGCTATTCACGCAGCAGCAGATCAACGCTGGCCAAAGCTCTCAACCACCGCCTGCGATGGGCCAGATGCCTGGCCGTAATATGGTCCCGGATTTCATCTCGATGCATCCTCAGATGAATTTCCCCTCTCAGCCACTGCAAAACAATCAACAGCAAAACCAGCAGCAGCGCAAATCACTGTTCTTGCCGTATTTGACGCAAGCATCCATTCCGGCGCTTGTGGCAGAGGGTCGGCTGGTAACTGGAATCTTGCGCGTGAACAAGAAAAATAGATCTGATGCGTACGTCTCAACTGATGGTCTACTTGACGCTGACATTTACATCTGTGGTTCTAAGGACCGTAACCGTGCTCTCGAGGGAGACTTGGTCGCTGTCGAGCTGCTTACGGTTGATGAAGTGTGGGGTTCCAAGCGGGAGAAGGAGGAAAAGAAGAAGAGAAAAGAAGGCGAAGATAACCAACCTGGTCTGCAAAGACGCGGAAGTCTGCGCACACGACCGATACAGAAGAAGAATGATGACGTCGAGGTCGAAGGTCAAGGTCTACTCTTGGTCGAGGAAGACGAAATCAGCGATACCAGCAAGCCCCTTTATGCTGGCCACATCGTTGCTGTGATCGAGCGCATTCCCGGCCAGGTCTACAGTGGGTCGTTGGGCTTGCTGAGACCATCTTCGCAAGCCGCGAAGGAGAAGCAGGAGTCAGAGAAGAAGGACGACAATAGGCATGAGAACAGTCGGAATGACAAGCCAAAGATTGTTTGGTTCAAACCGACCGACAAACGGGTTCCGCTTATCGCTATCCCCACTGAACAAGCACCGAAGGACTTTGTTGAGAATCACGAGAAATACTCAAACACCGTTTTCGTGGCGTCAATCAAGCGCTGGCCGATAACCTCTCTCCATCCGTTTGGTATGCTCATTGAGTCGTTGGGCCCTGCTACAGACCACTCTGTCGAGATCAATGCGATCCTCAGAGACAACAACTTTATGAACGACCAGTTCACAGATTCGGTTCTGAACGGCTTGCCTGCGCTATCTAAACTCGAGGACACGGGAGTCAACCGCCGATCGTTTGCTGACGAGCATATCGTTGCTCTGTGCAGCAAGGGCTCTAAGTATTCCGAACAGGCTGTTCACATCCGTAAGGTCGACGACTCTACGGCGCAGATCGGAGTCCATATTACTGATGCCAGCTTCTACGTCCAATCCAACACACCTCTGGATCGTGAGGCGAAGCAGCGAGGAACTTCTGTGTTCATGATGGACAAGACAGTGCCGATGCTTCCGGACGAGTTGCTCGAAAACTACCTCTCGCTGAGTGTCGGCAAATCTACTTTTGCATTTAGTGTTGTCTTGGACGTGAATCTGAATACGTTTGATATTTCAAATCTCTGGCTGGGAAAGAGTACCGTGACCGCCAATGCTATGGTGTCCACAAATGAGCTCACATCCGAAGATAGCGCTGTCAGCGAGACTTTGGATTTACTAGGCGCGATTGCAAAGGGATTCCGCAGAAGACGTTTGAATGCCAAAGTACCTGAGATTCCTTCGCTGAATCTGCTCGACCAATTGGAAGATGAGCGGATTCCAGCTGAGGTCAATATTTTTGAACGGAAACAGTCATCGGCCCTGGTTGATGAGATCATGATCAAGATCAATTCAATTATCGCCAGCATTCTCGTTCAGAAGCTTGGCGACCGATCTCTACTCCGTCGTCACAGTCCTCCGAATGCGCATAGACTCGAAAGCTTCCTTGAGAAGATGTCGGTTTTGGGATTGAAGTTTGACGGTTCTTCGAGTGCAAAGCTGCAGAATAGCTTGTTCCAGATTGACGATCCGGATAAGCTCAAGGGCCTTGAGACTCTCTTGCTCAAGACATTTTCGAGAGCCAAATATTTTGTTGCTGGAAAGGTTGAGCAGAGAAGCGATTATATGCATTATCTGCTCAACTTACCGGTGTATACGACATTTACTTCCCCTACAAGAAGATACGCCGATATTTTGGTGCACCGCCAGCTTGAATCTATTCTCTATAACAGTAAGTTACCTCTTGATGTTTTTGACCTGAACTGATTACTGATTTTTCACTTGCGCAGAGGAATATACTCCGGACTTGGAGACGCTGTCGAAACTCGCTGATCACTGTAATGATCGGAAGGATGCCGCGAAGAATGCAGAGGAGCAGTCTATTCATCTATTCCTCTGTGAAGCTATCAGCAATCTCAGTGCATCCACAGGTCAGCTTATTCGGGATGCTGTTGTGGTCAGCGTGTACGAATCGGCTTTCGATGTTTTGATTCCTGAATTCGGCGTCGAGAAGAGAGTCCACTGCGACCAGCTTCCGCTCGTGAAGGCTGAGTTTGACAAGCAGACCCGATGCCTTGAATTATACTGGGAGAAGGGTGTTGACTCTGCTACGTACGTTCCAGAGGATGAACGTGACCGAGTGTCTGACTACAATGGCGGATCGCAGCGCCGGGCGTCGAGCATTACTTCAGCAGTGGCGCAGGATAGTCAGAGAATAGATATCGCATCGTTAACTCTCGAGGATCGATCTCCTAGTGAGGACGGTGAGAATGGAGAGAAGCCTGTGGCATCTAAGAGCCTTCCGGGATCTCCGGTCAAGCGATCGCCATCCAGAGCACTGAATGAGAAGCCGACGCGAACAGCGTCCATGACAAAGATGAATGCGATTGAGAAGGAGGAGGCTGCGGATGCGGGCGCGCTGGCAGCATACCTTGGAGATGTAGTCTCACGTATCAATGGCGAGGAATTGATTCAAGAAATTCGAGAGCTGACGCATGTGCCGGTGCTGCTGAGAGCTGATATCGGCAAGAGCTTGCCGTGCTTGACGGTGAGAACGTTGAACCCGTTTGCGACATAAGCGGGTCTGAATATTATATATAGCACATTATCACCTTGAGGTATGAATCATACATTTCTCTTCTTTTTCAAAACACTTTTTTTTATTGTTTGTATTTCCTTATACCTTTTTTCTATCCAATCTCTCTCAGTGAAATGTACTTTCTATTGTTTGGCGCATTTTAAAAAATCGGAGCTGCAATTATTACACTATTTTCTGTTTTTTCAAGCGAGGTACATAGTTTTTTTCTACATATCTATAAATTCTTTCGGGAGAGTACACACTTTTGAAGACTCGAATAAGTTGTCTATATGGATTTAATGTAAGAAGGTGATGCCATAGTATGCGTATAGTTACTAGTTGACCATAACTAGTCATTCAATTAGATCATTTATCTCTATTCAGTTCGGAAATGAATATGACGGCCTGGGCCCATCCCGCATAGGGTCCCCAGAGATCTCTTAGATAAAGCGAGAGCTCGTCGTAGACGACCTTCGACATTGTCTTTGAGACCATCTTTGTTTTCGGACTGTACCGCCGTTTGACAATGTTGAATACGTGAGTGTCGATGGGGACTGATTCGTGGCAGTCGAAGGACATAAGAGCCTAGATGATGATAAACGGACAAGTTAGTGAGACCGAAAACAGAGATTTTAAATGAGTGGAAGGTGACTTACGACACAGTCTGCAACTTTCGGGCCCACTCCAGTGAACTGGAGCAGAAACTCGCGAACGTCGTCATATGGCTTGCCGCGCATGTCGGAGAGCTGGTTTCCCTGTGCTTCCCAGTCCGCGACTGCCTTTGCGGTTTTGTAGACGTAATCTGCGCGGTATCCAAAGCCGAGCTCGCGGAGCTTTGCAGCGCAGTTTGGAGAGGACGCGAGCGTAGACGGACGGGGGAAGGTGTAGTAGTCTATGTCTTTGTAGGTGGCGATGTAGGTGCCGTATGTGGCGCAGAGATTATCAATCTAGATACCCAAGAGTTAGCATGAGATGCATGGGGAGGGCAGTTTGAGAGGAGAGCGCACCATCTGGGTGATTCGTTTTATACTGTTATTACTGCTGCAGATAAAACTGCAGAGACATTCCCACGGATCTTGCCTCAGCATTCTTATGCCCACGAACCGGTCTGCAATCTGCTTGAAGTACTTGTCGCGCGCGCCAAACTCGCGGTAGAGCGAAGCGAGCTTGATTGAGGAGTTGAAGTAGTCGTGCACGGCGGAGTCGATCTCGTAAGCCGGAGGAGGAGACTTTGGCGGGGACGGAGGGATTTGGGCTGGTTTGGACTCGTGCTTGATTGTGGTTTCTGGAGAACGGGGATCGAGTGTGCAGTATGTGATGTTGTCGGTCGAGGGGTCGTTGCGGAGGATTATCACCGCGTCTTGGATGACGGATACCCTTGGGATAAGCTGTCAGTACTCAAACATAGAAAAGTCATCTAGACAGCGCTGGTACCATTCTTCGCCTTCTCTCTTCCATCGAAAGGACTGGCCGCTGGGTAATATCCAGTCGAGGGAGACTTCCTATTGAGATGTTAGTCGTTGCTGCGGTACAGAAGCCGGACCCAGACTCAACACACCTTCCCCGACATCCGCAGTTGTCTCCACGCAGTGCTCATATCTGTTTACTCTTCTTGGTTGATGTTGTATTTGTTAACAACAGAAGAATAAATCCCGGACGCGTAAAGTCGGTTTACAAGAAGGCGATGCAGCCCCTGGTTCGACGCGTTATGAAAACCTTAAAAGATAATCTATCGAAACCGGAAAGCTTGTGCTTCGACTGATTTCTGTTCACGATGTTCTTCACAGAAGCAAGAAATCCATGTCTGATCCCTCGCGAGATCTGCAGCGTCTTGCACTCGAGATCAAAGGTGCGAACGCCGACCCAGCAGACCGATTCACGCGATGGGCCGTTCTGCTGCGGGCGTTCGCGGCGTGGAAGGCTCGCAATTGGGACTATTTCGAGTATCCACCGCTTGATCTGCGCAGTTTGACAAAGTCTGGACCGCGTGGGGTGGCTACGAATCTGAAAGGGAACGGCAGACAGGCGGAGTATGAGCTTTGTCTTTTGCTTGATTTACTTCCCAAGCCTGCTGCTGCGGACGGCGACGACGACAGCGGCATGGATGACGAGAGCAGGTTTATGAGAACTCTGACATATATCCTGCGTGCGGAATGCTGCTTTGATCGGGATAAGCCTGTGATGGCAATGCGGGACGTCGAGTCTGCTACGCTGCTGCTGCTGGCTACTGAGCTTGAATTAGAGCTCACGGCGCATGACTCGGTTCTGCTGTCCCTGCAGCGGGCAGTTTTGGATAATTTACACCCTCTGGGGAGATGCACTGTGGACAATCAAGCAATTGCGCGAGTTTTGATCTCACCAACTTTTATCGCGTCGTTCAAGGGCTTGCTCTTGCACTCGACAGAGGCACTTACTTCAGAGTCCGGCAGCATGAAGTTCTACAGCAATCATCAAAAATCAATCATGGACGAGCGACGCGCGCGGTTGATGACGCGCTGGGGTGGCATGCTGTTCCGGCTCATGGTCTGCGACCCGTTCCCTGCGTCTCAGGTGGAGTATATTCCGTCGTCGTCAACCGAAAAGGAGAGAGCTGCGGTGACGGTACATCTAGCGATCGTCAACGAGATGAACCTGTTCCCGCGGGATCTGATTCCGCCGGGAATGCAGTTGCGAGTGAGCGTTGCGGTTTTGGACGGACAGCGCGAGATGAGGTTGAGCGAGCGATTTTTAGCGCATGAGGTTAAGATCAGTTCTGAATTGTTGGATTTTTATTACCCTGGTTTGTCGTTTAATGGCTTTTATGGCAGTAGTAAAGGTGCCGCGTCCTTCTGTTTGGTGGAAAAGAACGCCGACGGAAGGCAGGAAGACAAGGAAGTAGAGGAGGTGTATCTACAATTCTCGCTTGCGAATATTGATTCTGAGGCGCCTGAATTGCTCGTCGTGCCATTGATTCTTGGGCCTTTCCAGGTCTCAAGCTGTCTAAGTGCGCAGACTGAATCTCAGCAGCTGTCTGCTATGCGGCCGATCTACATCTCAGAGACGGAATTTGTGCCAGTCAAAGAGTCGGTGTCCGATATTCCTGGGAAAGTGTGGGACTCGGCGTTCTTTGTCTCTTCTGCAGTCTACGAGCACTACTGCACTCTTAAACAGCAACAGGACAGAAGACGGCCGATCAGTATCCTCGACCTGTCAACCGGCAACGGCGCGGTCGGATTATCGACACTGACGAGAATACTACGACAGAAAACCAGCACCAAAGACGACGATATCCCGCGTCTGACACTGACCGACCTCGACGAGGCACTGCCGCTGATTCGTGAGAATACAATGGTTGCCGCCGGCTTGAATCCGCAGCAGCGCGAATTTGAGAAATACGTTGATATCAGGGAGTATACATGGGGAGCGAAGAGCGAGGCGCTTGCTTTTGCGCCGTTTGATGTTGTTCTTGCCTGTGATTTGATTTACGAGAATGGTAAGTCTACTCTATATTCTTTGACTTTGCTCTATACTCCACCCGACTAACTATGATCAAAGAATTCTTCGCCGACCTGGTAACCTCCCTCGAACAACTCTGTACACCCGGCCTCACGACGATATTCGTCGGGTACAAGGACCGCGGGCTAACCGCGAACGAAAAAGACGAGATCTTTGGAGTTTTGCAAACAAAGTTCTTGACCGAGCGGGTTACTCTAAAGTCGGTGGTCGCGCCCGGGTTTGGCGCGGTTTCGAATGATGATGTAGGCGTTGAAGTGTGGAAGCTTTGGCGGGTGTAAATAGAATTTTCAATTTCAGCTTTTGTGTCGTCGTTCAATGTACAGTACAAAAAGTAATAGTATAATAGTAAATGCGGGGCTATCTATATAGAGGGCGAGGCGTCTTTGAGAGCGCCTAGGTATTGTAGGGCGTCAGCGATTGTGTCGCGGTCGGTGATTTGATCGGCAGTCATTTCAGCAACGAGTTGATCCCACTCCTCTTTGATTCTGTCGACGAGCGCAGGAAGTTTTGCGACGAGCGCGCGGCTGCGAGCTTCTTTGAAAAGTCTCATGGCTTCGGAGTAGTTTTTCTGCTTTGCTTCGATGACGCCGAGACCGTAGACTGTGAGTGAGTTTGAGACTTCGAGGTCTTCGTAGTCTTCGGGCGTGTAGTCGATGCGCTCTGTAGGCGAGCTGCGGATCTCCTCGATTGAGCGCAGGATGTCCTTGTAGCATTCGCGGGCGGTGTCGAGCAGTTTCAGGCCGCGTGCCTGCTTGGCGGGGTCTTCGGAGGTCGTGCTGAGCTCGTAGGCGATATAGTAGCCGGAGCAGATGTCGACTTCGGTGCGGATAATGCGCGGCAGCGAGAGACCGTACATCTGCATGAGCCGAACGTTCTCCTTTTTGATCTGCAGGCCGATGTTTGGGAGCAGGAGCTCGATGCAGGCGGTAGCGAAGAAGTCACGCGCGAGGAGAAGGGTGTCGTCGACGTCGTCTGTGACGCGCCATTTCTGAAACTTGTCAATTTCTTCTGTTGACGGGAAGAGCGGGAAGGAGTACTGGTCGGGCGACTCGTCGACGGGGGTGACGGATCCGAGGGAATCAAAGTCGAGGATTTCGGCCGAGGTGTCGTCGATGAGTTTTGTTTCGAGGTTCTGGGTCTGCTGTAGATCTTTCAGCCAAGAAACCGCCCGCGTCTGGAGAATGTCGTGGTACTGATCCGGCAGCCAGCCCTGGGTGACGTCGATCCAGAGCGCGGTGTAGTGCAGCATTTCGATTTTGTCGGTGACGGACTCTGCGAGTTCGAGGCCGCGCACACAGACTCGGAGGTAAGTCAGTGTCTGGGCGGCAGGAAGGGAGAACAGCGAGAAAGCAGATCCGCGGCCGGAGATCTCTGTAACGGCCCATTCGGTGCCGAATTGGAGGAGCTGCTTGTAGATGCCAAAGGCCTGCTGCTCGGCGCCCATCAGCTCGAGCATGCTGGCGGCCTTGATCTGCAGACCGGTGTACTCGACGCTGCTTTTGTCCATGCCGAGTTTGTCGGCAACCTCGAGGGCGGCGAGGTAGTAGTCGAGAGCGGTGGCATAGCGGTCGGGGTCAGATTCCTTGCGTTCGGCGTAGAGACCGAGGCGGATCAGGTCGGCTACTTCGGCGGGATAGTTGTGTTTCGGGAACGCGACGTAGCCTATAGCTGCGATTGAAACCACACCGAGCAGGATAAGTTTCCGACGCGTCCAGAACTTGCGCTGTGGCCGCGGAAGGGTCGAGAACGAGGAGCGGAGGAGTGAGGAATGCGGTGGTGGTGGTGGTCGTGAGAAGTCGATGCGCGTGCGGAAGAGAGGAAGATGGCAGCGCCTGGCGCCGAGCGCGAGGGGGCTGGTGCGCGAAGCAGAGGAAGCAGCGGACGAGAGCAGTCTGGGTGATCGCGAGAGCATTGTTTGTCTGAATGTTGGTGTTTTGAGCAGACAACAGTTCTGATGCTGGTCGACATCGAGGAGATGGTTCTGAATTTTCCATCAGTGTTATGTAATGGGGTGCTTATTATTAGTAAGACATTAGGTAATACGAAGATGATGGTTTTTTGCTTCACGCGCTCATTAGACGAGAATGAGTTGGATGCGAACGAGTTGTTTGAGATGAAAGATCGGAGATTTGAAGGAATTGATTGAAGAAGAGGGTGTGTAGAGAGAGTAGAAGAACAGAGGTGGATTGCTCTAGACAGTAAGAGATAGCAGCAGTACTATCAATAACTACAACAGCTACAGAACAGCTTGACAATAAACAACAACAACAACAACAACTAGTTATAACAACTACAACTACAGCAACTATAAGAATCACAACAACAACATCAACACAAAAGGAAAGTTGATCCCGAGCACGGATCAGATAACAGGAATTGAGCCCAAACCCATATCAGTCAAATTGGCTCTGGCCAGTCCTCCCACCACAACAGACGCACGTGCAACGGGCTGCGCACGACTTCTTCTTCTTTCTGGCTTAAATATCGCCAGTGTCAAGCAGCTGCTGTGAAGACCTGTTGAGTAGACGCACTGAGCTCATCCGAAGAAGAATACAGGACCATGGCGGACACGACGAAGCTCAAAAACTACGGCAACCCGTCGACCACAACATCCTCGAGTCCTGCGTCGCGAGTCCGCTCAGGCGAGCGGTCGCGGTCGACCTCGCCGTTCGCGCGGATGGCAGACGCTCCCGGACGAAGCAGACAGGGCGCGGCAAACATATACTCTGACAATCCGCGGCGGGTGCACACCGCGCTGTCCGGGTTCGCGGGCATCGACAACTCTCTGCGCGAGTCGGCGGATGACGAGGACGATGTTTTGGTGCGGCCGCGCGTGCAGCGCCGGTTTAATCGCAGACTGTGTTTTTATGCGCTTGGAATAGCTGCGCTTGTGCCGATGCTGTACTTCTTTTTGGTGTACGCGCCCACGCGACACTCGACGGCGTACGTCATCACACCGACGGTGAAGGTGGCCGACTACCCAGCCGAGCTGGTGCCGCAGTCTGCGGACGACGGCAGGCTGGTGTTTGTGGGGGATATCCACGGATGCAATGTTGAGTTTGCAGAGCTGATGAAGGAGGTTGGGTTTGACAAGAAGAAGGACAAGCTCGTGCTGCTGGGAGATTTCATTTCAAAGGGTCCAGACTCGATCGCTGTGATGGAGCTTGCGATGGAGCTCGGGGCGAAATGTGTGAGGGGAAACCATGAGAATACGCTGCTGAGACGGTATGCGAAGAAGCATAATCAGAGATTCGACAATGATGTGCGCGATCGGCTGGCGGATGGCAGCAAGAGTGGCGGGCTCGAGCATTTCGACGACGACGACGACGATGATGATGAGGAGGTTAGCATTGACAGTGAGGTTAAGATGATGGAGAAGAGAGGAGGGATAAGGAGGGAGGTGAAGTCTGGAAGGCTTGCGATGCAGCACCAGATTATAATGTCACAGCAGCAGGATGCAGAGGATGACGAGGTGGAGGCTGGGGATTACGATGGAGAGGAGGAAGGGTTTGTGCATGTGTTTGCGGACGAGAAGAAGATTATTCGAAAGGCCACGGATGCGCAGGTCGAGTTCATTGACTCGTGTCCGCTGATTCTACGATTTCCAGAGAAGATCTTTGGCGAGGATCACGGCGAGGTTTCGGCTACGCATGCAGGGCTGATGTGGAACGAGCCTACGCTGGAGGGCCAGGACCCCGCGGTGCTGCTATACATCCGCACGATTCTTCCCCCAGACAACTCAACGGCGTCGCCTACGCGGGATGGCATTCTGTGGAAGGAGGTGTGGAATGACTACCAAGAGACGCTGCCGGCATCGCAGCGACGGACGGTGCTGTACGGGCATGACGCGAAGACGGGGTTGGCGATCAAGGAGTACTCGAAGGGGCTGGATAGTCGATGCTACAAGGGAGATTTCCTGACGGCGCTGGTTGCGCGCGTGGGGTCGGACGGCGAGTGGACGCATGATATTGTGAGCGTGAAGTGCCAGGTGCATGACCCGAAGCTGCCGGGGTATGTTGATGGGAGGTGGTAGAGAGTAGTAGTAATACGATTGAGAGTGATTACATAAGACACAGTGACATAAGCAAATACTAATCCGCGTTAAGTGGGAGCCAATCAGCGCCGACGTCGGGTAGCCACAGCAGTGAGACAGATGTGCCACAACAGTCGCGCAACAGGATCGGTTATCAGCCAATCGGAAGCCGGGTGATTACACGCAGACGGCAAAGACTCGGCGGGGAAGCGCAGTCCTCAAAAGGGCTCTCGTTCGCCTTTCCCTTCGCCGTCGACGACTTCCACTCCTGCATCTTCCTCTTCCGCTTCTCTCCATCCTTCCTTCCTCTCATCGACATCATCGCAATGATGAACACATACAAGCAGCCTTTGCGGGCACTGTTCCGCACCAACAACAGCCTGGCGAGCACGATGTTTGCGCGCACGCTGGCGACCGCGACCTCAGAGCCGGCGGCTCCGGAGAAGGCGCCCCGCATCAAGGAGTTCCAGATCTACAGATGGAACCCGGACGACCCGAGCTCGAAGCCTCATATGCAGACGTACTCTGTTGATTTGAACGCGTGCGGGCCGATGATGTTGGACGCGCTGCTGAAGATCAAGAACGAGCAGGACTCGACGTTGACGCTGCGTCGGTCGTGCCGCGAGGGAATCTGCGGGTCGTGTGCGATGAACATCAACGGAACCAACACGCTCGCGTGTCTGTGCCGGATCAACACCGACACCGCGCAGACGACGAAGGTGTACCCGCTCCCGCACATGTTTGTGATTAAGGATCTTGTTCCGGACTTGACGCAGTTCTACAAGCAGTACAAGTCGATAAAGCCGTATCTGCAGCGCACGGACTACCCGGAGGACGGCCGCGAGACGCTGCAGTCGATTGCGGACCGCAAGAAGCTGGACGGACTGTACGAGTGCATTCTGTGTGCGTGCTGCTCGACCTCGTGCCCGTCGTACTGGTGGAACCAGTCTGAGTACCTGGGGCCTGCTATTTTGTTGCAGACGTACCGCTGGCTGGCGGACAGCCGCGACCATGCTACGGCGGAGCGCAAGCTTGCGTTGCAGAACTCGATGTCGCTTTACCGTTGCCACACGATTATGAACTGTTCGAAGACGTGCCCGAAGGGATTGAACCCTGGACTTGCGATTGCGCGTATTAAGAAGAGCATGGCTTTGTAGAGTAGAGAGAGAGTTGAGATGAGATGAGATGAGATGAGTTGAGTTGCGTTGAGACAAAGTGGAGGTTGTCATAATCATAGGCGTTTGTGTTTTTGTATGTAACAGGTCATGAAGAATATACAGTTCATATCATACAGAGAGTAGAGAGTAGAGTAGGGTAGACGATAATGGACCGGGGACGGTTCGGGCGGTGAGGTTTTGCGGGGAAGGAGACAGAGAGATGTATGTCTGTCTGTTGTGCTGCAGTTGTTGTAGTTGTTGTGGTCTCTGTATGTCTCTGTGTATGTCTATGTCTGATGATAGAAGAATACAAGAATACAGATAAGACGACTATAAAAGATGATAATCAAAGAAGGAAACAAGTGTCGGCGAATGAGTGCGGAGATGAGTGTGGGTTGTAAGTGTCTTTGTCTTCCGTCTGATCCTACTTCACTGAATAGTCAGCTACTCAATGCAGAGAGTAGTGAATGATGTGTATAATGCGAATACAACTACAACACCGAAATCACCATCACGAAGACCAATTGCCCAATCAACTATCTTTCAATTCAATGCCCTGATTTGCCGTCGGCGCGGTGAAGTCGGCAGTCATCCGTCGTGCGGCGGTGAAGCATCGGAAAGTTGATCACCGCCGATCGGACTCCGGCGGAGGAGGAGGAGAGAAGGAAGAAAGAGGGAAGAAGGGGAGGAATAAAAGAAGGAGGAGGAGGAGGAGAAGAGAATAGTAATAGTAGAATAATAGTCAATTAAAACAATAACACAATCAACAACACAATCAACATCACAATAACACAGTTACTCAGCAGTCAGGTGACATTACATAAGCAAACTCCCCGCCCGGAAGCCGTCCGCTTCGAGTGTTTGGCAGCGGCAGGATTTCGTGCAAAATCTATTTAACACCTCCGCCTCCCGCCCCGCCTCTCTCGAAATGGCTTCCCGCTCATACTCTGCCCTGCGTACTGCTTCTTCTTTCCTCTCTTCTGCTTCTTCTAAAAGACCTTCTGCCCAAAGATCTGCTGCGAGAATGGCTGCCGGACGTGAGTCTTCTCCTGCTCTCTTTTCCTGTTTTTTCTGCTCTTTTTTCCGACTCTTTTTGCCCGACTTTTCTACTCCTCCTCTCTTCCCCATCCCTCTAACACTCCCCCTTCTCAATCAACAGTATCTACCAAAATCAAAGTCAAGAACCCCATCGTCGAGCTCGACGGCGACGAGCAGACCCGAATCATCTGGCAATTCATCAAGGACAAGGTGTGTACCCTCTCTTACCCCACTCATCCACCTCATCCCGCACCATCCCATCCCTCCCTCTCATCCTTACTTTCTTACTAACAACCCAGCTCATCCTCCCCTACCTCGACATCGACCTCAAGTACTATGACCTAGGCATCGAGTACCGCGACAAGACCGACGACAAGGTCACCACCGACGCCGCCGAGGCCATCCTCAAGTACTCCGTCGGCGTCAAGTGCGCGACCATCACCCCCGACGAGGCCCGCGTCGAGGAATTCGGCCTCAAGAAGATGTGGCTCTCCCCCAACGGCACCATCCGCAACATCCTCGGCGGCACCGTCTTCCGCGAGCCCATCGTCATCCCCGCCATCCCCCGTCTCGTCCCCGGCTGGTCGGAGCCCATCATCATCGGCCGCCACGCCCACGGTGACCAGTACAAGGCCACCGACGTCGTCCTCCCCGGCGCCGGCAAGCTCGAGCTCACCTTCACCCCCGCCGACGGCTCCGCCCCCACCTCCACCACCGTCTTTGACTTCAAGGGCCCCGGCATCGGCCTCGCCATGTACAACACCGACGACTCCATCCGCGGCTTTGCCTACGCTTCCTTCGCCCTCGCTCTCCAGAAGAACTACCCGCTCTATATGTCCACCAAGAACACCATCCTCAAGCGCTACGACGGCCGCTTCAAGGACATCTTCCAGGAGATCTACGACGCTGAGTTCAAGGACAAGTTCGAGGCCCAGGGCATCTGGTACGAGCACCGTCTCATCGACGACATGGTCGCCCAGATGATCAAGTCCAAGGGTGGCTTCATCATCGCCATGAAGAACTACGACGGTGATGTCCAGTCCGACATCGTCGCCCAGGGCTTCGGCTCCCTCGGTCTCATGACCTCCGTCCTCGTCACCCCCGACGGAAAGACCTTCGAGTCCGAGGCCGCCCACGGCACCGTCACCCGCCACTACAGAGAGCACCAGAAGGGCCGCGAGACCTCCACCAACTCCATCGCCTCCATCTTTGCCTGGACCCGCGGTATCGAGCAGCGTGGAAAGCTCGACGAGACCCCCGATGTCATTGAGTTTGCCAAGCTTCTCGAGGCTGCCACCATCGACACCGTCAACGTCGACGGCATCATGACCAAGGATCTTGCTCTTGCTCAGGGCAAGAAGGAGCGCTCCGCCTATGTCACCACTGAGGAGTACATCGACGCCGTCGCTGCCCGTCTCCAGAAGGCTTACGAGGAGAAGGCCAAGATCTAAATGCCCGTTTTTTTTTGTTTAAAACATCTTGATGCATGTCACAATATCTAAATATACAATAATATAACAATTACTACCTTTACCTCATCCTTACTTCATCCTTACTTCATCCTTACTTCATCCTTAACTTCATCCTTAGCTACATATTGAATCTGATTCTGTAAACTAGAACTTGCCGCGCAACATATTCTCAATCATCGCCTTGGCCGTAAAGTAAATGGTACGTCCGAGCGTCTTAAAATCCAGCGTCGAGAAGAATGTGTCGGCGAACCCGAACGGAAGCATTCCCGGGATCCAGCCTGTAATCAATCTTGTTAGTAGCACTACATTAAATAACATCCACTCATCAATTGCATACCTTGCGCGAGCTCGAGTGCCCATGTTGTAGATGGCATCGAGTACTGCTTCATCTGGCCGCGCTTAAGCCAGTGCATATCACCAGGCCGGTAGATCTACAAAACAGTCAGACAGCTACCCTCATACACTCACAGAACAGAACCCACCTCTGGCTTCGGGTCTCCGAGCTTATGTGCCCATTGCTCGCCCTCAAGAATGTAAAAGTAGTCGTTGCTGGGGTGAAGACCGGTATGGCCCTCTGTTCCGATAGCTGTCCCGAAAAAGATCAAGTACTCGGAAATCGACGCGTGTTGAATAAACATCGAGCCCTTTACTTCAGTTAGAGTATTGCTTCAACTGCGATTGAGAAAAAATACTCACCATGGCGTTTCCCGCGTTGTTAAACATCCAGTCGTCGGTGTTGAACTCGTTCACCTTGTCGCCATACACCTCGCGAAGACGACGGTTGATCTCGACAAACAGCGCCGTGGTGTTGTCTTTCGGCGCAATTGCCAGCGAGTCCTAAAACCCAGTCAGCTTCATTTCTTTCTTCTTGGAGTACGAAGGAGGGAGATACATTGACAATCTGCTGGAGAACCTCGGTGTCAAAGATGAACAGCGTCGGCAGGACGTACGTGTCGAGGTAATAGTACACCGGCAGCAGCACCGCGATGATAACCGACAGCTTGAACCAATTCATTTTGTTTCTCTTCAAGTCTATTATCGCAAGTTCTATAAACTGTGTAATGGCGAAGGAGGAGGAAACCGTTTGTTTATATTTCTATTTCGTTGGGGACCCGAACGCGAAGTAAAATAATCTTATTCACCGAGCGTCGTGTTCGTCTTCGTGTTCGTTCGACTACTCCGCCATCACCAACTATCATATCAGCTACAACCTCTTATTATCATCTCATTAGGCTCTCCTATCATGTTCGGTCTCGGAGCGAGTTGTAGTGCTCGCCCAGCCCGTAACTGTGCTTGTAAAACGCGACCCACAACTCCGCCTTCTTGCCATCCTCATTCATCCGCATCCGCGCCCGCCCGCTCATCACCACGTTCACCGGACAATCAAACTCCCTCGCAATCGCAAGAATCTCCATATCCCCGCCCCAGATCGCCGTCGACTCGAGCTCCGCGCAGTACGGCTCCAGCTCCCGCATCGTCAGCGTCGCCTCGTCAAACATGAACGGCGTGAACGTGTCCGGATCGGTCCGCATGTGGTCCGCCGCCCGCTTGCGCAGTTCGCTGATCGTTGTCTTGATCTTGTGGCGCTGCGCGAGTTGGTCGGCCAGCGACGCAAACAGACAGTGTCCGTCGGGTGTAATCTATGATCTGTTAGTCTTCCCATATACTAAGTCTGCCCATCTACTAAGCCTCCACCTCTCGGCTCGCGACTCGTCTCCTACTCGACTCGGGAGTATGCCATACAAGCAAATAAGAAGCAAATAAGAAGCAAAAAAGGAGAAACAAAAAACACCTACATCGTACTCAACCAAACCCAACTTCTCAGTCAACGCCCTCACATTCTCCATCTCGATCTTTCGCAAATCAGGCGTCTGCGCAGCCTCCGCCGCCGCTGCTGCCGAGAGCTCTTCCTGCGCCGCTTTCCTCCTCGCAAGCCTGTCCTTCTGCCTATTCTTTTTCGACTTTGACCGACCCGACTCGCTTTCGTCTGTTACCGATGATGCTGCTGTGCTGTCCTCTGCAGGCGTGGTCTTGATCGCGAGCGACAGCTGCGCGAGCAACTGATCTGTCGACACCTCCTCCTCCTCTTCCTCCTCTTCTTCCTCCGCCTCTTTCTCTACCGGCTCCTCCGCGCCCTCCCCGCCCTCCTCAAAAGCCTGCACCTCAGCAAAATGCCGCGCCGCAAGATCTCGCTCCATCTGCTCGCATTTCGCAAGCACCTCTTTCTTCTTGCGCTTCTCGCCCTTTGTCGCTGATTTCTTCAAACTCGTCACCGTCGCTACTAGCTCGCGCTGCTCTTTTCTGTGCCGCGCTTGTAGCTCTTCGTATGTTTCTTTCGCCATTGCCGCTTCTTCTTTATGCTGTATCTGCTTCTTCTGTGGGGGAAGACGTGATCGCAGTGACAAAGAGACGGACTGACGTGGGAGTGAAACTCGAGGAACCAGAAAAAATCAATTAAAGTTTAAAGGTTCTGATTGACTATTATTTACTAGAAACTACCTATTATTATACAGCAACAACTTCATATTCCTCCTAACCACTCAAAGTAGACGCAAACACCCTCTGCGCAAGTTCTGCCAGGATCTTGGCCCGGTCAGACTGCGGCATCTCCTGGAAAGCCGCGTAGACAGACTTGCCCTTCTGGTCTCTGATACTCCCCAGCTTTGCGCCGATCGCCATGCCGGCCAACGCGCCTGGCATATTCGCAATCGTAAATCCAACCACCGTGCCGGCTGCGCCAGTGACTATCGTGTAGAACTTTGAGCGCCGCGAGGATGACGGGGGCGGCGCAGAGAAAGACGAGGACGAATCCTCACTCTCGTCTCCGGGCGTCTTCATCCCCGCGTCTCTAAACATCTCCTCAAACGCACCCATAAAGTCCTCCTGGTACTTGCGCTGTCGCTCCTCGTCGCTTGAAAAGTACTTGCTCTCGTCGCTGTACGGGTTCTGCGACCGGTACTCCGCATCGTACTCGCGCCGCCGCGTCTCGTCGCTCAGGATGAAGTATGCGTCCGACACCTTCTGGAACCGCGCCGTTGCCTCTGCCGAGCCTCCGAACCGGTCTGGATGAGTTGCCAATGCGGCCCTAGATGAAGACAGCAGGTTAGCTTTCGGTCGTAGTTGGAGAGGAAAGTAGTCTAGTCACACGTACTTTTTGTAGGCATCTCTGATCTGCGCCTGCGAGGCGTCAGGACTGCAGCCCAAGGTCTTGTAGTGATCCGGCAGCATCTCTCTTCTGTTGATCTATGTTCTGTCTTGTTGACTGTCGGGTTGACTGTTGACTGCTCGTTAACAGTCAGCCGGCGGATCAAAGCAGAGTTGGATCAGCGATGGAGGCGATTAAATAGAAAGTGACCCGACAATCAACCCGCGCCACACCCGCCGCAGGACAGCTGTTGGGATTTGAACTCTCGTGACGTCATTGATTATGTCACTGCTGAGTACGACCTCTGATAGAAGCACGACTACGCGACCACACTGTATCTATATCTTCAGAACCACCCGCTTCTCAACAGGTCAGCAGAGAGATGCAAGCAGGAGCTGCGAGCCGGCGGCGACTGACGGTTGCCTGTCTGCAATTGAACACACACCATGGAACAGACGTGCTCGCGAGCATGACCCGCGCCGACGCGCTGTTGTCAGCCTTTATGGCCAGCAAGAAAGGCAGGAGTTTAGCTGCTGCTACGACACCGGCGATAGTGGTGCTTCCTGAGCTCGCATTTACAGGCTACGCGTTTCCTTCTCCTGCTGCAATTGCACCATATCTCGAACCAACCGCAGACGGACGCACGACGCGATGGGCGCAGGACACAGCGCGCAGGATCGGGTGCCATGTCGTGGTCGGCTATCCCGAGCGCGCAAACGAAAAGGTGTATAATTCAGCAGTCATCGTGTCGCCGGCTGGAATGGTGCTGCATAATTATCGCAAGCACTTTCTTTACGAGGCGGATGAAAAGTGGGGTGCCTCGCCTGGACCAGACGGGTTTCTGAGTTTTGATCTCACATTGTCTAAAACTCCAGCTGCAGCGACAGATCCCCTAGAGTTCACGGTACGCGTGGCGGTAGGCATCTGTATGGATCTCAATCCAGAGAAATTCGAGGCGCCGTTCCGCAAGTATGAGTTTGCAAACTTTTGCGTCTCCGAAAAGGCAGAGTTGATTCTTGCGCCGATGGCATGGCTGTCGTCATCCAGCGGCGAGGAGAAGAAAGATGAGAGTCCGCAGGTCGGACGGCGGCCTGAGTGGTCTACGCTGCAGTACTGGGCTACCAGGCTGACGCCAGTCTCATTACAATTCTCACAGCAACAACAACAACAGCATGGGGAGGTAAATACGTCTGTGGAAAACAAAGAGGAAAAGACAAAAATTGCGTTCGTGGCAGCAAATCGGTGCGGAGTCGAGGACAACAAGACAGTGTACGCCGGATCGTCCTGTGCGTTGACGTTTGACGACTCGGGCAAGGTTCGGTTAGTTGACGCGCTCGCGCGGGATGAGGAGGGAGTGATTTCATTCGACATTGAATTAGATTGAATACATATACAAGAAAGAAGAGACAAGAAATATCATTATTCTCTTGCTGGCTTATCGGAAACGAGCCAGTTGTCGTAGTAATACCGCAGCTCGGCGATACTCTCGAGGATATCGTCGCGCGCGGTGTGGGAGTATTTCTTTTTCGGCGCGTTTGCTTTCAGCGTTGGGTTGCGTCGCGCAGCAAGCTCTTTGATTGTAGAGACGTCGATTATCCGGTAGTGCAGATAGTCAATCAGCTGTAGGTAAATGTTAGATATAGTTTATACTGTGATAAATAAATGGAGAACGTACCTCAGGCATCTCGCGTCGCAGAAACTCCTTATCAGCATGCACAGAATTCCCCGCCAGAATACCAGTCTTTGGCTCCCTAACAGCACACGTATTCTTCAGGTAATCAAGCAGCTTGAGCTCCACATCGCGCGTCGTGTTCGTGGACGCGAGCACTTTTGCCGTGAGCCCAGACTGGCCGTGGTGGGTTACGCACCACTCGTCCATGCCGTCGAGGATCTCTTTCGGGCACGAGATAACTTCCTCAAATCCCACTGGCTCGAATACGTTGAGGTCATCGTCTGTCACGAAGCAGGAAATTTCTATGATGCGATCTTTGTAGACGTTGAGACCGGTCATCTGTATCGAAGAGTGAGCGCGGTTGCCTCGTGAAGGCTGGAGATCAAGAGATTGAGCTTACCTCGCAGTCGATCCAGACCATGGGTCCGTCGAATGTCGCCATATTTGCTGTAGTATAGGCTCTATTTATCAGATTATTCTTCCAGAGAGATGCGGACAGGGCTAATCGACCTGGTAAACGAAACATAGAGATATTGATCTGTTTATTCCTGAGATCAACTTACCTCCCAATTGCTGATTTTTCTGGTCGGAGCAGCCCTTATCTTCAGCTGAACTCCTCTTCAGCAGCTGATCAGCAAGGAGACCAGGTTCTATGTAGCTTCTAATTCTGTTTCTGTGTGAAGAGTTGTGAGTGTCTGTTTACAGTGTCTGTGAATCATTATTGCTGTTTGCGCGGTGTAGCAGCACCTCTGCGTCGGATCCGCTAGAATCATATGTGCAAGCTACAACACTGATCTAGGAAGAGATCCATTACTTTGAGACAAAAGATTATTCTTTTACTGGTGCTTGCTGGTTTACTGAAATAGAGGACGTGTGCGGCCTTGTGCTTTGATATGCGTCTATGAGAATGACTCTACTCTTCCGAGCTGTTCTGAGCTCTTGTCATCTGGCTTTGAGATATAGTGAGATCAGTTTATTCCAATATTAGCTAGCATGGGTATAGTCCATGTCTTGTCCATAGCGATTATGTTTCTGTCCAAAAGTCATTGTATCCGTTCGCCCTCCACTTGGCAGCAGAGGTGACGTCTACCTATTAAGTACAGTGTTGAGGTACCTCATATAGCCTAGACTAGCAGTATCAGCATCTATAAAGCAAACTCAACTCGAAGAATCCGTTGCTCTTACAGTCATAGCATTTGCCTGCGGAGTAAACCCTGAGCCGGCGCTTGCAGTCCGGGCACGGCTTGTAGATGATGGGGATTGGCTTTATCGGCATGCTTGCAGTAGTCGCAGATAGGAACGAATGCTGATGATAGAAGCAGTAGACGATAGTTGCAAGATATAAACTGCTTTTGAGATGTAGAAGAGCCTCAAAACAAAACAATTACTCATTTTTCCATTGTTTAAACCATTATTCTTATAAATTGCTGATAATCGTACAACAAACACACAGATCCGCCTCTCTTCTCTCTGCTCTTACTAGTCCTGCACACTGCCATCCCGCGGACGGTACTTGACTCCTTGTGCATCCAGAGAGCTGATAATCTCTTCCGGCAACCGTCCGCTGACTTTGACGGCGTAGAGTCCCGGCTGGAATCCGTCTACTCGCAGCCACCGCGCGACCTGTTCTCTGTTAGTCCACGTTTATTGTAGTATCGATAAACGGCACTTACCCATGACTTTTCTGGATCAGAAACAGCTACCATGCCTTCGAATGCTATATATTGTATTAAATCCCAGGTTAGCAAGACTGTTCTCGTTGGGAGTATCGTATGTGTAAACGCGCGGGTGTTCTCATACAGGGACTCGTGCAGGCGTGCACGTTCTCTTCTGAATTCTGCAGACTCAGTAAAGAGTCGCAGTTGGGGCATCCTTGTTCAATAAATGTCTTAATAAAAGAGAAAAAGCGTTAGTGAAAACAAATTCTGATAATCATGTGTTGTTGGTGAAAGTAGATCACCAGAAGGCCGAAGCAAGAGAAACGTACGTTATATGTCCTCACGATCCCGCACACCATGCATGCTCGCTCTGATCTGCTCGACATCTTGTTGATTGTATATGCAGAGTTCGGTAAGAGTGTTTAGATCCCTTTGGCTGCCTTTGCGAAGAGCTGGATGAGCTGCGGATGATCAGAGGCGGAGTGAGGAGAGAACATTTATCTACAACTGAACTGGTGACCGTGCGGCTGGGGCATCTTCTCTGCTTTCATGTCTCACAACAACCAATTCTTTTCAACAATGTATTCTTTCAAACCTATCTTTTATGATTATCGAGCTGATTCGGGGTTTAGTACTATACATTGTTGGTATTTCTAACTAGTACCAATAATAAAACAATTCAGAACAAGAAACACAGATAATATTAAGCAGATAGAAAGCACATCTCAAACTCCAGTCCGCAATTCCACACAATCACAACTCGCTCGAAACTTGCCAACAAAACAACATTAATACAACAAGGGAATGTAAAAATACACAAGAGCTTCAATAGAACTCTCTCAGATTAGTTCTCATCAACCTTTTGCTTGATACCAGCGCTTGCGCAGGTCTTCTTCCAAACATCGGCCTCTCTCCATGCCCGGTCGACCTCTGCCTTGAGTTTCTCGTTCGAGGCCGACAGCTCAGCAATGGCCTGCTCGGTCAGCAACTTCTCGAGCGTCCACTTCTCTATATTCGCAGCCTCGCTCTCCTTCAGCTGTATGATATACTGGCACGCCCGCTGAAGGATCGAGCCCTTGTTTTTCTCGCAGTTGGGCACAAGCTTGGCAAGCTCCGTGATTCCCTCGTTGATGGTCTCACGGCGTCGACGCTCGACTTCCTTGTGGTTGTCGCGTCGCTGTCGCTGCCACTCCTCGCTACCAACCGGCGGCTTGGCGGCCGACGACGAGCCAGAGGTCGACGACGGAGGCTGGCCCATGCTGTCGATGGAGTCGTGCGCAGCAGCAGCGGCAGCAGCAGCAGCGGCCGACATATGCACAGACATTTGCTGCAGTGCAGAGTGCTCGGTGTGCTGCTGGCGCGGCATGTGAGGCTGCGCCTGGACTGTCGACGCGGAGGTCGACGTCGGCATGGCGACGACGCCCTGGTTACTGGCCGAGATCGAACGCGCGACGTTGATCATCGGGTCCAGAGGCACGTCGTTGTTGTTAATGCTGTTGCCGTTATCACCACCGCTGCTAGCAGACGCGTTTGAGTTATTTGGTCCATTATTCTGTCGCTTGTTAGGATCCTCGGACCCGTCTTCGTGTTTCCGCTTCGCCAGAGTCGGGCTCGGCTGCTGGCCGTTTGCGATTGCTGTCGACATTGTATTATGTGTCCTTTGTTGCTTGGTATGCGACTCGGCAGGTGGATATCTAAAGAACGCCGTTGAATCAGCGGCCTGTCCGCGTTCACGAAGAAGGTCCCAAAGGACGCGATGGGGTCCGGGGCAGTTGCGCGGTCATGTGCCAGGGGAACTTTATAAACAAAAGCCCAAACACCAGCACAACAAACAAAGCGCAAAAGCACCGGACGCGGGCCAGAGACCAAATATCAGAGCAAGTAGACAAAACAAACATACCTTCGACTATCTGAATCAGCGCAAAGTAGGCGTAAAAAAGCAGCGTATCCTCGAGCGTAGGCGGACGGTTGCTGACTGAGGACGTGGGCGAGCCAGATCACGGGAAGCTGCCCAGCGCTGGCGTTTTATGAATCGCCGCCCGCAGCTGCGCCGCGCCGCTGTTGTGGCACAACCCTCGCACTGCTGTCGCACTTGCTGCTCACGCCTCTGTGCAGCCGCTCCCATTGGCTAGTCGGCGTCATGTGAGAAGCACGTGAGAGGCGATCATGTGATAACGCGCGCACCGCAGTCAGAAACCCTCTGCCCTGCGCCCGTTTCCGAATTTGCTGTTTGAGCTCCAGCACAACCAACACCTCCTTCACCACCGACCATGGAGGGAATTGAACCGAATCGCGGCGTCGCATCTGCGCCAGTAAACAACACTGCTGAGAGCTACTCTTTGTTCCAGGAGCAGCCGCAATGGACGGAGAGTCTCATCCGATCGTTCGAGCTCGCAGCTGGCCCGCCCCAGCAGGAGGCCGAGAATATCCCCATGTACCGCCAGTACTTCACCTACGAACAGCGCTCGAAATGGATGAAAGACCTCCTACGCCTCTTCGAGCTCTCACCCTATCGCTACAGTGTGGACCAGCGCAAGATCGCAAAGGCGTTGTCCTGCATGGAGCCCTCCTTCAACACTCGCTGGGAGCAGCACTTGAAGCGCCGGAAAGAGCAAAATCTGCCTGTGGACGAAAACTCCTGGCCCTCGTTCTACGAATGGGTTGTCTCGCTCATGCCTGAATCTGGAGATGTTTACCAGGCAACCTTTGACCGCTGGCTGGCTGCCAGTCAGGATGGCCGCTCACCAGTCGAGCTCGCTTTCTACATTGCGTCTTTGGAAGACAGACTTGGTGAATTACCCGAATACTTCAGGTCCGCCGCCTTCATCCGAGCCATCGATCCTAAGCTGAGGATGAAGCTCGCGACTAACGGCTTGTTCTGTGACACCCCTCGCGACATATTGGTCGAGCGCGCTCAAGGGATCTGGGAAGCCCAGCAAATTGAATCCTATGCTAAGCCCAACATTCCCAAGTTTTCAACTCCTCCTGTGGACAAAGAAGAAGAGACGTCCAAAGCCGATCCATCTTTAAGCAACACGCAAGACAACACTCGGGTTGCTGCTGAGATACCACCACCTGCAGAGATCAAAAAAGAGATCAAGTGTCCGACTTGTGACAAGACTGGGCATCAACCTGCTGACTGCCCTCAACTTCCATCAAAGGCGCCACCAGCACAACCGGCTCAACCTCCACCAAAGGCACCACCAGCGAAACCGACTGAACTTCCATCGAAGGCACCACCAGCAAAACCGACTCCCAACAACAACACTGCGGGTGCTCAAAAGAAGTCATCTCCAGCAAAGACAGAAGTACCTCCAGTGAAGACAGAAGCACCTTCAGCAAAGACAGAAGTGGTAGTGAAGTGCTCTTCCTGTAGCCAGGAGGGACACAACACTCTCAACTGCCCTCAATCTTTGTGTTCGCTTTGTGACAAAACAGGACATGTCACTTCCAGATGCCCCACCCGTCTATCAAAGTCAGTGTCACGCAAACCTTCCAACAACACACAGGGTATTACTGGGGATGCCAAAAAGGTTTTGCCTCCTGCTCCTGCAAAGGCCACACCTATGCCTGCTGCAAAGGCCACACCTCCACCTCTTGTCAAGGCCACACCTCCACCTCTTGTCAAGGCCACACCTGCAGCTCCTGCAAAAGCCACCCCTACATCCCCTGTCAAGGCCACGCCTCTGCCTCCTGTGAAGGCAACTATTAAAGGGCCATCCTGCTCTTACTGTACACAAAAGGGAGGTGATGATTCTGTTCGCAATGCTGGTCCATCAAATGCTCTAAAAAAGGGCCCGGCTACCAGAAACAAGCAGGTCAATTCTGGGGTGCCCAACAAAAAACCTCCTCCCACAGCATCATTGCCTGCAAAGCCAACTTCTACAACAGCATCTCCTGCAGCACAGAAAGTGGAGATACAGTGTTCCTCTTGTGGCCAGAAAGGACATGAACCATCCAACTGTCCTACACAATCATCAAAGGCATTACCCAATGGACAATCTTCCAGTGTCAAGCAAGTCAATGCTGAGGACTCTAGCAAGACTTCTAATCCTGCAGAACCACCATCCACAAAGCCACCCCCTGCAAAGACTTCTCTTGCAGAGGCACCCCCTGCTCAGTCTCATAGGAAAAATGGCTTATTCACAGAGCCTGCTCCCACAATGACTGCTCCTACGCAAGTTCCTTCCACAACATCTCCTCCCACTCAGCCTTCTTCTGCAAAGGCTCCTCTCACTCAGCCTGCTTCTGCAAAGGCTTCTGCTATCCAGGCTTCTTCCACAGCAGCTCCCACCACACAGCCTTCTTCAATGGCGGCCCCGTCCACACAGCCAAAAGCACAGGTGCAATGTTCTACTTGCAACCAAAAGGGACATGAAGCATCGAACTGCCCTGCATCAAAGATGGCAACACATGGACCAGCTCAAAATGCCAAACTGGACAACAACCAGAATACCAACAGTGGTCCCCTTCCTGCAAAGGCCAGTCTGAAGTGCACAGCTTGTGGCCAGGATGGACACCTTGCTGCAAACTGCCTCAAAAGTCGATTGGAAACTCCAGGAAAGGGGCCACCACCAGGTGGCTTCAAGACCAACTACAAAAATGTGATATGTTACATCTGTAACAAAAAAGGGCATAATGGCAACAGGTGTCGATACCGTTCATCAGCAGGGTATGATAATATTCCGTATGATTCTGATCGATCATTTCAGTCAAGAAGATGGCCAGAAGATGGATGGGAGAACAATTCAGATTCTAGTGAGGACCCACGTCACTATAGACCAAGAGATGTTGCCAGGTGTGCTGCATGTGGCCAGGAAGATCACCATGAATCTCAGTGTCTCAAGAGTCGGTTTGATACCTCAGCAAATAAGCCAAAGCCAAATGGCAGGCAGAATCACCCTGAGGGTCCCAACAAGGAGCCTAAGAAAGAATGGTGTTCCACATGTCTCCAACAGGGACACACTGCCTCCCATTGTCTCAAACGTCGATTGGAAATGTCAGAGACAAAATCATCCAATCACAAAGGCAGATGGGACAACCCTCACCCGAAGAAGAAGTTGCGTCAAAACAATGATGAAAACGATCTTCAGAAAGCAATTGATTCACGACCAGGAGAATCATTGCGCTCTCGGATGTCCTAATAGCTTTGTTTAGGTATCAGTGCATAGGCTCCATCTGGAACAAAGTATGGGCACCTTCAATTCCTCAGCTCTTCTATCTCTATTGGTCCAGATCCTGTCAATCTCTGCAAGCTCTCTTTAGGAGTATTTTCAAAGCCACTTCGATATGGTTGATATATCTTTTCGCTGAGCCAATCAGTATAATGAGGATTTTTGAGTCAATTGGCTCCATTATTGGCAGTATATTTGGATATTTTTGGTTAGGGAAGCCACCTACTGGTGGTTTATAGGTCATGATAGGCATTTTCCTGTTAAGGGCATCTCCACTTGCTCTTACACTAAGGGTCTGTGAGTTCAGTTGAGTTCTACCAAGATGGATTGGAAGAGGTATGATCCACAGACTCGAGGTGAAAAGGAGTACCTATCCTGCCTGAGTCTCATCAGCACTTCTGCCTTTTGCAAAGCTTCAGCACTTCTTTCAAAGGCCTGCCAGACAGTTTTGGTGTTACTCATCTTGGTAGTATCCCAGCTTGAGCTTTGTGTATCAGACTCCAGCATGTTGATGGTCTGAAGAAGGAAAGGGACAGGAAAGAAAAGTTGGATTAAATTTGGTATCCACCTATCCCATATGGCAAGTCCAGGAGACTGCGCAGATTGGATTGTGATTTTGGATGGATAGTTCAGCAGCTACTTCCTAATAAGGGTCAAAGGCCCTTGTTAGGTAGTAATGAGGTGGACAGAAAGGACAAGAGTGATTTTGGATATTGTTTGTGTTGAGGATGGGTTGTGTGAGCATTTCCTGCTAGCCTATTTGTAGTCTAAGGAACAATTGACTCCATCATCATTTCATTGGTATTTCACCTTTGAGCTTTCCAGAGCATGGGTGGCTCAGCCATCTAACAGCCATCAACAGTTGAGAAAAGGACTGGGTGATGGATGCCTCTTTTGGAAAGGTATAGCTGCTGGTCTGTTAAGATCAAGCTGAGGTCAGGACTCAGGTTCTTGAACTACTGAGTGAGGAAGAACTGCTGGAAAGGAGTTCCAGTTTGGGATTTGATTGAAGGATCATTTTTTGAGGAGTGTTTACATGTGTCAGCTTTGATACTCAGTCAAGTGGGTCAACTTGTACTTTGAAGTATTGATTTCTCAGCATCTATTCAGTCTGCATTTGTGTTTGGTGATTTTGGTTAGTGGTTCTATTCTGATATCTGGAAGTGTTGTGTCCCACTAACAAGTCATGTCTAGTTTTTTGTGTTTCAGCTTTAGTTTTTGAGGTTTCTGGTTTGCCAAGCCATATGTCTAGCATTAGCATTTGGTATCATAGTAATAATAGCATCTGGTTTATCTATTTCATCATTAGTGGCGGTTCATATATAGTTAGTAGTTGGACTTTATCCAAAGCCACTTTAAATAATTGAGTAGGAGCTATTACTTGAATGCACTATAAATGGGATATTGTCAAAGATCGGTCAGATAACTGTATATCTACTGCATAGACATCAGCTGGATGCTTGCCTCCTCCATTTCCTGCCCCCTCTTCATCTCGCCTTATGGTCCTTTGACTGTATTCATACATATTTCAAATACCACCTTGCTCATACATCCCTAGCAGGCAGAGATGGTCGCCATACTACCAAGAAATAGCATGCATCAGTAAGGATCAGGCACAAAATTCATCTGGCATCAAGCATAAGGACTGGACATGGAAAGCGATTGTCACTAGCACAAGAGTACAGAGTAGCATGCAGCCTACATGCAGCCAGAGAGTAAAAGTAGGTGGAGGGAGCTATATTCTGCTGGGTAATATAACAAGACAACTGACCATCTAATGGCTGGTTAGCACAAGTGCATGTGTATAGTGAAATATAAACAGCAGCTATACAACGCTAATCCAGTGCATGAAATGTGTTCAGATGAAGGCTGGGCATCTTTGAGACTCTTGGGGGAACCTGGAGACTGCTGGATAATGCAGAGAGGAGAAAGCAGAGATAGAGAGGGAGAAGGAAGGGTAGCGCGCATTTATTTTGTTCCTGGCAGGGTCGCACGGATGGGTCTTGTAGATAATTTCGAATCGGCCTGGATTTTCTTGCTGTTCACTTGCCAAATCAGGCTAGCTTGTGTTACTGTTCCAAACACGATCGAATCCTTCGCCGTGCAGAAGTGTGAAGTTTTTGGTCAATCTTAGATTGGTATCTTCAGTGAGATATATATTTTTCTTCAGTAGTTGGGTCGACGAGTGGTAAGCAGGTCTCGTTGCTGATGCAGAGCAGACAGTTCTTTGCTGTGGCGGCGTGCATTGTACGACTGCTGAATTGCTCGTGTAACAGTAAACAGTTATTGCTCGTGTAACAGTAAACAGTTCATGTACGACCGCTAAATTGCTTGTGTAACAATAAACAGTTCATGTACGACCGCTGGATTGCTTGTGTAACAGTAAACAGTTCATTATCTTGACTAGCTACCTTCCATCGCTCTAAAGACTTTGAGAACATGACTTCAAGAATATGCTGAATCGCTATGGAAGACTAGAACACAGCAAGAATCATGTTAAACGACCAGTTCTATGAAGTCCAGGTGTGGTAAGAGATCAGGTTTTCACAAGATACATCATTCCTTAGTTCAATAGCATACAGCCCAGAGTCTCATCAATGTCGATACACGCCTCCCACAAAACAAATCATAACAGTACTATCAAATGTCTGTTCTGTTCGCCTGGCCATCTCAGACCACAACGAACGATTAACAAAATCGTGGCATATAGCGACAGAAGTGTTGAGGAAAGAGAGCAATAAATAGCCCGCCAGAATTTCACAGAATAAGCGGCACGACTTTCAGTACCGGATCGCAATAAATCGGATAACAGTTTGATTTGCAACCTTTCAGAACCAGGTAGTAATCAGCAAAGAAGAATGGAAATACCATGAGAGTTATTTGCAGGCAATTGAGTTAGCGAAAAGATTAGTGCATGCATGCAGGAGCAACAAATTATGGTACAAACTGAAGAAGTATGGCGATATCCTTTGAAGATCGCAGTCAGCTTTGCAAGTAAGAGACTTAGCCTGTTGTCAGATAGAAAGAGCATACACACCAGCAGGGGTGTGTCAGCTACCAGTACTGCACGACACTTATACGCTCCACAATATGAAGCTTGGAAGTACTCGCAAGAGCACTGTCCTCAAATCGAATCTGTGCGCTGAGTAAACTGCATCGATGTCTGGCGGACTTTATGTTGTTGAATGATCTAGAGTCATGTCTAGTGCGCCAGAAATCCCTCGACCAACGCCCATATTGGTCACAGTTTGGAAGTAGCCGAATGAATAAAAGAGCGGAAGCTCGCTGGATCTCCTCTAAGTTGTGCTGTCGGTTTGCTTTAGATCAAGTCATTGATCATTCAATGGCATTTAAGTTGGCAACAGTGCACCTCTGTTCTGGTCAAGCATTGGTTTAGGGTGTCGAAAGATGATCTCAGGGCCAACAAGCATGAAGATATCGAGTGTTTATACAGGATATATTGTGCGCCAGCTGACGCTGCTATTGTCTGCAGTGGTTTTGTAGGAGGCGGGTGCTGTCAGTGTTTAGTTTACGCTTTAAACAAGAATCGGTCTTGGCCGGCAGAAGTTTGGCTAATGAAGCAGCGAATTTGTAGTCTCTTTTACTTGGCTGCTAATATTATACTGGGCATTCACAAATAAGATAGATAAAGACATAGTCACTCCATTGAGAGTAGCACACCACAAAGCAGCCTTTTCTCATGTAACAAGTCACCAGCTGGAAGGCGACGATGGTCTGGCTTCGATGAGCGCAGTTAGTACTAGAGCGAGCGATGAGAATGCGCGGTGATGACGCAGTGGCATAACTGCAGCAGATTCACGGTGAATATGCACTATACTGATAAGCGGCTATAGTTTAAACTGAAGAGCGACTAGAGTTTAGATCACGGGATTATCTCGAGCCTCACTGGCCAACGCAGGCAGGAACTCAACAAAAGCAGAAAAGTCTAAACCTTAATTCACATTCGCCTTTACGGCCATTTTAGACTACGCCTCACCGTCTGTTTGCTTGTCTTCGCGTCAACCTTCACAGCGGCCCTGGGCTAACAAACTCTTCGACCTCGCCTTCTTCCCGTCGACAACCACCGACAACTGACAGAACTCGTTCTTCTCTTGGCCATCTCGCCGGCGTATACCCTTTGTCTTATTTGCCTTCTCTCAGAAGTGCTCTTAAGAGTCAGGTGTCTTAACTCGTCTGCATGCCTCAGGTCGCCCGTGACAGCCGTGCAAGCACGCCGCCACCGCTGGTTGACTTGTCTCCGACCTCTCCGGCTACCGCGACTTCGACCGCAGTTGCTTCTACCATACTCCCTTCTGCCGACTCTCGACGAATATCGTCGGCTTCCGACGCATCCGCCATCACTCTGCGCACAATGAACAACCTTTTGCCAACAATCACAACCTCCTCCTCGTCATCATCCACCGGCATGAAATCCCGTGCCACGTCCTTCAAGGACTTTGCCGATATCGACGACTACCGTTCATCTGCCGGTGACATCTCTATCAGAATTGGTGATGATGTTAACGAGGATGGCGTCCCGCTAATGAGCAAGATCGACGCCGTCGACGATCAAGAGTCCGACGATGGCTCTGAGCCAACCGGCCCGTCGCGCATCATCCGCCCATTCACAAAGAACGGCAAGAACCCGTCCAACGCGATCTCAAACGCCAAATACAACCCCTTCACCTTCCTGCCTATCATTCTTTACGAGCAGTTCAAGTTCTTCATCAACCTCTATTTCCTTCTCGTCGCTCTCTCGCAGATCGTCCCTGCTCTCCGGATAGGATATCTTTCGTCATACGTTTTACCTCTTGCGTTCGTCCTTTTCGTCACTATGTCCAAAGAAGCGCTTGACGATATCGCTCGTCGCCGCCGTGACGCAGAGTCCAACAAAGAGGCTTACGAAGTTTTGGGGAAAGCTGATATGGTTCGCTCACGCGACCTCAAAGTTGGCGATCTCATCATCATCAACAAAGACCAGCGTGTTCCCGCCGATGTCATTCTTCTGAAGTCTTCTGAGGTGACTGGCGAATCTTTCATTCGTACCGATCAACTTGACGGTGAAACTGATTGGAAGCTACGGTACGTTTATGCTTCTCTCTGTAATCTCTCATGTTCTCATCGCTAACGGACAATTACTTGTCATATAGAATCGCTTGCCCTCTCACTCAGTCTCTTCCCGATGACCTTCTTTCGAATGTCACCATCACTGCTACTCCTCCCACGAAGTCTATTCACCACTTCTTGGGACGCCTCCAGCTCGACTCTGCCAATCTTCCTCTTTCGATCGATAACACCATGTGGGCCAATACTGTCCTAGCGTCTGGTCATGCGATCGGTTGCGTCATCTATACTGGCAGCGAGACGCGACAGGCGATGAACACTTCCAAAGCTCGAGGAAAGACTGGTCTGCTCGAGCTCGAGATTAACAGTCTGTCCAAGATTCTTTGTATCTGCGTATTCTTGCTGTCGCTCTTGCTCGTCGGTCTTTCGGGATTCCACGGACAGTGGTACGTCTCTATCTTCCGCTTCTTGGTTTTGTTTTCCTCGATTATCCCAGTCTCTCTTCGAGTCAATCTTGACCTCGGAAAGTCTGTTTATGCCTACTTGATTGAGCACGACAAAGCTATTCCGGAGACTATCGTTCGCACATCCACCATCCCTGAAGATCTCGGCCGTATTGAATATCTGCTCACTGACAAAACTGGAACTTTGACCCAGAACGACATGGAACTGAAGAAGATCCATGTTGGAACGGTGTCCTATGCTGGCGAAGCTATGGATGAAGTCGCAAACTATGTCAGCGGTGAAGGTCAAAATACCCGTTCTCGCCGTGACATTGGAGTCCGCGTGCGCGATCTTGTTTTTGCGCTCGCAGTCTGTCACAATGTCACGCCTGTTTACGAGGACGGCGAGTCCTCTTACCAGGCTGCGTCTCCTGATGAGATTGCGATCGTCAAGTGGACTGAGTCTGTTGGGTTGGTTCTCGCCAAGCGTGACCGTCAATCGATTGTTTTGTCTTACGCTGGCTCAAAGGCCGAGCAGCATCTCGAGATTCTACAGATCTTCCCGTTCTCGTCCGAGACAAAGCGAATGGGAATCGTTGTTCGCGATGTCGAGAAGGATGAGATTACTTTTTTCGAAAAGGGTGCTGATAGCATTATGGGAAAGATTGTTCAGAAGAACGACTGGCTTGAAGAAGAAACGGGAAACATGGCTCGTGAGGGTCTGCGAACTTTGGTTATCGGACGCAAGAAGCTCACTGCTGAGGCCTACAACTTCTTCTTGGAGAAGTATACCGCCGCCTCGCTCGTTCTGAAGGACCGTGAAGGCGAGATGCAGCGAGTAGTTTCGGAATACCTTGAGAAAGACCTCGACCTCCTAGGTTTGACCGGTGTCGAAGATAAGCTTCAGGAGAATGTCAAGCCCTCGCTTGAGCTCCTCCGCAATGCCGGCATCAAGATTTGGATGTTGACTGGTGACAAGGTTGAGACAGCTCGATGTGTTGCAGTTTCGGCTAAGCTTGTTCCCCGTGGTCAGTATATCCATACGATTGCTGGCATGAACAGGCCCGAGCTAGCTTTTGACCAGTTAGACTATCTACGCACTAAGGGCGATTGCTGCTTGCTGATAGACGGTGAATCTCTGTCCATGTTTTTGAGCAACTACGAGAAGGAGTTTATTGAGGTTGCTGTTACCTTGCCTGCGGTCATTGCCTGCCGATGTTCGCCCACTCAGAAAGCTGAGATTGCAAAGCTTATCAAGACCTTCACCAAGAAGCGTGTGTGCTGCATTGGTGACGGTGGTAACGACGTGAGCATGATCCAGGCTGCTGATGTTGGTGTTGGTATTGTTGGAAAGGAAGGAAAGCAGGCTTCTCTCGCTGCCGATTTCTCCATTCTTCAGTTCTGCTACCTGACCAAGCTTCTGGTTTGGCACGGACGCAACTCTTACAAGCAGTCTGCCAAGCTCGCTCAGTTCATTATTCATCGTGGACTGATCATCTCGGTTGCCCAGGCGGTTTACTCCATGCAATCCGGATTCGAGCCGATTGCTTTGTACCAAGGTTTGCTGCTTGTCGGTTATGCCACTATTTACACCATGATGCCCGTCTTTTCGCTCGTGCTTGACCGCGATGTGGATGAGAATGTTGCGGAGCTGTACCCTGAGCTATACAAAGAACTGACCGAAGGAAAATCACTTTCGTATCTCACCTTCTTCGTTTGGGTTTTGATCTCGGTGTACCAGGGTGCAATCATCCAGGGACTTGCGAGTGTCTTCGTGGGACTCGATTATGAGTCGTTCATGAACATGGTCGCTGTTGGCTTCACGGCTATACTGCTGAATGAGCTTTTGATGGTGGCAATGGAGGTGATTACCTGGAACAAGATTATGATTGCTTGTGAAATTGTCACATTCACAGCCTACGTTGCTTCAATCCCGTTCTTGACGGATTACTATGGTATGCTGATTTCTTTGTCTTACATCTTATTCGGAAACAGACTAACGATCATTCTAGACCTCAACTACTTCCTCACCGGCGACTTTTATTGGCAGACAGCTGCCGCTACCGGTGCTTCGCTTGTTCCAATCTGGTTGGTGAAGGTTATAAAGCGTCGCGTGAGACCTCCAACGTACGCCAAGGTGCGACAGCGGTAGACGTCACGCGCCTGCTCTTACCTGCTGCGGGTATATAACCTGCAGAGGTGCTTTCATTCTTTTTCTTTATTTTGGTTTCGTTTTATCTACCTTTCTATCTTTATCTATCATTCTGTCATCGCATTTTTAGAGAAGCGCGTTCAACTATATAGAAGAGGAGAGGCAACCTGGTGTATAAACTATTTGAGCATTTGGGCTTGAAACGGTTGGTTTTTTATTATTTCACTGTTATGTTGAGGGTTATTGTAACCTTTGTAGGAGGAGAAGGGGGTGAGCTACGCCCATGCTAGAGATGTTGTTCTTTCACTCTTTCTATTTTTACTGCTGTCGGTTAGTTTCATTGTTATAGTGGCTACAGACTCTGCCGTCTTTGCTTCTTCTGGGTTTCATTTTTACTTCACCATCTGTGCACTTTCTCTTTTTACTTTTGTGGTGTATATCTACTTGTTTCTTACTTTCCTTCCTAAGTGCTAGCTCTCCCCCTTCTGTCTATGATTGTTGTTGTGTTTGAATTCTGGTTCTTTTGTTATTTTGTTCATGAAAATCGATTTCGTATGTAATTGAAATTGAAGTTGGCTGAAGTAATGGATATAAAGTCTAAAGTAAAACTATGGTACATGTAGTTAATCCAAAAAATCTACCAAAAAATCACCAAAAAAAAAAAGCCGAGAGAACTGCTCAGAGAGAAGAGGCAGTGAGCGGTGTAGATCGCCTGGTGATCTTCACTTTATAGCCGCGTTCGGGCTTGAAGACGCCGCCGCCGTATCTGTCGCCGATCTTTGGTTTTGGCATTTCCTCTTGTGGCACGATGTCGTAGAACCAGAGCATGTAGGTTAGCTGTGCGACTGCCTCGATATGAGCCAAAAATCTTCCCGGGCACTAAGGAGTTGAAAATTCGAGAGTTAGCTGGAAGGCTTCGTGAATAAGAATGGGGAAAGAGAGAGAGGAGCGTACGATATGGGAGCCGCCGCCCCAAGGGGAGAAGGCGCGCCATTCGGGGTGGGTGATGTTGTGTTCTCTGTCGTCGACGAGGAAGCGGTCTGGTTTGAAAGTCATAGGGTCCGGGTAGAGCGTCTTGTCCCAATTGACGAGGTTGTAGAACATGAGCAAGTTGGAGCCTTTTTTGATTCTGTACTCTTTTGTGGTGGTTGGCGGTGAAGAAGAGTCTTTGAGATCAAGAGTATCAGTGGTGACTTTGAGAGTCGTGTCGTCGAGGGCTACTCTCCCTGACGCCAGATTGACGTTCAGTCTGAGCATTTCCTTGAAGCAAGCCTCGAGGGTCTGGTTGGCCATCAACGAGTCCCAATCAAAGTCGCCGGTAGCAGGCACGTATGCATCGGCGATAATGCGCTCAACCTGCGCCTTGAGAGGCGGGTTGCGGATGACTTCGGCCAGGAGCCAGAACGCACCTGGGACAGAGTTTGATTTAGCGGCGACGAGGATCGAGCAGAAGTAGCCGGAGAGGTCTTCGTACGAGTCGTAGCCTGCTTCGACGAAGGTGTCGTACATCTTGCGCACGAACGGGGCCGACGTGCGCACGCGCTCGGTGTCGAGGAAGTACTTGCCCAATTCGTCGAGGACCTTCTGACGCCCATTGTAACCTTTCATGTTGAATACTCGTGGGTACATCTTCAGGAACTTTGGGATGTTGTCTTCGAAGTCCATGAAGGGTTCGTAGATTGCCTGCACGGGGAAGGACTCGCCAAACAGGCCGACGGTGGAGGCGTAGAACATATTGTACCGGCAGTAATCGTAGAGGTCAACGACCTCGCCCGAGTGTCGCGCCAGTTCAGAGCTGTCGTCAACGAGCTTGAGATACTCCTCCCGGATCTTATCCGCGGTCTCGTTCATGTCGGGCTTGTATGTCATGACGCTGATCAGCCGTTTTGCGACCCGCTGTAGGAACTCAAAGTCGTTCACCACGCGTGGGGAGTACTTAAACACATTCGCGTCAAGGAACTTGACGAAATGCATTAGTGAAAGCGAGCGGTTTGCCCACATTGCGCGGTTGCCGACGATAGGGTCAGACACGATCGTCATGCGCTGGCCCGCAAGGTAGACGTCGAAGATCCATCCTTTGCTCTGTCGCGCTGCGTGCAGGAGTTTTTGCGGACCGCTCACAAAGTCAAGCGCAACACCGAGGACTGGAACTTTGCCCTTGACGAGCGGAATGCCGCCTTCGGATGAGAGCAGGAGGAAATGGTAGACGACCGCGCCGGCGAGGATCACGCAGATACTGCTCACCAAGAGCTCGAAGTTTGGCATTTTTCTGTGCAAATTTGTATATTTTGTTTCAATCGCCCTCTCTGTATTTGAATGTCTCGTTATTTATTCATATAACCATCTGTTGAGGAAGCTGTCGTCGCTGCAGAGATATCGTTAATGTAGATCAATTATTAGAAATTGCTGAAATTCCAGTAAGCTAGCGCTATCGTTATCTGAGCTCGGAGTTTATTTTCGTTAAAGTGGCTATGAGCAGCGTACCGGGATTTCCTCAATTTATTTGCAGAGTTTATTATACAAATACGCATCACTTTATGGAGTTGGAGTATTTAAAATGAGCTATAACAACTGATACCCAGGAGCTTTTCTGTTGTCTTTTATGTATTTTCACGCGTAGACACTCCATGGTAACAAATCGACCAGCAAAGCAGAATTATAGAATACGAGCTCTACGATCTGAAATTCGACCACCCGGAAGCCTGACTTCAATGTGACAACTTGTAGAGAATGTACATAATGTCTAACGAATGCAATTCAGCAATTCTCATAGATTTCATCGCAGCACAAAGCAAACAGCAACAGCTTAGCAACAAGGCCTTGCTGCTGGATTCTGTAAGACCGCTTGCTGTTGCTCACGTGATCTAAATCACCTTGTGTTCTGTGCCTTGTTCGACTCTCGATCTGCCTCGGATCCTACCAGGCCCGGCTCCTTGTTCCTACAAGGACGCAACTCACTAGACTGACCTGATGTTCGAACAAGGCACAATGGCCAGCTATAAAAGGCTGTCCTCTCGCCCCTCTCTCCTTTCCCTTTTCTCTTTCCTCACCTCTCACCACTTCAACCCTTCAGCAACTATCCTTCCCCGTGTCCCTATCCCAAACAATGGTTTTCGGCCAGAAGAAAACACGTTCTTCTCGTGCATCGCAGCATGCTGCTGCGAACCCCAAACACGATAGCCGCCCCCACCCGTCACACACGCCCTCGCACTCCTCATCGCAAAGCAACTCGATGGCCGAGAGAGGCTCCGGCCGTCATCTGCCGCGCGACCGCGACCAACACCACGACATCGACTCACGATGGAAAGAGCACATGAACGATTATATCGACGGGGTGCTCCTTTCCTCCCGCCTTACCGACGCTCAGAAATTTGACGCGCTCAAACTTGCGTACGACATCTTCGCCTCTCGTATCGACAAAGGGCAACAATAAGGACCAGCTAGGCAACAGATCAACCGCCAGGATCGAGTCCGGGTTTCTGTTTTTAACTGCCTATGATCGTGCTTCTATGAAGATTTTCAATCGCTGGTTATCAAGGCTTCGCTGTTTAGCAGCCAACGTATGTATACGCTCTTATCCCTTGTTCGTTCTCTCGAGCCTTGCTGACTTTCCCTTGTTAGTATAGCCGTCCCCCCCCCGCAGCATATCCCTTCCTGGAACGAACCAGAAGAGTCCTATACTTCGACTACTGCTCAGGCTAATACCCCAACATCTCATGAGAGAAGTGGTCTACCTCTACTGTATTCCTGTCTTACCACTGTACAGAATACCCTTGCTGAAGTCTTCTCATCGAACTACATGCTGGTATCTGCCTCAAGAAGTAACCTACCTGTCTGTCTGCAACCCCTCTTCCCTGCAGTACGGTCGTCATCGGACGTTAAAACCTTTGACCTCTGCAATGTACCTGCTCGGAACACCTTTTCTCTTTTTCTGTGAAATAGGGTTATCTTATATCCCGCCAAAATCCAAAAAAAAGTACCAAATCGCACAGAGCCGGAGGCGAATCACTCACCGGGCACTGCTGCTTGATTCATCGCGTGTGTTTATACGCTTCTTTTGTTTCGTGAAGTCGTTGTCGAAACTTCTTTAATTCTTTTAAGTCTTTCAATTTCGTTTTTGTTCTTATTTCGTTTTTTGTTTTCCAATACAATCTCTGGGTGTCGCTGGGGATCATCTATTTTTTATCATTTGATTGCTAGTGGCACCTATCTCAACACCATAATCATACTGTAAATATAACACGTAGAGTACTGCAGAATGAGTGCTGCATATTCATACTGAGTTTACGTGCACTTTCTCGTGATCCTGCCGTCAGTCTAATAACTGTACGACAATAGCACAATGACTGCACGACGCTTGAACGATGCTTGAACGACAGCGAGGGAAGTTGAGGCGTCGGGTTTCTCGCTTCGCGTCTTTGTACTTTTCCCGTTTCATCCTATACGATTATCATAAACTAGCAATGATATTTATTCACACGTAATCGTTTCATTGAAATCTATAATGCCTTTTCCACAAAACGTCATCAAATAATCAAAAACCAAAAAGAAGACATGTACGATAGTCGCGCTAAGGAGTTTGGAGTTCCAAAAGATGTATCAAAAATGATCACTTATACAGTGCACAGAGAAAAAAGAAAGATGAAGTAATGTCACAACTCCTGCCCAAAAAAATATAAACAGTGAAACGGAAAAGAAAGAAATTTCTATGGCTTGCTCATCGGGTCGTCAAGAAATCATAAGGATGGCATTCTTCCCAGGCCTCTGCCTGGCTGAGTGTTGACTCGCTAGGCCATCTTGTGACCTTGCCGCGGACTTGAGCACCGCCGACGGCGCGGAAGAGGTAGTAGAGCAACATGTCGCTGTAGACGGTACTCTGGGCGCTTACATTGACGTGCATGTCATCTCTGTAGATCTCCGGGAAACCAGGGACGGTGTGACTCCATTCGAAAACTTCGTTGCCGAGATTGTAGGCGACGAAGCGAGCCATGCGGTCGATTTCGTAGAGTGAGATGTCGGATTTGCCCTGATCGCGGTGCGGGATGACGGAGCGCATCATCATTGGCACATCGGGCGAGAAGAACTTGCGCAGGTATTCGATAAACTGCACTTGTCGGTTCATGAAAAACTTGAGCTCGCTCCAGGTCGTCTGCCGGCGGAGATAGGTGTTTGGAGTTTCGATACCTTCCTTGTACTCGTCGCTCTTGGCGTAGCCACGGACGTCCCAGAGGTTAGATTGGTAGAGGATGAGGTCGGGAGTTTTACCGTTCATGCCGTTGACGTCTTTGATATAGCGCGAGTAGACGTTTTCGATGCGGTCCTCGAACGAGACGCGCTTCATCTGGTCCATGGCCCACCAACCAGGCCGGTTTGAAAACATGGAGGAGATATGCCAGTGGTAGATTGTAAAGTTGAGACTCGGGATCGTGCACCAGGCGGTCGTGTGCTTGCCGTCGGGACCAATGACGAACTTGTGGTCGAGAGCCGTGCAAAAATGCTGCGCCATAAACCGGTCGATCGAGTCGGCAGCCATGAGAATGCGTCGGTTGCGGATCCAGGAAAGTTGACGCTCGAGGGTCTTTGCGCGCGCGTTCTTGCGCCCGACTTTGATGTAAAAGAGATGCTCTTTCAGCATCGAGATCCAGTTGATGGGAGCTGTTCCCATGACGGCATCTTCGACCGGCTTGTCGTCAAACAGGTGCACGGCGTGTTCTCTATCGACGGCGTCCTGGACCTGCGGTAGCTCGAGGATCTCGTCATAGTAGGGAACGTATCGAGCCTCCAAGAGAGCTGACTGTTCTTTCGGGATTTGCAGGTAGCCCGGTCTCCGGAACGGATCGTCACACTGCTTGGGCATGTAGGTTTTGGACTTCAGCCTGGCCTTTGCGATCGCGGCAGGGGAGACATCCTCTTCGTCATCGGCATCGGCGGCCGCAGATGGAGTGACGATGGCGGTGGTTACGACGGTGGCAGTCGATACTTGCACAACGGTCGCGAGAACAGTCTCAGTAATCGCTTCGGGAATGACTGTGACTGTGACTGGCAGCACGGGTTGCTTGACTTCAGGATTAGATCTGGCAAGGCAAGAGAGGGGTCAGCGAGTGAGAAAGTCAAAGTGAGAGGACGAATGAGCAGTTTAGGGGGGAGCGTACAATCTGATGAGGTCATCTGTGGGCAGACCGTCCGGGGTTCCGAGGACGGAGTAGATGAGCGCGAGGAGGAAGAGAACGTTGACGGCCAAGGCCATCGCCACGAACGAACCTTGGACGATCATTTCCGGGGAAGGATAGAGAGAACGCGAGAATGACCAAAAAAAGAGCAAGAACAAGAACAAACAAGTAGACAAACGAATATAACGAAAAGAATAAAAGCCAAAAAAGACAGCAAGAAGAGAGAAAGGAAAGGAAGAGAACGTGGCAAGTACAGTTTCGATTGACGACACGACACAGCAGCGGGTGTGTTCACGGTGATGCTGCTGCGGCTCAGATGCACACAGACTATCGTCGGGATGGCGGCGAATCTGCGGTTTTTGTTTAGGTTACTGGGCGCTCGTCCATGTGGCTTCGGATTTCTTTTGCATCCTCGTTATTTGTCGGTATTCTACGAGGATATCGATATCGATGTCATATTTGCCCGCTGATCACCGCTCGTTCACTGCGTGGGTTCCTCAAATAGCGAGGACGACGCGATGACGATGTGCAGCAAAAGGTTTTAACCTTCTGCACACAGATGTTACTGCAAATGAATATGGTATCATACTTATTAAATTACTTATTAATATTATTATAAATAATGTAAATATTAAAGGAAAATAATATTGACCTTTTGATCCTCCTATTTGTCCATATACCATTTCTTGTATTGTTGTATATAGTTGGCGCCACTGCATCTGCGAACCAGACTTTGGTTCAGACGGGATGGAAAGCTGATATTTGACTGTGATGTGTGACGACGAGTTTTGGAAGTAAATCTTTTGGATAGAGGCTGTAATAGACAGACCAGGCTTACGCGGGCTGTATAATCTGTTTATGTTAAAGCCACATTCGGAGGAACGAGGCACGGTTGTAGAAGGCCCCGCCAATCTCTGACTCTTTTTTCGTCTTTGCAGTAGTATCTATCTTGAGAATACAGGGATGGCAAAGCAATGAATAAACACAAGAAACCAAACAGGAAATAGGCCGCAGATCTTGACGGGTCTGCGAAAATTCTACCTGAAACGCGTCGGCCACGCGAAACATCCCAAACTTAAACAGCCCCGATCAGGAAACCCTGGACCCTTTGTCAACAAAGATCTACGCGACAAACTACAAAAGCACGAAATAGAGGTATAAAGAAATAATTAGCGGTATATAAAAGTACAAAAATAAAGTAAAATCCGAGAATAGTCCATCCAAAGCATCGTCTATTGCCCAATCTTACAAGCTCATCATACAGCATTTCCATCAAGCCAAAAAGCACGCCGTTTAGATAAAATCATAAACCCAAAAATCCCAAGAGAAAACCCTAGCGGGCTATCGAGGCGCTTAGATGAGGTAGGCGACAAGACCGAGGAAACCGGCCATGGCGGCAGCGGCAACACCAGTCTGCTGGTTGGCACCACCGGTGAAGGTGGAGACAGCAGGGGTCGAGGAGTTGACGACGGCGATGGAGGTGTTGGAGTAGGGGATCCTGTAGGGGGTAAGGTTAGACAGACGCGTCTCGTGAGAATGATAGATGCAAACAGAGGGACTTACGCGGACGAGGCAGTCGACGAAGCCGGGCAGTTGGTGACGGTCGGACCGCACGAGGTGATGGTCTCGAGGGTGGTGACGGTCACGTAGGCGCGCTCATCAAGAGCAGCGGAGACGATGGCAGCGAAGGCCAAGACGACGATGGTGAAAAGGGCAGCGGCGAACTTCATTGTGATTGATTAAGAGTTGGTTGGGGTTGGTTGCTAAAAGGCAAGTAAAGAGCGACTTGGTTGAGTAGTAGAGAAGAGCGGATGAGGATGAGAAGAAAAGCAGGATGGACGGGGACCGGCGGCCGGTCTTATAGGCCTCTGGTCTCGAGGAGGACGAGCACGCGTACGAGGGAAAACAAAAGGGTTAGGTGACATATTAAAGTTAGAGTTTTCTATTGAGTCCGGAGCATGCGCGCCGCATTGCGCTATTCCGGATTGGGACGGGGGACATTCTGGCAGCAGGCGAGCGGCCGCGTGGCTGCCGGGTGGTGAAGGCCGTGTGGGTGTGATTTCTGGTGTGTTGTCGTCATGAATGTCATGAGTAGTAGTTGCTGTAGATGCTGTGAATTTGCTGCTTCTACATATACAATAACACGATACAAAAACACACAGAACAAGATCGAGTACACAACAGCGATAGGAAATTAGGGCAGGGAAAGGAGGGATCCACAGCACGGGCCCGAATAAGGGCGTTGTCAGGAATGCAAATCTCCTTTGAACGCGACCCAGATCGGTTTCCTATCTTCATACCTGTGACTTGCTGCCTGTAGTGCGCCCTGCAGCCTGCGCTTCATGCCCTCTGTCGGCAGGTGCATTAACAAGGGGTGGAGGTCTGGTGAAGGGGTAGTTGTCTGATTGTCTTTGTTGGACGCGTTCAGTTCGAGTTCGCGTTCAGCAATTATTGTCGTTGTCGTTGTTGTGGTTACTGTTGTTGATGTTGTTTTGTTTATCTTTTGCGTTGTTTGTTTTGATTTCTTTCCCGCTACCGATTTTGTTACCCCACCGCCCTCCGCCCGCCTCTCCTAACGGCAATAAGCCTGGCTGAGTAATTAAAAGTCATGCAATTCTTCAAAAAAGATAATCCACCTTGGCCAGATACGGAATCTCAGACTTGGTGGCGTATCTGGACCCCGGTCTACTGGAATGCCTTCATCCGCCGACGTGCATATTGGGAAATCCCAGCAGAAGAAGCAATTCCTCTTTCAATCATTTAGGCGAGCACCGCAAATCTCGGATAAGCTTCGTTCTTCCTCCTGCTTTGGCTGCTCTTGACCGAAAACGAATGCCGCTCTTCACCATTTCTGGTGATGTGAATTATGTGTAAATTCTGTACGCACTCTCGGCTGATCCTCTCGAATATGTTCCATCAGCGGAGAGCAGAGAAATGTAGCCATTCACCATTCCATGGACCAGCCGTTCTGGTCTGCTGTAGTAGTGACCTTGACTAAGCTCTAGTACCACTGCTCTGTTCAGCTCCTCCGCCTGTTCTTCCCTAGCGAGCATCACCTCAACCACTCTACTATTCTTCGGTTTATACAATAACGCAATTTCAAGCTCATAGCCAATATACACCTATACAAGCTTATTCTCGGGTCATTTTTCCGTTTAATAATCACATCAACCATCCCGTAATACAAGCAGACATTCCCGCCCGCCATCTCCCTGCCTATCCCCTTCCTCCCCCTGCTCTTCCAGCACCATTCACGGGGCCGGGCGCGCCTGCAGAAATCCCGCAGAGACGTTTTTTTCCCTTTTTTTTTTTCCCTCCCTTCTTCTTCTGTCTATCAATTCTTTTTTTAGCAGCCACGCGAGGAGCCACAGACAGCGTGATGGCCGGTGGACTGAAAAAAGTAGGTATGAATGGAGGAATGCGACCTCGGCTTTTTCCACGCGCGCAAGCTAATCCTGGACGCGTCTTTCCACCTCCACGCGTCTTTTAAGATTTTCTCTCTGCTCACTTTTCTGGTCTTTGCCATTGTTCTCGTCATAATTTCTGCTCTCGCTAATACCCGGCCAAGAGTGACACTATTATTAATTATAACATAAACCATCGTCGTCAATAGTAGGAGCAATAATGAATGCTGTAGTTATGCAGAGCAAGAAGTCCTTTACTACTCTCACAACTCCGCCAGTTCAAACCGCGTTCTCTTATCTTTCATCTCTATCAGCTACCAGCACGCGTCGCAGCTGCCGCTTCAGGTAAGACGCGAACGGCCGGATTGCAGGCTAAGTGCCACCAAGCCATAGGATTCCTCTCGCTAGCCCGTCGCGTTATTTCATACCTGTCGAGGCCCGCGCTGCACGCGCCAGCACCAAATCGTAAACCCAGCCATGCCCGGGGTTGGGGCTATGTTCACGTGACTTTTGAGCAGACTCTTAGGGCTCAACCCTACATCGAGCGACCGTGACCGTCTTTTTGCTCCCAGCGGCCCATCTCTGCGCCCACACAGTCCACTCTAATGCTGGTACGGTCCTGTTTGTATGGCAGCCCCATACTAAATCGGCCGTACCCGCTGACTCTGCGCAGGGCCACCGCTCTCACAGATATAGCAAATCCAGAACCCTAGTCCACCCTCACACCGCACTCAGCTGTCTCACGCACCAATCTTTTCTGTTTGTTCCTTTCTACGTAGCAACACTCAGCAGCCCGCCTTCTTCGCCCCTTTCATCTATCTTTTGTTCGTCGTTCGGTCTATTCTTCAGTGAGTCGTCACTCTTTTCTATTTAGTGTTTCTCTCGTCGTTGGATCTGGTGTGGGAGCGCTGCAGCGTGATTCGGACTTGTGCTTGAAGTCAGCAGCAAAGAAAAGAAGAGGTGGATTGGATACCCAGCGCTCCGGCCTCTCTGCTGAGCGGGTTCTCGAGGTTGCGATTGCTATGAAGGGATTTTCCACGCACAGAAACGACGGAGAAATGATAGAGAAAACAAAAAACTTGCTGCGTGATTCTGAGGCTAACGATCTCTTCTTTCACCGATTGCTTAGGTCCGAACTATTTAGCAGACAAGAACCCAACCAAACTTATATCAAACATGGCCACTGAGATTTCCAGCAAGAGAAAGCAGGTCGCTGACGGTGTTTTCTTCGCCGAGCTCAACGAGTTCTTCACCCGCGAGCTTTCCGAGGAGGGATACTCCGGTGTCGAGGTCCGCTCTGCCCCCACCAAGACCGAGATTGGTATGTGCCTCTATTGTCTTTTGTCATCGGCGTTTACGTGTTGGTGATTGTGTGAAGTAGAAAGAGAGGAGAGAATGAAGCAACTAGAAGCAAAGAATGCTAACACGTCTGCAGTCATCCGTGCTACTCACACCCAGGACGTCCTCGGACCCCACGGACGTCGTGTCCGTGAGCTCACCTCGCTCATCCAGAAGCGTTTCAAGATCCGTGAGGGCGGTGTTGTCATCTATGCCGAGAAGGTCCAGCAGCGTGGTCTGTCGGCTATTGCCCAGGCTGAGTCTCTCAAGTTCAAGCTCCTCAACGGTCTTGCCGTCCGTCGGGCGTGCTACGGTGTCCTCCGATACATCATGGAGTCTGGCGCCAAGGGTGCTGAGGTTGTCGTCTCCGGCAAGCTGAGAGCCGCCCGTGCCAAGAGCATGAAGTTCACCGACGGATTCATGATCCATTCCGGTCAGCCCGCTCGTGACTTCATCGACACCGCCACCCGTCACGTTCTCCTCCGCCAGGGTGTCTTGGGTGTCAAGGTCAAGATCATGCTTGGCTCCGACCCCGAGGGCAAGCTCGGACCCAGCAAGACCCTTCCCGACGCCGTCACCATCATCGAGCCCAAGGACGACAGCTCTGCTCCTCTCGAGCCCCACAGCATCAACTACATTGCTAAGGCCGCCAAGGAGGAGGCTGAGGTTGCTGCTGTTCCTGAGGCCGAGGTCCAGCCTACTGCCGAGTAAGGATAAAAAATAAAGGAAATTAAAAAAGAAAAAAACTACTCATCAGTCGAGCGCGGAGCGGGTGAGGACATGACAAAAGGGACGAAACAGAAGATGGATGGGTAAAATACTGTTTTTTGTTGTTTTGTTAAGATCTTAATCTAGGATATATAATAAAATCTCTGGTTTTATTTGTAATGTTTTGTATTCCATCAATTTATCTATTGTTAATTTATACTGAGTAGATATAGAACTAGACTATCATATAGTAGTAGACTATCTGTAGGGTTTACCGCTTGCTTCTGTAGGGCGTTGTCAAGCACACTGTTGAGAGTAAGACGATTGCATACGAACGAAAGAAATACTACGCAAGCTTCATGCGTTCGTCTATGGGCTAGCAACTACGGAAGCATATACAGAAAAGGAAGAGAAAGCAGGAGGCAAAGCCAGATGTATATTTATAGGAGAAGGAAAAGAGAGAGAAAGGGGGGAAATAGCACAATTTGAGAGAAAGATATACCAACTAACGATAACATTAACGGACGCGCGAGAGGAGAGAGGGGAGAGGAGAGTGAGGAGAAGAGAGGGGAGAAGAAGGATAGAGAATACATAAGAACGATCAAAAGGGTGATACTTTTAATTTGACGACAAAAGAAAAGAGATAGGAGAAAAGAGGGAAAAGACAAACGACATTGAAATAGGGGATTCACGTACACATCAAGAAAAGGTAATACAGGTTAAGATTGAGTAGGAAGAGAAGAAAAAAAAATCCAAAAAGAAAAGACAAGAGAGAGGTTACAGTATGAAATCCGGGGGGAGTAGCATATAGACGAGAGAGATGGACATCGTGCAGAGTGAAGGAGATTGAGAAAAATAGCATATAGCGATAGAAGACGTAGGAGGTGTGACGAGTGATGAGAGATTCGTAAGAGAGGATAAATAGCAAAAAGGGTCCCAAAAAATTGAATAAATCGAGTGAAATTTTCCAGCAACAAAAGTCAGATCAAGAACAAAACCAAAGCTCGCCACGTACGATAGCTAGGAGAAAAGAGCAGACCAAATCATTGAGACCTTTCGAACCTCAGTCGAGTGGCTTCTTTCTCTTCAACGACTAGTCTCTTACTCCTGCTCGAGCTCTTGGTCAACGTTCTCCTGCTCCATCTGCCGCCGAACCTTCTCGTTCTCGAGCTGCTCGTACAGCAAGAAGAGCGCGCGCTCGTTCTCGTCAGCGGTGCCGCGGATGGTGAACATGCGCTCGCCGCTCTCGTCATGGGGCTGCTTCGCAATCGAAATGCGCGCACCAGACACCCGTCTGATGTCCTGGATCTTCGTGCCGCCACGTCCGATGATGCAGCCAACCATATCAGCCGGAATGGCAATGTTCTGAGTCTGCTCAGGGCCGCCGCCGTTAGAGGGCGACGAGCCACTGGTAGGAGCACCGGCCGCAGCGCCAGAGGAAGCGTCGCCGTTGTCGAAATCAGCGGGGTTGCCGGTCCGAGTGCGCATAGAGCCCGAGTGAGAGGTATAGTCCTTGGCCTGCGGGTTGTAGAGGATTGTGGTTGAACCGCGCTGCCAGTCCGCAATCAGGCACTTGCCAATTTCCCAGACGGCGAGTCGGATCGCGTCGGCGGCACCATGGACTTCGACGATTCGCTCGGTCGAGCCAGGAAGGATATCCTTCGAGGCGACCATACGGACGTTGCAGTCGTCCTGGATCTGCTTGATCTTTGATCCTTGACGGCCGATGATGGTACCCATCTGGCTGTGTGCGACAAGAAGTCGGATGGCTGGGAAGAAAAAAATTTAAACGTTAGGATCCAGCGCTTTAGAGTATGGCTTGCCAAGAGATAATAATCATAGAGGAAAGAGATAGGAAGATTGATTTGCAGCAACGCCGGCAGAAGAGAGGAAATCAGAGCGACTTACTTGTAGAGTTGGAGGTGACGGGGATGGCGGCAGGAGGAGGAGAATCGATGAGAGTCTGGGCAGCCATTGCGTAGGCCTATGGAGGAAAAAGAAAAGGGTTAGCCACCGCATATACATCCAATTGACGAGATATCATAGTAGACTGCCAGAGACAGAGACGCAAAAGGAAGAGCCTCAATGCGAACTACAGTGAACACCCTGGCAACCTAAAGGAGATGAGGGAAAAACGTACTCTGGCGACGCCCTCGAGGGTTCCAGTGACGGTCAAGACACGATCATGAACGCCGGGGACAGGCTTGCTGACGCCGGCTTTGACACCAGTGGCATCACGCATGTCAGCGACATTCTTTCCCTGCTTGCCGATGATGACACCAGCTTCCTTGGAGGAGACGAGAGCACGGAGGGTGAGGGGAGCGACGGCGAAGGATTCTTCGGTGAAAGCGGGTTGCTCGTCTGATTGGTCTGCCTGCTGGTCGATGTGGCCGTTGGAGGGCTGGTCGTACTGCTGCTGGTGGATGTCGGACATTGTAGAAGAGGACGGGGGGTGGTGATATGGGGTGGTGAGAGAATAGGGTGGACTGAGTGGGATGGGTGAGGGGAAGAGAGTAGAGTCGAGGGACGAAAGGTAGGGGCGGAGACGAGAGGGGAGGGGGGGTGAGGGGACTAGTTGGGAGAGGGGAGAAGAGCGGTGATGGGGCGGAGGTGGAGGTGAGGGAAGTGGTGGTGGAGGGAGTGGTGGATGTTGATGTTGATGATGATGTTGCGGTGGTGGTGGTGGAGGGGAAGAAGAAGAGGAGGAAGTCGAAGTGGTGGAGGAGAAGTAAGAATTTCTCACCGACGATGAGAAAAAAAAAAAGAGGAAAAATGAATTTAATCGCATGAAAAATAGTTTTCTGTTTGTTCTCGACCGCTTTGCTTTGCTCGAGAAGCCTTCCAACTGCCTCTCCTCCTTATGTTTCTCTTTTGATGTTCTTTACAAGTGTTTACCATTGTTATTGTTCAGTTATTTACATATTTTGTTTCTCTCGTAAATCACTGCTGCTTCGGCCTTGGTTAGTCAGCCTGTCACACTGTTCCTCGTTCGGAGCTTACGTCGTCTCCTCTGCGGTGTACTTACGTAGTGTCCTCGACGATCTGACTACCAGCCATTCTGCTCGCTGAGCCTCCAATTGTGTTGTATCTTCTAATCTGCCACCGTCGCCTTGACGAATCACGTAGTTCTTCTCTCGCGTTCTGGCCGAAGCAATTCTGGCCGACATCGCTTCCTGCACTGAACGGCGCGGCAATCTGTAGTCACGTGATGCACGCGTGCCCTCCGTACACGGGTAAACAGATTCAATTGCACACGAACAGAGACCACGTCCTGGGGCTGGTTGCTTGGACTTGATCTACCAATTCAATACACTGCCAAAGTAGCTGTGGTGATTGCTCAGGTCATGCGTATCTCTAGCAGACGATGAAAATTCTCTGTGTGGCGGAGAAGCCCTCGATCGCAAAGAGTGTCGCGCATACTCTTGGTGGAGGACGTGTTAGTCTTGTATGTTTATCCTATTTCCTGCTTGTTGTTCCTTCTGGTCTCGATATATTTACTAACGGTACTGCTTATTATGAACTAGAGAGAGACAAGAAACAAGTACATCAAAAACTATGACTTTACATACAACTTCCCGCCTCCGTACGGTAGCGCAGAGGTTACGATGACATCAGTCATGGGCCACATCTTCCACAACGACTTCACCAAGGAATTCAGCAGCTGGGATGCCGTATCTCCGATCGACCTTTTCCGGGCAAGAATTCTCAAATCTGTTCCTGCAGACCAAGAAAATATCGCTAGAAATATCAGAGATGAAGCGGGACGTTCTCAGTTGCTCATCATCTGGACTGATTGTGATCGAGAAGGAGAGCATATTGGCGTTGAGGTACTGAATATCGCGCGCGAACGGAATCGGAATATAGGAGTCAAGCGGGCGATGTTTAACAATCTGGAAGCAGCGTAAGCCTACTTTTTTTGCTATTATTGTCTAACCCTGCTGACTTTCTATCAAGGCACATCCACCAAGCGGCGCGCTCACTACGCGACATCGACCATCGACTCGCGCAAGCTGTTGATGCACGGATGGAGATAGATCTAAGATTAGGTGCAGCGTTTACTCGATTTCAATCAAAATTACTCAGGCCCGCGTGTACACCTCTCAAGAATTCATTGATCTCCTACGGATCCTGTCAATTTCCAACGCTAGGCTTTGTCGTTGATCGTTTTAAACGGGTACGCAATTTTCGACCGGAAACGTTTTGGTACATCAAGGTTGTCGTGGAGAAGGACGGGATCACGGTGAATTTCAATTGGAAACGCGTTCACCTGTTTGATCGGATGGCCACCACGCTCTTGTTTGAGCGGTGTATGGAAAGCAGCAATGGCGAGGCGCGCATAGTGAGTATGGTCAAAAAACCGACTTCAAAGTGGCGACCATTACCATTGACCACGGTCGAATTACAACGACGAGGCGCACTTTTTCTCGGCTTTTCTTCTAAAAAGGTAATGGATATTGCCGAAAAGTTGTATACAAAAGGTTTTCTATCTTATCCCCGTACCGAAACGGACCAATTTGACGACGGTATGGATTTGCAGGCGCTGATTGAGAAACAAGTCGGAGATGCGTCGTGGGGTGGATACGCTCAAGGTCTTTTGAACGGAGGATTTTGCAAGCCGAAGAAGGGTAAGCATAATGATCACGCACATCCGCCAATTCACCCGGTCGCTCATTGCTCACAGGGGGGCAATATAGCGTATGACGAGATAAGGGTGTACGAGCTGGTAGCGCGGCACTTTTTGGCGTGCTGTTCGGAGGATGCAAAGGGAGCGAGTACAGAAGTAGTGCTAGATTGGGCAGGCGAGCGATTTGGAACGACTGGGTTGCGCGTTGTGCAGAGGAACTACCTTGACGTCTACAAATATGATCGGTGGACTAGTAGTCAGGAGCTACCAGAGTTTTCACAAGGCGAGCTTGTGACGCTGAAGCGAGCGACTATGGAAGAAGGCACGACGACAGCACCGGGATATCTTACAGAACCCGAGTTGATTCAGCAAATGGACGCGAACGGGATTGGCACAGATGCGACGATGGCAGACCATATTGATCGGATTCTTGATCGCGGATATGTGGTGAAGGTGCCTAAAGGCGCAGGCGGTCGGTTCCGGGAGCCACTGCCGGTGACTGCTCCTGCCGCAACACAACCGCGAGGTGCAGCAGCGCGAGGAGGGGGCCGCGGTGGTAGAGGAGCGCGAGGAGGCGGTCGCGGAGGTCGAGGTGGCGGGGGTGCAGCAGGAAGGAAGACGAACGGAGCGAACGGCGGCAGCGGGGACGGTCAGTTTGAGTTCATTCCGAGCACGCTGGGGTTTGCGCTTGCGGAAGGGTACGATGCGATTGGGTTCGACAAGTCTCTAATGAAGCCATTTTTGCGACGAGATTTGGAGCTGAGTATGACAGATATCTGCGAGGGCAGGAAGACGAAGGAGGAGGTAATTCAGCAGAGTTTGTCGCTGTATAGAGAGGTTTTCCAGCGGTCGAACGAGCAGAAGGGGATACTGGTGCAGGCGTGTCGACGATATGTGGTGTGACCAGACATTTGATTCACAAAACCCCAGAGTACATAGTTATTGTAATTTACCTAATGACACTGTGTAGCAGACAAAGAAGTGAGAGTGTATTGTTTACATTTTTCCCTGTGCGGGTTATTGGGCGCGGCTGCGGTAGGGCCATCAGCTGCCAAAACAATTAATCTCCCAGGGAAGAGGACCCTAAATCTGTATATAGATCGGTGATTGAAATAAACAGAAGCCGACGGGTTGGTATCTGTGATATAAATCTGAGATCTGGAAGCAGAGAAAGACAGATTCGAGGAAGGAAGAATGTGTGAAGATAGAAGACAGAGAGACAGGCAGGAAGAGTGACGGGCGTCGATATTTCCAGCCTGGTGGCTCGGCCGACGGAGCTAAATGGAAGTTGAAGAAGGGAAGGGAAAGACCACAGACCCTGCATAAAACACAATTTCCCTGGCTGCTTCGGACTTTACCGTTTGCCCCGGCAGCTATGAAACAGCAGCGAATTAACTGCCAAATATGGCAGAATTGCATGAAGAAAAGGACCGTTGTCTGTAGGAGGAGCCCGAGAGACAAAACAATGAATTACTAAGTGGAGGTAGAGAGCGTTAGTCAGCGTTTAAACTATAAACAGCCGTGTACCCAAAGCAGAACAGCGAAGCACTGCAGTCCACTTCGACGATAGAGGAAGACATAATAGAAGTCTTTTATCAGCAATGTCTGAGTGCTCTTATACTACACTCAACAAAACAGTAGCAGTTCAGCCAGTCTGAAGAGGACTCTGACGCAGGGCGGTGTGGTCTTGAGATCGGGTACGGTGAGGAGTAAACACTTTTGGTATTTTTAGGTCTAAATCTTATTCTGGGTCTGTGTAGTGAGCGTCCAGAAAGACAATCTCTCGTAGCCAAAAGCAGGAAAGCAAAAGAAAAGAGATTTGGCAGAGTTGTTGGCTGTGAAGCAGTTATTCTTCCTGTTTTGCTTCTTGTTTTACGTTCTTCATCGCGTCTCTCTTTGAGTGGTTATATATCGAGCTCGACGTTCTTGGCCTTCACTCGTGTCTTACTCCTCATCTCCATCGGCATCTTGACTTCGCAACCCCACCTCGCCCTCTACCTATTCTCCTTTCCTTCATTTCTTCTTCCTGCATTTCTCTGCAGAAGTAGCAGTTTGTTGTTCCGGCTTGCTCTTCGACCTCCATTGTCTACCTTCCTCTTGAACCAAACAAACCACCGCTCGACTCCGCTTTTCCATTTCTGGGACCCACTTCTCAACCCCATCTCAATCGCTTCTTTCAGCATCTGGCCTCGTTCTGAGTTGCACACCTCTTGTTGGTAAGTCAGAGCTGCTTCATGTTCTTACTTTATATGTCGAAGAGCTCTGCAGTGTCTAACTATCTTCCGATTAAACTTCTACAGGCTCACCTAAAGACCGATCTGCAAATATCAACTCACTTCTCGATCTTCAAACAGAAAATGCAAACAAAACCTATCGTCCTCCGGTGAATCTCGTATATTCGACATCATACCCAACGTTCTTTACTGGTCGCACACCATCGTCACGCGCAGTCAACGCCAGTCAACGACTGCGAGGCGTGATACTACTTAAAGGCGAGACGGACGCTGGAGCTGATCTAGAGGAGAAAGAGAATATAGAAAGAAGAGAAGATCAGAAACAGCTAATCGCAAAGGCTTACGTGCGACAAGACGGAATCATGAGCAATGTGCTTGGTTCGAGCTCGTCGCTCGTGGTCGACGCCGTCATCTCAACTTCACGTGTCACCAGCACATCTACGAGCTCCACAAGCACTTCCTCCTCCTCTTCGTCAACTACAATTGCATCATCGCATAACATTCTATCTATACTGCCACATCCTACTCTGTCTTTCACTTATTCTACATCAGCATCGTCATCGTCGACGTCTATCAAGAGTTCTGCTTCCAGCAGTATAAGTGGAAGATCACAGACCCACTCTTCGTCGCAGTCGACTGCGTCATCGAGCGTTACAGTGTCTATTACATCGAAGAGCTATATGTCCTCGACACCATGGCCATCATCGACATCCACACACCATCCCTCGCTCTCTTCATCGGCGTTCTCTTCCTCTGCGCTATCTTCATCTGCACACGCAACCACTCATTCGACAGCATCTAGTTCTCACTCTTCTCTTTCGTTCTCAACTCTATCATTCTCATCATCTTCACTTGTATCGCCATCAGCATCTTCATCTGCGATCCCGTCCTCATCACCCGCGGCTGCCTCACCGACAAGCAGTTCAAACTCCGGAAGCAGCAGCAGTAGCAACAGCAGCGGCAGCAGTAACAAAACCACAATCATTGCGGCCGTCGTCGGTTCTGTCGGCGGAACAATTGTACTGCTGCTTCTTCTCTTCGTGTTCTGCCGCCTGCGTAGACGGGGGAGCTATCGCCGCAACAATAGCCATCTGGTTGCCGGTCCGTCGTTCCATCACCATGTTCGAAATAGCTCAGGTGGAGCAGGAGGTGCCGTTTCCTCTGGCGACGGAGGAGTACCGGGTAGTGGTGGCGGCGGTGCGATCTCCAGCAATAACGGTGGAGTCGGTAACAACAGCAACAATATCAGCAGCGGTGGTGGTGGTGGTGGTGGTGGTGCTGGAGCTGCTGCAGGCGCCGCTGCTGGAGGTGGTGCTGCGATGGCTGCAGCTCGACATAATCAGCATCATACACAACAACGCAAGCTGAGTCGGAAGAATAAGAGGCCGGAGATGATACAAGTCGGGCATCACGATCCGAGATCACACCAGACCGCACTGAGGACGCCGGGGTCGCGGACGACTACGCCCACTTCAGAGCGCTTCAGTCGACATCAACGCAGACCCACGACGCCATCCGACCGGCTTTCGCCTTCGAGTAATTCGCGCAAGAGTATCATAGCTTCGTCGCTTAGCACTTCGTCCGAGACACCGCTACCGCATATATTCGGATCAATCTTCACGCGGTCGAGACGAAACACGATCTCATCCTCGGTCAACTCGTCTTCGATTGATCCGACTGCGTCAGTCAGTGGCGGCGACGAAAGCGGGTTTGTGAAAATCAGCGGACGTAAGCTTGAGAGGTGGCAGGATCCCGAGATGGCTAGTATACATAGTCTATCTGGGAAAGTTTATGATCGCGACGGAAACGAGCTGGTCCCTGCCGAGCACGAGCCCGGAAGTTCATCTCAGCAAAACGCATCACTGGATAGAGATAACTATGCGGACGACGATAACCATGATATAGATGACCGATCATCTAGAGGACGGCAGTCTTCAGTTGAAAGCATGGAAAGCCGACGGTACCAATATTTTATGGAATCGAATTGGTACAGCGGTGACCACGATAATAGTAATGAAGATGTGGACGGCGCTATGGCAGGACCATCGGGAACGTGAGAGGAATAATGATATGAACTGCGGTTGCTTGCTTTAAATATCTGATACCATTTTTTGTTCCTTCTTGTGTTAAGTTGCCTTTATAAATCATTGAGATTGGGTATTTTGTTGAGGCGTTTATTTGTTTATATAGTTGTTTTTGTTGCATTGCTCGGTTTATTGTTTTCGATTGAATACAGAACTATAATTTGTTTTAATTTATATACATATTCTCAGAGAATGGAGTGGATAGTAAGCAGATAGGAAAAAGAGAAGTATACGGAAGCAGTAATAGTTGTATATAGCTGGAAGTTATAGATAGCTGGAAGAGACTGGCGTTAGCTTGCCAAGCACCAGCACCGGCAGGAGAACTAATGATGATCTGGTAAACTATGATGATTAATAGTTTGCGAGAGAGCTATAAATATAAGCACTTTCTGCCTCGGCTTCTTCCGTGACAATATTAAAAGTAATAGAGTAAAAAAATCAGATCCTGATCTGCTGATAGAGACTGCGACTAGGTAACTACCGGCGTGGGCTTGGGCGTCGAGAGCAAGTACGTTACGTATGCGTGTGCCGGTGGGTTGGATCTTAGCCTATTCTCTCTGTTGGAGTGTGTCTATGCGCTGCTTGCGATTGCTTTTTCGTGATATATGTGCGTATTCAGAGGAATAGTCAGAAGTGAAATTTGTATCTTATCCTATATAATCCATCGACAGTAAAAGCCAGCTTCATGACAGAAAGCGGGAGGTGAAAAGCGGAGTGCTGGTGGAGTGTGGGTCCCCAGTTCTCTGTTCTGTCTCTGTAAATGCGCCCCGATCTGCGTTCTCAGAATCTTCAATCTCTGATCTTTGCTTGATCTTGGCCCCGATTGCTCTCCTTCCACCCTCGCCGTCTTGACTAATTCGTCTTTCTATCGTTCATCCTGCATGCTGCTGTCATTTTTGACGGATATAAACCAGACGCAATATGAATGAAATCTACGAGTCCAGTTAGAACAAACACTCTAGCCCACTAAGCACGGCCCATAGTCACCTGGCAGGCAGGCAGACCCAACTTTGTGGAGACTTTTTCACGTTAGTTAACAAACAGTTATTCCTCACTGAACTTTACTACAATTCCTTATCCAGCCTGTCCTGCAGATCATAACTGCTGTACTCATGTGCTCTTGCCCTCTTCCATGCACGTCTGACACACACTACGTTTGACTGACGATCGTGGTCTAAGGACTGTTCCCTCCTTTCCTGTTCTATATACCCCCTTGGAACTCACTACTGGTCTAGCTGCAAATATTGGAATGCAAAAACCGTTTATCATAGTCTAAGGTAATATGAAATGCGGCAAGGAGGGAAAAAGCACGCACAGTCGGGCCGGCGAAGAGAGTTTAATGCGACCACCTGCTTGGAGACCGATGAACTCGATCTCTCCTTGACATTTATAGCTCTTTCTGATGTTCTGTAATAACGCGCGTACCGACTTCATATATTCTGTTCTATTCACAAGACCGAAATCTGCTGCTCTTCTTGCACAATCTACGCATCTGGAGCGCGTTTGCGTCGATCAAGGGGCGTCCAGAGGCATTTAGAGACAGCTTGAACAGGACATTCTCAAACACGCATGACAACGCTTCTCACATACCTAGGACTCAGAAACCCGGGGAAGGGGAATCTAAACGACGTTGACACGTACCCATCGAGATTCGGCTGACTTCTGTCGTTAGTGCCAGTGTCAATTCCGGCCCCCAACCTTCGCCATCTTCTCTCGCTCCTACTCTGCCTTCTCTGTCTCTCTGATCCTTACCATTCCCTCGCATTGGGTCCCAGCAGCCTGGACGGTCGTGCTCACATGCACACAAAACCGTTTACCCGAATACCTTCTCTGGTGGTGCTTAGATCGGGTATCATCGGGAGTTACCAGACACCGCACACATGCTATTCCTGTTTCGAAGAACATACGCAGCGCTCTCGCAAAGGTAAACCAAAGAACAAGAAGAGGAGAAAAAAGCAACAAGAAACGAAGGTCTGATCGTCTCGCTTCGGTTCCCATTAAGACCACAATCCATCCGCTTCCTTCTCTCTCTTCCCTTCTTCCGCTTTTTTCGTACCTCGTCCACCTATCCCCTGCATGCTGTTCGTGTGAATGTCTCTCGTTTCACTTTTGTTTTCAACATCTATCGCACATAGTCAGCTATAGTCAACATCATCACCGTTGCGTATGCTTTCGCTTTAGTTGCAGATGCTCACGCGCAGTTCAAAGGTCCGTGTCGTTTGCGCGAGCGCTGCGTTTCTCGTGCCACTGGTTGTGCTCTCCAGCATATACTTCACATACACAGCAGTGCTTCTTAACCAGTGAGATTTCCTATTTTGTCGTTTCTTCTGCAGGAGGAGTGAGACCAGGAGGTCGCTGACCGCGAGCAACAAAGTAATATAGGTTTCCTCAACCTCCTAGTTTGCCAGGGCTACTGGAAAACCGACAAGTGACAGTAACTGAGGTTCAGTACCAGACATATATACCCGACTTTGTACGCGTGCGCGAATGGAAGACAGTCACAGAGACAGTGGTCGCCGTTGAGACCGTGACGGAAACAGTGGCAGCCGGCGAACCGACAACAGCAGCAGCAGAAGTAGTCACTGAACTGGTGACTGTGAAGGAGACAAAAACAGTGACGTCCTCTGCTGTGGAGACGAAACTCGTCGAGCTGGAAAAGCGGGCGACCGCGACGAGAACAGCATATATACCCGCGGGGACAGGAATGCCGCCTCATTGCGACGATCCCTATCGACGACCCGGATTCCTGCACATACCGTTCAACGAGACCGATTTCCCGTTCCAGCAATCAAAGTACGTCCCGTATTACGACGAACTCATTGACCGCAAAGAACCGGGTGCTGCACGATACCCAGACTATGACCTGACAGACGCACCCGACATGTCGTTCCCAGCCGGCACGATAGACGAAGAACTTATCGAACAAGCGCCGATTGATTGGATTGAGGTGATACGACTGTATCTGAGCTTGCTCGATAGCCCAGAGAACTTCACAGACTCTGAGATCACGGCAACAGAGCGCAAAGTGAGCTGGCTGAGGAACAAGCGTCTGCTAATGCTGGCGGACTCGGTCGACCGGTACATGATGCATTATTTCTGCGAGGAGCTCGACGTTGCGCCGCGCATTGCGGTTCTGGGAATGCACACGACTTCTGAGTGTCATATTCCGCAGCTGAATTTCACGATTCTGCACTGGCATATCGCGTCAATGTATACTCACAGGCCAAAGTGGTGGTGGGCGGAACACATGTCTGAAGTTGCGTTTGAGAAGCGCAACCAGGAGTTGTTCATGTCGCGCATTAGTGCTGATCGAGCGACGGATGTTATTGGGATGAACGGGCGCGGTCCAGATCTGATATTATACCAAAGTATGTTATGGGACTGGACGACGATGACTACAAAGCATAAGATCGACAACGGGTTAGACGTCGATACCAAGGCACAGAGAAAAGCCCGAGCCGGCAAAGGCGACAAGCTGCAGAAGAACAAGACAAAACCGACGGAGAAGACGCTTCGGCCGTTTCACTGGAGTGAAATTGATTTTTACCGAGCACGGCAGAAGAAGTTTATTGAGTTTTACCGGTCTATCTTTGGCCCCGAGACGCCGTTCATGTTCCGTGCAGCCATGCAGACAAAGTATCCTGCCGACACCACGGTCCCGCTGCGGCAGCTCGATCGGATGGGGCGGTATGTGGCCCATTCGATGGACGTCGAGGTGTTTGAATGGGGCCAGATGATCGCCGGGTACGCCTACCCGTATTACAGTGCATACAAGGATGAGGTGCATCCGAAGCGGGGGCCACACACGTACATATACAGCAACATGATGCTCTACTACCTCTTCAGAGCTAGTGGAGGCGCGGAGTCGCGAGGACAGGTCGTGCGGTGGCCTGCAGAGGCGAACATGACTACCGGGGAGGCGTGGGAAGAATGCCATGGATACAACATGAGGATGACCATGTGACGCTATTGTTTCTGTTTTTTTTGCTATTTCGACAGACGTTATATCAGTTTCTGTTCATTTCTGAGTGTTTGCAGGTTCGTTTGATTTAGGCTTTGTTGCTATTTCGTTTCATGTGCGCCTGTCGCCATCGAATATGGTTGTGATCGCCTGCGGGACTGCATCGATTGCGGTGACGCCAAGTTGAAAGGAAGAAAAAGATTTTTTGAGTGGACAGGTGCATCGATGAAAGGGATTTTTGGTATTTGTTTTTTTCCAACAGGATTTTGCATGATATATAAAACGCGACATAGCATGCCTTCACTGTAAACGAAAAACGAGCTCGCAATGCCCGTGATTAGACGAGCCCAGAAATCACAAAGCAAAACAAAAATGAGACTTGGACCGAGACCCAAACCGAGACGAGACGAGACGAAAAGCGGGACGCGCGCGTGGGGTCCCTGTGCTTAAATTTAAACTCTAAACCTAAAGCCTAACCAATTGTTTGTATCCTTCCAAATCTTGAGCAGCCTCGAGGCTCAGCCCAGCAGCCTTCCGGGCTTTAGCTCGGCTTGGCTGGCTTCGGGCCGCTGGAGCAGGCTCACGCTTGCCTTTTGGGGATGTCGCATCTGTCAAAGTACAGCAAGGAGACCCGCTCATAGGCTGCCGCACCGCTGCAAGACCGCAAAGCTGTGCCTGTCTTCTCCTGGCTCACAGCTGCATCTACTTGTCATCTTGCTGCATCCCCCTCTGCCTGTTCACGTCAAGTGTGCGTCCAGATTCTCTCCGCGCTGCCTTTTCAAGGGCTCCATGCCTCTCCGCCGGTACTTTAGCAGCTCCGCAGTACATCTGTCTCTCCCTCTCCCTCGCCGATCTTCCTGCCGCGTCACCAGCTCTCTCCTCTCTCTCCTCCCTTCCTCCTCGCCATAGTCTCTCGTTCGATAGCCCAGTATGTATCGCATGCGCGTAGTCGTGCTGGTCATCTGCCTGAACGTCTTTGCCATCTCCTTATTTGTCTTTTCCTCACATCCCGTCTCCGCGCGGATAGCCAAATCGTCCGTCACCTTCCTCCGCTCTCTTCTCTCTTCCCTCTTCCCCTTCATCATCGTCGCAAGCGTACTAACGGCCTCTACAGAACAGCAGACTTTGTCGTCGGATCAAATGACAATCTTCAGGCGAAGGTTGTAGAGGAGCCAATATTCACTCCACATGTGGTCACAAAAACAGTATCGACAGACATCCAGGAGCCGACGCCGGTCCCTCCCTCATACTGCCTCGATCCCTACAAACGACCGGGCTACTTTTTCAACCCCAGAGTCAAGAAGGGCCGTGAAATCGCTGGCTTCATAGCTTCGCGATTCGTGCCATACTATGACGACCTGCTCGAGCGAGAGCCGCCCCGTTCGGCGCAGTACCCACCTCCAGAAGGCTACGATCCGACAAGAAACGCCGAGCTGATGTTTACAGAAGCAGAGATCCCTGGCGACATTCTCCGCTTTGCACCCATTAACTGGCTCCAGCTCGTGCACGACTATCTCTACTGGATCGTGCACACGGAGGACGGGCCGTCAGAAACTATTCACCGTCACATCGGCGAACTCTGGGAGCAAATAAAGTGGATGCAACACCGACGAGTGCTCCTGCTCGCCGACTCGGTCGACCGCTACATGATTGTGCATCTCTGCGAAGATCTCGGCCTCGAAGCGGAGGACTACCTGACGCCAATTCGCACTGGTGGTCGTTGCGTAATCGAACCACTCAATTTTACAGTCTACTACTGGCATGTGCCGTCGATGTACACGTCGCGGCCGGACTGGTGGTTTTCGGAGCTGATTGAAAATGTGCCATTCGAGAATCGCACGGAAAACCTCTTTATGAAAGCAGGCATTGACGACGTCCTGGGCGAGAACGGCGTCGCACCAGATTTAATTATTTACCAATCCCTGCTCTGGGACTGGAAAGCCAACCAGATCGGCTACCGCGTGAGCAAAGGCATGTCGCCCTACACAGACAAGTTTGCGCGGCCGCTGTTTTGGTCTGAGCTCGACTTTTACCGCGCGCGGCAGCAGATGTTTATCGAGTACTTTAGAGGTCTGTTTGGGCCCGACGTTCCGATGATGTACCGTGCGGTCGCACCCTTGCGAGATGGTGGCGCCCCAGAGATCGGACTTCGTCAGCTCGACGCAATGGCGCGTTTAGTGGCATCGAACCACGACATCGAAGTTTTTGAATGGGGGTACAGTCTACTAGGACATCCAGAGGTTTACAAGGACAAGATGCACGTTATCAACAGTCCACAGGCGTCACTGTTCATAAACATGATGTTTTACTATCTCCATCGGTCATTGGGCGGCACCGAGGAGCGCGGACAGGTCACCCGGACGCCGGAACAGTTCATGTCCGTTCCCGGGAGAACAGCGGGCGATGCATGGCGAGAGTGCAATATGTACAACGTGAAAGTATCAAGCCATTAAATGGCATTGCATGGGTTAATTTGTGTATTTATGGTCGTTCATCTTTTTTCTTTTCCTTCACATATGTGGATATTTGCATATGTATGTATACAATGGGTATGGTGTTTCTCTGCAGATCATTTTTCTGTACTATTCTTCTCGGGCTGCAGGGAAGATACCAAAATGCGAGTTCAGCTTATACAAAAGACTCTGGCTATCAAAATAAATAGACAACAGTGAATTTGACAGAACACAGTTGATAAAGAACAGAAGCCGAAGCTGCACGGCCTGGGAGCTAACGCTTCGGAAGCGGAGACATCCGAAGATTAGGGTCTACAAGGGTCGTACCCGAACTCAACCACCCTGCGTAACACAGATAAAAAGACCTTCACCACAATCAGAGTGTGAATATTTTTCAATCGAATGGTATTCTCTCGCTTAAATTGACCATACCACTATAGAATATCTCGCATTTTCAGTCTGAGCAGGATGACATGCGTTCTGTGGCTGGTCAGGAAGAATGGAAAACGTAAACGTAGAAGGCGCACGGACTCCTAGAAAGAGCTGAGATAGTTCCATTGCACCTCAGATCATTCCTGCGGGTGATTGCATCGCAGAGATCGATGCACTCTGCAGGCAGACTAACGCATAAACAAATAGATTGCTGATATGTAGGCTCACAAGCAGACTAAAGCAGGCGTTGCTGCGACGGAATGGTACTAATGAAGGCTGATGCTTGGGCAAACGGTGTGATAAGCGCACTTGAGATCTGTCCCAGCCAGCTGGATCGCGGGATCTTCGCCCGAACTCACTGAAAGCGTTTCATTCCCTCTGGACCCAAAGGCAAAAAAGACAAACCCTCGGCTTGGACCGCAGATGCAGACCACAGCGCTGCTCTGTCTTGGTTCTAGTGGAGGCAGGAAATGGCGCGCGCATAATGGACCTCCTTCATTGAGCTCTCTTCACGCTTGCTCATTACTATAGACTCGATCTCGTCTCCTGCTCATCTACTCATCGTCGGAGCTACTCCTCCGTTCGTGCAAGTCGGTACGCCATGCCGCTCGCGAACCTCCATACCAGCGCGGCCATCGGCTGCAACATTGTCTTTCTAGCATTGGTGTATTACTACACCAACATCTACAGCCCGCTATTCGGCCCGTCAAGCTTCGAGGACGTGCGGGATGTGACCAGCGTCGACCACCATATCGAAGATGTCGCTGCCTTCACCACTTCCGCAGCAAGTCTGACCACAGCAGCGCCTTCTGGTAGTTCGAACAGACCAGTCGCGGACATTGACAAGTTCACGTTCACACACACCGTCACGCAGTACGCGCCAAAGCCGACCTGGACCGACCCTCAGCCATGCGAAGATCCTTACCGACGACCAGGATACCTCTACATCCCACCTTACGAAAGCACTGTCGAATACAATACAACAGTAGGCATTCCCTACTTGGCCGATGCCCCGAAAAACATGAGTGAAGGCGGCGAGCCATGGTTCATGGATTCCGTCTACGTGCCTTACTACGACAACTACCTTCTCCACGGTCCTCCCCACAACGCGATCTACCCGCCGATAGAGAAAACAAACAACTGGCTCGAGCACTACTTCAACGACCAGAGCGAAATCCCAGCTGAACTCCTCCACACAGCGCCGATCAACTGGATGCGTTTCCTGCGCGAGCTCATCCAGGCAAAGGACAAGGCGCCAAAATCACTCCAAGACTCGTTCAAATGGCTCCGCAACAAGCGCATCCTCATCTGGGGCGACGCAATCGACCGCGATATCGTCCAACACACATGTACGGTGCTCGGTCTTGCATCCGAGATCAACCTGTACGGCTACAACACCGTCTCGCACTGCGTGATCGAGCAGCTTAACTTCACAATCTTCCACTGGGATCTGCCATCCATGTACGTCTCGCGACCAAAATGGTGGCTCCTGCAATCGATGGACGTTGTCGCGTTCGAAAACCGGACCGAGACTGTCTTCAAAAATCACACTGCAGCCGTCTACGGCAGCCTCTTCAAGCACGCGCCAGATCTCATCCTGTACCAATCACTGCTGTACGATTGGCGCGCAGATATGCGCGGCCGCCACGAGAAAATGGCACGGCGCAAAGCATCACCGGAAGAGATTGCTAAAATCCCGCTTGTGCGGCCGATCCGCTGGCCAGAGCTCGATTTCTACCGCGTCCGACAGATCAAGTTCGTGCACCATCTACGACGCATGTTTGGATCAAAAGTGCCTATCCTCTACCGCACAGCCACGCCGCGAAATTCCGCCCACAAAGCTGACGAGGGCATGCACGCGCTCGACTCGATGTCGCGACTGATCGCGGCCAACAATGATATCGAGGTCTTTGAATGGGGCCATCATCTCAAAGGATACGCTTCTGGTGCGTTTTACGACTCTGTGCATGTACGACCTGGTCCTCACTCGCTGCTATACTCAAATATGTTGCTCCATTATCTGTTTAGAGCTGCTGGAGGTGTTGAGGCTCGAGGTGTCGTCAAGGTCTGGCCTGGCGAGGATAGAAATCACAACTGGGGTAGGTGTCATGACTACAACAAACCCATTTGGCATTCATAACATTTATACTGTAATCATAATAAAATCTATTGCATTTCTACCATTCCACCCGCTTGATTTCCAAGGGCATATTACCCTCCGGCCTGTACGTAAACCTAGTCGTGAATTTAATCTCCGGCTCTCCCTCGACAAACGCAAACTCATAGTGCCCGATCAAGGCAATCAAGAGGCATTTGAACTCGAGCTCCGAGAACCGTCGTCCGATACAAGCCCTCGGACCAGCGATAAACGTCAGGAAAGCCATACTGTTTCCGCCCGCCAATATCTCCGGGTCGTTCCATCTGTCCGGCTTAAACTCGCGCGCGTCCTCACCCCATATACTCTTGAGCTTGTTTGTAACTCCTGGAGCAACAGTAATGAACGTGCCTTTGGGAATGAATTGTCCTGCCACGTAAGAGTCCTTCATCGCCTGCCTGATAGTCGCGACCACCGGCGGTGTAAAGCGTAAAACTTCGCGAATGAAATTGTTGAGAAACTTGAGAGACTCCACGTCCTCGTAGGTTTTGATCGAGCTGTATCCTGACGGGAATGCGGTGTGAATTTCGTTGCGAAGACGGGTCTGTAATTCGGGATGCTTGCAGAGTTGGTCCATTGCCAGGGTCATCGAGGACGCTGTTGTTTCGTGGCCGGCAACCAGGACTATCACGTACTGTCAGCTGATAGTGCTATAAAAACGAATACGGAAAGAGGAACTCACATGTAAGCAGCTGGTCAGCCATGCCCTGTACACTCCATTCTTCGGGCCCACCTTCAATCATAATACTGATAATATCAACATCCCTCTTGCCATCTTCATTCTTCTTTTCCTTTTCTGCCTCAAACTTCTCCCTCTTCTTCTGAATCGCATCTGTGGCAAACTTGTTGATTGTCGCGCGCGATTGTCGCATCACGTTGTTACGCTCAAACGGCAATCGATAAAACCATGGCACCAGCGCCGACAGAAGGAAAAATAGCTTTCCAGCTTTACCCTTGGGAGAAACAATGTTTTCATACGCGCGTGCGAGCTCATTATCTGGGTTCTCGAGCGCATCAAAGCGAAGACCCAAACCTGCACGATAGATGATGTCAAGTGTCAGGCGCGAAACCTGCTTTGCTAGTTCAACCGTCGGCCGCTTCTTGTCGTCACTCTTGCTCTGGGCGTCGATCGAATTTGAAAACACTTTAACGAGTCGAGTGGCCTCTTCGAGGAAAACAGGCACGAGCTTTTTGGTTCTTCCAAAAGAGAACGCAGGCATAAGTTTTTTACGCTGACGTTGGTGCACTTCGCCTTCGGCAAATAAGAGTCCATTTCCGAGCACGCCGTTCAAGCTCTTTGATAGGAATGGCGGCTTTTCAAAATCGTAGCACTGCGTCTGCAACACTTCCTGAACCGCTGCCAAAGAGACCAATACCACGCGCTCTGTGTTTAACATGCCGAGGATTCGAAGGAGATGGGTACCTGGCGGAGCTGCTTCCGCCCAATTCAGCGTCGCGCCTCCGTCGTTGCGGTTCATCGCCTCGCCGTGGAGATGACCGTACAGCGGATGCACCGGATAGTCTGGTTGCGGGAGGTCCCGCAGCTTTGAAACATAAAACGGGTATATGCGCCAGTAATAAATTCGTCGAGCGGCTAAACCGAGGAGGAGAAGTGGGTAGAATATGATGTTTGAGATTGGGTGAATGTATCGGTGGATAAGTAGCAGAGCCGTAAGCCACGATGCGCCGATGACTGCCAGAGACGCCATGTTGTTGCTGCTAGTATTGTCTCTTATGTACGTTCAGCGTCAAATGCTAGCAAAAGAGGAGCAATATGGGTATTACTGGAAAGTAAAGAGAGTGAGTAGAGATGAGATGATGTTTTTTGTTTGGCGTTATCGTCCCTGCGTCGAGCGATAAAATGATCTCAGGTATACGAATACGACGCTTAGTCATTATGCTCTGCGTACTTGTGCGCCCAATCAACACCAAAGAGCGTCATTCATGCAGAATAGCAAAAATGTACTAGCTACCGGTAATAAACACTTCGTTTTAATTAAATCAGTCGATCATTCACATCCGCTAATATGCGCATTAAAGCAATTATTCTCTTCTAATCGACTTTTTTGTACAGTTGCGCCGCACTTACTGAGGCTTTCACTCTGCCAGCATTTCTTAAGATAAAGCCCTTACCCTTTACTCCCAAATTTTTTTATTTTCGAGCTTCGGTGTAGGTAAAAATTTGTGAGCTCCAAGAACACTTCTTCATCATCAAGACCTCTGATCATGCCGAGAGTGAAGAAATCGAAAGCGAAGAAGGCGGAGTTGGCCGCTAAGGCCTCGAAAGATGGGGCTCAAGTGTCAGCAGCGACCAAGCCGGCGACCGTGGAGGAGAACGGGAAGGGCGAGAGTAACGGCAAGCGGAAAAGGCTGGAGCTGTCTGATGACGACGAGAGCGAGGACGACGGAGAGATCAAGCTGAAGGTTAATGCGGAGTACAAAAAGAGATTCGAGCATAATAAGGAGCGTGAAGAACTTCATCGATGTGAGTACCTTACTTAGATCAGTTGAACGGAGATATGAAGACGACTGACCCATCTTTGATATATAGTGAAAGAAAGAGCCAAGCGAGGAGAACTTGATTCATCAGACTCGGATGCTGAATCGTCTTCCTCTGAAGAGGAAGATGAGAACGCAGAGCTTCTAACAGACGAGGTCGACATGAAGATCCAGCAAGTCGTCCAGGCCTTGCGATCTAATGATCCGTCAGTGGTCAAGAACCCTGATGTGCGATTCTTCGACGACGAGAGTTTTGAACGAACAAAGAAGGACAAACCGGTTTACCTGCGCGATTATCATCGTATGAACTTGCTAGGACAGTTGGACGAAGGCGCTACCGCCGACGGCGAGGAGGAGCAGGATGAGAGCAAGCTTCCGTACTCTGTCAAACTTGCCCGTGACCGCGCTCAGCTCGTGCGCGAGATGCACGAGTCTGCTGAGAACGATGGAGACAACGGCAACAACAGCGACGATGAGGGTGAGGACGATTTCCTAATGAAGCCAGTCGAGAAGGAGCGCAAGATCGAGCCGATCGAATTGCCTGATCCAGCCGAAGACCCCGAGCGTTTCCTCGACACATTCATGAATTCAAAAGCCTGGCTCGAATCAGCTCCTATCCGCCGAAAGAAGAAGCCCTCTGTAGCGAAGGACAAGCTCGACGACCAGGCGGCTGTCAGCGAAGAAGACGATAGCGACTTCGATGATCGCGCGGAAGAGTTTGAGACAAAATATAACTTCAGATTTGAAGCCGGCGAGGAAGCAGGTCAGGTTGTTTCGTACGGTCGTGACGTTGTGGCTGCGCACTCGATCCGCCGCGAGGACGAGACCGCAAGACAGCGGGCGCGTCGATTGAAGAAGGAGGCGAAGGAGCAGGCGAAGAAAGAGCGCGAGGCCGACAGACACCGGTATAAGCAGCTGAAGGTCAAAGAGGTTATGGAAAAGATTGCGAAGATTAAGCAGGTCGCTGGCTTGGATGAGGACGAGGATCTGCCGATCGGTGAAGAGGATCTGGAAGCAGACTTTGACGAGAATGACTGGGACGAGCGGATGAAGAAGGCGTTTGGCGACAACTTTTACGGCAAGAAGGATACTAAGCCTGTCTGGAATGATGATATCGATATCACAGACATTGTTCCAGACTACAAGAGTGACAGTGAGGCTGAACTGGACGAAGGCGGAGAAGTGGAAGATGAGAAGGAGGAGGTAGAGGAAGAGGAGAAGGAGGAGGAGACTCCGAAGCTCTCCAAACGGCAACAGAAGAAGCTTGAACAGAAGGCCAAGGAGCAAGCCAAGGAAGAAGCTAAGAAGCTCAAGTCCAAGGTCGAGGAATTCGTCGACACCCAAATCTTGCCCTTTGCCGACGACGACGAAATAGCACAGACCACCGGCAAGAAAGACAAGAAGAAAGACAAACCCGAACCAAAGAAGTCTGACGAGCCTGAGTTCAAATTCAGATACCGTGAGGTCTCGCCCGAGTCGTTCAACCTCGAGCCCGCAGATATCCTCCTCGCAGACGATAAGGCGCTCAACGAGTTCATTGGACTCAAGAAACTTGCGCCGTATCGCGAGCCGGAGAAGAAGGCGCAGGACCACAAGCGGTTTGCGAAGAAGAAGCGTCTACGACAGTGGCGCAAGGAGGTTTTTGGAGATGCAGCGGCCCCGAAGTGGGAAGAACGTGCACCTTTGATCTTTGGTGATGCAAACGGGGCTTCGGAAAAAAAGAAGAAGCATCACAAAAAGCACAAGAAGCAGGCAAAAAAGTAGATGAAAAGTAATTCTAGTCTATATTCTAATCTTAAATAATCTCCGAATGCAATGCAAAAACACGATACCCGATCTATAAAAACGCTCAAGAAAAAACAACAACAAAATCCCAGCTCCGAGCCTAAATAAAAACCATAAACTTTTTCCCGTGCTTCAAGTACCTAGTAACAAACATCAGACACAGGGATGTCGCGCACATGCAACCGCAAAATATAGCAGTCGCGTCGTACGTCAAGTTAGTCTTGAGCAACGCACCCGCGATGGGCGTGCCAATCAGCAATCCCACTCCCGCAATAGCGAAAGCCATGCCCATGCGCGTGCCGACTGTTCTGATATCAGGAGATAGAGATACCAATGCTGGCGGCGGAATAGACACCACAGCTCCCGAGGCAAAGCCGTAGAAGGCGCAGAAAAGAACTATACCAGCCGGGGACGATACCGCCATCCATGAATAAGCAATGATGACTGTGAGGAGGGTGAACGGGATAAGAACATTGACTGGTCCCACAACATCAGCGATGAAGTTTGGAATAATGCGACCAAAAATAGATCCGGCGTTGATGATAGAAAGCATGTAAAACGAGGTCGAGCTGCTGAGTCCCGCACGTTCGTTTGCAAAGGACTTGACATAGTAGTAAGGAATGTATGCGCCTCCAAACGCAAAGAAAATGACTGCCGTGAATACAACAAAAATGGGATCTTTGAGCGCAGTCTGGTCCCAAATAGCACGCTTGAACTTTGGCGTCGTGCGAAGCTTTAGAACAGAGATTCCGAGTGCTTGTGTCGCGAGCATGATAAATCCCATGGTGCGCGTGGTCCATGCAAAACCAATACGCGGTTCAAGACGATGGAAGATGATAGGATATATAACTCCACCCAGTGACGATCCAGCTGCGACCAGGCCACTTGCAAATGCGCGTTTGGTGGTGAAATACTGAGGGATGACTGCAATAGCAGGAATAAACAGGCAGCCGGTGCCGAGACCGACTGTGATTCCCTGAGCAAGCATGATCTGCCAGTATTCTTTACAGAGCGAGGTCATCATCATGCCAAACACGGCGAGAACGGATCCCGTGATCAGAGTAGAGCGGAAGTAGCCGTGGTCAAAAATTGGACCGACTACTATTCCCAAAAGCACTAGAAGAAATGACTGTATTGATCCAACCCATGCAATAGCCGATTCTGATTTTCCGGAGAGACCCACATCAATGTAGTAACTCTCGAATGTGCCAAACGAGTTGATGATACCCCTAGAAAGTAGAAGATCATTAGCACCAGACCACAGTGATATTTATGTCTCCTTCGATAGCACATACCAGCTATTAAAATACATCATCGCCGAACCAAGAACTTGCAACCACGCCATAACTCCGCCGTTTGGAATGTCGTCGATAATATCCTGACGGCCATCGTCCGAATCACTCTTCTCACTCCTCTCTTGCTCAGTCGAAAGTCGACTCGCGTGTGTTCTTATCCGTTCGGTCAGTGGAGCCATGCCAATTAGAGATGGCATGGCAATGTCGCCTGCTTCGGCTGCTTCCGTTAACTCGGACAGCCGAGTGGACATTGGGACTAGAAACTCAGACATGTTTGATCTGGTGTAAGTGAATGCGTGTATGTGAAATGCGTGTAGTGAGTCTGTTTAAGTAAACGCAGCTTTATCAGTGAGTCATCGGAGAAGAAATCGGTAGAGACTAAGAGAGATCAAGATCCATAGCCCACGGCAGAATTCTCGAAGGCGATTCCACTTGAATACCGATATAATACCTTCGTCCGAGAATGAGACAAGATCAGAAAGACAGAAAAGAAAAAATCTTCGCCGACGAGAGAAGGTAGATGTAAATTCATGGTGCACATTTGACTTTCACAGTACCAAACGGGAAATTTTATTCTGTGATGGTCTGCACGCGACGCGCTGTCGTCCCTGCTCTCGGCCTTGACCCACATAGTTTACACGTCTACTGAAGATCGGTGCCCGGTTGCAAGATAAACTCGATGATATTCCGATATCTTCATTCTGCAAATTCCTTGATTTCTACACAAAAAGGCAACGGAAAACCCCACCGCGGTCTCGGAATCCACGGAAAAAAGAATAGTCAGAGTTATGAGAGCCGCACGCCACTTCCGACTTCCGGTCGGAAGTGTGGGATTAAGACCCTAATCTGGCAACTACTCGTCTTGTGGGGTCTCCGGAATGCGTGGATAACTAGTCAAGCGGATCAACTAAGTCTGAGTGATATATGTATATGAATAGAGAACAAAACTATTATTGATGATTGAGACAAAATATTTACAGCAAAGCGTCGCTAGCTTGGGGTACTTTTCACAAGTATGCACAATAAAACAACAGCTTTCAAATCAGAGATGGAGAATATACAGGATTACACGCAACACCTTTTTCATCATCCTCTGCTACCTTTCACTTTCCTTGAGTACTATCTTTTTCCACCTTACGTTTTATCGCCTCTAGTTAGTGCCGCCGATATACTTAACCAATTCCTCGATTGATTTCGTATTGATCGCCGACGGCAGGATCTCTCCAGACTGGACACCGTTCAAAATATCAGAAGTCTTAGATCGTCGACCACCGCTGCTGCTTCCAGCATTAGCCTTGGCGGCCGCGTTCGCAGCCGATCCAACAGGCTTCACATTAGCTTTAGCAGTGCCATTGAGAATTGCCGTCCTCTGCGCCTTTCTGGCTTCGAGGTCCTTGGCCTGGCGAGCAAGCTCGACCGCAGACTGAGTAAGCTGAACAAGCCATTTCTCAGAGTCGACCGTGTTGCGATCCTCGGGACCCAACTCGGCGTTGAAAACGGTGTACGCAGCCTTCATCCTGTTGACCGCCGAGTGCGAATCCTGAGTAAGAACCATGGCCTGTGCGAGCTGGAAGTTGAGCGCAGCAGTGTTGACCGACTCTGTACCAAAGATCTTCTCACAGAGCGCGAGCGAAGCCTCGAACCACTCTCTCGAGTCTTTGAATTCTGTGAGCGACTGCAGCATCACCGCCGCATTGTTCAAGTTCGTGACCGCATCCGGATGGTCCTCGCCGCAGATAATCCGCCAGATAGTGTACGCATGACGCACATGCGCAAGCGCGACGTGTGCATTTCCATTTGCGTGCTCAGCCAGGGCAAGGTTGAGATACAGCAAGACGGTCTCCGAAGAATCAAATCCGAGAGTCCGCTCACCAATAATAACAGCCTTGCGAGCATACTCGGCGGCAGCTGCGGTCTGCTTCTCCTCCAAACTTGAGTAGATCATCGACAGCTGAGAGTATGCGCGCGCAACCTCGGGATGGAGAATGCCGTAGATCTGCTCGTGAAGCGAGAGCGACTCGAGAAGAAGATCGACGCCGATTTCGCGGTTACCCTGGATCAACGAAATACGACCAGCTTCGATGGCCTCCTCCGCCAACACAGACTTCATAGTGGAGTCCTTGATGACCGGCACAATGTTCAGCAAATCGTCAGGAACAAATGTGGCCTTTGGTGTGACAGCCTTCTTCACGGTGGCTGTCTCCTCCTTGGGTGCCTGCTTGTTCTTCTTTCCATGTTTCTTACCGCTCTTTCCAGACTTGCCGTTAGCGACGGGCTGCTCACCGTTCGTCTTCTCAGAGGCCTTTGCCTCATCAGCCTCGGTCGCGGGAGCGGCCAAAGTCTTATCAAAGCTGTAGTCCTTGGCCTTCCATTGGAAACCCATCTTGATGGAAACCTCCCTGAAGAGCTGCAGCGATCGGACCTTAGTGTCCACCCAGTTCTCTCCAAGATCGTATCTGAAGCGGCTCTTAGCCTCAGCCTTGACAAGATCCTGGATCTCCTTGGCAGAGAGTTTGGCAAACTCCAGGTTCTCGCGAGGATAGAGGGCCACCAAAGCCTCGTCCAGAGCAACCTCCGGATCAGGGTTGAGCTTGGTTCCAAGAATCGAGTTGTAGATATGCGCCACGGCAAACGAGATTAGCGGCACGGGAATGTCGCGAATCAGCGAGCTGATAGCATGCTTCAAAGACCGAGCAATGATCTCCTGCTCGAGAAGGATCTTGAACAATGTGAACTTCTTGGGTGTCTTTGACTCCTTCTCGGCCTCTGCCACGCTAGCAAGAACGGCACCCAGATATCTCATGTTGAGACCGCGCTTGTGCATCAGAGTCGACAGCTGGACACCATCAAGCGGAACAGACACTGTTCCTTTGTGAATGTCTTTGACGAAATCCGGGATCAAGGTGGTCTTGACGAATTTCGAAATCGCGCGAACTCTAGCCTCGTCTTCAGCATAGGCCTCCTTGTCGGCCTCAGTCACAGGAAGTTGACCGGCAAAGACGTCAGGGTTGATGGCATACTTAAATCCATCAAACGACAAGGTCACGACCTCCTTCTTCTCTTCGACCGCATCCTCTTTGACAGACTCTCCATCTTGCTCCTCAGATGGTGCTGCCTTCGAGTCTTCGATAGCCTTGACGGGCTCTTCCGACTCTTTCTCGGCCTTCGAGGGAGTAGTAGCCGACTTGTAGATGAAACGGACCTCCTTTCCTTCAGCCTTGTACTTCTCAGTCTCTTCAGAAACCCAAGCACGAACCTGAACTCTCCACCATTCATCAACGGCTTCAGTTCGCAGGACGGCCATTTTATGAGGATAACCTTCGCCCTCAGACTCCAAGAACTCGATGTCCAGAGGAGTGATGCGGTACAGATCGATGATGTATTTTCTTCCATCGGTACCCATCAAACCCTTGTTCTCGAGCGAAGTAGCGAGCTCGAAAGGCTTACCATCCTGGTCCCAAACAGTATGAGTCTTGAGATGAAGGCTCTCGGCAATCTTCTCAAAGTACGGCTTGAAGTCTGGCGAGTTATCAATGACCTTACGCTCTTCCACCGCACCGTAGACAATTTGGTTGGGGACGTCTTCCTGCTGACGGAAGATGCCGGGGAACGGTGCCTGAGCAACAACTCGGCGGCCGCAGTAGTCGACGACAACGGTACACAGCGGGTACAATCCCTCGACATCCAATTGAGTGACAAATTTCACGCCGGCAAGATCCTTGCCGACAGCGTAGCGCGCAGCCGCATCACCACCTTCTTTGGCATATGCTCCGTTGGGATCAGCACCATAGGAGAACAGGATACCATTGTAGAGATAAACCTGGTTGTCACGCACATCGCTTGTGTTCATAGGAGGGATCTCCTCGCGAACGATTTGCACGGCGCCTTTCGCAGCAGCCTCGGAGTAGTCAAACGAAAGCTTGTTCAAGAGTCTCTCACGGAGAATGCGCTCAGTGATGGTCGTACGGGGCATCTCGCGGGTTGACTGGAAATCCTCGTTCCAATCGCGCACAGTATCGAGATTGTCACTGCCACCAAGCAAGAGCTGCTCTTGTGTCCTCGACACGTCAGGAAGCGGGGAAGGAGCCGGTCTGGCAATGAAAGGAGCAGCAAGCATAGCATTAGTAGGAGTGTAGACCGTCAGAGGATCGCGTTCGCCCAAACGTGTCTGCCATTTGTGAAGCTCAGCAGCAAAGAGCGGGGACAGATCCTGAAGCAAAACAAGGAGAGAGTGGGCAGAAGGCGACTTAGCCTTCGGAGTCGGATCAAACTTCTGACTGGTCGAGTTTGAGACATAAAACCCAGAGATGTGCGAAGTGATATGGAAGGCAGTACCTTCCAAGGTCATCACCTGCAGATAGAGGAGGTGACCACGAAGGCGCAAGTTCGCTGGAGGAGGGTGCCAGACAGACAATCCAAAGGCCTTTACGCATTGAGGCTTTGCGGGCTCAGGCTGGGGTAAAATCTCGGCCAGCGAAGGAGTACCATTCATGTCGAATCCAGCCATGGCGTGTCGCGGACCGGTCTTGTCTTTCTCATCAGCGGCGGTCTTGAACTGCTCGCCAAACGCCTCAACCGACTCTAGAGCAGATAAACCGGAGCTGAGCGCGGTAATTGGATCGTTCTTGGTCGAAGAAAGCGCAATTACATCGCGGACTTTGAGCACATGCAGGCGCGCTTCACGTTCAGTGTAGGCCTCCTCGTGCAACTCCAGTGTCGCTCCGTCGTGGATTCCTTCAACTGAGCTGAGTTCCAGGAAGTCGTTCAAAGGGGCATCGTTGAACCATAGTGAAAAGCAAGTGTATTGGACGGTGGAAGGAAGATCAAGGATTGACTGTCTGATGTCGTTGAATGTCTCGTGGACAGAAACCTGATACGATAAAGCCAATTAGACATGACTCCTTGTTGCTATCATTAGACGACAATTATTAGAGACTCACCAGTATCCTTATAGATCCGGGTTCATGGGGAAGCTTAACCGTCAAATTGAGCATATCCATAGCTGAATGACTAGTTAGTGCAAGATCTCGGCGGCCAGCATAGGTGGAAGACGCGGGGAATACCTTCAGTGGGCTGCTCGATTTCGGCGACAGCATTCTCAGACACCTCCTCAGTAGTGGGCTCTGGAGCAAGAATTAAGAGACTGGTTAGTCGCACCGATCTGAGAATAAAATAGTCAATGGCTGGTGCAGCATACCTTGACTAGGATCGGCCATCGCTTTCTAAAATGCAGACGATAATGATGCGAGCGCAAGAGATATATGATGTGCACTTCAGCTTAAACGGCAGAGCAGAGCGTGAAAGCAGAACAAAAGAATAACGATGAAAGAAGGACTTTTATAAACAAGAATCAGCAGTCCTCTTCCAGCTTTCAATCTCCAATCCAGACAAGAAAGCGACAAATTCTGGAGATGTTCAACCGACGAATGGTTTTCAAATTTTTTTGGCTCTCGGGCTGCTCGAAGGCTCTAAAGGAAGGGTACGTGGGGTAACTATGCATTTCACCCGTACCTATAAGCCGGGTAATAAGTCTTCTTCCCGGTGAAGCCGCGGAGCTCACGTACACCGAGCCGACAGAGAAGGCCGAGCGTGTGCCTTAGTATGAGGGAGGTTTGGTGGTTGTATATATACGTTTTCATTAGTAGAAATATCAGTTAGTTTGCCGATGCTGCTTTTTTCGAAGTAGAGAGACAATATAGTAACAATAACGCCAGCAGCAGGCCTTCCTATTCGCCGGTTTGTATTATGTAACTTATTATCATATAATTATTATAGCGTGGTACAGAAAAGACGGAAGCGGCGTGTCAGCTGACCAGCAGCGCCGCGCGGCTCGCGGTGCGGACCGGCGATTGTTCTCTGTTTTGGAGCCCCGCCGCAGCCTCGAAGGTCTAAGCCCCACGAGCCTGTCAACCATCTGGTTTCTCTCTCCTCCACATCTTCCTTCAATCCTAACGAACACCACAATGACCCTTGTCAGCCGTTATGCTTTACGGACGCTTTGGAGACAGGGCAGGCCGCGGTCTATGCTCCTCGCGCGTCCACAAATTCGAGGGATCATGATGGTCGGTCCACAGATTCTTGGCGATGAAAATGAGGAGGACTCTGGCTCTTCCAAAAAAAACGACCCTAAAGATGACAGACGCGAGAAGTTTTCGCAGGCTGCGTTCAAGGCTTTGGAGACCGCTGCTGTAACGTTTGCTACGCTTACTGTCCTGGGTGTATCTGGTATCATGTACCATATATACTATCAAAAGCGGGTACTCAAGAAAATTCGGATGGCATTCAACGAAGGTGATCCCAGTCTCGACATGGCTTTCCACTCGAATGATCCCGAAAGTGCAGACTGGATTGTGCGGGATGAGCAAGCCATCATTGATAAGGCTGTCTCGGGCAGGGGACTGGGTCGATACTATCTCATCATTGGCGAGAAGGGCACAGGGAAGACATCGATGCTACTGGAGGCTCTTCGACGAGTAGAGGGCAGAAACTGCGCCATGTTCGAGGCCCATTCTGATCCCGAAATTGTACGAATCAGACTCGGCAAAGCTCTGAATTATCAGTATCACGAAGATTACATCGGTTCACTTTTCTCTATAAGGGGTCCCCGCGATACAACTGCTCTGCTGGACATTGAGCGAGCTTTTGACAAGCTTGAAGAAGTCGCCCTCGATGTTGTCAAGGAGAAAGGTCGGCCGCTGGTATTGATTGTAAACTCGACACATCTGCTACGAGAGGATGACGACGGTGAGAATCTGGTAGAGCTGCTTCAACAACGTGCTGAGCAATTTGCTGCTTCCGGCATCTTGACGATGATCTTCAACAGCGACGATTACTGGGTTTATGAGCGTTTTAAAAAATTAAGCACTCGTTTAGATGTGGTCACGATCAAAGATCTCGGCAGGGCCAAGGCAATCGAGGCACTGCAGCACTGGCGCAGAAAATACTTTGGAGACTCTGTTCCAGTCTCTGTGTGCAATAGGATCTATGACATGGTCGGTGGTCGACCCCAGTTTCTGAACCGAGTTGCGCAACATAGTGATATGCTTGCGCACGCGCAGCAACTTGTCGAGACGGAAAAGACTTGGTTCCTTAACCAGTGCGGTCTGCTGGGCGAAGATATGGACGATGACGTGATGGAGTCTGGAAAATTTTCAGGCTCAGCTATGCTTCTTGCCAAAGAACTGGTTGAAATGGAAAAGAAGCACATTGATTCCAAGGGAAAGCCGCTACCAGATCAGGATCATATTCTTCCCTCTCTACCTCTTTGGCGTGCCCGGCAGGTTATGACAAGAGCCGATTATATTCAGCGATATGACAACCTTAATATTTTTACGATCGACTCAAAATCACATGTCCGTGCAGATTCAGCACCAATGATGGAAGCATTCAGGCAAATATGCGCTGAGCCTGGCTTCGACAATTTATTAGAGGAAACCCTGGACAGAGTCAGTGCGATTGAGAGCTTAGGGCGTACTAGAGAACTGGTACTAAAAGACTTGGTCGGCGGTGGTAAATATCGGATCGAGCTTGAAAAGGGAAATAGTTGGAAGGGAGTTGGGAACAGGATATCTATGGAGGTGGTTCCTCCACCAGAGGAGGAAGACGATGATTAGAGTAAGGCTCTCTTGACTCTGTTTCTTTAGGGTTTTAGGGTTTTCACGAGGTTTATAGCTAGACTATTGCCATTGTAAGATTTGTTCAGTTTGTATAGTACACTACACTACAGATTTTTGTCCTTATTTCAGTATTACTTGTCATTTGATTATAATTCGATTGTTAAATGTAAAACATCCTTCTAAGCTCGCGAGGCATCCCAATATACCGGGTCATCAGGAGCCATGCTGTCGTTATGTACGCTTTCAAATGACGATCGCTTCAGTATGACTGACTGACCGAATATTTAGCTGAAGCAGAGGCAGAGCACTACTACTACTACTACTACTAGTTTCGTGAAATCTAACTTAATTGACACAAAGCAAAGAACAAAGACGACCAGCCTTGTTGTTTCATATCTGAGGTGCTGCTATGCTACCGGCTCCGAGGCGGGACTTGGTAACCCGAAGAAGGGGAAATCAAAACCTTAAAACCGATGACTATCTCCACTTTGGATTTGACTCCTCCATCCAGACAGATTTGCCCTTGTGCGTTTTTGCACCCCGAAAGATCATTAGAGTACGCTTAGTCTTTTAGCTATTGAGGAGGAGAGTGGAAAGTGATTTGGGTGGAAGCTAGTCGGAAACGTCCAGTTGAATACACTGATGAGGAGCAAAGATAAGCGTAGATAAGCCTCGTCAGGTTATCGGGCTCGAGTGTCGCACAATCACTGTGCTTTGAATATCTTATCGATAGCACAGCACAGATCCATGTTGTAGACTACGGTTTCAAACAAACACGAAGTATCGGTGATACGCGACACGATGGCTGTGATTTCCGTCTCATTGCTGGAAATTCTCCATGTTTCCGGTAGAGCGATGGGGGGAGTCATTTTAGAACCTAACTAAGCTGATATGCACACCCGAGAGGGTTTACAGTTTAAGACCGCCCTTGACAGGATGCATAGCGGAAATTTTCCTCATCGGGTCTAACATAGATTGGTTACCTTTACCAAATTCTGTAACTCTTCTGAGTTCTGAGGAAGGAGCGGCTCGTGGCTCGCCCTTATCGATTGACCGAAAACCAGCAGCTAAGACAAGTAGATACCCATCCTCGTTTTCGTAAAGAGTACGTGTGGCTACAGTGTGTAACAAAAGGGCAGAGCTAACCCGATTTGAAGTAAAAAGATACGGAGCGTACGGACCGCTGTGACCGTACGGGTAATCTGAACACTCGGCGGGTATAATTTTGGCTGTTTGTAGTGGGGGAAAGGGAAGCGCGAGCTGGTCGTTGGCCGCCCCCTCAGCCGAGCCGGGGCTGGGGATCCTCCACTATAAAACCCAGCTCGTCCCCACCGCACGCTATCACTATCTCATTGCTATCAGTCAACCACTCCCACTCAATTGCTTCTAGCACCCTTTTCTTCACATCAACTATTCACAATGCCTATGCTTTTCAAGAAGGGAGCCTCCTCGGAGAAGCCTCCTCACATCGCCAACGGCAACGCCTTCCTTGGTGACTGCTTCACCTCCGAGACCGACGCGGACCACCAGATTACCTCCGGATTCTACAGACAGGAGGCCGGCACTCCCCTCGTTTACAAGTACGACTACGTAAGTGAATCGTCTGCTGTCGTTATCTTTTAGCAAAGGCTGGTCGCCGTCGGAGTTCAAGGTAGCTGACTTTTGCATTTCTTTGGCTTAGGACGAGATGAAGGTCATCCTTGAGGGAAACTTCACCATGGAGGACGAGACCGGATACAAGGTCACTGCTGGACCCGGTGACACTTTCTACTTCAAGGCCGGCTGCACCATCACCTTCACATCGACTGACTACGGTCTTGCTTTCTTCGTTGGCCGGAGAGTCACCGGCACTGCTTAAATCAGCAGTCGCCTCAATCGACGACGGAAACAGCTACGATAGACTGGACCGTTGATTTTAACAATTTATTTTGACTTCAGTGTATATTAAGCAATAGTTTGATGGTTTCAATAAATAGTTTTTCTATCTGACTCGATCTGGCGGATTCATTAGCCATCGTTCGCCTAACCGTTATGGCTACATGCAGTAGCTCTCAATTAGCCACTTAGATCACATAAATGACCTATAGAACATACTGCAAAGTATTAAACTGATCAATTGATGTGTTGTTAACGGCGTTGGCCTTGCTTTTCAGTCGAGGTTGAGACGGACAGCCCCTCGGGTTTAAACTCAATTGAGAAAGATAAGGACGACTCAGCTCAGTAGGTTTGTTCTCCACAGTGCACTCCGCAATAATGTTATCGCTTCGTGGTTTCTTTCAGCCTTGTAGCTGCTTTCGCCATTCTCAGTCAACGTCTTGCATCACATATACAAGCAGGCCGTTATTTTGTCCAGCGTTCAATTGTTTATCTTTTGATCTGCAGATCTGTGAATTATGGAGCTCGATCCGTTTCTGTTGACAGAGCTGTTGACAACACAGTAAACAAACAAACAAACTGCAATCTGACCAACCGATCGCGACAGGAATCGCGACGGGATGATGATGTTGACAGGTATTGCCCGCACTATTTAAGCTGTTTGTAAGGGTGCTTTTTTCATGATACTTGCTCTCCCTCACCCTGCAGGTTTACCTTGAAGTACCATTATTGCCCAAGCTGCTCACTTCAGGGTATTAGATACAGTTCCGATGACAAGCCAAGGTTTGATGCCTGAGAGTCCTTAACGATATTCATTCAAGGAAGTCGTGATGATGTTCTGTTCCACTATTTGTGTTAATCCAGTAATCGAAAAAGGTCTCCTTCGCCTCTGTCATCGTGTCGATCTCAAAGATGTTTCATGCTCGGGATATTCTGAAAAACAAAAAGGAGACATTGCGGTACCATCATGGCCGAAGATGTACTGATGGACAAGACACTGATCTGTATGCTGTTGAAGTAGACTGTGATATTCTGTATAAGCATTAAATAATCATGCATCATATCCGCAGAGGAGAGTAGCTAGGCGGTAATATACTGTGCGTCTTCGAGCTCAATAAACGAGATCTAACACGCTGTTGACGATTGCAAGCTAATGGACATCGACCGAATGAGACACCGTTTTGTTTACTGTTACACAAAACTGCAACGGTCTACCACGCACATCGTCTCAAAGGAATTGGCTGATCTACCTCAACAACGAGCACCCAACTATCTCAGCTTGAAAGCACTCAGATATAAACGAGTTTGATGACATATCTATCATGATCCAGACGACAATACTGTCTGTATGCCACACCGCGACCCAATCCCGTCCTCTCGTGTCAATCTTGCCTGTCCGACTGCCACCACGAGGCCCAATCCGCAACGCTATAGGTCGCATTCACACGATTAGATCCTGCCGATTGCTGAAAGTGCATATTCGGCTGGAACAATCTTGCTTTTGTTCTGCAGCGATAGAGTCTGGGGTGTTTTGTTGGGAATTAGCTGGTGGGGTGTGGGTGGCCACGCGCACGCCTGTTTTGAAAAGCACCAACCAGCGGACCGATGAACGGCAAATACATTGACAAATGGGTGCATTTGATAGCTCCGACTCTACGTTCTACGATATACTTTGAAATACGATGATTACTGGAAACAGCACGCTGCTACACACTGAAATGTTCAATCGCGCCCGAAACAATAGCGGACTAAGTTCATTTTTTCGTCAGTTTGTTCGCGCCGCGTCCGCGACTTATCCCGATCTGGTAATTCTGCAACAGCAAAAACTATATATTAGGACGATTTAAAATGACTCACGCGACTGATCCCCGCACTCCAGCCAGGAATATAAATAGGGGGCTTTCTCCCCTCTTCCTCGCTCTCTTCTCTCCTTTCTCATCATCCCTCAAGAGCTCCAAGAGCCACAAGAGTCTCAAACTGATCTGGCTTTTCTTATGAACACAGAAGATCTAAACCGACACATGATCTTATGGTCAGTACTTATTATTATTATTTACTATTATATCTTGTGCTTGATGAGTACTGACACATGCTACTAGCCGTACACTCCAGCTGGCATCTGTCCAATACACTCCGCCGCTAGCATCGATGCTCGAACATGCTCTTACGATGGCTCTTACGATGTGATGCTTGAACGAAAGAATCTATCTCTATCCACATCCGCTCGGACTCCTTGAAGTCGATCCTCTATTTACATCCAGTATGGCTCCACGACCTCTGCTCTCTAGCGCAAGCGTTAGTCTCTTACTATGGTCAGTACATGCTTGATGGCTTCCAATCTTTCATTTACTCCATGATATTGACACCTGCTGCTAGTCGCTCACACCGCCTATCCCGAATCTTCTACATCTCGTCTCGACTATCGGCTCTTGCTATCATATTCAAATGCGACACGCGTCAACCAGGGGTGTTTTGAGCACAACGAAACAGAGGTTGAGTCGTAGACTTCATCCGATTCTATTACGACTCAACTTCTACACGCATTTTTCTATTTTCTTCTGTGTTATTTCTGTTATTCTGTGATTCTGTCAATACCCTGTCATCGACTTGGCGACCAGCTCAGCTTGCTGGGGTAGGAAAGACTTTCGGCACTCGACTTCGGCATGGCGACCAGCTCAGCTTGCTGGGGAAGGATGGAAATGGCGGGAAGTGGGGGAGAGAGATGGAATACATTGTATATACGACGATGACCCTTATGCCGTCGTATATATGAGGGAGATGGATGATGAGGAGAGAGGTGGGACGTGGAGGTAGAGATTAAATATTCGACGATGTCTATTATTCCGTTGTATATATGAGATGATGATTATGATGGGGAAGTGAGGTGGCATATTTCCAGTTTAATTTTGTACTTTTTTCTAATGTAAATATTACGTACAAAAAATGAAGGAGGAAATTCTAATTTGGGCTGAATCATTTGAAATTGAAGTAGGCAACAACTTCTCGACCTAAACTTGATAAATCATAGATGGAGATGTGCTGATTGACTTAAATATTTGTCAGGGCAGCCAAAGGTTGACGCGAGGGTCGGCTGGTGCTTAATATTGTATGATATCATGCTTTATTAGCAATAGAATTAGCTCTTCTTTACATTGATACATCTCTCGAGAGACAAAGTGTAGCGTTTGTTCCTCCGAATCCAGAACTGTTGCTCAATGCATATGCGACATCCTTCTTCTGGGCCTTATTTGGAACGTAATTACAAGTGAAGTCTGGATTAGGATCAATGTTATCCAGATTGATAGTAGGCGGCAAGACTCCATCTTTCATAGCCAGGACCGAGAAAATGGTTTCGACTGCTCCGGCGGCACCTAAGAGATGGCCGATTGCTCCCTTTGTGCTCGATATATTAATCTCTTGCGGGTCCAGCTTCTTGAACCCATTCCATTCAGCTGGCGTTTCGTCATCTTCACCTTCCAGCATCAGACGGCGGATCGCAGCGTTTTCGGCAGCATCTCCTTGAGGCGTCGAAGTCGCGTGAGCATTAACGTAGTCAATATCGGCCGGTCGGATTCCCGCCTGTCTGACAGCACTCGTCATCGACAGTAGGATTCCATCACCTCGTGGCGGCGGAGCTGTGATGTGATGAGCGTCGCCCGAGAGTCCGTAGCCGACGATCTCACCGTAGATTTTTGCTCCTCGATCTAGAGCATGCTGCAACTCCTCCAAAACAACCGCACCAGCACCTTCGCCCATCACGAATCCATTACGCGCCGAGTCAAAGGGTCGAGAAGCAGCGGCGGGGTTGTCATTAAACTCAGTAGACACGCTTTTTGCCCGCGCAAATCCGGAGAGCGAGAACGGCGAGATGCAGGCCTCGGCACCTCCGGCTACCATGACGTCTGCATCTCCAAATTTGATGAATCTGGACGCGTCGCCTATGGAGTGTAGTCCGGTCGTGCAGGCGGTGGTGACTGAGTGAATCGGTCCTTTGAAGCCGTACTTCATGGAGATATAGCCAGATGCCATATTTTGTAGAAGACGTGGAACCATGAGCGGCGAGACCTTTTTGTAGCCCTGTAGGATATTATGTCAGGGTTCTTCCTTCTCGTTGAAGGGGTGTTATAGAGTAGCATACCACCTTGTCAAAGGAAAGAGCGCTGTCATAAGTGTCGTCCAAATTACCGATTCCGGTGCCGAAGCAAACTCCCTATATCACACATATTTAGAATATTCAAACCAACTTTAGAAATTCTAGACAGATCAGTAAGCTCATACAGTCCGTCTCTTCAACGCCTCGGTATCTGCAACAAATTCTGCATCTCGTAGCGCTTGCTCGGCCACGGACAGGGCAAAGTGGGAGTATCGCCCCATTCGTCGTTCCTCCTGAGGAAGATGTCAGTAAGCTGCAACAGACTGATCGAGTGCACACTATCAGAGGCCAGATACTCACGCTCTTAGATACCCATTCAGAGGTATTCCATTCGCCCTGCTCGACTCCGCCGGGTCCGTCCCTAACGAAACCGGCGACTTTGGTGGGAACTGATTCATAGGCTTTGTCTGGCCGAGTTAATGTTGAGGTGATGCCAGATTCTCCGGCGAGGAGCCTTGACCATGAGTGCTTGACGCCTGTAGTGGTGTTCAGAAAGCAATTAGCACCTGCTCTCGAGTAAATTTGACAAAAGAACACTTACCGACGCCTAACGGAGTGATCAGCCCGAGGCCGGTGATGACGACACGCCGAGACATGGTACTTCGGACAGATACAGATAGCAAACTGTAATTCTATTCCGGCGAAGAGCAGTAAGAAAACGACACGTAGTTCAGTCAGTTGTCCATTCCCTGATCCGACGCGGCTTACTCCAGATTTCGAGCCGAGTAAAAAAGACTCCACAGGATTATCGTGGCACAAACTTGCGACGTCGTTAAGGTTCAGGGATGAACCAGTTTCTCATAGTAATAAGGTTCTGCTATTAGTGATTCCCCTGTATTACTAAACTTTACTTGCCCTTTCTTTTAGAGGAGAGGTTGTCTGCTATCGGCCGGGAAGCGCAGTACAGAACGAGACAAAAAAAATACAAACTGCTGCACATAACTGTAGGAATAAACACCGTCTTTTGGCATTCAGCACTGCCGAAGATGACAGGCTGCTGACCCGGTTGCTCCGCGTCCGTCGGAAGGTGTGCGGCGGAAGAGTGGCTTTACGTGCTGCGCCACAGAGATTGCCACACCTCCATCGCGGAGTCAACTAGAAGGTTCGCGTGCCTTCTCGAGACCGCCAAACCTGCCCGTGATCGCGTCATCCTCACCGCCGAACACCTTCTTCCGCTCTCTGGAACATACTCGATCTTCTTGATAACACCGCGGACCGTCAGCTTGTCATCATGGCCCCGTCTATAAAGCTGCCCCCCATCGTCCGTCTACTGTCTCCATCCATCAATCACTTCATCTCATCTCTACTACTCTCATAACGAGCTCTACTGTCAATCCCCACAACAACAACCTCCACTTTACAACTTCAGACTCAATGGCTTTGTTCAATCCCGTCTTCTATAACTTTGTTGACGCCGTCAACAACGAGCTCACTCGCCACTATGGTGTGAACCAGGGCCGCCCTGCTTGTGCCAAATCAGGCAAGACTGCTGATCCGGCCGCTGCTGCTGCACCAGAGGCCAAGACCGCTCCTCGTCAGGAGCGCGAGGTCGACTTCATCCCTGCGATTGACGCCTTCGACACCGAGCATGCGTTTGTCGTTCACGCTTCGCTGCCCGGTGCCACTCCCAATGCAATAACAGTCGACTTTGAGCCGAAGACAAACGAGGTCGTCATTTCGGGAGAAATCAGACGCCCCGGAGTCTTTGCCGATAACATCGACTCTCTCCGCGTGAGCGAGAGGCGCGTCGGTCATTTCGAGCGCCGAATCCGGCTCGGCTCAAACACCAAGATCGTCGCCGAGAACATCACGGCGAAGCTTGTCAACGGTGTTCTAGAGGTTTCGATCCCAAAGGTCGCCGAACAGCCTCGCAAAAGGATAACGATCGAGACTGTTGCTAATCCTGCCGACGACTGGATCGACGCTGGATCGAGCGAACATTCTTCACCAGAGGTCGTTGCTGATCATGCCCCGGAGGCTGAGAAGCTCGATTAAATCTCATGGACTTGCGATGCCTCTCCACTCTTTCAATTCTCTTCTTTTTAATGGGTTTTATTGTTTTTTGTTTTTATCTTTGATAATTGTTGTAATGATTTGGAATTCGGTTTATTAGTATTTTGATTGTTTTATTGCCTTGTCAACATTGTCAAATACGGTGACGGATTAGGGAAATTTGCATCATGGGCCATAGGACATCAATAAAATATTTATGAAATCACAATAAATTAATCATAATCATTCTTCATAAACACAAGCGTAGAAATAATCAATGAAGTACTCGCATTACTAATCAAGAAGGTTGTAGGCTATTTATTTACATATACAATGAGCACTGCTTGACAAAGTCAGATGCCAGTCCACTATCTACAGACGCAACTATATAACAATTCTTTTTTGCACTCTGCTGCACCCGTATAAATCAAAGAGGCGCCGAATCTGCCTAATGCAAACTCAGAGCAGGCGCAATGATCGTCCAGTATCTTGGAGACACGAAGCTTTCAATCTCTTCCTTCGTAACCCAAGCGTAGTCGGTGATTTGGCTTCCTCTCTGGGGCTTGAACATGCCGTTAAATATCCGCGACTTCAGATAGAAGATCTAAATTTGTGAATAAAAGACGATTAGTAAACAGGAAAGCCAATAAAAACAGTCTATAAGCAAGTTAAACACACCTTTGCGCCATTGTAAGTTTCATCTTCTTTGTAAAACTTCTTGTAGTATAGAGCCGGGGTCTCTGAGACAAAGAACACGTTCATATCCTCACCACCATTCTCAAGCAATACACGCTCAGAAGCAACTTCCAGGGACTCTCCCTTCCTAATCGGGGCGGCAGGGAACTGCCAGTCAGAAAATTCGCCCTCCTTTTTGACAATCAAGTACAGCGTTCTGTCCAATTTTCTGTCCAGCTTGGTAATATCGTTCTTCTCATCAGCCTCGGTCTTCCTTGGTTGAGGGACAATCTTTGCGTAGATACGAGCAGATTCTTCAGTCTCTCGCTGCACCGAACGGGGAGGGAACACGATCTCCTGCTTTTCATCTCGCTTGCGGTTCAGGAGCACGTTAGGGTCATCCTCTGTTAATTGCGGTTGCACACGCTTATACTCGTTCTCCGCAAGAGAGCCCTTCGGGAAGTAGAACCAATGGGGGAAGGTCCAACTCAGACGCTTGTACAGCTCGGATTGATAATGGTGATATGCTTTTTCAAATGCTGTAGGTTCGGGTGTAACAATCGGTGGCCTACTCAGTATGACTCCAGCCATTAACTTGAACTTCTGCTCCTCCTTAGCTGATACGCTTTCTTCTGTCGTCGCCTCTGCCGAAGCAGTGGTAGTGGCAAGTGCCCGTCGGCTCGCGACAATTATATCTAGAAAAAAAATTAGGTCAGTACACCTCGACACACGACCTACCACCCACCGACAGGACCCCACCAACAGACACACTTACCAGTGACATGCTTCGATTGAGACCAAAGAGGCCGCAAGGATTTATTCAAAACCATGCTTGTGTTGTATATCCCCAGACAGCAGAGATGTGAATGCCAGTCAGTTGTTGAGCTGTTCTGCGCGTTACGGAAAAAATTCGTGATCCCGAGTGGAAAGCGGCGCGCCCAAACTGCGCGGCCGAATTCATGGTCGGTGACACTTTTTGGCTTTCCATTTGATTATGTAATGTATTAGTAACAGAAGCTCTGTAGCCCTCGCGCACTTTCATCCACGTCTTTTTACAATAATTACGCAATTAACAACCAATTACGTCCGCCGGGTTTGGGAGACAATCTTCGCCTGTTATTGCTGAGAATGTACTTGGCAATGACCTATTCTCTGTTTCGGTCAAGTGTGCATAATTGAAGCGACAATCTTGTTGGGCGGGTCGACCTCCAAGTCTGTCGCGTAAGGTGCTTTCAGGGACATTATAGATCCTCGCAATGCCTCGGCGACTTGGCTTTTTATCTTTCTTAAGAGCTTCGTTGTGCTCAAGCTCCTGCTTGAACAAATGGATCCGGAGCACTGCAGAGTACTTTAGGGGTGAAGAATGGCCGGCCAGTCTCGGCTGGGACATAAACATACTTCCTAATGCGGACAGTCGCGGCACTCGGGGCACGCCTTTCTACTTCGTTTTAATATAGATAGACGATAGGCCACCTCTTCTCTCCCACATTCGATCTTCATATCGCCAACTGTTACTCTCTTGCTTGACTGCGACTTTTTACCAAATAGCGATCTTCTTCTATCGCACAAGATCTAACGAAATGCCGGTTTATTACGTGGTTCAAAAGGGTATATACATCAATGAATCTCATCAAGTCATACATGCCTAATAACACTTACGATTCAGGTTATCACCCGAGTGTATACATTGACAAAAAAGAAGCAGAATCTCAACTTGTACAACACGGCGGCGCTAAAGCCTATTGGTTTACCAATTTTAACTCAGCAGTCTTTTGGAATACATTGGTCCGTGACAGACGCCCGCCGTACTTTGATGATGAGAAGATCATAGGTGACCTTGGCTTGCAGAATCCTTCGGCTGACCAAAAATGCTATGTAGTTTTCGAAGGTCGCGTGCCAGGTCTCTATTACTCGTTTGCTGACTATGAAGATCAAGTGAAAGGCTATAGAAATGCTACAGGCAAAGCGTATCCGAATTTTGAGGCTGCAGCGATTGCATATCGAGAGTATATGAAGAGTCTCTCGTTTTCCGAGATACAAGGAAGAGTGGCAGCCGAAGAGTTCCTCAATAATCAGCGTAAGTCTGAAAAATCAGCCAAGAGACGCGCAAACTTTGATGAAACGACTGTTGCAAAGAAGGTAAAGAAATCAACCGATCGTGTTCCTGAGAAAACACCCATTGTTGTCTACACCGACGGTTGCTGTCTGCGCAATGGTAAAACTGGAGCAAGAGCCGGACTGGGTCTGTACTATGGTCTCAATGATCCAAGAAACGCAGCAAAGCCACTTCAAGGCGCTCTTCAAACTAATCAAAGGGCAGAGTTGGCTGCAGTTCTTCAAGCTTTGGACGATAACCCGTCACAGCCGATGACGATCTGCACAGATTCGCACTATGCAATCAATTGTGTCAATGTCTGGAGCAAAAAGTGGGAGTCTAACGGCTACAAAAACTCAAGAGGGAAACCAGTCGAAAACGAAGACTTGGTGCGCCGTATTCTAATTCTAATTGGCAAACGGCGTGCAGCCAACATAGATACAGAGTTTCAGCATGTGTCTGGTCATTCTGGGGTAGAAGGGAACGAGGCAGCAGATAGATTAGCTAAAGAAGGCGCAGAGAAAGTCTCTGTGGAGTAGTCTATGTTGATTGTGTTCTTTTTGGGTTGTCTGATATCATTTATGGATTGGTAGATACTAAACATACTTCCTAATCTATTGATGCACAACCAAGCTTCTTTCAGTACTCTAATCGCATACACTACTATCCGCGTTCTCCTATCCTATATTACTAGGGAATAACGACAAAACAAATCTATAATCATACAAAAACAGAAACAGAAGCGACTTTAAAAGAAAAGCTGTACTTTTTACAAACTTCTGGACCCAGAACTGCATCCAATTCACGCAATGGCACAAACTCTCTTCCTGGTAATCAGACCCTGCAGCTTTCCTTTCTTTGTCAAAAGCATGTACCTCAGACCCTAATTTCAAAGAAACAATCGCAAGATTAGTAACGGTTCACGGTGGTGTATAAAATCACACATATACACTTACCATTCTTTGGAACATAGTGGCGACTAACGCAAGCGTACTGCGGTAGGATAGCGTAGGCGGCGTCTGATTGACCAATTGGCGCAGGTCGACGAATGGGCTGCCGCCCAACGGGGTTGACCCTACCATCAGGCAAGGTGTAAGGTCGGCTATTTGTGGGATGGTCCTTGCTTGCTGTAGAGCGTACTTTAGCTCATTTCTGGCAATATATCCCAGTAGGGTGTTTTCCTGAGCATTGTCAACAACTGGGAATCCCTTGTAATCATGCGTAGCGACCACGTCTTCCAGCTCGCCAATTGTCAGCCCGGAAGCTTCAAGAACGGTCAGATTCTCAACACTGGTCATCACCTCATCGACTGACAGATCTGGGACCGGGTCATCGTCGTTGTTACTCAAAAAAGGGTATCCTCGGAAATGGATCCAACTTTCGTAGATTCCATTGCGATCAAATGCATCGCCCACCAATTTGGCGACCAGCACAGACACCATTATCGGCAAAACATAGCCCAATGCGCCCGTGAGCTCAAACATGATTACCACAAGCGAGACCGTCAGTCTAGTAACACCGCCCAACGCAGACGCTGCTCCGACGATTGCGTAGACCTCGGGAGTAACGCATGCACCATCTGGAGGACGCGATGATCGGAAAAAAATCATATCCGGGTGATTTCGCTGCCAGCTCTCCATCAAGATCCCAAACGCTCGGCCGTAGCACGCACCGACTGTCATCGAAGGCATCATAACGCCCGAAGGAATACTTGTGCCAAACGTATAGGCAGAGAATATTATACCCAGAAACGCTACCAGCAGCAGCAAAGCGATAACCTTCCCTGAAGAATCGTGGTCGCAGAGCATCGAAGTGCTATCGGCAGCGCACTCTTGGAATAAATTCGCGACGAGTACAATATTCTGGATGCGAGAGAATGGATCAGGAAAGTTAACAAGAGCTGTAACGACACTGAGCACGGCAACCTCCACGAGAGGATGATTAAAGACTCGACTCCGGGGCCTCCATCTAGCAATCATCATGTTCAGTTTGATGAACAGCGCACCGACGACCCCTCCAATTACTCCAAGTAAAACGAATGGAACAATCTCAAAGTCGTGAAAAAGTCGATTGGATGTAACTTGGAAGATAACCAGCTTGCCGGTTCTGAATGGGTTGGCAAGCTGAATAGAGACCGAAGCAACCATAGCGCAGACAAAACTCTGCCACAGAGTCTTATCAGGAAAATAGTAAGAAATCTGCTCCAAGCTATAGAGCACACCTCCGACCGGCGCACCGAATCCGACGGCAATTCCTGCAGCTGCTGCCGCTGAAAAAATCTCGCGTTTTCGGGCTTCGTTTCGCCTTAGTGACGGGAAAAGACGGATTGTGATGTTTGCGCAGCAGCACGCGATATGGACGAGAGGCTCTTCGGCACCGAACCACAGACCGGAGGCAGAAGCCAGGCACATCGAGCATGTCTTGGTCACAAGCGTCCAGAATCCCATGAAACCTTTGATTATAAAGCCTCCGAGAATTGTCTTAATCTCGGGGATTCCACTATGGCACGCATAGGGGGCGTAGTGCAGAACCAGAAAGGCTGCTGCGGAACCGAAAATCAGAGCATATAGCACATGGAAGATGTAGTCGATCACATAACTCCCAGAGCCAGAAGCGTGAAGAGCTGCACCCCAGGCTGTCCATGAATCACATGTCACTAAATCAAACATCAGAGAGAGTCCAAGAAGACATTGTGAAAAAAGTGCTCTGTACAAACTTACAGTCTTCACCCAGGCAGCAGAACTCGTGGCTGAGATAGAATCCAGAACGGCAGTAACCCAGCTTCAAGTCCGCCAGCCAATTGACCACTACATCGGCTCCAGCAGTGATCAACCCAACCCAGAGACCGGTGACAAGGAGAACGAACCAGATCTTTGCCGAATCTGATATGTACGACTTTTGTGCGCTGTTGTGTCGTAGCCTCTCCTTGCGGTATTCGTTCATCCAGTCGATCGTCGACATGTTCTCGTAGCCTATACTGTTGCCAGACACATTCCACTCTGGAAGGCCTTTAATTGTAGACGCGCTCTCCAAGCTGAACCGCGTCGCTGGGGTGAATGAAGCCGAAGGACTCAGAGACTGAAACTGATCCTGATTGCCGCGTTGACGGCCAGGAGGCGCCAACAATTCGTCGTTCGCTTGATCCTCATAGGGATCATCATTCTCGTGAGACGGAGTAATCCGTCGGCTGGTGTAACTCTCGCTAAAAGAAAGCCTCGTCAGTACATACATCGACAAGTGCACGCGATGAACACGGCAGGCGCTGAAGAAGCATATTGCTCGTACCTGCTATACTGCGACAGCGGCGGCCGTTCCGACCATGGGTTTATAGGCGTAGGTTCTTCAATTTTTGTCTCCGGCATTGCTTCGGTCTTTCTGAACCCGTCGGCGTCGAGGTCTATCGAGGATCCCCGAGACGTCGTAGGAGTTGCCAGCAGCTCGTCTAGCGAGCGCCGACTGATTGAAGCTTGCTGCGCGGCCATTTATCAGTTTACAAGTACAAGAATAGCAAGACTTGCAAAATGACCATTGCACAGATGGATTTCAGCAATTGTATGTGAAGCTATATATCCACAATAGGCAGAACGCGTCGAAGAATGATTGCCGGATGTTGAATACTTTGAGGCTCGAGACCCGGGGCCGCAAAGCGTCGCAGCATTCAGACAAGAAACCTAACCTCATTAAGAACCCTTACCCGATGTTGAATCTACCCGGTCGAACGTTCTTGATTTTTTCTGATTTTTTACATCTCCCAACTGGTAGAGGACCGATATCGACGCGGATTACAGCAGCGAATTCACATAAAATTAGCGATATGGTAAGAGATCTGATTGAAATATTGATGATTGAATGTGCTGTGTGTCTAACATAACCATGTGTAAAGGCGCCACGACGAAAATCGCCCGCGGAAATCCTGGCCGCCAGGCAAGCCCTTCGAGCACACACAAATGCTCTCAAACTAGAAGCAGCTCAGGCGACGATCTCACAAGCAGCGCGAACAGCTGCCACCTCAAAATCACTATCTACACGCACTGCCGCAGCATCGGGTGGTCGGATTTCCAAGAAACCCACTAAAAAATCAGCGACGGCGGAGAAGCGGGGCAGTTTTTTGCGCAAGATCCAGACTGGAGCGAGCGGGAAAGCGCCGGTGCTTGCGGCTGCTAGCTCACGACGACGGGTCGTGATGCCAAAAGTTAAGACGAGTATGGAGTCTATTGTGGCCGAGAGTTTGAAGCCTGCTGAGGCGCCTGTGAAAAACAGTCTTGATGGTGTTGTCACACTGTCCAAATCTGCGCGCAAAAGGAAGAACAGAGCCGTAAAGGAGAAACTTGCGGGCAATGATCTGACAGAGCTTATGGACGCCCTCCCCGAGACAGAGCAGGATGATGGAGACGATGCTATGGATGAGGATATGGAGGACGGCGGTGCGGTCGCTGGCAAGGGTAATGCTGCTGACGTGTACCTTGATGCCAAACATGATCGACCGGTGTCTTTGAAAGCCGGCGAGAAAGTGGTAAAGCAGGAGATTGACAGATTCGGTAAAGTCATGACTGAGGCGACGTTTCGGGAGAATCCCTTTGCCGCTCTTCGGGGATTTATCCAGCAGAGAATTTAAACGGAGATAGTGATTTCGATTGAGGAAAATAGGTGGGCGTTGGTGTATGATAGAGGTCGTATTGTGCATTTGAATGAATTCAATAATTTACAATCTACTTACTTGTCCAAAACCTTCTCTATTATCGACAATGACCGCGCTTGAGACTATACAACTATGCCCGACCAAATGTCCTATGCAATGTGATTACCACCTGTGGGTATAATCCGACACCCTCCGCTCTAAAGGAAACAAACATTGCTGTTGCTGATCAACAACGCATTCGGCATCAGCATATCCCAATTACTCATTTGATACATATAGAGCGTAGAAATAACCGCCCCCAAAAGATGCTGATATCTCAACTGCTTACTGTAGTGAGAGATCCGGGCACGAGTCGAGTTCAGAACCGTGTGCTGAACGCCGTATTTTTCAAACCAGGCGCTCAATGTCTCGCTCGGGACACTGACGGAGGTGATCACTTGTTCTGGCGTTCCGTAGCGGTCTAAACCGTGGTAAAGAATCTTTTCAATATTCTCCTCGGATCGCGAGGGAAGTAGAACGGCTAACCCGGTCGCGGACTCATAGTCAAACAGAATACCCGCATAGCAGTTACCGTCCCGGCTCTCCGGGAAAGGTCCTTTGACGTCAATACCCCATTTTCTGGAAGGCCCATCAAGTGAGATTTGATCGTCGGGTGAACTTGGGCTGGTTGGAATCTCCTGGATAGCGCGGCAGATACCGCACTGTTTGCTGATATCGCGAAGCGTGGGTTTCAACTGGTCGGGAGTGAAGTTGAACGCCATTGTAAGATAGCGAATGAATGAGGAAGGGTTCGGATGGCCCAGCCACTGATGCCATCGATGAAGATCCCTATTTAGATCACCAGTCAAATGGTTCCGAGTGGGATGCACGAGCGGCTGTGGGTTGACAAGTACACCCAAATCCTCGGCATACATAGAGGAATGATCCAGATTTACACCAAGAGAATGCTTTAGCTGGCCTCTGCTGAAGAATCGGAGGATTTTGATTCGGTTCAAAGCTTGCACCTCTGTTTCCAGCGGTTCAGAAACCTCAACATTCGTCTTGCTAATGTTGTGGATGTAGCGGGCAATTTCGGAAGATGATCCAATGGACACATATCTGCCTTTCAAAAGATGGTCCCACGCTTTACATATCGAGGACGTTATTGCCATAATCTCCAAGTCATCCATAGCGCGGTCTTCAGGTACCCATCGCGAGAAGCATTCAACGGGCCGAAGCTCCTTTGTCTCCGTCCAATGGATCTGGTATAGAACAGCACCGACCGAGTGTGGCGACGCGTCGGTGACCACTACCGATGACCATGCTGGATCAAAATGGGATCGCGGCGGTGAATATAAAAGCGCCTGTTTGATGTTGTCGAACTCGGCATCGTGCGTGGACTCCCAATTTATTATGCGGCCTTGCGGGATTTGACCGAATGTATCGTATGAATCGACCAAAAGCCTCAGATTGTGCACCTTTTTGGCATAGTTCCTGATCGAAGTTCGATAAATGCTGATTCTGTCCAAATATTTGCGCAGCTCTGTGTATGTTTTTGGGCGAATCATGGCTGCGATTTCACGAGCCCGGTCAGGATCTATCTTGACTCCGCAACCACTAACAAGGTGGCCTAAAAACTTGATTTCATCTTGTATCCATTGACATTTTTTGGGATCGATGCGGAGATTGTTTGCCGATATGATGCTTAGGACTTTTGCTGTGTGTTCTTTGTGTATTGCCACGTCGGCTGAGAAAATGACAATCTCGTTGAAGTATACCAGGATGAAATCGTTCTTGTCGGTCTCGAGTATGTCGTTTAGTACTTTATGCGCCACTTTGGGGAACAATTCGGTGAGAAAGAATGGTAGGACTGTCCATTCGAATTTGCCCTCGCGCGAGACAAAGGCAGTTTTCGGGATATCGTCCTCGTGTAGTTGAAGTTCTAAAGACTCCAGGTTTATGGTGAGAAGAGTGATTGTGTCTGCGTGCAACAGCTTGTTGAAGACGTCGAATATCCGTGGTAGATTGTCGACGCGCGAGGCTGTGCGTTTGCTGAGTTCACGATAGTCGATAATCACCCTGCAACCAAAGAACTCCTCCATCTCTCCAGACGGATTCTCACACGGATGAACAAGCACGGGGGCAGCCCATTCCGAAGTCGACGGTCGGATCCGGTTTTTGTCGAGGTTGGTATCGCAAAACTCCGTCACAATCTCGTCCTGCCATGATTGCAGCGGGATATATTCTGTCTCGTATGGAATGTAATCTTCACTGCCGGTATCTTCTGGTACGCTGAAAAGAGGTGGAAGCACCCGTTTATTTGTCTGTGGTCGGGAAGCATCTTGCGTAGATGGACTCATGGCGAAGGCATATAATATGAAATACTGCCGGCCTCCGGATCCACCGAACTTGCAAATTCCAAAAATGCAATGCCAAAAAAGGGAACAATTTCGTAGTCAATTTTTAGATCAAAACCATCTGTCGTCGTATGAGTCGTAATCAACTATCTTCTAGTTTACAGACTTGCTGAAAATCTATCAATGTGAATTAGCATCAGCTGCTAGTCCAATGTTCTGCCACAGAATTCACATACCCAAAGCAAACGTCCCAAAAACAATACAAATCAAACCCTCTACAATACCACTGATTGCAATCCGTCGAGAGCTTCCCTCAATTCCGGCTGATTGTTCGTCTCGGCTTCTCTGCGCTCTGCCTGTGAAGACGTTCAACTCAGCATCTTCGATCCTAAAAACCCCTCCTTCCCACCTACTTTGAGTCACGTGCATAGCCTCGGGCAATTTAGGATATGGCCCTAAACCGCAGCGTGTCACGTGAGAAACAGAGGTTGGAGTCTCGGCTCCTAGTCTCGGCCCGTAGTCGCAGAGGAGACGGAATATTTGGAGAATACAGTATTTATCAGTAGAAGGCTCATATACATTTTGTAGACTGGATGATCCCTTGGGCAGTTGGCTACGTGGAAAGATACTATGTGAAAAGCAAATTATGATACGGCCTGACAAAACAAAATCCAAAATCTAATTAATTTGATCATCTAATGATTCAGAGACAGAATCCGAAAAATCGTTGAAAGGTGGCGAGAGGCGATAAGAAAGGAAATGAGAAGCTATACACAACCAGATGATGCATAAAGGCTCATATGGCATATAAAGGAACAATGCTCTGATACGGCAGTGAAATCAGAGTAGGTCAAAAAGCTCTCGCCACCTTTGAACATGAAAATAAAAAGCAAACCAAACCAGATAATACCAAGTAGTAGCCAAAAGACTCAAAGAATCTGAGAGACAGTCATTTCAATCCAGGAAGAGGCTGCCGATACGTATTCACTCTACTCAACCTTCTTCTCGACCTTCTCCAGGATTTCTGGAAGCGCGGAGCTCTAGATGTAGAAGGTTAGTATGTTTATTCTTTCAAGGAGTGAAGAAATACGGGATAACGCACATCGAGGCCGTTGAAGATAATGTCGTTGACAGCAGTAAAGAGCGGGTACTCAGCAGCCTTGCCGCGCTTCGTCAAGAAAGCGTTGACTTCCTGCGCGGTGGTGACTCCCTGAGCCTTCTGACCCTTCAGCAGCTCGTTCTCGAGCTCAAAGACAGGCTTCTTAGTCTTGATCATCGCCACGCCGAGCTTATGATTTCGGCCACCAGCGCAGGAGGTAATGACGTCGGCAACACCGCAGGACTCCTCGGTAAAAGTCGATGCCTCGCTCTCGGGGAAGAACTCACGACTGAACTGGGTCATTTCCAGCAGTCCGCGACGGATGATAGCCGCCTTGGCGTTGTCACCCCATCCCATGCCGTCGACAAAGCCCGAGGCCAGGGCGACGATGTTCTTGAGCGCACCGGCGAGCGAGACACCCGCGAGATCGTTGACGACCGAGACGTGGAAGTAGGGTCTGTGGAATAGAGTCTTGATTGTCTTTTGCGTGATTGAGTCGGCCGCGTCGGGAACCTTGTAGGCGATAGTGGTCTCGGAGAATTTCTCCTGGGCGACCTCGGGCGCGAGGTTCGCACCGGAGAGGGCGCCGCAGTAGATGCCGAGCTGCTCGGTGATGTAGCTGGCGATCAGGGTGATGCCGTTGGCGGAGAGCTCGACACCCTTGATGCAGGACACGGCACGCACGGACGGAGGGATTTTGCCTTTGAGCTGGGAGCAGATGCGGGGGAGGAACTGGTGCGGGACGTTGAAGATCAGGATGTCGGACCCGGTGACGCACTCGACGAGATCAGGCACGGCGACGAGGTTGGAGGGAAGACGGATGCCGGGCAGATACTTGACGTTCTCGTGCTGGGTGTTGATAATCTCTGTGAGTTTCTTGTCGCCAATCATCTCCTCGAAGACCCACATGCGGACGTTGAGGTCAAAGGCCTCCGGGTTGCTGGCGGTGTTCTCGGCCACGATTTTGGCAATCGCGCTTCCCCTGCGAGAATGAAGATGTGAGTTAGCTGTTGTAGACTGAGAGAGTCGAGATATGGACCAGTGGGGCTGCACACCAGTTGCCGGAGCCGATGACCGAGACCTTGTACTTTGCGGCAGGAGCCATGGCAGCGGTAGAAGACAGACGAGCGGAAGAAGCTACTTGCGATCCGAGGAGCGAAAGACGTCTGGCAGAAGTGGACGAGAGCATTGTCCGGGCTGGGTTCTGGTGACGAGACGAGCGACGAGACCGAGTTTGGGGACCGGCCTTGCTCTAAACTTAAAGCCGCTCACCCGGTGAAAGGCAGTTTTTACCGGCACGTGACTATGTGCTTTCTATGCTGTTGCTGTGATTTTGTTGTTCTGTTGTAACTAATGTTGTTATTCTGTTGTTGTTTGTTTTGTTTATATTCTAGCTCATGTGAGAAATAATAGAAGAAAGAGAGCGGAAGTGAGGGAATCGCGTACAGATGCATATGCATATGCACACGCTCAGCAGTAAGCAACATTCAGCATCTCAAGTCTACATACAACTACTCACTTACAATAAGATCAATAAGATAAGAAATCAATTACCCGATACTCAGACAAACTTGCAAACCGATAAACTAAACAAGGCCGCTCCATCCGAGCAGTCTGCAACAGGTATATATAAATACGTATGAGCTCTACCCAGCAGGATCCTACAACCCACATCTACTGCCTAGTCGAGCCATAACACCATATTTAGTATAATAATCATTTATAACCTTGATCATAGCAAAGAAGCAGCAAGAGAAAAAAAATACAAAAACAGGTAGTCCTACAAACGTCTATCCAGCCTTCAAGACCCAGCAGCGGTGAGAAAAACAGAGGCATTATAAACACAATAAAAAAAGATCATCGCGCTGAGCTTTGTTTTTTTTCGCTTTTCTCCTTCTTTTTTGGTGGGGGGTCCACTTATTGATATAGAGCTGCTCATGCAGCACGAGAAGCAGCGGCGTTTAAGATCTCAACGAGAACTTCTTTTTCGTGTTCTTCTCCTCCGGCATCGCGTGCCGCTCGAGCTCGGCCTGGGCAAGCTTAGACTCAAGCTCGCGGCGCTCTTTCTCGAGCTGCTGCTTCATCTCGCGATGACGCGCAAAGAGCTCGTCTTCCGAGCGTTTCAGCTTCTGCTCCTTCTCGGCCACCTTTTGCTGGAAAACCATCTTCATCTCAGCCTCCATCTTCTGTAGTCGCGCGTTCTGTAGCGCGCGCTCTTCTTCCATCTTCGAAGACGGGCTGATCTCCTTGAACACCGACTGGTCTTGCGAAACACCCATCGCAATAAGCTTCTGAGCGCGGTAGTTCTCGTACAAAACCTCGTCGGTGTACTCCTTGAGCTCCTCCATGAAGTTTTGAACGAGCATAGCACGTAGCTTGACGAAATCACAATGATCCTCATTATCGACCTCGACAATGCCCCATGGGTATTTGCGTCCGCGCACTATACGGCCGTCAGGCGTCGTGATCTCTGAGCTCGCGCCAACAATCGCAAAGGGTATTTTTGACATGATCGACGTCTTTTCCTCCATCGATTTGTCAGAGTCAAGTTCGTAGCGAGGAGTCTCAAAGATATTGATCTTGTGGTGTTCCAAGTCCGCGCGTATCTATAAAAAAGAGTTAGCATGAGTTGAATAAGTAAGAATTGATAAGTTGCAACATACTCTAGCTTTGAAAGCAGTGATCTCCTCGTCAGACATGATGTCTGACTTTGCAATGACAGGGATCAGGTTGACTCTGTGATGCAGCTTCTTCATGACTTCAACATCAAGAGCCTTGAGCGAGTGGCCAGTAGGAGCAATAAAGTAGATGCAAGCATGGATCCGCGAGTCAGTGACCTTGGAGCGATTGTAGGTGTTTTCGCCTTCGAGGAAGGAGTCAAAGCGCTGCTCGACGTTGCTCACGATAGGGCGCCAGGCGTCGTCGTTGTTGATGAGATCACCGAACCCCGGGGTGTCGACCACAGTCAGACGCAGCTTTACGCCTTTCTCTTCAATTTCGGAGGAGATGGATTGAATGGACACGGTCTTGGGTGCTGACGCGGAGGAGTAGGGGGCTGCGCGTGGAGGCGCGAGGGGCATGTTGAACAGGGTCGAGACTAGGGTGGACTTTCCGAGACCAGACTCGCCTAGGATATGTTAGCATTAACTGAAGAGAGAACGACACGAAGAAAAAGAGAAAGAAGCAGCATACCAACAACCATAACATTAAAGTCAAAGCCCTTGCGGACCGAGCGACGGTGGTGCTGGGCAGGCAGGTTCGAGAACCCGACGAGGGATGTGATCTTGCGGCGGATGATGGAGGTGCCGTTGCCGTTTGCCTGGACATCAGCGACAGACTTTGAAGAAGGAGTAGCGGAGAGGAGGGTGGCGGGCGAGGTCGAGGACGAGTTGGAGACGGAGGACTGCATTGGGTAGGAGGCCGGGAGCGCGTCAGGAGGGGTCGGGGGCGCGGCGGCTGAGGAAGGGGAGGAGGAGGAGGGGGTTGGCGAAGGAGGATCCATGGGAGTAGTAGTCAAATACTAAGATGTAAGAGCAAACAGGGAACAGGAGAAGAAGAGCAAAGTGGTGATGGCGGAGCAGAGGAGGAGGAGCAAAGGAGCTGCGCAGAGACGCGACGATGTTTTGCTGTTTGCAGTCGGGCGGCCGCTGCTCAGACGCGCGCCAGGGAAACCCGAACCCTGCGAGAAAAGGGGCTCAGCCCAGCCACACACACAGCCTCGGCACCAGCCACTTCTCCTGCTGCTTTCGGCAGACTGTAAACATTTCCTACTTCTATTCTTGCTTCTTCGTCCTTTCTATTCACACAGCACCTATTTTAGCTCGTCACGCATCCGCTCAAGACGCTCCCAATCGGCTCCGTCCGCCCACATCCGCCGGCCCTTGCCCATCACCGACCGCACGCTGCTCCGCGCCCGGTACCTCCAGTCCTTGCACACAACCTGACCCTCGCCCATCCGCCCCGGCAGCTCGCCCAGGTTCGTGTATCCGTCAACAACCGTCTCGCACGCGTCCACCGCCTGCCGCCACTTGCTCTCGTCCGTTTCATCCGCCTCAAACACCGTGAGCGCAAGCCGCAGCATCTTCTCGTACGCGTCCAGCGCGGCCCACGGCTTCTTCCGCCAGATCTCAACCTTGGCCACTAATCCCCACAGATCAGGCGTGCTCGTAGCCAGCTTCGGCACCGTCTCTGTAAACAGCTTAATCGCCTGCAGCTCAAACGCCGTCAACCGTCTGTCTTCGTGGCCCATCTCGTGGTTTCGGTCGCCAAAGGCGTCAGACACCAGAACCTGTGCGAGCACCCGTAGCACCGGGACATCGAGCGCGTTCTCGCCTTCCTTCTTCGCCCGCAACTCTGCGACCTTGACCACGCCCCGCAGGCACGCCTGCCAGTTCTCGAGCCGCGCAGAGACAATGACCAGATTACTCCACAACCGCCAGTCGTCCGGGTTCAGTCTGCACGCCTCCTGCAGCGCAGTCATCGCCTCCTTCTCGCGCGCGTTATCCTTGCTCTCGTCGTCGTTCCCGCTCTTTCGCTGCTGCTCGCCCATTTGCAAGAACGCGGTCGCCAGATTTCCCCACGCCTTTGCATCATCTTTATCCATAGACACACACCGCGTAAACCCCTCCGCCGCAATCTCAAACTCCTCAGTCTCGAGCCCCGCGCAGCCGTACAAAAACCACGCGTCTCTGTTAAGCGGGTTTTTGCTCAATGCGTCCCGTAAATGTACAATACTCTCGCTAGCCTGGCCGTTCTTGAAACAGTACTCGCCCAGAGACCGCTTAGCGGCCGCGTACTTGCCGACCTCCCACGCTTTCAGCCAGTACTCGGGCTTGGCAGTTACGTCTCCGAGACACGACCACGCACGAGCTGTATCGGAATGGTCGCCACTGGCAATGTAGTCTTCCAGAATCTTGATCGCCTCTGCCTTTGACTCGTTTCCTGCGGCCGTGCACAGCGCACTCTCGATCGGTAGCTTCAGGCGCGCGTAAATCTCTTGCGCGGACCGCACCATTCCAAGCGAGAGGTACTTCTCCGCCAACTGCAGGTCCATAGACCAACGAGGCATCAAAGGCAGGAAGTGAATGAACCGCAGTCGCTCATGCGCTGGTGCCGACGACGCGCTGGTTTCTGTCTGACCCGAGGCACTCGGTCCGCGCGCAAACGACGTCGCGGTCGACGCAACACCAAGTTCGTCTACCAAGCTCGCAAGCTGCAGCGTGCCGCGCTCGACTGTCTTTGCAGAGTGCGACTCGAGAACACTTCGCTCCCACAGCGCGCGCGAGTAGAGCGTCCAGTTGACCGATCCGGCTGGGCCCGAGGCCGAGATCACGCGGGAAATGTAGGCCTGGAGTTGTTCAGTCACGACCGGATCTTGCGAGGGCGACGACACGCGCATTTTGTGCTCGGTGAGAAGTAGAATGCAGCTGTCAATGTCGGCAAGTGGCGAGGGAGCATTGGGATCTTCTCCCGCTAACTCGTCGCCAAGCTCCTCTGCAGTCGCCGCGTTGACTCCATCAGAGGACTCTTCTTCTGAGCTCATAAACCGAGGCGTCTCAAGCAGCAAATCAGAGTTCAAAGGCAGCGAAACCGGCATCGCCGCAGCCTCCTTGGTGTCCTCTTCGATCCCAGCCTTGGCTTTATCAATCACCCCCTGCTGCGCACCAGCAGCTGTCTTTCTGCTTCGCGCAAGAACAACTAACCCCGTGATCTGTCTGGTCTGGAACTTTGTCCTCAAAGCCTTCACACCCGTAACCTTGACCTGCAAACCCGACATCTTTTTGGCGTTCTCGAGCGCCTTTGTCGCGCGAGAGTCGTAGGAGTAGAATATGTCTGCGCGCGCGAGCTCCATTGAGTATTCGGCGGCTTCAAGCTGGAGTTTCTCGGTAGCGTCGTCGGTGTTGTTGGAAGTAGGTGAAGAGCCAGCCACAGGCGCGCTCGAGGTCAGGTTTGAGTAGATTTCGTCGTGGAGTGAGCCGGCGGGAGCGGTGAGAAGAGACTGGTGGACCATCAACGCGCGCGCCAGCCATCGCTTGTCGAACCTCTGGTCTCTATCAGTGTCCTCCCCTTCGTCACCTTCTATCTTCTCATGGTCTGTAGTCAAGAGTCGAAAGCATTGCAGGGCGAGAATCAAAAGATACGGCTGCTCGGTGTGCCGATACGCAACCTCCGAGTCGACCGTGAGCTCGTTGATGCAGGCCTCGTGTTTGTCCGAATCGTACCCCAGCACCTCCTCAATCGCCGCCAGCTTCGACTCCTCTACTCGAGGTCCGGTGAAGTTCTGCTGGAGGAAGTAGTCGAGCGCGCAGAGACCGATCGCTCGGAGATGTTTGCGCTGGCTTGACTTTAATGATTCCTTCAACGCGTCCGAGTACGAGCTGGAGGGGGAATCAGTGAATACAAAGGACGATGCCCGCAGTAGATTCTCGAGGTCCTCCATTGTGCTGTGTATCTCTGCTTCTATCCTCTCTTTTGCTGATTTATATGCTAAAAGACACGAACGAACTCTTCTAAAGTCAGCCGGTCTGATTGCAATTTTCAAAGTTTAAGCAAAGAAATAAAAGAATAAAAATAAAAAAATAAAATAACTCCTGCGGCTCAGTGACTAAGCAAATAAGCTTCCGGAAGGAAATCGCGATCTTTATTTTTGCTTCCCTGTCACCGTTGCAGCGACGATGACGATGGCCCGTCCGTCGCGGGCTGATCTCTGGAGTGCAGATCAGCGGTGGTTCTTGTTTATTGTTTATTGTTTATCTGTATTCAGAGCAACAAGAGGATAATAAAAGATATATAGAATGGTAATGTAAGTAATAATAAAATACAGGTTCTTGCTCACGACAATCAACTCAAGATAGATCTCTCATGAAGACAAGCAAAAAGAAAAAATAGTAAAATCACGTGAAAGTACTCCTATCTAGACGACGACATTTGCATCACGCGATCAATCGAATAGATAACAAGTAAATTGAAGAAGAGGAAGAAAAAAAGAGGAAAGAAGGGGTGGAAGGGCTCGGCACACTCGTCGTGTGACTAAATGATCTCGCCCACCGTCGGATCCAGACAGACCATAAAAGGCACCGCCATCTCAATGATTGTCTGCTTACTGGGTCTTCGACACAGGGGGAACGGCAGAGCCGCCCTTGAGAGTAGCCTTGGCCTTCTCCCAGCCGTTCTTGACGCCAGCGGGAACAGAGGGGTGGGCGATCAAGCTGTCGGCTCTGACTTCCCAGTTCTTGACGGCCTGGCGGGTGAAGGCAGACTGCTCGAAGCGGAGACGGATGAAGGCACCGTAGATGATGAGCGAGATCCAAGATCCCTTGCGGAAGAGGATGGCGTTGAAGAACAAGCGGACGAGCAGGACGAGCTCGAGGTTTCCGACGAGGGCGGTGAACTTGTCGTTGTAGTTGTCAACAAACGACTGGATCTGGGCAGCAGGGCCAGTAGTGGTCGGCTGGCCGAGGGTAGGGAGAAGGTTGGTGCGGGTGTAGGTCAGCACGTGGAAGAAGGAGTAGATGGCAAAGGGAGGGAGGGTGATGAGCAGAGGCTTCGAGATAAGCCAGAGCAACGCGATGAAGAGGTACTGGACGTTATCGTCACGGATGATTGTGGTGGCGGTCGGCGTGCTGGCACGGTACGATCGGTAGAGCACGATGCCGTATGTGGCAATCACTGAAAAGTAGGTCTCACGGTACCAGAACCGGGCCCATGAGGTGCCGGGCGCGAAGCGGATGGCGGAGAGGACGTAGAAGAGGACGCCGACGAGGACGAAGACGTGGCCGGTGAACCAGGCGAATTGCAGGGTCTGAGTTGGTCAGTAAGATGCAATTAGAATAGACGATAGATAGTAGAAATAGAAACGAGGTTGAATACCTTCGCAAGCTTGATCAAGCGGGTGGAAACAGATTCCGCGGGAGGGGCGGCGGTCGAGCCAGTGGCAGGAGGAGCATCAGCGGGAGGGGCCATGTCGATCTTAGTCTGTGATAGACGGGTGTTAGTCGAGCTTACCACCAGAAGAAGAGGCAGCTATTTAAGCTGAACGATAGTCCGCGACAGAGCAGAACAGTTGCGTAAACCGATGCTGACTTGTCGGGATGCAATTCCACGGCACGTAAGCCGTGACGAGGCCCCGTAGAAGATCGAGGTCATATGGAGTCCGGCAGTCGCCAACATCATCAGAGCAATAAACAGAGAATCAGAGTAAAAAGAACAAACAAAACAAACACACCTATTACTTCTGAATGATGAATGAAAAGTCACGAAATACTGCAAAAAGAACCGCAGAAGAAGTCGAGATGAGAGAAGAAGAGAAAGAAGTTGGCAGTGACGGGCGGCAGATTCATCAGATTTGGCCCGCGCCGCGTGTCGGTTCAAGTCTCACGTTGCTGTGCGCTTTACGCAGTTTTGCCCACCGCCAGTCAAATTACGTCATTCTCCAGCTCTCCTCCTCCTCCTCCTCCTCTTCGCCATTGGTTTACTCTCTATCGCAATGGTCGTCGTCCACTGGATTGATCTCAAGAATACTTGGACAGAGCCAGCAGATCCCTCCTTCCTCCACTCCCTCTCCTGCATCCCCCCTTCCGAACGCGTCGCCGTCTCCAAATTCCATTTCCGTCGCGACGCGTCCACTCACCTCGCGTCCCTCATCCTCCAGCATTCGACCATCGCCCGTCTCGCAAACATCCCCTACCCAAAAACCCACATCCGTCGCTCCGAACATGGCCGGCCATATCCTTCTATTATCAATCCACCATTTGACTACAACGTCTCCCACCACGGCTCCTGCGTCGCAATCGGCGTCCGCGACTCCCCTCCTCTCCGCATCGGCATCGACCTAGTCGACCTCTCCTCCGCCGGCCCCGCCGACGTCAACGACTTCCGCGACGTCTTTGCCCCCCAAGAATGCTCTGCCATCTCCCGCTCTCACTCCCCCCGCGTTCTCTTCTCATACTGGGCCCTCAAGGAAGCATACACAAAAGCCCTCGGTCTCGGCCTCGTGACCGAAAACCTGCAATCCATCGTCTTCTCCAACGTCCCGCCCATCGACTTTTCCTCCAATCCCTACTCCGCCGCCATAACCTGCTCCGTCGATAACATCCCGCTCAATTGGCGCTTTGAACTCTTTGCTCTCTCCGAGAGCCTGTTACTCGCTGTCGCTACCCCTGCTGATAATCTCGAGTTTGACAAACCCACGTCTGTCTCCCGGATCACCCTATCTGACCTCCTTCAACTTGCTCAACCTTTCCCACACGACCACTGATCTACCTCTCATCTTCAAAATTGGTATTTACTTATCTCATTTTCAAAATTTTGGCATTACTTGTACTTTTAGGCGTCCATGCATCTTTTATTCAACTATAATATCTCATCACCGCACCAATCCTATATATACCACATCCTATTTCGTTCAACTCAATCAACAAATATGCCTCTGAACAAAATAACTTCAAAATAAACTAAAATAAACAAGAAAGAACGTATACAACTCAACGTTTCTTTTCCCCTTCTAATACTCTGCTTTTCTCTTTCCCTTCATCCACACCGTGCCTATCCGCTTAAACAAAGCCTGCACCGTCGGTCGCACCTCCGGTCCCGGCTCACGGCCCAAGAGATCGACTCCGAGCGGGTAAAACACTTCGGCATGTCGCGCAAAGTCCTCGTCCGTGAATTCCATGTATCCGTCCAGCACTTCCACCACAACCGGTCTCCAGGCCGCAATATTGCGCTGTTCAGTCTCTTCGTCAAGCAGCGTGTAGCCCTTCACAATATCAACACAAAGCCTAAATTCCTCTCGTTAGCTCATCACTTCTTTCCTCTTCCTCTTCAACAAAATCATAAACTCACGGGATAAGTGCCGCCTCAATGCCTGTCTTGTTCTCCACCCTGTCCTGATTAGGATCATGATACATCCGCAGCAAAATATGGATATAAGTCGACGCTGCATCTGACTCCTGCCGCAGCAAATTAGGAGGCTGTTTCATGAATCCCTCGCGCCACAGCTTCATCCGCAACTCCCGGTTCTCGTTGAACTTGCGCGCAAACCGGAAGCTCCGTTTCAATACCCTCATCAGCTCCAACAACTCCTCCGACGGAATGTTATTGTACACGTCATCGTTCTCCGAAAACAGCTCCGCGACCGTGTTGATAATCAACAGCTGCAGCACACACTTTACTATAATCTTGTTAAACTCCTTCCTTTTCTCCGGCGACACCACCATCGGCTCCCGCCGCGTGTTGTCCGTCAACAAACTGTGCCGTCTCTGGTGTCCGTTCGTCTCATTCGACGTCGGCACCGGAGAAGAAGGCGCGCTGCTTTCAAACGCAAGTCGCTCGTTCTGTCGATCAAACTCCTCCGCGGCCTCCATCGCAAACGCGAGTCCGTTGATCTTCAACCCATTCTTCTTCTCATGCTCAGAGTCGTCTTCCGAAGGCGGCGTCACTGGTGCCTCGAATCCTTCACTCGTAAACAGCTGGTACGCAGTCGTGGTCTCAAACAGCTTCACAAACGCTCCCACAATCTTCGACCAGTGCTCCTTCTTCAGCTTCGTCACGTTCTTCGTGATCAACGTCTGCAAGCACGAACTTCCGATTCGCGCAAGCGTGTCGTTCTCCTGGCAGATACACGTCACCAGCAAATCCAAAAACATATCCAGCATTCGCTCCAGTTGATCAAAGTAATGCGTCAACAGCGAAATCAGGTTCCTCAACGCCTGGATCATCGTCGTCGACAGCCACACAGACATATCCTCGTGGTTGTTGAACCGCGACATATCCGATCGACTCTTCAACACAATGAATATAGGGAACAGCAGCTGTCGGCACACAAGATCCCAGAAATCAGGCGCAAAGTTGCCGCCGTACTCAACCAGCGCGTCAAAGAAGTAGTTCAGTGCCCGAGATCGCACCTCCAAGTCCTCTCCAGTCATGATAATGTTGTGGAACGCAAACAGGATCGGAAACCAGAACTTCACAGACGGATCTTCGATCGAGGCCTTGGTCGCGTGCGACAGCGTCGACGTACCTTCCTGCACCGATCTCTGGTACGCGAGCATCTTTGGAATAGAGCTTCGCAAAAGCTCAATAGCGTGCAGACTAATCTTCTGGAACCGGTAATTCTTCGCCAGCTCAGTCAAAGTCACAGCCAGATCCGCAAAACTGCCCTGCGCCATCACCAAATCAAAGTCTTGCTCGTGAATCGCCTTGATGTTCTCAAACGAAAACTGCACAACGGGCTCATACTCCTCCTTGGCTGCAAACGTAAACACGCCAAACATCGTCGACCAACCCGATCGGATCTTGTCCGCCCGCGAGAGAACCATCTGCTGCAGGCATCGCAGCACCATATCCTTCGCAGCCGGTGAGTTGTTGTACGACATCACATGCTCAAACGGGCGCAAAAAGTCCTTCTGAAACTTGAAATGTGGCAATTCCTCGAGTTCCAAGAATCGCATCGACAGCTGTCTCAACGAATCGAGAGCAAAGAAAACGACGGTTGAGTTGGGATGACAACCGATCTGGTTGAACTGCTCGCCCATGATCGCCCACAGATTCGACCATTCGAATCGAATACGGTCCATGTTGTAGTAACTGACATCAACCATCTTTTGCAGCGAAAACATACGAGGGTGCGCGCTGTTTCCCGAAGACGCAATCTCCTCGCGCGAGACTTCAGTGAGCGCCCGAACGAAATATACAATCGCCTCACCGGAGAGTCGCGAACTCTGCGTGAAAATCTTGTCCATCGCAACAACAATCTCGCGGCCGTTTGCTTCTTCAGCAACACTGGCTGAAAATTGAGTCAAATTGGATGACTGCCGACGGTTATTTGACAGAGCAACAGAGTTCTTTGAGCGCTGACTCTCAAAAGATTCTCTCCTACAATCTTTGTTAGTAAGTTAAAACCACAATCAGAAAGCAAGGGCGACATACGGTGTTCGTTTCGCTAGCGACAGATCCGGTACAACACCTTCCGAGATACCAGATCCAATCAACTGAAATCTCTCCAGCTGACTGACACATGTCAACACGTCCTTCCAGGACTCTTTCAGCAGATCACCATCGCTCAAGGCGACTTCCAAAAGTACTCTAATGCCCTCGACATTCTTCGGTCTCATCTCGCTGAGATTCTGGAGGTTTGTGTACTTTGCAAGCGCAGTCAGGAAAGATATCCGAGCAAGCTCGATGTCGAACAGGCATGCGATCTTAATCGCAAGACCCATGCCTTCAAGACAGGACTTGATGACCTCGGGCTCTTCGGATTCTTGCATGGTCGCAGACAAGCAAGCAAGGAGAGACATCCACACGACTTCAAACATCGGGCCAATGTGCTCGAATCTCGAAGCGTGGTAGAAAATCACCGGCGGGGCGGCGCCCGTGTCTTTGCGCTGGGATCGCACGAGGTTCTTGAAGAGTTGCTAAAGCGAATCGAAAATTGTTAGCAGCGCGCTATATATATAGCAGCTTGACTTGTACATACCTCAGTCTTGCTGGCCATCTCCTTGGAAGCTGTGATATAGGCCTCTCTCTGTAAATCTCTACCGACAGTCAACAAAACCTGTCCCAGGTTTGCCGCAATAGAATTGTTAGGCGCAGCAGTCGGCACTTGACCAGACATCAGAGCTGCGTCATGCTCCGACTTCAAGATAATCTCGTTCGTCTGAATCTCGTCGTAGATCTCCGACAGAAAGGCTTCCGGAAGATCCTCGTTGTTGTTGATTCCCCTGTTATTCTTGAAGAAATCGGTCTTTGCCATACGCTGCTTCACCTGAGGCGAATGCTGATCAGTGTTGAGCATAATGACGGAATAAGCCAGGACGTATGCAGTGTCGGCGTTGGCAAAGATCTGTGGGTTTCCAGAGATGTAGCGTTCAGCAAACTTCAGCATGAAGCGATCAATCTTCTGAGACTCTCCCGGCAGGCGGAAGGCTTGCAGGAAGGTACGCAGAGCCTCGACAAACTTCATGTCAGTGAAGTCCATGAGGTCGACAAACGCGTGCATGATTGCAACATTCTCGGGATCACCTTCGCCGAGGTATTCACCGACCATAGCCTTATCTAGGCCTTCAGTGTGCAGTAAAAAGTACGCGATATCTTTAGGCTCGTGGGACGGGATGAACTTGTTGTCAATCAGCATCTTGATTCCCCGCTTAGGCTTGAAGTTGAACTGCTTAATTGCCTCCAGCAAAGCTGTCTTGCGATGCTTCAGTGACTCAAACTGCGAGGGATCGTCGATCGGGGTTGTGCTTCCGTTGGTCGAGCTACCGTTGACACCGTTGCTGGACGGGAGTGCAAGCGTTGAGCTGGATGGTGTGGCCGCACCATTGGCTGACGACAGCCCTGAGCGTCCATCTTCGTCCGCAATCGACTCGGAATCATCGTCGTCGTCACCGCGCGCTTTCGACTTCTCTTGGTCAATGCCAGTAGTGGCCCATGACACCAGCGATCGCAGCATAGTCACGAGACACTCGAGCGCCTCACGCTTGAGAATATACTCGAGCGGGACTTGCGAGAGCAACTCGGCCTGTGCAGTAGTCTGGATCGTCTGAACGGCGCTGGAGGAGAACGAAGGGGGAATGGCAACGCCGCCAGGACCAGTCGACGAGCCGAACGCAGACGTAGGAGCCGTCTTCTGTAGGTCGTTGTACTGCTGCTGCTGGAACGGCGTCAGGGAAACTGGAACAATGGAAATGCGCGCAAGGTAGTCGACTAAGCGCTCGTATATGTTATCGAGAGCGGTGTTGTCGCAGTCGTAGTTCAGGTAGATCTCGACGAGCGCACGCGGGTCGCCTGCAATCTTTGCAAGACCGCGGAGGAGATACTGCTTCTGATGAGCGGTTGAGGTCTTCATCTCGAGAATCGGCAGATAGATCTCAGTCATAAACACCTCGATCTCCTTCTTCATCTGGCTTCGCAGGTTCAGCAAGATCATCCAGAAAATATCACATGAGACCTCAAAGATCGCGGGGACTGGGTTAGCCGCGTTGCGAGAAAGACAGAGGCAGAGATACTGCTTGATGGCGTGGATGAACAAAGTCTCCTCGGACGACGCGCTCGAGCGAATGATCACGTCAGGAGACTGGAACACAACCATGTGCTGGCTGAGGATCGTGCTGACCAAGTGAAGCGAGAGAAGCTTCGACCGCATAGCATGCGATCTCATATCGGGCTTGTTTTCCGCAGTGTCAACAGCCTTGATCGAGAGCTTGCAGAGGGCGCGGAACACCAAGAATGCATCGCGGACGTAAAGCTCGTTCTCGTGCTGGGGGAAGTTGGCTGCGGTCTCGACAGCGCGCTCCTGGTCGAACGATTGGCGGTTCTCGAACGATTCCAGGGTGATCTTTGGCTGAGCTGCTTTTTCGCCGTCATCTGCGCTCTTCTCGTCGATCGCATCGCTGTTGTCTTTTTCAGCAGTCACGGTCGCGTCGTCGCCGATCTCGTCGACTTCCTCCTGGTTAAGTTTCTCTTCCAGATTGACGTCAACTGGAGGACCTTGGGGTATTTCGACGGCGACGTCGTCACCCGCCAGGACTGATTTGTGCTCTTTCACGCGAGACTTGACGCGATCGAAAATGACGTTGACCATCTGAGTCAAGGTCGCTTGGGCGACAGCCTGGTTGGCGTTCGATCGGGAGAGGATGAAGATGTTGTAAGTCTGTCGGATAGCCTTTAGGAGAGCCGCGCCGTGGACGACGAGTTTCTCGTTCAAGACCGCGGCCATGAGCGCTTTAATGATCTGTAGCTCAACTCGCTCGTCTGTGTTGTCGCCGGTGAAGCAGTCGCAGACGACCTCGACTGCCTGGTCGATGAGCTTACCGGTACGCGGGGCCGGCACAGGGGCGATTGCGTCGTCGACGTCAGCGGGGGCGGGTTCTGTCATGGGGACGTCAGAGAGATAAGAAAATGAAAAGAGCTTGGCCCATGTGTCGAGAGCGATAACTCTGATGTCGTTATTGTTGGCAGCCGACGCGAGTCGAAGAGGCTCAAAAATGACCGACGGGTGAGGAGTAGCAGGGGCTAGACGGGTGAGTTGGTCTGCGGATCAGTTAGCGAGATGATCTGATGAGGGATAGAATAGGCTTTTGAGAGCAGGGCAGTCTTACCAATGCCATTCTGGAGACCGATCTGAAGGGGTCCCTTGCGTTTGCCGTCACGCGTGTTGAGGATCGATTCGAAGGCTTTGGCGACGAAGCGCATTGAGGACGCGGGTATGCCGTGTGATGTTGTCGCGGTCGCGGTCGAGGCAATGCTGGCAGAGGAAGGCGAGACCGGGGCAATTGGCTGCGCGGCCGACGAGTCGGGTGCGGGCTGTTCGTCGGACGCGGGTTGGGACTGCTCTTCTGATGCAGGAGGAAGGGCTGCATTGTCTGACGCGGCCGCCTCAGGTGCTGGCTCGGCGGCGGCATCTGCGACGGCATCGTCTGCAGAAGGAGTTGTCTCTGAGACGCCGGCTTCGGTATCTGGCTCAATTGGAACGGTATCCGAGGGCTCCTGTTCGGGCTGTGGTTGCTGAGCGAGATCGGGGGTCTCGTCCTGGAGCTGTTCCGGCGACGGCTCTTGCGAGTCCGTCGAAGCCATTGCGGAGAGATTTGATGGAGAGGGTGTGGATAGTGATTACAAGAAGGATAAGAGTAGATATGAAGATAGAATAAAGGAAAGTGGAGGAAAAAAAGGAGAATCCTGGTGAAGAGGACAGGACGGAGAACGAGGAGCGAGCTGGTTTCGAGGCGGCGGCTTTTCTGAGCTCAGCGACGCAGCAGCCGGCAGCCATCCCACCAGCCACAGTACCAGCCACATGCACAGCCGCAGCTCTCTTTTTTATTTTCTTTCCTTTCTTTGCACGATCTCGAGATATCTGCTTCTGATATTCCTCGTATTATCCTATCTGCTGCGTTCAAGATGTCCGCTCTTTTGTTTGACGATCTATTTACAATCACCTCTCTCGACGACAAGCGCTACGACCGCGTCTCGCGTGTGACTGCGACATCAAACAGCTCCGCAGACATCCACCTCACTCTTGATCTCAACACCGAGCTCTTCCCCGTCTCCGGCGGCGAGATTCTCTCGATCGCGCTCGCAAAGACGCTCTCGCTTGACGGTGACTCGGCGCAGGTTACTTCTGCTTCTGGATGGAGAGAGTCGAAGCCTGGTGAGCGGGGGCTGGCGGATGACTACGACTATGTCATGTACGGCACCGTATACAAGTTCGAGGAGGGCAAGAACGAAAACATGTATGATTTCCTATTGATGATCTAGTTTGATTTTTGATCTTTTTCTAATTCACTCGTTCTATCTAGTGCCGTTTACGTTTCCTTCGGTGGTCTGCTGCTCTGTCTGGAGGGCTCATACAAAAAGCTTGCATCTCTCAAGCAGGAAAACATCTACATCCTCATCCGACGATAAGCCATAGCAATAAGCCTTTTGACTGCTGCTCTTTACCGCCACTTTTCCGCGTTTTTGTTTGTTTAATCTTGTTTGCTTCAGGTGTCTTTCTGGTATCAGTGAGCTTCTATACACAATCTCATCTAGATCTCAGCGGTTCGGTCCTTGTACTTTTATCTATCCTCTTTTGTTTTCTGCTCTGGGACAAAAAGTTTGCTGTATTATATAATTCTCTCATAGTTTTCTGTTAATTTCAACTTTTAGGATCTCATAAAAATATCTACATCTCTATTCATGAATCTGCCAACTTAATTACAATATCCAAAAAACAGCTTTTTTGAGTGATGCGTCATTCCATAACTAATAACAAGAACCACCATACGCCCTCCGAAGAAATCAAAATTCCAGAATCATACAAAATGCCATGTCAAAAGTGAAACCTAACGAGCTGCCACTCTCAAGTCCAGAAAACAATGCTACTCGTTCTCATACATGTCCCCGCAAATTCCTCTCTCCAAAACCTGGAGAGACCGTTCGTAATACACCGGCGAATGATGAAAAATACCCCTTCCAAACACCGGCTCTCCAAATCGTTTCTCGACATCAAGTACAACCCGGCCGACGACCCTCGTTGCCTTCCTCGTACGTCCGTCGTGTGTTTCAAAAACTGTGCTCGTCGTCAAGTGGTAGACCTCTCCCGGCGGCACAAGCTTCTCGTGCTGCATCTCCTTCCGCAGCTTGCATAGCTCCTCCCACAAATACTCGTCATCCTGAACATCAAAAAATGCACCTGATCGTGACGCAAGCTTAGCAAACACTCGCTTCTTCAGCTCCTCCACAACTCGGTGGTCGGCCTTGAACGCATGCGCCACGCTCTGAAAGTCTCGCAGAACACCAAGTGACAGGCAAGGTACCACGTCGTTCCCGTAAATCACAGACGTAACCAGACCGCGTGTTAACCGTCGAAGATCGGCTGAGATAGTCGCCGTCGGGCCAAACGCAAAACTGTGGATCTTACGACCTGGTGGTAACATCGACGACGCTGCAGTCGCCCATATCCCGCCTGGGCCTGGCTCTGCTAACAAAATACACAATAGAGCCGCAACACCTCCTCCCTGTGATTCCTCGTTAGCTCTTGCTCTCTAATACTGTAATGAAAAGTAATGGAAACATGCCAATGAATGACCGCAAAGCACGAGACCATACTCTGGTCCCAATTCTTCAAGGGCAACCTTAATCGTCATCAACACCCGACTAGAGCTTTGCGTCAGCTGCAGCGCACTCTTCAGCATTCCCGTGTGCGCTTTGTAAGTCTTTCCACGCCATTCAAAGTCCTCGTACTCGCACGTCAAGTCCGTCAACACGTCCTCAAGTCCCAGCGTTCCTCTGATCGTGAGCACGACTGTCTTGTTTTGGTGGTCGACAGCTACAAAGTGAACGAGCGGAATACCGCCAGACTCATCAACTGCCTTGTCCGAATAACTCGATAGTAGAATGTGCTCAAGTCCAATTCCTGTGTGGCTGGCAAACGCGTGATGCTCTGCATGGTGCGAGTCCGTTGACGGGAAAATCCGATCCGCGACGCCAAGTCCGAGAAGACGTAGGAACGCCTGGCCGTACGATGCAGACGCAAACCGCATATATTTCGCCAGATTGTGACAGATGTGTGCGGGCGGGAATGGCTGGATCTGCGGCTCGTCGGTCGCGTCGAGAACAAGAGATGTCTGAGACTGGGTTGTTTTCACTGTATAGACTGAGTTCGTAGACGGTCTCCGTCGTTCCGAGTTGGTGCGGTAGAGCGAAGGCGAAGAACTTCCGCTGTGACTGTTGCTAATGCCTCCCTGCGAAGTTTCGAGCTGCAGCTTGCTTGAATGCTGTTTTCGCGGAGTCGACGCTGCAGAGAGCGCAGAAGGCACTGAGTTGTGTCGCGAGATTTTTCCGTACGATGATCCGTCAGTGGAGGTGCGCTTGCTATCCTCGTAGTTCATGATTGATTTCGAGACTCTTCGCGAGACCGAAGCTGGCGAATCCGGGGCAATGGTCGCGTCCTCATCGAATGGAGTCGGGGTCTCATATCCAGACATGGCATCTTTCTCCCTCCAAGCAGCAGCAGTGGTAGTCGACATGGGAGACGACAGCAGGTCTGACGACCGACGTCGCTTTTGCTGGTAGCTGTCGAGATCAAGCGCTGGGGGTTCCTCCGGATCCTCGATTACGGCCAAGACTGAGAAATCAGCCTGGACTTCCTCGCCAGATGGGGATTGGGAGATAGTTGGGAGCGCACTATATGTTCTGCTGCTGGTGTTACTGCTGCTCTCGATGGCCCGTTTGTTGTCGTTTCGTGTCTCGATTTCTTCGCCCGAGCCGCGCTTTTTGTTCATACGTTTGCTAACGCTCTGGAACATGACTTTATATCGAGGACGTTCACCGTCACGGGGATCTTGTGTCGTTTCTTCCTCCATGACGATTGCGTTGTCGGGAATCGTCAATTTCGACTCGTTCGGCGAGCCACCGATAACTTCGATGGTCGTGGTCTTTGTAGTGACTTCTTCGGTGCTCACGATGACCTCGGCTTCGGGCGAGATATGCTGGATGACAGACAGCTCGTCGTAAAGATCGACCTGTGGATTCTTAACTTCCAAAGTTCTCGTCTCGCCGGTGTCGAGCACGACAACGTCCCATAAGACGCGCATTTCAATCTGCTGGATCGATCTGCGCCAGCCTCGAGCTTGCAGGATAGAGAAACAGGTCAGGCCGGAGACGAGTCCGTAGAGGCCGGCGCCGTCGCCAAGCTCGCGTCGGATGAGAGAGATGATGGAGGCTATGGCGCGGGAGGACTCGGTTGAGCCAAAGATGGAATCTAGCATATGGACCGAGTCTTGCGTGAGGTTTGAGACGGTCGAGACGGCCGAGGACATGAAGTGGAAGGAAGCCGAGGTGAAGAGCTGAGCGAGGGTTGATGTTTTGGCGATAGTCGCCATCTGCAGAATACAAAATCTGTATGTTAGCCATTATACATGTTGAAACAATTATTGAATCCGAGTAAAAAATACGTACACCCACGCCGGTGGCGGAACCGCTCTCCGGGACATCTTCCTCGGCCTTGAAGACGAGTGATTCGACAGCGCGACGGGTGACTTCGATACCGGTGATGGTGCCGATGCGAGCAGAGTCGAGGACGGCCTCGACGACATGAGTTCCGAGGCGGAGAGAGATGGTCGAGGAGCGCGAGACGGCCGAGACGAGACGCGCAAAGCGGGAGGGCAAGAGCGTTGGCGGTAGAGGCTCGTCCTCTCTGCCCATGATCTCGACGAGGGCGGATGAGGTCAGTATGACAGTGATGTAAGGATCCGTAGACCGACGAGAATAAGAGAAAAAGAGAAAAAGAGAAGCTCTTGAGAAGAGCAGACAGAGGAAGAAGAAGAAGAAGAAGAAGAGAAGTGGTTCTTTGTTCGGAGTTGATGCAGATGGATTGTTGGGGAGACGCCGCACGTTCGGTGATCAGTCAGACGCGGGTTCTGTGATGCCGAAGACGCGCTTCTCGAAGGCTGCCGAATGCGGGGAAGAGGCACAGCCGCAGCAGCGCGTCATCCGGCGTCGGCGGTGAGTTGTTGTTTATGTGAGTAATAGTTGGATTTATTAGAGCAGAAGAGCAGCATGAACAGACAAAGACCAAAAAGCATCACAAAAAACAACACGGAATCGACATAGGTGTGATAACTATTAACATAAAGCAATACGGAGAGGGATAATAGAGTAATAAGAACAACAAGCACAATTACCGACCACAGACGCAACCAACACCGACTAAGCACATAGTAACATAAGAGAGGAAATAAAAGAGAAGAATAGATAAAAATATGAAGAGCCGAATACGGTGAGATGGCGCAGGCGGGCCGCTGCACTTGCAAACAGATGTCGGGATGATATGATGGCGAGGAAGGACAACGAGCAGAGGACGAGGACCGGAGGAGGACGCGCGCGGTGATTAGATACAATGAGCCGACAAAACTGAAAATTAACGCCCGATGGATAAACGCAACATCGTCGAAGAAAACAAACGCAGAGATAGTATATAATGACGAGGAGAGGGAGGTGATGGGAGGAACCGGGGATGTATCAATGTAATGGAAGGACGTAGAGTGCACGAGTGCGTGCGCACGCACGAGGCCAAGCGGCGGAGCAGCTCACACCTTGCTCGCCACAGTCTGCTCCTGCTGCAGCTTGAGGGCGTTGCGTCTGTAGAGGATAAGAAGAAGTAATGTCAGTAATCAAATCAATAATATCAAAGCAGTAGTCGAATGGATGCAACATACTCGTGCAGCTGCTGCTTGCAGTCCTGGAGACCGGTGCACTTGTGGTCCTCTAACAGTCGGTGCTTGGCGCAGAAGTGGCCGTCACAGAACGAGCAGTCGCCGACGATCCGCAAAGGCGTCGACGAGCAGGTCTTGAACGAGCAGCGCTTCTTCGATTGGCCATTGCTGCGGAGTCGGAGCACGAGGTTGACGGTCGCGCCGTCGTCTACGGCGCAATCGGAGAGCGAGGCCTCGTCCTTGAGGACGGTGCCGGAGAAGACTAGGCGCTGCATCGAGACCGGGAAGTGGTGCGTCTCCTGGAGGGTCTGCTTGATGGTCGCGATGGAGTCGGATTCGCTGGCGTCGAGGGTGAGGACTAAGAGAGGAGGGGTGTTAGAGAGGGCTATCGGGGGCAAACAAGCTATCACGGAGCATCACAGCACGCACTCTTTCCGTCAACGGTCTTAACAAGGACGCGCATGGTGAGTCGGGTGGGGGAAGGCAGATAGAGACGAGGAAGAGCTGTGAGATGCGATCGACTGCAACGGCAGAGAAGAGGTGCTTGTCGTGAACAAGCAGAGGGTCGGGTGGTGGTGAGGATGGCAGCGGAAGTGGGCCGGGAGCGGTGGTTATAAGCCAGCCAGCCGTCTATCGCCACCGCAGCCCTGACCCAAATCTGGCTGCTGACGCACGTCGCTCTTTGTCACGGGACTCAGAGTCACCTGACCGCGGGCGGCTCGGACTTTGGCGAAACTCGCCCGAGCCGCAGCCCCCTGAGCTCGCTGCTCTGCTCCGCGGTGCTCTTTTCGAGGGATGTGCCATGGCTCCCTCGTCTTTCTCCTACCCGACGCCCTCGTCTGCGGCCTCCGCACGTCTGAGGGGCCTCAGAGAGCGATGGCTGAAGCTCTACGACCTGGTCGTCGAAATGCGTCGTCGCTTTCCCGCGCCAGTCGACTCCATGGGCTGCCATGTGCTCCCAGACTACGTCAAGCAGTCCCAGTCAATAGCAGTAGGTTCTACTTGGGTTTATAGAGTGATTGTATGAGAATATTTGCTGACACAATGCTTGTTTGTTGCTGTAGTCTCAGAACCTACAAATCCTCATCTCTCTCCTTCTCTCCTCACAGACAAAAGACCAGCACACCTTCGCCGCTGTTCAAGCCCTGCGCGACCACCTCCATCCTGACGAGATAACTCCTGCCCGAATATGCTCACTAGACGACAAAGTTCTGGATACCCTGATCCATGGGGTTGGCTTCCATGCCAAAAAGACAGTCTACATGAAGAAAATAGCGGAAATGCTGCTCCCCGGTCGCGGACTAAACGAACGTATTCCTACAGACCTCAACACTCTTGTCAAAACCTTCCCCGGAATCGGACCCAAAATGGGTATTCTCTATCTCCAAAATGCGCAGCCGTATCCAGGTGATGCCTCTGAAGATAACGAGGATTCTAAAAGCGACAAGAAAGAGAGCGAACAAGACTTTGGGCTCGCAGTTGACACTCACGTTCTCCGTCTATCCCAGCAATTCGGCCTCGTCTTTCCTCCTTCCTCATTCCGCAATACGTCTAAAGAAGTCACGCCAGAAATAGCACGCGTGCAAATCGAGGAGATCGTGCCAAAAGAGCACTGGAAGGAAGCTAATCCATTACTAGTGGGCTTCGGCCAGACTATCTGCGGTGCACGCTCGAAATTGTGTGGCAATTGTATTATTGCCGAAACCGGGCTTTGCAAAGCTGTCGACCGGCGCATGCTCACTTCTTCAGTTACTACAAAGAAGAGGAAACTCGAGACCGGCACTACCTCAAAGTATTTTGAAGCTACCACAGACGAAAACTCGATTAAAGTCGAAAAGATAGTAGAGGTCAAAGTCAAACGGGAGAAAACAATTAAACAGGAAGTGCCTTTCACTGACATTGAGGAACTTGTAGGCGGTAGGACACTACGGTCTGGGAGATCAAGGTAGGCATGAAATAAACATCATCCTCAATTATCATTACACATGTACCACTAGCAAATAATATACAAACTCCACCCATTACTCGCAACAGCTTACCACTTTGGAAGCACCTTGATCACAATCATAGCAATCAGTACCGCAAAAAACATCACCCCCACACTAACGATATAAAACTTCCATCCAATAGCACTCAGCTCGCGATACTGCGACAATCGTCCTCCCGTCCGCCGCATGTTATCCACATTCCGATCCAATGCATGCATCGCATTCATCACCACGTCCTTGTCCTTCTCCAACTTCTCTCCCAGTGCCATCGCGTTGCGTTTTAGAATCGACGTCTGCTGGATCAGAGACTCGGTTAGAGCGTCTTGCTGTTCGCGATGGTACTGCAGTCGGTCCTCGAGAGTGGTCTGCTTGGATGAAGGTAAGCTTGAAAATTGCTGCCACTTCTCAGAATCAGTCGTGGGTGCACTCAGCATCGAGTCTTGCTCGGGATCGGGGGTTGCGTCGAGAGGATCGCTTTGTTCCTCTGAAGGTTGCTTCTTTGCGGCCCGAATCTTTGTCTTTTTGAGAATTTCGAGGTTCTTTGTAACTTTCTGTGCTCTGTGTGAAATGTCCTACAATTACAATCAGCATGACCGTACACTTCAATGAATAGATAAATCAAGCAATACCTCGTCCACCGTCTGCAGTTTCTAATATCAGTCGTCAGCACGCCAGTTCCAACAACAAATCCTCAACAACCATTCACAATCACTTACATCCTGCACATTTCTTATCCGCTTGCGTTCCGCAAATATGATAGCTTTCGACTTGAGATACGGGTCAGACGTATCGCTCGTCATCGCGCCGCTGTCGATTTGCGTGAGCAGCTTTCTCGCGTACTCCAAGTTCTACCAACATACACTTATCAGCAAATTCCTATCAAAAACAAAAATCAATCAGAATGCATACCGTATTTAACATATTTCGTCGAATAGTATCTCTAAACAGCCCAAAAGCCTGCTTCTCAACCTCGGAATCACCGAGTCCACCATCTTCCAGCTCAATCGCAACTTGCTCAGCAGACGCCGTCGATGAGCTTGTCTCTAGCTGCTCAACCGTTTCTGTTATTTTCTCAACAATCGTCGTCAAGTCTTGCAGTGTCATCTTTCGCGCGCTTGATATTCTTGTTTCGAAATCAGAATCAGTTACTGCTCAGACTCGAGTGTTGCTTCAACCTCAATAAACCTTGAAGGCGGCGCTGCGGCTGGGAAAACTAATTGCATCTTTCAGACTACTCCCAGCACAAACAACCACCCTCCATCAGTCTCTATCTGCCTCTCATACTGCGCTCTATTAATTCCAATAACCACAGATTTATTACCAAAAAATGCAGGCTTTTTAAATAATGCACCAAACACCATGGATCAACCTCTGAAGAGAGCCGTCGCCGGTTCCTCACAATCACAACCATCTCAGAATACACCCCTCCAGTCAACTTCCGACGATGAAGGCTACCAAGTCATTGGATTCACACCGGTAGCGTTCAAGCCTTCACCTTCACCTGGGTCTAATGCGCCCAAACCTCAACTGCCGAGTCAAGAAAATGCAACTGAGATACAACCATCACCAACACAGCCTTCCCCATCGCAGAAACTACGCCCACCAAAAATTCGAACGACGGCAGAATCCGGTCCTCCACCGGAGCAGACCGCACCAGGGCGGCCTATAATATTGAAGTACTCGGACGGAGACGATAAAGGACATCCTTCTGGGGAGTTGCTTAACCGGCAACCTGACGAGGCGGGGAGATTGTACTATTATGTCAAGCTCGGCAAGCAAGATGTCAGATTCTCACAGTTTTTGGCAAAGCTCAGTGCCCTTCTCTCCAAGCGCGTGGGTATGTTGCACATTCTCTGTTCTATTGTCAAACTGTAGGAAAGCCTGTGCTGATTATATACGAACATACAGGCGAGGAGCTGACGCTCAAAAAACTACCAAACAACTACGCGCTATTCCTCCACACCACCACAAAAACCGCAAACGACATCCGCGAGCGCCACGACACTTACACATTCGGCCATCCGTCGGGAAAGCGGTACCGGTCCGCCACAGAATTCTCTCCTCATGTATACTGGCTCTATGCGAATTCAACAGCCAGCGATCCGGATAATGTCGCGCCTTGTGAATGCTCACTCTGTCAAACACATGCTGCGCGTTTGAGTCTTGATAATTCTTTGCTGAATGCAGAGCGGGAGAAACGGAAACGGAAAGAAGAATCAGAAGTCGCAGAGACTGACGTCCCCGTACGTGAACGGTCCAGCAAGCTCGAACCGTTTAAAAAGCGAAGAATCACAAAATCGCTAGTGGCAAAATTAACCCCCCTCGAAGCAAAATACCACGCGCAGAGATTACTTGTCGAAGGCGAACGTGCAAGCGAGCGGGCGATGGGAATAGTCCCCTTCCGACCTGGCGAGCTGGTGTGGGCGTTCTGGGAAGACGATCCATACGAGCCGGACAAGTTGAACGGCAGCAATGCCGTGCTTTGGGAGGGAAAACTGCGGGTGCCGCATCCAGCGCTTGTGGTTCATCGCCCGCTTGATCCGACGCCCTGGGTGCCGGCGGTGAACACTGCCAACGACAAGAACTTACCGGCAGATGCGTTCGATCGATACTCGCTGTTTCTGTATGACGTACAGGAGTATCTCGAGGACGTCAAGAGCTATTACATTGCGCCATGGCTGCTCATCGATCCCCGGTACTGCACAGATGAGCAGGCGCTCAAGATCTCGCGCTCATGGTCTGTGTTTGGCAAAACCGAACCTCCATTAGATATGGATACCGATGCTGATAGACTTTACGAAGGCGCCTTCCTCGGTGCCGAAAAGATCTGGCGCGGCGACGTGATTTTTATAGAGCCTGACGAGGATAAAGGGCGTACGGCGCGAGATCTGATGGTCGTCGAAGCGATCTCGGTCGAAGACAACAAAGAGCTGAAAACCTCAGAGCTCATGTTCTCCGGAACAGTGTACATGACCGATCCGCCGGACCATACAGATAGCGAGACAATCATGCGGGATATGATGCCGTTCCGCGTCTCGCTGCAGCAAAAGGCGTATTCGGTAACCGAGCTCAGTGACCTTATCACAATCGGCGCAGATTTGGTCGTCGGACGGTGGTATCCGCCGGGGATTCTGCAGGGTCAGGCGATTCTAGATTCGGAGAAGATTAAAGTGAGGATGAAGAGTCGTCGACGGGTTGCTAGTTCAGATCAGCGTCTTGATAGCTGAGCATATGTAGTCTACACTTATAGATAATAACCATTGCCAATTCAATTAAAATAAAAGCCTTACTAATACAATCGATATAAAATAAATATACGTCCGGAAACATCCAGAAACATTACAACAAGTTAAAAACACATAATCAGCATCATGCTAGATAATCTACCGTCTCTGCTAACCGATACTCATTAATCAGATCCGCAACCACTTCCCTCGCGTCATCAAACTCCTCGAGTCCCTCAGCAAACATAGGCTGCTTCCTGTACGGTTCCAAGAACGCGTTGCGTTTCCGCAGACGGTCGTACTGGTCCAGTATCCGCTTGAAGAGCGAGGCAATGCTGGTGTGGTTCGCGAGCATCAAACCGCTGACGCGGTTCGAGCTTTGCAAGTACGGCGATTTCTTGGACAGCGCGACTTGGATACTTGCGGGGCCCCATGGTATAAACGAGGCCAGCCCCCGCTCGCGGATCCGCAGGAGCGATTTGTGGACGTCGGTGGGATCGGCCTCGCCCTGGATGATGTTGAGGATGGAGATGAAGCACGAGTCTGCCGACTGCTGGGTTGAGACCATCCGGTTCTTGGGCTGGAGCAGTCGTCTCATGACGTCGAGCACTGTTGTCTTGCGCACGGATTTGGCTTGGTCGACGGAGTCGGCCGTGAAGGGCGTGTAGGCGGTCATCAGGTAATGGCAGCGCGGGGTGGGGACTAAGCTTGCGAGAATGGAGACGAGGTCGTTGTGCATGTACCCTGGGTACCGGAGAGTAGTCGTGCTCGAGGACATGACAGTTGCCACTAGTTGGTTCGTTTGGTCAAATGTCGGGCTCTGCACGCGGAGACTGTCGGCTGCTAATCGCGACAGCGCGGCGTTGTCGAGCACCGTGACTGCATCCGCGTGCTGCGTGAGCCGCTTGAGCGCCAGTAAACTGTTGTAAGGCTGCACGACAACCTCTGAGACTTGTGAAGTAGCAGGGAAAACGGAGTACGTCTGCATCACTTTCTTAGGATACCGATCGCTGAGCCGTTCGAGTAGGAACGAGCCTAGACCGGACCCGGTACCGCCAGCAATAGAGTGCATCAGCATGAATCCTTCCAACGAGTCCGAGCCATCGGCCTCCCGATCAAGCATATCCATCAACTCATCCGTCAGCTGCTCGCCTGCGTGGTATCCCGACGCCCAGATATTACCCGCGCCGCTTCCGTCGCCGCCGGAGTAAATGTTTTCTGGATTATACATGCGCGCATACGGCGAGTTTAGAATCCCTGAGATCACGCGTGGTTCGAGGTCGATCAGCAGTGCGCGCGGAATGTAGCGGGTATCATCCGATTGGTAGAAGAAGACGTCCTTGCGGTCTGACGCATTTGTGGGGAGATCGTCGCGCAGCGTGCCGTCTGGACTTAGACCGTGTTCGAGACACAGCTGTTCCCAGAACTTTGCACCGATCTGATTGCCGCATTGTCCTGTACTGAGTCAGCATGTACTAGAAAAGACGTAGATGTACATTAGTCAAATGTGGGTCTTACCTGCTTGTAAAGTAATGATTTCTCTGAATGATCAAAAGAGGTTGTTAGAGGCTGTATCGTCAAGACAAACGTGGAGCAACAAAGAACACAAGAACACGTACCTCGGCATTCTGATTCACTCAAAACGACGTCCACAGTCAGTCGCAATATTGTAAAGTAAATGATCTTAATTCAGACAAAGGGAGTTCAAGCAGTCGAGTCGATTCTCATCACTTTGGTCTCAGCGGTGGGAGCGAAGGAGACCGCAAGACGCGTGAAGCGCGAGGCGAGCGCAAAAAGTAAACAACGGTACAAACGCCGCGCCGCTTACATAAATTGCGAGCGAGTTGGGTTTCCCAATTGAACACAGAGAAACAAAGTTTATTTGCTTTGGGACAAGAAAAGTTGATAGCGCGGAATATTATTGTTGAGAAGAATAAGAATCTGTTGGATTTTGTTCGAAGTGAGGTGAATATGCCGATTGTACTATTATCGGGGTTTCCTTGTTCGGGAAAGACGACTCGTGCGAAGGAGATTGTTGCGGAGTTTGAGACGCGAGCGCCGGGTCGCAAAGTGCATTTGGTGTCTGATGACGGACTTGATATCAAGAAGGATTCGTTTCGAGGTGTGTACTTTCCCTTTGCTTATTTACTTCGATGCGCTTTAGTCTCTACGCGGATCACATACTGACGTCTCTGTATAACAGACGCGAAGCAGGAGAAACAGGCCCGCGCGAATCTGATGTCCGCGATCAAACGGCATCTTTCGCGGGAGGACGTGTTGGTCGTCGACAGTTTGAATTACATCAAAGGGTTTCGGTACCAGATTTTCTGTGAGGCAAAAGCGGAGCAGTCGACGTATGCTGTCGTGCACGTTGGTACGCCGCCGGAACTGTGTAGGGAATGGAATGAGAAGCGGCGCGAGCAGGGCGATGATAGCTGGGAGTCTGACCTGTAAGCCCCCTGAATGATTTCTTCTAGAGTCCGACCTGGAGCAAGCACTAACTTGAACTATTGTAGTTTTGACGCCCTGATCTTCCGGTACGAAGAGCCAAATGGCATGAACAGATGGGACTCGCCGCTCTTCACACTGCCATATACAGATCCCACGTCCTCGATCTTCCCTGCGCTGTACGAGTCGTTGATCCACGGAAAAACCAAGCCCCCGAACTTTGCGACGATCCTCAAGCCCGCTGCTGCGGTGGACTATGTCTACGAGCTTGATCGGCAGACGCAGGAGGTAGCCAAAATCATCTTGGAGCGACAGCAGGATGGCGCGTTGGGGACCGAGGTGGCTGTTGACGGTGCAGGGGACGCGGTGGTGAGTTTACCGATCGAGAGTGTGTCTTCGGCGCAGCTGCAGCGGTTGCGGCGGAGTTTTGTGGCGCTTAATAAGGTGCGGCAGATTGACGCTGGTCGGATCAAGGGTGCTTTTGCAGAGTATCTGGATCGGAATTTCTCTTGATTTTTTGTAGTTTGTTTGTGTTTGCAATTTTTGGTCATTGGGCGTTTAAAAGTTACGATAGAAGTGGGATTTAAGAATGAAAGGTGGTTTACATGATAATCAAATCGCATAGCTTATTGGTACATGATAGAATACAAACGATTGGAATCAACGCTGATAGCTTAGTTCGACGCTGAAGTGGACAAAAAAAAAGTAACCAAAACGAAAGAAAGATTATACATAGAATACAGATAATTTTAGGACTCTCACCGAGCCGACTTAAATAGAATACACACGACATTTTGGACCAACAAGATACAGCAGAATCGCAGAAGGCAGCTCGACGTCTGATTACTTTGACAGGCACTGTTTGAGGCATCTGAACAGCAAGCCAATGATATCGGCGGTGCTGTCCTGTTGCGTCTGCTGTTGCTGCTGCTGGTGGTATTGGTTCTGGTTCTGGTCGACCTGGAACTGCTGCTGCGGATGGCCGACGTTGGGCCCATTTCCGTACGCGGCGCCCGCGTAAGTGCCGTTGTTGTGGTTGTTGTTATACTGTGGCTGGTTGTGCTTGCCATAGCCGGGCTGGTAGGAAGCGTTTGGCTTCTGAGTGTCGTAGCGCTTCTTGGGCTGGTGGGGCATGCTCGACATTGGCATGTTGCCGCCGGAGGAGCGGAAGTTGATGACGATGACGCCTTCGTTGTCGTCGTCGACGGCGTACTGGAATCCGTGTTTCTCGCAGAGTTGTTCTACGGCAGGCTGGAGACGGGAAAGTTAGGGGGATGAAGATGCAGGGAGGTGATGGGTAGTATGCGAACCTTGATCTTTGCGACGCCTCCGGTAGAGTGCTTTCCCTTGCCGACAATGCTATAATAGAGATGAATTGAGAACTTGAGTTTAGCGTTGGAAAATCAGGGAGAGTACATACACCTCGAGATGGTCATCGTTTCGAGCCTTGCAGGCAGAGATGCGTTGCTCGAGCACTTCTTCGGCCTCTGGAGATGTGTAAATTGACAAAGGTCAGTTGAGTACACGGATGGGACAGGAGATAGGAAGGAGTACCTTTGACGTAAAGTCCGTGGAGATCAATCTCATCGTAATCGGAGTCGGCGTTGTTTGCCCGGAAAACAAACTTAAGATATAGTATTAGTGACAAGATGAGTAGAATATAGTTCTGGTGTTTTAAACATACAGCAGCGGCTTCGGCGTTGTACTCGTCCATCTTCCGGTCATGATCTTTTGCCATTTCGGACAACTGCTTTGCAGCTGCGCCGTCGCCTTCGGCGTAGGCTTTGTGGGAGTCGTCGTAGCAGCGCGAGCGAGCTTTGAATTCGGCTTCGGCTGTTGGTGTGGAGGTAGTTAGTGTTTAAACGGGAATAAAGTGCAGAGCAGGGAGATGGATGTGATTGTACCTAGACCACGGAGGCGTTTGTACTATAGGAGATTGAGTCAGCAGGGGAGAAAGTAAATAGATAGAGAAGAGTCAGAAGATACCTCTTGGTCGTCAGCATGGTTGTAGTCACGCTGAGGTTTGAAGTCTGCGGAGCGGTTAGTGATGAGCTCGAGGGTTGATAGAAGAAGGGACACCGTACGAGAGGAGGAGAGGACTGCGCCGGAGGCACTCATGGCGTACACTCGCTAGAAGTAATAAGAAGCTATAGACAGGTGGAAGAGAGCAGCGGGGAATGCGCGGAAGAGGGCAGGAGATAGGAAGAGAGGATAGAGAGATGGCGGAGACGGAGGAGGATGAATTGGTGAATAGCCGCTCGCCGGGTTTGTCTGCGGCGCGCGGCGCTGCCAGAAGATTGATGGAAGTCTGGTCGGACCCTAGCCAAGATGCAAGGAGGGAGCTGGAGAGCCAGGACAGAGGTTTGGATGGATCGGTTAGGTGGACCAGTGCAGGCCCAAGGTTCTGCATGCTTATCTGGCAAGTGCGGACGAGATCGAGCAGGATTCGGTGGTTTGACAGCTTTTGTCCAGAAATAGAGGATGTGTAGGTTCGGTTCGGGGTCTACGTAGATATATGATGAGCAATTAAAATCGCCAAAATGCAGAGATATTGACGCTGTTTATAGCCAGTTATCACGTATATCAGCTGTGTCTATAAGTCTTCTAAAAAGGCAGAATACAAGCAGAGAAAGAGTGATGGCTGCAGGGCCGAGAGTCGCGAAATCTGGGTTCGGTCTTTGCTCAACGGGGTAAAAGCGGCAGGCACAAACCCCAGCGGCTGCTGACAGACACAAGCAATGACGTCAACCTACGAGCGACCCGCGAGACTTTAATATTAGGCAGGCTGGAGTTCAGGAGCTCGTTCATTTCCAGGCCGCTCGAGCGGGTGCTGACAGCGTGGACTTGGTCTCGCAGACAGGGCTTTGGCAGGGAGACGATGGGGAGGCGGTCGAGGCGGGCGGTGGGGAAGCTGCAGGAGGCCAAAGAAGCGGAAGCTGAGGCTGCTTAGACGAAAACGGGTGCTGCCCCACCAACCGTGCTTTGGCGCCCGAGCGACGACGACGAGCACCCAGGCCCTGATTTGTCGCGGGCTGAAGCCGTAGATATTTGTTGAATTGCGAATATATCCAGCTGCTGCGTAGAATAATAGAAATAAATAGAAAACAAAAACAAAAATAAAAATAAAATCCGGTCAAACTCGGGTTGGGCGGCGATCGGCAACCTGCGCGCAGCATCCGCCTGAGACGCTTTACCGTTCTGGGACAGGCTTCCCGCCTATGTTCGAAATCCGAACATCTCGGTCTGCGCACCTGCTGCGCTCATTCTTTAAGCACTGCTCTGCTGTTTGCCGTTTATAGTCTATTATTGTTGCATTATTGTTTGATTCTACTGTTTTATTGTACTTTTTATGTCTGGCGGTGCGCAGTGGCGGCGGAGTCTCGCTGAGTACGGAGAGCTGTTCCTGCATATCCCTTCCTTCTCTTAGCGAGGGGACAGGGGGTGCGCAAGCTGCTCTTTTTTTTATAAAATGCATCTAGGACAGGTTGTAATGTGGAAGACATCTTATAAGAAATCACCGAGAATAACACAGCGAGACAACTGCTCCGAGAGATATTTCCTTGTTGCGCAAGTTCTGAGCTGACTGCATTGTGGTGTGGTATAGAGGTGTTCTCTCGATATCTCCATTCTACTAGCTGTTGCAATATACGATCTTCAGTGTTCAGATGATCTTTTTCCTCGTCATTTATAGCAATCAATTTGTCTTTCAAGACCTGTAGAGCCCACACATGAGCTGCTCTGTATAATACTCAAGCGTCTCTGCTCTGCCTCCATCCCTCCGTTCTACATCGTTATCAGACCACCCCACCGTTGCTCCGACCAGCTACAACAGTCCCCGCACCACCCACTCCCTCCAACTGTCCTCTAACACAGCGCAAACAGCACCAACTAATCCCAATCACTCAAACACCCTCCATCAAAGTGGGCGCGTGCGAAGCTGATCCAGGCAGGCTTTATGCGAAAGAGGCCGGATAACCCCTGCCGGGTAAGCTATTGCGCGAACCTTGTTTTGGCGAATTCCACGGCACTTTGCGAGGCGCCCGCGAGCAGCGCAGTCGCGCGGAGAGAATCACTAAACAAACAACAACTACAACAGCAGAGCAGCAGCAGCAGGAGCGCAGCGAAACAGCAGCGAACCGGGGAGCCACAGACGCAGCGCTGGCGAAGATACGCATGGGCAGCAGTGACCCGCCCCCTCAACAAAACAAATAAAAATAAAAAAATAAAAAAACTCTAAAAAACCCTTTCAGCAGACTCGCTTGCTGAATCGGGCTTAGCGCAGCAAATGCCACAGCGAACGGCGCAGCGACCAAAACACGCCCGTGCCGAACCTTCTTCGTCTCTGCGCGCCTGCGACAATTTCTCTTTCGCCGCGACTCCTTCTCGACCCTGCTTCTCTCCGCGCGCACTCGTCCTTGTAGCTTCCTTCTTGTTGATCGTCGTGTAGAGGTCCTCCTCTGCTGGTACGTTGCTGGTCTCTCCTTCTTCCACTCAATTATATCGACCTCCTTGCTCACCTCTCCCCTTCTCCAGCCCGATCGCAGCCATGGCGCAATCTTCTGATGACCGCTATCGCCGGCCTTTCCACCCCCAACCGCCTCCTCTGCACTCGCCCCATCCTCAAGTCCTGCAGCAGGCGCCTCGCGCAATTCCGAACCAGGACCGCTGGGTGGCATACTGGCACCAGCCCCCCGCCGCTGCCATGACTCCTGATCCACATCAGCAGCAATCCCCCGCTCTCTACGCTGTTCCCCCACCCCAGCACTCGCAGTATCCCTACCAGATCGTGAATGGCACTCCTCAGTATCAGGCACCTGCTCCGCAGTACATCTCGCAGCCCTACTACGGACCACCCCAGCCGGCCGGGCAGCTCATGGCCGTTCCTCCGCCGCCGCCGCCGCCCCCTCCGCCACCTGCTATGCCCCACCCAGACCAGCAACAACAGCAGCAGTATCAGCCTGTGCCCCCACAATACGTGACCCATTACTATGAGCAACCGCAGTACCAGCAGTCAGTACACCCTCTTCAGCAGCAGGCCTACCACCCACCCGAGCAGCAACAGCCGCCGCCTGCCTTTGCCCATCCCACGCTCGCTCCCCAACAACCCCCTCTACCTTCACCCTCCCCCGCAGTACATCAGCAACAGCAGCAATTTCAGCAGCAGCAGCAACCGCTACCAATGCATCAACAGCAGCAGCCACTGCAGCTACAACCGCAGCAGCCACCGCCTCCGCAACCGCCTTCCCCTTCGAAGCCGCCGTTGTCGACGTCATCGTCCTCATCCGTGCTTCCGCCCATTCGCGACACTCTCGACCGACCCACCGCAAACCGCTACCCATCGGCTCCGCGTCCTCAACTGCCGCCGTCGCGAAACTCATTTGGCTCACAAACAAGCCCGCGGGGTTGGCCAACACAACTGCCGCTGCCTCCCATCGGCACGCCGGCTGGTACCCCTCTGTCTGCTAATCCGGCTCATACTCCCCTCCCGGCGCCTATTGATTGGCATGCGGCCGAGCATCGAAATTCACTGTCTGATTCTTCACGCCGACATTCTGCTACTTCTGCGCGCCATTCGTCTGTGACGGAAAGCCCTCTCTTTCTGCAGCAGTCTCCTCATACTCCTGCTTACCCCCATCCCCCGCACCGATCTTCCCTCGATGAAAGATTCCATAATCCTCCTTCTGCAACATACTCTCCTTTCCCTCCTCCTCAGGCTGCGACACAATCATCGACTGACATTCGTCCCGCTCTGGACTCGACTATCCCTCAATCGTCTGCTCCGCTGAGAACTGACAGCGACAGACGTCCGGCCGCTGATGAGCCCCATTCGAACTCGAACCATCAGGACCAAAGAGTTGACCCATCAGTGCAGCTCGAGAAATATCATCGCCAGCAGCAACTCTACCATCGACAGCATCAGCGATCATCCGCGACGCCGCCTCTCGCAGACTCGCGATCGTCGGCTGCTACAGAGGTGAAAGACACTGCCGCACCAAAGCCTAAACCGGCAAACCGCGGTCTGTCGGCCTTTCAGTCTTTTCACCAGCCACAGTATGATGGCCAGCATGCGACATCGCGGCCTGCTTCGCCATCTTCACTCACCAAGCAAACGGAATCTAGTCAGCCTGCGCAAGAGCAGACAGAAGATATTTCCGCCGCTATTGAGACAGCGAGACGGAAGAGCTCTATTGCTGCTCTTGTTTCTCCTACCTCATCGTCCATGCCTACAGAGTCGCCTGCGACCGACAATCAGAAACGGCGACTTGTAACCATCCTTCCGAAGCCACCTGCGGAGGAGGCTGACGAACCGCTACAGCAGACTCCGAAGAGCGAACCTTTGCCACCAAGATTAAATAATAAGCGGAGATGTCAATCACACGAAGGCGATTCACATGAGCGGCGGAACTCCAATGGTTATAATCTGTTTGTTTTGAAAACCGGAAAAGTGAGAGCTCAAGCGCAGTCTCCTGCGTACGTGGCTTCAGGGGCTAAGTTCACGTCTGTGGAGCAGTATTCGCTGCCGAATATGCCAAAGCCAGCCAAACGAGGACCGAAACCAGGACAAGGGCGAAAGAAGCGCGCATCGGTACCTCCTACAGCATCCGAGCCGGCAGAACAACAAACTACCGCGAAATCAAATGTGGACAAAGCGCCGCCGTCTGAGGGTCCGACCCGGTCTACTATCCGAAAACGGAAATCACAGCTTCCGGTGATGATCTTGCGAGAGACGTCGCCTGAGCCTAGATCGGAAGCTGTGGAGCAGGTATCCCAGCTGGCGATATCTTCACTGACGCATCCGTCCACGCCATCGAAAGTTGTGGATGAGCCATTGTCGAGTGCTACGGTTGAGCCTGAGACGCCCGTGGACGATGACTCGGATGAGCCACCAACCGGCGACCCTTCACAACTCGATTCTCATGCTCCTACTTCGTCGGATGTTGCAGAGCCTGCCACTATTGCTTCACCCGTTCCATCTGCTCCGACTACTGCAAGTTCTGGCTCTGAGGAGTCTGTCGACCCATCAGCCCGTGCGGAAACTGAAGATCAAACTACGAACGAGGAGAGTCTGCACTCCTCTAGCAAGTCAGCTGAACCGTCTACGCCAGCTTCTGATCTCACAGAGAAGCATTCTGCTGCTGGGGACGTGCAAATCGTTCAGGGTGAGGTTACCAACGAGGATGATGTCCGGATTTCTCCAGACGAGCCAGGTGCTGAGGAGGAAGCAGCGAAGGATACATCAAGAGCTGGAATAGCAGTTGAGCCTCTAGAGGTGTCTACTACGCAAGCTGTAGAGCAAGCGGAGGAGACTCGTGAGCCTCCTGTGGAAGATGACACCAATCACGACTCTTCACATCCACTTGTCGATGAGTCCCAACCAGACGCTATCGAGGGCGAGACAGTTTCCTCGCGATCGCCGAGTTTAGCGCCCGCGTCGGATTTGGCGTCGTCAAAGGACCTGCGAAGTAATTCGCCCCATAATTCTGTGTCTCCTGAGTCGCCTAAGCTAGCGTCTGAGGCGCTGCCGGTCGAGGTCGACGGTGACCGCGAGTTGCTGAAAGATGTCGATGCGACGTTATTGCGAGAGAGTAGTCCGAAAGCTGCGGAGACTGTGATTTCTGAAATACCCGAAGATGCCGCCGATCCAATTGAGATAGACCCGGTAACCTCCGAGCCCGCTGGCGAAGACGACGCAACAGCCTTGTCCAGCGGTGAGCAGATCGAGTCTTTGGCAGATGGACGGCCACAGCACAATAAGAGAGTGCCAAAGAAGAAGCGGGCATTGTCGACTTCAGCAAGTGAGAAAGAGACACTCGATCTCACGCCTCCGAGTGCATCGACGCGTAAACGGAAGGCGAATTATTTTAATGATAGTTTTGGAGGTATGCTTCTATATAGAAGGGTTTATTATGACTGTGGATACTAACGAGAATATAAGATGATGCGGACGATGATGACGATGGATTTGATGACGACGAAATGCTGTCCAACGACGAAGATCAGACTCTGTCTCCTCATTCAGCTAAAAAGCCACGCAGAATGTAAGAGATTGTAGTGAATCCCTTGCATTTATAGTCAGGACTAACTGGTTCATAATTTAGATTGAAATTGTCTGTTACTCCTACACAGACGGCGAGAGCAGTTACAAAGAAAGCGGCGCAGCCATATACACCTTCTATCGAGGGCACACCAGGATCCGGAGACTCGACGGCGATGAACAAGACCAAGTTCGAGCACCACTTTTCGGCCGAGGGAGCGTTTGCAGAGCTTTTGGCTGCCGCAAAGGAGCTGATGAACGTGGTAAACATGACTGCTCCCTCGACAGCCGAAGACCGCGAGACGTCTAATCCGAAGAAACATCTTGATTTCACCGAGGTAGCGCTGCACAACGGCCATGATTACATCTCAGACCAGAAGGGCACTCGCGACAAGCGCGAACTTGGCCACAAGACGTGGCTGAAGAACGTGATCAAGGGCCGCGCTGAACTGTCTTCGAAGAACATGAATGCGATTCTCAAGCTGCGGCAGTGGCTGAAATGGTGGTGGACCGATATTGCTGCGCGGCACTGCGAAAATCAGGTTCACGGGTCATGGGGAAAGCGGACGCAGATTTCGCGATCGTGGCAGGCGACGTACGATGTTTCTGCGAGTATCGTGCACGCGCGACTGCGGCAGTGCGAGCGGGTGTACGAGCTGCAGTACCGATGCGGATGGCCTGCGCTCGTGCTCGCGACGATGGCCACACCGGCAGTAGGACCCACGCACCGGATGCGCAAGTCTCATCTGGAGCGAGGATGTGACGCGACGCAGATTGCGCAGAAGGATTGGTCCGAGTTCATTGCGCTTGCCGAGTCGCGGATGGAGGAGATCCGCGCGGCGGTCATCGAGCAGTGCGGGTACGACGGCATTCGACGGATCATCGAGCGCGCGGCTGCGTTGCGGCCGATGACGTTGCAGAATCTGGCGTTGTTTCCGCCGTACAAGTATGCGGAGGACGCGGACACGATTGTGGTTATCCCGCGGCTTGTGTCGTACAGAAAAGAGAGCGATGGCGCCGTTCATAAGAAGAAGAAGAAGAAGTCAAAGAAATCAAAGAAGTCAAAGGAGCGGGTGTAGGCGATGTCCGACGATATAAATAAAACGAACATAGAGTCTCATTGCAGGTGTTTTCTGTATTGTTTATGGTTATTTGTTGTTATTTGATAGTGATTGATGGTGCGTGAGGGTTGTTATCGGTTTGGTTTTGTGGAAATTTGTTTAGATTCATTTGGTTGAAATATATCCTTATTTACTACTCTGCTGTATACATCGTATCAAGAGGTCGGTGTTAGAAGGATTACAGAATACTATATATGACCACGATCTCATGTTCATGGAAGATATCGCGGCGAAAACGGGTAAGCAAGAATTTCGCGGCGGAAGCATTTGCGCTTCACTACAGTAGAACTCAGAAACGTGTACCTGCATATGGAAGCTCTCGCTTCTGGATGCCAGTCTCCGGCTTTCCCATTCTGTCAAGAGTGGTTTTCGTGTGTACTACTCTTATATTGACTATAGAGGACACTTTGCGCGCGCGGGAATGCTCGTATTGAGTGATCACTTTGATTCAACCTCCAACGTGGAACCCATGTCTGTCTTGTCTATGAGGATTCTTGAGCCGCATCGGGTGATTCTACACCTTACCGGCGGCTCTTGATGGGTTGTGGTTTAGTGAACAGTGAGTGTGGTATTATCAAGCCAGACGGCTGTCAAAGAACGCTCTATCTTGGAACGGATGGGAGAAGTGGAAGCTGGGAGTGTCTCTTACTGAAACGCTGGTCATTACTAGAAGCCACGATTTGCCTGATTTCTGTTCAGAGGATGAGACAAAAGTCTGGCTGCCAGATATCTGTATATTGTCCACACAAATAGTAAGGATCAAAAAATACAGTACGTGATATCGAATCCCGGTGCGGTACGTGATTGCGCAAACACAAAGCCCGCGCTCCGAAGCACCTTTACAAACGCACAATTTCACTCATCACCAAACCTGTTTCGTAAAAGCAGACCAAAAACTCTGTTCGAGACTGCTCTACTTGTTTAGTATCATTTGTCTTGTATTGATTGATAGCGGATGTTGAGCTTCCAAGCCACGAATGCTCAATAAATAAGCAACCCGACCAATATACGACCATGCAAAGTGTAGATCACCAACTCAACTCCTCCTTCTCCTTCTCCTCCTCCTCACCCCAAACACAAACCCTCTTCCTCACTTTTCTCCCTCCCTCTAGCTCCCTCTTTAAGCTTCCTCTTTCCAAGCTAGTGGCTGCTCCCGCTGCATTAGCATTTCCCGGAAAACCACCCAACGCAAACTAAAGCCCAGTCAGTTTTCGCAACCCGCCCCGGCCCGCATTAAGTTTGAGTCACGTGAGAGTTAATGTACCTTGGCGCGAAACTTTGATTTTATTTATTTTTGCTGTCGCTGCTGCGTGTTGGCAGAGTGAGAAAGTCAGAGTTGAGTTGTTAGTGTGGGAACGGGTGGTGCTGGATCAGGTATCCCACGATGGGTAGTTCGTATGCTGTATGTGGTAGTTGATGAGGTTTACGCTTGTTTCTGTAGAGAAAATAAAGGCGCTTATTGCTTTCATGCAGGAAAAACTAGGAAGTGCGGTGCGTTCCGGGCTTTTAGACGCAGCATGGAGTTGCAGCACATCCCGCCCCGACCAATCCGTCGTCGACGCAGCAACGTCCGGCTGAGTGCAATAATCTGTCCTTTCCCTCTGCTTCTAAGAAACACACATGTGCAGACAATCCTATTGCACTTTTATGATGTTCAGAACTTGTTCATCGACTGGAAGATGTTGCAAGAAAGACGAGTACCCACATTCGCTACGTCTTAGCGACGCTCAGTCTGCACCGACTGAGCGCAAAGTTTTTTTTGTATTTTCGGACGGTGCCTGGCTGCTTTAGACTTTATACGCTTTTCTTCCTTCTGCGGATAGAAGAATTGGAAGGAAGAAAAGCTTGAAAAGGTAGGAGGCCTCGGTGGAAGGTGTGTCCTGTCAGTCTTATTTCTGTCATTTCGGACAGCTTACTTGCCTTTGCTATTTTGAGTCTTGTGCTATTATGCGGTATCTGGTTTTGACAATTACCAGATCTTCCTTCAATGTTAGTTCAGACCTACGCCAACCAGCTGTCAAATTTGAGACTCGGAAACCGCGAAGCGTCAAAGGCAAGCTGAATAGTTCCCAGAACAGTCTTCTGACCAGCAATCCCTTTGTAGCAGTCACGAACGACAATGCCTGCTAAACTCTCTACACTATCACAATCACAAGATATCAACTGCATAAACTGACAGAGATAAGCTAAAATCACAGCCGCGTGTCTGTATCTCGATGCAGAAAGCATGGGGTATTGATTACCTCTCTGCCTTCTTCTTGGTCGCTTTCCAGATAGTTTAAAATAGTGAAGATTATTCGCGCGTAATGCAACGGGGTTTCCGATCAATTAAATTCTATGACTTCAATCCATCAGCCATACCGATCGTACTCCAGTAGCATTTATCTAGAGGGACCCAGACCACGGAATATCAGTAGTCTGGTCTGCTATGCTGGAGTCGCGTTCACGCTGCAAGGTCATGTGGGTATCCTCACCGCTGCCGTGGACTATAGATTAGACTGGGGCGTGTGTAATCTTTCTGTATATTGGTTTACTGGCTCTGTCTACAGCCGTCGAATATCTTCCTGAAATGGCAAATCACGGCTGTTGATAAGATCCACACAACTCTCTCCCTCCGATCCTTATCAATAACGCAACAGTATCTGTTGTAGCTACACCAGAGCGGCTGAAACCTTCCTTCAGTCAACCCTTTTCACCTCGACGAACAAAGATAAGCAGACAACCAAACTCAACTACGACTCCTTTTATCGACTTTCTTCTGCCGCAATACGAACTACACTATCGCACCCCATCAAGAGCTCTTCTCTGTGGATCTTAAGTTATCAAAAAAAAGGCCTCAAATTTTAACAAGTGTACTAACATATATATAAAACACGTCTGTGTTTTCAAACGACGTGGTGCGCCAAACAATACTCAAAACAGAACGAGATTCAAATCATAAAAGGAGAGTAACCCAACAAAAACACAAACAACAACAACAACAACAACAAAAAGATTTTTTTTACGCACACAAAAGAATAATATAAACACAACAAAAGAAGAGCACCAACTCGCAACTCAAATTCAAGGTAAAAATCCAACCGCTTTTCGTATCAAATCGTAATTCATCTCGAAATCTCACAAGTCTTCAAGCAACAGACTTAGAAAACGCTGACCTCCTGCGAACTATTCCGCTTCGTCGGCCCGTCTTTCTGACTCGTCGTGTCCACCGTCTCGGACCGGATTTGCGCGCGCGGACGTAGAGGTGCAACGCTGTTGTTGCTGCTGCTGCTCGTCACGTTCAGATGCTGCACCTCGTTATCGGCAGAAGTTGCAACGGACTCTTCAGAAGATGTCGCGGTGTAAGTCGGTTTGGGGACGGGTATCTTGTCGGTCACTTCCTTGTATGCCACCTCGCTCTTTGTATACATCCGAGGCTCGACTTCGGACTCGGGCGACTCGGCGACAATCGCGATTCCCGTTTGTTGCCAGTCCGAATCATCGCCCGCCTGACCTTCGACCTCTGTACCATCGTACACCGCTTCGTCCTCTTTGTCTTCCTCTTCAACTTCGTCATCAACAGCATATCTGCTCTCTGCAGCAGGCTCTTCCTTCGACTGGAAGCTGGTGGCCACCGAAGGCTCGAGCTCCGGCTCCAAAGCAGGCTCCGACGCAAAATCAGAACTAAACTCAGATTGCATTTCAGACACAATCTCCGACCGCACCGAGCTTCCCTCGATCTCAGTCGTAGTATCCATGTCCTTCTCAATCTCAGCCGCAGTCGGCTCTCTCGTCGGTGTATCGATCGTTTGCGACAAGTTCGGCGATCCTCTCATACTCGGTGACGCCCGTGTCATAATCGATTCGCGCACACTAGCCGATCCTCTTGTGCTGATGGACCCCCTCAAACTGCGATCGCGAGGGAAAATAACTCCAGGGAACAGTTCATTTGCAAAGATCCGGTCGGAAGAAGTAATCATCGTCCGCAACATGCTCTGAATCAGTCCAAACTCCGACGTCATTCCTAGCGCGTCGTTGTTTGGAAGCATACACATCGAAAACACAATCGCAAGGTTCACGGCGTGCATCCGATTAACGTCTCCAGACAGAGATATACTATTATCGCATCATTATTAGCTAGCTGTTTCATCAATCTTTCATACTCTCAGAATAACTCACATGTAAAGATGCTCAATCAACCGCTTGAGAAGATGGTAGTTGCAGCTAGGAAGTTTCCGAACAGCAATTGCAAACTGAGCAATCTGCTCATCCTCATTTGGAATTTCTACAAACACCAGTCAGCAAAGAACACTTATCAACTCATAAACAAAGGATCAAAAACATACTCGCAATCGACGTGAACGTGGAAAACCGTTCAGTTGTCAGAATAGACTCTGGCAGCTCTCGAAGGTACATCTTCAAGCATCCGGCAACAATGTTGATATCAAACCAACGCTCGTCCGCCATATTCACTTTGTGGCCAAAGTCAAACTCTTTTCTCAGCGCACGAACGTCAGTCTGAGATCCTGGCACTCGATAAATACCAACTTCCTCAAGACCTATAAAGTAACGCAGTTAGTGATAAGTCAATAAAGCCAGCACATGTACTCAATTTACCTCTGCTTTCAATCTCATCCAACAAAGTCTGAACAACAGTCGGCACAAGCTTATTCTCCCTCGCGCAAAGCTCTTCGATCGGCACTCCAAACACCTTGGTTTCAGCAGGAGGCTCATCGTTTACCTCACCACCAATGATAGGTGTCTTTCCTGCCTTTCCAAGCGCAGAAGCTCTTGCGACTGAGCACAGCTTAACCCAGTCTTCGAGCTCTTCTGCAGTCGTAGCCTGGAACAAATAGTCGGACCCATCGTCACAAATAATCTTGAAAACACCCATGCCCTGCATATCAGACGGGATGGTAGTGATAGCAAACATAAGATTGATGCTCAAAATAGGCTTGTGACTTCTGGAAGAAGAGCTTTCTGCCATAGAAGAACTATCAGGAAGTTCCATCGCCGAGATGGACCGATCAGGCTGCTGCGGCTGCGAGTTTGAGAACGCCATCGAGATAGGCCTCACAGCGCGTAAGAAACCTCCAAGCCTATTCTTTGGCTTGCGATCAGGAAGGATAGGTGACATGGATTTGCCACTCGACATGCTATGCGTACTGCTGTTGCTATGACGATAGGCGGCAGATCCGTGCGCCCGTGCTTGCTCTCTTGATATACGGTCGAGAGTATCGCGTTGACGCGCGTCGCGACGGACCTTGTTGAGCTCGGCAGTAACCAATGTATTGAACGCCTTCGGAGTCTTCGAGGCTATCTTCAACTCCTTTGCTTCGCGAGCAGCAACCTCTTTGACATGTTTCTTGTCAAATCTGCCGTTCGAAAGGTCAGAAGTCATGAGCGCAGCCACAGGCGTCTCCTGAACCATCATCGCACTCCTGCGCGAGGGCTTCAGATCCACCACATTGCTGAGAAGATTGTAGATGTAGCGCTGCTTGTCGAAATTGATCATCAGAGGGTTCTCAATAGCCATGTTTGGAACATAACACACAATCTCAAAGATGCGCTCAAAGATCCATCCCATGCACGGAGTCAAGGGCTCGATGGGGTCCGAAATGGTCGCGTTCGAGTACCTGTTATTCAAGTTCTCGTCCGCGACCGGGGCCATGCTGGGAATAATCTCCTCCAAAGTATTCACAGCATTGATGTCGTTGTTCCCAGTCGCCTCACGAGCAGCGTATATCCACGCCGCAGTATAAGCACGACTTTCGGGTCTCACAATCGCAGCACCGATAGCAGACTCGATGAGCGATGGCACAATCATCTCTTCCTCGCCAGAGTCTGGTCGTGCATACTGGTTCTGCGTTCCAAACTCGATGATACTCATTCGCCTTCTGCAGATTGCAACCGCGTTCAGCAGAGTCTTCATGCGACGGATACGAGTTGTTCGCTTGATTGCCGGATCAGAAACATGCATCGTAATCCAGGAGACAAAGTTCATTCGGAACGCGTAAAGCTTCTTGATTGGTTTTGGCAATAGCGAAACCATGAGCTCGTCATTTCTGTAACTGTGCAGCGTCGCGCAGAAACTGAAGATGTCCTGGATAACAACCTCCTCCTCGGTCGCCACTGTCAGATTTCGAGCTGAGAACATTTTCAGCGGATCAATCGTCTGAGTAGCAAAGACTTCGTACACTGAGAGCCAGTCGCGAAGCTTGATCTGCTTGAAGATAATAGCAACGACGTCGTCCACCAGGTCGCAAAAGTTGTTAATGCTCTCATTTGATGCGTCTGGGAATTTGAACTGACCAACCGATGCACCAGCTGATGGAACGTACGGCCAAGGCGAGAAATCGAGTGGACGATACGACTTTCTAACCACAGTCTTCCTCAGCTTGCGCGATAGAGAGTCGATTGTATCTGCGTATCCAGTCAACTTCTCATCCTGCTCTGCCAAGATGAGCCAGTCTGCAGTCTCCTTGTCGACAATCTGCAAAAACTCCAGGAAATTTTCTCGGAGCTGAATCTCGTTCACAAGATCGGCAAAGTAGTCTGTAGTCCAGATATTGCAAGCCTCCAGAACGCCGACGTGAATCTTCGCAACAGCAACAATGTCAACACCACTGTCCTTCTCTGCATCCTCCTCGTCCTCCTTCTCGACCTTCCGCTGCCAGTCGGGGAACTTGTCTGTTTCATGAGAAGCACCCTTTGCCAGCGAAATAGAGGCCGCACGAGCACCGATAAATCGACGACGCAGTGCATCGAGTAGTAGTCCTGGAGAAGCAAAGTTCTTGTAAGTCGCGAAGAAGGTTGCAGTGTAGACATCCATATCCATATGTAATGGCACGATCGTTCCAAACTTTTGCATGTTTGGAAGATCTTCCGGAATGACCAGCGAGCTCAACTCCTCAACACCCAGCACAAGAATATCCACGAGTCGTTCAAACGTGGCAGCTTTGGTGACAACGTTGATGGCCGCTGGAGCATACTCAGCCAGCTGCGACTCTATATTCTGCGATTGAAACTGGGCTGAAAGTCTGCGAGATCCAGAGCTCATGCGCTTTGACGGGTTCTCGATAATCACGCTAGAAAGACGAGACCCGCGCGAAGTCTCCTCCTTGAACGACTTGAGCACCAGCTCGCGACGGATATGATAGAGGCTGACTCCCACGTTGAGAACATCTCTCACTCCAGTAACAAACACATTGCGATGAGGGAAAGCGGCCACGCGGTTTCGTGAGGTTGTATCCAGCTCGGAAAATCCAGTGATGTGAATATTTCCTACGCGTAACGGCGGGAATGAGCTCGCTCGCCGCAATTGATGCTCTGACTCGGCGGGAGATGGAGGCGGTTGCTGTTGTTTTTGTTGCTGCTGCTGCTGTTGCTGCTGCTGCTGTTGCTGCTGCTGTGGTTGCTGTTGCTGCTGCTTGTCGTGCGAGCCAATGGATATCTCAGCAGAGGCTTTCGATCTTAGCGAGGAAGTAGAGGACTTTTTGTGATTGAGCAGGCCACCAGCTTCGAGAAGATCCTTCTGCGCAAACAGCTTATAAGAGGCGAGGACTTCTGTAAACAGAACTGCAGAGTACGATCCATTTGAGAGAGGAGACTTTTGAGCGAGATAGTGCTTGGAGTATGTTCCACCAGACGGCTCACAGGCAATGGATAGATCCATGAGCACGAGAGGAGAGAGAGGAGACGAGTTGAAGTTGAAGTTGTAGAGCGAGTATAGACATTCCTGCAGAGCGGGAATGGGCTGTTCCAGTTCAGGCATTCCATCAACATTTCGAATCGAGTCGTAGTATTTTGTCCAGCGTTCGAGAGATTTGCGAATACGGGAGAGTTCCTCACAGGAGATGGCGACGGAGATGGAGTTCTGCGAGTGTGTTAGTGTGAGCGTGCAAAATGCGGGGCAAGAGATGCAAATACCTTATTGACTTCAGCAATTTTGTCAAGATAGTGAACACCAATATCGCCAAAGTAAGGAACGACAGACTCTTTTCGGTAAGTTCTCCCGATTCCATCTGGGGCCAGAATATGAGAGCTCTCCTGACGCGAAGAAGAGTCGGAAGCAACGACGCGTCTGTCGAGATCGATGACGACAGGGGCCCAATCACGCGCAATAATACCGGTGAGATCGGAAGGTACGAGAGCCCACATTTCTCTAAGTCGGCAGATGGCAGGAGAGCAGATGACGCTTGCGATTGCGAGCCAGCCGACCATATCTCCACGCTGCTTGAGACTGTTGCCCAAGGCGATCCAGCGGGCGATGATGTTTGCACGCGCGACAGGGTTGGTGGAGGGAGAATTGATGGGGAAGAGATGGCGGATCATTGTTGCACCAAGGAAATGGGGGTGTGCCGGGGTAGAGATCAAAGGGTTGCGGCGACAGCAGTCGTACCTGAGCCCCATGAGCAGAGAGAAGTCGCTGACAGGAGACCAGAAGCGGAATATGCGCAGATCGAAGAGGTGGATCTGGGCGGCGAGGACTTCGAGATCGACGGTCATGAAAGAATCGACTGAGAGGCCGTGGCGGAACTCGTTGTATTGCGGCGCGTCAGGTGAAGGGGCGGGAGCAGCCGAGGCGAGGGAGGGCGTGTAGCGGAGCATGCCCTGGAGCATACTTCGCTTTTCGGACATGTCGAGTTTGATGAGGGGCAGTTTTTTGGGGTCGAGAAAGTCGAGAAGAGCGGTGAGGGAGGCGTAGATGTCATCGTCGAGCAGGAAGGAGGAGAGCTGCGAGATGGTGACGCTGAGGATGAGGGCGACTCTGTCAGGGAGCTGGGGATGCTCGATGGCAGCGAGGCGGACGATGAGGGCGTAGGCGGGAGCGATTTCGGTCCAAAGGGGAAGGAGAAGGAGGGCGTCGGTTATAAACGCCGGATCAGGGCCGAAGAGCATTTCGTGGCAGATGGCCTCGACGGAGCCGGCGAGGATGAGGCCATTGTCAGCGACGACGAGCTGGGGATGACGCGTGGAGGAGGTGTGGAGTGGGGCTAGAGGGAGAAGAAGGAAAGAAAGAGAGTTAGATAGGTATGAGGGGAGAGGGAGGAGGGGGGAGAGGGGAGTGGACGTACTGGTGACGGCGGGATCATAGTCGAAGGCTCGGACGCCGATTTCAGGGCGGAAGAGGAGGAGGGTCGCGTCGCGGAGGAGGGCTCTGTGGAGACGCCAGTCGGGGACGGGGGCGGTTGAGGAGACGGCTTTGTTGAGCCAGCCCTGCTTGGAGTCCTCTACGAGGGTAGCGGAGTCGTCGAAGGTCTTGCGTGAAGGGGATCGGGGGGAGAAGACGTCGTGGAGGACGGGACTGAGGGCGGGCGGTTGGTGGGGTTGGGTGGAGTCGTCGTCCTTCTTCGAGTGCTTGAACATGCGGAGGGGCCGCGTGCGGTGGTCGTCGGGGGGTTCTTGCTTGGAAGCCCACTTCATGGCATGCTTCATGGGTGGATGGGGAGGAGAGGACGGGGGGGAAGAGGAAGAGGAGGAGGAGAGGCGGAGGAGGAGGAGCGTGTTAGAGCAGCGCAATATAAATGCGAGGACATCGAAACCGAGCTGAGCTGAGCTGAGGGCGAAAGGGGCGCCGCAGTCAGGGATAGGGTCAGGGTTCAGTGCATGCGGGCAGTCACCAGATCGCGAGCATTCCCAGCCGAGAGAATGGTATTAGTGGTAGTTGTTGTTGATGTTGATGTTGTTGTTGTTGTTGTAATTGTAGTTGTTCTTATTCTTAATGTTATTGTTAATGTTGATGTAAATACCCAGTCAATTGTAGTAACTACTCCCCTCCCTCAACCCCCCAACCTCCTGTTCACGCGTCGCTGTTCGTGTTGACGCACTTCCTATCTCGGCAATACTCTTCACTTTATTTGCGGCTATCTAATCTGCTTCTTTCTCTTCCTCGTCGTATCCTCGTCCTATATAGAGCATATCCCTCCTCCATTGTGCACTAGCGCCGTCGTCCTGGCGCTTTCGGCCTCGCAAACGCTTGCTTAGCTGCCACCGGCGCTGGTCGCAGGTCGGCTTCCAGCGACGCCCTCGTAATCTCGCTTCCGTCGCTCGCTTCGATCTGCCACATTGCACGTTAATCTCAAGCAGCAAATAAACCCAATTTCTCTCTCTCTTCTTCTTTCCTAACTTACCTTTCTCGCGACTTTCATCCCGGAAACCCCCTCGGCTTCTGCTATTACTGCCGCCCGGCACGACGCATACAGCATCCGCTCCTTAATCTTGGCACTAGACGGACACGTGTAGATGAACACAAGTGCCTTCTCTTTCCCTGCGCCCTCTCCGTGCTCAAACAAAAAGAACGTGTATCTCGGTGCATCTGTCGAAATCACCTCGCTCAACTGCGACGGGTCCTCCACCGTCGTTCGCGTAGCAAGCTCCACACTCTCCTTCGACACATCCAGCTCCAGCACCGCAACATTCTCCCTCCCTCCCTCTAATTCGCTCAGCGCATCCCTCACCGAATCCGACACCGGGAAACTCAGTCCGGATGAGACATGCGACTTGCGCGTCGTCGTACCCGCAAGCCCTTCCTTGGCCTCAATCTCCATAACCGACTTGAGCGCTCGCTCCTCTTCCGAAAGCGGATTGCTAAGCTGCTCGTGGGCCACAAACTTCCGCAGCCCCTCCGCGCTCAACTCGTCCTGCTCCGTAGTGAAGAACGACGACGCAATCTTGTCGCTTCCCAGCTCGCGCATCAGCGTATTCCGCGTGGATGCGTACAGCATCTTGTGCCGCACCGGCGCCGCGTCTGGGATGTACGAGATCAACGTAAACTCGTTCCCTTCGTCTTTCCGGTGCAGGATATACAAAGGCGCATTGGGCTTCACCACACTCGACAGCTGCGCCATATCATCAAAGTAGTTTGACTTTACCGGAAACTGTGATCCCGGCTCAAGACTCTCTTCATGGTATTTGTTAGTTCATTATCAGTCGAAACATTTAAATAACCCGGGATCAGATAGCACATACCATTCTCGATGCTGATCAGGAGCGTCCGAAGACTGCCGTCACTCGAAAACTGCTTGAACGTCTGCAGCAGTTCCGGAGAAGCTATCAAAACAAAATAATCCTCAATTAGCAGGCTCATTCATAAGAAACAAACACCTCATCACATACATTTGATTCCAGATTGGTTCGACATCGTTATCCGTCTCGGTGTTGATTCGGTTGCTCTGAGTGAACTTCCCGAGGAAGTGAGCAGCCACAAACCCAAACCCAAAAGCCTCACGCCTCAATCAACTCCGTCATCTCCATCTACTTTCTCTACTCCACCACTCCTCCCATCATCATGTCCTCTCAAAACGCTCAACGAGCCCAAACAATAAACCGTATGGTTTCTTCCCGAGAAATACTGCTTTTAATATTTTATTGACATCTCTACAGAACGCATAACGGAAGCCACCGGCCAGGTAATCACCGAATACCACGAAATCGTCCATCTGGCTCCTGTCGCATCAAAAGACAAAGTCGCTTCCGCAATGGAAACTTATCAAATTGAGGGTCATGCCGCATCAATGGTACTTCTACTTAATTCATGAGGATCAAAATCAGAGACTAACACTATCACAGGTCCGTGCTATCGAAGACCTTCTCATGCTCTCTCGATCCCTCAAAGAAGCTTGGATTCTTAGCCAGGTCTCCTCCACCTTAGAAAACCATACCTCTTCCTAAACCCACTGCATCTCTTTTCTCTTTACGGCGTTCTTGGTGTTATTCTATTCTTTCATTCGATTATTTAGCCATTCTCTGTAATATTACTTATATCATCAATTATTTAGCCATTCTCTGTAATATTACTTCATAAAGCGCCATATCCCAAAAACCAATTCTAACAATATGAAAACAATAACAAATGCAATATCCTCAATCAAATCACCTTGATCTTCAACTTCATCACCAAATAAATGTTGAAGCCCACACACAACAGTACCATGCAGAACATAAAAATAACCGCCTCCAGCAAATGCCGCTCCATCGCCCGTCGTTGCATCTCGTACTCTGTAATCATCGCCTTCCACAACTGCTCATACTGCTGCTTCTGCTCCGCATAGTTCTCCCGGAACGACTGCATCTGCATCGAAACAGTGCTGTTCAGCTGGTCGAGCATATCCATCAGCTTTGCCCCCTGTCGCTTTTCAATCTTCGTGAACGCATCCCTGAACATCAAGCTTTGCTCCTCGATATACTGCAGCGAAAGCGTCGCGTTCGCTTCCAGCAACGTCAGTCTCTTCATAATCGTCTTGTATACTGACTCCTGTGTAGTCGGATTCGGCATAGGCGCGCTGTACGTCGGACTATGCGTCGCTGACACTGTACTTCGTCCACTTTCCAGATTAAAATGATCAAGCAAAACTTCATCCGCCGCATGATCACTCGTCACCTCCAGCGATTCAATCAAATTCTTCATCGCCGAACTATCCGTGCTCTTCTCTCGAACTTGCGCAAGCACAGACACCGGCTTCACCCCCGTCAAATCAATCTGATACGAGTCACCCGCTTCCCATCTAAACACGCCCGAAGGTGCATCGTGTACTCTGTCACATACTTCCAGCAAATATCGCCGCGTATAGATCTCCTTGAATGGTGAGCATATCGATGAATCAACCGACACCTTCGTAGCTACCTCTACTGGAACTATCTCCACAGAATCGACGTCTGCCGCCAATCCAACCTGCTGTTCCTGCTCGCTCGGTTGTAGCGGTTTCAAGGGATGCAACTGCTTCGGCTCTTGTGTTATATACTGATGACTCTCATGATGCTGTTGATTCGGTTGCTCATGCTGTGATTGTTGTTGCTGATGCTGATGCTGTTGTACTTGCTGCTGCTGCTGCTGCTGCTGTTTAGGTTCCTCTTGCTGATTATTCGTTTGCTGCTGCTGTTGTGGCATATCAGCCTCATCCTCCTCGTCCTCATCAACCTCTTCCTGCTTATCATTCTCGTCGCGTTCGTCATCCGCCCTGTACAGTTCCTCTTGGTACTTATACTCCTCCATCTCAGTAATACCATGCACTCGAACCACAGACAGCGGGCAATAAAACTCCTGGCCCCAGTGGCTTAGAAACTCGATCCTCAAAAACTTTGCAAAAATCTGCGGAATTTCAATCTCAAAATTTTGCACTTCGCGCACATTCGCTGCTTCAAATCGGCCAATCACTTTCCAGCCGCTGGCTTTCACAGGATATCTCTCTGACACCGACACTCGGAACTCTCGAACCATGCTCGAGAAGAATTCGTAGTTTGCGATAGCAATCGTATGAATCAAAATTGCCTGGCATAGCTCAATAATGACAAACTTATTCGGCGCATTACATGGATTCAGCATGTAGCTATCCTTGTTCTCCACCAAAATAGATGACGCGCCTCGCATCTCGCTGTTGGTCTTTATTATAGTCGACGCGCAATCAAAAGACGCGTAGTTGGTTTTGTTCTTGTTCTTCAGACGGCCGCCTCGCCGACTTTTTGTATCCGTCGGGACTACTTCCGATGAAGGAGCCGATTTTCCAACATGCTGCTCACTCGTGTCGGTATCCACTTCATCTCCCACAGAACTATCGGCAACAGTCGGGGTTCCGAAAAAGTTGAAGTTCAGTTCCAGTTCCCCGCCCAAATCATCAAGACTCTGATCAGCTCCACCGATCGGCCGTGCTCGGTTCTGCGAGGCCGCGGCGGCTTCAGCAGAAGCTCGGTCTTGTTGACGTCGGATCTCGTCTGCTGTCAATCCTGCTTTTACAAGCATCTGGGCTTTCCATTCTTCAAAGGAGAGGAATTTGGAACCGCTGAGATCATCGTCTAATGCTGCTGAAGATGCTTCCGGCGCGGAAGATGAAGTCTCTGCTGCCGATGGTTGTGACGATATAGGTGATGCAAATGTAGAAGACTCGGACGAAGCAGAGGATGCAGATGAGGGTGATGATGCAGAGGATACAGATGAGGGCGTTGATGCAAAGGGTGAAGAGGGAGGGAGTGATGCAGATGATACAGACTGCACCACAGGCTGAAAAGGTGCAGAGTGAATAATCCCGCTCAAAGTCTGATGTCCTGCCGCTGTCTTCTCCGCCGTTCTCTCGGGCGCCATCGATTTCTCGCATACATCAAATGTTATATACACCGGCGAGACACAGATCTCCCGCGCGGTCAATGATGGCGATGCGTTTGATCCGCTGACTCCAAAACATAATAGCAAAAAAATCAGAAAAACATAATGCAAAGTCATAGACTGTCGGGTGCATAAGGAAGATCGTGAGCCCATCCGTGCATGGCTGGCGAAGTCCATTGGCGAGGATGATGGAGAGCCTCAGTTCATACAGATCTGCGAATGGGGACGTGTTAGATTCGACCGGTAGATGAATCAAGCCGCCCTGGACGTGAGAAAGTCCTCTTCAAGCTTCAACTGTTCTCTATACGACAGATCCTTGCCCCGAGTTTACGTGTATATGACCATACTCGCTGCGAACAAAGAGAGATGGCGTCATAGAAAACCCAGGACAAAGAAAACTGCCTGAGAGGAGGCAAGAAGCACTCTCCAGCTCGTTTTGTCTCGATGATTCTCACAAAATCAAAGTCTGCAACATACCAGTTCCTGCTGTATTATTTGAAACCAAAACACAGACAAACAAGAAACATAAACGATGCACGACCGGCTGTCTATGCTGCTATCAACTGGTTCACCCAACAATCTCGAATCTTGGCCATGTGTCATTGTTTATGATATAGCCAAACCCTAACCACCCTGCGGCCCTCCTCGGACTCTCGGGCCTAAACTTGGCTGCGCTCCCTTCACGATTCGTGCCTCGACAGCCCGCATTCAGTGTCCGGCTCAGCCAATTCCGCGTGGACTGGGTTGATGCCTCTTAATTCTATCTTGTCCTTCTCCATTTCACACGATCTCATCGCGTTGCTACAGTCGCCGTAATGGACAACAGCGGGCATAACCTGCTCCTGCGCTTTATTGACTCGCAGCACTTTACCCTCTTCCTCTGCATCTCATATCTCGCCCGCTATGCCGATAACATTGGCATCCATTTTCATTTATGTCAAAAGCTGCGGACCTTCTCTTATCTAGAGATTGAATTCTTTTTGCCGCAGCTTTGCCAGATCATCTTGACCGTGCCGACCGAGTCGGTCGCTCTCGAGGACTTCCTCCTTGAGATGTGCAATCGCAGCACTCACAGCGCCGTCCAGGTACGTTCTATCCTACTCTATGTTTTGTACTCGAAGTTCTGGCGTCGTGGGAAACAATTGGATTATAAGCGTGTTTGGTGGGCGCGGATACTTTTCTGGAGTCAATGGCTCCTCCGCTGGCTCGATTTGTTGACATTTCCCACCGCCTCAACCCTGTCTTTACTGATGGTCCCATATACTGATATGCAATTTTCACTCTTAACATAGACGTTCTGGCTTCTGCAAGCTCACCTGGAAGATCTCTCGCACGACCCGGAGGCTCGGTCGTTCCAGATCTGTAGACGTGTCTACAATCGCGTCCAGTATATCCTCTTTGGTATCGGCGAGCCTCCTCAGCAAAAGATAGTATCGAATCCAATCCCGACATTGATGCTCGCCAGTGCCGTCATGGGTGCTATTGCCGTTCCAGGAGTCACGCGGTTTGTTGGTCCGATCACAATCGCTCAAGCGCGTAAACCCAGATTGCGCGTTTTCCATCTGGCAATCACGAAGAAATCGCGACGGAAGTCCGCTTCGCCCCAAGAAAAGTCCGCGGATGCAACCGCCGATACGCGTCCTCAGCTGACTAGAATCGAGACGGATAACGTCCGACATAACGTTGAGGATGTCGACGACGACGAAAAAGACGGCTCTGCGCCATATCCTGCAAACGGCGATGCTGACGACGACGAAGCATACTACGGCGGCAGCGGTCCATCACAAACCAGCGTCAATCAGGACCAAGAAGATTCTGAAGTTGCTGACATGCACCCTTCTGCTGCTCTTTATGGACTAGATGCTGCCGGTATCTCATCGCTTCCAGATCTTCGCCAGCCGAAATTCAGCGAGAAACCTGCGCCACATCCTTCGTCATCCTCGACTTCGGTCGCAACGCATGGTACGTTTCGGCCAAAGGCAAAGGCGGGAAACCACGTGCATCCCTTCATGCCATCCACTCTCACTTTGTCTGCCAAAATCCGCTTGCTCAAGTCAAACTATTTCCGATATGAGACAGCATTTGCCTACGCCTTGCAGGCAATCTCGACGCGTCTTCGATTGGTTCCTAAGCCGGCTAGACTCTCTGCCCTTCGTGCCGAAATCACTCTGCTGAACAACGAGCTACCAGCTGAAGTTGATATTCCGATGATTCTTGAGACTGATACCTATCGCGCGACACCTCGGCAGCACAAGATTGTACGAATTTCGCCTACCGAGGCTACTGTACTCAACTCTGCTGAGCGAGTTCCGTTTCTTCTCATTATCGAGGTACTGAGGAACGAGGTCACATTTGATCCAGACACCGACAGGAACCAAGATATTCTCAACAATCCAGCTGATTATCGCAGTCTGTTTGATTTCGCCTATTCTCATAAGTCGCCAAGTCATCTGAATCTCGCAGTTGACACAAACCTTCCTCCTCCACCGAGGGAAAAGTTGACAGAGACTGAGCTTGGAGATATCTCTGTTGCCGCCCTCGCTGATATCTCAGATGATCAAGGGAACGACTACTCTCTGCCCAGCGTTCCAACAACCCCTGTGCCATCTGTCGGTCGCAAGGACTCGAGCTCTTCTTCTCCTCGCTCGAACGATCTCTCTTTTGCGTCTTCTTACCCAGTTACTCGTGCTTCGTCGATCCCAGTACCCAAGAATACCTCAGAGCTCAACGACATTGCCGTTCACATGCGCACCGCTGCTACAATGCTTGCCCAGCTTGATCTAGCCCAGGGACAGAGCCAGGCTCACCAAATCCGATTACCGAAAGACGAAATCCAGCAGATTAAGCAGCGCATTATCCAGTCGATGCAGGTTCTGGAGGAACAGTCTACATTTGAGGATGTCGAGACCGGAGAGTACCTTCAGGGTCCGAGATTGAGTACTAGCAGCATCCGCAGTCACAGCAGTATTCGAGGACCCCCTGGAGTGAATAAAGAAGCAGGAGAGCGACGAATGGAAAACGATTTGAAAACTGGTGTGATCAAGAGTGATGAGACCGAGGTCGGCTTTGGCGAGGAGTGGGAAGCGAAAAAGAAGCGTATTCGAGCAATGTCTCCTTATGGACACCTACCCAATTGGGACCTTGTTTCTGTAATTGCAAAGACAGGCTCTGATCTGCGACAGGAAGCTTTTGCTTGTCAGATTATTCAAGCAATTAAAAGGATATGGGAGGATGATGATGTCGATATCTGGGTCAGACGAATGGCGATCTTGGTCACTGGTGCTGGATCTGGTTTGGTCGAAACTATCACCAATGGTGTCAGTTTACACTCGTTGAAGAAGGCGCTTGCAACCTCTATGCTCGGTCAGTCAGAGACGCCTCATAAAGGGAACAAGGTTGCTTCATTGTCAGAGTATTTCTTCAGAGTTTTTGGAAACCGTGGATCCGATAGATTCAAGAAAGCTCAATCAGCATTCATGAAATCGCTTGCTGGCTACTCTTTGATTTGTTACTTGCTGCAGATCAAAGATCGACACAACGGAAACATTCTTCTCGATACCGAAGGTCACATAGTCCGTATGTTTATCCTCACTTATTTAATATTATCCAGGTCATGGATTTTTCTAACTCCATTTCTTGATGATTCCAGATATCGATTTCGGCTTTCTGCTTTCTAATACTCCTGGAAGCGTCGGCTTTGAAGCTGCTCCGTTCAAGCTTACCAATGAGTACGTTGATCTCATGGATGGTCCAAATTCCGAGACGTTTGAGACTTTCCGCGCGTTGATGAAAATCGCGTTCAAGTCTCTGCGCAAGAAAGCGGACGATATTGTTCTTCTTGTTGAGATGATGCAGAAGGAGTCGCCACTTCCTTGTTTCCAGAACGGAGAAGCTACGGCATCTCTGCTGCGTCAACGTTTCCATTTGCAGCTTTCAGATTCTGACGTCGATGCCTTTGTTGATAATCAACTGATCAACAAGAGTATGGGCAGTATCTACACCAGGCTTTACGATCAGTACCAGCTCGTTACCCAGGGAATCTATAGTTAGTCGGAAGTTAGTCTATCTAGTGCGCATTTTGTATATTTTGTTTACTGCCTTTTTCATTCACTTCGATGTCGCCTTGCGAGGTGGAGCGGTAAACACGATGGAAAGAGGCTGATTGAATCTGCATGTATGCCAGCATACAATAAGCGTTGCTTGCAATGATATTGGCATATCTATTTTTCCAACCATGGCTGAAGAGAAAGATGCTTCCATGCTGGCATGCTACTTTTTATTTAATTTTGAAGGTTTCTCATTCATTACTTACTGTCGCACATTTATATCTCTTTCCCTGTATCTTGTTTTATTTTGTTTCTCTCTCGTTTATTATTTCACCTTGACTTTTGTATGTATCAGCTTTTATATTTATTCTGATGTGTGTAGTTTCGTTGATTCATTCTTTTGTGCTGCTTGTGGCTTTTGACTGAGTCTTGTATATTTCATGAATTATATTCCCTTTTTCTCTTGTACGTACAGTTCTCGATGTGATGAAATTGATAGAGCAAAAAATCAGAGACTATTAAACAACTACTATTTTATTGATGCCACAGACTTCCAAACAACTAGACTATAAATCTTCGTCTAACCCATTCGTCTACTCTTGAATATCTTTGAGATGCTAGCTGGTCACTACTTCAATTGAAGCATTGCCTAGACCTTGACGAGCATCAACGATTGCCTTCTCGATCTTGTCGGTCTCTTCACTGCTCAAGCCCCGCAAGACGAGAGTCTTCATATTTCTCCATCCGCCAGTCCATTCAAAAGACAAGACGGCGGTCGCGTCAAGCCATGTACAGTAGCTGAAGTCGACCCACTTCAGACTGAAGCTCGTACGACTGATTGCGCGAAGTGTTGCGACGGGCGAGGTTGGTGGATATGTCTGAGCGGGCGCATCTGGTTGAGAGTAAAACATCTCAGGAGGGATAGGCCAGTTTGCAAGTGATAGCGCGACCAAGGTCGGCTGTTGGCGTATTAGAGATAGTAATGAGGACCACAGCTTTGTCGGTGAGTTATAACTCGGATGTGATAATGAAAGAGCAGAGAGAAACGGGAACGCTCGAGTTGATGGCAACGCGCGCTGCCATGATGTCGAGGGCGATCTATTTTCCTTTGGCGCCATGAATTTCTGGAGAAATGCAAGTCTCGCGTCGTCGATTTGAAAGGTAAGATCAAGCGTTGTGATTCGATCATTTGAGTCGTCTATTTCAAGATCGTCGCTGTCGTATTCGCCGTTGGGATCATCGGAATGGCTCTGATTGTCGTTGTCTTCTTTAGTGAGGTTCGGATCGAATAGTAATCGAAATCCACGAGATCCAATTCCATTGGGACTATCCAATCCCAAATAAGCAACCAAGACCATTTTCGTAGTCGGTTCGAGATCTGGTAGATAGTAATATAGGTAGTCGACATTAGTGTCCCAGTCCCGTGCCAATCGCACAAGACACCAGTGCGCCAGACTACCTTCTCGGGGGAGCAAACTAGCCATCGCTGAAAGTGGTGCACCCGGAAGATTTCGTTTCAGGACGTTTCTCTCGTTCCTGAACGCCGAAAACTCGGCGGCCTGTCTATCTGACCACAGCTGTACCATCGCAGTCGATGCTGGATGTGTCTGCTTGCCATATACCCGCTGTTTCACTCGACGGCCTGGGATCGCAGCAAACGATACTTGTTCTTGAGCTATCCACGTTGCAGGCGGAGGAGGGCCAGCAAACGTGCGCCGAATGGGCCGCCGACGAGGCTGGATTGTTGCTTGTGGAATTAGCTCATCAGCATGTGTCTGCGTCTCTGGAATCTGAGCGACGGCTACTGATGACTCTGCCATTGCGTCCGGATCGGCCAGATACGCCGACAATGAGTCTGTCACGGGCTCTGCACCCATCCCACGGGCGGCAACGACTGCAGCTACAGCCACGGTCGAAGGCCCTCCGCCCAAGTTCAGGTTGTTCAATGATTGAGCCAGCGCCCGTGCCCGAGATTCCTGGATGAGCTCGTTGACTGATTTTTCCTCACGCTCGGTATACTGCTGCTGGCGTGCAGAAACATTCGAGTTCACGGCCACATAATGCTTCGTGAGAGTGTTTGAGTTGACGCGCCGTTTGGGCATTGTAGACGAGGACTGGTGGTCGAGGTACGGCTTGCGGAAGATCCCGCGCCCTGCGACAGAAGCTTCCGCCGAGAAGACTCAGGAAGTAGTGAGATTGAGCAACGTGTGACAGAGTAATAATGTAATGGGCGAGGATTTTCGATTGGGCCCGAGAAGAGGGTGGTTCGGAGAGCTGCCTGGGTGAAGATGCCTGATTAAAGATGAGAGATGGCGTTTATCGAGCTTCGAATTGGTCACTGTTGGGAGTTGGAGAGAAGCCCGTCTCTTATCTGCATCTCTGCTCTACTCATCAGTTGCTCCACTCGCTGCTTGGAAATACAATTCTCTGCTGGTAAAAAGCATTTGTATTGTAGTCCAATAAGTCTACGATGTTTTTGTTTTGTTTGACTCAATATACATCCCATTTCAAAGCACAATAATTATTACATCGTCTAGTAAGATGTTACGTAACGTAATTGAACTTCTCCCAAAATTTCGGCAGCGCGAAAAAAGCTGAAGTTTATAAAAATTTAGCAACATAATTGAGATAGCTGGTGACTACTATAGACTAGAACAATAGTCATATCTGTCTCTTTCTGTTCTGGGTTGTTTGAACAGTGTGGGAAGCGCTTAGCTATAGTTTGAATACGACATTCGCTGCTCCAGCTCGGTCAAAAAATCATTAACGCGTCCTTCGCGAAACCAGCAATGTTTCGCAGTTCCCGAGCTCTCTTTTCTCAGGTGCCTTGTCCGGGACTTCCGAAATGTCGAGCTCCATTTTGTCTGTTCAGTCATCCCGCTTCAGCTCTTGCTAGTGCGAGGTCCATTTCGAGTGCTTCGGTCGACAGGAAACGAAAACATTCTGTCTCGCGCTCGCCTTCACCAGCGAGATCGTCAATCAGCGGCAACACTCCAGGAAAACAAAATCTCCCTCGGATTTCGAATGAGCCTCCTGCTCCTAGACGGAATTTCTCGACTGGCCTGGGAAATGCGAGGCTATCGAGGCGGGATCCTATATCGACTAAAAAGGACGGATCGTCTGACCTCCAGTCAACTGCAGACGGCAAAGCCACGGCCACGAACAAGGCAGCCGGGACCTCGATTCGAATAGATTCTGACAACCTGTTTGGTTCGATACTTGGATCATTTGAAAATATGACCAACAAACAGCGCTCAGCACAACCTGCACCTAAGAGCGTGCGGCCGGTTACCTCCCAGTCCGAATCGAAATCGCTTAATTCAATTTCTACGAAAGAAAGTCCGCCTGCTACTGATCCCCCGACCATTTTTATTCACCCGATCAAGCCTAATCCCCCTGCCGTTCAACAACAACGTTCTCAGTTTGCCAAAGTCATTGCGGATACTCTACGTGATAAACAGTTGAGCGCGACTCCGAATTACGATGCGAGTTGTCGGGAACGGGAGATAGCACAGAAGACCACATCAGCGACATACACCAGTACCATTAAATTTTATATCATTGGCCTGAGAAAGATGACGAAAGAGGACTACTCAAAGACTTTGCAGAAGAAGGAGAAATCAGCTTCGGGAAAGCAGCTATCGACGCCCAACACTGCTGCTTCTGCCTCGAGCGGAGCTGGTACAGCGCAACCCCAGATGACCGACGAAGAGATTTTAACCAGGCTAGAAGATCTGGTCATCAGCAAAGACAAACTGAAGGATTGTGGATTCACAGTTGAACTGCCTTCTGCAAAAGAACTCACCGAAGCGACCGAAGCCGACAAAGCTGCTGGCGGATACGAGTTATGCGAACGATGCTCGACACGCTTTCACCCGAATATGGCACCCCTGTCTGAATGTGTCTTTCACTGGGCTAGGCCGTATACGAGAACTCAGACCGATCTCACCAGAGTCAGGATTTACCCTTGCTGTGGGGAAGAAGCCGGCGCCAGCAGAGGATGCACAACCAGCAACGAGCACGTCTACCACGTTACAGCTCCTGCTCGACTGGCAAACACTATCCCGTTTGTTGAAACAACAGAGAAGGGTCCCCACTTCCCGAAAGCCGTATCTTTGGACTGCGAGATGGGTTACACGACTCTAGGAGTCGAACTTATTCGCGTTACGATTTTGGACTACCCTTCCAACAAAGTGTTATATGACACTCTCGTGAAACCCATCGGCCGTGTGATCGATCTCAATACCCGGTTCTCTGGTGTCACCTCTCTGGACAAGAATCCAGATGGCTCGGAAGTTCCGGCGTTTGGCACCGCGAGAAGAGAGATTCTTTCAAAATATCTTGGCAAGCACACAGTTCTTCTGGGCCACGGCCTGGAAAACGATCTCGCAAGTATGCGAATCATACATACCAGAGTCGTTGATTCGTCCCTCATTTATCTTCACGAGGACCCCAGGCTTGCGTCTCTGAACATACGAATGAGCCTTCGTAATCTGGCTAAGAAGCACCTCGATCGAGATATTCAAGTTCGATCCTTCGACCCAGCCGACAAAGTCGGTCACGACAGTTGGGAAGATGCCAAAGCTGCAGCTGATTTGATTACGCAGAAGCTTCTCACTATTAAAAGATTGGAACTCCAGTATCAGATGTTCAATCGGATTTTGAAGAGTGATATACCTCCGTCAGCCTCAGCCAGCCAGAAATAGTGGTTTTGATGAGACTGAAGAGATTTCAGCCTTGTGTATTAGTAACACGGTTGTCGTTAGTTTGCATTGTTAAGGAAAAGCTTTTGGAGTTTTTGACCTAAAAATTGTTTTTTTGACCTCCTCTCCACATTTTAGATGGCTGAGTAAATCAGATTGTTTCAAACTACTTAAAATTCACGATAATCCCTTCACAAAAAACACCCAAATTCAAACCCAAAACAAATATCACCCTCATTCGGTACGATCATTTCTTTCGTTCATCATTTCACCAAGTCCTTGGCCTTGTCGAGCAAAGACTTGTGTCCTGATTGCGCCTGCTTAGCGTCAATCGTACCGGCCTGGTGAGACTGCTGTAGCGAGATGGCATCAGCGCGCTCGCCAAAGCTATCACCAGACGTCGCGTGCTGCTGGCCTGTCGCTCCTCGCGTGGAGGTACGAGGGTTCTCGGTCGACTGGTCATATTTACCACCAGTGGACTGAACTCCGGCTCCCTGGGTAGTTTTACGGGGAGATGCTTGTTCATAAGCACCTCCGGTGGACTGAACTCCCGTTCCCTGCGTGGAAGTACGGGGATACCCAGTTGCTTGATCGTGAGCACCAGTCGACTGAAGTCCCTGGGACTGTCTCGATCCGTGCGTTGGCTGGGCACCATAAGATTCCCCGGCGACCGCACCTTGCGTTGACTGAGTGTTGTAATTGTCACCAGTTCTGCGGTCTTGCGCGCCGCCTCGTGATCCGTAGGCGCTAGACTGAGTCTGGTCACCCGAGGAGTATGGGCCAGTGGCCTGAGCGCCGGTTGACTGCGAGCTGTAGGCGCCTCCAGATTGTCTGTTTCCACTCTGCAGACCGGAAGACTGCGCAGATCCATAGTTATCTCCAGTTTGAGCACCCGACGATCCAGAATGGTGTCCGTGAGCACCAGCCGTAGCACCAACGCCCGCTGCTGCCGCACCAGCACCCAGAGCAGCGTTGCGTCCCGAATGCGACTGTTGAGCACCCGACCCACGTGAGTCAGTTCCCGCAGCAGTAGGCCCGGTTGAGAGACCGGCGTTGCGTCCAGAGCCTGCCTGGCGTCCGGTCGTATCCTGACCAGACGAGACTGTCATGCGTTCGGCTTCATCGACCAAGGAGCGGACAGGTCCTTGGGGTTCCTTCGTAGTGCGGAATCCAGCGGTCTGGTCATCAAGCGCGCTCAGAACCTCCTGCTTTCGCTGACCATCGGCTCCACCAATCCCACCCGTGTTGAACGCGCCAACTGAGTCAATCATACCGTCTGAAGTGCTGCTCTGCTGGTGGGCACCGCTTCGGCCGCTGCGAGACTCATCAGAAATCGCAGATCCACCGTAGTTGTCTGCAGAACGAGTTGAGCCCTGCGTATTTCCTCCGCTAGCATACTGGAAAGATCCACCAAGACCAGACGCGCCGGTTGCACCATGCTGCTGCTGGCCCGAGGAAAGCGAAGAGTGTTCAGAGCGACCGAGATTGTCGCTGCCAGACTGGCGAGAGCCGTGCGAAGCGGCGCCGGCGCCCACACCGGCACCGACGCCAGCACCAAGGGCTGCTGAACCTGCCGAGGAGCCCTGATGGCGACTGCCAGTTGAACCGGCGCCGAATCCAGCGTCAGAGCCAGACGTGCGAGACGATTGCTGCTGGTCATAAGCGGAAGGCTGGTTGCGAGACGATTGCTGCTGATCATAAGAGGAAGGCTGGTTGCCATACGAGCCTGTAGTAGACTGCTGGGTGTCGTAACCTTGGTTGTCGTACCCCGAAGATCCGGTGGTTCGCTCATTGTCGAACGCGCCAGGGTGCTGGGTGCCAGACGAGCGGGATGCTTGCTGCTCACCCTGGGTGCCATAAACCTGGCCTGAGCGGGTTGCGCGAGTCGAGGAGGTATCGTCGTACCCGGGCTCGGTGGAAGCTTGCTGCTCCCCCTCAGTAGGCCTAGAAGAGTGTCGGTTAGAATCAATGGTTCGTAAAATGTGAGATAATTCAGTTTGTAACATACTGGCCCAAAATTTTGTTCTTAATATCCTCAATTACTCCAGACATATCGAATAAGCTAAGATTGCGAAAAGTTGTGACTAATTTGGTATTGATCGAGGATCTGGTTGCGAAAAGCGTGTATCTAGCAGACAACAGTTTCTTTATATATTACAGAAAGAATTAGTTTTCCGAACCATTTCCATGCGCAATATTACAATTTGATGACGAAACTATGACAGTATGTCTTCTGATCGCCGGCGATCACGTCTGTCCAGACCGTCACCAACGACGTCACAGTAAACATAATATTAAATTCTAAAGATGTCATTTATGCAGATTTCAATTCTGAAGGATATCAAGACCCTTTGGCATCTCCGAGGTATCTCTCTAATGGCGACATTGATGCTGTTCGTAACACAATTGGCGATTTGCTATGGACTCAAGCGTTATTATTTGACAGATCTGAGAGTAAAAGTACCGCGCATTCACCAATTGGCCACCATTTCTCAATTCTCAATGACACGCGCCCAAGGTAATTCAAATCTAAATTGAGCGACATATTTTCAGGAAACAGTCTTTTGCAAGGATAATGTTGATCGAGCATCGTGACCGAGATTGATAGTTGGTCGAGGATACCCCACGCGAGATCAGACAGGGTCAGGGTGCTCCGCGGAGGGAAAGGGTATCAGTAGATCATTGCTATTAAAAACACAAAGAACACAGAAGGATCAGCTTGAAACGCTCGTTCGAGGCTGTGTGTTCCAATTGACGTTGATCACTTGCTGTTGGTGTCGTTCGCGGCAGCTCATCATCTTTGGTTGTGCAGCCGTGCCATCTCGCAGATTGAGTCTTGGTCTGCCTCTTGGTATTGCGCGCATGATATGTGGGGTTGCCCGATCTCATTCGCAAGCGCATCGCTATAACATCAAGAAACTCGATACTTTCTTTTATGCCTCTGAAAAATCAGTTAATTGCCATTGAACAATCGATCGTCTGCGTCATGAGCCCGGCCATATGCAAAGAGACTTTAGATCCGGACTCGGGCCAGAATTTCGAAATCGCTCGTCCTCAAACTGAAAACAGACACGCGGGAACACCTTTCCGTCCGACGCTCATAAATGATGATATTTGACTGTAGATCTCAATATCCGAATGGACACCTGACTGAGTTGTTCATCCTCGCATAGAGAAGGCGCTGATCTGTAACATGGTATTGTAGCAAACACGGCCGAGCGTTGTAGTATCCGCTGTTCTAGCCTGTTTGTGGAATTGGCTCTTCCAAAGAGAGATATCGGTCGACGTACAGATTTCGGTGCTGAATATCAGCGATTGCTCTGCTATGTAGAGAGATTGCAACAAATGCCAAACCAGCATGTTCTTGATGACTTTTAGAAGTGTGGAACGAGCAACGAACGAATTGAATATTGTTAAGGGTTCGCAGCTTGGGACTTGTGACTTGGCGAACCAAGGCACCCCTGTGCACATCAAGCTGAATATCTGACCTGGAATATTTGCGTTCAGAGACCCTTCCGACAAAGCTGTTTTAGAGATCATCACAGTTCTGAGTCGGAGTTCTCTAATGTTGGAGAATGGGTGATCTGAGCTCATCTGGAGACGCGTCCGGCGCTAAGCCCTGCGCTCCATCTTCGACTGCCGAACCGTGTAATATCAAAACCGTGGTGTTTGGAGAAGACTTGGAATTCGATGCCTGGTACGGATGCTCGTTCTATAGTCCTGATAATGATAGAAAGAGGTCGTCAGAACAGATCGTTGAGAAGCTCTACGTTTGTAGCCGGTGCTTCAAGTACTCGCTTGAAGGCGCAGAGATGGGCCAGCATTTGGTATGCATTATCTATTGTATTGATTTTCTCTAACAATTGCGCTAGATTCTAACGCCGTTTTAGCTCTCATGCAGTGCTTCCTTCAAAATGCCAGGAAAATTGGTATACCAGTATAATCAATTCTCTATCCGTGAGATCGACGGCGAGACGGACAAGGTACTGATGATCCTCTTCATGCCTTCTCAAATCAAATAATTGTCTTACTTACAGTTTTCTAGTTATACTGCCAATGCCTGTGTATGTTTACGAAACTCTTCCTGGACACAAAATCAATTTGCTTTGCTGTCGAAAAATTCAAATTCTACGTCTTGATCCACCACGTTTCATCGAAAAGCGAACAGGCGGTCGGCTTCTTTTCCAAAGAGAACCTGTCGTGGGACGAAAACAATCTTGCTTGCATATTGATCTTTCCGCCATTCCAGTCTCAGGGATTGGGCCAGTTGCTCATAGAGTTCTCTTATCAGCTATCAGCGTTGGACGGAAAACTGGGATCGCCCGAGAAACCGCTTTCGGAATATGGTCGAAAAAGCTATCTACTCTACTGGTGTACTGCTATCTATCGAGCACTCCCATATTTCGAGAAGGAAAAGTCTGGAAACGTGTCTATCAATGATATATCCATGGCTACTGGAATCAAGCAAGAAGACGTTGTCGACGCGCTAAAGTCTATGGATGCTTTACAAAAACGCAACATTGAAGACTCAGATGAGAAATTACACTGGGTGGTCTCCAAAACAAATATAGAGAACTGGGCCTTGAAAAGGAAAGTAAAGACGAGGCCTCTTATTGATCCGAATTATATATTAATATCCTAATTAATTGGAATGACAAAACAAATTACTAAAAACTTATAAGAGGGCGAATCCCGCACAAACTCCGACCATTACAATAAACCGGATATGTATATTACGCCAATTGCAAACAAATAAAGATGCTGGATGTCGTTACGTGCTATGTCGATGCATCTGGTTAAGTCTAGGCTTCTTGCTGAAATCGTAGACAGCAAACGTGCACACATATCCCAGACCATCTTCATATAACGAGCAGTCTCGGAAAAAATCGACGATTTTATCGCATGATTTCGTGAGTGAAAACCACAGGACAAAGGGGGTCAGAATCATACTGAGCATTTCCTGTAAAATCAAAACGATCTTCAAACAGTAGTACTTGGTAAACTCATTCTTCACCTCTTCAGTGTGTAGTTTTCCATTCCATTCCGAGGGTAGAAAATGCGTGAACTCTGCCACGTATCGCAAGTTCGCTTCCGGGTCGTAGACAAGCCGTTCGTCTTGAATCATCCCACGAGCGGCAGCCAAGAGAGATCCAAATACTCCTATGTAAAACAACACGTTGCGATCCTGCGTAATCTCAAAGCCCAAGAAGACTTCAGGATCGATAATAGTCACCACCGCCAATACCGCAGCAAACGCACCGGCAACGACAACCACGAAGCGCATGATCTGGTTAAGCATTTCCTTTGGAAACTGATTGACGTACTCCGTTGCCGGATAGCAGCTGAGATCAAGCCTTCGCCTGAAAGAGTGATACAGCTCATTGTAGCCTCGGAATTTCCATTCAGCGAAGCTGCTGTACTGACGAGCACTGAAAGATCCAGGATTTTTGTGGTATTCCTAAAAACACATGTTAGCACACTATCAACGCTCACATCAAAAAGAAACTTACGTCAAAGTACTGAAAAAAATACAGTAAAGAAAGATACACCATGAAGAATGGTGCAAAGACAAGATTGAAAGCTCCGGCAATCACGAATCGGCGACGTAGAGCTTCAGAGAGCTCCTTTCGTTTGTCATACTTCAGAAATGTCGAGTTGATCTGTCCCTGACTGTTGAACACAAAATACATAATGCAGAGATCGAGATTGAACTTCAAGCTCCTCGTCAGCCACCTTTGGCTCCGCAAAAACGGAATCGGAATGCTAAAGTCAAGGATGTCCTTGTCGATCATTGCGATATAATAATTATCTCTCCGCATTATACGGTGAGCAATATCGCGCTCCTCCATACGCTCTTTCGACATATGTCCGAGGTATTTCCGCTGGGCTGTCGCGGACGTGAGTGGGTTGTCGTCTCTGAGCTGCATTATTTGAGCAGCTACCTGATGCCAAGAGATTGTCTGAATGTCACTATTGTTGATGCCCAACAGGTGGTGATAGAAGTCTCGAATATGGAGCAGTCGAGGGAAATCGATGATATAATCTGCTAAACGAATGAACCATACGAAAGTCAAGATCCAGAGACAGAATTTTGAAAATCCTCCCAGTCTACTCGTGAATGAAATTAGCCAAATGAAGAAAAATAGAACAGCAGGCAATAATAAATACTGACCGTGACATGCAGTGCGGCACTTCCACCTCTTTCAGTGAGTGACTTGTTCGTATCAACGAAAAGTCAATGCAAGAGCCCAGATATATCGAAAACCCGACAACAAACGCAAATGTAGCAAGATTGATGACCCGCATCAGCAAGATATTGTAAAGTCCCTTGCCCGTGTAGTAGTCGTAGACTTCGGTGAGGAAAATGTCAAGGTTCTTAACGTTTGCCCACCTCCAGATCGCAATATTACGGGCATCATTGATGCGAAGGCGGGTGAGTCTCGCTGCCTCGTCCTCAGTGGACGCGGATAGATGTCGCCGGCCAGGGATTGAGTCCTCAACTCGAGATGGCGGAGGAGGAAGCCGCATCTTACTCTCGCCAATCACGCTAGCTCCAGGACCTTTCAAGCCCGCCGCATAGGAAGACTCCAAGTTGATCCATTTAGGAAGACGTGGAACAATATCGGCAGGAGGGGCAGGAAGATCCATCGGGACCGGAGGCGCGGGATACGAGGACCCCGGCGGTAAACCCATCCACGAGTTCTTATAGCGAAATGACATCTCGGCCGGTGACGGATAAAGACCATCTCCAGGTCGACGGAATCGACCACCATTAATATGAGGGCTTTCGTACATCAACGACCGTGGCACTTCATCCTGTTCTTCTTCGTCGTGAGATTCTTCGAGTGTGACGTCAGGAACGACGGTGCGGTGTGAGTAATCGCGGTCAGGGGGTGCAGCAGCTCCTGTGGAGATCGGTCCTCTGTCATCATATGTAGTAGCACGATCAATGATGATATCCGGTGACGGCTCGTCGTGCTGGTCATACTCATCGTCATCACCGTTGTCACCAAAACGCGTCGTATCAGCGATCCCGGAAGGCAGCCCAGCTGACGACGATTCACCACCAGTGGAATACTGCAGCTGAGAAAGATGTCCTTTGAATTCAAATTCGTTTATATTTGCTTCAACGTCAGGTTCGGAGTAGATGTTCTCATCCTCGTAGCGAAGAGCGTGGTAAATGGAGCCTTGGCCTAGAAAGCGAGACAGAAGATCATTGTTCTGTTGCATGGCCATCGTGGCAGAAGACTACTTCCCACAGTCCAGAGTCCGCGTCTTCAAGATAATCCTCAGCTGTCTCCGTAATCCAAATATACTCGCAGAAATCAAATAAAGAGGAAGCTGACTTCCAAGTGAATGACTCGCAGGCAGATATGTGGTCTTGTCCCAACTCCGGCAGCTGCGTGGGAGTTTCGGCTGTGTTGGCGGGGTGCGGCGCGAGGTTATGTAATCAATGACTGTTTGCTGCGCGAAGGAGCGCAGCTGCAGCGCGTCGAGTGTTCAATTGCTCTCGGTATTTCAAGCACATTCCATCATCAATCGCGATCTCAAGGAGTCGACACGTCAAAGAGAGTGCATCTAGGACGCCTTTGATTCACGACTAATGGCGTCGTTTCCTGGAACCGAAGATGTGCTGTTTTCTGGCGGTGATGGCGCCGCGAAGACGCCTGCTTCTTTATCAGTCTCCGGTTCGTCGAGGTCGAATTTGCTCTCATTGAAGCTATCCGAGATCCTGTCAACATCTTACACGGACTCAAACACTCGAGATGCTTTGCAACTGCTGGGAGAACGTATACAGGAGAACACCCCGGAGATGAGACGGCAATTCCGGGCAAATGTTGAGGCCGAAGTCATTGAGGCCAACGGACAGGTTCTCGAGCAGTTCTCGAAGATAGCAATGGTAGGAATTCTAGTCAGTGGATTTTGATGGCTGATGCTAACTTTGAGGTATAAAGCAACTGCAGGAAATTGGGAATACAATCTCAAACATGAACTCGATTGTTGGCAAATTGAGCAATGACGTTGCTGAATCGAGGGCCCAAACTAAAGATCTTTTTAAAGAGGAGGAGAAGCTGTCTTCGGCACGAAACGAGATAGTTATGAAGCAAGCAGTTCTGGATGCGGTCAAAGCCCACTTTGTCTTGTCCGAGAATGAGATTGAGATCCTGACGTCGTCTGCGAAACCTATCGACTCGGTCTTCTTCGACACTGTGCGCAAAGCTAAGCAGATCTATTCTGATTGTCAAGCCTTATTAGCCTGTGATAATCCAGTACTTGGGTGAGTTTTGGGATTTGCTATGAATCTTTGGTTATGGGGATTTTATTTGCTGATAATTGGCCGCAGTGTTGAGATCATGGATAAAACATCAAAATCGCTAGATCAAGCATTCGACAAACTCTACTATTGGGTCCAACGTGAAATCCGTCATTTATCCGTGGACGAGAACTCGAACCGACATTTAGTCAGAAAGTCTCTGGGACTTTTAGCCGAAAGACCTACGATGCTGCAAAACTGTCTAGACGGTCTATCAGATATCAGACAGAAGATCATTCTGCATGAGTTTTTGGAAGCATTGACTGAGGGCAACAAACCTATTGAACTTGCAGCCTATGATTCATTTAGATATGTCGGCGATATGCTTGCTTGGACCCATTCCGAAACTGTCAACGAGAAGGAGGTTCTTGAACTCTTGTTTATCGGGGAAGACACAAATATAGCGCAGGGTCTGGAGAGTGGCTACGCGAGTGAGCCTTGGGCTGTTGAGTTTGATTTGAAGAGGACGATCGGAGAGCTGACCGATAAAAACATGCAAGCGGTTTGCAAACCTCTGAAGGCGCGTATTGACCAGGCGCTATCTGGACATGTGGAATCTACTCTGGCATATAAAATCTACAGTCTCATTGACTTTTACCATTCAATATTCTCCCGGTTTCTGCCGGAGCACTCACTACTCTTGAGCACCCTGAAAGTGTAGGTGCTAGTTAATTTTTTTATCTCAAGATTCGATTCACTAACGCGTCTGATAACAGTCTGGAAACCAACTCCATGAATCAATTTCACCGATCGCTGCGAGAGCACATACACTCTATTCAAACTGATTTACCCCCAGTAGCAGATGATCTGCAGCCTCCTCAATTTTTGCATGAGCAGTTGGCACAGATGCGAACGCTGATGGCATCATTTGACACTTCGTTTGCAGTGTCGCACGAGTCCAGAGAACAGGAGTTTAGTAAAATCATTGAAGAGGCATTGGAGCCATATTTAACGTGCTGCATCTCGATGTCTGACAAGGGAAGGCTGAAGCCTGCTGAGAGGGATATGTACATCATCAACTGCTTTGATGCGGCAAAGGTAAGATTAAACATTGTTAACAGCTACTGTGTTTGCGATGGTACGATTGCTGATGATGTTCATGGCCTAGGCCGTCTTACAACTGTTTGCGTTTACCAAGCCAAAGCTGGACGAGTTTGAGCGCATAATCGACAGACATACCGAATCGCTTGTTGAGATATACCATGAGATATTTTTGGAGGATTCGAAGCTCAAACCTACTCTGACTGCTCTAACAGAGAAGGCACCAAGTGTAAGTTTGTCCGAACTATCTCTTTTGTCTATCGATTACGGAAGGATGATCAGCTAATACATATGCCACATTAGGTCCCAGTAAAGGCATTGGAGCTGTTTCAAGAGACTAATCTTACACAGCTATCGATCGCATTGGACGAGTTTCTGCCGTCTGCCCTCATGGACGCTCAGACATATTTGCAGCGACTCGCTTCTCCGCGGTTAGGAAATGGTATTATACAACGGGCAGCAAAGCTGTTTGTCGCTGACTTTGCTGAGGTGGAGAAGGCGATCACTGAGAATATCGAGTTCCCACGGAACGTATTCCCTCGCACGGTTGCTGAGGTGAAGGTGCTGCTCGTGGTGGATTAAAAGGAGTTTGTAGACTACTGTGTGGCAGATGCGTGTCACCATGGCATATGTGATATATCTAATGACATAAGAATGATGTTGAATTACAGCAGAAAGCAGTGCATATTTTGTATTGTCCATAAAAAGCCATCCTCCCAACTACCAAAATCAATAAAGCAAATTCTACTCATGCACCACCGCCCACCACCTGAGAACGCCGTGACCAAACCCGCCTTATTTCATGCCAGATCCACCGTTTCTAACCCAATTTCTTGTTTTCATTTCCAAAGCCCATTATTTTATCAAAGAGAGTGCCTAATTGCCAGGTTAAAAAGAGTCGCCTCGTTTGCGTTTGTGTACGGGAGAGTCACGTGATTTTCGTTTGCCGTTTGGTGAAGGCGATGTAGGGAAGCGGATCGCTGTGATTTCGCGATTAGTAGGGGAGGATAGGCCGATAAGAGGCGGAGAGACGCCGTCGTTGTTGGCGATTTCCATAGGAGTTCGTGGTGGAGGGATGGTGATTGCAGTAGGCCTCCGTTCGATTGCTGTGACGGCTGTTGCTGCGACTACCTCTGAGCACGAGCAGGATTGGGAGAAGACTTCCTCGTACGTTGAGGACCAGGTAAAGGGCGAAGCAGACAGCTGGGATATCGAAGAAGTTGATCTCAGCGAGACAGAGGCAGACTCGCCTTTCTGGATGACAATTGGAGCAGTGGCCGACTTCAGGGAAGCATCCGGCATATCCATTGCAGGCGGCGTCTGGGGATTCGAATAACGCGTCTCGTAGCCAGCGGTTGACATGAGTTGAGCAACAAACTACCTTCTTCCGAGCGATTTCACAAGAGAACGACCTCGTCCGGTGTCAGAGAAGCGCGGACGGCAAGAATTCAGGAAGAACGGGCAGATCAAGGCGGCATAAGTCTGGATGGAGTGTTTCAAGCACGCGTGAGGACTCGGCGCATAGGAGATCCTGCTCATAAGCCTTCCCGACCAAGCCAGGTCCCAAGTCACATGTGGATCACAGTCTGTGAGTTGGTCACATTACTGTATGTAGGGTTGGGTAATAACCCTACACTGGCTGCGTAGTCGTGACTGCTTTTACTTCTGCACCGGGTAACCAGGCAGTCCCAGCAGCAACACAGGGCCACACTCACTGACTACACCATCTCGGCCTTCAGACCTGAGGTTTCGTTCTGCAGGAAGCATTCAGCAACATCATCATTCAACATGCCGACTAGAGCTACCAAGACTCGGAAACTGAGAGGACACGTTTCGGGTATGTTTCTCTCTTGATACCGCGATATCTTTATCGTCTTTGTCTTGTTTCTCGAGGCATCGCTGTTCTTTTGATCAAGTTACTAACTCATGTACAGCCGGTCACGGTCGTGTCGGAAAGCACCGCAAGCATCCTGGTAATTATCCCTCGCAGTACTCATCTTCAGCTCTCTACAGTCCTTTGGTTGTTGGTTCTACGTTGCACATCGATTGTTACGAATGATTCTCGAAAAACTAGAACGAACGGAAGAATTCTGAACGGGAGCTGGCTGTTAGACAATGCAGGACAAAAATTTCTGACGACTTGGAATTATAGGTGGACGTGGTCTTGCTGGTGGTCAGCACCATCACAGAACTAACCTCGACAAGTACCATCCCGGTTACTTCGGTAAGGTTGGTATGAGATACTTCCACAAGCAGAAGAACCACGTATGTGCACCCATCTTTTTTCCTCAAAGCAGCATCTTAGTGAATGTGATCCCTAACTGGCTGTCTTTCGCTATATAGTTCTGGAAGCCCACTCTCAACATCGAGAACCTCTGGTCCCTCGTCCCCGCTGAGGCCCGTGAGAAGTACCTCTCCGAGTCCAGCGACGTCGCTCCCGTCATCGACACCTTGGCCCTCGGATACAGCAAAGTTCTCGGCAAGGGCAGACTCCCTTCCACTCCCGTCATCGTCAAGGCTCGTTACGTCTCGAAGCTCGCTGAGGAGAAGATCAAGGCTGCTGGTGGTGTTGTCGAGCTTGTTGCATAAATTGTTATAAAATAAAATGGTTTGTGTTACTTTTGTCTCTTGTAAGATGTTTTAGGATTTCAAAAGGTTGGTCATGCCAAAAAGTAAATAAATTTCTCTGCGAAAAGAAGAGTGCACTATTTGTAAAATTCTACTGTAGTGTTTCACCTTGTTAGATGGCATGATATTGTAGTTTGAATACTGCGCAGACCGAATATTGGTTTTGCCGTGCAGCTATGCGAAAATAATAACACTGAATAATATACAAAAATGCGATGTAATCGAAAGCATTCTCAAGGCCACAGTGACATCTGATCCCGATCAGATATCTGCAAGATATGGGTGCTGAAGTGCTTCTGTAGCTGAAATGCGCTTCCGGAAGTCTACTTCCATGCACGATCTAAGAAGATCAAAAGCCTGCACATAGTCTGGGTCAGTGGTATAAGTCTGGCGCAACTCCGTCGTCAGCTCGCCGTCCTCTGCGCCGCCAGTGACAGCCCACACAGCAATGTCTTCGAATTGGAAAGGTACTTCCGGAATGGTGGGAATAGAGGTGTCGAAAATTGCGCCTAGAATCAATCGATGATGTTAGCCTCAGTGTTGCTATAATGAGTTATAAATAGTCATATAGCAGCCATACCGTGAAGTTTAGCACCGGCCGCAATCTTTGGCTTTCCAAAGATAGTCGCAATCTCGATCATGGCGTCAATGTCATCAGTGGAATTGAAAAACGGAAATCGTTTGGCCAAAAACGAGAGCATAATCACGCCAACCGACCAGATGTCGATCTTGGTCGTTTGATTAAGACACTTGAGTAAGACCTCTGGAGCTCTGAATCCACGAGTGCCTGCTCGATTCGCGCGACGTCCGGGTCTTTATCAACCGTTAGTAAATAAGGATATCAACTCTATCTGATATCTCGAGGAGACTGACCTGGTGTCATTCTTGAGATATCCCGTCGATGATTGTCTATCTGTAAGGTGTCGCGCAGGATCGCTATGCTTTCTACACGCGCAATGCTCCGGCTCCAGCACCTCGCGCTAAATATTAGAAGGGTCAGTAAACAAGACACTCCACAGTTTCCTTCAAGGAACTCGACACACCTCTGCTAATCCGAAATCGACCAAAGCACCGCGTCGTTTGGTTATGTCGTACAGAAAGTTTCTGGGATCATGAATCAGTATTGCGCTGCTCCTTCTTGAATAGTCACAATATCAGTCTTACGTCGGTTTCACGTCGCGATGCAGAATAGCGTGCTTGTGGACGTGCTCAAGAGCAGTGAAAATCGATTTCAGGTAGAACTTCCATTCATGGATGGGCAATTCTCGGTAAAATGACTAAAGACTTCGTTAGATGGAAGTATGCATATCTCTTTCCTCTATACTATAAACTTACTCTGAAATCAGAATGCTGACAGTAGGGGAGTACGGCAACAACCTGGTCTTGATCTCGGAAAGCGGTAATCAGAGGGGCAATGTCATCGCATTTGGATAACGTGTGTAAAAGGACGAGCTCGTTCAGAATACGCTGTGGACTGCTAGTCACATAAATTCTCTTGATCGCAACGAGCTTCTTTCTTCGGCTGCCTCCCTCCTGGTGCTTTCTTTGTTTCTTCACAGCTGGCTCTTCTGCATCAGAGTTCCTCCTGCGTTTGACTGGTGTGCGATCCAGATCCCACGCATTGTCATAGAGGTCATATTTGGTATCCTCAGCCTTGTAAACAGTACTGAAGGTACCTGTGATCTTGTTAGTCTCTGTCGTCTAAACAAAACGTTTAAACAAGCGATCGCATACCTTCGCCAATCTTCCCTATAATTCGAAATCTCTCAGAGACCTCTTTCAGTGAGCGGGTAAACACTTCAATGTCTTCAGCGACCTGGGGATCCAAAGTCTCCTCTTCCTCTGCTTCCTCCTCATCCTCTTCGTCCTCCTCTTCCTCTTCTTCCTCCTCTTCCTCTTCTTCTCCGTCTTCCTCTGCATCATCAATCACATCGCCTATCTCCTGCTCAGTACTACTTCTTCCAAAGTCCTCTTCATCGTTGTCCTCTTCACTGTTATCGCGACTCTTCTGGTCTTCGTCCTGGCCCACAAAAGTCGAGTCTCCCTCCTCTGACGCTTCATGCGAGTCGTGCTGGTAGGGGCCAAAGTCTGAGGAGTTCTCAATAACAATAGTAGAATCCTTTCCTGCCATTAGGATCTGCTGCTGGTCGCGATTGTTCACAGAAGCAGTCACGGCTGTTCTTTGATGGTGAGGCTTGTCGTGCTCTGTAGGGACGCGTCGTAAGGAAGCAAACGCGACTTCAGCCATCGCAGTTAGAGTTGTATGGCGGTGAACTCAAGAATAGATACAAATGCAAACAGATCTGCTCTTTTCTTGAAAAAACTACTGCAAAGTCTCCTGTAAACAATCAACAACAGACTCTGAACACGCTGCGTGTTTGTTTAGATCTAACACTTGACTCCCTTGAATCATCTGTGGTTAGGGCATCAACCGCGTCGAGCTCAAAACCGACGCGTTGCCAGGGAAACACGCAATTTAGAGTTCAACACAAATAAACAACTCCCGCGCTTTGTTTACAACTTCTGTCCACCGCCGCACTCCACTTCTCCCGTCGAGACACTTCACCGCCTTCTGTTCATCATCTACAACAATGGCCGACTTTGATCTGTCAGAGTACGTGACAAGTTACTTGTCAGAGCCAAGTTCGCTCATCTCGCCCGATTATGTCGCAGATGACTTGGAAGATGCCCTTGACATCGTTATCGAAGCTCTCGCGATGGACTCTGCCGCCATCGCGCAGAGTAACTATTTCGAGACCTTGGAATGCATTTTACTGTAAGCTGGCATTATTGTTCTTGACTCTTGCAATCATATATCTAATCCATACTAGAAATTTCTCTTCGATATCGATCAAGTGCAAGGCAAAGTTGGCTGATCTGATCATCTCGGGACTTTCAGCGCAGGCAGACACCGCCAATCAACTCGTCAACAGCGACGAGCTGGAAAGCTTCCCTCAGCAGAAGCAGTTGCTTGAAATCTACGGCTTTCTTATCCAGTGGACTATTGCAGTAATCGAGACCGCATTCGAGCAAGCTCAGCAAGGAACTTCGAAAGCAAAATCAAAGAACAAGACACATGGTACAAATTCCGTCGACTCAAGCTTTGCTGTTGAATATTTCCAGAGTGCGTTTGATGCTATCTGCAAAGTGGAGAAAATCAAACTGTCTAAGCTTTTTGTGACTACTTCTGAGCGAGACCTGTTCATTAGTCTCTTCACGAGATCGGCTTACTTGATTCTCGAGAACGAACAGAACGTCAAGAATGTTCCTATCCGTATGCACGTATTCAAAACGCTGTGCATGGCAATCAAGTTCCATGGTCATGGATTTGGTAGGTCATTACATGCTCCGTTACTCATACTGCCTGTGCTAACATATATCATCAGCCGCCCAAACATCGCTGGTACAGAACTTGCTCTATTATGACCATCTTTCTGAAACCATTGCAGAGTTTCTTCAAATTCTCTCGGAGCAGTACGATCATACACAGCTAGCTGATGAGATTCTTCGCGACCTCAGCAGCAGAGAGTTTTCCAACAATGACACGAAGGGCCCCAAGTCTGTTTCCCTATTCCTCGTGAGACTTTCAGAGACTCTTCCTCGAGTGGTGAACCAAAAGATGACCCTGTTGGTCAAATACTTGGATTCTGAGGTAAGAGCGTTTTTTCGGTGCAAACTATAGATGTCAGTCATAAAGCTAACCAGCTTAGTCTTACACATTGCGATGTGCAATCATCGAAGTGTGCGGCAATCTAATTGTCGATCTTTCTAATCTCGAGGACGACTCCGAGACACACAAAGCTCAGATGAATACCTTCTTTGATGTCCTAGAGGAAAGATTCTTAGATGTGAACCCATACTGCAGATCCAAGGTGTTGCAGGTCTTCAGCAAACTATGCGAGTAGGTTATCTTGCTTCTAATTATGATATTGTTGCTTTTACTAACCACGCTTTTCATCATGTGTAGTCTTGAGATTAAGTTCTTGCCCCGCAGACAGCGGGTTGCTGATTTTTCAATCCAGAGCCTGAACGACAAGTCCAGCCATGTTCGTCGTAACGCTATCAAGCTGATCTCGCGTATGCTGTCAACTCATCCATTCAGTGTTATGCATGGAGGTCAGCTTGATATCAAGGAGTGGCAAGAGCGCTTGGACAAGGTGAATGCAGAGATCAAAGTCGCACAGCCACCTCTTGAAGAGGACGCAGTGGAACATAATCCCGGTGACCTTTCTCGCATTGATGAAAATCTTTTAGACAACCTTTCCGAAAATGGTGACGAGAATGCTGGCAATGATACTGTCATTCGGGAGCAATATGAAACTATGGAGCTAATCAACAAGCTGAAGCTCACCAAGCAGTACTATACCGAAGCTCTTACCTACATACAGAGTCTGCATAAAGCTAGTGAGAGTATCTGTTCGCTACTGTCTGCCAAGAACAAGAGCGAAGTTATCGAGGCTATGGATTTCTTCGTTGTTGCTGATGCATATAAGCTGCAGCCAGCAAAGGACGGAATTCGGAAAATGTTGCATCTGATCTGGACGAATGCGAACAACGACGAAGGAAAGGGTGTTCAGAACCATTTGATTGAATGTTATCGATCATTGTTCTTTACCGCCCCCGAGGAGTTCTCAGAGGGCGACACCTGCACATTCATCGCTCGTAACCTGATCAGTTTGACGTACGGAGCGACTGCTGCTGAGCTTACTTCACTGGAACGACTTTTGATTACAATGATGAAGAACAACCAGATGCCGCAGCTCGTCATTCAAAAGCTGTGGCAAGTATACGGCGTGCAGCAGCGAGATATTTCCAAGTCGCAGAGACGCGGCGCCATTATTATCCTAGGCATGCTCGCTGCTTTCGATAGTGGTATCGTTGTGCGCGAGCTCGAGACTCTTTACCATGTCGGTCTGGGAACATACGGTAAGCAAGATTTAGTTCTTGCCCGATACACCTGTGTTGCGCTTCAGAGAATGGCTTCCGCGACTCAAAAGCTACCAGAGGATCATGCTATCTTCCAGAGGCTCTGTTCCATAATAGAAGCTTACTCAGAGAACAAGGAGTGGTATCCACTTGCTGAGCAAGCCATTAATGCTGTATTCAGCTTGGCCAAGAAGCCAGACTTGCTGTGTGGAAATGTCATAAAACAGAAGACAAGAGCTGTGTTTGGAAACGAGGTATCCGAGTCCTCGAAGCCTATGTCCACAACGTGTGCTCTGTCGCAGCTGCTATTCATAGTTGGGCATGTTGCTAGTAAGTTGTTTATCCTTCTCTTAGGCTATACCTGCAGGAACTGACAATATTAATTCTACAGTTCGTCAACTTGTGCAAATGGAAATGATTGAGAATGAATTCAAACGAAGGAAGATTGCTTCAGAGAAAGGTGAGTTAATAAGGAATTCTAAAGTATGCCATGTGTGTGCTAACTTTCTTGTATTCTCAACAGATAACCAATCTCCCAGCACATCAAAGGACGAGTTGGACTTGATTACAGGTACCTCGGAGGATGATTTCAGTGATGCGATGGGTCAGATCAGAGAGCGGGAGCTACTTTACGACAACAGAGCCTTGTTGACACGGTTTGGCGCTATGGTCACTGAGATCTGCTCTGACAATCTCAAGTACAACGACCCTCAGCTTCAGATTATGTCTACTCTATGTATGGCCAAGTTTATGTGCGTTTCTGCCGCGTACTGTGAATCTCATTTGCCGCTCCTCTTGACTATTCTGGAGAGATCAAAGGACCCGGTGACTCGCAGCAACATAGTCATTGCCCTCGGCGATATGGCTGTATGCTTTAATCATATCATTGATGAGAACACTGATTTCCTATATCGGAGATTGCATGATCCTGATTCAGCTGTTCAGCGGACTTGCTTGATGACCCTGACGTTCTTGATTCTTGCTGGTCAGGTTAAAGTCAAGGGCCAGTTGGGCGAGATGGCAAAATGCCTCGAAGACGGAGAGAAGAGTATTGCAGACCTCGCGAAGATGTTCTTCGGCGAGCTTGCGAGAAAGGATAACGCTATCTACAACTCTTTTACAGACATCTTCAGTACGCTCACTGCAGACCAGGATCTGGACGAGAACAGTTTCAGACGAATTATCAAGTTTCTCACTTCGTTCATTGAGAAGGAGAGACACGCTAAACAGTTGGCTGAGAAGCTGGCTGCAAGACTCCCTAGATGCGAGACAGACAGACAGTGGAACGATGTCACATTTACGCTCTCATTACTTCCGCACAAGAGCGAGGAGATCCAGAAAGTGGTTCAGGAGGGCTTCAAGGTTGTGTCTTCCAACGCGTGATAGTAAACATGAGAAAATTGGTTTCTTGTTTTGCTCGGTTGAGTTTGGTCGCTTGTTGATTTGGGAGGGGGCAGTTGTTTCTTTGCTGGTGACTATGTTTGGCTTCGTGCCAGTTGTAATTTTATTTTCAAAACTTTGTAATACCAATCAATATCTGATAAACTTCGCTATAAGATATTCATAGTTGAATCGTAGATTGAGAGAGACTGAATATCCAGACCCGGTGATTATCAAAAGAGATGGAAGGAGCGCGAGGTGCTGCGGCTCGGCTGCGTGTGCGTCTGCGTTTCTACTCCTCGATCAACTCTTTGATAATCACCAAGCAGCCCGCTGATCGCGAAAGAACGCTAATCGAGCAGCAATGGCTCTAGACTACGATACAGTCGATAACTCAGGCGAAAAGGAAGCCGTGGATGACGAGTACATTGACTACGAGCTCTTCACATCTCCGGACTTCAACGCTACCGTGTTCTGCAACCAGCTCGTGCTGGCGACGAATACCGCCTCGGATCCGCACGTTGACTTGAATGCTGCGCAGCAGCGGGTACAATTTGATCTTGAGGAGGTTGAGAAGCTGTTACATAAAGAGGTTTGTGTTTATCAGATGCTTTACGGGTTATGTTTAGCGAATTTATAGGAGCGAGGCTAACTCAATCACTTTCGATAGGCGGTCGAGAACCACTCATCCTTAATATCACACGCCCAGAAACTGAACGTCGTCGACTCAGTCCTTACGACGGCAAAGACCTCACTCGGATCAGTCACGCAGTCATTTTCGCGTCTGGATCACGAGGTCCTGACGCCGTATCATACCGCGCTGCCGATTTACAGGGTGCTCACGAAACTTCACGCAACCGCAAACTTGCTCCGAGCGTTCACCTGGTTCATGTACCTCGTGCGACAACTGAGCGGGGTACAGCAGCAGGCGGCAAAGCTTGTAGCAAACAGCAGAGTCAGCTCTCCTGCTCCCGGTGGAGAAAGATCGCGGTCAGCCACGCCATCGTATGGCCAGCACCAGCAGTATCAACAAGCAAGGCCTCAGATGAACGCTGCTGACGCCGCGGAGGCGTCTAGGCTGAACGTGCGCGCGGCAAAGACTTATGCGGAAATGACGCGGCATTTGTCGGGTTTTCCGAAGCTGAGGACGTTGAAGGCGGTTAATGAGGTTGAGGCTGCTGTGAAAGCTAGTCGCGATCCTGGTGGACCACCTTTGAGATAGACGGTACTGTCTTGTACTTTTGTTGATGAATTACGGCGTTATTTGTGGTTTCGTGTTTTGAATGTCAAGAGATGCTGTACTGTGACTTGTTGGAGACAGCTTCAGATATATAACTATTAAATTCTGAATATATTTTAATGCCAGACAAAAATCAAAACGCCTGATTGCTACATAAAACATAATCACATCCACCCACTCTTTGCTCCTTCATTCGTTGATATCCAGTATCCTTCTAATGATCTACCACCGCGATATCAGATAACCCCCCACCTCCAAAATAACTTATTTGACAAAATAAAGAAAACATATTATAGACAATTACTCCTTACCAGCTCTGTACTCGACATGAATTACCCAAATATTAAATAAAAAGTAGAAAAACAAGAAAGCGAAGATATGAGAAAGATAGATGCGTAAATCAGACGGTGAGTGCACTCAGAACCTCATCTCGCTCTCCATCCGATTGATGACTGCCTTCCGTCTCCGGGCGACATCTTCCATTCGAACTTGAGTGCGGAAAGAGTCTGCGAGTCTGATAAGACCCTCGATGCTTATCGGATGAGACGACATGTCTTTCATAAAGGAATAGACCTCAGCAGCTGATTTCAAACCGATGAGTTGTTTTCCGAAAATTCTGAACAATGACAAAGCGATTCTAAAGAGATAGACCTCTCCTTCAACGCACATGAAGACGTCCCACACTCTGAACAGAACTTCAGCAGGAAGACAGTCGGTGAAACAAGACAGGAACCAGTTGAAAGTGATGGCTTCAATGTCGACACCCAAGCCTTCCACAAGATGATCCCAGAGCTTGGGCTGGAGCTCTCTCAGATACTGCTTTAGCACACGCTGGTCTGCCCGAGACGTGAGAAGAGGCGGGGAATAATAGCCAGCAGGTAAGATCTTCTCGATGACGGAAACGAACGACCAAAATGCGTCCTCCTCCGTTGCATGCGTCAGCAGAAGAGTACCGGCAATCATATTCACTATTCAGCGTTAGCGCGTCTTCTTTGTTTAGTAATCCAATCATCTAAGAAGAACTCACTTCCTTGGCAGTATCCAATATCAGGATTCCGTCGACTAAACGCCAGCAAGACTCTCTTCAGTTTCGGAACACCTGGTCCTTTCCCGCCAAAGAAGACATTCGACGGCATAGTCCGGTACAGATCCAGATCGATCTGCGCCAGAGCTTCATCTTCTGTTTCCTTATTGCGATGGAGTTCAAGATTGACTAGTTCTTCGTAAACTCCCGGAACCTTCACGCTGTCCGCGCCTCCGCATTCGGACCAGAGCTTGGAACGGTAAACGACTGGAATACCACCAAGCACCAGTGCCTTGAATTCCTTGTAGCGCGCACGCCCGTTCAGAATTTTATTAGAAAGCAGGACTCTTCCGTGGAACCCAAACAGCTCTCCGGTCTCCATGGACATTGGGGAAGATGATTCGGCAGCAGTTTCATTTATCTTGCGCAAGAAGTCGTCCCATCTTGTTTTTTGCACACGCTGGAGCGAGTCGTGCAAATCTGTCAACTGGGACAGCAGAGTTTTGACGGACTCGAGCGAATCATCCTCCGGGGCGCCAGCTCCTATCACTGGCCGCACGAGAGCATCGGACGCCGAGGCCTTTTCGGTCGGTAAATGCGCTTGCTCAGGACGATCTATGCCGCTGATTGGAGGATCGTCTCTGTCAAAGAAAAACTCGAATCCTCCATCGATATTCTCTAGAAAGCGGTAACCGGCGTGAGTCGAGTGGACATCGTTCGGAGGCAGGACTGGACGGTGTTGCCGATCGTAAATGAACCCAAACCGGTCAGTGAGTAAGAATGTATCTTCCGATCGGTAGTGGTCGCCCCAACTCTGGAGAAGCGTGGGAGGCTGGATGCTTTGCGGCACGATGTTCTCCAGCTCGACGGGTCCCCTATCACCACTTCCACTAGAAACATCATTACTAGAACTCATGGCGTTTGACGACGACGCACCGACAAGGCTCGAAGCCATCAATCCATCTGAAGGTGAGGACGGGTCACTAGGCTGCCATTCCGAAGAATTCTTTTGACTGGTGCGAGACCTAACGGATCCCCGAGAACGTGATCGTGGACGAGTCTGCTTGCTGCTATTACTGCGGAAATAAATAGGGAAAGAACTGGTATCAAAACGCGACTTTCGTGGTTGAGATTGAGGCTTCTCATCGTCGTAGTCGTACTCATACGTAGTAGACTTCAAGTTCACACGCTCCCTAATACCGTTCGCCATTTTTGTCTGTAAGGCTGACGGCTTTGTGGCAGCGGGTGAAGACGAAGACGCAGTGCCCGCGTTGTTTTTCGCTTTCTTCCGCTTGAACGCTGCAGAAAACAAGGAGCTCGAGATCTCGTTTCTTGGCGACTCGTCTTCATATGGAGGTGACTGTGTTGTGCTTTTGAACGAACCGCTGGATCCGGTCAGTTCGTCTGAGCTCGACGACCGTCTCTCCTCTTCTCCCTTTTCATTGACAAGAACTAGGTCCTCGTCGTCGCTGTTGTCAGAGTCCAGACCAGTGCGAATAGCAATCTCACGCTCGGGAGCGATAACGTGCTGCTTCCTGCGAGAGCTGTGCTTTATCGAAACCTCAGTGACATCTTTCAAGTAACTATTTACATTGTTGCGAACATTGGAAGATGTGTCGGTCGTGATTAACGGGGGTAGCGAGCTCTCTTCGGGGAAAAGAGGAGTGGAAAAGCCTTTAGTCTTCTGACTGGTTGGCAATATACCAGACCGAGTCGACGCTGAGGATGACTGAACGCCATTGGACGAGACCTTGAGCGTTGAGGTGGATGAAGAGGCGGAAGGGTCGTGGGAGACACTTTTGGTGATCGGCGCTGTTGAGTCCCGTTCGTCGTCAGAGGCGCGGTCGTATCCCTTCCAAAAAAACGGAAGTCGAAAAGTCGACTTCATCTTGCGTACTTCCTGAGCTTGTACCGGAGCCGGGCGTTGTTCGACAACTTTGGGGGCGGCGGGCGGAGACTCTATCGGTTCGGGAAGTGGTTCGGCTGGAGAATGATCGACAACAGGTTTCTCCTCTTGTTGATGCGGGTCTACCTCCTCTGTTTTCGCAGGCGAAAGAATAGTAGGTGTAGTATGTGAGCTGTTTGATATTTTCGAAGTGGAGGACTGGTGTGATAAGCTCTTTGACAAATTCGAGACGTTCTTGTTGCTCTCCGGCTCCTTTGGTTCATTAGCCTCGTCTTCTTTCTTTGTCCGTTCCAGGCTGGTACCACTCAGGGAAGCAAATTCTCGCTCAATGGCCAGGTCGATATCCCGCAGTCGACAATCTATGTCGGTTTGTATGCCTATGGCAGAGTTGGAGCGGGCGCGTAGCATTGCAGAAAGCACGCGGACTTTGTCTTCGACCTCCCTGCTCAGCTTCCAGATTGTCTTGTCACGCTCTGCGATGTCGGACGCGAGCTGTCTGACAAAGTTGACGGCGCCAAACTTGGCAATTGACGCCTCGAGCACGGAGTCGGAGGCGGTGAGGAGGGCGCTGGAGCTGGGTGAGAGGATGCTGTTGCCCTGGTCGCCAACAAGACTGAGATCGCCAGACGGGCTCCGTTTTGACGAGACAGAGGAAGAAGAGTCGTCCATTAGCTCGTTTGACCGCACGACGTCCTGAAAGATAGAGTACGGCGAGTCCAAGAACGCCGGAGAGGAGGAGGACGGGGTTCTGAAGAGCGTGCGTTGTTGGGTAGACTTGCCGCCGCTATCACTGTTGACAGGGGCGGGCGGCTTGCCTGCTACTGTTGCTGCCTGCAACATCTCGGTGAAGTAAAGTCAAGGCTCTAGTGAGCCATCAGCCTGCGAAAACTGTGAGCAGAAGCCGTTGTATTCTCAGTCTTCCGTCCGGGAGGGTCCAGCGATGAGTGGAGAAGCAGGGTCGAGGACGATTAAGCGTAGGGTCTGCCGAGTGTGGATGATGTGCTTGCTCTCAGCGTTAATTGGGCGCCTCAAACCCCATAAAATTATTAGGGCTGCTGACCGCCCGCTAGTCCGGTTAGGGTTGCTTATCTGGGGCACTCGCTTATCTGCCTGACCGACTGCCGTTTACAGAAATATCAGCGGTTTTATGGCAATCGTCATAGACTGCGTTCATAGAAATTACTTGAAGACATTGCTTGATTAACAAACTCCTACATTACCTACCTCGGACAGTCCTATAAACATAGACCCCTCTATGACTCAAAACCACAACCATTGTGTACCCAAAAAGAAAAGCATTGCATACATATCCTTAGCCACTGCGCGACGCCGTGTACTCGTCCTCTGTTATAGCCTGGTAAAACAGAATATACGCAGTAGCCATTCCTGGCTTGTCTCCAAAAAAATTATGTACAAAGCTCTCGTCAACTCGTTCGACCATCTCGTCGTCAAACAAGACCCATCCTGCGGTGTCTGTCTTCACGATCGCAACGTAGTGTCCGTGGTATGGCCCACCGCCAACGTGCACAATAACGGCGTACAGTTCGTAAAGTGTGTCTGCGTCCTGAGCGCCGACCATCTCGTCGGTAGTGTTGTTGAATAGTCTAACGTGGAACGGGAAAACGACCCGATGCAGCAGCTTGACGTTCCGCTGCATGTCCTCCGTGAACTTGAATCTCTTCAGATGCAGCGCAAGAATCTTTGGTGCTCGCTTGATTTTCACACGACGTTCTGCTTCTTGTAGGCCACCACAAGAGTCACAGTGAAACTTGTTGTTTTGGCAGAGAAGCTCAGAGGCAGAAAACTGTTGCAAGCAGGCCGAAACCGATCTATTCTCTTCAATGTCAATCGAGAGGTCAATAAACGGCTCATCGCGTGTGCTAGCGGTCTCGCATGTCAGGCATTTCGTCTCGCTAGACAGAATCCCCTCAAACAAATCCTGCATAGTCTTCTTTCCCACCGCCGTCTTATTCGCCTGGATGAGCTTCTTGTCATAGTCTGTGATGGTTTCAATAACCTCGTTCAGTAAAAAATTGAAAAACTCATGCGCGTCCTGGTGCATCGTCGACCGGAATAACTCGTTCTTCTTCTTCAATACTTCGATAAGTTTCGCGGGTGAAGTCACACCGCCACCAGACTTGTTTTCGACAACGGCCTCAAAGAGATCTTTCAGCGCAGAAAATAACGACTCCTCCATTCCATACGATGATGCCAACGAATGGTCCATGTTGATAATCGGTCCGTTGACCATCGCCTGTCTCTTCTTCTGCTCCGGGGTTAATTCCTCTTCCCCATTTCCGTTTTGTTTCTGTTGGTTTTCTGCCAGACTATTTGCGCCAGAGCCTGCGTTTGGAACAGACGACGGCGCAAATGGGTTTGGCGAAGACGAGACTGGCTTTCCGGCTTCCTCCTTGACTATAGGTATCGTACTCGTTTTACGTGATGCTTTCAGCATGTCCGTAGGTAGTCGTAACGAGCTCGATCGAGATAGTTTAGGAGCCGGACTGCCATTGCCTGAGCTATTGCTTCCCGGGCTATCTTTGAAGCTGTTCGCGCTGCTAGGAGACGAAGACATTCCAAACATGAAATATGACCCCATAAACGTGGATTTTGCCGAACTAGGTGTAGTCACGCCGCCGTTTGCGGTGGCCAAGTTTTGTGCGCTCGCGTTCTTTTCTTTCTCAGCAATCGCTATGAACGGGTGCGGAGTCTTGCCGTTGACTGTACGTCGTGGAGATCGGATGACTGAGGAATGCGACGGGTAGTTTAGTACAAACTCTCGAAATGGTTTGCTGAAAAATAAGCATTGCAGAATCGAGTTGCAGTAGCTGTAGAATAGATATTAGCAGGTTATAGTAGCGTCAGTACAGAGTGTCTTCTTACCATGTATTTCCAAACTAGAAGGAGTTGTATAACCTTGTTAGCAACTAATACTCATACTCTCGCTTGAACCTGATACACTCACATTCTCAATTCCAAACAACTTGTCGCTTCCGTCTAACCTTGTAAACTCTAGCTTGATCTGAGAGGCCGAAGGCGAGCTAGTCCGGCTGCTGATACTGCCAGCGGCGGGTTGGCGGGGAAAATAGGGCGCTTCGGGAGCGCGATTAGGATAACTGTTGGGAACGCTCTCATTGCGCTGGAGTTCTGAGCGAGGGATCTGGGAGTTCTGAGAAGGAGCTGCGCTTGATCTTCTAGATAAAATCCCTGGCTTCTCGTTAGGTGTTGAGGAGGTGTTTGAAGCAGGCTGGCGAAGAGATATGAGATGAGCTGTCAGCGATTCCGATAATTTCCAAGTCTAGTGCGTACCGAGCTACTAGTCATCCACTTCAGGAACGACATCTTTGCCTGTGCGGATTTATTGTCACTTCTTTATATAGACTCGGTAATTCAATAAGTCTCTATGATTGTTGTAGAAGCGGGTGTTCATGCGCAAAACCGCGAGAGATGGAGAGGACGAGGATAATCGGCACAAGAGTAGAAGGGTAGCCAAAGGTCGGAATCGCAGACACCGAGCCAAGAACGACAGGATGGCTGTGTCTGTTCAATTCAGAGCCTTGAGTCCATATATCTGCTAATCCGTGTGCGATAAGTCACGATCTGGGGTGTGAACTGGATCGAGGAAGATAAGTAGATTGATAATGATAAAGAGTAATAATCACGATTGACCCAGTACCGAGTATCCCGCCGCACACGCCGCCGGAATCTCGGAGCGTTGGCCTGGTGACGTATTTCTGTTCACTGTGTAATCTACGAGATCTACGCATTTGCACAATTACAATAAGAGATTAAATAGGTATACAATGCGTTTTATTATGCATTAATGATGCCCAATGCGAGGTCATTTTCCCACGCATTCGCTTTTTAAATGATCACACCAAGCGGGAGAAAAATCAATTCTCCCTAGTCATACCCGATTCCAGAACAAATGGAAAATAGCAAAAAACGATGAAGTAGGATGATCGAGATTCTGACTGAGACTCGATTCAACAACAAATGTTCCCTTACTACCCGATAAAACAAAACCCATAAGCAAACCCCATTAAAGCGCTCGCGTAAATAGTGAAACCCAAAGCAAGTCATGTCCAGATTAAATAATCTCAAGTAAACAAAAACAACATTAAACCAGATATTAAACGATACACTCCCTTTTTTTTTCGAAGAGAAATTCGCAGAGAAAAGAACGACTTTTTGGCAACAGTAGTTTCGCCAAGCGCAGTTTTTGTGTGTAAGCAAGAGCATATGACTCAGACGAAATTCTCGTAGAATCCGTATTCGTCCAAGTTGTATGACTTCGAGCCTCGAGATGTCCGCAGCTCAAATTTCGGCGCCGACAGATCAGGCTTTGGAAAGGAGTCGCGACGCGGCTGCGTCTCGTCAGAGAGCAAGCTCAGGTGTGCGTCGTCAGCGATACGGGTTAAATCCCATTTGCCAATCATCTGATTTGTTGCGTCAACAGCCTTTCCGATATCATCATGCGGCAGCACACCGTAGCCTGCTCGGTCTCGTTTTTCACCACCATAGCCATAGTTTGACGAATAGTCAACTTCCACACCACACTTGTGCGGCACGGCGACAGAAAGACTGGCCAGGCCGAAATCTGTCAGCATTGGCTTTCCAGAGATGGCGCCAACAAGAGCGTTGCTACCAGCACCGTGTGTCACCAGCACGACGACGGAGTCTGCGGTTGCGGGACCAGAGTAGCTCGATATGAGGTTCGACAGCCCGGATGAAAAACGGGCGTACATGGAGCGCCACCGTTCGCCGTACTCGCCCGAACGACCGAATGCGTCCAAGGGCCAAGCAAGGTCAAGATAAGGCTGAGCGCCATGAGAAAGAAGCCAGGATGTTGAGGAGGCCGCCAGAGAAGAGTGACCATCATCTGGCGGCGGACATGAGTTGGCAAAGTAGTCGGGTGTAAGCCATTCACCCAGGAAAGAGTCTATCCGTATCTTGACTGATACTGAAGGCAGGGATGACGTGAGCTGGTCAGCGACATGGCTGGCAGTCATTGCACACCGCAGAAACGGCGACGTGTGTATGTAGACATTGAGAGGGCGCGTAGGGGGGACGGGCGAGGATGAGGTGGAAGAGGGATAGGGAAAAGAAGCGGGGGAGGGTAAAAGACGTGGCGACGACACAGAAGATGCCGAGGACGCAGCCGTCAGGCCCGGCGAGGACGAGAGGAGGGTGGAGGAGTCAGAGAAGGGGCCGGCGGGCGTGGACGCAGGCGACGAGCGAATGCTGTCGAGGACGGCCGCTACTTCGGCGGTGATGGCACGGCCGAGAGCGTCGGCCTCGAGCGCGCCATTTGCGGAGATAGGAGGGTCATAGGGAGTTGGCGACGACTGGCGCCAGGCAGTGTCGACGCTGTCCCTGCGAGTAGCGTGGCGGGCTACGATTATGCGAGAGGGAGCCATGAGTAGGTCCCATGGGAGTAGGAGTTGGTGAAGACGGAGCAGTGGAGGAGGAGGAAAAACGAACGAGCGCGGACAAACAGGCCACACGCGGACTCCGAATGCACGTGCAAATGGGTCACGATGCCCGCTGCCCTCGCCGCCAGCTCTACGACCGCCGCCCCTCCACCGCGGTGGCTACGCTGCTGTCTGCGTGCATCTACGCGCCTGCTGCTGCTGTTCTGCTGCTGCTGCTGCTGCTGCTGCCGGAATGCAGCTTCCAGGCCGCCCGTTTCGGTCCAGGCTGCGGGCGTGTGGGACTTTCACATGCACGCGGCTGCGGCTGTTGTGGCCGGCTTAGTCACACTCTTGTGCCCGGCAGAAATAAAATCGCATTGTTCCGCGTGACTAATCTATGACTCATGTTTTGTTTATTCGTGACTAATAATTGACTAATGCTCTTTCGCTCTCAGTGACTGTGCAGCTTCATATTGTACCTGTGGCACTCGTTCCACGCCTCTGCCTGGCTCATCCCCGCCGTGGCAGGCCATCTGGTCACCTTTCCGCGGAACTCGGCGCCGCCGCTGGCTCGGAACAGGTAGTAAAGCAGCATGTTGCCGTATATGTACGTGTGCGCGCCCCGCTTGGGGTGGATCTCGTCGCGGAAGGCGTCGTAGAACGGCTGCGTGTACCCGGATATCGTGTGTCCCCAATCAAACACCTCGACGTCCATCGCGTGCGCGACAAACCGGGCCATCTTGTCCAGCTGCACCAGCGGAACCGTCGTGCTGGCCGCGTTGCGCGTCTGCAGAACTGCTCTGAACATGAACGGCGTGTCTGCTCCAAATATCTCTCTGTAGTACTCGATAAATCTCTTCTGGCGCGCACGATAGAAATCCAGCTCGCTCCAGTGGAACGGCCGCTGCGCTGCAAATGCTTCCCCGGTCCCTCTGGCTTGTATGCCTCTCTCGCTGTCTCTCTCCGACAGCCTCCGCCGACCGGAGGAGGCCTTTGCTGGTGCTTTAGGTGCCTTTGGCTGAGGCGCTGATGATTCTCCGTGACCCGAGTGCTCCATATGGCCAGAGTGATCCCCAGATTCACCGCTGCTCTTCCCTCCTCCCATTTCCATATTGTAGCTCGTTGTCATCGACGTCCAATCCCACAGCATGCTTTGATACACAATCAGATCTGGTCCGCGTCCATTCATCCCAAACACGTCCGTCGCGCGCTCGGCAGAGATATTCGCCATGAACAGTTCCTCGTTGCGCGCCTCGAACGAGATATTGCCCATATGGCTCATCCACCACCAGTCCGGCCTAGCTGTGTACATTGACGCAATATGCCAGTGAAGAATCGTGAAGTTGAGCTGTGGGATTCGGCATTGTGCGGTCGAATGGAGCCCGAGCATACTCACGTTCGCTGCCAGATTCAGTTCTCTGCACATATATACTGCCATGTAGCGATCAACCGAGTCTGCGAGCATTAGCACCCGCTTATTCTGCAACCACCGCACCTTCCTCTCAGCCACCTGGATTTCTGTGTGCGTGTGCTGGTCCGGGTGCTTAAGTAGTGTCAAATAGTCTCTGATATGACCAACCCAGTCGGTCGGCGCTTGCTTCAGCAGCGACTCATCAACTGGTCCCGGCTTAAATTTCATGTCTGGCGCTTCTGTGAGATCATAGTCTGGATATCGTGCGGCAGGCGGTACAGCACGATCAAGAAGATCGTCGTAGTATGGCACCTATGCAGATTGCTGGTACGGGAACTCGCCATCAACAGCCGGAATATGGATCCATCCAGGTCGTCGAAATGGATCATCGCATTGTGGAGGTATACTTTCCACAGATGACGGGGATGCAGGCGAAGATGTTGTCTCGGCAATATCCTCTACGATGGCCGCCTCGGTCACAGTCACGAAGACCGTCTCTGTTTCTTTCATCGTCACTTTTTCTGTAACGGACGCAATTGTCTCTGTTACTGTAAAAGTCACCGAAGCCTCTGAGCTTTTACCCGCAACGAGGTCTTCGGCGCCGGCCGTCGCCGTCGCTGGAGTTTTGCTGGCGTCGCCCAGACCGAACCTGCTTGGTCTTGTTAGAACAAAATTATCCAATTGCATGCAATGCAGCCAGCAACATCACCAGAACAACTCACCGAGTAGTCACCATCGTTGGGTAGGCAAAGAACGTGAACAAGAGGATCAGTACAGAGACGCCCACCGCAATGGCGGCCCACACACTGCGCTTCCGGACCGGAGTAACCATGCTTAGCTAAAAAGAAACGATCCGCGCCGTCGATCACGACGACTACTATGCGAAAGACAGGCGAAAGGAAAGAAAAGGAATGGGGAATCGGGGAAGGAGACAAGACAGCAGGACAGCAACAAGGCGGCACAGCAAAAATGAGACGAGTCAGAAACACAGGAAGCAGCATGATCTGTAGGAAATCACAATAGCGCTGTCAGCGCCGACAGCGCAACGAGTGATGGAAGGACTGCATGGCAGTGCATGTTTCGAATTCTCATTAATTACTACTTAGTTTATCAGCTTCCTACCACGGGTCACAGCCACCGTACGCAAAAAAACGTCGCAGTCCTTGGCAACAACAAGGACCTATAGAAGACGAGAGTTTTCTAGAGGTTGTACGCGGATGCTCACCAGCGTACGCAAGGCTGCAGCAGCAGAGTCGGCTAAGTGTCTTGCATTACTGGGCGCATGAGACGGTGTCGTACATGTACTACTGCTTCAATCTGGAACCGCCCTTAGATTAGGTTTTCAACTGTTTTAGGTTCTTCGCGTGTTTCGCGAAATTACCGCTAAGAACTGATCCAACTGTTCACATTACATCACGTGATTGCTCTATTATGGAGATCAAACACACAAAGCTCTAAGCACATGCATCCACTAATGCACCTGTGTGCAACTCTCTTTCCGCCTCTTCACATTGGCGCAGCAGCCAGCCCGTTCACCACCGAAGCCCGCTCGACCTGGATAAATAGATTCGAGGCCCCTGCTATTGATCCGCAGATCCGCTCCTCTACCTTCTGGCGCACCACCACCGGGTCCGCTTCGTTTGTTATCCGCACGTGGATCGCGCCGCGGATGCCGCCCTTCATAGCTGCTGATTCTCCGACTGGCCAAAATCTCGGCTTGGAGTATTCTACTACTCCCGGGATCGACAAGACATCGTTCAGCGCGTTCCGGAGATGATACTCCTGCTCTGGCGTCAACGAGATCAGGAGTGAGTTCGCGGAAGACATCACGAGCGGGATCGCGGATCCAAAGATAAGTGCTGCGATGAAGAGCGAGGCAAGCGGATCAAACCCTGCCCATCCAAAGTATGAAGTAAGCAACGTCGACACAATCACTCCGACCGAGCCAAGTGTATCGGCAAGGATGTGGAGAAAAAGTCCGTGCATATTCTCGTTGTGTTGTAGACCACCTTTTTTCTGGCAGTCCTCGTCGTCACTGTGACTGCTATGTGCCTCTTGCTCCCCATCTGCGTGGCTAGGAGTCTGCGGTGGAGAGACATTAGGGTCACTCAGATCTGTCAGCGAGTATCGCTTAGACCGGTCTGATTGCCCTCCAGAGTGCGAGTGGTCATGCTCGTTCGCCGCAGAGTGCGAATGCGAATGAGAATGGCTATGCCCTGTGCAACGTAAAGAAGTCAAGTTAGAGTCAAGCAACCAAATAACAATGAGTCCGTAGACGCGGTATCGATGGAACTTACCGTGCCCGGCGTGTCCATGATTGAACGCCATTATTCCAACCAAGTTCACCACCAATCCCAAAAAACTGACTACCAACAGCTCCGTCACCCTCTCTATCTCCACCGGTCTAAATATCCGCTCCAGAGCCTCGACTACTATTCCCAAAGAAATGCCCACCAGCAATATTCCATTCACAAACCCCGACAGAGACTCGACCTTCCCGAGACCGTAAGGGAAGCTCGCCGACGGCGGCCACTTTGACATTACACTTGCCAAGAGGCCAACCAGGAGAGCCAGGCAGTCCAGCAGCATGTGAATGCTATCTGATAGTAGGCCCAAAGAATGTGAAAGCAACGAGTACAAAAACTGGATCAACATGAATGTGAAGTTGAGCACCAAAAAAAGGAATATACTCCGGGTATCAGAGTGCGCGAGCAGCGTTTGCACAAATAGAACAGGCTGCCTCAAGAGAGAGGACAGGCTCGAGATATCTATCGCCGATACATCCCCCGAGGCTGGTTTCTCACCTCCGCCAAAGGTCGACGATGATCGTAGTAGCGGTGATGTGGCAATAGAGATCTTCGTCGACGTCTCTGTCCGCTCTAGCAGTCGTCCATGGCCGCGAGCCGGGGTGCTGTGTGAATGGGAATGGGATTGGGAGTGGGAATGTGAATGGCCGGACTCTGACATCTCATCTATGGCAGTATGTAAAGCCCCTGTAAGATCATAAGTCAGTCCTTGCCCGTCTCTGCAACGCAGCGATCACGATACTGACCGAGTAGTCCTCCAAATATAGATGCTCGTCCTCAGTCGAACCTACAAGGTGTCCCGCTGCAGCCACTACGAGAGGCGGCCAACAGCGCAGCGATTCTGATCTCGAGAGACGCGATGCCCGAGAGTGCAAAGAGGAACCTGTGCTTGGTGTCGTGTCGCTGGACTGGAATCAATACCGACGCTGCTCCGAACAATGATGGCTAATTACTGACTTGACGGGGGCGTTTTGAGGAGGCCTCGCAATCTGCGACGAGCGCAAATTACGCTCGAGTCACTTACGCATCCACGTGCGCCGCACGGAAAAAGTCTATATGTTCTAGATCCGCAAATGGAAGATGATAAATAGAATCAATTGAATTCTTTTACTGATTTATTGAAGGGGAAGAGTCCAGGTGGTGTCAGTTGAGGAGAGAGAGGATTAATGACTCTTCTCGCTGTAACGTATTCTCGTTTCAAACAGCGGAGATCAACAGCGGTCTGAACCCGCCTACGCACGAGCTCATCGGCCCCCGCAGAGACGCTGGCAGTCGGTGTCACCAGTGAAAAAACTAGCTGCTCGGAAGCATCTCAAAACAAATACTTCAGAAAAAAACAAAAGTATATACACGCAGAACCACTATCCTGCACTCGCGATCGCATCAGCTAGCTGCTTTCAAATGAATCAGCTAAACAGTTGGAAAATGAGCAATGCTTCCCGAGAGAATTTCATAGCGCATCTCAATATAATACACAGAGAATAAAAGAAACATTGATAGAGCGGGGACCAAGAACGACAGGAGGACCTAAATAAGTAAAGAAACAGATGTTAACTGTAGTGTCAAAGGTCGTGGGACTAGACAATTGCTAACCAAAACGGAATAAGAAACAGATGATTTTTTAGCTGCTCGTGACTCTGCAGCTAATTCCTCGGGGGTCTTGAACTGGTTTCTGTACTGCTCCTGGTAATACAAATAACCTTCATGAATGTTGTTTTCTTTCAGAAACTGGAATGCCTCGTCCGAAAGCACAAATTTGCGTAGATAATGACGCTCCTGCTTCCCGCATCCTGGAAATAAACATTCCAAGTTGTCAGGCTCGATGTCCCTGTCGAGCTCATCTTTGACTGAAGTGTCATTTTGCGTTTCGGGCGAGAGCATTATTTTTGAGTAGGAGTCGGATACATCGTCTTGCGGTCGAAGAAGTCGATCTTTGGGGATAGAGACAAAGGAGAGCTCGTCGGCTTGGATCGTTGACTCTGATGACACGTCTGCATCTGACGCTTCTTCCGAACTTGACATATCTTTTGATCCCGTCCTGTCCTGCTGTAACTTTCTGAAAACATCAAAGTTATTGATCTTCTTCTCAGATTCTTTGTCGCTCGTTTGCTGTAGCAAATGGACAGTATGGCGGCGCAGAAAGCACAGCTCGAAGGACGGCTCAGATACTCTTTCTGTCGACGATGGAGACGCTCTTGCATACGCGTCTGATGGTACTGGGATTCTGCTGCGTTTGTAAACCGGAAGTTGAAGCGTATTGCTCATGGGATACATTCGAGGAAGGGTTTGTCGAACAACTCTAGAATGCTCTGGTACAAGTAAACGACTGATTGCAGCCAGACCGAAATTGCCGTGTCTGCCTTCTTCAGATTTGACGCAGTCGATGGGTTTCATATCCTCATTTGGCATGATGTTAGACGTTCTGTCAGCAGAAATAGCCCTGGAAGCATTGTCCTGCACATAGTCGGGATTCGGGACTGCCGTAGCGCTCTGGTTGCTGGCGTCGAGATCAGACGATGATCCGCCTCTTGTCGGCGATTTGACTCGCGATCCGGGCGAAGAAGTCTTCGAAGAGCTTTTCGGTCGTGCCTTTCTGATAGATTTTTTCTCTTTGGCGTCCTTTTTCGCTGTGGTGCGGTCGGCTAAGGTAGTTGGTTTAGCATGCGCCTTGCTTCCTTTGTTCCCCGCAGGACCGTCGCGGGGACGCTGCAGGTCGTGGTAGAACGTAAGATCGGGAACGCCCGACATCTCGTCTTGCGCAAACTACTGAGAAGCAAAGATAAGCAGAAGCACTTGTCAAAACCTCGCGAAGGACACCTACCAGTCTTTGTTTGAGAGTCCGGACAGAGAGAGGCTCATGTTGCAGGACGATTTCGAAGCAGGCCGGGCGGTATAAAAATGGGGTTCGAGTTGTGTGATGACGAAAGCGCGTGTGCGGCGGGGTCCCCTGAAAATCCTCATCGCTTCGAATAAAATTGGGAATCAGGTTGTCTTATTTACATTCGTATGCACCCTCAGTCGCCGATATCTGGTACAGTACACCATGCCTCCGAAACAAAAGAGCCGTGTGGCAACAAAGAAAAAGCCGAAGCGAAGGAGGACCGCTTATAAGGTACGGCGGATCGGCATATCAACCCAGACAGCCTCAGGCGACGACGAGGACGATAAGGACTATAAGGACTATGGCGCCTCCGATTCCGATGGGGAGGAGATTAGGACCTCAACAAGATCATCGGCTGCTAAGACGACTATCGTATTAGATGACTCGGATTCTGATGTACCGCTGAGTGCTTTACAGCGGAAACGCAGTAGCGCCGCTTCGGCCTCGACAGTTCAGCAGCAGCCTTGCTATCTATTATCGCTTCCAAATGAACTCTTGCAGAAAATCCTGGACTACGTATGCGAGTACCAGCCTTTCGCGTTTAACAAGGCAAGATTCCGCCCTTTAGCGCTTGTCAGTGAGCAATTTCGCCAGATTGTAGGTACCATCATGCGCATTTATCTCGTTTGGATCCATTTCTGACTATATCGACTAGATCCAACCAAAACTATTCGATACTCTTCGTATATCGCAGATCAAGAGGCTGTATAGGCTCGCGAAGCTTCTCCAACAGAACCAAGCGATTCAGGGATATACCCGCTATATCGAACTCAGTCTACAATGCAGTCTTGCTGAAGAATCAAATATGGTTGCCTCAGCCATCGGTGCCGCAATCCCCCTCTGCAAGAACCTGAGCACACTTCAGGTCGAGTTTAAGGCCCCTTTTGGATACCAAGTCATATTTCCAATCCTACCACGAAACTTCGAGGCGCCTTCAGTGGAATGTCTGGAATTAGGCGCCGAGGTCTTGACCTCTTCTTTTATGCATTTCGTCAGCGGGTTTAAAAAAATAAAGCGCCTGCACTTGAGGACTCTCTCCCTGGGTCAACTTCGAATTTCAGATGAGGACCTGACGTTTATCTCCCCATCGGTGACGACGCTGATACTCTCGCATTGCATCTTTGGACCTGAGACCGTCCAATTGCTTTCCACATGCCTTCCCAATATCACAACTGTCTCTCTCGATTCATGCAAAGGTAGATACTCTTTGTACAAAATGTGCTATAATACTTTCTCACTAACGGTTTCCACTATATAGGACCGATATCAGACTTATTAACTGCCATCAAGTCGCAAAGTGAGTCATTCGTGAATCTCTCCGCCTGCTCATGTACCGAAACAGCTGTGAAACGGGTTGCTGCCAACCGCCTGCATCTCCCTGTCTCGTTATGGAACTCGCTACAGACTATCAGACTGCTGTACTGCCGGTCTTTGGACAATCTGAACGAGATCTTCGCCGCTGATGAAAGCTCGGAGAAACTGCATCTCAGAGATCTACGTCTCCTTGAAATCGTGGAAGCTGAGCGTCTGGACCAGATCACCCACGAGAGCTTGGTATCGGTGATGCGTCTTGGGAGTGTTCTAAACAATCCGCCGAGTGACGAGTCTGAGCACGTTCCCCACTCTGACGCAGAAACTCCAGCAGTCCATCGGCCCAGCACACGCCATTTTCTTGCTACTGTGAATGTTGGAACGCCTAAGCTAGAAGCATTTTATCCACCACTTACATTAGGGGAGGATATTACTTATGAAAAAGACCGCGAGAGTACTTATATGAACTTTCTGCGCCAAAGAGGAAGGTATGCGAAACCATTGCTGCAGACTATAACTGATGAAAACACGAACGGGTCTGTTGCGCATTTTGAGGTGGGCTCAGAATTGCGAACTTGATGCCGCACCTGAGAAGTGTCTATCAACAGTCAGCGGTCATTCAGAAAATTACCCTGCAAGCTAGTGCTCACAGAATAACACAAAGGGTGGTGTGAACATGGTCCACGGACTCAAAAAATTTATCAAGCTGTCATCACAGTTCATGATTCATTAGATGCACAAAGGCAACCCCCGACCCAATCATAGACCAAGATGGCACCAGGAATCAAGGACAAGCCTACATTGAAATTGGCTTTGAACAAGTTGCATTAGCAACTCGAACCCCAGCGACTCCCTAGCAGAGCTTGGAAATTCTTGTGTCAGAGAGCTTTTCATACGTCCAAGGTCACATCAGGAACCAGAGACTGAGCGCCCCTCCGTGACGGAGGGCTAGACAGAGCTTGGAGATACCTGCCGGGTATCCTATGCACCGAGCCGATGTCCCTGCTAGCAACCGCAGTCCACCAGCGACAGCTTTTTGAAGTTATTCAGAGATAAAGCGGTCAAGAAACTCTGATTTCCAGGTTGCACTTTATGTTTTAGATTTGGATGCTCTCGCTACAACGCTAGAGGTCTAGCGTTGAATCGCGAGATGCTAATGGAGGTGAGCGCAGCACGCTCGTTTTGCGTGATGATTTGGCAAAGCTTGCACTGCTGTGAGGGAATCACAGCACTCTGATATATTTGGTCAGGGGTAAATAGACAGGGAGTCCCGGTTGGAGTCCGCGAACGGCGGAGCCGAAACTTTGTATGCTATCAGATATAGTCAAACTGGCAGAAGGACATCAGGAACAAGCATGGGAGTCGTATATAGTAGTGGTCCTCGGCAACTTTGTATCTGGACAGGTGCGCAGGCCAGCAGAACATCCTTTGTTCACGGTGAAGGGCACGAAGGTAGTGAATGAACACTACCGGGCATGTGCTTGCCTTCCTGGCATATAGAAGAGATAGTCACAGAGTCCAAAGCCGCCTTAGATCGAATACAAAAGACATCAGGCCATGGTTTTATCCTTCCGCATTTGACCATACTGAGCAAACCCACAATCATGGTACAAATCCAGTACGGTCCCTCAGTACTAAATCATCCCAATAAAGACTGTGCACAAAGACGACGCAAGACTCTCCGGTAAACCAAGCATCTACCACGCAGTATCAATGGCAACCATTTCCCACCAGCGCATTAGCCGTCTCAGACTAGACTTGGAGATATATAGGTGAACTGTCACTGTCCAAAGCCCATATCAGAGCAACCAAAACGCAAACCCCCGATCCATGAATTTCTGTGTAGGGTTTGTGTACAGCAGAACCACACACGGCCGCAACTTATCGCACAGTTTCGCCCGATAAAGACCAGCGTCCCTCGAAGGTGAAACCGTACGCCGCGCCAAAGACACAGGAAGCTGCTTGTCTGAGCTCTGCGATGGTCGAGGAGGCAGAGACCTCAGACCGGCACGCGTGCTGAGCCCTTTCGGGCTCGCGGTCCTGATGCAAAATGAGGGTGGACAAGCGGATATTCAATGTCAGACTAGTCGACCATAGTGACACCATGAAGGACAGCCGGCAGCGGTGCAGGATACCGGAAGCAACGTGCATGAAGCAGAGACAGAGCAGAGGAGGCTGGGAAGAGCAAAGCAGCGCGTGGTTAGGGCAGGTCGCGTATTTACCTGCACGCGTTTGTTTCGCGTGCTGCCCTAATCCTCGTTTGTATGCACTCGGCGCATGCTGCAGACTTGTAATCAGCCCCGGTCTCAGGTCCAGGTCTGATCTGCTTGTTGCTGTTAAAAGAGGCCGTTCTGCTGCTTTCCGAGGAGAGCAAGTTTGCTGTTTACTCGTCAGCGACAAAGGTCGGCTGCTTATCTCGTTCAAAGATGCCCAACTCGGCTTCAGTCTCTGCCGACCCTTCAGCGCTCTACTATGTCGGTATCCAGCCCGAGCAGTCTGTTCTCGAGTCGTCGTTCTCCTCAGACGACATCCTCACCGCTGTCGCGGACGGCTACGATGTCCTCGCCCTTCCCGTCACAAACCCTTCGTTCAGAGCCCGAGTCACTAGCCTGGCCTCGCCTCCGCCATCAACCGCTCAGCCGTACCCGATCATCGCTCCTCCAACTTTATCGGAAGTAAACCTTCCCCCGGACTCGCCCTACACCCCGCACGTCTTTGCTCTTGCGTCCAAGTGGATCGAGCTCGACTCCAACGACGAGCGTGTCGCAAATCTCTCCGCACAGATCTTGAAACACGAACTTGCCTATGCTGCCTTCTGCGGCATAGCATACGTCGTCGTTCCTGGTCCAAAGCGCAGGAATAACGTCTCACGCTATGCCGAGGCTTTGAGCTCTGCACTGCAGGCTGCTCCTTTCACAAACATCGTTCTGCATCTCGCAATGGCTGAATACGTGGAAGACGATCAGGCCTCGTCTGTACTCAACGATCAAATGTCGATCTGGGATATCTGGAACTCAATCAGGACAATGTGCGACTATCCGTCCCGACTCTCGGTCGGCTTGCAGGTTCCTCCGCGCTTGCCGACGCAAGCTGTGCTTTCTCGCTGGTTTGCCGAGCCCGTCACCATTCTGTTTATATCCGGAAAAGTTTTCCTGCATAATTCCAAGGGATACCCTGTACTGTCAAAAGCCCATCAGTACTTTATGTTTAAGTTTCTCAAACTGCGACCGTACACTATCCTCCAGGATATTCGTGAGTCCACGCAGGTGCGGATCAATCGCAAGCCGTCTTCAAAAGATGACGAGTCTGCGTATCTGATATACGTCCGGCATTTGCATACTACGCTGCCGCCGCCTACTGCTATCGAGAAATTTGGCGCAAGCTACGAAGACTACCTCCAGAACCCTCTCCAGCCGCTCTCTGACGATCTGGAGAGCAAAACGTATGAAGTATTCGAGAAGGACCCCGTCAAGTACGATCAGTATGAAAAGGCCATATACCAAGCGCTACTCAAGAGTAAAGACTCGAGTCCTTTGACTGTCGCTGTGCTTGGTGCCGGAAGAGGGCCGCTTGTCGCCAGGGCGTTGAAGGCCGCAAAGTCGGCGGGCGTGTCCATCAACACTTTTGCGGTGGAAAAAAATCCAAGCGCATACGTCTAGTAAGGACACTATTATTTCTGTACAGCTTCATTGAATGCTAACAATCATATAGTCTGCAGAAGCGAAAGGAGCTAGAGTGGGGTGACAGCGTCGAGGTTGTGTTTGGCGATATACGCTCATGGAGGCCTGCGCACGGAGCTGATATTTTGATCAGCGAGCTCTTAGGAAGTTTCGGCGATAACGAGCTGTCGCCTGAATGCCTTGATGGCGTCAAAGGGGTGCTGAAGCGTAAGCAACACCTTGTTTTTTTAATGATATTGATTCTTGTACTGATGTGTGTGCATATGTATAGCTTCGGGGATCATGATTCCTCAATCTTATACCGCTCATCTGACGCCGGCTATGTCACCCAAACTCTACGCGACAATCAAAGCGCAAAACAAAGATGAAGCCGCGCATACGCCTTACGTCGTCCTGCTCCAGGCCGTCGATCTCCTGTCCTCCAGCATCCATCAGGCCTGGGAATTCAGCCACGCCACGACCACAAAGTCAAAGCCAGCTACTCTGTATGAGGTTGATACTTCCCTTCAGGCTACCAGTATCAGTGGGGGAAATCGTGTTGGGACATCAAATGAGCACAACGCGCGATACTCTAAAGGTCGTTTCTTGTGCGAGAACAGAGGCGTCATGCATGGGTTTGCTGGATACTTCGAATCGGTCCTGTACAACGACGTCGAGATTTCTACACGCCCTGACACCATAAACAAGAAATCAAAGGATATGGTGTCTTGGTTTCCTATATGGTTCCCTCTTCCGGTAAGAATCTGCTGATATGTCTCATATATCAGACAGAATAACTTTATTAACCTACTCACAGGAGCCATTATACGTCCCCGACAACTCTGAGATAGAAATCTCAATCTGGCGAAAGACAGATAACCGCAAGGTCTGGTACGAATGGTCAGTCGAGACCTTCGTCTCCCTCCCCGGCGCGACCTCTGACCGCCACCTGTCGTCCTCCAGCGCGACCGCATACGCGTCTTCCAGTCGCCGGATCAGGCTCGCATGCTCGCAGCTCTGCAATCCGAATGGGAAGTTCTCTTCCATGAATTTGTAATATACACACGTTTAGCATTTATATATATACATAGATAATGTCTGTTGATGATTGATACGAATTTCTTGACGTTTGAATTGTGATTTATTGTTTGATTTTCATTTAGTGACGCATACGACAGCTTGGTACATATAACTCGTTTTCTACTACTTCATCACCTTTATCTTATATTGTAATCAGATAATATACAACGCAATCTCACCAGAACAATCAATTGCCGCAGAATCATCTTCATCTTAGTCCTGATAATCCCCATATTCAGGGGGTGCTGGTCTAGGTCACGTGTCAAGATGGGAGAAATGTGCACAAGGCAAAAACACAGACGGTCTAATACTTCTCTATACGCTTTCGCAGAGAGCCCAAACCAGACGATAAAGACAGAGAAGCGATGACCTATCGCCGGCCGAACGTGAGCTGGTCGACTGCGCGGCCGTCTGGCAACAATCCGTTTCCGAAGAATAACCCGTTTGAGCGCCGCCCGGCACCGCAGCCAGCTGGACCGCCGCCGGAGCTGAATGATCCAAATGTTTTGAATCTGCCGATTGAGCGGGCGCGGATACGTGGGGCGGCGATGAGACAGCCTCGGGAGTTTACCTGTTTTTCATATGACGAGCAGAGGGCGCTTCGTCATGACGATTCGTCGTTGGGGTATTTGTATCTGTTGAAAGAGGATCTGGCGACGCAGAACGGGTATAACCTTTCTGAAGGGTATGATCGGTTTATTCAGCGCGATGCCGGAGTTGACGAGCACCTGGACGGTCTGCTGGTTGCTCTGACCAAGTACGAAAAAGAGCACGGCGGGCGGAAGACGGCGGGAGATATAGTGACCTGGAGAGGCATGTTGACGAAGCTGATGTGCTTACCATTCGAGAAGGATGGCGACTCGACGTTTGAGATGAATATCACATATTTCGACGTAAGCTGCAAATGTGGTGTAGTGCTGAGTATCGTGCTGATGCTAATTATTGTCTTAGGGACAAATCTTCATTGAAGAGAGCAAGGAGTACAAGAGCAGTCATGATGAGCCTGAAGACGATCGAAGACAGCTGATGTCTTATTGGGGTATGCTCTAGCTCTATTTTATATTCCAGTATTTTAGGAAACTAACTCTTCGATCGCAGGCTACAAATTCGAACAGATCGCCACGATCCCAAAGCCATGGGGCGAATGCACCAGAGATGAGATCGAAAAGCGAACTCACAAGCCAGTCAACAACAACGTCCAATACTGCTCGATCATCAAATCAGGCCTGGGCAGCGTGCGCATGATCGTCGGAGGAGAAGTCGACTGCGCGAAAGATTACAAGCCCGACGAGCAGCGCGATAACCCGGACAATGACGCGGAGCTCTTTGATAATCCGCTAGATCACTACGTCGAGCTCAAGACCAACCAGGTGATCAACCACGACACCGGGGCGCGGAATTTCGAGAAAAAATTACTGCGAGTGTGGGCGCAGTCGTTCCTGCTCGGCGTGCCAAAGGCGATCGTCGGGTTCCGGACTAGAGAAGGGTATCTCCAAACATTCGAAGAGTTTGAGGTGCAAAAGATCCCGGCCATGATCAAAAAGAGCAAGTTTTATCATCCGCGCAACTCGTGGGACGGCAACGAGGCTATCGCGTTCCTGGCGGCGTGTCTGCAGTGGATCAAGACCTCGATTCCGGCAGAGGAAAATGGAGAGGTCTGGAAGTTGCGGTATATTGCACGGTCGGATTATCTGCTGCTCATGAAAGCTCCCGGCCAGGCTAGTTTTCTGCATCCTGATTTTGTAGAGTGGAGAAAGGAGCGCAGGGAAAGTAAATGAGGGACATTTTAGACTAAAGGGAATAATGGAAAGGGTTGACGACAATGTTTGTCCATAGTAAGTTGTAATTATAGTCGATATGCAACGACTTTACTGTCGACTACGTGACAGGGATATTGTATGATTATTTCAGGAAATTTTATTTTTTTGAAAGTGTAGATGCACCAACCCAGCAAAACATGACATTACAATATTTTACACGACGACACCAGAGTTGCTGGCAATACGGGGCCACAAATCAGCGCACTCCTTTCCGACGGGACCAGTGATGGCAGATCCCTTCATCTCACCCTTGGGGTTGACAATGACACCTAAAGAGTATTGATTAGTATATAAAACTTGTAGTTGATAGTATAGCAAAAAGATACATACCAGCGTTGTCCTCGAAGTAAAGGTAGACACCATCTTTTCTTCTCCAGGGCTTGGACTGACGGATGATGACGGCAGGCATGACCTTCTTACGGAGCTCAGGCTTTCCCTTCTTGACGGTGGCCTATACAAAGCAAACACAGGTTAGATTCCGCTTTCTCCTTTAACTTGTCGCACTTCTCGTTCTTCAATGGGATCTCACCATAACCATGTCACCGACACCACCGGCGGGAAGACGGTTCAATCGGGCACCGACTCCCTTGACGGAGATGATGTAGAGGTTTCGCGCACCCGAGTTATCGGCGCAGTTAAGAATCGCTCCGACGGGCAGACCGAGCTATAACATGATTCGAGGTTAGCTTCATGACCTCTGGTTCCTTCGTTCCTTCGATGTTCCCGTCCCAGTCATCCCACGCAGCATCTCTTCCAGGCTCTCTTCGGTCGATGTCAAAACCGATTCTCCTGTACCGCTCGTGACTGTCGTAGGAATATAGGGCTCGGGTGGAGGAGGACTTGAAAATCGATAACTTGTCGCGAGGTGAACATACCGAGACTCTGTACTTTTGACCAGCGGCTCCTTTATTTAACCGTTAGACATTGAAACAATAAACAGAAGAAGCAGGATATATCTCTATATCTCTGCTTGAAACAGATCATGATGCGCAGTTGCTACTTACCAGACATTTTGATTTAGGATGTTGATTCTGTAAGGTCAAAATGTCAAGATTGGGCTTTGCTCAACTCGACCTCCAGGCTCGACCGGTTGTGCGCTGGGAGCAACCGCCGCCCGACCTGCCCGCGGTGACTGTGACTGCTTTTGTAACCCTAATTTGAAATGTAGGGTTTGATGTTCTGCTCAGTAAAGTTTCCCCCTGAATTGGTATTAGATAATCATTGTCAGTTGCTTAATAATGTATACCCACAGCAAGCACGAAGACAACTATCAACACTACAGAAACACAAATATCAGAGTAACAACTAATCAAATTAAACATAAACATACAAAATACAAGTCAGACGTATGACTACATGATCCTCAAATCAACAAATAAACCCAATATCTTTCCCCTCCTCTACGAAGCAGTAGCTGCCGCCGTCTCTGGCTTCTTCTCGACGTCGTCATCGTCGTCGTCCAAGTCCATCATATCGTCGCCGCCATCCTTGTAGTTACGGATATCTCGTCGACCGCCTTCTCCTTCATCCTCGCTGTCGCTGAGCTCACCATCCTTCTGGATGTGCGCGTCCCAGGCGTCTTGGGTTCCACCTCTCGCCTCCTTGGCTTCCTCGGTATCTTCCTCTGGCTCTTCTTCCGGAGCGTCCCTGGGAACGTCGGTCATCTGCACACTTGGGGCGAACTTCGTACGGGACAGGTTCTCGAGCACGGTTTGCAGAATTCGGTCGAGGTACTCGTCGCTGTTGGCGTTCTGCATATTTGATGGGCGGACTTCAAGTTGATAGTCAGGTCCATAGTACTCGTAGTAGTCGTTGTATGGAATTTCTATAGATAAATATGCATTAACAATAGGCCTATATAAAATACTGTCAGATCGTCGAAAGTACTTACCGGGTCCAACTTCTTGACCGACCAGCAATCCGGTCTCAAAAGTCCATGTACGAGCAACGTTGCGCATGGTGTAGCCACCACCGCCAACAACCAGAGTAGGCAATCCAAAGCTCTTGATGAAGTTCACACAGTTTGCATGACCCTTCATACTCAGGTTGAAGCATCCGAGTCGATCTCCGGAAAGCGAATCGCCACCGCACTGAAGAACGACAGCAGACGGTCTGTACCATTCCATAATCGCGGTTATGGTCGGCACAAACACTGACTTGTAGGTAACGTCGTCTATTCCGTCCCGCAGAGGGAAGTTGACTGCATAGTTTTTGCCCTTGCCGATACCAGTGTCGCGGAGCTCTCCCGTGCCTGGGAAGTACTCGCCATATTTGTGGAAACTGCAAGTCATGACACGATCGGTCGTATAGAACGCCTCCTCGACACCATCTCCATGGTGGACATCAATATCAACGTAAAGGACTCGCGGGTGATATCTGAGAAGCTCGAGAATTCCAAGAACAATATCTGCAAGAACGTTAGACCTGCTCGTAGTAAGAAGTTGCCAGGACGCACTCACCGTTTACATAGCAAAATCCACTGGCCTCGCTCTTCTTTGCGTGATGAAGACCGCCCGCCCAGTTAATTGCAATGTCGCATTTTCCCCGATTCAGGCGTGCAGCGCCCTCTGTTGTTGTCTGTCAGTACTCTGCAGTCTTGTAAGGAACGAGTGATTAAGAGCATTGAGCCAACTTACCCATACTACCACCTCCACTGATACTGCAAAACTCAAATAGACCATCAAAAACCGGACAGTCGTCGCCCACGTTGAACTTCACTTGCTCCTTGGCGAACAGCTCCATGTTATCTGGAGTGACTCGAGACAAGAAATCAACGTATTCGTCAGTGTGGAACTGGCACATTTCCTGCTTGGTCGCCGGCTTCGCACGCTAGAGAAAGTAAAGTCGAGTCAGAGATGGACGAACAAGATGAGAATGGGAGAGAGAAAGACTTACGTAGATCTCCATCTTCTTGTAGAGGCCGTAGTTCATCACTAAACTGTGCGCCATTCTTATTCTATGAGGCTTCATCGGATGACCCGCACCGTAGGCATAATTTCCAACATCAGCTAAATACAGTCATTTGAGTTAGCTCCGGAAGATGGATAGGTAGATGAAAGATGCGCAGCAGCAGATGGCGGGAATGGGTGATAGGCCGTCTCCCCCCGCAGATAGTACTGAGAGGCGCTGTCGCAGCTGAGCGCAGGTAGATACTCACAATCGTAAAAGTAAGCGATACCTAGATAGAACAAAGTAAGCCCGCCGGATCTGATACCAAGGAACAGAGAACAAGACGAAATACATACGCTGCTTATTAGAGGGGTTGGAGAAGCTAATTGGCTCTAGAACACGACCCGCATACGACGACGACATCGCGAATGACTATCGATCTCTCGGTAAGATCAGCTAGATAAAGAAGCAACAGCAAGCACGCTATCTGATCGCTGTATAGATCACACTCGACAGGCAGATCGTGGAGAACAAGGCTGGAAGAGAGCTGGCGGATGGCAATGGTCCCAAGAGACTCGGGGTGGACACAGATTCCTTCAATGAGCGCCTCTGCCTTGCGGCGCGTTTACCCTATCCCCATCTATGCTGCTCGTGTTGTTCTGGGTCGCTACGTACCGCTGTTTAGTATTATAGTATCTGTTCTATTTGCTCCACAATACAGAGCTCTCGAGCCTGTTCTGATAGCCAAATAGGAAGAACCTGCTTCATTTCAGTCGTGATTCTTTCTGTTCTCGGTGTCGAGAAGGATAGAAGCAATCGAGTATAGCGAGGTAATGTGAGTACATGAGCTAGTGCTGCAGCTCTTTAGTCATTTGTCCTGAAATTGACTACCCTGAAAGTCGCTGCAGAGGGAACTGACACGCTCATACCAGCAGAATGACCTTATCAGAGCCGGAGAAGCATTGTTTCTCTGCCCCGGGGAAGGCTCTTTTCGCCGGTGGCTATCTTGTTCTGTATCCCGAGAACTCATCGTTTGTGACTGCTTTGTCCGCCCGGATCTACGCGGTTGCGGCAGAGTCAAGCTCATTAGATCCAGCTCTACCCACCGTGACCGTGCTCAGCCCTCAGTTCCAAGAAGGCGAGTGGAGCTATACCCTGAGCAAATCGGACTCTACCGGGTTCGTGACGGTCGCTGCGCTGGTGCCGTCGCGCAAAAATCCATTTGTACACGCGGCAGTGACAACTGTGTTGAATTACTTGTCTGCGACTGGAGCGCTGGCGACTCCCATCCCGTCCGTGACTGTCAATATCCTGTCCGACAACGCGTATCATTCGCAGCCGAGCGAGGATGTGCCCAAGTTCAACAAGCATGCGCAGGCTATTTCTGATGTTCCAAAAACAGGACTGGGGTCGTCCGCGGCGCTGACTACTTCGCTCACCGCGGCGCTACTTTCGTATTACTCGAGCAAGGCTGCAGACAAGCCCTTGTCGTTGGAAGAGCGCAAGGACGTTCTGCACAATCTGGCTCAGGTCGCTCACTGCACTGCGCAGGGAAAGGTTGGGTCCGGTTTTGATGTCGCGTGCGCGGTGTACGGATCAATTGTCTACCGACGATTCCTGGCCTCGATTATCTCGGCAATCCCTGCTGTGCCGACTACTGGCGACGCGGGATTTGAGAGCGCCTACCTCGATGCGCTGAGGACCACGATTGATTCAGACTGGAGTGTCGGTACTGGAAAATGCACTGTGCCGCCCCGAATGCGGTTGTTGATGGGCGATGTCTCGGGAGGATCGGAGACACCAGCGATGGTCCAGATGGTGCAGCGATGGCGGAAGGAAGGCGGGGCGACGGCAGAGTCTACATGGGTATCGTTGGGTAAGGCTAACCAGTCGTTGATCTCGGCTATGATTGGTCTTCAAGTTGAAGCCGAGAAGGATCCGGCGGGTTATAACGGGGTCCTGGATCAGATATCAGACTCTGCCGCTGGGTGTGCGGGGATCAAAGCTCTGGGAGCGAGCAAAGGTTCGCTGTTGGGAGACCTACTTGTTCAAGCCGTGGACTCGATGGCGGATATCCGGTTCCACTTGCGAGCAATGACTACCGGCTCTGGAGCGCAGATTGAACCGGTCGAGCAGACAAAGCTGTTGGATGCATGCAACGAGCTCCCGGGCGTGTTTGGCGGCGTTGTTCCGGGAGCGGGTGGGTACGATGCGATTTGTTTGCTGGTGGCCGAGGCTACGGTTGACCGTGTAAGGGCCGCGACGGGGAGTGAGTTTAAGAATGTAAAATGGCTGGATCTGCGGGAAGAGTCGGTTGGGGTTCGCAAAGAGCCGTTTGCTAGCTTGGCAGAGTATTTGTAATATATGTAATTAATTCGTCACAGAGGTTAGGTAGTATATTAGGTAGAAAATGTATTTAGCGTCGCAAAAGTTCTATATACAATGTTTATGTCTTTGCGGGCTTCTTGACACCGTACTTAGACCGCGACTTGGATCTGTTGGCGACACCTCCCAAATCACGAGCACCTGTGATATACATGGTTAGCATGTTGAGCAATTGTATATGACTGAATTCGGAATGTAAGCATACCTCTGACCAAATGGTATTTCACACCGGGCAAATCCTGAACACGGCCACCTCTGACAGTGACGACTGAATGCTCTTGGACCTAAATAGCACGCCATGGTCAGCTCGTTCTCATAATTTTTCATTCAGAGATTGTGTGCTCACGTTATGTCCCTCACCGGGGATGTATCCGTACACCATCTTTCCGTTCGAAAGCTTCACTCTGGCCACCTTACGCTGCGCAGAGTTAGGCTTCTTGGGCTTCATGGTCGCGACACGGGTGATGACGCCTCGTCGCTGCGGACACCGGTCCAGATCCGGAGACTCAGACATATTTCGATTTCCACGCTTCGGCTTCCGCGCGCCGCGGATGACTTGTCGCATAGTGGCGTGGGCCGGCTGCGAGGATGAGAATTGCCGGAGCAGAGAGGGACTGTATGCGCTGCTGAGCGGGGCGAACGCAGCGGGCGAGCGGTAAAGCTGCGCACCGAACCGTGAGAGAACCGCCGGAGCTCTGAATGCGAGAAACTGCCGCAGGACCGGGAACATTGCTGTGTGTCTGTTTGCAAGCAGATACCTGATTTCTGTCTGTCTGCCTCGAGCACCGCGATGTCTTCTCGAGGCGGTCAATTTTCGTGGTGAGCCCTTGCCCTGTTGGAAGAGTACGCGACCCTCGGCACTGTGAGCGGTGCGGTGTTTAGGGTGTGACCAGAGCCCTGAGCTTGGAAGCCGATGGGCAGAGCAGATCTGCTGCAGGAAGTGTGACCGGAGCTGAGCGCGGCGATCGCTGTTCGCGGGGAGTTGCGGAGGGTGGCGAACAGCGGACTGATGCTTGTTTACAGGGATTTGAGTCCGCGATAGTCAGCACTGGGCGGAGTAGCAGAGCAGCCGGCGTAGAGTAATCAAGTCACGTGCGGTCTACGCGTAGATTGGCAGACGCGCGTGCGCAGTGCAAAACAGTCAAAAATAGCCCCTGGGCTCAGTTCACTTCGCTCAAAGCCCTCTTCCTCGTCACATCTCTCTTGCTTCCCCATTGCCCCAGACCTGCTCAGCTCTGCTCAGTGCTGTTCGAGTGCGCGTGAAGAGAAACAGATTCACACGTCGTTGCAATGCCGCGATCACCTACCTACCGCGTCGTGCGATTGACCATCATCGTCTTCGTCCTCGTCGTCGTGGTCTACAAGCTCGCCAGCCCTGCAAACATCAATGCGCTCTCGCAAGCAGGCGGCTACTATGGCTCCAGCCCTGTTGTTGTCTCGAAGATTGAGGACAAGAATACAGAGGACAAGGGCGCTGATGTGAAGAAGACAGAGGAGAGCAAAAAGGAGGAGAAGACGGAGGTGAAGCAGGAGTCCAAGCCCGAAGAGAAGGCAGAGGCAAAGTCTGAAGAGAAGAAAGAGGAGGCAGAGACCAAGCCTGAGGAGAACAAAGAGGAGGCCAAGGTCGAGACCGAGCAAAATCCTGAGGAGTCAAAGGAAGAAAACACCACGCCCGCGCCTCCTCCGTTCAACGACGGCGTCGGCCCGACATACCAGCACGCCAACGCGACCTTTGTCACGCTTGCGAGAAACGAGGACATTTGGAGTCTTGTCAAGTCAATCCGCAACGTCGAAGATCGATTCAACCACAAGTACCACTACGACTGGGTGTTTTTGAACGACGACGACTTTGACGAGGACTTCAAGGAGATCACGACCTCGCTCGTCAGTGGAACGACAAAGTACGGCAAGATCCCGAAAGAGCACTGGGGATTCCCGGAGTGGATCGATAAGGAGAAAGCCGCCAAGACCAGGCAGGAGATGGCCGAGAAGAAGATCATCTACGGTGACTCGGTCTCGTACCGCCACATGTGCCGTTTCGAGTCTGGTTTCTTCTACCGCCAGCCGCTGCTGCTGGACTACAAGTACTACTGGCGTGTGGAGCCTGATATCATCTTGCACTGCGACATTGACTATGATGTCTTCAAATTCATGGAGGAGAAGGAGTACGACTACGGTTTCACCCTCTCTCTCTACGAGTACGGCGAGACTATCGCCACGCTCTGGGACTCTGTCCGCAAGTTCATCAAGGCCCACCCTGACTACCTGGCCAAGGACAATCTCATGGACTGGCTTTCCGACGACGAAGGATACTCCTACAACCGCTGCCACTTCTGGAGTAATTTCGAGATTGGCAACCTCGACTTCTGGCGCGGCAAAGAGTACAGCGAGTTCTTCGACTTCCTCGACCAAGAAGGCGGCTTCTTCTACGAGCGATGGGGTGACGCGCCCGTCCACTCGATCGGCGCCGGCCTCTTCCTGCCAAAGGCCAAGGTCCACTACTTTGACGACATCGGATACTGGCACGTGCCGTTCTCCAATTGTCCGACCAACAGAGAAGACCGCACGCGACTCAAGTGCTCGTGCAACCCGCGCGAGAACTTTGCCTGGAAGGGATACTCGTGCACGCCCAAGTTCTACAACGTCATGGGCATGGAAAGACCTAGCGAGTGGCGCACTCAGAGCTAAATGGCTCTTACATCTACATCGCTCGGAGCTAGGAGCTAGGAGCAAATATGGTATTTCTTATAAAACATTTTATGAAGCTCTATGAGCTGCTTATTCTCACTTATCTTATGGACTGTCTGTTTCAAAATGATCTCTCCTTATCTCCTTACATGAAACGTTTACTATTAGGCTTTGGGTTTGGCGCGGTATAAACTAAGCACCTAATCCAACATTTGTAACATAGCCATATTAAAGCTAGAAGCTAGATCATAAATATATATGCTTATAACCACATATTTAACTGTGGCTATGTAACAGTAATAAACTGCTACGCACTCGATATTAGGTCATATGATTAATTATTCATTATTTGCTATGAAAAGAGAAGAGAAGCAAAAGCAGCCACTACAGAATATTAAATCGCTCTACACCAACGGAAACCCAGCTCAATGAATCAAAAAGAGATGCTAGAAAAAAAGAAAAACAAAAAAGTATCATATCATGGACGAACTTTTTAGACCTTCTTCTCCGCAGAGACGGGGTGCGCGTCGTTCTCGGCGACCTCGTCTTCGGGCGAGTACGCGTACTTTGAGCGCGAGCGGATGCGCGCGCCGTAGAAGTAAAATCCGTAGGGAATAGCGCAGCACGCGAGGCCGAGGAAACCGAGGAACGAACCGGCCCACTGGTTACCCATCTTGTGGAACATCTGGATCGTGAAGAGAGGCACAGCGGCACCCCAGAACGAACGGATGCAGGTCTTTGCCGCGAGAGCGGAGGCGGCGTAGTGCGCGTACGAGTCGACGAGGTAGTTGTTGCCGGCATTGTAGAGCAGACTGAAGCCGATTCCGAGCGGGAGCGAGCCGATGCAAGGGCCCGCCCAGGAGATGGTCGGGTAGCTCGACCAGGCGAAGATGAAGAGACTGATGGGCACGAGCCAGCAGCCGATCATCATGGGGATCAAGCGGACTTCGGCAGGAGGACGGCCGTTGTACTTGTCGCACATCTTGAGGTAGTGGCGGTTGACCAACGGGGCGAGGAAGGCGGCGATGATGACTCCGACGGCGATGGGGATGAACATCAGACCGACGGGGCCGTTCTTCCATCCCTTTCCTTCGCCAAAGACGACGGGGAAAGCAAAGAAGAACATGTAGAGCAATCCATAGAGAATAGACATGTAGATCGACAGCAAGAAGACAATCAGTTCACGGAAGAGAAGAATGAACGGACGCGTCAGGTTGACCTTGATCATCTCGGCAAGAGGACGGGGGTTGAGCTCGAGATCGGTGACGTACGAGTTGTCGCCGGTCTCCTTGCGGAGCTTGGCCGCGCGACGCTTGAGAATGGTAGGAGCGTACGTCTCGGGGATAGTGACGACGATGACGGCGTAGAGCACACCGGTGAAGATGAGCATGGTGTAGTAGATCCATCTCCAGGAGGTGTTATCACCGATGTAGCCACCGACGATAGGACCGATGCAAGGACCCAAGAAGGGAGCGGCAGAGAAGGTAGCCATGGCAACACCGCGCTCCTCTGCCTTCCAGAGATCGGCAAGAGAGCCTCCGACAAGAGTCATGGGAGCAGAGAACGCGATTCCGTCGATGAAGCGAGCAACAAGGAGAGTACCAATGTTCTTAGCAACGGCGCAGGGAACGATGAAAACGACAGCAACACCAAGGGTGGTGATATAGACAATCTGTCGTCCCCACAGCTCGGAAGCAGGAGCAAAAAACATAGGTCCGATACCTGGGAAGTTGTTAGATTAGTTCTAGAAGTAAAGGCGGAAAGAACAAGAAGCTCATACCAAATCCAACAACGAAGAGAGTGACGGTGAGAATGACGACCTCCTCAGAGACATTGAACTCCTCCATTACACCCTCGATATCACCAGTGACGACGGCAGAGCCAAAGGCGACGGCGAAACACAGAGAGGCGACCAACATGGTGCAGTACCACTTGTAGGCCTTTGACCAGTTCTTGGGGTTGCCCGGGTCATCAGGCGTGAAGGTAACGAGCTTGAACCCGTTCTCCTCCTTGAAGCCCGACTTCTGGGGGAGATGTACTCTGTGAGATCAGCAGAGGAGCCGACGACGGCGACGGGGAACTCTGCGGCATCCTCAGGGCTGATGGCTTGGTCAGCGGTGTGGAGATAGGGTTGGTGGGAGCGGGCAATCTCCTCCTGCAGCTTTGAGTCGGAGATGGAAGCCTTTTCTTGCGAAGAGGAGTCTGAAGCGGACATGATGATGATATTGATGGATTGTAAGACGACAGAAGACAGAGGACGACTGGGGGAAAAGAGGAGGGCAGTCAAGAAACAGCAGGCCAACGATCGCACCGACCAGCAGCAGAGCTGGGGCAGGACGGTTCGCCTATAAGCATTTTCCGACGAGCGCGGTGAGGTGGAATTGGTTCATGAGGAACGAGCACCGAAAGCAAGGAGGCCGAGAGCAAAGCCACAGTTGGGTTTCAAACTTCCTGTGCGGCGCCGGTAGAGAGAACTTTATTCGGGATGGACGAGAACAGGGAAGAAGGGCTCACGATGGCGGGACGAGGAGGAGTGGTGCTGGTTGTGGCCAGTCGCGTGCCTATACAGTAGATGCGGATGATTATAACTGTTTAGATGCTTTAAGACAAATAACGCACCATATGCCGACACAACATTACTGTCGCAGCGCAGGAATACAGGTTAACCTCCAGAACAAGGCAGCATGTGGTAAGGGAACAAAGTGCATTGTTGACGCCACGGTGTGGCTGGTGGCAGAGCGGATTCCGGATAATCGGCACAGAGGCGGAAAGGAAGTGAAAAGCGTGCGGTGGAGGTCAGCGACAGTGCGAAAAGTACGTACGAAAAGTGAATGCCGATCGCTGAATGGCTCGATGGTTTCTTGTTTGATCGAAACGTGAACCCGTCGGCCGGTTAGTTACAGTGTGGGTGGGGAATATCAAAGAGGAAGGATGTCTCTTCTGCGGTCGACATCGGCCATCTTCCTGATGTTAATTCGTCCTCGAGGTTTTCATACCGAACAGCAGGTCTGCGGGCAGAATCCTGTAGACGCACTATTTTCCAGAGACTTCGAAAACCAGTCCGAAAAATGTGTGAAGTGAAGCGTCGGAATATATATCGAGCTGGTGGGATGGTGGTCGGGCAGGACGGCACTCGGGATGGATAATCGGCACCGACCGAGCTGCTGTCCAAGTTGATCGCTGCGCCTGTCTCGGCACGCGTGTTCTTGCTTCCGCGTAGAGTGAGCGCGTGGTAGTTGCTGCACTGTAGCTGAGAGCTGTAGACATAGGCATACCCTCGTATGATCCGGATCTCTTGTTGTTCTTTCTTGTAGATATCATAGCAGCGACACAGAATACAGAACAATCACAGAACAGAAACACACAACACTCTTCATCCCCCGCGAAACCCAGCAGAGACCGCTCCTGACGCGTTTCTCCAGCTTCGAGCTCTCCGGCTGTGCGGCACGGAAGCATCTCTAACTTCAGAGCCATGAAACTTACTTCTCAATACTGGAATGATTGCTGTCTGTATGATGTTGATTTCTGCTTTTAATAATCAATATAGAGATGATATATGTATCGTCTTTATAGTATAAGCTGATCTTGTTTTATTGAAAGAGTGGAGCACTGATCGAGAGATCTCGAGCTTGTTTGCTCTGTTTACTTTCTTTCTGCTCGGCACAAGAGCAGCCGTGGACGTACAGTCTGTGTTACGTAATGCATTACAAATAACTCCCCCAGATTTCTTTCGACCTTCTGATCTATACTTGTGCTGGCACCGGTTCTGGTCTGATAAATAATAAATCGCCTTCTTTAGCAAATATACGTTCTATTCATACTTATCCTCACTATATACAGCGAATAAAAACAGCACTTTGATTAAACGTCGGCATCACGGCTCGACGCGATACCAATGATTCTCACAAAAGGAGACAAGTAAGCTGCTGATCAGAGCATACAGTAATACACAGCAGCGTGATTATTTCATTCTTGGATAATATTCTCTGCCGAGATATCCATCCCATACCGAGGCTAAAGGGTATCACGGCAAACGGACAGCACACATCAATTGAGCAGACAGACGACTGTCCCAAAGACAGTATCTGAGATTCCAACAAGGCATACAGTATTTTTTCATACACCGTACAGCTCAATCATTATTATTCTTCAACACAACTGAATCATGCTCAAAAGGCATAGCAAGAACGCGTGAAACGCGACTGGGGACGCGTAAATCGTAGTTGGGAGACCCGGCTCGGACGGAAGCGCGACGCTGAAGCGGTCAAGAGGCGCTCGTCATAACTTGTCTGACGTCAAAAGATGCTATAAACAGATATGACGAATTTAAATGGATATGTTTCAGTCAAGAGTCAGATTTATCAGATTTCTGGTACGTAAGCTGATGATATGGGTATGCAGCGCATCGCCTTGATATTCATGATAAGCATGTGTGGTTCAGTTGATTGAGAAGTCAGATCAAAAACACAAAAGCACACATCCCAGCTGTTCGTGTTCAATTGTATCGAGAAGAGGAGGGTATCAATAGATCGATCGAGCTGGTATTGCGGTATCTAATCCATGCCTATCCATCAGGCTCTCTCGATGATATATTCAAGGTATTCAATTTATAGTATCAGTCAGCAGAATCTTCTCTGAAATCAAGCATACAGCAGTATAGTGACTGCAAAAGTCATTCATACTCGTCGTATACTTGCTTTCTTTCCATCTTCTGAAAGCACACGCGTCTTCTCTCGTATGCCCTGAGAGCGTTTTCTGCAGTTGCTGAGAACAGATTTAGTCATTTCATAAAATTGTCTGACATCTAATCAAGACCCTGGCATTAGTTGAAAGAGACAGTTTTCATGCTTCATAAGAACTCTGCCCCAGACTTCTCGCCATCGTCTGAGATACTCTTAACAGTTGCAGCAAGCAGCAGATCAGATTAAATCGCCAACCTCAAATATATACTGCAAAAACAGCTCCAGTATCTGATCTCGCATGATTGTCACAGATATAAATCAGTTTTGGTATGTCAGTTGCGGTGTAGAGTAGAGTATTCGTCGGCGGAGGCTGGATGTCAGATAATAGCTTCTTTGTTGCCGTCAAGAGCGCCTCAACATCAAGATGTCTGCTTCCCCAGCAGATTAGCACTCAGCATGATCCTCCCAATAATTCCTTCTTAGCCTCCCTGAAATAGATCTCAGTATCAGCTGGCTGATTTAACAAATAGCACAAGACAAAAGTGAAGAAACGACGTCGAGAAGAATATCGTAAACCATTAGTAATACGCTTTCATCTTCAACTTCTTATTTTTGGTTTTTGGGTCCTCGCTTCGTTGTCCTGTCTTTACCGACCTGCTTCCCAACTCCGGTCGGAGGTCATCCATTCTCTCACCAGCCATCTCTTTCTTTCTATTCAGTCAGAAGTACATCAAATCACCATCGATATAGCAACAGTTTTTACTGGTTTGCTCTGATGTCCGTCCCGCCAGCGCCAAATTCACAGCCAATGTCGGCGACCTCGAGCGCGTCTGGCTCCTCCTCTCGTCCGCGAAACAGCCACCGCAACAGCTCCTACGGATCACAGACGGGCTCGTCAAGTCAATCTGCCTCGTCAAGTTTACGAAACACGGCTGCTTACAAGCGACAGAATTCAGTCAGTCTGCCCGCGCTATCTCCTCTTGCTTGTGTCGCAGTCAACTAATCTCTACTCTCTGCCAGATCAATACTATCGAATCGTCCGTCACCAAGCTTCTGGTCGCGACTAAGAAACTGCTCGAATGTCTGAAGCAGTGGGCGGCTGGCGATTGCACGGAGAAAGATGTCTCTGATGTGTACGTCAGTTTAGGAAACGAATTCAATATCACAAGTCGCGCTTTTGTTCGGATCGGGATCGATGTCAGGTATCTACAATTATCCGTGTTCTCTACAATTCTTTGACCCGCTTATCTGACTTGCTCTTTTTATCAGTGACTTTGACGATGTTCCGGGAAAGCTTCGAACGATTCTGGAAGAGGCACTTGCTCGGGAGCGATCACAGGCAACCGTCGATGTCTATACCCCTGCGATCCGACAGATTATAGTCAAGCTATTAGAAGGCCTCAAGGAGAAGCAAGCACTTTTGCGTACGCTGATGGCACAACAACAACAACAGCAGCAGCAAGTACAGCAACTACCCCAGCCAACGTTTTCCCCCGTAACCCCTTCAGGCGATCGATCAATGGTCCACCGAAGCGCCACCTCGCGATCTCCCACTCGCAACGATCATACCGTCCCCACGCGCTCCGCAACAATCCAATACCCCCAGCGGCCCGCGGATCCTACCACCCCGACGTCTAACCCGATGCCCCCTCCCCACGGCCCGCAGATCTACCCCGGCAGTCCGAAACGGAACTCTGCGACCTACAATTTCCTGCCGTCTGCCGCCAGTCCTGTCGCGAGCGCAAGGCCAGAGTCATCTGATTTTCCCCCACCGGTAGATCTACCCCCGAACCCGACGACTCCGCACCCTTCGAGTCCGCAAGCGGCTGCCGCTGTCCCGAAAATAATCGAGTCCGTGGCTGCTTCCCCCGCAGAGTACGCAAGCTACTCACACCAGACTCCGACTCAGTCCAACGATCCTCGAGCACAGCTCCAACGAAGCGACGCGCTAGAACGCCGAGCGTCGCGCAGGTTCTCAGCTTATCAGTACGCCAAGCTGGGCGCGTCCGGACCCGGTGGACCAACCGCCGCCGGCGCGGCCGCGGCAGCAGCAGCGTCCGAGTTCACGCACAGGTCGCGAGGAAGCTCGATAACCAACGGCTCGGTATCGACGCCGATGACGATACAAGAGGGGCAGGTTCTGCTTACGAATTCGGCGCGGAGCAGCGCGAATGGAAAAGTGACGACGAGCGAACGGTATTCGTTGCAGGAAACGGATGAGGAGCAGGCTGAGAACGAGGGCAGTAAGACGCCGAGTAGAACTTCGGCGTCGTTGGGAGAGGAGTCGAAGATGGCTGCTATGGCTGAAGAGGAAGAAGGATCTGAAAACGATCAGTCAGTTACATTAAAAGACCCCGAAGTCACCGAGGCAGGCGACGCAGTCCCGACAGCGGATATTCTGAAAGTGCCGGTATTCATCCAGCTCGATCGGAAAATCAAAAAGGTCTGGCTGGACGCGGACGACGTCTCGCTTGCGGCGCTGCGACTGCTTTTTGTCGAGCGGTTTTCGTACTCGCCCGGGTCGGAGAATTTTCCCGCCATGTCGATTCAGGATAAGGAGACGGGGGTGAAGTATGATCTGGATGAGACAACGATCATGGATATTACTAGTGGGTCGCTTATTATTCTAAACGTTGATAGTGAGTCCTATTTTCCATTTCTTACAACATTCAACTATTTACTGACAACCATGCAGCAGTGGACGAGACCAAAAAATCGCTTGAAGACGGAATGACAAGCCTGCTAGCCCAATTTGCAGAGCTGCAGGTGAAGATGGTGGCGCAGACAGATTTGATTGCGAAAATGACAGAGTCGCAGCAGACGTCGGCTGCAAAGCTAGAGGAGTCGATCAAGACTGTTGTCGAGAAGGAGATGGCGAAGGCTACGGCGTTGACTTCTACTGCTGCTGCTGCTACGCCGGCTTCAAAGGAGGTGGGAAGTGCAACGGCAGCGCCGACGGCGCGACGGCCGCCGATCACGCCGTCGACGTCGGAGAGGTCGGTGAAGTCTGCGTCGCCGAAGCCGGTTAACCAGGTACAATTAGCTGAGCTGGCATCCTTACGCAAGGATCTTGCTGCGGTGCGGCAGATCCACGGCGGGATGACAAAGACGCTGGAGAGCTCGCTTAGTGCGATGAAGAGCAAGATTTCGGAGTCGACGAGCACGCAGCAGACGAGTATAGTGGTTACGGGCGACAAGCAGGTGACGCAGTACCACAACATTCTGTCGACTGATATTGATAGTCTGCTCACCAAGGTCGAGGATCTGCAGGACGTGATTGAAGCGCTGCGGAAGGATGTCGCGCTGCGGGGCGTGCGGCCGCTGCCGCGTCAATTGGAGGCGGTCGCGAAGGATCTTGCGCAGGGGCGGACTGAGCTGCGGCGACTGGAAGCGTACGTGAAGAAGGAGAAGCCGCTGTGGAAGAAGATTCTGGAGCGAGAGCTGGATAATATAGTTGAAGAGCAGCAGTTTTTCACGTTGCAGGAGGATCTGCTGGGCGACTTACTCGAGGACCTCGAGAGCGCGGCCGAGACGTTCTCGCTCGTGCAGCAGTTCACGGAGGAGCAGATCAAGATCAGCGCGGGCTCGAAACGGTCCGCGGCGCCGTTTGCGGGCGGGATGGGCGGGTTCGACGCGGTGTCGGGGAAGGATGCGGTGTTGAGGGAAGTGCGGGCGCTCAATCCGAACCACGAGAGTAGGCTTGAAGCTATTGAGCGGGCGGAGAAAGTGAGGCAGCTGGAGAGTAAGAGTCGGGTGGACGAGTTTGAGAAGGAGTTGGGTGAGTTTGTGGAGGAAGGAAAGCTGAAAAAGTCGGGTGGGATCGAGGAGGTGGAGAGGCAGCGGAAGGTGAGGGAGGAGCAGGTGTGGAAGGAGTGGAGTGAGAATAGCATGGCGATGGGGATGGGGATGTTGTAGGATGTGTGCTCTTTCTTATCTTTGTGGAGAATCTGGTTTTCGAATGTACAGTAAAAGTCTAGTTGTGTTGAGCATCATGCATCTGGCGTTTCCGCTTTTTCTAATAACTTACTTCTCAGCAGTAACTACGTATGATGATGAGTATATATGTATGCATTCATTTAGAGTAACATCGAAACGTTGCAACATCTATAAAAGAACCAAATTTTTGAAAGCCAGTTGTGTTTTCAAAAAGCAGTCATAACAATGAATGTCTTGATAGATAAGAAAATTAAAAGGATGGAGAAGCTCTATGATGTCTAGAGACTTTTTCCAACAAGACGAAAGGAAGAAGAAGAAGAACAGGAAAAGGCTGCGAAAGCAAAGAGGACCTTGTACAATATTCTAGGTAATACTACAAACAAAGAACAAAAAGACAACAAAATAGAGAGGAAAAAAGAAACCCATGCCACATCGACCTAAACATATCACAGCAGGAACGAAGAGGAAAAAAAAAAAGTAAAAACATATGCGCTATACCACCACTTGAAAGCAAACTATTATTAAACTAAACGCAGGGAGGAAGAAGCACGCAGCATGAGTGAAGACCAGGGTAGAAAGGGAAATCTTCAAACGTGGCAAATGCAAGTGAGCCCGGCATAGGAGCAGGAGCGAAAAGGAAGGCAGACCAAACGAACGAGCGAGCGGAAGAGGACAGAAAAATTCAAACAAATCCAAAGTTGATAGAGAAGAGCGATTGTTTAACCGCAGCAGAAGATGCCGAATTTTTCAAAGAAGCCCTTCTTCTCGGCGCGCTGGCCGTTCTGGACCTGTCCCTGCTGCTGCGAAGGCTGCTGTTGAGGAGACTGCTGGCCACGACGGCTCTTGCTGCCGTGGCGGACAACGACAGGAGATGGTGGAGGCGGCTGGGCCTGGTTGAGGCGAGCGGCAGTGAGCTGGGCCTGCGAGTGGCGGGTGGTGTTTGCCATGCGCGGGTCGTTGGAGGAGTGATAGTTCGGGTTGGAGTAATGCATATGCTGGGAGGCAGCATGCTTTGAGCCGACGTCCCATCCCTTGCCGCCGTTGAGCTTCATCCAGTCGTACTCGCCATCCTCGACCTCGTTGACGGAGCGGAGGGCCTGGGTGAAGAGGTCGCGGAGGTAGTCGTAGTCGGGAGTGTCTTCGAAGCCGAGGTTGCGGACGTAGGTGAGGTACTTTTCAAACTGCTCTGGGAAGCCCTCGCAGAGGTCTTTGATCTGAGTGGTCTGCTTCTTCTCGCCGATCTTTTCGTACTTTTGCTTGTTTGTGGCGGCCTTGAGTCCCTGCCATGGCAAACCTCCGCGGAGGAAGTACATGAATACGTGGCCGAGGGCCTCGAGGTCATCTCGTCTGGACTGCTCGCGGCCGAGATGTGTGTTGATGCTCATGTAGCGGGCGGTGCCGCTTAAGCTTTTGCGTTCGCGATAAGGGATATGCTGTTTTGTCTTTGGGTCGCGGTACTGCTTTGCCATTCCGAAATCGACGACGTATATGAGGTTTGCGTTTTTGGTGCCGGGACGGCCGATGAGGAAGTTGTCGGGCTTGATGTCGCGGTAGATGAGGTTCTTTTCGTGGATGGTCTGCACTCTGGTGATCATTTGCTTGGCGACCATGACGACGGTCTTTATGCTGAAGCGGCGGCCGCACCAGTCGAAGAGGTCTTCGAGACTGGGGCCGAGGAGGTCGATGACGAGGATGTTGTGGAGACCTTCCTGGCCAAAGTAGTAGACGTTGGGGATGCCCACGCATCCGACGAGGATTTTGTATGTGCGGTACTCGTCGCGGAGCTGGGGGGCGTCGGATTTGCGAGGTTCCTGGGAGAGTGTTAGTGATGAGAAAAGAGGGGGAATAAAGAACAGAAGATGAAGAAAAAAAAGAAGATGATGATGATGATGATGATGATGAGAACAGGGACATACAAATTTGATGGCGACCTGGCGGTTGTTGAGGAGATTAGTGCCTTCGAAAATGACGCCAAAAGATCCCTCGCCGATCTTTTTACCGACGCGGTAGTGGACGCCCACTACGTTAGACGAGTGAAGCTGCCCGGGCGCTGAACTCATGGTGCGGGATGAGGAGAGGATGAGGAGAAGAAGAGGACAACAAAGTGGTGATAGAGAAGAGAAGAGTGAGCGTTTTCAGTGGCGGAGAAGGGCGAAATAGGACGAAGGGGCCGAGTGGAGCCAGGCAGGTGACGGTTACCCGGACAACCGTTCTGGGCCACCCGAAGCGGAAGGATTATTTTCACCCAGATTTGGGAACAATTTGGGGGATAAGAGAGAGTTTTGTGGGTAAATAAGGATGTCTGGGCCGCGCCACGCAGCGGCTTATTTTTGGTAAAAGATACACTTTGAACATCAACAAGAGATGAGGAGGAGGAGGAGGAGAGTAGGAAGAAGAGAAGTAGAAGAAGGACCTTGATAGTGGTGAAGTAGAAGAGATGACTATTAGTTGCTGTTCTATTCCTGTTCGCTGACTGAGTTAATGAGAGTTGTGCCTGGCTGTTCTGGTCTGCTGCTGTTGCTGTTCCTGTACGCGTAACCAGAACGCGTAGGCTTGGTGATGTTGTGTTGATGTGTAGTAGAAGTAGTAGAAGAAGCGGTGATGATAAGCTGATAGAGGATGTGTTTACGTCACTGCTCTTCTCTCCACCCTCTCCCGCTCTGCTTGCGTGGCTTCTCTTCTTCTTCTTCTTCTCTTTGTATCGTCGTCGTCGTCGTCGTCGTCGTCGTCACTGCTTCAAGTAGATCTGGTCGTAGTTGAGACACAACTCTCGCTGTGCTTGGACACTTACACCACAACACCACTTTGCACACTTAGAGCACATCTGCACAAACCCCTCCGCCCCAGCACGTGGTCGAGTCCGCCGCTTCTCACTTGTGCGGCGCACATCTACAAACCCCGAAATGCTCACTTCGTGTGGAGCCGGGCCCAACGTCTGCTCAGAGACTTGAAGACAAGAAAGAGATCAGTCTTCTTCTGCTTCTTCTTTTTGTTCATTATTCTCTTCTTCTCTGCAAAACTATTCTTCTTGCTGACTCTTGACTTCGTCTCTTGTCGCTTGTCTCTGCCTGCTCTCTCTCTACTCAACATGTCCTCCACCGCTATCATGGCTGGTCCTCCCGGTAAACGCATCGCGCTTCCTGTCCGCGTCGAGCCAAAGGTCAGTTCTTCTTCTCTTCCTCCTCCTCTCTCATCTCCTCTCTCTCCTCTTAAAAACCCTACTCACAACTGCTCAGGTCTTCTTCGCAAACGAGCGAACCTTCCTCTCATGGCTCCATTTCACCGTCATCCTCGGAGGCCTCGGCGTCGCCCTCCTCAACTTTGGTGACCGCGTCGGCCGCCTCTCCGCTGGTCTCTTCACCTTGATCGGTAATTATCCCTCTCTTCTTCCTCCTTCCTCCTTCTTCACCCCCTCTAACTCTCTTCCCTTACTATCTCAGCCATGGGCACCATGATCTACGCCCTCGTCACATACCACTGGCGCGCTGCTGCCATCCGGCGGCGTGGTGCTGGCCCTTACGACGATAGATTCGGCCCCACCATGCTCTGCTTCTTTCTCCTCACTGCTGTCATCGTCAACTTCTTCCTCCGCCTCAATTCGCCTTAGTTGCTCTTGCTCTTGGGTGCTGTTTATATCTTTCTTTTCCTCCCTACAGTTATATACTTTGCTTTCCTCACATAACACACCTTTTTTTGTATAATACGGTCTTCTATTCTATGTTTCTTTCTTTTAGTTTTATGGCATTTCGTCTACTTGTGAATCACTCGTCTCATCCTCGTCTCCTTTACTCTCGTACTCTTCATCGCGACTGAATATAGACAACTCAATAAGAATGTTCTCATTACTGCACTTCACCCGCTGTAAAAATAGGTAAAGATAGAGTCTTAGCTATATACACACTAAACCAACTTCTGCTTCACAAAGAATCCCCGCAAATGATTCAGCTGCCACGCACACGTAGCCCCAATCACAATCAACTGAATAACACTCCATCTCACCACCCTCGCGTTCGTCCGCTCGCTCTCGTTCCTAAACTCCTCCTCCCGCTCCCGCTGGAACTGCTGCTCGCGCTTAATATCCGCCAACCGGTGACTGAGCTCCTGCACCTTATCCACAAGCGACGTAAACGTCTCCGTCGTGCGGTGGTCCTTTGACAGCACGCTCGTCTCGCCGATCGCAAGATCGAGGTTAAACCGCACCGTCGAGTGAGAAAACCACCCCGCGCTGCCCGAACTGGCTTGGAAGCAGATCTTGTGCTCGCCAGAGTCTGCCGCTGTGAATGTGAACTTGCCCGAGGCGGATCCGCGCTGCGAAACCACGCGGTGGTTGTTGTCAAAGATTTCCTATGCGCGCGTCAGTCTCGGTCTTCCTCACTTCATTGTTCTTCTTCTACAGTGAGACCCTACCTCAACAGTGATAAACACGCCTAGCGCATCAGGCTGGATGAATTTCCCATTATCAGGCACAAACTCCTCCGCATTATAAAATCCTAACCATCGTAAGCACGCTGCCAGATCTCACAAGAACACTAACAAACATACCAACCACAAGAGTATTCTGCGGCAGCTCTTCCAGGAAACATTTCCGATCAGATCCTTCCAAGAAGAAATGAAGCGCAGACACGCGACACACAAGTGCCGCGAGCAAAACTAGAGCAATAAAACGCGTGCTCATCTCCACTTTCACGCAGGGGCACTAATCCTTTAGATGTCAGTACTCCGACTCCTAATACCAAAGAACGTACAATCAATTATACACATACAGAATATGCAATGACAGTAAGTAAACGCGTTCTCTCGACACAATCCACAATCCACAAGAGCAGGCTGGAGCAGTCGAATCAGTTCTGCAGGCGCGATTGATTCCACAGGAGTCGGATCCAACCCTCGACGTGGTCGTTCAGGACGACGCTGACTTTGATGTGAGGCGTTTGTACACATCCTCCTTCGAGGTAAATACATCGCCATCTGCTCTGTTTATCTGCTGCTTTTGTTGTTCAATACACTCGACGCTTCTGTTCAGTTATCTCTAAAGTGTCTTGTTGTGTACTATTAGACGACTGGCTAAAGTATCGGTGCAATACACCCCGCGCTCTCAAGATCATCCTCACAGCATGACCACCCCACGGCTTTCCGCCCAAGGCACAAAGCTGGCCGCCAATTCAGTAAGCCGCCAATGATCTACTACCTCTCTTCCTTTCTACATCTACTGATCTACTCCCTAAGCCTATACCCACCGCGAAACTAGAAGACATCTGCTCAAAAGTATGCAACCCACCCTTCCTCCTGCATAGCACGATCTAACTCACTGCACCAGGCCCTGTCAAGTATAATACAGCCCACCACAGTCTACAAGCACGACTCCACCGCCTCCTGGAACGACGCAATCATAAACACCATCCTCAAATCCCTCGTCGCAGAATCCTCGACCTGCAAATACGTCGTCTACTCCACAATCATCCAGAACGAGCCCGCGGCAGTCGCCCGCGGCATCCACTCCACCAGCGGCGCGTACTGGAATAATGAAAAGGACGGCTTGTGGAATTATAGCTGGACTGGCGGCGCGGGGGACGAGGGGTTGTATGTCGTTATAAGTATTGCTTGGATTACAAACAAGTAGACCAGCTGCTTTAGCATGAGGTTAATTTTTTGTTGTTAATCTGACATTGTATTGTACATAAGTTTAACAGTCGTAGTAGATCATCACTCTACGCATCTACTCCTCCATAGCCTCACCCCCCTGCTCGTACTTCTCATCCTCCTCCACCTGCTTCTCCTTAATCTCCTCCAGCGTATCCTCAATCTCCTGTAACTTCTCCCGCACCTCTCCCCCACTAATCTGCGTCTGTATCGCGCACAACTTCGCAATACTGGCCTGAACCACCCGATTCGCCAGCGGCTCCTCTCTATCATTCGACACCTTCAGCAACTTATCTCCCGCGCTCTCAAAGTCCGCCTGCTGGATATCGTGGATCCACGCCATCCGGTCGTACTCCCCCGAGCTCAGAAACCGCTCAAGGTACGTCTTATACCCCGGAAACGCCACAAACAGCTCCGAAATATGCCCAGTATCAATATAATACTGGTAAACAACCGATGCGAAATCGTACCCGTACGTCTCAAAATACCTGTTCAGCCTCAGCGCAAGCAGCTCCTGCCTGTCCGCCGTCTCCTTGCCAAGCTTCTCCAGCTCACTCTTCTCCTCCCGACACATCTCCGCCAGGGTGCGGAAATCCCGGTACGTCTCCGCGATACTGTACGCCTGCGCGTTGTAGCCGAACCCCATCAACGGCTTAATCCACGTCCCGCGCTGCTCGAGGTACAGCGCCGTCAGTTTCTCGTACTGATCGCGCGAATCCGGTAAGCTGCTGCAGTACGCTATCCGCTCCTCGTACGATTCGCAAAGACACTTCACCAGCGCGACCAGCTGATCCAAAAGCTGCTTCAGCTCGCCCGAAAACTCGCTCAGCTGGTCTTCCGACAACTCCCACAGCTGCGACGCGAGCGCGCGCGACACATCGTACTGCTTTCCCAGCGCCGTCAGGATCTCCCATGTCGACGTCCACGGCTCGGTCGTGCTGGGCGGGTACTGTTCGAGATGGAATAGCTGCTGCTCAAACGCCTCGCGCACGCGGTAGGCGGACTTTGCGAGAACAGTCAGCAGCATCTCGTTGCTCTCGATAACGTGCTTCAGCATCTGCCCACGGTGGCCCGACGCCGTCTGCGCGCGTACAAGACTCTTGGTCGAGAACGCGACCGCAAGATCCCCGATCTTCATGCTCTCGACACGGAACCACTGCTCGTCGTAGTTTTCCTGCTTGGATAGGTCTGTAATCACTTCCGACAGCATCCGCGTACGTCCGGGCATCGACGTCCACGCCACCCAGACGTTGCGAGCGGCTTCGCTCTTTTCGAGCTTCGTCAGGGTTTTTATGCGGCACTCGGTAGATAGAGACGGGAAGACGTATTGTAGATGCTCGGCTAAGCGGCCGAGAGCCTCAGTCCGGAGTGAGAGGCACTCGGTGGTGTCGGGGTACTCTGTAGAGTACACAGAGCCTGCAATGTGACTGTTAGTAACAAGTTTGGTAAAACATACAACTGGATAAACTTACTTGAACTGATAATCTCGTCACTCACTTCGGTCAAAGCCTGCTCGACATCGCCGACCTCATAGCCGACCTCGCGGCCTCGACCGAAATCCACCGGATTCTCCTCCTTGAATCCGTAGTACACGGCCTGTTCGAGTTTACTCTTGATAACATCAACGCTGGACGCAACAACAGTGTACGACGACTCGTCTTCAAATCTCTCGATTCGGATCACGCCCGCGCGGCGGGCTACCAAGATGATACCGGCGTGTCGCGTGATTTGGTTGTTTTCATGTACGATATCCTCGGTACCGGAGAAAATGACGTCGATCGTGTCCTTTTTGAATTCAATCACGTCTTCCCATTTGAACAGCGTAGTTGTTCGCGTCCGGGTCCGCTGCTGTTGGAGCACTGTATCCACCATGACAACCGCGTGAGACAAAACAATGAACGCTGTATATCCCGGCTTGGGAAGAAGCAGTCGAGGTCGCTGGGAGGACGGAGAAGTGTAGCATGTGATTCTATGGGCCGAGATAATGCGGAAGTCATTGGTGACGAGCGAGACAGTGAACAAAATGTAATAGACCTGCTCGAGGCCAGAGTCTTCGTTGTATATGAACGAGGCCAGGATTAATCCCGTAGACTCGTCGTCCGGTAGCATCTCGATGTCGTGGACTTGGAAAGTCTGCTCTGCTCGTGGGTAAACACCGTCAATCGACTGGAGCAGCTGATCCTTGAGCTCCATCTCAAACATCAGTTCGTAGTGTGCGCTTCGAGAGCACTGCCAGAGAGTGACTGCACCTCTGACATTCGCCGTAACCACCATGCGCTCTCCACGCCCTATAATCTTCCCCGGCTTGATCGCCACAAGATCTCGTCGCGTGCTGCCAAATTTAAGCACCCCTTTGAGATTGCTCCACAGGCCCGTGCCGGATCCACGCATTCCTGTGCATGTGATCCCCGGTCGTCCAGCGGCGTCGTGCAAGGCAACCAGAACGAATCGACCGGAACTAGTAGCAACAATCACGCCGGCGGGCTCTATATTTTGCAGATACTCTAGAGTCTCGCCCTGGTAAAGGCTGATCAGCGCCTCGACGCCCTTCTTGCGATGTAAAAGACCTTCGGCAACGACGCCGCCAACGGCCTCCCAGTAGGTGATTTGGCCAGAGAGCGGGTTGACGAGAACCAGTCCTGGTTCATCGCTTCCTGCAGAGGGTGAGACCAGGACGCCTAAGGGAAGGGTTCCTGTTGCGTTGGAAATAGGGAAGGATATTGTTGCCGGTAGACGATCTGGGGAGATGTAGCGCCAGACGTATGCGGAAGCAGGCGAGATCAAGAGGGCAAAGTCTGTAGCAGAGTCTAGATAACCGTGGAGAGTAAAATCTGCTTAATGTCAGTATTTCGACTCGCTGTAAGTTTTTGAACAAGTCCGACGCACCTTCTGAAGTCTTGAGAATATTTGGGAGCGCTGGTAGCTTAAGTACACAGTACTTTGAATTCTTTGTGTACTCAATCACGCTGTCCTTTGCCTTCTGCTCTGCAGCAGTTGAAAGCGGGACATCTGCATTCGCCTTCGACGCCAGCGAGACAGCGGTCTGACTTGAATCCGCAACGGCCTCTGACGGTTGACGAATCAATCCGGAGACCTGTCGACTGCGTCGCGCTTGTAACCTGGCCGATCGCCGCTGAGAAAGTGCAGACGACATTGCCGTAAATGCCTCTGTTTGTTATATTTGTTTTCTTGTCTATGTGATGGTCTGAGTCGGAGCGAGAGATCCGACTGTCGTGGATGCTGATCGGGGCCGAGAAGACGCGTGTTTGGCGGATTTGTTGTGGTTTCTGCGAATTTTTGCTTGTTCGTGGCCGCCGCACGCTGATTTCTGATTCTGATTTCGACAGGTATGTTTTACATTTATTGCAGCATATAGCTATTTAGACTGTGTAGTTGTTACTAGAATCTTTGGGTTTAGGTTATAATTGAGTTAATAATAGAAAAGATGCTGTATTTCGTAATCATTCTAGAAACAGAGCATCACAGATCCGCACGGTGACTATCTCAACATGCAATACTTCCAAGACAAACGAACAATATCTCGACTTCAAGAACAGAAGATGAAGGCAGAAGTTTGAAAAAAATCAAACAATTCGGTCGACAGAGTGTCATAGATTTAAACTGCTTCATATATAGCGAATGAGGTCCACAGTGCGTTGGTAGTAGCCAGATATCAGATCAGATCAGATCAGTTCACTGCACCTAGTACACAATATTGCTAGGTGGCACTTAGAAGCAAAAACCAATACAGCTGTCAGTAGATATCGTAAATTTCAGTCTCAAGCACACCGGAATACGTAGACAGGACGACTACGAAGAGAAGCCCAGATCAGGTCGACTGCTTCCACACAACGGCCCGAGAAGTAGATGCCGACAAGAAGGCTGTCAGAGGTTAGAACACTTCACAAAGACACATAGATCGCTCCCAATATCTCACTTCTTAATCAACATAAACACAAAACTACCACAGAACAATCATCAAAACCACAAAAGAATCAAAGAAACCACGAGCCATCTGCAGGTTCTCAAACAATAACATCCCGCACAAGTGCAACGACGCCGAGTGCACCCAGCGCACGGGCATTCCCGTTAATCGCATCTCGCTCTATCAACATCTCAGATACTCCCAAGCACCACCCATCCACCCTCCACCCGACTATGTCGCTTGCCGGAAACTGAACTACTCCTGCGCTCACCGGACCCGGCTCTTCATCGATCACAAGCTCTAATGTTTGCACTGCCGAACGCAGACCGTGCTCAGCCGGCAATGCAGACGCTCACCCCACTGAATGATGTGGAGATGCCGGACACGGACGTCCATCACGAACAAGAGGACACCGCACAAATGCCTGCCCCCAAACACGAGCTCGACAACAGCAGTACCCAGCAGCCTCCTGACCTTCAGCAGATGACTCTGCGGCCACCAATGTCTGCCAGCGCAGACTCTGACCAGCAGTCGCGTATCTCCGCCTACGCTCGCCTAGATTTCGCGTCGTTCACGTTCTACGTGCAAACTCTGCAAGTGATTATGGGCAGACGTGTGGAATCTGCGGGCTTCGGCGACGGTTCAACTCCAGGTCGCTCTAGATCGCGTACGCCGATGAAAATGGACCCCAACACGCCCGGAGCGGGCGCAAGCCAAGTCGGCACAAGCAACTCAGGCGCGGGCGCTGGAGCTGTGGCTGCTGTCGCCGGAAATGGCGGGGGGAGCGGCAGCATAGACGTACATCTGGGAACTGCAAAGGCGATTTCAAGAAAACACGCAAAGATATTCTACAACTTTGCCAACCAGCGATTTGAGTTCTCTGTCTTGGGACGCAACGGCGCGTTCGTCGACGACGTGTTTGTCGAGAAAGGCGCAACCGTTCCTTTGAATCACGGGTGCGTGTTTTTTCATGCTCTGAGCAAAGATAGCACGATACTAACTTTTATATAGCTCGAGGATACAGATCGGACAGGTCGGCTTCTCGTTTCTTTTGCCGTCTGGGGGCAACCCGGAATCCGGTGCTACAACTCCGACGCACGCCATTAAGCCGGCTGACGCCATATCTCTGCGCGACGAGAAATCTATGCTTCCGCTAGCTGAAAGTATAGCAATCAGTACTTTAGAAGGAGAAGAACGAAAAGCGTCTGCTTTCGCAGAGGCGCACGACGCGCACAGTTCTGCGGAAATTCCTCTACCATCCGGACAGATTTCTGAAGGCGGACTGAACGATGCCGAACTGCGCATGGTCGAGGCACTCACGAGTGCTACTAACGTAGCTGGCGGCTTTGGAGATCTTGTGTCTGCCAGCTCGCCCGGAAATAGCACCATTCTAGCTGATGAGGCTGCTACACCGCAAAACAAAGCAATGCAAGCCAAGGCGAAGGCAGCAGCACGCAAGGAGAAACGACACCCTTCACCTATTTCGCCGTCGCAAATACCCCCAGAGTATCGCGAGAAGCCGTCCAACTCTTACTCAAGTCTAATCGAGATCGCTCTACGAACCTATGCCACCGAGCGTGGAATGTCACTATCAGAAATCTACACAGCCATTCAAAGCATTTTTCCGTACTACCAATACGCTCCTTATGGATGGCAGAATTCTGTGCGACACAATCTTTCGCTGAACAAGTCATTTATAAAGATCGCTAAAGAGGGGAAAGGCTGGCTATGGGGACTAGATGAGGAGCTTTGCCGAGAAAAGGAGGCAAAGAGAAACAGGCCGTTAGTGAAAGAACGCAAAGAACAAGAACGACGAGAGAGAAAAGAGCGCGAAAAGAAGGAGAAGGAGGAACGAGAGCGGAAGGCGAAAGAGGAGAAGGAAGCATTGGAGCGCGAACGGAAAGAGCATGAGAGATTGGAAAAAGAGAGGAAAGAAAGGGAGCTTGCAGAGAAGAAGAAGGCTCTTGCTGCGATTGCTCAAGCAGCTGCGGCAAAGACAGCTGCGTCGGTAGCAAAGGGCGGAATGGTCCCGGCTCTTCCACGAGCGTTGGCTCCGGGAGGCAAACCGAAAACAAATCCTCTCGGCGTGCCTCCATCAATTCAAAAGTCCCAGCCCACAAAGGCGCCTATCAACAAAGACACTCTCAAAGCCTTACAGCTTCTCCAGCAAACTATCACCGCCCAGCTCTCTGCTGGAGGATCAAAGGCTCCGAATACAACCACCGCGGGAGCGCCAGCGCAAACTACTCCCGCTGTCGCAGCGACTCCCTCTCTCGAATCGAAAGCGGACGTCGGACTGCAGCAGATAGAGCGGCGGCCAAGCGACGACAACCGTCCACAACCCCATGCCACGACTGCCTCTCCACAGCCACCAAGCTCTCTGCCATCTAATAACGCTGCGGCACTAGTCGCGGCACTAGCTGCTGCGCAGAAGAAGTCCGGGCAACAAGCAGCAGCAGCAGCAGCAGCAGCAGCAGCAGCAGCAGCAGCAGCAGCGGCGGCGTCCAAGCCAGCTACTGCACCTGCTCAGCAGCCCACTCGGCCTGGAGTTCCTCCAGCCAAAACACCACAGCAGAACGCTAAGGCTGCTGCTATAGCTAAAGCGCTGATGATGACTTTGGCTCAGTCAATGAACAAGACAAGAAAGCCAAGCACTGGTGCTCCCGAAGCGGGAAGTAATGGCGGATCGGGTACTCCAAGTAACCCCGGTACGCCTGTCGGGGTTCCTTCGTCATCTGGTACTGACAAATAATGGCTCTGAGAGGAACAAGGGCGTTTAAAGTTGTATGTGTATTATTAATTTTGTTTTTCGGGAAGGCGTTATCTTTGGATGCTGGAATTCGTACTATTGTTGAACTGTTGTGTAGAATATGTGCTATTGATTGAGTGATCACTGTATAATAGATGAATTGAGGTTTAAATGGGATATGCTAGCTAGAGTAGAGATGGTCAGAGACCTCAGACTCCTGCCGTTAGATGGTGAAGACGAGTTTCAAGGTCGGAGCAGCTGCAATATAGGCGATCAGATTAGGTATCGACAGAGTCAGAATACAGATATCAGAGAGAGCAGTAACAGTCGTCGTGGAGCTTTGCTTTCTTTGCCCATGTCTTTTTTTTGTCTATGTTTTTTTCTTGTCTATGTTTTTCTCTTTCTCTTGTCTTTTAAATTCAAGGCAGGCTGATTTCTGTTTTTGTTTTGCTTCTCAATAAGATCACCGCGCCTTTGTCAAATTCTTTTTTTCTGTTCCTAAACATTTTCTCTTTTCAACGAAACAAAACGCATGCCGGTAAACTACATATCATTCTATCATACACGCAACGAACTATCACCCTTGACAATGAGTTGCACAAAAACCCAAGCGGGCTTCTAATACGGAGTGAATCCTCCGCGACCGCGTCCCCGGAAGCCGCCTCTGTATCCGCCTCTGGGGAAGTACCCACCTCTACCGCGTCCTCGGCCTCTACCCCGTCCGCGTGCAGACATACCCGGCACATTTGTTCGTTTCGGCACGACTTTCAAGTTGCGGCCGCGGAATAAGCTCTCGTTGAGCACGAGCGCGTTTGCCACGAAACTGGGCTCGGCAAACTCGACGTAGGCAAACCCCTTGGGATGACCGGTGAACTTGTCGAGAAGGATCGTGACGCGGTTGATTGTGCCGCAGCTCTGGAAATGCGACTGGATCTCTTCTGGGGTCGATTCGTAATCGACGTTGCCGACGTAGATGCTGCGCGCATCGACGTCCTCTTTATCCTCCTTCAGCTCTTGACCTTCCTTTTCTAACGATTCTTGCATCTCTTTGAGCTTCGCGGCTTCGGCTTCCATCTCCGCCACTCTAGCCTTCATGGCTTCGATATCATCCTGGTTGGAGTTAGATCAGATTCACCTAGCCAGCGCTCGCTACTATAGATCGTGCATACCTGATTGTCCGACATTTCAACGTATATATCCCACTAAATAGATCAAACAGATAGAGAGCGTCCAAGATCTTTGTAATATGGTATATACAGCAACTTCCCACCGATGTAACTGTCGACACTTTTGCAAAATTTGTGTGGATCCTGACGTAGTACTTGGACTATGCACTCGAGGGTTTTGTGGTTATGCAAGTCACGTGATGACATTGTTGTGGAAGACTGTAAAGTGATGACGATGGTGATGATGATAAATCTCTTGTACACTGGATTGAATAGTCATTCGGGACTGGTTCTATATGCTTGATATTGCTCGGATCGTTTCTACTACACTGATATTTTACACGGAGTACGTGGGTTACATGGCCACAATGCTACCTTGTGCATTAAAAAAAAACCAAAGAGGAAGTACCCTGTATTTTATACAATATCCGAAAATAACCACACCTAACCAACCATTAAAGATCATCAGCTCTCATCGTCAAACTGCTCATCACAGCCCGCTTTCCTTGAACGCATTGCGAACCTCTTTGAGGAAGCGCGCAAAGTCTCTTGTCTCATTCAATCTATTGACGATTCGTTCCAACACAGATTTGTTGAGACTAGGCTCGCACTTTGAGACTTCGTAATCAACAGACGTGAGATCGACAACAACGTAATACTCCTTGTCCCAGTTGGCTTCGCTGATGAGAGTGAATATGATTTTGAGATAGTCGTCGTCGACACCCTCGATACGCATACCAAGATTCTGTTCCCAGAAAGCAAGCTCCGGAGCATTCAAAGATGACTGAGCCAAGATCTTGGACCGCTCTTTAGACCGTTCTGATACAATAACATCATTAGCAAATGAACAGACAGTAATACAACTAACAAACGCGGCTTGTCTTACCCTCTCGCGCCTTCTCTAGCATCTGCTGCACCTCTGATATCTGTTTGACCACGGCATCTCGAAGAACTGCAAGTTCTTGCTTTTTGCGAGTGAATTCCGAGATTGACTGCTCGGTCTCTAAAACTTCCTGCTGCTCGCGCGCCATTTCTGTATTGCTCTGTCAGTATAGTCATGGGAGCTTACAGGCAGTATTCGGGTATTTACCTTCAGATATCTCCTCTTCTTTCTCCTTGTACCATCGAATCTGATTAAGCATCTCGGTTTCCTTTTCTGCAAGCAAAAGTGTAAGTTAGTCAGAAGCACACCGTCAAAGACTTTAACCGCGCGTACCTTTCCCCTCCTGAATCTCCTGCTCGAACGCATTTCTATCCTCCAGGATCTTTTTCCGGTCGTTGGCAACAAACTCGTCAAATTTTGCTTGGAAGATATCCATCTGTCTTTTCAGCCTGTCAAAGTTGAAAGTGAACTGCGGGATCGAAGGCGCTGAGGATCCAGACGGCGAATTGAGCACGTCTGCGTTGCCATTTTTGAGATCCAAGGCGTCAATGCCTGATCTCAGAGAAGAGATAGAAGTCATATTAAGAAGTACGTCAAAGATTCAATATTGTAGCAGATAGCGAGCAGTCAGGAAATAGCGAGGTTGATCAAGTAGAACACACGAGGAGAACGCGATGCGGCGATAGAGCTGGGCGGTGAAGATGTAAACAAACAAAACGAAACCTTAAATCGATTACATAAGTTTGGTGTTGAGCCCTAGCCCTATGTATGTGACTTTTGGTTTTCAGTCTCCGGGCAGCCTTGCAGGTGTTGTTGGAGTTCAACAATAATATGCTGTGGATGTTCACGTAGCATATTATAGTTGGTTATTGGATATTTCATAGCTGTGTGATTTGCTGCTGACAGTTTTGCAATGGCTTCATCCGCCGATGTGCGGGACATGCTGGACTTGCCTGATAGGCAAGAGCCTTCGAGTCGACCGCCCCCCGCGAAGCGCACCAAGACAGAGGGCAAGAGGTTTGGTAAGTGATTATGATTATGTGGGTGGGGTGGTATGGAATAGTTGAGCTAATGGAAATTTGAAATCAGATGGAATGAACAGAGAGCTTCAGAATTTACTGGGAGACAATACACCAGCCGTGACAGTCATCGAGAACAGATTCAAGGCAAAACCAAATTGGAAACTAAAGCCTACACCTTGGTCAGTAACGATACGCGTCATTTTTATCTGGGATACGGACTGTCGTTTGGCTGACAGAGAATCATTATTCTATGCAGGGTGTGGTCGAAGTTCAAGAATTCAGCCAGGAGCGATGATCTAGAATTTAGTCATTGGGTGCGCGGCACACCATCAGAAGGTATGCAGTGGGTTATGTGGTCAAATACGCGTTCAAATCTAACGTTTATGTGTGAAGATGACTATGTGTTTGCAAAGTTCAACATGCCCGTCGACGTGCCGACGTATACCGAGCAGGAATATGAGAAATGCTTAGCAGGTATGGAATCATGTGCTTTAGGAGCGATCAAGAGGCGCATACTAATCATCTGTAGATACGGCCTGGACTCCTCGTGAAACTGCATATTTGTTTGATCTGTGTCGGGAGTATGATTTGCGATGGCTAGTGATACAAGATCGCTACGAGTATCAGCCCGAAGAGAAAGAGCCACCGTCGATAAGAACCCTGGAAGACTTGAAAGAACGATACTACTTTTGTTGCCGCAAGCTGATGGATTTGAGACGCGAGGAAGGTACGATGGAATGGACACCGCGGGAACTGGAGCTTTACAATGCTATGAGTTTCAATAAGGATAAGGAAATGGCTCGGAAGCAGTACTTGGAGAGATTACTGAGCAGATCACCAGCTGAGGTTGCCGAAGAAGAGAGACTGATACTTGAGTACCGGAAGTTGCAGGAGTCGTCGAAGAAGTTGGTACAGGAGAGACAGGACCTCTTGCATCTGCTAGAGTCACCGCAGACGTCGTCTTCGTTCGCGCAGTTCCAGTCTAGTCAGGGCTTGTCTCAGCTCGCGGCTAATATTCTTGCAAATGACAAGAACCGGAGGAGAAAGGCAGTACCAGAATCTGCGGAAGCGGCGGCCCAGCAACCGGCAACACAGAAAGGCGCGCCGGGACACGGCAGTGCACATGGGAACGCAGGAGGACATGGACAGCAGCCGGCGCACGCACACGATGCAAAGGCATCGTCATCGACTCAGCACAATTCGCCTGCGGCTGCTACTACGAAGGTATCGAAGGCGGATCTTGTGCAGTCTGCTACGGCTAAGAAGGTGGCCAAGAGAGTGGCTCCGGGTGAAGGTATGATTACGCGAATGATGTGCTTGAACTATCGATTGCAAGTCTGACTAACGATCTACAGAACATCTATATGGAATTTCGTATCACGACCGGCTAACGCAAGGCGTGTTCCTGCGGTCGTCGAGAGTGAGCACGCTGAAGCACACGGTGCAAGCCAAGGTGCAGTCAGTGCTTGCCGAGCTCTCGATCTCGTCTAAGCTGGCTATGCCTACGGCGAAGGTGTGCGAGCGCTACGACGCGTTGCAGCAGCAGATTACGGTGCTGCTGGACGCGAAGAAGCAGGCGGACAAGCTCGAGGCGGAGGTGAAGGTGCTGCGGGCGCAGAAGGGGGGTGGCCAGGCCGAGTAGCTACGGTATTGGAGAATGATTTGTTATAAACATGTTTATGGCATTAGTCATTGCACGTAAGAAGTTCGTAATGAAGATGACGCATTGTCGCCACAGTGGTTGGGGGGGCGCAGGCGGTGTTTGCGCAGATGTGCCGCAGTCTGCGTTAAGCTGGGTATAAAAACACAGCAAATGCTTAATAAAGAAGAGGTGCTCTGGGCCCCGGAATATTCCTCGGCCATCTGCCGCGAGCGCACAAAGCCAGGCTTAGGTCAACGCCTGTTCAGGTCATCTTTTGTCACTGCTTCTTCTATCCTCCTGCTCCGTCTGCTCCGTCGCCCTCCTTTCTTTCTACTTATCTGGTTCCTCCCGGTAATTATCCAAAAATGACGGCTGCTTCTTCTTCGTGAGTCCTATCCTTTATTCTTCTTGCCGCGCTCTTCGGTCCCTGCTCTCGGCCCTGTCCGGTGTGATCCGGGCTCTCTGACCAGGACCGCAGCTCTCCGGCCCTGCTCTTTTCCACCTTACTGACTCTAATCTTTTGCAAAACAGATCAAGGAAGTTGAGAATCACAGGTACGCTTCCGGTCTATTGATTTCTGCTGCCTGTTGCTTTATCGTACACAGGAGCGCGATGCGATCTTCCATCATCCGCCGCTCTTTTTTCGTCGACCTGTGCGTCTGACTCAGCCCGTGCATCTCTGCTAACTCTTCCCTTTTTCTTCTTATCAGTCGTTGCTGCGGATGGACTCTATAAAAGAGAAGTTTTCCGTATGTTTGCAGTCCGATGTTCGATTCTATGTCTACAATTACTGACTATCATCATCAGGCTTTCCGGATCCGTTCGCGGTGATCACCGTCGATGGCGAGCAAACGAATACTACCTCAGTTATCAAAAAGACACTCAATCCGTACTGGAACGAGTCGTTCGATGTGTATGATTTTATCAGACTGCTTCAACCTCTTTGTCAAATTTAGCCTTATCTAACATTCTTTCTACTTTTCAGCAACGTCACCGAGTCTAGCATAATCGCAGTCCAAATCTTTGACCAAAAGAAGTTCAAGCGAAAGGATCAAGGATTCCTCGGCGTCATCAACATCCGCGTTGGCGATGTCATCGATCTATCTCTCGGCGGAGAGGAAATGCTCACCCGAGAGCTCAAGAAGTCTAACGACAACGTAGTCGTCCACGGCAAACTCATCATCAGTCTCTCGACCAACATTGCCTCTTCATCGACTAACCGTCCCGCCAACTCTTCTTCATCCTCTGTCGCTCACTCTGCCTCTGGAGCATCCGCTGCGACTGCCAGCACCGCCGCTACTGCTTCCTCCAGATCTACTGCTGCGACCGAGAATGCCGCTGCCGCGACCAACGGCAACGGCAGCAGCAATAGTACCCCTCGCCCTGCTTCTGCTACGGCCACCGGTACTGGCTCTGCTGCCGCTGCGGCCACTGTTACTACAAACTCCACAAGCACTGCCTCTGGCCCCAGCTCCAACAGGGTATACAGCTCGTTTGAGGATCAGTACGGTCGTCTTCCCCCTGGATGGGAGCGCAGGACTGACAACCTCGGCCGCACCTACTACGTCGATCACAACACTCGCTCCACCACCTGGACTCGTCCTTCGTCTACGAACTTTAACGAAAGCGAGCAGCGGGCAGCTATGCAGTCCAACACCGAGATGGAGCGCCAGAGACACCAGAGCCGGACCTTGCCGGAGGAACATTCTCGCGCGAACTCGCCGAGCAATGGATCCGAGCACCCGTCGCCGGCAGCTAGTGTGAGCACCCTCCAGCAGATGGCTACCGGTGCCACCACAGCTGGCCTGGGTGAGCTTCCGTCTGGATGGGAGCAGCGTCATACTCCCGAGGGCAGAACGTACTTTGTTGATCACAATACCCGAACCACTACGTGGGTTGACCCCAGAAGGCAGCAGTACATTAGAATGTACGGCCCTAACGCGAACAACACTACCATCCAGCAACAGCCGGTTTCTCAGCTTGGTCCCTTGCCCAGCGGATGGGAGATGCGACTAACAAACACCGCCCGCGTTTACTTCGTCGATCACAACACAAAGACTACCACTTGGGATGACCCTCGCTTGCCTTCTAGCTTGGACCAGAACGTTCCCCAGTACAAGCGCGACTTCCGTCGTAAGCTTATCTACTTTAGATCACAGCCTGCTCTGCGAAGTCTTCCTGGCCAGTGCCATATCAAGGTTCGCCGTAACCACATCTTTGAGGATTCATATGCCGAGGTCATGCGTCAAAGCCCACAAGATTTGAAGAAGCGTCTCATGATCAAGTTTGAAGGTGAAGAAGGTCTCGACTACGGTGGAGTTTCCCGTGAATTCTTCTTCCTCCTCTCGCATGAGATGTTTAACCCCTTCTACTGCTTGTTTGAGTACTCCGCCCATGACAACTACACTTTACAGATCAATCCTCACTCTGGCATCAATCCTGAGCATCTTAACTACTTCAAGTTCATCGGTCGCGTTGTTGGCCTTGCTATTTTCCACCGCAGATTCTTGGACGCGTTCTTCATCGGTGCTTTCTACAAGATGGTTCTCAAGAAGCGCGTGGTTCTTTCTGACATGGAAGGTGTCGATGCCGAGTTCTACCGCAACTTGAGCTGGACTTTGGACAATGATATCACTGATATTCTGGATCTCACATTCTCCACGGAAGACGATCGCTTTGGTGAATTGGTCACCGTCGATCTGAAGCCGAACGGTAGGGAAATTCCAGTGACGAATGAGAACAAGCGCGAGTACATTGAGTTGATCACCGAGTGGCGTATCTCCAAGCGTGTTGAGGAGCAATTCAAGGCGTTCATGTCTGGATTCAACGAGCTTATTCCTCAGGAGTTGATCAACGTGTTTGACGAGCGAGAGTTGGAGTTGTTGATTGGTGGTATTGCTGATATCGATGTCGATGACTGGAAGAAGCATACCGACTACAGAGGTTACTCTGAGAGTGATGAGGTCATTCAGTGGTTCTGGAAATGTGTCCGAAGCTGGGATGCGGAACAGAAGTCGCGTCTGCTCCAGTTCACTACTGGTACTTCGCGTATCCCCGTCAACGGATTCAAGGATCTCCAAGGTAGCGATGGTCCTCGTCGCTTCACGATCGAGAAGGCGGGCGAAATCCAGCAACTGCCAAAGTCGCACACCTGCTTCAATAGAGTTGATCTCCCGCCATATAAAGACTACGATGCCATGGTTCAAAAGATGACATTGGCGGTGGAGGAAACTGTTGGATTTGGCCAGGAATAGAGATCTCGACAAATTGACTTGGGGAGAGAGAAAAAATATAGCTGTTGTTTGTGTTGTTGTCTTCGCACCTGTGTTGATTGCAATCCGGACGACTGCTCCTCCCTTTTACGCTGTTGTCGGGCAGATGCGCTGTGGTTTTTATATTTTTCAAATTTTTCAATATTTGTTTGTTTTCTGTTATATGTCCTGGCTTATGTTGAGTTGGCTCAACTATTGCTGTCAATCTGCTTTATCGTACCGGTGAAGAGAGAGAGAAGAGAGGAGGAAAAGAATGAAGAAAAAAAAAGTTCAAGGATCATAAATGCTGACGTGAGCCCATTGGACTTTTATCGTCGCTTTTGCCGCTTCTGAAGATGACTTATATCACTCGAAGTCGATTCTTCAGATTTTTTTGTGCGCGCACTTTCCGACTACGACACGGACTCACTGCAGAGCGCTTTTCGTTCGGAATGATATTATTTAAGGCTGGGTTGTTTTGTTAGTTTTCGGTCCCTTTATCTCTTCTTCCTTTTTTTTCTATCTCTAATATTATTACTACTATTTTTTTATCTCGCTGACTGCCCTTTTTTTGTTTGTTTTACTTTTACTTTTATATCGATTGTTGTGCTGGGTCTGAAGATTGGTTTGTACTTGGCTTTTATACAAAGATTCTAGAAAGCTGAACAAGCCGTATTTTGTTGTTTGTTCTTTTTTTATTAAACTATCAGCTGATATCTGAATCTCGTGCTTTTTCTTTTAACTAGTTTGCTTCGTTCCTTCTTTTTGTGCTGTGTTGCGTTGTGTTGTGTTTGACATTGATATAGTTTCTCTGTAATCTCATTCATTCTTATCATGCTGTATCCGAATATAAGCTACAAATTTACATATATATCTTTGAATCACTCTGTGGACTAGTGAACCATTCCTTTGTTCTATAATGTACGAATTGAGAAAACCACGGCGACAACAACAAATCAAGACACAAAATCAAAACTCCAAAACCCGATAGCGAACCACAAATACTCGCAAACAAAGACACACAAGCTCAATTCGTCTCCTGCTCCTCCTTCTCTAAGCGCACACGAACCAATTTCTCTGGAAGCTGTACTTTTCTTTGCTGCGCTAGTTCCCGCTGCTCGTCTTCTGTCAGATCTTGTTCGTTTTGCGCGGTGTTGCCTTCGCGAGCGATTATGTGTGCTGTTGATGTAGGGGTTAGTTATTTGTTTCTAGTATGAGGGGGATAAGTGGTTGAGCGTACCTGATGCCATGTTGATTGCGCGGAGGACGCTGTCCCAGTTACTAACTATGAGAGCAACAGCTGTTTATAAAGCGTTAGTCAATGATACTAATAAAAACAACCACCTTTATAGAGAAAGATCAGTTTCCCAACAGAAATCAACATACCCTCAGTCCCATCCACAAGCGTCGCAAGCTTCTCCTGCAACTGCTCCATCTGCTGCGCAAATCCAGCGCTCAGATCCCGCAGCTCTTGTAGACTCTCAAGCTCCTGCTTCTTCTCCGCGATCCGGACTTGCAGAACTGAGTTGTACTGAGACGCGCCCCCAGCTAAAGGCGCTGACAGAGCTGATGTCGGGACAAACGTCGTTCGTCGGGGTGCGTAGGACATTGTGAGGGGTAGTTAGTGGGGTTGTGTAGTCAAAACGGAAGGCAAAGAGCGACAGAGACGCGTGGGATGTCTGCGGTTACACACACACACACACACACACGAGCGCGCGCGCGTCAGGATGAGCGGCATAAACGCGTAGAGCTTTGCGGCATGGTTGCTATGCAGTCACCGACCCGACACCTAACCCAGAGGTAAACAAAACACTTCAACTCTGCTTGTACGGATTTTGTCAAAAAAAGCCGAATAGAAAGCCACTTGCCAGCCCGCGCGATTTGCAACGACGGAAGGAAGTTGCGAAATTTACGAGAGAGGAAATTTGCAAAGAGAGCAGATCAGAGTGCTGAAGTGCTCGTGAGAATCTGTTTGGGTAAACTCGAGCTTGAGCGCGAGAGTTGGGCGAGACGGGATACAGAAGTAACGCAGCATTCCGACAGGGAGGGCGCTTTCTCCGTCTCCTTCCTGGGAGTTATCACTGTTTGAAAAGAGAGAGAGGTTGTGAAGGAGTGATTGTTTATTGGCCTGCAAATGGCGAGATTAGCTGCCGATCCTGCGGTATTGGCGGAGACTATCGATTCCAGTGAGTTACGACTGTCGCTGTTGGTTGCAGGAGATTGGAGTACTGACGGTTATGGAATAGTCAAACGGCGGTTCTTGCGGCAAAATAGGGAATTGGCAAGGTATGAGTGTACTGCGTTTATTTAGAATATACTGGACCGAGACTAAGCATACAAATAATTCTTTAGAGTCAACTCAAGTCATTCAACACGGATCAGCAATCTGGAATCGAAAATCGCCGAACTGCTAGCCGAGAACCTCGACCTCCGTCAGCAAGTTATTGCACTAGAGCAGAACCGTGAGCGATGGATAACACATCAATGCCAGGAAGTGCGCGAGCGGTTGCAGGCAAAAGTACGAGAGATGGAGGATACGCTTGAGTTGTTTGCCGCGACGGCCAAGAGCTCTATATATGCGACGCCACCAGAACGGGGCGCGACGATGGTCTCTACGATGCAGGCGGAGGAGCAGGCGACGGGGTACACGGATGCGTTTATGATGAATGTGTCGACGCGAAAGAAGCTATCGCCGAGAGATACAGCTCTGACAGAGGCCGATGAGCAGACTGCAGAGGATGAGAATGTGGAGGACATGCCATTGCCCGAGCCGGTGGAATTACACAGAACTACAGCTGAGGAGATGTTGCAGGAGGAGATACCAGAAATTCCGGAGAGCGATATGGTGTCGGAGCTGATATCGTCGTCGACAGTACCGGGAAGAGAGGTCAACAGATCGCGCAGAAAGCGAAGGGATAGCTTGCAGGAACTTGATATTATCAACATAGTCAAGGCGCAAAACACAAACTACAAGTCCAAGTTATCGGCAAACAAGTCGACGAGCGGAGCACAGCAATCGTCGACGATGGCGGAGGCAGATGTCGAAGAGTCCATAGAGCCAGAGGTAGTCACAGAACCTGCGCCGGCGGAGACAGAGATAATAGACCGAACCATCACGGCAGCATCAGATCAGGTTGAGGAGCTGAAGCCAGCAGCCAGGCGTGAGTCGAGAGCACGACGGCGGTCGTCTATGTTGATTGCGAGCACCAGTCCTCCACAACTCGCACCAGAGAAGCCGAGCGGCATTACTTCTCGATCGTCCCGCAGGAGTAGTATCATTGTCAGCCGTGACCCTCCGGCTTTTACGACTGATGACAGCATAGAGGACAAGACTTTAGGGTCGAGTGCTGAAGTCAATGCTAGGAGCTCAGAAAAAGCGGACGTCGTCGAGGCAGAGCCCAAGAAAGCGGAACCCAAAGTGGAAAGAAGAGTGCTGCAAAACAGTGAGTTCTGGCAATGACTTTGAAGTGAATTATTTTGCACTCTACTAACGTGTGAACTGTAGAAAATGTGAATCTGGAACCGATAACGACCAAGAGCACTGCTTTGAAGAAAATGAAGGATGACGCGCTGCCGCTCGCAGAGAAGGACAAACTTACAGGTGATGAAAGTGAAGTGATTGCAAAGAAATCAATCTCAGAAAGCAAAGTCCAGGAGGATGTTCAAAGAGAATCGGTTTCACCAGAAGGCGGACGAAGACCGAGTCGACGAGCGCGCAGTAGCATAAACTATGCTCTTCCCTCGCTTCGAGTGAAGATGAGACGAGAAACTGAGCAATTTCTTGACGCGGTAGTTATTACCTCTGAGCGCACGGTCGAGCGGAGAGATAGTGGGATTCCAGCTGATTTGGGCGCTTCTAAAGCAGGAGTGAGGGTTAAGGAGGAGAAGCAAGACGACGCGGTTGATATGAGCTCGATCCCGATTAGCGAGCCGCCCTCGCTGGAGCTGGGGAAGCGCAAGCGGAAAAGCTCGGTTTGGAGCGCGGCCGAGGTCGAGGAAAAGCCAAGTACGACAGCAAAGCCGTCAACGACGCGCCGGCGAGCCTCATCTGCGATGACGAGTAGTACGTTTGGTGGGGAAATCGAGCCCGAAAAGAAGGATAATTCCGAGGGGGACATTTACGCGTTTGTGGACGGCCAGATCGAGCATATACGGAAACCGCGAACGAGTTCAGACCGGAAAAGCATGGGGGATGCTGGTCGTCGCGCGAGTGTAGCTAGTAGCATGGCAAGCTCGGCGAAGGACAAGAGAGCAGACACCAGCGGGCTGGGGAGCAGTGGAGGGACGATTGGCGGGAAGCGACGGCGGAGTGTCGCGGTCTAGGTTAGGAGCCCAGAACGGGGTGTGGTCGATCGCGGAAGGAATGGATCAGCGACAGTGCGCATGATGTCCCTTGGGGATATGTATGATATGACTGCTGTCTACAGAAGGCTGATGGTAGGCGTAATGTTTTAATTCTTGCTAGTCATGGTTGAAGGCGTTGTCTTTTTATCTGAAGAATTTGTTGATTTGTACCGTTTACGTCTTGCTAGCCAGTGAATAATATACATATAGTACGTTACCATCCAGATCGGCCCCCTGCAGGTAATCAAGGTGTGGCGTCGTGAACGAGGAGAGGGGAGCGGGAGGAAGGTTAATAAACAGGGTCATATGACGACCGAAAAACAGCCCTGAGACATGTCTTATTGAGAATAATTAATTATTCGCTTACGGCGGTATAGGTAGGACAGCCGAGGGTTCGGCCGACGATCGGTGGTGGTTCAGGTAAATTGCCGGGGTTTCGTGAGTGAGCGGCATTGAGATTGCTGCTCACGACGCTCGCTCTGCTGTGCTCTGATTGAGAAATATGAGTGAATTGAATTGAATTCGAGATGTGTGAAGAGAGACGCGAGGTGGTGCGGGTAACGAACTTGAGGGGAAAAAAAGAAAGGTAGCCAGACGCGTGCTCGTCACGTCGAGAAGAAAAGTTGCAGTTGCAGTCCAGGTTTTTTTCTGTTGTTTACAGACCGTCGCGGATCACATCACTCTGCCGCAAAGCCGCAAACTGGCAAACACTGAATGAATGAAAGGAAGGAGAGAGATCAAAGCGCGCATTGACGGCATCAGCATCAGAGCATCGTCACCGTCACCTTGCATGGGTAGAGAGAGAAGCCGAGAGGCCCGCCCGCGGACGCAATAAAAAGCCACCGGTCTGATTTGGAAGCTATTGCTTTCTTGTTTTGCTGGTTTGGGATTATTTTGCAAAGTGAAAATTTTTTCATAGATAGTAGAATGCTTTTTCTTTTTCTTTCTATGGAGTATTTGTAGTATTGTTGAAGAGCAGACAGATGTTGGAGAGCAAAGACAAGTAACTACTCCAGCCATTTCCCGTTTTAATTCTCCATTTTTTTCTTTCTAAAAATATTCCCGTCGCAGCCCAGACTCAGCTCGCGTCATTTCGCAGGTTCGGTATGTAATGCCACTGCCACCGTCCATCCTGGAGGTACCAGAGCAGGTACGCACCTTCCACACGCTTCCAGTGCGTGCCAGCTCAGTAGCCCCTGTCGTACCTCTTGCCTCATTGGGACGAGGCTACCGCAAGTCTAAGCCGATTAGAGTTTATTATCCTCGCTGCGGGTTTTGGTAAGTTCCCGCTTTTGACGGCGACGCGTCGCGCCACGTGTGCTCGACGTGGGCGGTGGAACACTCGAAAAAAATGATGAAAAAATTGGAAAACATTCGAATTTGGATACACGTTTGGGGATTACTGGATCTTATTTGATATGAATGTGAGTAGATTAGATATTAGTTCACAATAACACGTAAGCTATATTCGAGTAGAGATATGTAAAATGAAAACTCTAGAGCAAAGCAATGAGGAAAAAAATTGAAAGTGCAGCAAATATATCATTAGTCATAAATATTTTTTAATACCCCCCAACAATCCCATAATACCCAAAAACAAATAATTCCCTTTTTTTTCTCTGTACAGAGTAGTGACGCCAGTTGCCCAAACATTACAAATATAAACAATGAAATCCCGTAGCAATAAGATATGAGTCAGAAAACTGCTTCAATGTCCTGTGGACGGACCTGGAGGTGACCCAGAATGATCTGCGTCTTGATCCAGAGAAACTTGTAAATGAATAGTTTTCTGGATGGAATGCAAGCTCGACAATAAACATATAGAATAGCAGAAGCAAGTCTTTCGCATAATAGATTCATCTTTCTCGTCAGAAGAAGGAAGGATGAACGGTGGGCGTTCAGGCAGATCGGAGCAAACACATACTGCAATGCAGGCTAGCCTGTGCGCAGCATGAAAGATTGAAAAAAAGCAGCAAAAACTTTTCTCGCATCAATCTAGCTAAACAGAGGCTGGCGGCCTCGGAAGAGATCGTGTTGGGCACTGGCGCGGCGACCGCGTTCGCCGTCGGAACTACTGCTCCGGGTGGATGATCTAGACTGCTGGCGGCCATAGTACCGATCTGAGGTCGACTCGTAAAAGGGCACGAGGTAGTTTGATGGCGGCGAGAGCTCGAGCTGGACCTGGATGGCGGACGACCGGCGGCCGGACTCGTTCACAGACGACTGCACGGGGAGGAGGGGAGGGGAGATCGGGGGCGACTGCGACTTTGCGCGTTCAAAGTCGAAGTGCTTGCAGGACTCTGAACAGTAGATTGATCCCGAGGGGCAGACCTTGTCGCAGACAAAGCAGTAGTCTTCGAGCCAACTTGTCATGGTGCAGGAGTAGAGAGATGAGGGAAGAGGGGAAGGCAGATCAAGAGAGAAGGGCGTGGATAGAGAGAAGAGAAGGAAGCGGGCAGAGGGGCGCGGGCTCGAAGTTATATGCTCGGCGCAGACGAAGCAGAGTCATCCAGGTTCGGTGCGGCGAGGCAACTCACAAAATCGGCTCTCCGCATTGCGACATCGGCATGCGCACTGCTTCGCGACGGTTATGCCTGAATGTTACCTCACATGCGAACCCTTTTCCCAGCGATCCTCTGTTTATGCGATGACCGCGCTCGCTGTCGTCATTAGCTGACTCTTGTTAGTATGCTGCTTCTCGACTCTCTATATTGTTTGTCACTTCTGACGGACTCGAACTGCCAAATGCCGCGATCATTGTCACAACTCCTGGTCCGGCGGTGCCATATCGCGTGCTTCCTCCGCGCAGGCATCGCAATGTCGTATCTACCTCAGCTCGTCTCTAGATGCCACTATCTCGTAAGCCGTCTTGCGGTGCAACGCCTCGTGATTGATCTCGATCTACAACACAGCAGTCTGCAAGCTATAGGAGCAATATGAGAAATTCGGTAACGAGAATACGTAAGACATATGCGGCGTACTGCTGATAGGCACTGCTCAGTCGGCGAGCTGCCTGCTGTTGTTGTATATTGATCTACCAGCAGTAGCCGCACCGCTTCTGTGCTATAACTTCATTTAATAGCAGGGTCCGGATGCCTTCTTTGGTACTCATGATGATTGTGGTTGATTGTCTGATGATTCTACTGGAGCGAGCTTTGGTGAATGGTATAGCTGGATCTAGGGTGAGGATGAGAATGAGGACATCCAGCTTCGTCGCTGCGCAGTACTCTCAATCCTCCACCAAAGCCGCCGAATGTGATTACAGTAAAACAACTTGCTGCGCCCATCTCCATGCAGCGCAGACTATATTACCGGCGTAAGGCGTATGGCGGCGTATGATAAGCTGTACGCAAGTCGGGAGGAGCAGCAGAGATAACAGCCTCCCGAGTGTTGTCGTCTTCAGTATTTCTTATTTTAGATATTGTGCTTCTAGAAGCTCGGGTTTTCTCAATTTGTATTGCCAGCTGGTGTGTATAGTAGCTCTAGCAGCTCGTATCTACTCATTTACTGCGCCAGTTGGCAGTCTGGTGCACTCTATGGTCCACTATGTACGTGCTATAAACATGGACCTGCCCCGGCACCGCCTGCCATATTCCAATCTGGTTCAAGGGTCTCAAACTTCCTGACACCGGTGCGCGGTTCCAGCCATCACCACAAGGTCCTCAAACAAATCTCAAACAAATCCTGGCAAGCAAAGAATAATCTTCAAGGTTCTCGTATTCTCGAGAAAAAAGTTGTCGACCGGGATCAGCTTTGGTCGTGAGTTTTGCGCAGGTCTTCGCGTTACCCGTTTTAGAGGGCCGTGCGCCGAATGCGATGAGCTGCGGTGATCGAGCCTCTGCGGATCCTCGGGAGTTCCGTCGAGAGAGGGATTATTATTAGCTGCTGTTTCACTGTTTTGTTGTCTTGTTTTGGCTGGTAATTGATGTTTTGAGGATGGAGTCGTAGCTGTATTCTGAGATGTCCAAGGGACCGCTGGAATGAACAGGTCGAGCAGTTCGATCGTCTGCAGCCAAAAAATATTTTTTTCTGTTTTTTTCTTGTTGCGGCGTCGAATTTTTTTTTTATTTGTTTTGATTCCAACCGCATTGCATCTGGACTTCCTCATCACAGCAAAGAACCACAGATCACAGTCGCAAGGAACCGCTGCAATTATCACCTCGCCCCAACACGCAAGAACTCACAAGGTGTCTTCTTGGAATCATGTACGTTTGCGTGTGATGTGAAGAACCCTCGAGGTCTTCCCTTTCTGGATGCGTCATCGAGCTTGCATTAGCGAGCTGCCACAGCCCCGAATCGAGAGTTCCTGAAGTTTCTGACTGCGGCCACGTGGATCAGCCACACGAACCCCTCGTTGATTACTTTATTACTCACAGACTCACAACCTGCTGTGAGCAGACTGAGGGGCTGCCTCCGCCCATCGCGAACATCTGACCTGGTTTTCCCCTCCCGGGCGCATGCTCGCGATCAGAGAAATGCTGGGCTCTGCTCGTTTCAGTCCTGTGACGTGTTTGTAGCTGAAATTGCAGGGTCCCTGTGCAATGAATTAAACAAATGCAGTAGACGTCTGCGCCCCTTCATATACTGCCCTGCAAACAGATATAGAAACAGATATAGAAACAAAATAGAAACATAAACACATCTATAATCTATGTAGACAAAACAACCATCCCATGTCGTGAGCAAATAACTGAACCTCGCACGCTACTCGTCATTCCTAACCAGGGAATTAAAGTGCGCAAAGTGAGCAAAATATTAAAACATCCGAGCCTATTGACTCTCCGCCTGCAGCAGCTTGCTCTCAACCTCTGCTTTCCATCCCTTCCGCCGCTGCCGCTCCTCGTAAACACCGCGGTTCCGGGTAACACGCTCGACAATCGTCTCGGTCGAGATCGAGCTGTACTGGTGATTCGCAATCTCCAGGTAAAGCCCGAGAGCCTTGGCTTCAGAGTATGGATCCGTCATTGCCGACGCGGTGAAGTCGGTCGGGCCGTGCATGACGCGGATGATGTCCCAGGGTAGAGACTCGATGAATTGCTTTGACGGCGAGTAAGGTGCCTGAAGCACGATGTGCGAGACGTATTTGCACTGCAGGACGCAGAGCGCGCGCTCAAAGAGGTTCATGATCGGGTAGTTGAGGCCCTTGAACTTGTTGACCGTGGCGTCGTCGTGGATGCCGACGACTATACCGACTTCCTCGCCGAGATCGTTGGCGATCGATTTCGACGCCTCAGACACCAGACGTAAGAACTCGATGTGTCCGGCAAAGAAGAGGTCGAATCCGCCATCGACGTAAATCATCTTGCGCTGCTTCTTCATGAACCCCTCGTCCGGCTTGATCAGCGTCGCAGGCAGGCTGTCGCCGGCGTAGATGTAGACGCCGTCGCGTGCACTGCGACCGTCTTCGCTGGTGGCGTATGTGTTGAATTTGTCGAGGTTTTGCCGTGTGATGAGCCCTGCCTCGTCTCCGGCGCCCTTCAGGTCCTGACTGGTGTGGCCTATGATGTGAGCAGCGCGCGACTCGACTTCTTTGCTTGCATCTTTGACGGTCTGGATATGGTGGTTCTTGGTACATAGCAGCATGCGGCCGACGAGGTCTGTCGTCGAGATATTTGGCGTCCGCTTGACGATCAGAAACCGCCCTGCCTCTTTGACCACGCGGTAGCAGTCCTCGCCATTAGCGTCGGTCGTGATATCGTCGCCATGGACGACGTAGAAACAACCCCACTCATCCATAACTGCAGGGTCTGTGACGTAAGGCGCGCCGGGCACGGCTTTTGTGGCCCATTTGCAGGCTTCGACGGCGAGAACGCGCTCGGGAAGGGTCATGACGACAGGGCCTTTGTTTTCGAGGATTTCCTCGTCGGAGTGGACGCCGACGTAGAGCGAGTTGCCCAGTTGGCGGGCTTGCAGCATTGCGCCGGCATGGCCTGTGGATATTTGTTAGCCTTATTGCAACAACTGATGGGAGACAATAGAACAAAGACACGATACCATGGTGAGCAAAGTCAAAGCAACCGTCGATCCATATCCGGTCCTTTGAGATTCCAGGCTTCTCGGAGACCATCTCTGCTACGGGCACTAGTTCCAGAAACTTATTTTTGGTCCGTCTGTGGGGAGAGCAGAAAGACACGGCAAAATAGAGATAGCAACGATGTGTCTGCTGGCCCCGGTCTGCCTTCGATGGCGCACTGCGTTTAGGCCGCGCGTGCGCCAAATCCCGGTGCCCTGCGCACGCTCGCCGCGCCAGACAGCCAGATGACTAAGCGCGCACATTTAACCGGCAGTCACGTGTGCGGACTTTCAACTACCCGTCCGGACGTCCGGCCGGGAGGGTGTGTCAGAAGCGCCGATATTGGATTACGATAATGCTTCGGCTCGTGTCAGCGGTGCAGGTGTGCATCCCGACCGCACGACGGGGCAGCAGCAGCAGACGGCCGGCAGGAGTGTCGTGGGGGGTGGTAGAGACTGCGGAGAGCGTCCGGCGGAGTTGCCGCTTGTAGAAGGAGAAGGCAGCGAGCGAGGCTGCGGTTAAAAACGAAGCGCAGGCTGCGATGGCGATGTTGCCGGGCTGGCGGCCGCTTCTCAACGCTGGAAGCGCATAGGAGAACAGCAGCCGGGAATATCGCGATAAAACAGATCTGGTTCGGACCCAACAAAACCTCACCGAAGCAGGCGTCTTCAGGCCCTGTTGCTCGTCGGACTGGCAGCAGCGGGCCGCTTTCGGGGTCGCAGAGTTGCCCCCCACATTTTCGTCCACACTGAAAATTACTCTTCTCAGTCCGAACTATGCACCCCACAAATCGTCACTCGCCGCCACAGAGACCTCTCCGCGTGGGATGGAACCTGTCTGCTCCTCCTACTCTTCCGATTTATCTTCTTCTTATTCGCGGTTTACTACCGTTGGATGACCCTGCATTTCTATTCTTTATTCATATCTCAGCACGTCGAGAGGCTGGTGAGAACACAGTTCCAGACTGCGTCCCTGATGGCTGCCTCTTGTTTTAGCCGACTCTCCCCGGCGCCCAGCACGCACCGCCTCTCGATTTCTTCTCTATCCTCCTCCCCCTCTTCTTCCTCCCCATCTTTCCCTCCTCTACTGTCGTCTTCCAGCCGTTTCCCTATCTCTAGCTCGCCTCCTCTATACCCGTCGGTGCTCGCATGCAGCTGTGACTGGCCCGCGATCGTGCTCGAGAACTCAGAGTCCAGGACCCACCCCTCCGACATCGACGGACCTAAGCCCGGCCAGTTCTCCGCCTGTGCACCGAGCATCATATTCCACGTATTATGCTCGTCCTCGCCTCTGTCTACACTTGCGAACGCGGACAAGTCCAGCGGTCCTTCGTCGAGCTGACTATGCTCGGCTGCCGAAGATGTCATGCTTCGTTTGCCGTCCGGGAACCTGGCGCCCGCGTCCAGAGACATGTTGTACGCAAAGTCCGGCACGGCGTGCGCTGCTGCTGGCTGCGGCGACTCGCTGTACTCATGCAGACTGCTGCCGTCTTCACCAACACTGCCTATTGACAGCGACGGGATAGTATGTGGCGACGGCGTTGTCTGCTGTTGGCTGTACAGCAAGTAGATGTCGCCCAGGCTACTGCTGTATTCCTGCGAGCTCTGTCCTACTATCTTTGCAGAAGGCGAGCTTGCCGTCGTTGACGACACACTCGACTGCCGCGAAGAAAGATCGTGGTAGGACGACGACGAGCTCGTTGGCGACGCAAAGCTTGTGTCTACAACAGAAAACTCGTCTCTGATGTGCTCTTGCTGACCGGGCATCATGCCCTTCGCATATTGCGGCACAGCAGAGTGCGACACCTTTGCGCGCTTCCGCTGAGAAGCATGTGCGACTGATGCTTCCCTCTTTGGCCTTTCCGGTACCGACGACGGCGTATTCGACTGCGCGGCTTCCTTGCTGGCAATCCCGCACTTCTCCTGCCAGGACAAATCGCCGGCCTTGCTTTCTGCCACCTTCTTACTCCACCGCAGCACATTGCCGGCCATGGCCATATAGCACCATTTACTTTCTTTCGTCATCGCATGCGCCATCCCGTCCAGCAATTCGATCGCGAGCTCTGCGTTCTCGCGCAGTTGCGGCTCGTACGATACAGCGTGGTCGTACTTCACCGACAGAGCTGCCAGGAAGCACCGCGCGTTTGCAAAGAACAGAACCGACCATATCGAGGGCCCGGTGAAGAGCAAGTCGACGGTGTCGTTCTTCAGCACTGTTGTCACTGCTTCTTGCGCCAAAGTCATCCGGAGTCCGTCTATGGAGGGGATTAATTTACGAAACAGCGCCTTGTCCTTCGACGACGTTGGCCGAAAGAACGGGGCATAGAACAGCAGCTTTATCGCGACCGCCGACAATGTGATTTGTCTTCTGGTGATGTCTGACAGTTTCGGGTTACCGGCTCGAGAAGCAAGCAGAAGCACTTTTTTCTCAACGGTCTGAAACTGCTCGACCGTCGCTCGTTCAAACCGGTTCGAGCTATAGCTGAATGGCAGCACAAACGCCAGCGTGTGTGCCTGATAGATGAGCTCGATGAAATATTCGTGTGGGGCGCCGAACGGGTCGTCGATATCGGTGACGTCGGGCATCTGCACTGCGACATCTTCGGGGTATATCATCACTGGGTATCCTTTACTTGCGCTCGTCCACTTGTCTTGCGTGAACAGGGCCCAGAACGTGCGCCGCTTTACTTCACGCAGCAGGGGCGAGTCGTTTCGATAGGATTTTTCTTGGTGCAGCCGGAGGTCAAAAGATATCCTGATTGCCTATTATATGAAGGTTAGTACAGTTTGACAACTCTTCCTCAATCACTCAAATTACTTACTTGTGCCAAATATAGTGAACATGATTCGACGTCTCCTAAATCCTTGCTCTGCAGCTCAAGCGCCATGTGCATTATCGCGAAAGCCTGACATTCTTGCAGCGACGGCTGGCACTTTGTGAAGAGGTCGGAAATTTTTATCTGCAGGACTCGTTTGATGTGATGAAAGTCTCGGGACGACACGACTGCGTTGGGAAGACGGCTTGCGACGCCGTACATTGCTGCCAAGAGCACCTGGCTCGGGACGATGGACTCCAAGTACGACCTTGGAACAATCGGGATGTACGGATGTACTCGAGAGTAGTAGAGGTCGAGCAGGTGATTTTCGACTTGCGGGTCGAGGCACAGTCTCCCTTCTTGCTCTGTTTCCAACGTCTCAGCCGAGTAGCTTTCTTTCTGCATAAGTTGGTGCAGGTGTAGCATTTCTGGAGCGTCAGGGTCGTCGGCGGCGAGGAATGACAGGCTTGAAAACTGGAAGCCGCCGTATGCCGAGGTATCGCCATCGAGGATGAACTTCTCTTGGTCGGATATTCTTGTTGTTTTGTTCAGAGGTTTCGTATCGGTTTCGCATTCGAAGCAGTCGATGCCGTGCTCGTAGCACCACACGCAAGTTCCGGACTGGTTTTGGCGCAGAGGTTGGCAGCGCATATGGCGCTTACGACAGGCAACACACGAGCGCTTTGTGGTCGCGCCCGAGCTAATTGACGCGGCTGCCGGGGTGCTGGCCGAGGTTGTTGACGTGGGCGACGAGAAGGAGTTGGATGGGGTCGGAGACGGACGTACATTGTCGACGCGATCCTGGAGTTTGTCGCGGTTCTGTTGCTGTAAGTCGTCGAGGATTTCGCTGGATTTTACTGACGTCATTGCAGGCTGGAAGCGGAGGGGCCGGACGGAGTATGAGTGGTCGACTCCGCAGCCCTCTTACAAAAGGTGTTCAATGGTGTATAGGTATGTTGTGGGTTCGAACAATGCGGGGATGAGAAGCAGCAGGGAAGCTGAAAAGCACATGGAGGCTGTGGTTTACAGTACTGCAGCTCAGCTTGACTCGGACTGAATGGCTGACAGTAGGGTTCGGGCTCTGCGCAGGCCTGCGGCGAACGCTCACATTTAAGCTTTTCGGACCAAACTCAACGCGTGTGGTCGTCGGAAAATTCTTCGGGCGTTGCTATTAATCTCGACTGATAAAAATTCTTGGAAAATCGATGCGATCTTGACCTCCGATGTCACTTGCCACTACAACAACCGCGGTGAAAATCTGGTCAGATGTGATAATGATGGGAGGGGGCGAGCGGGAGAAGGAAGGGTTAGACCTGTTCAGATTGGAGGGGTTGGCTGTTTATTTTGAGCCTGGACTGAGTACTACGTCAGAAGATGGTATTGGCTGCACACAAATATCACTCACGACTAAGACTGTCAAAATGGGACTAAGCTCCCCTCTCTGTTCTGTACCCGTCTAGCTTTGATAGCCGTTCAGCTGTAATGAAATCGCGACATAAAGCGAAAATTTTGCATCTCGGCACACGAGACATTCTGTTATATCAATTAGTTTTGGTTTACAATTCGCAAAATTGACCAGACCCTGCACTTTAGCAGTGTCCCGTGGGGAGCCGCCGACTGTATGCTAATTTGTTATCAGGGCAATTGCTATTTTCTTATTCGCGCGCTGCACCTAGGCTTGTCTCAGACCGGAGGGTGGGCAGATTTGTCTCCCTTAATCAAACGGGCCAGGTGATTAACATGAACTGATAGCGGTATTGATAGAAGGACTCATTGTTTCCCTTTCTGTGCACATTTTTTAATATATTTATGCTCTCAGGCTACAATAGCATTATTCTATCTTATTCAGGGTGTGAGATATAATATAACAAAGATCTCAGAGCTGAGTGGCGAAAGAAGCCGGCAAAGCGTTGTTGTGAGCGACATTCTGCTGCCGCAGCAGCCAGTAGCCAGACAGACGGCGAGCAGGCAGCGGCGGCTTGGACTGAGACGGGCAGTCAGAGGCGAATTAGACGCAAATCTGCGATTCAGAGTTTGCACTAAACCGCCGTTAGTGAGCCCGAAGGAACGCAACTATGTTATTCCGTAGTCTTTATAGTTTAATTCGTATAGTGTACTCCGGCTTCTGCGGATACTCAAGAGCACCCACCGGGTCATAATTTTTTTTCGATGGCCATGCCTTCTTTGTATTACCAAACTGTCAACTGATAACAATTAGAGATTCGAGGAGACTATCAGGCGCCGGCTGACAATTTTTAAGATTTATCCGGCAAGCTAGAGTCAACCAAGAGCACGCTTCTCGGTCGCACACCCTAGGCGTCGTCATTTGCACGTGAAAATAATGATATAAGCTGCTTCCAGGACCATGGCGCCCCCCTCTGTCCAGCACAAGCGAACAAAGAAGACACGCGCGTGCGACCAATGCCGCAAAGCGCGTACAAGGTAAGCATCTCGAGCACGATCGTGTCTTCTCATCTTCCAGGCGCGTGTGTAGCTGGTGCGGGGACAACTCAACGTCGGCGGGAAGGCACAAATTTTCGCCGTATTCTAACTCGAGCTCGACAGATGCGAAGATCCACCCGCTGCCTCGTCATCCCCAATCTCGTCGTCGAGCAAGTGCTGGCGATGTTCGAAGCTGAACCGCGACTGCACTTTTGTCCTGCCGGTCGTGGAAACGCGAGGAGTGTCGTCGTATCTCCGAACAGGGCAGGATGATCAGTCGAATCCGAGCGAGGACTACCTACAGATTTTCCAAACCACGTTCCTGCCCTGCTGTCCAATCGTCTCGCCTATGTGGTTCAACTCGTCTGTGCATTCGTCGCGAGTGTTTCTGACGTGCAGCATGCGATATATCGGTGCGCTGCTGGCCGGCGCACCGGAATCCGATCTCGAAGAAGTACGACGATCGATATACTCCTACATCGCGACAAAGTCCCCCATGACCGCCCCCATCCCGCAAAACGTACAGGCGCTCGCGCTGCTTGCGTTGAGGATAGAAGACCACTCTTCTGGGATATGGCATGTGACTGCGGTGCGAATGGCGACAGCGCTCGGCTGGAATCGAGCAGCTGGAAGGGACGATCCGCGGGACATGCAGGGTGACGACCAGGGCGAGGACCGGTCAATGACCGAGTACCTGTGGTGGACACTTGTCTGTGAAGATATTTGGCTCTATGTGTTTTCAGGTTCGCCGACCGTGGTTGCGGCAGGAGACCATAGGATTAGGAGACCGAAAGCGCCAGAGTTCATGCGCGACTTGATTGCGTTGTCGGATATCGCTAGGTTGCTGTTACGGCCGAGATCGGTGGATGTGCCGGCTGGATATACTGCTGACGATATGTTGGAGGAATGGGAGGCTGAGCATCCGGATATCGCGAGCAGTAGCGCGCCTGATCTCAACCCAGGAAATCTTCCTAAGCGTCATCAGAAGCATCACCCGCAGCAGCGAGACGACTTTCTGTCGCCTTCGCTTGGCGAATTCACTACTGCGTCCTTGCATTCGACTTCGACGACCTCACAGCAAACACAAACTGAAGGCCCGATAAAACTCAACACGACCTTGACCCCGACAACAATCATCCAGCTCCTCTACGCCGCCGTAGTCGGCCTCTTCGTTCTGGGAAAAGTGACAAACGGCTCTTTCGACCGCATCTCGGTCACCGAGCACCCGCTGCGCCATCCCACCATCTACAAAGCCTGCCTCGTCGCAGTGAAATTCAAAAACACCGCCTTTGCGCGCTGGCGCTGTCTCACAAGACTGGCCGACATCATCGGCGCAGCGCTCTACGTTATCGGCGACGACTACGGCCACCGCTGGGCGAGAGACCGCGGGTTCGGGGCCGAGAACGTGCAGAGCTTGGAGGATCTGTGGGATTGGTGGGCGGTGGTGGATAAAGCTCAGAGCTCAGCGTCTTCTGCTGATTCTTTGTCTTCGAACTCCGCGGCGCAGAATGAGAACGGTTACGGTGAATAGTTGGTCCAATTTGGGCGATTTCGTCTGTTTGTATTTATTGGGTTATCGGGATATTCTCGGGTGTTTTTGTCGTTAGTTGTCGTTCTGGGAGGTTTTCTGGTTTTTATGGTGTCCTTTGCGCATCGAGCAGGCTCGAATTTGCCAATACAAGTAATTGTCTCCAGATCTTATTGATTATCATTGCAAAACTCCCACTTTCTTGTCATGATCACAATGGCGCTCTGCGCTGGTTTCGCATGATCGTGAGATTAAAAGTTTTGTGGCGCATCTTTTGTTCCTATCAACCATTTTCAGAGAATTGCTTGTTATCGCAATTTCAACTCCGAAAGCATAGAGCTCTCGACCGAGTCAGTAGCTCGGATTGTCATCACACTCTCAAATCTCCGCTACGCTCAATCAGCCCTCCAGTAGAACCTCCGAGCGCGGTGCGTGCAAGCACAGACGGCTGTCGGCGACTGCAGACTCCCGCATGCCGAGGCAAGGCTTGGCCGATGATCGGTCGGTCGTCGTGTTGCGCTCAGCTCCGCCAATTGCGTCAGGACCGTTATAACTCGTTCTCCTCCTCTGCTGCGACTACCGCCATTCGGTGATATCTTCCCATTGCTTTAATTGCGGGCTGATGCCAAACGAAAGGGTCCGGAGACGCAGCATATGGCTGTTAGAGTTTGTGCCTGCTTTACCGGACCTGAAACCGAGATTCAAAGGCACTCTCATGACTAATATTCATGATAAAATTAGTAGTCAGATATGAAGTAATCAACCAATTGCAGATTAGTAAGCAGAAAGATGGGGTAAGGGACACCCGCAAATCACTATGTAGACTCCGTGCTCTGTGCACCGGTTTAGTGAGATTAGAGGGTGTGGGAGAGCGCGGCTAACCCATCATCGCGCCGCCATCCGCAGAAAGCGCAGATTACGTTGACCAGCACATATTGTAGAATAGGCCTCTCTGACCTACTTTGATCATTCTCTCGGTCTCACACGACAGGTAGACTGAGCAGAGAAGTCCTCTACTTCCAGTTCCTGCTATCACAATGGCGGACGACTCGTCTCCAGCAGAGACTCCGGCGGGACAGAAAGACGCACCGTCGACCCAGCCTCCCGCTTCCCCATCTTCCCGATCTCGATTTTCAGTGTCCTCGCTTTCGCCGGCCCGGTCTAGCAGCCACAAGTCCTCATCCGGATCATACAAATCTCACGCGAGCAAAGCAGCAAACACAGGCCGCCTCAGCGTCTCGTCGCTCTCGCAGCATCTACCCCGCCTCTCAAGTAAGAGCGGCCGCTCATCTGACGATGCCACGGTCAGCGAAGACGCCATCGCGGACGACGACGGCGGCAACGAATCCGGAGACGACGACGATGACGTGCCTGGATTGATGGCGCAGACTCTCGGAGTGCCTGGTGGTCTTCGAACGTTCAGAGAGCGACGCGGTCGCCGGTCCGGCGCATCGAGCCATGCGCGGTCGTCATCTGTCGATGTAGCGCAGGCAACGGGCCTGGGAACTTCGGTGTTTTCTTTCATTTCTGCTGCTTCGAAAGCCAGGTTCAGTCGGATGGCTTCTGGCGGTGACGACGATGACCACGAGACCGAGGAGCCGGAGCTCGACGATGACGACTACGATGACGACGAGGAAATGGATGACGCTGACGATGAAGCCGAGGGCGACGATTTAAGCCCGGCTGACAGCGAGAGCAACGTCTCAATTACTGTGACTGATCATGATACCAGTAGTGCGCCAAAAGAGCGCAAAGATAAAGATAGCAGCATGCAGGGCTCGCGCAACCAGCAACCGCTGGCCTCTTCGTTTCTTATGAACAGAGCTTCAGCGAATCTGCGAGCCGACGATGACGGATCCCGCACATTCCCAACGCTGGAGCCGATCAAATCTGTCGGGTCGCTGACGACGCTTACCGGAGTCAAGACCGAGACGTCGGCGCATGAAGACGAAAGTTTGGAGAGCTCGGCATCGCTGCATTCTGTTGACTCGCTGCACTCGAGTGCGCTGGCTGAGAAGCTCATGACTGTATTCGGATATAAGAAGAAAGAAGAGGTTCTTCATGGTGAGTTGTGCTGCATAGAGAACTTTAGGGAAATGGCAGAAAGACTGACATCCTTTTAGAATTTCCCTGCTATCTGCTCAAGAGTATCTTGCTTCAAGGACATATGTTTATCACAGCAAAGCACATTGCATTCTTTGCATACATTCCTCAAAAGACTGTAAGCGATCTCTATGATATCTCTCTCCTGATAAGCTCAGCAACTAATTTGATATCAGCACACAACTTTCAAATCTGGCACTTTGAGCCGCAAACTTCACTCGCCTGGCCGCTATTCTCGCTTCTGGTGTGTCGTCAAGGATAACGTCTTCTCTTACTTCAACTCCGCGTCCGAGCTCTACTTCCCAGTCGGCAGTATTGATCTCCGCTACGCACTCTCGGTTGAGCTCTCGAAGCCAAATTTGACACTCAAGGAAGCGGGTGCCGATCCAGTCTCGTTCACCATCGTCACGCAGACCAAGAAATACCATTTCCGCGCCGACTCGTTTGTGAGTGCCCAAGAATGGGTCAGCTCGATCCAGCAAGCGATTTTCCGGGCGCAGAATGAGGGCGACTCGGTCAAGATTGTGATTCCGTCTGAGAATGTGCTGGATCTCGAGGAGAGCCCGTTCATGGAGTTTGCGGATACAATTAAGATCAAGGTTGTCGACGTTGACGGAGGAGAAATGTACGCGATCGATGACTACTTTTTCACCTTCTTTCACGATGGCGAAGAAGCGTTGAAGGCTTTGAGAGAGAATGTTATGCCTTATCAGCAGCCGACGGGCGCCTCTGCTTTGGCCGCCTCAAGCGATGGCGACGACGACAGTGATAACGAGAAGATGGCGGCCTCTGTACTTCTTGATCGCCATCCTCGTGAATCGATTTTGGATACTACTGAGCAGCGCCACGATCACCATCGCCGGCTATCTGGCGGCCATCTCTCGCACGTCGACAGTCTCCGGTCGCGCTCGCCGAGAAGTACATCGCGACTTCTGTCTCTTCGAGGACGGTCACCCGATCCTTCTAGCTCGTCGCTCTCGGTCGACTCTGGTGTCGGCCTCCCCCATCGGAACTCGAGTCCGCTGCGCGTCGTAAGTAAGATGCGCAATCTCGTGCACTCCTCATCTGTCATTTCGTTGCCGCATCCGCCTGCCGAACCCGTGTCCGCGCCGGCATCCTTGCCGCCTTCGCCTGCTGAAGAGGTCAACTCGTCGACAGACACGTCGGAGGATATCGTCGACGTTGGCTCTGCGTCTGCGCAGTCTTCGCCGCCATTTGACCCCGCGACGGGTAGCAAGGCCGCTAAGAAGCCCGGAAATGAAGGGTGGTCGGATTGGGTGAAGAAAGGAGGCCGGAAGGTGCAGAGCATGATTCCGAACGTGATTCCAAACGTGATTCCGAACCCGTCGGGATATGTCGACAAAGTTACCGAGATGTGGGTCGGAAACTCAAAGCATTTCGACGGGCACGGAGGAGCGATGCTCGAAGGAGATAGCATGAACATCTCGAAAGACGAGGCAACTGCGAACATCGAGGCCGAGAAAGAGAGTGCGGATCGGTTTAGAGCGCACTTTGCGCTTCCGGAGGATGAGAAGCTGATTGCTAGTTTTTACGGATATCTGCATCGTGCGATTCCGTTGTACGGAAAGCTGTACTTGGGATCTGAGCATTTTTGCTTCAGAAGCTTGCTTCCTGGGACAAAGACTAAGGTAGGAGTGCTTTTTTATCTTTAGTTTTACCAAAGTTATACTAACTTATTTAGATGATTCTTCCACACTCGGACATTGAGAATGTGGAGAAGAAGCAAGGTTTCCGATTTGGATATGCTGGACTTGTGGTTATAATTCATGGCCACGAGGAAGTGTTTTTTGAATTCCGATCGTCTGATAATCGCGATGACTGTGCGGTGACTTTACTGCGGCAGCTTGATGCGCTCCGGAATAAAGCGCCGGAGGATGACAAGCCAGAGTCGAAGATGACAAAGGAGGAAGCAGCGCTGATGAGGGCGCAGAGACACTCAAAGGGAAAGTTGCCTCCTGTACCAACCCAAGAGCTGATTGAAGATGGCACACCGGTGATATTTGAGTCTACCTCTCCTGAAGAAAGCATGATGATTGCGAAGCCGGCCAAGAAGCTCAAGTTTGTGTGTTTGACGATTGGATCGCGAGGAGATGTTCAGCCGTACATTGCTTTGGCGAAGGGATTGATAAACGAGGGTCACGATTGCACTATTGCTACACACGATGAATTCAAAGACTGGGTCGAGGGGTACGGCATTGGGTTCAAATCTGTCGCTGGAAATCCTGCGGAGCTGATGCGATTGGGAGTCGAGCACGGCATGTTTACGTACTCGTTCTTGAGAGAAGCCGCGTCGAGTTTCAGAGGCTGGATCAAGGAGCTCTTGGAGACATCCTGGGTGGCGTGTCAAGATGCAGATGTACTGATTGAGTCGCCGTCAGCGATGGCTGGAATTCATATCGCGGAAGCGTTGCAGATCCCGTATTTCAGAGCGTTCACGATGCCGTGGACTAGAACTCGGGCGTACCCGCACGCGTTTGCGGTGCCAGACCAGAAAATGGGAGGATCGTACAATTATCTGACGTATGTGATGTTTGATAACGTGTTTTGGAAGGGCATCTCGGGACAGGTGAATAAGTGGCGGACAGAGACGCTGAATCTCGGGCGCACGAATCTGGATAAGATGCAAGCGCAGCGCGTGCCGTTTCTGTACAACTTTTCGCCTACTGTTGTTCCGCCGCCGCTCGATTTCCCCGACTGGATCAAAGTGACTGGATACTGGTTCTTGGATGAGGGCGGTAGCAAGTACGAGCCTGATCCGGCGTTGGTTGCGTTTATGGAGAAGGCGCGAACGGACGGCAAGAAGCTTGTGTACGTTGGCTTTGGTTCGATTGTTGTCGCGCAGCCGAAGGAGCTTACGCGCGCGGTGGTGGAATCGGTGCTGCAGTCAGATGTGCGCTGCATCCTGTCAAAGGGATGGTCAGATCGACTGAACTCTGCTAATGCACACGAGCCCGAGGTGCCGCTTCCGCCGGAAGTGTTCCAGATCAAGGCTGCACCGCACGATTGGCTATTCCCGCAGATCGATGCCGCAGTGCATCACGGAGGAGCGGGATCTACGGGCGCCAGTTTGCGCGCTGGCCTGCCGACTGTGATCAAGCCGTTCTTTGGCGACCAGTTTTTCTACGCGGGCCGGGTCGAGGATCTGGGTGCGGGAATCCATCTGAAGAAGCTTACGGTGCGGCATTTCGCAAAGGCGCTGTGGGAAGCGACTCACAACGAGCGGATAGTTGCAAAGGCGAGGTTGGTGGGCGAGCACATTCGGGCGGAGAATGGCGTCAAGACCGCGATTAAGACGATTTATCGGGATATGGAGTACGCGCGGTCGATTGTACAGAAGAGCGAGTCCGACAAGGACGAGAGCTGGTACTTTGTCGAGAAGGGATCGGGAGCGCGACACAGGGGCAGCGGAACGAAGACGCACGCGCAATCGGAGAAAGATAAGACAACAAAGAAGGTGATGGGAGGTAGCGCGCACGCGAGCGACGTGGCAGCAGGGGACGACGTTAATTAGCTGGGTGGGAGGATGTGAACGGGACTCGGGGATTTGCGGTCCCTGCGGTGCGTAGTTTTAGGCTCGCGGTTGGGATGAAAGCGCGATAAGGCGCAAGGCACACACGGTAGGCCCCACTCCACTCCAGTCCAGTGCCCGGGTGGACGAGCTCTAAATCGAGGAAGACAAGACTTGTAATATTTAGTTTTTTTAAACTGTTTTTATTATTATTATGATTATTCCTTTCTCGATCATAAAGGTATGTGCCAGCTGGCGACGATAGATGAATCCGGGACAGAGATGGCGTAAACAAAGGCCCTAGTGAAGGTGTGATAATAGGAGACTATGAAAGTCTCCGAGGACGGGTGTCTGGTCAGCCGATGGTGTTATCGTTGACTCTTACATCGTTTTCGGTGGAGACGACCTGGAGCGGTCTGCTCACATTTCTGGAACGGGACGGGACTGGCAAACGCTGAGTTTCACTTTGTTTACTGCTGCTGCAACGGCGACGTGACTTTTGGGGATGGCTGATTTCACCATCATTGACGTCGTCCTGGGGCGCGATTGCTCGATTCGCAGACTGCTTAATTGCTCAATTGCCCAGATCCCGCGAGCAGCCACTGCCAATCCAGCCCAGTCTGTCTGCGATCAATTGCTTCTCACGGCCCCGAGCTGCATCCAGGCCGCAGCGTGCCGGTCGGCTGCGCGCGGTCAGCTGGCAGCCTGAATTGGGCGTTGGGAGAGCGATGGGGAGACCGAGAAGGGAAAGGGCTGAGCCACTCTGACGTCAATGACTCATGTTTACAGGGCGGGCGGGCTCGCGGGGCTGGTGGCTGGTGGCTGGGCCGGTGGCTGGTGCGGGCCGTCGTGTGATCTCCCAGCGGCGGAGTCGAGCCAGGCTCCGATCCCGTCCTCGATCGAGCACGCAATGGAAAGCGACCGAAACCGCTTCTCCTCCCCGAATATATATAGAGGCTCGCGTGCCCTCCTCTCCTTCTCTTCTTCCTTCTCACCAGACAGGCTTCCACATCTCTCTTCAATTGACTCAATTGGACTCAATCGCTTCTCTACTGCTCTTTAGCGCTCGCATCTTCTCTCTCCCATCGCTATCATGACCCGCACCATCCGCTCCAACTCTCTGCCCCACGAGGACGCCGCCCTCCCGCGCCTCTTTGGCAAGTCCACCCCCGGCTACTCGTCTCCCTACAAGACGAAGAAGAACGGCGCCGGCAAGGGCAATTGGTAAGTCTTCTTCCTCTTATCTCCTGGTCGCTTGGGAGGATTGTGGCGTTCAGAACTCCCAACGGCCGCCGCACACCAGCATGCAGCTGCTAACCATCTGCTATCGACAGGGGCCGCGAAGGCGACGAGCTCGCTGACGTTGAGGACGAATACAACTTCCAACCTTCTATACAACGGCGTCGGTCCAACTCGAACGGAGGCAACGGCTCATTCAAGAAGCCGTCCTTCGAGCGAGACCCGATCTTCGACGAGGCCGTCGACGAGATCGAGGACTGATCCCGCATCTCTACCTCCTATGCAGTTCACCGGTGTAGTTTGGTAGCTGTATATACTCGGTGACCTTGTGTAGATATTCATAAAGTCGGCATTTGTTGCGCGGCCGCATATCTCTTCACTTGCGGACCACTATTTGTTTATTTGTTTTATCGTTGCTATGCTTCATATGGCGTTCATGCCGACAGCTCAAGGGCGTACAAGTGTTATTATGATTAAAGGCGTATTGGAAATTGGACATCATCGGAGTATCGTGTGGGCAGGTCAATTGACCTGAACCCATCGCAATGTTTTTATAATTATTAGTATAGCAACTGAAATGCAACATCAATCTCACAACAAGAATGATTCCTAGGCGAGAATAGGCAATTAAGCACGTGCGGGCCCTGGTATGTTCCATCCACGTGGTCATTTCGTTCCAGGGAGTTTCAAGACTCGATGTGTTGGGAGAAGGCGGGTGCTGTTACTTGAAAACCCCTCAAGACACGTAAACAATCGATCGAATGCCGCTTCTGCCGCTTCCAAACTTGACTCCCGATCGCCTCGGGGAATTAATAAACAAACTCAATTGCTTGGTTCCTCGATCAGATAACTCTTTTGCTCTATTCAATCGGCTTGGTGGCTATTTAGCTGGTCTTTCGGGCAACTGACTGGGGTTGTTAACCGAGGACTTCATGGAAGCTGTACCAATCTAAAGATGAGCAGACTCACGATCTGCTTCAGTAGTGAACACAGCTGTTTTAGGGCTGATACACGATCAACTATGTGATATGTGAATTCCCGGCCGATGCACGATCAACCACACGTCACCGAGAATGCGAATGCGAGATGCCGAGAAACTGAGCATTGCTGCTGCTGATGACCGGGGCAATCAACGAGCTGTTTTGGGTCAGATGACTTCACAGCAGCGAGCAACGTTCGGCTTCGTGTTTATTTCTCGGACCGTGTCTTTCTCTGGTCTGTTCCCCTCTTTTGTATTTGATATCTTACATAATCTGTTGGGAAGCGATAATTATATTATTCGATCGAGAGTATTCCCGTTTACGGAAGTGATATTGGCAGATGTAGAAAACAGCTGACATCTCGTCTCTCTAAAACAGCATTCTCTGCCAATTCAAGGTCATCCGTCAGTATATCTGTCGGTATAAAGAGTGCAGACACACGCAAGCGCAATAGTTAGTCGAGATATACATCAACAATACAGCAACAGCAGATAACAGGAGAACGCCGAGCAGAACCATCGCTGCTCGGCCAGACTCGCGGGCCCTAGCTCTCAGGCCCGCCGGCTGACACCAAGAGAAGAAGCGAGATGACAATTGCAGCCGCTAGATAGTCGTAGTCAGGGCAGCAGCAGAGATCCATGCGCGTCAGCAGGCGCTGAATTGCAGTCCGGATGATTGGCGGCACAAACCAGTGTCTTTGAATTGCCTGCTGGGCCATTGGGTGTAGAGATCTGTCACGTGCCCGAGGAGCGATATCGGCACCAAAACAGCTGCTTACAAACGCATCCCGCTGACAAACACCCGGACAGCCTTGTTTAAGGTTTTTTCTTCTCCTCTGCTGGCGCTTTTCACTGTTCTTGATTTCCAGATTATATTTTGCCCACCTTCCCCATCTCCGCTTCCTCACACACTCTGCTTCCTTCTTCTCGCTGCATACTTGTCTCATACTCATAAAAGTCTTTGCGTTTATCTTACTGGTTCATTCGACAACTTCCCTCATCTCAAAATGCCTACCCTGCTCCTCACCCACCCCTCCCTGGCATCAGACCCCCAGCGGGTATCCCAGATTACCGCTGAAATGGTCCAGCCCGTGTCCCATCAGATGATTGACCGTCTCGCCTCGGAGGCCGTCTCTCTCCCAAAGGCGCATTACACCGGTATCCGCGTCGCTCCGTCCGGCACAAAGCTACCGACTGCCGTGGTGGCACTCCTCGCAGATGCGATTATACCTGGTGGCAAGGTCGAAGGCGTTTCTTCTTCCCAGAACATGGACGCGATCATGAATGGATTTCTGGTGTCTGGTAGCGATGAAAACTCCGTTTGGACCAAACCCGAGCCTCAGAAAGTCGTTCTGCTCAAGCGGAGAAGTCCCGCGGAGAAAACTGCAAATGGAGCCGTCAGTCTCTTTAGCAGGCCAAACGCATCACTAGCATCCCACAAAACCCCCGACTCGTCCGTCTCATCACCCGCTCTATCTGCCGCTTCAACAACTTCGTCCTCTGCATCCTCGATCGCCTCTCCCAAGAGAGCTGCTGCCGAGCCATGGACCGTCGACGTTGACGACGGATTCTCATTTAACGACGTGGACGACGACGACGACATCATCGACGAAGACGCGCTGCTAGACGGCGACCTCCCCGACACCATCAAGATCCCCACCGCCTGTCAACCATCCGGCAAGCGACGCCGGAAAGCGTGCAAGGACTGCACTTGCGGCCTGAAAGAACTTGAGCTTCAAGAAGAGGAAAGACGGCGGCAGAACCAAGCCAATGTTGTACAGCTTTCCTTCGACGACACTGCCGAGATCGACTTCACTGTTCCCGGAAAGACTGGCTCATGTGGAAACTGCTCTCTCGGTGACGCTTTTCGGTGCGATGGATGCCCCTACCTCGGACTTCCTCCGTTCAAGGAGGGTGAGATGGTCAGCATCGATGCTCTTGGCAACGACTTTTGATCGTCGCAACCTTCATCTCCATCCTTTCTTCCTTTATCGTTTCCATTCATGTTGTCATTGCCTAAACATTATCACGAGCAGGCTGGAAAAGTTTTATTGTCTTGTGCACATCCATGTCACTTTTTCCTCATTTCTTTCATACGGTTTTTCTCATTCGGCTACAGCGAGGCGGTGTACTTCAGTTCCATCATTGCTCTAATTATTTTTTGATTTGCTTTTTGTAATATCTTGGATACTCCGAATTATTATAATTTTTCTTTTCTTCTATAACTGTTAATAACGCTACGCTTCTTTTTGCACAGTATTTCTGTTTGTCAACTTTATTAGTTTTATATGATCTGGGGTTAATCGTTGTTGAGGTTGGATTTTAGGGGCAGGTGCCTTTGTTTTTCTTATTGTATCATTAATGTATAAAAACTTGAAATACACAATACATCAAAGACGAATTAAAGCTGTGCAGACTCTAGTCATATTCTGACAGCTTCGTACTGCAGTAGTGGCGGTCGTTCCGCAGAAAAAATGAATTATAGTGGTTGATTGTCCCCTTCGCAGAGTGTCAAGACTACCAAATCATACAGCCCGGTCTTGGTATCGAATACCAATCCACTACAAAACCTACCAGTTGCGGTATTCTTCTTGCAGGAAGCTGTGCAGATGCAGACGCAGATGCAGATTCTGTTTCCGGACCTGAATTCACGTGTAGTGAGCGCCTCCTGTCAATTATTTTTAACTTCAATCGACGCGCCGCTCAATATCAACCGCCTCTCGAGTCCTGGCCTATGAAGCTCACGATAAGCAGGACAATAACAAACCCCGGCTATTGTTGTGTATTCCGCAAGCCTCTCGGTTATAGCTCGTTTCTTGCATTTTATTCTCGCAGTCTTTGTTTTTTGTTTGTTTGGTTCCTTGGAAAGGTCTTTACGCGCGCGTACCAGTCCGTCTAGATATTCGGCACAATGGACTTTCTCAAGTCGACAATCGCATCAATCGCTGCAAAAGCAAACTCAGCATTCCCGTATACCCTGGGAGAGAAAATTGAGTTCCAGAATGATACTATATGGAATCTTTATCATGCTACGCGTCGTGTAAGTTGTTTTTGTTGCTTAGGCGGTCTTGCAGGGGTCTTCTTCATATATCGGGTCTCTTACATGGCCGTGTGGAGATTTGTATCTTGACCGCGACGCGAGTGTGATGCTACGCGGGGATTGATACATGCATAAGCTATGACGATGCGGGTACTAATAGTCATGTATAGAGCGATAGTCAGGCGTGCTGCGTGTTCGAGTTTGACATCAACACCCAGCGAAGCCGGCTACCACTTGCGCGGAACGCGATGAAAAAGCTGCGCACCATGCGGTTCCCGGGTATTATCAAAGTGCTTGATACATACGAGGTCAGTGAGAGCTTTTAAAAATGCGTGTGAGTGCCGTACTGAGACTATTATAGAGCGAGCAATCGATTCTGATTGCTACCGAGTCTGTTGTTCCCCTCGACGTCGTGCTTCAGAACCGAGAACTTATGAACGGCGAGACAATCAAATGGGGTCTCTACCAGGTTGCAGTAAGTCACGTCTGTTTTTGAACCGGTAAGTAAACGCAGCGTGCTCACCATCCTCTCCAGAACACCGTGAAATTCATCAACGTCGACGCGTCCTCGATCCACGGAAATATCCGGCAATCGTCGATATTCATCTCTGATAGCGGCGAGTGGAAACTTTCAGGCTTTGAGCTTCTGACGTCTACGAAGGAAGACGAACCTGTGATTTATACTTTTGGTGGGCTTGTTCCTGATTCTCGGCGGTTCGCGGCGCCGGAGGTTAATAAAGGCGGATGGGAAATTTTGAAAAAGTCAGTGCTGAGCTCTGTCCTTATATATATTTAACAATACTCTGACCGTGCATTATTATTTAGACAACCTCACCACCTGGTCGACTCTTATCTCTTTGGCGTCTTGATCTTTGAGATTTTCAATGGCCGATTCTCAACTGCAGATCAGCTACATTCATCTACTCGAAAGCAGATTCCCGCCGAGCTTTTTGGCGCCTTCAAGAAGCTAGTACAAGCCAATCCCCGGCAGCGCGCAAGCGTCAAGCAGCTCATCGATGTAGGAAAGGAAGACAGCAAAGTCACCCCCGGCGGTGGCTTCTTCAGAACAGACATGATCCACCTATCCGAGAACGTCGACAACCTGAACGTGCAGAACGAGTCCGAGCGCGACGCGTTCGTGCGAGATTTCAACCGCGTCAAGTCTAAGTTCCCGCCAAACTACCTGCGATTGAAGGTTTTGCCGCAGATTGTCAGTTGCATCGAGTTTGGAAGCGGCGGACCGAAGCTGTTTCTGCTGATGCTCGATATCGCGCAAAATATGGAGCAGGAAGAGTTTCAGACCACTGTCACGCCGACTATTGTCAAGCTTTATTCCTCACCTGATCGGACTGTTCGAATCGCGCTTCTTGAAAATCTTCCAAAGTACATCGAGAAGGTGCCAAACAAGATTATAAACGACAAGATCTTTCCTGAAGTGCTGACCGGATTCTCCGACCTTGCGCCGGCGATCAGAGAGCAGACCGTGAAGTCGGTGCTGATTTTCGTGCCTAAGCTTTCCGATCGAAATATCAACAACGATCTCCTGCGAAGTCTGGCTCGAACACAGAACGACGAGCAACCCGGAATCAGAACAAATACCACGGTCTGCCTAGGAAAAATTGCGCATAATCTCGGTCCTCATACGCGGTCGCGCGTGTTGACTACGGCATTCACAAGGTCTCTCAAGGATCCCTTTGTGCATGCTCGCAACGCTGCTCTGATGGCGTTGGCGGTCACGGTCGATATCTTCACTCCTGAGGACTGCTGTTTCAAACTTCTCCCGGCAATTTGCCCCAGTTTGCTGGACAAGGAGAAGATCGTGCGGACACAGGCACACAAGACGCTCGAAATCTATCTTGGAAAGGTCAACAGCCACGCGGCGGCGATGCCGGACGCGGGCTCGACTCAACCGCTGTCTTCGGCGCCGAACTCGGGCGCGGCGACACCAAAGCCGTCGGATCAGACAGAAGGCGCTGAGACTACTAGCGAGTCTTCCTGGGGTGGCTGGGGAGCGATTAACGGTCTCGCCAAGCGCTTGGTAAACGACGAGACCGGCGAGCCAGATCATGGAGTGCCTCTTCCCCGAGCCTCAAGCGAGTCTTCTGGTTCTGGACATGTCAAGAACGGAAGTGGACTGCTCAGTCCCGGCTCATCCGTCACTCGTCCGTCTTCGTCTGCTTCCTCGCTCGGGTTTGGAAGCTCGAGTGCTAAATTCGAGCCGGAAGAGGCAGATGACGACGATGACTTTGGATGGGGCGACCTGGACGGTGACCACTCGACGACCAACGGCAAGGCGGCCGACAAGGCAGCGGATGATGAAGACGATGACTGGGCCAGCTTCGATACTGTGAAGCCCGCGCGCACCATCACCGCATCGAAGCCAGCGCCAGCTAAAGCTGCGCCAGCTCGGACTGTCGCAGCGTCGACTGCTTCTACGAGAGTGCCGGCTAGCAGTAAGCCGAGCACGCTCTCCTCGAGCGCGCGGTCTGCTACCAGTACGGTCAAGAAGACAGCTACGGGAGCAAAGTCGCACTCTATAGCCGCGCACAAGGAGCAGAAGAAGGGATCTAAATTTATGGATACTGGTCTCGACGACCCCGACGACGGATGGGGCGATGGCTGGTAAAATTGGAGAGGAGTAGGCATGGAGTATTTTTAATGAAGAAGCAATAATAGTTCTAATTTCACGATCATTTACGGCAAAGTGCGTTCGCGATAGTGTTCGAATTGTTTTCGTACTGTATTTATAGATATCGCCTTTGGAGCTGCTGCCCAAGAGCTGCTTGATAGTGCTTGTGAGGACAATGTAGATAACGACACGTACGCACTAGCATATGTGCGCAAGGCGGATGGAGTATTGATTGGGGAGGACGACACTAGGGCAGCGAATCCCCCCTGCAGTGTGCTCTACTATCACTGTATGCATGCCCAACTTTGTGGATGCAGTACTGTGCCCCGAACAATTACATTATTTGTATATAAATGAGTGATTGATGTTCATTTTCAAATTGTCAATATCGCTCTTTGGATAGATAGAGGGTCCTGTGCCATGCAGGTAGGATTAATGCCGCTAGAATACAAAGAGCAAGTAGATTAAGGCATCAGGCTAAACTCAAATGCATCGTAGCTTCACACTTGCAGCCTCAATTACATCAACTGCAGCACAGCTACGCCGTACGCTGTTTGTTCAGCAAAATCTCGGCTCGCGATCTTCTCATTAAAATCGTGACCTATCTCGTGCAAACAGATATCCCTCTATCTGATCCCTGATTCCCTCTCTGCCCTCCCTTCTTCCCCTCCTCCCCACATCACTCACACTCGTGCGTGCATATTCTCGCAGGGTCTGCTTGTTAAGTTAGAATACCGGCTTCTCATTGTGGTGCGGGTTTATTTGTGGCCCACTGCTTTCTTCCCCTCATCATTAGGATTTCATCGGAAATTTCTTCTTATCCCAACCTCATCGTCAAACAGTCACCACTAAGGCCTTGCGTTTCGCCACCAGGTCTTTGTTGATTATTACTGAGCCCAATTAGCTTTGTGGTTTTGGAAATAGTCGTTGATATTCGGTGTGATTTATCTGTTCAGCAAGCAGATCGGTTACTTTGTCGAAGCACGCTCTGGTTCGTGTTTGGATTTGCTTTGTTGGAACTACGTCCGATTCTTGATCCACTCTAACCTTTTCTTTTTCTTATATTTAGAGATCATTTCTTCTTCTCTGGCTTGACTGATTTAATTTCAATCAAGTTTGCTTGCGGATCAATTCCTGTCGTTCAGCCGTCAGCAGATCATTGAATACGTTTTGCTTGGTTGTCAACGAGCGTAATCTGAGTTGCACGAAAATTACATCACCAGCATTGCAGCCCAGTCTCTCCGCACTCAAGTTACCCCCTCCAGTCTAGCTTGTCTGCTCTACGCTTATCTTTCTCTCTCGGTCGGTTGTTTTCGAATCAGGCCGATCTAAAGTAATGACCACAGCTGTCGACAGTGCCGGCACTGTGAACCCTTCTTCCCGAACCGGACCTCCACCTCCCAATAACTCTCAAAATCAACGCGGCGGACACATGTCGCAGGGTATGCGGGGCACAGGGAACGGCCCTCAACGGCGGAATGTAGGATCGCCCGCAAACGACGGGCCTCAGAATCAAAGGTATGCTTTTTGCTGTTTGTTTGTTCTGCTGCTTTCTGTTGCTTACTCTGGCTTGCAGACGAGGATCTAGACCATGGAATAACCATCCTGGCGGAAATAATCAATACCCCAATGCGCGAGGTGGTGCTTACTCGAATAACAACGGTCGCCGGTCGCCTGCCACTGATCCGGACGCGTCTGACCGTCACCTTTACGACAGACTGCTATATCTACTCATTCGTGCCGTTGTAAGTAGAATTTGACGGAGATTTGTACCGACCACTCTTGCTAAACATTTTCCATGATCTAGGGAAGTTCGGTCGTTGCGACAGTGCGCACAGGTGCGCGATACTCGGGAATTCTTTCTGCTGCACACACCCAAGGAGACGTCGGAGTTGTCGTGCGGTTCGCTCGTAAGATTGCCGCCCCGCCCGGAGAGGAGCTCGACGACAAGGCAAAGGACGCAGTCATAAGCACCTTGGTCATCCAGCCGAAGGACCTGCTGGATATCAAAATCATGGAAGTCAATATCACAGAGTCACAATCTAGTATGAGCCCCCTATTTAGTCGCCGGCTGTCGCCTTCTCACTGCGTCATATCTAACACCTACTTTTTTCCGTTTAGCTTTCAGAACAGACACCGACATCTCTGCTCGAGGAGGCGAAATCAAACAGCGAGAGCTGCAGCCTTGGACTCCTGATGAATCCATCCCCCTGGGCGAATCTCTTGATGACCTTTCAAACAAAAGTGGAGGATGGGATCAGTTTGCCGTCAACGAGAAACTCTTTGGCGTCCAGTCAACTTTTGATGAGCTTCTCTACACGACTAAAGTCGACAAGTCCCATCCACAGTACCAGGAGCGACTTGCCGAGGCTGAGCGCATTGCCAGAGAAATCGAAAGCCAATCGCACAACGGAAACGTGCATTTGGCCGAAGAGAGAGGTGTTGCGATTGATGACTCTGGTGCTGACGAGGAGGACAAGTACTCCGGCGTTGTCCGCGATAAGGCTCAGCTGAGCAACTTGCAGTCTGATTCGAACAAGTACACCCCTCCAGCGCTCAGACAAAAGTCGATGGCGGAAGCTCTGAAATCTGATCCCAAGCCGAGCCCGCAAGAGCCAGCTAAGGAGACACAGCCGGCTCCCCAGCAAACCTCCACCCCTGCTCCAGTCGATGCTGCTATTATATCAAGCAAGATCACCAGTCAGTCGTCAGGATCTGTTCCAAAGGCTGCATCAACACTAGCATCAATCAAGCCCTTTATTCCCGCTTCGCGAAAGGCTGCTGCGGCTGAGGCAATCGCTGGTTTGATCAGAAAGGATCCGGCACCGCCAAAGGAGAAGCCATCGATCGAAACAAATACTTCTGCGACTGTGGCTGCTGCTCCCAAGTCCGCGACTATAGCGGACGATGCGAAGGCAGCAAACTCCTCGGATTCTAAGGTCGCCGCTGTGCCCAAGTTCGACAACCAGCAGTTGGTTGGCGTGTTCAAAGATTTCGTTCATGGCGAGAAGGAGCGCAGTACCCAGAAGAAGCATCAGCGAATCCAAGAGGGCAAGATTTCAGACCTGAGAGCCTTTTCAGAGAGCTTCAAGCTGTATACTCCTGTACCTCCTGACTTGATTCCTATTCTGGCAAAGGACAAGGCGAAGCAGGAAGAGATTATCAACAGATCAGTTGAGAACTCGAAGCAGCCTGATGCCAAACGGCCTCTTTCGTCTGCAGCTATGGCACAAACTGGATCTGATGCTGGAGTAGCGACTCCCAAGGGCTCCTCGCCGGCGCCACCTCTTAGCGCTCGGTTGGCTGCTACCCAGAAGCAGAAGGAAGAAGCTCCGACTTCTCAGAACAAGAAAGAAGAGCCAAAACCTGCCTCTCCAGCACTGCCCCCTCCGTCATCAGCTGCGCCCAAAACCTCTCCGTCTCTTGCATCAACGAAGCTCAATGTCAACGCGCATGAGTTCAAGCCCAACCCGTTTGCTTCCAGTTTTACCCCCTCATTTGCTGCTCGGGCACCTTCAACATCACCTTCGATCGCTTCCGCATCGGCGAGCGGTACGCCACGCATGGCCAACAAGGCAATGCAACCACCACAGCAAGAAAGCTCCACGTTCTTTTCGGCGCAATGGAAGCCACCGGCCAATCGCGCCAGCGTGCTTGCTGACTTCAATCCGTTTTTGACGCTGAAAAATGAATACAAGGGATCCGAGCCTTTTGTTTTACCAAGGGCTTATATGTCAGCGCCTACATGGGTCCTGGATGATACCAAAGAAATCTCACATATCGAGATGTTCACGCAGCCCGATCCTGTGAGCAGCGCGAGAGTTATTGGAATCCCGCCTCCAGCGCCCGCGGCGTTCTCCCCTCGTGGTGTTCCCACTCTCCCATCTGGACATGCCTCTCCTTCAGTTAGCGGTCCGGGATCGCCATTCGTACCTCCGCCGCCGATTTTTGACGAGCCAGGTCGTGCTGCTGTCTTTGCAGGTGCGTCGCCTCCGATCACGTCTCCCAGCGTTGCAGCACAGCAGATGATGCATGGGCCCGGCTTCGTGCCTCCTGTGATGTATGGCCAGCAGCCACCCTTTTTCTATAGGCCAGGCCCGGGACCGAATGGGGCCATGCCTCCTGGATTTATGGGCAATGGACCACCACCGTCTCAGCAGTTCATGCAGCACCAAGGGTATCCCTACATGGGCTCGCCGCAGATGGCGCCCGCAGGATATGGTTCTCCCGGGCGAAACAGCCATCAGGCTGCTATGATGATGCCCAATGGTAGTCAACAGGGTAACTTCAACGGTGGAAACGGTGGGATGTACCAGCAGCCTCCAAGTAAGTCTTCTTCTAGCTACGATCTCGTTTTGGTGCCTTTCTAACAATATATAATTTCTACAGTGCATATGATGCGTGGTCCACCAATGTCCATGCCGCAAGGAGGACCTCAGATGATGGTGCACCCTATGGCTGGCAACATGCCGGCGCCTCCTCCGCCACAGCCGAATGCGCATCGACAGTACAACTACCCCGACCAGGGTCCTCAGCCTCCACACGTGCAAGCCCCGGTTCCGCAGGCCCCTGTTCAGACTGAGTAGAGCTTTAGAATTCGATTCCAAAGCACCGAATCAGTATGACAATGCGGCCTCTTGTATATTAGGGTAGGAACGTGGGGTCCAGGCTCGAGAGTGCTATTCTGATACCATTGCCAGAGGTGGGAAAGGCTGTTATGAGCGCTTGCTACAGATGACAGAAACGGCGAAAGACCTTTGCTTTGTCTTCCATATCTTTATTTTCTTTCAGTCAATCACCGCCTTTTTCCAAATTTTCCAAGGACATATATCCCGAAAGATATACGTCATTCATCTCCCCTTCTCTGCTCTCACACTCTCCTCTATCATATTTTTCTACTTCTTTGTTTGTGTGAAAATAACGAGACTGCAGCTGTGCAGCTCTTGTTGTGTGTATGCTCGGTCGAGCTCAGCCTTTGTTCAATGCAAAAAAAACATAACAAAGCAAAAAAGCTCTTTGATCCATCTGTCACTTTCTCGCTTCCAAAATGGCACATTTTAGTTTCAGCCATTACAATGTTATCTCTTTTTTTTTCTTTTTTACTCATTTAGTGTATTCAGATATCAATCTATATATCCATACATTTACACAGTATATTTTAAAAGCAGCAGAATGCGTTTGCGTGTTTGATTGGTAGGCACTGAATGTAGCGGATATAGATAAGAAAGAGGGCTGCTGGCTGGGAGTGTAGAGCGGCCGTGTCTGATGAGTCTTCAGATTACTCCGCAATGACCACAAGAAGCCGACTTCTTATCTACACTAGATTTCGACCACGACCCGATACTTTGGATTACGCAGCAGAATCGAAAAGAGGAGCAATAAGTAGGTTCAAACGCCCGGGACGCAACTTTTCCTAATCGCTCTCCGCTCTTCTTCGGTCCTCGGAGTTGGGCGGCGCGTAGATCATTTTTGTTTGTACTTCGGCCGAGCGAGTAGTGAAGATTAACCGCGACCGATATCGCAGCCGTGACTGATAAGATAAGTCTATCTTCCTCTTCTAGAAAAGAGAGACAGGTTTACAATTTCTCGCCATTGAGTACTATAATTGTTGGAGTGTAATTGTGCTGTGGAGCAAGGTATGAGCAATTGAAAGAACGAAGGGCGATCTTTGGCGGGTGGCTGCGACTTTGACGGCGGAGGGCGTTTAAGAGCCGCACGGACGGGTCATCGATGATCCCGATTCCCCGACGGCGGGGCCCAAAGTTGGCTTGTCTACAGAAAACAAGAGGAATGCAAACAAGAAAACGCAGGTGAAAAATATTTTCTTGATTAGATTGCCGCGAGTGATAGTCATTCACAGCACCCGCGGAGAAAAAATTTGACTGTCTGACAGATTGGAAGAGTAGTGGGAAGAGAACAATAGTCGCCACTGGGTGCCGGTATCGGCGTCGTCCGGCGCTCAGCCCCACCTACCTCTTCTGCTGTCGGCAATTGGCGGCGACCGAAAACACGAAATTTCTTTCATTCTCATGAAATATAATACTCACCCCAGGTCTATAAAGTGAACTCGTCTGTTCCGTCTGTCTGCTCTGAGATTTTGTGCTGTGTACTCTGTGTGCTCTGACATTCACTTGCTTTCGCTATATCCTTTTGATATCAATTACTCTCGTTCAAGATGACCCCGTCTATCACTCAAACCTCTGCCCCCGTCGCAGACTCCCATGTCTCTTTCTACGCTGATGACCTGACCATCAGCTTCAACCAGAACCCCACGCAGTTCACTGATCCCCGGACTCTGATGATGAAGATGACGGATCACATGCTGCAGGCGAACTGGAATGTCAAGACCGGCTGGAGCGCGCCCGCAATCATTCCCTACGCGCCGCTCCCGCTTGATCCCGCGTGCTCGGTCTTGCATTATGGTACCGAGTGCTTCGAAGGCTTGAAGGCGTGGCGCAACAAGAAGACGGGAAAGGTGCATATTTTTAGACCCGATCTCAATGCCCGTCGTATGAACAAGTCGTGCGACCGCATCGCGCTGCCTTCGTTCAGCGACGAGGAGTTTGTCAAGTTGCTTCTCAAGTTTGTGCAGATCGAGAAGCGGTTCTTGGCATGGGAAGGTGAAGTCGAGATGGCCGATGAAGATGACCATGACTTCCTCTACCTCCGCCCGATCATGATCGGCACCACTCCGCAGCTCGGCGTCGCCACGCCCTCGGACGCGATGTTCTTGATCATCGCGTCGCGCATCCCCGCTTACAACAGCAAGCCCCTCCGTCTCCTTGCCTCGTCTCCCGAGCAAGCTGTGCGCGCCTGGCCCGGTGGATTCGGCGCCGCCAAGGTCGGTGGCAATTACGGCCCGACAATGCGCCCGATGAGCGCGGCCGCAAAGCATGGATATGATCAGATTCTCTGGCTCTTTGATCCCGAGCGCCGGCTCGTGACCGAAGCTGGCGCGGCGAACTTCTTCGTCGTGTGGTCTACTCCCGCAGGAAAGACCGAGATCGTGACCGCTCCGTTGAGCAACGGTACTATCCTCGACGGCGTCACGAGACGCAGCGTTCTCGAGCTGGCGCGCGAGCGGCTCGCGTGCGAGTCCCTCGAGGTCATCGAGCGCGATTTCGGCATCGACGAGGTAGTCAAGGCGCACGAGGAAGGACGATTGATCGAGGCGTTTGCGTGCGGCACTGCGTTCTTCGTTGCTCCGGTTGCTGAATTGGGCGTCGACGGTCGGGATATCAAGGTCCCGTTGGAGAGTAACGGCAAGTCTAAGAGTTACGCGCAGACTATCAAGAAGTGGTTGACTGAGATTTTCACCGGGGAGGTGGAGCACCGGTGGGCAGCTGAAATTGAGTGATTTGGCCGCTTTGTCGCATGGGAGTTATAGATTTATTTAGTTTTGGTTTCCATTGCTGGGTTTGTGTGGTGTACGGTTGTGCTTTTAGATGGTTGCTTGTTTACAAAATTGAAAAGTATTATATAACCATTATCACATTCACAGTCAGCATATGACACCTCCAATAAAAGACCTGCATCGATAAAGATAGCTAGCAAAAGCCTCTCTGTGAGCCGCCAGTCAGCAAAGAGCACAGTTCCTGCGTGCAGCCAAGGCCACCCAACCGACAGACAGTGCGCAGGTTCAGATTTTTAATTTCCACGGCGAAGAAACGAGACGGAATTCACAGAGTCACAAACAACCAAAACTGCGAAACGGAAGCTAAGAGAAGGGAAGGAAGGAAACTGACCCCTGGGTTTCAATGATAGCTGACGTCATAACTGCGCTTATACGCTGCTGAGAAAATGGGATTCCTGAGTGGTTTTCACCCCTTTTCAGTTCAGGTTTTTTATCAATGTACTGTGCTGTTTATGATCAAAAACATAATCTATACAATCACATAGGCAAGAAGGGATTGAGATGCTTAGGGGGGCAAACACCGCCAGGCCTCCACCAGAGGACTAAAACCGCCCAAACTCAAACGAAGAGACGAATCTCTATCTTGGTCGGAGTTTCTTTTTTTGTTTCACTTTTGCTTTTCTTTTTGGACGCAGTAATTTCATTTTCTGCTCGGTTCCTTGCTGCTCGTCCGCCCGTTTCAGGTGCGAGGAAGTCGGGAAAGATGTCAACAACAACTTCTGCAGGAACTGGGTTGACCTTGACCTGCTGGATAGCTATGGCCGGGCCGAAAAGCAGCAGAGTCACAAGCCGCACTGCTTCCGAGGTCTATAGATTGGTTGATATTCTCTTGCTTGTCCTTTCTTATGCATTCATGATACTGAAGGATCTCTGAGCGAGATGATTGCACAGAAGAAGACGAGTTCTACTGCAGGCCAAGCAGCTCAAAGCAGCAAAATCTCTGAATACGTGGCGACTTTCACATGAATCGACTATATTGAGCGGATTAAATAAATAAATCAGTGATGTTATTGTTATCATTAGGTTTCTTAACCGATAAGAAAACAAACACATAATTAAAAACTCCGAGACATACATACCGAATTCCGCCACTATTATTTATCTGTAATAAAACACCAAAAGAACAACTGTAAACATCAACTACTCGGTGCAATCTCAACCATCCTACGTCAGAATTTACACGCGTATCATAGCGCGCTCGGGTTTTGGCAAATCACAAACCAAGTCACAGAAAAGTAACGCCCGGGCGGCGGGCGGCTCTGAGGCCCGCTGCCCTTCCGCCTGAACTTAGCGCGCCAACCGCCATTCAATGAGATCTTAGCGATAAAGTCCGGCCCTTCTTGCCTATAAATTTTTTCTCTTCTTTCTTCTTTCTCTCTCCTCAGATCAATCAATCTTCTCTCACATACATCACACAATGGTTTACCCTGATACTTTCCAAGGATTCGCTGGCTACTCCTACGAGGAGTGGAACAAGCCCAAGGCTTTCGAGGTAAGTCTCTCTTTCGCGCGGAGCTAAGCTGGTGATGGGCGTGACGAAGGATACGTGGCATCCGCCAGATACAGACCAAGGTGCTAACAATCGTGCAATTACAGTACAAGCCTAAGCCTTTTGGCCCCAAGGACATCGACATCAAGATCGAGGCCTGCGGTGTCTGCGGCTCTGATGTCCACACCATCACCGGTGGATGGGGCAAGACCCCTCTTCCCTTGATTGTCGGCCACGAGATTGTCGGCACTGCCGTCAAGGTCGGTGACGATGTCGAGTCCATCAAGGTCGGTGACCGCGTCGGTGTCGGCGCCCAGATCGGCTCCTGCGGATCGTGCGACGACTGCAAGAACGGCAGCGAGCAGTACTGCAACACCTGGATTGACACCTACGGCAGCACCTACCCCGTCGGCTACCACGATGGATCCGACGGCAACGTCACCCAGGGAGGTTACGCCTCGCACATTCGCTCGCACGAGCAGTTCACCTTCCCCATTCCTGACGCGCTCGAGAGCCACCTCGTCGCTCCCATGATGTGCGCCGGTTTGACTACCTACTCGCCCCTCAAGCGCAACGGCTGCGGCCCCGGCAAGAAGGTCGGCATCATCGGAATCGGAGGTCTCGGCCACTTTGGTATCCAGTGGGCCAAGGCTCTCGGTGCTGAGGTCTACGTCTTCTCGCGTACCGACGCGAAGAAGGAGGACGCCATTAAGCTCGGCGCTGATGTCTTCGTCGCCACCGCTAACGAGAACTGGGCTGCTCCTCTCAAGAAGAAGCTCGACATGATTGTCTGCTGCGCCAACTCCTCGTCCAACTTCGACATTGGCTCTTACCTCTCGCTCCTCAAGGTCCACGGCCACTTTGTCAACGTCGGTCTGCCCGAGGGTGAGGGATACGTCATCAACCCCATGTCCTTGCTCTCCAACGGTGTCTACATCGGCGCCACCCACATCGGAAGCAAGAAGGAGGTTCTCGAGATGATGGACTTGGCTGTCGAGAAGGGCGTCAGACCCTGGGTTGAGACCATCCCTATCAGCGAGGAGGGATGCTCCAAGGCCCTCCAGAAGTGCCACGACAACGACGTCAAGTACCGTGTCACTTTGGTCGACTTCGACAAGGCTTTCGGCCAGTAAATTATTTACGGTTCTTCTTTACAGTACAATTAGATTATACACTTTATAGACTTACAATTGAATGTGTATTCACATAGGAAGTTATTGATCCATCGTAGCTCAATCACATAAAGCAGTCATTGATACACCGTAGCTGGTATAAATTCTTCTATCGCGCCAACCCAATTGCCACAGGAGTCTCGTAAAATCATACCTACACCATGCACGTTATGTACAAGACAGCACACTCCGCAGACAGGCAGCCGGAAATTATTGTGAGAAGTGAGGGGGAGGGGTCGTGGGGGTAGTGGGGGCTGCATGCTGCGCGCGAGAGCTCTCCAATCTCAATTAGGGGGACTCACCAACAGCAACCGGGGGCTTTGTACTGCCGAGGTTGTCTCGCGCTTCCGGCGGATGCTTGTCAACTACTTATTTATTGATTGGAAAATAAGAACGTGTTTGGTGCCTTGGCAGGAACGACCCTGTATCTGTCTCAAATAAACAATGCGAAATGCATGAGATTTTCAGACGTTATCGCCACTCTCCACGCGTGAGTCAGAACGTCGGTCGTCTAGCTGGCAGCAGGCTAGGTCGGCATCGGCGGCAGAGACTGCTGGCGAGGAAATAGATGGCCTGACATAGATCAACAGGATACTTACCTAAGGTCTGCGGTTGACGATGTCAGCTTCACGCTAGGATGAGAAGGAGATCGCGGCTGGCGCGGGATGTCTACGAGACGAGCTCTGAGTCAAACACGGAGCTACTAGAGTAGAGTACCTACGCTTCAGTTACCGTCAAGGCCAACTGGACTTTTAGTCTGCGCGAGTCTTGCCATCCAGGCCGAAAGAACTGCGCACAAGATCAAGTCCGACCCCAACCAGCTCTACACAGCATGATAAATCAGATTGCCGACGAAGCTTATGACAACCCTACTGTAGGCAAGTGGCCTTTCCCGCCGCCCTGCCAGACTTCGCAGCCCAGCCGAGGTCTCGAGGTCGGGGCCAGCTGGATTGACCTCATCTCCAGGGTACCACAGACCAGCTCCCTGCCAATGCGACGATAATCGCTCGGATAAACCGCACGGAAGAAGCACAGCACCTTCTCCTTATCTCTTGATTTAGCGCGCAACTCTCTTTTGTTCATACGGACTCGTGAGCATTGCGCCGCTGAGTGTTTAGTTGAGAAACTAGGAGCAGCCACCGGGCAGCCACTGACGAATGCTTTGCAATGACGTGAGTCTCTGGTGGCGCTGGGCGCTGAAGGGCTTTTTTTAGGCTAGAGAAGTGACAGTTGCACTTCATTAGTGGCGATGTCCTTACTAGGGATATGAGTGTTTGTCCTTTTTGTGCAGATGTAGTTTTCAAGAGAGCGTCAAGTATACCGAATCCGCCGGACGGTATCGCCAGAGATAAGACTTGAGGGAGTTATGAATCAAAGATAAGCCCCGCTGAGACTCGGCCGAACGCAGTCCGCGGCCCGAGAAAAGGTCTGCGATAACTCGGATGAAGAAAAAATTGATAAAATTGATTGAGTAAAGAAGGGGGGGAAGGTGGAGAGCGATGAGCGGGAGGTGGGAAGTAAGAACCGTTTCGAGGCAAAGTTGGAGGACGTGGCGCCGTTAGTCTTTGTCTCTGCGGATTTGCAGACAAACAAACTGGGCAGGGGAAAGAGCAGGAAGGTAGTAATCAGCAGAGATTATTATCCCTCATCAAACTAAACAGCATGCGGACGATCTCGCTCGCGTGTGCACTCGTATCAGCCGCTCGGGGTGACAGATAGCCATCAGGCAGTGGTATGAATTTGTTTTGATGCTGTGGATGTGTCAAAAAAACAACACCTCGATGGCTTTGTCCGCATTCAGAAAGACAACAAAGACGCCTCAACGAACAGCATGAACAGAGGATAGATGAACCATCAGCAGCTGCACGGCATGCGCACATATTGACAAGTACCGGAAGGCACGGTTACTACGATTCAAGAACATCATGCTACCGCGCACCCCATATCCCCAACTCTGCAGAGTACGCAGAGCAGCGGTGCGGGAGAACACCCAACTTCGAGCCGGGAACAGATCTCCGTTTCGGGACATCAGACCCTTAGCGACGAGACCTGTGGCGTCCGGTGGCTTTCGCGCCACTGTGCTTAGCATACAGATCGCTAACCCCGAATAGGACTAGCGTGATGCTCTTTAGAGAAATCAAAACCAGATGGTTTTCTTCCAATGAACATCGACCAATTCTCCAGTCGAATGCTGTCCTTCCCATTGACGGGCTTTCAAGGCACGTGAGAGATGTTTAATTTCGGCCGCTTATCTGGCTATCATCCTCAAGCTGATACCCACAACCCTGCCTCTTATCTTGAGTTTGCCCGCCAGTCCAGGCGGTCGACCTCCTTCCGAGCGACGACGGCAGTTCCCAGGAAGACGACAGAAGGCAGCCATCGTGTCGCTGCATCTAGATCATGTGGCGTTTTATGGAGGCTTCCGTGGCATGCGAGTAAGTGGCGTTTTTACCCGCCCCGTCGTCCTCCTGACTTTCATCCTGCTCGCGGGCTGAAAGCAAGCCGCCTTATCAGCGGGCAATCCAACTCGAGGGGAGGCCAAAGCTTATCAAAAGGAGGCCTTAGTCGTCGGTACTGACCAGAGAGTCAAGTGCAGGCCAGAAAGTGGGCCAGCGCTGACATTGTGTAGCTGTTATCCTTGAAAGTACCTCGTTTCTGTTTTCGCCGGGTAAACCTTCTTCGGCCCTAAGCTCCTCGTAGGCGGTCTGCAGGGCCGCTGTCCGCAGGTTCACGCCCGGGTTTGCAGTCGTGGTTGTAGACTGGAATAGACAAGTTCAGACAGCGTCCAAGGCTGTTCTTGGACAGGTAACTCGGTGCCCGGATGGACGTAAGACAGCTCCGCGTACACCAAGAAATCAGAGTCTGTACACCGCCAGATTAGAGTTCTATGGCTTATCGGAACCGTACCTTTTCTCCCTGAGTCCTCCCGGTGCTGTCTTAGCTCCTCTCGGAGCGTCGAGCGGCGCCACCTTCCAGATTCTCTATATAAATCATGGAGTACTGCCTTTCCGAGGCAGAAGATCTCCGCTCCCATTCTCGTCTCCGCCCTGTCAATACTACCCGCAGCGCTTCTCTTCCTCACATCTCCTCACACATTACTTCTACCATGAGTTCAGAAGAAGCCTCCATCAGCGGAGTTGAGAAGCAGGTCATCGGCGCCGACGACGATGCCGCCCAGCTCGGTGAGCTCGGATACAAGCAGGTATGAACAACAACAATGAATTTTCTTCGTCAAGTCTTTTTTCTAAACAGTTTTGGCGCGATAGGAGTTGAAGCGGTCGTTCTCCCTGCTTTCCATGATTGGTTTCTCGTTTGCCATCTTGACTTGCTGGACCGCCCTGGGAACCACTCTCTCGTCTGCCATGCTTAACGGTGGCCCCTCCGCTTTGTTCTGGGGATGGGTCGGCGTTTGCTTCTTCACCATCTTTGTCGTTCTCTCGATGGCCGAGATTTGCTCTGCCTACCCCGTCGCCGGTGGCCAGTATTCGTGGGTTCTGCTCATCACCGACTGCAAGCCCTGGGGCCGTGGTCTTTCCTACATCACCGGCTGGATTCAGCTTGCCGGTCTGCTTTGCATGGGTTCCACCGCTCTTTTCCAGGTCGGTGAGTTCGTTGCCGGCATGGCTGTGTTGAACAACGAGAACTACGAGATCAAACAGTACCAGATTGTGCTCATCACCTACGCGTGCTGCCTGATCAACACCGTCATCAACCTGTTTGGCAACAAGATCCTCAACCGCATCAACGACTTTGCCCTCTGGTGGTCCGTCCTCGGCTTTGTGATCACGACCATCGTCATCCTTGTCGTGTCCGACAACAAGCGTGATGCTTCCTTCGTCTTCACCTACTCGATCGACGATGGTGGCTGGAACAACACCGGCATGGCCATCATCCTCGGAATCTTGCAGTCCGCGTACGGCATGTGCTGCTACGACGCCCCCGCGCACATGTCGGAGGAGCTCCACAACGCTACCCGCGAGGCTCCCCGCGCTATGGTCCTCTCTGTCTTCATCGGCTTCATCACCGGTCTCGGCTACATCATGGCTCTGCTGTTCTGCATCGTCGACATCGACTCGATCGAGGGCTCCGCCACCGGCGTTCCTCTCATCCAGCTCTTCCAGGATGCGATCCACAACAAGGCCGGCTCGACCTGCTTGTCTGTCATCACCTGCGTCTGCTCGTTCTTCGCCTCCAACGCTCTCCTGACCGAGGGTGCGCGCTCCGTCTTTGCTTTCGCCCGTGATGGCGCCATGCCGTTCTCCGAGTACCTCTGCAAGGTCGACCCCCATCTCCACGTGCCTGTCCTTGCCACCCTTGTTGCCGCCTTCTTCCAGTGCGCGTTCATCGCCATCGACTTTGGCTCCGAGACTGCTTTCTTGACCGTCATGTCGATCGCCACCGTCGGTCTCTACGTCTCCTACCTGCTCCCCATCGTCACGCTCATGATCCACGGCCGTGACAACTTCAAGCCCGGATACTACTCCCTCGGCAAGTTCTGGGGCTGGACTTCCAACATCCTCGGCTCGCTCTACCTCGTCTTCACCACCATCTTCTTCTTCTTCCCGACCGAGATGCCCGTCAACGGCGGAAACATGAACTACTGTATCGTCGCCTTTGGAATCACCGGTATTTTTGGTGTTGTCTCGTGGTTCTGGGCCGGACGCAAGAACTACATCCGCTCGATCCACGTCGAGGTCGAGGTCTCAAACGCTATCGACGTCGACAACAGCGTCAGCAGTTCTTCGGACGTCTACGACAAGAAGGAGTAAATGAAGATGCGCAAGAGTTGATGATGCTTTTGAAAGAAAAGAAACTTTGCTGCTGATTCAATCAATATCCTTAAGTCTTTTTTTCATTATACAACAGTTTATGCGCGTGTTTTAGAATGGGATCCTTCATTACTCCTACCTTTTTCTTTTCTTCATGTTGTTTTGGGGGTTTTCTTGCTTTTGATTTGTATATAGTGTCTGCTGTTTTGGTTTATCTATTTCCTAATTATTATATAGATATAATATATCATTTAATTCAACCAAGTGCATTAATACTCCATAGTAGATTTCTTTATTTGATGAATGTATGTATATCAGTGCATCTACTATATAAGTCATCTCAACAAAGGAGGTCATCTCGATGAGCAGGCAATCGCAGGGCACATCGCAGGACCATCAGAGACCGACTCTGACCCGTAGATCATCGCCACAGTTCCTGACTAGCAGAGCATAGAGCATGACGATCTTGAGAGAAAACACGCTGGACGGCTACCCCAGAGCGTGAGACAGGCAGATGCGCATGTCGCGCCGATAACCTAGACTCGCCGGGGACGTATGAAAGATGAGCTTATTGCGTTTAGCGAGAAGAACAGATGGAGATAGTCGAGCTTGGCATGTCGACTGTGAGTCGTATCGAGTGCAGGGAGGGAGGAAGGGAAGCGCGGCAGGAGGCAGGTAGAGAGAGGTTGTAGAGGCACAGATGGAACACAGGGTGTTTGGGTATGTTATTCAGTTGACAGAGAAAACGACGGACAACGACAAGTCACCACAATAAATATGCCCCGTACTTTCCGAAACAGAGACGCTTCCAACACAGCTCCTTCTTGGCCAACAAACATGTCGAGTCGAACAGAGCTGTGGAAAGCGGTGAGGTTCACGAATGGAAGTGCGCAAAACATGTACGAGACCCTTGTTTCTGTTGCGCGCTCTTCCGATTCAGACGCGCGGGGTGCGGCTTTTTTACCAGCGCTTCCGATAAATTTCGAGTTTCTCCATGATTTCGATGTTCTAGGAGTACACACGAAATTTACTGCTTTTTGTGAGGACATATTGAGAAAAAAAAGATGAGAGTGTGTCGTGCATGCTGGATACACAGCAGAGGTGTCGGACGCCGGGGGTTGTCGAGCAGTGCTAGATTGCTAGCAAAAAAGACGGCGCTGTTCTTTCCAGGTAAGTTGAGGCTAAGGCAGACGCCGGCGGAGCAGAGATTGATTGTCTGACAATATTGATTATGATTCAGGCCAAGGCATAGAACGACCGGGTATGCTTAGCGCGATATACGAAAAGTTCCCGAGCGCTGCCGGGCCGGCGACGGAGGTGCTCGTGCGAGCGTTGGAGACCGAGAAAGAGATGGATTCGGCGACGATAGATCGGATACAGAAGCTGCTGGTCGACAAGGAGAGTAGTGCGCCGGAGGACGAGATTGACATTCACCGGACGTCTGTTGCGCAGACTGCGATCCTGCTGAGCTCAGTGCTGACGTTTGAGTATGCAAAGGAGAAGATCTTGAAGGACCGGGAGGTGGTTGGCGTGATGGGCCATTCGCTGGGCCAGATCACGGCGCTGGTGGCAGCGGGAGTTATCTCGCTGCTGGACGGGATCAGGATTGTGCGCGAGCGCGGGCTGGCGATGGAGGAGGCGGCGGGCGACGGGGGACCGCTGGGGACGCTGCGGGGGTCTACAGGGATGGGGATGATTGCGGTTCCGGTGCTGTCTAAGAAGACGAGCGTGGAGGAGATTATAAGGGCGATTGAGGCTACGGCGAAGGAGACGACCTCGGATGGTGAGGTGGTTAATGTCGCGAATATAAACTCGCGCAAGCAGGTTGTGATTAGCGGGCATGTCGAGGCGATGGAGCGCGTGCTGGCGCGGCTGCAGCCCGCGGTGCGGAGGAGCACGCGGCTGGCGGTGCGGATCCCGTTTCACTCGGAGGTGCTGCGGTCGGTGGAGGGGCGCATGCGGGCGATAGTGGAGGAGGTGGAGTTTGCGTGGCCGTCGCCGGTGTTTGGGTCGGGGGTGAAGATAGTGCGGAACGACAGCGCGCGGGCGATGGGGAGCGCGGAGGAGGCGCGGGAGAGCATAGTGAAGGGATGCTGGGCGCCGGTGGACTGGCTGGGGAGCGTGGAGTATATGGAGAAGGAGTGCGCGGGCGGAGGGAGCGGTCTGGATTGGATCGGAGTCGGGCCCGGAAGCTCGGTGACAGCAGGGCTGGTGAAGGGGACGGTGGAGCAGGCGCAGGAGGAGGAGCGGGTGGCGTATGTCGACCCGCAGAAGGGCGGGGACGGGTGGGAGTCGGTCTGAGTCTGCGGAGGAGGAGGAGGACAACAAGGTCAGGAACAACCGACAGCGGGCCGCAGTGGGCGGGGGCAGTGAGCTGGAAGCAGTGAGCATTTGAGCAGTTAAGCAGCTGTAATGGCTGAGCAGTTCTTAGTCAGGCGGATCTGCCGCATGGAGCTCGCTTGCGGGCCGATGACGACGAGGCTGAGCTGTGTCTTTGTGTGCTTGCACGTATGCTTGGTGCTTGCACATGAAGACTATAGCTTTATGTTTCTACACCGGCATAACTGCTTAGACAGCAGTCGAGGAGACCGGGGCAGGCGCGATAGATGCGAGAGAGCAACGAGGCCCGAAAGAGCTTCTTCAGCGCGAATACGATTTACGACGAGTCGCAGTGCGCGAACTGATCATTTAAACAAGCTTTGAACAGGCCCCTGCTCTGAGCTCTGAGCCACTAAGCGCAATCGATCGGGAAATGACGAGAGAAGGAGCTAGTTCGGTAGCTGGTGGTTGTATTTCCTACAACTAGAACTATGGAAGACATTACTGATCACTGTCTGATGAAGCACAGCACAGCTGCAGTAGCAGACGAGAAGGAGCAGCAGCAGAGGCAGAAGAACAGAATCTGCTTACATAACAGTATGACGTCACAGACCCATCCGGCAGGCTTGCCCGGACAAGGACGGGCGCGGGTCGGATGGGTCCCGGCCGGGTAAGCATCGAAGGGGCGGTTTTGGTGTTTGTCTCCAAAAGTTTTGTGAGCGCCATTTCTCAGGTGCGCTGCTGGCGGCCGCCTCTTTTGCCTCCTCCTCTTTCCCTCGTCCTCCTCTCTCTTCTTCTGCTTCCTCCCCACCTCCTCACCTCCCCCCTTCTCTCTCTCCTCCTTCTCTCCTTCTCCTCTCCCCGCTAGCCTCCTCTGGGCGCTCGGCCCGTCCGCGGCGCGTGTTCTGCTGTCTCCTGTCTTCACTCCCATACAATGTCGTCGTACTAGTAGCATGCTGAAACAGAAGGACTCTTCCGCGTCTGCCACGCCGGCCTCGTCGTCTTCCCGCCTGGCCGGCTCCTCCACCCCGGCTTCCCGCGCAAACTCCGTCTCCTCCAAAGACGGCTGGGTGCGCTTCGTCGTCGCCCCCGATGGCAAGTCCCATCAGCATCTCCTGCGCTCCGCCCGCCGCCAGGAAAAACTCTCCAGCATGCTCAAAGACATGATGAGTAAGAAGCAGCGCTCTGACGACTCCTCCCCTCCCCAGACCTCCTCCACAAACGAGGCTGCTTCTCTTTCTCTGCTCAGCTCCTGGCTCAGATCAAATGAGAAAGACAGTTCTCTGTCGTCTAAGAATGCTGTTGCCTCCACCTCTCTTGTTGAAAAGTATGGCAAATGCCATGAGATTATCGGCAGAGGTGCCTTTGGTATTGTCCGTATCTCCCACAAGGTATGATCATTTTATATTCTCTCCTGCGTTATTATTTTTTTCTCTCTATTAACACTTCTTAGGTTGATCCGAAAAATTCAAAAAGCGAAAAGCTATACGCTGTCAAGGAATTTAAGCGCCGCCCCGCCGAATCACAGAAAAAGTACACAAAACGACTGACATCAGAATTCTGTATCTCGTCCTCCCTCCGTCACCCGAACGTCATCCACACTCTCGACCTCATCCAGGACGATAAGGGCGAGTACTGCGAAGTCATGGAGTTCTGCGCCGGCGGCGATCTATACACCCTCATCCTCTCGGCCGGCAAACTCGAGGTTCTCGAGGCCGACTGCTATTTCAAGCAGCTCATGCGCGGTGTCGTCTACATGCACGAGATGGGTGTTGCCCACCGCGATCTGAAACCGGAGAACTTGCTGCTCACCACTTCTGGTGCGCTCAAGATCACAGACTTTGGCAACGGCGAGTGCTTCCGTATGGCGTGGGAGCGCGACGTCCATCTCACAAACGGCGTCTGCGGTTCTGCGCCCTACATTGCGCCAGAAGAGTACACGGAGGATGAGTTTGATCCTAGGCCGGTCGATATCTGGGCGACGGGTGTGATCTACATGGCTATGCGTACCGGCCGACATCTTTGGAAGTCAGCGCAGAAAGAGGAAGACGATTTTTATAGACGCTACCTCGAAGGTCGCAAGGACGAAGCTGGCTATGAACCCATCGAACAACTCGAACGCGCACGGTGCAGGAACGTCATCTACTCTATTCTTGATCCTCATCCCGGCCGCCGCATCACCGGCAAGCAGGTTTTGAACAGTGAATGGGGCCGCGAGATTATTGTATGCGATGCTGGCGAGACCGGTCATTGAACTTGACCTAATGAAATGAATAACGAATCTTATATATTCTCTACCCCTTCCTCCACATGATGAATTATTATCAATAATACTGTTTTCTATTTCACTCCAGTTGTCATCTTTGTCTGATGAGTGACGTGCGCAATCGTCGACTAGATGGTCTTTCTTTGTTCTTTTCTTCTACAACTAATTTCGTGTATACGATGTATCTATATTACTTGAATATCCTCCTATTTATGGCGTCCTCTCTGTCTTGTGTTTTCTTTTATCTTTTTCTTTTCTTTTCCATTTCTCTCTTTCACTATTGATTGAAACTTTTTGTATATTTAACGGTATTAGAAAATAATATGATTATGGCACCGCGCTGTCGATCATGGTCGACTCTTAGGCTATTACTCTTCTTGCATTGCATTGCCTTGCGTAAAAGTTGGCGTTTTCTTGTGTTGTTATTCTGTTTGTTGCTGCTTCTGTTTCTTTTCATGCTTTCAGTTCAATCTGCTGATTTATGATACCCAACTGCTTTGATATGAAACATCTGTGCCTGACAAGAACAAGAATCTGGTGGTGTTTATTAAACTATTTCACTGCTTATTTCATCATACCGCGACACTGGATCCGCATAAGAACCATCGAGACCTTTAGCAACAACACCAAGCTTTTGTCTAAGCTTCCGAGAGTCTTATAATTAATAAATATGCAGTTAATAAAAAAACTGTCGGATAAATTTTCAAGCGCGGCCGGACATATTCCCAAAGAAGAAATGCAATTGACATTTCCTATCTTGTAATATTGACATAGAATAGGGTTTCTACGAAACTCAGAGCGCGGGCGATGCGTAGCACTGCTATCGTGCGGATCAGAATATTCGATACTGAAGACGAAGACACCACGACGCAATGAGCTTGAAAGCTGTGCAGAGTAAACAGATTGCGGAGAGTAAGTGAATATTGAAAGAGTGATGACAAGTAGAAGAATGAGTGCTGACGAGTGGTTCTGTGTAGCGTCTCCGCAATTCGAGCTGGAATCATACATCTCTAACTACTACGGTATCTATCCTCTTCATCATTATCTTTCGTCAGGATTCAACAAAACTAAACATCTCTAGGCCGCCATGCAATTGACCGACTCCTCTTCATCGCCGACCGATGTCCACCGCTGACCGCCTCCGCGCTCGGCCTCGCCATCGCGCGTCTAAAACAAACCCAAGACGTGACCCGCTACCAAACCGCCGTCGACAGACTGCACAGCATCGACCCGTCGAACCCGCTCGCGACGCTTGACATGGACTGGGTAGACAACACGAGCCGCGAGAACCGCGACCAGAACGAGAAACTCGAGCAGGAGCTCAAGCGGTACAAGAATAACCTGCTCAAGGAGAGCATTCGTATGGGATACGCTGATCTTGGCGATTTCTACTTCACAATCGGAGACCTCTCTGCTGCGACGCAGAGCTATATGCGCCAGCGAGAGTACTGTACCACGCACAAGCACATGAAAGACCTCTCGCTCGACCTCATCCGCGTCTACCTCTACCAGCAAAACTGGTCGCAGTTCGAGGCCCCCATCACCAGACTCGAGCAGCTGCCCAACGGCCTCAACGAGCTCGAGCCCTACGCAAAGGCCGCACGAGGGCTCTGGATGCTCTCGCGGGGACAGTTCAAGACCGCGGCGGCGCTGCTGCTCGAAGTCAAAGCCGACACTTTTGCGCCGCCAAAGACCGCGGTCGCTGCTGCTCCTGCGGCGGTTCCTGGGCTGCCGGGCGCGAGCTCGGTAACAGCAGCCACCACTACCACTACCACCACCACCACCACTACCGCCAGCAGCAGCGGCGGCGCTGCGACCGCGCTGAGTTCGAGCACGCGCGGATCCGCCCTGCCGAGCATTTCCGAGTTCGTGACAGTCTCCGACATCTCTGTAATCGTCGGGCTATGCACGCTAGCGACGTACTCGCGCAACGCGCTCAAGGACTTGCTAGACAACAACGCGAACTTCAAAGAACTGCTCGAGTCCGAGGCGCACGTGCGCACGCTACTTGAGTCCTTTGTCGCGTTTGACTACAAGGCGACGCTCGACACGCTCGAGAAGCATAAAAGCGATTATCTGCTCGATATATGGTTGGCGGATTACGTCGCGCCGCTGTTTAGCCAGATCAGAGAGAATTGCTATACGCAGTACGTCAAGGGATACAAGCGGGGCTATATCTCGCGCATGGCGGCGCGGTTCGGGGCGACTGAGGCGGATATCGAGAAGGATCTGGTGGCGCTGATACAGTCCAACAAGATGACTGTCAGACTAGACCTCGAGAACAAGATCTTTGTCGACATGGACAGCAACGAGCGCGCAGAGGTGTATCAGCAAATCATGACCGTCGCACAGGAGTACGAGCATAACGCGAAGCTGCTGCTCGTCAACGTCGAAGTCCTCCAGGGCGGGCTCGAGATCAATCCGCCAAGGCCTGATGCTGGAGCCGCGGGGGTCGAAGGGAAGGAGAAGGGTGGCAGGGTTGTCAATTTGCCTACTGGCCGGGGGCAGTCGCGGCAGGGAGGGGGTAAGAAGAAGGGTGTTGGCAAGTGATGATGATTAGAGATGTTTTTTAGATTAATCAAATAGCATTATTTTAAACTTATAGGCAACTATATACACTTTTTTCTGCTGACTTTCGCAGTTTCCACTTATACTACCCACATTGGCGTATCATACTCTTCCGCGGCCTCAAAACCTGTCTTTGCCTTTGCCGCAGCCCTTGCTGCCTTCGAAGTGTTCCTCATCTCCTCTGCCGTCGAAGTTGATTCCCACGCGCCTTCCTCCTCGCGCGGCTCGAACGGCTTCCGCGGTTCTCTCTCCGAGTACGGCTTCCACGGTTTGCTTCCCAAGTACGGCTTCCGCGGTTCTCTCTCCGAGTACGGCTTCCACGGTTTGCTTCCCGAGTACGGCTTCCGCGGTTCTCTCTCCGAGTACGGCTTCCATGGTTTGCTTCCCGAGTACGGCTTCCGCGGTTCTCTCTCCGAGTACGGCTTCCGCGGTTTGCTTCCCAAGTACGGCTTCCGCGGCTCTCTCTTCGAGTACGGCCTTTGCGAGTATCCCTCCGCGTACGGCTTCCACGGATCTCTCTCCGAGTACGGCCTTCGCGGGTATCCCTCCGAGTACGGCTTCCGCGGTTCTCTCTTCGAGTACGGCCTTCGCGGGTCTCTCTCCATCTTAAGGAACCGCCCCCGCAATTCTTCCTTCTCCTGTTTCGGCTTCGCTCCTCTCTTCCATGGTTCGGTAGTCCAGCCGTCAACATTGGTCGTGAAGTTCTCCAACGGCCACTCAGGAAGCGGCTCCATGGAGAGCTCAGATCTTAACTTCTGGGATTCCCACAACTCAATCCCGGCCCACGCAATCATTTCCGAGTTATCGGTGCACAGGGCCGGCGGAGGGGAAAAAATATTGTATTTCGGAATACCGGGTCCCGTCTCCGTGTCGTCCGGCTTCGTTGCATCGGTATTGGGGTAGGGGGAATACGTTTGTAGCTGAGTCCTAAACATATGTCGCAGCTCTTGATTCGAAGCCACGCCGCCCGCCAGGACGATATCTTTGACTTTAGCTTTCATTTCGTCATCCAGCTTAGTGTCGAGCACGTACTTCACGCGCTCAATGATCTGCGTGAACATCGCCTGCTGGATCTCGTACGCGATCTTCGCCCTCTGCAGCTCGCTGATGCCGTCGAGGTTACCGCCAAACACCTCTTGCACACTGCGCTCGACCATCGGCAAGTATCCCGCGAACGAGAACGCGCACGAGCCGGTGCGCGTGCCTTTGTTGCGCATCGCCACGTTGAGCGAGAGGGATTTGAGCTCCTCGGGAGGAGTCTCGGGCTGCTCGCTAGCATTGAAATCCTCGGCAGGAGTCTCGGGCTGCTCGCTAGCATTGAAATCCTCGGCATGAGTCTCGGGCTGCTCGCTAGCATCGAACTTCTCGGCAGGAGTCTCGGGCTGCTCGCTAGCATTGAAATCCTCGGCAGGAGTCTCGGGCTGCTCGCTAGCATTGAAATTCTCGACAGGAGTCTCGGGCTGCTCGCTAGCATCGAGCTTCTCGGCAGGAGTCTCGGGCTGCTCGCTAGTATCGGACTCCTCGGCATGAGTCTCGGGCTGCCCGCTAGCATTGGACTCGGGCTGCTCGCTAGCATCGAACTTCTCGGCAGGAGTCTCGGGCTGCTCGCTAGCATTGAACTTCCCGGCAGGAGACTTTGGCTGCTTCTCGTATTGGCCATCAAGGTATGCTCTATATTCCCTCGCCTTGACCTCGAGCGAGGGTCCGTAGCTGTTTTGCTGGCGCATTTCGAGACCGATGAACCTCGCGCACTTTTCGATGGCGTCGCCGATAGCGATGTCGACCGTATCCGCGAGGATCTCGTGGTCGGTCAGCGACCTGGACAGCACGAGCATCGTGTGGCCTCCGCTCACGAGCATGGTGACGTACGGGAAGTTTGCGATTCCGACGCCGTGGGACTTTCTCCTCGAATACACCATGCGCGCACTGAGCAGGTGGCCGAGCATGTGGTGCACGCCGATGATCGGGATGTTGAGAGCCACCGCGAGGCCCTTGGCGAACTCGGTGCCGGCGGCGAGGGAGCCGCGCATGCCTGGGCCGCGGGTCACGCAGATGAGGTCCGGAATGACTCTTGCGGACTCAACAAGGGGATCAGACTTCCGAGGCGATGTATTAATGCGCCCACGGGTACTAAGAGCGGGTATTTGTTTCAAGACCTTCGTGTGAGTATCGCGGTCTAACGGATACCGCCAGGAGAGGAGATGCTGGACGAGAATTCCAAGATTGGCCTGATGATGAGACAGCGCTTTCGTAGGAACAATCCCGCCGTCGACCGAGTTATCGGCCCGGATCTTGAGAGACGCAAGCAGCTCCGGCCGAAGCGAGCCCTTTCTGCGGTCGTAAAGACAGACAGAGGTGTCGTCACACGAGGTCTCAATCCCGAGGACGATGTAGGTCCGGTTGGTGGGAAGCGCGGGAAGCTTGGGTTTCACGCGGGTGATTCCCGAGATGCGTGAAAGAAGCATGGTTGCTTGTCAATTACAGAAGCACGAGCAGGAATTAAGACGATGGTTGACGTCGACGTCTGCAATTGAGAAGATGTCGTGCAGTGGACTGGGAGGAAAAAAAGGAAGAAACCCGGAAACTTTTTGAGCCGCAGCGTGGTCCTTCAATCGAGCGCTCTGCCGCGTCGGCCTTCTCTCCTCCTTCTCCTTTTATTTTCGCACTTTGAGGCCCGGTGTTGGATTGATTAGCATAAAGAAAGGCTTGTATGTGGAACTGAGAGGGTTGATTAATAATGGAGGACTCGGCAGCTAGCAATAGCAATAGCAATAGCAATGGCAGCAGCAGCAGCGTCAACAACAGCACCAGCAAACGACCGACCTCCGAGCAAGCAAACAAACATCTCGAGAATCTCCAAAAGATAGACGAAGTACTTTTCTCTCTTTACTATTATACAACCTGAGCTACAGCCAAACTAACATCCCCAGGAAATCATCTCCCTACTCTCCTACTCCTCCACCTCTCTCTCCTCGCTCAACACGCTCGACCCCTCCAAATCAATCGACCAATCTAAAGCCGCGTTCCGCGAGAACGCCGAATCTTTCTACGCCGTGCTCGAGCGCGTGACGGCGGGGCTGAGGACAGAAGTCAAGGCGCTGCAGGACGCCGAGATCCTGACTACGGCCGTCAACGCAAAGGCGGAGTGGGTCGGGAAGCAGAAGGAGGCCGAGGGCGTGAGGAACGCGGAGGCCGCGCTGGAGAAATTGAAGGGGGGCGAGTGAATGCGATGGAAGGGCGCGCTGTTGTTCACCCAACAGTGCGGTACATTTTTCTTCTGCTCTATCTATGGCTGCGCAGCATGTGCATGCACGCACGAGTTGAGATGGATACATTACATTGTCTGCATTGCATTGCATCAGTCACCATCAAGATTATGCAGCCTGTGTAGATAAGACGACCACAGATCTCAGATCGCGTCCACCCCGACGCTGTGGAGACTACAATGAGTCCAGCTACGACGTACTCGATGGTCGCGAGAGATAAGATGATTGAGCAGATATTATTCTCGACTAAAAGACACGGAAGACACATATTAATCTAGACTTATTCAAAAGATCCTCATAAAGATCACAGCCCGCTTCGAAAGCAGGATACATCAATAATAGCAACGACACAGAATAAAAACGACGAAAAGACGTAAAAGTACAACGAAATGCAGTCACGGAAACATAAAGAGACTGCAAAAAAGATAGAAAGTGCAAAGGAGAAGAAAAAACCAAACACCGGTGATAATAACAAATAGATGCGCTTACAGAGTCGGGTGCTTCTTTCTCGCAGCTGATTTCGATCCGTGCAGCTTCTTATCTCTCAGCTTCATCAGATCCTCCCACACATCAGCAGGCGTCGTGTGCGGATTCATACCCACCATGAACGGTTCCGGGTCGATCGACGGCCGGGATCCCTTGCGGATCTTTTGCCCGTCTAACCGCGACTTTACAATATCAAACATCGGATAACTCCCGCACATCTGGTCAAAGTCGCGGTACTCCATCGTGCCGTCCACTTTATCGAGGAACGCGCCGCCTTCGTGCCGGACGTACTTGAGACGATACCATTGATGGTACTGCGTGACGTCGTGGACCCACCACATCTTGTGCCACCAGGTATTCAGGCAGGACTTGTCGCCGTTCAGGTGCAGGATCGCAGGCACGTTGCCGGACACGCGGTTCCAGGCCGTATGGTGGTTCGAGAGCCTCCACATGCGCTGTCGTCGCGTGCCGTTGAGGAACGGCGTGAGCGCGAGCGGCGTGTTGTCGAGCACGTTGAAGCTGTCGATCGGGTTGGAGTTTGTGCGGCCACCGTCCGTCGACTTGTCCTTCGTGAGCGGGTCGACGACCGGTCCGGAGATGACCTGGCCGGGCTCGATCTGCTCTTGGTAGAGAAAGACGACGTCGCTGTGCGAGTGCGTGAGAGTCTGGAAGAGGTAGGACTCGTAGTCGAGGATGATGGGCAGATCAAACTGGGCCCAGATTTCCGCGAGCACAAATTGGTCAGAGTTAAACGCGTTGTGGGTCGCCTTGACGGCGCGGTTGAAGACCTCCCTGACGACCGGCACCGGGCCCATGATTGTGCCAGAGTTGAGCCAGCGCGGCCGGTTCCGGAAACCCATGGCAGACTTGTCGGTTCCGGGACCGTAGACGTCGTCGGCGAGCGTCGACTGGGGTACTTTTGTGCAGGCGTCCGAAGTAGGCGCGTTGGGCCAGCAGCCTTTGTCGGCGCCAAAGACCGCGCTCTCGGCGTAGTCTGCGCCTTTGTTGGCCTCCTCCTTAGCCTGCATCTCGTAGTAGCGGTTGATCAGAATCTGGAAGTCGAGCTGGTACCAGACATCAAAGGCGTCAAAGATGAGGACGAGGTCATCTTCCTCGACGTCGTCCGAGTCGAGGTACTCGTGGATCGAGGTCAGTTTGAGGAAATGCGCCTCGAACTCGTCGCGCACTTTGTGCTCAAAGTTGATGAGGATCGGGTGCGGGTAGTTGTTGAGCGCGGACGAGAACAGGGACTTGCAGACGAGCTGGTTGATGGTCGTTGAGGGAGTGAGCATGTGCACGACGCGCGGCCCTTTAGGGGTGTCGACGAGCTTGCCGTACTTTGGCGGCTCGCGCTCGAACGTTTCTTCTTCTTTGCTCTCTGCGATCGGGGACTCTTCGGCGGCAGCAGCGGTGGCGGAGGGGGCGCGCAGTTGCGTGACGAGAGTGGAGGGCATGCCGTAGTAGGCGTCGTCTTCGAGATCATCGCCGTAGTCTGGATCGACTTGGGTTGGCTGAGGGTCGACAGCAAGCGCGCTCTCGCTCTCAAACACGGGCGTGGGCTCTGCGTCAGCAGCGGCGGTGGAGGGGTGGTGCGAGATCAGGAGGATGGAGGGGACAGAGTGGGTTGCCGCATGAGCGACGTCGACTTCTGAGACGAGGGAGTCGAGCAGGGTCGGGTCTGCTTTGAGCTGGACGATGTCCTCATGATCCTCAGGCTCGATCCACTCGAACTCGTTGACGGTGAGGTTTTCGGACGACGGACGGAAATTTGTGAGGTGGGTGAGGAGGTCAGGGTCGTCTTTGAGGACGCTAAAGTCGAGGGAGCTGTCGAGGCGGAAGAGGACGACGACGGTGGAGCAGAAGATGAAGACGACGAGGAGGATGATGTAGTGGTGGCGCCTGAGTTTGGTGTTCCACCAGTGGTGTCTCAGGGTTCTGAGGATCATGGTGAGGAGGGATAGAGGAGGGATAGAGGAGGTGATGAGGGTGGTGGTGAGGAAGAGGAGGAGGAGGCAGCAGAACAAAGAAGTCTCAGATCGCGGAAATAAGGCAACTTCTCGTCGGGGCAAGAATGAAACTATCGCCAGGTTCCGGCGCCCTGGTCTGGTCCACAGCCAACTGTGCTCTACGCGGGTGTGCTTGTATTTGTAGTTGTTCTACTGTTTTGTTTCGTCTGATGTGATAAATATACGAATATTATAATCACATTGATTTGGGATGTACGCAGCAGCGGATGTACGCAGCACTAAGGCGTTAGGACCCCAGGTTTCAACGGTCTGGCTGCAGCACTAGTCGTCCGGTTCCTGAACGGGTTACTATTTAGTGTATAGTGTAAAGTATTTAGTAGTTAGCGAGGATAGAGATAGAAGAGAAGAAGCAGCCACAGAACAATAACTAAAGAACAAATGGCTGCTACCTAAATCATAGGTAAACCATCACTAAACTATAGTGGGCCCTGATGTCTTCTCTCCTCTAAACAAGACTTGGCACCACTCAACGCCAGCTCGGTAATTCTCTCCGAACACTGTTTTACACTTGTTTATATCCCTAAACAAACCTCCTCTTCGTCTCTACTATCCTCTTCTCTTCCCTGCAACAGCACCCAGCCGGCTCCTCGGCAGCGCCTCCCTTCCCGCCCTTTTCTGGCTTTTCAGGGGAAGGCCACGCGTCCCCGGTCCGGAAAGGATCCGCACTAAATCGACCCCAGCCCGCAGCCGCCTGCAGCCCTTACGCATAACCCTATCCCACCCAAACCCTTTGCTGTGTAATGGATTAGTCATCATCTCTCTTCTCTTTTTCTCAATGCGTCTCTGTCTACTTCCTTGATATCCACCAACAATGTCAGACACTTCCGGTACGTGCTCTTCTCTCTTGCTTTCACTTCTCAATAACTTACCATGACAATATCAAGAACCCCGCAGGTCGCAGTCCCCCGAGACCTTCGACCAGACCTACGACGTGCAGCCTCCGTAAGCTTCTCCTATACTACCTCATACACTCACCACCCTCTAACCCCCCCAGTGCCGACGACAACGACGACCCGCAATCCTACGACAACTACAACGCCGACGCCGCCTCTCAATCCTACGAACAATACAACACCGAAACCGCCAATGCATCCGAGAACCCTCCCTCCGTCAACCTCTTCGTCTCGGGTCTGCACCCCAAAATCGACGAACAGGAGTTCAAGGCCATGTTTGACAAGTACGCGGCTATCAGCGCGCACATCATGAAAGATCCTCACACCCGAGAGTCCCGTGGTTTTGGATTTATTGGCTTTCCTGATATCGACGCCGCTACCTCCGCCAAAAGCGAAATGCAAGGCATCGTCGTCGAGGGCCGTTCAATCCAGTGCGTCATTCATCTCCTTCCCCTCTTCAACCCCCAACTAACAACCCCAGAATCGAATTCGCAAAGCGGAATCGGCCCCGCACCCCGACCCCCGGAAAATACTTTGGCCAAGTCGTCCGCGGCGGCCGAGGCGACTTCCGCGGCCGCGGCGGCAGATTCCCATCATCCTTCGACGACCGCGGCGGCGGCAGTTTCGGCGGCAGACCCCGCTACGACGACCGTCCCTACGCGCGCCACGACGACCGCGACTACCACCGGCATCATTCGCGGCACGAAGACGTCTATCGCGAGCGTGAGCCAGTGAGAAGCGTCGTCGCCGGGCGCCCGGACTACCGTGATCGGCTGCCGGTCGCGCCCGCGCGCTACGACGACCGCCGCGAGTATGACGACCGCAGATCGTATGATCGCCGTCCGCCGTCCGCGCCTTACTCTGATCGCTACGACCGCGGTGCGTACCCCGACCGAGACCACGACCGCCGACGCGACTACTCCGATCGTCCGGCTCGAGGATACCACGCCGGCCCGTCTTACGATAGACCACCGTACCCCGACCGCGGCGGCGCGCCCTACTCCCACGAACGAGACTATCCCGACCGGCCTGCCTACCCTTCCCGTGGAGGCTACGCCGACCGCGCAGACTATCCCCCTCAAAGACCGGCATATGATCCCCGGGACGCGCCCCGGGAAAGTGCATCTTACCGCGACCCATACCCCCCCTCCTCCTCCTCCTCATCCCGCGCCCCTCCTGCGATCCCCACCGGGCCTGCCGGCGCGTACCCGGACTATCCGCCCACCGGACCGCGCGCCTCTGGTCCTCGCTATGATAGCTACCGCGGCAGCCGCCGATACTAACTTTTCTCTTTCTCCATTCTTCTGTTTTATGCTCTTGCGGATATGATCAACCATGCTCTTGCGGATATGATCGACCGTCGCAATCTCAAATCAACACTGCTCAAAATGTGAACATCAAAAAAACGTTTTGTACAATATCTGGATTTACACCAGCCGTCTTCTGTTTTGTTTTTTGCTCTATAATTTACGCACGCTCAATTCAATCTCAGACAGAACGATCTCAGACAGAACGGCAAACAAATTAGCTCGTTATGTACAAATTTGTTCCGACACCATATTGAATCTTCTTCACACTACACAACCCACACAGCGGGCGAGGCTTACAACTTTCTTCAGTCGTTCCTTATTCATGTTGATCCACAGCCATTTACATAACTTTTATTAACCTTTCTCAACTACATCTATTCTATATCCTGCAATTCGACAATTCGAGTCAGCAGCAGCCAAGCAAAAGCGAAAGCAAACAGCACAGCACAGCACAGCACAGAAAACAGCACAGCACAGCAAACAGCTTCTTGCAGCACAACCAAGCCAAACCAGATCATCACCTCGTAACCCGCTTGCTGTGAAAGTCAGACTACACTCACTCACTCACTCACTCAGATCGTATTACACCCGTCAATCGCCCTCGCGATTCCTTATCTATTTTTTCATATCAAGTCAGCTCAAATACCCTCCTCGCCGCCCACACAACAAGCGATCAAACGAGCACCTATCTCATAATTAGCACCAAAAAACTCCACCTCTATACCCCTCTTTCTCAGCCAGTCAAAACTATACGCTAGACTGTAAATATACAAATTCAGAGATTTCGTATAGCGCGACTTGCTACTGTTGTTATACGTCGTACGGGATTGGGCGATGGTGATGATGAGTCAAGGAAGTAGGTAGGTAGTATATGATGGAAATATAGTGCGATGAGAGGCGCGCCGCCGGGGTGAATAAAGATGAAGATGCCGGTCGTGATCTGGTTTGCTTGACTTTCTTGTTCTTGTTCTGAATTCTGACTTCTAGCGACGAGGACAGGCTGAATACCAAAAAAATCGATTGTCGAGTGGCGATATGACATATGTAGAGGCGATCTGACAATAAAAAGATAAAGAAACAAAAACAAAATCGAGGTACGACTCAAATACAATCTTTGAGACGAAATGTTCACACAGACAGACACAAAGATACAAAACGAGACTCAAGAAATCAGCAACATACTGTACATAACCGTAAGAGCCAATCTTTCACAAAGAAAGCCAAAACATTTTCTTTTTTCGAAACGCGGGAGAACAAAATTTGATCAAAAACACAAACAGAAATAGTCAAAAAACAAAACATTTTGGACATCGTACATGGTATCTCAGAGCACGCGTTTGCGTGACATCAAAAAAATGAGCAAAAGCAGAGAGACATAGTTTAATGTCTCTCGCGGTCGTATCGGCCAGACCGCGGATAATCGTCGTAGCGCGAGTATCCCCGATCCCTGTCCGCGTAACGGTCGCGCTCGCGGTCCCGGTCACCACGGTACGGCTCGCGGTAGCGGTCTTCGCGGTCGCGGTCGCGGTAGCGGTCGCCGCCACGGTCGCCGCCACGGTCGCCGCCACGGTCGCGGTCATAGTAGCGGTCGCGGTCGCGGTCGTCGTAGTGGTCGCCGCCGTAGCGACGACGGTCGTCGTCGCGGCGGTAGCGGTCGTCGTAGTGCGGGCGTCGGCGGGGGGTTCTAAGTTGCTGCGTTAGTGACTGTGTGGAGTAGGTGTTGTTGGGTATGTCTTACCTCTTCTGCGGGGACCAAAGTATTTGCCAGGGGTAGGAGTGCGCGGACGACTGCGACGAGCGACCTCGATACTAATTCACAAAAAACACATCATCAGCAAACCGCACAAAAACACTCAAAAATATACTACTCACTTCAAAGCCCTCCCCTCAAAATCCTGGCCCTGCAGATTCTCGCGCGCAAGCTCGGCCTGCTCGCTATTCTCAAACTTGACAAAGCCAAAGCCGCGCGACTCGCGCGTGTGCGGGTCCTTCATGATTTCGCATTTCTCAACAGTGCCGTACTTTGAAAACAGCTCCGAGAGCTCGTCCTCGGTCACGCGCGTGGCGATGCCGGTCACGAAGAGGTTGTCGCCTTTGTTGACGGGTTCTTCTGGTTTGCCTGATTCGCTGCTGAGGGGACTTGTTAGACTGTGGTGCTGGGAACTTGCATGCATTGGTATACGTGGAGACTTACCGGTATTCACTTTCAGGAGCACGCTGCTCGTCGACGCGCATCGGCGACGCAGATCGTCTCTCGTCGTATCCGCTTTCTATTAAAAGACCGTTAGCAGCAGCTCAGAAACGCATGATTTCCTCGGCGACAAAACACAAAAACTTCCAACAACAAAACAGAGACAAGAGAGCAGCAGATCATAATCTTGCTTTCTCAATTTTTACACCATCCTTCACACCGCATTCTCATCCTATTCCGCATCCGCCCTCTTCAACTCTCAATTCCTTCCTCCCTCAAACATCCAAACACAATCATCCTCTCATCGCAAACAAACCCACTCCACACAGCAAAACGAGCGCCGCTCTTATAACCGACAAACAAGGAAAAAACAACATACCATACGCATCTCGCGATCCGTTTTCGTAATCCATCTCACTATCAGTTCCTTTTCTTCCTTCGAAATAATGCGGTATTCAATTAACTACCGCAGACTTGCTTCCCTTTGTCTGATTGATTGTCTTCCTTCGTCAACAGAAGAACTATTGAAAAAAACCAGATGCCGAATTCGCAAAGCGTGATTCTCCAATTACACACACAAAAAGAATTCCTCAATCCAAAAACACAAACAAAAGATCTCCAACTCGCGTAGTCTTCTGCTTCTGCTTTGTTCTGCTTTGTTTTGTTCTGCTTCGTCTTCTCTTCTTCTTCCGGTCTGCACGCGTTCTTGTTGTTGCTGTGGGCGGTCGCTGAGCGAAGGGGGTCGGTGCGCGCCTACAAGATCCGCGACCTTGCCCTGTGCTGTTTTCATGTGAGGGGTTTGTGTGCACGTGCGACTGCCCGAACTGGCAATACTCTCGCTATCCATCGTTTTTATTTTACTATACAACTATACAAGATCAGTCCCGATTGACCGCCGTTGCGATATCCCGACTGACATCCTCCGCGACCTGCGCCGCCTCCCGCAGCACCAGATTCCGATCCCAGCACTGCCGCCGCCGGTACGCGACGTCCATGATTGCAGAGTTGAGCTGCTCGAGCTGCTCGATCGTGAACTTGTCGGTCTCGTGCGCGAGCTTTTGGTGGAAGGATTCGAGCGCGGCCTTGTCGAGCTCGTACGGCGCGTGCGGGGCTTCTTCTGGCTCGGGAGAGGGAGAGGCGGCGGCGACGACGAGCGCGCCGTTGGGTTGACTGGCTGAGGTGTCTGACTGCGCAGATGTGTCGGCCGTAGCTACCGCAGGTAGTGATGGCGACTCCGTAGCGTCGTCAACGGTAGCAGACGACTCTGGCGCCGCAGTCGCGTGAATCTCGGGTTCCACTGACGCAGACTCGACAGTAGTACTAGCTGGCGGATCGATCTGCATCTCGTCAGGATCCTGGATACCACCATCGCCCTCAGCACCATCGCCAACAGGCTGCTGATCCACACCTGCGTCACCATTCTCAACAGCAGCGGACTGCACCGCATCCCCCTCCTCCACCTCATCCTCATCCGAAAACATATTCTCAATCGTCCGCGGCTTCGACAACATCACAGACTTTACCTTTTCCTCCTTCTCCCGTCTCTCGGCCTCGGCTCTTTCTTTCTCCTCCAGCTCTAGCTTATGCTGCGCCTGAATCGCCTGCATCTTTTCCTGCCGCCGCTTCTGCTTCTCCTTGTACATCTCCGCCCGTTGGGTTTCGCGCTCAAGCACCCGCTCACAGTCTATCAGGAATTGCGCGTCGCCAATCTCATCCACCGAAACCAAAACGTTCGCATACATCTCTGACGCCTTCAAAATCTTCTCGCGATCTCCGCTCGTGTTTGAATCCTCGAGGATAAACGAGATATCCCGCAAAAACTGCTTCGGCGTACAGTAGTACCCGTTCCACAGCCGGTCCTCGATAACGTCGAGATCCATGTTGTGGTACTTCTTCCCGGTACTTCGCTGCAGGATCATCTCGTCGTCGGTGACGGAGTACTCGTATAGCGCGTTCGGGTCGATTTCCGTGCCGTCGAATAGGTAGGCCAGATACTCGTCGTCCTATAGTCACTGTTAAAACTTGTCAAAAGACTCGCAAATTGGAAACAAAACGTACAATAGGAGGCTTTCTAAATCGTTTATACCGCACTTTAAGCAAATCCATCAAACCACTGAGTTTGATCTTGAGATAATTCTTAAGCCGCTTATCCTTATCCTCCTGTGCCTTCAACTCAGCCTTTGACAGCACTTTTGGCGGATCAGGTGGCGCTTTCGGCAGTTCTTCGAGTTTCCGCCGCTTGCGGTTTTCAAGGTCGGGATAAGCTTTGGGAGAGTTGGAGATGTGTAGCGCCACGCCTTTGAAGAAATCGTATCGTTCAGACTAGTTTGATTCAAAGATTAGTAAGCCGACGCTAAACTCCAGAGTAGTAACTTATGACTTACATATGACGCCTTCTGGATCTCGATCCTGTTAGCTCTGGAAAAGCCAAACAGAGCCTTAACCTCGTGGTCCAAATACTCAAACCCGCTTTCCACGACCGCCAAAAGCAAAATCTGCTCGACAGGCGAAATGCCTCTCAACAAACCTTGGAATGTAGTCCATGCTGACGGCGTTAAAGTCTTGTACCACGAGTCGATGTTGGGGATGAAGATTACGCTCGGGGTATGCCGTTTGACCTCGACAAAGAGCTGCACAATCGCTGCTTCGACAGTCTTTTTAACTGTTAGAAACCATCTTGTAGACGTGCACAAGAAACAAGTACTCACCCTGGTTGGATCACCTAACAACGTTGCCAGATCAAATGTCTGCACATGGTAACCTTCTAGGTACTGCATTACGGCCGCGCCAAGATACTCTTGGCCCATCCCAGGAGCACCAGCAATCAGGATCCTAGGTCTAAATACCCTCGAAGACTCAAACTCTGCCATATAAAGTTAATCCTCCATAACCACAACACCAAGCAATAAACAAAAAACCAACCTTGCATCATATTCTCCCGCGCGAAACCGTTATCAGTCACATCTTCCTCGTACATAGCTTCCTCCATAACCGAGAGCTTTTTCTGTCGAGGAATGACGTGGTCTAATGCCTGCTTGATCTCGTCAAATGTGCTGCTGAGCAGTGGTTCGACGCGCTTAGGAATCGGTGCGGCATTTGACGCCGTGGATCGTTGCGAGGAAGGTATGATTTCTAAAGTATAGGTCAGCTCATCTGCAAACACATGTAATGTCAAAAGACGAAAGGTCGAAAATACTTTTCAGAGATATGATAAAGTCTCTAGGAGACACCGTAATCGAGCTCGGATCGATGACTAGCTTATCAGAGCTAGTGTAAATCTGAGGATACCGACGCTGGATAGCATTCAACGCCGACTCAGTGCACAGCGCTCGAATATCCGCACCACCATATCCCTTCGTCAACGTCGCAATCTCATCAACAAACTCAGGCTGCAGAGGCGGATTCCACCCTTTTGTCTGAATCTCTATGATTTTCTTTCGTCCGTCGACGTTTGGAAGTGGGAAGTAGAATTCTCTGTCGAAACGGCCTGGGCGACGGAGCGCAGGGTCGATCGAGTCTGGTCTGTTGGTTGCGCCGATGACGATGACTTGGCCGCGGTTGTCCATTCCGTCCATGAGAGCCAGTAGCGTTGAAACAATAGACGCATGAATCTGTTCCTGCTTCGACGATCGAACCGGAGCGAGACCTAGACAAAAACGAAAGACTGTGTTAGACACAACACCAAGACGGTCGGTAAAAATTGATACAACATACCATCAATCTCATCAAAGAAGATAATACTGGGCTGCGTATTCTTTGCTTCCTCAAACAACAGTCGCAATTGACGTTCAGCTTCACCCACCCACTTTGACAACGCATCCGCACCCTTCCTCATGTAGAACGAGATCTTCCGCCCGTCAGTCGAGCAGCTTGCTGCCAGCGCTCGTGCCAGCAGCGTCTTACCAGTACCCGGAGGACCGTGGAAGAGCACGCCTCGTGGCGGAGTTACTTTGAAACGCTGGAAAACCTCAGGGTAGAGCAACGGCAAAGCGACCATCTCCTTAAGTTGCCGGATATGCTCATCCAAGCCACCGACGGCGCTAAAGTCAATGTTCATATCGACTCCCAAGGGATCCGTATCCGACAGGTTGTTCTTCTTCACGAGACCCAGTGCAGACGACGGATTTGTGACTTGCTCGAGATCAGCGAGATTCGGAAGCTTATTAGTTGGGTTTTTGGCAGCCTCGTCGTCGGACGAGTCGGAGTCGGCAGCACCGCCGGCGGCTTGTAGACCACCCGGTCCTTTGACGCCAAACAGAGATGTAACCCCCGCACCACCAAAGGGGCCGTAAGTTGAATATAACCGTCGTCCGCCCGTGTTTGTACGTTTCCGAGACTCGGTGGGAGCAAACATCTCGTCGTATCCTTCAGGGATAGGCGGCGGTATAATCTGGTAATTGACTTCGCGTCGAGCGCGTAGGTTTTTCCGACGATTCTGCGGCGGCGGGCTAAGTTCTGAAAGCTCCCGCTGCAACGACAAATGGTCGTCGTCATCGTCATCAGTATCACCGCGCTTTCGGCTCCTTGTAGCTGCCGAGCGAGTACGCGTTACGCGCGTGCTGCGTCGTCTGGGCGCGGCAATTGAAAAGTCAGAGTCATCAACGATGCCGTTATCTGTTCCGGAAGAGAACGAAGGCTCATCGTCGTCGTCTTCAGCACTCTCGCTTTCTGATTCGATCTCGAATTCGTCGTCATCAGGTTGATGGGATGAGGACCGTGTGGATTTCTTGGATCGGTCCCGCTGCGTGGGTTTTGCAGCCTCTTGTAATAGTTGCTGCCGGATCGAGGTGCCGGATAATCTTCGCTCTCCTTTGCCTGCACTCGAAGGTTGCTCCTGCTTCTCGACCGAATTCTGGCGACCGCTCGCCGACGACCGTCTGGTTGATCTCCTTCCTTCGGTCTTGTCCTCGGGGCTAGCGGTCCCAACGTCTTGTGCAGCAGCGGATCCATTGCTACCGGTACCACCGGATCCATTGCCGAGAACACTTTTCCTTAACCGAAGACGAACATGTAGACTCTTCCCAGTCCGACCACGCTCATCGCCACTTCCTTTCTCGTCCTCGTCCGGGGTCTCCTCCGCTTCCGGCTCCTCATCCTCATCGTTGCCGTTTCCGCGGTACCCATGTCCGCTACCATCATCATCCTCATCCTCATCATCGTCGTCATCAGCTAACGCCATCTCGAACTCGTCGTCGTCGGATTCGGCATAGTTGACGCGCTGCCGCGAAGCGCGGCGAGCGACAGCCAGATCGTCGTCCTCGTCATCGTCGCCTGCCGCGCCCGAGAGCCGCGGGGTCTTGCGCGAGCGCTTCCGTTTGCCTGCCATTGCTGTACGCTTGAGCGGGTAGTCTGAAGAGCGGTCTGGAGGGATGGCGCGAGGAGAGGAGGTAATTGAGTTCAGCCGGGGTTCAGCGGCGTGAGAGATTCGGGCTCAACGAAGATGACAAAGCAGCGATGCAGCTGTCTCTGTGGTATCAAACAGGTGCCAAAACAAAGGAAGTGCAAGAGTTGGACTCCACAACCAAAGAGATCGTCTCTAAGAATAATAGAAGGAGACAGGGGAGCAGGGATGGGAGGTCAGGAAGAGTGTTTGGATTGGAAAGCGGGCTGGAGTGCTACGTTGTCCGCGAGGGCGACAACAGGAATTAGAGTTTTTTTCTTATTTGGGCGTGTTCCCAGCGCGGTCGGCGCACAAGCAGACAGGCATTGACGGCCTCGGATCGTCTGCTGCGGTCGCCCGCGGCAGAGCAGGTGGAGGAGGTGCTCCGAGTCGTGTTGTTGGCTACAATACGTAAAAGAGATACAAACCCATCTATTCTAAGGAGAAAGAGAGAGACAGGAAGCAGATCCCGGCCGAAATACAAAGGCGATTATAAAATTCAGGGGCGACGGCATCTCATCGCGCGTGGTTTTAATTATTTTTATTTTTATTTTTATTTTTAATCGTCGACGGACAAAACTCGATTCAGAATCCGCGGACAAAGCCCGTCTTTTGGCTGCTTTGCGTCTGCGCCAAAACCGAGGCTGCAAACCGCGCTCGCCGAGCTGCATATCTGCGTAGTTGCTGCTGCGGCTGTGCGCAGCACAAAACCCTCTGCGGCTTACTTAGGAGGAAGATCACGTGATGTGAATACGCCTTTTATTTTATCATCAGCGCCCAGTATTATACATGATACATTTCGTTGCAAGCAAAAGCAAGCATGATCCCAAAACAAAACGCCTCTCCAATGTACAAATCCAAAAACAGTCAAGCAACTAATCAAAATAACATCAAACAAGCTTTAGGCGAAATGATTGACTTTTACAAATCTCAGTCTCTTCAAATTTCCTTCACCACCTTCTCAGTCAGGTTGCTGCCGTTCGCACCGCCCTCAGTGTGCGACGATGCCGAGTCGGAGTGCAACCGCGGGACAACGAGCGTGGGCTGGTTCCTGTAAGGCTCGATAGGGATCCCATCCGTCTGCGTGGGTGCGGACCACGCCATGAAGTCACGGCGTACTTCAACGTAGTCGTACGCAAACTCGCCGATCTGGTCCTCATCCATACCGCGCATTTCGGCGTCCTCGTCCGCGCGCAGCTTCAAACCAGGAATCTTGTTGAGCACCATGCAAATTACACAGGTCATCACAAATGTGTACGCGGAGCACGCGCATACGTAGGCAAACTGCTTGTACAGCGGCGCCCAGTGCTGGTTGATGAATCCGCCAGTAACCCCAATGTTAACGCCGTCCAAGCCAATAACGTAGTCGGCCGCAAAGAAGGCGTTCCACAAGAGACCGATAATTCCAGCGACGCCGTGCTCGGCAAACAGATCGAGCGCGTCGTCAATCTTGAGGAAAAACTTGAGCTTGGTAGACAGATTGCAGACGACGCCGGCAATGATTCCGAGCGGCACCGAGGCCCAGAGCGGGACAAAGCCAGAGGCAGGAGTGGCGGCGACAAGACCAGAGATAAAGCCCGAGCAGATCGCTACGGTCGACCATTTCTTCTCGAGACGGTAGTCCATCAGACACCAAGAGATCGCTCCAAAGACGGCGGTCAGGTTAGAGTTCCAGGTCGCGTAAATGGCTCTGATGTTTGCACCAAAGGAAGAGCCACCGTTGAAACCAAGCCATCCGAACCAGAGGATGATAGTGCCGAGAGTGACGAGCGAGACATTGTGCGGTCTAAAGTTAAGCAAAAGTCGATCCGAGCGACGGCCGAGAACGAACGAGTACGCGAGACCCGCCACACCAGATCCAATCTCGACGGGGCCACCGCCAGCGTAGTCAAAGACGCCCCACTTGTATGCCCAGCCGTTGGAGTTCCAGACCCAATACGCAATCGGGCAGTAAACGATAGTCGCCCAGATGAAGCAAAAGACCATGGCAGGGAGGATGCGACCGCGCTCAGCGACGGCGCCCATGATGATGGCGAGTGTGACAGCGCAGAACATGCCCTGGTACATGGCGAAAAGCAGCTCTGGCACGAGCGGGGTTGCGGCCGGAGGAGCCGCGAGGACGTTGCGCAGACCGATAGAGCGCAGGTTGCCGATATACTTGTTGGAGGCAGTGGGAGAGAAGGCAAGGGAGTAGCCCCAGAAGTACCACTGGACGATAGCGACAGCGCCGCCCATGAGACAGGCCCAGATCATGGAGAGCGCGGACTTGCGACGCGCGAGACCAGAGTAGAGGAAGCCCAGGCCGGGGACCATGATGAGGACCATGGCGGCGCATATCATCACGTAGGCCATGTCGCCAAAGTCGTAGTAGACGTTGAGGTCTTCGATGGTCGAATCGCCGCCAGTAGGCAGGGTGGAGTTGAACTCGACGGCCATTGATCAGATGAGATGATGAGTGCTGTTGAAGGACTGTGGAGAGAGGTGTGGAGGGTGTGGAGGCACTCTGCGAACTGGCGATGGAAGAACGTACGAGGAGAAGAAGGAGAAGGGGGCAGATAGAAGTATTATAAGCATCGACGGCAGCGAGCAGGAATAAACCGGGGCCAAGTCCTCGAAAAGCCGTCTGCCGAGCCCGACATCGGAGCCTTTCTTACTGTGAGACTTTGGCGGGACCGTGCTTAATTAGGACTAGCGCCACCATTTTAAAGTTTAAAGACCAGAGCTTCCCGAGAGGAGAAAAATTTTTGAGCGGAGTCGGTGGCAGCAGACGTCAAGCAGCGCGAGATGGAGAGAGAAAAAAAACGAGAAAATTCTGCCAAGAGCAGCAGGAGGATCAGCTACTAAATAAAAGGAAATGAGCGGTGGAAGAGGAGGGAAGCAGAGAGCAGGAATCAGCTTGGCGCCAGCGAGACGGGCGGAGCAGTCGCATACGAGTCGACTGACTGTCTTTCTCGGCCAAGTGCGGCTTCTCTGCCGTCTAACCTTGCTGGTGCCTGCAAAGATAAGCCTAAACTGCCTGATTGGCTGCCCATTGTCCCTGCAGAAACCACTTTCGAGGACCCGCAGGCAGCGAGTTCTGCCCAGGACTTGCTCGTCCGCAGAGCAGAGATGAGAAGCAGAAAGAAGAAGAGGCGTTTTCCAGGGAGGACCAACCCCGCCAGGCCGGCGCTTTTTCTGTATTTCTGGACACGCGAGCACGGGTTGTGGCGCTACTGTGGAAGAGCGCTATCAGCACCAAAACTGTCCTGAACGCGGAATGACGTGGGTGGCGCCCGGAGGCGTTATTGGCGAGCCAATCTCACCCAGTTTGGCTTTGCTCTCTGCTCCCACATGCTATCAGCTGAGTAAATGTGTTTTAATACAGCAAACGAGAAGTTTTTCTTTCTTTCTTTGTTCTTCGCTGCTGTTTGTTGTTTTGTCTTGTTATCGCATGACCTGCACCAGTTGCCGATCCCAGTGCTGTTATCGGCCAGCTATCTGCTGGGCAGGGGGCGGCTCTTGGCGATAATTGCTGCTGCCTCTGCTCCTTCTGTATAGTTCTCTGCTGCCCTCTGCTCATTTGTAGAGATAAGAGAGTGTTCAAAAGTGTATTGTACTTCTGGCAGTCTAGGAACAGGAACAGAAAGCGTAGAGTGAGAGAGAGGGATGGAAGGGTCATTGGTGACTGCGATCTATCAGCCAGTTCTAATGAACGTGAGTCTGAGTCTTTTGACTAGTCATCCATTATTCATGACTTCAGACTCTCGGTGCCATTGAGTCTGCACAGCCTGACTTGGTTTATCTCAATACCGCCCAATCGGCCCAGATCAGACACAGGTATCTCTACACAATATCTCATACAACCACCCCACTGCTCATATATCATTATTCCTCCAAGACAGATTCCGACCGAGACCGTTAGCGCGTGCGGTGCTGCTCGCTGAAGGCAACTTGATCGTAGATCTTGATCAGAGACAGTCGAGATATTATGTTTACCAATTTGATGGTTAGGGTACACCCAGCATACTAAATGCTTTCTTTGGACATTTTGGCATTGCTTTTATAAATATAAAAAGGAGAAGATGCTCTTATCTTCAATAATACGTGCACTGGAATTATCATCGGATTAAAGTCTGTGGTAATCCAGGTGTCGCATATGGACTATGGACACAAAGAGATCTCATCATCTTCCACCCAATAAAAACTCCTGGGTTCGTAAGAACGTACGCGGCCATTGTCGACGCCTGCACAGACTCCTAGCGTCCTGCTTAGCGCGAGGAATGGATCCAATGCTGATGCTGGGAATGCGGTTATCGCGATAATATGATTATGTCATGGACCTCATAGTATGGTAAAAAGACGATGCTCCACCGCCTCTACCATGAGACAGCAGACCAAGTCCTCCTTCATCTCTATTTATTGTAATAGCTGGCGAGACGCAAGATCACAGAACCACCCGCTGGTCTACAGTCACAACACAACAAACCAATTCCGACGCAAATACCTGCTAATAAGCAAACCCTCCGCAACAGATATCACACCAATTCCAAGCATCATTAGCCGTGGTCCGCACAATGAACAAAACGCCCCACTTTTAATTCGACTATCGGCATCGGCGACAATCCTGTCACAGATGACGTCTCTCTCAATCACGTGACGAGAAGACCTGTCAGAATGGACAGACTCCTAAATGCCCGTTATGAAGGCCTGAGAGTTGGCGACTTCGCGTCGAGTTCAGGCCATGGACCAACGTCTTCCTCCATTATCCCTATCTGCTCGCTTCCAGACCTCTGCTCGCTGTGGGATTAGGTGCAAGCACAATAGCGGTGCGGTGCGTGGCGTACGACCTGTCCACCGATCATCTTACGAGCCTCGCTTATTTTGGTCTCCATCGTGCGAAGTTTTATTTATTCATTAATTTATCTCAGCGTTGCTCGCCCTCGGGTAATCCTGCTGAACTTCCTCCACCACCGCTCGCTACCTTCGCCTCCCCCAAATATAATGTATCGCCGATCCTAACTACCGCAGACTTTGGCTTTTCTGAACCGCGTTTTGGGTTTTGTCTCGTTTCTGCTCGTCGGCCGCTCTTGAGGTGTAATTACACACTTGGGTCATGTCACCCGTCTCTCGATCTTCATATTACTCTCGGACTTCCCCCTGATCACTTTCCTCTCCTCGAGTTCGAACTACCACTATATCTGCGCCAGGCTGCTTTAATAGCCTTGTTCCTGCCCTACTCTCGACCCTCGGAAGTGGAAGCTCGATTCAAGCGCTCAAAGCGAACCCGTCTTATCGAGCCCACCTAGATCGAACACGTGCATCTCGAACTGCCGTTCCGTCCGTCCCGTCCTTATCCTCTCACTCAGCTCGACAATAGATCTTCACGCGCAATGGGTAGCAAAGAATCTATCCGAAAAGGCACAGTATGGACGCGGTCCCCGTTTTACCGGTACATGTGCGCCATCCGCCGCTCGCCGCCAATGATCTATAATCGCCACCTGTTCCTCTGCGTCTTTGTCTTTGCCTGCACCGGCATGCCCAAGGGCTGGGACGAAGGCAGCTGTGCCTCAATCACAAAGCTGGGCTCGTTCACATCCGAGTTTGGTATTGACACCGACAAGGACTCGGGCACGATCTCCAATATCGTCTCGTTCGTCAACCTCGCGGCCGGCGTCGGCGCCATCTTGTCCATGTTCCTCAACGACCGTTACGGCAGAATATGGTGCCTGCGCTTGTACATGGTCATCTACCTGACCGGCTGCTTGGCATCCACATTCGCATACGGAAACATTGGTGCCTTGTACTTTGGTCGTCTCTGGGCTGGTCTCGGAATCGGTGCGGCCTCTGTCATCGGACCTACGTATGTCTTTCCACCTCCTATCTCGTTACTGTTTTCAAGAAAATGCCTACTGACTCTCTCTTTATCTCTCAGGTACATTGTTGAGGTTGCCCCGAAAGCCACTCGCGGTCTGATGACTCTATGGTTCAATCTTTGGATGCTTCTTTCACAAATGATTGGCGTCTTTGTTGTCTACGGAGTCAAGGTCCATATCTCGCCCAAAAAGACAATTCAGTACCAGATCCCCTTCTTTGTCCAGGTCTTTGTGCCTTGCATTTGCATCGGCCTTTCATTCCTCGTGACCGAGAGTCCTCGCTGGCTCGCGCTTTGCGGTCGCTACGAAGAGAGCGCGGACGCACTTTGCAAAATCCGGAAATTGCCGCGACAGCATCCTGTCCTTGAAGCCGAATTTAACGAGATCAGGGGCCAGATTGAGCAGGATTTCGATTCCTACGGACGACTCTCGCTGAAAAACCAGATGGTTGAGATTGTCACTATTCCGACCAACCTGCGTCGCCTACAACTGTCATTTATGGCGTATTTCCTTGCTCAATGGTCTGGTGCTAACGGAATCACAAATTACCTGCCCACTATCTTTGGTTTGATTGGCGTCGAGGGCGATGAAAAGACAATCTACTCCACCGGCCTATACGCCTTCACCAAGCTCATGACCACATTAATCGCATCCCTCTTCTTCACCGACGCCGTCGGTCGCCGAAAATCGCTATTAATCGGCGTTCTCATTCAAATGTGCTGCCACTACTATCTCGGCGGGTACCTCAAATACTATCTCGCAGACCCCACCGGTATGCCCACCGGCGCCAGTCGCGCTGCGATCGGCGCTATCTTCATCCACGCCTTTGGCTGGTCCATCGGACTATACTCGCTTCCCTACATCTTTGGCTCCGAGCTCTACCCGAGCCGCGTGCGCGCGCTCGGCGGCGCTCTCTCGCAGGGCTTCCACTGGCTGTTTTACTTTGCAATCACAAAAGCGACGCCCGGTCTCTTCAACGGCATGAACGTCTGGGGCACGTTCATCTTCTGGGGCACCTGGTGCGCGATCTCGTGGGTCTACGGCTTCTTCATGGTTCCCGAGACCAGCGGCCGCAGCCTGGAAAGCATGAACTCGCTCTTCCAGTACAAATGGTACGAGCTGCGCCGGCATGCCTATCCGGAGCCGGAAGATTTGGCAGAGTACCCTTACGACGTCGATTACACGACCATGCAGCTCAACGACACCGAGGCTGGAAGCAAGTTGTCTGAGAATAATCACCATGTGGGAGAGAAGGGCGAGTCCGAGTCTTCCGCCGACGGCCTGCTTCAGAGATAGTTCTGTTTTTCTTCTCAGTTTTTGTTTGTTTGGGTGCTAGGTAACTTTGGATTTTGGGCGCGAGTTTGTTTAGTTGATTTTGGTATGAATCCGTATGGATCCTAAAGTTTTGCGTTTGCGTTTTGGGAGTTTTGATATGAAGATTGCATGATGATACACTGATGTGCATTTTTGTTTATACACATTTCTATACATTTTTGCGATTTTTGTTTTTGGTGTAATGAATGACGGTATAATAATGAATCAATAACCACACTGAATATGATCAAAGCTATCTTCCCGGCGCTCTATCTACGAATAGCAAGGTGGAAACTAGCTTCTTACCCGCCGTCAAGCGCGACGCAAATCAAGTGCTACGAGGAGAGACTTGATCCAGGAGAGAAAAAAACCAGTGTAATAACATAGAATGAACTATTTACAGGAACCTGAGTAGAAATAAGACCAGTAAAAAAAGTGAGAATAGACAAGATTACTGTAGATGTTAAGGATTAAATGAGAAAAAAGAAAGAAAAAATCATCGGGTCTATGGACTCTGTCAGGTAAATACCAGTCTAAAATACCAAATCACGAGGGAGCAAAAGTACCAAACGTACTAGAACCACAGGAAGAATAACAAGATTCAAATGCACAACACAGCAAATTAAACAAAATCACAAACAGAAAGCAGCGCATCGGCTACTCCTTCTCAGACTTGCCAGCGGCGGCGGGTGCGCCGACAACACCAGACTCGATCTCGGAACTATACCGGCTAGTGCTCGAGGGGGTCGAGCTTTCGTTTTTCGAGTCCGCCGACGCGACCAGCGCGTCTTTCTCGTTGAGCGCACCGTCGTCCAAGTCGGTCTTGTCGTCTGTCGGGCCGGCGGAGCCGTCGGTGACCGCAGCGGCGGCCGCAGCGGCCTCGAGGTCCTTCTTCGCCTTGATCTCGGTCTCGACCCATTTCTTCAGGACCGGGACGAGCAGCTGCGCGACCAGGATCTGCTCGCCCTGGTAGAGTACGAGCGCGATCGAGACAAGACCAATCTTATCGGGGCTGCCGGAGTACTGCGCGTTGATGAGCGGCACGCCGAGCGCGACGGTCTTTGCCGCACCGCACAGGCAGATGGCGACGGTGTCTGGTCGCGAGAAGTGGTATTTCTTTGGCAGGAACGGGCAGCGCGCGAGGAGCAAGCAGATGACGGTGTAGAAGAGGTAGAGACCAACGTTGAGGAAGCAGACCATGATAACGGAGGCGTGCGAGACCTCCTCGAAGGCGCCCGTGGCGAACGAGTTACTGAACGAGGACCAGATGAGGAGCAACAGACAGAAGGTACCGACTTTAGCGAGCTTGAACTTGGCCAGCAGGTACTTTGTCTGACTCGGGAAGAAGTACTGAATCATCTGACCGACGAACAAGGGCACGAAGAGCGACAGCCCGAGTTGCTTCATGACGTGGCGGTACAGCTCCGTCATGCTCATGTCCGCGGTCGGGTTACCGTAGCTGAAGCCAGTGTTCTTGGACATAAACATTTGCGCCAGCGCGGGACTGATGAACGCGCCGAGCACGTTGCCGATTGAGACTTCAATCAGCGAGAGAGACTCGTTTCCCTTTGCGGTACGGGTCATGACGACGTTCGAGGACACCGTCGTAGGCGTGCAGCCGGTGATGATGATGCCGATTAGAATCCAGGGGCTGATGTTGGGGTTGTGCGCTCTGCGAATGGCAGACGCAAAACCAAAGGCGATGGCCGGGGTAATTAGGAACGAAGTGACTGTACAAGCGTTAGAAGTGAAGCATATAAAAGAGACATCTGTCATTTCAATTTTGAGATTTGAAGACATACCCTGGGTAACCAAATGCGCCTGCCAATGACCCGCCTCCTGAATGAGCTTTGCTCTCGGGATATTCATTCCCGAAATAACAAAGATGATTGCGACCGCGACATACTCAATCGTGATATCCGCGCGAATATGTCCATGGTTCTTCGCCACGCTCGGGAACTTGTACGCCAGCGCGACAACGACGCCCATGCCGATGATGAACCATTGACTGATCAGGTAGTCGACAACCGCCAGCGTACGGCGCAGCCATAATGGTCGCTCTTTCTTGTCGGCCATTGCGCGTCTTGGAAATGAGAAAAGGTGGTCGTCGTGGGGGGGAGGGGGTGGGTAAGAATTTTTTTAACTGCTTCGCGGTTCGTGTTCTGTTCCGCCTTGAATATGTCTGTGAGTTGCTGTGCTGCGAGGAAAAATGGTAAAGCTGTACTTACTTCTATGATATGCCAACAGAAAAAAAGGACGACTTCAACGCAATAAACTGTTCTCAGCGCACAAAGGGGGAGGCAAAAAAACCTGTCGGCAAAGAGCTGAAGTTAGTCTTTTGATACCGGGCTGATAAGCACCGCCACAGGGCTTCCGATAGACGAGTGGTTTGTTCAGCTTCGAGTAAGCGAGTCTAGGCCACGGCGGCGAGCGGGAGTATTTTTGCAAAAGGACAGGAGGCTGTACTTACGGCAACAGCGTATGTCAAGGCACTTTCAATCCCTGAAAATGAGGAGCAGAGAGGAAAATGAGAGTGTGTGGGAGAGGAGCAATTGTGGTAAAGAGGCACGAGTGTAAAACCTTGTTTGGCCTGCCTGCCGGCGGGCTGCTGCCTGCCTTTTCTCTCGCTCGCTGCCCGGTTCGCTATCGGCGGTTCTCTTTGTGCACTCAACCCGGCGATAAATCCCCACCGACGCCCCCCACACCCTCGGTCTCCCCACCTGCCGACAGTTCTCCACATCGCGCGGAGCGCATCAAACTCACCAGTCTCTTGTTTGAAAACCGCATCTCCTGCCTTCTTATCTTTGCTGCCCCTCAACAGTGTATTGTTAAGATTTTCACTCGTGCGGCTGTCCCTTTGTAGATATCACGTGGTTTGATATCATTAACCTAATCAAGGTTTGGCTATACCCATAAATTTGTGCTTTCGGTCAATCAAAATCCTCCCGGCGGAAAGGAGGATCGACGGATCGTATAAGAAAGTGATATAACAAAGAGCACGTAGTAGAGCGGATTCTGGATCGAGTGCGCGTCCGTCGGATAGGTCTCGCTCGCAGACGTGGTTGGGAGCATTAGACCGGCTCATCGCAGGCTTGGCTTCTACCCGCCTGCTGATGTTCGCGGCGCGTACATCGAGATGTCCCAGTTTCGAATCGCCCTCTTCACCCCCCGCACCCCCTCCGAGTCTTGACTTTCCAGCCTTCCGATCCACGTGCGGCAAGCAGATATTCACACAGACAAGCCCAAGCTTAGCCGGGTTCATATCACCCTAGCCGGCCGAGGCTTGTCTATCTCTCTGTTCGCGCTCTCCCCGCATTCTCTTTAGCTTTTTTCCGAATCATAGACACAGTGAGCTGCCCATCGACTCTCTTATCGTTGTCATAATGCCGCTCCGGTTTTCCCCGCATCGGCCTCGTTCCCCGTTCCTGTCCCGCTTCCTTTCCTCCGACTCACCGTTCCGGGATCGTCGCGTGGTTCAGTAGTTTCATGCGCTGGCTATGTCATATTGCGTATCGGGAAGCTGCACAGTGCACTCTGCCATGGTGGTGAGATGTATATCCGACGACTGGCAGGGTTAAAAGCTAGCGAGATGACGATCGAATAGCTCCAGAAGCTGCACTCTGCGGCATGTGTATTTTGGCGCTTGACTGCTTTGTGTTGAACTCGGTACAAGTCGGTCATTTGCACTGTTCGTGATACCCTGGTTATGGTGCTGCTGATGTCATATCCCTCTTTATTTTCCGTCACAATCCTGTGTTCTTCTAGTTATCTCTCTTCCGCTTTGCTTTGTATGTTGGAGGCGACTCTGTTGGCCGATTCGCGCCTGTGACTCGGGGTCCTCCTAACTGTAGGCAAGCAATCCACATGCCGCTACTCCCGCGCCGACGCGTCTCGTGCGTCACTCGCCTGAAACAGAATAAACCAAACACCTTGGGCGAATTGCATTATCCAGAAACCCAATCAGAGAGAGACGAAAAAGGAGGAAGGTGCAAAAGGGAGAGAAAAAGGTAGTGGAAAAGAAGAGGGGTTGTGCTGTGGTTTTTATTTTGTGCGCAGCATGGCTAATCGGCAAGATCTGTGGAATTTCAATCACGCATTCTGCACTGTGGCTATCGCTATCTCTCTCCCCTTTTTTCTGTCTTTTTTGGAACTTTGATCGGGCTTTTCAATCATCGGATTTAAAGCATATGTGTTTTAGCGCCTAAATTAAATGGCAGGAATCGAAGAGGCCTCGGATATTCGAATACCTACAACATTCGTTCATCAACGCGATGCAACAGCACTGAGCTACAGTACACTAGTTCTCAGCACACTTTCGACGATAATTTCAACCCGTAAACTTATTTAAATATCAAAGGAATATTGTCTATTTATATTCTCTTTATATTCTCCCGTCTTTAAATAAAAATGGAAATCGAAACTTCGGATGGACCGGCACAACCTCAGATGACGTCAGGATTTGCTAAGCACGCAGCTAGCCGCTCATCTCAGATCTGAACCAAATTTCTATTTCGAGACCGCCGGCCACCAGCAGCGCAAGCATGTTTGTTCGCTTTTTCGATCTTTCTGTAAATAAACTATTTTCGAACAATCGGTGCGAGGAAAGTTCCGAATCGAGGCTTTTTATCATCGGTCTGGCGTAGGCTCCGAAGGCGTGTCTTGCATGACTGGCGGGGAACCAAAGCGGCTTTCCGAGAAGGTTCCGAGAGCGTTGAAGACAATGCGCCTCGGTATTTTGTAGAAGGGATTTATAACAGGCTATAGAATAAAAAAAACGAGATAAATAAATTTGGAAAAATAAAAAAAAGAATAAATAAAAATAATGTTATATGACGTCGGTGAGAATATCATCTGGACAGTCTCGATATTCCAAGGCATTACTGAAGATGATATGGTGACATGCCGTTGCTGTCCACATCGGTTGGTTGATCTTTGGGAGAAAAAATCTTCAAAATTCTCGAGTTCAAACAGAATACTGTAGTTGGGAGGGTATCATAAACAATAGAGCTGACAGATGTCCTCTTCAGAGACAAAATCGAACAGCGTGGCAAGCGGGGGAGGAAGTGGGATGAAGGAAGTGAAGGCCGTGCGCGATTCGAACAAGACCCAATTAGATCAAGCGAGGGGTATAATCTGCCTACCCTTAGCTGTCATTTCTCTTCTGTGAGAGGGGCTGATCCCACGCGGGTCTTCATCTTGCGATGGGAGAGATCGCGACACAGCAGGGATTCTTGCTTGGTTTTGGCAACGCGTTTGCTGATTTTGCGGGTGACTTGGTAGATGGGGATTGTTTGCATAGTGAGCTGTTTGCAGTCAAACTGAGCTGGGAGAGATTGGAATTTTCGGAGAAGGCAGGCGAGCATAGAATGAAATAGTCGACTCTGTGCGAACAGCCATAGACTCATTCAACTCAGAAAAACCACAGGCAGATCGACAATTCTCTAAAGCTGTACAGACGTTGTTGCGTTGCTGTGTAGTTCGATGAACAGGTGGTGAATCGCGGGTTTCTCGAATATTGGGATGAATGACAGCTACCAGCTTGATCCGTACGAACTGTCTGCACGCGTATTTGAATAATCCGCAGGGACGGATAGATGAGTACGCGCAGAGAATAGTCAAGTCTGGATTATATTTGAGAACATTTTTCTCAACATCACATCTTCTTCGCTTGGATTCTGGATGGCTGCTGTTTCGAACTTCGCGTTTTCTCAAAGAGGCGCGGCGTCATCCGCACGCGTATTTGAATCAATCACACAAACACGAAAACGAGTACGCACAGTTGACAAATGAGCTTCATAAATAGTCCAGAATAATCTTTTCAGCGTAATACTCTCTTTAGTGGTCTTGGGTTGGCTGCTTTGGAATATCTCGCGTATGTCTGAGAGACGTCGATCTCGCGGGTGGGCATTTTCGATGCTAAATTGAACGCTTGTCAGCCAACTGAAAAAGAAAACAGATAGATGATCAAACAATAAGACCTAAGCAGTACTTGAGGTGTGAGCGCAATGTCTTTTTCGAAAGTGAGTGTCTGGAAAGCTGCCTTGAATGCTGGTGAGTTTTTGAGCGCAGCGGGTCTTCTGCGTCCACCGTTTCGCTATAGACCCAAACAGCACCAATGCTGCTGAGCTATAAAATTCCAGTGATGATATCCATTCTTCCATGTCAAAGTATACTGCTCATCTTTTCGGAACCGAGAGACAAGGAGGGACGGCTGATCTTTCATTTTCACAGAGCTTTCAGGTTAGCGGACCCCCACGCCAACGTCCTCGCCATCGCGCCTAAACAGCAATGATGGTGCATTATAAATACAAAATCCGTAAGTGTGTCTCTAAGGTTCTTTTGTATGTCGTCACTCGTCTTTTCGAAATTGAGTAGGGAAAGTGAGTGGAGGCTGAGACTCATTGGCTGCCGATTTTCACCGGCAGCAGACCCCCCAGCAGACCCCCCAGACATGGCGCGAAACAGCAGCAATAACACAAAAGAGATATAGTGCTTTCAGCTACCTATACTCGCTTCCATCAGGAATTGTCGCTCGTCTTATGGGAAATACAGAGGTGAGGAGGATGGCGGCTGGCCCTTTGGTTTCGGCGATCTCAGAGAACTGCAGATCCCCGCCCTCACCCCTGCTTCAACGCCGAACACTATCGATAAAGCAAAATATGAATAGCACAATAAAGCATGATCTTCTCTTCAGATAGAGACAGCCACTTATCTTGCTGAGGTAAAGAGGGAGGAAGGCTGCGGCCGAACCTCTGCTCTCTGTGACCTTCAAGGGCAGCAGACCCCTCACTTACCACCCACCCCTCCAGACGCCACCCGCTTCTGTAATGCAAAATAAACACAATAACAGAGATAAAAATTTTAGTTCTCTGTCAAATTCTGCTGTCCATCTTTTGAAAATAGAGAGGGAAAGAGGGCGGTGGTGGGTCCTTCGATTTCAGGTTGGGCGAAAAATGAGTATCGAGCCAGTTTTGCAGGTATCGCCAGACGCGTCGAAGGCGGGAAAATAGCCATCCCAACGCAAAAAGAGTCGGTAAAGGGAAACTGATAGAGGCGCCTGCTTGCATTCAACTGTAGGATAGAACACGATCGAAGATGAAAAAAATGATTGGCGGAGGGGGGTGACGGTCGCTGGAAGAAGAGGGGCCTTGATGTCAGATACCGGGCATTTGAGCGCAACAGCCAAGATACTCCTCACCTTATCATAGCTTGAATACCACGATCCGATAGCACGGCTCTTCTATGAATTCACTTCCACGTAACGATGAGAAACCAGGGAAGATAAAAGGAAGAAAGCGAATGTGTGAGAAACTCACTTCCCGTGATGTGCTCGCACTCTCAGACCACGCAGTGAGACCGTTGCCAATTTCAACCGAGACAAACCACAACGGCCTCTATGCAGCGCATTACAGAACAATTCCTGGATAAATAGAAAGCATAGCATACGTCTATAGCGGGTCAAGCGGGTGTGACGGATAAATTTCCTTTGTTTTAGTCTTTCTGATGGATAGGTGGATGACAGACACGGCAATAAACCTCGGTAGTTTGAAGAAGGTTAAGCGGTCTGTTTTTGGTTTCTCCCTCTATACTATCATTCCTCGCGCCCAAAATCGAGGACAGAGCAGACGAAAGAGAGGAGTGTGGTTTGATTACTTTACTAGAAAGGATCAATGATCGACACCTGTATCGTGTCCTCAAGGGCAGACCGAATAATACAACGAAGACGAATCCGTAGGAGTATCAGAACCGAGCAACCCATTGCGCGATCCTCCAAGGACACCCACATTGACTGAGGTCATCTGCAGTTAGCGGTTCTTTTCTGCTCTACACAATCTCCGTGGAGGCTTAGCGCGAACTCTGTACGCTCTGAGTAGGATGGGTAGATACCTACTAGCGTTGGCTTTGCTTCTTTGCTTTTTATTTCCGCACGGCCGGAAGGGTCTAGACAAGGAGACCGATGAAGCATTTTCTCCCGGGGAGAACAGTTCTCAATCCTGGACGAAAAGGACATAAATGCAAGTAATCTATAAGCAGTTTATAAGAGCAGAGGAATTGACGTGAAATACAACCTCAATGCGGTAACTCTGCCAGACGCTGGAAAAGCTGTCACCGCTGCACTGTGTTGCTTACTACCTTGAACGGCGACCTTTTGCACCGTACATCTACCTTAACGGCGCGCATCAACAAGGACCAGTTAAGTGGATGGGCCAACGCTGCGTTACCGGGTTACGAGAAATAGTAAGTATAATACGAGAAAAAAGAAAAAAGACCAAGGAACAAAAAATAGAAGAAGGAATTTACTGTTTTTGCGGCAAGCGTTGAGGTATATGGTCAAAGAATAATACCTGCCGTACAGAATCCCATTGACCATATAACTCTATGAGGTTTATGCCCTTAGACTCGCACGCCCGCTTAGACCTAACGCGGAATTTCCGCAATGCTAGCTGCAGAGCGTGAGGGTGAGACAGACATAAACGAAAAGTAAGCAGAATGCCACCATTCTGGTAGTGCTCCACGGCCGGCCGTATGACCGTGGGTCGACGACGCAAGAAAGCAGGGCAGATAAGGGCACCGAGACAACTTGGCACAGAGCAGATGCGCTCTGGACTCGCTAACCCTCTAGAAGCCTACGTGAGAAAAGCACTGAGTTTCGCAGGCGCGCCAGGACCAGGCAGGTTATGAGTTATGATAAGATGGGACAAGAGAGAGGGGCGCTCTGCTCCGTCTATCCGACAAGCCTGTCGGATCACGTTCTCTCCTTAGCGTAAGCCTGCTTTCTCTGGCGAGGTGGCGAGAGCGCAATGTGCGCCTCAAAAAAACCGTTGAAGCCCCATGCGCGGACAAGCCGGCTGCTCTTCCGACAGAGTAACAAAGCCGTTTAACAAGTAGAAGTGTCTACTGACCGGTAATTTATCCGTTGCTCCTCTCTAGGGGGTCTATGAGAGAGAAGAGAATGTTAACTCAAAGTTCTATCATTTCTTCATAGTTAACTCAATGCTTGATTCTTGTTTGTTTGATCTTCGGATTTAGGGTATTTATTGGGTGTTAACACCTGTCAACGACCCTGTGAGCAGCAGTGCGCAGGAGTCGGGTTATGGGCATTTCTGTGGCCCCACCTTTGCAATTTTACTCTCCGAGTCCCCGAAGCCAAAGGGGCCACCGGCCACGACCGACTATGATTGGATGCGACACTGAAGAAAAAGAAACAAGCACAGAGCTTATAACAACAAGACTGGACAAGTAACAATGCACTAACGCGCCTTAGCGCCATGCCGAGTTGGCATGTTTCCGCGAGTCGACTAAACCTAATCAGGAAGTTAGATTAGGTTGCGCTTGTTAAAGATGACGAATGCTATTTCAACTTTTGTCGGACCCCCACCTTTATTTCGACCACTTTGTATGGTGCTTTATTTTGCGTAGAAGTTTGATCGATTTACGGTGCTTGTTATTGAGGTTCTTTCTCGGAAGCTTCTTAACTGTAGTAGAGGAAATTTATGATTATCGGTGTCCGCTTGTTGGCGCGGAATACATGAGTCGCGCGCATGCTCTCTCTTCGCTGTCCCGTCACTGCAGCACTAGACGGTTAGAGCCTCGCATTCGTCAGAAGATGGTTGTAAGCCAAAACTACTATGGACCTAGTGTTCACGAAGATGATTCATAGCCGCGCAGAATCTAGTCACGTTGGCATGATTTGTCGGTGTGCGATCAACCAATCCCACTCATGACAACTACCACTTGCCTTGTCCAAGCGCTCTCTCCCCTAAGAACAGTAAATCTGGGCATTCAACATGAATTCTCAAGCGCAATATCTTGAAATCAATAGATATATGCGAATGGAAGCTGATTCGAGAATTCGAATTTCGGTCCAGTCCAATATGCGGACGGGAACTTGACTTTATGCACAAGGTTCGCGAAAACGACTCAGGATAATTCAATTCCAAAGCAGCATATTCCCACAATCGAGAATTGCGGCATGAATACTGGAATATCTGTCAATGTGGTATAGTAAAACAGTAGCAAAGTAGAACTGTGAATATAAAAGGCTGTAGTAAGGAATAACAAGCAGAATTGAGAGAAAGATACTGAGATAATGCTGAAGTGCTCATAACTGGGGTCGGCGCGCAGTATCAGGAATCAATCCGGCCACGAACGACGTCCTTCCAGATATTCAAATCTTGTGGTATCGTTGATGGTGTTTGGGCAAATGGAAACAGATATATGTCTCGACGTACCTATGCAATACAATGCCAGCTCGCACACGAGCAGTGTCTTCTAGCAGCGACGCTGGTAATCCGAGACGAGTGTAGTGCGACGGTTACGAACGCAATCGACAGCATTGAGAGCTCTAGAGAAAAGCATGATATTAAGAACCAAGGTTAAAATCCAGAAAGAAGATATAGAATTGGAAAACAGACGGGAAGACCTCACGAAGCGACGATCGGTTGGACGCGTGTCTGCTTCTCTGCTGGACGATAGAGGAGCAGGCCAACCGTCAGAAGAGACAATCGGGTATCGAACGAGAGAATAAGGATTGCTTGAAGAAGCAATAAATCGTGGATTTCCGGGAAAAAATAGTTGGGGCACATAACCAGTCGGGATGGGAGCGGGTCGAGATTAGTTTACCCAAACAGCTTTGTGCTAAATAGAAGACCGGCGTGGGAGGCGAGGCAGCGCACTCTTGAACCCTCACAGACGAGTCCTTCCAACAACATTATATCAACAAAAATCCAAAAGGCACTGTGTATTTGTTGATACGTTTTTCTTGAAGAGGTTACGTGGGCAGATATTTATTTACAAGGCTTGGAGAAAATGAAGCAGAGAAAAAATTAAGTCCAGACTCGCGCAGATGGTGTGTGACAGCTCGATAGACAGCCGAAAGCCGGGAGTTTCGAGTTCAGATTGCCCTAAAGTCAATTAGCGGGATGTAATGTGTATTGTAGTTTAGTACATTTTGATCGAGTTCGGCATAACTTGATAAGTTAAAAGTCATTGGTTCAAATCCAATAAGAACTATACACACATGGGGAGATGAAGCAGTAGAGCTTTGCATGCAGATAGCGATAGCCGGCGGGCGGGCAGCGCAGTCAAGCTACTCGGCCGGTAGGTCGGAGCAGGCGGGGCAGGACGACGAAGAGGAGCTAGCCAGCTCGCTTCGCGGCCATGTATAAAGGAGATATGTCGTTAGTATCGAAGGGCTACGAATCCGCGGGCACACATTTTTCCTCTTCGTTCCATGTCTTTCTGTCCTTCGCCTTCAGTCTGTCCCAGCTATGTTATACCATCGAAGCAGTCCAGTCGCGGACCAAAAGTCGGTGTCGCGGGGCATTTTTACTTTAGTTTATAATTCTCTTCAGGCAAAATCTTACGAAATATGCTTTGCGCCTCGAACGTAAGCTTAAAGCAAGATTTATGAGAAGGCCGGCAGAAAGGTGTTAGGACGAGGAGGGGGGAGGGCAAAACTGAGATTCAGTTTTGATCAAGCGCGGGTTGACCGCCAGCGTCTACGCGGACAATCCGATACGAGATCCCCGATACCTCTGCCCACCACTAAAAGACAATTACGAGCCCATACGATGCAATAAATCGGGGTTCTATCGCGCGGCAGCCCGAAGAGCCGGCGGTACAGCCTGGAGAAGAGAGAGTGTGTCGCGGGGAGTCTAGCACACTAGTTGGAAAAGAAAGTGTTTGTAGGGCGCTAAGCCTGAAATCGGACTAGCTGAGCTGCAGAAGGGCGCGATACGGCGTTCTCCGGGTCGCAAAGCATCTCGCCAACGGCACCAGCGAAGAGCGAGAGAGCGCGAGAGGGAGGGAGGGGCACGGCTGCTGGCGGGCGGCAGCGCAGCTGCTAGTTCGACGATCGTCTCGCTGCGGTGTAGCATGGCATGCTACGGGCTGCAGGCCGACCGTCAGGGAAGCAGGTAGGGCAGGGGCGGCGGAAGTAGAGAGCGGGCGCAGAGAAACCGAGGGTGCCAGAATGCGAGGGTACGAAGCCCAGCGGCTGGACGTGCATATCATGTACTAATTAGGACTGAACAAAATCAGGCTAACTGCTACTAGTACCGCAGCGGAAGACAGAGCGAAGAGAGTCGCGAGAGAGAGCAAAGCGACGCCGCCCGAGCCAGCGCGAGCGCGTGCAGATCGCGCGGCAAGGCCCCGGGCGCCAGGCGGGACACCCTTTCCGATACAGATTGAAGGAGCAAGTCGCCAGAGGCGATGCTTGTCCAGTCTTATTTTCTCCGCTTCTACCGTCGTCTAGGACCGTGCTTCTCATCTACAGACCTCCCTCTGCTGGATTTCGCCTGCAGCGCGCAGACAAGAGCCAGATCTGGGCAGCGAGGAGCGGGCAAGGTTTTACAAATGTCCCACTTGCGACGTCCAGGGAGGCTTTTGCATTTGGCAAGCTGCATTCTAATGGTAAATCTTATTGCCGGCCGCTGCTATATACGGCCGTCCTCAGGTCTATCGGCGGTATATGCTCCCTTCCTTTGCGCCTGGCTCGTCCGTCAAGCGAAAAGGCAAATCGTACGACGACAGCTCTGGTCACTGTTGCTGCTGTCCACCCTGGCCGCTGGATCGCTCTTCTGCTCATCCAGGCGCGTCTTGTCGGCGTACCCATCACCTCCCCGCTCGCAGTCGGGCGCAGGCAATTATGTGTTTTGATAACACGACACAAACACACAGAGGGAGAGAGGCAGAGAGAGGGAATGTGGTGGCTGGCCCTAAAAGTGAACGCTAGACAATCTAATCTCTATATGCACACAGTGACATCCCCACGCCCAAATGCACTGTCAACTGGTCGTCAGCCGCAGTGCAGTCGACATGCAGAAGCGAGAGTCGTGTGAGTCGAAGGCTCTTGCGGTATCAGTCTGAGCAGACAATCTTTTATTACACCTGTCGCTTACTGACCCATCGCTGTGCTGCTACTAGACTATGAACGGACCTTTTATTATTTTTTAAGATTTTATAAGTATTCTCTAGCCGCTTCCCTTGATCCCTGTCTCTCACTCACTCTTCACTCTCCACGCTCTCACTTCCTCGCCCTCAATCCCTCTCTCCACGCTCTCACTTCGCTCAGAGGCAGTTTCTTCCAATGCGCACAGTATCAATGGACGCCCGCAAACTTATCAATCGTGCCCGCCGCGGCGAAAACCTCAAGGCAGACGAGCTCCAGCGCATCGAGGAGTACCGCAAACGGGAACGCGAGCGACAAAAGATGGTCCGTCTACGGCGCAAGCTCGCAAGGCAGCACGAAGCTGCCGGCAGGATCTCGACGTCGGATTTGGGCTCATACAGTACACATCTCTATCACTCTGTCGGACCTCTAGATCCTGCGCTGCCGTCGATACCGTGCGGCATGCTACTTTCGCAACCGCATCCCTACTGCCACCACCCGCATGAGTTAGGGGTCGTCGCCGTCAACGGCAGCCCGAGCTTGCAATTTGTCAACGAGACTCCCGAAACAATCGACATCAAGTCTCCGAATGCTTTCCAGTACAACATTCTGTGTCCGAGCAGCGACTACTCTGTGCGGAGCAGCTTCAGCAGCACTATGAGCAGCAGCAGCAGCGACAGCAGCGACAGCTCCGAGGCCCTAGTCTCACCTCTCCTGACACCAAACTACACGGGCACAGAACAGCCGCTTCCAGATTACACGCGTGCTAGCTCGCCATTAATACCTTCGTCGTCGTCTTCCTCGAGCTATGCCGAGGTGCAACCTTTCTCGTCAGACTACCAGGACGTTGTCTCGTATATCGAGTCGCAGCAGCTATCACTGGCCGCGACCGGAGGACATGTTCAGGCCCAAGAGCGCTTGATTTACAGGGACATGCCATACCCAGAGATCTCGCTGGATTCAACGACCATTCAAGACCTCGTGAGGTCATATCTTCAAACGCGAGAGAGCTCCGCGCATGGCGACATGCAGTATGGCGGCAGCGATCTTATTGCGCACGCCTGTGTGCAGATTGCTAATCAGCTGAATAGAGCTCTGTTTGATTCTACAAGAGGTTCATCCGAGAGAGCAGCCTAAACCTCTTTGTTTCACCGAGTGGCTGGATTTCTTGGAATTTTGTTATCTCTTTTGTTTCCAATGTGTCTAATTCCCATGTTATTTTATCTATATTTTTACACAATTGCTGATTACTATGTTATCACAACAACACCAACAATGTTTGTTTTTTTGTTCTATTTTTGTTATGCACTGGCTGGATTTGATTTTATGTTGTACAGGACACGCGCGCACGGTCGTGTGGAATGATGCAGAAAAGCAAAGTGAGGTTTTTGAATAGTTGACTGGAGCACTGTACCAGACATTCAAAAACAAAGATAATGAATGGCGTGCAGTCTCTTCTGTCTCTCTCTCCATTATTGCTTTTCTGTTGTCGGGATTCAAGTGTACAAATTTGTTTGGTTGTCTTTACTGTTTTATTTTTGAGTGTTATCGGACTGTTAGAAATCAGGAAAGGAGGCTGGAGGTGTACGCCCTTCAGCTGCACAGGTATATAAATATCAATAATAGATGCAGTAAAATGTATCATCCTCTAAAAGACGCAATCCCGTTTTAGGCCGCCGAGCTCGTGTTGGACGTCTGTTTGCTGAATGCGATTGTCTCAACGTATCCTTCCCGCGGACGGCCGGGCCTGTCATCTTGTTAGCCAGTTCGCGATAGATGTAGTCTATATTGAGGAAATAATGCTTGTATTCCTGCTCGATATTAACGACTGCGACAATATAGCAGAACTTAGGTTAAACTCCCACGTGGAATTGGCTAATCAATGAACTCAACTGTAAAGATTTTGGGATTTCGGATGGATTATCAGGCATGTGAGTTAATTTACGGAGCTTAATGAAAACTTTAATGATGGATTCAAGACCTCTACATTTGGTGAACGCAAGAAAACTCAGCAAATTTCCAAGATAATAGACAAAATAGTATAGTACAATGTACTCTGAACACGGCTGAATCATTCCAGCTGTGTTGGCTTAGTCGTGGATCTCTTCTGTGCCCAAATCCTCCACATCTGCTACACGATATCGGTGCTCTCGATGAGACGGAGGCAGCCATCAACTCATGCGCACTAAGCTCTCGTCTAGTACTTGATGCTGGTATCCGTAAGATTACTGAAAAACAGGTAGCGTGAGCTTGTGGCTTGATTAAACAGATAGCGGAATCCGAGCGATACGGGAGAGCCGATGATTGTGAAAGTCTGAAGGCATAAGTGGTTGGCCGTACTTGATTTTATCTTGGATAACATGCTCACAAGGTAGGCCGTAAGATCTTGAAAATAGGCCAGCACAGAACCCAAGAGACTCTCTTTAGACTGTCATTTTTGAATACTTTTTTTCGTCTGAGAGCTTCATGCGAAATACATTGATTCAAAACACTGCAAGCATCTCAACCGTATCCATATGCCGTCGCATTCTTAGTACGTTACCGTATAACTTTTGGTCTCTTCTGCTGACTTTCCAACATATTTGATAATTCCATAAAGCGTTTAAATACCACCATAGCTTTTATAACGCAGTTGGTGCTTAAGAGCAGAATGAGAAGCTTCCACTCGCGATGTGGACGTATTTCCTAAATGAGAAACTTGATCGACCCAGGCTTTCACCAGACTCGCTTTAAATGGATCCAGCCAAATCCTCAAAGCATACTCAAGTTCTTCTAAGATGCTGTAATCCTCGTTGTCTTCAAAATCTGATCACGCGTTGGTTATAAGTCTCCTCGTCTGGAGACATAATGATATTGTTCCGGCACGAATTGAAGGCCTCCCACTCTTCATTTGTAGCATCTGCAGTGCCCAAACAGTGCCATATTTCATGCCAAACGCAGAAGAGATGTTTTTATGACGGTAGACTCTCTCAATCGCGTTGATAGCTGCTCAACATCGATCATTTACGATAAATGATGGAAGTCTGATATTCTGAACATCATTAGAGTTTCCTTAGCACCTCTTTAAGCTTCGTGAACTAACTCACATGCCTGTAAATGCATGCGAAATCAACTGTAAGTAAACAGTTGTCTGAATAAAACCTTGAGCAAGCAGTTTAACGCCCGCGCGGGAGTTACCGACTTACATGCACTCTGACTCCGCTCACTCCCTGCTCATACCCACAGGTATTGTAGTAAACAGCCAGACAGAGAGCGCCTGGCACTTTGCAGCAGCCGGCGGAAATCCAGAGAAGACGGGAGACGATAGCGGGCGCAGCCCCATATGTGGGAGAGTGCAATTCCGACAGTTGGGGAGAGAGAAGAAGCAGAAGACAAGGAAATTTAATAAGTAAAACTAAAAAAAGGACAAAATTCGACCAACGAGATAAAAGACAAACAAGTCGAGAGCCAGAACAACGATTTTGTGAGTGTGAACGTGCAGCTCCGTCGTCGGAAGAGGGGCGCGCGGGCGGGCACGCGGGGACCATCGCGCGCTAGGGTACAGAGGTAGCTCGTTAGAGTTTAGACTATTAACAGATTGAGTTTGGTCTGTCGCGCGCGCGTCGATGAGCGCTGAGCCCGCCAGGCAGATATCAAGTGCACGCGCATTTTGCTTGTGGTGGAAGTCGTTGTTGCTCAGAGGCCCTTCCCTTGTCACATTTGCATTGTTGCCGCGACCACTTCCTCTTCCTCTCCGCCTCGCCTCTGTCTCTATCTTGCGGGCTGCCGGGTACGGATTCCTCGCTGGCCTGCTTGGTGCGCGCCATCGAATGCCTGTTCTGAGCTAGCATCGCTTGCCCAGGACAGCTACTATTCGAGACAGTCGGTCCGCTGATGCTATTTCTCGTGCTCTGCCGCTAGAATCAAGAGGGTCTTCTAATCGACTTGTTTGTCTAATTTTTCCGGAACTTTGTCCAGGAAAGAGGATCTTTATTATGATTTTTCGAGTGGAAAACAATCTTTGGATGCGCATAGCAAAGTTCACTCACTCTGATCTCTCCTGAACTTTCGGTGAGGAGGGCACAAGCCTTAATCGCAAGAGGGTTCTGAAGAAGGTGCGCAAACATGGTGGAGCATTTCTGGATCCTGTGAAGGAAAGCGGAACATAGAACGTTAACCCACAAAACCTCACACTCGCCGTCGTCACGGCCCGCTCAGATGCTCTGCTTGCTTTGCTTGCCCGACCTGGCCTGACCTACTGCCGAGCTCTGGCCGAGCGGTCTGCGCCTCTCTCTTCCCGGCACCTTGGGACTGTCTACGTATGCAGTTCACCGCAGAGATAGCCTGTCTTGCTAAAGTAGGAATCGAGCGAGAGACGGAGGGGGAAGGGTAGCTAGTTTTAGCTTGCGGACCGACATGGCACTAAGAAACCCAACTCCCAACGGGAGCGTGCTCACCCGCGCCCTGCTCCTCCTTCCTTCTCCCCGCAGACATGGTCTGGATCGCATGAACTTTGCCTAAGAATAAGCACATGCTGCAGGGGGAGAGGCGAGCGAAAGGTAGACACTTGCGGCTGGCCCAAAGCTCTGCTGTTATGTGACCCGCAGCACACGCCATTGTCACCCGCGCATTAGCACTCGTGGTGAGCATCGAGTGCTCGCATGTCGGTAAGCCGACGCGAGTGGGCAGAGGCCTGCTCTGCTGCTCGGCTGAGCTCGCCGGCGGTTCTTCCTCTTTTGTCTGTGGTATCGCCGTACGATTACGGGACCGCCTGTTTGATAAACGAGACGGCTTCTTTGGATCTTGTGTGTGTATAGAGCGAGTACTCTCACCAGTTCTGTTATTTTTCTGGGCATCTCAGGTCTTTGCAGACGTCAATGACATCAGATTCATAAAGGGCTCATCAAAGAGAAGCGAGGTGGTCTGCTCCTGCTCTCTATCTTTTCTTTTTGATAGCCGGATCACAAATATCAGCCGATGATTAATCAAGTCATAGGCGGCCCAGCAGCCGAGCTCTCGCTACTACGGCGGGCTCGCACATTACCCTAACTCCCTCATGCACCAGGCCTACAGCGATCGTAAGACCTAGCTTTCATTTCTACACTTTTCAGTCTTTCCTTCTTAAAGATAGACATTCTCAGACTCGAATCAGTTGCACGTTCCTGACTAATCACATCTGATTTCGCGTATCTGAGGTTCTCTCAACAGCAACAGTCTCGTTACCTTATCTCCGCCCGAAGTGCGCAAGTGCACATAGCGCATGCAGTACCGGCGTCAAGAATCCGCCACTAGTCTGGGTACACTTCGACAAAGACCCGCCAGCGACCCAGATACGCAAAGGGAAGCAGATTAAAGAGACCTGAATAGGTGCAAAAAGAAAAGCTCGCATTCTTTTTATAAACCTCAAACAGGCTTAGCTTGACACACTGGCCTGTTGGCTGGTCACCCCTCTTCCGCCATTTCGCAAAGTCTGCAGTTTCTGATAATTAGCACAGTTTAGTGCAGTAAACAGAATAACAGAAGTGACAACTCGAAAGCACAAACAAGCACACGAGGACAAGTTGGGCAAGAAAATATGCCGACTCACTAAACTTTCAGTCTGCAAGAGCAAGTTTTGAATTTCAGGCTAGCGAAAAGGCAAAGGAAAAGTAAATCAAGTAAAGTAAAAAATACGTTATTTGTTAAAAACACTTCTGCCACCACCACTGCAATTTACAAGATCCCGAGCTTTACGTCGCCGTCTCCAGCTTCTCTGCTCTTATGCTCTAGTGATATCTGGGCTGTATTCTTATGTAGGATCTCTTGCATCGCGTTGCACTCGGCCTATGTCCTTCCCAGCCGCATCGCGAAATCGACTGCGATGGAGGCGAGAGAAGGTACTACTTGCCGAAAAGCGTAGCAGCAGAGTAGACTGTCCGAAGCCCTGCCGAAATATGCCTATTCCAAGAAAACAACCCAGTCAGCCAATCAACCTCCGCCCGCGCCCAACAAGCCTAGTCAGAGTGAAAACAAGATTACCCTCTGGATTTCCGCGAAGAGAGTAGCCCAAACTGAGTAGTGGTGGGGTCTGAGCACGTGTACATGACCTACACGTGATCCCAGCGCTACGGCCCCAACATTGCGGATAAATCCGTATTTCTCACACTTTTTGTTTGAGTAAGTCGCGCGCGGTCTTGATAGAGAGCAAAACAGAACCAACAAGAAATGCCAGGAGAAATGTGCAATTACAGACAAGTGCTCGCTTAACAGACAGTAGGAATATGATATACAGTCGGGTACGAGCGCATCGACATCTGTAGCCTTGCGTGAAGCAAGACCGTTCAGCCGTCGTCGCGAGCACTGCTTCGCTTCGCGGACCTGGAGGCCTCACGTCCTGTCTCAGAAGCTCGTAGCTCAATCCTCGCCACCGGGTTTCTCCGGTCTGATGTTACGCCCAACCGTCGGGGGGGCGCAAGCAGGGAGGAGGGGCTAGGTGGCGGGGGCGGAGACTCGCCGCGCTCGTCTCGTTCGTACGCATGGAAGATTTGGACAAGGCCGCCTACAGAGATTCTACGCTAGCCCAAGGCTCTACGTCAGTCTACCCAGCTACCTCTTCATACCGCATTCGAATCGCGCGGGACGATTTTGACAGGACATGTGTATCATCTTGCAGTTTGCCTAATTTGTATAGTTTATGCGCGCTGCCCGTCTATCGCGCCGGCTGATCAATTAGATAAAAAACAAAAGAGAAGCTAAACTAGGTTCGACAAAATTGCCATTCAGCGACCCTGTTTTCCCCCTTCCTCGTCTCTGAGCAAATATATTCGCGTCTAAACTAAGCAAGACGTGATTACCGCTTCATGCATCGCGATATCAGCCTCCCTCTCGCGCTGATCCACTATCGCTGCCACTATCGCTTGCTCGTTATCGCTGTTTCACTCGAGACCTGTAAACTAGACCTAGCCCAGCACGTCATTCCGTGCGTTTCCTTACACACGGCTATCAATCGTCGGGCTCACATCCTCGAGAATCGCCGCGGCGTCAGCAGGTTTTTGCCGCTTGCGCAGCACGTTCTCGATAAAGGCCTCGCCGGCTTTGTAAGACGACCGAACCAGTGGACCACTGGCGCAGTAGAGGAATCCTAGCTCGAGTGCTCGCACACGCCATTTCTCAAAGGCCTCGGGGGTGATATATTCGACAACCTTCATGTGCCGTTTTGTGGGCTACATAGACAGTTAGCATGGTGAAGTGAACAGAGAACAGCAACTCTGATGAAGTAGAGCAGTCAAAAAAAGAAGAGGCAACTTACGCGCATGTATTGTCCAAAAGTGACGACGTCGACGCCAACCTTTCTCAGCTCGACCAGCGTGGCCTCGAGCTGCTCGTCCGTCTCACCAAGGCCGAGCATGATACTCGACTTTGTGATCAATCCTTCCTTGCTCTGCTTCGCCTTCTCAAGAACCGCGAGACTCTGTCTGAACGTCGCGCGGCGATCGCGCACGTAAGGCGTCAACTCCTCGACCGTCTCGACGTTGTGCGCATACACATCCAATCCCGACGTCGCCATGATCTCAACCATATCCAAATCACCCTGGAAATCGCCCGTGAGCGCCTCGACCAAGATATGCGGTGCCTTTTGCTTAATCTTGATCACCGTCTCTGCGAAATGGCGTGCGCCGCCATCAGCCAGATCGTCGCGGTCAACAGTCGTCAGCACAACGTATCCGAGACCCCACTGTGCAATCGCAGCAGCCGTGTTCTCGGGCTCGTGAGGATCCAGCGGAGGTGGGTTCCGGTTCGTTTTCACGCTACAGAAGCGGCAGCCTCGCGTGCAGGTGTCGCCCATCAGCATCACGGTCGCCGTCGCCTGCGTCTTGTCGCTGCCGCCCCAGCATTCGCCAATATTCGGACACCTGGCTTCCTCGCAGACTACATCATACAATCATTAGCACTGTTGTTTCTGTGAGAGTTTCGAAAATGAAGTTATTTGCATACCAGTGTGCAGATTAAGGCCCCGTAGATCTTCCTTGATCTTTGAGTAATTCGTCCCCATCGGTATATCAGTCTTCAACCACGTCGGCAATCTAACAATCTCCTTCTTCCGAAGCTGATCAGGCGTAACAACATCATCCTTCGTAGCCCCCTGGCGCAAAAAATCGTCAAACGACGGCCCCGCATTCAACACGTCCGCAAACCGCGTCGGCCGTCGTCGCCTCGTGGGCTTCGGCTCGGCATCGCCGGCAGCGGCCGCGGTGCTGCTGTTTTCTCCGTCCTGCGGTGTTGACGGAAGCGTGTCGGCTGCGACGGCGGAGTAGTGCCGGCTAAGCGGGATGAGTGAACAGGGCAAACGCTTACTCTGGGAAAGTGGTCGAATGGAGTGTTGTACTGCGCGGCATACTGGCGCGTAGTAAAGTCGTGAGCTCGATGACATTTTGAGATTGATCCTTTTCCTCGACCCAAATACTGACTTGCAAAGTCGATGAAATGCTCTAGATAGCAGTGGAATCTATGCGTAGCCCAACAACTGCTTTTTGCAAAATGCTGGAGTAATTATTCGAGATGAGCCTGAAATGAGCTGCCTATCTTCTCGACGAGATGTGCAGCAACAAAACCAAATAGCGACACGAATGCAAAGACAGAAGCTTTTCAATTCAGCGCAGACTCCTGAATTGTATCAAACAAAAAGAGTGGCAACGAATGGAGGAGAAGAAGTGAAATATATATACTCGCCACGGAGTCAGGCAAAGAGCAATAATTACACAAACGAACGTAACTTTCAAAAAAAGCTCTCTCGCGCTGTCTGCCCGCGACAGCTATCCGGTGGGAGTTGGACGTGCTTTGTCAGCGGGCGGTCTGCGTTGTAGTTTCCGTGTTGTACGCACCGTTTTATGTTTATATTTTAAAACAGTGCGGTTACTGTTGTTCTGGTTCCTGTATCCTCTCCCAGCAGCCGCCCCCACCCTCACCCACACCCTCGCCCGCTCGGCCAGCAGTCAGTGGATTAGGGCTTTCTCGATGGCTCAAACGTGCAAGCGTTCGGTGCATTACAGGCATTAATGCGTTGCGGCTCAAACGCGAGAATTTCAGAGCAGACTAACAGCGGATCTCCAAAATGCATGTGATATCTGAAAGTCGCAGTAGCCACGATCCACGTCTGAGTTTCGTTCGCGATTCGAGAATACTGCTGTTCTGTTTGCTTATCTGCTGAGCGTGCTATTTGTTTGATAATTGTTGAGAAATACTGTATACCCATCTCCATCCGGTTCTTGATTCCCGTCTGTCATTTCGGTGCTGTGTTCTGAAATCCGCAAAACATGTCGGACGAAGCGACTTCCCCCGACACCAGCGACCCCGAAGACGCACCCCATTCGCCGACCCAGATCAACGAAAGAATGCACCTAGCAGCGCTCGAGCTCGCGGCGCAGCAGCAGCCGCAGCTACCCAAGGCGTTCAACAAAACGCTGCGACTCCCGCGCAACGTCGAGACGCAGATCCACATCGTCGCGGGGATGGGCATGCCAACCGTGCGGTCTGAGGCGATTAAGATGGCGATGGCGTGGACGGGGATGGTGTATAGCGCGAACGGGCTCGATCGGATTCTTCGCGCGATCGGGCTTCGTCCGCTGATGATTGTCAAAATCGATCCGTTCTCGCACATCAAGCTCGCTGAACAGAATCTCCCCTCCACGAACCCCGTCTCAGCTACACCTACTGGTACACCTATTGGACAAGCCCGAAGCGGTCTAGAATCAGACAAAAAGTTTCATATCGTTCGAACCGAACCAAGCAGCGCATTCCAGCTCTACAAAGCCGCGCTCGCGCCGAACTTGGAGGCCGCGGCACTCGACCGCATCGACGTCGATCCTCTGGACTCGATGCTTCCGCGCACGGTAGTGCACATGCTCGAGGGAGCTCTGTGGCGGACTGAGGCGAATAGCGTCAGGATCGTATTTCAGAAATTGGCAGAGATCGAGCGAACGGTGTATTATTCTACTTTCGCAAACTATGTGTTGCCGTGCTGAACATTATCCGCGGAAGGGTGGCGTACGGTGTATGGTTTTACTTTCTGTTGTTGTATTTTTAGGGTCGGGATTACATTACAGACAACTGTGAGCGAAAACCGACAGCTCTGGATTATTTCTCTTGCAAATCCGCTGCAGGAAAGTTCACTCTCTGCACCAATGCACGTCTGTAGTGCATCTTCCATAGTCTGTTAGCTTCTAATCTGTTTTATATTGAATAAGTCCCCATTTTGATGCAATCAAAACCAAAAAATGTGTATGTAAATAATAAAAGCGCAAAAAAAAAATCGTAACCTACGCGCCGCGCGATCCCGTCCAGGCCGTCGTTATAGTCCTGCCTGCCTATGTTGCGTTTCAAACTAGGACATCATAACCCGGAAGCGCGTCGTAATCTTCTTCCGCATTATGGAATCTTCGAGGCACAGACGACGCGCCGACCGCAACATCCCAGAGCCGATAATAATCCGCCGCCCTGCCCTTAATCTTTCCGTTCCCGCGCGTGCCATCCGCGTCCGTCAACTTTTGCGAAAACACGCTCTCGTCGCCACCCCAGAAATCCCGGCAGTTATTCACAAAGCCGCCGTCGAACGGGTTGTAGTGGTTCGAGATTGTGTTTCGCGGACGGCTGCTGCTTTCGCGGTGGTGGCCGCCCGAGGCGGAGGCGGAGAGGAAGCTTAGCGCTTTCGAGCTCGCGCAAAAGTCGCTCACGAGTGAGATGAACTGCGTGATGCCGAGGAGCTTGCAGCAGACTGCGAGCGCGCCGCCGTGGTGGTGATGGTTGTGCGTGAACGCACCGGGCTTGTCGGCAGCGTACGGGTCAGCCAGACCGGAGGGCACGGCCTCGTCGTCGCCGGCGCCGCCCATCCAGCCGTAGCGGTGGAGGTTGTATGCTTCGTTGGTGGTGAGCGCGCGACAGACCTGGTAGAGTTGTACAACCGTGAGGATGGAGACCCAGGTCAGTTGAACGGCAGACCATAGCGCGATGAAGAGTGTGAACGGGTCGTAGCTGACGACCGCGCAGAGATCTTCTTTGAGAATCATGCATTCGTAATCGTCGTCGTCGTCGACCTCGGAGAAGTCTAGCGTAGGGTTAGTATACTCCGCTCAACCACTGTGTTTAATGCATTGGAACATACATTCGTAAGTCAGATACAGCAGAATCGGAATTGCTGTCTCCAGGAGAATCACGTAGAGTAAGAAGGCTCGGTGGTTGCGAACACCTACACAGTTATTGATCCATGGACAGTGACTATTCAAATACAAGAGATTAGCAAACCAAAAACGCGAAAGGATATAACAAAATTTCAAGGCTGAAGCATACTGATCGACCCGGGCTACACATTTCTCGCACACGCGACAATGCTTGCTTCTCAACGGCCGCCGCGTGAAACAATATATACAGAAATGCCTCGAGTCGTATTCGCCGATCGAGAGCAGCTCGTCGATGATCTCGCGCTGCTCGCTGTTGCCGGCCGGTTTGGGGATAAACCCTGGGTCCATGGACATGCTCTTGACAAAGAAAAACATCGAGAGGCCAAAGACTATGAAGAATAGAAGGTTTGCGAATGGTCGGTCGTTGGCTGTGCCTGGTAAGATGAAGAAGAACCAGCGAACGGCGACTAAGAAGGCTGATCCGGAGAATATTCCCGAGAGATAAGGCTAGATTACGATAACAAAAATTAGCGAAAAACGGAGACAACGGAATAGGTAACGGAGTGGTAGACGTACGGTTTTGTGGATCTGCACAGATCCAGTGCTTCCAGACTCAATGATCTTCATAAGAAGCGTATGCGATCCCCAAAGCCACACAAGACTGAGCGCGATCGCAACAAACGCATTAATCCACGTCAGAATCTCAAACGTGATGAAGAGCATCATCCACGGCCAGAAAAACACCACCCGCCGCAGCATATACTGCGATATCTTTTTCGGGATCGTCATTCCGTCGGGATCACGGCCCGCTTTTTTCAGCGCGAGAAGCCAGACGGGGTAGCACATCATCTCTTTGGCGATGATCGCGGGGGTCTTGCCGTCTGCGGTCTCGGCTTTCACGTCTGATCCTTCTTCGATCAGGCGTTTCATCGAGGCCATGTTTCCTCTCACGACTGCCCAGTGTAGAGGGGTGAATCCTGTGTCGTCTTTCAGTCTGACGTCGGCACCCCATCGTAGAAGAACATCGACACTCAGAGGGTCTCCTTGGTACGCTGCCCAGTGCAAGGCAGTGCGCTGCTGAGGATCCGCGTAGTCGACCGGCAGACCCTGGTGAAGCAAATACACAATAAGCATAATATTTGACGAGTGGATAGCAATATGCAGCGCGTTAAACCCTTGCGCATCTGTTCGCAGCGGATCCGCTCCCCTCTGGATCAGCAAGTACGCCATGTCACTTAATCCGACTCGGCACGCCCACAGCAGCGGAGTAGCCATCAGCTCGCCGCCCTTCTTATCGACCTCCGCCCCATGATCAAGCAAGTAGTTGACGGCTTCGATCGCATTGTTGATCGCCGCCCAATGCAGAGCGGTCGTGCCGTCCGGCGATGTATCGTGGACCGAGAACTGTTCCGATTCGATCAGTCGTGCCAGCTCGGCAACGTCGCCGCGCTGAGCCGCTACTAACAGCTCACTGTATTCCTCTCCGCGGTGTTAGTACTACAATACCTCTCTTCTTCCGCTGGAATATGAATATGAAATCAATTAGTAGGATGCTTACCAGTGGCACCTGCTCCCGTCTCCGTCGCGCTTCCGGACGCCCCATCTCGATTTGCTGTCTGTTGCTGTGACTGTTGCTGATGTTGCTGCTGAGGTGAATGCTGCTGAGCCCCATTTGTATTCTTTTTGTTCATCGCCGCCATGTTTTGCAGCTCCGTAGTCGGCTGGAGCGATTCTGGATCCGGCAAAGACGTCATCTCGTGCGCTTTCTAGCCTTGCGAACAGTCTCAGCCAGCTCTCAGGAACCAGTCTATTCTACTTCAACCAGAAGTACGATCTGTAAGTAGACACAATAATCAGGTCAAACGAGTCTCGGAAACTAGAATCAGTCTGCGCAGGCTGGGATCGGGGTCGCGCGCGCGGTTGATGGCAATGGGGTGTCACGTTAAATCAAACGTATTTTGTTCTCGCTCCCTCTCCGAGCGCGGCGCAGCCGTTCGTAAGCGATAATTGACGCGTCAGCTGACTTGACACCAACCCCTTTGATGTTTGTAATCCGATAGGAAGGTTTTGGTTATTCTTGACAGGTCGATTTAACGGCGTTGAGTCTCATGTCGCGTAGATTTGACAAGCTCTTTGTTCACCTTTGCCAGCGACGAATGATCTGGAATTTTATGGGTTTTTGTGGAGACTTTATCGCTGCGAGAAGCGTATTTCCGAGTCCCGATGAAGTCACTGGTATGGGTTTTAAGCGCTGGTTCGAAGGCTCGTGCATGACCCACATGATAACTGCTTCAACTGATGCAGGAGGTCATGCGCCAAAGCGATCAATGTAGAAAATATTCTATATCGGAGAAGAAAAACGAACGCCGCGATATTGATGAGCGAAAAGACAAGCCAGAACTGGAGCGATCGACTACACCTTTGTCAACCTAGCTACTCTCTCCTTCACCACATCACCAAGTCCAACCATGCAAATAGTAGCCCATGCCGCCAGACCGAATCTCGGAACCACGCCCCTGAAAAACCCAGACAGGCCGCTGGTTCTGTAGATGTGCCGCGCGGTCGAGATCATTGTCAGTTTCTCCGGCCGCGACGGGTCAGATTTGAGGGACTGCATCTCTATCCTGATCACCTCAAACGGCTGGTTCCAGCAACTAAGCGCGCCGCCGATCGACGACGCAAGAATCTTGTCGCCTACTCCAAGTTTTCTCTTCGTCTGCCCTGATGCAGATGATTCGATCGCGCTCGAATCACCTATCCCTCGTATCCGGCAGATAAGAGTTTCCGCGAATCTCGAGATGCCGATCCGCGACGACCAGCCGGTGATCTGCCGCATCGCGACCGCGTTGACGCCCTTGTTGACGCCCCTGATTCCCTGCGTGCGCAGGATCTCTGCAAAGACTGAAACAGAGCTTCTGGGTTTTTGTCCATTGACTGTAGTTTTGTCGCGCGTTACTTCGATAGTTTTCATGCAGGTCGTAAATCCTACAACGAGAGATGTTAGACCGTCCTCCGCTCCATAACCACAGCCAATCTATCATCTTCCATCTTAAAAGATCAAAAATCAACAGCTTCTTACCCATAGTCAAATACGCTTGAGCAGCTCCCCCACAGACACCGCCCAGCACACCCGAAGCAGTAGGCGAAAGATGGAGCGAATTTCGCGAGAGGCTTTCGACCTCTGTGGACGTGAGCAAGAGAACTGATCCCTTTGTCGAGGCCTCGATCCATGCCTAGAAAATCACGAAAAACGCACATTAGATTCCGCGCCTTCCTGTTTCCTAGCTTCTTCAAATCGCGAGAAGGATAATCGTCATAGGAAGCACTCACCCATGGGATCAGGCCTTGATAAAAACCGGCGATGCCGCCTCTAGACCAGGTCTTTCTTATTCCTTGCAAAATGGTGTCGTTACGATTTGCTGCGGCCTGGGAGACATCACGATTGCTGGCGTTAGATATAATTTTTTTTTCTGATTGGGAACGCGATCCTAACGATCTGAAAGATAGAGAGCGGCTCTTACATGAGTCTTGAGTACCTCGAACGGCTGCCCAAGTGTTGTGACTTAAGAAGATGATGATTTAGTACACTGAAGAGAGACAAATGTATCAGATCATAAAGAGAGGTTGGTGGTACTGCGCTGCGCACCTTGAAATAAATTCATAACCGCTCCCACGGCAAGATTGGACCACGATACCTTCCTAACTTTGACCTTGCCATGGCCGCCATCATCTCGGACCGCACTGATCGCAGAAGACTGCTGCATATCCTGCCCGCGAAACAACTCCGCAATCTCGTGAGCGTGATCTATCTCGCCCGCAAGTGAACGAGGAAGCAAGGGGAACGAGAGACGAGTGCGGGATGCTAATCGATCTCGCCCTATCCAAGAAGCGAGACCGACATCTCCTTATATGTCCATCAAGAGATCATCGCTCCAGCAAGCTTTTTCCCATCCTGCTTTGTTTTGTTTTCTGTTTACCGGTTCGAACCATAATCTCATCCCAGAAACAGCGAGCGGCCTGCTCTCTCCGCTGCTCATTTTTTTTAGTTCACTATCCTGTTCCCTACGCCTTGGTTTTACAGTTATCAGAAACCTTGATTTGTCACTAAATCGTTTTCCCGATTTGAGTTAGGGACGGATGACCCCTGCCGATGGACGATGCGGCTCGCGCGCTCCGAAACTTTTCCTTTTTGCTTCTTTGTCTGCGAAATGTCAACCCAGGCCGAGCTCAAGTCGCAATGGCAACTCAGATGACTTTTGTATTTATTGGTTGCTCATAACTATCGAGACTGCAGTAACGCCCCATAAGCAAAATTATCAGACAAAACGGGGTCATAGCACATTTAGCAAAAGAAATACACTGCAATGCAACTGGGAACTCTCATCCAGAAACAACATCCATCCCATTATAATCAATCAATCAATCAAACAAAAAATCAGCAAACGCGCAGCAGCAGACAACAAACACCGACCGGCAAAAAAAAAGAATTCCTCAGCGCAAAACTAGAACGCGGTAAACACCATATATGCCAATTTCGATATCAAACAACAATAGAATAAATACAATATTTTTTTAAATCAAGCTTTGGTCTCAAGATGCAATATCAAACAAACTGTTCAGATAACCCATGTCGATCACCGGGTTCCCGTTCGAATCCGTCAGCACACCGTCGAATCCCATCGGTCCGTACTGGGACGCAGGCAGGTTGTTGGTCGTCGGCATGCGGCCTGCCATCGCGTTTGGCACCGGATTTGTCTGGTAGAGCGCATGCATCGCTAGATCTGGGTAGTGGTCTGTGTGCGCGAGCGGATCGTGGGCCATATTAATATCGCCAGAGGTGGGCACGTACACTGAATTGTCGACCAGCCCGGTGTCGTAGTTTGTCTTGTAAACGTTCACGGAATCATTGCCGTACCAATTGTTCATCATTTGCGGGTTTTCCATCAGCGGTTCTTCTTTTATCGGACCAACCCCATCAGACCCAGCCTGGTACACATGAGTATCGATAGGGAGAACGGTGCTTTGTGCCATAATATGCTCCTGTGCATATGCAGTACCCATAGGTGACACGCTCATATTCGATTGAGCTGAGGACGGAATCGGATCAGAGAGCGGCTGATGTGGTAGTGATGATGACAGTGGCGCTGAAGCTGTTTGCTGATGTTGCTGCTGCTGGTCTTGCTGAAGCTGTTGATTAAACATCGCCAATGTGCGCGGACTAAGACTCTCGATAACGAAAATGCACCGATTCGCAATCGGCCACATATCACTCATAGCCTCAAAGAGCGAAATCGACGATCGGATGTTTTGCTCCACCGTCTCCGAGTTTGTCATTGCGCGAATCTCAGCACTCGAACACAGCGTGTAGAGCATGGTCACGCTCGCCATGAAAAGACCGAGTAGCGCAACCCAGGTGTAGGTCACGCGGTTCTGTGAGTAGAGCGCGACGTACGCGTTGATCAGACTGACACTCGAAACATAGCACGTCTTCATCGAATCCAGTGTAGGGGTCGGGATAGCAGGCGAAGGTCGGTGCAGCAGGATCTGAGAGTTGTGGTACGCAATCTGAAACCACTCCGTGGACTGGAACGTGCTCTGCGTCTGCAACGTATACACCGGAGCACTACGGATCCATTCCTCAAGACTCTTCCGGATCGACTTGCGCTTCTCCTCCGCCACAGCCGGCGACTGGATATTCTCAGGTCTGGCAGGATAAAAGTTGAGCTGAATCTCCGCGTTCAGCTGTCGAAGACGGATGATGTGCAAAAACGCAGACATGTCCAGCGGCGACGGCGGCTTCGACGGAATGCTGAGCTGAGAATCGCGCCGCTGGATCGCCTGAGGCGACCAATCCTGCTGCTCCTCCGAAATGCGAAGCAAGTCGTCGTCCGACAAGTTGAGCGGCAAGTCAACGTTGATGTCGGAATCCGCAATCGTGACCGGCCGGCCGAGCGCGAGCGACACGCTTCGGTCAAATATATACGCGCACCAGAATATTCGCTTTCGGATCTCGCGCTGGTACAGCGGGATGCTGCTGCTTGGCTGGCGGTGGAGACCCATGTCGATGCACATCCGGATCATGATTCCCACGACATGCCACACGTTCAAACTGCGCGGCTCGTTGATCGCAAACATGGTGAGAAGAATCAGGCCCTGGATAGACTGCAGATCGTCGCCGGCGATTAGTGCGTCGATGTGGTATTCCATCGCGGTCTGGTAGTACTGCAGCGGCTCGTACTGGTGTCTGATCTTGAGCTTGCGCATATCGATCGCGCCGATGGCAAGGATCATGAGAGTGATGAACGTGTCGCTACTGGGTGCCTTGACGTCATTCATCATAAACGTGTTTTCAAACTGATTAACGAAAAAATGCGGCCGGTGAATAAACGGATGCTGAGGCCATCGCGTGGCGAAAAACGAATCGGCGAGCGTCTCTGCCGAAGCACGGTTCGGTAGCGCGTCGATCGCAGGCGGAAGCTCGGAGCTGTAGGAAACGGACTCGACGCGGCCGTCGAAGGGTAGTGTCGAGTTTTGCGCCCGCGACGAATCAGACCATTTGAAGGTTGACTGTAGGATTCGCGCAAAGTGCACGCCGCTCGAGCTGCCGAGATATCGTCGTTCTGAAGCGCCCTCGAGTGACAAATAGCCCACGTCGGCAATAAGCGACTCTGTGCCAGCGTCGTCATCTAAATGTGTCAGCATCACTGATAGCTAATAAAAAAGAATGGAAAAAAAGAGATGGTACCTGGAGGGCTCTGGACGGACGGAGATTCAGAGTTGGCGCCCTCGCTCTCGTTGCGATTCCGTTCCCGCGATGCCCGGAGCTGGGCCTCGAGGCTCCTGACTTTCTCCTCGAGATTTTCAACGTACCCGCGCGGATACTGGCGGTAGGTGAGTCTATCGGGATACACGCATTCTTTGTTGGTCTTCACGCAGGTATTGCAAGCAGGCACGGCTCCGTCGCACTGATCGAGGTGGTTAGCATCCGACTTTCGCACGTTCGCACAATCGAGAGCGTATAAGGAGTAGAGTAGAAGCGGGGAGACTCACTTTTTGTTTGCGGCGACGGCAGTACTCGCAGGCGACTTGGATGCGAGTAAGACCCGGGCGGTGCTTGCGTCCGGGGTTCGGACGGCTGGGGGTGGTGGTTGGTGTTCCATGTGTGGAAGACGGAGCGGCAGCTGCCGGAGCATGCAGCTGCTGCTGGGTCTGGCCCGCGAGTGCGCTATCGGGGACAGACGACATCGGTGGTAGACGAGCGATAGTGCGGCTCGGAGGCAGGACGACCGAGGGGGAAGCAGGCCTGGTAGGAGCTAAAGAGTATGAAGATGTGTCTGCCGGCTTTGTCTGGCTGTCAAATCGAATACGGCGCGATCACGGTCCGTGACCACGAGAAGCGAGAGAACGCGAGAGCTTGTGGCGTGCGTCTTGCGCGGAGAGAACCGGCGGAGAGACCGGCGCAGAAACTCTCATCGTGGCAGGTTAGGGTTATGGAAGCCCTTAGTAAGGCGCGCGAGCTGAGCGGTCAGCGGGCAGACGTTGACTAATGAAACGCTATCTAAGGACAAAGCTCGCGGGCAGATCAGTGCAGCGGAGGAAATCTCTGTCGCTGCCCGCGGAGGGCGACGGCGACGAGAGGCTCGGGGCAGACTCGAAGACTCGAAGCAGACTCGAAGCAGACTCGGGGAGCCGTCCTGATCTTATACCCTCCACCGCCCGACCCAGGCGAGCGCAACCAGGCGTCGGAAGCAGCTCCGTTGTCGTGCCAACGCTATTAAATTTAGACTTGAGACCGCGCAGAAGCGAAGGTATCGCGACGCGCACCGTCGCCTTGAGTTTCGGATGGCCTTCCCGGCGGGTGTTCTAGAAATGCCCTGCTGTGCCCGCCCGCTCGATCCCCGTGTCTGGTTGTCACTGCCGGTATTGTGAGTGGGTAGCAGCGGTAGAACACCTTCACGAGTACCTGCTTCGTTTCTCAGTCCTCTGTATGCAGCATACTCGATGACCGACGACGCTATGCTTCCCACCGGCGCGTGGGATACTCACGTCCACATCTTCGCTCCGAGCACCCATCCCTACGCCTCCACGCGCTCGTACTCGCCGCTCGAAGCACCCCTGCCCGCGCTCCTCGCCCACTCGCGCTCGATCTCGGCCACCGACTCGCCCACGAACCTCGTGCTCGTCCAGCCTTCGCCGTACGGTCGCGAGAACTCGCTTCTCGTCGAGGCGCTCGCGTCTTTGAACAGCGATCCGGCTCTGTCGTCGGTGAGAGCGCGGGGGATCGCGGTCGTCGACAGCGGTAGTGCGACGGCGGAGTCGCTGCAAGTACTTCATGATAGTGGTGTGCGCGGTCTGCGCATCAATCTCGAGTCGTCTGTAAACGCGCGGTACTCGACTGACGAGCTCAAGACCGTGATTGCTGATTCAGCGGCTGCCATCTCGTTCCTGCCCGGATGGGTTCTGCAGCTATTCATCAAGAGCACTTTGTGGGACGGTAAGTCGCTCCCCTTCGCGTCCACCTTCAACACCAATCTCTCTGACAGTTTCCAGACCTCTTACCGTTCGTCATGACCCTGCGCGTGCCAATCATCGCCGACCATCTCGGAGGTCTACTAGGCGCCTCGAAAAGCCCCGTCGTCGACTCGGCCAACCCGCTCTCGCAGCCCGGATACGCCTCGCTCGTCCGTCTAGCTCGCGAAGGTCGCGTGTACATCAAAGTCTCCGGTCTCTACCGCGCCTCGAATGCGCGCCCCGGATTCGAAGACCTGGAACCGATCATCAGCGCGCTGGCCCGCGACGCTCCAGACCAGCTCCTGTACGCGAGCGACTGGCCGCACACGGGCGAGGCCAAGGACAGACTGAAGCGGTCGAGCGACGCGCCCGAGGCATTTCAGGTAATCGACGATCGTCTTGTCATTGCCAATCTTCGAAAATGGGTCGCGCCAGTGGTATGGCAAAAGATGTGCGTCGACAATCCGGCCCGTCTGTTTTCCAACTAGGGTTCCTCTTCACATGACGAAGACACTACACTCTGGCCAGGCCCCGCACACTTCGCCCGAGACAGCGTCTGTCAGCTGCAGGATTTTGGGTATCCTGCAACACCCCTTGCCACACTGAATCGAGCGGGGTTGGCAAGTGCGGCGCTGGCCCGTGTGGTGGTGGTGGTGGTGGTGGTGTCTGTTGCGGAACTCGATCCGCAGGCGTATGTGCGCCGGCCACTGCTCTCCGCAGCAATAAATTTCTCTGCATCGTTTATTTTTCTGCATATCTACAGTCTCAAATTCATCTACAATCAACACCCTTCATCCGTGTATCAGCTATGTTAACAATATATAAAATAGTACTCAACTACAAGTCCACTGCTCGTCTTCTTGCTGCATGTGCGAGCAGCTCGACGGATGTCTGTGCGCCTGAGCTGAAATCCCGCGTGCTCTGTCTGCCGGCTACCCTAAGCTTAATCGGGCAGACAATGAATGATCTGAGAGAATACAACACGCAAGATCTTCAAACTACTTCTTTACCCAGAAAAACAACAATCACTAGTTTTATATTTTTTTCTCCAATCTGAAGCGCTGGGCGACAAAAAATTTGTTTTCATAAATCCTAAAACGGATCGTGGTCCGCGGCGGTTAACCCTATCCGCGTCCCGTGTCTTGAACTTCAACTTGCTCGATTAGCAAAAAAAACCTGGAGCAGTAAATTGATATTCCCACCCCTGTCCGCTCTCTATCCCCATCGCTTGGCTTTATATATCCAGCTCCTACGGTCGTGGAGATAAAAGAAATGGTTTGAGGAATCTGTTTGTTCGTCTACAATTGCCTCTTGCTCCAAACAAAACTGACCTAATGTCTCACCAGCTCACACGCGTTTCGTCACTGCTGCAAACGCTAGAGCAGCAGCAAGCTCTAGCGCTCCAACAACTCTGCTGCCGCCGACGCGCCTTCCAGACCTCCTCGCGCACAGCATCAGCATCAGCAGAAACAAAGACGAAGAAGTATGACCGCCCGCAGAACCGCCTGCCGGCAGCGTACTACCGCGGCGGCACCTCCCGCGCAATCATGTTCAACCAAGCCGATCTGCCCGAGTCACGCGAGGCCTGGGCGCCAATCTTCACGGGCACGATCGGATCTCCCGACTCGAACGGGCGGCAGCTCGACGGCATGGGCGGCGGCATCTCGTCATTGTCCAAGATCTGCGTCGTGGGCGCGCCCGCTGGAGCTGCGAAAGAAGCGGATGTGGATTACACGTTTGCGCAGGTCGAGGTCCGGAATACGCATGTGGACTACGCGAGTAACTGCGGCAACATGAGCGCCGCGATCGGCCCGTTTGCGTATGACTGGGGCCTCGTCGACCGGGCGTCGGTGCTGAACGCAGACAAGAAGACAGCGACGGTGCGGATCCACAACACAAACACGCGCAAGATCATCCACTCTACGTTTCCCGTGATTCCGGGCGCGGAAGCGGTCTCGGACGGCGAGTTTGCGATCGACGGCGTCAGCGGGACGGCGGCGAAGATCCAGCTCGATTTTATCAACCCGGGCGGGTCAAAGACCGGCAAGCTGCTGCCGAGCGGGAACGTCGTCGACGTGTTTGACGACCTGCCGGGATTCGACAGGCCTGTGTCGGCGACGCTGATTGATGCTGCCAACCCGGTGATATTCATCAACGCGGACGCAGTCGGCCTGCGCGACCCGGCTATCCTCCCCGACCAGCTCGAGCTGCTTCCGGACGTTCTCGCCCGTCTCGAGACGATCCGCAACTACGGCGCGCTGAAGATGGGGTTCGTCAAGACGCTCGAGGAAGCGCAGCTGACGACCTCGGTGCCCAAGATCTGCGTCGTTTCACGGCCGGTCTCGCACATTTTGTTTGATCGCAAGACCACGCTCTCTGCGACCGAGATCGACGTCGTCGTGCGCGCAATGTCCGTCGGACAACCCCACCGCGCGATCCCGATCACCGTCGCGCTAGCGACTGCTGCTGCTGCGCGACTGGAGGGATCGGTGGTGCACGACGCGCTGGCGAAGAATCGGGAGCCGGCGGATAAAGACGGCATCACGATTGGGCATTCGAGCGGGAAGATCGTGGTCGGGGCGAAGTTTGAGGGCGGAGAGGGAGATGAGCCGTTGAAGCTTGCGCATGCTACTGTTTACAGGACCGCGAGGAGGTTGTTTGAGGGGGTCGTCTACTGGAAGTAGAGAAGATGCTTAAGATGATTTTGTATAGAATCAGTGACCGAACCTGATAGCCTCCTACACCAAACCTCTATAATAAAAAATCAGAACAAAGCAGATCAGAACATCTACTGTAAACACCTACAAACCGAGCTATTTATAATCAACGAGATCACTGGTAAAAATAAAACAGGAAGAAAATAGAGAGAGTTTTAGCCAGCCCCCGGAAAAAAGTTTCAGCGACTCAAAGATGCTGCGGCGCGCCGAGCGGCTCGGTTCCAAGGTAGTCGCCGTCGTCGTCGTCGTCGTCGGTCGGTCAGGTAAGGTGTACGTGTGCTGTGCTATTTATATATATGAGTAGAGCACGGTTACGCTTTTGAGTGGTATTATTGGATTCGTGAGTTGATTTTACTGGGTGTTGGGAGGGTGGCGGAGGGAGGTTGTGAGGTTGTGAGAGCAGCGGTGGTGTTTAGAGTACTTGCGTCCAGTCGCCTTCGAGCTACTGATGAGGAAAGCCTGCAAGCAGTTCAGAAGTTCATTTCCATTCGAACCGGACACGATAGGTAGCGACCGAAAAAGCGCAAGCACGGCTTTCTCGAGTGTCGCATAAGAGTATAGGAGAGTAAAGCAGGGCCAGAAAAAAGAAATCAAAAAAGAGTGTGTGACGTGACAGGATAGGCGCTGGCATCACATAGTTTTGCTGCCGCCAACCGCTAGTTTACACCGGATGGCGGACAAGTCGGAGATGCCGCTCGCTGGGTGACGGGTAGACTATGGGTTACGAAGAAGAAGAAAGAGGATAGTTAGTGCATTGGTTCATTTCTGGGTGTCTTCTTGGGTAGAAGAAGAAATGCGACACGGGTTGGGAGAGGGAATGCAGGGTATCCGCTACGTTGGACGCGGACGGACGACCACGGCGCTTGTCGGCGCCCGTCTTTAATGAAAAGCAAATAATAAGACTAGCAGACTACGAGATGAAAGAGAGAGGCATAGCAGATGCTTGGAAAAACAAAACAGCCTTTGCCACTGCGGGAGCCATCCGGGTTTGGCGAACGAGCGCAGACAGAAAGCCGCGCGGAAGACCCGACAAGAGCCGCGAGACAAGCCTGAGTTTTGGCAAAACCCTAGACGACGACACGCAGTCAGTAGAGAGGAAAGACGGCAAAGAAAAGAGAGAAGAACGAGAGGCGGCAGGACCGGCCGGGTAGGGAAAGATGTCCGAGCTGAGGATGTGAACGCAAAAGAAAATAGCCGGGCGACCTCCGGCGGAAGTCTTTCTCGGATAGGTTCAGAACCGGAAGGTTAAAAAAGAAAAGAGCGTGAAACCCTGGCTGGCCCACACAGAGGGAGAAGGAAGATGGAAATGCCGCTGCTGCGTCTTCCGGCCGGCCTGGCGCTGGCGCTGGATGGCTGGCTGGATACTCTAGTGTAAGCGCAGTAGGGCGCACAGATCACTGGTGCTGGTGAAGGGCGAAACAGCAAGCTGGAGGATGGAAAGAGGGAAGGATTAGCAGCTTTTCCAGTTCTCTACGGATAGCTATGGAGCAGGACTATCACACGAATAGATAATTGATACAGAGAAGATTAAAAGGGGATAAATCTAGCATATGGCAGGTCTGTAAATTGGCGTTAGAAATAGGGGAGCAATTATCTGCAGCAGGATTACAAAAAAGGGCATGCGCGACAAGGATGATTGCTTGCCTGACTGACCGAAAGGGAAGCAAGCAGCAGCTGTTTGAAATATATTCGGACAAAAGGCTCAATGTGAGAGATCATAAACGAAGAGGTCACAGGTTGTGAAATAGTGACTCCGATCGGTGAGTGAGTAGTGAGTAGACTGTTTTCTGTCAAGGCTCTGTAAGTCGAGTCTAATTATGAATTATGAGTTTAACAGATCTTTAGGAGTGGGCAGCGGTGACGCTGTTGGTTTAGTTCATAGACTCGATTTGATGCAGGTCTTGGTTGGAGTTGTTGTTGACAGACACAGCAGAGTCGTAGAACAGAGAAGAAAGCGCACCGCGGTGCCAATAGTATAATGACGATGATTCTGCGTGTGGGGTCATAACTATCTACTGTGTGCTGAAAGTTCGAGAAATGCGTCCATCGGCCGAGGCAGACTGTCTCCAAACACCGCGACACTCGTTCGGCAACAAAGCATCTTGGCGACAAAGAGGAGATACAGCTACACGGAGAGATTAGAGACCAGGATATGATATGGGCTGGAGTAAGAGGAGTAAGGAGTATCTGAGCAGCGGGAGAATATCGGGAACTTCTCGTGTCTGCCGACTCTGCCCGCTTGCTATCGCGCATGTTTGTTTGTTTATCCTACTCAGTCGGCGATGCGTCTTTGTGCATATCCCAGCTGCGCTCTCCGCACCTCCACGATCTGCTCTTCTAAGAAGAGGCGGCGGTCTGGGGTAGCCGGGCAGGCCAAAAGTAGAAACCGGATGCACGTGAAGAGCTGTGAGTTGGTTATCCGATCGGGTACTGATCCGTGAGCAGAGATGTGAACCGCGTGGCATGTGAAGCGGCCGCAGCAGCAGCGGACTACCGTTAGCAGCACTCGCTGCGGCCGCCTGTTCTGCGGTGTATACAATCATATTGTCTTCATATTGTCTAAAAGATAGAAGAGGAGACACTTCTACAGTCTACGGTCTACAGTCTACGGTCTACATCACAGAGCAACACGGTTGCTGCTGCATGCCGGCGCAGTCGGGGCCGAAATGCAACCGGTTGTGCGTGCGCCTACTTGGGCCTCCGGGACACGCAGTGTGCCCCCCACTACGACACGACCGCCCACTCTGCTTGCAAGCCACCGCGATGGCGGGATTGCCAGAGCCAGAGCAGAGAGAGTCAGAGCCTGCTCGCCGGCTGCTAAGAGCGTGGAGGAGGAGACGAGAGAGAGAGAGGAGTAGTCTGATGTAGATGATAGTATAGAGACAAGAAGCAGCAGCGCCAATAAAACAAAAGGTGTTTCTGTTTCTGCTGCTTCCGACAGGTTGTTTTCGTTTGTTTTTCTGTTGATTTCAGTCTACTCTCAGCTGCTCAGTTCACTCACTCACTCACTTCTACTCTGAGTGAACGACGAATGTGGCCGGGGAAGACACCGATGTGAGCCGCCATTCAACCGGCGCTTTGTTTGGTCTGCGCTGAGTCGATTGATGGCTGGCCAACTCAACTCAACTCCACTCAACTCCAACTCCAACTCCAACTCCAACTCCAACTCCAACTCCAAGCGCGGTCGAGGTGCTAAATATGCTCTATCTCTGTAGAATAGCGGTGGTTACTATTCTAAAGAACAATGAATGATATAATAGGATCTTATAAGAATATAGAACATGCACCTCGGCAGGTGAACAGAAAGGCCTTCCGAAAGAAGCAGCCGAAATTCCCCGAAGCCGCCGAATAAACAAAAAACAATGGGCCGAGGTGGAACCAGCTGCAGGAGTCGAATCGACTCAGTGGCGACTCCGATCGACTTTGCCTCCTCGACTCCGGCGGTCAAACTCTCCCAAAGTGGCTCACGGCCCTAAACCTGGTCGGGTGGCCCTCTTCCTTCTGGCGCATGTCAAATACGGCCTTCGCCCCGCGCTGCTGCCCGTTGTCCTGACCTCCCCTCCTCCTCCTCCTCCTCTTCTTCTTCTACACTGTTTCCTTTCTCTATTCCTCCAGACAATGTCTGCTACAGTCCTCCTCGAAAGGCACCAATCCTTCTCCACCCCACGATCGCAGCATCTGATACGGCCCATCGACACCCCTCCAAGCCCACCACCCTCAATGGCCGATCTTTCCCCCTCCGACGCCCTGCACCTGCTCATCGTCGGCATCAGACGCATCCTCGCGGTGAGCGACCCCGCCGCCGCCTCATGGCAACGACACCGGCCCTCCGCTGCAGGCCTGCCCGTGTCGCCTCCTCCCTCGGCACCCCTCTCGCCGCCCATGTCGGCCTTTGATATCCGCAAGCGCGACGAGCAAATGACGCCCTCGCCTACCATGATGGGCGCGCTCGCGTCGTCCGACAGCGACAACAACCAACTCAGCCCCGCGACCGAGCAGCCGCCATGCATGACCGACGACTGTCCGCCGCAGCAGCAGCAGCAGCAGGAGCAGCCGTCGGCCGAAGACCTCGAGGCCGAGCACCAGCGGTATATCGTCGACAAGGCCAACCAGCGCGCGATTGTCTCGCGGCGGTTCTGGTCAAAGGCCGTGCCGGAGATTGATATAGAAAAGTACCTGCGCCGGATACACCAGTACTGCCCTACGTCGACGGCGGTGTACCTCGCGACGAGTCTGTACATCTACAGACTGTGCGTCGTGTCGCAGGCCGTGCCGTTGACGCCGCTGAATGCGCACAGGCTGGTTATCGCCGCGCTGCGGATCGCGTCCAAGAACCTGGAAGACATCAACCACAGCCAGAAGCGGTTCGCCAAGGTGGGCGGACTCTCCGAGAGCGAGCTGTGCAGACTCGAGATTGGCATGCTTTTCCTGATTGACTTTGATCTGAAGGTTGACGTGCAGGTGCTCGAGGAGCAGGCTGGTTTGCTGATGGAGCTAGAGAAGTGCTAGATTTCATTTATCTCATCATGATCTAGTCGTCTATCTTATATCCTATTTTTGGGCGCGTGTTGCATAGATTTGCATACCATTGCATCTTATCACAAAAAGATACAGCTCGCATGCGGGAGGGCGCGGCAGCGTATTCTTAATGTCAGAGTCGGGTGTGGTTTTTTATCGAATTGGGAACCGGTGTTTGTTACCGCTACGGGTTTATTGTATAATACAGAGTGCTATGTAAATAGTCAAAGGGAGGAAGGGTGTTTGGAATAGTTTTGTTTATTGTATTAAGGACAGGCGTTGGGATTGGATGTGTTTTATGTTGTTACTACCTATACCTTAAAGAAGCACAAAAATATAATCATAATTATATATCATGCAGTACAGTAGATAGCAGAGGATATGCAGTAGAGGAAAAGGGGAGTTGACATGTGCAAGAGAGAAAGATGAGCGCCCCTGGTTGGCGTTCCGAGGATGGAAGGTACGTGGAGAGCACGCGGCAGTCTACGCCGGCCCTGGTCCCCGAGAGACCGAATCGCGTGGAGAGAATAGTAATAAAAATAACTAGAAATAATAATAATAAAAGACGGAAATAAAAAAGAGTTGCGAGTGGTCAGGGTGCAGGACGTCGGCCGAGGCATTGATTGTCCATCTATATCTCTAAATCTTCGTTTACGGCCGTACGCGGATTCGAGATGACGACAATGATCGCCGGGGGGGAGGTTTAATAACAGGGCGGGCAGATCAGGTAGATCAGTGGAGATTGGAGATTTGAGATTTGCAGTGAGTAGACGGCAGCGAGCGTTTGGTATAGTGGGATGTGGAGGGTGGGATGAGTGATGGGCGGTGGCTGGCTCGGATGTCAAGGAAGGAAGAGGAGAGGAGGAGAGAAGCAAAGAGCGAATAGTAATCAGAGCTCGGAAGATGATCAACAGATGAATAAGAACAACAATCTGCAATCCGCACTCGCGCGGAATCAAGGAAACAGAAGTGAGGATGCACGTTCAGAAGAGATCGATTATCCGACGGACCGGCGAAGGACACGTCGGACACGGCAGCGGCGGTGACTGCGGACTGACGTAGGAGCAGAGTTGTGCAAATCATGTCGACTGTGTTTAAACCGAGTAAATAAATATTAAAAATAAATAATAATTCTTTGTGCTAATCGCCGAAAAGCAAACTTTGAATGGAAAACAGTGGACGGCTCGAAGAAGCTCAGATTCGCCTTCGCCTTCGTCACTGACCGCTCAGTGTACCTGCCGTGTCTGTGTCTCCTGTTGACTTCAAGACAAGGACAATGACTCTCGCAGCAAGGGACAGACTGTGGGTAGAGACATAGAGATGAGAAGAGCACCATCACCGAATCTACTTCTAAATACACCAGCGCAGATCCGGGGGCGTTGCTTCTTTCACGTGAAGACAGCCTCTGTTCTATCGCCTAAGTGATCTTCCCTCCGCCTTCGCCTTCACTTCCCGAGCCAAGCCGATGACGCACAGCTCAGTGCACAGTGCACAGTGCACAACGCACAACAGCGTGCCTTTTCTTGATATCATTATTATGGATGGACGTAGATGATCGTTATGCACAGCGCTGGCGAGGCGACATGGGAAGTTCGGTTTGCAACCACTCGTCGTCAGATATTACATAACACTGATCCCACGCGCCTGTCTTCAGCTGTGTTCTAAGCGCTAAGCGCAGCTCAGCAGCCCAGTACAGTCCAGAGCAGGCCGAAGCAACACCAGAGGCTGCAAGTAGCCGTCGGTGCGGAATGTGAGTGTCGAAGGGTCATCCATTCCTCCCCCGGACTTGGTCCCCGCCCCTCCTCTTCACGGCTGCAGCGACGACAATATTATCCGGGGTAAAATACCCGCCCGCTGGCTTCCTTCTTCTCTTCTTCGCCGTGTCTTGTCTCACCCAGTCGCAGTCTCACTCAGCCCGACCGTCGAATGTCGAACTCGTCTTTTTCTTATTCTCTGATTCTTTTCTATTTTGTCTTCTCTGCTGTCGGCGTTGGCGTTGCCGTCAACTGCTTCTTCCCGGCAGAAGTCGCGTGCTCACCGCTAATCCTCTCTGTTGTCTACCGCGGGGATCCGCAAACCCCACACAAAACTCCCCGCCGGCGCCTCTTTTTGCCTGCGACTCTGCGATAATTCCACTTCCAGTGTTCTTTGGATTTGTCCTAAACCAGCCACGGCTCTCCTTATCTTTTATAATTGTAAACACCTTGTATTTCCTATTCCAGTATCACTCCCGCCCCTCCCACCTCCCATCCAAGACATTACCCACTCACAATCTAGACCATACCACTAAATAGAATACAGCCTCCAACTAACCTCCAACCAATTTACTATTCACATCCCTCATCTCATCTCTGGCTGCTCTATATAATCCTCTGCGGCTTCCAATCCACCTCAGCAACACGGGTCTGGTACCCAAATCTTACACTCCCAAGTCAAAACTTCATAAAAAAAAATTGAAATCGTCATAGGATCTAGATTCCTCTCGGGCTGGACATCAGAATCCAAGATGATTCCCCGGTCGGACTAGCTGCTCCTGCTACTTTCTCTCCACCATCTCTACTGCTCGATATCATCTCCGGCCTATGGTGGCAGCAGGTCTTCTTGTTCGCAGTGTTGGTTCGTGTTTGTTCTGAATTTTATAAATTTCTACTTCGCGCTCGACACCGACTAACAACGCGCAGAAAAAAGATGGCGCATGCAATATCCCCGAGACCGGGACTGTCTGCGGCACGCTTGACACTACCAAGCAGCATCCGTGGACGAGTCTGGTCCAGCGCGCGCGCGTCGGGCAGGTCGTCTCCCGCGGCGTCGTCGATATCCTGCGTTCCTCCCACCGGCACGAGACCAATCTGGACGAGACCAGATAGCTTGGTTGGATTACGGAAATCAGGGTCATTCTCGTCAACGACATATCAGACGGCGCTCGTTCGCTTTGGATCATCGAACGCCTCCAGCCGTACGCAGCCTACACGCGAGAAATCTCATCCAAAACGAGTCTCCGGAATCTGGTCTCATCGAAGGTCCGCGCCTCTCCGCGACGATCCCCTATCTCGATTCCGGTCTCCCGACGAAGTCATCGGCAAGCAGCGCGAAGAACGCCGGCAAGGCATCCATCCCTACCTCGTGGGCAAAACGCGACGAATCAACGAAAAGATCGAGTTCAAACTCAAGCGTTACCTCACCCGCGCGTTCTCCAAATACCCCGATCTCGCCGTGCGCTACGGCTGCCGCCTGCTCTCGCTCGCGTACTTCCACATCTTTGGATACCGCACCGAGCCCTCGGACTGGCGCCTGCCCGGCACGCTCACCATCTCCGCGGCAGCGATGCAGCACCACAGAGTCTACATCCTCGGCCCGGGCAGCATCGGCACGTTCATGGCCTACGGCCTCAACCGCGGGCCAGACCCGCCTCCGACCGTGCTCATCTTCCAAGACACCGCGACCGCCTCGAAATTCAACGAGCGCAAGACACTCAAGCTCCTCACCTCGCCCGAGCGTCCCGAGCGCAACGTCCTCGGCGTCGTCGGCATCTCCGTCGACGCGCTCTACTACCTCCCGCTCACGATCGAGAACCTCGTCGTCTGCACTAAAGCCCACCAGACCATCAACGCGCTCAAATCGGTCGCCTACAGACTCCTCCCGACCTCCACCGTGCTCCTCATGCAGAACGGCATGGGCCTCCTCGACGAAATCTACCGCGAGATCTGGCCGAACCCGGCTCTCAGACCGCGCATCATGATCGGCATAAACACCCACGGCGTCACCCGCACTTCCACCCTCGGCGTCGTCACCCGCAACGGCTCCTCCGGCCTCGTCACCTTCGCCCGCGTCCGGCCGACAACCCACATCCGCGCCCACGCAGAACACATCGACCTGCTCAACCGCCGCGGCGCGCTCCCGCAAAAAGACCTCTCCTCCGAACGCCACCGCATCGCGACCATGTTCCGCCGCGTCCTGCGCGCCAGACGCGTCCGCACAATCCGCCACATCATGAAGCCGCCAAACATACCCGCCTACATCCGCGACAAGCAAGACCACCCGCCCGCCGGCAGTGTGCGCGAGGGCGTCGGCGATGAATGGCGAGCGAATCAGAGGCGCATTGGCGATTTGCTTGGCGATCTGGAGAAACTTGGCCGGGTCGGCGGCGACAGCGGCAGCAGCGGAGGGTTTGCGGACGCGCCGAATGCGGAGGGGTTCATGCAGATTGCGGAGGAGCTTCTTGTTGCTACTGCTGAAAAAGCGGCGGCGGAGGAGAAAGTAAGGAGGAGGATTACAAGTCGGAGGAGTATTATGAGCATGTTCAGCCGCCGAAGGAGAAGCAGTCGAAGAGGCAGAAGCAGTAAGAGCACCAGCGAGATCAGGGAGATTTTAACCAGCAGGAGGAAGAGGAAGCTTGCAAAGTTGAAAATCATCAAAAACGCGGGTAGCAGAAGGTTTTCAGCAAAAGGAGTGGTTGCGGTTCGCAAAGCTCCCAAGAAAAAGCTGAGAGTGAAGAAGAAAACTAGAGAGGAAAGGATCAGAAGCAGGAGCATCATGGGTTTGATCAGTGCTAGAAGGCTTCGAACTAAGACCTTCGGACGGAGTCGCAGCAGAGTGGTCACTACAGAGCAAGAGACTTCCGAGGCTGCAGGAGTAAGAGGCAGAAGAAGAAGGTTGGCAAGCAACAAACGTCCCAGCATCAGAGAACTGATAATGCGTCGGAGAAACAAAAACCTCAGACACCTCACGAGCAACACAGGCATCCCGGACAGCACCACCGCGGCAGAATCCGACTTGCAAGAATACGATTATGAGACCTTATCCTCCATCCTCAAAGACTACGAAGAACAGGCCCCGCCCGGACACTACGATCTCCTCGACTACACCTACCACAACAAGTTCGTGACGCGCTTAATCGAGTCCCCGATCCTCGGCGCGCGCGAGGTAAGCTACAGCGACCTTCTGCGCACGCAGGTGCAGAAAATGGTCGCAAACTGCTGCATCAACCCGCTGACCGCGATCCTCGACGTCCCCAACGGCCACATGGCGAGCTCAAAGTACATGCGCCGCGCGATCGTCGCCATCATCCGCGAGACCGTCAAGGTGCTCGACGTGCTACCGGAGATCAAAGCCACTTTCTCGACCTACGAGCGCGAAGGGATGCTCGACGTCGCGCAGCTGAAGGAGTACGTGTATTCGATCGCGCGGCAGACGGCAGAAAACACGTCGTCGATGCGGGCGGATATCCTTGCCGGACGGACGACGGAGATCGATTACCTAAACGGATACATCGCGGCGTCGGGACGCAAGTACGGCGTGCAGACGCCGATTAATAGCTATCTCGCGCATATTGTCAAGCATAAAACTAGCAGCGATGGGAATGATATGATATACTCTCCGGGCTCGGTCGTTCAGACGATTTTGTCGGAGGATAGGGAGCTTGTTACGCCTGAGGCTGAGGCGGTGTCAGAGGACAGCGATCCTGCTCCTCCTGAGGCCGAGGCAGGATCCACGGAAGACAGCAAGAAAGTTGCAGAAGCAGACGATGCGTTTCGGGAGGCGAGCGAGGCGAGCGAGGTGGAAGATAGATCGGTAGCATAAAGATTTGTAAATATCCTGCATTTTCTCTTTTTCTTTTTCATTTGTTTTCAACATTTTTGTTTGTATTTTACTTGTATTTGTATTGTATTTACCGGCGTTTGATATAGATGCATATGAGTCTTTGTTTATAGATCAATTAATCTAATCTGATTAGCTATATGACTAGTAGAAAGCAAGAAACCTCTAGCTCAGCACATTGAGAAACACCTACGATAAGAAAGCTTTCTTCAAACTTTTCTTTCTATTCTAGAAAAGAAAGCGGACCGCTAATATACAAACAAGAAAGGATTCAGCAAAAAAAAACCGATTTTGAAAACAACTTTTTTCATAAAGAAAGGGGAATGAGTCCCGGGCTTGAAGAGAGCAAGGATAGAAACAATGAACGCCGATATATAGAACATGTAACGTGAAGAAAAGGGAAATTTTGAGGAAAGTTGGGTGAGCGAAGAATAGTAAAAGGTACAGAGGATCATCCAGACATCAAGATGAATATAGAGCAGGTGGGAAGAAATTTCTGCTGCGTGATTGGATTTGACTTGTGCACTCATCGTCGGCCGGTATCGTACGTCGGTACATCCCCCGCTGTAGCAAAGGCGAATAAACAAGTGTGAATGTCTAGTTATCGATAGGTTGTGTAGTCTCGTAATCCCCCTTATCGATCGCACTCCTAAACTTCGACTCAACCACGTCGCAGAGATCAACAAGATCATCAAGCCCCTTCTCGAGCGCCTGCACGGCCGTGATTTCGCCGTAGGTCTGGATGCGGAGGTTCATTGCTGCTTCGGACGGGTGCGGGATGGAGTAGCCGCAGAACTCGACTTCGGGGCTGTCATGAGGTGGTTAGAAAGATGCTCGCAAAAGGCGGTGTGGGGGGGTAGGATTGGGTGTCGTACTTTTTCATAATCACGTATCGTAGAGCGTTGCCGAGCGTGTGATCTTCTTGTAAAATTCTGAACGAAGCAGCGGTGCCATCCTCAGAAGCACCAGGAAGCTATACACCATGAATTAGCCATCCAGTCCACGATAGCAAACACGCGCAGCATTCATCCGCCGCGTAGAGTCACATAACACATACAATCTGGATCTTGTTAGGATCAATCTCTGGAATCTCCTCGTCGACCATCTCCTGGTCCACGATCTCGGGCGCGTGGGTATCTTCGTGTTCAGCAGTCTTCGATGCCATGGTCTTGAGAATTCGTCGGTGAGCACAGATGTGTCTCTATAACAGCTGCAATAAAATCAAGGAAATCAAGGAAAACGAGCGGAAAAAGAACGAAGGATATGTCTGGCTACGCAAGACAACTGCTGCTGCTTCAAAATCTCAACCGAATATCTCGAAAAGAAAAAAAAAATGTTGCTTTGGGAGCAAACGCAGAAAAAGCCCCGGGTGCTTCAGCCGCACAGCTCGCAGGGCAGATGGGAAATAGCACCGCCACAGTGGCTGGGTCTGGCCGACTCCGGTCTCTGTGATTCGGTTACGTAAGGCAGATCTGTCCGGGAACTGGGCAGGCTCGAGATAGTGGTTGGAAGAGGAAGAAGTGCACGCTCCTTGTCATTGTGGAGGAATATATAGCAGGAAGAAGTTTACAGATTTGTTTCTAGCAGTGCAGTTACTACAGACATACGACTTGTCTTGCTATCAGAATTCAAGAATGACGACAGAAATAGCTGCTCATCTGGTAGCAGAAGAAGCCGATCTGCTGATGCCGCCCTCGCGCATGCCACCAGCCGAGAGCCTTCGGGACCCAGAGCAATTTCGACGACATGTGGCAGAGTACGTCCGCAGTATACCGCCCAAGCAGCGGATTCTAGGAATCTCGGTCTTGTCGGTTTTGGGGGTCGTCGCGCTGCTGCTTTTGATCTTCCATAAGGCCATTTTTGGATGGATTCAACCGTTTTGTGAGAGTTGGAGGTGTGTTGGCTGTCGTTTGTGTTCCTGCGTTTATATAGTGACGAGAGAGTGCTAATGATGGGCTTGTTTAGTAATCTGAGAGGAGGAACGTTCTTGATGTTTTTATTCATCTCCGCTACGAGTTTCCCGCCAATCGTGGGGTACACCTCAGCGGTTACTGTACGTCCTCCTGATCTGTGCCTGTCGATGATGTACGCACGCGCTAATATTTTTTTTCTGCTGCAGATTGCGGGATTGGTGTATGGATTATGGCGTGGCTGGATAGTTGCTTCTATCTCGACCGTCATCGCGTCGTATGCCTGCTTCGTGTAAGTCGTCCTTTCTACTCCTCCCTCGACTCTCTCGTGACATTTACTGATTGTATATTACAGCGTCTGCCGCGTGTTCTTCGCCGACTTTGCATTCCAACTCGCGCAAGGAAACCAAAAATTCGAAGCGCTGGCAATGACGCTCGACCATGAAGAACTCAAGCTGCTGTGGATGATCCGCATGTCTCCCTTGCCGTTCTCGTTCAGTAACGCGGCGTTGTCAACCATCCATACTATTTCGCCCAAGAACTTTGCCATCGCGACAGCATTGTCGACGCCAAAGGTGAGATAGCTTTTTTGCTAGGAGCATACAGCAAATACTGACTCTCTCTAGCTTCTGATCCCGGTGTTTATCGGCTCAAGACTGCGAAACCTGACCGACGAAAGCCAAGACTGGACAAGCAAGCTCGCAAATATATTTTCAATTCTCTTCGGCGCCTTCATCGCCGCCTCCACCGGCTGGATAATCTACCACCGCACCATGGACCGCGCGCGACTAATACAAGACCAACTCGACCACGAGCGCGAGCTGCGCGAGGAACCGATGCGGTTCCCGCGCACGGCCGCGCAGCACGCGGGTGTGGACGATGCCGAGTTTGATGTCGAGCAGTTTGCGGGGCAGGCGGGCGGGTATAGCGATGAGCCGCCGGATTCGTCGGACGACGAGGACGCGCAGTATGAGCCGGGGCCGCGGCAGCAGCAGCGGCAGCAGGAGGAGGAGGAGCCGCTGGATGGAGAGGAGGCGTTGATTGAGATTGCGGAGGAGCAGGAGGGTGCTGCTACGGATGGTTCTACAGGAGAAGGAGTAGGCTCTGCGAGGCCAGACAATAGTATCCTATGATGAAGACGCGTGAAACCAAACCGAAACAAGGACCAGGAGAAAGCAGAAAAGCAGCAAAGACGACGACCGAGTGTCAGTCTCAGACCCTTTCTTGATATTGATTGAATTTGGAGCCGATTTCGAAACTGCGCTGCCAACCGAGGAATGCCGGTTTTTTCCTCTTGTTTAAATTCGTTGTTTATAGCGCTCGCTGATCGAGATAGATTGATGTTCGGGTAGATGTTTATTTTTGGAGTGTTTTAGTAGTCCGCTTATTTTTTTTGGTTTATTACTGGAATATAAAACAAATGAGAAACAAATAGTGGAATAGAAGATGGAAAGAGGTTTTAAGAAATAGCTTGATACAGTGACGCGCAGGTTGGCCGCCACAGGCAAATATGCACATACAGCAGCCATACGCACACCTTTCTTCTAGCAGCATCTCACCTCCAAAGCCCATCAACTACTACTCAGCAACTACTCTCAACATCTCCTCGCGAATTTTGCCTCGCATTCCCCCAATTCCAGGCCAATCGTCGCGAGCGCGAGAGAGAATTAGTAGCCGAGCAGCCAAAATAATTTGGGGCTCAAACCGCGTCTGCTTCTCTCTTTTAGGGTTTTCAGGGGCTCCCGCAGCCGCGCCTTCGTTTTCTTGTTTTTGGCTTCTTCCCCAAATCAGCTTCGAGTTCTTCGAGCCGATGACTTTGACGATGCCTTTAAAACCCAACCGTCCCTGCCGTAGTCGCGTCTTCTTTTTCTTCTTCTCACATACATGTCGCTGTCTGCTACGCTCACATGTGGGTGCCCTTCATCTCCACCCCGAAGCGCTCTCCCGCTGCCTCCCGCCTCGGCAAGCGCAAGATCTCCTCCTCCTCTCTGCAAAGTCTAGACACCACCCCCTCCGGCACGCTTGACCTGCAGTCCGCAACCGTCTCATCCCACGCCAGCCCGCCCAAAACACTCTCGTCCACGCTCCCCAACCCGCCCGAAGTCGCGCCGCTCAACTTCACGTCCTATACAAACGCCGTGTTCTACCCCGACTGGGCATGCAACCTCGCGTCCCCCCGCACCGCGATCCCGTTCGAGAACGTGACGCATGTATACTACACCTTCATCGGGCTCAACAAAGACGGCTCCGTGTTCCTCACCGAGCCTGCGGCAGAGAACGCATCCTCGTCTTCGCGGTTGACGGCAAAGACGTGCATCGCGCAGATCGTATCTGAACGCGAGGAGCGGAATCAAGACGTCAAGCTGCTCATGAGCGTCGGCGGTGGCGCCGGCAGCGGCAATTTCTCGACCGTCGTTTCTAGCAGCAAGACGCGTGAGAAGTTTGCGTCTAGTCTTAAGACGCTCATCGACGATTACTCGTTCGACGGTGTCGATGGTATGCATCCCCCTCATGATCCGGGGTTGATTATATTAATGCTAACATCATTGTCTACAGTCGACTGGGAATCCCCCATCTCCGCCACCGAAGGCTACTACTTCCTCCGCATGATCCGTCTTTTGCGCACATACTTCACCCCCGACGACTACCTCCTAACCGCGACCTACAACGGCGCCAGCTGGGCGCTCTCCGAGATCGACATCACCAGCGCCGTCAGCGTCGTCGACCAATTCAACCTCATGACCTACGACTTTTACGGGCCCTGGAACGCCACCAGCGGCTACCACTCGCGTCTGTTCTCCCCCGTCGCAGACACCGACAGCGCGTCAAACTCAATGTCGCTCTGCCTCGCTGATCAGAACATCGACTCCCGCAAACTCATCATGGGCGTCCCGCTCTACGCCCAGGGCTTCCCCAACGTCACCGGTCCGGACCAGACCTGGGCAAAGTCAAGAATGCCAGACGACGGCATCCAGGTAAACTACAACGAGCTCGGCCTCGACCCGTTCGACTCCGACATCGTCTTCAACTCCACCCAGGTCGCGGCGGGCTACTACAACAAAACCGCAAACATATGGTACAGTTTCGATAACTACGAATCCGTCCGGCAAAAAGCATCGCATGTAAAGTCAAACTCTTTGGGAGGTATCTTTTATTGGCAGTCCGCGGGAGATATGGCGGCCTCCACCGGCGGCTCGCTCGTCAGTCTCTCGGCGCTGTATCTCGGGGCGACCACATGAAAAGTTAGGTAGATAGAATGTACTGCACATCCGCATTTTAAAACATAATCTGTCTTTCTGCTTGTTTTCACATACTCTTTCGTTCCTACATGCAAAAATGCGCCAGTAAATTTACAAATCAACTCTAAAAACAAGCTACAAAATCTTCAAAACTGCGCTCTCTCTCTCTTCTCAAACAGACAAAAGCTCTACTTGAAATCAGCATTGATGATATCCATCCACTTCTGCCCCTTCAGCTCCTCCTTAATCTCGCTCCGCAACCGACTCGGCATCCCGGGCCCGTCGTACGCAAACCCAGTCAGGACCTGCACGAACGTCGCCCCCGCGCGCGCAAACTCGACCGCGTCCTTGCCGGTGCTGATGCCGCCGCAGCCGATCAGCGTGAACGAGGGACCGATGTACTTCCGCAGCGTGCGCAGCGTCCGCAGCGCGCCTTCCTTCACGGGCGGGCCCGAAAGACCTCCGATCTCGTTGCGCAGGCTCAGCGGGGCTTTCAACGTCGTCGGTCTCGCGATCGTCGTGTTTGACACAATCACGCCGTCGATCCCCGACGCGCGAACGACCTCCGCGATCCCAATAACCTCGGTCTCTGACAAGTCCGGCGCGATCTTGACGCAGATTGGCGGCTTGTGCGGCGTCGACAGACTATCACGAGCCTTGATAACCGACTCCAGCAAACCCGCGAGCTTCTTCTCGCTCTGCATGCTGCGCAGGCCAGGCGTGTTGGGACTCGACACGTTGATCACGAGCACGTCAGCGTAGTTCCCCAGCGTCTTGACGCCTTCGACGTAGTCCTCGACCTCGTCGCCGGTCTTGTTCTTGCCCAAGTTCACCGCCAACAGCTTCCCGTCCCGGAACGCGTGGTTCGCCGGCGCGGCCTGGTACTTTGTCAAAAACTGGTGCAGCCGGAGACGCAGACGCACGAGCACCTTCAAGTGGCCGTCGGAATTGAAGCCGTACCGGTTGATCGCGGCCTTGTCCTTTGGTAGTCGGAAGAATCGCGGCTTCGGGTTGCCTTCTTGCGGCTTGGGAGTGATGGACCCAATCTCGACGTACGAGAATCCAATGTCGAAAAGCGGATCAATTGCTTCGCCGTTCTTGTCGAAACCAGCAGCAAGGCCAATCGGGCTCGAGAGAGTTTTTCCAAAGATCTATAGAAATATAACATCAGTAACTAGTCCCCCTTCGCTAATCCACGTCCTTTTCGTCTCCACACAAAAGCACAACTGTATGCTACTACTGACCTTCACCTCCAGATCCGGATCAACCGCATCATCCGATCTATCAACCGGACTTATCCCCGCCTTCATCAGGTCAATCGCAAGCCGATGCGCCGTCTCCGCATCCGTACTCCAGCGAATCGCCGGCACGACCACATACCGCAGCGCCGCCGACCGCGCGTCGGTCACGTAGTACGCCCCGACGCCGAGTCCGACCAGCAGCGAGGTACCGATCAAAAAGTTGCGCACAGGAGATGCGAGTGCTTTCCGTCGCGTGAAGAGCGTGCGTCGGCTCGTGAGTGTTGCGGATTGGTGCTGAGTCTGGTTGGCGATGAACGAAGACGACAACGGCCGTCGCGAGCCGAAGCGCACTGAGCTGCGTAGTATGCCTGAGTTCATGCTTCTTCTTCTTTCTTTTCTTTCTGTTCTGCTCTGCTCTTTCTTTGCTGCAAAGAGATTAAAGCAACAACAACAAGAGAATAGGAGCTGCTCGGGGTAGGTTTCCGACACCAGAGCCCTCTCCAGAACAGGACAACTTCTAAACTCAGTTTTGTCTGCCTCGGAGCCCGCGCTCTGCTTTGGTGAGCCTCTGATTCGCAGCCAAATACCCAAACCCTCTCCAGCCGCTCTTATATCTGTTTATGGATGGTACTATTATCTTGAATATCCAACTATGCTACTGCTGCGCTTTGTAATAACAAAAGAAACTATAACTACCTCTCTTCCCTCTTATTTATCACAGTCCAACAATCAAAGTATCTCCCTCTAAACTCTGTACTGCCAGATCTTCCCCTCCTCACTCAGCACCTGCGCCAAAAACTCGACCTCGCTGCGTTTCCGTCCCTCGGCCAACCAGTCCTCGGCGAGCTTCTTCCGCCATCCGTCCAACGAGTTCACCTCGCGCACAGCCTGCTCGACCTGTCCCTCCATAAGCGCCGTCTCCGCACGCGCGAGAATCGACTCGACATCACCGCCCACAGGCTTTCCTTCCTTCTTCCACAAAAGGCTCGACAGCAGCCACGAGCCCGCAAACCCAGCAACTCCAGCGTCCTCCGGAACCAACGACACCTTGCGGATCTCGGGTGCGATAAGTCGGAATCGAGCCGCGAGCTGCTGAGGCGACAACACGCCCTCGTAGGCTGATCGAGGGAAGGCCTCGATCACGCTCGCGACAAGCGGATCATCTCCAGCCGCGATCTTAATACGCGCAAGCAGCGGCGCCAACGGGACCTGGTACGGCGTCGCGAGCGCGTTCGACAACGCGCCGAGCGCGAGCTGCAGATCAGCCGCCTTCTCGGATGCGTCCAGAAGCTTGTCGACCTCCTTCGAGAGCTCGACGACTTCCTCAAACGCCTTCTTCACCTCCCCGAGCCGCGCCAGTTTGCCGGATCGCTCGGTCTCGACCTTGTCAGACACCTGCGCAGCAAACTCCTTCTCCTTCAACGTGGCAGCGGAAATAACCTCGTTCTTGACGCGCGTGTCAAACAGAGCAGCAAACTTCTTCAACTCTGTCGTGAGTCTCTGCTTGTAAGTATCTATCAACCGCTTGCGCTCGGCAAAGTATCCCTGCTTCCACTGCTCGTCAAGGGCAGCAAGCTGCTTCTTTGCCTCTTCGGCATCCGCGGCAGCCTGCGCAGCAATAAGCTGGCTCTGCAGCTCCGCGGCTCCCTTGAGATCAGCCTCGTACTTTGCCTTGACCTTGACGAATCTATCAGAAACCTGTCCGAGGCTCGCAGCAATGCCTCCGAGCTCCTCGGGACCGGCCTTTCCGGTCTTCGACAGCACAGTGAACAGCCCGTTGATCGACTTTACGACATCCTCCAACGCGGGATCAATAGTGCCGTCAAAGATCAGCTTCGGAAGCTGAGGCAGCGCCGTCTCCTTGGCAGCCGCCGCAGGCTTCGACTCAGTCGCCGCCGCGGGCGCCGGCGCAGACGTCTCCTTCTTGGGAGGAGCAGCAGCCGGGGTCTTAGCCGAGATATGAGGACCAGAGTTCGGACCCTTGTACTCGTCGCCCAGCACCTTCCAGGTCGCGCCGCCTCTGTGGATAGTCACTCTCGGCGAATCTCCGCTCGCGGCCTTGCGTCCTGCGTTCGGGAACCGGCGCTGAAACTCGCGCTCTTCCAACATCATCACGATCTCCTCGCCCAGAGGAACGTACTCGGTGAAAAAGTCGTGGAAGTTGTCGTTGACGGTCGAGTACCACACACCGGTGCCGTACAGCGACGCAGCCAAGAAACTGAGGAAAAGGAATGTTCGTAAACGGTGCGTCTTGGGCGGCGGAGGTGGCGGGGGAATCGGTGTAGCCTTCGGGGCCTCAACCACCGGAGCTGGCGGGGGCACCGGGATCTCACCCGCCGGCGGGACAGACGAAGGAGGCTGGTTTTGGATATTCAGACGAGCGGTCTATAGAGAATCCAACAAGTACGATTAGTAAATCTGACGCGGATCTTGATTGATGCCAATCGGCTCCTATGTCGTGTTTCTCCACACCAACATAGAACCAAGTGTCGAGCACGACCACGTCAAAAGCCCACCAAAACAAAGAGGGGCAGCATACCGATGTCGAAAGCAATCTCGCAGTCTGAGCAATCCGAATCTGCCCGCTGGCAGAAGCAGCACGAGCAGCTGTGATCCGCAACATCAAATCGAGGTGTTCTTTAAAAGTAATGACTTGGACAGAGAGATCTTTCGTCTGGTAATCACGGTATCTCTTCTTTCCTTTCTGCTATTTCTGAAGAGTCCAAAGCAATTCCTATTTTTCTCAATCCTCTCTTCTCTCTTCTTTTTCTTCTATCTTTTTCGTCAATTGCGGCACGGAAAAGAGCTGCAATCCAAAGTCGACTTCTTAAACTCCTCTTTGAAGCTGTCGTGGGTTCGAAGTCCTCCCGCAGTTTGCCGATGGGGAGCCAATGAAATCTCTCATTGAACCCCAACCCTGAAGCTGCCAAATTCGTCAGACCTTGTATAGATTGCTTTGAATCTGTTTGGTGATCATCTAGTAGCTCTTTTGTTGGTTGTTTATACATATAGTTGCCCGGGGTGGGTTTCTTAGGTATTCAGAGAGAATGGAAGATTGCAAAATATAAGCATGCGTGCGCGCAGAGTGCTCTGTTTGATTTCCGTTTTCGGGATCCATCGATATCAAAGCAACAGCTATCAAAATTCATTCTTTAGAAATACAACCTCCGCTCAACTATGCAAAAAAAGATTAAAACTCCTGCCCGACCAACCAAAAAAAAACCGAATCTAATGATGCCAAAAGCTATATAACAATACGAATCAGCACCTCTATCTCAGACATCATTGAAAACAAGGAGAAAACTTACTCAGGAACCATCAGAACATATCTCTCCATCGCTTCTCGGAACCGGTTCTTGTACTGTCGAGGGGTGACCACGGTCGGAATCTTGCCGCCTCCGCCAACAAGACCGCGTTCTTTGACCCAGCTTTCCAATTTCTTGTCCCATGTAAACGTACGCAGGCAATCTGTAAATAGTCAACGATTAGCGTACAATCCAGCACAAACAGACAACTCAGAAAACTTACCAATGATGCCAACCACAAGCTGGTTTCGCTCGTGGTCGATTGCAATCACTAGAGAGTAATCCATCACATTCATCTTGGCTAGGAACAGAGTATCGTTCCACAGTGATGCCCGCAAAATGTTCTTTGCGTACTCCCTCACAAACAGCGGTGATTCAAAGATATCTAAACGTTCGTCGTTAGTAAAACTCAGAATGATGAACCCACTCAAAAGTACTCACATTCAACCATATTCTCATCAAGCAAAACCTCGTTTGCCTTCCCGGTTTGCTCCACGTGCCGATTGCGCATAGATCCCTTCAAATCAAAGATCCTCGAAAGCTTACGATCGTAAAACAGGTTTTCCATAACAAGGATATCCATCTTCATCGACTTGTTCGTGATCGGATTCCGCACTTGCACCTGGTAGAACCCCATGATCTTTGCAATCACCGACGGCAAATCATGAAAGAATACTTGCGCCATGTACTGGAAATACGACGGGGCGAACTTCACAAACGCGTCCAACTCGGATGGCGACAATTGCTTCACCACAAGCCTATCATCCAGCGTCTTCAAAAACGCAGATCCAGACTTTCCTCCTGCAGAGTCCCATTTGACACACCGGGAAAGCGACTGGATGTAACTCTCTTCGCAGTCACACAACGTTCTGAACGCGTCGAAAAGTTCCGCATAAAAGATCTTGCACGACAGCTTTGCTGATCCTTCCTGGAATTGGTACTTCAGATGAGTACCGGTCTCCTTCAACAGCCACCTCTTTAACTCCTCCCGAGTCTTAGGATGCCCATTATGAGATGATGTCGGCGTCGTTGAACCACCCTCTGCTGCTCTCGTGCTTCTCTGTCGCGTGTAAAACTCTTTATGCGGCTGAGGTGGATACACGGGCTTGATCTCGTCATCCGAAGAACTCGAGTCATAAGCCTGATCATCCGTCCTCCGGATCTGGTGCAACTTCTCCATATAATCAGGCGAAGACAGACAAAACGCAATCAAAGACGACGGCTCGTCTTCACGCACAATCACATCCGAATCCATGAAAATATGCTCAGACGGCTGTAACGGATACTCGAGCGGTTTCCAGCCACTGGCAGATCTATCGGCCCAGAAATTAGACAGCATCGTCATTATCGACACCTTTTCGGGCACCGGTGGAATGTCCTGCTGATACGGCGCCTGGTAGGTCGACGATTGGCCACTTTGCTGAGAGCTCTGCAGCGAACTAGACGCTTCGGACTCTTCTCGTGCAGGCTCTTTCGCATCGGAAGATTCCTTCGGCGCCTCCTCCTGTGCTCCTTGCGTCTCCGTCTTTAGACTTTCGTCATTGACTTGAGGCTCACTCGGTCCTGGTTGAGATAAATCTGAGGGGAAGGCAGAGTGGAAATAAGCAGATGGCAAAGGCGACATGATCCCGGGTGACACCAAGTCAGACACCGCCGCCGGACGATCAGAGGTCCCGACTTCTTCCGTCGAAGCCGCCGGACTCGAGTTCGTCACCCCAGACTTGAGCTTGTCTTTGAGAATCGAGACAGTATCCGGCTTACTCGTCCGTTCTTGCGCCGGACGCTTCCGTCGCATCTTACCCCTGCGACCGATCGTTCCCGAGTCGGAAAACAGCTCATAGTCGGAATTGGCATGCTCATCAGACCCGAAATCATCTTCCTCGTCCTCCTCTTCTTCTTCGACCACGGCATCCTCAATCGTGCGATACACTTCAACAATAGGCTTCGAAGATCCAACCGCTCGCAGACGTCCTTCTGCTAGCTTTTTCCGCTCCCGAGCACGCTCTTTTTCAAACTCTCGCGACAGTTGATCGAAATGACGCGCGAGTGAAATCACTTTGCTCTGTCCGATCGTCGAGCTCGATCCGATTCCCGCAACAGAGGTCGGCGGACCATGCACGTCGCTCCCGCTACGACTCAACTGCAGCTGCCGGGCGAGTTCGCGAGTCGTACCTTGCGTGAACCGATGCTTGAACTGCGGAGCGGGCGGTAACGAGATACGCTCGGGTACATACTTGCGACGCGAAAGACTGCCGCGCGCAGCCTGGGGTTGAGACGGGGTTGCAGTAGTGCCGTTCTCGGATGGAGTCGCAGCGGCTACTATCGTCGTGCTAGCGGCAGCAGCTTCCGCGTCCACCGGGGATGCAGCAATCACATTCAACGCTGGGGTAACAGCTCCATTAGCAGTAGGTACGCTCAAGCTGTCATTCGGTAAGTCAGTTTTGACCTGTAAGCGTTCAGGACCGCTCACACCCAGTCCGACTTCTTCGCTCGCGGTTGCCGTGGCATTCTCATCCTTGCTGGTCGGATCTTTATCCGCTCCCGAAAGTGAGATTGTCTTTGTTATTGGATCCGACTTGCTAGCCGGCAGTCCGGGAGACGGAAATCCCATTGGAGGAGCAAAATCAGAGGCTGAATTTATAGCCGCAGGAGGTCCCGCTAACTCGCCAGCCTCATTAACGGTAGAGATCGTGGTGGCAGGAGTCATCTCCGGCATAGTTGACGCGACCGTCGAAATCTCAGAGTTGACTGGCATCAGTTCAACCGCAGTTTCCACATTCGAGGTCAGTTCAGACGGCGTCTCGTCAGAGATGAATGACGCTGTCGACGTATCTCGTTCCAGAAACATCTTTTTCAGCTGCATTGCTGTCAGACGAGCGATATCTTTCTCTGACGGGAAAAAACTGCGATCGAAATCCGCGAAATCGATATCCCACTGTACGACCCGTTCTTGAAGTGACCGAATCACAGCATTCAAGGGCAGATATTCCCTGTACGATGACTCGTTGTATATCTCTTGCAACATATCGATGAGCTCATCGCACTCGTTTGTCGCCCTCTCGCGCAGCATGTCAAGTCTGGCTTTACATTCCTCAGTGCGGTCGCTCGAGGAAAACTCGTCAACCCGCACGGATTTCAGACGTGTAAGCACCGAGTCGTAAAAGTTGTTGATTCTCTCTTCGATCGAAACATATTCGTCTGCGCGTAAGCGCACGTCTATCTGAGGCTTCCATAGAAGTCTGGTCCGAGGAAACGAGATATCAAACAGCTCGATGGGTTTGTATTCGAATCTTACCGCAAGCCCGTGGAGCGAGAAGACGCGAACATGATCTTTATGGATATCATGGGAGCAGATATCAGCGCGCAAAGACAATGGGGTCGACCAGAACGATAGCTCGAGATATTTGCCAAATGAATACTTCCATGTGTTGTCAGACATCGGAAGAGCAGGTAGTTTGGCTCCACAAATATTGCAATGTGACCACACGAGGATTTTGTTCTCCATGCCGGGAATTCGGCACGGCATCTTCTCAACACTGACATTCACACGACCGTTACCATGGACATAAGACCTGTAGTGCTGAGCAAGAGTGTACGTGCATCCATCAGAGCACTGCTGATCAACGCTTTCGCAAATTCCTTCGATAAATTGACCTAAGGTGCAGTCTCCGTCGCGGTAATATTCAATAGATACAAGTTCCGGACCTGTGCATGGAGCCGTGGTGATCTTGCAGACAAGCGAGTAGAGAATAGTGATGTGCTGATACGCAAATGGATCGAAAAGGTACTGTAAGGTCTGCGCGAGATAGGTTTCCCATTGCCGCTTTTGAATGACAGAGACGTATTCAAGCTTGTCGTGCTCGAGCTGAAGAACTGCCCGCTTGACCTCGGCTGCAATTCTATCGCCTTGTCCAGGAAGCTGCATGAGAGTCTCAGGTCTGATGTGGTCAAGAACTGATTCGGTTGCTTCCGGCTTCGGTACCAGAGTAGCAGAAGTGGTAGGATTGCGACGCTTGCCGTTCATAGTCTCATGGGGCGCCTCGTTTGAGCTTTCCTCTACCTTATCGGTAAACTCTGCCGTGGCTGTAGCTTGATCGTTTGTCTCATAATCTAGTTCTCAATTATTAGTCTTGTCTTGCCATACTTACTGACAACTCGCTGATAACTTACCTGAAGATTTCTCAATATCGTGTTCAATCATTTCTTGTCCCTCTTCCTCGTTCGCATCCTTCATGGCCTCTTCATACTCCTTGTGAAATTCCGCGGTAGTCTTGGCCAAGATCTGCAATCTACCCTCGACCTGCCGGGCTTTCCATAGCAGATACGGCTGGGGAATCTGCACAAATGGAGATGTTGAGACGATCCGCTCGTCATGTAGCTTCACCAGAGAATCATAATATCCCGGAGTATCCGTGTCCAGGAGGTCTTCTTCGACTTTATCTTCATCAGCGGCGACGGGGACTATTGCGGTCGACTCGCTTCGAACAGTCACTGGCTTCCTTCTCGGGCATGTAATTTGGGAAGACGCGGGGGCAGGCATAAAAACAAACTCGTCTCTCATAAGACACGTCTCGAGTTTCAGATTATAAACGACGTAGATCATGAACTCCGTGATAATCTTGATCTGCCGCAGAGTTTCCATATTTCCTCCGCGTAAGACGATAGTACATCCAAGCTGTGGCGGGCATCCTGAAACGAAAATAAATGTTTTCTTCTTGGTTTGCTCCAACACATACGTCTTGATTTCAAAATTGTCGCAATAGCCAACTCTGGGGTATACGTCGAAGCTACCCTTGTCCAGATCTTTGAGTAGCACTTCGGCGGAAGGAATGATGTCCGCCTGCGTCGAGCGAGCAACTGCTCTCAGTACTTTTGGATTGACGTTGTATGCAACCGCGATACCATGTTGCTCGAGCAGCTGCAAAGCGTATCCCGATATGTTGTGTTCGGTGAGTACGACGTTGGGATGGCGCGCCGTTATAGCATTGACCAGCTTCTGTAGATGTTCTTTTTCCTGCTGAAGAACAGGCTCCAAAGACATAAAATGCAGCGGATCGTTTGCATTGCCAGACTCCGCATCAGTCGTAGATCTCTCCGGAACATCAGCATTTTTGGAGCCGCCGAGTAAGATTGAGCTCGGCGCTTTCGACACCGGTTGCTCGCGAATTCTGTACTCGACCGGGAACCCGAGCAGCATTACCTTAGCCGAAGGGATTTCGCGCGACATTGATTTTAGCGCGATATTCTTGGTGAATACAACGCCTGAAAGATATGACGTATCGTCTGGATTCGCGCCTGGAATCCGTTTGATCTTCACGTAGTTCCTGACGTCGATATCGTCACCTTGTCGTACATCAGGATCCAAATCATCCGTAGCCTGGAGTAATATCGGTATCAACGCATTCTCCCACCTGGTGACCATACTCGCATCAGGGAACTCCAGCTCTTCTAGCAGTTGTCTCAAAAGACGTCGAACGTGGCTCAGCGATGCAGCGTTCAGCTCCACCGCCGGCGCCCGAGGACCACGCAAGGATGATGAGCGGTTCATTCCTCGAGATTTACCACCCCGAGCGGCCACCGCGCCAGGCGTCAGCTGCATAGAGTCGGCGATGCGAACACTCGGTTTGGCGTCTTGGAAACTCGAGGACGATCCATCGGAAGCAAGAGGAAGACTTCCAGACACTGATCGAGACAGGTGGACAGGCTGGCTTTTCCGGGTAGGCCGGTCAAAAAAGTGACGGACCGCTGCCGGCTTGTCCTTAATGTTTGGTGTGAATTGCGATGCGGTAGAAGTCATTGTTGCACTGGCTGTTGGAGTTGCTGGCTAAGCAAACCTCGATGGTGAAGCGTAGTCCACGCTCCCGAATATCAGTCGCGAAGCAGCCCACTACAGCTCAGTAACAAGAATCGCTGAAAATGACGACAATAGGCAAGGCCGGTTTCAATTCTGGTTGTGATTTTGAATCAGGACGACTGTTGTTATTCGAGACCGTATCGCGATTGACGCGTAGCCGTTATGGTTGATTGGGAGTTTCAAAGACCTAACTGCGACTGAGCTGTGAACTTTGGAGCTTTAAATCCAGCATCTTTGCACCGAAAATCAAAAGCACCTGGCATTTCTTCTTTCGCTATAACAAACTGGCCAGGTTATTGATGGCAGTTAGCCTCAATCACGTAGATAATACGTTTCTTGCATTCATGCACCATTTCTGAAACCACAGAACGCATCTCTCGCCAGCAAAATCCAGAAACATGGACTGCTACTCCCTCCTCGATTAGCACGGTCCGTTCGTTGTATGTACACGGCTTTATATATTGAATGACTTTTTAGACTATGTTACAATCCTGATACACCAACAGGTCTCTATCCCCATTCCTTCTCATGATACCTCCAGCAGTTTGGAGTGTGCAAATCTCAGGCTCTCGACTTACTCCGTGGCATTCGTAACACCGAACGGTCCCGCCATGATCACCTTTTTGATAAACTGTTCCGCCTTTGCTCCGCCATGGCACATCGCTACGGCTCCGATCGAGGCGTAGACGGTCTGCGCTCCAACTTCGAGTAGACCCGTTGTCCGCGGGTTGACCTCCTGCATTGAAATAGATGGTTAGCTATCGTACTCTCAACTCACAAATGTCAATTTATTTTGCATACCATCAGATTGTCAAACTTTTGGGCCGGCGCCCACCGAATAATAGGCAGCAAGCCTGACTCCTTGGCAATTTTGAAGATAGAGCCTCTGCTGTGTAGTAAACCTTGGGCAGTTTTGCTCTTCAGAGCCTCCACGTCTCTGCCAGCGATGGAGGTAGGGCCGTCCGATTTATGGGCTGCGACCAGACAGGCGACCTGTAATGAGAATAGTCGTCGGCCTAGAGAGTACAGTTAGCACCATACAAATACATAAACGTTATTGTAGACCGGACAGCTTCGTATGCGTACCGTAGAATGCCAGTCTCTCGTTATAAGGTAAAACACCGTGTCGGAAACTCTTATGTGTGAAGACCTGCAACAGCAGATCCTTTGGCAGAGAAAACGTAGCTGCGTGTTCACCAGTCAATCGGTTCCAAGCCTCGTCGACGTATTTTTCGGATTCTTCCTGGAGCTTCAAAACCTCTGGACTAGGCTGGTTGATTGTCGCCCGGTCTTCCTCCACGAGACCATCTAGATAGACAATCGTCCGCTTGAAAGTTGTCGTCGTCGGCGGCACACAGACCGAGGCCCTGGCGAGGGAAAACGGCATAGGCCGCAGAGGTCGCAGAATTGGCCGAAAAACGTTCATCTTCTATTTAATCTCGCAGGAGGCTGGGCAAGACAGTGGAGATTCAGCACAGGTTTTTTTTTGTGAGGACCGCGAAAATTGACTGTCGCTGAGATCCGGAAAAATCCTGGCAGCGAGGATTAAAGTTTTGATGTAGCCTCAACGTCGGTGCGGTTGTGCGCTCGGGATACGACTCGTACTCGGATCATCATGTCCTGTCGAGGCCGAGGGGAATGTAGCATGGCGAGTAGCCGTAATTGGTAGATATAAACTGTTAGAAGAGGATCCTTGGAGAGATTGAAAAGTATTCATTGTATTCATTGTATTCTATAGAGTCATCATTGTATTTGTCGCTGTTGCACTCTCGGGTGCGTTGGAGGGACCGTCCTCGCTCACATGCAAGCCTCGCCGTAGCTAAACGTCCAGTCGCGCCCCGTCCACGCTTCTCCCTCTCCCCTCCTCCGCCCTGCTCCAGTGTTCTCCGCACACAAAATTTCTTCCTCGGAGATTCAATTCAAAACAATAGCATGTCGCGGCCAACCAGAATATCTCCTCTCCTCTCGGAAAGACTTGGTCTTCCTCGAACCGAGCGAGAGAACTGGAGATTAGACACAGACACGGTCGGACGGCTGCAGTGGAGATATCTAGACGCGGACTCCGATAAAGAAGAACTCAAGCGAAGGCCCCAGAGAACTTATGAGAAGTATCTTCTGGGACTGGATAATGTATGTATGAGCTGACTCCCCTACAAGCTGATACTGGGCTGACTATTGAAACATATCAGGATCTGCCCGAGCTTCCCCGCGCCGAGAATGCATACGATGCCGCACTCAATGGCTTGAGATTCTTCAAAGAACTACAGCTAGACGAAGGATTCTGGGCATGTAGATACGGAGGGCCGATGTTTTTGCTCATAGGCATGGTCGCAGTGCATTACTACACCAAGACGCCTTTCCCCGAGCCATGGAGAATCGAGGTCATCCGATACCTGACCAACACCGCACACCCTGTCGATGGCGGATGGGGACTCCACTCCGAAGACAAGAGCACGGTTTTTGGAACGTCGGTCAATTACGTCGTTCTGCGGTTGCTCGGTGTCGAGCCTGATCATCCGGTGACTGCGCTGGCGCGCAAGACGCTTCACAAGATGGGCGGCACCGTGGGAGCGCCTCAATGGGCCAAGCTGTGGCTCGCGGCTCTCAACTTGTACGAATATGAAGGCATTAATCCTATTCCTCCTGATGCTTGGTATGTGTTTTTGAAATTCAGTAGTATATAGAACTCAGTTGCTCACTATGACTACATGCAGGCTGCTTCCTGATTGGTTTCCTGCTCACCCCAGCAAATGGTGGATTCACACCAGACAGGTTTACTTGCCCATGGGGTACATCTATTCCGAGCGACTCAAGGCCACCCTCGACCCGCTCTTGACGTCCTTGCGGGAAGAGCTATACACGTGCCCATACAAGGACATTGACTTTGCGAAGCATCGCACGACCGTCTCGCCAATTGATGTCTACTACCCGCATACCACAGTACTGAACGTGATGAACTCGGCTATCGTGTTGGCGCAAAACTATCTACGACCAAACTGGCTGAAACGCAAGTGCCGCGAGACCGTAGTGAATCTCATTCGCAAGGAGAACACAGATACGAAGTACCTCAGTGTCGGACCCGTCAGCTTTGCGTTGAACGCACTGGTAATGTTTGCTGAGGAAGGGCCAGACTCTGTTGCATTCAAACGACACCTCGATCGGACGACCGATTTCATGGTTATGAGTTCCGACGGCATGCTGATGATGGGCACGAACGGAGTACAGGCGTGGGACACCAGTTTCGCCCTGCAGACGATGTGCACAATCGGAGCGGCGGAGCTTCCCGAGTTCCAAGAGACAGTCAAGAAGGGTCACAAGTTTCTCAAGAACTCACAGTTCACGGAGAATTGCTCGCCGGGATCGTATCGCGATCCGAGACTTGGATGCTGGCCGTTCTCGACAAAAGACCAGGGGTATACCGTCAGCGACTGCACGTCCGAGGCCATGAAAGCTGTGCTGATGGTCCAGAACCTACCGTATATCGAAGCAGGGATACCTGATGAAAAGATATACCCGGCCGTTGACGTGCTGCTCAGCCTGCAAAACCGAGGTTCATTCTCGTTTGGAAGTTTCTCGTCATACGAACAAATCAGGGGGCCACCAATTCTTGAGTGGATCAATCCGGCCGAGGTGTTTGGAAACATCATGGTCGAGTACCCGTATGTCGAATGCTCAGACTCCGTCGTCATTGGCCTGTCGTATTTCAGAGACCACTCAGACTACCGACACGCCGAAGTAGTCCAAGCAATCGACGACGCCGTGAAGTTCATCAAGTCTGAGCAAGACTCTAACGGCGGCTGGTACGGATCATGGGGAATCTGCTATACTTACGCGGGGATGTTTGCCATCGAGGCGTTATCGTACCAGGGCGAGAATTACGAAAACAGCGAGTGGATCCGCAAGGGATGTCACTTTCTGGCCAAGAGGCAGGAGGAGGATGGTGGCTGGGGTGAGAGCTATCGGGTATGTCCACAATCTATAGAGCTCGATATCGACAGCACAGTACTGACTTTTTTTTCTACACAGTCCTGCGAAACCGTGACCTACGTCTCCCACGAACAAACCCAAGTTGTAAACACCGCATGGGCCTGCATCGCGCTAATGCTAGCAGACTACCCAGACGTGGAGGTCATTACTCGCGGCATCAAGCTGCTCATGAGTCGGCAGAAGGCGAACGGAGAGTGGCTGCAGGAAGGTATCGAGGGCGTGTTCAACCGGAGCTGCATGATTGAGTATCCGAACTACAAGTTCTATTTCTTGATCAAGGCGCTTGGGATGTATGCTAAGAAGTACGGGAATCCGAAGCTGTGCTGAGCGGTGATGCTAAAATAATCTATGCTATTTTCTAGTCATAAAACTGTAGATTCCAGTTAACTATGGCGGTCAGTAAGGTTTCAATGTAGTCCTGTAAGCTCGAGGGTGTTGTATCTTCCACCTCCCAAACCCATCAGAAAAATAAATTTTTCTTTTTTAAACCTGATCAACCAGACACAGCAACCACCTCCAAAAGCCCATAGAGAACCCGCCATGCATCTCATGTACACCACCGGATCTGACGGCAAGCGTCAGTACACACTGAAGAAGACGACCGCGACCGGGCTGATCACCAAGTCCGCGCACCCGGCCCGGTTTTCGCCCGATGACAAGTACTCGCGGCAGCGAGTTACTTTGAAGAAGAGATTTGGTCTTTTGCTCACTCAGCAGGGTATGTAGCTTACTCTGTATTGCTTCTTTTATTTAGTGGTTTGGGTGGGTTTGTGCTAACGACGGTTTGAATACTCTAGCGGAGATGAAATATTAAACACGGAGGCAGTTTTTGAAAGCCATCGAGGCGTTGTACGATATCAAGACGGCAGATGAGTTGGGAGTCAAAAATATACACAAAGAATCAGGCTTGTCTTTTCTCTGAATGTATTGCAAGATCAGAGAAGGATTCGAGAACTTGGTGGCATGAGTTGTGACTTGTGTCGCGAGGCAGATGGATATTGGATCTTGTATTTATGCACTAGTATTTGCAAATAGGAATTTCATCAGGCTACAAAACACCATTACGCGATATATAGATTCGTGGAAAGCAAGTCTCAAGGGCCCGTTATGACGTACTATTAAACCATTCTATCTACCAACCCGGCATACAAAAGAGCCATCCTAAACTACACAGCACATGCTCACTTCCTCCGTCTCTCGTTCACGTACCTACTCTTCCCCACTTTAACGCCCGATTTCGTGGTGTTGTCACGCTTGTATGACCCGCTGGCGAACGGCGAGCCAAGAGTATCGCTCGCTCCGCCGATCCACTCGTCTAGCATCTTTTGGTTATGTCGCTTTTGCCAGGCGTCGTTCTTGACTGCCTTTAGATATTCTTTTTGATCCTCCCTATATTCAAAAGTTAGCCAAATGATTTCTTAAACTATCGTGAAATCGAAATCTCATAATCTCACCTCAGCAGGATTTCTTCTGCCCCCTCGCCTCCTGTTCGTCGGTTTTGCTTGCTTTGAGGAGTCGGTATGCTATATCTATTTCCTCTGTGCGACCACTGGAAATTCCGCTTCAAGTGAACCTGCACCTTACCCGTCTCGGCAGATGTAGTCACAGTGCAGCGCAGCAACGTCGCGCCGCCGCAGCGAGGACAGAATTGACGCGGCTTGTCGCCGGTCGGCGGAGGCGTGAGGAAGAAGCAGGCGTGGCAGCGCAGCATCCAGCTTCTGATTTTCTTGATCTGATATCCGGACTGCGGGTTGATGACGTTCAAGCCGATCTGGAGAGCAACGTTCTGCATTGCGAAATCGCCCGAGGCCATGCCGACTTTCAGCACGGTCGGTTCGGTGGATCCTGGCGCGGCAGCGTCGACGGTCCCGTCGAGGACTTGCTGGTGATGCAGGGTTTCGGGTGTGATCCAGCCCTCGCCGTCGTCGTCTTCGTCTTCACTAAAACTGTCGTGCTCGTCAGCGTCGACAGCGTCTTCCGGGCGAATGTCGGCGTCGGCGTCGGCGTCGGCAGGGTCGGTGTCTGGAGTGTGTTCGACCGCCTCTGATTGAGCGCTGGGAACGCGGACTTCTTCGACTACTGGTTCAGGCACAGCTTTGAATGGTGAAGCGCCAGCAAACTCCTTTTGCGGCAGGTAGTTTTTGTGCTGTTTCTTCTTAGTGTTGCGGGTTTTCCGTGAAATAGTGTTCCACCCATCATCCACTGGCTCAGCCTCTTTGGTTTCACTATCAGTAGCAGCAGCAGCTCCATTACTCTCATCCTCAACCTTCAGATTCTCAAGAGATTGGGCAGTCTGCTCAACTTGCTGCTCGGCGGAGTTAGACTGTGTGCTTGCCCCGTTGGTCGCCTGTTGACCCGGTCGCGACCGAAGCCGCCAATCGCCGCCGTTCTTCTCGCATTCTAACTCGTAGGTGAGCGCGATGATTTGCAAATCTGTCGAGCTCAGAACTGCGTAGTCGCCGGTTTTGCGGGCGAAATCAGAGACTGTTTGTGGTTGTTAGTGCGTTGTTGCAAGACGTTGACCAACTTATATTGAACGAAGAGCTCACCAATCTGTAAATACTTTGCGTTCGGCTGGCGAACAACCAGACGATCTCCCCAAAGCAACAAGTTCTGCCTCGCGCGCTCGTCTCGGATTTCGTTGTACACGGACGGAGTGGTAAGGAATTCATCAGCAAGGCTCGCGAAGGCGGAGTAGCCGTTTATAATAAGCGGACCGGCGTCAACGACAAGCGTGTTGACTTTCGACATCTTTTGGCCCGTGTCGTTTGTGAGGAAGCGTGGTTGTTGGATGTGGTGGATCAGGTATTGGCAGGAAGAGCTGGTGAAAATAGTTGGGAGAAAAAAAAATCGAGGTGCGGCTTAGTGGATGTGTCAGTGGTGAAGATGGATTAGGTAATGAGTGTATTCTGATTTGGTTAACTGTTTGAGAATAATCTGTTGAGAGAATAGTAGATAGAGAAGGTGTTGAGAAGTATTAGAGAAGATTACAGCTGATGTTTTGTTATGTCAACTGCAATATAGTCTTGTTAATGCTTGCAAGACCGTCGCAGACTCCGCAAAACTGGCAGCAGATTCGGTTCGCGCAAGAACTGAGTCTACACAGATTTAACAGATTATACAGTTATTTCTTTACAAACAGAAAACAATAAACAACAAACACATTTGATAAGAACTGAGAATAAGTGAACAGATGCAAAGAAATACAAGAACCAGATCTGATCTGACGTGGTCACATGACTTTGACGGAGGCGGTCCGAGCGGTGGGGGGCAAATTACCCCTGCGCCTTTTCTTCCTTGTTCTCGGTCTCTGTCTTCGTCTTCCTCTTATTTCTCTCTTTTGTTTCCTTTCTCTCTTTCTTTCTTCTATTTCTTTGATCTTGTTTGTTTGTTTTTGTTCTGGTCTGTTTGTTTCTGTACTGTACAATCCTTCTTCCATTCTCAATCTGTCTTGTCTTCTTGCATCTCATTTGTAGCTCCTATTTCTTTTCATATCTCTTTATTTTGGCGCATTTCAGTTTAATCATATTTCTCGCTTGATTGTATCATACTCCTCTCGGTCATATCATATTTGGGTCGGCATTTCAAAACACATCGCATCAGGAAGCAGTCATGTCATCTACGAATCCCGTGGCTCCGGCCTTTGTCCCGCGCCATCGTCCGCCTCCTATCCAAGTCGACTCCGAGCAGCAACAGCAGCAGCAACAGCAGCAGCAGCAGAAGAACGAAGGTGTCTCATTCTCAGCGTCTCCAGGCTTTCAGAAACGCAACAACGGGCGGTCGCAGGACGGATACCAGCGGCCACCGCGGACGCCATTCCCTCCTGGTGTGAACGGCACAGGACCGGCTGTGGGCGCGAAAACCGGAAACCAGTCATACCGTCACTACTCTCCGCAGCGGCAGCAGCAGTTTGATGGGCTGTCGCCTACGGCTGCTGTCTACACTGGTCCTGGCACGCCAGTCGCGTACACGGACGAGGCGACGACAGATCCTCAGGTGTACGCCGCGCTTCATGCTAAGCAGCAGGAATTGTTGGCGACGAGCATGTACATTGCGCAGCAGCAGCAGAAAATACAGGTGGCAATGTACCAAAACGCCCAGCAGCAGCAACAGCAACAACAGCAGCAGCAGCAGACGTATTATGGTGGACATCCGATGCAGTACTATCCCCAGACTCAGCCGTACATGCAAGACCAGGACGGTAATTACTGGTATGTGCCGGCGGCGACGCATACGCCGGATGCGATGCAGTACTCTGCGACAGCCTCTCCGGCGAGAATGGGCTCGCCTGCTTCGTTCTACGGAGTCGGCAGCAGCGGTGCGGAGAGCCCTGGGAGCAACAAGCAGCAGCAGCAGCAAGGGAAGAAGAAAGGGCATAGGAAGACCGCGAGTCTGTCGGGCGACAAGAGAACGCCAAGTCCGGCGCCCTACAACGTTGCGTTTGACGAGTACAAGGTTGTCGCAGGCTCGAAGGCGTCGCCGGCGGTCGGGGGCGGGAGCGGGGCGAATGTGGCAGAGAAGCTTCCGACGCGTCAGCCGATGATTCCGATCACGATTGAGGAGCTGAAGAAGCCGGTGCACGCGGATCTCAATTTCTGGAAGGTCGGGGTGTCGAGGCTGGCTACGAAGGACGAGGGGAGGAAGGAACGGGGGAAGGTGTTGGTGGAGCTGCCCGAGGTTGAGTATGAGGACGTGAGAGAGGCCTGGGGTCTGACCGCGAGCAGCAGCAGCGAGGCGGTGGAGGCAACAGCTGAGGCAACATGAGGAGTAAGAAGGCAGAAATGCAGTTGTTTTCTTTGCTTTTATTGTGTTTTGTTTCTAGTTTACATTTACGTCTATTCTGAGCGGTTTGAGCGGCATAAATAGAAATTACGATTGCATTCTGGACGAGCGTTGAGTCGGAGGGTCGGGGAAGATCTTTTAGGCTGAAACAAGGCCGGTGGAGGATGACGTACTTGGCTTGAGGGCAATGCGCCGGTAATGCAGCTACTGCAGCTAAGCCGTAGAGTTGAGATTAGATGGGAAGATAGTGAAGGGAGTAGTAGAGGAGTAGTAGATATTAGTAGTGAATACCAGCATATATTCTCTTATTCTATTATTCTCTTTATATCATCTTCTCTTCCTATTCTATTTCCTCTTTAGGTTCTCCCTCTTCGGCTCTCTTAACGGCCGGTCGCCAACCGTTTAAGGTTTTTTCCTGCGGCGGTGGTCAAACCGTCGCTCGCTGAGAATGATCTCGAGGTTTATTGACATCAGGTACCTGGACCCTCTTTTACCTCCTCCTCCTCTTCTTCTACCTCCTCTTCCTCTTCCTCATCTTTCTTCTCCCTCCTCCTCTTCCCTCCTCCTCTCTTCACAGCCATGGCAGACGGTCCGCCCTCCTCCGCTGAAACTCCCTCGCCGCCCTCCTCCGCCATCTCCACGCCGCCCGCAGAGCGCGCGCGCGCCCGCACTCGTCCTCCTCCTCTCCCTCTCCGCTCCTCCCTCGCCCCTCGCTCCCGCTCTCACTCCCGCGAGCGCGGCGTCTCCCCCGGTCCTCTGCGCTCCCCGAACCTCCGCGTCCGTTTCCCCGTCGACAACAACCCAAACGAAGTCCACTATCCCAACGACGATGCCTCTGATCCATCAACCCTTCGCCGACCTGGCATGCCTCCGCGCACTTCCTCCGCCGAACGCGTCAGAACCGCTGCAATCACCTTCGGCTCCCCGGAGTACACCCCGAACGAATCCACCAGCAGTCTCGTCGTCCCCACCATGGGCTCTCTCTCCACCCACGACGTCCTCGTCGAAGAAGACGAAGATGAAAAACCTTCTTCCTCCGGCGTCGAGCTCGACGACGACACCTACCGCAAACTGCGCTACGCTATCGCCCAGTCCGGCTCCCGCTCGGCTCCAAACTCCCGCTCTACCTCCCCCGTCCGCGAGAAATCCGGACACGACGACGACAACAACAACAACAACAACGTCACGCAGATCCGCATCGAGCCACCATCGCCCATCGCGCGCGATGACGCAGGCCAGACCATCGACCTCGAGAAAGTCAACCGCAGCCTCGCCCTCGACAATGACGAGCTCACCGAAACCGCGCGCCAGCTCGTGCACGCTCATACCGGAAACCTGAGTTCTATGGAAACTACCCCCGGCGAGGGCTTCATGGTCGAAAACGATCTCAACGACCTGCAGTCAGGCCAGGTCACCCCCGTCGAGCACGACGAGTACGTCCCGCCTCCTTCGCACGTCAAAAATGGTATTCTCTCCTCTCTTCTCCGTCTCTACAACAACCACGACCCGGGCGCCAACTCCTCGCGCGTCTCCCTCGACACCACCATAAACTCCCACCCTTCCACTCCTCCTTCCGGACGCACCACCCCGACGCGTAAATGGTACAGCAGGTCCGCCAACGCGTCTACCTCCTCCCTTGCCGGTCTCATGGGAGTAGGCTCGTCCAAAAAAGACAAAGAAGAAGGTCGTCCGTCCCTCCATCATTCGTCTAGCCAAGGCCATCTCCACGGCCCCCATCTGTCGTCGCGCGTCAGAGCAAGCAGGAAACACAAGCAGCGTCTCGAGGATCAGATCCGCATTACTGTGCATATTGCTGAAGTTTTGCAGCGACAGCGGTTTATCCTCAAGCTTTGCCGCGCTCTCATGCTCTACGGCGCGCCTACGCACAGACTGGAAGAATACATGAAGATGACCTCGCGAGTACTTGAGATTGATGGCCAGTTTCTTTACATCCCCGGTTGCATGATTGTCTCGTTCGGTGATGTCTCCACGCATACTTCCGAGATGCAGCTCGTGCGCGTCACTCAGGGCGTGGACTTGGGAAGACTGCACCTCACGCATCTGATTTACAAGGAAGTCGTTCACGATATCATTGGCGTGGAGGAGGCAATGCAGCGCCTCGATGAGGTCATGAAGGCCAAGAACCTGTACCACAGATACCTTTGCGTTCTCATCTTTGGATTCTCTTCTGCGATGGTGGCCCCGTTTGCCTTCAGCGGTCGCTGGATCGACATGCCGATCGCCTTCGTCTTGGGCTGTATCGTCGGTTTCCTGCAACTCGTCGTCGCGCCGCGCTCAGATCTGTACTCGAACGTCTTTGAAATCTCCGCCGCCATCGTCGTCAGTTTCTTAGGCCGTGCGTTTGGTTCAATCGACGACGTCAATCTTTTTTGCTTCGCGGCCGTCACGCAGGGTGCGCTAGCTCTGATCTTGCCGGGTTATATCATTCTCTGCGGCGCTCTGGAGCTGCAGTCGAAGAACATCGTTGCCGGCGCTGTTCGCATGTTTTATGCAATTATCTACTCACGTACGTGTACTTTTTCTTTCTAAGTCTTTGGTGCATATGCTAACAGTTTCTATTTAAACAAACAGTATTTTTGGGATTCGGAATCACTCTCGGCGCAGCAGTCTACGGATGGATGGATCATAACGCGACATCGCGGACAGAGTGCACCACCAGTCTCTCACCCTGGTTCCGCTTCATCTTTGTGCCTCTGTTCACGATCGGCCTCGCCCTCGTCAACCAGGCACACTACCGGCAGATCCCAATCATGGTCCTGATCTCCGGCTGCGGCTACGTGGTCTCCTACTTCTCCAACCTGCACTTCAAAAACTCATCCGAGCTCGCGTCCGCCATCGGCGCGCTCGTTATCGGAATCACAGGAAACCTCTACTCGCGCCTCGGCCACGGTCTCGCGTTCGCAGCCATGCTACCCGCCATCTTCGTGCAAGTCCCCTCCGGTCTCGCGTCCCAGGGCTCGTTGATCTCCGGAATCGCGGTCGCGGATATGATTGTCTCGGACGCGAACGTGACCGAGACGACAATCACCTCGACCTACGTCTACGCGAGCACCACGCTCACGTCCTACACCACGCTCACAATCTCCGCGACCGCGACCGCGACCACGACAAGCGCTGACTCGACCGCCAGTATGTGGTCTGTCGGGTTCAGCATGATCCAAGTCAGTATCGGTATCGTCGTTGGACTGTTTGTCTCGACGCTGGTGGTGTATCCGCTGGGCAAGAAGAGAGGCGGTTTGTTTACTTTCTAAGTCTCATGTCCATGAATTCCAGTCGAGAGTCTGGAGCCATTAAAGAAAAAAAGCTCGGTTTTTGTAAGGTTGCAGAGTGTCATTTTTGTTCTTGGAGTACCAGGTTTTGCTGCCCGTCTTTGCACATGGGTTTTATTCACTTTTATTAACTAGATCATGTACGCAAACAAACAAAACAATATAGAATATTCACAAAAAGAGAAAAAAACAGAAAAAAAGCACAAAAGAAAAATCACCAAAAACACCCAAAGTAAAATCAAAAATCAAAAAACAAAAAACAAGCAAAAGAAAACATCAAAAAACTAGCAAAAGAAAACAACAAAAAAATCACTGCTCAGCACCATCCGAGACGACAAAAGACTGCGCGCTAGAAGCCGCCTCTTTCTGATCCTTCTCGATGCTATCATCCCGGTGCTTACTGCTCTCGGCATACTCCTCCGAGCTCTCGACCACCTGCGGCGACGACCACGCGAGGAAGTCGCGGCGGACTTCGACGTAGTCGTACGCAAACTCGCCGATCTGGTCCTCGTCCATGCCGAGCAGCTCGGCGTTCTCGTCCGCGCGCAACTTAAGGCCCGGGATGTGGTCGAGCACGAAGCAGATCAGGCAGGTCATTGCAAAGACGTAGCCCGAGCAGGCGCACACGTAGGCGAGCTGCTTGTACAGCGCGCTCCAGTTGCCGTTGAGTCCTGCGCCCGTGGCGCGGAGGTTGACGCCGTCGAGGCCGATGACGTAGTCGGTCGCGAAGAAACCGCACCAGAGAAGGCCGATGATGCCCGCGACGCCGTGCTCGGCGAAGATGTCGAGCGCGTCGTCGATCTTGAAGACAAACTTGAGCTCGGTGGACAGGTTGCATGCGATGCCGGAGAACACGCCGAGCGCGACCGAGGCCCACAAGGGGATCAAGCCCGAGGCAGGCGTGGCTGCGACCAGGCCCGAGATGATACCCGAGCAAAGCGCGACGGTCGACCATTTCTTCTCGAGCCGGTAGTCCATCAGACACCACGAGAGCGCGGCAAAGGCGGCGGTCAGGATCGAGTTCCAGCACGCGTAGATGGCGCGCAGGTTGGCGCCGAAGGACGAGCCGCCGTTAAATCCGAGCCATCCGAACCAGAGCAGAGCGGTGCCGAGCGACACGAGCGAGACGTTGTGCGGGCGGAAGTTGACCAGGAGTTTCTCCGAGCGACGGCCGAGGACGAGCGAGTACGCGAGACCCGCGAGACCGGAGCCGATCTCGACAGGGCCGCCGCCGGCGTAGTCAAAGACTCCCCACTTGTTTGCCCAGCCGTTCGGGTTCCAGATCCAGTACGCGATCGGGCAGTAGACGATTGTCGACCAAACGAAAGAAAACACAATCGCCGGGAGAAGACGGCCGCGCTCGGTGACTGCACCCATGATGATCGCGACGGTGACGGCGCAGAACAAGCCCTGGTACATTGCGAACAGCAACTCGGGAATCAAAGTCGTCCCGACCGAAGCGGCAGCAAGGACGTTGCGCAGACCGATGGCGTGAAGGTCGCCAATGAACGCGTTAGACGCAGTCGGCGAGAAGGCAAGCGAGTAGCCCCAGAAAAACCACTGAACAAGGGCCACACACGAGCCAGCCAAACAGACCCAAATCATCGAGAGTGCGGACTTGCGGCGAGCGAGGCCAGAGTACAGAAATCCGAGGCCGGGAACCATGAGAAATACCATCGCACTGCATACTATCACGTATCCCATATCTGCGGAGCGGAAGTAGAGGTTCAGGTTCTGGGTGACCGAGTCACCCCCAGTCGCCGGTGTCGTTGCGTCAGAAGCCATTGCGTGCAAGCGGTATTATCAGAGTCCAGGTGTCGGCAAGAAGATCAGTCCAAAGAGGTAGAAAACAAAAGGTAAGGCATTGTCAAACAGGAAAATGTCGTGGATATATAGTCACCGTGGATCGTTGTCTCCATCTTGATAAGGAGGGATGATGATCAGGTCCTTGTTGAATCTCACACTGCCACATGGCATCACTCAGTCACCCACCACGGCCGCACTCCTTGTAAGAGAACGACTAAGTGAACAGTCTGCCATGCTTATTTTTTTCTTCCGTCACAGCCTATCTTTCTAAAAACACAAGGACGGTGATAGCCCTGTTGTTCAGTAGCCGGCGCTGTGAAGGAGTGGAAGCTGGTGAGGATGGTTGCGCGCGTCAGGGTTGCTACGTCATCACTCATAACCTGAACGAGCCGCTGCCTCACAAGGCCACACACCTACATCTACTCTCCCAAACAAGGGCCACTCCTCCTGGCCGCGCAGACCTGTGCTGCAGATAAAGAGCCTGTGCTTTCATTATCCAAATGTGGTCTCTATTCTCTATATGCTCATTGTTTTGCTGATGGTTGTTGTTATTATATTGGCCACCTGCGAGGCAACAAGGGTGTCAGAGTACAAAGTACGTAGAAACGCCTTATTATTCGTAGTCGCTAGAAAAATAAATAGAAACTTATCCAAAAACAAGCTCAAACAGATTTAACAATTAACAATAATCAAAAGACAGCGTGTACAACTCCCTAGGTCTCTTCTAAGTAGCGCCTGCATAGAACCAGCAATATTTTACTTTCCCCCAGTAGGCGTCGTAGTCCCCGTCGGCACAGGCGTCTTTTCCGAGTCCGACACAGCCAGCGCCGACAACTTGTCTGAAATTCCAAGCTCGCCACTCGTCAAGAGCTCGAGTCCCGAGCTCAGGATCCCGGCCCGCACTGTCCGTTCGTCGGTCTCGTCTACGTCTGAGTCCTTCTTCGCCGCGGCCTTGTCTTGCTCTATCAGCTTTTTGAGTCGTGGAAGAATGTCTTCTAAAAGACTCTTGCTGCCGCCGATTATCGGGAGGAAGTTGTTCACCCATGCGAGCAGGGTTGGGAACTTCTCGTCTAGTAACAGGCCGGGGCTGTTTTCGATATCACTCACGCACGTCTGGATCAGCTCCTCAACTTGCTCTCGTTTGGCCTCGTCGTATACCACCTTGTCGTCGCTTGTTGGCTTTTCGGTGTTAGAAGGCACGTAGAGAAACTCTTTCAGCACCAGGACAAAAGCACCGCGCACATTTTCAAAGGGACAGAACTGCAGAGTGTCGATGATATATCCATATGCTCTCTCAGGCTCGGCTCGCGACAGCAGGTGAACAACCAGAGTATGGAACAGATATCGCACTGGCGGATGAGGTGATGTCGCTGACAAAGAGGTCAGGACCTGAAGATATCCATTGAAATCCTCGGTGCTCACAGCTTCGATCTGCTCTCTGGTGACCTGTCTCAGGAACCGCCATCCGAAAAATCCGATAGCGTCGCAGACTGCAGCTCCCGGCGTGCCTCCCTCTTCGCGAAGAACGAAGCGTTTAGTTATCTGGATAATCTCAGGGAACGTAAAGTTGATCTTCATGCTCGGCTCGGAGATCAGGTGCTCGGCCAACAGAAGCAGGCATCCTTCAGCAGAGTACGGAATCGACTCGTTAGAGGTCGGCGCAGCAGGGAAACTGGGATCGATCTCGTCTTCGTTCTCGGGCTCAAGCTCTGGAGGTTCCTGAAGGATAGTGGCTTGGAACTCCACGGGCTCGATATCGTACGACAGAGTCAGCTGCATAAATCGCTCGAGCATCTCGGTTATACTCGCAGACACTGCTCCTTCGAACGTAACTGGTCGTTCGCGCTCCTTGACCGGTATGACCTCAAGACCAGGCTTGATTGCCGCAAAGTAACGCCGGCTCCAGTCCACGCTGCGGTTACGGAGCATGATCTCAACCATATGCGTGACATAGCTTTGCAGCATTCGTCGCTGGAGCGCTTCCTCCTCGCTATCAACCGGAGACTTTGAAGGTGGTGGAACGTAATCTCGGGAAAATAGGTATAGTCTGCGCAAAAGCACGGGCAGTGACTGATCGCTTAGCTCGTCGACATGTGACGAGAAAAATGAGAGCAAAGCGGTAGAGGAGGCAGTGAGGAATCGGGATGGGTATTGGGTGGTGATCCGCCGAGTGACTATAACCAGCAGTTAGCTTCTGACTTCTCTTTTGGGTGTTTAATGTACAGTACAAGCTCACCTGAGATGATCACCTCAAAAAGCGCATAAAACTTCAGTACAAACAACTTCTCACTGTCGAGGTTCTTCTCCGGAGTAGCGTCAGGCGAAAAATCGACGGTAAGAGTAGAAAGCGCCTCAATTGCCTTCAAGAAGAGTTCCTTTGCGTTGCCTTTCTCGGCAATGAGGTTGAATAATCGAAGCGTCGACTTGCGCGGGGTAGGGTGCTTAGCAGCAGCTACCTGATCGAAAGGATCGTCCGAGGCAAGGTACGGCAGTAGTAGTACGGGAAGATCCCAAGCCACATAGGAGAGTAGCGTTTCCTAGATATTCATCGTTAGCATGCTGACCTGTGGTTTACTCGAGTATTCAAAAACTCACATTTTTGCGAAGAATGTCTTCCAGTGCCTGCAGAATTTTGACTCGATCTGACTCGCTGTATCGCTCGGGGTCTTCCAGGTATATGTCAAGCAATGTTGAGTATGTGATATAGTCGTCCGAGTCCTATTGTGATTTCCGGCACAGTTAGTAATTCTATCCAGCCGATCCACGTTTCGCTTCTGTACAAAGGTCGAGTCATCGAATCTTACCACTGCGTCTTGAGCAGCTCCAGTCAGCGCCTTAATTGCGGCCTCGGTTGTAACCGGTTGACTCGGCTGTGATTCGGTCGCCATCGTTCCTGATTACTGATTTTTCAAATTCAAGTGAATATATTGTGAGATTTTTCAGTGTCGTGGACGGATCGCAGAGCTGTCTGATTCGCGTTGGATTGCAAGAATGATGGTGAGAAGCACAAAGATTTGGGAGTGGTTCTTTGAAAGACCTCGCCAATTTCTCCCAACTCAAATTCAACCCAGCCGCGCGCTCGTATCTACACTGTGTTCAATATTCGATTTGAAATATATAAACAAACCACCCCCCCATTGAGTGAAAAACAATCGGCCTGTATAACAGCTGGCTGAAACGACCGCGCCGAATCTTGCATATGTCGTAACTGCCGAGCAATGTCGACTGCCGATGAAATCGTCTCCTACGTGATTGAGCAGGTCGCGCTCGACGGCATCGAAGGTGCGCGAGTTCTTACCCCACAGCTTGCAGTCAATCTCCAATGACTAACTTGACTGCGTTTTTTTGAAAATTAGGATCTGCTATTGAACGATTATGGGAATTTGCGAGAGAAAAAGTTGATCCGCTTGACGACGCGCTGAAGAGTACGATCTGGAGATGGCTACAAAGTCGAGCCGATGAGCTATCTGTTGGTGTCAAGAGCGAAGACGAAGACGGCGAGACGGTACGAAGATTTCTTGAAAAATTCACAAGGAGATGTTGAGTTGGCTGGCGAGAAACTGACACTGTTTTATTGTCTGCAGACATACCTTGATCCCGCGTCGGAAGACTTGTCAGAACTTCCAACGCTGCTGGAAAAGTACGGCACTAGACTATGCGTTCGTGTATCTGAAGATCTTCTGTGGCGAACCTTGACGGGCGCATCAAAGGAAGACGGAATTGTAAGCATATCCTCTGTTTTTGAATCTCCCATGGCGCTATACTGACAATATATACATCCTACAGATCGGACTACATCCATTTATCCTTCTCTGCGCAATCACCAGAAAACGAGAGGCAGGCCTAACAAACATCGAAGCCGCAAAGATCACAAAACAGGATCCGCGGTCTTTATTCAGTCGAATCGCGTCCCTAGTCAACCTAGGCCTCGTCAAGAAGATCCCCATGGTGCTCTCGAGCAAGGCAGGCGGTAGAACTGCTATGCTGATCAATACCAGATTTTATCGTGAAGGAACCGAAGTACAGGATTTTGGCGGTCTGCCAGACTTGCGCAAAGCTATTGATACCGCGGAAGTCAAAAGAGAGATCATGGAAAAACTCAAAGCTGCCAAAAACGGCATTCGACAGCGTACAGATCTACGCATAGAGCTGGTATGTTGTTATGTATTTTGAGCGGTCAGCTTTAATACTAACCAAGATTGAATGTAGAAACTGAGCTCTGGAGCGCCCACGAGACGGCTATTCGACGGATGTATCCTCGTTCTTGAGAATCATGGATACATTCGTCGCGTGACAGTCGTTCGAGCTTTTGGAGACTCAAACAGAAAATACTTTTGTATACAACTGATTAAGGATTACGATGCTGAGATCAAAGAGGAACCTGTTGATACCTCTACGATCGACAGGAACGACGACGACATGGACGACGTCTCTGATTCCGAGGCACAAGAGAATTCGGTCGTTGAGCGATTCGAGGTCAGTGAAGGGGACAATATCGAAGAAGCTCAAGGCAACGCGACAGACTACCCCACATTCGGCCGTCACTTCCCCCTCGAGAATCAGATCTACGACGCTGCCGTCGAAAGCGGGTCTGCGGGTAAGCCGATAATGGAGATAACTCGCGAAATCACAGGCGACCATTTCCGACGTCCTTTGACTGCCGTGCTTGATCGATGCAGCACGCAGGCAGGAGACCAGGTATCCAAAAGCGGTCAGCCCCGAGGCATTGGACATTATGGTCTCGTAAGGGCGACTGATAACTCCGCTAGGATATCGTTTTTCAGGTATTTCACTATGGCATCCTACTACAAATTTGTCGGACAAAACCCGGATTTGCTATGGGGCCAGTTCCCGGCGATCGAAACGAGTTCGGTCTATCGCAGCCGAGAGCAGCTCCTTAAGCTGAGCTACAGCGCAAAGAGATATCAAAGGCCAATATTCGTTGAAAACGGAGCCAGTAAGTCGCTTGTTATTTTGCTATGATGTTGACATTTCTAACAGTTTGCAGTTGCGGCAGATCGGTCGGCAAAGAAGAAGCGACAAGAAGGCGACACTATCAAATCTGAACGGAAGCTAGGTCGACCGCGCAAACTCCCTGTTACTGACGGCGCACCTTCCTCAGTTGCTCAAAACCATACCGTCGATAGCACCCAAGAGCACGCTGGCGCGGTAGAGGCTTCATCTTCCAGCGCACAATCAAATCCACTGGCAGAACAGCCTGTGAAAAGGAAGAGAGGACGGCCCAGAAAAGACTCTCAACTGACGCCCTCACTGCCTAGCACACCGGTGGTTAGTCGTGAAGCTGTGACTGTTGAGACTCCGACAGCAGAAGGCGCTTCAACTGGAGTCACGATTCCTGAAAATGCGGGTAAGAATGTCGATCAAAGTCCAAGCGTTACAGCACCAGCGGCTGAAGCTACACCCGCGGCTGTAGCCAATACACCCAGGCCAGCCGACAAAGACGCTAAGAAACTGCGTCGCAAACCTGTTGAAGACTCGCCATCGATAGCGGTAGTAAAGACATCGATTGGTGCGGCAGCGCGGCAAAACTATATCATGCAGCTGATCAACGAGAACGGCGGTGCGATAATAGGTGGAAACGCTCTTACCCGCAAGCTTCGCGACAGTCGTGACGACTTCTCGCAGGGTACGCTTGATCGCAAGACGGTGACGCGAGACGAAAATGCGCTGGTGGAAAAGCAGCTTATTAGACGCTTCTTGGTGTCTGTCGTGGATTCTCGAGGGATGAACGATAATATCACGATCCTGGCACTACCTCATCTTGATCTTGATTCTCCAGAGGTGCAAAAGATGAAGGAACAAGCTACAGAGCGGATTGAGAGCAGGTTTAAGTATAAGCCAGGAGACCGCACGGTGATCTCAGACGATTTCTCATTCTATCAAGTGACGCCGGTGAATGCTTTGAAAGCACAAAATGCGGTACAGAGACGAGCGGAAAAAGCACTTGCAACGGCCAAGCTTAATGCAGCACAGAAGAAGGCAGCTTCGGAGCGTCTCAAGAAGCGGATGCGACAACGCCAGGCCGAAGGTGGTATAGGTACAGGCTCGCTCGCGGTTGGCGAGGATGGAGAACCATCGACGGTCATGCCTCGAGCGAGAAGAGGAAGACCAAAGAGACCCATAGCGGTCCCCATTCTACCTGGCGACAGCACTGACGCGATACTACCAAAGAGTGCACCAAGGAAGGTTCAGCAACCACGCGTTTTGAGCGATCTGGCGGCGCATCCGCTTGCGATTGCGGCCAAGCCGAGCGAGTCTGGCGGTACACCAAAGAGCCGGCAAAAGAGACAGCTAGGTGATGAGTTGGCTGAGCACGCTCTCAAGCGCGCTGGGAAGAGGGTCAGACGGTCTGGATCAGGAGATGAGGCTAAACGTATGTAGTGCCTGCTATTATAGCGTCTTTTTCTGCGCCGCTGATTTACTAACATGATGTACACTTTTCAGGGATCACTCGAAACAGTCGGCTCGCGAATCGTCTTAATGAGACCCAGCTCGACGAGATATTCAGGACAATCATCGTCATTCGCTCTCTCTACGGGGGATCGATGCGCAGTATACACTGGGATAAGGTTACGCATGCGCTGAGAGAGGAGTACTCAGTCGAGATCTGTGCCGCGGTATGGTCGAAGCGGCGGAAAGAATTCGGCAGTGCAGCGCGAGTGAACAAGATTGCCGATCGGTGGGAGCGCGTATTTTGCGACGCCTACGAGGCAGACAAATTTCCCGGGCTTGATTTCGAGAATGTGGATGTGCCGATGCTGGTCAAGTACTGGCGGGAGAACGATATCGAGGTTGTGGACGACGACGAGAGCGTGAGTGCGTTTACGGATTTGAAGAAGACGAATGTCGGTCAGGAGTTTGTGTTTGTTCGTGAAGAGGAGCGGCATTCGTGGCTTGACGATATGTATACGTTTGTGTCGTCTGTTAGGACTGAGGATGCCCTCGTCAACGCTGCGTTTTCATGCCCTTGTGACGACGGTGACGATGGTGCTGGAGAGAGTATCTCAGAATCGTCAGAGTTGGCATCACCTCTCGCGGACGACGTCCGTCATCTGATCAAGTCAATCATCTCTACAGACGAGGCAAAGTACAATCCCGCGGTGGGCAAGGCGATGCTCGAAAGCTACGGAGCGGAGCTGTGCGCCAAGGTCGTGGGCGAGATGGAGAAGGAGCGGAGCATAACCTATGCGGCGCGCGAACTCGACCGGCGGCTACCGGGCCGGAACTTTATGTTTGCGGAAAGATTCCAGTCGATGGCGCGCTTGCGGCCGGACGAGAACCTGCTGGCGAAGGCGTGCGCGTTCCACAGGCAGATCGAGTCTGTGTTTGCAGAGTCCAAAGGAATGATGATGTCGAGACTGGCGCCGAACGGGTCGATGGTGTGTATTCTGGAGTTGATTTCGCGCGAGCAGGTCGAGCTCGTGCGCGTGAACGTGAACGCAGGGACGTTGATTGAGGGGTACACGTCGCGAAATATCGACCGAGAGAAGCTTGATTGCGACATTGTTTTGCGGAGCAGCAGCGCGGCAGCGGTCAGTGAGTTGCCGCGGGTTGCAGCCGCGATCCCGGTGCCGGTCGATAGCGAGGGCAAGGTGAGACCGGGCAGTCGGACGTGGGTGGACGTGAACGGGGAGATAAAAGGGGACGTGTTTCTGCGGTTCGTGAACGTGATCTTGATGGCGATCGCGCTGCATCCAGGCGTTCCCGAGCGAGAGCTGCGGCGGAGGTATCACTGTATATTGACTGGTGCTGAGGTTTTGGATATCGTGCGGTGGGTGGTTGAGAAGAAGTTGGTTGAGCATGATGCCGCGAGAGGCGATGGATACTGGGTCAGTGAAGGATGGTATCATTCGGGCGCAGACGGTGGCGAGGATGTTGTTGTATGATATGTTGTTTTGTTGATCCGGGGTTTTTCGTGTATTTTTGGGACTTTCAAGTGTTTACTGTAAATTATATGAAGATGGAGAAAAAGTCAATTCGAAGCCGCACAGCCCATAGACAGGTCTCGCATCACACTCTTGAGTTCTCGTTCTGCATCGAATTGAATCCGACCCGCGTCTCAAATCGAAGCAGGTCCACCGACACGAATTATAGTTCTTCAATTCAGATACGAGCTGACAGAGAACAATGGGTGTTGATTTGAAGTGCAGCGCTGATTTCTGCTTGATCCCGGTGAGCAGCTACCGATACCCATCATCATCCGCATTGATCCAAACAGACTACTAACCCATTTATTTTTCCCACAACCAGATGGGAACAGAAACCGCATCGGTGTCAAAGTACATTGCCGAAGTGCAGGTGCTGATCCGAAGCTCGGGACTCAAGTACGCGATGCACTCCGCCGGGACGACGGTCGAAGGGCCGTGGGACGAGGTTATGACGTTGATTGGGAAAGCGCACGAGCTGATTCATAAGCTTGGGGTTCCCCGCGCGCAGTCTGATATAAGGGTTGGAACTAGGTGAGTAGTGATTCTTACAATTTGGGCCAGTTCAGAGTGAATTTTATTTAACCGCGTGTATTATGTAGAGTTGACAAGAAGCAATCATTCACCGACAAGGTTGCGGTTGTGGAAGAGATTTTGAGAAAGAAAGCAGAAGACGAAGCGAAATGAGAGAGCAAAAAAAGAGCAAATGAATCCATTACCAAGAAGGCGCCACATAAAATGAAAGAAATTATCACAAAGCAAAAAGTAGCACCACCGCGAGCGAAAAGAACTCCAACGTTAAATATCTATAGGTGAGTAGCCCGCTAATTAAAACTGACGCTCGGAACCATGTCACGGCTTAGACGTCCTTTGGGGGAAGAGGTGCGGGAGCTTTTTGCCGTACCATGATTCGGTATGCTGCGTTGAGCGCCCATAGACCACTATATAGATGAAAAACGGTTAGTGAGAGATCTTAGATGGATCCGAGGCATGGATGAAATTAGACGTACGCGAGGACGAGGGAAAATATCATGGCTGCCCGCAGACGCGGACAGTCATTTGCGGTAAAGGGATTCAACTGGTCCCATGTGCAGTAATCGATGGAGTCCTTGATCTCTTCGAGAGTGACGACAAAGGCAACAGCAAACAGAATGGCAAGGATTATGTCCCAGATAAACATCTTCCACATGCTAGTGCCCGCCGTAGTCAGGACGAGACAGATTCCGATTGTGAGAAGAGAGAGACAGCAGGCAACCATCGTGACGACATAGCCGGCGGGGAAGGATGTGCTGCCTGCGCGCTGGAGCACTTGGACTTGATAACTTATGTCTGCGAGGATGATGACGGAGAACACGAGCTGCGCAGCTCGGAGAGCGTAGAGAATCAGGCGGTTGAGGTCCAGTTTGGCCATTGCGTGTGTGTATGTACAGAAAAATGAGTATACAGCAAGAAGATCATGATGAGGAAGGGAGTGCGCTGGATATATAGTAGAAAGAGAGGCAGTGCTGAGACAGCGGGTATGAGGAGGCTGGAGAGAGTAGGAGCGATATTGGGGAGGCAGGGTAGAGAGAGACAAGGGTGGTGGCAGCAGAAGCAGGAGAACGGGTATGAGCAGAAGAGAAAGCGGTGAAGACGGAACAAGAGGTGGTAGAATCAGAGGAAGAAGGCTGGGCAGCTGTAGTTTGGGGCAGAACAGAAGCAGGGATTGTTCAGATCTGCCAGCCACGCTCGATATAATTATATTACATAACATATTTGTCACGTTTGTCATCTGCCGACTAAGTGCTCAGTCAGCAAGGAATAATTAATTAACCACTCCAGAAGTCAGTCCGCTCGCGCGGTTCCTTATCGGTGTCCTTGGCCCCCGTCCGCCGGCTCCTCGGCTCTCTATCTGACTCTCTCCTTCCCCACATTCTCCCGTCTTCGCTTTCCTTTCCCGTCTGCGTCTTTTGCTCCGCACACCTGCCTGCTATTACTAATGCGCCCTCCGCTGAGTTGCCCCGGAAAAAGCCCAGTGCACGTGAACCGCAGATCAAAGACGGACTTGTTAGACCGCAGAGCGCGAGGATGTGATCAGGGACTGTTTGTAGACCGATATGCGCTATCTTCGCGTCAATTAGAGAACGGATGTAAAAAACACAGAATGAGCAAAGTAACAGACATCATTAAATCAACTGACGCTATCGTATGAAAGCAAAAAAGCGCAAAGGTGTGAAGCAAATACTGGGGAAGAGAAAAAAATAAAAAAAAAAGCTCGCGGAGAAAAACCCACAGTTCTCCAAAAAACGCGTCCCGATCCGTTCATCATGACAATCCAACGTGATTTACTTCTACCAATTCATTGTTCTGTATGTTTAACGTATATTCATAGTCTTAAATCCCATCCGCTCCTTCCCGTCGCTGCCAGAGATCACACTATACTGAGCAAGGCTGAACGCGCCAGTCGCACGGGAGCGGTGATTATAGTAAATTAAGCGATAAAACTTCCTACTCGGACTTCGCAGCGACGGTCTGCAAGTAAGCAATGTATCCAGCGACAGCCATGATCACGAAACCGGCGATTGTGACAAAGTTGCTATAACAGAAGAGGGGTGATGTTAGTAGACTCGGGCAGATTTTGGGTCGGGGGAAAAAACTGGATCGGCGTACGGAGAAGAAGATCCGGAAGAGCTGGCAGTAGTAGTGTTGGGCTTGGACTTTGACGACGAGGCAGCCTCCTGTAGTTTGGGTTAGATGGGCACAGATTCAATGATTGCGAGATGATAGTAAAGAATCGTACAGCAGGATCGAGCTCTCCGACGAGCATGTTAGGAAGAAGCGATCGCGCATCATCAGAGTGACCGACATCCTACAACAAATACCACCCTTTTAGTCAAAGATCCTAGTAAAAGAACAAGGTGGGCGAGGAGGAAAAGTCAAAGATAGAATGCCGGACAAAAAAAGAGCGAGTGAGAGACATACCTCGAATGCATCGGTCGCGTCAGTGCCACCACAGTCGAGCAGGACTTCCTCACCACCTCTATAGAAAACAATTCAAGCGGTTAAAATAAAGGAAATTTTCCGGCAGTCGACTGATATCAGAGATGACGTACGGGTGCTCGTCGATGAACTTTGTGCAGTCGTAGACCTTTCCATCGATGACCATGTAGAGGTCTTCCTTGGAGTTGTGGCTCTGGACGTCGGCCAAGGAGATGTATTCGCCGGTAGACATTGTTATAGATGAGTTATAATTATATATATAAAAGACAGAACAGGAGGAGACAAAAAGCGGACGGGCTGGGCGGTGGAGGTGAGGAAGGGAAAGAAAAGAGGACGAAGACCGAACAGAGGAGGAGAAGAAGCGAAGTGGAAGGTGAGGGGCTCGGGACAATAGCAAAACAGGAACCCGCTCAACTCTGCGCTTTCTTCGCTTTCTTTCTCTTCACCGCCTCAAAGCCCTTAAATTCACTCACAAACCTGCCGGACTCTGCTCGTCCGCCTTCTTCTGTTGTTTGGTCTGTTTTGTTATTGTATTTCTCATAATCTCGACTGTTTAACACTCAGACTCCGTCTCGCACTCTGCTCTCGCTTTATCATAAACCCACCTCGCATTCGGCTTCGGATCTCATCCTCGCTCGCTTCCTCCTCCAGCGAATCTTCTCCCGCCATTTACTAATCTCCCCTCCTCCCTTCCCCTCCCCCACCATCCCCATCTGCACAAGTCCTTGTCTCTGTCTTAACCATCCTCTATAGCCTCTAAAGATCATCTAATAACAAAGCACTGCTCTTCTCTCTTTACCATACTTCCGCTCTTTTCTATTACATAATATTCATCACATGATTACATAACACGCCTCCTTCGCGTCACCTCGTCGCGACCCCGTCGCGACCCTGGCATCGATTTTTAGATCAACCCATCTCCTGCCAACAATAACGCGACAGGCACGCAGGCAAGCAAAAAACCCGCGACCTATTTCTATATTCTTTTTAACTAGGTGATCAGATATCAGACTGGTGCAAGCAAATCTTTTTAGACGCAATTGTTCGTCCTGTTTGGCGCGTTCAACACAGAAATTGTTTACCTCCTAGCTTCGTCCTTCTACCTATCCAGTCGAGGCGTCTGTTGTGTTGCACACTTACCAGCAGCACACTTACCGGGTCTTTTCTTAGACAGATCACGTCCGCATTCAGCAGCAGCGGTCCTACAGCATGTCTGACGGCGAAGAGGAGTACTTTGTCGAAGCCATCCTAGACCACAGATATAATGAGGTCACAGGCACGCTGGAATTCAAAATCAAATGGGAAGGATATGATGAAATAGGATGGGAGCCCTACAAAAATCTGACGTATGCATTCCCGTCATTTTCAAGACCGAGAAGGTTTCCTCTTTTTTAATACTCTTTCTAAACTTATATTCTTGATCTACAGGGGCTGCGACGAACTTCTCGATGAATACTACCACAAAGTGAACGGCGGCCGCAAACTGCCCAAGCACCAGGCGCCAAAACCAGACAAACTAGGTCGCGCCAAAAAGAAAACCAGGAAACCCGCGAAACCCAACCGCCTAGTACCTTTCGACGTCCTCGACGACTCCACCGCCCAAGACGGCGACGACGACCTCGATCTCATCCACGACACAGCAAACGGCAGCCACAACGACGAAGTCGACGACTACAGAGACCAGATCACCAGCACGGGCGACATCCCGGTTCCCAGGAATTGGTTCACGCAGATTGAGAAAATAACCGGTGTCAGGTTCTTAAGCAACGAACCCCTGCATTACGACATAATGCTCAAAAACAACTCTATCATTATGGTAGGCAGCGATATACTGCAGTCTGTTGCTCCGAGAGTGCTCATAAAATATCTCGAGGACCACATAGCCATCGAAAAGAAACCGGTTACTACAGCCCCGGCTGCAGCTGAAGACGATGATGACGAGGTGTTTGCTGATGCTGTTTCCGCTTCTCCTTGATCCATCTTCATCGGCCAGAGTTATCAGATCCTGTTGTATTTCTTTAGTGTACCAACATCATTTCTCATCTGTTGCTTTTATTATTTTTTATCCTAATCACTGTATCTCTGAATCTAATGAGGTAGCCTTTCTCAAATAATCTCAAGTAAAAGAAGGGCTTTCATAGCTCTACAGTCCTCTGTCGTGCATAAAGTACGAGTCTGTATGGCTTCGTACGATGTAGTCCCCTCTCGGGATCATTCAAAGCTTCTCAACATCACCATCAAATCAATTAAAAAACTATTTAACAATTAAAACAATTGCACGATAAGAAACTATATAAAGCAGCGGGAAAAGTTCATTCTCCATATCTGAAAGGCGATTTTACTTTGTAATATAACTATATATAATAAAAAATAGGCACAAGACAAAATGGATAGTGCAACAAAGACGGGAAAAATAGCAGCATTAATAATAAACTAATACCAGGAAACAGAAGCCAAGGTAAGTTTTAATAATGACTTGGCGCAAAAAAAATAGTCATTTCTGTATCAAAAAAGATGGGAAAAGGCGATCGATATAAAGACGACAGTACAAGAAAACGACTAGGAAACGCAAAATAAAAGAAGAAGAAGAAACCATCTCAAATTTAAACGCCGGCAACAATCTCGCTGGCAGTCTGCAGACTGTCAACCATCTTCTGAACCTCCTTCCGTCTGTTGAGAGTAACGTCGCTCTCCTTGAGCAACTCGTCAACATCAGACTTGTACAGCTTTTCTAGAAGCTCGCGCTGCATCTCGTCCTTGGAGAAAATAACAAGGTTGAGCATGACAGCCTTGGGGACCATGTCAATTATCGTTCGCTTCACAATGTTGAAGTAGGACGAGATCAGAAGCTTGATGACCTCAGTCTCGGCAGTCTCACGCTCGGAGAGAACACCAGACGCCTTGAGGACAGCAGGAGGAGCCTCCATGGCAGCCATTTTCTTCTTGTTCTTGGTAGCAAAGAACGAGTTGAAAAATCCACCGTTCTCGTCCTGGCCGAGACCGGGCATAGGCGCAATAGGGCTGTTGATCAGATCCTTCTGGGGCGCGTTCGGAACAGGCTTGCCAGTCTTGGGATCGACCTGCACAGGCTTGCTGGCCTGCATACGCTCGGCAACAATCGCCATAGCGCGGTGACCGCTGAGGAAGTCGGGATGTCCAGTGTTGATGTAAGCCGACTCCATGCTCACGAGATCAGCAACAAGCTTGTTGGTGGGCACGAGCGACTGCTTGAAGAAGTGGATGACAACCGACAAAAGTCTCTCCTTGAGCGCGGGGTAGCGCTTGAAGACGGGCTTCTGCAGAATCTGAGACAGAATGCGCACCAACTCGTCGTACACAAGGTTGACACACTTCAAACTGGGCTCCTCGAATCTCTTGATCTGCTGCTTCACGATAACCTCAAAGGCAGTGGTACCAACGAACAGAGCAGGCGACGATCCAGACGAGTTGTACAGAATCGTTCTGATATCGACGTCCTTGACCTGGTCAAAGGGATCAACAGCCTTGATACCGTTGGAGTAAAGTTCGTGGAAGACGAACGAGATACGCGCACCGCCGGAAAGCTCCATGCTCGACAACTCCTGGGAGTTACCATCAAGAATAGTACGGTACTCATTACAAAACTCAGTGATAACGTTCAAAACAATGCTGGAGGGGCTTCCGAGGGTGTTGTCTCCAAGCTGAGCCAGCTCAAGCTGGTACTTGCCAAGAGTGCTCTGAATTCGCTGCTTGATGTCAGGCAAAGTAGCCTTGATATGGTGCATAAGAATCATATTCAGCTTGCGAGCAAGGAAGGGGGTACCGCAGTACTGAGCCTTAGCACGGTAAGACGAGTGGTTCTCGAAGAACTCACGCTCGTGCTCGAGAGCTGAGGTGATAGCCTTGCCCTGCTCGATATCGCGCTGACCTCTGTTGATAACTGGAACGTATCCAAGTCTAAGAGGGATAACACGTCCGGCGAGAATGTCAACGACATCGGTACCCTGGTCCATAAGATCGACCTTGGTCAAGACACCAATTGTTCGGGTTCCTGTATAAATAAATGTTAGCTTATCGCCTCTACCAAAAATATATTCAAAAGTCGCATCATACCCTCAGGATCGACCTCTCTGGCAAGCTTGAGACCATCAGAGTTGGCCAAATCGGTGTTGGCGGCAGTGACGGCGAGAATGATAGCGTTGGGCTTGGTGATGTACTTCAACACCATCTCCTTGATCATGCGCTCGATATCCTTGGGCTGGTCACCAACAGGGACCTTGGTGAGACCAGGCAAATCGACAAGAGTAAGAGTGAGGACTTTGGGAGAGAAAATTCGAAGGTTGATGGGGTTGTTTGAGATTCCAGCGTTCTTGCCGGTCTTTTGTTCGGTTTCGCGCACAATTTCGTCGCGGATCTTGTTGAAGTCGGTGAACTTCTGACCAGGCAGATGAAGGAACTCACCCCACTCATCAGCCGGGGCGTCATCGCTCTTTTCCGTAGCGGGTCTGTTGATAAGTTGGAGAACCTAAAAGGTGATTAGTTTCGAGACTCGGAAGAAGCAAGCCGCACACGCCGGTTTAGGAGATCTCGATAGAAATGAGCACATACAAGTGGTCGTCGAGTGACGATACCGGTACCTAATTGATAAATTGTCAGAATACTGTACTTGAAACTGATTGATTGAATGGGTGGGAGTGGCGCCGATGTGGCCACCGCGAGCAAATAAGAAGGGGGGGCTTACCTCTGGGCAAGAAGTCACGTCCGACGATGTTTTCCAACACCGACGACTTTCCTGACGACTGAGAACCAACGACAGTGATCTGGGGAAGATCAATGGGGTTGGTAGTTGGTCCAAGAGTAGCGAAGGCGTCCTAATCAGATAGAAAGAAGCTAATGTTAACACTCTGAAAGATGGATTGGTATTGCAATGCTGGCATTAGCAGCTTCCAGCGTTTACGCCCACCGGTCCACCCAAGCCATCAAAGCAGATACACATTATGAAGGCAAAAACAGTAATCCATCACTGCACTCTTGCCAGCTAGAATTGAGGGTGCAATTGATGGCCCCGGGAGACCGGCGGTGCCGCCGTAGGAGGACAACAGTCCGCACGCTGATAGCAGGAGCCAGCACCGAATTGACTTCATATGTGGCCACTTGCCACGAAGGCATACGGGACCAAAGGGAGAGACGTACCTGCAGACGATTGACGGTGGAGATAAGTTGCTGATCCATTGCGAATATACTATTTGCTTGGAGTCTACAGCGGGACGGAGAATAGAGCTGGGGAGGAGGATTGATATCAGGGATAGGCTGTAGCAGGCTGCCGGAGAGAGTGTCTGTAAGTAAGCAACAGAGAGAGCCTGAGCCCCGTACGCGTGAATATCTGGGCACAGGATTCAGTATATCCTGGTCCGCGAGACGCGAGGTACCGGCACCGCCCGCCTTGGGGCCTCGTACCTTCCAGGGAACGCCACCCATCTGCTGCGCCTTATCGCCATCAGTTCCCCTAACCACATATCTGTTGCCGTGCCAACTGCCTCCGGGGTGCTTTCTTTAGCAGTATTTGATATAATCTACGTTAAGACCGTCGTGTCAGCCGGAGGACTACGAATTATCTGGATAGGTGCTAGCGGGAATTTGTGCTGCTTACGATTTTTGTGTCTTTGCATATTGTCTTACTGTCAGCGTGTTGCTTATCCTGCAATCACTTACGCGGCCTTTTGATAAACAATCTCGAGCTGGGCGGTCAGCTATACGCCTTTACTCCGTTTGCGCTTTGATATAATTATCTGACAGAATTTTACAATTTATTCCGTATGTATGATTTTGCATTTCGCAGATCAGAAATTGTATATGCCGTATTGTAAGATTATAGACAAATTTGAATGCACTCGATATATATCCATTCCTCAACCTAAATGCTCCTTCCCGATCACTCAATCATCGCCGGTACATATAATATCTACACAAGCTCTCGCAGCTTCTTTAAACACATGTCTCCACTCAAGCGGATCACCTTTGATGCGGTCGAATTTGACTATGATCAACTCATCGTATTTCCAGAAGGCGTCACTGCGATCTTGAGGACGAGAGCATGTCACTTTTCCAGAGAGAGGACACTTGCGCCTATCCTTCAAAGAAATATCAAACACAAAGTGCTCTTGCTCTTCGGAATTCTCCATAATCTGTCTGATTCCCTTCTGCAACAGGAATCCTTGCAGGTAGGATTTGAGCATCTCCATAGAAACGTGCACGAAGAAGCGATTAAGAGTATCTCTTGGAAGCAAGTCATCAAACTTCCGCGCCTTTTGCGTGATCGTTACCAACTCATTTGTAACCTTCGCCTTTTGAGAAAACTGGAGGACTGCTAGATCGTCTATCCGGAAAGCTCCTTCACCAGAGTTGTCGCTCTCAAAGTTGGGCTGGGACTGCGCATGCATTGAGGATTGCCGGGCCTTTAGTTCTGTGGGCTGAGAGCATGACATGATATTCGACTTATCAACAGCCAATGGTCGGAACAGATTATTCCTACCAAATGGTCGCTGTGTCTTTCTTCCTGGCAAATCGATATGTAGCGTACCGAGCAGTTTCTCCGCCACCTTGATAGGACTGGGGCAAGATCCATCCACATCCAGCAATGGGTTCTTCCGCATGAACCAAGGGTGTGCGCGAATCCCAGAGATCTTTATACGTTTCCGTGGATCTTCTTCTAGCATCCGCACAATTAGAGACAGTGGCTCCTTATCAATATTCTTCCAGGGATATGCCTTTTGTAAAAACTCTGGATGCTTCGCTCGTGTGATGTACTGACGGTAACATACATCGCGATCTCCCGGGAATCCCCAAGGAGTGCAACCAGTCAGCAAAGCAAACAGAATAATTCCACATGACCAAATATCAACAGGCTCTAGTTCGTAAGACCCATTCTGAGCAATGATCTCCGGTGCCACATAGGGGGCGCTTCCACACACCGTCGAGGATTTCTTGGTCCTTCCGTGTCTCCTGAAGATAGTAGCAAGACCAAAGTCCGATAGCAGCAGATTTCCATTGATATCAAGTAAGATATTCTCAGGCTTTATATCTCTGTGCGCAATACCCTTGGAATGGATATACTCAACTGCTCCAACAAGCTGCTTGAAAAACATGTGCGCCACATCCATATGGACACCGACATCTGCCTCGATGAAGTTGAAAAGATCTCCGCCACCTGCAACATCAAGAACAAACCAAATCCATCTTTCGTCTTCACCTGTGTATCCACAAGACAGTATATTCCTGTGATTGGAGCAGAATTTTTGAAAGAGCCCCTCGTTCTTAATAGCTTTGGAGTTGAGACCGGCGAGAGCTCTAGCATTTTCTTTATGGACAAACTTCACAGCAAACGAGTTGCTAGACCCGCATAAGTAGACTCTAAAAGCGCAAGTCAGTATATGATGGAGTTTTCAAAATCTGCAGTCATGCGTACTTTGCGAACGACCCGCGGCCGAGGAGACGGCCGACGTGAAATGTCACGTCCGGCAGAGGCTCTGAGTCCCAGTTCATGTGAGACAAATACAAGATCTACAAAACACCGGCACCTGTATATTCTAGTATCGGTGGACCTGACGACAGCACAGAGCAAGTGCGATATCTCAAGGCTTCACGATCGGCGAAAGAAAACGCGAGATCAAATTGCGCGGCTGGAGTAAACAAAGTCGAAGGTCCTAACGCGGTCGTTTTCCGTTGACTAGGCAACGGCGCGGCTTTACCCACTTTATAAAGGTATAGAATATGCGGCTAATGTATATGTGATCATCCCGTGGTTATGCACCCAGCTTTATGTTAAGGTCCCCCTGAATTCTCTTCAGAGGTTTTTTTTCTTTTGAAGGTTGATCGAAATTTTCCTTTCAGATCAAGAAAACTTCAGCAAATACCAGCAGCATGGTGAAGCGGAAAGATACCGGTGATAGGGCACTATCGAAAAAGCTGAAGCCAGATGTTGACTTGAAAGCTGGCAAGGAGACGGTGAAAGAACAACCTACCAAGTCGACTGAACACTCAGCGTTGGCACCCATCCTACGAGTCATTACTGGATCATACGAACATCAGCTGTTGTGCGTGTCGCTGACGACAAACAGTCGGGCGTTTGCTTACAAGAAGCCTAGTAGTGACGAGTCGGTGGCTACCAATTTTTTCACTCCTATCTTTCACTTTGCGTCGCATACGGCCTCGATCAGGTGTATCGCGAGCGTCAAACGCTACCTTGTTACCGGAGGTAATGACGAGCATATAAGATTATACGACTTGCAGAAGCGCAAGGAAATTGGAACTTTGATGCATCATGAAGGAAGCGTCACATGTCTGGAGTTTGTCAAGTCCGGAAAGTGGCTCATCAGCGGCGGAGAAGATGGAAAAGTTCTTATCTGGCGAACCCAGGACTGGGAGGTTCTCGCTGACATGAAAGGGCACAAGGGAGCTGTGAATGATATCTCGGTTCATCCTTCTGGAAAGATTGCACTCAGTGTTGGACGAGACCGTACTCTTCGTCTTTGGAACTTGATGACTGGCAAGAACGCTAGTGTCTTGAAGCTTGGCCACGACGAGCCAATTCAGGTCTGCTGGAATTCAAAGGGAGATCGGTATGCTGTCGGGTGGCAGAAAAAAATCTCTTTATTTGATATGGTAAGTCACTACGAATATAAGCTTACATCTTTCAGATACTAATGGGCCATGAATAGGAATCAAAAGTCTTGTCCACCGTCGACCTCACCTCCCCATTGTACAGAATCAGATTCATTGAACTAGGAGACGCCGAGAACGAGGAAGCAGTCGATTACCTAGTTTCTTCGGACTCGACCGGATCCATCACCTTCAGAGATGTTGAAGCAGTGACGGAAGACACCATGCCGGTATCATTCAAACTGGAAGCGCACACGAGCCGAGTCAAGGACTTCACATTTTTTGCGCGAGCACCACCAGCCCTCTTGAAGAACAGGAGCGACGAATTGAGCGATAAGCAGACAACATTCATGTCAAGTGTGTCTTCTGACGGAAAGATCGTTATTTGGAATGTCAACGCCCGCGAGCCTATCGCAGTCTACGAGACCAGCGAGCGACTTAACTGCTGCACGCTGGTTGCCGAGGAGGTCGAGAAGTATGAGACGGTGTTACAGAAGATAAACAAGGCAGATGAGACGGAGGATGAGGACAGTGAAGATGAGAAGGACGAGGAATAAGAATATCATAGTTTTATTCATGATTTTATTGTTTGGCATGTATAATGTACCATAGATACCGTTAGCGAGCGGCGTAATATTACTGGCACACGCGAGAATATCCTGATCCCTAGACTAGCCTGATCTGCGCTATTCTCCCACAGTAGACAGTCTGGAATCAATTACTAATGCAACTGTCTGCTGCTTCCCGCATGTGATAGTGGACGACGGTTCCGGGTAGTGGCGAGAAAGACGAGTCCACGAGACTGTCGCAGGTCACAGCTAAGAAGATTCAGGGGCCCCTAACCCAACAAAAAACTAATTGATGACAAAGCTTTGTACGAAAATCTGACTAAGCATTACAGCGCAACGCCACAACTTTTTTTCCTATTTTTTTCCTCCACCGCCGTCGCGCCCCTTCCTATTTCTTTTTTTTGCCTCCCACACCTCCTTTTTATAAATTCAACTTTTTACCTACACTTATCACTATTTCATATTTTTCAGTACAGATTCAACATGGCTGAGATTTCTGACAAGCTTAACAACCTAAGCATCAAAGACCAGGGCGAGCAACAGCAGCAGGGCACTGGAAGACCTACCTATGTTCCTCCTCACGCGCGAAAGTTCGGTGATGCTGCTGCCGGACCCAAGTACAACTCTGGGTATGTTTTCTTCTATACGAATCTTTTATTGCAGACACTGGCGAATGCTGCGTGATAGTGCTTCTCTTATCTAGAGATCTCTCCTGTGTGAATCTCACGATTGGGGGCGCTCTTGACTGTGTTCAATCGTTGTGTCTTCTTATTGCGTTGACTTCTTTACTGACTCTTTTTTTTATTCTCATTAGTGAAGGTTACCGTAACGATGGCGCCCGTGATGGCTATCGTAACGATAGCTTCCGTGGCGGCCGTGGCGGATATGGCGGTCGTGGCGATGGATTCAACCGTGGATACGGTGGCGGTTATGGCGGACGTGGCGGCTATGGTTCGCGAGACAACTTCGGCGGTGACGGCTACCGTAACAAACAATCCGCCCACGAAGGACGATTTGTTGATGGCAAGCACGTTCCCGGCGCCCGTGATCCCAGAGTTGAGAAAGAGCTTTTCGGTACTCCTGACGACAACAACAGACAACTGACTGGTATCAACTTCGACAACTACGATGACATCCCCGTTGAGGCCACCGGTGAGAATGTTCCCGAGCCCATTACCGCCTTCACCTCCCCTCCCGTTGAGGAGCTCTTGCTCAGCAACATCGAGCTCTCTGGATACACAAAGCCCACCCCTGTCCAGAAGTACTCTATCCCCATTGTCTGCGGTGGCAGAGACTTGATGGCTTGTGCCCAGACTGGTTCCGGAAAGACTGGTGGTTTCCTCTTCCCTATTCTCTCTGAGGCTTACACTCACGGACCTACTGCCGTCAGCCCCGAGGGCAACGGCTCTTTTGGCCGTAACCGCAAGGCCTACCCTACTTCCTTGATCCTTGCTCCCACCCGTGAGCTCGTCTCTCAGATCTACGAGGAGTCCCGGAAATTCGCCTACAGATCGTGGGTCAAGCCATGCGTTGTCTACGGTGGTGCTGATATTGGCACCCAGCTCCGTCAACTGGACCGTGGCTGCGACTTGCTTGTTGCCACTCCTGGTCGTCTTGTCGACTTGATCGACCGTGGCCGTATTTCTCTTTCCAGCATCAAGTTCTTGGTTCTCGACGAGGCCGATCGTATGCTTGATATGGGTTTCGAGCCCCAGATTCGCCGCATTGTCGAGCGTGAGGACATGCCCGATGTCCAGAACAGACAGACTCTCATGTTCTCCGCCACCTTCCCCCGCGATATCCAGATGCTCGCTCGCGACTTCCTGAAGGATTACATCTTCCTGTCCGTTGGCCGTGTCGGTTCCACTTCTGAGAACATCACACAGAAGGTTGAGTACGTTGAGGACTCCGACAAGCGATCCGTCTTGCTCGACATTCTCTCGTCCAACAAGGGCGGACTTACCTTGATCTTCACTGAGACCAAGCGTATGGCCGACTCGCTCTGCGACTTCTTGATGAACCAGGGCTTCCCCGCCACTTCTATTCACGGTGATCGTACTCAGCGTGAGCGTGAGCAGGCTCTTGACATGTTCCGCAGCGGACGTGCTCCCATCATGGTTGCCACTGCTGTTGCTGCTCGTGGTCTCGATATTCCTAACGTCACCCACGTCGTCAACTACGATCTTCCCTCTGACATTGACGACTACGTCCACCGTATCGGTCGTACCGGTCGTGCTGGTAACACCGGTCTTGCCACCGCTTTTTTCAACCGTGGCAACAAGGGTGTCGTCAAGGAGCTCATTGACATTCTCCGTGAGGCCAACCAGGAGATCCCTGACTTTCTTGAGGCTGTCGCTGCTGAGGGCGGATACGGTGGTGGCCGTGGTGGCCGTGGCGGAAGCCGTGGTGGCCGCGGCAACGGCAACCGTGATTTCCGTCGCGGTGGCGGCGGTGGCTACGATAACTACGGTGGCCAGTCTTACGGCGGCGGCGGCAACAGCTATGGCGGCTACGGCGGTTCGGCCTACAGCGCCTACAACGCCTCGTCGTACCAGAGTGGCGGTGCCCAGCAGGGTGGCGGCTGGTGGTAAACACCTATACTGCCGCTTGAGATTTGAGTAGCACCGGCGGAACACAGAGGTGCTATCTCGTGTTTGATTTTATTTTATGTTTTATAGTGTCGGCGATGCGAAATCGTCAGACAGATTTGTTTCCTTGCTTTTTTTATCTGGTTTTTTTATACGGTATAGAGGTCGCACCCATTCTTGTTATTTGCGCGAGTAACTTACCATAGTTATTGTGGAGTAGCCAGTGAAGCAGTATCCACGTTTCGTCGTGCGCATATTCTTACTATGCTATTGGGCTTTTGATTTTTGCAAGATCATTCACGGGGTCTTTTGCAGAAACAGAAGGTCGTCTTTTGTTAGTTGTACTATGTTTGTGTCTTTCGTCATGGAAGGTCTGGTCTGTAAGGCTCAATTATCTTTGCAGTTGATTTTTTATGTTATCGCATTATTCCTCACGGTTTCTTTATTTTCCCCACCTTTGTTATAAGTCATTTGTCATTTTGTACGCTTTTCTTTTCTTTTGTTAACCACAAAAAAGGGAAATCTCCAAGGGTTGTTTTGTCGTTTGTTTGTTTTCTTTTTCTCTTTTTTCCAGTTCTAGTACTAGTTCTTACACTGGTTATCTAGAGAGAGGAAGCTCAAAAGTTATTTGTGATTTTTATATGGGTCTGGGAAACAAAAAAGGAATTTGGGAATTATTATCATATGGGTTCGGTAACATGATAAATTTGGCAATTTTATTTTATTTATATCTTTTTCTTATTTATGATTTTCTTTTCATTGACGGAAGAAAAAGTCTTGCGACATAGTTGTACTTTCTCATTCTTTTACCTCTCATTTATATCTTTTTATTTGTTGGGATAGGGATGCTCATAGAGGTCACTGGTTATTTCTATACAAGAATCGGCGCGCTTTGCTATATTGTCCTACTATACAATTTACAATAATATATTTTACAAGTTAGTTCTTCAAGTAAAATTACCATGCAGTAAAAGTTTTAGATGAACAGGGAATGGCTTTATTGTACACTGTTGAAAAAAAAGCTGCTTGTCTAATAATACACACCTAAGAAAAATATAAAACACCCAGAAGACTGTAAGAACCCAAACACAATCAAAGCCTTTCTTTAATCTGCTCTCGTATCATCTATGCGCGAGCGCCCTTATTTGCATGGGCAGCGCTAGCAGCTGCTTTGACACTGCTCGCATACGCAGCGCTCCCTGCGGAAGCTGCACCATGGTGACCAGCGCCAGAACCCGCAGCGCCAGACGCTGCTGCAGCAGAGCCACTACTACCTGCTCCAGCACCAGTCGACGAGCCAAATCTTCTCGAGCCTTCCCGTTTCCGGATGCTCTTTCTGATAGCCTCAAGCATACCACCCCATCTCAGTCTGCGCTGACCGCGCTGTTGATTGTCGTTCGTGATACCCATCGGCATCATTCTGCGTTTTGTGTGTGCCTGGGCACGACTTGTTGCCTCGAGCCAGATTTGCGCATGCCGGGCAAACGGGCCCCGTAAATCTGAAATCTGAAAGTTAGGCTCCAGTTGCATCCAGCGCTCAAAGCACTCCCATGGCGTCCGGCGCTCAATGTTTGAGTGGAAACCCCACGATTGCCGGATATTCATATGCGCAGCAACAACGTCCCAGTTGTAGACAAACTCACTAGCCAGCTTCAGGAGAGTTGCGTCGTCTTGCGGAAGCCAGATCGTGGGCACGCCAAACTCGACGTACTTCAGAGCCGGCGGCATAGGCGCTTTCACAAAGACTGATCGACTGGCGGCCTCGCTGATAAACAAGGGCTTATGCTCGCTTGAAACTTCCATGTCAGCAAGAGACACTGACTGTGGCTGCGACTGGTCTGCTTGACCCTTCTTGTTCCACGACGCGGGATCAGCAGGTAGATTCAATGGTATCATTGCGAACTTATTGATGGGCACAATTGGCAACTCTTCGATCATGTCGCGGAACAGAGTCTCCTTTGAGGGATCAGTAGAGGCGAAATGGTTTTCCGAGAACAACCCGTACGCTGCTGTACTGCTAACAGCAGACTCGTCGGCAGCTTCGACCGCAGCGCCTTCTGCAGATGTCGTCGCGGCTTCCCCTGTACCTGCAGATTCTGCGCCTACAGGTTGGCTCTCCGACGAAGGCTTCTCATCAAATGCCGCATTCGCAGCCTGTATTTCCTCGTCCGATAATGTCCTTGGTTCCCGGGTAGTCACGCACACGGTCTTGCCATGGACCCAGTACTCCTTCATCATCGAGGCAATCGACACACCATCTATCAGCTTTTGTTTCCGAAAGATCGCGCATTGCTGCGCTGTCACTTGCATTTCGCTCAGAAGGTGGTCCCAATGTGCCTTTGCCCGCTTTGGGGCGCGGAATCTCTGGGGTTGTCGTAAACTCCACTTCTTTTCGCGCTTTAGCTCATCCATGCGAGCAAAGTTCTTCACTAGTGTTGATTCGAGGTATGAGGTAAGGTAGTTCTCTGTCGTCAACGACTTGTGCGAAAAGGGAACAAGAGCAGCGAGAGGAGATGCTTGTATGGAATAAAAGATCTTGACGAGCGGAACGCCGGGTTTGACGGGGGGCTCTTCCACAGCGATATTCCGCGGAGCAATTGAGCTTCGGGCGACGAGCTCAGGCTCGATAGATGAAGTGAACGCTGCCTGCCGCCGAGGATGTGACTGTCGTGAAGGAGTGCCCATGATCTCACTGACCGACTTCTGCTTGATAGCACCTGAGCTCACGCGCGTAGTCATCCGTTCTTGTGGGACGAACGGCTGCTTGTACGTAATGGCTGAATGGGGAGCAGGAGGAGAAGACGGGGAGTTTGATTGCGCATCTTTCACTGGTGTGGCCAGCTTTAAAGCTGGAGAGGCGTAACCAGCCGGGGACTGTGACTGTGCCAAGTGGTGTGCAGACTGAGGAACGGCAACCGGATGACGCTGGAGATTCGTTACGGAGGCGGGCAGTTTAGTCGCCGGAGTAGATGTGCGATATCCATATTTTCCAGCGGTATAATGTGATATACTGGATGAGTACTGCTGTATGCTGGTAGGAGTGTGGGGTTGCGCTGTTTGTCGAGCTTTGCCGGACGCGTCGCTCGGATAGGGAACGATATGGCTAGGATGCAGCCTTCCCGACGCATGTGCACCATCAGACGCACTCGTCTTTTGCATCTTATTCGAGTATATCGACGACGGCAGAGAGGATTCGTCAAACAAATGTCCACTATATCGCGATCGAGGTTTATGTCAGCAATGTTTACAGATGCCTTGTTGCATCCAGTACAAATCACCACCACCCAAACAGCAGGGAACAAGGGATACCTTTCCAGATCATTTTTCTCTAGGAATGCCATAAGATAGTCATCCTCGGATGCGATTATCTCGTCTGTTATAGGAAGCAATGGGCTTCGGGAGAGAAAGTACAGCTCAGAGAGCTTTCTCTTTCGGTTTTTGACAACATCACTGTAGCACACATAAATGTTACCATTTGACCACGCATAAAACACCAGCCATCTAATCATCCAAAGGCAAAAGGAAATCATACCTGCATAACTGTCGTCTCCGTTCAATATTTTCAAACCGCAGCCGGTCGAGCAGATCCTAAGACGGGCGGTTAGTCACAAGGTCGTCAGATCTTCACGAGCCATCCCCACACCCATCCAGCTTACCGATGAGAAATCCATCCAGGATCATATATAACGGTTCTCAAACAGAGGATATACACTCAAAAAATGAAATATATATCCCCCAAAACTCGACTTGCTGCCTGGCTGTTTCTCCTCCGATCTCGCTCTGCTGCCTTGTTTTGCTGCAGCTTGCCGCTTTCGACCAATCACGTGCGTGCGTTTTGGCGGTGAAAATTTTCTGTCTGAAGGCAGGGTGGGCAGCCAGCAGGTAAAGTCCAGTCCGACCCCTCGCTTTCTCCCAGCCCCTTTGCTCTATCTAGTTAACCAGGTATGATCTACACCTGCGCCCATTCCACCCTCTAACTACAGTCTTGGGCCATTTTAAATGACAGTAAGGCATTATCCGTAACCTACAAATAATATCTAATAAACTACAATCATCTGTTACTTCGAAAATAAAGCACTTACCGTACAGTCACATGCAAATAAGAGTGACATTGCTGACAAAATTAGGCTTTATAAAGAACCAGCACATTCTTTTTTTAAAAAAGCGATGTGGCGCAGTGGAAGCGCGCAGGGCTCATAACCCTGATGTCCCTGGATCGAAACCAGGCATCGCTAGTAATTTTTTTTGCATTGTCTTTTTACAAATAATGTCATTTTTTTTTGCTTAGGTTGGGAGTATTGTCATCTGACGCAGATTAGAGCAAATGAGGGCGTTTTTCTACTTGGGTAGTGGACGAGGAGGTTGCGTGGTCGATATACATACGACATACGTCTGTTCATGGCGCTCAAGTAGAGGGAATTTCTATATGAACGAGATTCCTGGCAAGTAATGTCTGTCTTTATAAATCTTGCCTGTAGCAAGTGCAGACATGTTTCTCATACAATCGCGTGTAGTAAAATGAACATTTCTCATTGAACAAAGCCGCAAGACATACACAAAAAATGAACCCAAATATATATTCTAAAGTAGAACTGACAATACAAGCTCAGCATAACTTACTCGAACAAGCGATACTGCATCAATTTGGAGCTCGATGAGGAAGAAGCGGCAGAGATGTATCCACTCTCGCACCAGTTTGAAATAGGCTTGTAAAGACGAATATTAGCGATCGCAAGAAAGATAGAAGCAGAGAGGAACTACATACCACGCAACTCAGATATTTACACCAGCTGCAGTGTCCGCCTCCTTCCTTGAAATTTCGAATAAGGACAATCATGTAAATGGCCGTCAAGACAATCATAAACAGTCGTATAAAGACCCACAGATACCAGACTGCAGGCTTGTTTTTGAACACGATCCGTATGCTGTCGTATTTTCGAACGTACCACCTGCCGGCTGTGGGAGCATAGTAATACCCGTCGTCTTCGCCTGACATCTCGCGAATCTTGAGCGGGCTCCTAAGAAGGGCGATTCCGAGAGTGATGCCGACCATGAAACCACCGATATGTGCGAAATTGTCGATACCAGGCAACAGACCCATGACAAATGAGATGACGATATCAATGAGGAGTCTGAATAGGTATGATTTGGGATGCTCAAATGCTCTCCAGTTTAATACCAGATCAACCAGCTGAACCGCAAGGAAGCCAAATAGAGCACCGGATGCACCGCTAGATGAGAGCTTTCAGTTAGCTTGTTTCAGACCGTGTCCCTAAATGAAAGGATCGTACCAGCTAGAAATTCCGTTTGGGGTGAAGTTTCCGCCCAATACAAATCCATTTATTCCCGCAGCGAGGTAAATGATGGCGGTCTTCAGGTGACCGAGCTCTCTATAGATTTATCAAATTTAGTTGTCAGTGATCTCCAGGCTGTCTAGAACAAAAGGCATAACCTCTCACCTCTCGGTCCGGAAACCAAGCATAACCTGTAAAACCATGTTCATGATAATGTGAAGAAATCCAGCATGAATGAAAATAGGAGTAATAAATCGCCACCACTGAATTTGATCCAGTTAGCTCGTTATAATGTTGCCACAGACTCTCTCGAGCACTTACCTGATTAGGATGATCCGTGTCGATACCGCCCATTCCGCAAAGCTCAGATAAGCTGCACTTATCGGCAGACGTGGTGGCATTAGGGCAGGGCCACTTGATCGAGGTGTCGTCGGTGATTCCTGAGATTGAGTGCATACACGGAGCAAACCGAGAACCCATATGGATTTGCACCTATGCGATACAGTCAGAATAGCAATTCCGCAGGGATGATATGTAGACCTTCGGGATCCAATATTTTCACAATATAAGAAAATAGCAAAGACTTACATATGGCGACGGTCCAATCATGGGATTGAACTCCGGCTTAGTCTCGATAGGTTTGCCAGTATATTTTCCCATGACAATAAGCTCGGCAATGAAGACCACGATCTGGATGAACGAGATGAAAATCAAAAACCATGGCCACGCCTTTGACTTCTTCACCAACGCCATTCTCGGCGGCGGAAGCTCGGGAGAAATCGTGATTCCGGCCGCGGCGGCAGAGTTGGGATCCAGCTGCTGCGCGCCCGGAACCCATGGATTATAGCTTCCCGTCGGCTGTGGGGTGACTTCTGTCAGGGGAACGTTGTCGCCGTAGGGGTCGCGGTATACGCTTGAATGGGCGCCGGTGTAGCTGCTCTCGGACTGCATCTGGGAGAGCTCGTAGGACTGGTCTTTGGAGGTGCTGTACTGGCTTGCGTCGTCAGCGACGTAGTCTTGATCGTCTGCCTTCCGCGCAAAGGGGCTCTTGAAAGAAACCATTGTGTGCTGTATGTAAGGTTGGGTGGTGATCCGGCAGTGCTGAGGGGTTGCGATTGAGGTTTATAGCGGGCGTATCTGCGATAGTGCCCGAGTGCGGATGAGCCTCTTTGTCCGAGTTGCGTATGCGCAGTCGAGCTCAAGATGTCAAGATGAGGGGCGCAGGAGTCAACAGTCGCACTACGCCAAAGTTCACAACTCTGCACTATACTCTCAAAATCACAGAGTCTCGTGAACACTGAAATCCAACAATCACGAAGCGAAGACGGCGGAGGCTGGGCAGCTGAAAACTCGGACGTGCAGCAGCGGCATCCCTAGTCGAACTTGTCGCAGCCTTTTAAACTTTGCCGAACCTCGCCAAAACTCCCATCGCTCCCAAAGGTTAATTTTCTAGGGGCGGGTTTTATTTCTCGACGGTGCTCGTTCTTGCGCTCTCGGTGTCTGTTTTTATTGTGCAGGTAAATACTGACGGTGGAAGCGCAACTGGATCGCCTGTTTTGGATGTAAGAAACTTATCTATACGAGACATTGGAGTAAAGATGTTTGCTAACAACTCGAACAGAGATTATACATCGATAGCATTGAAAATCTCGACTCGGACATAAACCACCTCCACGGAAGTGCACCCCTCTATCGCATTGACTGAGTATCTCAAGCAAATACCAGCATGGCCAAGACACAGTACCCGCTGCTATACCTGATTTTAATCATCTGTATCTACGCAGTGGTTGCCGATAAAGAAATCAACGCTACAGCAAAGACAATCGTGATTACGATCCTTATATTATTTTTTCCGTCGGTCGATATATATCTGTATTCGCGCCGAAGGAGAGGGATCCCGGACGATTTCAGATATAATTCCAGTGATGAAGAGGATATTGAGGAGGAGGATGACGAAGACGAGGACGAACAGATCGAAGAATCTGAGCAGCCAGGCGCAAATGAGAAAACACAGAGTCTACAAAACGGCGCGGAAGTGGCGAGCTGATGTATTCGGCAGGCAGCTGTACTCTGAAACAACAGTCTATGTGATGAAATGAAAGTCCGCTTTTGTGGATATGGCATTAGTGTTATAAGTATTAAATCATGTGTACATACGGGTATAAACAGAGGCTGGAGGCATATGTATGATAGTAAAAGTTGAAATATTTGTTTATTATTATACAAAGAAGCTATGATCGTAAGTGTCGTGAAATTCAATAGCCCGACCGTAACACCGGGGAAAAATATAGCAACGCGAGACGACACAAAAAAAGCACTGAAAAGGACAAGAAAAGCTACAATACGCCAAATTATTAAAGCCCGCATGATTTTGACCAAGAGATGAAAGACGAGAAAAGCACAGATGATAAAGACAAAGTAAGACGCAAAAACAATCAGACCATAGCAGAGTCCAATTGTGTAGTCTGAGAGACGACAGACTGCCTTTGTGGATGTGCGACCTGATGGGACTCCCGGTACTGATCATATTGCATGATAGCAGGTAGTAGCTGGTCCAAACTCGCCGCATTGACAAAGATGTTTTCTGCGTGATTGCGAGAAAAAATGTCAAGAAGAGAAGCCTTGACGTCTTCAGCGTGTGCGTCGTCGTTGTTGTCGTTGTCGTCGTCGTCGCTGTCGACGTCGACTGCACGATCATCTCCTCTCATCGGGAGACGGTGGCCTTTGCTCATGGTTGGCGAATGATTTCGCACTTTCTTGAGAGAGTCCATGCGCGTCCGAGGTCTGCGATGGACGGTCTTGAGAAGGATTATATTTGAGCTTCCATGGTGGTCGGCGGTTGACATGAGGACGGGCAGAACCTGCTTGATAGACTGCGATTGGGATTAGTTGTTGGACGTGACTTGTAGTTGATAGTAAGTGAAAAGGAGAGTGCATACCTTATCCACGTTGTCAACAGTGCTAAAGATGACGAGATCGAGCCGACTTTCGAGCCGAAGGAATTCAGACAGAGTCTCATACAGACGGGAGCCGTCTTCATCTTCACTCTCGCTGTCGGACGCCGACGAGTCCTCGGGCGAGAGGTAGCGCAGCTGCGCGTCCCGTATGCGAGACGCAGCGCGCACAAAGGAGACCGACCTCTCCGCCGGACCGGTGATGTACACACGACAATGGGTCGATATGAGCTGCAGGAGGATAAAGTCGAGGCCGGTGGTAGGGCCTACGACGAGGACAACGGCGCCATCGAGAAGCATGGTAGCTCACAACCTGGGAGGGGTAGACTGACGGGGAGCATGCGTGTGGGGGGAAAGGAGGAGATATACGCAGCCATGGCTAGGAGGTTGGCTATGTACGGCCAGCGAGTCCGGGTGTTGCGTGATGTTTGCTGCTGCTTTTGTGGATTGGGAGCTGTTTCGTTAAAGTTGGGTGGTTAAAAAACATGGCGCGCGCGCACAGATAGTCGAAGTCTCCTGATCAGGTGCTTTTACTTCCACTCAGCCGGCACCGCAACCCCGTCTTCTGCCTGGTTTTTATCAGACCGCTGACTGCAGGTTGAGAAAGAGCAGAGAGAGGGGAAAGTATGATAGATATTGCAATAGGACCAATATGCTTCTCTACTGCCATGTCCCGCCTATCCCGGACGCCTACGTCATACGATTCAACAGCGTTTAATCCCCCACAATCTGCGTTCTTATTCTACACACAACACCCATGCCTCTGGTCATAAGCGCAGCGTTTTAATAAATCGTTATAAGCCCAAAAATATGGTAGAATGCATTAAATATGGTATGATGTGGTGATGAGCCCATCTGCTCACAGCTTCAAACCCGTACCTTGCGTCGGCCCCTGTCTGTCCTTCTTCAAGTGACCATCCACATCCAACTTCTCTCCACGCTTGCCGATAACCGTAACATTGCCCTTCTTGAGAGTCTCGACCACGTTCGCCCGACTGCCTTCCTTCTGAGCCTTGATCGCCCGTGTCTCCAGCTTCGAGCTCTCGCGCTTCGCATATCTCTCCTTCTCGCGTCTGCGCCGCCGCTTCTTCTCCTCCCGCGACATCTCCGACCGGGCAACCGGCAGCCCGTCCGGGCCAAGAACCTCCGCCGAAGGCTCGTCGCCTGCTGTCTTGTCCTTTTTGATTCCGTCGCGCGGCACGTAGACTTCTTGAGGAGCCAGCATATTCTCTGTAGACATAACCGAAGGCTGCGCGTCTTCCATAGCAATAGCCGGCACGTTGGCAACGATAGAGATAGCAGGCTTCGCCGGCTTGGGCGTGAAGTGCCACGACGAGAGAGCGTCGAGCTTGAATGTGATGTCGGCAAACATCTCCTCGACCTCGCGGTGCATCTTTTGCAACTTTGAGTCTTCAACCGTAGGGTGGCCCTCGGGATCAGCTTGGCGCATATGGTCGTCCTCGTAAAGCTCTGCGAGCGACTTTGAGGATTTCGTCTGATCGACGTCAAGATATCGGCTCTTTCGGAACTCGGGCATACTATCAGGTAGTCTGCGCGGTACATCGTTGAAGTCGTTCTGTAGATAATTAGCAAAGAGACCAGTTTGTTAAAGAAATAGAGAAAGATATACGTACGTTCTTGATTCGGTTCCGGATCAGATCCTCCAGACTCTCGGTAACCTCACTAGTGATAACCGGCACGGGCTTCGCACCACGATCAAACTCGAGGTCCTCTTCAAGAAGCGAGTTGAGCGGACGCGCGCTAGCCTTTGCTTCGCCCATCAACGTCCAGTCCTTCTTGGCGACGTTTTCCTCTTCGAGTTTTGAGATTTGCGAGCGCAGCTTTTGCTGCATCTTCTCGTACGTCGACAGTTTCTTGCCGTCTTCTGCTGAGGCTCCGTCATCCTCTTCGTCCTCTTCGTCGTCTGCGAAAAGATCTTTCTTTAGTCCGTCCATGGCTTGCTCTAGATCCTCGTCGTCAAGCTCGCTTCCCAGACCCTGGAACTTTTCTTTCCGTCTAGGCCGTTCTGACCGTGGCTTTCCTTGTCGTCGGTTCGAAGGAGGCTTGAAGAAATCCTCAAAACGGATGTCGTTGGAGTTATCCTCGACGGCACCGCCGGCGCTCTGTCCGATCGGTCCAAAATGCCCCTCGATATCATCTTCATCGTAGTCCTCCGAGTCATTATCCTCCTCGTCGTCGCTTTCCTGCTTCTTTGACGACTTGGGTTTACTGCTGATGGTAGTCTGTTCATCTGGATCGGCAAAGAAGTCGATTTCCTCGTCATCATCGTCTTCGTCATTGTTGAGCGCCGAGCTCTCAGCGTCCTCGGTCATACGATTGAACTGATCGATGTCGAAAAACCCGTCGTTGAGACCGAACTTGTCCTTGACGAATTTCTCTTCGCCCTCGTCGGATTCAGATCCGGCAGAGCCTGCGTCGGAGTCTTCGTAGTCGTCGACCAGATTGTCCATGTCGATGTCCCCATCGCTATCAGCATCTGCAGCCTCTTCGTCTTCGCTGGCTTGTTCAACTAAATCATCTTCATCTTCTGATGCATCATCGCTGTTTCCTTCGCTCTGCTCATTTTCGTCGTCAAATGCAAGTTCATCATCGTCTTCGCTCATGTCAGACACTTCGGCTTCCGATCCACTAAGCTCCCTGCCCTCGCTCCCACTCTCATCTTCGTCCTCGCCCTCATCCTCATCTGCGGCCGTCAGCTTCCTCCGCTTTGCAATCTTTTCCAGCTCGTCGTCGCCATCCTCGCTATCGTCGTCGCCGTTGCTGCCCTCGCCAGTGATCTCAACATAGCGATCGTACAGCACGTTCTCAGCAACGCCGTCCAACACCAGCCGCGTCTGCTCCCAAATCTGCAGCGCGTCCAGGCCGTCGACGTAGATGCCGTTCTTGAACACTTTTGAGTACTGCCGCGCGACAGGGTCGAGAAAGTACTTGACCGACGAGCGCGCAGACTCGCGCAGGGCATCGGTCGGCTGCAGCAGCACCTCAGGCGCGCTCGCGAGTGCGTCTGTCAGCACCGCGACGGACTCCTTAGCCGGGTCCATGTTATTTCGTGTCTTGGTAGTGTCTGAGAAGCGTCGAAATTTTTCCTGCGTGCGCCGACCTGGGATTCAAACAAAACTCAGCAGAAGAAGAGCTTAAAAAATTTCCCGCGCCCGCTGGGAAGGCCATAGGGTTAGGGGACCGAACTCCCAGCAGAGTCGCTTGCTGCTAATTATTTTTATTTTTTTATTTATTTCAGTTGCCGCGTTCAGCCTGATTCGGTCGGCTCTGCGCAGTCTCAGCGTTCCTCGCGCGCCTTGCTCGCTCTCGCTCTCCGCCCCCCGTCCCAGCACCCCAGACACACCCCGCCAGCAGCACCCGACCGCTCTCTAGCAACGAAGATCTGCCTTGCAGGAGGCTCTTTGAGTCTCGGAGTGTGCGTCCGCGTTTGTGTGTGTGTGCGTGTGTTTCTGCGCGCAAGTTCAGCCAGTTCCAGAATGCTCTCCAGTGCCGTGTTAGCCTTGCTGGCCGACGGCCACTCGCGCTCGCTGGCCAAGACCGCAGACGCGATCGCGACCTCGCTCGACAACCCGGACGAGCAAGAGTTTAGACTCGCGTGTGATCTGTTGTTTATGCTTGAGGAAACCGTGGCGAGCAGCAGCGCGAGCGACGCATCGGTCATCGCCCGGGTGCTTAATGCGGAGTATCTCCTATACAAGTTTTACGAGCGCTACGGCTCAATTGAGATGAACCCTTTCCTATCCCACTTTGTTTCTGTCTACAGCGAAGGACTGAAGGCTTTTGTGTCGTCACGGGAGTCTTTATTTGCAGACACGGCCGAGAACGACGTGCAGATGGTGCAGACCACTCTTGTCTCGCTCTTCCTCGTCGACGGCGGCCACACCGTTGGCGAGCTGAAAGCTGCTGATTTCCCCGCCGTATGGCCGGATCTGATTCGCGACAACATCGACACTGACAGATTTGTGGACGCATTGGTCAATCAGGGAGTCATGGATCCGCCGGTACCGGAGTCACGCTCGTCGGTCTTCTCAGATCCGGGCGGGGCCGGCGGGGGAGGAAGTCAGCAGCGCGAATTGGCAGTCAGCGAGCATCGGCCGAACCGCGGCAACGCAGAGGACAGTAATGTGAAGCATCCGATGCCGATCAGGGTCATCCCGAACCCGATCACCTCAACTGATGTTGGTGTGGGCGACGAGGATATGGAGGGGGCGCGGCTGAGTATGTACGTTCGCCCGATGCTCAAGCGCGCGCTGTCCGAGGAGCTTTCGGAGAAGGAAACACACGTAAGAGATCTTGCTGTTGGATGGAGAGGATTGAAGATGACTGATATTATGTGCAGGACTTGGTCAATATTCTGAAGCAAGATCCGATCATGCTGATGGGCACAGTGGATCTGTCTGTGAATGCGATTACTGCTATGCTACACATGAACCCTTTATTAGGGAGATCTTTGATCACATCGCTACTACTGACTGCACTGAGAGAAGAGTAGGTTTATTTATACTGCATGAGTTCATATACTAAATGGCTATTAACGCTTCTGAAAAATAGTGTTTTGCAGATTCTGCAATACCTTCCTCCGTCGCTGCCAGCACTGGAAGCACTGAGCCACTTACTAATACCTCAGCTTGGCATGGCGCAGCAGGTTGGATCAGGAACAACGCCGGTGTTGCGGGAAGATGAAAAGTCGCTACTGCTGCATCCGTTTTTGTCGAATGCGACGCGGCTGATTGAGTCGCAGCAGTCAAAGTCGTATGGGACAGGGGAGGATTATCAGATGCAGACGACGCGGCCGGTGCAGCTTCTGTGTCTGTTTATACAGTCGCTGCTGCGGACGGGGACGATCGAGCTGGAGGAGTACGTTTACGAGATCCAGTCGTTGGCACTGAGTTTTGTGTACGTGCCCGAAGCTACGGAGTTGTTTCACGTGGTGCAGAGCGCGATGGCGAAGCATCTGACGATGGGGCCTGGTGGTGCACAGCAGCAGCAGGGGAATGGGCAGCAGTCGCAGCAGCAACGACAGCAGCAGCAGCAGCAAAGTCAGTCACAGCGGACGGTGCCGGTGCTGTGAGGTTAATGAGATATACGTGGCTTACGGAGTATGGTGACAAGGGATCAAAAGCAAGGAAGACAGGGCGAGGATGTACAGTATCAGTATAGTGGCTAAGGAGTCTGTTTTAAGTGGAAGATCGGCGCGGGACCGAGGGGTATTGCAGCGACAAGGCGTAACATGAATGAGTGAATGAGAGAGAGATGAGATAGAAGAAGAGAGCAGCAGGAGAAGAGCATATCTCTGAGTGGAATGAGGCAAGGAGGCGATCTTGCAGGACGAAGTAGATCCAGGAGATGCGCGAGTACACCCTGGCTGCTGTCAGACGTCGCCTGAGCCGTTGCAGCGTAGGTTGAGGCGCAGGTGGCCGATAGCAGGTTGCATGCGTACATGTTTATTTGCGGTCTGCCAGAGGTCTGTTTGGTGTCTGCTTGATGTCTGCTGCTATTTCTATATTCTACAGTCCATATATTATCAATATAATAATAGTATACCAAGGAATAATAGAGAACCAACATCTATCTTCAAGAGCTATAGTCAAAATAAAAATAAAACCGCAAAGCTTAATGAGGCGGCCAGACAGTCTATTTTCGGGAAACGCCACTTTTCGCCCATTCCTCAAAACCAAACCTTCTTCTGAGTCCGCCTCCGACCGAATCTTGTCTTCCTTCGTCCTCTTCCTCTTTTGCGTCCTCGTTCTTTTCTCTTCTTCTCGACCGTCCGACCACCTCGTCGCCGTCTCCTGTCCTGGGCTCTTTGGTTCTCTGTTTTATCGTCGACACGCGCTCGCATCGTCTCGCATATCTCTTCACCGGCCCGGGGCTCATCGCATAGATATCCAACTCGCTCTGTCTATCTCCACCACCTTCCGCCATGCATCTCCTCAAGCCCTTTGCTGTCCTCGCGCTGCTCGAGCTCGGCCTCGTCTCCGGCCAGGGTACGTCTTCTTCTTCTTCTCTTTCTTTCTGTGCGGTTTTCAGACCTGCACCTGTACTTCCCTGCCCGCGCTCCGCTTCTGTGACGCGTCCGGTTTCGTACCTGTATCCTAACATGCGCGATCGCTCTAGTCCTCACCACATCCACCACCGCCGTCGCGGGCGTCGATGACACAACCTCCACCTCTGCGACCACAACGCTAGGCGTTATTGGCGACACGACCACCTCGTCTACCACCACTCCCGGCGTCGTCGGAACGACGTCATCAACAACCACAGGCGTTGTTGGCGTCACGACTACTTCCTCTACCACGACTCCCGGCGTTGTTGGCGTCACGACTACTTCCTCTACCACGACTCCCGGCGTCGTTGGAGACACGACCACCTCTTCTACCACGACTCCCGGTGTCATTGGAACGACGTCATCAACAACTACGGGCGTCGTTGGCGTCACATCCACTTCCTCTACCACCACTCCCGGTGTCGTTGGAACGACATCCTCGACAACTACGGGCGTCGTCGGCGTCACATCCACTTCCTCTACCACCACTCCCGGTGTCGTTGGAACGACATCCTCGACAACCACTCCCGGTGTCGTTGGAACCACCTCAGCGACAACCACTACAGGCGTCGTCGGCGACACGACCACCTCAGCTGCCACGACCGACACAGCTACGACTTCTACAACCTCGACTGAATCCGAGACTATGGTGTGGGTTACCACCTCCACGCTCGGAGTTCTCACAACCATGCAAGTCCCCTACACGCAGTCATTTTCGAGCATGTACACCTCAGTCTCCACTCCCAGCACCGGCTCGATCGGTCTTGGAACTATCTCAGGCACAGTCGGTTCCGTGCGCGCTGTTACAAGTACGATTGTATCAGCTGGCGCGATTTTGATGACTGATGTCGACCGCATCATGAAGATTGCTGTGTGGGCAGCTGGAAGTGCAGCTCTCTTCGTTTGCTCGAGCAGCTATCTTTTGATGTGATTTTTTTCGTTTCGCTTCGTTTCATGTTTTCGCATACTCTCCCACCCGTCCTCCGCCACTCTATCTACACCACCAACCCGTCATCCTCCATATCTCTATCCACCTACAGACTTTTCGCGGTTCATCCTGCTACTATATTCATAATAGTGGGTTAACAATTTGGCGTGTTTGCGTTGACAACTGAACTCCAGTTGCTCGCGAAAGGTTATCGTCAACCACGCGACGAGAATCGAGAAACGAGGGAATCTTGCGTAGCCACGCGGCCACGTTCTTCGGCCACGCTCTTCGGCCACGCTACAACGGCTCGATTGCCGAATAGTCGCAGGCGCAGGCTCGTGGCTCGAGCGCTCTCGATCTCCTTTGGCTCGTTTACAGTAGATCTTTATTGTCCAGTTATAAATAACTTGTCTGTGTTTTTTCTTTTCGGTTGTCTGGTTTTGTTTTGCACGCAACTGTATCTCTATCTTTGTTTTGTTTTCCTGGCGTTTCTAGACTCGAGTGTTGAACTATACACAACACTCACTATTTCTACTTTGTATTCTGTGTTATAAGTTATCGAGGAGGAGCAGAAGATTATCAATAAAGAAGATGTTTTGGATCCGCGCCGAAGATTCCAGCTTTCTGCTTAGTGCGGCGCCGGCGCGCTGCTGCGGCGTCGTCTGCGTTTAGGCTCGCGGTACTGCACTGCCCGAGCCGGAGCCCTAATGATTTGCTGATTAGTAATTGCACGTGATAAAGTAAGTGTAGGGTTGGAGGCTAGTTGCGTGACTGCTTTTCTGGATGAGCCGCAGCCCGGCGACGGTGCTAACAACAGACCGCGGGCGCGTCTGGCGGGAGGCCGAGGAGTGGACAAAGGCAGCGCTCTGATTTTGTTCTGTTGCTTCCACCAGAAATCGTCACCACCCCCGACAATTATCACGACACACACACGCAATGGCTCCTGCTGTAGGTTTCCTTTTTATTCTGAGATGACGGTCTAGCAACGAAGAAACCACCTCGCCGTGGAGGAGCGAGAGGAAAACGAATGTTATGTATTCCGAAAAAGACAAACCAAGAAGAAATGCGCTTTGCTGGCAGATAGTCATCTGAAAAGATTGGACGAGAAGAGGAGAGAACATTTGTCTGGTGTTTAGTTTTTTGAGGATCTATAATGTTTTGTTTCCTTTTGTCGACGTGGCGATGTGCTTTTGTTGTGAGAGACTTGGTTGTTGTAAGTCCAGTAGGCTGAGATCTTCTTTGTGTCTTTTTTAGAAATCATCCAAGAAGGCTTCCAAGACCGCCTCGAAGGTATGTATTTGTGATTTGGTGTTTGATGTTTGAGAGAGAAGGGGGTGGTTCTAACAGGGTGAATAGTACGTCGTCGACTTCTCGAACGCCGCCACTATCTTCGACAAGGAGGGATTCGTCACTTTCTTGAACAACAAGATCAAGGTCGACGGCCGCACCGGTAACCTCGGTGACCTCATCTCGGTCGAGAAGGAGGGTGACTCCAAGGTCGCTGTTGTTGCGCACACCGAGTTCTCTGGCAGATACCTCAAGTACCTGACCAAGAAGTACCTGAAGAAGACCAACGTCCGCGACTGTAAGTGTTGCTGAATTGCGAGAGTGAGATTGAGTGAAGGGATGCTGACAATGAACTATATAGGGCTCCGTGTTGTTTCCGTCTCGAAGGGTGTTTACGAGCTCCGATACTTCAACGTCGTTGTTTCCGACGATGAGGATGAGGATGATGACGAGTAAGCGCATAAGGGATAATCAAAAGGAAATAATACAAAAAAATCGAATAAAAGTTTTGTATATTTAATACATCAATGACCTTTATGATTGAGTAGTAGAATGAGAAAGAAGTAATATTAAGTAGAAGAAGAAACACCGAACCAAATGTATACCCACATGAAACAAAAAGAACTTTTAAAAAGAAGACAAGAACAAAATCAAAGCTTCTTGTAGAGACGAATGAAGAAGCGCATGTTTTCTAGCTGGAGAGGATATCGCAGCTGTTTCTCGTCGAGCCTGAACCAGACAGAATCATCCTCAATCAACTTTTCCCAGCGATCAGAGGGAGCAGAAGAAGAAGAGGAAGAGGAAGAGGAGGGAGAAGGAGATGGATCGACGAGAGTATGATCGAGCAGGAATTGGACAGGAAATGTTTTCGAGCCAATCGAGATGTGGGAATAAGAACCGGCGGATTCGAGGATGAGGAGGATGGTGCCGGGTTTGCATCGGTCGCAGAGATGGCGGAGGAAGGAGATTGTGCGGGGTTTGGACTCGACGAAGAGTTCGTTTGCGGTGAAGAGGACTGTGATGAGGTCGAATTTGGAGACGTCGAGTTTGTCGGTGGGGGGAGGTGCGGGAGGTGCGGGAGGTGCAGAGGAAGACGAAGGAGGAAGAGCATCAGGAGCGGTTGCGGTTGCGGTGATAGGAGAAGATGAAGATGAAGACAAAGACTCGAGCGAGATCTTTTGAGATTGGTCGCCGTCTAGGATCTGACATGGCACATCAAGGATATCAAACTGCAGAAAATTGAGATCCACCGGCGGCTTGCTATCCTCCTCCGCCAGCCATCCCAGCTGTCGCGCGATGCCGTCGCGCAGGCGCGTGAACACGTCCTCCCAGTCCGCGATATCAACCGCAAGAATATCGACCCCCCTCGCACCAAGATCGTTCGCCAGCGCCGCGAGCGCAAGAACCTCGCCGCCTGCGCCGCCGCCGACGCAGAGCACGCGCTTCTTGGGCTTTGCGGCCGAGGAGAGCAGGAGCGGGATCTGCGGACAGAGGTCGCCAAAGACGTGCAGGTACGCGAGTGCACGAGAAGAAGACCAGCGCACGACGTAGGCGAGAAGGTAGTCTGGCGAGTCAAAGGCGGCGAGGTAGTCGCGCGCGTACAGATGGGCTTTGACGGCCTGGATTGCAGCGGAGAGGGTCGCGGGGTCGGAGAAGGCGGCCGAGAAGGTGCGCTGGAGGAGGGTGAGCAGGGCCTGCTGAGCAGTAACTGAAGCGTACTTGATCGGCTCCTGCGCGGGCTTTGCTTTCCGTTTCGGAGCCATTGAGGAGAGAGAGTGTGCAGGGCAGATAGAGGAAGCAGTCGTGAAGAGATCATCTGAGTCGAGGTCGAGAGATGCGCCGCACCGACGCGTCCGGTTCCGGTTTCAGCCGTTCAGAACCACCGGTTGCGGTTCATCTAAACACGTGACTGAATAGACAAAGCGTCGGGCTTGATTGGCCAGGAGCCGGTTTCGAGGAGAAAAGGCAGACCACCGGCGCTCCTTCCGCCGCCGCCTTCTTCCTCGTTTTTCACCCGCAAACAACAGAAACCTCTCCACTCTCCGCCCCGAATCCCTCTTCGCCATGATTTCCCGACAGCTCCTCTCCGTCGCCCGTCTCGCGGCCGCCCGTCCCCTCGCCGCCCGCGCCGCCCCGCTCGCCGCCCGCTCGTTCTCGCGCTCGGCCGTTCGCGCCAACACCAAGGTCTCCGACCCAGCTGCGACCGCCGTCGAGGCCGACGATCACGCCGCTGCCGAGCCCCCCGCCCCCGCCGTCAGCATGAGCATCGACGAGGTCGAATCCGAGATGGATCTCTTCGGTCCCGGTGCCACGAAGGGAAAGGTTCCTACCAACTTGGAGCAGGCCACCGGTCTTGGTACGTCGTCCCGTGTGCTGTGTGCTGCGCTGCGTGCTGTGACGATGCAGGATAGAGGAGGAGGAGGAAATCAGCAGAATACACAACAAAACAAAACCCCTCCTCAATTCCTCAATCCACAGCTAAACAGACACGCGCGCAATCCTGGAGATCAAAGCATGCTAATCGCATCATCTTTTCCATAGAACGTCTCGAGTTGCTCGCCGACATGGCCGGTATCGATCTCTTCGACCAAGTCACCCTCCCCTCCGACAGAAAGGGCACCATCTTCGACCCCGTCGTCATCCAGGTCCCCGTCAAGCAGAAGTACATTGGCTGCACCGGTATCCCCGCCGACACCCACGAGATTGAGTGCGTTCATACCCCCTTCCTTCCATCTATCTCTTCCTCTTTTGCTAATCCATATCTCTCTCCAGGTGGATGAGCGCTACCATCCGCAGGCCTGCGCGATGCGTCGAGTGCGGTTGTGTCTACAGACTCGAGTACGTCGGCCCTGCCCACGAGGCGGCCGAGGACGGCCACCACCACTAAGCGCTCCTCTTATCACTCCTGCCCAACCCATCCTATTACTCCCCAATATATAAAAAAACCATATAACCATATCGATCCGGGCCCGGCTATTTCATAACGCGTTACAACAGGACTATGGCAACGCAGCCAGAACCTTTATTTTCTACTTCTTTTGACTGAGTGGTGGTGGACGATGACTTGCTAGAGATGCAGTTATCTTCCATCTTCTACTCATCCACTACTTCTTCTTTTGTTGTGGCTGTACCGCCGTTCTAGTTATCTGTTATGGTTCGTTGCGATTTATAGGAAAGGCATAGCATTAATCGATCTCTCATTTCATTCTCTTTTATCGTTTCATTCTTTTGGTTTTTAATACAGTTCATATTCATCAGTTCTTTTACCTCTACGGTAATATCATCAACTATAGGAAAGACGTACATTCTTGTTTTATTTACAACAACAGTAAAACATTCTGAACTACATATACAGAGAAACACACACTCAAACGCACCATCGCAGCTTAGTCGTCATCCGCATCCCAGTTTCCTGGCATCTGCGTCTTCGGCATCACCGGTCCACCGGCGCGCTTCGCCATCACAATCTGATCGACAGACAAGATCGTGTTGACAGTATCAGTCGCCAGCTTGAGCGCCCAGCTCTTCGCCGCCAGCGCGTCGTAGATCCCGTTCGCGGCCGCGTCAAGCACACCGCTCGCGTCGTTCTCGTCCATATCAACGCCGACAGACACACCCGACACCTCTTCACCTTCCTTCTTACTACTACTGCTGCTGCTGCTGCTGCCGTGCGCGACGTATAACCGACCAAGCAACTCCGTCGCGTCCAAACCAGCGTTATCCGCCAATATCCTCGGCACAATCTCAAACGCCTCGCCGTACTTCTTAATCGCGTGCTGCAGAATTCCCGGCGTCTTCTCGCCGTACGCGCCAATCCGCTGCACGAGCTCGATCTCCGTCGCGCCCGCGCCCGGAAGCAGGCGGCCGTCCTTTGCGAGCGACTTGATGATGTTGACGCCGTCGTCGATCGCGCGCTCGACGTCGTCTAGAAGTCCTTGCGTCGCGCCACGAATCACAATCGTCGACGTACGCGTGATCTCGTTCTCTATATTACTCAAAGTTAGCCATACTCTCATATCAAAACACACACGCACATCCACTCACCTTGTCTGACAACAGTAACTCGATCACCACCAATCTCAATCGTCTCCACAACATCAATCTTGCCCATCTCCTCCGGCATCGGCGCGCCAAATCGCGGCAACGGCGTCGCGCCAACAACCCGGCACAGTCGGCGCAGGTCAAACTTGCTCGGCACGCGCAGCGCCAGAATGCCGTATCGGTTCAGGTAGTTGAGCGCCAGCTCGCCAATAGCGGCGCCGGCTACAAGAACTCGGACTCCGCTGTCGGCAATCGCTTTGATGTCCTAGAGTATGTTAGTGGAAGAACAAGATTGTGTTTGAAAAGAGAGATTATACGCACAGCCTCAAGATGAGCCTCCTCATCCTTTGTGAAATTGAGCATCTCCTTTGCATTGTGAAGCAAAACAGTTCCTTTGGTCTCCGTCTGGCTGATATCAATAGGGCACGTGAACACACCAACTCTGGCAGTAGAGGTGATCTTCTTGATCGATCCCTCGGGCTCGCGGTTGAAGACCATACCCTTGACGACCCTGCTCGCCGACAGACTCGATCCCATGATCTTCACGACCCGGACGTTGTCGACGTTGAACGCCTTGGGGTTCTTGGGCATAACAGAGAGCACGGCCTCGGATACAAGGTCGGCAAGGAAATCCTCAGAGCCGTATTGCTTCGACATGATGGCAGGGCGGATTGCCTTGAATAGCTCCTTCTGGTCATGTAAATCACCGACCTTGTCAACCACAAGTTCTAGTCAGGTATAAGCCGTTAGTAACTAGTTTCTTGCCCAATCTAAAAAAACATATTGTTGTTCCTACCATCCAAAGAGGTCTGAGCAAACTTCTCTGCCAGCTCGTATCCCTGGATAATATCGGCAGGATGAAGTCCGATACGGATCAAGCTCTCTGCCTGGTTCAAAAGCTCGCCAGCCAGGATGATGACAAGATTTGTGGCATCTCCCATCTATAATCAATGAATCAGAGTCAATGCCAATTCTACTGCCGTACGCGCGGCCGCTATCACAACCACGAATCAACCCCTTAGTGCTGATTATCAGAAGTAGTAAAGGACGCACCTCAGATTCCTGCTGCTGACTGGCCATGACCATAAGCTTAGCCGCGGGATGAATGACTTCAAGCTCTCTTAGGATTGTGGCCGCATCACTGGTCAAAAACACCTTTTGCAGATCTAGAAAATACCCACGCGCAGATGCGCAAGCTATGTTAGCCCTCTCTTCACACAAGTTCAACAACCCATAGCCACGTACGATTAATCACAATCTTGTTCCGTCCACAAGGACCGATCGAGGTACGAACAATCGACGCGATCTCGCGGCAGGCATCGATATTCCGGCTGATTGCGCCGTCCTCGCTCTGGTAGGTTTGGTATCCAGACTTGAACAGCTGAGCGCCTGGCGCGCTAGGTAACGTAAGACCCGACATGTTCTCTTTCTTATTGCGGTTGTATGTTCTCAGGAAAACCCTTCAGACTGCTGAATAAGTGTTATAAGATACGATATCTGAGAAATTGGGGGTAAACAGAGAGTGAGCTTCTGGTCGAGAGGAGAGAAGAAGACGCGAACTGAACGTCGCAGAATATTTTTGCGCGTAGAGGCGCGACCAGGCCGGGTAACTTCAGTGCCCTCCTTTGTAGGTGTGTCGGTTGAGAATATCATGGCATTTAGCTACTGCTGTTTTTCTATTGCTATAGATCTGCTTTTTCTTTTGGTAGCATAGTGCTTAGCTAAGAGTTGGATTGGGTGTGGCTATAGTAGGAGGTGGAGAGTGCAATGATACGCGATCAACTAGACATGATACGTGGTTTTCAAGACACGCGGAGACAAAATGATGGAGGTTCTATTATATACAATCAGGATCCTAAGTTTTCTTCGACGGCCTCTTTTTCTGCTTCGCTGATCCCGTAGACGTGTCTGCCGCAGTAGTTTTAGCTCCAGCCGAAGTCGCAGACTTATTCTTTCCCCCCGAACTATCTTTGGTCTTTGCCTCGAGCTTCCGCCTTATCGCGCCTGCTTTCTCGAGCTCCTGGATACGCGCAGCTGTCTGATCATAGAGCTTCTTCGAAACCTCCTCGTCGTTTGCAATTTTCATCGGCGACGGCTTCGTCATCACCGCGCACTCGCGATATATCTTCGCGCCAGGGCCCTCGGCTCCCTCCGGACTCATGATTGCATGCAAAACTGTCTGCGCTCCCTGCTGCGGACTCTTGAGCACGATCCACCATATCGGCCACATGATCAGATACAGCAGTAAACCCCAGAGAGTACCAAGCGAGAGATATATGCGCGTCGACGGCGTGCGCGAGAGGCCCGTGTCGGCGATGAATATGCGCGCGTTGTTGGGCTGCTTGTCCGGGCGCTGGTAAGCGTCGAGCGTGCGCTGGAACTCGCGCGCAAACATACGAAGCGCAAGCTTAGAAGATCCGTAGACTCTCCATGGCTTTGAGGACGGGTACGGGCGTTTTTCAAAACCGGGATCAGCGATGTCAAAGTCGGCGAGTACGTACGACGAGCAGCCTGCGACCACGATTCGCACGTCGCGGCCAGGCGGCTGGACGCGAAATGCAGGTGAGAGCATGGTAATGAGATGGTAATGACCGAGGTAGTTCACTCCCCATTGCTGCTCGATGCCGTCGGCCGTGAACTGGCGAGGCTTGAACGGAGGCTGCGAGGCGGCAGCGCAGCAGACGAGGGTGTCGAGTCGTCGCGGAGGCGAGTTGTCGAGCCATTTTGTGGCAAACACGCGAATTGAGTGGAGGTCCGCAAGATCAACCTCCTCTGCGTAGATTAGCTGATTCTTAGACCGCTCGCGCAGGTCGGCGATGTAGTCAATGAGAAACGCGTCAGAGAGTGAGCGCGTGAGGAAGATCAGCTGGGCCCCTCTGTGGGCGAGATCCTCGGCCACAGCTTGACCAATTCCTGAGGTGCCGCCCTAGAAAAACGCCAAATACTGTTAGAGAATTGTTCCATGAAAACTCCAACCTGTTCCTCTATTGACTCACTGTTATCATCACCACTCGGCCGTGCATCTCGCGCTCCCAGGTATTCGACGCGCCCGAGAAGAAGCGCTTCAGCAGCGCCGCGATGACGATGTAGGGGCCATAGTTGATGGCGAGTGACTTGAGAGGCCCGACCCAGTCCGCGCCCTCCTTGATAATCGTCCACACAATGTCAATCGGCATCCTCAGTCTCAGATTCACCTGTGAACGAGTAGAGGTCTTCAGTCGAGCGCGAAGAAAGGGATCCAGCGTCCACGTGACCACACGTGACCACTTACACTCACAGTGCGATCGTCTCCCCTCGTCCTGCATGGATCCAATCTTCAATTTGTTTACTTGTTTCCTTTGTCTCGTCACTTCGCCACTCCTCCTCTCGCTTCCCTGCCCCGGTCTGTCGCTGGCTGCTAGTTCTCCAAGTCCTCTTCCCTGAAGTCGGACGCCGGCTCGGTTTTCTTTTTTTCTTTTCTTGCATTTCAGCCAGTCGCCCTTTGTTCCTTTCTCCCGCGTTCTGTTCGCTTGATCCTTTGTCCACCATGGCCTCGCAGGGCTCGGATGCGAACAACCCCTCTGCTGTCTCTCGTATATTTGATCAGGCGCTGGCTTCTACGTCTGGATCTTCTGAGCAGCAGCAGCAGCAGCAGCCGTTGCTGGGCGCGAGCAGATTCAGCAGCAACCAGGCCAGTGCAAACGGCATCCAGCCACGGCCTCTATTCCCAGCTACCCGTTTCGGCTCAGCCTCTCCTCCTTCATCAGCCTACACAACCCCTCGCCAGCTCTCAGACTCGCCCGACGACGAGGACGAGGACGACGAAGACGACGACACGGCCGCAGACATCAACGACGACGAGGATGACTACGTAAAAGATTCTCTCAACGAATTCGACAACCTCTCGCAGGCCGACTCGATCGTCGCCCGCCTGCCCACCGAGCTCGTCCTTCAGATCTTTGCATCCTACGACGAGCCGCGCTACCTCCGCAACGTCTTCTTTGTATGCAAGGCCTGGGCTCGCTGCGCCGTCGAGCTGCTCTGGTACCGGCCCAATCTCTCATCGCCGTCCGTGCTCGTCCGTTTCCTCAAAACACTCAAAAAGCGCGATACTGCATTTTTCCCCTACGGCCGCTACGTGCGTAAGCTCAATCTTACCCAGGTCGCCGACAACCTCTCGGATCCGATGATGATCTCGATCGGCGAGTCCTGCCACGAGCTCGAGCGGCTCTCTCTTACGGCCTGTCGCCGGCTCTCAGACGCATCCCTTGTGCCGGTCTTTGAGCAGAATCCAAACCTCGTCACCCTCGATCTCACAAACGTCGAACTGCTCCGAGACCCGACCGTGCTTGCGATTGCCAAATCTTGCAAGGGCTTGCAGGTCCTCAGTTTGGTCGGCTGCAAGGAGATCACTGACGAGTCTGTAATTGCACTTGCAAAGGGATGTCCGTCACTGCGGAGGCTCAAGTTGGTAGACTGCAACCTGATCACCGATGCGTCTGTGCAGGCGATTGCCCAACATTGCAGGCAAATGCTGGAGCTCGATATTCAAGGCTGCGCCAACGTCACAAACCAGTTGATCACGATGGCGATGACCGAGCTCGGAAGCCTGCGCGAGTTCAAGCTTGGATTCAACCCCCAGGTATCAGATGCTGCGTTTGCGGCGTTCCCGCTCGATGGCCAGCTGCGGCTAGATGCGCTGCGTGTTCTGGATCTGACATCGTGTGAGTCGGTCACCGATCTCGCTGTTCAGAGAATCATCGATGTTGCTCCAAAGTTGCGAAACCTTGTGCTTGCAAAGTGCCTCTTCATCACCGACCGGAGTATCGGCCAGATTGTGCGTCTCGGACGATCATTGCATTACTTGCATCTAGGGCACTGCGCCAACATCACAGACATGGGCGTCAGCTTGCTCGTGCAGCACTGCACACGTATTCGCTACATCGATCTTGGCTGCTGCTCGCTTCTGACAAACAATGCGGTCGCTGATCTGGCTACGTTGCCTAAGCTACGACGAGTGGGACTAGTAAAGTGCCAGAATATTACGGATGCGGCGATCAACTGTCTTGTTCAGCGGAAAAGCGTTGGCCTCGAAAACTCGCTTGAGAGAGTGCATCTTTCATATTGCACTGGTTTGACGCTGCCGGTGAGTGCTTCTGCAAATATTTTATTATTATATCTGCACTCTACTGACTTTTATATAATTTATAGGCCATATTTGATCTGTTGAACAGCTGCCCGAGGCTAACGCACTTATCACTGACTGGAATTCCAGCCTTCCTTCGACCCGAACTGACGCAGTACTGCCGCGAGCCGCCACAGGAATTCAACTCGCACCAACAGTCTGTCTTTTGCGTGTTTAGCGGGCCCGGCGTGACCAAGCTTCGACAGCATCTCAACCAAGTCGTGCGCGATCAGCATAGTTTGTATCTGCGCATGCAGCAGCAGCAGCAGCAGCATCAGCAGCGGATGGCGGCGATTGGAATTCCAGATGCGCAGGGAGCGATCAATCCGGAGGGACATCTGCTGCAGCTGCAACAGATGCTGCAGACTCAGCAGAATGTTGCTGGACAGAATCATCAATTCTTGGTCGGCGGGAACGGGCTCCCTGATCATCAGCATATTCTACCTCAAGACGCGGAGATCATCCAACCGGATGCGATGCCTCAACTACATCATCCGACGTTTAATTTCAACGCGCAGCCGGGAGTCGGAGTAGGGATTCAGAATCTGCCGGGTTTTGCACAGCAGCAGCATGAAGTTGAAGAGGACGAGACGATGGAAGATGCTGCGATAGATGCATCATTGGACTAGTGAGCTCCATTTTCATATCTCAGTCCATTCCTTTTCATTTTCTATTTCTTTTTAGCTTTTCTTCTCGTCATTGTTATATCGGCTTTTTGTGTTGCGCTTTCTCCTTTATTTCTCGCTGGGGTTTTGTTCTGGGTTTCCGAATGGTATTCGCTTTTCTTTTTTATTATCTTCATTTCCTTTTCCTTTTTCCTTCCTATATATATATATATAAGTTATGAGTTTTGCGGGATCGAAAGTTGGAGGGAAGAAGTACGACGACGACGGGTTCGGAGTAGGAAGGCACAAGTGCCAGTGCGCGCAAGAATTGGTTCGAGGATTGTTTAGTGCTTTACGGGAAGGAAGAAAGTAGTCTTTAGTTGTTTGAAGGCTATAAACAGAATAATAGTACGTTTATCGTAATAGTTGGACTTTTTTGCGTTGGTTCCTGCTTTAGGTAACTAGTTGACGATTACGTCACCCGGGGCGCGGGGCATCTTGCATCTTGGGGCATCTCTCTCGGCCTTACTGCGTTGATCGCAGTAACAGCGCTACTCTGCGTGCTCTTCCATTGCAGAACATCCCGTACTTCCACCGATACATTCTACACATTGTCATTAGATAACAGCAATGCAGAGACTGTTGGCTTCAGTTCCGCGGTGCAGTAACGCGGGTAGACGAGCTGTGGTCGGAACGAGCGGGATTAGAAGCGTGTCTTCTGCCGCAACACGCACTCTCGACGCACTCGAGAAGGTGAGCTGATTTCAGTTCAATTGTGTTCGACTGCATTCAAGCTTACATTAGCATTATTATAGCTGAAAAAAGGGTCGCTGTACAAGGAAGCCGGCATCATTGGCGGCGAGGAAGTGACGCTGTCCAAGACGTTCGAGGTCCTTGATCCCGCGACACTGCAACCCGTCGCGCAAGTCCCAGACCTGGGCCTACCCGAACTCGACCGCGCGATCTCTGCTGCATCTACTGCATTTTCCTCGTTCTCGACCACCACCACCGCCTTTGAGCGCGCGGCGATGCTCAACCGCTGGCACGCGCTCGTGATGGCGAACCAGGACGAACTGGCGGCGCTGATAACGCTCGAGAACGGCAAGCCGCTCGCGGAAGCCAAGGGCGAGGTCGCCTACGCCGCCAGCTTCATGTCATGGTTTGCGGGCGAGGCGCCGCGCGCGTACGGCGACGTGCTGGTGCCGTCGGTCGCGGGCCATCGCGCGATTACAATCAAGCAGCCCGTGGGCGTGGTTGGGATCCTGACGCCGTGGAATTTCCCGGCGGCGATGATCACGCGCAAGACGGCGGCCGCGGTGGCAGCTGGGTGTTCGGTTGTGATTAAGCCCGATGCGGAGACGCCGCTGACGGCAATCGCGCTGGCGAAGCTCGCGCTCGAGGCCGGTATTCCGCCGGGGGTCATCAATGTCGTGCCGACGAAGAGCGCGCTGGCGGAGGTAGGCCGGACGTTGTGTGAGGATGTGCGGCTGCGGAAGCTGTCGTTCACGGGCTCGACGGCGGTCGGGCAGCTACTGATGGCGCAGTCTGCGTCAAGTCTCAAGAAGCTGTCGTTCGAGCTTGGTGGGAACGCGCCGTTCATCGTGTTTGAAGACGTCGATATCGACGCGGCGGTGGCGGCGGCGGTGCTGTGCAAGTTCCGCGGCAGCGGACAGACGTGCGTGTGCGCGAACCGCATGTATGTGCACGCGTCCGTGTACGACGAGTTTGTGCAGAAGCTGACAGAGGTCGTGAAGGGCTTCAAGCTCGGCTCGGGCTTCGACGCGCAGACGACGCATGGGCCGCTGATCCACGCTCGCGCGATTGAGAAAGTCGAGCGACACGTCGCGGACGCGGTCGCGAAGGGCGCACGCGTCGAAGTCGGTGGTGAACGCGCAAGCGCAGAGGTCGGCCCGCATTTCTACGCACCGACCATCGTCTCGGGAGCCACGAGCGAGATGGCGGTCGCGCGCGAGGAGACGTTTGGTCCGCTCGCGGCTGTGTTCAAGTTCGAGACCGAGGAGGAAGTCGTGCGGCAGGCGAACGAGAGCGACGTTGGACTTGCGAGCTATGTATTTACGAAGAACATTGCGCGCGTAATGCGGGTGGCCGAGAAGCTCGAGTATGGTATGGTGGGGGTGAACACAGGCATTATCAGCGACTGCGCGGCGCCGTTCGGCGGAGTTAAGTTTAGTGGGTTTGGCAGGGAAGGGTCGAAGTATGGACTGGATGGTAAGCTTTCCATGTTTTTTCTTTTTTTTCCTTCTATTTTTACGTTACTTTTGCTGACTGTAAACTAAACACACAGAGTACCTGACGGTGAAAGCCGTGACGATTGGCGGTGGAGGGTGGTGAGCGAGTCACAAGTGATCTGTGAGTCATGCGTCGAATAAAGTTTCATAAGAAGCACAATGGGTGTACAAGGCGTACAAGGCTGAGCGTAGGCAGATCGAAGCCGTACTTTGGGCACTGCGAGAACAAGGCCCCCCTATCGACCCGACTCAGAAAAGGCTGAGTAAACGGACGAAACAGGACTGGGGTCATATCGGATAGATTGCTGCCGAGCCCCGTTTGAGTATATATCTCGTTGCCCAAAGAGAAGCTGAGGCCGCGCGCAGACCAGACGGAAACCAGAGAGCAAGGCAGTTAGAGTTTTAATAGCCAATTTTCATAACGAGTTCGATGCGGGGTTCTGGCTGGCTGCCCCGCACTCGGCACATGCTCGTCTTGTGTCTGTGTCTGTGACGACACGGCCCTGCTCGGTGGGTGCAAGCGCAGCCGACGGCGCAGAACAAGGCCAAGAGGACCAGACAACTGATTGCAGTCTGCGTTCGGGCATCATCATCGAGAGGATTGAACAGAGCAGGTTGTCAGAGCAGCACGACCGCAGGAACCGCGAGAGAACCGCGAGATCCTCCAAATTGGGCGGAGGGCGGGCATGTGCTGCTGCTGTCTGCCACTCGCCAGATCCGGAGCCGACCGTCGATCCTCGTGGGCTCTCCGCGAATTCACACGCCGCCCGCCGCTCAGCATGGCAACAAGGCTTTTTACCTCTCTCGCTCCTTGTTGCGTTTTGGAGCGTAAATTAATTCTGCCCTCCTCTCCGCCGCTGCCGGTCCTGCCTTATTATATAAAGCCTGGTCGTTGCCCTCTCCCTTGGTTCCTTCCGCTTGTTCAGCCTGCTATTACTTCCATTGCTCCATCTGTAACATCTCTCGTTTATATCCAAACCAACCCCGCTCCACAATGCATACCTTCACCCTTGTCTCCGCCATCTCGGCCATCGGCCTTTCCTCTCTCGCGCGCGTCGCCGCCCAGGAGGCCCCCTCTTGCGCCACGACCTGTCTCTCGGGCTCGCTCTCCTCCTCCGGCTGCTCGTCCGTCTCCGTCGACTGTCTCTGCAAATCTGACGCCTACATCGACGCCGTCACCTCCTGCGTTGCTTCCTCCTGCGCGCAGTCCGACTGGCAGGCGGCCCTAGACTACGCCCAGAGCCTTTGCGACTCCGCCGGCGTCACTCTCTCCGTCAACACTGCTACCTTCGCCGGTGCCTCGGGTTCCTCTGCCACCAGCGCCGCCGAGTCCTCCGCCGCGACCTCCGCCGAGGCTTCCTCGACTGAGGCCTCCTCCAGCGCTGAGGCCTCCTCCACCGCTGAGGCTTCCTCCACATCTGCCGCCGAGTCCTCCTCCGCCGAGCCTTCCTCCTCCGCTGAGCCTTCCTCCTCCGCGTCTTCCTCGGTCGCCGCCTCGTCGTCCGCTTCCTCCTCCAAGGCTGCCTCGTCCTCGCTCGCGACCTCGACCACCGGCGGCGCCGGTGCCTCCTCGTCCGCCACCAGCGCCTCCTCCTCCGCCGCCGCCGGCTCCTCTGCCGCCGAGTCCTCCGAGGCCGCGTCCTCCGCCGTCGCGACCCAGAGCGCGTCCTCTGCTGCCTCGCCGCTCGCTGCCGCGGGCGACTTCACCGTCGTCAAGGCTGTCGTTGGTGTTCTTGTCGCGAGCTTCGTCGCTGGCGCTGCCTCCCTTGCTAGATTGTAAATAGCAAAATCAAGAGTTCAGAGGTGTAACAAACCAGTGATGTTTCTTTTCGGTTTGCGGATCCCCCTTTTTTCCAACTATCCTCTGTCCTCTGAAAAGCACAGGTGGTTCACTTCTTTTTTTTCTCTTCTCTTTTGCTCTTTCTCTTTGTCTTTCTCTCTTCTTTCTCTCTTTGTGAACATTGAAATGAAAGCAAATGCTTTCCGACAGGTGATCATCACTTCTGTCCTTGATGTATGATATGGTTTAATTCTACTTATTGGTCATTGAAAACAAGTAACTACGTAGAATACACAACATAGAGTAAAAACGCTTTTTATAAAAGGTAACAAAAAAAACTATATACCAAATCTCCTTTGTACACTCCAGACGCATTGCTTTGTCGCGCGCTTCTTGCGCTTTGCTCCGTGCATGCAAAACAACTATATATACCGGGTTTCTTTTTTCTGTATGGCCTTGCACGCAGCAACTTAAAGACGACCGTCAACAAGAGGGAATAAACACACACAGATATCAAAAACAAGAGTATTATTACCTTCATAATCGTAGTCATCATCATTTATCATCAACACTTCTACTTAGTTATCAAAACACAGACCCGGTAAGATTCAATCGTCCGGGAACAATATATATAAATAGAGGGAAAAAATGAAAATGTAAAAAAAAATAAAAAAGGGAGAGTAGTCTTTTACTCCTTTCGTCGGCTGGAGCCGACCTTCAAAGACCGCACTCTCTTCAAGAGCGTGAGCGGGGGCGCGTCTCCAGTGGGCGACCGGCTTGCGGCCGCGGCGGCAGAAGTAGCAGAAGTCGACGACGCAGGCGATGAGACCTGTCTGACCATTCGCGGTGCAGGAGGCGGCATCAGTCCGTCGTGCCCGTCTTCCTCCATAATGGCCGAGGGCAGCCGCGAGTCGTCGGCGGAGTGGTGTCGCGAACCCGCGGAGGTGTTTGCGTACGCGGTGTTGATGGGCGGTGGTCGCGCGTAGTGATCCCGGCCGGCGGAGTTGCTGCGCAGACGCTGCACGATCGACCGCTTGCGGGTGAGACCCGAGGACGGGGGTTGGTCGCCGTTGCCGCCTGCTTTTGAGAAATCGATGGTGTTGTCGTGGTGGCTCTTGCTGTTGCTACTACTGCTGTTGATGGCCGCGCGCGAGGCAGGCGTTCCTTCAAAGAACGTGGTCGAGCCCAGACCGAGCGAGACTTCGCCGTGCACAGGATTAGTTTTTGCAGTGACGTCGAAGCTGCCGACAGGGTCGCCCACGATGCCGTCGACGGCGGTCGCAGCCGCAGCCGATACACCCTTGCGGTGGGCGAGCAGGTGTGCCGGCGCGCCGAGCGAGTTGTTCTCCGAGTCCGCGGGGAAGGCGAGCATCGGCGCTTTTTTGTCGATGCGGTTGCGGTGCGGGTTGCAGGCGTCGAAGGGGCCGTCATGGTGGAAGCCAGTGCCGAAGATACCGGTGACATCGAGTCGGTCGATGGTGTCGAGCGGGCCCTTTTGCGAGGACGAGCGTTTGGATTTGTGGCCGCTGCTGGAGGAGTTGTTATTGCTACTGCTGCTGGTGCCGTTTTGCTGTCTCGAAGAGGGCGAGGCACTTTTGGTGTGATGGTGGTGTGAGCGGCCGTGACGACCGGATGTGCCGTTGCTGGACGAGGGCAGGACTGTGGACGAGGGCGCGTTGGCGGTCTGGCTGCGGTGATGGTGCTGGTGCTGAGCCTGAGACGAGCGCGAAGAGCCAGCGGCAAAGGAGGCATGGCGGTGCGAGCGAGAGGACGAGCGGTCAGCGAACGGATCCGAGTCGGATTCGGATACCCGTCTCGCGGTGGAGCGCGGCGGAGGAGGCGGCGGAGGCGGCGGGGCCGGTCTGCTCTTGACCATGTGGCCGATGCCGGAGGAAGAGCCGGTGGAGGAGGCAAAGACGGCGCGGTTGTTGTTGATGTTGTTTGAGTTGTCGCCAAACTCGACGAGGAGGGAAGGCAGATCTTCAGAGGCCCGGCGGGTGGATAAGCCCCCGGAGCCGGTGTTGACGGGGGAGACGAGGGGAGCGGGAGCAGCGCCGAAGAAGTCGGAAGAGATGGGCGAGGAGTTGATGCTGGAGGAGCTGCCGTCGAGGAAGGGATTTTTGGAGGCGAAGGGGGAGGGCGCTGAGCGGGAGGGCATCATCTCGGTCGCGCGAGGCCGGAAGGGGTTGTTTGATGCGAAGGGCATGGTGAGATGAAGTAGATTATCAGGAGGAGGGAGTTGAGTAAAGAAGAAGAGAGATGATGGTGATAATCAAGGAAGTATAAAAGAAACAGCGACGAGAGGAAAGAGAAGAAAAGAAGAAGAAAAACGAGGAAGCAGCGGTGAGGAAGCAGCGAGGAGGAGGCGCCCCCTCGTTGTGGTCTCCGCTCAACACACGCGTGTCAACAGAGCACTCGCCGTTGTCGCGTTTGTGCAGCTATTAATAAGTGCTTATGTAAGTACATCACGTGGTTGTGTGACTGCTTGTTTGGGCTGAGCGGACTGAGAGCTGCGGCGGGCTGCGGGCTGCGGGCTGAAATAAAAGAAAAAGAAAAATTAAAAAAATAAAAAAATAAAAATAAAAAAAAACTTCTTCGGCCGCTCGTCTCGTCGTCGTCTTCTCTTCTTCCCCATCCAAAAAGCCCTGTTTTTACTCTTTTTCTCCGCTTTTTACTTGTAAACAGAAACACGCAATGTCTGTTGCTTCGAAGGTCAGTTGATTTGTTCTTCTTCTTGCTCGGATTGTTGTGTTGCCGCGGACGATCTGCTGCTGCTCTTCCTGCTCTCCTCCTCGTCCACCCCACCCCGGCCATCACCATCTTCCTCCCCGACTCTCCTCTTTATATTCTTCTTACTGACTCAATTCATCTCTAGAACCCCTTCAGTCTCTTAGGTACCTCCTCCTCCTCTCTCTCCACCCTCCACCCCCCCTACTAACCACCCACCCTCCAGCCGACGACATCGAAGAGCCCACCGTGGCCCCCGTCCCCGTCGCCCCGGTTACAAAGCAGACCACTTCGTCCAAGAAGGCCGACGCTCCTCCCAAGTCCGCTAAGCCCGAGAACGCAAAGCCCCGCGCTCCCCGCAACAACGCAAACGACGCCGCCATCCGCGACAAGTCCGCCGGCCGCGCCGCCAACCGCTCTCGTCCCACCGAAGACGGCTCGGCTCCCGCCCGTCGTGGCCGTGGTGCCGCTGGCCGTGGTGGTAAGAGACAGTTTGACAGACACTCTGCTGCTCCTTCGTATGTCCCTCAGTCTTCGTTATTCAACTCTCCTCTACTTCATCATGCTAACATCACCCACAGCGACTCCCAGAAGCAGGTCGCCGAGTCCTGGGGCTCTGCCTCCACCGAGCTCAAGGACGAGCAAGCCTCGTCTGCCGACGCCGCCGCCGAGATCTCGGCCGACGCCACCGGCTCCGAGCCCGCCACTCCCGCCGTCGAGGAGGACAACTCAAAGACGTTCGAGGAGTACCTCGAGGAGCTCAAGCTCCAGTCCGCCGACCTCGGCCCCAAGCCCGAGATCAGAAAGCCCAACGAGGGCGAGGACCCGGCCACCTGGGGCTCCGTCGCTCCTACCAAGGACGACATCGTCACCGTCGACCCCTATGCGAAGCCCAAGGCCAAGGAGGTCAAGCAGAAGGCAAAGAAGGAGAAGAACGTCGTCGAGTTCGAGCCCAAGTTCGCTCCCATCCGCGACCCCTCCTCCTCCTCCGGCCCTCGCCGCGGCGGCCCACGATCCCCCGCCGACCGCCGTGGTCCCCCAAGAGAGTCTCGCGGTGGCCGCGGTGGCCGTGGTGGCCGTGGTGGTGCTCGTGGTGGCGCCGCCGCTGCTGCTCCTGCTGCTGCTCCTACCCCCAAGGTCAACCTCGCCAACCTTTCCGAGTTCCCCACGCTCTCGTAATCGCCTTCTCCAGCGCTGGCCAGTGATCCAATATTCTACTCTCCCTGTCTGATATTGAGATTCTTTTCTTCTTTTTCTTTTCTTATTCCGTATTGCCTGTTTCGACTCGACCTCGATCTAGCATTGCTGTGATCATCCACAAACCTGCCTTCTTTTCTTTCTCGTTGTTTTTCCATCGCCGTTTTGTAGTCTAGTCTAGTTTGTCTCTCCTCTTTTTTTATATCTCTCATTTGTCTCTCTCTCTCTCTCTCTCCAGTCTTTGTCTTTGCTTCGACTCCTCCTCCTCTCGTCCCCTCTCTAAAAAATTATTCTAGGCGCCATTGGCAAAAGTTGGTAATTTTTGTACTCTATTAGAATTAAAAGGAAAAAAAGAAATAATATATGTTATATATCAACTAACTACTACTTTTACATCAAACAACAATTCTTACAAACAACTTAAGCAAATACATCTGATCTCTCCACCTCCAAATCATCATTCTCCATTTCTATAAAAATCTGTTAGCACTTACTCCACTTTGAACACTCATCAAAAACAAAGACTCACCATTAAACGCAGTAAAGTGAATCGGTCGGTGGATCTCATGATAGAACGGCAGCGGCGTGTCAAGCTTCAAATCATATCGCGCATTCGGATTCCATCCCGCGCCCACAAACGCATTATTCCAGAATCCAGTTTCCTATATCAATCCTGTTAGACTATCACCTCTGAAACTCTTATCTCATCAACAGATACTCACAGGAACAAGGAAAAATCCCATAATCTTATCCGACAGCAACAGCTGGCACTTGTTTCCAAAACTAGGCAGATACCCCTGCGGCGTCGTCGACACCAAGTCCTTGTTCTTCGCGCCCCACTCAACTCCCTCGGGCTTCAACGTATACGCCGCCAGCGACACTGACCCCGGCGTAAAGCTCACCGTCATCGTCACGGACTGTGAAGCGTCCCACTCGCCCTCGTGCTCTTTGATAAGCTGCGCGTGCTGCGTCACATCAATCGGCGAGATCGCACTCATCTCCTGCGCCTGCGTGTGAATCCATCCTAGCGGCTCCAGACCCTTCAACAAAAACTCATGCTCAGGAAGTGTATGTGGCAGCTGCACCGCCTGGTTATTTCCAAGCTGCGGCACCATCACTATACACTTGATCTCCTTCACTTGTTCGTTGTCAGCCGGCGACGCTCCATACAAGAATCCTGCAATCTGTGCCCGCAGATCCGCAATCTGAATAAACTTCTTCAGAATGTTCTTCGGCATCACATACGTGCACTGCTCGTCATCATCCCGGATATCCTCAGACGAAACATAAATGTTCTTCGTCCGCATATGCAGGTTCGACGACGAAATCGCCCGCGTTCGCCATTCTGTCTTGCTCGAAAACGTCTGCTGCTCGTAGTTGCTCGTCGTCACAACATAGATCTCGTCGCCGTGCACGTTCTGCGTCTTCGTCTTCACCGCAGTCAACTGCGACTGCTCTTCCTGCTGCTGCTGGTCAATGTCCGCAATCTCCTGCCGACGCTGCGACGGCGCCTTGATCTCCTGGCCAAGAATCAAATCTCGGACTTCGTGCTGCGTCAACGCAGTCACGTTCACGTTGTTCTTCTTTCCGTAATCGTTCAGGATCAAGTCCTTCAGCTGCGTCTCAACCTTGATCCACTCTTCATCCGTGAACGAAGGCCAGATATGATGGTCGAGCGTCACAACGCTCTTATCAGGTCGCAGAATGATCTTCGCCTTGTCGATATTGACGTGCAGAGCTCGCAAGATCAAAATCAATCTCGAGAACGCCGTATACGAAGAAATCGTCTTCAACCAGTCATCATACAAGTTGAACAGCACCATCTGCGGCTCAGTCGCTTTCAAAATCAGCTCAGCCAGCTTCTCAATCTTCATCGCGGCCTGGAACGGAAGCTGCAACTCGGAAGGACGGATCGAGATGTTGGGGAAGTCAAGCAAGTGCACCTCAAGTGGATCCAGAATTCCCTTTCGGGTGACAATCAGCTGCTTAGGCTGCTCCTCAACTGGCAAAGATCGAATCAATGCCGCCACTTCCTCGGCTGTCTTCCATTTCGCAAGCTGGCCAAGTCGCTTCTGACCCGCCCACACCGAAGTATGAATAATCTTCAAGAACAGCTGTCCTGTGCGCGGGTTGAAGATGAAGATCGCGCCGTTGATCGGCTTCGTCGCGAGATTGCCTTCGAATGTCTTGTGGATCGTCACTCGGTACACATTACTATCATCAACAAAGAACTGGGCTATAATAATAAAAAGATAATAGTTAGCACATCATATTCATAGAAGTTATAAACATCATCACTCACTTTGATTGCTAAAGAGCTCACTGTAATTCTGTGAATTCAGATACGCTTCCTGAGGCTCAGAAGAATAGAGCTGCAGACCCTTTCGAATACGCTCTCGCAAAACGTACAGCGAAGGGTTGGCTTTCATGATTGTCGACATCGCCTGCTGCATCAACGGCTTCAAGCCCGGGAACCAGTTTCCGTAAGCGTCGTAGATGTTGTACGCCAAGTCGATGCCAACCATCACACCAGTCGGCGACGGGTAGATACTAGTACTGTCGGTCGTGTAGTCGAGGAACTTTGCTCTTGTGTATCGCGAGATATCATGGGAATCATAGTCTCCGTATCGAAGCTGCACGTCGATCCAGAACTTGTTCGCAGTAGTAGAATCCATAACATCCTTGCTGTCGTGTAGCAACGACGGCTTGCAAATACTCCAGCGGTAAGAGCTGAAGAGTAAGATATCGGCGCAAGACGAGTTCATCTTGTATGACTTTCGAGGATGAATCGTCTCCTTCTGAACGCTCTCAATCTGCAGCACCGACAGCTCCTGATCAAGAACCTCGCAGAGATCAAAGACAACACTCTCGTGAATCTTCTGCCATAAATGTGCTCGGAAAATCTGAATCAAAGAGATCTTGAGCGTAGGAATCTTGCCGTGCAAGAAGATGCCCGTCAAATCAAGCTGGACCAAGAATCCAACATAAACGTTTGCACGATTGATTGTCGGCGACCACCACAACGTAAAGCGTCGGTTAGGAATCTGGTTGAGACCGGATCGCTGAGCGTTGGTCAATTTCTTGAACTTCATCGAATCCTCGAAACCTGAGGCTTTCTCCCAGAAGAGACCTTCCCAACTGGGGAATCCAGTAGCCTTGAACAAAGTGTGCTCCAAAATCGTCTCGATTCCGCCCAACGCCTGGATAACGTCAGTACGGTAAGCATTCAGATTCCAAAGCTTTCCGTCGTGACGCTGGCTAGTCCACCAGAAAGGATTCGACCGCGCGATCGAGTACTGCTTAAACTCAGTCCGCACTCTGTGGCCCTTGTCGTACGCCAACGTGTGGCGATCCTTTTGGAAGAGCGTGTTGATGCGTGGAAGACCGCGGTCCCAACTATCCTCAAGATCTTCGAGCGTCAATCGTCGATTCTGCTGATTGGCTTCCTGTCGCTTCATGGCATACTCGGCCCACACGCGCTGCGAATCGACAAACTCAGACTCCCAAGTTGTAAGGTATCTGAAGATGTTGGGAATCAACTGGTCTTCGTCGTGACTCATACCAGATCTGAAATGTGTGATACCGGTATCAGTCTGCTTCGACCATCGCAGATCAGAGGCAGGGATCAAAATATGACTCGCGCTGAGCATACCCAGACCTCCGAGCTCCTTTGGTGTGTAGAAAACAGCAGGAGGGAAACGCGACGGCATCTTCGAATTAAGACCAATCTTCACACGCGTCTGAATCTTGGTCTCGCACTTAACCAACGTGTCTAGCAGTTCTTCAGTCGAAATCGCCGCCTCACGGTAGTATGTAAACAAAGCAATCAAGGCAGTATTCCACTTGTTTGCAATCTTTGTAAACGTAGTCGATCCCGACGACATCAGAATCTGGCGAATCCGATTGTTGAACTTGGCGATATCATCGGCCGCCACTCTCAAAAACGCGTACGCTGTCCGTTCCTTCGTCGACTCATTCACCAAACTCCAAACACTATCCTTCACCGCCAACTCTGTCGCTTCATTTCTGGACTTTGGCAATATCCGCACTTCAAATCCACACATAGAAAACAGCAAGTTCGGATTGTCTTTGCTGTACACAGATGCAAAAGTATCCTCCCATTCGATAGTCGTGATCGAGCGAGGGAGTCGGTTCTTGAGCTCCCAGAAGACGGCACGGCCAAGATTCACGTCATGGCGCATGAGTCGCATTCGGCTGTCGCGCGGCCAACATTTCTTGTTCGTGTAGCCGACCACGTTCTCGAAATTGGGATCAGGCTGCTCTGTCAAGAAGCGCTGAATCAACTCTCGAGCTTCGTCAGCCGTGAAGCGGAAGAAAATGTGGACCCGGTCAATGTATCTCGAATACAATCGAATCGGATGCCGACTTTCGGTCTCTTCGTCCTTGAACTGCAAGAACTCGTTCGGCATCTGGGGAGGACCAGCAAGATCAGAGGCACGCTGCAGACCAAGGAGAAGAAGATCAACAACCAATCCATAGTACTGGAACACAAAGGAAGAGAATTGCAAACCACGAAGCATGCCGTAGTTGTTGATGTGGTTCATATCCTTGTACGTCAAGTTGACGTTATTCTTGGCACTAAACGAGATGTTAATAGCAATTCTTTAACAACACATTGTTGAAACAGGAAAAACTTACGTGATATAATCCGCGATATTAGCATCAACAATCAAGCGAAGCAGTCGATTGAGCAGAGTCAGATCAGTCTTATCTGCCAGTTTGCTCAGCGTGGTCTCGAGCATGACGTTACACTGACCCTCGCTGACGTCCCAAACATCCGTCAAGTTATTGATTCCCTGACACCATTTGTAAACGAGAAGAGGTGGAACTTCAGAGTCACTGGGCTTGACCCAGTTAGGGAACAGTCGCCGCTTGTCAGCCTCGTACCAAAGATATTGATCGAGGTAGGCATCCGTGATCTTCTCGAGCGGGTCGACGTCGATGACCGGAGTGATGTGGCTGTAATGATCCATCATGTCGATACCGACCTCTTTGAATGCTCGCTGGGTCAGCAAGAACGTCTTGATTCGACTGAGACACTCGTGAGGATTGTCGTATGCTTGCTCAATAAGAGTCAACTCTTCACGCTGCGACTGATTCAGTCTACCCTTGATCGAGTAGGCTTCCTTCAATCTCTCGAGAGCAAGAACGAGCAGCTTTGTGTCATGCTTGTAGCTCAAGGGAGGGAACAAGATAGGCGTGAACTTCCGACTTTCGAGCCAATGCACCATCGTAGTATACATGGCAACACCCTCCTCTGGCGTCACATACGGCCCATCTTTCAAGAAATTGTGCTGACGCTCCTGTTCAGCCTTAAGCCACAGACGCGTCAAACGACCCAAGTTCTTCTTTGCGACAGTTTTGTCAACGGTCGCGCCCCGGCGAATTCTCTCGCGATTGTAATGAGCGACAGAGATCCATCCATCAGCCTTGGCTTTGACGTAACGCAAGATAATGTTTTCAACCGGTGCGGGCAGACCAGGCACCTTCCACGGAATGTTCGCCTTCCAGCAGCGCCATGCCTCACTCAGATGCTGCAGAATGGTTTTGGCTTTGTTCTGCTTCAGACCTTCCGGGATCATATCGAGGATATCGTGCATAACCGAAGCACGAAGCTCGAGATCGTAGTATGACTCCACACGCTGTTTGGTAACCGTCTTGGCCACGCCCTTCGAATGACGTCCTTCAAATTGTCTTGCCAGCAAATTTCCAAGCCAGCGCTCCAGAAGCGGGATAATGCCCCGCAAGAAAAACAACCACACTCTCCACGACGGTTGCCAGAAGCCACATCCAGGACCCTTACCGATAACGACATTGAAGCGATAGTAGATGACGTGCTTCAGATCCTTGCACGCCCGAATTTGATGCATGACCTTGTACTTGTACCGATAGATACCAGTAAGCTGGCCAAGATGGTTAAGCGTGTAGTGAATACCATCGGCAAGCTGGAACGCATCAACGTTACCCAGTCGGTACTGGACCTGAGCATCAACCAGCAATTTAGTGACTCGAAGAATCTCCCGCATCAGATGGAAAGCGTTTCCGAAACGAGACCGCTTGCGCTCTTTGGTAGTCAAAGTCTTTGTCGGCTTCAAGTTGAAGTTGAAATCAAGATGCAGATATGTCAGGCCCTTGCGATGGATCAGCAAATTGAGCATGTTGAAACCCTGACGACACAACTGCAGACCAGCTTCCACCCAATCGATCGTAGTCTGCTGGAAAAACTTGGTATTCTTGAGATTTCTGAACAGGTACTGCTTCCGTTGATTGCTTGGTTTGCGCGTGCGAAGGGAGTTGAGGACATAAGTCTTGAGAAGCTTCTGGTAAGAAACTCGAACTTTGACAGGGTACCCAGCAGGAGGATGCTCGAGATACCAGTTCTTGATCAAAGCAACGTCCTGAGCACGAACCATTCTCCCCGATCGTCGATTGAAAGGATAGGGTGCCCACCAGAGCGTAATAGCACCGGTAGTGTTGTCGGTGTACAGCTCCTCGTCGCTGAAAAGTGGATCAACGTAGGGCGGAAGCTCAAACTCGTCATCCTCATCTCCGTCACCGAAAATCTCGTCCTCGTGTGTATGACTCAATTCCGGGGCAATTTTCCGAACAGAGATTGGCGAGAGAGTTGCGTTGAAATAGTAAGCAGGGTAAGCAGGGTCTTCGGGAACAACCACTCTCTGAGGATCGCTGTACCAGTCGATTTCAACTGATCGAGGTAGGGAGTTGTACAGATGAGGATAAGCAATTCTGTACTCTGTACGAACAGGGGCGCGGAAGATGATGCGGTCGATGGCATTGAACTCGCCGAAATCTTCGTCGTTGGGATCAACGTCCTTGTACAGTTTCTCGAACTTGGGACCACCGGGGATCGCAACATTCAGAGCCTTGGCAGTGAAGAATGATTTCTTGTCAAACATGTAAAAGTAATTCTTATCCTCATTCTCCGAGAGCAGCGACCGAGCCAGACGGTAGAGAGTGGACATCTGCGGCAGATCAAGCGTCCATTTGCGATAAGACGGCCCAGGCACGAACTCGGTCTCGTCAATGAGCGGGTGATCGTCGTACAGCCACTCCATAACTGCAGAATCTTCCTCCTCGCTGAGTTCGAGCTGGATAGCTTCCGGAGGTTCGACGCCGTCGATGTTCTCGGACCACGAGATCGGGGGCTCTTCGTCGTCGAACGGAGGGAAGCGCATGCGCTTGAAATGCTTGCGGTCGCGCTTCTCGCGTCGCATCATCAGCCACATCGTCGCCCACTGCGCGGCGTACACGGGCTCGATAACACGAGGGATTTCGTTGACAAACGTGATCGCGCCGGTGATATGGTACAGCACGCGCACGTCGCGCGCTTCTTCCCACGGCTGCGGCATATTCTCAAGCAGCTTGATAACAGCATGGGGCATGTACTTGAGCGCGCCGAGATACGAGCGCTTGTCGGCCGCGAATTTTTTCGAAGACATGTCGCCGTGGTCGCGCATGATCTTGCGCAGATGCTCAGGCGGCATGTCTGACTTTTGTACCTGGACGTAGGACGTAGTCGAGCGCTTTTCGGCGAATTTCTGCTTCTGAAGTTGATGCCATCTGCGCTTGCGCTCAAGTAGCTTGGGAAGCTCAGGATCACGCGGGCCGCGGGTTGCGGAGGGGGTTGAAGGCGGCGGCGGAGGCAGTGATCCTGGGGGAGGTGGTGGTGGCGGAGGAGCCATCGCGGTCGGGGGAGGTGGAGGAGGAGGAGGGAGAGAAGAAGCTCCTCCGGGAGGCGGAGGAGGAGGCACCGAGGCCCTTCCCGGACCGTTCCAGCCAGGAGGTAGATTTGACATTGCAATGTCAAGATCAAGAGAGGTGGTGGAGGAAGGAGGAGGAGGAGAGGTGAGGATTGTCAGGACTTGTGGTTGAGAAGAGCGAGACACAAAATCAAAACTGGCTGAACCTTAAATTTGTGTTCACGTTTTGACGGTTAAACCCAAAGTTAGAAGTTGTTTTGGTTTCGACAACACTGAACAGGCTGAACACCAAATAGTTACTGATTACATTCGTGCTTGTGGATATGTATTCTTTATATATGAGTAAGATAAGTGAGCTATTGTTACATCTATAGACACGAAGAAAATCAAACAACCCCTTCCCATTTTTGAATCGGCGTTTGCCCGGTTGTGAGCAAACAGACATGAATCAGCCACTATCAGCGACCCATTTTTGAATCGGCGTTTGCCCGGTTGTGAGCAAACAGACATGAATCAGCCACTATCAGCGACGCGTCGGTAAACAAACGCGACACCGCCGAGATCTGTACATGAAGATCAAAGTGGGATAACAAATCAAACAAGCTGACAAAAAAGCAGGAATCAAAAAGCAAAAAGCAAAATTAGAACAATGCATCAAATGAATCAAAACCATTCACAACCTGATGTTCGTATCGTACAACTGCAGTCAAGTCATCAAGACCATACTGCACACAGCGAAATATAAGCTCAAAGAAGTTACAAACGCAAATGAGTAAAACAGAAAGAAAAATTGATTTCATTCTCATACTCTTGTCGGTGGAGGGCCTCCCTGCATGATTGGTTGCATAGGCACCGGCTGCTGCTGAGACTGAGGCTGTGCTTGCTGCTGGACAGCCATCTGCTGGGGAGCCTGCTGGACAATTTGCTGCTGTTGCGCAGCCATAGGCGGAGGTAGCTGGTGGAGAGAGACGGAAGAAGGAGCCTGAGTCTTGACGAGCTCCTTCATACGCTTTTCACACGCCTTTGCCGGCTTTCCGACTTTATCAGCAATGCGCTTCCACTTGTTCTCTTCGTCCTCTTTAACCGCATCCGCGAGCTTCGTGTCTTCTTCCGGATTCCAGGTCGTGTGTTTCATGTCGGCGTAGTAGTGCTTCTTGATCGCACCCGCCGTTCGATTTGGGAATTCTTTGGTTATTGCTTGCCATTTTGTGCCGCACTCGACAAGAACACGCAACCGCTCCTCTTCAGACTTTGACCAGGTGGTTGCTCGCGCCTGGGGATTTCGCTTGGGCGGAACCTGTCCGTGTGCGCCGTTGGTCTGCTGCTGCTGCTGTGGCGGAGGCGGAGGCTGCTGCTGCTGTTGCTGCTGCTGAGGTTGCTGTTGAGGTTGTTGTTGCTGAGGCTGCTGCGGTTGCTGCTGGTGATGCTGTGGTTGCTGTAAAGACTGGGGCTGCTGTTGCTGCTGCTGAGGCGGCATTTGCATCTGAGGCATGGGCATCTGCTGCTGCAACTGCTGTGGAGGGAGGGGCTGGGGAGAGTGGATGGCCATAGGGGTATTGTTGATCGGCATAGACGGGCTCAGTTTTTGCTTCTTGCCAATATGGCCGCCAGCAGGCGAGGTCGAAGCGACGCTGGTCATGTCTGAGTTATCGAGAGGGTCAAAGTTGAATGTGGAGCCGGTGCTGGTCGAATGGGGTATGCTGCCATGGCGCTGCGGGATCTGCTGGTGCTGAGCCTGCTGGGGGAGCGGAGACATTGGGATGTGAGAGGCATGGGGGATCTGCTGATGCTGCTGCTGCTGCTGCTGCTGCTGTTGGCTGATTGGCGCTGGACGCTTTGCCTCGTAAGCACGGGGACTGTAGTTGTCGTAGCTAAGATCGTGTTGCTGCGGGAGGGCCTGGAGCTGGGGTTGCTGCTGCTGGGGTTGCTGCTGCTGCTGAGGCTGGATCTGGGGTTGGTGATGCATGAGCTGGGGTTGCTGGGGTATGGCAGCGTAGTGCTGCTGCATGCTGAAGACGGAGGGCTGCTGCTGCTGTTGCTGGAGGTGAGCCGAGGGGGCGGGCTGGGGGGTGGAGTAGAGGGAGTTTGCCTGCAACATTGGCATTGCGTGCGCGGTGGGCGCGTACTGGTAGGGTTGGTAGTAGACGCCGCGCTGGGGAGGAATTGGCTGCTGCTGCTGCTGCTGTTGCTGCTGTTGCTGCTGCTGCTGCTGCTGCTGGAGGTGATGGTTGACGAGGGGCTGCTGGCCCTGCTGGCCCTGCTGGCCCTGCTGCGGGTTCTGCGGGGGCTGATACTGCTGCATGTGAAGTACGGAGTCTGACAGAGCAGTGCCTGCTAGGACGGGACGGGAAGTGAACGGGGACTGAGAGACGAACGGGACGGGGAAGAAGGCAGGTGAGGACGGAGGTGGATGGGTACTGCAGCTCGCGCGCTGATGCGGTACATGTTTTGCAGCGGGTACGTAAACATTACCCGGCCTTAGATTTGCGCGAGGCCCGTGATTGGCCGCCACCGGGCGAGCAGCGGCCGGGCGGTTGGCTGGCGGCGGCGAGCAAAGGCGGCGGACGAGGGCAGCAGCGAGAACCGCGCGGAAGCGGTTTGCAGGAGGAGGATGCTGCTGCTGCGGAGAGGAGGAGTTGCGGAAGACAGGCTCGGGCAGCAGACAGCGGCCGATACGGTTAATGATACAGGCTGCCGAAGAGTCGATACGAGTGCTACGCGGGCACGAGCACGCGGGTTTGTAGCTAGTTTGGTCTTTAAAATAAGATGCTGTTAGAAGATACTTTGACGGTGCCTGTCTCTTTTTGTCGCGCGCAGTGAAGCTTGAAGCTTGGTTCGCGGGAACGAGCACGGAGATTGGGTCGGGTACGGAGTGGATGAATTAGCTGTTGCTGTTGTGTAGAGAGGGTTGAGAGAAGACTGAGGCAGTCAGCGCAGGCTGGTGCTCTTACTGCTCAGTCATCCTCTGCTCCTCTTCACATCCACTCTTTTACTCTCCTCCTCCTCCTCTCCAACCACGGTCTCCACTACTGCTCCTCCTCCTCAGTATGCATTGAATGCATGTACTTGCTCCAGACTCAGCGCCGCAGCCGTGGCGCGGCAACGTGCGCTGGGGCCGACGACGACGCAACCTTATTCCTGTCTTTGGTATCCTTCCGCTCCCGTACCGCCGTAGCCCTCCCGCCGCACTTACCGTGGCGTGCATCAGATACTCCAATTTTTAAGTAATCAGCTAGAGACAGAATAATACAGTGGGGTTAAGTATCTCTTATAGACTGATGTGATATCGGTTATCGCTGGTATATATACATAGACTCATACATATACTCACAACTTCGCCTTCGCCTTCACCTCTCCCTCCGGCTTGAAAAACGTCTCCGAAATGTTCTTCCTCTGAATCTTCCCCGTCGCCGTCTTCGGCATCGTCTCCGTGAAGTACACCCGCTTAGGCACCTTGAACTTGGCAACCCTCTCCGACATAAACTTCTTCACATCCCCCTCGCTCAGCTTCGCGCCCGGCTTCACCACCACCGTCGCATGCACCTCCTGTCCGTACATCTCATCCGGCACCGCAAACGACACCGCCTCCGCTACCTCCGGGATCTCCAGCATCAGCGCATCCAGCTCCAGCGGCGAGATCTTCTCTCCCCCGCGGTTGATCAGCTCCTTGATCCGTCCCGTGATGTACACAAACCCGTCCGCGTCCAGCTTGCCCTGATCGCCCGTGCGGAAAAATCCCGACGCCGTGAAGCTGCTCTTGTTCGCCGCCTCGTTGTTCCGGTACCCCTTCGTCACATTCGCTCCCTTTACGCAAATCTCTCCCTCCCCACCTTGCTTGACCTCGTTTCCTTCCTGGTCCAAGATCGCGACCTTGACAACCCCCTGCGCGCGCCCAACGCTTCCACTCTTGCGCTTTCCCGGAGGCAAGTCGTTCGACGTCATCTGGTGGCTCGCCTCTGTCATCGCATACGCCTCAAGAACCGGCGCCTTGAACCGCTCCTCGAGCTGCTTCATCGTCGCCGGCGCAAGCGCTGACGAGCACGATCGGATGAACCGCACATTCGGTCCCTTCGCTCCATTGTCAAACGGAGACGGACTCTTCAGCAAGATCTGGTGGATCGTCGGCACAGCTGTATACCAATTCGCTCCCAGCTCGACAAAGTCTTTCCAGAACGAGTGCGCGGAAAACTTCAACGGAACAATCACACCCGATGCGACCGACAGAGGCGCGAGGAAGCCACAGAGCAGTCCGTGGACGTGGAAGAGTGGCATCACCAGCATGCTTCGGTCGGCCTTCGTCAGCTTGTACGTCTGCACAATATTGCTGATCGACGTCGCCAAGTTGGTGTGCGTTAAAGGAACGACTAAAGATAATTATGAGTTAGTTTATGTCTGATTAACGTCATATTTCGAACAATCATATATATTTGACACACTCTTAGGTCGGCCGGTGGTTCCACTAGTATGGAGTACAAGTGCAACGTCGTCGGCCTTTGCCTCGCTCACAGACTTGGACTGCAACGAGCCCAACCCAACAGACTCGCCCGCCCCGGTCTTGACATTAATACTCTCAGTCGAGGCCTCCAACTCAAAGATGCGGACATTATCGGCAGACTTGGCCGCGGCCTTGATGACCGCCTCGCGTTCGGCAGTCTTGGGCACGAACGCGACCGGGCACGACAGGTCAGCAAGGTAGAACTCAAACTCGGACTGCTTGAGCGCGGGATTAAGTGGTGCGGCAATATAGCCCGAGTAAGACACCGCGAAGAAGAGAACGACAAACTCGAGCGAGTTTGGCAACGCGATCGCGATAGCAGAGCCTGGCGCGAGATCGAGCGAGGCGATGAACTTGCGGGCCTGGCCGACGAGTTTCGAGAGAGTGTCGAATGAGACGACGACAGGGCCGGTCGAGCCGGTGGCCGGTACGATAATCGCAGGATCAGGCGATCGAGACGGAAACACGGACTGCAGAGTTGGCATTCTGACGGTGACTATAACTGTGATAAGAGAGGATCGACGGTGATGCAATGTCCAACAGCAATGTGGAAGAAGAAAAGAATCTGAAGGACAGAGGGAAAGATATAAGAAGAAGAGATAAAGAGAGGGAGATAAGAAGAGCGGAGGCCGAGCGATATAAAAGGGCCGGCGACGAAACGGATAGTTTGCAGGTCGAAATATTTATATCGATCGTCGTCACTGCAATCCTACCCGGACTTCTCACCTGGTCCGCCGAATTCCCTCGCGGCCTGTTCGGCTGCCTCTGCTCATCACATTCTCTGCTTTTGTCTCGTCAGAAACCCACCAGCACCCTCTCGTCTGCTCCGGTCGTGGTAGAATCATGCATTCCGCCCCGGTTTCCGAGTTAGCCGACACCAGGCTATGACGGCATCGCGATTAGTTATGGACGAAGCGTATTCACGTGGGTTATGTAATGTACCCGTCTACTGTTACCTAATCACGAGTCTAAAGTCTAAGCCCGCGCCTGCAGGTGCTCTGGTAGTCGATTAGCTGTGCGTCTGCCGGTGTTTCCTGCCCTGGCATTAGTTGGTGAAGTTGGGTACCTGCTGTCAAAACTAATCAAATATATGCAACTATTAACAGCTCTATCAAAGGACTCAAGCAGGCTCACAGCTCTAAATTAGACTTGTTACTCACCTTTCGCGTCTGCTCTCTGCTCAGCCTCGTCTTCTGAACACGTATTCTTCTGTTGTCCTCACGTCGCTGCTCCAACTATCGAGAAGCCTCGCGTGAGTCACGAAGGTGTTGGTGACTAACAGCACTTTTCTCCTTCAAAGCAGACATGTGTATCGACTCCACCTACACTACCCGCAATCTCAGTAGTAGTGATTATACTCACTCGGTAGTCGATTGTTATTGTCATTTGTATCAGCTGCCCAGTACTCCCTCCCTCAATATCTCTCTCGTCAGTCAACCAGGCCGCCAAGTTTGGACCTGTCGAACCGCTGCTTCGGGTGCCTCCAACAACCCAGCCGCAGAGGTCCAGCACTTAGACTTTCGACCTGAACCTTAATCTTAACTCCCACTTCGACCTCGGACACTGTACAGCTCACCGCTGCTCAGATTGCTCCTCGGCCGCCTCAGCTCTATTACTCTTATAAGTCTGCCTCTGTCTCCTTCTCGGTCTCCCTCTCTCTTTCTATCGCTTCTGTCTAGCAGATCCTTATCTTTATTTATTATCAAATTCGTGTTTATCTACTCTGCCATGGCTGCTTAAGCAATCGGCTCCTGGTCGTCGGGGTGCGTATTCCTTGTCTTTCTCCCCGCCATCCCAGCCTGCTCCACTCCTTCTCAGATCTAGCAACTAACTTCTTCTCTCGCTCTCTGCTTCTGAGCTATGCACGTTAATACAGTGTGTTTTATATTCTATCAAAATCACTCCTTCACCTGTCTCCCTCAAATCGTTTCCAGCCGATTGTTCCCGCCATTCCACTCAGGTCACGTTGGCTACTCCACCTTTCCTGCGTCCCTCTGCAGCTTCCTCACTTCTTTCCCAATCGTATTATCCAATTTTATGTATAGAGCTCATCTATACCCGCCAACCTAGGCTCTGGCTGCTCTTTCGAAAATATCACTATTCTAGTCGGATCGCAGCGTTTCAGAATCGAAATATCCATCACAGTAACATCTTTCTCGCATCTGACACCATCGCCACTTGATCTCCATCTCCTGCATTCCTGAATGATCCAGCATGGCGAGGAAGAAGCATCATCAATCCGCGCCATCTTCAACAGCTACATCAACAACACCTGCATCCAAGCCAACCACCACTGCATCAGCAACCGAACCTTCCGCGTCTTCTTCTGATCCGGCAACAGCACAGCAAGCAAGCGACTATTACACTGAAACTCAAAACAATGAGGTCGAAGTCCTACGCGCAATCTACCTCTCCGACTTCTCTGAAAACAAAGCGAGCTCTGCATGGAATGTGAGTGGTCTTAATTGATCTGAAGTAATAACAAAGCGGCAAGATACTGATATTAACATATTCAAACCAGAAAGCAGCAAGTCCCTCGTTCAACATCCGCTTACACGCTCACGGAGACGGATCAAGAACCGACGGGCCCTCTTTAACACTCAAAGTCCAGCTGACGGCCACCTATCCTCGCTCAGTCCCCTTGATCACCGTCGAAGATCCCAAACACATCCGCTCTGCACAGGTTAAAGAGATCAGTCAGTACGTCAATGCACGAACCAAAGAGCTGCTCGGCGAGCAAATGATCTTTGAGATCGCCTCAAGTGTGCAAGAACGTCTCGAGGTCATTCTCGATTCACTCAACAACAAAAGTCTTGAAGAAGAGCGCGCGAAACGCATGGCCGAGCAAACAGCTAATGAGAAGAAGCGCGCTGAAGCCGAGCGAAAGAGAATCGAGCAAACAAACAAGGAGGAAGAAAGAGTGCTGGTCGAGATGATTAGCGAAGAAATACGTCGGCGGCAGGACAAGGAGAAGAATCGCAACGGCGCAAACCCTGTCATTCCAGATGAAGAGCTCACGGAGGCAACCGCCGTCGTATTCGATCGCATAATCAAAGCCAAAGTATCAGATGGATCCACCATCTCATTCAGGCAGGTCACCGGCAAAGTTCCGATCGTCAGCCATTGTCCGCTTGGGAAACAGTACATCGTCAGGCCGGCCGTCCCGGGTCGCACTAAAGATTCCGATGCCACGTTTTTGCTGCACGAGGTCGAGATCCGAGACGAGTTCTGGAACTCTTCGGATGGCAAGCGCCAGCTAGAGTCTCTCGAAGAAGATCTCAACGCGCTCAAGCTCTTCCGCCACGACTACGTCTCGTCCGTGTATGAGTTCAAGATCGATCGTCGCGAGGACGGCTGGATGATTCAGATCCTGACCGACTATCCCGACCTTGGCGCGCTCGAAGATTTGCTGACCACCGTCGGCACCGTCGCCGTCAACGTCGCGCGCGAGTGGACTATCCAGCTCTTAGAGGGTCTTGAAGATCTCCACAAGCGGGGATTTTATCACAAGACTCTCGATCTGCGGTCGATCGGACTCTTCCGCGACTATGCTCTTTCTCGAACGATTGCAAAGATTTCTAATGTGAGTTACTATTCGCGGCTTGAAGAGATGGACACTGCACATCCTTTCACAGCCAACAGTGGCGCCAAAAGCCTCATCCCCAAACGATGGCCTGCGCCAGAGCTCAGTGCCGAAGACGGCACGCGGCCGAGTCGCAAGTCGGATATCTGGGACTTTGGCATTATTTTCACGCAGATGCTGTTTGGCAAGTCGGTCACAAGTGAATTCGAATCTCCTTATACTCTCCTAACGGACGTTGAACTGCCCGAACCTGTGCATGACTTTATGACCCGCATCTTCAAGCCGAATCCAAAGAAGCGACCGTCGGCGTTTGAGCTTCTACCGTCGCAATTTCTCCGCAACAGCGCTCCGTCTGCGGTCTTGAACTTGGCTCCGTCGTTGCAGATCCCGGGTGGAAACAGCAGCGGTTTTGCTGCTCAGCAGCAGATGCAGCTACAACCTATATCCGGCAGCATGCCGATGGCAAGGCGCGCAAGCTCCTCAGTCGACGGTCGAAGCACGAGATTTTTTGGCCGCGACGATGTAGTCGCTCATTCGCGGTATCTGCAGGATTTCGAAGAAGCTCAATTACTCGGAAAGGGAGCGTACGGCGAAGTCGTGCGTGCTCGAAACCGGCTCGATGGGCGGTTTTACGCAATCAAGAAGATTCATCATACGCAGGATAAGCTGACGAGCATTCTCAGCGAAGTCATGCTGCTCTCACGGTTATCGAACCAGTACGTCGTTCGTTACTTCACCGCCTGGCTCGAGGAAGATCTCTCATACGGCAGCGAGGTCGCGGTCACGAATGATGAGGATAGTGACGACTTTGAAGATCTCGGAGCGACATTCGATAGTGAAGATAATGACGACGACGACGATGACGACGACGACGACCGGAAATTGCATTCTACGCAGGAGTTTGACTCTATGAGCGGACTTGATTCGATGAGCGGGCTTGACATTATGTCAAACTCGATGCAAGATCTAAACATCGAATTTGGCTACGACAGCGACAACGACGAAACCGGTGGTAGATGTCGCGGCACTAGCTCTCCGGCTCCCGGATCAACCGCAACATCGACGACGGCGGCGGCGGCGTCAATACAGGAGTTTACCCGTCGGCATCGGCAGTCTGAGAGTTTAGCACAGTACGTTCGCAGTACTTTGTTCATCCAGATGGAGTACTGCGAGAAACACACCCTGCAGGATTTGATCAGAGACAATCTGTACCAAAACCCGGATGATTACTGGCGACTTTTTCGGCAGATTCTCGAGGCTCTCAATCATATCCACAGTCTCGGAATCATTCACCGTGATCTCAAGCCCACGAATATTTTCATTGACCAAGCGCAGAACGTGAAGATTGGAGACTTTGGGTTGGCGAAAAATGTGCACAGTGAAAAGGCATCGAGCGGTACGACGCCGGTGGGCGACGATCTGACGTCAGATGTCGGCACCACGCTCTACGTGGCGGCAGAGGCGATTGGTGACGGAAATTACAACGAGAAAGTCGATATGTACTCTCTTGGCATCATCTTCTTTGAGATGTGCTACCGAATGCAGACCGGTATGGAGCGCGTGCAGGTCCTGCTTCGTCTGCGTCGAAAGTCTGTGATTTTCCCGCCTGATTTCCCCGTCGGTCGACGGCTCGAGGAGAGCATAATCACCAGTCTCTTGGACCATGAGCCTGCCAAGCGGCCTAGTGCTGCTGACCTGCTGCAATCCGGACAACTACCCGTACTCGTTGAGGACGAGATGATCCAGCAAACGCTGCGCAGTCTGACGGATCCTGGGTCACCGTGGCTATCGCAAGTTCGCGACGCGCTGTTTTCCAGAGCCCATGACCATGTCAAGGACGCACTCTACGATAAACCTCCTCGGTTCCAAAGCGTGAACGAGCTTGTTCTCCGCGGCCAAATCAAATCCAAGCTGACTGCGATCTTCCGTCACCACGGTGCAGTCGAGGTGCCGAGCCAGTCCGTCGTGTTCCCCAAATCTCCAATCTACAACCTCCCGAACCGGTTCGTCCTTCTCGATGTGTCTGGCACAGTCCTGCAACTACCATTCGATCTCACACTCCCCAATGCGCGAATGCTCGCCCGCGCCCGTCCTCCGTACCGCAGAAGTTTCTCGTTCGGAAGCGTATACCGGTCCGAAGATCCGTCGGGCGGAGGCGAACCCCGCGGCTTTGGAGAGGTCGATTTCGACGTGTTGTCGACCGATCAGGCGGATTTCGCGATCGCAGAGGCGGAGGTCATGAAGGTGCTTGATGAGATTGTTGACGAGTTCTTTCCGACGAAACGGCAGTTTGCTTGCTTTTCGATCAATCATGCTGATTTGCTGTGAGCTCTCTTTGTTTTTATTATTCTGTTTCATCTACAGAGGCTAACGGAAATCGACTACAGGGATATGATTCTGGATGCGTGCCGCATCAATCAGGCTCAGCGGCCGAGCTTGATTCTTCTGTTGAGTAAGGTTGGAGTTTCCGTCAGCATGAAGGATGTCAAGAACGAACTGAAGCAAAAGTCCACAATCTCCTCTGCTGCCTTGGCGGATCTCGAGAGGTTTAATTTCAGAGGTAAGTCCGGATGGTTTTGTCTCGAAAATTATCTTTGGGCTAGTACTCATGTTTTGTGTTGCAGAGAGCATCGACAAAGGATTATCGCGCATTGCGACGCTATTCGAGTCCTCACGCTATACGAACGACCACTTCAGCTACGTGGCAAGCCACCTCCGCAAGGTCGATCAGTTCATGAAGAGTTTCGGGATCAGCAAGCGGATCTATCTGGCCCCGCTGAGCAACTATAACGAGCGCTACTACCGCCACGGCGTCATGTTCCAGGTCGCGATCGAAGAACGGTTGAAGAACCGTGTGCTCGCGTGCGGCGGACGATATGATAGTCTGATCAAGTTTTATCATCATTCGATGCTCAACGATCGGCAGGTCGGTGCTGTCGGGTTCAATCTCGTGTGGGAGTATCTGGCGGCTATGAATCCGCGCGCTGAGTCGATGGTCGGAGGCGGAGGCAGCAGTGCCGCAGCGAGCAACAGCAACAGCGGCGCGAACGTGGTGAACGGCAGCAGCTATCACAGCGGTAGCAATAATCACTATAACCTCTCGACATCAGTCTGCGACGTCTTAGTCGTGTGCTCGTCGGTCGATATCGCGACCCGCAAAATGGCTGTCGAGGCCGCGAAGGATCTCTGGGCGGTCGGTATCACGGCCGAGTTGGCAGCCGTCGGCTCGTCTACGGATAGCTTGCTCTCGTACGCGCGCGCGTCCGGTATGAACTGGGTCGTGATTGTAAAGTCGCAGGCTAGTACCTCGCACGCGACCTTCAAGCCTTTGAAAGTGAAAAACATGTCGCGCACGCGCGACGACGAGGACCTCGACTCGTCCGAGCTGGTGGGCTACTTGCTGCCCGAGATCCAGGCACACTCGTCGCGATATCTTCTTTCCGGCGCCGGCGGCGGTATCGGGCTCGGTGGCATTGGCGTCGGCGGAAGTAGCGGCAGTGGCAGCGGCGGCGGCTCGGGCAGTGGCAACGGAGGCGGTGGTGGAAGCGGCGGCGGCGGTGGCGGGAGCGGGAGCTACAGCTACAGCGGGTCGGCGGCGAGACACCACGGCAGCGGCGGGATGATCCAGGATGTGACGATAATCACCAACGACCTCGAACGGTACGAGAAGAACGCGAAGCAAAACAAGGGTGGCGCGCGGAAGCTCAACAAGCGACTGATTGACGAGCGTGCGCACGAGGCGGTGTCGAGCACGATCGCGTCGCTTTCGGACGCGCCCGTGTTTGCGGTCGATTTCAAGAACGAGCTGATGTCGCTTATCCCTGCGTGTCCGCTGATCCAGACCGAGGGGTGGCGGAAGATTGTGAATGCCGCGCCGGCGTCGCAGAGACAGTATATGGGTCGGTTGCTGGACGCGCTGGTGGCGGAGGCGGAGAAAGGTGCGAAGCAGGCGATTGTTTTTTCGTTTCGGACGGAGAAGGTGATAATCTTGGACTTGCAGAGGTGAGGGGTCTTTATATATTATTTCTTGCTTCATTGTACTGTAGTCATACTCATAACTTGTAATTTAACGAAATGAATATTATTATACACTGGTTCTGTAATCTAGTATACATGACAAGGAAAATCAAAGAACTCCATAGTAGTAAATGAAACCGACTTTTAGATGCGACAATCAGTACTTGCGTCTCTTTGCCGGCTGAAGCGCGGTACTCTGTTCGCGCTGTAATTTTTCCAGAAAATCAGGCGGCAGCAACTTCTTGACCGCCTCGGCCGCTTGTTCTTCGACGCGGCGTTGCTCGCGTGCTTTCGCGAGCGGGTTCGGGTCGACGGACGCCCAGCGGACGTTGAGGATCTCGTCGTGGTCGAGGGATTGGCAGGACATTGCTTCTTTTGCGAATTGGGCGTTTGCTTCGTTGACGTAGGTTACGAATGCGACGCCGCGGGAGTTGAGTACCCGGACTACAACGAGGTGATCAGTATAAAGTTACGAGTGGCATGGAAATAGAGAAGGAGATACATACTTCGTTCGATGTCGCCCCACTCTGCGAAATGGCGAGCGACGACTTCTTCGATATCGTCAGAGACAAAGATGCGGCCGATGTAGATTGTTCTGTTTTGCCGCTGGAAACTGCCGACGCCATCCATATCGTCTCTATAGTCTGCGTGCTTGTCGCGGCCGAAGCAGTCGACGCTCGGATCAAACATATCTGTGACTGTCGGCAGGCGATGTAGATAGTTGCAGTTCTTGCCCAGCGGACACACGCCGCGAGCAAAGAAGATGCAGAAATAAGAGCCGGGGACTTTATCTGCCTTTGTGTATCCCGAATCACGAGCGACGTTGCATCGTCCTTCGGCTTTGCCCTTGGCGGCGTACTTGTCCTCTCTGTCGCCTCCGCTCCATTTGTTGTACCAGATATTAAAGACCGTGCCGGTCTGCTGCGGCGGGCGATCTTTCATCGATGCGAGATCAGCCTGGGGACGCGCCGGCCGCGGTTTGTTTTTATCTTTCTTCTTCTTCTTGTCCTTGTGCTTTTTCGTCTTTGTCAGTTCAGTCGACTGCTCCTCGCCATCTGCGGGGGGGTTGTCTTCCGTGGTCGCAGAGGGATCCTGCTCGAGCTCGAGCACGTTGACGACTTCTTCGCCTTCGTCGTCGTTCGGCTGCGCAGAGCGCTTCAGCGGCCTGTCAGGCGCCTGCGTCGCATCCTGGGCAACTTCAAAGACTGCTTCGGACGCGGGTTCGGCAGGTAACTGCGGGCCGGGCTCTGGAGAGGACGACATGGGTGAATATGATGGGAATAGTTATTGAGAGTTGGGAGAGTAGAGGTTTGACGGTGGTTTGGGCGGGATCAGGTTTGGGGTTGTGTTTACCCGGGGTGGTTTTGGTAGTGCTCCCACCCACCAGCCAGGAGAGGAGATGACGATGAGAGAAGGTAGTTATATCTGATGAATAAATAGTAGATAGAATATATAGAATATAGACGGTAAATACACTAAAACAGCAGAACCAGCAGCAAAACACAGCGCAAGATAAGACAAAGTACGTGTGCCTCGAGGCCGGGCAGCAGTAGATGCGTTAAAATAGTGTAATTGGCTCGACTCAAAACCAGTTTGGTTTACGAAAGCAGCCGACAGCTGACGAATTAAATTTGTTTTTCTTCTTCTTTTGTTGTTTCTCGCTGATCTTCTTCTTCTTCGCGCTCTTTGCTGCATGCTGTAGTTCTGCTCCTTCCTGCTGGTTTGTTGCAGATATCCGTCGATATATTCCGCGTCTGCTATTTTATTATTCTACGTGAGTATCTTCTGTCTTTTGTCCAGAGAGAATCCACGAGAGGTCGCAAGGAGAATGGCGCGACTTGCTGCACACCGCTGCCTCCCCTTCCTTCCCCTTTACGCCGTCGAGCATCCACTTCTACTTCTGCAATCACGAAATACAGAGTCGACATCAAAGCAAACAACCAGAATCAAAACGCTGTCGTGTCTTTGTCGTCGCTGCGCAGCCCTGCAGTGCCTCCCGGCGTGGCCTGTCCTCAGACCTCACATTTGCAGAGGCGGCTTGCTTCAATCAATCACATTTGTTTGCCTTATCTGCTTTCTCTGCCGCGTTACTGAATCTCCGACGCGTGATCCTCAACACGCGTGCGCAGTGATCCTCAACACGCTTCCCTTTTCAGCGTTTCAATTTTTTTAAAGCTTTTTATTTCATTCTATGATATCATCGCTCAATTCCTTTCTCCTTCGCGGCCTTCTCTTCTCTCTCATCTCTGCCCTTCTTCTTCTCCCTCCTGACTCCTTCTCCCTGCTTTTCCCTCCCTTCTAGCCCCCGTCCGCGCCTCCTATCCCTCTCTATCTACCCCTCCACCCCGCCAACCCCGCGACGCGACGCCGGCCATTTTCAAAAAACCATGTCCACCTCCTCCGGCTTCGACAGCGACTCCTCGCTCTCCCCGCCCCCGGCCCTGCTCTCCTCCCCGGTCCCCGCATCAAAGCCCAAGACGCAGTCGCGCCCGCGGAAAAATCGCCAGGCCACTCTCGACTTCCGCCCTCAGCCCGTCGCGCCCCGCGTACCCTTCACCGACCGCCCGCGCGACGAAGACATCTTCGCCGCCGCGGTCGCGGCCTCAAAGGCCGACCCTGTGTCCTCCGACGCGCAGACAAAGTCGCAGGACGGTCAGCCGTCGAAGTTCTCCTCGGTCCTGGACGAGATCATGTCTGATGACGACGACGACGCGGGCTCCACCTCCTTCAACTCCAGCACTATAGGCAGCAGAAACCCCAAGAGCAGGTCTCGAGGCGGTCGCAAGCCCGCGGCTCGCAAGCAAAATACCTCATCCCCCGCGCCTGCTGTCGTCAAAACTCAGCGGCGGCCGCGCAAACCAAACACCACAAAACTGGCGAATCCTATATTCAAGCACGTCTCGACGCCGTCCTCGGCTGGCGGCAGTGCCGCCCCTTCTCCTCTCGCCTCCAGCATCGCCAGTCCGGCACCAAGTGCGAGCGGCGATGCCGCTGCCGGTTCGTCTTCTGGCGAGCTTTCGTCTCCGCCTTCTGACTTTGAACCCGAATTTCTGCTTAACAATTCTGATCTTGACGATGAGGGCGATGACGATGAGGAGGACGACAAAGCGGTTCCAGACGCGGTAAAGAGTGAGTCCCAAGCAGAAGACCAAAAACCGAGCGATGGCAAAGAGAATTCTGAAACAAAGAAGCCTGAGCGCAAACGTCTGATTCCAAACCCGCGTGAGCCAATGTACGCACCCGAGATCTCGTTCCTGGTCATGTTTCGTGCGCGATTCGCCGAAGTCTACGCGGGCTTCCCCGATCTCGGCCCGCAGGATTTCGAAGAAGGTCTTGTTTCATCGCCTGCGAGTCCCGCGGTACTCGGCTTCCTCTGCCGCACGCTCTCGCTCGTGCTCAATCGCAAGAAGAACGTCGAGCCAGCGCATTTTGCGCGGCCGATGGATGAAGCAGTTAGTACCTATGGACCTGCGTACTGGGGGCCGCTGAACCCCACCGGTCCGTTTGTCGGTGGACTGACGTTCCACACAATGACCTGGGAAGCGCGGCTGGAAGTGCTTGTCGCGCTCGTGCATTGGTCGCTGACTGCGAGCGAGGCTGTTCGTCAGGTGCTTGTGCAGGGGTACTCGCAACAGCGAACTGACGACGACAGCGCTTCGCCGCTCGCTGTGCTTCCTATTGGTCTTGATTCCGAGCGAAAGCGATATTACCTCATCGAGGGTGAAAGTGGGTATTCTCTGGTTTTTTACTTATTTGTTCTTTCGAATACTGACTATTGAATATAGACGACACGCGCTTCCGGCTATTCTGTGAAACCAACCCTCGCCAACGCCTCGTGAACTGGACCCCAGTCGCGAGCACCTTCGCCGAATTCAAAGAATTTGTCGACAAGCTCTCCGAAACCGACACGTCGCGCAACGCTAAAGCGCTGGTCGAGAGTCTGACGGAGGAGCTGCCGCGTCTCGAAGCCAGCGAACTTAAGCGGCGGAAGCGGGATCAGCGCATGCTGAAGCGGCAGTATGACGAGATGCAGGCTGCGGATACGGGTCTGTATAGCGGGCGCACGCGCGGGAAGAAGGTGAATTATACGAATGACGGGGGAGTTGTCGGGGAAGAGGAAGAAGAGGACGAATACGGAGACGAGGAGGAGGAGGAGGAGGTTGAGCGGAAAGCAAGCGCGACCAAAGTGTATACCACCGCTTCCGGGCGCGCGAGCCGAAAACCTCCTGTTCCTGCTGCGTTCATCGATCCGGGCGTGCCCGACATCAGCGACGAAGATACTGCCGAGTCATCATCCAAGCGAGAAGTGCGCAAGACTGCCTCGGCCGGTCGTCAGCAGTACGTGTACCCCAACGGCGCGGAGGAGGATGACGAAGATAAGGACGTGTTTGTCGACGCAGAGAAGCCGTCGCTTACTGTTGTTCTCAAGTACAGGAAAACAAATCGGGATATCCCGATGACGGACGTAGCACCCGCTCCTCAGGCAGTCGCTCTCGAGAGCCGGTGAATTGAATCTGTTTTCATCTAGTTGTTTATGTGTATGTGTATGTGTATGTGTATTTGTGTGTTGTTTGTGTGTTTGTGTTTGTAGGGGCGTGTGTATATTACCATATTGCATTAAAACTCATTGTCTTTTATTCAGTCATTGTGCAGTAGTTCGATTATAGTCTATATCTGATCTTTTTGGTGAATATATGGTTGAAAGCTGGTATCGTGTTGACGAGGTGGTGGGTGTTCAGTAGGTTTTATCATTTTTTTTATTGATTTTTTTTAGTCCATGGATTTGTTGAATATCAAATAATCAACTCAGCATTATATCACAACCATCAATTCGTTTATTATTGGTCTCTACACAAATCCTCTTATCGCACACTCATAATTTCTATAACTATTACTTCAACAGTCTCTCAAAAAACGAAATCAAACCCACGAATAATATAGTAAACAAAAAAACCTACGACACAGTCGTCGGTGATTTTCTGTAAATTTTTTTATATCATGCACTATACTATGTAAAATAGGAATATGAAAACTAACTACAAAAAATAGTATAATATAAGAAAAGATAAAAGATAGCAGAAAGATATATAGATAGATATATAGAAAGACAAGAAGAGTTTACGCGGTAGCAGCATGTCGGGTACATGACTTGAACAGGACTATACTACGAACCCGGCACCCTCTCAGACATCAATCACACAAAAAAGAGGTTTTTACAACAAGTCGTACTTGACAAACTCCTCGTACAAAGTCTTTCCGAGACGAGCAGGCGACTTCTCGACCGCAACACCAGCAGCGGTCAAGGACGCGATCTTGGATGAAGCACCGCCCTTACCTCCGGAGATAATGGCACCGGCGTGACCCATTCGGCGGCCGGGGGGAGCAGACACACCGGCGATGAAGGAGCAGACGGGCTTGGGCTGGGCGCGGGTCAAGTTGTACTGCTTGAGGTACTCGGCGGCCTCTTCCTCGGCCGAACCACCGATCTCACCGATCATGATGATTCCGTCGGTTCCGTCGTCCTCAAGGAAGACCTTGAGGGCGTCGATGAAGTTGGTGCCCGAGAAGGGATCACCACCGATTCCGATGACAAGGGACTGGCCGAGACCGACGTTGGTGGTCTGGTTGACGGCCTCGTAGGTGAGAGTGCCGGAACGAGAAACGATGCCAATGCGCCCGCGCTTGTGGATGTAAGAAGGCATAATTCCAATCTTGCATTGCTCCGGAGCACTGAGTGATATGTCAGTATCGTGGATTCTGATGTATAAGAAGAGAAGAATTTCAGAGGTGAGCGTACATGATACCAGGGCAGTTAGGACCGACCAAGCGGGTCTTGCTCTGGGTTTTCAACATGTCGACCACGCGAACCATGTCGTGTCTACAACAGTGTTAGCTATCTCCATCCAAATAACTAAAATCTGCAGAAATAAAGGTACGTACTGGGGGATTCCCTCAGTGATGCAAACGACCAGCGGAAGCTCAGCAGCAATGGCCTCTTCGATAGAAGCCGCAGCGAGAGGGGGAGGGACGAAGATAGCAGAGGCCGAAGCTATACATAAAAACCAACTTAGCATCCGAATTGAGTCGAGAGATAGTCGCCAAGTAAACACTCACCACCAGTCTCCTTGACTGCCTCTTCAACGGTTCCGAAGATGGGCAGACCCAAGTGGGTCTGACCAGCCTTCTTGGGGTTGGTTCCACCGATGACTTTGGTTCCATATTCTATGGCCTGCGTAGCATGGAAAGTACCCTGTTTGCCAGTGAATCGTATAGCGGCGGAAGAAAAAAGCGTTAGGACTGGTGAGGCGAAATGATGGACGAGAGAGAAAAAAAAAAGAGCGCGCGCGAGAGAAGTGAAAAACAAAACGTGAAAACAAAAACAACGAAGAGAAAAAGAGGGCAAAAAGCACTATAAAAGCACGGATGAGAGCAATTGAATGCAGCTCGTGAATATACAATAAAACAATAAAATACGATGCAATTGAGTGAGTGTCGAGGACTCGGAACTCAGCAAGAAAGGAATGCCTCGGATGTGGGGACGAAGCCCCTCATCCATCCGGACCGACGCGGCGCAGGAAAGAGATAACAGAGGGAAGAGGAGGAGGCCACTTATCTTGGAAAAGGACCTTGGTGTCGGCGTTGATTTTGAGGTTGTTGACGGTGTCTTCGTAGCCGGCACGAACGGAGGACGAGGAGAAAGCGCGGCGGGAGACACCGGCGAGACTGTGAGGGCAGAAGAGGAGGAGGGGTCAGTCGGCAAGCGCCAGATGATCTGAAAGGGCCCGAGAGGGGATTTTAGGGGAGACTCACGAGGCACCTTGGCGCGCAGCACGGAGAAGATGCATTGTAGAGGTATAGAGAGAGACAGAAGGAGGAAGAGGAGGAGATGGGGAGGGGACGGGGGATGGGGAAGAGGGAAGGAGAGGAAGAGCGAGAGGAGGCGGTGAGTGCCTGAACCGGGATTGCGGCGAGCGTTCATTGGAAGCCTGCCGGATGTCCGTCTCGTACGAAACCCTGAGGGATGTCAGTCAGCACTTATCGAGTGGATTTGGTCACAACTGTCTGGTTTCTGCTGCATTTACTTGTAGCAATTATTGATTGATAAATACACAGCTCAATTGCAAGAAATAAACAGCATCTGCTGCCGCGAACGTGTTGTGAAAACAGTGCGAGCACCCTCCTCGGATGCTCGCTTGCCGCACTCTTCCGACAGCCCATCGGCAGCCCGCAGCCGTCCAACATCCCACTCGTTTTGTCAACCATCAACAATGATTTTGCAGAAACAAACAGTTCAACTTTTATTCGTCTTTTTGACAATCACTTATATATATACCGAATCTACTAAATTAACAACAACAGAGAGATATCTCTATCGACATAATACCATCCAATCCCTCCCTTTTTTTGTCTTTTGTCCAAAAACAAACACAAATCCGTAGTAATCTCATACACCCTCTTTCCTTTTTACTCTCTCACTCTCCCTCTCCTATCTACACGCTCTCCTCACGCTTAGTACAGCAGACGCGTCAAGATCTTGAACGGCGTTCGCTCGAGCTTGTCGTACAGCTCGCGGATGTCCTCGGCATTGACGCCCGAGATATCGGCCATCAAGTACGCGATGTCGCCCCGCGACTCGGAAAACTGCTTGTCGATGTTGTGCTCGGCAAAGATCTCGTTGACGGTGCGGAGCACACCGGGCACGTTCGAGTGCACGTACAGCACGCGCACATGGTTCTCGTCCTCGAGCGTCAGCGAGCGAAGCGACACCTCGGGGAAGTTCACCGCGCCGATCGTGCTGCCCTCGTTGATGTACTTGATCAGCGCCTGGCCGACCTCGACACCGATCGCCGACTGCGCCTCCTCGGTGCTGCCACCGATATGCGGCGTCAAAATCAAGTTCTTGAGCTTGCTCAGCGGCTCGAACCACGCGTTCAGCGCAGTGTCAAAGTACGGGCCGTTCTTCGCCGGCTCGTTCGGGTACACATCCAGCGACGCACCCGCAAGCTTGCCCGTCTTCATCGCGTCAATCAGCGCCGGGATATCGACAACAGTGCCGCGCGAGCAATTGATCAGATAGCTGCCGTTCTTCATCGCTGCCAACTGCGGCGCGCTGATCATGTTCTCGGTCTCTGGCAGGGCAGGCACGTGCAAAGTCACAAAGTCGGCCTCCCTGCACAGCTCGTCGAGCGTGTTGACCTGCTTCGCCATGCCGAGCGACATAATCGGCAGGACGTCGTAGTACACTACAGACATGCCCATCGACTCGGCCAAGACAGACAACTGCGCACCAATGTGTCCGTAGCCCACGATTCCGAGTGTCTTGCCACGGATCTCCCAGCATCCAGCGCTGACCTTGTTCCAGATTCCCTGGTGGAGCTCGTTGGAGCGGTCGGTGAACTGACGGGCGAGCGCAATGATCTCGCCAATCACTAGCTCGGCAACCGATCGCGAGTTCGAGAACGGCGAGTTGAAAACCGCGATTCCGTGCTTGGCGGCCCATTCGAGGTCAACCTGGTTGACGCCAATGCAGAAGCAGCCAATGACGACGAGGTTACGCGCCTCTGCCATCACCCTCGCTGTCAGCTTGGTCTTTGAGCGAATACCAATAGCGTGAACGTCCCTAAGCTGTCGTGTTAGCTATGCTAGTTCTTTCAACGCACGAAATAAAAATAACATGCAAGTCTGCAGTCCAAATACACACCTGATCTTCTCAATGAGCTCGTCCTCGTTTAATGAAGTCTTGTGGAACTCAACCTGGTAGCCCTGAGACTGGAGCATCTCAACCGCAGCCTGGTTCACGTTCTCCAGCAGCAAGATCTTGATATCCTCAGTCGCAAACGGCTTGAGCAGCTTCGGCGCCGGCGTCTTCATCGACGCGCGACGGCTCGCAGCAGCAGGGAAGTACGACGACGGCGGCGAGCCAGCGAATTGACTGGGAGACCCGCCCGGCATGAAAGAAGCCGAGGGCGAAGTGCTCATCTTCACCGCGTTCTGGAACTGATTCGACAGCTCGGAGTTGATGTATTTAGGCGACGTCATTGTTGATTCTTTGCTGTATTGTTCCTTTTTCCGTTGCAGTGTATGCGGATGCCTGGAAAGTGGAAAGATGGGGAAGAGGATGGAGCGCGACTGGCGATGTATTTTTTTCTGCGCCTCGAAGAAACTGCTTGCAAGAGTCAGCGCCACCAGCCTCACGTGGCAGTGCAGTCGATTGCGCCATAATTGTGCACAGCCACTTTTCTGTTTTTTATTTCATGTTTTGTTAAACAAATGTACGGATTGTATGTGTATATTATATTAGAGAACAGAAAGAGTATATTAGTTGGATAATGGTTGTATAGTTATATAGCTATATCTACACTCAACTGTTATCATTGCTATCTCACAATCACCTCCGACTCGTCTCAGACTCTTAGACGAGCTCGATGACTCTGCAACTTTATCCAAAATCTTCCTGCTTCTGGATCTGGCTCGACTCCGGGGCATTCATTCACTTTATAGTATCAGACAAACAGCAGCATTCAATTAGCATATATGTGTCTATGCATATATATAGACAGATTGATTTATACAGTAATGAAACAATGACAACGTAACAATCAAAAGCACTCGCTCATTCATCATCTCCTTCACCGAATTTTTTCAACAATTATTTCGTCTCCTACTCGCTCCCACTCTGTCTAACTACAATCGGACTGAGCCAACGCACAACACTGACTTACGACTGCTTGCACTCAGCAGCCTCCTGCTTCGGCTTAGCATCTCCGTCCTCGTCGTCATCGTCGTCGTCATCGTCGTCATCATCGTCATCAACATCATCCTCATCATCGAAGTCATCCAAGTCATCCGGGTCAAAGTCGTCAAAGTCAAAGTCAAGCGCCTTGCCCGTGTACCAGTCAATCGCACGCGGGATCAACTTGTCCTTGATCTCCTCTCCGAGGTGGTAGTCGAGCTGCAATCTCTCCTCGAGGTCCTCTGGGATATCCTCGTCATCCTCATCCTCGGGCGCAATAGGCGGGCTGAAGAAGTTGAAGAAGCTCTCGGTCGGGATAACCTTCTCGACCGTGCGAGTGGCCTTTGTGTGCTTATTTCTCTGCTTCTTCTTCTCAATCTTGACCGTCAAGTTCTTGTTCGCCTTCCACTCAATCTTGTCGCCATCAGCATGGTCGTAGATGTAGTCTCCATCAGGAGTGGTCTCATCCTGATAGTAGTATGTCTTGGTGAGAGTCTTGTTGGTGAAGAACTCGTTCTCAGCAAAGTCAAACAGCAGCTTGAATCCAGGCTGGTCAATGAACTCCGAACGAATGTCAACAAGGTACTTCAGAGCCTCCTCGTCCTGCTCAGTGATAGTCTCGGCAATCAAGGGAATGTTCTTGATAGCTGTGAGCCAGAACTCGGGAATACCCTTGGCATCAGCAGGAATTGGCGACTTGAATTCCTCCTCGTCCTTCTCCTCATCCTCCTCCTCCTCCTCTTCCTCCTCTTCCTCCTCATCCTCCTCCTCTTCCTTGCCAGCTTCTATCTCTGCCTCGGTAGGCTCCACTTCACCAGTGATAATCTTTGAACGCTTCTCAAACAGAGGCTTGTACTTGGCAGCGTACTTCTTCTCCAGCTCGAGGCTCTCTTTTCTGAATTCGCTCTCGAGATCGGCATACTCCTTCTGGAGTCCCTTGAGACCGGTGACACGGTTGCGGACCGGCGCGGGCAAGGTCTCAATGTAACCCGACGATCGACCGACGAGACCACCGAGCTTTCCCTGAATCATCGAGATCAGGGCAGGGTTGTTAAGACCAGCGACGACAGCAGCTTTGTCTGTAGACATGATGATTAAAGATTAGCACTCAAACGTCTGGTTAATAAAAGGAGATGTGCTTTCTGGCAAGAGTGCTTCAGTCGTGCTGGAGTCTTTTAAGTGTGCAAAAGTGATTGCGGTGCCCACTGGCGACAAAAGTCTTCCTCCCAACAAAAAAAATAATGAGCGCGCCGCCACAACTGAGAACCCAAATCTGCGATTAGAAAGGGATAAACTTGCTCCGACGCTCCGACGGCCGGAAATAAAAGGAGCCGATCTGTAGATCGCCCATGACGAAAAAACAGTAGAATGCCTGCGGAGAAGTGGCCGGGTGGTGCGTTGCGGAACAGAGCCGGTGTAAATTTGTTGATGGGGACGGATGACAAAATATGGGGCGAGCTAGCTACACGCGCCAGCTGGAGACATAGTCGCAGGTGAAGAGCAGCACAATACTCCAGCACACAAAAAAGCCGTTCAAAGCCACTGAAGCACTTCTATACCATGAAGAAACAACACTGTGAATAGTTTTAACATACCTTCCTCCTGGATGGTGTTGATTGTGGGCAAGGAGGCGTGCGAATCGATGTACGAGTTCGTCGCAGTCGCGGGGGTGTTCTGGGGGGTGGGCGCACCCGCGGCGAGATCGTTCAAACGCTTGTTTCTGATCGGTTCGGCCATGATACAGGTTCGAGAGACAACTTGGGGGACAGCAGAGGCCGGGATCGAGTGGTAGAGCAGGAAGATGAAGCTGGTGTGGAGGCGACTGTGAAGGCGAAAATTCAGCACGCGCGATTGTTGGGTGCCCTAACCCGGCGGATAAGTTACCCGCCTGCAGTGTTGTGGGGTGGATAAAGCGAAGGGTGTAGTGGATATAGACAGATAATAGATCCGTGTGAAGTAGTCCAAAACAAGACTTGGACAGCACACAAACACCCACACTTCCGGCTCTAACCATCAAAACACCACCGCACCGCTCAGGGCGCGTCGCGCCTGGTTCTGTGCCCCTTCAGTTGTCTCGCGCATCCCCTGCAGCCACCAACCAGCCGCGTTCCTGTCTTCCTCGTCGTGTCCTTTTGCATCACTCTCTTCCTCTGCGCTCACGTCTTCCTCTTCAGCAGCAATGGTTTCGCACTACGAGATCGGAACGTATGACTCTCTCCCCATCCCGCCTCTTCCTCTTCCTCCTCTATCACAGCGCTTTAACGCGTCTCCTTTTCCCGAACCTCGTCTCTAACTTTCATCGCTCTAGGCGCTGCTGGCAGCCTGACGACAGCGAAGGCTGGGTCTCTGCCGAGATCACCTCCAAAGAAGTCGACGGTGATAAAGTCTCTCTTGTTCTCACTCTCGAGAACGGAAACGTATGAATCCCTCTTCCTTCCAGCCGCTGTACCTCAATATCGGCCCTCTTTCATCTGCCACCGCCCCACATTGTTGCTGATATACCCTTTGTTCTCTTTTCAGACGAATACAGTCACCACCACCCTTAAGGACATCGAAGATGAAAACAATCCGAGTCTTCCTCCGCTTTCCAACCCTCCCATTCTCGAGGCAAGTGAGGATCTCACCAATCTTTCGTATCTGAACGAGCCTGCTGGTATGTCAATATTCACTATTTCCGCCCCCTGGATTTTCTCGATCACTGAATCGGCGAATCACCCATCACATATTACTCTACTATTTGCTAACAACCTCCACCTCTGCAGTCCTCCATGGCATTAAGATGCGTTACCAGCAGCTCAATATCTACACCTACTCCGGAATCGTCTTGATCGCTACAAATCCTTTCCAACGTGTCGATAATCTCTACTCTCCCGATATCATTCAGATGTACTCTGGCAAAAGACGCGGCGACTTAGAGCCGCATCTGTTTGCAATTGCTGAGGATGCGTACAGGTATGTGCTATCAGTATATTTTTTTTACGCGTCGGCTTCAAAGAGTTTCGCTACTAACAAACTGCGGCTTTGCAGATGCATGATTCGCGACGAAAAGAATCAGACGATTGTGGTTTCGGGTGAATCAGGTGCCGGAAAGACCGTGAGCGCGAAGTTCGTTATGCGTTATTTCGCGACCGTCGAAGATTCCGACAAGCCAAGCAGTAAGCGCACAAAGTCGGCTGCCCTCAGCAAAACCGAAGAACAGATTCTTGCGACAAATCCAATCATGGAAGCGTTTGGTAACGCAAAGACCACTCGTAACGATAACTCGTCCCGATTCGGCAAGTACATTGAGATTCTGTTCGACAGCAATCCCGATATTATCGGCGCAAAGATCAGAACCTACTTGCTCGAGCGCTCGAGATTGGTGTTCCAGCCTGCTACCGAGCGTAACTACCACATCTTCTACCAGCTTTGCGCCGGTGCTACCGACGAAGAGCGAGAGGAGCTGGCCCTCAAGCCTGTTGGAGAGTTTCAGTATCTCAACCAGGGCGGAGATCCTGTGATTCCGAACGTTGACGATGCGGAAGAGTTCAATGCCACTAAGACTGCTTTGGCTACTGTCGACATCGACGCCGACATGCAAGCGCAGATTTTCAAGATTCTATCGGCCTTGCTACATATCGGAAACATCGAAATCACCGCCGGACGCACTGATGCTAATCTGTCCTCAACCGAGCCATCGTTGGTTCGCGTTTGCGAGTTTTTGGGAATCGACGCGTTCTTGTTTGCGAAATGGATTACAAAGCGCCAGATTGTCACGCGAAGCGAAAAGATTGTCACAAACATGAACTTCAAGCAAGCCGTCGTCGTTCGTGACTCTGTATCCAAATACATCTACTCCGCTCTCTTTGACTGGCTCGTTTTTGTTACCAACAAATCATTAGCGTCCAAAGAAGTCGAGGATGCCGCGAAGAACTTCATCGGTGTTTTGGATATTTACGGTTTCGAGCATTTCCAGCGCAACTCCTTCGAGCAGTTCTGTATCAATTATGCCAACGAAAAGTTGCAGCAGGAGTTTACGCAGCACGTCTTCAAGCTCGAGCAGGACGAGTATATGCGCGAGGAGATCGAGTGGACTTTTATCGAGTTCTCTGACAATCAGCCGTGCATTGATCTAATCGAAGCTCGTATCGGAATCCTGTCTCTGCTAGATGAGGAGTCGCGATTGCCTGCCGGCTCAGATGAGTCTTGGATTCAGAAGCTCTACACCAACTTTGATGTCGACAAGCACAAGACTTACTTCAAGAAGCCAAGATTCGGAAAGACTTCATTCACCGTGCACCATTACGCCATGGATGTCAATTACGAGTCAGAAGGCTTTATTGAGAAGAACAGAGATACTGTGCCGGATGAGCATCTCGAGCTGCTGATGTCCTCGACCAACTCCTTCCTGAAAGAAGTTCTCCAAGCTTCACTTGACCTTGCAAAGGCTGAAACTCCTGCCCCGGCAGCTGCAGCCAAGCCCGGTCCCGCGAAGCGCGGTGGTGCTCTGGCCAACAAGAAGCCTACGCTTGGCGGTATCTTCAAGAGCTCTCTGATTGAACTGATGAACACGATCAACTCTACTAATGTTCACTACATCCGCTGTATCAAGCCCAACGAGCAGAAAGAGGCGTGGAAGTTCGATGGACCTATGGTTCTCAACCAGCTGCGAGCCTGTGGTGTGTTGGAGACGATTAGAATCAGTTGCGAAGGTTTTCCTACCAGGTCCACATTCGAGGAGTTTGTCAACAGATATTACATGATTGTCCACTCGTCAAACTGGAACAGACCGATCAGCGAATTCGCACACGCCATTCTAGAGAAATCAATCACTCAAGAGAACAAGTATCAGCTTGGAAAGACAAAGATATTTTTCCGCGCGGGTATGCTGGCTCTGCTAGAAAACATGCGCTCAGCTCGCTTGAACGAATGCGCGGTCTTGCTGCAGAAGAATCTCCGGCGGTTATACTACCGCAATGAGTATCTGCGCACGCGGAACTCAATCATCGCGGCTCAGACAGCAATCAGGGGTTACCTCACGCGGCAGCGAATGGAGAAGATCCGCTTGGATACCGCTGCTACGAAGATCCAGAGCGTGTGGCGTGGTTACCATGGTCGTACCACCTATCTCGCCAACCGGGCAGCGGTCATCAAAGCCCAGGCGATCATTCGTGGATACAACACTCGCAAGAATTTGCTCAAGGACAGAGAGAATGGCGCAGCCCTCACTATCCAGCGCACGTACCGTGGATTCGCAGCTCGCAAGTCATACAAGAGTGAACTACGAAACATTACCATTGTGCAGAACCTTTGGAGGAAGCGGCTGGCGAAGCGGGAGCTGGAGCAGCTGAAGGTGGAGGCTCGGTCGGTTAACCATCTCAAGGAGGTCTCGTATCACCTTGAGAACAAGGTCGTCGAGCTCACTCAGACTCTCGCCACCCGGACACAGGAGAACAAGAAGCTCTTGACCCAGATTGACCAGCTGGAATCGCAGCTGACTTCCTGGCAGGAGAAGCACGACTCTCTCAAGTCCTTGGCTGCCGAGCTCGAGACCGAGGCTGCCGGTGCTAATGAGCACTTGAAGCGTGCTGATGAGTTGGAAACTAAGCTTGATCAACTGAAGCAGAAGTACGACGAGTCCCTGAACAAGTTCCAAGCAAAGGAGGTTGAGGCGGAGGAACTCCGAAAAGCTTTGGCTGACAAGTCTGAGAAACTCGAGGTTGCTCTTGAGGAGTCGCAGAAGGAGAAGGAAGAGATCGAGGCTAATTTGACGAGTGAGATTGAGAAGCTCAAGCTTGAAATCGAGAAGCTTGCCGCTCATCCTCCGGCCACAAACGGCCAGATCGCGGGCATCAACGGCGATTCTCGGGGCATCAACGGAACTCCCACTTCAGCCAATCTTCTTGCTCTGCAGGGATCAAAGTCGAAGCCTCACAAGCGTCACAGTATGGCTGGCAACAGCCCGATGAAGGACACCGACTCTGTCGAGTTGCGCACGCCGAGAGATTTCAACCCTCGCCCGGCTTCGATGACTTCGTCGCCAGGTCACTTTGCGGCCTTCGGTGATTCTGGAAGAGATGAGTTCTCTATTGAAGAATCTATTGACTCTGATATTGAGAAACTGCTTGATCGCACTGATGTCATTCATCTGGAAGTTCTGCGCGGCCTTATTACAAATCTTAAGATTCCCCAACCCACAGGAGAGAACCTCGCGAATGAGAATGAGGTGCTGTTCCCGGCTCATATCATCAACTTGGTCACCTCGGAGATGTGGAGATTGGGCTTTGTGAAGGAGTCGGAGTTGCTGCTTGCTGGTGTTATGCAGACCATTCAAGAGCAGGTCATGTCGTACCAGGGCGAGGACATCATCATGCCCGGAGCCTTCTGGCTGTCTAACGTCCACGAGATGCTCTCGTTTGTGTTCTTGGCTGAAATGAGTATCATTGAGAATAAGAACGCGAGCGGGATGGGCGAACTGGAATTTCAGGAGTACGAGCGACTCGTGACGCTTGTCAAGCATGATTTCGAGAATCTCGAGTTCAACATCTACCATACCTGGATGAAGGAGCTCAAGCGCATGATGGTGAAAATGATCCTTCCAGCTGTTATTGAGTCGCAGTCGCTGCCTGGTTTCGTTACCAACGAGGGCAACCGATTCCTGAACAAGGTTCTGGGTCAGAGCGGACCCCAGTACAAGATGGACGACCTGCTCGACTTTTTGAACCGTGTGCAGAAGGCTTTGAAGGCGTACTATCTCGAGCATGATGTGACGCGACAGGCCGTTCTGGAGCTCCTCAAGTTGGTCGGTGTCACTGCCTTCAACGATCTTCTTTCTCGACGAGGATTCCTGTCGTGGAAGCGCGGTCTGCAGATCAGTTACAATATCACACGCATTGAAGAGTGGTGCAAGGCCAACGACGTGCCCGAGGGTACTCTCAAGCTCGAGCATCTCATGCAGGCGACTAAGCTATTGCAGCTGAAGAAGGCTACACTAAACGATATTGCAATCATCTATGATATCTGCTGGACTCTGACGCCCACCCAGATTCACAAGTTGATCAGCCAGTATCAATGCCAAGATTACGAGGTGCCAATCAGCTCTGAGATCATGAAAGAGATTGCCAAGCGCGCGATCGACAACGAGCATGATACTTTGCTCCTTGAGACCGTGCCGCTAGATGACAGTGGTCCATTTGAGATTGCGGAGCCCCGAGATTTGCTTGTCCTCGAGACATACATGCCTGGCTGTGAGTTTTCCTATGTTCTGTGTTGTGGTTCACTTATGATTCTAACATGTGTTTTTTATGATAGGGCTGCAAGTTCCGACACTGAAGAGACTGGCTTCGCTGACCGCACGAAACTCACAAATCTAAATAATCGAAGATCCTCATTAAGAAGCCGAATTTCGATCGATTCCATTCGGAGGACAGTCTGATGCTGTCTTACCAGGCATCTTTGTCTATACCTTCATCTTAAATTACTTCATACTTTGTTATTTTGATCCTTTTGTACATTTTTGACAGCTTGGTATCCTTATGGCGCAGACATGCGTTCTGGCGTAATACACGCGCGCGTCGTTGTCGATTCTGCGTTACTGTGGTTCGGCCGCCATTTGGATTCTGGTGATGATTTTCTATGATTATGAATATTGCTACTTTTTGATAATCCTACATATTTCTTCGAAATACCTATAGAGTTTTAGTAATCAAATTAAAGAAGAATGGTAAGATCTATGTGGTTTCATTATGAAATGAGACATTATAAGGTGTAGATCGGAGCTGTGGAAGTGTCGCAGTCATACACGACCCAGTTCTGGATCGGCTGCTGTCGCTGCCCGAGCACATTCAAAATATCTTGAGCCATTGCGCCTCCGATGATTGCAGCGACAGGCGAGATCTCGGCGCCGACGCCGGAAAGGAAAGATTTGACGAATTGGGGGGTGATGATACCAACGGGGAGGCCGAGGTCGCGGGTATTGTTGTGGACGAGTTCCTCGAATGTTGAGAAATCTTCAGGGCTTGGGAGTCTTGAGGTGGTGCTTTGGAAGTCCCACAGGGCTATATAAATAAACAAACAGTGTCGTTAGCTCGAAGAGGTCCGAGAATAAAAGATAGTTGTAAATCTGGAAACTAACCTCTGAACGCAGGTAGCACTGGAGACACTTTAAGCTGACTCCGAGCTCTCAGCTTCGAGAGACTATCAGACTTTAGCGACTCTGCTAATGGCTTGTACACCTCCTTCTTTGTGACCACTTCTTTCAGCAGCTTGCCATCGCCCTTTTTCAGTTTCACGTCAACGACAGAGCGCGTGCTCGTCTCGGGCCCGAGTTTAGTCGCCGAGTTGGACTGATCTCGCTCGCTAGAATTGAGTTGCGCGCGTTAGCAACCTGAGGGGATATACTGATGTAGTATGCGCGCGGTCACTTACAAGGAGAACGAGTGCTCTATCAAATCAACAAAGATGTAGCCATAGAGACCGCTCATGCCTCCAGCGTAAAAGCATTTTGAGTATTTGCGGCAAGCTTCATTGATTGTAATCTGTCATTGCCTAATTAGCAAAATTCACACTCACCTGCTTCGTTACAGAAGCTACAATCCACGATACTCACAAGTTCAGAGGCGGCGAGTTCTGTGGCCACCACGATGTCAAATTTTGAGAAATACTCTGCGTCTTTTGTCGTGATATCAGAGGTATCAGCCGTGACGATAACGCGCGTATTGAGCTTTTGTATCCGCGGCACAGCTGCCTCAGCTCTCTGTAAGAAGTCCACATTAGCACACAAAAAAGATCAATCTAAAGACATCGGGGAGCGATTGTACGTTTTTGCCAACGTCAGATTCCTCTAAGAAGAACTGAGCGCCGAGATCAGGCGGAGTGACCGTTGCGCTGTCGAGCACCGTGAGAGATCCAATGCCCGCCAAGACGATATTTTTCGCAATTTCGTTGGACAATGCACCAGCGGTGATCAAGAGCACATTTGCTTCCCGCATTCTGCAATAGCAGTACATTAGTGGAGCTCTCTAGACCTGGACGATGGACGGAATCAGCTGGACTTACCGCGTTTGGGCCGCGATACCCCATAGTCTAATTTGCCGATCATATAGGGCGATTTCATCTAGATTTATCGTCAGTTAGCAAACATAGTCCATGTAGCTAAATTGCAACGACACACGCACCAGCTGAAATCTTCTTGTCGTCCGTCATGGTTGTCTACTCGCGACTGAATATCCAAATCCCCCAGCTCGCAGTAACAACGCGATGCCCTCGAGACGCGTCCGCAGCGTATATTCCAGTCCGCCTGCGTGGCCTGCAGACCGATTTAGGGCAAGGGCTCATCACTCGCCGAGAGCGGCCCTTATAGAGGCCGACGACGGCCAGTGATTATCCAGCCAGCACGACTCCAACCGCGACTATGAGCTCAGATTCGTCTATTAATGTCTCTCGAATATCACTGCCGCTTCCGCAGCAGATTCTGGACGGGTATGTCTTTTTATATTGTGGTTGAGGAGTGTTATTGGAGTTGTGTGAAGGCTGGGAATGAGCCGGCTCTTGATCTGAGCCGTTCACCAGCCGGGGAGATGAGCTCCCTCAATGTCGCGCGGGACGTGCTAACAAGTGACGAAAATCAGTGAACATATAACAGATGGAATCTCGCCGAATCTCGGGCGACTGCATAGACTTCTCCAAGTGCAATCCAACTCCGACGTCGAGTACCAGGAGTCGTATTCCGAGGCCGCAGACGACGCTCACGACAATGGCTCTGCACCAGCGAGTGCGCAAACTACTTCTCCTTTGGCGGCGGGGGATCACTACCCTGTAATCACCGAGACTCCCTCCATCTATACCCCACAGATCACCTTCCCCCGCAGCGCCCTCCGCCGAAGCAATTCGATCCGGCGGCGGGAGAATACATATCTCGAAAGTCTCTCGAAGCGGCGAAAGCGGGACGGCAAGTCGGTAGAGTCGCTATGGTCTGAGAAACCGGCTACTCTGTCAATGAAGATGATTTATTGTGACGGCGGATGGCATGGCGACAACTACCTGCCCGAGAAGTAAGCTCACCTTTGTCACGACCATTACCGCTTGCACCCATGATCTAACTTGCATTTCCTTATTCAGTGTGCTCCTACGCGACTCCTCCGTTTACTGCGCCCAGAAGTCAAAGTGCAATATGATACTGCGACATTCATCCCATAAACCATTCACCCTGCATTCAATCACAATCAAGGCGCCCACTACCGGTTATACCTGTCCTGTGCAACAAGGTTCGTACTGCTAGCAGAGAATACAGAAGTGATGACTGGACACTAATATCTCCCAACTAGGTCTGATCTTCGTTTCAATGAATAAAGACGACTTGCTTCCCCGTACGAAATACCACGACCAGCAGATCGACAACCTGGCTGAATCGCAGACGCAGCTTCCCGTGTCGAGTAGTGTGGAGTACTCCGCTATGCCACGGTCTCCCCGGATACCCCGCTACGAATTCGGCCAGCCAAACTCGTCGTTTGATTTCTACTGGGGCCGTCCGAATCCGAACCCGTTCAGCTCCGAACCTGGCGATTCACTCTCGTCTGACTTGGCGGATAGCGACCAAGCCGACGTCGAGCACATTGAAGGCCTAGGCTCCGGAGACGATCTCTCGTTCTCAGACTCGGCGTATTATCATGGCCGGCAGTCGTTCCGTCCTTACGCGCAGTACCGCCAAGATCTGGCCCGCTCATCTCTTCGTCACACCCGAGATCGGCTTTTAGATGCGCGCAGACAGCGTCACCGGTCGTTGGCAGGCGACAACACATCTCGCGATGTCCGCATTATCAACACTGAGAATATCACGCTGCCGTCTTACGACATTTCGATCGGTGACGAGCCGAGGACGTCAACAGAAGCACCTCCTACACTCTTCACTCACCCATTGCTACCTACCGATGAAGCTGAAGCTCTCACCCCTTCTCTACCTCATACTGACTCACTGGTTCTGGAGCCTATAGCCAGATTCAAGATCCCGGACAACAAGTCGCGGTGCACAATCGTGTTTGATTCCCCCGTATCAGCATGCTATCTATACATCAAGTTCTACAGCTCTGATCCGAAGCGGGATATCGATATCCAAGGGGTCTACATCAACGGCTTTGTCGGTCCACGGTGCTTTCCAAAGATAAGCCTGCGTTAGTGCAGACACTCTCCATTTTCATTTTATGTTCGTTTTCATTGGGTACAGTTTCGACGGCTTTTCTTTCCAATCATTTATATGGGTTTTTCACTTATCTTGTTTTTTGTTGTCTGGTCAACTCGGTTTTTACTACTACATATCCGGATCTGATATTAAAGGTCATGCTTCTTAGGAGTCGCTGTGCATAGGTTGGTTTGTGAACCGATGTTTAGTTTTGTTTCTTTCCTATTTTATCTTTCCTGCTATGATTTGGATATCGGTCTATTTTCCTCGTCATTAGGTTCTTTTTATTCTGTCTTGGTCTGGGCATTATGGGTTCGGTCGGTGATCATTTTTTCTATTATATTGCTATGCTTGTCATTTACGAATTATTATATTTTGAGAATCAATATCTCTCTTTCTCCATGGGTAAAAAAATATGATTACATATGATAGTGGTAATAAGTATAGACTCAAAGAGAGACGAAATGTATAGAGACTTGATCATCCGCCAGGATATAATGTACAAACAGTCTGTCTACCCCCCAAAGCCTGCCCGTTTAAAGATAAACTGCAGGAACGGCCTGCAAAGAAACAACCACCACATGATCACGATCCGTCTTGATCATTTGTTATGTTTCCTGTTCCTCCGAGACCTTCGTTTAGCACCAGCCGCTTCTTCCCTACCTTCCAGCTCATTACCAGCTCTAGACTCGCCAGGCGTAGATGATCCAGAGCCACTCGGCGCAAGACGGCGGCTATCTTCGCTCCAGGGATCTCGTCGACGGTCGTCCTCCCTCCGTCCCTCGATTCTTGTGCGAAGAGACGGCGGTGGCCCACGGGCAAGAGCAGGCCCACTAGGCGCCAACCTCCCCACGCCAAGTCTAGCTTCACGATCTTGCGCGCGTTCGTCTCCGCGGAGCCGATCCTGATCGCGATTCCTAGCACGCTCTCGTTCCCGTTCTCGTTCCCGTTCCCTTTCACGTTCTCTTTGATTGTTCTGGTCAGTCACAGGAGGACGGTCTCGGTTACCGCCAGGCTCTTGTAGACGCATGCGATCATGCTCCATGATCTGCAAGCGTTCATCGTCTTCACGTCGGCGCTTGCGGTCACCAGGTTTCGTGTTGGATTGAACGGGCTGCATTCTTGCTGGTACGTTATTGGGTCCAGGTCGAGAGACATCAGGTTTCGCAGGCCGTACGTCACGCTTTCTATCACCCATAGCATTTCCTGCCGGTGCACGAGGGGCGTTATTACCACCCACCGTACTCTTGGTGTATACTTCAGGCATCGACGCCGCCTGGGCCGCCGTAGGAGCTGCTTTCGGCTTTGTGTTTTCCTTCGTGCTAGCTCTGTACGACGGTAAATCGAAATCCATATCTGAATCCTCGCCATCGTCGTCGCCGCCAATATCAATTCCAAAATCGTTATAGGACTCCTCTTGCCGCACTGTCTTCTGCTCAGGCTCGGGTTCAGGTTCGGGTTCCGGGTGCGATTCAGACTCAATACTCTCCTCCTCGATTTCAGAAGGCTGCTCTGAGCGGTTTGGGCTCGTTTCACTATGGAAAGGAGGGGTCGCCTGTTCTGGGCCGGGGGATGCTGAGCCATGTCTCTCGTTCGATAAGCTCCTCGAGCGCGAGGACGGGCGAGATTCTTGAGAGCCAGGACTTGATTTTGAAATTTCGCTCGGTACAGCTGAAGCGGGGTCAGAAGGTTGACGTGGTGGGTTGTTTTCAGCCGGAGATTGTTGACTATGAGATGGGCCGTCGTCCGATGCCTTTATCTGTATGCTTGCGCTACCGTCTTTCGAGCCTTTGACTTCAACCTTAGGTTCTTCTCTACGTGTCTGAGCCGGTTCGGGGACACGGGAGCCTGAGGCAGAAGAGCCTTGACCGGAAGCGAGTCCTCCTCGCAAAGGTTGTCGTACGCCTCTGGGCCCAGTCGGAGCACTCACTGGCTCGGCAGTATGGTCAGTCACAGGCATGCGATTATGGCCAGGTCCGTTATTCTCCATCGGATGATTTGCAAACCCGTAGGCATTGTTTGCGTAGTTTTGCGGATCAGATCCGGAGGTGAGTTCTTTGACAGTCGCGGAAATAGGTTGCCGATACACTGGCTCCTCGTATCCGGAGTCGTTCGGGTTCATAGGACCTGCAGAGGGAGGCATGCCTTGTTGTGAATTATAGTAGTTGTACGGGACAAAATTCCCACCGTGGCCTTGCATATGATTCCCATTAAAATTGTTCCGATAAGAGTCGAAGCCGGGTCCACCTCGATTGTCGTATCCATTTCGCATACGAAACCCATCTCCTCGCCTGTAATTGTTGAACCCATTCCCGCCAGGCCCGACGTTGTTGTAGTACGCGCCAGGCTCTTGGTGGAAAACGGGGCCGTGGTCTGGTGTGACGTTGCGTGGGGCACCGGCGAATCGGTTGTTTACTGGATGCATTTGCCGCGTTTGGGGGTTCCAGGCGTTGGAGTGCTGGTCAGGGAGATTGCTGGGACCGTGGACGTTCATTGGGAAATCTTTGACTGGTTAGTAACCTTCCAGACAAGATGCAAAAAAAAGACAAACACCGCAACCATGTCTACACACGGTTCAACAGCTGTGAATCAACGGGGTGGATCTTACTGTTATTATTGCCATTGCCATTCCATGGTCGCCCCGCCATTCCGTAATTTGACATGTGGGCATCTGCATTGACCTCATGGGAGCTCTTATCCGGAAACTTTTGACTGGGAGGCTGACTGCTTGGTATAGGGTGAGTGCGGTCCGAAATTGCTGTGGGTGGTGGATGCGAAGGAGGAGGAGGAGGTGGTGGTATTGTCCTCGGAGGATTGCTATCTTTTGTTGGAGACGACTCTTGTGGTTTTGCTTTATCTGACGCTTCTCCAGATGCATTAGAAGGCGCTGGCGAGACCTTCGCGTCCTCTTTTGACTTGTTTGTTAGCACGTCTCTGGCATACTTCTCGGCATGCTTCAAGAAGACGCCAATTGTAGTCCGCATCGACTTATTCTCAGCAACTACCGAGTTATCCAGAGGACTGTGACCACAACGCGGACATGACTGTGGCAGACTTGTTCTACCTGTTCAGAGCAGCCAATTGGCCCGTATTAGCACTAGATCAGATATTGATGATATTATTCAAAGCAGTGATTTGCACACGTACATGATCCACAGATGCTGATGTTACAGCACGTCAACTTGGACGGATCTCGAGCAAGTTGACTGCATATTCCGCACTTGAGTTTCTCGGGAATTCTAGATTTCGCCTGCTGTCAGTATCGTGCGGAGAATATCTAAGACGGGCAGTACATTGTTTGGACCGAGGCAGGGACTTACACGAGAGTCGATCTGGCCGACTCCATTGCTTCGCGAGCGCACGCCAAAAACTCGAAAGATACACGCAGCCGTCGCTAGAGCAGTAGCTTCAAGAACTATCTTCCTAGACCGCTGTCTGCGTTCTGTGTTGGTCGCTGGGCTGCTAAACCTGATTCATGAAATTCTCCCAGCGCGATGCGAGTAATAACAAAGTTGGCTCTTTGCAGGATGCAGAAGGTTGCAGGTCACGTGTTCAACCACTCGCTTTACAAACGGACTGGTCGACATATCAGCCATCTCTGACGGACTGATGCGTGATGGTTCGTTGCGTGATCTCCCCTTCTGCGAATCCAGCTATGGACAACGTGCCGTCTGGACCGAGTGTAGCATTTGAAGACACAGATTCCGATCTAGCAGCGCGCGGAACGAATGGGGAGCATCATCTGCCCTTCTTTGCGAGCTTACATCTACGCACATCGTCTATACTAGATTCCATGGCGTGGTGTACTTTGCGTCGATCTCGTCGTAGTCGAGGTACTGACACCCGCCGGAATGATACTGCCCTGTCGCTGCAGTCACTTGAAAATCGAGGTAGTCAGAACTTGGATATTCCCCAGCTATCGCTCACATGTGCAACGAACTCTTCTCTTGCCCTAGTCAGTACACAGAATCTGTCTGTCGTTGACGACTCGGAGGACACGCTGCAGAAAAACGAGACTGACTGTGATCCCGTCGACGATTCGGGCCTCTTCGAGGGGAACGCCGAGCTCATCAAGCTAGAGGCTATGTACGATCAATTCAGAATCCAGTACGGAAAGTACCCAAAGATGCTCAGGCTGCGCCAGTTTCTGACTACTATGGCGCCCTCTGAATACCTCCTCACTCCTAGCGCAGTGAAAGCGTATAATGCTGTCCGAAAGATCCTGAGCGAGGACACGACTGTCAAATCGCCTGCAGGATCAAGATCAGTCAGCGCGACAAGCGCGACAACTGCAGCAAGCGACACTGATGAGAAATCTGATACCCCTCTTTCTGCCGAAGAGGTTGCGCTAGAAGCCCAGTTTGCTCGAGTTCTCCGGATCGCGATGCTGACGACTTCCTCTGTCGACGGAGACGATTGCGATACTTCCATACCCAGTATTTTCGAAAGGAGCGCCTCGCTAGATGTCGAAAGCGACGAAGCAAGATCTCCTGTCGCAGACGCAATCATTAAAGACAACAAGCTTGGGTTTTTTGGCGGTATAGGAGAAAGCGAGCATACTGTATCGACTCCGTTAGATGACGGAGCAGCGTATCAGCAACCGATCGACGGTCAAATTTCTGAGCACAAAGGACCTTCTGTCTGTCTCTACTGTGAACATTTCAAATCCAAGCCTGTCGCTACTGCTAAAACTGTTCGCAAGCGTATCGACTCTGCATTCATCTTGGACGAAACAATCAGAGGTGGGGCACGAAAGTACAAGATGCCGCGACGCGGAATCGATATGACTGATGAAGAGATCATAGCTCGAGTTCGAGACGAGCTGCGGTTGATGGAAATCCAGGGGTTCAGGTTCTCCAAAAAGATTGCGGACGTGGAAAGGTGTGAGAAGGCGGTTATTAGGTCTTATAGTAGACGTGAGCTGCGATTTCTAGTTGCGGATCTCAGGAGACGGATCATGAGACTGTATCCTAATCTTTTTGGGGCTTCTTTTCTACACAACGTGGTCACTTCTTCGGCCTGAACTGTCGCTTATATCGCTGTTCTGTTTGGATCTCGTTTTCCGACTGTATCTGTACTTTTATACCAGCAGTGCTCTTTTTGCTACTCTTATAGTTCCGTCTAGTATGATCGGGATCAATAAACTTTTACATATCATTTGAGATAAAGCATGCACAGCTGAAATGCTATTATATATACTAGGCTAGTGATTTATAACTGAAACCTCTCTGGAAATAAGACAAAACAGGAAACCGCACGCAATGTTGAGACAAAGACGAGTAAATGTACATCAAAATAGATAAGAACGTGCAGCAGCAGATTAAAACATATCCTGGTAGTTTCCTCTGTTTGCCGTTCGCGGCTGGGCACGAATGATATTGTCGACTCGAAGCAGCAACTCAGCGGCCTCAGAAGCACTGGAGACAACCGCCTTCTTGAGCTTGTAACTCTCGACGATTCCAGCCTCTCTCATATCAATAATACGACCGTTGTCAAGGTCCAAGCCCGAGGTCGTCATGCCGTTGTAAATAGCCGATCGGAGCTTCGACACAAGCTCGCTCGAGTCCAAACCCGCATTGTCAACCAAGATCGTAGGAAGCTGGCGGAGAGCACGCGCAAAGGCTTCAACGGCAAGCGCGCGCTTGCCGCTCTCGTTCTGAGCGGCGCTGTCGACCGCCTTGGACATGATCATCTCGGCACAGCCGCCGCCCAGAACGGTTCTGGTCTCGACTACGGTCTGCGAGAGGACTGACAAAGCGTCGTGAAGCGAGCGTTCGGCTTCGTCCAGAAGATTCTCGGTCGCGCCTCGCAGGACGATAGTGCACGCTTCGCCGGCCGCAACACCAGAGAATTTCAAAAGCTAGCGTGGTATGTCAGATATTGTATACAGTAGCAAGCCGAAATATTCAATGGGGGAAACATACAGTATCTTCACCGATCATGATCTCTTCAATCAAATCACAATGTCCAAGCTTAACGAGCTCAGGGTGGTCAAAAGTAGAAGCAATCTCACCACCGGTAACAAGAGCTAATCGCTCAATACCATCGAAATCAGCATGCTCGATCGAGACAACACCAGACTCGGCAAAAAGCTGCTCGGGGTAGTTGTAGATCAGCTGCCGGTTGATGAAGCAATTGATGCCGTGCGCTTTGATTTTCTCGACCTTGGCTTTCATTTTTTCCTACACAAAGACGATTAGTATATGCTGTGAACGGGTTGTATGATGATGACGAACTGACCCGTTCAGCTCGCTCGAGCTCTGCCAGTTTGCTGGTAGCATCGACCTTGACACGCGCACCAAAGATCTTGACCTTGTCGGTATCCATGGCTAAATGTAGATGTTAGCTAAGAGCTCTCACTTATTGAGCAGCGTGGTATCCTTACCGGTATTGGCAATTAGAATCTTTGCATTCTCTAATCTCTTGGGCTGGTTGACACCAATTTTCTTATCCATGATAAAACCCTCGTCGAGATAGGAGTCAATCAATCGGCCACCGGCTTTCTTGATAATCTGAATATGATCCAAGTTTGTGCTTCCGTTAAGTCTCAGGACGGCATCAACCGCCAATTCAGCGAAATGATCCTTATCCTGGCTGAGAACCTTTGAGCTCAGAGTCGTCTTTGCAATCGCAATAAGATCTTTTCTGAACGCGGCGGGGTTCTTTCCATTATCGACAGCGGTCTTCTGCAGCGCGTCCAAGGCAGCACTGCTCGCGATTCGGTATCCCTCGATGATGGTCTGCGGGTGAATCTTGTGGTCGACAAGTTTCTCAGCCTCGCGCAGAAGCTCGGCGGCGAGGACGGTGACAGAGGTTGTTCCGTCGCCGACTTCGTCGTCCTGAACTTTTGAGATGTTGACAAGAACCTTCGCGGCAGCGTTATCAAGCGCGATCGACTTGAGGATCGTGGCGCCGTCGTTTGTGACTATAACGTCTCCGGTCGAAGCGGATTGGAGAAGTTTGTCCATTCCCTTCGGTCCCAGGGTTGTCTTTACAAGATCTCCAACAGCAATAGCGCCAACGAATGCGGAAAGACCTGCGGGTTAAGACAAAGGCGTTAGTCGCAACTCTCAGAATTGATGCAATATCGCTCTCAATGATTGGCTATTTGCCACAAGAGGAATGGTATTTGATGAGTACATACGCGCATTCTCAGCTCTCTCCTCCGTGACTTGATCTCCGAAAATCTGGACAGACTATACAACAAAACAAAGGTTAGCACACAGAATCCAGTTTGAATTCTACTCGCAACTGCACAATCAATGTTCTCTGTACCATTTCGAATGCGTGGTTTGTATATGTGCAGAGACTACTGGCGACGCGTTAGTAAGGGAGAAGCACTAAGAAATTTGTGCGCGTCTCTACGTGATTTAAGGTTTAGAAGCCCTGTGGACGAAAAATATGAGAACAGCGCTTTTATCAGTCAGAAGACGATATTACAAATGGATGTAGGTTATTGAGGATGAAGACAGTCAATAGAAGTCTGTAAGGATTGGTATTATTTAGTATTATGTGGTGTTATGTGGGATAAGAGATGATAATACTCAGTGGTCATAGACCACGGTAGGTATAAGTAGAGGATGCCAAATGATAGCAATCAATATATTTAACAATTATGATATTCGTCGGTCCGTAATTCTAGCCTGATTCTGAAAGATGAATCCACCGTCATACACGGTCCCTTGAATGTGGATAATTATATGCTGACAAACACCATATTGACTCTTTTATTTTTGATTATGAAACCACCAATAACGTACACCAATAATGATTCCCGACTTTTTTAGAATACCGTAAACATATCGTAAATGTGAATCGAGACGTTTAGATGTTCAATTTCTTGCGGCGCCACTGTCTTCTCTTGGTGTTGTATCTGTGCGACTTTGTCAGCCAGTGTCCTTCATTCATTCATCATTCGTTTCGACTTGAATTTGATGCATACCTGATGGTGTTGTTGGTCTTCAGTCTGAACCACTGGGGAACACGACCGTCCTGGTTCTGGGCCTTGGCGAGCTTGACCTTAGTTCTGAATGATTTGTGACTCTGGAAGATGCTTGTTAGAACATGGTCGATTGGACGACAGGATGGGCATAGAGATATAGCAGACAACGCCGTTATTCAATCAGACGGACTAAATCATATATCTGATCTATATCCCATGAGAAAACAGCATAGTGGATGTACATACCGGCATTGTGATAACGATCAAAGTCGACTGGAATATCGGAGCCAGATGATGAAGATCCAAATCAAAAGTAGCAGACGCACTCGCGGGAGGAGCGGCGTCTCCTGGCAGGGCTCAGGCAGTTGTTATGTGTGACTGCTATTAACCCTACACTCAACCCTAACTATATAAATTGCATTATATAAGCTATTATGTCATCCATTTAAAATAGTCTGACGGATTGTCTCGTCTTAATAGTGGAGATCTGTCGAGCACCCTGTTTGCCACAGAGAACAGCCACAACGCGGTGCTGATCGCTGTCAACAGCGAGGATTCAGTGATGCGATGACTGTGTTGGATTTGAGTATCATCTGTTAGATCTTTGTTGAAGCAGAGTAGCGCACCTCGACTGCTTCCTCTCGTAGACAGTCTACGCACGAGTGAGAACACAATGAAAACACCCTTCGTGAACACGACAAGCATTAATAGTCAACAGCCAAGCCATATAACCAGCAATAATAGTTGGTACACGGACAAGACAATAACCCGCTCTGTCTGCTCGAGCGAGGTCGTGCGCTGTCAGCATCGCCTTTGTCTTCTGGCAACGAAAGCGGAATCCCCGCACTGAACCGCAAAACACCCCAGATCCTCGCAAACCGCTGCAGAAACAGCAAATAACAAACAAAACGCTCTTATTATCCACGAGTCATCGTCAGCAGTCATCAGCTATCGCTCTCCATCTATTGGGCCCCGCCGTCATTGTCGTGCCGTACTCGGACTTAAGCTATCTGGGCTGTGCAATTCTAGCCGTTTTGGGAAATAAGTGCGGCCCTCCCATCTCGGTATCCATCTCGGGTCACGAATGCGAGCAGGCGGAAAACACAAACAAAGGTCCGCCGACTATCGCCAGTCTCTTCTTATCAAATTCGCGATATGCTGACACGACCTTAAAACAATCCACAGTATTCTAAACTCAGGCTCCAGTTGCTTCTAGAAACTCTCGCATTTCGTCGTGTTCTGGATAAGCTCGCATTCGACACCGAGAGAGTGTTCTGAGCGCGCAAGTCAGCATGCGGCGGCGTATTCAAATAAAATGATCGTCCCTCCTCCCCCGGACTCAGCCCTCTCCTCCTCTTCCCACTCCTCATGTAATAGCCAGGACCGCTTCATTCTACTTAGTTTTCCTGAATAGATGTCTGCGGCCTCTACCAGCAGCAAAGAAAAGGAGGAGACCGCCATCGCGGCTCCTCTTTCCTCCGCCGAGGTCGAAGACCTCTACGCTCATCTGCCTGAACATGAAGCTGCCATCCTGCGCTGCCAGACCGAGGTCAAGCCGCCTCCCGTCTCCTTCTTCCGCCTCTACAGATATGCCACACCATTTGATTTGAGCATCTTAATACTTGGCTACTTCACCTCCATCGCCGCCGGCGCCGTCCAGCCTCTCATGACCATCGTCATGGGCTCGCTCACCCAAACATTCACGAGCTATTTCTCCAGCAACGGCATCACCCCGGAGTATTTCTCCCACGAGGTCAACAAGTATGCCCTCTATCTCGTCTATCTTGGAATTGCCAACTTTGTCTTCTCAACCGTCGAGTCATTCATTCACACCGACCGGGGCGAAGTTCTCGCCTCCAGAATCCGCGAGGAATATCTCGCTGCAACCCTCCGCCAAAACATCGGCTACTTTGACAACCTTGGCTCCGGCGAAATCACAACCCGTATCACCGCCGATACAAACATGATTCAGGAGGGAATGTCTGAAAAAGTCGGCCTCATTCTCACTGGCGTTGCCACTTTTGTCACTGCCTTCATCGTCGCTTTCATAAAGTCATGGAAGCTCACGCTCATCATTATCGGTATCATCGTCCTCCTCATCGGTGGCTTTATGGTTATTAGCGGCTTTATGATGAGCTGGGCAAAGAAATCTCTCGAAGGCGCTTCTGTCGGCAGCACTCTAGCTGAAGAAGTCTTTGCTAGCGTTCGCAATGTCCAGGCTTTTGGGCTACAAGAGCGATTGGCAAAACAATACGATACTTATTTGGTTATCACCGAATACGCTGCCTTCAGGCAAGGGCTTTGCTTGGTGAGTCTCTTTGTTTCTATTTGTATAATTGAGTATATAAACCACACGTACTAACACATAGCTCTAATTCTAGGCCATCATGATTGGTTGGCTTTGGTTCTGCATCTACTCCCTCTACGCCCTCGGTTTCTGGCAGGGTGCACATTATTTGACCGAAGGCTCTCTACACGTCAACCAGATCATCACCGTGCTCATGTCTATGCTCATCGGAGCCTTCTCTTTCGGTCAAGTTGGTCCCAACGTCAGAAATATCACCAACGGTGTTACCGCTGCCGCAAAGATCTACGCCACTATCGACCGTGTTCCTCCTATCGACTCACATTCGAATGCGGGCGAAATACTGAGCTCTATCTCGGGTGACATCGAATTGCACGACATCAAGTTCATCTACCCTTCGCGACCTGACGTCACCGTACTCGAAAACATGAATCTCAAAGTTCCGGCCGGAAAAACTGTCGCTCTCGTCGGTGCTAGCGGTTCTGGCAAATCAACCATCGTCGGCCTCGTCGAGCGATTCTATCTGCCTGTTGCTGGTCAAGTTACTCTAGACGGTCACGATACCGCAGAGCTCAATCTTCGATGGCTCCGTCAGCAAATCTCATTGGTCTCGCAAGAGCCCACTCTCTTTGGATGCTCAGTGTACGAGAACGTCGCGCATGGACTGATTGGCACAGAATACGAGAGCGCGCCAGAAGAAGTAAAGAGAAAGCTTGTCATCGAGGCCTGCGAGCTGGCAAATGCGTGGTCATTCATCCAGACACTCCCTGAAGGTCTTGAAACCAACGTCGGAGAGCGAGGCTTCCTCATGTCTGGAGGTCAGAAACAGAGAATTGCAATCGCTCGCGCTATGGTCAGCAATCCCAAGATTCTGCTTCTCGACGAAGCTACCTCGGCGCTCGATACAAAGAGTGAAGGTATCGTGCAGCAGGCTCTCGATCGTGCCGCCAAAGACCGCACCACGATCGTGATTGCCCACAGACTGTCGACGATCAAAAACGCCGATCTCATCGTTGTCATGTCAAAGGGCAAGATTGTCGAGCAAGGAACTCACAACGAGCTGCTGAGCTTGAACGGGATGTACGCTGAGCTTGTCGAGAATCAGAAGATTGAGAAGGAGAAAGATCCAAAGAGCGCCGGAGTCAAGTCCGACGACGAATTCGTCGAGAAGGGGTTGGAGGTTCAGGAGGATTCGCATATCCTTGACATGATCCGGACAAAAACCAAGCAGTCCGTTTCTAGCGCCAAAGTGAAGCCGCTAGATGCTTCCACAAAAAGTTACTCTCTGCCTGCACTTGTTAAACTCGTATGATTGCTCCTCTCAGTTTTCAGTGTTCTTCAAGAAATTACTACTGACATTCTTTAATATAGATCTATCGATTCAATGCTCCAGAGACAAAGATAATGATATTTGGAATCTGTTGTTCCATAATCAACGGGTGTGCCTATCCAACTCAGTCAGTGTTCTTTGCAAAGTGCGTTAGCGCTTTTGAGTACCCGGTTTCCGAATATGCCCGTCTCAAATCACAAATAAACATGTTCTCTGGCCTCTTTTTCATGCTGGCTTGCGTCCAAGGAATTGCATTTGTGCTCGGCGTCGGTGCCCTCAGCTATGCCGCACAAAAACTAGTCCGACGTATTCGCTACGAAAGCTTTCGCCAGATGCTGCGCCAAGATATCAGCTATTTCGACCGGGATGAAAACACAACCGGCGCGCTCACAACAGTTCTGTCGACCGATGCACAGGACGTTGAGGGCTTGAGCGGTGCGACTTTCGGACAGATTCTGAACTCGTTGGTCACCTTGTTTGGCGGAATGATCTTGGCTATTGCTGTTGGCTGGAAGCTGGGACTTGTGTGCACTGCCTGTGTGCCTTTGCTCGTGAGTGCCGGCTTTGGTCGTATCCGAGTTTTGGCAAAGTTCCAGGAACGTGCGAAGAAAGCCTATGAGAAATCTGCCTCTTACGCCTGTGAAGCCACTTCAGCTATCCGCACCGTGGTTTCTCTCACTCGCGAAGAAGACGTGTATCAGACATACAAGGCGTCTCTGAACCAGCAAGTAAAAGACAGTCGCGTGGCAACTATGAAATCATCGTTGCTCTTCGGAGTTGCTCAGAGTCTCTCGATGTTTATCACCGCACTGGCGTTTTGGTATGGTAGCCGCTTCTTGAGAACAGCCGAGTACTCAGTCACGCAGTACTTCATCTGCTTTGTTGCTGTGATTTTTGGATCGCAGTCGGCCGGCGCTATCTTTTCGTTTGCTCCCGATATGGGTAAAGCGAAGCATGGCGCTGCAAACATCCACCGACTTTTCGACTCGTTGCCGATCATCGACGCGTGGAAGAAAGAAGGTATCGTGCCTGAGAAAGTCGTTGGCGATATCGAGTTTCGTGACGTACACTTCCGCTATCCCACGCGACCGGAAGTTCCTGTCCTGCGCGGTCTCGATCTCACAGTCAAGAGCGGCCAATATATCGCATTGGTCGGGTCGTCTGGATGTGGTAAGAGTACAACTATCGGTTTGCTCGAGTCATTCTATCTGCCTATCCATGGCCAGATTCTTCTCGACGGTCAGAGCATTCATGAACTCAACATCAACGCCTATCGCCAACAGATAGCGCTTGTCCAGCAAGAGCCTGTTCTGTACGCCGGAACTGTCAAGTACAACATCAGCCTAGGCAGCGCCAACGATGTCACCGACGACGAGATCTTCGACGCCGCTCGCCAGGCTAATATCCACGATTTCATCATGTCCCTTCCCGACGGCTACGAAACGCTCTGCGGATCCAAGGGCGCGCTTCTTAGCGGTGGTCAAAAGCAGCGAATTGCTATTGCTCGCGCTCTCATCCGGCAGCCGAAGATTCTGTTGCTCGACGAAGCAACTTCCGCGCTTGATAGTGAGTCTGAGAAAGTCGTCCAGGAGGCGCTGGATAAGGCGTCCAAAGGAAGAACTACCATTGCGGTTGCGCACAGACTCAGCACAATTCAAAAAGTAAGTGTTCTTTTTGCTCCTGTTGTATACCGTACTCATCCATCTAACATCTTTTTCCTAGGCTGATATCATTTATGTTTTTGAAGACGGCAAGATCCTTGAATCTGGCACGCACCAAGAACTTCTCGCCAACCGTTCTAAATACTACGAGCTTGTACAACTGCAAGCTCTCGAGAAAACAGCCTAAGTGGTTTCGCTTTCGTGCGTTTTCGCTTGTACGTTATTAGTGTTTGTTTGCATCTCCACGATTTATGTATGTATGTGTGTATGTCCTGCGATTGAGTTTGAAAGAGGAATCTCCAATCTGTATTGGTATTCATTGGATGTAGGTTTAGTTTGTATGTTGCTATATTTTCGGTGCGGTGTACTATGGCATATATGATGATGTATTTATTTACAAAAAAAGTCAAATACTCCTTAAATCATAAACTCCTGGAAATGGACTTGTACTATATACAAATATAACTCAGCGACGACAATCATTTACAAAGGGGTGGGAGAGTCCAGACCCAGCTTCGTCCTCAGCTCATCCATATACTTCTCCAGACCGTCGATATTAGCCTGCGAAATACCCTTTCTCAACCAAAGGAAGACCAGTCGCATCAGATCTTCCCATGTGATTGGGCTCGGCACGCCACGGCCCCGGAAGTAGCAGATTTCGAGTAAATCGCCCGCGAGTATGCGTTCGAGGACGTCCACGGGGTGCTTCTTCTTGCCGGGTGGGAGGGTGTGGGAGATGTACTCTCTCGGGATCGCGGGAGTTAGTAGCTCCTTCCGTTTGTGTTTTTTGTTTCTGTTCACATACAGAATAATCTGAACCGAGTTCCGGATAAACATATCAATAATCTCGTCTTCCAGCGGGATATTTTGATTCTGCACGCAATACTCCATAAGCGGCAAACACGTAGCGAGATCGACAGAGTACAGAAACGACCTGAAGACGTGCGAATACAGCACATAATCGTCGTCCCGGGATCCGTTACCAATCGTCATCAGCAGATTCCGGCGCATCTCCTGCAGCGAGATCTTAGGGAGCCTGTCTAATTGCTGGACCTGCTCATCGCTAATTTTCTTGCCTGCCATTTTTCGGAAGCGGAGGCGCTGAATGTGACTGGTTGCGTCCCATAAGAGAATGAATGTGTGCCGGTCTGGGAATACATTCTCGCTAGCAAGCGAGCAGATGAGGTCGTAGACTTTGAAAACTCGGCGATAATCGTGATCGTGGAGTGCATCCGACATCAAGCCGTTGAAAACCGCGACTGTAGGTTTCACTTTCATCAGGCGCAAGCGCTCGAGAAAGTCAGCGGCTACGCTGTCGTTGCGTCTGATTAGATGGTACTTGATGAATAGCGCGTAGTGTTCGGCAGCCGGTGAGCACAGGACCGAGCGGTCGATCGGCTCGCCCGCGAGCTCTGCCGCTCGCACTGCCTCTAGGGTCTCCAAGATATCTAACGCATCTTGATAATTCCCTTTCCACAGAATCATTCGCAGGAGATAGTAAATCATACGAGAACTAGGCTTCAATCCTAAATGCAGCACCCGTTCAAAATATGACACGGTCTCCTCAAGCCGGCCCAGGGAAGAAAACCTCCGCATCGCCAGCTCGTAAAACTTGCGCGAAGCCTTACTATTGTCATCAAAAAGCTCCGCCAGCTCGAGCGCTTGCTTGAGCCCACTGACGTCAGCCGAGGCGCCGACTCCATTGCCGCGCGGAGACTTTCCGGTTTTGAAAAACACTCTGCTGACTTCGTTCTGCGAAAGCCGGTCGACGAGCACAAACGCAAAATCCACTTCGAGCTCGCCGCCTAGGAACTCGTAGTCCTGAACGATCGTCTTGCTCAGAACCGTATACCCTGCATCGATCGCGGCTTTGCTGCACTTGATAAGCTGCCAGTGAAGCTTTTTCCGCTCTTCTTTGATGACTGCTTTATCTTGTAAACGTCGTTCTGCAATCCCAAACGAATCAATCATTTCACTGTACACGGTCTCCGCCTCTTTCTTCCTCCCAAGCTCGCACAGTTTCACGAAAAACCGCGTCCTCATCTGTGGCCTCAATCGTCCGGCTAATTTCTGGAGCCGTCTAGCCGCCGCGGCTGCCAAATCGAGTTTGCCTTGGTCGATGTAGAGAGCTATACCTAGCTCCATCCACGTTTCCTTTCTCTCGTCCTCGAAATCTCCGTCTGGATAGAACCGCTCCCAGGTCTTGAAAGCTTCGGCGAATCTGTTTGTTCTTCCGAGAGCTATGATGTAGTTTTTTAGAGCATCGGGAGTCAATACCAAGCCTGCATCATTAAGAAAGAACAAATCTCCAACCAGTGCTGTCACTTGATATCTATCGTGGCCTCTGATAGTCCTGGTCAAACTGAGCAGGCTTGAGAACGTTGACGGTGAAATCTGAGACGCCAACTCTTGCCGGATTTCCAGATGGGTGTGTTTTCCCATCACATGCACAATGATTCTCCAAATCAGATCAGGGTTCTTTAAGAATCTCGGCGTACCGTCTTGACTCTCGCTGATCGAATCACAGATGAACGCTTCCAGCTCTGCTGAATTGAATTCCCTCATCAAATTCCTGAAGCGTGTCAAAGCCTCCTCGCGCGTGATGTAGTTTTCTGATGTAATGCCGTGCTCGTCATCGATCTCGTTATCGAGGCTTTTTGCAATACCTTAATGTTGCTGTTAGTAACCTGTTGTCAGCATGGATGGTTTGGCCATGACATACCTAGTTTCTGAGTTTCAACGAATCTGGACGCCAGAGAGGTCTCTCTGACCTTCTCGCTGACATCTCCAACAGCCTTTTCACTGATCTGTTCATTCTCCAGAGGAGGTGGTAAACCATACTGTATCTCATTGAAATGAACAGGCGCTAAAGCTGTGTCCGGCGTCTGATCTGTATTTGCATCCGTCCCAAGATATCGGGCGGCGTAATTTGATCTTCTTAGACTTAGTCCCACAAGACCATATCTGCCCAAAGACACTGACCCACGGCTTCGCAACCTGCTGCCGACAGCTGAATGAGAAAACCGTAGTATTCGCATGTTGGTCGCTGAATTCGGCGATTGTGCATCAAAGTGAAGACGAGACAGTCCAGAGCATCGTAGTGAAAATCGTTGTAAAACTAATTGTCGTATGCACTTCTCACTGAGGGTCTCTCGTCGTATAATTATGTGGCATACCACGAGTGATCAACCAAAGAAGAGTTGGCTTATTGTTCCTCTGTTGAAAAATTCCTCCCAAAGACAAATAAATCAGAAAGATCTCCCAAGGCCGCGATGAGCTCAGGACTTTGTAATCGCTAAGGGTTTAAGGTCATGCGGCTGACCCCCCTGATTTTGACAGACCGCGTTTCCACGTCTCGTATCGCATATACAGACGAGTCGGTTTATTTGTTCATCGGGTGTATAGCGATTGGCTCTCTATAGCTCTCTTGACGATGAGTGGTTTAGCGGGTGTATCTCTGAAGGACATTCTACCCGAGTTGGGTTCCAATGACCTTGAGTCGCGGTCACGGTCGCTTGCATTTCTTCAGCTCGCAGCACTACTTCAAACCGACAAATCAGGCACAACAGCCTCTGATCTGAAAGCATACCTGCTCAACCTTCTGGATGAGAATAAAAAGAAATCTCTTGTGTCTGCGTTTTTGATCATGACGTCGCTATTCCACATCGACACCGGACTAGCGAGTGAGATTTTCATCGAAGCGACGAGGTCGAAAGCTAGTCAATTGTCAGGCATGCAACTAGACGACTCTGCTTTGTCCGAGGGACTGCTTGAAATGCTCTCCGCCGCCTGTGTTGATAAGAAATGCAGATCCGAGGTCGAGAAGAACTACGCTACCGTGATCTCGTCGGCTTTGGAGTCGCAATCAGCTTCTCCGGCTGCGCAAGCTCTCGCGGCTTCTATCCTGATCAAGCTGACTGCGACTCCTAGGCCTCCGTCGACGAGCGGGAGTAACGAGGGAGAGGCTCAGCTGGAGGCTGATATCAACACACTCACTGATTTGCTACGAGATACAGTCATATCGTCAAAGGGAGCGAACAAGAGCTTTACTATTGCGGCAGAAGGGCTGACGTACTCGAGTCTGAACGTCTCGGTCAAGCGGAAATTGATCAAGGACACCGCGTGTTTAAAAGTCCTCTTGCAGGCCTTGAAGGACAAGCAATTGGCGACTACCCAACCCGCGGTGATATACGGAATATTACCCATCTTTCAGAATCTGACTGCGTATCCCGAGCTGATGACGAAGGAGAAGGAACAAGTCGCAAAGTTGAGAAGCTACGCGAATAACGGCAAAGACGCGAAAGAAGACGAAGAAAAAACGGAAGACTTTACGAAAAGATGCAAAGTGTTGCTAGATTTAGGCATCATCTCGTCATTGGCTGCCTGCGCGCCTTCAGCGTCGCCGAATGCACAGAAAGCAATTGGCGCTATCATGAAAAATCTCGTTACCGAAAAATCGCACAGATCCCTCGTTGTGCAGCAGGGCGGTATTTCTATCCTGCTAGCCATTCTCAAACCTCCAAAGACCGCTTCACAAAACAGTGGACTGGTTGGCAACTTCAAGATCCAGATCGACGAAAGTCCAAATCTGGCGGCGGCGGTTGCCCTCGCGCGGCTGTTGATTTCAGTCAATCCCGCTCTGGCGTTTTCGACACGCAACTCTCCGACTGTTGCGGTTGGTCCTTTGCTGGGATTAATTGATCTTACATCGGACAATCTCACACTGCTTGATTCATTCGAAGCGTTACTTGCTCTAACGAACCTTGCCTCAATGGAGACGGGGTCAATAGGGGATGTCATTACCACGCGAGGATGGGACAAAATCGAGGCGTGTCTGTTATCCGATAACAAGCTCATTCAGCGAGCCTCAAGTGAGCTCCTGTGCAATTTATCAGGATCCCCTGAGACTGCTGCGAAATATCTTGATAAGGACGACAAGGCTCATGTGAATCGGATACGGATTTTAGTCGCCCTCGCGGACTCCGAAGACGACAAGACTCGACGCGGCGCGGCGGGCGCGCTAGCCATTCTCACTCAGTGGGCACCAGCTGGCGATGTGTTTTTGGAAAACGAGAAGAACTTAAAAGGAATCCTTCATATTCTGAAAGACGAGGACCAGGAGGTTTTGATCAGAGGCGCTGTTTGTGTGAATAACCTGCTGTGCGGTGCTCAGGGAAATGCTACAGTCGAGCCGGCAGCGAAGGTGATTAAGAGTTTAGATGGCCTACAGATTATCGAGGAGACGCTAAAGAGACCAGATCTCGACGGGCAGGTTCGCGCCGCACTCGAAGACTCTCGAGAAAGGATTCTTTCAGTCACTTAGCAGAGCCGTCGGCAGTGGCAAAAATGTACATATTCTAGGAAAATAAACATAGAAAAAAAAAGCTGCGCCTTGATGCGGCGTCGTCGTTGAACGCAAACGCGGCCCGACGCGCTTCACGAAAGTTTAGAGTTTGTGTTATGCTGAGCGAGCCGCGTCCTTTCAAATAATCACCAGCGTGTCCATCTCGATAGCTTGACCGTTATACATCTGTATACTATCTCTCTTTGTTCGTCAGTCAGTCCTTTTCCTTTATCCTGTACAGTCAATTGCCGTCATGTCTGGATCCACTTTCTTTACTACCATGAAGCGCTCCTTTGCCGACGTCCCCGTCGCCGATGGCAAAGTGAGTACCACTGAGTTTCTCGAGGCCGCCGAATCCCTTGTCTCGTTATTCGGTGAGTGGGCAGTATCTGATGCTTCTCATTTAGAAAACCAAGCTAATTGTCCTGTTTTATGCAAAAAATAGATCTTTTGGGCTCAGCGGCATTCAGCGTTGTGCAGAAGGATATGACTGGAAATATCAAGGTACGCGGCACCACTGCTATTTGAGCTGCGTTCTGCCAGCGCTAACATGACTTTCGTCTTTTCATTAGAAAATCAGAGACCGACAGACCGCTCAACCCGCCGTCTCGGTATCGCTCCAAGATATCGTGCTCTCCGAGAAAGTCGAGAAGAACAAGACTGCCACTCAGGGGCTGTTGTGGCTCACTCGGTCAGTACCACTACTCCCTGATAGTTGACCTGTATAGCTGATACTAACGGTTCGAAATAGCGGTCTGCAATTCACTGCGGTTGCTTTACGGAAGAACATTGACTCAGACGAGGAGCTCACTGAGAGTTTCACCAGCGCTTACAATGAGACTTTGATCAAGTTCCACAGTATAGTCGTTCGCCCTATCTTCAAGGTACGTGTCTCATTTTCCTATCCGTCGATATCTCTTCGTCCGAAATCGAGCGCTGACATATTCGTGATTAAAATAGTTGGCCATGAAAGCCACTCCTTATAGAAAAGACTTTTACGCCAAGCTGGGCAGCGACTTTGCCGTCGTCAAGGAGCAGCTGCTAATCTGGCTCGCTGCCCTTGAGAACATCGTCAAGATCATCCAGGACTTTTACGCCTCTGGAAACTACGGCAAGGGCCTTTGAATTAGACGTCTAAAGAAAGCTTTGTTTGGTTGAGGTTCAACTCGGTACGATTGCTAGCAGGACTTTGTAGTTTCTTTTGATTGCCGTTTTTGGATGCCTTTAATAGTATATACAAGACTCTCGCTAAATTTGCCGTGACTACCGTTTCCCACTCGTCTTCGGTCTGTAAACGTAGAGTTTCCGAAGTTTTTCCACTCGCGCTTTGCGCTCCCTATCCTGCTCATCTTCAGCTGTCTCGTCGATGTCGGTCTCCCAGGTCTCCGACTGACTGCCGTCTGTTGGCTCTTGGGCTGTTATTCTGGCGCTGGCTATTAGTATAGCCAGAAGAAGCTGCCACCCGGGATCTGACCCGACAATCGGCCGGATCCACGGGCAATAATCGTAGTGCGCGTCTATGACATCGAATGTAACTCCATCGCCTTCGTTTCGAATCGTACGTTCGGCAAAACAATCGGCACATGAGATCGTAGTCCCATCCTTTCTGCTCACGTTCCATCCGACTAAAGCTAGAAAGAACGCCCTATGTTTTGATCCTAAAGCCATGTCGAGGCTATGAATGCCCGCGGCTGATAGATAGTGCTCAACGATTTTTGTATCAACCTCGGGAAACGTGGCTGGTACTTCCACATAGTCAAACGCGGATAATTGAAATGCGTCTTTCAATCTCTTTAGAAACTCTCTCTGTGATTTACGTAAATCAAGTGAGAGCTTCAGGCCGTACAAGTTTTCTATGCGTCTTGTAAGTGAACTGTTTGTATACTAGGATTAGAGTGAATAGAAACATACCATCACAGACTCGACGGCGCCAGAGACAGCTTTCCGTGTGTTCTCGTCTTGACCTCGTCATTTCTGAAGCCGGTCTCGCCTTGTCGTTCCTGATCGTACTCAGATCTAAGCAGTACGTTGTTTTGCACAACGGGCAATAGACTGTGTATTCCTGCCCAACGCTGCATTGCCAACCTGCCCGTGCCCATATCAGAGACGCTGTTGCCGGCTCTGATGGGTCGTAGCGCCAGTTGTCGCGCGCTTGTGAGAATGTAGAAAGTCTGGAGATGAGAGCGTCTCTGCTGTAAGGGGTGTATGCGGGGTGTCTGCCTTGAGCGGCTATGATGTGTGGTCTGATAGAGCCATCACTATCAAACAGAGAAAGCGATCTTGCAGGTATTTGTGTATTCTTTAGGGAAGAAGCCAACTTCGACAGAGCTGAGTGTTTTCGTGTCTTTGCTTGTTTCTCAGCGCGCAGTCTCTTGAATCGTTTTGACGGAGAATAGACGAACGCGGGACTGCCTGTCCTGCTACTCGGAGCTGGTGAGCGGGTGATAGCTGGAGAGTAAGGATCAATCAGCTGGATGACGTTTGCGATCCTGTTCCTCCCTTCCAATGACCGTGACCCTGGCTCATGACTTGCCGTAGATTGTTCCCGGGTCGGTGTCGATACTGTTGGTGTCATTGTGGTTGTCGCAGGCAGTATAAAGCTGCGAATCCGTGGAGAATCAGAGATATAAACAATGGGTATTTGATTTGTTTTGGAATATTTAGCTGAGCTCGGTGGCCCATCGTGAGGCTCGTGTCGAGCTCGCAAATAAAATTTACGAGATTTTGGTATTTTACCTACTCATCCACTGCTTGAATATATCTTGTATGCGGCAACACCGTGGACTATTGCTCTTTATACTCAGCCTTATCCCCTGTATACTGATTGGACAGTATCTCCTCCCCCATCAGGTCACAGTGTCTCTAATTCAACGCGTCAGAACACAAGTCGCCCCGCACATATCACGTCTCAGCTTTCAGATTAATCGTCATCTGCCATTGAATTTCCATTTCCACACTACTACCAATTTATCGTTCACTTCAGATTTAAACATGTCGTTTGCCAAAGAATTAAGAATTGCTCAGCTGGCTGTCGAGAGAGCCTGTAAGCTCACGAAATTGGTCGCGGACTCGCACCAGACTGGAAGCGTGTCCAAGAGCGACCATTCACCTGTTACCGGCAAGTCACCCTGCGTTTCTTTCGCGCAAGTCTTGAGCGTTCAACGTGCTAACAGCGTATAATTTAGTTGCGGATTTTGGTGCCCAGGCAGTCATTATCGGCGCCCTGCAGAAAGTCTTCACCGAGGATCCTGTCGTCGGCGAGGAGGACTCGTCGATTCTCCGTGGAGATTCAGCGCTTCGCGAGAGAGTCTGGTCGCTAGTCCAAGAGAGCTCTGCTGCGGACTCTTATGCTTCCGAAATTGGCGTCATTGACAATGAAGAGAAGATGCTTGAGTATATTGACTGGGGAAAGTTCGAAGGAGGATCAGTTCCCCGCATGTGGGCCGTGGACCCGGTCGATGGTACAAAGGGATTTCTGAGAGGCGGCCAGTTCGCTGTTTGCCTTGCTCTGATTGTTGATGGGAAGGTTGTTGTCGGAGTCATTGGATGTCCTAATTTGCTGGTCGACCCCACCGACGCAAGCAAAGGAACTGGAGTCATTTTTTCGACCGCCAAGGGCGAGGGCGCTTACTGCGTGAGTATTTCTCGACGGCATTGTAAATACGTGCTTAGGTCTGACGGTAAAACTACTATAGCACGCAATTGGCTCGCCGATATCGTCGGCTACCAAGATCAGCATGGCTGAAATCCAAGACACGAGCTCGGCTTCATTCTGCGAGAGTGTTGAGGCCGGACACAGCTCTCATGGCCAGCAGGCTTCGATCGCAAAGCTACTCGGAATCAGCAAGCCATCCGTGCGTATGGACTCGCAGGCGAAATATGCCAGCATCGCTCGTGGAGATGGAGATATCTACTTGCGTCTTCCCGTTAGCGCTACTTATGAGGAGAAGATTTGGGTATGAAGATACGAGTTGCTGAGCTGATGCTTTGACAATTGCTAACAGTGTAATACTACAGGACCACGCGTCTGGGGATCTACTTGTCGCCGAGGCAGGTGGAGTTGTGACTGATATGTTCGGCAAGCCACTTGACTTTACAAAAGGACGTACTCTGAAGGACAACAAGGGAATTGTAGCTGCTTCTAAGAACATTCACGCCCAGGTTCTGGAGGCAGTACAGAAGGTGCTTGCGAGCAGCGACTAAATGTATATAGAGAGGAGAAGTGTTGCCGCTAGTAATAAGCTATTTGAGGTAGTGCAATTTAGTTTAAGAATACTGTAGTATTAATGGCTTTTCGCCCGACTGCGGGAACAGCCACTGTATCAATGCATAGATGTTTGTACATAAAAGAAAGCAGACTGTAGAGAAAATAAAATATGTACAAGAGCAATAAATAGAAAGAGATTATTTGACGGACTTGCTTTTCAGCTTGATAGTCTCGTTGTTCACGAAAATACCCTGTATGATGAAATATGTCAGAAGCCGCTCTCCGATTGCTATGAGTAATTGAAAAGAGATACGTACCTTGCCCTTGTAAGGCTCTGGAGGCTTCAATGCTCGAATTGTCGCAGCGAATTGAGTGACGAGCTGTTTGTCGGAGCCCTTGAGCAGTACACGAGTCGGCTGTGGGCAGATGGCGTTGATGCCTACCGGGATGTTGAGAAGCGTAGCACCGGTCTGTCCAACCTTGACACTAATTTTCCGGCCGCCACCGAGCAGCTCGGCACGGTAACCGGTACCCGTGAGGGTGAGGATGACGGAGTGGCCGATAGTAACCCCCATAACGTGATTATTTATAAGAGAGCGAAGAGTACCCCACATCTGGCGCTGGCGCTTCTCGGTGGTGTCCTCGACGCGAACTTCGAGCTTCCTGCCCTCTTCGACAAGCTCAAGGCGCGCAAATGGCGGAATGGCAACTTTGCCGACGCCCTTGGGACCGGTTATAATGAGGGGGATCTCATCGCGCTCAGGATCGCGGCTGTAGGGGTCGAGAGCGAAGGAGACCTCTGGCGGGACGACGATGGGGGTCGAGCCGATGTGCGAGCGGGCAACGGCCGAGGCGGAGAAGTGTCGCCGGGCGGAGAAGAGAACGGACGTCCTTGCGCACTGCATCATGGTCTCTGGTCGTGGGCTTTTCGCTTTTCTGGCGGAGGAAGAAAGACAAAAACTCGGCGACCGAAAGAGCGTCGCGGCACAAGCGTCGAAGCGGCGATGCTCTGCGGCTGTGCAGGAGGCGCATGCCAGCAGAGAAGTGGCTGTGCGCCCGGCTTAGTGCGCCCCTGCGACCACTCGCCGCTCTTTTCGCTCTCTGCCTCTCCTCCACCTCTGCCTCCTTCTTCCTCACCCTCCCCCGCTAGCACACTCGACTTCAGCACTTTTACTCCCTCTAGAACTCAGCAATGGTCAAGCAGATCAGCGACATCCGCCGCAAGCTCGTCATCGTCGGTGACGGTGCCTGTGGAAAGACCTGTCTCCTTATGTGCGTACTTCCTTTGTTTTCATGCCCGCCCCGCGTGTGTATCATCTCGCTGCCCGCCCGCTCCCCTGCGGATCTCTTCGTTTTTTGTCTGCCGGCATCTGGACCGCTTTCGTCGCCTTCAGTCTGACGCGCACTTCCCGCTTTGCACCTTCCGGCGATGTTTCCTGGCGTCGTGCACAGGTGGCAACAGCACGCCACGCGCGGCACGGCATATTTCATCCTCTGCTTTGTGTCCGATCGCGCGACGGCAACCAACCCGCCCGCCTGCCATCGCTTTCTGTGCCATGCCATCCGTCGTCCTGCGTCCGGCTGCGAGCTGTGTTTTGCAGTCGACTGCTGCTCTCCTACAGAAGGCTTTTTTGCGTGTTTCCAATGCCGATGCAGAGAAACCCTTTTTTTGCTGACTGAAGCGTGTCTGTGACTTGACAACGCCGCACAGAGATTCGGCATGGGTTATGGAGAAGCAGCTGATATACATACGGCGCCCTGGGCTGTGGCTATTCGGCCTGACTAGTGATCGATTACTAACTGTTTTCTTGCAGTGTCTTCTCCAAGGGAACCTTCCCTGAGGTACTATCCACCCAGATTTTTCACCGTAGTTCGAAACATAGTGAGAAGATGTGAAAAGTTGCGACGAAAACACGAACTCTGTCTCCACATGTTTCTTGGCTACATCTTGGCTTTCTATTTTTTCAAGCGAACGTTGTGCACTAATACTCTATAGGTCTACGTCCCCACTGTCTTTGAGAACTACGTCGCTGATGTTGAGGTCGACGGACGGCACGTAGAGCTGGCCCTTTGGGATACTGCTGGCCAGGAGGACTACGATCGTCTTCGCCCCCTTTCTTACCCTGACGCGAACGTCATCCTCATTTGCTTCTCCATCGACTCCCCCGACTCCCTCGACAACGTCCAGGAGAAGGTCAGTAGTTTTATTCTCACCGTATGACCGATGGACTCGCAAACTAACGTGTTTCATAATTACAGTGGATCTCTGAGGTTCTCCATTTCTGCCAGAACCTTCCCATCATCCTCGTTGGTTGCAAGAAGGATCTCCGGTTTGATACCAAGACCATTGAGGAGCTCCAGAAGACTTCTCAGCGACCTGTCAGCCCAGAGGAGGTATGCATTTTTACGACATAGCTTCTTGCACTGAATTCCAGATACTAACAAGCTGCTTCTCTTTTAGGGCCAAGCTGTTGCGGATAAGATCAACGCTCTCAAGTACCTTGAGTGCTCCGCGCGAACGCACGAGGGTGTCGCCGAAGTTTTCGAGCACGCCACTCGCGCTGCTCTTCTCGAGCGCTCAAGCAAGCCTCGCAAGTCGAAGTGCACCATCTTGTAATATATATGTTAGAGATTGCCAGCAGATTGGTCAGTATGATGCCGTCTTTCGAAACAGAACTTATGACGGGATTGCAATAGAAGTTTGAGTGTCGCCATATGCCATCATTCTCGTTTGCTTTGGACCACTGCGCTTGTCTAATTTGGGTACATGATTATGTTTTTTAATATTTTTTATTCTGCAGAGTTCCAGTTTTTATCCTCTTTACTTTTTTCTTTGCTTCTCCTTTTTTTGTATCTCGCGTGTATTGCTTTTAACGATAATCCAATCTTTGTCTTTTTCCCATATTATTCGCTCAAATATGTATACAACCTTTTCCTCACTCTCTATTTTCTGCGAGTTCTAGCGCTCAGCGGCGATCAAGTAACGACCGTATTATCTCTGATGTCTTCTTTTCTGTGTGTTATCTTTTTTGATTTCAGGTGTCATAAAAAACTTGTAAAGACGTCTGCTGACCATAATGAAGTATGCTCAAAGATGTAATATGCCGTTTCCCTGTAGCATTCATCGACATTGCAGGATCGTTGGAGTAGATTGGACGTAGGTGTGTAGAGTCTTTAAGGACTGCAAGACATACTCGTGCCTTCTGTGAAGGATCATTTGGATACGGCTCCAGTGTTTCTCTTCTGCAAGCCCGTCTGCTTATAATATATCTATCTAGATTATCACTTACATGTTCGAATGGTTCGAATACGGCGATACAAAAAGTGAGACTACAACATCTAAGCCCTTTGACGCGCAACGACCAGCCTCTCAGTCTCTGTACTTTGTAAGAGCTATATATGGCCTCAGATGGCAGGTATATTGAGCACCGTATTCTGAGGACTGTCGACCCATAAGTATCTACTGAAATAAAACCAACCGCCTATAATACCGACACCATCGCATAATTGACACCCTCGCGACCGCCATCTGTCCTGCGATGACCGGCCTCTCAAGAGTAGAATGCTGTGTTTTCTGCGCTAGTAGATCGCGCAATTGACAATGGTGTCGCTAATGAGAAAGTGCTTATAGTAAATAGATTCTCCACATATATTTCGATATTGTGGATGCCAGGTGGAGGAGGAGTATCAATGATTGCTGATGGCAATGGCATATTAGAGAGTGCAGTGAGATTTGTCTATTTTGGTAATAAATCGACAGGCCTGGCATAAATTATTTTACCGCAGTATCGGAACCATAATAACATAACCTTATTTCCTTTTTTTGTTATTCCACTTCGCCGCAGCCACGCCAAACCTGCATCTTCAAGACCTACACCAACTCCAACCAATCCTTCACTCCGCCGACCGAAATTATAACGATGGAGCGAGGACCGCCAAGAGTGAAAAACAAGGCCGCGGCGCCGCTGCAGATCAGCGCAGAGCAGATCCTGCAGGAAGCCTACGAAACGAGAGACGAGTCATTGCAAATTCCCAAGCAGCGTATTGCGGATCTCGAAGAGGTTTGTGCATCTTTCTGTGCATCGTTCTTTCTCTTCATATCTCTTGTCTGTGATGTTTTGCTGACCGTGTTGTTTTTATGTCTGGCTTTAGTTGCACGAGTTCCAAGGACGAAAGCGGAAAGAATACGAGGATGCGCTTCGACGTAATCGGCTCAATATCAATCAATGGATCCGCTACGCAAGATGGGAGTTGGAACAGAAAGAATACGCGCGCGCTCGCTCGATCTTTGAACGTGCGCTGGAAATCGATCCCACGAACGTGCCGCTATGGCTACGATACATCGAGTCCGAGATTAAAGAGCGCAACATCAACCACGCCCGGAATCTCTTTGATCGCGCGGTGACTTTGCTCCCTCGTATCGACAAGCTGTGGTATAAATATGTGTCGATGGAAGAGGCGCTCACGAACGTCGTCGGCACACGACAGGTGTTTGAGCGGTGGATGGAGTGGGAGCCGGAACCGCAGGCTTGGATGAGCTATATTAATATGGAAAAGCGGTACGGCGAGATCGAGCGCGCGCGCTCTGTCTTTGAGCGATTCACTATCGTCCATCCGCAGTCAGAGAACTGGATCAAATGGGCTCGGTTTGAAGACGAATACGGCACTCCAGAGAACGTGAGGGAGGTTTATGCTACTGCTGTCGACACGCTTCGCGCTGCTGGTGATGAGTTTGTGGATGAGAAGCTGCTTGGCAGTTGGGCGAAATGGGAGACGAGGAATAAGAATTTTGAAAAGGCACGAGAGCTGTACAAGCTCGGTCTTGATACTCTTAGTCGCGCGAAGAGTATGAAGCTTTATGACGAATACAGTGCGTTTGAGAAGCAGTATGGTGAACGGGAAGGGATCGAGGATGTTGTTTTCAAGAAACGGAGGGTGAAATACGAAGAGCAGTTGAAGGAGAACCCGAGAGATTACGATACCTGGTTTGCGTACCTGAGTATGGCGGAGGAGTCTCTGAAAAACACAGACGAAATTCGAGATTTGTACGAGCGGTCGATCGCAAACGTACCTCCAACACAAGAGAAACGACACTGGCGGCGCTACATCTTCCTGTGGATCAGATACGCCGTATTCGAGGAGCTGACGACGAAAGATTTCGAGCAGACGCGGGAAATCTACAGAGCGTGCTTGAATCTCATTCCGCACAAGAAATTCACATTCGCAAAGATATGGTACATGTACGCCTGTTTCGAGATCCGACGAAACAACCTTGCCGTTGCGCGCAAGCAGCTTGGAATGGCGCTCGGTATGTGCCCGAAGCCGAAACTGTTCAAGAACTACATTGAGCTGGAGATGAAACTGCGAGAGTTTGACCGGTGCCGGAAGCTGTACGAAAAGTTTCTGCAAGTCTTTCCAAAATACTCGCAGGCCTGGCTGGATTATGCAGAGTTGGAGCAGACGTTGGGTGATGAGGACAGAGCGCGTGCGATTCTAGAGCTGGCAATGTCTATTCCCGGGGTTAATCTCGACCAGGGCAACGATGAAGGTGAAGAGGAAGAAGAGGAGGCAGAGGAGGAAGAGTAGATTCTTGCTCGATTGGAAGACAACGTTAAACTGTACAATATAATCTAATAAATAAGCATCATAAGAGACTCTTGAAGATTGTAACTGTCCCACATGCTCGAAAACCCTTGTAAAATCAAAATTGCGCCCCATGTATATAACAAGTATACAACAAAATACCATTTATCGTCCACACAATAGAAGAAAAAAAACCAATCTATCCTGTAATCTAACGTACGCTCAACATGCTGTTGCGAGGAAGATAGCGCTTTATGACGCCTGTGCCTTCTCAAGCTGTGCCTGCGCTTCTTCGAATCGTCGCATCGCTGCCTCGGCTTCTTGGAACGCCTCGTCGGACAAAATGCCGTTCATTTTGTTTTCAATGTTGTCGAGCATTGACTCAAGTGCCTACAGTGAAGTCCGGTCAGTATTCCTTAATTTTGTCGTAGTTCTTTAATGTGTACTGCACATACCTTTGCGGCAACCTCAGCCTTTCTAATCTCCTCATAGGCCTTGGCCACGTCGTTGCCACCAGCGGCGCTTCCAGATGAAACAGGCTCCTCAGTGGTCATATTCGAAGTAGGTGTAGAATAAGAATTGGCTATGGTCGACCTCCTACTTCTAGAAATTTGAGATACACCAGGTTCGATATTTACAGTCGATAAGAGATGAGCGATGTGCTACTCTCTTCGAATAATGAGCCCAGGATAAGTATATACACTGTAGCTGGCCACATTACACTAATTTGGATTTACACCAAAATAGTATACTTGTTACTAAAATCATGTACTGTACTCATCTGGGGACATATATCAGAACTCCTGGATGCCTCGGCTTATAACTGACTCCAGTCACGCGTGGCCGACCCCACAGTAGAAGCCAGGAAATGATCTCGTAAGCTCGTCCGGGATATATCTACGCTCGGTTTCTCGCCTTCCTCCTCTTTCCTTTGATATTCAGTGACTCAACTGAAAGGAACTTGGCTGAAAAGTGCGACCGGAAACTACCGCTTCTATTGAGAGACACTGCCGTTCATCCTCTCTCTCGATATCAGGTTCTCGACACCTGTCGTGACGTAATATCAGCAGTCTTTATCGACCTCCTACACTACTCTTCTTCTTCCTCGACACCTCCCCGCAAGCGATATGTCTGGAGCAGAGTGCTCGGTTGGACGGAATCCGCTGGCACAGTTCACCAAACATGTCGGTGAAGATCGCTCACTGCAACGAGACCGGCTTGCCGGGCCGCCGGGCGGCATTGGATCATCCGCCCCCGGCGCAGGAATGCGAACAGAGCATATCCGGCCACTGACTGAGGCGGACCGAGAGGTTAGTATTTACTTCCATGGTGGAGATTCTGGGGTTTTTCGTCGGCGTGAGATTTAACGACTTCTTTGCTGCTTAGTTGATGTCCCGTTTCGAGGCAATGAACCTGGATCATGTCCTGCGGGACTCCCCGGCACATAGGGAACTTGGCCGACAAGCCATGCAGATAGCCCGAGAAACAGGCTCCCTCCAACCAGTAGGACCAGCCGGTCTACACAACTCCATGTCCAGACCAGCAAGCTCCCCGATGGTGAATGGAAATTGGGCAAATGAATTTGGCCAGCCGCAGGGATCGCAGTGGTCGAGCGAGTACCGGCAGCAGCAGGTCCCCGGAGGCGACTGGACACGGGAGTTTTCAGCGCCCGCTACGACTTCAGGTGCTCCGGCGCCCATGATGAGCTACAACAGTGGCCCGCAATGGTACGGCATGGGTGACTCTATGAGCAGGCCTATGGGCGGGCTCTATAATCCCGGTTTAACGAATTTCAATACCATGCCTATGACCATGAACCCGCTCAACAATGTACAGCAACGAGACAAAGGGAAAGGCAAGATAGTGGAACTTGACTCGGCCACTTGGGAGCAGCAGTTCGAGCTACTTGAGACTCAGGATGCGTCAACGTCAGAGGTAAAGGAGGAAGCCGAAGCTCCTGCTGAGTCTGATTCCAAAGAGCATGAAAAAATCTGGCGGGATGCTTACAGTGGCGAGACTATTGACGAAACCTACGAGGGCGACTTTGAGAACATCTGGCGCGGTATTCAGGAACAACATCTTCAAGACGGTACTGCGTCTCAGATCGGCCATCAGAACAACCTAGACCCTACTGTGGAGAATCTGTTTGGCAACGACAGATTCCTAGACGCATCCGAGATTGACAACCCATACTCTGTCCGCGACGAGGCTTCAGAATTGAAGATGCCATGGGACAAAGATTTTGAAGAGTTCGCTGCCGCAAGGTCGGATTCCGGCGACTACCAATACGAAAACGACAATCACTTTATGCAAGAAGATGTTTCGGACCCGTTCCAGGAAGGTGTTCGTATATTGGAGTCTGGCGGTAATTTGAGCGAGGCCGCGTTGGCGTTTGAAGCCGCGGTGCGGAAAGATCCGCAGCATGTTCAGGCATGGAGCTTGCTTGGTGCGGTGCAGTCTCAAAACGAGAAAGAGGATCCTGCAATCAGAGCACTTGAGAGAGCGGTGCAGCTGGATGAGTCGAACGAGTCTGCACTGATGAACCTGGCGGTCGCTTACATCAATGAGGGATACGAGAACGCGGCATATGCGACGCTCGAGAAGTGGATCGCGACAAAGTATCCCGACATTGTCAACCAGGCTCGTGATCAGACCCCGCAATTGGCGAATGCTGACATCTTCCGATTGCATGAGCGCGTCACCGAGCTGTTTATTCGCGCGGCACAGCTTTCCCCTGAGGGCATGTCTATGGATGCCGATGTCCAAGTCGGACTGGGCGTTCTTTTTTACGGCAGTGAGGAGTACGACAAGGCTGTCGATTGCTTCAACGCTGCTCTGAGTGTTCGTCCTGACGATCCCCTGCTCTGGAACCGATTAGGAGCCACGCTTGCGAACTCGCGGCGATCAGAAGAGGCTATCGAGGCCTACTACAAAGCGCTTGAAATTCGGCCTTCATTTGTGCGCGCACGATACAATCTCGGCGCTTCCTGTATCAACATTGGCTGCTACAAGGAAGCAGCGCAGCACTTTCTCACCGCTCTTGAGATGCACCGGGTCCCGGGCGGACACAGCGGTGCGAGCGAGGAAGAGATCCTGGCGAACGAGAGCACGACGTTGTATGACACGCTCCGTCGGGTGTTTCTGGCGATGGATAGAAGAGATTTGGCTGACAAGGTTGTCACGGGAGTTGATCCTGCTATTTTTAAGGATGCGTTTTGAGTCTGATTTGCAACGCGGCAGGAGCTAGGTCTTTTGCCGTACAGGGGACATTTGGTTTTTGCACAGGGGAGGCATTGTTGTAACTGTATATATTGGTGACTTGTTCATTCTTTCAATCAACCGTCTTTTAGCGTATGATAAATGCATTGGTGCACATATAGATGCTGACTGTAGAATGCTGACAACAGCAAACCGGTCGCTGGTCTTATGGTCCTAAAGTATGGATACGGAGATTATTCATTGTCAGCCCGTCGCTGATTCTGATTCCCCGCCTCCGGAGCGATAGAAGGATGACAACTTTAACTGCGTTTGTGAAACTCTGTTTGAGACTACTGCGGGGCTTAGTGGTTTGGTTACAGCCTGCTCGAGTTTGCGGTTTTCATTTCATAGCAATTGATATCTAAATCAGGCCTTTATTATACGGTTTGTGAATTGACGATACCTGCTCGAAAACAGCGGTACCTGAGAGAGCAGAAAAGATAGTTCTCGGGTGTTGATAACCGGAAGATCGGGCGCACGGAGTTAGTTCAAAGCCGCACGCTGCGCTATGGATATATAAGACGGACGCACGTCCACGTCCTTCGATTGGACTTCTTATCCCCCACCTTCTCTTCTGCTCCATTGCCGCAATTGCTCTCTGAATTACAGTGTCAATTACTCTAATTATTATCTGAAGATGTCGTATCCTACCGCTGAGATTGGAAAGACCGGCGAGCAAGTTACTGCGCTTGGATTCGGTGCCATGGTGAGCTTCTAGAACTACAATTTCGATCTCAGGGTCTACAGAGTGCTAACCGTCAATTGCTGCAATTCTAGGGCTTCTCTGCTTTCTACGGCGGAAGACCCACTGAGGAGGAAGCCTTCAAGGTTCTCGACAAGGCTCTCGAGCTCGGCGTGACCCTCTGGGACACCGCGCACATCTACGGCGAGAACGAGGCCCTTCTCGGCCGCTACTTTGCCTCGCGCAAGAACAGAGACAAGATCTTTCTGTGCACCAAGGGCGGCGTGCACCAGTCGAACTTTGCTCCGGACGGAAGTGCCGAGTTCGTCAAGGAGGTCTGCGACGAGTCATTCCGCAGACTGGGCGTCGACAAAATCGACCTGTTCTACCAGCACCGCGTCGACCCCAAGACCCCGATCGAGATCTCGGTCGGTGCTATGGCTGAGCTCGTCAAGGAGGGAAAGGTCAAGTACATCGGTCTGTCCGAGTGCTCGACCGAGACTCTCCGTCGCGCGTACAAGGTCCACCCGATCACCGCCGTGCAGATCGAGTACTCCCCCTTCACCCTCGACGCCGAGCACAACGGTCTCATTGCCGCCTGCAAGGAGCTCGGCGTGACCGTCGTCGCCTACTCCCCTCTTTCCCGAGGCTTCCTGACTGGCGCGTACAAGACGATCGACGACTTCCCGACCGAGGACTTCAGACGCTCGGCGCCTCGTTTCCAGGGCGACAACTTCAAGGCCAACCTCGTGCTCGTCGACCAGCTCTCGGCCTTTGCCGCCAAGAAGGGCTGCACGGTCGGACAGCTCACGCTTGCGTGGGAGATCGCGCAGGGTGTGCTGCCTATCCCTGGTACCACCAAGCTCGACCGTGTGGAGGAGAACTGCAAGGCTGCGTTTGTCAAGCTTTCCGAGGAGGAGTTGAAGGAGCTCCGTGCGATGATCGAGAAGGCCGATGTCGCTGGTCATCGATATGCTGAGGCTTATGTCACGTCTGGACTGCTGTTCGGCGACACTGTCGAGCTCAAGTAAATTTGTTGATGACTTAAAATGTAGTTTTTACAACCGAATTATAAATAATACTCCAATCAATTTTATTCAATCCTATACAGCATAAACACATCCACAACACCTATCTCTAAACTCGCTATCCAACAATCAAAATGTAGAAAATGTAAGAAAAAAAAACTAGTCTGGAATAATCAAGAAAGGACCGTATGCAAGTTATATACCGAGATTCACGATCAAATCAGATAATCATCACGAGCCATGCATGGTAACAATGATGGGAAGAGAGATACAAAGCAAAAAAGCAGATTAAAACAAATGAAAATTATGTAACGAATGCAATTGTTCATGCAAATGATTGTGGAAACAAACGCCGCGATGCCGAGTGTATGCAGCAAGTACCTACTGATACCTCAGATCATCTCCGATTTCCTCGAGCCGGCGACCTCACGCTGCTCCTTGGACAACCCCGTTCGCCAACTCCCTTGGCATCGGCATTCCAGAGCCGGGCTTACCGTTACCCAGGACTGCAGACTTGATGGCCGAGAGTCTGTATTTAACGTCTTTGAGAGGCTTCGTGTCTGGATCCCATTCGTCGAATTTCTCCAACGCTTTGTTCATATCGTCCAGGAGTTGTTCACGGACTAGAATGGATTTTATGTTAGCACTAGTCTGCAATACAGAGCAACTGAGTAATAATATGCACTTACCAAACTGCTGTTCAAATAAACCTCGCACGCTCCACGGCAAGTTATACGGGTTATAATTCATCGGCGTCGGGATCTCGAAATCCTCATCAATCGCAACCGCAATATCCGGCAACTCGGACGTCTCAAGAGACTGGCGGATGGCAAGGTCATATACTGCATGCTCGTTATAAATAACAGAGTGGCCGCCGCCAGTAAGCGTACCGGCCATAGCGTCGCTGATGTCCCGCAGGATACCGTGGTCGGTGTATCCAAAGTTGCGCAGCTTGACTAGAAGCTCGATGAATGAGATGATGAAGGTCGGCGCGTGAATTTTCCCGTCAACGAATATGGATCGGTAAATGTAGGGATGGGTTACGTGAGCACACAGTGACGAGTACAGCGGAACAAGCTGGTCGTTTACCGAACCCACAAACGTGATTTTGACGCCATGCTGAATCACTGTTCTGAGACCACTCATATATCGCCTGCCTTGCAAACAATTCGGGTTTTGAAACGCGAAAAGCTCTTTCAAGGAGTCATTCTCGATCGAGCCGTACGCCCGCATGAGCAATTTCTGGTCAAGTCCAAAGAACGGACCGAGCGAGATTCCGGCCATAGCAAGTATTCCGATCGTCTTATTGTCGACATGACCTTCTTCGATCAGTTTTGCTAACAGTTGGATCGCGACGGGTGTTCCTTGCGAATGCGCTGCAATCATGATGTAGTCCGCTTCTTGAATCACGCGCATGTGTTTTGATAGGATCCGGTAAAGGTTCTCGATACGATCGCTGACGATACCTTCATGCTCTAATGCAATTTTCGTGACTGAGAAATCAGTCATGCCGTGCGCCGTCGCCCATCTTTCGATAGCGTCAGCGGCCTCGTTGGCAAACTTGGATGACGTTCCAGTAGGCTGACCGATAACGCTGCGGACCATTTTGTGTGGAAAGTATCCATGAACGCCGATAGCGACAGCTTTCCGGAAAGTCTTTGGTGGAGTGATATGCAGTCGAAAATGTGAGTCCTGATTCTGTGCCTTTGCGTCTGATAAGAGTTTCGACATCTTGTCGCTCAGGGAGCTCCACAGCGGACCGCGGGCTTTTTCAGTCTCGAGACAATCTTCGAGCTTCGGCGTGACAAGGTTGGGATAACTGAATTGGTTCTCCTTGCTCTTCTTGCTCTTCTTCTTTTTCTTGATGTCCTCGACCATCGGTGGAAGATCTGCTTTCATCATCTCGGGAGTGATAATCGGACGCTCCTTCGCGCTAGTCTTTTTGACAACAGTCTTTGGTTTCCCTATAGTTTCGATCGTTCGTATCGAGCCCGTCTCCATGGCCTTTTCGCCACGTGCCAGCTTTCTCCCGGCAGGAGTGCCCTTGTAGATGTCGTAGCCGTTCAGATTCGTAGTCGATCCGTTGCTATTGTTTGGGAAATAACTGCCGCCGTCATCAGAAAATGAAGCGACGGATGAGTTTCGCGGGAGCTTGCGGGAACTGTTGGGCGTCGCCATCGGCGTGCGAGGAGGGCCCGGGTTGACGAGTACCGTGTCCGAGGTCATGATACTCACGTCGTCGGCGTCGCGACGGCGTTGCTTCTGCGCAAATGACTGTGACACGACATCCGGATACGCCGAGTTCTCCTTGTTCGGTTTGCTTTTGGACTGGCGAGAGAAGAGAGACCATGAGCTGCTGCTAGGGGCGGAGGTGCTAGTGGTAATTGTTGAGGCCGCGGACGCGATAGAGGATGTGGGTGAGGTTGCACGGCTTTCAGCGTACGAGTCTCTCCGATCCAAAGTTCGGGATGGACGGCTTAGGCTTGCAAAACTGCCGCTTCGTTGGTTGACGTTCATGCGCAGGGTTGAGGTCGACGAGCGAACCGATGCAGGCGGCGAGGGAGGTCCATTACTGGAATATAGAGACGAGGCTTTGTCTTTATCGCTTTGCTGCTTTTCTTCAAGCTGTTGCTGCTTCGATAGAAAGCCACCGAGCCATGACTTCTTTTGCTGAATGGGCGGTGAGAGGGTGTCCGAGTCGTCCGAGTCTGGCGGCGAGAACCCAGCAGAGGAGTCTTGCGGGAAGCCGCTATGTCCGCCGTAGGACGACGGCGAGTGTCGCTTTGAGGAGCGGTATTCAGATGCTCTGTTGCTCATCTTCCCGGCTTATATCGCAGACATGGTGTGAGTGCAGGCGAATGGCAGTGTCGAGGGTTGCTTTGTCTGATGGCCAGTCAGCTAGGATGGAGAGGATTATGGCTGAAGGCGTCGACGCTCTTGCGTTCTCGGAAGTCTATCTCGTATTCGCTTGCTAGCGTTGGCCGTTATCGCCGCCGCTCTTCAGATGCTGGTCTTGTTCGGTGCTTTCTAACTGTGATTGCAAATAAAGATGCTATTTGAATAGACCGATGATCTGTTTTATATACGTTGTTTATTGCTTTTGTGCCAGGCGTAAAAGACCGACGCGCTTGCTCCAGCGTCGACGTATTTGATAAGACTTTACCGAGCCCACCGAAGATCTCCCCAAAAGCTACACTGAAAGTTCTTTCTTATCAGGCTCGAGAATGTCGCGTGAGATGTACTCCTCGTCGCTCGTCTGTACCTACAGTTGCAAACTAAGCGCTGCACTCTATTCGCAAGTCGTAGTTGGGTATATAACTGGAATCTTAAGGCCCTTGCTCGGATGTCGATAAGCGGTTGCGTATCTTACGCGGGATCTGTCGTGCGCGTTTTACTTTGAAGATCCCGACGACGGGAAAAAGTGAGATATAGTCCCGCTGCCCTGATAAAACACAGCAGCTCTCGACCCAAACCAGCACGTCTCCCAAAATCTTCCTCAGAGATCATTGAAATCTGCAATAGCCTAGACAATTAATACGCAATGTGATGTTAACAAAACTTCTTCGTCTGTTGGTAGGACATAGGGTTAAGCCCTAGCATCAACCCTAACCACAGACCCAAGTGTATATATACGAGCGCGCGCCAGTTCCTTTTGGATTTCTTTTTTCTCTTTTTTTTCTTCATTCTTATGCTAGGGCATTACAAGTATTAATGAGGATTCGTCCGAGATCTTGTATTTGCTGGTTGAAAACTTTAACCAATGACCGCTCCTGAATGTCTTCGGATGTTTAGGGAATTTTTGGAAGCCTACAACATTTGTACAGCTGCTGTTTGAAGCAGGAAGGAAAGAGAAGAAAGGGGATGTGTTTGACAGAGGGGCTGGGTTGAGATGGGCTTTCCTGAGGCCCGTTTTGGCTCGAGCCGGATTTGTTCATTAGAATCTAGTGAATAAAGACATCTGAATAAGTACTGCTCGCTGTAAATCATTCATTTCGTAGAAGATCTGGCTGTTTAGCTGAACGCGGGTGCGGGTGCGGGTGCAGACTGTGACAGTGGGTGATCATCCTCGCAACGGGTGATGGCTGAACACGGAGCGCGGATGCAGAAAGCGAGAGGATGTTTATGGTTGTTCGTTGGTCCTGCAGGCAGATGACGGATGCATCTCTGACGCAGTGTGATAGCTGGACGAGATGATTGCTGGTGGTCTGCGTCCTGAAGGAGCACTCAGCCAGCCCGCACTATCACAGCACAGCGATACCTCTTGCAACTGCACAGCTGAGAGGAGAGAGAGTAGCGGGCAAGCAAGTCGATAATATAGAGCATTGTATGTATCTGGTATGTAGCGTGATGGTGAGGAAATAGCTCATCCCTGGCGTAGTAGACGTAGGAGACACACCAGCAACAGCAACAGCAACAGCAACCCATCAGCAACAGCACCAGAACAGCCAACAACCGCATTCAGATCCCTGCATCAACCCTGCCCGTTTGTGTACGGCCCTGCCCGTTTCGAGCCCGAGTTCTGCCCGCAGACGCAGCCTCTGAACCGCTCCCGGACCTGGTCTGCGAGCTATTATTATCCGGCCTGGTGCCTTCCGGGTTAGGGAATCACGCCCAGCCAAAGGAGCGAGCTCACCGTTCATTAACAAAACAATAACAGAACGGCCTATGACGCGGGATCCGCTCTCTGCTCTCTTCCTCCTCCAGCCTGCTCTCTTCCTCTCCATCAATCCCTCTCAGTAGACACCTACCTAGTCTAGCTTTTCTGCTTGCTTGCTGTCTGCGTCGACCGTTGTATCGCGCGTGTCCACCTGGCCCATCTGATAACGCGAGTACACCTCATTTGCAGCAGGACCTTTTTTTAGATCCCCACCTCGCTACTCTCTCATCTCGACCCCTCCTCCCGTTCATCCCTATCCTGCTGTGCGTCCATATCCGATAATGAAGGACAAGGACGACTACGGATTCTCCCCGGCATCACCCGCCTCGAGGTCTTTCTACCGCTTGCGCAGGTTCACAACCCGTCTAAGGCAGACCGTCGCCCGTCGCCGCGTCATTGTCATGCTCCTGGCGTTCCTGATCCTCTACCACTTTGTTTCAGACACGGGACTTCCACTGCTGCCCAAATTCAGATGGGGCTCGAGCAGATTCGTCATCATCCTCGCAGTGAATCAAGGTGGCGGTGTCCGGCAATGGAAGGGCGCAAAGGAGTGGGCTGTCGAGCGGACAAGTATTGCAAACAAAAAGGCGTACGCTGATCGCCATGGCTACGATCTCGCGATTCAGGATATGTCGATAAAGAAGCGGTATGCGCACGAATGGCGAGAATCGTGGGAGAAAGTCGACGTCATCCGCTCAACAATGAAGCAATACCCAAAAGCTGAATGGTTCTGGTGGCTCGACCTGCACACCTACATCATGGAACCCGATATCTCTCTCGAACGTCATGTTTTCAACAAAATTGAAAACAACACCTACCGAAACTTGTCGGTCTATAATCCCTTGAACCTGCCCGTCAGCCTTCCTCACGTTGAGAATCACCATGACATCAATCTTGTCGTGCCGCAAGATTGTGGTGGGTTCAACCTTGGCAGTTTCTTCGTTCGGAGAAGCGAATGGACTGATTTCCTGCTTGATATATGGTGGGATCCCGTCTTTTACGAGCAACGTCACATGCAGTGGGAGCACAAAGAGCAAGATGCCTTGGTGAGTCTACCCGAACTTTCCATGATCTGAGATTCGATAGCTGACTTTTCACAGGAACACATGTACTCCAACCAAGCATGGATAAGGAGTGGCGTCTCCTTCATCCCCCAACGCCTAATCAACTCCTTCCCACCCGGCGCGTGCGCAGAGCAAGCTGGCGACCCCCGCATTTTCTACGACGAAAAAGACCGCGACTTTGTCGTCAACATGGCCGGCTGCGAATGGGGACGTGACTGCTTTGCTGAGATGGAGCATTTCCAGAAACTCTCTGCCTCGCTGCAGACTAAAAGCCGAAAGTGGTTACCGTGGTAGGCGCGTTCAGAACACATATTTTGATTTCTTGAAATGGTCTGCAACGGAAGCAAAACTATAGACTACATATTATAGACACGACCGCGAGCTGTACTATTTCTCTTTGGTCAAATCACGCTTTTATATTTTTTGCCGTTCTTCATTTTGCTTACTTGCTTTATTTTTATATCTCTTTTCCTCCATTTCATTTCCGTTTTTTTGTGTGTGTTTTTCTGTGCTTGAGTTATGCGGGATCATTACATTGGGAAAAATCAGTGGTTTGATTTTGTACAGATTTGCGAAATTTTGTGTACAGTATTATATATTATGTTAATAAACACTCGATAAACCAAACACTCCCTGTATCCAAAGCCATCTTCCTCTATAGCGAAAAATAATCCAACAGAATCGTCTACATCTTATCGTAAACACCATACTTGAGCGATCCCTCCGGCTTCTCGATCGGTCTATCCTTGGAGATCTTGATCGCATTTCGCAAAGCCTGCTTCAGCTTTTCTATAGCATCCACCGAAGTCTGGTGGTGGATCGCGATGCGCGCGCCGACGACGGTGATTCCGAGCTTGTCGCCCTCCTCGATGAACACGGCGGGATCGATTTCTGCCTTTTCGAGATCCAAAAAGATAAAGTTGGTCTCCACCGGGATCTGGAACTCCAAACCCATCTCCTCGTGCAGCTCGCTGGCGAGCTTCTTGGTGGTCTCGTGCGTGAGCTTGAGCTTCTCGGGGTAATTCTCAGTGAGCGCAACGTCAGCGGCGGCAGCCAGCAGGCCAGCCTGTCTGATACCACCTCCGAGCTGCTTACGGAACCAATTGGCAGTCTGGATAAAGTCTGGTTCTCCGACGATGACGGTCCCGACGGGGGCGCCGACGCCCTTGGACATGCACAGCGACATCGAGTCAAAGTACTTGCCGTACTCTGAGATGGGGATGCCGGTCTCGGCCGAGGCGTTCCAGAGACGGGCACCGTCGAGATGGAGCTTGAGGTTGTGCTTCTTGGCCAAAGCTGAGATTTTGGCAATTTCTTCGATAGGCATGATCGTGCCGCCCAACGTGTTTTCGAGCGAGATCACTCGCGTCGGGGCAGTGTGGATGTCGTCACCCACTGTACGTCCGTTAGTAAATCACAGATAAAAGATGAGTTGGTGGATACTCACAAATCAGGTTCTCCTCGATCTCTTTGGCGGTGATGTAGGTAGTCTTTCTTGGGTGAACAGGGGTCACCATCGCCTGCGAGAGCATCGCCAGACCCGCAGCTTCGTGGGTATACACGTGGGCGCGGTAATCGCACAGGATCGAGTACGGCGGCTGGTGCAGGTGTGCGCGGAGACAGATCTGGTTGCCCATCGTGCCAGAGACAACAAACAGACTGGCGGGTTTGCCAGCCATCTTGGCCACGCGCTCCTGAAAGTCGTTGGTGGTCTTGTCTTCTTTGTAGACGTCGTCGCCGTGGGTTGCGGTGAGCATTGCCTGCAGCATTGATTCTGTGGGCGTGGTGACTGTGTCACCTAATCCGAGCAAAATAAACGTCGTCAGCACAGGTCTAGTACAGTAAAACCCACGATCTAGCTCGCAGAGGTGCGCCAGAGCTGCTGTACTCACTCTTGAAGTCGGTGGCCGCCATGCTCGTGGACTGAGTCATTGTGGATGTGGATTGGGAGAAACGGGATAAGAGCCGGGGCGAGGAAAGCAGTCGAGTGAGAGGCCTGAAAGACGAGCTCACAAACATATACTTCTGAATATAAAGCGAAAGAAGAAGACTTCGAATCCTTCTTCTGTAAAAGAAACAAAGAAGATTTTCTACCGGCGGCGTGGAGGAAGCAGAAAAGATGACTATCCGTAACTTTTTTCGCCTCTCAGAAGCACCGCTTTTAACTTGGTTTACAGTTTTTAAATGGCTGCGGCTGAGGTTATGTAATCAGGTCAGAGATGGCCTTAATGTGATTAGCGTGTGACTGGTGTGAGTTGTTCTGTGATCTCCGATGGGGTAGCAGAATTATCTGAACTAGGAAGAGATACTGTGAATGGTATCTGAACAACACCATGCAGATATTTCTGGACCCGCTGTTATGATGCACAGATCTCTATTGCAATGAGTCTCACTGACACCGCCATTGCTTTCTGCACGCGATCTGCCACCGTCCAGACCGATCGCGTCTCACCATCGCTCTTTGAAAGTAAACGCGTTCGCCCTCAGATATCGTCTGACTCGACAGTGTCTACTCTCGAAGACAGTCAACAGCCTCTTGTTGAATTTCGACAGATTCATAGCGTTCTATCACGCAAGAAGCAACGGCTGGACTGCGATGCGTATACTACTCAACACACCTCGTCCTCAACTTCGCTTCATTCGCGTCAAGCAGATCTTTGGGGCACCTCAAACGACGCATCTTCGTCGCAAAGCAAAGACCAGATAATTATCCACTCCCAACAGACCTTTCTGTGTACTTCTTCGAGGCAGAGAAATGAGCGTTTAGCAGTCGCCTCTACGAATTTTCAAGCTGCGCAGCGGCATTTCCTCCACCGTGCGACTGTCGACATCGTCGTGCACGCGAACCCGGCTCTCAAAGGATCAGATAAGGCCGAGAGCACGGATGTTGAAGGTATTGCTACAGCCTCGGGAAAGAGTACAGAGTCTACTATTGAGGACATTGCAGTTCCTTCATTTATAGGCGCGGAGTCTACTGCGGCTGTACCTCGAAAATCAGAAAGCAGGGATCACTCGTCGAACGCGTCCAATACTGTCCCCAAATTTGTTCCAGACTCGGTAGAGGTCACCACTGATGCTCCAGGAGTCTTAAAGTGCAACATAATTACACTCTTAGAGAGTTCTCCGCCTTTTTCCGGAGCAGGTCGCGCAGTTTTAGATCAGACGCGCAGGTCTGAAAAGACAGAGTCTGCATCTACCGAAGCTGATCTCCAGTCATCCATCAATGTCGCGAACAGTCTCAAGTTTTGCACACCACCTCCTAAGTCTTCGGCTTTGAGAAACCGCAAAATTCCTCGTCCTGGGTCGTTGATCTCCCTCCCGGCTCCTCCCACAAGTGCCGAGACCCTTCTGCACGAGTACCCAAGTCAGTCGTCTACATACTCTTCTCCGGATAGGTTCCCAGAACGGTATCCAGTGTTCAACGCGACTTTGACGCTGTATGATCTTCTAGGCCCGTTGTCGAGCAAGGAAGCTTACCATGTGGGTTTTGTTGACAGATCGTCGACCGCTGTCGCAGAAGAGCCTGAAAGCGAGGTAGACGACGACGGTGCTGAAGCTGGAGAGTTTGCTGCTACCTCTTTACGCGCCGACCATGAACGAAGGAGAAGTGAAAAGGACGGGAAAATCCAAATCGCTCGTCGCGGAAAGCTCACTGATGGTATCCTGACAAACACGTTGGAAAAGCAGCTAAAGATGGCATTCAGAAAATCAAACTACTACGCCCCGTGCGCGACATGTGTCCGTACCAAGCGAATGATGAAAGACACAGAGCTCGCTCGCATCTCGTCAGATGAGAATCTAGACGCGGAATGGCCGCCTCAGCCTTGTGAGCGAGGCTATTGGCGAATCGACGTCTCGCCCTGGAACGCAGACGAGAAACTCCGCTTCTGGAACGGCGTCACGAAAGTGATCAAGACCGGGCGTATCGGATGGGTGCGCATGGTGGTTGACGATAGTAACTGTCGCTCAGATGGGGACGTTGTGCGGTTTTATTGCTTTGGGAAGGTGGTTGTGCATATCTGGGTGTTGTTGCTGATTATGAGCGATAGAAGGCTGACGAGGACTGATGTCTCATGGGTTGATAGTATGGGGAGGACGGTGATTAAGATGAAGCGCATTTGATATTGGGCGTGGGCGTTTAACGGGACTGATGATGAGTTTACGAGGCTTATGTTGATCCACGAATGGATTTGATAGAATATATAATTAACGAATACCTGACATAGAAGTCAATGAAACAGAAAAACAATACACAAAAAGTCGGAAGTTGAAAACGCGTCGACTGACTGCAAGACAAAAGCAAATACTGCAGACAAAACTGATACTGATTGATGATGATAAAACCCAATTCGCCGTGCCGTCATATACCCATAACCTCCGAATAATGAAAACTGAACGACCAAAATAAAAGCACGCAAACAAGCAAACACGCAGACGATACAACGCAAGTCAAGTCAAGTCAAAAGAAAAACGAGCAATATGTAACGCTAATAATACAGTTGCTTGCACGAAAATAAACAAGGAATGAGCATATAAAACTGAAACTTAAAGAGATATACGCTCGAAAGTCATAGTTGATCTCAAACCTCAGCACAGCTCGCTTCATACCAGCTCCGGCGCGATCATATCACTAAAAGCAGTGCTTCCCCACTGGTATTTAACAGAGCTGCTTATAGCTCATCCTTAGATGGCACCCGTCGCGCGAAGACGCGCGCGCTTGTCCAAGCTATGCGATTTCTCCCGACGACGCTCGGTGAACGCTTTACGATCGGCAAACAAAAGACGCTCCTGGTCTAATTCATCCACACCAACCATGGAGTTTGTCTGCCACGCGCCCGCGCCAAGATCAAGCATCTTCAACTCAACCTTGCGGCTGGATCGATCAATGGTAGTCGATGATGATCCGGCCGACGCGACGTGAGAAGGTGCCATTGATCGCTTTGATCCGCGGAAGTCTCGCTCAGCGCAAAGCATTCTGTAGGTCTTGTAGCCAGATGGAGGAAGACCCTGTCGGAACGCCTCAGCATAGGTGAGTCGGCGAACTTGAAGCCCGACATACTCGTCGTCGAACCCCTGCGACGCGACAGAGGAGGCAGTATGCTCGTCGGCATCGCCAGAATCCTTTGTTTGCTCAGATAGAGAAGCAGACGAGTCAACAACGACGTGTCCGGCCGCGGCCTCAATAGTCTCGGCGTCCTGGAGGTTGATGATCACAAAGTCGTTGAAAGAGTCATTCTCCGCGGAGGGAGACGCGCCGGCAGAGATGCTGACTGCCGGCACAGGCGCCGATCCAGAAGCGAAAGAGAAGAAGCGATTAAAGAATGCCATTTGCGATGTAGCGATCAAGCACGGAGTAGATCAGGGATGTTGATGGAAGGTAGAGAGAGTCGGAAGGAGCGGGTGTTGCGGATACCGAGGCTGCGTCGGGTGTGTTTGGATGAGTCTATTATTGGAAGCGGGCTGTTCGCGCCAGATAAGGATATGATGCGGGCTGACGAGGACCGGGAAGGGGACGGAGGCAGAGACAGTAAAATATATATATAATGAAAATCAGATACCTACTGCTGTATGTCTAGAGAGGTAGTGAAAAGCGCTAGGAAGGTCTGGTAGAGAGAGAGGATGGAGGAGAGGCCGGGGAGAAGAGGGGCAGGCCGGGGTGAGTCGGTCCAGTTGGGAGTTTGGCCATCAACAAACCGAAACTCCCAACTGGCCCAATTCGGCAATTTCTCAGCCGCACTAAGCCGCTTTCGTGGGCCAACGCACCGTCGGCAGCCATCCTTCCGGTCCAGTCCCACACCCGCCCCAGGCCCTGCTATCAACCGGCCCCCGGCTGGCTGTGCCCGCTGCGCAAACAGAACAAACAGCCGTCGAGCCGGTCGTGTGCTGGTGGGTGCGCGCTGCGTTGTTGTCCGCATGCCTAAACGAGCCTGCCCGATCGCGATCCTGGTGCTTATCAGCTGCGGTTCGCGGTCTATGACGTCGCAGTCCTAGGCTCTGCCCTATCGCGTTGCGACGCGAATCTGATGCACTCGTCTTCGCTTTAGTTACACGCATTCTTGTCTCCAATTCAATCATACGCGAGTTTCCACACAAAACAGCTCAAGTTATCTTTCTATCAATTGTCTTATCACACCTACCTTGGCAACACACTCAGGTCTCCTCCGTCTGCTCTCCTTCGGGCACTATTATTGGCTTGTAGTTGTCCTCCATCCAATCCACAAACGTCTGCACGTCGCTTACCAGCAGCCCTGGCACTGATAGGTTCTGCACCCACCGTGGCAGATTTCCCTTCATATCACTCTAGAAACCCGCGAGCCAGCCAGTTAGATCATAGTACATAGCAGCTAAAGGCAATTGTAATTAGAGCAGCACATACCGTAGTTCCCAAAGTCCACTCCACGTCTCCGTTCTCGAGCTTTCTCACGCGGTGGAAAAAGGCGTAAACTCCTCGCGTGGTCGCGTCCTCTGGAAGCGGGATATCGGCCGGCATCGCGACCACATAGAATTCATCTTTGTCTTCCTCGGGCATGATTGGCAGTAACCACGTTGCCAGGTCGCGCTGAGCAAACGGAGCAGGTAGCGTGTACTTGAGATTATATCCCTGCCATCCCTGTTCCTGCTCTACCGACAGCTTGTACTCTTTGATCACATCGAAGTAGCCCATCATGTTCTTGAACAGATCCTGGTACAGCGTGCGCTTGAACCACTCATACGGATGTTTGCTGCCATCGTGTATAGTAGTTCGCGCATACCACAGCTCCGGCCCGATATACTTGTAATAGACCTTTGTCTCAAAATTTGCACCGCCTTTTGTGAACTTCCATCCGTCAGGAATCGTTGCGATGATATCCTTCACCAGCGCCAACGTCGACTCCGCACTGGGTGGATGTGGAACGGGATTGAGAGTAAACTCTTTGATTGTATAAAAGTCGCCTTCGCTCGTCATCTTGCTGTAGTTATTCTCAAGTTGAACGCCAATTGCTCAAAGAATATGTATTTAGCTGAACAAATCGACTCTAGATCTCCGGCTACAACAGAGATTTCGAGCGGCGACGTGGTCGTGCATGCGCTCTCGCTTTCAAATAGAGTTTCAAGGTACAGAGTTAATTAAGCTGATAAGTAGAAATTTGGTTTATCTCCGGCATTGTAATATGAGAATATAATCCAATTGCATCGTAAATGCGCTATAAATATACAACAAGAATCTTAAAGACTATATCAGAGTCATAGATACACTAAACGTAAAGAGTATGCCAAGGTCGAGAATCTTAAGACGTCTCCTCTGGCTCTTGTGACTCTTTCTCCCCGTATTGGTCTTCCATCCACTTCAAAATGACTGGGATATCGCCAAGCAGAACGCCGGGGATGGAATAGTTTTGAACCCAGCGTGGGAGGTTACCACGCATGTCGCTCTGTGCATAGTCAAGGTCAGATACGACTTATTCCAAATTTGTTAAAAGAACACATCAACTTACCGTCTGCGCCATAAGCCATTCTATCTTATCATCATCGAGCTTGCGCACTTTGTGGACAAACGAGTAGACGCCTCTGGTATTCGCCTCATCTTGCAGCTCATAGTCTGCCGGAAGGGCAATCACGGTGAACTCGTCCTCTCGATCCTCTGGTGTGTACGTGTATAGCCATGTCGCGATGTCTCGCTCGGCGAATGGTGGCGGCAAGAGATACGTCAGTCTGTACCCCTTCCAGCCTTTCTTCTCTTCAACGCAGGTAGCCTCACGCACCATCTCGTAGTAGCTAACCATATTCTCAAAGATTTCGTCATAAAGCGCTCGCTTGAACCACTCGAACGGGTACTTTGTCGCGTCCTGGATAGTCGAGCGCGAGTACCAAAGCTCAGAGTCGATCGTCTTCCAGTGCACGCTCGCCTTGTGCTCCGGCATGTCTTTTGATAGCTTCCATCCCTTGCTTGGTAAACTCTCGAGAATTGTCTCTGCAAGAGCTAGCGCTGACTCGGCCGTCGGGGGGTGGGGGTGCGGGTCAAGACCAAACTTCTTAATCTCAAACACGGTCTCTGTTTCCTCTGCGTCTGACATTTTCTCAAATCTAGAGTACTTGAATTAGTAAATTGCACAAGTGGCATCAAAGACCAAGCGAATTTAAATATTGCCTTCACTTGCCTATTATCAATGCACAGTATTACCCAAACACTTCTTGCAATATCGTACTCGCCGTTGAGATATAGAAAAGAGGTAAGAAATGCAAGTATATATGTACAGCTTCTCCTTACTAAGCGAAAGTACTGCTGCTACTCAATTGTCAAAATGCGCAAGCAACTATGAAACCAAAGGCGAGTACTTCAAACGATCGTCGATAGCCACGCTTATCACTAAACGTAATGATACAAACCCCGCAAGTGTTGACGTTGCATAAAATAAGGTTTATATTTTCCATTAAGAAAGAACAGACCGTGGACGCGTCGCGCGTTCCCCTGTCGTCAAATTAGTTCTAATTGTCTCTGCGCTCGCCTTCGACGGCATCCTCTAATCATCACCTTGGTCAAGACAGAACTGGTAGCTGTTAGATAGCAGCATCATGGCCACAAGGCGGACGCCACGATCTACGAGCAGTCCCGGCGGCGGTGCCTCGCTGGATCGTGAAAAGCCCTCGACTTCGCTCTCTGAGTCTTCCCGTATGCGATCTCGAAGAAGGGCGGCAGCCTCCGATTCACGATCTGTTTCGCCCACTCCCACGCGTGGTCGACAATCTCTTTCAAATGTTTCTCCTAGCCCAAGTACCTCAAGAACGAGACGGATCAGAACACCAACCACAGAACCCGATCAGGTTGCCTCAGCTGAGAACAGCGACAGATCCAGGACGAAGCGAGTTTCTATTACTACACCATCACCGCGGAAAAGTGATCTTTCTGCCTCTAGAAAATCAATTGATACCACAACCCCCGAGGTCACTCCGACAAAGCAGTCACGCAAACGTCGGCGTGAAGAAGATGACGAGGAACAGGACGACGAATCTACCTCACTAGCAGCCGAAAAATCTGATGGGGAAAAATCTCTTTTATCGGCCGTGAAGAATTCAGGACGAAAACTGTTGGGATCTTTGGCAGATGTGATCGCTCCAAAGAGACCGAAAGTGTCTGCTGGACAACCCCACCCGGATCCTGCTCCCGAATCTGACAGCGAGGACGGTAATTCAATAGCAAGCAGTACCGCACTCGCCACTGAGGAAATACAATTGATCTCGGCCGAGAAAGAGGGGATGGCCACGCCAATGGAGACCGGCTCTACATCCTCGAGCTCTGAATTTTTGCGGCAAAATAACTCAGATGAGTTGACGGATATACAGAAAGTAAAGCGAAGAGTACTAGGTCAATTGAACGGCCGACTCCGGCCACGTATGGTGGGACTCGAAACCGTCTACGGGTACGACTGTCTGCGATATTTTTGATTATATTCAAAGATGAAGGTTTACTGACTGCGAATGCGAGATAGAAAAATGTACCATCTGATAGAGCAAACAATTCTTGCGCCGATTCACGCGGCAGCAATGGCAAAGCCTGACGCAAATACCTCGGCGTCGGCTGCTTCCATATCTTTAGCGTCGTTTCACGGGGGAAATTCAGCTTTGCTGCTTGGGCCTCGAGGATCTGGAAAGTCGCTGGTTATCGACAGCGTACTGGCTGATCTGCACCGAAAATATCGAGGGCATTTTATCACGGTTCGGTTGTCAGGTCTAGCTCAGACCGATGACAAATTAGCTTTACATGAGATTGCGCTACAGATTGAGCGCGGGAGGAGAGGGATCGAGGAAGGCGAGACGGCTGACGGTGGGCGGAGAGTATACCGCCGTCAAAGTGCAAACCGTACCCTATCTCGGCTTGTCACCATGCTCTCTGGAAGATCGGGGCTTGAGGAAGCTAAGATTGATAACGACGACGAAAGGGATGACGAGGATGACGACGACAACGGAGCGGTGGTGTCGGTCGTTATCATTCTAGATGAGTTTGAGCGGTTCGCGACGATGCAGAATCGGCAAACGCTGCTGTACAACTTGCTCGATGCGGCGCAATCCCCCCGATATTCTGCCACCTCAAGTGGAAAAACTCGGGCGCCGAGTATGTGCATTATCGGCATGAGCAGTCGCATGACTGCCCCGGAGATGCTCGAGAAACGAGTGCGCAGTAGGTTTAGCCACCGGGTAGTCTTGATCCCGCATCCGTCCGAGGTTGAAAAGTTCTGGAGCATCTGCGAGGCAGCGGCCACTCTTGAATCCGGGAAAGCGGCCAGCGTCTCAGATGAGGTCGCGCAAACCTGGAACACAGAGGTGCAAAAGCTCAGCAAGGCACCGTCGGTCCAGCGGCTAATCCGGCGAGTGTTTGCGACGACGCGGGATCCGAGACAAGTTCATGTACAATTGGCAATGTGTGTTAGAGGTTGTACAGATGCGTTGTCGCTTTCGGCAGAGCTAGTGACCCGGTTAGATTTAGGCGCGACTGAAGGCGCCGGCGCTATGGAACGGGTAGCAGGTAAGAAGGCAGTCAGGCTCACCGCTGGGCACTTATTTTTTTAAAAAGAGTACTTTGCGTTCTAACTCTAGTATTGGTAGGCTTATCTGAACTGGGTCTTATGCTACTGGTGTGCGCAGCTCGAGCAGAAATCAAGTACGGACGCGCGGAGTCGACAGCAGTGACAACAACAACGACAACAACAACAACAACAACAACAACAGACGATAGCACCGGACGCACGAGCTCGACCAAGGTGCAGACAGCGGCCTCATCCGGATCTGTAAACTTTGCGATCGCATATGGCGAGTACATGATGAAAGCGGGTGAGACGAGGCTGGCCGAAGCAGCAGCGGGCGCGGTGGTGTCGATGCCGTTTCGGATTTGGTCTAGGGAGCAGGCAGCGGAGGCGTGGGAAGGTTTGGAAAGAGCAGGACTTATCCAGGGAACTGGTGGCTCGGGCGGAATGAGTATGGTCGAAGTCAGTTTGCGCGAATTGGCAACGGTTGCGCGAGGCACCGTGGTGCGGCAGTGGTGCAAGGTACTGTAGGCTAGCGTATCATCTATAACGTTGGCTGGCCCAGGCTCATGCTGGTGAATGATCAAGTTTGAAGTAGAATGTGGATTAAATTCCGACCTCAAGTGCGGATGACATGCCGCCCATGCTGCCTTGCTGCTTGTCGTGCAGTGCGCCCATGGACCCTGTGAACAGTCTTAGTTCTCTCATCCTCCGATTGAAGAAACAAGACAGAGAAGCAGAACAAAAGAAGGAAAAAATAAAAGAAAAAGAAGAAAAGACAGAAGAAAAGACGATCTCCGGCGGACTGGCCCGAGGCGCAAAGTACAATGACGATTTAAGATTCAATTTATGCAACTTTATCATCGGCAACTGCCCCAACTTGCGCGAGCTGGGGCCTCCACCAGACGGCTCGCGTGGCAGCCACGAGGGAAGCAAAAAGCCCGCCGCCAAGCAGGTAGATGGGTACTTATACCAGACGACGAAATATAGAATGTCGGGCTCGCTCTGGTCCCCGCCCCGGGCGGTTGATATCTCTGCCTGTTCTCCTTCTCCGTCCAGCAAAGCACCCCAGTTATGGACTTGGACGATGACGACTTCGACGAGCTCGCTGCAGACAAATACAGCTCAAAGACGACAGCCTCATTAGCCGAGTTCTTCAGGACGACCTCCCCACCCGGATTTGTAGACCCTCATCCGGCCTCCCATCGCCCTCGCTCTCTCGGCCCCCAGGTCGCCCTGCAGTATTCTCCAAGCAGCACAACTCCCCGGTACACCCCTCTGGAAACCGTTCGCGCGCCGGATCATGAAGAGATGCAGCCGTCGACTACGCCGCGTACTCTCCATCGCGCCGAGCGTATTTTCAAGTTGACTACGGACAACCGGCCACACTACGACGACCTCAGCTGCATTTTCTCAGTCCTCACCATCTCTCTCCCGCTCATGGACCACTTCGTCGGCGTCTTCTCTGCTCCGTACCCGCTCTCGTTCAAGGCTGACGACGCGGTGAGCAATCTCATGAATCTCAAGATGCAGCAGAACGTCCGGTCGTTCGATCGCGCTGGCAATAAAACCACCTCGACCACAATCACCTCCTACCAAGTCGACCGGCCCATGTGCCTGAAGCTCATGCAGAGCTTCATGTCTGCTCACTTCATCAAATGCGCAAATGATCCCACCACCGAGAAATTCAGCGAGAACCTCCTTCTCCAGCTCACCCCCAAGGGCTGCGCGGTTCTGTACCTCTTCACACAGCGAAACGGCATCTCGGCCCCAAACGTCACCAGCCTTCTCAAATATCACTCCAGCTGTATGCGCTTGGTCACGCTGGAGCGCGATCCGCTCACCGACTACATTTACACCTCGAGTCAGTTCGTCGAGATCGTCTTTCAGAGATTTGCCGGAACCAGCCCCAACTACTACCACTCCTCCTCGTCCTCATCCTCCGGACATTCAGCACATCACAGCAAAAACAGCAACAGCATCAGCACTCTCAAGCAACCAAATATGTCTGGAATGCTACACACCGGCACAGGCTCCTCCACTTCAACCTATGTCTTCTCTGGAAAGCAGCGCCAGCAGTCAGCCCCACCCATGAGCGCGTCAGGAGCCGAGACAGTGCCAGACCCAGGTTTCTACTTTGACAAAAACAGCGACTCGGGCATGGGCGTGCGCATATACGAAGTCAAGCGTCTTCATCTGAAGGAATACAAACACTGCTTTTCGGGTGCTGATGCGAGGCGCTGGATTATGGACTGGACGACAGCTATCAACAATCAGGAGGCTCAGATACTGCTCGATGAGTTTGTTGATCAGGGCCTGATTGTGCGATTAGACGGAAAATCGGGCTCTTCTGCCACATCGTTCATAGTGGACAAGAACGCCCACTATACGCTGGCCAGTAAGGGAAGACAGCTTGCAGGGTGGCCGCCGCTCGCAAGCCGCTCTTCGTCTGGCGCCCCGGTTAGCAAGGTGAAACGGCCGGAGTCTCCCATCACTCGGGTTTCGTCGCCCGGAGCCGACAAGACGCAGAAGCTGAACAGTATCCTCGAGAATCCGGCTTTACGACTGCTGTTTCGGGAGCACTTGGAAGACCATCTGTGTGTCGAGAACCTCGTGTTATACTCGGAAAGCAGCAAGGTCATTGCGATGTATGAGGAGCTTGAACGAGATGATTTTGCTACGGCGACGATCCAGAAAGTGGACGTCTGTATAAGTGAGGCATGGGTCGTATACCACGTCTTTCTGGCTCGCGGCTCCGCATCCGAGGTTAACATCGACTACGACCTGCGCACACGCGTGCGCGAAGGCATGACGGCAATCAGATCGCCAGACACGTCGACGAAAGAAAAGTCTCCGAAATCGCTGGATGTGTCGATCGCGAATCTGAAGCGGATCATAAGCTTGCTTATCGAGGTGCGGTCGCAGGTGTTTTCTCTGATGGCGGCAGACTCGGTGCCGAAGTTTTTGAAAACGAGCAAGTTCTTGGAGTCAAATCTGGAGATTGCTTGAGAAGTCATTCATTTGTGCATAGTTCTATCTCATTGGTCTCGCCTTGGTATTCGCGAACGTTAATTTTAATCTCATAATTCGCATAATAATACTCCAACTAATTTTATACCAATATCGTAAGAATTCATAGAACTGAGAGACGCTGTAAAGTAGACGATGTTAAAACGCTGGATCTTCTTTTGGCGACCTCGACAAAATGAAGGTTTGGAGATTGCGCAGCGACCCCAGAGGCACAGATAAACTCAATGTGCCGCAGGGGCATCTCCCTCATACGATCATCATTCTTATCATATCCGAACAACCACTGCTATCATCGATACTGGGACAATCAATTCAGTGAGGATTCAGCGGAAAATTCTCGAAAATATACTAGCAATATATTGGCGAATCACAAGAATATACTGCCGTGCGTCGAATGGTAAGTCTCGATGTCTGATTCAATTACGGCGAGACAGATCGCTCACCCCCTTACACAGGATTTGACTGATTAGGATCAGTGACTCGCTATACTTTTACAATGGAGGAAGAACCAATGCAGAGAGACGATCAGGCTAGAATCTCTGACTTTGCGATGGACGTGGATACCGAGACACCCGTGCAAGCATCCGCATCCCTGAGCAGCGCACTGCCGCCAGACAAATCAGTGCACGATCCCGCTCAGTACCTGTACCAGGAAAACTTCACAGCAATCATGCGCTACCTGGACACGTTTGAGATTGCACAGATGGAAAGCGTGAGTCGACTGTGGAGAGACTATATCAAGAACACACCCGAGCTGTGGCGCAGACTCGATCTGAGACGAGCCAAAGAACCAGTTCCCTTCAGCTTTGTCGAGATGATGGTCAAGCGAGCTGGCGACGCTCTTGCGGAGGTTTATCTACACAATCTATCAGTGGACGGGACCAGGAAATCCTTGGAGCTGATTTTAAGATGCGCCGATTACAAAGACGAAGACGAGATGAGGGAGTTTACGATCTTTCAAAGCCGACTGCGCAAGCTGTTTGTGGAGGGCTATACCAAGATCCTAGAGCTACCCTCTGACGCGTACTCGCCTACGACTTGGTCAGTGTTTGATGGACTGCGGGAGGTTCAGTTTACGCTTGACGACATGTCGTCGTTCATGAGTCTTTTTCTAGAAGGCAAGTTTCCGAACATCACGCACCTCACTTTCTATTCGGGACAGTCGAATACCTCTGTCGACCAACGCGTGACGTATAAGCTTGACTTTCTTCTACCGGCATCCAACCAAGACTTCAAGACGTTTCCCCGAGTGAAGAGTCTGTGCCTAGGCGGACGATCTATCATGTCGCCGCCGGAACGTGCGCGATATGCCGATATAGGCGCGCGTACAGTCCAGCGTCTAGTGTGGCTCTTCCCGGGGTTGACCACGTTCACTATGACGAACATCGTGCTTGCGCGCAACCGCGACCTCAACTTTGAGACTCTGGATCCGCCTAATACGTTCAGACTGGATTTCAGAGGCTGCTCGAAGCTGAAGGAGTTCAACATCAGCGGAAGTACGCTGAGTGCGTTGAGCACGTTTCCTATATTACCGTCATCGGTTGAGAAATTGGCGGTGAATAAATGCAGTGGTGGTGCAGTACCAAGGACAGTGATGATCGAAAATGGAGTACCCCAGTACGTCCATAGAGTGGAAACGGAGTGGATGCCCGTGATAGTAGATGAGTACAAAAATCTATCTGAGATCGATTTGGGCGGAGTCGGTATCTCTGGGGCGGAACTTGTTGATTTTCTGTGGCGATGTGATCCAAACAAAGTGCATACGCTCTCTATTGATTATTGCTACGATCTCAAGTTCCAGACGAAGGATAGATACCGGCGCAGCGATACGTCTACATTTGCGCTTTTGGCCGGTTCACATTATGTGAGGAGCAGGTTTGCGCAGGAACGGTGGGATAAGCAGCTTTTGATTACAATGATTGTCGATTTGGTTCCACATCTGAAGCGGTTGCGGATTGGACTGAACATCAACGTTGACGATGTTACAATCCGAGAGCTGGCGCAATTAAGGGAGCTCGAGTATTTGGACCTGTCGGGCACGCTTGTGAATACCGAAAGCCTGCTGCTGTTGATTGCAAGCACGACTGCGGACAGTCGGATAGTGAGGTCGCGGCTCAAAGAGGCTTATACGAGGAGGAAGAGGTATGAGAGAGAGCTCAGGAGACGCAGGCTCAAAATGCCCGAAAGCAGAATACCGGAATTTGTTCCGTGGGAAGTCATGGGTCGGATGAGTCCCTTGAAGACGCTGGTGCTCAACAATTGCGACGAACTACGAAAGGCAGATGAGCTGGAGATGATTAGCAGGATTTTCAATATCAACGTGAAATGCAACGGGAAATGGTACAAGGCGGATATGGTGCAGCCAGAAGCGGAAGCCACCAGACGCCTGCGAGGATATTTCGAGCGCCACATGAGCAATCTCCTGCACGATCATACTTTCACCTTGGAGGGCAACGAGATGCTTGTGGAAGAGGAGTGGAGAGAGTTCCGGGAAGGCGGACACGTCATAGCGCAAGACGATCTTGCGGTGGTGGAGGATGACTACGAGTATTTGGCCAGCTTTAGATTCTGAGCTGACGCGTCTCCCACGAGGCGAGCCCCGCGGACGTCGCTGATAATAAATACAACTCAATCGGTCAAGAACCGCTAACCAGACCGTAGTATCGATCTATACCGAATTTACTGCTAGTTATAGAACGGGGAATGGAGAAAAGACCCTGCCATTTGTGGATCCGCTCTCGTCCCCTTGGCTGGGTTAACATCACAACACGGGGAGTCAGTAAATGATGTCGTGCGGCGCCCGGATGCCGCCCGGACGCTGAGGATCGATCGATGGCCAAGATCTGGACTGGCGGACGGTCCATTGAGAGTGGGGAGCATCGTCGATTAGTGGAAATTAGCAAAATAGCGCGTAGGTGCTGAACGAAGGTATTTTCGGAGTCGCGGAAGGGCAAATCTTCGTCAAAGCGCGATAGGGACTTTCTACGCTTTCTAAAAAAAACCACGGCGAAAAAAACCCTCAGGAGCGCTAGGAAGGGAGGAGAGTCCGTAGAGAGCCGGTCAGGGTCCGTTTTCGCCGACACCGACATCGGCACGACAGGGTCGGTGTAGACGGGGCCCGAGCAAGTTGAAAATGGAAATTTTATAGGACGAGCCTACTGGAGTTGGAAGAGGCGAGGGGCAGATTGGGTATGCAGGAGCTTACCAGCAACTCGGTCGGCATGTGTATACGCCGACGCCTATGGAACGCCCGAGAGGGTTCACACGCGACCGCGGGTTGACAGGCAGTGTCTACGGCTCTACATGGACACGGCTGGAGGCCGTCGAGAGCACGGAAGGGATTGGTTATGGAGCGGGCCAGGGCGAGACCGTCGAACGCGTCGGGGTCGCGAATAACGCGTAGCTCACGCGCTGGGTGATGGGTGATGCCTCGCCAGGGGGTGGAAGATGAGAGAGAAGAAACAATGACAGGAGGAATAACAGCGGCCCCTGACTGGGCTTTGATGAGATCATACCGGTGTCTGGCAGGCGGGATGGGAGTTTCACACTGTTGATGGCATGAGAGCCAGGGTCGCGTGCGATTTGTTTACGTGAACATGGACGTGTATTTACAGCACCCGCACCTGCACCGCACCTGCACCAAAAAGACACTGCCCGACGTCCGGTGACGGCGGTGGGCTCCAGAGTCATTGTTTACATCGACCCGCAGACGGCATGGCGCCGGGACGAAGACGCAGACTCGGTACTGCAGCGGAAATTGGAGCAGGAGCTCAGCGGCCGGCCCGTGGACGAGAGCGAGGCGCAGGGGATATTTTAAGGTTTTTCTCTGGCTCTGCATTCCTCGGGACGCGTAAGAACGAGCCCTGGTCACAGGGGCGCCGCAGGGGCAAACCGAGTCACAAGTGATCTGTTGTGACTCGCGTCTATAAACAACACTCGTCGCGCCCTCCCGTCGTCCTCCTCTTCCCTCTTTCCCTATCTCGCTCTACAGCATTGTCTTATATCGTTTCGTAGTCGCTCGTTTCCGTCGTTCGAATCGTTCCTTTCGCAAATATGAAGTTCACCTCAGCCATCTCTTCCGTGGCCTCGCTTGCCTCGCTCGCTGTTTACGCGTCGGCTTCCTACATCAGCACAAAGGAGGTCTCCGGCAGATATTTCGTTGACTCCGACTCTGGAGAAGCTGTACGTCTTTCTTCCGTCTGCAATTGAATGCGAACGCAGTCGCTAACATTTTGATGCCCTACTAGTTCTTCCTCAAGGGTGTTGACTACCAGCCCGGAGGATCTTCGTCCTTTGAGGATGGAAGCGATCCCCTCTCTGATGTTGAGTCTTGCACCCGTGATATCGTTCTCTTCCAGGAACTTGGCATCAACGTGAGTTTTTCATTTCGTGTTTTAAGTCTCCTGATGCTGTGCGCGCGTAATGCAATCAATTTTCTCTTCTCTACATTGGCTATGAGCTTGTTCCTGGCGTGAACATCCGCTGAACAGCAGATTTTTTGTTTTCTTCTCTTCTCTGTTTTTATGCGTCCCGCGTGGTGGACGTGTGAGCGGATTTCGCGATCCTGTGCAGTTCCTATTTTTGGCATTTTGCTTCCGCCCGAGCCGTTTGATGTTAGGGTTTTTGATGATTACGCGCATCAGCCTTGTTTACTTTTCGCTCAGAATGCTAACCCTAGCCTGCCATAAATAGACCATCCGTATCTACTCCATCGACCCCAGCATTGACCACGACGAGTGCATGACCAAGCTCGCTGCTGCTGGAATCTACCTTCTCCTCGATGTCAACACTCCTATCTACGGACAGAGCTTGAACAGAGATGAGCCCTGGACTACCTACACTGAGTCCTACCTCACCCACGTCTTCGCGGTTATCGAGGCTTTTGCTGGATATAACAACACCCTCGGCTTCTTTGCTGGAAACGAGGTTGTCAACAACGAGACCTCGGCGGAGGCTTCCCCCCACTACGTCAAGGCTGTCGTTCGTGACATGAAGGAGTACATGGGCAACCACACCATTCGCCAGATCCCCGTCGGCTACTCTTCGGCTGATGACTTGGACTACCGTGTCTCCCTTGCCAACTACCTCGAGGCTGGTCCGGCTGAGGATGCCGTCGACTTCTATGGTGTCAACTCTTACGAATGGTGTGGCGAAAACACCTTCGAGGGTGCTGGTTTCGACACTTTGGTTGAGAACTTTGAGAACTACACCATCCCTGTTTTCTTCTCTGAGTTTGGTTGCAACCTTGTTCAGCCCCGTCTCTTTGAGGAAGTTGCGTCGATCTTCTCCAACAACATGTCGAAGGTCTTCTCCGGCGGTTTGGTTTACGAGTACTCTCAGGAGGATTCTGACTACGGTCTCGTCAGCATTGCTGATGATGGAAGCGTGACCATGCTCTCTGACTTCACTGCTCTCTCGGCCAAGTTCGCTACTGCTACCACCAGCGGCCTTTCCACCGCTAGTGCCAGCGCTCGCCCTACTACTTACTTGGACTACTACAACAACATTGATTTTAACACCACCATCCCTGACACTCTTGCGTCTACTGTCATTGCCGATGGTCTTAACTCCACTTACGTCCGTGGTGCTTTCGTCAAGATCTCTGACCTTTCTTCCAACTACTCGATCTATGACGTTTCTGGTGACGCGGTTGATGCCACCATGACCACCAAGATCGCTCTTACCATCCCCACCGACTCTGCTATTGAGCAGACCGACTCTGATGCTGATGAGGTTGACTCGTCTGCCTCTGCCTCTGCCTCTGCCTCTGCCTCGAGCACTGCATCGAACACTGCCTCGACCTCTGACTCGACTGGCTCGTCTGCCAGCGCGACTTCGTCTTCGTCGAGCTCTACTTCCTCGTCTGCCTCGCTCTCCAACTTTGTTTCCAGCAGCGAAAAGATGGGCGTGGCTGCTCTTTTGGCGGCCGCCGTTGGTCTTGCTGTCGTCTAAATCTGTTGATAGATTTTGATTGCGGATGTGTAAAAGTGGACCTGTTTTAGACATTTTTCTTTTATTTTTTTGTGTTTCTGTTTGGTGTTTGCTGTGTTGTATCCAGCCTTTTCTTATGTTGTTTTATATATGATAAATAGGTAAATTGGACGGTTTTTCTGGAAAATATGATTGTAGAATTGTTACTGTTGTAGAATCTGTAAAACTATTTGGCATACTTCTTGGTCCACTCTCTGGCTGTCCGGTCAAACTTGGGCCGATCGTTCTTCCAAACTTCAGCAACATCTCCTTCGACGGCGTCATCGATATTTGGTTGTGATAGCAGCGCAATGACGAGGTCTATGATTGTTATGAGCTTGCACGCGGGCTTCCATTGCTCAGTCTTGAGGAGCGGGATGCAGACTGTGCCGTCGTGGAGAACGTTGGGATGGTATACCTTTGTGGTGAAGGTCATGGTTGGCGGGCTGAATGGGTATGCTGGCGGGAGTATCAGATCCAGCTTGAAGACGCCGCCCTAGATTTGTGATAGTCGACGTGTTAGGAAAGAGGTATTGCAAGTGTAGTGTCGGGGCGGGACGTACCTCGTAGGGAGTGCCTGCTGGGCCGTGAACCTCGACTTCCCAGTTTAGTAGATCGGAATCTGACTTTGGTCCGGCCTTGAAGGACGATGATCCGACGTTTGAGATGTCCGTCATCTCCTGTCATTTTCAACAAGAAATGTTAGCATTGGTGCCACAAGATGAGCATAGTAGTAAGACATAGAAAGCTCCGTTGGCAGAATGAAGGCACCTTTGATATCCGCCGCATTGCTTGTGCTGAAGCCATATTGATTTGGTTTGCCGCTGGGCCGAGAACGATTGGCGCAAAGGGTGCAGTAGGAGTGGTGAACTAGTCTATCACTAATTATCGCTTCTAAATTGTCGATAGCACAATTGTCAATGTTCGTCAACAGCGGTGATCGCAACCAGTTCCGTCTATCGACCGAGTCGGGACGGAGAGGGCCAAGTCGACGATGGGAGAAGGACGAGTAGAGTTTAGATCATGTGACTTGCTGCTATTGTGGGTGTTCGCACCCGCAACTGTAGGCGCGTATGTGTTTGTAAACCTCGAGGAGAAGCCAAAACAAAAGCAACGGGAGATTCAACACAGTCCTCGATCGGCAGAGTTGGAAAAAAGAGACCAACGATGCTTCCGCAACTCTCAGGTCTGCAGCTACGGCAAACGCTGGTTCAGGCGCTGAACTTTTGCCTGGTACTGACGACTGCGTACATGTTTTGGAAAGGATTGTCAGTAGTGACTGATTCGCCGTCGCCTATCGTCGTCGTCTTGTCGGGCTCGATGGAGCCGGCTTTCCAGCGGGGCGATATTTTGTTTTTGTGGAATCGGGATGCGAGGGTGAAGGTGGGGGATATTGTGGTGTATAACGTCAAGGGGAGAGATATTCCGATTGTGCATCGCGTCGTGCGGAATCATGTTTCGTATGTTTCCATTCCTTACAATGAGCTCCTTGATCTTTATTGCACTTATACTAATCTGTTTCTTTCCCATTGAACTTCTAGATCAAAAAAACAGCTACTATTAACAAAAGGCGACAACAACGCAATGGACGACGTCGATCTCTACTCCTACAAACAGTACTACCTAGATCGGGAGCAGGAAGTAGTCGGCGCTGTCAAGGGCTATATTCCTATAGTGGGATATGTTACAATTCTTTTGAGCGAAAATTTATGGGCAAAGTACGCATTGTTGGGCGGCATGGGGCTTCTGGCTATGGTGCAGAGAGATTAGAGGGGTCAGGTTGGTGAGGGCGGATATCTATGAACCTGAGACTATGGCCCTGTGAGCTCTGTTTCTATAGACAGCCGAATGCATATCATCACTGTTCATAGCATGTTTTTACACCAATCTCCGACTAGACTATCGAATAGACAGGTTCCAACTTGGATGGCATGAGGCGATATCCTATCGAGGCTATAACGAGGCTGCAGTATCTCTCTGTCTTGATCTTCAGGCTCTGCTCTCCAACTTATACTGTGAGGCTTGCGCTGCACAGGTCGACATTTGCAGATTCTGTACAGTGGTGCCTTAATGCCCGAACTATAGTGCCTGGATCACGACAGCGGCTGATCTGGCTGCTTCTTTCTTATCAGCCGCTTCCTCATGAGCTTCAAAACCCATCTCCAGCGGAACCGTTGTACTCGTATTCCAAATACTCCTTATATAGTTGTAGGCGACCTGCAGCAAGTTCAAGTAATAACGTAAACTAATGCCTTGATGCTCGACCTGCAGGCAGCAAGCCCGCGAGTCGACGAAACCCTAAACTGACACTCAACGATTAAGCCGTCCGTTCTCCAAAAGCGTAAACTGATCCTCGTCCACAGTTCCTCCAACGCACGGCTTCTGTCTCTTTCCAGCTTCTATCTCTGCCTCGGTCTAGTTCGAACTCATTGAGCGCTAGTTTCCTGATGTCGGGCCGTTCTTTGTGAGCTTAGGTTCCGCGTTTGAGCTTCGCTTCTACTTTGGAGTTTCATTTACAGCCCATTCTTCATTGCAAGTTCGTCACTCAGGACACACATTTCCCAGAACGATGGAAAGAGAGGCCAACGACGTGGATGACGTTGGGACGGGTTTAGCAGTCGTTAGCGCGTACTCGTTTCTAGTGCCAGGCAGAATATCGTACTTACCGCCCGAGACCGCGCGGTATCTCGAGAAATTCAAGCAGCTCGAGAATCGACCCGACAAATGGAGCAGGATAGTCGACGCCGCGTTTGAGCGGAAACGGAGTAAATCGAGCACGAGCCTGCACTCGCCGTCGTCGGTTTCGAGCACGTCGATGGCGTCGTCTACGTCGTCGTTACTCAGTCCGCCCAGCTCGACTGATGGGATCGAAGCACAAGAAGAGGTAGCTCAAGACCACTCTGTGCCTTCTGACCGCAAGGCCGAGCCGATTCTTGACTTGCAGCCGCTCGTGGAGTCTTATGAAGCCACTACGAAAGTTGAGACGCCAGAGAATCCCAAGAAAAAAGCAGTCACCGAAGAAGCCGCGCTACCAAGCATAGCGATGCTGCCTGTCAACAACCCCGTCAATTACATCGTCGCCAGCTCTCCTAACCGCATAAAACCGCCGATGGCAAAAGATGCGGCAAACAAGACACTCAAAGAACTGATACAGACCCGAAGCAAGCTATCAGAGATCGAGTCTCTGATCTCATACCAAAAGACCTGCGAGACTCTAATCGGCCCTTTTCAAACCTCGCCGTACACGACAAGCATCACAGTTGAAATTTGGGAGAAATTCCTCGACAGCCCTTCCTCGCGCAGATTTTGGCGGAAAAAAGGCGAACGGTTCGCGCCCGTGGACGGCGAGGACGACGAGAGCGAGGTCGGCAGGCCCGGCGCGAGCTCGAGCTCGAGCTCGAAACGCCGGCGAAAGTACGAGTGGAGTCATATCTACATCTGCGCGCATTCAGGCGCCCCGCGCGACCGGCATGATCCGTCGAAACCGCGGCGGCGGTCGTCGAAAGTCAGTATGAAGTGTGGGTGTAAAGCACGGATATCGGCGGGTAAACTCATAGATTCAGAGGAGATCGTCGTGCGCTGGTCATGGGAGCATAACGGCCACGACGATTTCTTTTTCCCGACCATGTCGGATTTGATGGGCAGCGCTGAATTTGTGCCGGACAGAGTGCTGAATCCTGGTGAAGTCCCAGAGGAGCTGATTGAGGCGCCGGAAGGGGTTTCTCCGCATTTGAAAAACCTGATTGATGGCGAAGCGGCCGAGACTGATCAGTTGACGCGGTTGCGCAAGATGCTGGATAGTCTTGCGCTTGATTGATATTTGGGTTATGTATTTCTAGGTCGGCTTTTTGTATATACAGTATTTGCTTCTTTTTGGTGTTTGGCTTTTAACTGAGGGATTTAAACGAAGGTCCTACACTGGTTGCAAATTTCCTTTCACAGATTATTGATTTGTTCTCAAACTAATACATAAATCATGCTACAGTCCTCTGCCTTTTGCACTTCAAAATCATATTACATTATAAATTAAGCATGTAAGCTTCACACAACAAAATAGGACAGCAGCGGTCTCTCACATGTACTCATCAACCAGACAACTGCATCGACTATTTTTCCTCGCTGGTAGCAGGAGCATCAGCAGGAACATCAGTAGCAGCATCGGTAGTCGTAGCAGGCTCTGGCGCGGCTTCGACTATAGGGATAGTGAAACCAGCGGGAAGAGTTATGGAGCTGTAGATATCCTGTTCCTTCAAAGGCTGTCCCTTTCCACCATACACCTCCGGAATGCCAGGTCCAAGATAGTCCACCAGCTGACTACCATAGCTCAGCACTACAAACTTCGCCATCGTCTCTCTCGAGACCAAAAGTTTCATCGCGGCAAACATCCAGCCCATGATCAAAGGCACGTTAATGAACAGCTTGCGGCCCAAAAGCTCGGGATAATGGCTGCTGAAGATGGCGACTGCTGCCTTTGAGGCCTTCTTCGCGTTGGGATCCATTCGCAGAAAACTGACATTCATGTAGTCGTGAACCTGGTCGATCTTTGTCCTCTCGCTCGCGAAATCAAGCAGCTGCAGTCCCCGCTCCATAACACCGACGCGCCATCTCAAGAACTGCTCGGTATCGCCAAACACGACTTCAGGCTTTCCCGCCGCCTGTCCGTACAAATTCCACGTCACGATATCACCGTTCGGCTTCGACTTATCCTCAGTGATGTATCCGAGCCCGTCAAACTTTGCATCATGCACCTCCTCAAACGCAGCCGACAAGGGCTTAAACTCCTTTCTCCACTTGAGCGTCCCGAGAATCTGCGCCCGCGCCGCGGGCACATCGTACGCGTTTGCGACCAAGAACTTGAGAATGATCGCGTCAACCGCGGCAGAGTCGGTCGCTAGAATGTTGTGCGCATAGATCTCGCTGTATTCCGCTTCCTTGACGACGGCCGGGATGGCGGACTTGAAGTCGTTGAAGCCTTGGAGCTGTTCGGGGGTCAGGGCTGCGAGGAAGGCGGGCAGTTTATCAGTCATTATCAGTCCAGAATATTTTATAAAGCAAACAATCAGCTGTTATTGTTGTGAAGAAATCAAGGTGGAAAGCAATTGAAGAAAGCAGGAGAAAACAGGAGCGGCAGAGATCTGCTGATTCGAGACCAAAGCTCGGAAACAATACATTCGAACTTGATCTGATAACCGGAACCAGAACTCTCGCGCTACCCGGCCTCGGCTCTTGGCGCTTTTATCTGAACTTGCGTAGATCACGTGGAATTGTGCACCTCGAGCTGCACCGTACGCAAGTTGAGTCCTTTTTTCTGGGTTTGAAGGCTGGTTTGTGAAAGAAGAGTCTGGGATACAGTAGGAACTGCTGCTGGCTATCTAATTGACGAAATGAAGTTTGAAGCTGCTGAGAATTCCCTTGAGGGAGTCGGTGATGACGGGTCGGCGGTTTCGATCCCATTTACGGAGATACTGGCGTTAACATCCAATGTCATCCTTACGATTCCAGAAGGAAGCGAGTCGTCTTTACGTGTATACTCCTACAAAGCATTAGATGTTACTGATGAGATCAAAAAGTACTATCTGAATGAACTTCCTCCCTATCTCGACCCTAGATCGGCGAACGTCACGGTCATCAACTCAGCCAACGCAGGCGCGAGGACGGGAGAAGCGGTCTACACATCCCTGCTCCGTCCGCTGTTCAAAGAGCTTGGAGTTGTGCACGAGTACATCTTGACTGAGTCAAAATCGTCGATCCAGTCATTTGCGGGATCATTGGTGCCAGAGTCGGGTCCGCACACTATCGTCATCCTTTCAGGCGATACATCGATTCACGAGCTGATCAACTCGCTCCGTCCTATATCGGAAGCAACCGATCTCACTATTCTGCCGATTCCAACCGGATCAGGGAACGCTCTGATGACTTCGCTTGATCTTGGATCCCCTACGTCCGCCATGTTTAGCATGCTCCACGGCTCAGTACGTCCCTTGCGACCGTTCTACGGTTCTTTCCCGCCCGGTAGCAAAGAAGTGATTCCACCTACAGACGACGAACCTGACGGCCTCACTGTCCCCCTGCAAACCCCAGACTACACGCAAAAGAACGGCGAAGACAGCGCGCAGAGAATATTCGCGCTGGTCGTCGTTTCGTGGGCGATTCATGCGGCGCTGGTGGGAGACAGCGATTCCCCGGAATACCGCAAGCTGGGCAACGACAGGTTCAAGATTGCTGCCAAGGAAAATCTAGAGCGCGGGGCGGCATGGCATGGAAAGCTGAGCTACGTAAGCTCCTCGGGAGGAAAACTAGAGCCAGTCGAGCTCGAAGACCTCGAGCATTCGTATGTCTTGACGACGAGTATCTCGAGCCTTGAGCCTGGGTTCAAAATAGCGCCTACAGCTAAGCCGTTATCAGGATCCCTAGAGCTCGTGCGTCTTCCGTTTTCGAGCGGAGAGGAGATCATGAGGGTGCTAATGCTAGCGTACCAGGACGGCGCGCATGTGGGTGAGCCTGGGGTTTTGTACACAGAGATTGAGAGCCTACGGGTGGAAATGGGCGATAGTGAGGAGCGCATGAGACGGTGGTGTGTTGACGGGAGGATTGTTATAGTGCCGCTGGGGGCGACTGTCGAGGTTCATAGCGGGGTTGAGAACGTTCGGGGGTGGAACGTGTATATAGTTGCATGAGGGTATAATCACCATAGGTATCTGTAAAACTTGATACCAGCTACACTCAGTTCCGACTAGTTCCTCGGTCACCGCGCGCCTACAAACCAACCAGCGCAAACGCAGAAAGTCTTTTACTCTCGTTTTGCCTTCAATCCCGCCAAACGGTGCAAACATCGCCAGCCACCGACTAGCAGCATTCTGCAGCGACCGCGAGGGGGCTGGCTGGCTACTTGGGGTCACCGCCAACCCCCAACCCTCGAAGCCCGCGCGCCGCTCAAAACGCCGCCTCTTCGCCCTCGAGTTTTTCCTTCCTTTTTTCCCTTTCTCCTCACCCCCTTCAGCCTTCGGATACAACTTACAGACTCTACAGCACTATCAAGCTCTCAAAAATGTTTTAAATCATCAGCGGCATATCATCGGCAATACGGCAATTAAAAATGGCATCTTTGAAATTATTATATCATTCTTTTTTCTCAGAGAGGTTTTCCATCCGAGAAGTTCTAGTAAATATTGATCACGTCTGAACGCAACAACTACAACATCTACTTTCAAATTTACACTTCGACGTCTTCCGGATCTACAGTGGTGATGGTTGACGATCACAATATGTCAGTCTTTGGAACTGTCAGACCCGGTGCTTTTGCGTACCAGAAAAACAATCTACTTTCACCGAATCAGCAGCACCAGCAGCGTATGGGCTGTCCATACTGGGCCGCAGCAGACAACATCTCTGCCGACTCGCTGTGGACGAACGTGCCGCAGCCTGCTCATGACGTCGCGTCCGCGATCCAGATGGACGAGGACATGGTCTCTGAGCCGTACGACAACGTCGACATGCCTGATCTGTACGGCAGCGATTTCGACGACGGCGACGATGACGATTACGACGAATTCGGCGTCGGCGACGTGTTGCTCGACGACAGCGCTGGCGTCTGGCGCGTGGGACGACCTGATCTTGCTGCGGGCGACGATGGCCAGGACACAGGTTCTGACGAAGAGATGGAGATGTCATGGCAGCATTCCCCGCCGATGAACACTGTCTTCACGGCTCCCTCGGCAGCAATGACAACCTCTCAAGAAGTCTCCGACGAGACAGACCACACTCGCATGAACCTGCAGTACAAACGGCAGCTCCTCATGTGGAGCCAGCACCACGACGCAGACTCTATGCGCGGTGGAATGATTCCTCCACCCGAATGCCCTTACTCACAGACTATGGGCATGTCGCCCTCGTTGACGAGCAAGCGGAAGAGACGGTTGAGCTCGTATCAGTATGAACCTGGTATGCAGAGAAAGCGTCTCAATGCTAGTGAGCGCTAAACCGAACCTTGTGCGTGGGTCCCGTTTATTTTCAATTTGCTTTTCTTGATTTTTCGTATCGTGTTTATGAGGATGAAGAGAAAATGAGGAGAGAAATTCAAAAAAAAAAACAGTTTGATATTTGAAGTGGGATATATGTTGAACGTGGAGAAAAGACAAAAAAACATTTATAGCGACCTTTATAGTTACAATGTTACAAATATACGCACCAAAAACACAACACATGAAAATAACAATAAACACCCTAAGAAATCTTCTTTTCTGACACGGAAGACCCAACTGCTTCCTTGACACTCTCTGCCAACGGCTTCGTAACCTCAGCCGGACTACTTCCCCAACCACCAGGCAGCCCAACCGACTTAAACCCTTCACTCTCAACGATCCCATTCGACAGCATCTTCTCGCGCTTATTCCACTTTGTCTGAGTCTGCGTCCATTCCAGCACAGCCGAAGGGGGAGGTGGCGGCTCAGTGACTTTTGTGACGAGGTACGCGGCCGAGGCTTCTGCGATTCCGTACATTAGGACGCCAATGTAGGGCATTTTCAGCAGGAAATAAAAGCCGAATCCGAAACCAAAGAGAACGCCTTCGCGGGCGTGATACCATTGCTCGCGCTCGCGGCGGGTGAAGGGGATGCGTGCGAAATACGGCAGCAGTAGCTCGCGACACAGACTTCTTCCGCCCCAGTAGGCGGCGATGAATCGCGTTAAGACCTTACGCGGAAGACACAACCCGGAGGCAAAGACGACAACAGCAGGGGTGACGCCGACGGTCTTGCGGAAGGAGTAGAACGAGACGATGGGAAGGATGATTGTTCCGACGTAGGGGATCGACGAGAGAAAGTATATGCCGACCGAGAACACCGAGCGGCGGACGTATCTGGCCACGAAGCGCGCGGCGTTGTTGTTTGCGGGCAGATCGTCGGTCTCGGCCTCGGTCTTTGCCTCGATGTTGCGTTTCTTGGAGAGCGCGCGCGCGGAGGTCGAGGTGTACTGCGACAGCGGGGCGTAGAAGCGAGAAGGACCGTCGGTGAGCGTGCCGTCTGCGAGTTTGGCGGGGACTGCTTTCTCGGGATGCATGTTGAAATACACCTTATCGATAAATTTAATGGACTCCATAAACATCTCGTCCATCTCTGGCCGGATATAGCGCATGAGACCGATAAGAAGCCCGCTCAAGTTGATAACGTGCTCCTCCACGAACTCGACGTTCTTGATTATCGACAGCGCACGTGCGACAGCGTCGGTGTCGTCCGCGGTATCGAACAGCCAGATGCAGACACGCAAAGAGATCTTGAAAATCCATAGCGGGACCGAGATCACGAGCTGGATACCGAGCGAGATCAGGACTGCGTAGAGGGCCTGCTTGTAGTACTTTGCTCGTAGCAGATCAGGGTTCTGCAGCGCCCGGTAGGCACCTAAGAGGGTCAGCTGGAACCCGCGCACGATGGACAGGAACGAGAAGCCGTCCGGGGGTTTTGCTATAAACTCAGGCGACGGCATGATTGTAAGAAGCAGCAGCAGCAAGAAGTGCAGAGGACCTGTTCGAGAGAATTTCACCCAAAAGATCTGAGGAACCGAATTATCTGCCCCGAGGACGAGTGTGATGCGGCTCGGCTGCCGTGCGCCGAACGCCGCCAAAAGCCCTGAGAAAGGAAGAATACGTCATCTTCGACCTCCAACATCAGATTCATGTCCAAACGGCTTGTATACCTCAAAAACCCAAGTCCGGACTCGAGTTTAGACCCCTACGCGGGCTCTGCTGCGTCGCGCTCATACAGCTCTGCTTTTGTGCCTGTGCTTTCGCACGAGTTTGTCGATCAGGATGAGTTGAAGACGTACATCCAGGACATGCACTCGCATGCCGTCTCGCAGCCTGTCAATGCGTTGATCATAACCTCTCAGAGAGCAGTCGAAGCTATCGCTTCTGCTCTGGACGAGCTCACTGATGGTGCGAAATTGCTTCTCTACGTGAATTGACTTACTTCTCTGATACTGACTTTGCTCGTAGACTCGACAAGAACATACATCCTCTCGCTACCCACATTCACCGTCGGCCCCGCAACAGCCTCGCTCCTCGAATCCCACGGATTCACAAACATCCTCGGCGGCGCTGATGCCGGCAACGGCAGCATTCTCGCAACAATCATATGCGCACAGGCGGAGAAATTTTCCCGCTGCGTTTTCTTCACGGGCGAGACGCATAGGCTGATTATTCCGAAACAACTCAAGGCGGCGGGGATCGAGTGTCTTGAGAAGATTGTTTACAGGTCGTCTGATGTTGCTGGTTCGGAGGGGGTTTTGAAGGAGTTACTTGCTCAGGGTGGTAGTAGCGAGGTATGGACAGTGTTTTTCTCTCCGTCAGGAGCATCAAAGATTGCAAAGACAATCGCAGAGATCAAAGCGACTACAAACAGCAGCAGCAGCAGCAGCAGCAGCAGCAGCAGCATAAAAGTCGCCGCAATAGGACCCACGACCGAAGAGTTTCTACTAAACAACGGAATCACGCCAGACGCGGTTGCGAAAAGACCAGACCCGGAAAGTCTCCTGAACGAGATCGACAAATGTACATAGCAAATATAAAAAAGAAAAGCAGAGAATTTATTATGATAAACTGAAGTGGAAACACAAAACGAATAATCTCTAACAACGAGTAACAAGCGCCGAATGCAAACACAGTAAATAAACCATTTCCTAATTGTTAAAATCGCAAAACATTAAACAAAAAAAAGACAAGAGACGGAAAAGAAAAACAGACACTCGCTATCGAGCACGCGTGTTTATTCAATCAGCGCGGAAGAACTTTTCTGATTCTACATATTATTACAGATCTTGAGAAAACCGAGGAAGAAAAACAAACGACAGATATAAAAAGGGAAAGCGACAGCCGATAGATCAATCAACGTTATCATTTCATGTCTGATGGGGTTGAAAGGCATCAGTCCATTACAAAGACGAAGCCGACGCAACAGCAGGCTCGGCAACAGCACCGACGTTCACGTAGTTGGACTCGGCCTTGTACTTCTTGATGTCCTCCAAGAACTTGTCAAACAAGAAGGACGAGTCCAATGGACCGCCCTTGGCCTCGGGATGGAACTGAGTGGAGAAGATCGGTCTGTACTTGTGGTACATGCCCTCGTTGGAGCGGTCGTTGAGGTTGACAAAGAACTCGGCAAAGTCGCTCGGGAGAGTGCTGGCGTCGACCGCGTAGCCGTGGTTCTGCGAGGTGATGTGGCACTGGCCGGTGGTGACGTCCAAGGTAGGAATGTTGTGCGCGCGGTTACCGTACTTCAACTTGATAGTCTGGGCGCCGACGGCAAGAGCCAGGAGCTGATGGCCGAGGCAGATACCAAAGATGGGGCCGGCAAAGGTATCCATGGTCTGCTTCAGGTTGTAGACGGTCTCCGAGCAGTGGATAGGGTCACCAGGGCCGTTGGAGATGAAAATTCCGTCAAACTGGCTGGCGACCTCCTGGATGGGGAAGTTGTGGGGGAAAACGGTGGCAGTAGCACCACGGCTGACGAGGCAACGGATAATGTTCTCCTTCACGCCGCAGTCGAGAACAGCAATCTTGATGTCCTGGCCAGGGTTGATGGTGTACGGCTCGGGAGTAGACACCTGCGAGACCATGTGGACTTTACCGGGATCAATGAACTCGCTGTTGTCTTCCTTCTCTCCGACGGTGATCTTGGCCAAGCTAGATCCCTGCTCGCGGAGGTATGTAACGATGGCACGCGTGTCGACGCCAGTGACGGCGGAAACACCCTCTCTCTTACACCACTCTCCGAGAGATTCGACAGCAGTCCAGTGGGAGTACTCGGCGGCGAAGTCAGAGACGACGATGCCGGAGCATTGGATCTTGGGAGACTCAAAGTAGCGGAGAAGGTTGTACTCGTCGCGGACGTTGGAGGGGACACCGTAGTTTCCAATCAGAGGCTGGGTGAAGACGACTGATGCTTGAGTCAGCATGCATTGACGACCGAGATTGTCGAAAGACGTCAAGAATAACAAGAAAAAGACATACGGATTTGGCCACGGTAGGAAGGGTCGGTCATTGACTCGGGATATCCAACAAGGGAGGTTGTGAAGACGGCTTCGCCAGAGATGTTGGAGTCAGCGCCGAAAGACTTGCCGGTGTAAACGGGGCCATCTTTGAGAGTGAAGGTGGCCTTGGGAAGAGAGACCGAGCCAAAGCAGCGGACAGTGAGGGGCGTGGAGGCAAAGGCGAGCTTTCGAGAAAGACTGCTGGTCTGGCTGATCGATGCCTTGAGCGAGAACGGGCGGTAGAAACGGGGCAACATAGCTGTTTTCTAGTTTATAAATGGGAGTTCTTCCAAATGTGGTCTATTCCGGACAACAGTATCAGCAATGCGAAGGTCTAGAGAAGAAACAGACGGGCCGAGGAGGAGAGCGGAGGCAAGAACGAACCTGATAAGTAGTCCTGCGCAGAGGAGAAAAAAATTAGCCACGAACTTTTTTGGTGGGCGGACGGCTTGTTCTGCGCGCGTGCCAATAAGGAGACAAGGGCGGACAGAGACAAGAGCGCGAGAACAGGGACAAGGCCGCTGAAGAAGAAGAAGAAGAAGAAGAGACTTACCTGGCAAGTGAAGAGCGAAAACAATCTCATAAACGCGATCGAGAGAGTGGAAGAAGGCGACGAAGGTGGTCTGGATTTGCGAGGCTGCTGAACTGAGAAGAGGCAAAAACGAGCAAAGAAAAAAAATTTGACTAATTTTTAAGATGACGTCAGAATTTAGTCAGCGATACAAACACCTCGATCGTCGTAAGCAGCGCTCACCGATCGATTTCACTCCGCCCTTCGCTCGCAGCGCTCTTCCTCTCATCCCACACCCCATCCCACCATACACCACACCATGAACGCCATCTCTTCATTCAGACCGCTGTTTCGCGGTGCCCCCGCTGCAGCCCGCTTTTTCTCTGCTTCTGCTGCGCGCAGCGATATCGCGAAAATGATTTTAGTCGGCAGAATGGGCAACACCCCCGACCTTCGCACTACGAGCGCCGACAGAGAATACGTCCGCTACAGTCTTGCCGTGCGCGGCAGTCGCAACGAGACGTCGTGGTATTCCATTCTTGGATTCAACAGTGTTGAATATGTGATGGATCACATTCAGAAGGGGTTCGTTATACGCCTTCCATTTCTTAATGACGTGACGCGTTTTTTTCTCGTGCGAAAACTGACATGCGTTTACAATTGTGCAGAGACCTTGTTTGTGTCGAAGCTGACGCTTCATTAGCGCAGTATGAAGTCAACGGCCAGCGCAATTATCGCCTTCAGCTCGTTCAGCGTAAGTCCTCATCCATACATTTCCCTTTCCTTCCTTCCTCTTTCCTCTTTCTGCGGCTAACCCCTGTACAACTTTCTGCATCATACAGGAAACATCTCAAAGCTTTCATCATCAAGGAAAAACCAACAAGCGGAAGAAGAAATTGTTGAGGAACACGACGCTGAAGCTGTCGAGGAGGAGGAGGAGGAGAGAGCTTAGCTTACAAGTTCTCGCTAGAGTCGCTCGTCTGAAGCTGTTTGATTCGGATCAGCTTCGATCCACTTCCGCGTTGTCGTCTTAATCGGCTTTGTGTATTTTCAGTGTATTTTAAATTTTATCTCTCCGCTTCCTTGATCTCTATATGTTTAAAGCATACGCATACGTGATTCCTGAACCTCATCACAGTCGCGCTCGCTCAAGAACTCCGCTGATTCTTCTCAGTGATGTCAAACAGCGATCTGCTCTCTGCTTGGTTTCACCAAAAACACTCTCCGTAATCACCATTAATCGAGATGTGTATATTCAATATAGAAAACAAACATACGCCAAACACACGCGCAACAAAAACAAACCCCTCCTTCGCGATCTGGCAACCCGTGCAGACCAAGTCGACGCATTCGGCAATCCACACAGTCACGTGCTCATTACGCCAAAAAGGTATCAACTGCCAAACAAAGGAAATAATCAACCTGCTCCAAAACAAGTCAAGAAGCACTATTTTTCTACGCGAACTTCGTACTTGACCCTCACCACGCCCTCTTCCGGATATCCAGCCGCGTTGCTGAACGAGATATCGTCCGACTCGGTAGACTCGCTCACCGACTGGAACCGCTCGCCGGCGACGATCGCAACGTCGCTCGCGGCGTGCTTCTCGAGGTCCACGTCCAGATCGTCGTTGAACGGCGAGCTCCAGTCGTAATGCGAGACTTCGTTGTTGGTGCCGCCGTAGAGCGTGCTTGTTGTCATGGTCACGTTATTTGAGTTCTTTGCATTAGAAGAGTCCGTCACCGAGCCTTGGGACACGTATGTTCCTGACGTAGACACCGTGCCTCTGTTAAGCCACTGTGAATTTGGGAACAGTTTGCCCAATCCAGCCCGGCTCAAGAATCGACGATACATATTCAGAGCATCGGCACCCAATCCAAAGTAAGCAAAGAGGAAAAACGCGAGGATCGGATATAGATAAAACTCGAACCGGGGCTTGTCATACGGCAGGATGACGATCATGTCGCGAATCTCAGGCGCGTGATTGAATGACCACGAAAAGCCCCGAATTCCATTATTCAAATTGAGCGCGAGCACGTAGAGTGAAAGTGGCAAGGCCACTATTATAATCGACAAACTGAAAAACAAAAGGCGCGCGAAGCGAGCTGTGGTGAAGCCTGAGTAACTTGTTCGCAGCACAGAGCTGATTTCGCGACGACGCTTGACGTAGTAGAAAAGAGTGACCACTGTTCAAAGTTAGCAGATATAGTTATATATTCAACCACAGAAGACTTACCCGAATAGTAGGTAGCAGTAAGCAAGAGAATAGGGGACCAGAGAATCGAAAGCAGCAGATCAACATATGATGCATCCGCCGATGAAGAGCACCCCGTGTATTGGAGGACAAAGTATCGGTTGTACTGATAAATATAATACAGCGGCAGTTGCACTGCTGGAAGAAATAACGAGTAAAAGAGCTGAATGCAAAGCTCGTAGCGCTTCTCGGACGGCGTCGGCGCCAGTGACGTCTGGCCAGACATGATCCGGGACAAGTTGCGCGAGATCGTGGTCAGCGACGCAGTGGTCCCCATGCTCGCCATCAATTGCAGTCTCGTCAGAAGATCGCAAAAGACTCTACCGTCCCAGTACGTTGTAACATCAGGATTTCCCCACGGAATCGAGTTCATAAACACGCAGAGGTTTCCTAGAACTGTCCAGCCGATGAGGAAGAGCACTGCCGTGTTCTGCTGGGATATATGCCAGAACAAAGGCGCGACACACATCATCAGCGAGATCAAGCTCGTAACAAATAACGGCACGTAAATCATATTGTCTTAATCTGACTCTGCTGTTTCGATTGCGCTCAGGGTTCCGGGAGAAAGGCCTCTATGGATCGATTGCGATTGAGGAAAAGAGCGGCATATCATATAGACTGACAAGATCCTGGAATGCCCCTTTTCCATGATCAAAAACCCGGAGCTACCAAGTATGTGTGCAATTGTTGTAGTAGAGGAGCTGTGGAGCAAGAGCTGTAGCCGCAAAAGAAGAAATACGGTGGAGAAAGCATTACCCAATGTCACAACCCATAGACTTCCCGATTAGGCAATTTCCACTGCCGTCCGCTCCTCTCTCCATTGTCTACTCTGTCCTCCGTAGAAGCATATCACTAATTGTCAGAAAGTTGAAGGCTTTATGCAGCTTAATGAAACAGCTCATATATGCGTGTAAGAATGAATATAGGATGTGTAAAGAGACAGAGGATGAGAAAGACAGCCGAACAGCTCAAGGTTGGACAGATGTCAACCTTAGGGTAAGCGATCCACAACGGCGTCTGGGTTGCCGACGATCCCGAAGATTTGACAATATATCGCTGCTCCTTTGTTTGACATTCACGCTGATGAGCTGGTTATTTGAAGCAGCTGGCTTCTATAGCCGCTGGTATGAAGCAGACTCCATCTTCGGACTATCCCTGTCCCTCCGTCTAATAGCCAGAAGCAGCAACAGATCCCAAGAAACTTACCTTTCCAGATCCCGGTGGGGACACTTCGATCCCAATGTGGAGGTTCTAGAGTTCTTTTTTTTCGTACACTAGCCGTTGCAGATCAAGTTCCTGATTCTAACTTGCGTAGCATGCGCTGCAGCAGAAAAGAGTGACTCTCGTCACAACCTGCAGACGATGTATGTCTTCTGCCTGCAAAATGTACGCATATATGCTCTCCTATTCTCTTGAGAGTTAGATAACACAGTACAGATTACCAATCTGGCGTTCTGTTAGATGCCTGATAACATTAGTTTGTGATTAGATGTAGATCAGAGTGGAGCTCAAGGTTTGCGTCCTCGGAGTACCCAGCGAATAGGAGCAGTTCTGCATATCTCAGTAAAGTGTCAGCAGTTGCCGATTTCTTATACACACAGTTGGAAGTCATAAAAGTGTTTTAAAACTAGAGTCGTGGACGTCTCTTTATATACTGCAAAAGAGCAGGTTAGAATAGGCGCTGACCGAATTACGATTGTTTGCGTTGCTATTGTTCTTAACCGCTACCTGCCACGACAAACGCACTCCAAATTAAGCAAAAATGTCATTTCAACCGAGCCTGACTCAGGTGGATTCCAAGAAATAATAACATTAAAAGTACCTAAAGACATAAAAAGCAAGTAATCGTACTAAAAGAATACAATAATATTAAAAAACAAAAAAAAAAAAGCCGGACAAGCCATATCTCCCGGATGCTAAGTACATTTGCTCGCCCGTTTACCATCTAGTTCTAAGTAGTCCTCTTGATCTTACTTGCCGTAATCTCAAACACAAGAAGGACTCGAATAAATAAACCAAAAAAAGACAGCACCCAAAATTGTACATGTCCACCGTATTTCCTTCCGCTGCATGCAAAATATCCCCGTCCCCTCTCCCGCTGCTTTACTTTGTAGGGGTTCCAGAGCCGGACGATTTTGGCGGTGTTAAGGCTTCAGAGGATGCATCAAGCAAAACGGGTTTCAGAACCTGAATAAAAAAGCAAAGTTAGTTGATGATTTACAATGAAATTAGAACTGCAGGGGGGGAAACTCACGTGTTCATCAAAATCCTGAAACCATCGAGCATGATCTTCTGCGGTGCGGGAAAGCAAGCTAGGCAGTGCACCCGATAACACAGATCCGTTACTAGTCGAGCTCGCTCCACCGGTGGGATCCATAGAAGTGGTCCTTGAAAACGACGGATGATGCTCGCGCTCGCCATCGTTGCTCCGTTCTCCTATTGACCCGCGCGGCGAACGTGAGACCGGCTCAGGAGCCAGGCTGTTTCCGAACTGAGCAGGCGTGGTCGTATCGGGAGACCTTCGGCTCTTGGAGTCCGACACGCGACGGACTGTGCCTCTTCTCTCGGTGAACGCGTATGGCATAGACGCTGCCTTGCGACCTAGCTCAACATCTAGCTCGTCGTCAGATTCGGACTCGGGCTCGACGCCCGTCTGGATGCCCAAGATCTCGAGCATGCGTGCAGTAGTACCGCCAAACACAATAACAGTCAAGACGACAACAACTAGCACCGTCGCTCTCAAAGAGTTGACATCCTCGCCCTCCAATCCCGCAGCCAGAGCAACGCCTACAGCACCACGTAGTCCGGCCCAGAACAGCATCATCTGATATTCCTTCGTCAGCTCCTCCGGCGCCGGACGTCCCGATGCGCGCGCCCGCACTCTGTTTACAAAGTTCAGTAGCTTTGAGAGAGGGAATACAGCCGCCCAGCGTGAGACGCAGATTCCCAGAGCGGTAACGATGATCAGCATAGGCTTATATACAAGCTTGACCTCTGTAAACATCGAAAGACCCAGGTAGATGAAGATGAAATTTTCCGAAAGCTGAGCTAGTGTCTGGAAAATGAATTTGGTGGCGATCTGGGTTCGTCGCGACATGTTGTAATACGCGTAATGCTTCAGTGTGATTCCGCAGAATAATAAGGACACAATTCCTACTCGCTCATTAGTCTACGCCAACAACAACGAATTTAGAGCAACAAAACACCTACCAGACATGTGGCATCCGTTGGAAAAGAAATAAGAAGCATAAGCAAACAACAGAATCAGACAAGTCTCAAGCGACTGGAACTGCCGAATTTGCGAATGCTTCAAAATCAATGCAGTCATGACTCCAACGATAGCGCCGATCAGCAGCGAGATAGTGAATGTCACAAGGAAGATTCCGACTCCGCGAAACAAGTCTGTAAATGTAGCAGACTCTCCGTGGAATTGTTGCGTGGTTCTGAATATCCGTCAGTACATTCACAAGAGCCAGTCATTAAAAAGAAAGGGGGTGAGATCATACTCAAACATAACGATACAAACAGCATCGTTCAGAATACTTTCACCAAAGATGATAGTATACAGCTTAGGATCAACCTTGTATGCGTTAAAAATTGAGAGAATTGTGACGGGATCTGTAGCGGAAAGTGTAGCGCCGAATCCGAGGGCCGTGACAAACGGAATCTTCAGACCTTCGAGACCCAAGAATGCCCAGATGTAGATAATACAGCCCAGGACGACTGCCGATATAAATGTTCCCGCAAACGCAAACGTCAGAATTGGTCCGATATTCCGGAAAAAGTTTGCCTGGTTGAGGAGAAAGAAAAATGGTTAGTGCTTGCTCCTATGTCCGACGGGGGTGTCACACGTACTTGATGGAGCTCGTAACCACAGTTGAGGATGATGGGCGGTAATAGCATGTTGAAGAAGTAGGTATAATTGAATGATACCGCATCCTGAATGTAATGACCCGGTAGAGTGCGGATAATCAGGCCAATAATCATTCCTACAGACAAGGGTTGATGAGTATTCTCTTGACGATACAAGGTATGCTAGCAACAATTCAACTTACCTGAGAAGATAGAAACCACAGTCTCATGCACTGCCTGGATTTTGCGAACTTGGAGGTAATAGCTTGTCCAGAGCGAGCCGATCAGCAGAAGAATCAAAATCAAGAGCGCCCATGACGAATAGAGCTCCTGCTTTGAGGGATCGGCTGCGTCATCTGCGGCAACAGGTGTTAGCTATCCCACACCAACCCAGCACCTAGAAAGCATTGATATATGAGATTACCATCAGGAGGAGATCCCTCAAAATCTGTGTCACCTTCGCGCTTTACTATAAGGCAGGTCTTGTTAGAAAAACACGTTGATCCAGATCGAAGCTGCCAAAAGTTCATTGCTCACCCAGCACCTTCGTCGTCTCCGCAAGCAGTGACGACAGCATTTAGACTTGAAGCTCAGCTAGGAGCAAAAAAAGTAGTGAGGGAGATTGAGCGAGAAAGGGAAGCTATAGAGAGCGTGTAGAGAAGCGCATCCAATGGTGTTGTGTAAAAAAGAAGCAGCAGCGCCGAACGCGATACAACACTACGCGTGAGCGTTCAGAAGCGAGTTGAGTCCCTAAGTTGATCTCACCGTGTATTATAGATACACAAACAAACCAACTAGCAACGGTTATAGCAATCAGACAGCTATTCGCAATGCCTGAATGAGTATAGAACGAGAGCAGCAATCTGAAGGCCGACGAGATGCGACGAACCGGCTTCCTGGAAGTCGTGCGGCTCCGTGGAGGCCTAAAACGGTACGTCGGCGGCTCTCTGCTGCACGTACCTTGACCGAGCTTTGCTGCAGCCAGACCGCTGATTAGGCTGATGAATGCACCATTTGCTGTCTGTATGCTTCTATGAGTTTTCATGTTGTTTTAATGCATCGCTGGTGCAATTGTATTCCTCTCGCGCCTGGCTATCATCCAATACACTGAGCTTGGCTCAGGTTGCACCCCGAAACACCGGTAGACCCTGAGCGCCAATCATTAAGTAGCCCCTAACCCAATTAACATGTCATTCATATGCTCAAGGATCTATTCCTGGGTCTAGAGAGACACTCTATACCGAATTACCATGCTTCTCTAGCCGTCCGACCTTCATCTGGTTATCCGATGCACTACAGTGGTCCAACTACCTTGTAGAGCCATCCTGTTCCCTGAGTTAACCATTTCTCCCGTCAATTGTCTTCCGTAGCTCTCACACCCGATCCTACGATCCCATTCCCATTCCCACTTGCGCTCACAGAGCCGCTCCGGCCCTGCGGCGCAATGTTCGAAGTGCTCACATTCCCGCTGGGTATCGGCGACAGCAAGCTCGGCAGGCCCAGGCCCAGATTAGCAAGGAACTCGTCGTCGTCCTCTTCTTCGGGTGGCACGCCGGTCGCGATGCCCAAAATCTCAAGCATCCGAGCAGTCGTACCGCCAAAGACTATAACCGTCAGCACGACCACCACAAGCACCGTCGCACGCAGAGCATCCGCGTCTTCGCCTTCCAGTCCGACCGCGAGCGCGACACCGACTGCGCCGCGTAATCCTGCCCAAAAGAGCATTATTTGGTATTTTTGCGACAGTTGCTCTGGTTGGACTCCTCCAGTAGCACGCGCTCGCGCTCGCAATACAAAATTAATCAGCTTTGAGAGCGGGAAAACGGCTGCCCATCGAGCAACACAGATACCGACCTAAACAAAGATAAGCCGGTTAGTAATTTCTCATACCACTTCTAACAAGACTAAGAAGGAGGAACATACCATAGTCACCACGATCAGAACGGGCTTATATACCAGCGTCACCTCAGTGAACAACGACAAACCCAAGTATATGAAGATAAAGTTCTCTGACAATTGAGCGAGCGTCTGGAATATGAGTTTGACCGCCAGCTGTGACCGTCGCGACATGTTGAAGTACGCATAATGCTTCAAAGTGACACCGCAGAAAAGCAGTGATACAATGCCAGACATGTGACACCCGTTTGAGAAAAAGTATGACCCGTAGGCAAAAAGGATGATAAGACAGGTCTCGATCGATTGGAAGGTGTTCACTTTCGAATAGCGCAGAACCATGGCTGTCAGTACGCCCACGATGGCGCCGATAAGTAAAGATATGGTGAATGTCATCAAAAAGATGCCAATACCCGCAAACATTCCCCGTATTCCTGTTGCCTCACCGTGCAGCTGCTGTGTCGTTCTAGAATCAAACACGAATATCAGCATGAGCATAGCTCTTTGGAAACGTATTCATGGGCACATACTCAAACATGACGATAGAAACAGCATCGTTCAACATGCTCTCGCCAAAAATAATCGTGTATAGTTTCGGATCAACTTGGTAGGCATTGAAGATCGATAGAATCGTAACCGGATCGGTCGCCGAGAGTGTTGCGCCAACCCCAAGCGCGGTCACAAACGGGATGTTTAGACCTTCCAGGCCGATGAATGCCCATATGTACAGTATACATCTGAAAATATCATCATCAGCTGTAGATTCTTATACTGTACAACCAGAAGCACTTACCCTAAGACTACTGCTGACACAAAGGTACCAGCAAATGCAAAAGTCAAGATAGTACCTATATTCCTTGAGAAATTGGCCTAGCTTTTGTCAGTACACTCAAAAACCATAAGGAAGAAGCTGCAAGCGCACGCATACCAGATGTAACTCATAACCACAGTTAAGAATAATTGGAGGCAAAAGCAAGTTGAAGAAGAACGACGACTTGAATGAGACCGCATCGCGAATATACTGGTTCGCCGAAAAACGGATGATCAGTCCAACAACCATTCCTAAGTAGATCAAAACGTCAGAGCGAACCAATTACAGCCCAGCAGCTCAGCAAACCTACCCGAAAGAATGGAAACCACTGTCTCGTGTACGCTCTGGATCTTGCGAATCTGCAGATAGTAACTTGTCCAAAGCGATCCGATCAAGAGCACAATCAAGATGAACAGAGCCCAAGAGGAGTACTGCTCTTGCTGACTTGGATCACTGACCCCATCGTCTATATTTAAACCAGTCAGATGTCGGACTGATTACAGTCTCGAAGCAGGTATTTAATCATACCTTCTGGGTTCCCGTTGAAGTCTGTCTCTTGTCGTTTACCTGCATAACAATCCAGATTAGCTTTCAATGCTCATCAACACAAAAACACATAGTAGCTCAATTAGTACATACTCAAGCTCTCCAAAATTGTTGTTCCTAAAAGAGACAGCATCTTTGACAGTAACTGCCCGCGACCTTGGTTCGGGTGTTTTGATGATGATTAGAAGATGGACGCGTACGCCGCTAAGAACTCCTCAGTTTGAGGATATTCGTGGATTCAAGCAGTTAGCACTAGTTTCTCCGTAGAATATATCTCTCTTGGTTTATATTCCAAGCACAGTTGGTTCTATGTGCTTTATAAAACTGTGGAATGTGACGATTCGGCGAGAGTTAGAAGAACCGCTGGCTGCTGCACATCAGCTGTAAATGTGTACCGAGCGGCTTATCGCGTAAAATGAACCTTCCTTCGCTTTTGCCCCTCGGCTGATCACACAGCATATTTGAAACCGCTGCTACAAATGTTTTATTATCGTATTATATTCATATATACACATCCGTACAGTCAATTACATCTACCATTACTATTGCGACAATATCGTACATCCAGCGACTCACAACAAATCACTGTGCGAATTCAAGAACTACCAGAAATACGCCGGTAACCCCACAAAACACACGCCGCCTCTCTACCGCCGCCTGAACAGTTCTCGCTTCTGTTTCCGCTGCATCTGTAGCGCACTGAACGCATCGGGAACATCGGCCAGCACGTCCAGCCGTAGACTGCGCAGGTTCCGCTCGATGTCTTCTCTAGAGATCTGACAGAGCGGAATCCCGAATTCGCCTCGCTGCCGCCGCGACGCCGCATCCTTCACGCCATCCACGATTTTATACTGCACAATATCATCGTACTCCGCCAAGGTCCGACACGGACTCCGTAAAAACGAGCAAAGCTCATGTATGAGTATAGACGAGTTGATCGGTCCCAAGTAATCCGACAGAACCCCAACTGCCAGCTTGAACCCTCGCACGCACTGAATATCAATTACCTGTAGCATGTAGCATATCCGCCTGCATGCGTCGATCTCTACCGAAGGCTTGAGCGACGGCGCGGCTTCGCAAGAGCCACTCGATAGCAAAAACGGGAAGGCCAACAGTTCGCGCCGGATAAATGCGCGGGCGCGACTTTGCAGTTCCAGAGATCTACCGACTAAACCTGGCGACAGAGTCGTGAAGCCCGTGTAGCTGTTTGTACCGATATGGCATGCTCTTAATGAGTTGCGGTAAACAAACTGACGACGCATAACCTCAAGACGAAGATCAGGATCATAAGCAGGCTCCTCTGAGGTCCTCCTCCGGCTCGAGTCGCGTCGATTTCGCGGTCGTCGGCGCGTTCGTATCGACTCTTCATGTGAGCTCTGCGAGTCCTCTCGCAATACCGACGCCGGAATGGTAATATACTGCTGTCCAGATCCCTCATATTCAAAACTGATCTCAGTCACCTCGGTTTTGCAAAGCGGGCACGCGTTCTCTGGTGAAATCTCAAGCCATTGCAGAATGCATGGCAAGTCCCAGATATGCCGACAAGGCAGCGTCCGCGCCAGCTTGGCTACCGGAATAGGACACAGGCATATAGCGCAGTTATCAGAACTATCATCAGATCCAGGCTCAACTACTCCCGAGACCATGTGGGATGGTGCAGGGATCAGCTGGTTGAGTGAAGAGTTGCCATCGCCATTGCCTCGAGGTGGATTGATCATCGTAAGCACAGTTGGGTCTTGTGTTGTCAGCTAATGGTTCCCCGACTTCTGCTCCATGCGCCATCGATCCGGATCAGAGGCACAATCGAATCAGATCGCATATCTTTCTTCGTTACTACTTCCACAATGTCGTTGAACGCTTCTTGCTTGTTTTGCCGGATTATCAAGGGTAATTGTGTACAATAGCCCAGATCAGAAGCATCCAGGATACTAACAGATCAACTACAGGCGAGATCCCGTCCTACAAAGTGTTTGAATCGTCAAAGGTCTACGCCTTCCTAGACATCAATCCTCTCTCGGAGGGACACACGTTGGTCATTCCGAAATACCACGGCGCAAAGCTTCATGAGATCCCCGATGACTATCTCAGTGACATCATCCCTGCGGCTAAGAAGATAGCTCTTGCTCTCGGAGCTACGCCTGACGATGCGTTCCAGTACAACATTCTGCAGAACAATGGCACCATGGCTCATCAGGTAGGTCTACCTACGATTTAATCGGACTATATGCGTTGAGAAGGAGCTGACTGATTACTATGTAGGTTGTTCAACATGTGCACTTCCATGTCATCCCGAAGCCCACCGAAGCCGAAGGTCTCGGCGTTGGATGGCCCCAGAAGCCTACTGACTTTGATGCGCTCAAGAAGACTCACGAGGAGCTCGTCAAGAAGATCGAGTCGCTATAAGTGTTCAGCAGCTACCTCTTTCCGTGAACGTCGAATATATTAAAACTAAAAGCCAAACTGAACCCGTCCCTACCCATACAAACATAGCACACACTTCTGTTCTCCACTAATGAATTCGAGCCTTTGTACTCGTCGGAATCGCGCGATTCGAATTAGAAAGTGCGGTTCTCGGCTGCTGAGATTTTCCGTTTGCCGTAGTGTTCGAGCCTGTCGATGCGCCTGCCGTTCTTGCTTTCGTAGGCACGTTCGATGAGTTACGCGTGTTGGACTGTAGCGGAGCACGCTTTCTTGTGCCCGTCGGGCGGGCAGTTCCTGGTCTGCAAGTCTGTCTCTCTGTCTCCTCGGATTCTTCTGAGGTCTGCTCTAGGTCGAGCGCACTCTCTTCTGAAAGCAGCGCGCCTTGTTCTATAGCAATACGAGTTAGTAACGGTCCAACTAGGTAACGTTTGAGCAGTGTAAACACTCACGTAACAATATCTCATGCTCATTTGACCGTTTAAAAGAGTCCGAAGTAGGTGCCTATAAAACATCCAAAGAGTCAGCGCTTGAATATATCAACAAATAAACCCATTCTTTGAAAGTTGTCTGCACACCTCTTGAAAATCAACACACCACGCGTTAACCTCCAGCCCATACAGAAACGCCGCGAAACTCTCGCTAAACCGCGCAAGATTCTCATGCATCAAATCTAGATACTGGAAATTCGTATCCAAATCAGCCAGCGCGTCGCTGAACTCGGACAGCTGAGGTTTCAGCGCCTCCAGCGGGAAGGCAGACGAGAATGGGTTGACTGGGCGAGACACCGAGCGGCGGAGCGGTGTTGTCGGACGAGATGCCCGGTGAGAACGTTGGACCGACATCGTAAAAAAGTATCCACAGTGTATTCAGAGATATCTATGTCGATTTGAAATCTGATGATATATATTGATCTGGAAGAGAGGCGGTGGTGCAAGACGCGTATTGTTTACATTAGGGTAAGGGGTTTGTTGACTCTGCGCGCGAGCAGACATCACAGGAACAACACCAAGATATCTCAACGTTCGATGCTTGTCTCTTGTTAGAGCCAGAGGATAGGTAGAGTCTGTTCTAAATCTACTTAAAAATATATGATGGTTTACGAATTGACGGTAGCAATGGTTAACCGGCTGTTCCATCACGAATCGTGATCAAATTCTGCATACACTATACCAAAGCTGCTAGCAATCATCTACATCAAGAGAGCATTTATTTTTTTTTCTTTGGGGTTTTACAATACGAAACCGCTCCGCTCACACTCTTCCGTTCCGTCAGTCACTATCAGAAAACAGTAACCCCGTCACACCGTAGAAAGGCCCACAGACACATTCCCAGCACAGACAGGAAAGACAGAACAGGAAGAGCGCGCGCAGAGCGGCTGGTGCCAGGATCAGGAAGAATGCGTTACGCATACTCTTGTTCAAGAACAAGAACAAGAGTTATGTGGGACTCTGCGACGCCGCTTGTGTTGAACAAGCGGACTCTCGATGTCGCCATACCCACTAAAACCCGACTTCATCCAGAAAACAGTTCAAGAACTGTCTCCGTATTGGTAGATTGTCAATGTTGTCGCATGATCCGCTCGACTTGCCGTCGGAAGTCTCCAGCCGAATGGCCCCCCTCATGACAAGTCGGTTGGTCTCGCGGACTCTCTTCAACACTCCGTCGCCACGGGCTCCGGGCGACGGCGCGGCGTGCCAGCGCGCATGTGTGAGAGACGCGACAACGTAGACGTTTTGAATCCGATGAGCAACCTGGCTAAAGAAGAATCTCATCAGATTGACCGCCCGGCCAACAGCGCCAGTGAGGCACCTTAAGGGCGGTCACGCAGAGTACCGAGCCGGCAAGGGAATATCTCCCCAAGCATCTGCATGCTCACTCGGTACCCGCGTTGTTTGCGGATGTTTGTCAGGCTCTAGATACCCTGCGATACCGCCACAACGTGTCCTCCCACGTTAGACCGAGAACTGTGTGTACTCTGCCACGCAGCTCAAGGACTGTAGCGGCCGAGAAGCAAGGCGCGAATAGCTGCAGACATGGCGAAACTGTCCGAGGACATTATGCGCCCAACGGTTCCAGAATGCCATTCTGCCGACAGCGTGGAATGCACCGTACTATTGCGCTCGCTTCCCGCTAGAGTGGACTGACTTCATCACCCAACGACATCCGCGGTCGTTGGGTTGCTCACGTCCCTGCTAAACAAGTGGTGGAGACCACTTGCTTTGGTTAGCAAGGGCGTTTCTGCCGCAGGGTGCGCGGTAGAGGACCAGCGCATCTGTACATTTTTTGTTAGTTGAGAGCTCTGTGCTGACCGTAAAGCTGTACTTACTATCATTTTGCCGTGGTAGAGCGAGATCAAGCAGCCAGCATCACCAATCTGATCTTCCACTGGCTGCGTCGCAGAGACAACCGCGTGGGGCGTCCGCCAGTTAACCTGCGGGTCCCAGATAGACCTGTACTATGGAACCATACAACCCGCCCATACGAGAAGGCTCTCTGGGCAGGACTGTCTGGGGTCAGAGAGCCGCTAAGCTGCGCACAAAAACATAAAAACAGCTAACCAACGAGCTTAGCGGCGGGTATCGCAGTCGATCTATTGCCAAAAAAATAGATGCGACTGAAGAGGCGGGGAGGGGTATCAGAACCAACTGGTGAGGAAGGGAAGAAGAGAGGAAGAAGAGGCGGGCGCGCTGAAATGTGCGGATTTCAAGGCAGGCGGGCGCGTGTCTGGTGTAATAGGGTTTCCAGATCTGGCCGAAAGTAAACAGAGACATACGCGCAGGCCGTTTCTTAATTTTTACCATTTACAACATCACCATCTGCTATTTGATGCAATCGACCTAGTTTTAATGAAAATCAAATTAATGCTATCTATATTGAGCGTGTAAAGATATGGCACCGTGGTCACTTCTATGTACAAACAATTGACTTTCCCTATGAACTATTGACCATTTCTGCGTTCACCATTGAACTCACCGAAGACATTAAAAAATGCAATGTAATGCCGATAAAAACAAAATTAAAGACATGAGAGCTCAGAGAGTATCCTTCCCAGACCGTGATCCTTTCCTGTTGATTTTAATATCCAACCAGGGAAGCCTCTCCAGGGTCCTAGACTCTTCAAACGAGGGCCCTTCGTACTCCGCCTCTAACTGCGCACCTACCGATTTCGGCCTTAACTGAGCTGATGTAAAGGGCTCGTTCTCACTACCCACCTTTGTTCGCTTGGCAAGGATATACTGGCGCGCGCTAGGATTGTTCACTGTCCGATTGATGCTGATGTCGTCTCTCGAGCCGTGGCATCGTTTCTTCAGAATGCCATCTGTGAAGGTCTCTGGTCGACTCAGTCGCTCTCTGCCAAACTCGGGAGAGCTTCTTGGCTCTGCATCTCTCACTGGTGGCTTCGCTTTGCCCAAAATCCCAGCTATTACACCGTTACCTGCACGAGCTCCCAGATTTCCAGAATATGCACGTTCTGTCCTCGATAGGAGGGATTCCTGCGAATCGGTCAAGTCCATCAAACTATCACCAGCACTATCTCCCTGAGACTTGACGGGGTCTTGTCCACTAGGTAAATCTTGTAGCCTACTGCCAGCATCAGATAGCAAGTGTGCCCCCATCAATCTGTCTGCTGAAAAGATGCTGCCGGTAGGCTTCGCTCCTGATGCATTTTCACCTTCTCTATCACTGATTTCACTACCAGAGTCTTCAGAAGGTATCGAAGGAGCTGCACTAGTGTCGAAATAATCCCTAGCAGCGGCTAACAACTCCTCATCCTCCTCCTCCTCCCTGTCTATCTCTTTCTGTTCTGCATCATTTGCAACCATACTGCTGTCAAATTTGGGTGTCAGCGATGCAGATAATGGAGGATCTGTAGGCGGCATTGATGAGGAATGCTTCCGCGGATCGACATCAAGTGTTGGCTCGGCTGGTGAGCTCGTACAAGGAGGCAAAATCAGACGAGGATTCTGCGAGTCTTTAGGAAGAGTGAGAGAGGGTGTGCGATCATATTTGAAGCTCAATGATCTTCCAGAACCGGGGGTTTTGAACCCAGTGGGAACATCTTCATCCAGTCGGAGAGGTAAAGGTGCAGAAACTTTTCGCGGACGAAGTTTTTTGGGATTCAGTGGCGCGGAGTCGGGAGTGAGCACGGGTAGGTTCACCATCGGAGAGCTGCGAGCTAGTCTATCTGATTTGCCGTCGCAGACTGAGCTATCGAGCCAACGACGAACGTGGTTTGTCGCGTCCACCGGTGTACTTGTTGTGAAATCATCGTCCTGCTGTTGAATATCAAACGACCGGTCCTCGAATGGTTCAGGAGACGACACCGTAGCGTGTACAATACTCCCACTTTCCAGTACGCAGGCTGCCAGATAGTCGTCGTCAAAGTCGCATGAGGATTCATTTGTGAGATCAACCAGCTCTAAATTCCTGGAGGCCGCAATAATCACGTTAGCCAGCTTAATTGTAATTCTCAAAGGTCCAAAAATTACTGACTTACTCTTTGTATATCTTCCTGTGTCTCTCTATTATCTCCTCTTTGAGCTGCCGGATCGTGACTGTGCGTGTCGTAAGATGGATGAACTTGCGGACGGTCTCCAGCTGAACATTGTCACAGGAGCCTTCGCGATCAAACACAGATTGATCCTGTAAGTCATAATTAATTCCGCAGTACTCTGTTGCATTTATAGCGTCTTTGTTATTGACAGCACCGGTTTGGTCGCCGGTCTGCGCAGTCTGCCGAAGCGAATCAACTGATCTCCCCCTCGACGCAGCTGCGCGCACAACCTTCACATGAAGAAGCAGCGGAGTATCAGACGGACTCAAAGATCTCCTCATCTCTTCCAGCATCTATTCTCATATCTCAGCCGACGATAGAGCAGCACACAGTGACCAGTCGTGGAAGGACCTCAGCAGGGGGAGAAGCATCAGACGCGTCTGAAGGCCTCCTCCCGCGCGCCGTCCAAATTAGGTTTAAAGGGTGCTTCCTTTTTGGGAATTAGGTTTAAAGTCAAACTCTAAAGTTTCGATGCGGGCCCGCCGACTTCGCTCGCCGGTTTTTGCTCTCCGGTCTGCCTCTAAAACCTCGACAGAACCAGAGATCTGCTCGTCGAATCTGCGTCTTTTGTCTCGAAGGAGTTTATCAGGAAGTGCTGTAGAGCTACCTATAGTTATATTTTAATATAGCTCTCAGCAAACCAGTGTCTGCGAAATACAAGCTCCCAGCTTTCGTTTGATACCGCTATAACCACCAGCTTATATCTTTATATCCCCACAACAGCAATGTCTTCCACCTCGGCTCAGGACGAGGACCTCAGGCGACGCAACACGCTTCAGGCTGCGCAGCCAAAAGTTGACGGACTGTTTGAGTACGCAGCGTCTGCATCCTCCACGCCATTGTCGTATGACTCAGTCCCGCAATCTCTCCTTATGCCAGACGGCACTCCAGATTACCTCCGCCTCATTCTCACCTCCCGAGTATACGATGTCGTCAAAGAGACTCCCTTGACGAATGCTATCGGCCTGAGCACCCGTCTTGGTGTCAACGTCGTTCTCAAGCGAGAAGATCTACAGCCGGTCTTCAGTTTCAAGCTGCGCGGTGCTCACAACAAGATTGCCCAGCTGCCAGTCGAGGATCGCTGGAAAGGCGTGATTGCTTGCTCGGCCGGCAATCATGCCCAGGGTGTCGCATACTCTGCGCAGCACTTGGGAATCCCCGCTACCATTGTCATGCCGGTCGCTACTCCTGCAATCAAGCACACCAACGTGACCCGCATGGGATCCAAGGTCGTTCTATTTGGAGAAGACTTTGATGCCGCAAAGGCCGAGTGCGCCAGATTAACAGAAAAGCATGGACTCACCAATATCCCTCCATTTGATGACCCTTATGTCATTGCTGGACAAGGCACGATTGGAATGGAGCTGCTGAGACAGATTGACATCCAGAGTCTACAGGCTGTCTTTGCTTGCGTCGGAGGCGGCGGTCTCGTTTCCGGTATCGCAGTCTATATAAAACGCATTGCGCCCCACGTCAAAGTCATCGGCGTCGAGACATACGATGCAGATGCGCTCTATCAGTCTTTCCAGGCCAAGGAGCGGAAAACCCTCAAGGAGGTTGGACTATTCGCCGATGGTGCTGCTGTCAAAGTTGTCGGAGAGGAGACCTTCCGCCTGTGCTCGAAATACGTTGACGAAGTTGTTCGCGTCAACACCGACGAGATCTGTGCTGCCATGAAGGATATCTTTGAAGGTAAGCCCGACGTTTACACGTTTCTAACTGCCACAAGTCCAGTACTAATGTTTCCTTCTTCACCTAGATACACGAGCGATTGTCGAGCCATCCGGTGCCCTATCTGTCGCTGGATTGAAACGCTATGTGGCCTCTCACCCCGAGTTGAAGGCCTCCGGAGCTTACTGTGCTATTCTCTCGGGCGCCAACATGAACTTTGACCGTCTTCGTTTCGTCGCCGAGCGCGCCCAGCTAGGAGAAGGCCGCGAAGTTTTCATGATGGTCACCATTCCCGAAGCGCCAGGAAGCTTCCGAAAGCTTCAGAACGTCATCTTCCCTCGCGCTATAACTGAGTTCTCCTACAGATTTTCAGGGGGTCCCGACGCATACATCTACATCTCCTTCTCTGTCTCGGACCGGGATGCTGAGGTGCCCGCGATCCTTGAGGAGCTGAAAGCAAACAGCATGATCGGCGTTGATATCAGTGATAACGAACTCGCCAAGAGTCACGCTCGCTATCTTGTCGGTGGCAGAGCGGCTGTCCCGGACGAGAGAATCTATAGATTCGAGTTCCCCGAGCGTCCCGGTGCTCTGAAGAAGTTTTTGGATGGTTTGAAGGTCAACTGGAATATCACACTATTCCATTATCGTAATAACGGAGCTGGTAAGTTGGTTGCTAGTATTTTTGGTTTCTGTTCACCTGTACTAACACAAATTTTAGACATCGGCCAAGTTCTTGCTGCTCTCTCAGTCCCACCAGAGGAGTGCAAGGACCTTGCGAACTTCCTTGAGGATCTCGGATACCCAAGCGTCGACGAGACCAATAACCCAGTGTACCAGAACTTCATCAAGTCATAGAGAGGTAGAGGTCACGATAGATGTTGCTATAGGTTGTACGCTATGCGAAAAAATAATTCCTGTTTAATTTAGTTTTGGCTTTGCCTCATGTCTGTCAAAGGCACATGAGTTCAGAGAGTTAAATATACAGTTATACCCCATAAGTAATTTGTAAATGTGAATATATTTGATATTCTTGTATCTATTTTTTTGTATCGCCTTTCCAGCCCATCCCTCTGAGCAAAGCATAACCAAAATCCTCGACCGGGACCGATTCGTATGCATCCATATCAGGCGCGTCAGGACGAGATTCGATATCTAACTTATAAGCCTCCTCCTCCGACAAAGCTTGTTGTCGCATCTGCTCGGCTGATAGCGTCGTAGAAGTTGAGGCCATCTTGATCACGATATCTGACACTGCCTTCTCTTCTTCTATGAACTCGGCCGCTAGTTTTCGGATTTCTCGTTCTTCTTTGGTTTCCTGTTTCTGCTTTACCGAGGTCTTGATGCCATCTGTTTGATTCTCGGATTCAGATTCTTGCTGTTCTGTGACTTCGGGCGTCTTCTGTGATGTCTCTATAGGTGCCTCTTTTCCCTGTCCCTTCTCTCGGAACGTCAAGCCATAGTTGGCCTTCCGCTGCCTCTGTTTCTCCTGCTCGTCAGCCTGGCGATCGCGCTCAGCATCAATGACCGATCCCACCGGCATATACAGCGCGCGCTTCTTCTTTGCCTCCTCGATCCAGTTCTTGTTCTTAGGCGGCACAATTACCAACGGCTTACTCTCCTCCTCTTTGTTCACCGTAATCGCATTCCCACTCTCGGTGTCAAACCCCACTATAAGCTCGGTAGGCGATGGTGATCTCGCTCTCTTCTGTCCTCGTCCTTGCAGCGTCGTGCCTTTTCCTTTCAACCCACTCCCAAGCTTCACAGAAAACTTGCCAGGCTTGAGCTTCCCTTTCGCGTCGTTTGCAGCGTTTCCCCCCAGAGAAAACGAGAATGCCGGTTTGCTGGCATCGCCAGATGACTGCTGGCTGGTGGCGCCTGCTGTGTTTGAACCTGCGGCCTTGAACCCCGATGCCGCGATAGGCGTTGCGGCGGGCTTGGTCAGTTTTCGCGCTGGCGCTTTGAAGCCAGACATTCTTGAAGACCTGTCGCCTGGATACCCCCGTAGACTGCCGGAGGTTGGATCAACGAAAGAGCTGGCTGGATACTCAAATCAACAAAATCGTGAATTTGGAGCCATCGAAGGAGCCCTTACCCAACGCTTTCTTGAGGTTAGGGCTCGAATAGAGGCCCTTGATGCAAGAAACGTAGAATGGCAATAGTCTACTATCGTCACTCGCAGCCGATAAATACCACAAAATACAGAGATGCCGCCCAAACGAGGTCGAAAGGCGGCGAAGAAGGAAGAGAATGTTGAGGAGACAAGTCAGGATGAGGTGAAGACTATTTCGGCGTCAACTGAACATGCTGATAGCGTTGAGGAAGAGCAAGCCGGTCGAGACGAAACGGTAGAAGGCAAAGTTACAGAAGGAAAGACAGATTTTGGAGATGGCGATACTGCTGGAGCTAAGGCTGAAAGGGACTTAAAAACAGAAAGTACAAAGGGTGAGAAAGGGCAAGGTGGTGACAAGGAATCGAGTGCAGATGCGACGACAGCAGATGAAGATCCCATCGCGAAAGCCAAAGCCCGGAGAGAGAAGTTCAGACAGCTAAAGATGAAGATGGTGAGTACATAGATTTACATATTTTTACAGAGGTCATTTGCTGACGATATAAAACATCCGATATAGAACCAGTCATCGTCAGAAAACAAGCAGGAGCTTTTCGCAGAATACCGACGGCAAAAGATTGATCCGGCCGCAGTCGCTCGCTTAGAGCGTAAGAAAGCAGATGCTGAACTTGAGCTATCTAAAATTGAGGCTAGCGAGCAAGGCGAAGACTTTGAGCGGAAACGGGCTTGGGATTGGACGATCGAAGAGACTGAGAAGTGGAATGAGCGGATGGAGAGGAAGAAGCAGGCGAAACAGAACTCGGTTCTTGCAGGTATGATTCTCTACTTTTCATTGTTTATGGTATTTTTTGCTGATGTTTGATGTGCAGATTTTTCGCTGGCGGCTGACCGTGCATATCAACGAGAGCTGAGGGACCTCCAACCCGACAAGGAGGCATATCTACGACAGAAAACCAAATCCATCGAAAAGTCAGGCCAGATAGTTGAGGGCGAAAACGGCAAATTAATAGCGGTAGACGGCGACAGATTCGACAGCGCACATTCGTTGGATTTCACAAGCAACAAACCACCAAAGGAAGCCGTCGATCGATTGGTGAACAGTATCAAGAAAGCCGATCAGCAGCGCATGCGGAAGGCTCCCAAGACTGCGGACGAAGATGGCGCGTTGGCTATCAACGAGAAGAACAAGCATTTCAACAAGAAACTGTCACGGTATTATGACAAGTATACAAAGGAAATTAGGGACTCGTTTGAGCGCGGAACCGCTCTGTGATGGCATATGTAGTTTTATTGAATATAATATTAGTCTCTGTTGAATATGAGTCGCTATACAAGAACAATATGTACAATGAAATAGATCAAGTAGCAAACGAAGCCTGGCGGGCAAGATCAATCATGTCATCCCGGTTGATAACGCCAGTCACCGATTCGCTTTCAATCGCTTGAACCGCCGCACCTGCAACAACAGAAGTCGACAAAGGCTTCAAGACGTCTCTGGAAATTATAGGAGCGTTTCCGCCGAGCATTTCGTTGACAGTCCCTATAGCTTTGAGACCCACCGCCATCGTCATTGTCATGGAGCTGGAGGGATCAAACATAAAGCCTGTAACAATAGACTTACAGTTAGATTCAGTCTCTTTTCCAATTAAGTGGGATATAATCACATACCCGGTCGCAAAAATATTGGTCGCAGCGAAGGCAGAGTCGAGATGGTCTGCTCTGCTTGCTGTTTGGTCTTGAAGTACGCCTGCGGGATTCCCGGGAACTCACCGGCCGCAGACACAAAGAGGAAAGGTTTCTCTACCTTGGCCGATGCGGAAGTCTCCTTGGCCAATTTGACAGCTGGATGATGTTAGTTGCGACAGATCAAGCTGCGTATTAAATGTAGCTTACCTAGATCGCGGTTCATCAGCTCATACGATATTTCGTCCTCGATCCGATGCTTTAACGGGTTCCGGTTCCACTTCTGTATAACCTTGCTCACGCCGTCCAGAGGCGACTGGCTCTTTGCAAACGTCTTGTAGTAGTTCGACTCGAGCAGAATACCGAGCGAGTAGACTACCGCGTCTGAATCCTCGGTCAAAGGTCGGATCTCATCCGGTGAAGCCTTTGATATGTCGAATGATTCAAACTTGACCGATTCTGCCCATTTCGGCACTCTTCCACCTTCAAATGCAGCAGCTCCTGACCGGCTAGTAAAAAGAGTTAGTCAGCTTGATTTCATTACATCAAACGAATGTCTGCATAGAATTACCTCAAAGAAGTGACTGCCCATCCATGAGCGACGGCTTGCTCGCAAATCCGGCGTCCTATTTAGAATCAGTACACCGAGCCAGCAATTGTATCGAACACAGACAAACAAACTCACCCAAAAATCCGGTACCTCCACAAACTAATAATCTTTTGAGTGAAGCCATTGTTTGACTGTTTGACGCTGTTTTACTCAGTCGAGTTCTTGTTTCTTGCTGGAATATGAAATAGTGAAGATCGCTCGCTGCCCGCCTGAGCCGCAGCAGTAACGTCCATCTGGACGCGTAGATCCGTTCACTTTCCACAGATAATCACAGCAGATCAGCAACTACGCACACTATCAGGTAGCAAGAATACGAATGGCGTGGAACGCAGGAAAAACAATCGAAACGTTTGCGATTGCTCGCTATTCATTCTGTTCGATTCCGTATCAAACTGCGCTGCCTACAAGCCAGCTTCCATGGATTCATTCGCCTTACCGCGACGCGCTCTCGCTCGCATTTACTTATCCTGCGCTTTACCCTTCAGACTCGGCCACTGTGCAGATTCTATGGCGGTCACAATTACTGGTTTGCTTAACTATGATTACTATCTGAGTGCGATCATTGTGTCTTGTCGATGGCTGACTGAATCATCTCTGCGCGTGTCAGGAAAACATTGATCTGTCCACTATACTGAAATACCCAGTGGATAGCCCGTTCGTCGTCGTCGCTAGCTCGCCCAGGATTGCTTTGAAATTTGTTGTAGTAGAGGTCGATGGGACAATGACGGTTGGATCGCACCGGGCTTGAACACTGTTGTTGGCTACGGGCAATCGCTGATCTCACTCCTGCAGTCGCGACGGATCCAAATTCGATTCGAAGATGATAGAACCTACACCTCATGTCTAGGCCTTTTTGAACGACATGGATGCTTAATCAAGCGAATCTCAACTTCTGTCAATATAGTCTCGGATTCGCAGTTATCATTCAGCCAGTCCGAGCCACATTCCTCCCAGCATTCGCATCCCCTCCAATCGCTATCTCAGCCGGCGTTCTCGCCAATGATGAGCCGTACCAATGGACTAATTATGAACTCGTTGACAAGCAGATCTACAACTTCCTACAGCGCCCCGAAAACTCCCACTCAGTTCTTCAGTCAGCCGGTTACCGCGACGCCCGACGAGAAGATTCAAGAAACGCAATCCCTGCCGTCCCCTCTGACGACACAAATTGGGCAAGAGAAAGGCACAATGAGTGATAGCGAGGTATCAAAGTACATCCGGGACTGTTTGTGCAATCCCAGATTTGTTCAGCTTGTAAGTATCAATTCGTCTGTATCTGATATTAGTGACTGATCTCTGACGGAGCGACCATAGTGTGAGCAGGTCGATCGCATATTTGCTGCGCTATGAGCAACGATCTCCACTATCTGGATCCTGATCCTATGATCTATTTGCTGCAATTGTTTCTCTCAGACTCTCAACTGTACAATCAATTACTATAAGGAAAGAGTAGACAGTTAGTCTTTAAACCTACAATAAACAGTTTCCTATCAGATAAACCTTAATGCGATGCTCACGACGTCATCAGATTCATATATCTCTGGCCCATTGTCTACCTCCCATAAACCAAAGCCACCTCCCACATGACACTTCCAGCCCACAGTTTCAACACCAGCAGTTTCGAGTGAAGCATAATGTCGTCGATGTCCAACGAGCTTCTTTCGGTGCTGGATTACTACCTCGGATCCGAAGCAATTGCCTTTGACGAGGCGAAATGTGATCAGTTACGAGCAAAGATGTCAGAGATCCGGTTTGATGATACGACGAGGTATATCCATTATATTCTTACCACCACCGTCCAGAACTATTATTGACTTACATTGCTATAGAGCGGTAATTGGAAGTACTCCAGAAGTATGGAGGGCTTTGAGCACAAATCTACGAATGCTGCGCAATATCAAAGCGACCTCTACCGCCGACAAAGAGCGCACAACATTCTTGATCCGGACAGTGATCTCTCTCGTCATGAATCTTCTTGCGGGCGGAGAAGATGTGCAAAAACAAGCGTAAGTCTAGCCATAGTCGGAGATGTCAATTATCTGTCGTGGTGTGTTCTAACTTTTTGAAAGCATGCTCTACGTGAAATCAGAACTTTTTGATACTTTGGACGACGAGAATGTGATTGAATGTAAGGAATCAATCGAGATTAGGTCTACGTTTCTGAATAAGCATACTAACCGCACTAATGACCAGCCGGACTTGCGGTTCACAGCGTGCGCGCGCTGGTGAATCTAGGCGCTGCTAACAACGCAGTCAAAGATGAACTCTGGCCCGATTTCCTTTCGCGATTTACCCCAGAGTCTATAGATCGCATCTGCGCATCTTTCAATCATGAGGGCTACTCTGCTCTTTTGATCTTTGTGGTCGGATGTGTGGGAACGGCTGAAGAACGAGCGTAAGTAGACAGAGAATGCTGATCTGACATTTTGATCATGGAATTGGAAAGTTGACTCAGTATATTGATATAGCTCTATATTCATGAAGTCTCCCGGCGGCCGCAGAATCTACCTGAAATTTATCGAGCACGTCGACTCGTGGATGCAAAGCACCGGCGATCAAAATTTCGACCTGATGTACAAAATCACTCAAAGCCTCATCCAAGGTGGATACTTCCCCGACATCTACTCGTTGTGCAGTGATCCGATCGAGCAGCCGTCAGGCAACCAGCTCGTGGCCATGAAACTGCTAGATGGATACTTGTCGTCTCCCAAGACTGTTACTGCGATCAACTGTATCGAATTAGCGCAATTTCTTTACAAAGACACGTTTGTCGAGCTAGGAAAACCGCTCGCAATACAAATCATGTCTAAAAAGATCGATAACCCACATAGCGAACGAGTCGCTTCATTTCTGACAGTATCGGTTGAATGCATGACAAGCCTGACTTCCATATCCCAAGAGATTCGAAACCTATTCATCGAACTCGGCTGTATCCCCGAGCTAATCGACCTGCTCAGACGGGCAGACGAGCTCATTCCGCGGAAAACACTCAAGACTCAGCAAGCAAGCGAGCAGTCTACTTCGAAGGCATACGAGTTTCCGGACTTGAAGCGGCAAATCGTCGGCCTGCTTTCGTATCTTGTCGAAGGAAATCGAGTGGCGCAGGATCAGATTCGAACGAGCGGGGGGCTTCCTGTTGTTTTGTCGCAGTGTAATATCGACGACAATAATCCATGTAAGTTCTTCATTCTTTTGCCTATTTGATTTTATGTTCAGAAAGCTAACAGATCCTCTTCATACTAGTTATTCGCGAGTACGCGATTCTTTTGATCAAAAACCTGCTGGCAGATAACCAAGAGAATCAAGACTTTGTCGCGAGTTTAGAGGCCCGTGAGGCAGTTACCTCGGATGCCTTGCATGAGGCAGGCTACGAGACTTCGATTATAGACGGCAAAGTGTCTCTCCGGAAGAGGTGATTTGACTATGGCTAGCGTGTGAGAAATTGATGCATTTAGCTGAGTGGATTAATGTAGTCATGTATAGGCTTTGAAGAATAATGGTATTCATGATGTAATCAACCACTACTCGGTATAAATCAGACCCCAATAGCAACTGCCATCTTTCCAAACAGTCCATTCCTAACAACACAGAGCATCTCAATTTCAAATCCTAGCTCCCGTACGAAATCATCGCTTGACTGTGGGTAACCATGCATAACTAATCAAAGAACGAATCACTGCTGAACGACTCCCTCAACCGAATGCACCGACGGACGGTTCCATGTTCGGATGTGGCCGTCGTGGCATGTGATTATTAGACAGTCCTCTCTGAAATGGAGGCTCGTGAGCGGATCAGGGTCGACTTGCTTGGACTAGATTTTAAATGTCGATCAGTATCAAAGAAATTTAAATGGAGATGACAAAAGTAACGTAAAGGGGGCTTTACCATCACGGGTGGGATAATGGGTATGCTAGCTTTGGAAGCGATCGGATGATACGCCTCTTCTTCGTCTACAGCGACGGCATTCGAGTCCGACCGAGTACGGCCAGAGCGAAGGCTTTGGAGATCGTGGAGATTTTTGCTGTTTGTGCTGTATCGAGAGGAAACACTACCGCGGTGCGCATTCTATCAACGTAAAGTTAGAACCTGACATAACCAAAATAAAAAGAACTGATGACAGAAAACGTACTCCCCGTGGCCGATGCAGAGATTTAACAGAGAAATCCCACAGCAAAAGCCGGCAATCATCACCAACACTTCCTAGTCTGTATACACGCTCATCGCACCGCCAAGGATCAAATGCAACAGACCGAACAAACGATTGATGACCTTGGCAGCGTGCGACTAGCGAGCGAGATGCAAAGGACCATATAGAGACAAGGTCGTCTTCTCCTCCGGTCTTTGAATGTAAAAGTTAGTGTGACGAGTCGCGTGATTTGTTTTCAATATTACATACCAAAATATATCGACCATCCGGCGACCAGCACACGCAGAGAAGTCCGCCATAGTATCCGCTAAACACATCGACCAATCTACAATAACGTAAGTTAGTACAAACAGAAATGAGACATACTTTAGCACTCATATAATCATACTTCTCCTTCAGGAAGTCAATAATCTTCAGATATCCGTCTTCAGACACAACAGCAACGTGAGTGCAATCGGGCGAAAACGCGAACGCGGTGATTGGTTTCCGCGACACAGACCAATAAGCAACAGGGTTCTGCTTCTGCATCTTTTGGTTTCCGTGTATACTCTTGATTACCTGGAACCCGTCTTTCGTCTCTTTACGCTCGTCCGGTGCGAGACCGCTGTTCATCTCATCCTGGAAGTTCGAGTCGTCTTTTTCCTTGTCGTAGATCACAATCGATCCGTCCATGTGTCCTACCATAAACAGATTCTCTGATCCCGGGATCCACTGGATATCCGCGCAGGCCGAGCTATTGATCACTCCCTGCATAACGTTACAGTCAGCTCCGTATCAGGGGATACAGAATCGAGGCGGATAGTAGGTAGTGTACTCACGTTTTTGTTCAATCGATTGTATCGGGTGCTCATGGGATCGTACCAGATAATGTCAGAAGACGAGAAACCCATGGCGACATCAATATGTTGCGAGCTCCTCGTGAGCTGGTTTACGTCATGGCAGATGGGATGTGCCTTGGTGAAGAGCACTTTAGATAGAGGCTCATGCTGCAGAAACAGTTAGCAGATATAAAACAGTGAAAACTCCACAGAAACCTGTAACTCACTTTATACTTTGGAGCAGCAAAGTCCATCCAGTTGAAAGATCTGTTGATGTTTGCAAAGAAATATAGATCTTCAGACTGTCGCTCGCTGAGCCGTTTGGCGAGGTGCTCGTGCGGAGTGATGCGCGAGACAAACGAGCTGTTGCTCTTCGCCATATTGTTTTTCGGCTTCCTCTTCTTTCCGTCCTTTGAAGAAGACGGGCTCGCGACAGCATTAGCCAGGACTGCGCTCAATGCGTTCGCATTGGCGCTGCTATCTGACTCCATGTATGATCCAAACTGGGACTGCGACGCGAGAGAAGACGACATTGCGCCGCTGAATCTCGACATTCCACCAGTAGAGAATCTGTCGCTCGCGTTATCGTCGAAATCCGAGCCCACGGAGGAGCGGGTTTCGGCGATCGAGAGCTGGTTGGTGGTGGTCGGATACATGCCTGGGTTGGAATCGCTTCGATACTTGATACTGCAGAGCGAGAGCTTGACGCCAGCAGTCACAGGAACTGGAGCAGTAGATAGCGGGTTTGGATTAATGATTGGGACCTCAGATGGATGAGGAGGGGGAGTGGCGAGATGTATATCTTCGCGGAGGGTATACTGGCCTATAATTAGGTGGGTAATTAGCCAGATTGAAGAGTCAGATAAAACTGCCCGCGCCAAGCACAGGTAGCGAAAGACAGTCTACTAGCCTGTACGTACCCTCGCCAGTAGTGAATACATATTCGTCGCCGGTGGGGAACTTGAGGGTGTTGTGGGTGTCGAGATTCTGGTCCCGCATTTGCGATAGGGCCGCAGCATAGGCGGGGCTCCCGACGGGGAACTTTGGCGGCGGCGGAAGAACGAACATTGCTGCTGCGAGAGAACTGCGGGTGGAAAAGCAGAAATGAATGAAAATCCCTCGGAAACGGTCAAAAAGAGCAGGAAAGCGGGCGCTGTGCAGAGTCGAGGCCGAAGCAGGTGCGGATGCGAACAGGCGATCGGACGCTGCGGAGAAGACGAGGCAGAACTGGGGTTGACTCGACCGGCCCCGGACCCGGACCCGGTCTCTTTGTGGTCACGTGAATAGATTATGTCATTGATGTGTCAGCAGATGTTTCTTGCTCCCGGATGTTCGCTGGAGTGCTGCTAGATGGAAGCTGGGCTGATTGTCAACCATTCGAGCTGCGAGCTGCTGATCCAAGATGTCGTCCGATGTCCGGCTTGTTTTGTGTGGTGATGAAGGTGAGGACTGTTTGGTGCTTGCTTGCTGTGCTGTTGGCAGATCAGGTACTAACTATGGTCTCGACTTGTAGGTGTGGGCAAGAGCAGGTTAGATAGATCGATTTCGACGTTGGACAGATGGTCTGGTATTAACTGTGAATTGTTCTTGATAGTCTGATAACGTCCTTTGTGAAGGAAACGTTTGTTCCCAATCTGCAATCTGTGCTTCCGCCGGTGTCGATTCCCTCCGAGTTCATGGCCACGGTGAACAACATGACGATGACAATCGTGGACACTTCTTCTATGCCACAGGACAGGCAGTCTTTGAATCGGGAAATACGACGGGCGAATGCGATTCTGCTTGTGTATTCTGACCATTATACATCAGAGCGTATTCCCCTGTTCTGGCTGCCGTATTTCCGATCATTGGGAGTTAATGTGAGTTTCCCTCAATGAGCATTACTAGATGTTGCGACTCGCTAATTAGGGTGATTGTTTGTACAGGTTCCTGTCGTTCTTTGTGCTAACAAGTGCGATCTTGCATTGGACGAAGAGTTGAACGAGCTCATAATGGACGAGATGGTGCCAATGATGGAGGAGTTTAAGGAGATCGAGTCGTGTATCAGAGCAAGTGCAAAGGCGCACTACAACGTGAACCAGGTACTTGTCTGTGGTCTGTCTTTGCAAAGTGTCATATGCTGATTTAGAGACTGTGTAGGCGTTCTATTTGTGCCAAAAAGCGATCGTGCATCCGATAGCCCCTCTGTTCGACTCAAAGGAGCAAGATTTGAAGCCTCCTACGAAGGCCGCTCTCCAGCGTATTTTCTGTAAGTGGTGTCCATATACTGACTAAGTTATCTGTGGTGCTAATATGACTATAGTTCTGAGTGACCGCGACCAAGATGGATACCTGAACGACAAAGAAATGAACGACTTGCAACAAAAGTGTTTCGGCAAAACTCTTGACCCGTTTGATCTCGAGGAAATTAAATCAGTGATTGAGAAATCTGAGCCCGGAGGAGCTAATGAGATTGGTATTTCACAAGATGGGTTTATTGCGTTAAACAAGATGTTTGCTATCAAAGGACGCCATGAGACTACATGGGGGATTCTGCGAGCGTTTCATTATACGGATAGTTTATCGCTGAGCGATAAGTTTCTGTATCCTAGATTTGACGTGCCTCAGTACGCGAGTGTTGAGCTGAGTCCCGAAGGCTATCGGTTTTTCGTGGACCTTTTCCTGCTCTTTGACAAGGACAACGACGGCGGTTTGAATTCCAAAGAACTGAACAATCTGTTTGCGCCAACGCCAGGTATTCCAGAGTCTTGGGTAAAATCTCAGTTTCCAAAGACCACGCTGTGTAACGAGGAAGGATATGTAACGCTGCAAGGGTGGCTAGCGCAGTGGAGTATGACGACGTTCCAGGACCACAAGACTACGTTAGCATATCTGGCGTGGCTTGGATTCGAGTCAGGAAAGGGACCGAAGGGATCAACTACGGCTGCTTTGAAGGTGACGAGGCCCAGACGGAGAAGAAATACGAGGCCGAAAGCGGGGAGGGTCGATCGGAATGTGTTTAGCTGTTATGTGCTGGGTGCTTCTGACTCCGGAAAGGTAAGTGCATTGATGATTTTTATAGTTGTTGACTAGGTTTACTAATTTGTGTACTGCAGAGCTCGTTACTTGACCGGTTTCTCAACCGACCGTTTTACCCATTGTATATGCCGACGATCAAGCCACGGATAGCAGTGAATAGTGTTGAGATGCAAGGAGGAAAGCAGTGCTATTTGATTGTGAGTATATGTTTCTTTTGTGGGTGTGTGAGTGGAAGACGGACGACTGATATTTAACTTTAGCTGGAGGAACTTGGTGAATTAGAACCGGCGGTGCTTGAGAATCCGACAAAGTTGGATGAGTGCGACGTTTTGTGCTATACATACGACTCTTCGAATCCAGAGAGTTTTCAGCATATAGTTGACTTGCGGGTAAGATTGAGTGAGATTGGTAGGAAGAGGTGAGGAGAGAGTACTGACGAAATACAGAAACGATATCCGCAGTTAGATCGGCTGCCGGTTGTATTTGCGGCACTGAAAGCGGATCTGGACAAGCAGCAGCAGAGATGCGATATGCAGCCAGATGCATATACGCGAGAGATCGGGCTGTCGGCGCCTCTGCACGTCAGTTCAGCTTGGACGTCGTCGTTATCGGAGCTGTTTGTGCAGCTGGCCGAGGCAGCGCAGTCGCCGAGCACGGCTACTCCTGTGTAAGTGTTGCAGTACAGCGATTGTTTTACAGATAGGTGACTAACGTATCTACTATAATTTTACAGACTGGAGCCCGAGGAGAAAGAAAGCCCGGTGATGCCTATTGTGTATGCGTCGGCTGCGGTGGCGGTGGGAGTGGGGGTTCTTGCGTGGATGTTCCGGACGGGTAGCCGGGAGGCATCGTGAGTCTGGACGCGGGAGTAAGTAAGCATGCTAGTGAGGTTGACTGTTTGTAAATAAAGGTATATATAAATTAGTCGACTAGTTCACTTTAGTAGACCAGCCGGAGACACGTGCGGCGGGGGGGGGGGGGGGGAGGGAGAGAGAGGAGGGGCGGAAGAACGTAAATCCGCCGCTGTCTCGGAAGAGAAGAGGAAGATTGCGAGATCTACGATGTCGGAAGAGAGCCTGAAGAGAGCCTGAAGAGAGAAGAGGACAATAGAGGATCCCGAGAAGACCCGCGAGGGCGGGTGGGAGAAGGGAGCAGAGCTGCCGTAAACGGCAAAAGTGGGCAGGGTCCACAGCAGCAGCGGGCGATTTAATTTTTTCTGCGTGTTTGTTTTCGAGATTCCTTGTTTTTGTTCATTGTTTCCCGAGGAGCAGCCAGAAACAGGGCTTCTAGACGAGTCCGGTCCTGCCGAGCGGTAACTAAGCGGGCTCGAAACTTGGTTCCGGCGGATGTGCGGACCGCTGCTGGCAGACCGCGCTTCCGGTTCCTTGTCTGTTTCTGTCGCTGAGATCCGTTCTTTTATTATTTTCTTTATGAATACATAAGTGAGTGCGCCTGGTTGGAACAGAACAAACACTTCGCAGCTACAAATCAGCCGACTGACAGCGGCCGGGTGGGGGAGGGGGACGGCAGGCAGGGAGGGGCCTTCTGACTAGTCCGAGGTGGGCCTCAGGTTAGGGCTCAGACGGGCAAAGGCTCACACTTTGGGCAGTCCGATGGCTCTCGTCTGGCGGGTCTCTGGTCTCAACAGATCTTCTTCGTCTTCTGCTCTTTCTTGCTTCGTGCTCTTCGTCAGCTCATTAATCTGCTCTTCTCTTCTTTCACCGCTCACCAGCGACGCTTGTTGTGGGACTTCACCCGAGCGAGCCCTCGTCTCGCCTACGTCACTCGGAATCCGCTCCTGCCTACTCCCATCCCAGCCTGCGCTCCTAGTTAGCAGCCCAACATGAACATCCTTCAGCGTACCAGCAGTTCTCTGTCGTACTTTGACATCAGGTGCGTCTTTTCTTTCTTTTGTTTGCTTTTGTGCTTCTTTGCAGGAGATACCGCAAGATCACAATACGCGTGGATCGGCATGACTCGACCCTCCCGCCCCTTCCTCGCCTTGATCCCTTGATTCTAATCCCATCCTTCTTCTAGGCTATACTCGGCTGATCACGACGTCATCATCGTCCGAGGAAATCCTGATGAGTCCGCCGGCGTGCTGCTCAAAGGCGCCGTTGTCCTCAGTTTCCTAGAGAGCGTTTCTGTCAAGCGGATCTCCCTGCGCCTCTATGGCACCATCCGCATGAAGTATGTCTGGTTCATCTTTTTTCTGTTCAACAAGGCCACTGAACTAACGAAATCTCCTAACTTTTAATAGCTGGCAAGATACAGTTCAAAGTTCGCGCGGGTTAACCCAACGGACTAACAAATACGAAAAGATCATATACGATCATACTTGGAACTTCCTAGATTGGGAAGGTACAAAGAACACAAGCCATACCATCGGACAAGGTAGCTACACCTTCTTTTTTCATCTATCCTCCTGTTATTTTTTACTGACCGACGTATAGGAAACTACGAGTACCCGTTCGAGGTCATTCTCCCCGGTTGTAAGTAGATCTGCAGAGTCCATTATCTCATACTCAGTGCTAATCTTGTATTCATACAGCACTTGTCGAATCCGTGGAAGGATTAGAAGGAGCTTCTATCATCTACAAAATGAAAGCTATCGTCGAGCGAGGCCGATTCGCAAACAATCTGATCAAGAAGAAGGTACGCGATCTGGCTGATCCCACTTGCATAAACTTTGGTCTTATCGCAGTTATTGACACTATCTATAGCATATCCGCGTTGTCCGCACCCTAGGACCGGAAGCCCTTGAGCTTTCCCAAACAATGGTAATCACCAATCATTCTTCTGACACCTCACAGCACCTTCTAACTCTGCCAATAGTCGATAGAGAATGTGTGGCCAAACAAAGTCGACTACTCGATCAGCATCCCATCCAAAGCAGTCGCGATCGGCTCGTCGACACCTGTTCACTTACTACTCCAGCCTTTGCTCAAAGGACTTCGGCTAGGACAGATCGTGATCGTTCTCAAAGAGTACTATACTTTACATATCCCGCACGGTCCCGGTCACGCAAACGTGCGCACGGTCGCGCAGGTTACCATCCCTGCGCCGACCGTTGCCGAAGGCGATCTTCCCGAATCAGTCTGGACAATCGACGATTTCTTCCACATCCCACCCAGTCTCAACAAGTGTACGCAGGACTGCGATATCCCGGGATGCATCGAGGTGCGGCACAAGCTCAAGTTTGCCGTCAGCTTGAAGAACCCCGACGGCCACGTTTCCGAGCTGCGTGCGTCGCTTCCGATCGCGCTGTTCATCTCACCTAATGTTCCCGTGACTGGAGATGGAGAGGAGATCACGATGCAGCCCTTGAGTGAGGATCAGGACAACTCTGCGCCGCCGCGCTACGACGACCACATCTACGATCGATTGTGGGAAGACATCTCGACTTCGGGCTGGAATACGCCGAGTGCCAGTGGTGCAAACACTCCGCATATCAGGAGTAGACGTAACTCTGGCGAGAACGCAGAGGCTCTGGGAATGGTGGCTTTGGACACCCAGGGCGCACAGCTGCAGGCGGGTCTCAGCGCTTTGGCTTTGAGCCAAGCGAATGCCGCGAGTCCAAACGGACACAGCGGACACAGCTTATCGTCGTCGAACGGGGGCAGCAGTGGCATCGACTCGTACTTCCCATCTCGACACTCTGGAAGTGTGACTCCGCTGGGCTCAATGACTCCCCTTCCGTGCTCGAACCCGAACGGCACTGTAGCTTTCTCCGGCCTCGACCAGGCGCAGAACTGGCACTTGTCGCGCGGAGCCTCGCCGATCGAGTCGCCGCTCCACACGCCAGCCGATCCGGAGTCGCGCCCGCTCGAGCTCGACCTGAGCAGTCTATCGAAAGTGCCCTCGTACACAACCGCCATCCGCACACCTGTCTCTGAAGACCCGCAATTCTCAGGCCTGCCGACGTACAATGACGACGCAGCAAACAGCGCGCCGGGCTCGGCCCGGTCGTCTGGTCCTCCGTCGCGAGCGTCGTCGCCTCCTCTGGCAGCGCTCCCGAGGAGTGCATCAGCTGCTAACCTGAATAGCAGTCACCGAAGCCGATCGCATCTGCATCTCTTTGACGATGCTGCTCGGCGTTTGAAATTGGTTCAGGACAAACAGAAGTAATCCTCTCTTCTTTCTCTAGAATATAAACCATTGCGCCTTGTTCTCCGCGTCGCGATCTGTGAGTTCTGATTACTACATACATACTATGTATATATTCGTCTTGGCGTTGGTCTTCTCAACTTTTTACACATCTCTATATACCTCCTTTCTCCATTCTACAGTCTTACAGTCTTTATATTTTGTTTTTGTTGTGTTTGTGCAGCAGCAGTAGCTAGAGTCGAGTAAACGGGTTTTTCATGGATAAACGGCAAAGATCTTCTTTGTCTGTATGTGGATATACATATGTTTTTGTGCAGATGATTTACATGAGATTACAAATAATGAGCATCAAGTGAACTAGCAGCTGTAATGTAGTTACTCGGTTCTCTCTGAGCGAAGATGCCGAGTTCCACATTTAGAGTTTAGAGGGTCCGGAATTAACTAATTTTCAATGTCTCCGAACTCTGGCACGTAAAAAGAAGGTCAAAGCAAGTCTGCGACGATACAGAGGCAGCGCTGAGATAATAGAGCGGCAAAGATGAATCGGTATAGCGCCTGTGTACTTTTTGCGCGGCAATCGCGAGTTATCTGCAGCGGCGGCGGCAGCAGCAGCAGTGGTGGGAGGAAGACGGTAATCGCGAGCATCTCGTCCGGAAGGAAGTTTTCCAGTTTTCAACGAGCGCAGATACAGTCGGCAAGAGAGCGTCGGTTGAGAATCAGCGATGTTGGGTGTCAGACTCGACAGTACTCTTCCGAGGGGGTGGATGTGCAGGCGGGGTTCGGGCAGCCTACGTACGAGACGCGGCCACATATGCTCAAAGAAGGCGAATGTATCGAGAGCTCTACAGTTTTCTTTCTAGTTGAGTGGAGGAATGCTAATGTTGAGATATAGTGACGCCAGGAATCACGGCTTTGGAGTACCACCTCCGCCGAATGAAGCTGATTGAAAAGCTCCCGGTCGGCAGCGCCGCCATTCTCGTCGGCAACGAAATCAAGTACCGGTCCGGCGCGGTCTTTTACGAGTTCCACCAGAACCCGGATTTTTTCTACCTGACGGGATTTAACGAGCCACTTGCGGTGGCGGTGATTGAGAAGCCGGTGGAGGATGATTATGTGTTTCATATGTTTGTGCAGCCGAAGGATGAGAAGAAGGAGTTGTGGGAAGGACCGCGGACGGGTACGCAGGGTGCGATTGATGTGTTTAACGCCGATGAGGTATGTTGTCATTGAATGTTTTGCTCTGTACGGGCATGTTGCTGATATATAAGAGTTATAGGCCGGAGACATTGCACATGTACGCAACTTTCTCGACAAGATCGTGAAGCGGGCAAATACGATATACATCGACCTACCCTCCTCCGCCTCGCACGTGTCTACATTCTTCACTCCCCCCGCCAAGCGCGCGACCACGGCGTCAAGCATCGTCGAGCTAATGAAAGCGCACAGCAAGAAATCTCACCAGATCAAGCCGCTAGGCGCGATAGTCGAGTCGCTGCGTGCAGTCAAGTCGCGGTCCGAGTTCGCAGTCATGCGCGAGGCGGGGCGGATCTCGGGACGCGCAATTACAAAGGCGTATGGCGAGCGGTTTACGAAGGAGGCTGATTTGAGTGCGTATCTTGATTATGCGTTTAAGATCGGCGGGTGTGAGAAGCCGGGATACGTGCCTGTTGTTGCTGGTGGGAAGGTATGCATGCTGTGCTCTTTTATTGTGTTTGAAGGGAGATGCTAATTGTTGTAGAATGCGCTTGGAATTCATTATACGAGAAATGATGATCTGTTGAAGTAAGTAGTGTTGGATTGAGTGAGTGAGAGTTAGCAGCTGACAGGATGAACAGTGACGGAGAAATGGTCTTGATCGACGCAGGAGGGGTAAGTTGAGCAAATGTGATTAAGGAATCGGCAGAGAGAGAACGTTAAGCTAACGAGTGAATGCTAGCAATATGGAGGATACAGCGCCGACATTTCGCGTGCGTGGCCCGTGAATGGAAAATTCACAGACGTGCAGCGCGATCTCTACCAGGCGGTGTTGAACGTAGAAAAAGCATGCATCAAACTCTGCACGCCTTCACACTCGCTCGAGAGCATCCACCGTGCGTCGGTGGAGTACTTTGCAGTCGAGCTTCGCAACATCGGCTTCAACGTGTCATTGCACCAGCTCCAGGCGATTCTCTACCCTCACTACGTCGGCCACCACCTCGGTCTGGACGTGCACGACTGCCCTACTGTCTCGCGACGGATCCCGCTCGTGCCCGGCAATGTGATTACGATCGAGCCTGGTATCTACGTGCCGTACGGCGACGAGCGGTTTCCGCGCCAGTTCTGGGGGATCGGGATCCGGATCGAGGATAACGTGTATGTGGACGACGACGGGCTGCCGGTCGTGACGTCCGTTGAGGCGGCGAAGGAGGTCGTCGACGTGGAGGCCGCGTGCCAGCGCCTGCTCGAGAACTAGACAGAGACAGAGCTCTGCAGCGATGTGAATAGAACCAAAATTGACAAGAATTGTATATCACATAGCAGCGACGATGTAGAGTAGAAGACAAACGCGACGCGTGCCGACCTGCGGCGCGTGTGCGAGGTAGAAATATGACGCGCGAGCGCGTACGCGTTTTTCACGCGCTTTTCCCGATTGGGACGAGACGCGCGAAAGAGAGTTTGCGGACTCCTCCTCCTCGCGCGGTCCTCGTCGACTGCGACAAATACTCACACACACGGTAGAGTAGTAAGAGGAAGAAGAAGAAGCAGCAGCAGCAGCGATGGGCCTCACTTTGCGAGTAAAAGCAAAGAACGACGCGACGCTGGCGACGAAGCAGGAATCTGTGAACGAGGCCGCCAGCAGCGCACCTCCGCGGTCGCCAATGTCGCCAGAGATGCCGGACTCGTTCGTCTTTCGCGATTTGGATCGCTATCCGCGGATTCAGCAGCAGCAGCAGACTACAGCTACAACTACAACTACGACTATTTCATCATCAGCATCTTCAGCACCTTCAAATACCACTCGCCCCCTCCCAGGTCCCCTTCAAAGCGCACCTCGGCCGCAATTTCCTCGCCGCCAGTCCTCTGTCCGCACCGCGAGCTCCTTCCACTTCACCGCCCAACCTCGCTCGGGCTCGGACTCGTCGACCGCGGACTCGTTTCACACCTCCGTCACCAGCACCGCCTCCGACCGCTCGGACTCGGTCGCCTCGTCCTCGCGCTCGCCGTCGGTGCCAAATTCGACCTCCTCGTCCGCCTCCTCGACTGACGCAATACCCCTGGAAGCCGTCCAGGTCCACCTCGCGGCCGCCTCCCGCGAATCCACCCCTCGCGCAATCCGCATCTCCACCGTCTCCTCGGTCTCGCCCAGATCCTCGCCGCCGGCTGCAACAGCCCTCACCGTGTCTCCTTCTTACTCCTCTTCCTCCCCTTCCCCTTCTTCCCCTACCTCCTCCCGCTCCATGAGCTACAACACCGCCGGCTCCCTCCCCACCTCCCCTGCCGCCTACGAGTCCACCACTCTCAGCAGCGGCACCGCTGCCGTTGATGCAGGCAGACTCGATTTCTCGGACGACACTTACGTCGACGACGACGACGACGCCTTTGACGAAACCGGCTCCTCGCCAGGCAAGTCCCCCACCACCGTCAAGAAACTCGACGCTTTCTTCGGCCGCACCCAGTCCCACATCAAGAAAATCCACATGCCGTCCTCGATCAAGCAGGCGTCGGCAGACACCCTGTCTGCCGTCAAATCCATGTCCTCGCCCTCAGCCGGGAACGTGCACCGCTCGATGGCGCAGTACAACTACGACCTTGTCGAGACGCTGCAGTCTGAGCTGAGGCTAGTCTCCGTCGAACTCGCTGCCTCCATCAAGCGCGAGCTTGATCTCGAAAGCCTGCTCGATCAGTACGTCACCGTCAACGACGACAACGACGCAGACGACGACAACCAGGTCGCCGAACTCTCCGACGGCAGCTCATCCCTTGCCGACGACGACAACTACGACGATCCTGATCCGGCGAAGGATAAGTTCAGACGCGGGCTGCAGTTCAGCCCGGAGAAGATGCAGGAGCTGGAGGCGAAGCTGCGAAAAGAACGGAGGGAGAAGGTGCAGATGCGACTTGAGTTTCAGAAAACGGTCGAGATCGAACGTGAGGGTCGGCGAGAAGCCGAAGGCAGGCGCAAGAAACTTGAGGAGCAACTAAAGGTACCTACTCCTTTTTCCTTTTTTATCACTATCTACTATTTTCTAACACAACACAGAGCAAATCGAAAACCGGCAAAAAAGACGCATTAATAACCGCAAATATCGAAGCAAACGAAACAATCAAGTCCCTCGAACTCGCGCTCGAAGACTCCCAGCGCAAACTGTACAACGAGCGCATGAACTCCCAGAACCTGGAATACATGCTCACGGGAATGCGCGAGGAGCTACAGGAAGTCTCGATCAGGAGCCCGTCTGAGCTGTCGATGGCCGCGCGCGCTTCGAGCTCGATGCAGATGCTGCAGAACGGCAGCCACGCGCGGTCGATTTCCGAGTCGAGCGCGCGCAGCTTCGCGTCGAGTAAGGGTTCGTCGGCAGCGATTAATGCGATGACCGACCCCGAGGAAATGAGAATGCGCATCAAAGACCTCGAGACGCAAAAGTCTGCGCTGCAGGACGCGCTGCGGTCGCTTAAAGACAGGCACGAGATCGAGCTCAAGCGACACGCCGAGAAAGAAGCCACGCTGCAAAAACACCTCGTGCGCTCGCGCGAACTGGTCAAGACAGCGGTGTCGGCGCGTAAGGTGACGGGCGAGAAAGACGTGCTAATGCTGAGAGAGCAGGTCGCAGTCATGAAGTCCAAGCTCGTGGGCGCGCAGGCAGGCAAGGACGAGCTACAACGGAATCTGCTCGAGCTCAAGCAGCAGTTTGAAAGCATCACGCAGGCGCACGAGGCGTCGCAGTCTCGCCAGCTGTCACAGTCCGAGCAGATGTCTGGCCAACTGGCTACTATACAGGCACAGAGGGATCATTACAAGGCATTACTCGAGAAGCTCGAGCGCGACCGCCAGCAGATGAAGGAGGAGCATCAGCGGATGACAGATACTCTACACAGCAACTCGCAGAGAATATCAGAGTTCTCGTCGCAGATCCAGAAACTGGTGGCCGACAACCATGCGTTTTCGTCTACGCCGTACTTGGGAGTGTCGCTGTTCGACCAGATGAAAGTAGGAAGCACTGCTTAGATCATTTTTTGTGTTTGGTTTCTGTGAATATGAATTTTTTGGATGAATTATTATTAGATAGATGACGGACATGAAAATAAAACGGTGAACCTCTATAGAGTGCATTGTCCCCTTTTGCCCCTTTTATATCCAACACATCATCTCTCAGATGTCTTATCAATCATAGCTTTGCAGGCTTCTTGGCTTCAATCTTCAGATGCTTTTTATAGTAATCATTAAACCGATCCGGAAATCTCCCCGACGCCCTATCGGCCTTCCTTTGTTCCTCATACTTGCTCAACGTCTTGCCCAGAAACGGCGCAACCCACTCCGCCGTCTCAGTCGGATACTCGAGCGGGAACAAGTGCGCGCCGTCCTTCATCACCTTATACTCTGCCTGTTTCAGGATTTCAAGTTTCTTGTGGAACCGCTCCGACACGTCGGAAAGGCTGCCGGAGATAAAGAGAATCGGCGCGGAGGTCAGTTTGTGGAGTTTGTCAAATACCATGAACGAGTCTGGTCGGTGGAGCGGGCCTGCGCTCGAGTTCGGATCGCTTGGTTGCACAAAGACGTAGACTTCTTGGTACCGAGTCGTCGTCAAAGTCACTGCGTCTGAGGTTTTGGTCGATGGTGAGCCTGGGTAGCTGGGGTATAGTTTCGTCGGAAGATGCCGGACTCCATATTCCTAGATGAAGGTTAGTGATGGCACCGGGAGTGCTGTGATAGAAAAACACTCACCATCCAGAGCTCAAACACCCGCGGATCAAACCGGTGGTACATCTTCCTCTTTGCAAAGTAATCCCGCGCGTCCTCTTTCGACGGCCACAGATCATGTCTACGGGCCGAAAGAGTGGCGGGCATCACCGCAACTTGCTCCGCGTCCACGCGTGCTTCCATGATCGGATCCAAGCCAATGAGCGCCGTGAATAACGACGGATGGATCGTCGCAAGATTGAACAGGATAGCGCCGCCGAAGGAGTGGCCCATTGCGACTAATGGCGGAGGAGGAGCCAGGATCTGGATCATGAGCTCGACGTCGAGTGAGCAGTCCAGCCAGGAGACTGTGGTATATACTATTAGCGTCCTGTGTAGAGATGATGAGATGGCAGTGAAGGACACTCACAGTGGTCGCCGAGCTTTGATTCGTTCAGGATCCCCGACTCGCCCTCGCTGACTACATCTGCAATCACGATATACCGTATCCTGAACCCGTTTTTCTCGGAAAGTGCTAGTAATTCCATGAACAGCACCTCATAGAGCTCCTAAAAGTCCGCAGAACCGTCAGAACCAGCTCCAACTAATTTGCAGATAATAAAAAACAAACCCACCTTCGCAAACCCATTCGCGTGAGCGGCAACAATAGTCACGTCGCCCGCGCGCGGATCAGGATTACTCTTGGGCCTGTAGATTTTCGCCGCGACCTCGAGCCGGTCGGTGTCGGGGTTGACGACGGCGCGGGTTGTCGAGCGCGGCATCGCGGCAGGAAACACGCGTCTTTCGATGTGAAAGACGTCTGCTGCTGAGGTCATCTTGATTTGGGGGTGGAGTGGATGAGCTGCCGAGGGAGGCGGTGTGGTTGTGAGCGTATCGATGATTAAATGTCTGTAGACACGAGTCAACAAGAAAGCAAAAGCAGACACCAAACTACTTATATCTTTCTCTCTCTGAACTGTTTTAAAGAGAACTTCTCGACTGAGGAAGAAGAGCGGATCCAGCCGGCTTTTATCCTGCGACCGGCACCTGCTCGAAACGGGGACCCCGCACACGTCGGCGCGGCGGCCTCAGAGTTGCCGAGAACTTACCGCGATGAGCCTGAGCTCGACCACCTCCAGCTTATGTCTATTGATCTGCTCTACCGCACTTGTTACATTTATTGTTGTTTATTATTACCGAAAAACAATCTTACACAGAAATCCACATTATAAGCAATCTAGTGGCCGCCGGTAGTAGGCAGTCCAACGTAGAGCTTGAACGAGTCGTAGATCAACCACTGCATCGCAGTCAACGTACCAATCATGAAGATACGGACCGGCAACCCGTTCCACAGACCCACGAACCCGATCTTTGAGTATATTCTGCCCACCGCCGCGCCCATCGACTCGCCAGGCAGTCTGTCGGCGTTGATCTTCGAGACCATCACGTCCGAGGGATGCGACACGGCCGCACACAGGATTCCGGCAATGTATCCACCGAGGAACGACACACCGGTCTGCTGCAGCGTCGAGTACTCGCTCTTCGGCTTCGGCAGCGTGTCGTAGATCTTCTCGACCGTTCGCTCGAAGGAGGCAAACTTCAGCATCGTGTAGGGAATCTGTCGGAACCACAGCGGCACCAAGCCCTTGTACAGGCCACCGAAGCCCTCGGTCGCGGTGATCTTGTTCCATCCGTCAAACACAGACGAGGCAAACGGCGGGATAGTGGTCTGCGTGCGCACTTTAATGGCCTCCCACGGGCAGAGCGCGAGGTCGGTGAAGAACTCGGCAGAGGCAGACGCGGCGAGGTAGACCTCTGTTCTGTAGTCGAACGCCAGTCTCTCGCCCACAAGGTCGCTGTATTTCTTCTTGAAGAGCTCGTACAGTCCGTACTTTCCTGCTCCTTGGAACTATAAGTCTCGTGTTAGTACCGTAGCTATTAACTAAAGACCACAGAGAGGACATACAGTGTAACCAATAAACGTGGCACCAACTCCGGTGAACACTCCACCAAAGCCTTCGGATTTGATAATCGTCTTCCATCCTTGCATGTTGCTGCTGTAGATCGTGGGATCAACCTGTCTTCGGCACTATTTCATCACAAGCTCGTCGTCAGCGCCGTCCGATGTCTACAAAAGAGCTCCTTAGAACATATATGATCTTACCTTCACCAGATCAAGAGGTGTGACAGCAGAATGCGTAGGTCCACAGGCTATCAAATCAAGTCAGTCAATCACTCCTCTAACACACAATCCACACGCAGTAGACATACCCAAAGCACCACCGAGCGCGCAGGTCCAGTAGTATTCAGTGCTAAACAGCTCGATCGTCGGCTTCTTCTCTGCAACCGGGAGCGCGCTGTTAGCCCAGAACCCGCTGGACTTCTTCTGGCTCTCGGCCGTCGGTGCTCTCAAACGAGCGTCGATCTCCGCAATCGAGGGGAATAGAGGTGACATTGTTGTATGTAGTAAGTTATAACTCTTGCGAATTGTATTTATAAAACGGAATACAGAGCAAGATGTGCAATGTAAGTAGTCTTCAGAGATGTAGCGATACGCCAGAAGTCGATCAACTCTGTATTTATAAATGGCTGGAGATCCGATTCGCGGATCCGTCTGTTCCGGCACCCACGCTAATTCGCTCAACCCAACCGAGCCAAGTCCTCTGAGATTGCTGAACATCTCCCGTCACCGCCTGATTTCTACGTAAATTGGTGTGTCAACTAATAAAACAATAGCCAGCTCAATCTGCTATTCCCAGCCCTCCATCCGATCGCAAGTCTCTCTTCTTATCCTCCTCGCAGCCAAGCAAATCCGCTCATCTTCTTGTAATTCCTCCCAGCGCCGGGCCGGATTTTGCTCTCACCCGCAGCACTGACGGCGCCGCGTCGTATTGTCGGCGTAGTCGGCCCGGCCCGTCCTCTTTGTGATTGCTGCGCGATGATGTCATTCCTTTAAGCTTATTTGGTGCCATTCCTGCAACTCTTCGTGCACTAAGCTTATCGGAGCTATCTACACTGCAGCTCAAGCCAACTTATGACGATAGCAGAAGATGCGTCCAGCTCCTAGACGTCCGCGCTGAACTCTTCCACATATAGACTCTCTTTCACTTCCTCCTCCGTCAATCGCCGGCCTCTAGAACTTATCATTGAATCAGCAGGTATTCTCCGTTCCTGCTTAGGTCTATCTCACCTTGTCTTCCTATGCATGCTCGTTCTCCAAATCAGGTTCAGCAACAACACAAAGATTGTGATGACGACTGCAAAAAGTGGAACAAGTCTAGGTATATCCGGCCGGAATATGACTGTCGGCTCAACTATATAGTAGCGCCAGCCTAAACCAGATATCTTTCTGATTATGCTGAATATGAATGTCGGCCATAGCAGAAACCCGCAAATGACTACAAGCTGCCCTGCTTCATTCATCATCACCGTTAGCGAACCTAGCAACTGTCACTGTTCTACTGAAAACATACCTGTGAAACTCGAATTATGCCTTCCAATAAACACGAGGATAAACGTGGCAACAACAATAATCGCGCGATCTTGAAATCCATTTCCAAAAAGATCATTCCGCGCCTCTTCGACCGCGAGCCGGAACCGCGCGACTGTCTCCTCAATTTGCTCAAAGTTGCTTCTCATTTGCTCGCTTGCGTTCTTGGCCTCGTCGGATAGCTCAACAATGATACCCTTTGTCGTCTCCTGCAGATCTAGTATCGCATCCGAAAGATTCTCGAAAATATTCTCTGCCTCTTGCATTTCTCCCAGCATGCTACTCTGTAGCTCCGACATACGGCCAACCTTTGCCAGATCGGTCGAAATTAGCTCTCCCAAGCCGAGCTAATCAGCAATCGTCAGTGTACATATTCTGAATGAATGCAGTTTAATGCAGTCTCGACATACCTGCGCCTCATTCAGCGCTAGAGATGCGCCAGCTGCCTCGTTCAGTTTGTTTGATAGATTTGATACTAAATCGCTGAGCAGACCATGGCTTTTACCAATATCCTCAGAAAAGCCAGACAAATCCAAATTGACCTGAGTGACATACTCTTGCTCAGCTTCTCTGGACATCTTCATTAACTCGAGACTTGATCTCGAAGATTCGTGAAGTTCTGTGTAATCCTATTTCAATATGATTAGCGACACGTTCTTCTCGGACAGTACGTGCAGAGCTCAACTTACTTTCTCGAATCGGCTTAGCAAATCTGCAGTAATACCATCAATTCTCGTCAACCTTTCCAGCTCTTTATCCAAAACCAGATCCATCTCTCTTGTCTTCTCGCTCAGTCTGTTGGAAATGTTTGCCGCAAGCATAGAAAAGTACTCATCCAGCGAGCTCAGTCTTTTCTCCACTTCTACAATCGACTGATGCCATGATGCGAGTGCATCAGGCACATTCTTGGCTTCTGAATATATGTCTGCCATCTGACTTTTTAGTATATGCAGCAACTGTGCCTGTATTGCTGTGATGTTTTGATGGAGGCGTATAAACTCCTCTATAGATCGAATAACGTTAGCAACTATATATACCATTCTACCAAGTCAAAGCTCCCAATCTCACCTTTTTCGTAATTTGCTTTTTCAGCTAAGCAAATAGTAGCAATCTCCCTGAAATTCCCACTAAAAGAAGTCCAAAGCTGAGGCGACGCTTTCATCTCTTTCATGCATGCCCGCTGCTCTTTGCTTGCCGTCATGTCTCCCGAGCACGAGAGCGGACGTGAAACATGCGCGGCCGAGAGTTCACAAAGAGTCAGTTTGATTGAAACCACTACTCGCTCTTCTGTCGATATCGTTCCGCACATTGGCAAGATTGAAGACAGCATGTCTCTGAAGCATGAAGGAGGCGGGGAGAGCTCGCATAGCTTCGTGAATATCGGATCGAGATCTCCAGATGGGCTATCAGCGCCGCTCGTGGAGGAGTCGCGTAGATAGCAGTTTGAGTAATATCTAAGACCAGATAGCTCAGCATAGTTCGCTTCATTACTGTAATCCTCGGTAATGAATGTGTCCTCATAACGCGTAGGAGGTGTCGCCCTGAAGTTGAGATGAAATGCTGCAATAAGTTTCGCGTGTATCACAGCAAGCACCAAAGCTAAACGCAAATAGTATGCTATATTGGCCATTTAGAATACAAAGATTCGACACCGAGAGTATTGGGGGTTGAACATGGATCTAAGCGGGGAGTTGCGTAGCTTTTATATACGATGCGGGCATGTTTGGTTTGTGCCACGCCGCGTCTTGCGCACAGTCTGAGAACAAGAGCTTCAATGAACACAAGAAATGCTTCTCTATTTCTAAATGCAGTAAATACACTAAAGCCATCTTGCTACCATTGCTTTTAGCAATCTAGCAGGCGTCTTCTGCACTGCCAGAATTGGGAATAAAATGCAAAATCGCCGAGGCCATAGAAAGTGCGGCTTATGGCACCTGATACTTTAAAAATAACGCCTTTTTTTCACATTATTCGCTCGTTTGCTGTCTGCTTTCCTGGTTTCTTCAGAAAATAGTATACGAAAGATATGCAGGAGAATTTGAGGGCCCGTTCCATAGCGGGCGATTCAGAAGGTAGGTGAACTGTGGTCAGGATCAAGATCTGCAGTACTAATGAGTCATGGCTTAGCTCCATCACGGATTTCTCGAGCTCGACTATTGAACCTCTCGAATTTGGGATCAGCTGGCCTGCGCGAGCAAATAATAGATGTTACTAAAACGCAATGGCATATGGGAATATCGTCTTTTGGTGGTCCAGTGGTGCAGTGAGTGCCGCATCTTTGCGTTCTGTTGTGGTTGCAGGCTTAATACTGATCCTGGTTATGATCTAGATTCGAAAATGTGACGATCCCTACCTACACTTCCTGTCAAGACACGGTTGAGCCTGTTAACTAACATAATGACTTGCAGTTCAATAGAATTTTTGTCGAGAAATACGAATGGCTGAGTGACTCCACATACCAAGAACTCTTTGCCCTCGCGCAAGCTCTACCTGGCTCGGCGTCCACCAAATTGCTATTCATCATCACACTTTTACACACCTCCCTACTGCCCGCAATTCTCTCGTTTCTGTACTGGTCACTGCCAGGTGCTATTGCAATGTTCATCCTTGCGGCGGGAGTGGGTCAGATCGGAGACAGCCTACCAGAACCCGTGTACGCTCTGTTGAGCGGTCTCAACGCGGCGATCGTCGGAGTTATCTTGGTCGCTGGCATCAGTCTCTCCAACAAAGCAATCACAGACAAGCTGAGCATGGTTTTGATTTTTTTGGGAGGAGGCGCTGGGATCTGCTATACAGCTCTTTGGTATTTCCCCGTCCTGATGACTATCGGTGGCTTCATTGCTTTGATCTACGACATGCGTTTTATCCAGCGATGGTGGACTAGAGGTTCTCTGAAAGTGCAGAAGCGACTACGGGGACGAGGAGACTCTGAAGAGCGTGAAGATAGACACAGGGAATCTATTGAACTGAGAGACCTTGAAGACGACAGTGTTTGGCTCCCGGAATCGTATCGTGAAGCGCAAACGGGAAGTGCAAAGATCAACCCATCGAGAGACCATAGCGCAGCTGCATCTAAGCGTGTGCGCCAGGGTATGCAGTCGTCAAGTACACCCGAACTGCCGATATCTGAGCCAGAAGCCTCCGGAAGTGGCGGAGTCGACGCTAGCAATATCCGCTCAGTCCCTACGCCGCAGCCGGAAGAGGAGGAAAAGAAGTACCCCGTGTGGTTGGGCGTGGGAATAGTAGTCGCGTTCCTGGCATCTTTTATTGCTGTTATGGTTGTTCGAGCGACGACGAATAACTTGCCTGTTACTTTCCAGCTTTTTGCAAACTTGTACCTTGCCGGTGAGTTTACCAGACATCTCTTACTGATCTCCATGAATTCAGCTAACAACAAATCGCAGGAACCATTATCTTTGGAGGTGGTCCAGTAGTCATTCCTCTTTTGCGAGAGTACATTGTAGCCGAAGGTTGGGTGACATCCCGAGATTTCATCATCGGTCTTGCCCTGATCCAGGCCTTCCCCGGTCCAAATTTCAATTTTGCCGTCTATCTGGGAGCTTTGACATACCACAACCACGGTTCATCGCTCATCGGAGGCGCTATTGTTTCTTTCATTGCTATGTACGCTCCTGGAATGCTGGTAGCCGGGGGAATGTTTACGTTCTGGAATAAGCTCCGCCGGTACCCTCTTGTTCTAAGTGTTCTCCGCGGAGTCAACGCTTCGGCAGTGGGTCTGATCTGGACTGCTATTTATCGTATCTGGGAATCAGGATATCTCTCACAGAAATGGCAGGACGGCATCAGCTTGGGTAATGATCCTTGGTGGGTAGTCTGTGCCGCTGTCGCGTTTCTCGGCGGCCGGGGATATAACGTGCCTGCGCCGATATCGATCTTCATCGGCGGTATTATGGGACTATGTTGGTATGCGGTTGTCAGCAAAGAGTAAGAATTTATATAGTGTATTTTAGTGGGATCTGTATATAGCGAAATTTTGGATTTTTGGCTTGTATAGAAGACGGAAATTTCCGCATTCAAGGGAGACGGGACGTAGATGGAGATGTAGATGAGTAGGCTGATCTGCCAATTCTGTCTCCGTGACTGCCTTCGCCGGCGATTTGTTTGTAATTACTGATAACATAGACTCACGGCAAATCTCTCACTCAATCGACTACATCACTCTTCAGTCTTCTATACAATCTCGCCTGGTCTGCAATCCTTTCCACGCCCGCTATAAATCAACGCGTGATCACGTGCGCGACGCTGAGCAGAGTTTATCTATGCGTCATCAACGAGAACCCAAATATTTGGATTTTCTGACTCTCCATGTTCGCCGGACTGCTGATCACTTTGTATATCACTGCAGTCGTTAACAAAGTGAGAACTTGCTCGCAGAAGATGGGCAAGCTGCATATCTACTGTGATTAGCTGGCTTTGATTGGTTCTGCATAAAGTCTGGAATGGTGAAGCGTTCGGGGAGAGGTCCTGCGACCGATAACTCATCTCCAGCGCCGGCGACGGCAATAGCGAGATCCCGTGCGTCTGGTCAGCGGCAGCGGCGTGATACTGTATCACCATCGGGACCATCACTATTACTTTCTAAACGGGTGCTGCCTTCAGCTAACAGGCAGGAACTCGAGACAGAGGATGTGTATGATGTACTTTCGGTGGCTAGCAATTCACCTTCGGCGATCTCGATTTCATCGGGAGGTGATGCTGAGCAAGAGATTTCTGGCACAGTATCTGCCTCCGCGTCTCAGCCAAGGAAGAGAAACGGCGGCGTCGCAAAAAGTCGGGCGCCAACTACCGCTAATTCGCGGTCGGCGCCGTCGTCCAACGGAGCGCTGGAATTAACAAGAAAGAGAAAAGTCCCGACGGCTTATGCACAAATGTTGAACGAAATAGTCGGCGACGAAGTTAGTGATGACGAAGACGATGTCGACGATACGCTACCTCGAGGCCGCAAACGACCATCCCATCCAGCCTCCACTGCTCGTTCTCCCAATCGCAAGACACCGAAGATCAAAACCGATACACCGGGGTGGGGACCTAAAGGAAAAGGCAAAGCCAGAGAATCAGCGATAGAGATAGATTCTGATTCGGGATCGGCCGGGGATAGCGCGCAAGGGCCGAGACTGATGGCGCCGATATCGAGTGAAAGCGCTGCCTATCTGGCGAGCTCGTTTGCCGGAATGTCAGACGATGATTCTGATGATGAGAAGGATGGAACAGGGAATGAAGCACATGCGTCTAGCTCGAATAACAAGAGCGGCCAATCTGGATCTGCCGAAGACGATGATATGGACGATGGCGATGACTCGGACGATGATATGGAGTGGGAGAATGTGGAAATCGATGTCCCCCCTCTTGATTCCGCAGCGCCAGCGTCAGAGGAACCAGCACAAGAGATCAAAGCTGTCGAGTTTACGATTGGTGAAACGACACCGACGAGATCTAAACGAAAGAAACCGACAATCACAAAAGAAGATCGCGAGCAGAGGATGCTGACGCATATGCTCCACCTCGTGTGTTTGATCTGCCATGGGTCTACCAGGAGCCGCTGGTGCAATGATGCCTCGGTGAAGGATACGGTCTCCAAATTTGTGCCTGATGGTATAGAGGACGAACTAAAACCAGACCCAACCCTCCCCGTCACTCAGCGAACTCGCAAGTTCTTGGATGGCTTACGGCACTTGATGGAATTCTGGAACCGGAGGTACCACATCGTCTACAAAGGAATTCGCAAAAGGACGTACGAGGAGCTTGAGAACATCAAGAAGGAGAAAGGAAACGAGCCAGCGCTGGAGCTGAGTGACTTTCGGCGCTCGCTCGCACGTTTAGAAGGCTCTCGCGATCTCGGAGCACAGGGATTTTGCGCTCTCTTACGGGCATTCAGGGTCCGTACCCGGTTGGTGTTTTCTCTTCAGCCACTTCCGTTTACGTTTTCGACGAAGAGTGCTCAGACGAAGGCGAGCCGCGCATCTAAAGCTATAAGGATGGACCTGAACGATGAGCGCAGTAGTGATTTCGACAGCGAGTCGTCGGTGCCAAAGAGACCGCCTGTCCGACTTCGGAAGCCACGACTTGGCACGCCGACGTTGACATACACCACTAATGACTATGAGTCTTCTCAATTTGACGAGGCGCCGTATCCTGTGTTTTGGGTGGAAGCCTGGGACGAGGCGGGGCTGCAATGGGTATCCGTAGATCCCATGGTGCTCAAGTTGGTCGAGATTCCTCGCTCGAAGAGTAAATTCGAGCCTCCGCAGTCCGAGGCAAGGAATGTGCTGTCGTATGCGATCGCGTTTGATCAGGCTGGGCATGCAAAGGACGTAACGCGTCGGTATGCGCAGTACTACAATGCAAAGACTCGCAAGTTGAGGATCACGAACGAGCCGAGTGGGCAGATATGGTTTGATCAGATGCTGAGATGCTTTCAGACTGATTATCTAACGGTATGTATTTTTTTTTGGTTCATGATGCGACATGTGCTAATATCTGTTTGCAGAGTATCGATCAGATGGAAGACGCAGCTTTGCTCAAAAAGGAGCTTTCAGAAGATATACCAAACAACATCCAGGATTTCAGAGGGCACCCAGTGTAAGTCTACTCGTACATAGCATCATGCGAATGAGTACTAACAGCATTAGTTATGTCCTCGAGCGCCATCTTCACAAGAACGAGATTATCCATCCAAAAGTAGCGTGTGGCACGATCGCTGTCGGGCGCAGCAAAAACAGCGAGACAGAGCCGATCTATCGCCGCCGCGATGTGCAGACGCTACGGTCCGCGATGCAATGGTACAAGATCGGACGGGTGGTGAAAGTAGGCGAGCAGCCGCTGAAACACACAAAGAAGCGAACGCTGCCAAAGTCGCGGTCGGCGATGCTCGACAGCGACTATGAAGACGGGGCGGGAGAGGAGGAGGACGAGGAGGTCGCGCTGTATGCGCACATCCAGACGGACATTTATGTGCCGCCTCCTGTTTTGAATGGGAAGATTCCTCGGAACGATTACGGCAACTTGGACGTGTTTGTGCCGTCGATGGTGCCTAAAGGAGCGGTTCATCTGCGCCAGCGGGGGATTGCTAATGCCGTCAAGGTACTTGAGATCGACTACGCGGACGCGGTGGGAGGCTTTGATTTTCAGAACCGCAAGGCAACGCCGCGGTTGGACGGTATCGTTGTAGCGGAAGAGTACGAGGAAGCGGTAATGGCTGTCTACAGAGCGCAGCAGGAACAGTTGGAGTTTGAAGCAGATCAGAAGAAGCTCAACCTGGCTCTGGAAAGATGGCGCAGGTATCTCAAAGCTCTACGGATCAAAGAACGACTTGCGCATAACCCGGGTTTCAAGGACCTGCATCAGAAGGAGAAAGAACAAGCTGAAGAGAACGAAGCTAAGGGCAGAGAACAGGTGGGCGAAGAAGTCGCGCCGAATGAGCCGAACGAGGAGCGGGACACTATTCCAGACAACGGCGATGACGACTCCGATGGAGGCGGATTCATTGCTGATGATACAGATCAGAGAGCAGAAGATGACGACGACGACGGCGGCGGAGGGTTTATTGCAGGCGACGATGCCGAGGACGACGGCGGCTTTGCGCCCGATATGGATGACTACGATTTTGACGAAGGAGACGAAGGGCTGTACGATTGAGCAGGTTTATAAAGTTTTTTTACTCTTTGCTATTCTTTTCTGAGAAGCATTGTCGAGGTGACAATAGGACACCGCGAAGCATTGTGGCGTCTGGATAGGTTTGTGAGTAGTCGTGGATTGTATGTAGATCGAGACCGAGAGGTGCCGAGGAAGACCGCCTCAGACACCGCCGCGACAGAGCAGCGGTCGCCACCTGCGACGACAACACCGCTGCGGACCCACACATGACATGTCTCGTGTCTTCATTGAATTAACCAAGAATTCTACAACAGCAACTCCGGACAACCCGGAACAAGGCAGAGCAGAAGTCGGTGAAATCCACGTGCCGCTGCGAGCCGGATAGCTTGGCTGGGGTTAGGGGTCAGGATTGCGGTTGGCGGCAGCGTCCCCGCCACCTCCCGGAGACCGTGACGTCTACGGCGAGGACTTATTAGAAGATAGAATTCCATTACGTTCAGCAAGCCTCAGAATTGTCGTCGAGCCAGCGTTTGTGTACAGGAAGCCCAGTCTGCTACGTTTGATTAGTTTCTGTGCTTTTATCAGCTTGTTCCGCTCGTTGAATTATTTCTTTGCGTTTAATTGCTAGTCTGATAGACCTTCAGTCTTCCTCTATTTCGTCATGGTGGGAATCAACAGTCCGATCCCAAGTAGCTTGAAGAGCGAGTGCAAGTATGTCTCTGTCGATTTGCTTGTTGATGCTAGAGTGCAGCACTATGTGTTTGGTGTTTGTGGTCGTTGGCGCTTCTGTGGTCGCTGATAGTGTGCAATGCTGACCTCTATGCGTAGGAAATCCGCAAGGATTCTGTCGTCGTTCATTAAGCCTAACCAGGTCCTTGGTATGGATGTGGTATGTCTCGCAGATGCTTTGGTTCTTTTTCTATATTTGGATGAACAGGGTGATGTGGTGATGCTAATCTGCTGTTCGTAGGTCATCCCTCCCTCGGTTCTCGCGCACGCCAAGGGCCTTGCTATCATCACTGTGCTTAAGGCCGGCTTCCTGTTCTCTGGCCGTGCTGGTTCAGGCATTGTCATTGCCAGATTACCCGATGGCGGTAGGTTTTCGCATCAAAAGCCTTACTAGATAGCATTGGACAATACTAACGATTAATAGGCTGGTCTGCCCCATCTGCGATCGTGACGGCGGGCGCCGGTGTCGGTGGGCAGATCGGCGCCGAGCTGACCGATTTCGTGATGATTTTGAACACGCGGGCAGCAGTCGAGTCGTTCGCCCAGCTCGGCTCGATTACGTTGGGCGGTAACATTTCCGTTGCCGCCGGCCCTATCGGTCGAAACGCAGAGGCCGGTGGCACTGCCTCGCTCAAGTCTGTCGCGGCCGTGTTTTCGTACTCAAAGACGCGAGGTCTTTTCGCCGGCGTCTCGCTCGAGGGCTCCGCCCTTCTCGAGCGCCGTGATGCTAACCGCAAGTTCTACGGCGGAAACGTGACTGCGAAGCAGCTTTTGGCTGGCACGATCGAGGCCCCACCTGCGGCCGACCCACTGATGCGCGTGTTGGACTCGCGGATATTCCGCGGAAACTTCCAGTCCGTGTTTGATGATGATATATACAACGACATTCCGTCGTACGATGATGACGACGATTCCTCGATCGATTCGGGTGAGAGACGATACGGATCGACGCGATCGCGCAGCGATAGTCGTGCAAATCCCCGGTACGCGGATGATTACGACGATGACTATGACGACGAGGACGACGAATACGCGCGGACACGGCGGCAACAACAACGCCGTAGTGGAGGCGGCGGCAGCAGTGGCAGCTCAGGCCGGGCGTCGAGATGGCAAGACGATGTATACGACCGCGAAAGCTCAGGCAGCGGAGGACGTCGCAATTTCGAGTCGACGTACAGCGACCGGCCGCATCGCCCGACGGCGCCGAAGCCGGACTATGGCGGCGGCGATAGTGGGCGCCGGATCAGGAGCGACAGCGGTGCCGAGCGGCCCGCGAGACCTCGTGGAATCCAAGCGGTTGCGTTGTATACGTTTGAGGGCGAGCAGGGCGGCGATTTGAACTTCCGCAAGGGAGATATGATTACGATCACGAAGAAGAGCGATTCCAAGGACGATTGGTGGACTGGACGTCGGAATGGAAAGGAGGGTATTTTCCCTGCGAATTATGTAGAGCTAGTTTAGATGTGGTTGTGACTCCATTTATGTGGTTATTTCGTGTTTGAATCTGTCTCCTCTTTCTATTGTGTTGTTCTGATGTTTGTTTTTTTGATTACATTAAATTATTGCGTTTGATACTTGCAAAGTGGACGTCCGTGAATCTGTTTTATTAATTGGATATCGAGTCGAAGATGTGACGATAGACAGTTTAGTTGTAAGACAGGACAGGGTGGGCAGCAGCAGCAATCACTGAAGCCTGCACTGTCTTGCTGTTTCTGTTGTGTATTAGTGTACGGGTTGCAATGCCATTCCAATTATCCTAGTCTACTGCGTTGAGTTAAGTTGAATTAAGGAGATGTGCGCAGTATTTAGGCTGAAAGCGAGTAACAACACACAGGGTCGTCTGAGCAACGGCGCAGGTAGGAGGCGCGCCGCGTTTAAGCGAGTGGAGCACAGCAGCAGCACAGAGCAGGGCAGAGGAGAGAAAAGGGACCTTTTAAGTACAAAGAGGCTTAGATCCACATTCTTTGCATTCTCCACCTCCCCGCAGCTTTAAGGCCGAGAAGCAGTAGCGGGCAGTGCAGGCAGCATCATGCAGCAGCAGACAAGGGTCCAGTCCACCGGAATGGACCAGCGACCAATGACCTGCGCCTGCGTCTCCAGCTCGGTCCTCTCGGCTGCAGCGCCCTGCTCTAGACAAAATTAGCAGCGAAACAGAGAAGACGCACGTGCGTTGATAATTCTTGTTCGTTGTGGGCGACCAGGTCCAGGTTGGTGGCGACGGGGTCGGCGAAGTCAAATGCTTAAAAAGAAGAGGAAAAAGAATAAAGAAAACCCTGCCCTTTGTTTACGTTGGGTTTGTTTATTTACACTCGCCATGTACAAATACACCCCCGATCCTGCTCTTATCTCTCCTATTTCATTTGAGAAACAAGAAATAATGAAATCCCACAGCAAATTCGTGCACAGCTGCTTCTATTAGGCACCTGCTCTGGCCCGGGCGCGGCGGGCGACGACGAGGGCGAAAACCGAAAGCCGATGGCAGAAGCGGCCCGGCTGACAGCTTCCGTCACGCGCGCCTGACTCGAGCGCAAGCTTGATCTGGGCTGCCAGATTTGGAAATGTTTTCGAGTCCCTGAGCAAAAAACGTAAATAAATACTCTCTCTCTTCACCTCCTCCTTCTCTCTCCTCTGTCCTCTCTCTGCTTCTTCTCTCTGCTTCTCTCTCTGCTTCTCACCTCTCTCTTCTCACATTCCCACACACATAAAATGGCCGCAATCATCCAGGTTGACCCCTCCACCATCCCGTTCCTTGACATCTGCAAGGAGACCCCCGCCCCGGCCCGCCCCGCTAAGCGCAACATCCTCGACTCCTTCCGCCTCGACGGCAAGGTCGCCGTCGTCACCGGTGGCGCCCGCGGTCTGGGCTACTCCATGGCTGAGGGCCTCTGCGGCGCCGGTCTCGCCGGTCTCGCCATCATCGACGTCCAGAGTGATCTCGGCGACAAGGCCTGCGAGCAAATCATAAACGAGTTCGGCATCAAGGCCTGCTTTTACCGTCTTGACGTCCGCGACGAGGACGCCGTCCAGGACACCATGGACGCCATCGTCCGTGAGTTTGGCAAGATCGATATCCTGCTCTGCTCGGCCGGCGTTGCCGACCTCGTCCACGCTGAGGACTACTCGCCGGCCAAGTTCCGCCGCGTCATCGACATCAACCTCAACGGCACCTTCATCTGCGCCCAGGCCGCCGGTAAGCACATGATCGCTGCCGGCAACGGCGGATCCATCATCTTCATCGGCTCCATGTCGGCCTCGATCGTCAACTGGCCGCAGCCGCAGTCTGCCTACAACGCGTCGAAGGCCGCTGTCGTCCACCTCATGAAGTCTCTCTCCGCCGAGTGGGCCCAGCACCGCATCCGTTGCAACGCCATCTCTCCGGGATACATGGACACTCCTCTCAACGTTCCCTACGAGGACGCTCTCTTCAGCGAGTGGAAGGGCCGCACCCCCATGGGTCGTCTCGGCCAGCCCGAGGAGCTTGCCGGTGCCGCACTCTGGCTTGCGTCCGACGCCAGCTCGTTCTGCACCGGTACTGATGTCCGCATCGACGGTGGCTACACTGCTTTGTAAACCCTCTCATGGTTTTTTCGGTTCGGTGTTTATGATTGTTTTAGAGGATTGGAATCCATGGTTTTATTAAGGCTGCTCGCTCTTCATTGTTTTGTTTTTGTTCTAGTTTTTAGTTTGTTTTTCTGTTTTTTTTTCGTCAGGGCTGGTTCTTGCTACGGGTTATTGGCATATATCATGTATGGTAGTGACAAGGAAGTCACGTAATTAACGAATATATTTATTCTCATTACATTATCTGTTATCGCCACGTCAACTCTGGTGCACACTCGCGGTGGCGAAGATCAACTAGCTACCAGTCACTGTTCTACGCGCACGGCCGCCTTCGCCGTTCATCTACCAACCCACTGCACTGATCTGAAACGACCGCTGCGTGATTTGCATTTCGGCCTTTGTCTGATAGCGGCAAAAAGAAGAGCACAGGTGGCGTTTGAGATGGCAGCCCTGTGAGCTGATTAAAGTATAATCGGAAAAAAGTAAAAAAAAGAAAAATAAAAATAAAAAAGGCTTAGCTGACTCAAAGGCCGCTAGCCGACTTTTGATCAGATAAGATCAAACCTTAATTGATCTCTGACAGGCGCGCGGCTTTGTGTTACGATCTGCGGGGTTTTGTACCCTCGGTGATCCGGCCGGTCTCACCCTCAGCTGAGGGGCTCGTGGTTGGGTCTTTATCGAACGTGTGCGTACAGTCTGGGATTCTCCGAGTTTACGTCTCTCCCGATAGCTAATACTCGGCGAATCAATCAGTTATATTCACAATGCCTGTTGTTATTGTCACTGGTGCCTCGAGAGGTATTGTGTTTCTGTTTCTTATTTCAATTGGGCGCGATCTGACTCGTGACTAGGCATGGGTGCGGCCATGGCCCGCAAGTTGCTCTCTGCTCCTATCTCCGCCAAGGTCGTCCTGGTCGCCAGAACCGAAGAGCCCTTGAAGGCCTTTGCGACCGAGTTCCCCGACCAGGTCGCCTACATCTCCGGTGATCTGTCCAAGGACGAGATCAACATCGCTGCCGTCAAGCTTGCAATCGACAAGTTCGGCGCGCTCGACGGTATCGTCTTCAACGCGGCCGTTTTGGATCCGATCGCTGCTGTTGCAAAGGCCGACGCGGCCGAGTGGAAGAAGCTGTATGATATTAACTTCTTCTCGATGCTGCCGGCTTTGAAGGAGGCTATTCCCCATCTTAAGGCTTCTAAGGGAAAAGTCATCTTCATCTCCTCCGGAGCGGCTCACCACTACTTTGTAAGAACCGCTTGCCCTGTGTTGCTGAACAGTTAAGACAATCAGCAATTGATATTCAGCCAGTCTAACTTTGTTTGCATAGTACGGATGGGGTGCCTATGGATCCTCCAAGGCTGCTACTGACCACTTGGCTGCTACCCTTGCTGCTGAGGAGCCCGATATCTTCACCTTCTCTCTCGACCCCGGTGTCATGGACACCAACATGCAGGTCGCCCTGCGCGAGGCTCGTACGTCCAATCACCACTGCACATTTCTTCTTTATGTTCGACTGCAATCTAACAATGTTATCACTGCAGATGGCCCTGAGATGAAGCCTAGCGAGCACGAACGTTTCTTGAACCTCAAGACCGACAACGCTCTCTCGCCTCCTTCGCTCCCCGGCGGCGTTGCCATCAACCTCTTGATGAAAGCTCCCATGGATCTGAGTGGAAAGACGCTAAGGTGAGCCGCTGATTGAGAAGCAACTTGTGGATCTGTGTCGCTGCTAACCTGCTTTGTTTCTTTTGGTATAGATTCACGGATGAGAAGCTCGCTGAGTATGTTGATAAATAAGTGCGATGCATAGATATAGGCCGTTGATGTGCTTAGCAATTGTCTTTTGGTCTCGTAGCTAATGTCTTCGGGTCGTCGTCGGATTTAATAAATATATCATGATTTGATGCACAAGCTGAGTACATGCTTGATGTGATAGCAAGATGCCTGCCGGCCAGATACATTTTTTATCTCTGACAGATAAACAAATGCATAGTGATTTGTGCTGGAGAGCTCGACACTGCTATATCAGACCCCGCTCGAGTCCTGAGTTAGATCCGAAGAGGGCTATAAAATCCGTACCGAAATTTGAAATTTTCCCCACCACTTTTGATCCCTCGCGCACAATAACCGCCCTCGAGCGAATTTACCCACTTCAAACAATATGTGATAGGCATTCTGTTCTCAGTAATTGTAATCAAATGAATTGTAGAAGCTCTTGAACAAATACAGACAAGAAATCATAAGGTTTAAGTGTCGGGACATTTTGTCGGAAATTGGATAAGAGAGTAGGGCTCAAGCTTCAGGCGTAGGGCTTATCTTCAGACATCGAATTTCCATTCTGCCTTGCATATTCTCACATACAGCAGCATACGATCTTCACTCCCCAGCAGGATATATAAGAGTAAGTGAGGAACTTCTAGCAGAACTGTTTGACATTGAGGAGTCTTGTGAGTACTGTTGTGGACGCCGAGGGTTGCTAATCGCTTATCGGTTTTAACAGATCTAATTAACACACATCAACAATGGCTCCATCTGCTCCCGTTTACATCGTCACCGGCGCCTCAAGAGGTACACTGAAGAATTTCACAGTCTGCTACAGATTGGAATGCTAATAAGGATGTCTAGGCCTTGGAAAGAACACTGCCGAGCTTCTGCTCGCCGCTCCTACTTCTGCCAACATCGTCGCCGTCGCTAGAACCGAGGCCAGCCTTTCAGAGCTCGCCAGCAAATATCCCGGCCAGGTGGAGTACGTACCAGACTGAGTTATTGTGCTGACTTTTACTTGAGCTGTGTTGCTAATTATTGTGGCAGGACTGTCTGCGGAGACCTTTCGGACTACAGCACCGGCGTGAAGGCCGTCGAGGCCGCTATCGCAAAGTTCGGCAAGCTCGACGGAATTGTCTTCAACGCTGCTGTTATTGCTCCTGTTGCTACTGTTGGCACTGTTGACATTGACGAGTTCAAGAAGTTGTTTGATATCAATTACTTCTCGAGTCTGGTGACCGTAAGTGCGAGCGTATTTTCTCACATCTATGAAGACAGCGCTGACACTGACGATGATCCTGTAGATGAAAGCCGCTCTCCCTCATCTTAAGAAGACAAAGGGACACGTCGTTTTTGTTTCGTCGATTGCCTCCCACGAAGCGCACTACGTACGTATATTCCAGAGCACCACGCGGTAGCCGCATTCATCGTTCTCCATACTAACGTGGTTCTTCTACAGTACGGATGGGAAGCTTACGGTGCCTCCAAGGCATGCGTTGACCATCTCGCTGCTACCCTTGCTGTTGAGGAGCCCGAGCTTTTCTTTGTCTCGATTGATCCCGGTGTCATGGACTCTGACATGCAGAAGGAGATCCGCGAGAAGCGTGAGTTCAAGTCCACTAAAAGTTCAATTAGACCTCTCTTTTGAAACCCAGCTGACATATGATCTATAGACGGATCCAAGATGAAGGAGGATCACATCGAGTACCTGATGAAGGTCAAGGAGACCGGATCGATTCTCTCGACCGCTGGTCCCGCCAACGTGATCTCGACTCTTGTGGTCAAGGGACCTCTGGAGCTTAACGGCCAATACCATGTGTATGTGTCTTATTTTTTATAATTCTTTGCAATCGTTTGTGAGCGAGTACTAACTAAACATCAATATAGGTTTGATTCTGAGGTCTTGAGCCCATACTTGAAGGCGTAAGCCGCTGCTTGGCTGTTAATCGAGTGATATGTGCCTGATATAGTATAGAAGATAATAATGCCAACCCACATACCAGACCAATCTAACTGCTGTAGTAATTGTGAGTAAATTCAGGTATTACCCTAACAAGTAATGTAAACTGTCGTCAAAGTCCCAAGCAAATATGCATAAATCAGCAAATGTTATCCACTTACGGCATAAACACAGCAAAAGATGGCGATTGGAAGCCACCTAGCGAGCCACAAAGTGAATGTGTGAGCGAGTTAAATAGGCCACTTCCGCGCCCCGCCTTGTCTTCTAAGACTCACCACTTCCCCCACCACCGTCCAGCTACGAGAATATTGCTTCATCTCGCACTGGATTGCCTGTCTTCTCTGCTTGTTATTAACCAGGTATGTTCCTCCTTGTCAGTTGTGATCCAGGGCAGCTGCGCGCACGCACGCACGCAAGCAACAGTGACGCACGCGCTCGATTCCAGCGAGACCAGGCTCGGTGGCAGTTGCCCTGCATCACACACCCTCACGGCAGCAGCAGCAACTAACAGAGTCTTCTAACAACGAAATCAGGCAGCAGGCAGAGAATCCACATCTGTCTATATACAACACTACTCTACGCTGTTAGTTGGCCCTTTATCCTCCCTGGTCCGATTGCTGCTTGTTGCGATATACTGACTGCGGGCTATTTGTAGACAGCCGGTCAGCTTCATAATCGCTTTCGGGTTTGCCTCAACGCATTCTCAGCAGAGCCTCTTGTCCCTCGAGTAGGATTTGAGCATACACCCGACGCATCCGTTGTGTTTGGATCTTGCTTTTGGTACGTTGCTCGCTCTCGTTTCACCGTCTCTGTCGTCATGCAGGGCTAGGAAATCGGTACTTGTGCGCCGCTAACCGAAACCGCTTCACTGTCTTGCAGTTACACCCTCGGTCCCAAGATCTCCCCGCCCTCCTACCCATACGGTCTTTCCATTCTCCTTGCAATCTTTACAGCCGACAACGACCGTGACGGCATGAAATATAACTACTACTGATTCCCAATACAACAAGTACGCCAGTGCCGAATTGTATTAACCGACCATTTCGCCGCCGTTGTGTCGCCGCGCCCGAATACCGACACACTGCAGACGATAATCTTATGGACGCCAGATCCCGAAGAAAGAAACCATCCGCCGAACGCAATCCAGAGACTTCTGACTCTTTCTTCCCGTCAACCGCCACCACCACCTCTTCTGCCGCGACCGAATCATCCACAGCGACTAGTACCACAGCAGCAGAGTCATCTCTTTCCTCACTACCCCAGAAGACGACGTTCCAGTTTCGTGGTCGAAGCCGCCGTCATCAAGCCCAGCCCGAATCTACAACCTCGCTCGCTATAGCTTCTCCCGCTGCGTTGTCCGGTCGCTCTTCATCTAACAGAAAGCTCTCTCATTTGACCTCTGAGGCAGCATCACCGGATTCTTCATCTCACTACACAAGGTATGTCTGAGAATTTGCTGCTACTGTGCCTGGGCAGTTTTGACTAACCTGATTCACTCGTATTTTCAGATCTCGCGCTGCCAATCTAGCTACCGAACAACTTCTACCAACTTCATCGCGACGCAAACGGTTCCAGCACCCAACCGAGCAACCACCAGATCTGTCTCCGGATTCTTCGGCACACAAGGAAGAAACCACAAACCTACGATCATCGAAACGCGCCCGACGATCTGCCGATTTCGCGCCTTCGGGAAATTCAGAACTGTCCGCAGAGAAATCCAAAAGTAGCGAGCATAAGAGAAAGATGTCTAAGCCAATGTCTGGTTCGTCAAGAGAGTCGGGTTCGAGCAAGGGTAAAAGCAGCCGAACGCCTGCTTCTGGTGGCGGCCGACGTGCCCGAAGCCATCATGACCTCGAAGAAGAGCTGATGGATCTCGAGAGCGTGCGGGCTGCCGTGGCTGCCGAGGCCGCAGAGAGCAGCGCACCCGGACAGCGGAGCGGATTTTCGCCAAGCCGTCATCACACTCTTGCTAGTTTGATGGCTGGTCTAGATGATGATGGCGATGACGACCAAGAAGAAACAGGAAGCTATAGCGAAGGGTTCAGGGGTACTCACGACCCCGAAGAAGACGACGATCACCACGAAACAGGCCTTGACAGTCGAAGCGGTGCCGCTGCTGTGAGTGAGAACGACGGAAACAATGACGACGATGACGATGACGAGGAAGAGGAAGAAGACGACTCAGACCGGGGATCCATGAACTCATTCGCAATGGCGGGCTCTGGTGCTAACGGAATCTCCATGCTCTTCCCCCAAGACGTCACCGGATCTGATATCGGAATGGGTGGTATGATGTCTGAGCTGTCTATGCGATTCAGAGACCTCTTCTTGAACCTGAAGCAACGCGAAAACCCAGACATTCGTATGGCCGCTCTTCGCGAGCTGTCCATTCTGATTATAATGTCTACAGAGGACATGTTTTCCTCTGGGTTTTCGTCGGACCAGATTGTGCGTGAACTGGTCGACATCATGTCTAGTCCCATCTACGGTGAAGACGACCCCGAGTCGGTCTCGATCGCTTGTCGTTGCCTGGCAAACTTTATGGACTCATTGCCACAGACCACAAGAATTGTTGCCTACAGCGGAGCTGTTCCGGTTCTGTGTCAAAAGTTACTAGAGGTTGACTATATCGACTTGGCCGAGCAGGCCTTGAACGTGAGTACCTCCATTTCTTTATTTTTTACTTGCTGTTATGCAACGTGAATGCTAACATCGATTTGCAGACCCTCAAAGTAATCTCAGCGGACTACCCGATCATCGTGGCTCGGGAAGGCGGTCTCGCAGGTTGCCTCATGTTTTTGGACTTCTTCGCTACAAGCGTGCAACGCACAGCAGTGACAATAGCGGCAAACTGCAGTCGAAACATTCCAGTGAGCTGCTTCCCCACAGTCCGCGATGTTATGCCGACCCTCCTCAATGTTCTGATGGGCACCGATCAAAAAGTCGTGGAGCAAGGTTGTCTGAGTGTAGCCCGTCTTATCGAAAGTTTCAGACATCACCCTACTGAGCTCGAAGAACTCGTGAGCTCGGACTTGCTGCAGAAGATGATGGACATGATGATCCCCGGACCCAGCAACGTCGTCGGCCCATCTGCTGTCTCGTACTTCCTGAAAGCACTCTCGTTCTGTGCAAAGGCATCACCAGAGCTTTCCGCAACTATGCTAAAGATGGGAGCGGTCGACATCTTGTACCAGATTCTTACCGGTGTTTCTGCGCCTGCCGAGTCCCAGCCTGATGACCAAGCTAGCAGTATTTTCGTCATGCAGGCGGTTATTCACTGCCCCAAGGATCAGATATTAGCAACTTTGAACGTAATCTGTGAGCTGCTTCCCGGTATCCAGAAAGAGGATCTAGCCGAGAGTCCGACGTATATGGAGACAATGGACATGCTGAATTTCGGTACACCGGAAGCTAACGCAAAGAGAGCCGAGATTCTTAAAACTTGCCAGCCACAAGTGCGGCGGTTTGTCAAGATCTTCTTGCCTGTCTTGCTGGATGTGTACTCCTGCACTGCTGATTTGAATGTCAGACAGAAGGTTGTTACCGCGTTTCTTCGAATGTTTTTGAACATCGACGGCGATATTCTGTATGAGGGCCTGAAGACGATCCAGTTCTCTTCTCTTCTGGCGTCGATCATTGCTCAGAAAGAGCAGCCAAGCATCGTCGTGGCCGGTCTTCTCATCGCGGACGTTCTTCGCCGACGGTTCCCTAATATATATGAGACTCATTTCGAGCGAGAGGGAGTCATGGCCGAGATCGAGCGATTGGCAGAGAACGGCCCGGGGAGTAATGCGGGAATGCCGGAAGCCGACGCTGACGAAGGCACTGACTGCGGCAGTGAGATCGCAATTGAGGAGCGCTATGATGACGAGGAGACCGATTATGGCCATGAAGACGAGGATGAGCGTATGCGCGATGACGATAACGAGGGCGAAGACGAAGACGGTGATGAGGACGAGGACGAGGAGGAAGAAGATGGAGAAGAAGAGGAAGAAAAGTCCAAGTTCTCGTCCATGCGCAACCGCTACTCCTCATCTGACCTCCACTACCGGTCCTCGCTCGAGAGCTGGATCTCCACTTTTGCGCAGAAATTCCTTGAAAAATACAGGCCGCCAGAATCGAGGTCGGGCGCTGATGCCGAGTCTGGGTTGAATGAGTTACGCATGTTTTCCAGCAAGCTGGTAGCAGGGCAGGATCTTGCCGGATGGCTTGGCGAGCTCGCTACTCATTTCAATACAGAGGCCTTGACGAGCATTTCGAGTTATGAGCTCGTGCACTCTGGGATCGTGAAGGCTCTATTGTCTTTACTGACCGAGGGCGCTACTGAAGAAGAAAAGCTGGCCTCCAGAAAAGAGTTTATGAAGGCGTTCATGAAGTCAGATGGAAGCTCGATTTCGCCATTCGCCGTACTGATCAGCAAGCTTCAGGAGTCTTTAATGAGACTGGAGAAGTTCGAGGTCGTTACGGCTGGTATTCCTGGTATGTTTACATTATGTTGATTGATAAGTAGAAGTGATAGCTGACACCGGTCATAGATGCGAATGAGAACCCGATCGAGGTAATGTCAGGACCTGTCCGCCTGAGACTCAGCAGCGACGATGCCGACGGAGAAGGCGCCGAAATGATCGTCTCTATCCCCGCGATCTCCACGGTGAAGACTCTAGATGACTATCTCCGAGTTCGCATTGGCGACAGGGCGACCGGAACGCCTACGGGTCGGTTCAAGTCTGGTTCGAGTCTGCTCAACAGCTCGTTTCCCTCTTTTGCGTCGTTTGCGGCCTCTGCAAACAACTCTTCACGCGAAGAAGGCAATGGTCAGCAGAAAGGTGACGACAGTGATGAGGCGGGTGAAGGATCTTCGACGACGACCGCAAAAGCAGAGGCTTCTTCGTCAGCTAATGAATCTAACAAAGACAAGGCTGATGCAGAGGACGGTAAAAACTCGTGGGAGGCGAGCGAGTCAGTTGTTAATCGTCTTGAAGGTTATATGACCACCAATGAATCCAATACTGCAGAGGAGAGTGACTCGGCCGCAACGCCCGCTGCCGAATCCGGAAACGGTACCCCGACTGAATCGCCTGTTGCAGCGCAGATCAGACCTAGACGCGCTAGTCTTTCCCTAGATCGCTTGTTACGAGCTACGGGCACGCTGACGCCGAAGCAGTCGTACTCATCGGCGTTGCAATCGGCTCCTCGGGACTGGCATGTGGAGTTTAAGAGCAATGGCAAGATCATACCACACGACATGACGGTCGTTGCCGCGCTTCACAAATATGCAGGAACCTCTGTGTTTGCGAGGGGTTCTTTAGACATTCCACATACTCTAAAGTACTCCAAAGCCGCGGGTCCCGCACCGGTTTCGGAGTCGAACGCGCTGCAGTATGGCGAGCAATTCAAAGATGTGCCCGAGTCGCTGAAAGAGGACGAGGCTACGTTTACAGTGTTGCAGTTGCTTCGAATCCTTCATAAGCTTAATGCAAGCGTGAAGGAGTTGTTTGCTGAAGACGCCGAAGGGGCGCATCTGTCGCCGGTACCGACTACGCAGTTCATCAACAGTAAACTGACGTCGAAGCTCAACCGACAACTCGAGGAGGCGGTGATAGTTGCGAGCTCGTGCGTTCCATACTGGGGTCGCGACTTGACGAGACACTATCCGTTCCTGTTTCCGTTTGAGACTCGTCGGCTGTTTTTACAGTCTACATCGTTTGGCCATTACCGGTTTTTGAACAAGTGGCAAGCACGAAATGGAAGGCTCGGTCGGCGCGATAGTAGTTCGAGCTACAACAGCCGTTCTAGAGGCCCGATTCTGCGGAACATGCGTCAGAAAGTACGAATTTCGAGATCGCAGATTTTGCTGAGCGCGATCCGGGTGATGGAGCTGTATGGATCTTCGCAGAATGTTCTTGAAGTGGAATATTTTGATGAGGTCGGTACGGGACTTGGCCCGACTCTTGAGTTTTACGCTACGGTGTCACGCGAGTTTGCAAAGAAGAAACTGGGGATGTGGCGAGAGAACGAGTCTGATCCGGAGAGTGAGTTTGCGTTTGGAAAACATGGACTGTATGCCCGGCCTCTAAGCGAGGAATACTTGAAAACCGAAGAAGGCAAGAAAACGTTGCAGATGTTTAAAGTATTGGGACAGTTTGTTGGACGAGCGTTGATCGATTCGCGATTGTTGGATATCAAATTCAACTCGACATTCTTTGCGGCGCGGCAGGAGTCAGTTGTTCCGTCGATTGCAGTAATGAACGCAGTCGATGGGCAGCTGGCGAGTTCGCTTAAGCTTCTGGAGAAGTTTGCTGAAGCACGGGCGAAGGTGATGAGCGATAAGGCGACGACCGAGGAGGAGAAGCGCGAGATTCTTCGGGAGTACAAGATTGACAATGTGTCGGTTGAGGACTTGACGCTTGACTTCACGTTGCCTGGATACCCAGAGTACGAGCTTGTTGAAGGCGGGATGGATAAGTACGTGACGATGGAGACGGTTGATGAGTACGTCAAGCTCGTGCTGGATGCGACTTTGGGATCAGGAGTGGAGAAGCAGATCAATGCGTTCCGCGAAGGGTTCTCGACTGTGTTTTCGTTTGCGGCGATGAGTTCGTTTACTCCGGAGGAGCTCGTGATTTTGTGCGGACAGGTCGAGGAGGATTGGTCTTTACAGAGTGAGTGGCGCTTGCATACTTCTTTTCTAGAAAGAAAGTTGACTAATTTCATTTTTATAGCGCTGTGTGATTCGGTTAAGGCAGATCACGGGTTTACGATGAGCAGCAAGACGGTACAGAACCTGCTAGAGATCATGGCCGAGTTCACGGTCGACGAGCGACGAGCATTCTTGCAGTTTGTTACAGGCAGTCCTAATCTTCCGATTGGTGGATTCAAAGCGTTGCTGCCGACGTTTACGATTGTGAATAAGCCGAGCGAGCCGCCGTTTTCTCCAGACGACTATTTGCCCAGCGTGATGACGTGCGTGAACTACTTGAAGATGCCAAACTATAGCACAAAGGAGAAGCTTCGGGAACGGGTGATGAAAGCGGTGGAGGAAGGCTCAGGCGCGTTCCTGTTGTCGTGATGTCATTACTGTTATGTTATTATTATTCGTTGTTTTTGTCGATAATCATCATGGTTTGCTTTGAATGTAATTGTACAGCAGACATGCTTTGATATATGTCTTGCAGTAGGTGTTTTATCTTTATTTGTTTGTTATTAGTGCTCATTGTGATTGTGTTTAGCGGTGTTTGTAATGAGAATATATTGGTTTATCATGAAATTCACAGAGATGGTTGTAAGTCTGTAAGTCTAGATTCTTTTACTATTTTCTTCTGCAAAACATGACCCTTTATTAATCGCATACAACAACAAAAAAAAATCCAAAAGAACAAAAAAAAGCGATGTTGACAGGATTCGAACCTGCAGCCTTCGGAAAATTTGATTTCGATTATGAACCGAAATCCGATGCGCTCACCATTGCGCCACAACACCAAGGCATTTTAAACAAAAAAATTTATCCTGGCCGCTATAAGCTACTGAGAGTAAGCACATCGGGTTGGGGGTTTATTGGGTTTAATAATGGAGCTTAGAATGGGTAAGGCTGTTTTCGGGGGGTTCCAGTGAGTGAGTGAGTGGATTGTTGGTTGAGTTGTTTTTTATCGCGCATTGGATAACGAGGATGACATATACCTGGATATGTGCAAGACGGTGGTGGTGACTGATAAGCGGTTGGCGGATATGAAGTGGAATGAACGACTTATAGAAGCAGATGCTTTAAAAATCCAAAAGGGCGAGGCTACGACGGATGCCGCGAGTGCCGAGATGAACAGCAGAGAGGATTTATTGGCGCAGAACAGTGATTGCAGACAGCTGAGATCGGGCCTGACTTGACTTGACGTGAAGCACGCTGAGTCTCTTGTTCTAGAAACGCTCACAGTCCGAGTAACAGCTCAAAAGATAAGATGAGCTGAGCCGTGGACTGAGAGAGAGCTGGCAGCCGAGCGAGCCGCAAGCCTGCCAGACCGGTGTCGGGCGTAGAGAACGAAGGGCCGGTAAACAACGTGGTTCCGGCCGCGTGGGAAGTGAATTCAAGAACAGCACAGCTGCGAAAAGACTGTTGAATAAACCAGACTTTTGTTTAAAATAATCTTCTTTCTCTTCCATCGCAGCCAAAACGCCGAGCAGCAGACGACAAAGCAAAGAAGCCCGTCGGCGTGAGTTGTGACTTGCGTGTGATCGTCACAGAAGAATCCGTCGCGCGTTCACGCGCATTTTGGGTCTTTGCTTGTCTTGGCTCTTCCCGCAACTGTCACCATCAACAACCTCCACCCACACGCTCTCTTCCTCCTCTTCCGCCGTCCCTCTCTCTTTGTCTACTCTGTCCCGGTGCCGCGCGAGCATCTATATTACTTTTTACTGCGTGCTTGTCGCCGGCCTGTGCCTTTTTCACTCTTTTTGTCTTCGCAACGGGTTTGCTTGGCTCCGCTCTGCTTCCCGCGACTCACTGGCGCGTCTGTTCAGCACGCAGTTCGTCTGCCCGGCTACAACCAACCCCCCGGGTTAGTTTCTCATGGAGGTCCGTTGCTGTTCCATTACCCTTGTCTTTTTGTTTTTTTCGCAGTTTGTCGTCCGTACCGCTTCCGACCGTGTGCCTCTGTCGGTTTTATTTCTACACGCGCCGAGCCTACGGAGTCGTCAAGGGGCTTTTCTGTTTCTGCGCAACCTCCTCTTCTAGCAAGCAACTCAACAACTCACACAACCTCTAGGTCTCGTCAATTCCTCCCCGCAGCGATTCCAAAGCTGCAGCCAATCTCGCCATCCCCGCCGCCGCGCGAAAATCAGACGAGGACGAGCGAGACAGAGCCAGTCAGCGGTCATCTTCGTCGCAGCAGTCCTCGGTCTCCTTGCCCGCGAACCACAATGACTCCGCCGGCAGCGTGAGTCCGATATCGAGTCTGTCGGTGCCGCAGCTGACTGTCATTACGCCGTTCGGAAGCGCGATGCCGCTCGAAAACATCGATCTCGACGAGCCCTCGGTAGTAGTTGCTCAGGAACGCAGTAGTATCCAGGCACTCAAGCGGCTCTCGTTCGAGGTATCCGCGGCCTCGGACCCGGATTTACCGGGCATTTCGCAAAATCAACAGCAACAACAGCAACAACTACAACAACAGCAGCAGCAGCAATCTCAACAACAGTCGTTTGGCAGCATACGTCCGTCGTCGCCCGCGGCCGACAGCGACGACGAAGAATCGATATCATCCACAGGAAGTGGCAACAGCGGCAAATCAAACGACCAACCGCTGCTCTGGGTACCCGCGCACTTACACCCCGCTCTAGCCCCGAAAGAATGGAAGACATATGTACAAGAACGCGTGTCCGAGATTCAAAAACTAGCAGACCGCAAGTCCTCGCCGTCCAGCACGAACGGCAACTCGCTGCAGATCCCAAACGCGGGTCAGCAGTCATCTTCAAGCTCGCGGATCGTGCGCCGGAAATCAAAGCTGTCGCGCGAAATCGACACGTCGGGCGACACGCCTGCCGGGTACGAGGACGGCGCGGACGTGCTTCAGGAACGGAAGGCGCATGTCGAGGTCACGGTCTCGGATCTGGAGTTGTTTGAGACGTATGCATTGCAGGCGCGATCGCCGCCTTCGTCGCCGTCTGGGATGCCGTTTGTGCGTCAACAAAGCGAGACAGCGGCCGTTTCTCCTGCGGCGGATGCCAACATCTCGAGCCGGATTAATGGACGGGGTTTAAGACGATCGACACATACGTTGAGGAAGCTAGGCAGTCAGTCATCGTCTTCTGCGACGGCAAGTGTGGATGACGCTGATTATGAGCGGGCAGTGGGCTTGATCCAGCAGGACACCGTCGATCTGTCTCCTCCGGTGCAGGCGCGGCATGGTATCTTGCAAACCTCCGCAGCGACATCAGCCGCCGTTCAGCACGTTACGGTTGAAGATGGGAAACTGAAGCTCGAGTTTGACGACGACACATGGAAATTCGACGAGCTCGAAAAGCCGACGGGCGAGCACTTGGTTGCGTCTGTGGCCGCTGCTGAAGATCCGACTACCCCTCGGAGTCTCGCAAAGTCGTCGGATGAAGACCTGGGATACTACCCGCGTCCGCACCCGCTCACTGCAGCTCCTTCCTTACAGCCTCCTGCGTCATCACAATCTCCAGCACCATTTCCGCGCTCCGAACCCGCGACCCGGAATTCTCTCGACAATATCTCGACAGACTCGCAGGGCTCAAGGTACAGCAACAAAAAGCGCAACAAAGCGACGGCGATCAAAGCCAGCTTCGGGCGTCTCTTCACGTCCGACAAGGAGAAGGAGGGCAATAGTAGCAGCGGGGGTCTTAAATCGTCATTTAACGACGCCGTGCGCTCGACTTCAAAGAAAGTCGCCAGTTTTTCGTCGGCGTCGGCGTCATCTTTCTCTACGCCGACGAGGAGTCAGAGCATGCCTGTTGACTTGGGAGCGAAGGATTCGCGAAATTCGATAGATTCGTCGAGCACGGATTCGAGTGTGGAGGAGAAGAAGAAGGATAGCAAGCTCACGAATATTTTCCGCATGAACAGGAAGAATAAAGAGGCAAAGCAACAGCAGCAGCAGCAGCGGTCGCATTTCTCAAAACTGATGCCTACAGAGGTGCGTCATCGGCGGTCGTCCTCATCCTCACTCTCGTCTGTGATTTCGGACTCTATGCTGTACGGAATCAGCGGCAACCCGTACGGGCGGTCGAGAAGTGTTTCACCGTCGCGATCGCCGGGGCGAAGGATGGGTCCGCGGATGAACGGCGGGGAACAAGAGGACGAGTATGAGTACGAGCGACCATATTACTACACGCGGTTTCCGTTGCACGTCGAGCGGGCGATCTACCGGCTGTCGCACCTGAAGCTTGCGAATCCGCGGCGGCCGCTGTGTCAGCAGGTGTTGCTGAGCAATTTCATGTACGGATATCTGGATACGATCAACCAGGATAGCTTGTACTTTCAGCAGCAGCAGCAGCAGCAGTTTGAGCAGCAGCAGAAGCAGCAGGAGTATTACGGAGGGGGATATCGTCCGTCTGATTTGTACGAGTACGGACAGGATGAGATGACGTATGGAGTGAAGGATGGGGACTATGTGGACGCGTTTGAGGAGCATGAGCTGTACGGGGGATACTATGATCCAACGGAGGACGACGATGATGTGAGTTTTATTGATGAGCTGAAAGTGTAGGGGGATTGAATGTACTAACAGATTTACAGTACGCGCTACCACCATCAGAATACGAAGACGAAGTGGAAGAAAGAGACGAGTCGGATGTGCGACCGCGACAGGTAAAAACAAGGAACCCGTATGCGCAGCAGGAGACGTATTTCGAAATCATCGAGCGGCAGCAGCGAGAGCAGGTGGAGCATGAGCAGCAGGAGCAGCAGAGCACGCGTGCGAAACGACAGGTAGTGCAGCAGCAGCAGACGATGCAGTATGCGCATTTGCACGCGAATCAGACGCAGCAGCAGCAGCAGCAGCAAGAACAGCAGCAGAAACTACAGCAGCAGCAGCAGTTGCAGCTACAGCTTCAACTCCAGCAGCAGCAGCAACTACAACAAAAGCAACTACAGCAGATGCAGCAACAGCAGCAGCAACAGCAACAGCATCAGCAGCAGTACATTGTAGCTCAGGCACCTTCGGTACCAGCGCGATATCATATTAAGGCGCGGGTACAACCCGCGGTGCATAATAGCGGACCACAAGAGCCGTCGCTGTACCGAGACTACTACGGGCAGGTGCAAGCGGTGGGAGGGAGCTACAGAGGATAAAGTGTCTATAAAGCAGCACTGGTAATGTCAAAAACTGTTGAGAAGGAATTTCATATTGTACAATTTTTATATCTTGTTTATAACTACCGGTGGCGTTTTTTTGTATTTTGAGTGTTTATATTATAGTTGCTTTGACTGCTATTCTGTTTGATTGTATATGAAATTTTTTGGTAGGGTAGGATAGTTTGAATAGTTGTAATATATTGCCGATTGTCAAATAGAAGAAGGTAGCAGAAGAACTCCAGATCGCCGATGAATGAAAGTCAAGTGTGTATGTACAATGTGAAGTAGAAGGGAGGTCACTGCTGAGAAGACAGAGCCGCCCAGATGCGCAGATCAGCACGACGGGCAGAGGCAGCAGGCGACTCGGAGTGGACAGCGAGAGCAGCGGAGTCGATCTGATGATCTTTGAGCGGATCAGGAGCGGTGGTGTCTGAGTTTTCATCAGTCGGAGAAGGCGCGGTGAGGGACGAGAGCAAGAGTTCCATGCGGTCGCAGGCGAGTTTTGTAGCCTCTGTCTGCGCGCGTTTCCGATCGAGTTGTTCTTCCATCATCAGGATAAGCGATTCGCGGGCCTGGTGGGGGCGGTACTCGTTGAGGAGATGGTGCATGTTGAGGAGGATTGTGCGGACGTCTTCGACTAGGGGAGGAAAGAGCTCGGGGGCGGTGGACATGACGCCGAGGAGTTCGAGGTATTTGATGAGGAGGGAGCGCGTGAGGGTCGAGAGCTCAGAGACGCGGTAGGCGGGGTCGGACGCGTCGGCGGAGGTGGTGAAGAGTTCTTTGATGCCGGCGGCTGCGAGGGGCGGAAGGGCGTCATTTGTCTGGAGATGTTAGAGAAGAGATAGAAGAAGGGAGACAGAGAAGAGGAAGACGTACATTCCATGTGAGCCCGAACGAACGATAGCGTGGGCCGGGAAGGGGCGGTGGCTGTGGACGGGGGGAGCCGGTGGTGAAGGAGGTGTAGGCGGCGGGAGGAGGAGGGAAGGCGGAGGAGAGGGAGTCCATGGGGTGTGAAGTTGGTGAGGTCAGTGGATTATTGTCAGTAATTCCACTACTATTCTAGTATTATATGCCCTATTATCTCTTATATCTTCAACAGTTTGAATATCAACAATTCAATGTTTACTTCTTCAACATTTCCTCGACCAACCGCGCGCGCACCTGACCGGGCAGCGGGCACGTGCCGGGCCCGGGCCAATGAGGGAAAGGGCACGTTGCGCGATAAGACGCTGTCACCGCCTCAGCAGCCTCCCCACAGCAGAAACCAGCTATCGGCCCGCTATCAGCCTTTTGTCCACATTCTACGAGCAGCAGCCCGCGGTTTATAAGTTGTCGATCGTCGCCGGGCCCAGACTTTTGCTATTTGACCAAGTGAATAAGCAGAGAAGAGAAGCAGACCCGAACAGAAACACTCGTCCATCACCGTCGTCTTCACCACAATGTACTCCCTCCGCACCGCCCATCACCATGTCGCAAAGGCGGCCCCTCTCCTCCACAAGGCCTACTTCATGGACTGGGTCTTCGTCTTCCTCCTCCTCGGCGGCTTCATCATCCTCACAAACATGAACCCCTTCTTCAACCTCTTCACCCTCGACGATCCCTCCATCCAGCATCCCTATGCCACCACCGAGCGCGTGCCCTCCATCGTCGGCGTCATCTACACCACCGTCGTCTCCGTCGGCATCCTCGTCGTCTTCACCCCCTTCCTCCACCGCAAGAACCCCGCCTGGGCCCACGTCCTCAACGTCTCCTTGCTCTCGCTCGCCCTCTCCGTCATCCTCACCGAGTTCATCACCGAGATGCTCAAAAACATGATCGGCCGTCTCCGTCCGGACTTCATCGCCCGCTGCATGCCCGCCCCCGGCACGCCCCTCCACGGCCTCGTCGGCATCGAGGTCTGCACAAACCCAAACCTCCAGGTCCTCTACGACGGCTTCCGATCCACCCCCTCCGGCCACTCCTCCAACGGCTGGGCCGGCTTTGGCTGGCTCGCCGCCTGGGTCGCCGGCCAGCTCAAGGTCTTCCACCCCGGCACCGAGCTCTTCCGCGCCTTCCTCGCCCTCCTGCCTCTTTTTGGCGCTGCGCTTATTGGAATCTCCCGCATCGAGGACTTCCGTCACCACGTCACCGACATCATCTTCGGTGCCGTCATCGGCGCTCTCGTCGCCTGGTTCTCCTACCGCAAGTACTTCCCTCACCTCGGCACCGCGAACTGCAACATGCCGTTCCCGCCCCCTGCCTTCAACGACTCGGGCATCGAGACCGTCGTCGAGACCGACTACTATGACTCCCTCGACGAGATGGAGGCGGCCAAGCGCGGTTACTCTGATTAGGCGCTGCATGTGATTTGTAAGATTAATCTGAGCAAAACATTGTCATGCAATCAAGTTGCGATGTTTTGATGAACGACCCAAATGATTTCTTTTTTTCTTTATCACATTAGATTTGTCTGTTGTTGCTTTACGATTTCTCCATTCTATGTCTGGTGTCACTTGCTTTTTGCATTTGTCTTTTTTTCCCTTTACGAAATGACTTGATTCGATCCGCTTCGGTGCGATAATGGTGCTTGTTTTTTTTTCTTTATTTCTGTGTTTGTTGGTCGACGGGGGCGCTATTTTTCAGTTCCTATCAGTTTTTACGAGTGGTTTTTTCTCACGATTTCCCGGTTACTTTTTCGTATACACAATTGCTTTCTTTGGAATCGGTTTTTTCTCTTTTACGTCTAGCTTTTTTTCATGCATTTGGTGATCTTGCTTGCTTAGAAATACATATCAATATTTAATATGATTACACAAATAGCTATATACAGAGACATAATCAAGAACAAACGAGAGATCACGACGTGATCTTGACGTTTGTACCCACGAATTCAGCAGGATTGACATAGAGCCTAGTCGTCTTGGGATTGTAAGGATCCAACTGGAACAGACCGTACTTCTCCTGGGTCTTGCTGTCCTGGTCATAGTACTTCAAAAAGTCGTTGACCTTCTTTGCATGAGTGAGCACGATGTCAGGAATCGGCCGACCAGTCAACTGGCCGAGCTTCTTTGCAACCTCGAACCGCGTGTTTATGTTTTCGAGCGGGAAGTCTTTCGCGTTGATCGAGGGAACCGAGGCGCTCATCGCAATATCTGCAAACTTGTTTTCGCGCCGAACAACTTTCTTCTTCTGCTTCGGATCAATCACGCCGTCGTTCTCCGGCCATTTGATGTCGACCAGCCCGAGCTGCACGCCGACCGCGATCTGCGCTATTCTGTAGACGGTCTCCTTGTCGTATATCGGCGAGCCGTTTTTCCAGATAGTGGCCTTGAACCCGTTCAGCTTCGACTTCCAGTTCGTGCTCTTGGCCGGTAATCCAATCTCGAGCAACTTGACGCCTCTGTATGCGTTGTCAGGGATGTTTTGCACTCCCTTGACCGGAACAGGCTTGATTTTCGACACGCGGTGCACGAATTCCGAGAGATGCAGTGGCTCGTACTCGCTCACCTCCTCTGCTTCCTCCCCGTCGGTCTCAGTCGACTTTGCCACCGCAGTACCCGTAGCCTCCCCAACCGCCTCCATCTCCTCCTTCTCCGCCTCGTCAAGCGCAATCTTCTGGGTCTCCTTCGGCTTCGCCGGTCTCAGGAACGGGATATGGCGCAGCAAATCCAAGGACGCCGGCCGCGTCGAGTGTAGACTGCGGCGAGCAATTGCGCGCGAGGGCTGCTGTGTCCGCTGCTGCTGCAGACAGCGGGTAAGTGCCCGACTGGCGCATGTTCGCGACGATACGCACGAGGCCATTGTGTGGTGTAATTCTGTCGTGAAGAAGAGCTGTGCGGAGAGGTGCAGAGCGTTGTCGCGAGTTCCAAAATAATTTTCGTCAAAGTGTGGAGCATAAAGGCAGTTTTGTTGTGAGCTTTGAAGCCGCAAAGTGCACAATTCAGGTTGCACCAAATATTTTCGAGAGCGGCGCCGATAGAGCAGAGCTCACTTTTCGCTCCTCTGCGCATAAAATCAGTCGACTCTTCCTCTTTTATATCTCTTTCCCTCCATTTCAACTCATTCTCATAAACAAAATCACACACAATGGTTGCTCCCCGCTCACGTCCTGGTCCAAATATGCGCCGAAGGGCTTACGTCCGGCCGTGGTACGTGACCGCGACCGATATCGCTCATCGGTGCACTGTGCTCGCGCTCGTCGGCGGAACCTGTATGTTGCAGCCTGTTTGCCTGTTTATTGAATCTGTTGGTGTTGTTTCTGGGATGTTTTGCTAACAGAAGATTGTGGGTTAGTGTACTACACCGCGTTCACCTTCCGCATGCTCTACTTGAACCACAAATACAGAAAAGCTGATGGAGAAGAACGGAAACGAATGGTGCGTGGAATTGATTTCTGTATTCTATCTACATCTTGTAGATCTCTCTACCTTATCTTTTACTAATCTGCTTTTTTAATACGACTTACAGGACGAGATGAGAAATGCTCAACAACTCCCGGAGCCAGTGAAGGAAGCGACAGAGTAACCAGTCAGCCTGATCTATCCCATCATTCACGCAAACACAACGACAAAAATCATTTACAAACAACCTGTCGAGGCCAGTAGCATCACAATCGGCCTCTTACGCTTGCTTTCATTCAATTCTTTTCTCTTCTTTTTCCCTGTTCTTGTCTATACTTGGGATCAATTCGTCTGGCGTCATTTCGTTACGAGTTTTCTTTGGTTTTGTAATATATTTTTACATTTATTTCTGGTGCAGGTCCGTTGTGGACGTCGACTCGTAGCTGGCGGATATTTGAAGAGTTATTTGAAGAGCTGTGAAGACATATGAAGACAGAATAGCCTGGGTGGATTGAGGATGATGACGGAAGTAGATCAGTGCTTTGTCTGGTCTCTCAGTCTGCCTGTCCTGCAATTAGTCTCTGCTGCTTTACACGATATCACTACTTTTGTACATACAATTAAATCCTCCATACTTCCATCTGTATTGTATTGTATTGTATTGTATTGTATTGTATGTATTGCCATTTACTCTCTCGGTCATCCAGAAATCATAAATATGCGTGCGGCGGCCTTCGCTGATCGACAACGTCACTGCTATCAACCACTGATCCTCCTCACCGCCTCTCGTCGCGCCTTCTCGTTCGCCAGCACGTCTTTCTCTCTCCCGCCAACCGCAACAACCTGCAATGGCCCGTCTGTGCCGCCATCTTCTGCAGCCGATACTGGGATCTTCGCCGCCGCGCCTGCCGCTGACTGCGGTTTGCTCCTCCCTCGCCGGCTTGGGATCTGCACCTGCTCGTCAGCGGACGTTCTCGGTCGCGGCTGGACAGCTACACGCGCGGCGACAGGCTGCGCGGAAGGACACTAGTGGATGCTGTGTGATTGCTAGGAGTGTTATAGATGTCAGCAAACAGTCGGGTGCGTACAGCGCGTACAGCTCGGGATCAAGAAGATATAGTAGCACCTCACAATCAACGACCCCGATCTCAGGACGAACAAACACGCGATTCAAGCAGCTCGCTGGCGGGGCCTGTCTTGTCGCGCTCGGTTTATTTTTCCTACCCGACTCTATCAAATGCGATGAGGCAGCAGCTGTCCAAGAGTCATTCCCGACCCTCGAGCAGGTAGACGAGGATTCACGAGCGTACCAGACGCGCGAGGAGTACCTTCTCTCGATCTCGGAGGACATGGACGAGCAACAGCACGACAACAGTATCCCGCAAAACTCCTCCCTCCGCAAGATCTACACAGTCTTTGAGAGCATATACGACTCCATAGCCACCTGGGTCCGCTTCGCGCACCTGGTCTTGATCTTCCTTCCCGTCGCATTCACGTCCCCCGCGATTCTGTTTGGCTCGAAACTCAAAGACTCGGACACCGAGACGACCGGATCACTGTGGTGGTACCGACTACTGATCTACAGCATGGAGAGCGCAGGCCCGACGTTTATAAAACTGGGCCAGTGGGCCGCCAGTCGCACCGACATCTTCCCGCGCATGTTTTGCATCGAAATGTCAAAGCTGCACTCGAGCGTCAAAAAGCACTCGCTCTCCGTCACCATCGACGCGATCGAGGACGCCTTCCACGGCGCAAAGTTCCGCGACATCTTTGAGGAGTTTGAAGAGGAGCCGCTCGGCATCGGCGCCATCGCGCAGGTCTACAGAGCTAAACTGTCGCCGGATATATTGAAGAGCGTGCCGAATCCCAAGGATCGCGAGAATGCCTGGGTCGCGGTCAAAGTCCTACATCCGCATGTCGAGTCCCGCGTGCATCGGGACCTACGAATCATGGAGTTTTTCGCCTGGGTGCTCGACAAGATCCCGACGATCGAGTGGCTATCACTCCCGGGCGAGGTCGAGCAGTTTGGAACGATGATGAAGCTACAGATGGATCTCCGAATCGAGTCGACCAACCTCGCGATCTTCCAGCGCAACTTCAACAATCGGGAAAACATCCACTTCCCGGTCTCGTACTCTGCGATTCTACCCAACATGGACGCCAGACGCGTGCTCATCGAGGAGTACGTACCTGCCATCCCCATGGATCGGCTGCTAAGTCTGCCGTCCGACGGGCGTGGACAGGTCGAAGAGGAGATTGCAGACATGGGTCTGAACGCGTTCCTAAACATGCTTCTGATCGACAACTTTGTCCACGCCGATCTGCATCCGGGAAATATAATGGTGCGGTTCGTGAAGAAGCCGAAACTGCGAGAGTCTCTAATGCAGGCAAACCAAAAGTTCAACCAGCTCTTCAACCGCGATCTGTCATTCGACATCGAAGCCACAAACGCAATCACAAAGCGCCTGCTCGCGATCGACGACCCGGCTCAGTTCAGACACGTGCTCGAGGAACTCGACGAGGACGGGTACCGTCCGCAAGTCGTCTTTCTCGACGCCGGCCTCGTCACCGAACTCAACGCCGTCAACCGGCGAAATTTCTTGGACCTGTTTACGTCACTCGCGACGTTTGATGGTTACCGCGCGGGCGAGCTGATGATTGAGCGGTCGCGAACGCCGCAGACGGTCATCAACGGCGAAGTCTTTGCGCTGCGCATGCAACGCCTACTGCTAGGCGTCAAGAGCAAGACTTTCGCGCTCGGAAACATGAAGATCGGCGATATCCTGCAAGAAGTCCTGAGCATGATCCGCAATCACCACGTGCGCATGGAAAGCGACTTTGTCAACGTCGTGCTCTCGGTCCTCCTGCTCGAAGGCATCGGCCGCCAACTCGATCCGAACCTCGACATCTTCAAGAGCTCGCTGCCGATCCTGCGCAGACTCGGCGCGATCTCGGCCATGAGCGGAAATTCTGACCTGTTGTCCGGACAGTCGGTCTCGTCGATGGTTAAAGTCTGGGTCGCGCTTGAGGCGCGCGAGTTCGTCACGGCTTCGGCTTCTGATGTGAGTTGTGGTGTTTCTTTCTTGTGTGTTTCTCTGCTAACTTATCATAGATCAAACGGCTTGTCAAATACGACCTCCTATGTCCAAACGTGTAAAATACGCCTACACTATCTCCTCTCTGTTCTAGACTCTTGGATGTCAAGTTACTTAGAAGTGGTGCCAATCGCAGACGTCGGAGAATTTCTTTGCGCAGTCTATAATAGAAAATATAATCAAGGCTATATACAAAGAGATATAAAACAAAATAAACAAAGTAAAATGATAACAATAAATAAAGGGAAACCGGAGATATTCTATAATCAACACTCTCTCACACCTCGTCTTCTCTCGCCAACTTTTAGGTACTACCGTATCAGAACAACGTTCACCTCAGTTTCTTACAAAGTGTAATAATCTGCCGAATCCCGCAAGGTCTTATCAAAACTCTGGTTGGGAGGAGCGTCTCCGTACGAGTCGGACGACCTTGGTTGCCTTCTGTTGTACTCCCCCCGATCGGTCTCGGACTCGAACAAAAATATCAAGCCGCGGAGAGAGTTGCGGAGCAGTCTGGTTTCTTCCTCGGTCATGATGCGGCCTTCTTCGCCGTTGCAGAGTTCGTAGGAAAGGTATTGCATAAGCTGGTAGAGATTTATAAAGTCAGTGTTTGTTGAGGAGGATAATTAAAGAGAAAGGTACTTACGATATCGAGTCGGCGCTTCAGATCAAAGATTAGCGCGGGGGTGGAACCCGGTAAAAACAGGAATTTCAGCCAATCGTCGACAATCAAGACCTGTCCGTCGAGCTGCACCTTGTGCGCGAGAAGGATGTAAGGCAGGTACGAGATCACTGACACATCCCTCAGCGAAACCTGGGAGCCAGACGCCTGGGGCTTCACTTTTTCGCCAAACGTAACCAACGTGTTGAGTTTCAGCCTAGTCTCGGGCGTGACCGAGCCGCTGTAGCGACTGGAGATTCCAGAGGCGAAATTGATAGATCCCGGGTGGATGATGGCGTTGCTGTCGGACGCGGTCGTCAGCAATCGCGCGCCGTTCTGCACTGCGACGTTCGGGTACGTGGCCGCGTACGCCAGCACCTGGATCATCGCCGGGTTGTCAGAGTTTGAGTTGAGCGCCGGAATTCCGAGCAGGGTTTTATCGCGCTCCTTCGCGGGGACTCGGGGAATGATATTCCGGTCCTCGAGAATGACACAGAGCTGCTCGGACGTCGCCATCACTCTCCGCATCGTCGGCGCGTGGATCTTGTGCTGGTACAAGAACTTATCCGCCGCGATCGCGTTCTGTCTGTTCAGCCGGCGCCAGATCCGGAACGCGTTGACCATAACCATGTGATCCGACCGGGCACCGTCCGCCAGCTTCCGACGATCCTCGTGAATCGATTCGCGGTCGTCTTTGTTGTGGTTCATGAATATACGCGACTCGACCATCGTGGTCGCGAGAATGATCGCGGCGTCCACGCAGCGGAACAAGACTCCGAACAGCAGCACGCGCGCAATACTAGGGTCGAGTGGGAGGGCGGAGAAGAATCTGCCGGTGGGCGTGAGATCGCCGGCAGGCGTGAGAGCGTACATTCGCTTCAACGAGTCTATCGCCCCGCGCACCGCTTCCGGAGCTGGCGGCTCGATGACGTCCTTCAAGAAATTCTCAATCGAGTCTTTGCTGACTGTTTTGGCCTCGAGACAGATTTGCTGCAGATCAGAGCGCAGCATTTCGGGCGTCTCGTTCCTGGGCAGGACGGCCATGCGCTTCTTTGAAAAGACACCAAAGTAGACACCGTCGCTCACACGACCGGCACGACCGCTTCGCTGCATGATGTTGGCCCTGCTGGTCCAGTCGACGAGCAAAGAGGTGATGCGGGTCGCGTGGTTGTACTTCTTCTCGCGCACTTTTCCAGAGTCAATGACGTATCTCAGCTCGGGAATCGTGATCGAGGTCTCGGCGATGTTGGTCGCGAGAATGACCTTGCGGCAGCCCTCGGGAACTTCTTCAAACACAGACCTCTGCGCATCCGGAATACTCGAGTGGAGGGAATACAAACGCGCTCTATTTTGGTCACGGAACAGCATGGGCTCATTCTGGAGGATTTCCTTCTCGACCAATCTCATGTCGCTGAGACCAGGCAAGAAAACTAAGATCGAACCGCCCGGTTCGTTTTTCATGATTTTCGAAACCAGCCGGGCGATGAGCAAGGTGGGGACAAAGCTGTTGTCCTCCAACGGTTCCGCAAGCACCTGGTTTCCAAACCTGCCCACGGTTTCCCAATCGACAGACTTGGGCTCTTCCTCGACCAACTCAGAAATGATCGGCTCTCCGTTGTGATCCAACGGGACTTCGATATTCTTCTCTTTGCGGATGTAATGGTCGAATCGTTTGTCAGAAGCAGCCATGACAAACTGATAGTCCTTTGGTCCTAAATATTGCTCGACATCCTCGAGGTAATTCATCTTGACGGGGAACGTTCGGCCGGGGACCGAAATCGAAGGGCACGGGGTCCCGAGCTGCTCAAAGTATTTGGCAAACATGGATTGGTTGACTGTAGCACTCATAAGAATAAGCTTTGGCATCCGAATATCCGGATTGCCATTCCTCTTTTCCATCATGCGGCGCTTGAGGATAGCGAGCAAAAAGTCAGTCAGCATCGATCGCTCGTGCACTTCATCGATGATGATATGCGAGAGCTTGTTGAACACATCCAACCGTGAGTTTTGCAGCTGGCGAAGCAACACTCCGGTCGTCGCAAAGTTGATGCAACCTCCGAACGCCGCCGGAGACGAGTTGAAACGGACCATGTATCCGACAGAGTGTCCGATGCGATCAAGTCTCTCGGCCGCGACACGGTTTGCCACAGACGTGGCCGCGATTCGACGAGGCTGGGTGACCATGATGTTGCACTGGGTTCCGATACCGCGAGCGGTGTACTCGTCCAAGATGAGCTGGGGAACCTGGGTCGACTTTCCACTACCGGTGGCACCGACGACGATACAGACATCGTTGTTGTTGATCATCTCGAGAACTTCTTCTTTGTACTTATTAAGAGGCAGTTCGGCCCTGGAGTTCCGCATGCTTTCCGCTCGCGTGGATGTGTTGTATTCTTCCAGTCTTTTCTTTAGATACTCGTCCTTCTCCCGCAAATCCTTCTCGCTAAAATTGGCTGGCATAACGGCGTCGTCTCCTCTGTCTGCCAGATCATGCTGCATCTGATTCAAACTCTTGATATGAGGTTGAAGCAGATAAAGAAGCTCCTTGATTTCATTCGCCGTCGAACGCAAACATCCCAGCGTACTGCTATTGACACGCGCGGAGATGGGACTCGTCGGTTTCACGATCTGGCCATGTCCTCTCAGCAGGGCCTTCAAGAACGACTCCCACAGTTCGGGATCGCCGTTCTTGACAACGTAGGCAGCAATAAGATAGGCCGCATCTTCTGCGTCCTTGGCGGCGTGCATTCCTGTGACCTGTCCGACCAAGACTCGGTTGATGTAGACCTCACCGCCATGGAACTTGCCGGTTCTTTTCTTCGGGGTGTACTCGACCGCCTGTCCGTTTTGACCAGCCGCGAATTCGACAAACATCTGCGCGTTGGCGACACCGAGATGGTAGAGATCGTGCAGGTACACGGTCTCGCGGTTTTGTTTCTTGAAGCGGTCTTCAATCATGAGCTTGAAGGTCGAGCAGCAAGCAAGTTCGGCACGCTGAAGACTGGGCATCTTCACAGAGAGAGACAAGTCCTGCTCAGGCCAAGCAAGCGTCACGAGAAACTTGTTTTTCTCCACGTGACTCGACATTTGAGGAACCGAGCCGTATCGGAGACAGAGACTGAGAACGTCAAGCTTTGCTCTGCGATCCTTCAGGAGATAAGCCTCTGGAATATATTTGGGAACACAAGACCAGTTGCAGTATTTTCCACCAAGCAAAAGATCTGCCAGAGTGATGTTGGTGTACGAGCCACTGATGAGTCCTTTCATCAATTCATCTAACAATTGAGAAGTGGCGTCATCCTATCAAAGATAAAGCAAAACAGTTAGCTTCAGAATCCTGCTTGCGACAGGAAAAAAGAGATTGGACCGATCAGCAGACATACCTTTTTTACGAAGTTTCGATCCAGCTTGATAGTCAACGGAGTAAGTCTTAATTCTGGCGGAAACACCACTTTGAGCGACGCCGAGTTAATTCGTCCGCTGTTGGTTTTGTTGCATTCGACCTCAAAATCATAGCCGACAAAATCGCGCCAAAACGCTCTTGTGTCGGAAAACGGGCCAGGTCCGCTTATATTGAAGATATTGCGAGGGTAGTGGATTGGAAAGGGTAACTTGAGCTTTTTCAAGTAATTGTTGATCTGAAACATGATGTTGAGTTTTTCTGACCTCGATCGGCCCGGTGGTGGTGATTCAGGACCGAAATCAGCCTCGATAAATGCTCCCTTTTCACGAAACTCCTGCTCATCCTTTTCCTTCTTTATTGCCGCTTGTTCCGCCCGGTAGAGAATCGTTTTCTTTGGCTTTCGCGCGTAGTTTCGCCTCTGCTCCACCACCGGCGCTGTCGCCCTCTTGGTCCGAAGCGCACAAGCAGTCCCGAGCAGTCTCTCGGTATGGTACGCTCTTGCTCCAGAGTACGAAAGGGTATCCTTTTCGCCAATGACGTCCGTAATGGACGCATTCAGAAGCGTGCCGACCGACGTCGACGACGACTGCACATGCGGGATTCTTCGGACGTGAACATTCGGGCGAGCGTGCAATTGGGCACACCGCTGAGCGCGCACGCTGCGTAAAGACTAGATGAAGAACACATACACGTTAGTTTCGAACTTTGAGTAGGAATAGAAGGCATGAGATAGTAGGAAAAGAACATACCAAGTAACTATAACGCTGCATTTCTCACGTTCTTCGCCGCCAAAAAAACAGCCTCCACTGTCTTCTTATATCTAGAACAACACCACAGTATCTGAATCTACTCAATAAGCAGAAAAAGACCAAACCGATTTTTACAAACGAAACGAAGCAGGCTGAGACAGCGAACTTGCAGGTGGTTTGAGAAAAAAGGGCTTGTGGGTGGTTCTTTTTTGTTGCTGGGAAGATTTTCTCGGGAATAAAAGTTTTGGGTTTTTGGGAGTTTTGCGCGAACATATTCAAGGGAGGGTAACAGTGTTAGTGATTGATTATGTAATAAGATAAGTAGAGATGTGCAGTTGCTGCACAGATAGCGGGTATTTTCTGTTTCTAATAGGATATATTTAGTCAGAATAAGTAACAAAAGAGCACTGATACTCTACACTGAACAGCAGACAAAGACAGACGAGATCGAGGCGGATAGTATTACTAATCCCTTACACACCCGTACTCTCCCCCCCACAACAGCTGGCACACCGCTCAGAAGGGAAAGTGAAGAAAAAAAAATTGATCTCAGCCTTTGGGAAGCAAAGCAAGCAAAGCACAGCATTCAGCTCGATTTGCACCATCTTCTCTCCTCCTGAATCCCGATTCTATCCCGACTATCTGCAATGTCGAACGAGCAGAACGTGCCCAAGTCCTGGGAACAGGCGTCTCAGGACGACTACAACCAGCTGCCGCAGCAGACAAGCAACCTCAACATCAGCGCGCCACCAAACGGAGCTGCGGGCTACGACGGCCAGCAGCAGCAGCAGCAGCAGCAGCAGCCTTACTATCAGTACAATGCAAACAACTACTACAACTACAACGGCCAGTACGCCGCGCAGCCTCCCCAGGGCGGCTACTACCAGCAGCCCCAGCAGCCCCAGCAGCCGTACCAGCAGGGTGGCTACCAGGGTGGATACAACCAACCCCGATACCAAGGCCAGCAGTATCAGAACAATGGCGGCAGATCCAACAACAACAGCACCAGCACCCCCAGTACCGGCGGCAACAACTGGCGGCAGGGCGCCTCTGGCCTGTCGGCCGCTGCTTCTGACTTTAGACCGAGCTTCGTGCCGCGGCAGGTTCAGCAGCAGGCGGCTGCTGCTGTCCCTACCGTGCCCCTGAGCCAACGGGCGACCACGAGCGCCAACGGCACAAAGGTCTTGAAGATCGGCGGCGACAAGCCCAAGGTCACCGAGACTGCGGGTGGTGCCAAGGTGCTCACGATTGGTGGCTCGTCTGATCCCAAGCCTGAGCCGGCTGCTGCGAAGGAGGCTGCTCCGAAGGAGACCGTTGCGAAGGAGGCTGTGAAGGAGGCCGCTCCGAAGGCCGAGACTGCTGCTCCTGCTGCTGCTCCTGCCGAGGCCGCTCCCGCCAAAGAGGCCACTCCCAAGGCTGCTAAGGAAGCCAGCACAGATAAGGAAGAGAAGGAGAAGGATCTGCGCGCGATCGAGGTTGTGGACGACTCGCACAAGATCGACGACGAGACGATTGAGGATCTGTACGGCAAAGAGCATCTGTCAATCATCTTCATGGGCCACGTTGACGCGGGCAAGTCGACTATGGGCGGCAACCTGCTGTTTTTGACCGGCACTGTTGACAAGCGTACGATGGAGAAGTTTGAGAAGGAGGCCAAGGACGCTGGACGTGAGAGTTGGTACCTGTCGTGGGTGCTCGACTTGACCAAGGAAGAGCGATCGAAGGGCAAGACTGTGGAGGTCGGCCGCGGATACTTTGAGACCGAGAAGCGGCGATATACGATTCTGGACGCACCCGGACACAAGACGTATGTGCCGAGCATGATTGGAGGAGCGTCGCAGGCGGATGTTGGTATTCTGGTGATCTCTGCGCGTAAGGGCGAGTACGAGACCGGATTCGAGCGCGGTGGACAGACGCGAGAGCACGCGGTGCTGGCGAAGAACCAGGGCGTGAACAAGCTGATTATCGCGGTCAACAAGATGGACGACCCGACGGTGGGGTGGTCGAAGGAGAGATACGACGAGTGTACGGGCAAGCTGGCGGTGTACTTGCGATCGCTTGGGTTCAAGCCGAAGGAGGACGTGATTTTCATGCCGGTGTCTGCGTACTCGGGCGCGAACCTGAAGGACCGGGTGTCGAAGGAGCAGTGCCCGTGGTACGACGGGCCGTCGCTTTTGGAGTACCTGGACAACATGCCGATGTCTGAGCGTAAGGTCAACGCGCCGTTTATGATGCCGATTGGTTCAAAGTACAGAGATTTGGGAACGATGGTCGAGGGAAAGATTGAGTCTGGACATGCTAAGCGCGGCTCGCAGCTTTTGCTGATGCCTAATAAGGTAAGAATTTACAAAGATGTTTACAAAGAGAGGAGAGGAAGCGAGAGCTAACATAATTATAGGTGCCTGTTGAGGTGTTGACGATCTACAACGAGACCGAGAACGAGGCGTCGACGGCAGTGTGCGGAGAGCAAGTGAAGCTTCGTTTGAAGGGCGTCGAAGAAGAAGACGTGCAGGTTGGATTTGTGCTTTCGAGCGTGGACCACCCTGTGCACACTGTGACTGCGTTTGAGGCGCAGATTGCAATCATCGAGCTCAAGTCGATTCTGTCTGCCGGCTTCACGTGCGTGATCCATGTGCACACTGCGGTGGAGGAAGTGACGTTTGCGGCGCTGCTGCACAAGCTTGAGAAGGGCACGAACCGAAAGTCGCGCAAGCCGCCTGCGTTTGCGACGCGGGGCATGAAGATCATTGCGCGGCTTGAGGTCGTGAGCACGACGGGATTCTGTATCGAGAAGTTTGATGATTACCCGCAGCTTGGACGGTTCACGCTGCGTGACCAGGGAAATACGATTGCGATTGGAAAGGTTACCAAGTTGTTGAATTAGGTGGGGAAGTGTATGGGGTGGTTGTGAGAGTGGTGGAGGGGAGAAAAGGAGACAGACAGAAAGATGGTTGCGAGGTTTATAGTTTAAATACGCATCGATTATTTTCTTATGTGTCAACGGTGTGGATGTATATGCGAATACAACAATGAATGTTTATAAGATGGTTAATCCAAGTAAATGCATTGAGATCTGCTCCTTAATCAGACTTTTCAAGAAGTTAGGAGCTGGACGACAGTTTTGGCCTGATACCATGGAATGTATTTATACAGAGCGCCATGGGTAGTAAGCCTGCCATGTAGTGCACTAGTAGGCACGAAAGAGACAGAGACCTGGGCAGGATCTCGTCCGACGTCAGCAAATGCCTGCCGAAGTTCGTTGGATTTAATGTACTCGACGACGGCGTCGAAGCGGGGCTTGACGTTTGCGGCGTTGGATCGGTCGATGAGTTTGTTGACGGCGATAATGAGTCGTGAGACGGAAGGGAGGCGGAGTAAGCTGCGGAGGCGGAATCTGGTGTCGTCGTCGAAGCGGCATGGGTCAGAGGGGGAGATGGTGGCGGGGTCGGGGGTGGAGTCGGAGTTGGATGATGGAGGGGCTGCGTCGACGAAGAGGATGACGACGCGGTCTTTGTAAGGTAGGGAAGAGATGTCGCGGGCGGGATCAGCGCACGCGGAGGGGAGGAGGACAAAGAGATTGCGGGAATCGTCGTCCGGAGCGAAGAAGACGCGACGGGGTTTAGATGCTGAGGAAGGGCGTAGGTGGGCGCGGCGGAGGGAAGAGGGTTTCGCCCATCTGTTTAGACGGAAGGAGCGGTCGCGGCGGATGTAGTCGAGCATGTCAAAGATGCTGTCGCCGGAACCGAGAGGCGCGTCGAGTTTCGAGATGTAATTGCAGTCAGAGTAGAGGATGGGTGGGCGCGGGAAGGCGCCGTCGGCGTCTTCTTCGTCGGAGGAGAGGTTGGCTGAGGAAGAGGACGGCGGGGACGGACGGACGGGGTAGAATTCTTTGAGGAAGAGGAGGTCGGCGATGAAGGTCCACTTTCCGGAGCCTTTGTTGCCGATGACGTAGAGAGCGGTCCATGATTCAGGACGAGCGATGGGGGTGGTGGGAGATGCGTATTGAGATTGAGATTGAGATTTGGGAAGAGGATCGCCGGAGTGGGAGGAGTAGGAGGTGGTGGAGACGCCGGGGGCGTTTCCTTGGAGGAGTTGAGAGATTGAGTAGTCGTCGGGGGTTGGAGAGGGGGGAGGAGGATATTCGAGGATCTGGACGGAAGCCGAGGGGTCGAGGAGGCGGGCGGAGGGGGCGAGGGGGAGGAGGTTGTAGTCGAGGAGGTCGACGCGCTGGAGAAGGCGCTCGTTGTGGATGACGGGGGGGCCGAGGCCTCTTGCTCTGGGGAGGCGGATGAGGGCCATGGAGATAGTGAGTAGTTGAGTATTTGAGAAGTTGAGAAGATGAGATGGCGATAGTAGGGATGGTTGGGAGGATAGGAACCCTAATGGTAGGAGGCGCGGGAAGAGCAGGTAGAAGAGATGTGATGGGTATAGAAGATGGGAATAAGTAGAAACAGAATACAATACAATACAATATAATACGATTACTCTTGAATACAATAAATACAATAATACACAATACAATACATACAAACAGCAGTAACAGCACAGCAGAGAACAGCCGGAACACGGAGCCGACGCCGGCAAAAGAGCGTCGGGTTAGGCTTCGGATTAGGGTTTTACCAAAGGAGAGGCCGAGAAAAGTGAAAAGTGGGGAAGAGAAGAAGAAGAGAAGAAGAAGAGAAGAAGAAGAAGAGGAGAGATATGGGGATATAGAATAAGCAGAGTATTTAACAGCATATAACAACAGCATATAACAACACTTACAACAACAACAACCTCTCTGCCCAAACAGAGGCTAATCCCGAACCCGCCGGTCCCACGTTTAGCCGTTCCGTAGTCACATGACCGGATCAGCTCCGTTCTGGTGCTTCTCCACGCAACCGCTCCCGAGCTCGTTGCCTCCCCACCGAGTTTTCTCTTTCTTCCTTCTTTCTCTTGATATCTTCTTGTATCTTCTTATATCTTGCTATATCCTCCTATATCTCCTTCATCTCCTCATCTTCACCCCGCTCAGGCCTCCGTGCCGGCCTTCCTCCCAATGACCATCTCGGCTTCCTCCCCGGCAGTGGATCCTGCCTCCGTCGCCTCTCCAAAGCCATCCTCGAATCCCACCTCAACAACAACAACAACCTCCTCCGCTCCTCCTTCCTCAATCCCTCTTCATTCTCACCAACCTGACTCCTCTTCTACTCCCTCCAATTCCCATCACCTCCCGCTCTCCGTCTCAACAACCGACTCCGTTGCCCATCCTCGCAAACGGTCAAAAGTCTCTCGAGCCTGCGATGAGGTATGTCTCCATATACTCCTTCTTTCCCCCCTTCTTCTCTTTCTTCTTCTTCTCTATACACACTTTTTGTCCTATTCTCTCTCTTTTTCTCCATCTAACTAACTCTCTATTTAGTGCCGACGCAAAAAAGCAAGTCCTCTCCTCTTCTCTCCATCTCTCTTCACCTCTCTCCTCACCTTCCTCACCTCACCTCTCTCTCTCCATACTAACCTCCCCAGATCCGCTGCGACGCAACCCTCGACGGCGGCCCCGAGCAATGCTCCTCCTGCCGCCGCGTCGGCGAAAAATGCTCCTTCTCTCGCATACCCATGAAACGCGGGCCCAGCAAAGGCTACATCAAAGAACTCGAAGACCGTCTCAACTCTCTCGAAAACTCCTTCGGCGTCGACGGCTCCCCCGCTACCCGTCGCAGCAGCGCCGTCTCCGTCGACGTCCGCGCTTACCCCACCGACTCTTCCGCTGCCTCCTCCGCAAACCCCTCCAACGGCCACAAAAACAGCATAAGCAGCACCGGCTCCAATACCTACCCTGCCGACTCCCCAAACTCGCAGTACTCCGGCTCCTTCACCTACGCCTACGGTTCTCCCAGCACCGTCATCGGAGACCAATCCGCCCGGCCCCGCACTGACTCCGCCCACTCCTTGCACTCCCTTCCCCCTCCTGCGGCCGCCGCTGCTAATCCCCCCCACCAGCAGCAGGTCCTCCTCAACTCCCCCACCCTCTCTCTCTCTCTGCCCGGCCAGCGCAAGCGCGCCTTCTCAAGCACTATGGAGTACTCAAACGACCGCGCCCGCCAGCAGCAGCCTTCTCCCATGGCTCCCATCCGCCAGCAGTCTCTCAGCTCTGGCATGGGCAGCGCCGCCGCCGGCACCGGCGGTCTCCTCCCCGAGCGTCTGCCTTCAATCGACAGTCTGAGGTCAAGCACAAACACAAACCAATTGCCCCCGCTGCAGTCATCTACCCATGCCGAATCTGTCTATATGGCTCCTCCTAATGGCTCAACCCATCTCTGGAAACCATCCTACGGCGGCAGCAGGCTTCCTGCCCACCGCCCTGCCGACGACGAAAATAGTCCCCGCACTCCCCAACCGCCCAACGGATTCTCTCGTCATAATCAGCAGCTCTTGCAGCAGCAGCAGCAGCAGCCATTCGCGGCTCCGGCCCCGGCCCCGGCTCCGCAGCAGCTGCAGCCCTTCCCGCGCCAGCTCCACCGACATTCCATCGGCACCGGCATGATGGGCTCCTACGACCCTGTCATGTCATCCTCAGCCGGTCATACTCCAACCGACTCTCTAAGCAGGCGGGGTTCAGTAGACTCTGGGTTTACATTCAGCTGGGACGACGACGTCATCGACGCCTACTACTCACACATTCATCCCATCCTGCCCATCCTTGCCCAATCGCGCTCCAAGCTACGGTCGCGTCTGGTTGCGTCAACAGTTCCCGCCCGCAACGCTTGTCTTTCTGCACTCTATGCTCTTGTGCGCGGCATGATTTTCCGCAAACGCAGCGACGATGATCTGCAGACGGCAGTCAAATGGGTCAACGAGGCAATCACCAGCCCCGGCCGGCTTTCGTTCGTGTCCTCGCTGCTCATCGTCCAGACAATGATCCTCCTCGCGCTCGAAACCGTAAACCATGGCCCCGCCGCGCTCGGCGACCACATGCGCTCGTCATCGTACTGGCTCGGTACCGCCGTCGGCATGGCATACTCTCTCCGCCTCAACTCCCTGAGCACATCCACCCCCGGCGGCGTCGACGACAGCGACCTCGATTCCGACGCGCGCTCGGGCCGTCGCACGTTTGTCGTGCTCTACATCCTCGACCGCTGGACGTCGGTCTCGCTCTCGCAGCCAATGATGATCTCCGACGACGCGCTCGTGCTCCGCTCTGAAGACTTGCTCAGCCTCACCCCCGTCTCCTACCACCTCGTGCGCTTCTCGACCGCGCTCGGCCACGTCATTGGCGCGTGCTCGCATTTCGAAGAAGACGCGGTGCCGGACGCGCGGCATCATCATATCGCGACCTTGCTCCGCGGCGAGCTCGAGCGCGTGCGCGAGTCCGTCGACGACCTATGGGAGTCAAAACCGATCCTCGAAGTCACATACTGGCATATCCGACTCCTCACCCTCCGTCTGCTGCAGAACCCGGACCCGCAAGTCCTACTTGGTCCCGCAGTCCGCATCGTGAGGTGCATCGTACCCCAGCTCCTCGGTCGTCACCAGCAAAACGGCAGCGGCGGCGCTTCCTCCACTGGCGCAGCTGCCGCCGCAGACTCCAAGTCGCAGCAGCAATCAATGGCCCCGTTCGGCCACCACTTCCTCGCGCTCGCGACCGAGACCTTGCTCGACCTGACCGACATCAGCGAGACCTGCGACGAAGCCTGGCGCTCGTTAAACTCCCTTCTCGACTCGCTCATCCCGTCCCCTACCTCCGCGCCACCGACTTCCGCCGAAAACACCGACGGCGGCGGCGATCACCATTATAACGAGACATGGGAAGCTTGTGTGCGGATGGCGATTGAAAACAAAAAGTCGCGGACGGCGCGGAATTCAATCTCAGGCGCGTCCGTCGGCCCGGCCACGATTGCAAACAAACCCGCCAGCGCCTCCCAACCACAATCCGGCGGCGGCGCAGGCAGCAGTAGCGCCGGCGGACCTCCTGGTCTGTCGTCTGGATTAGAGAGGTTAGCCTCGATAGCGGTAGGCGAGAGCACGAGTAGCGGGAGTAGGAATCTACTTGCGGTCGAGACGTCGCGGTTGCGGAGTGTAGGATATTTATGGGTTTTGGCTTTATGATGATGCTGTGTGGTGGTTGTTGTATGAATGTACCAGTATGTTTTGGATGTTTCGAAAAAAGGAGATTTGTTTGCCGCGTTGGTTTGTAATGTTGCGCGGGAGTAAGTTATTTAATGCTTGTAGTTTGTTGTTTTATTTGTAGTTATCTTGTCATTTACCTTCTCTCTTATTGCAGAAGGCCAAAAGAATGTTTTTGTCATCTAATTCACATATTTCTTCGTTTTAATCCTGTTTTGTGCGTTGTGTTGTGGTGAGTGGGAGATGCCTACAGTAATTGTTGTATATACCGAAATGAACTAAAAATGACATTGCGCATCTAATGAAAAAAGACCGTGTGTGGATGAAACTTGTGAGAAAAACTAATGAATACAAACGACAGAAACTCCGCAAAACCAATGATTTTACAACAAAAAACGAAAAATATGCCCGACCCAATTTCCACCCTATCTCCATCTGATGTTGAGTCAAAAAATGTTGAGTCAAAAAAAAAGGGACTCAACACCAGATGATGATCCTCAAAACATACAACGCCGCCCTGACAACAGACCGCAGGACGCGCAGGACCATGACAACCCCCCACACCATCCACAGCACCCCCGTGACCGCCTTATCAAGCACCACAAACCCAACCTGCTTGAGCTCGTTCTTCATATACGCGCGCCGGCGCGAACTCGCGCCTTCCTTTTCGACGTACTCGAGTTCCTCGCCCAGCCGGCGCACTTGCAGGCTCAGCGTCGTGTTGATCTCCGCCGAGAGCCGGTCCGAGGCCGAGATTGCAAAGTCGAACCGTGAGCGGAACGAGGTCGAGAACGCGGAGGTTAGCGCGTCGGCCCGGGACGAGAGGGTTGATAAGGCGGCTTTGCTCGCGGTTAGCGTCACGTCTTTGAAGTGCGAGGTTACTGTTTCAAACGAGTTTCTCAGCGCGGGAATCGATTCGCTGTCGTCCTCGTCGTCGTCGTCCACCGCTGCAGAGTCTTCCTCGCGTTTACCCTCGCTCGACTTGCCAACAGCACTAGTATCAGCCAACCGGCTGATCGACCGCTGATACACAGTACACACAACCGCCGCCCGTCTGCCCTGCACCGCAAACTGCGCATCAAGCCACCGCAGCTCCTGCACCAGCTCCGCCAACCCCGCCCGCGCGCCCTCCGCCCGCGATGACAGCGCAGGCGTCGACGCGCCGCCGTCGGCTGATGTCTCACCTGCTGGGTCTTCGACGTCGCTTTCCGGACGGATCCGGGTGAGCGGGTGTAAGTCGTTTCCGCTGGCAGGCGAGAGAAGCGGCGTGGATACGGTGGCCGTCGAGCCGTGCGCGGGGGAAAACACGACTTTGGAAACATTAGAGTCCCTGTACTGCGGCGACAAAAGCTTCTGGTCTTGCCGGCCGTTGGTGCTTCGAGTTGTACTGTTTGATAAGCTCAGGTCGGCGGTCGTCGACGAGCTCGACCGCGAGTGTGAGCGATGAAACGACCGCGGCCGACGAGATGGCGATTTCGACTTCTTGCTCTTCCTGATCGACACCCCGCCGTCAGAAACATGACCGCTACTTCCTCCTGCTCCTCCCGCCGACGAAAGCCCCAAACTCGGCACCGCAAGCAACCCATCCGGACTAACCAGCGGCTCCGCGCTCACGGGCGTAGTCTTCTTCGATCCCGGCGATCCCGGCCGCGACTTCACCGGCGACGCAGACCGCGATCCCGAAGGTGAAAACTGGCCGGCTTCGGACGCGCGCCGGCGGCCGCGCCGGTGGAGACGGTGGTGGTGATGGCCTTTTCGGAAGCCGAGCTTGCGATTTGTCGACGACGCGCCGGACGAGTGCACTGCTTCTTCAAATACGGCGTCCGAGACCGCGCCTTCTGAGTACGCCTGAGATGATGCGTCGTCACTGTCGGTGTCGGAGGACGTGTAAGATTCACCCGACGACGACTCGTACGAATCATACGCCTCGTCGTCCTCATCTTCCTCGTTCGCGACCCGGCGTCGTCTCGCTCCTTTCTCCATCTGGCTGGCAGCTGCCTTCATCTGCCGTTTCGTCAACTGGTACTCAATCTCGCGAGTGAGTCCGAAATCAGGCAAGATCTTGACGACCCGCCTACGAGACGCGCCGTCGTGCCGATGATGCCGGTGTCGTCGAAGTCGGCCATGTAGTCTTCCTCCTTTTGCGTCTTCGTCCGACTCCTCGTCGCCAGACAGATCAGAGCCGGAGTACTCCTCGTCTTCGGCAGTGTCAGACCGCTTGTGTCCGTGACGCCGCGCGTCCTCGTCTCGGAGCATCGGCTCGTACAGCAGTCTATTACTGCGGTCTCTCATCAGCGTCCGGTTCCGTTCCCGCCATCCCCAGTCGGCAAACATCTCGTTCACGTCAACCTCCCAGATAATCGGCCGCGCAGGGTTACTGTTATACGCCGTCGACGCCGGCGTCACGATCGCGACCGGTTGCATGTCGAGCGAGTGGTTAAGCGCTTTGCGCACGAGTCGGTTCCGGATGATTTGCAGCGGGTTGTAGACTCCGTCGACGCCGCGGTGGTTCACGAGCGCAGAGTGGTGTTGTGCCACTTGGCTTTGTGAGATGTAGGCTGCGTGTAGTTCGAGCCAGGTCTTGGTCTTCAGTACTCGTCGCTCGGTGGCAGGCGAGGGTTCAATAGCTGCTTCTGTTAGCGTCTTTTTAGTTGGAGTAGGAAGAGTGATAAGAGAAACTCACAGTCACTTTGGTCCAAAGCAATTTTCTGTCTCTTTTTCGCACTCGAGCTAGAAACGGCTCGAGAGTCACGTAGATGAATCACCAGATTCGCTACCCGCGCAACATCGGCATCCGAGATCTCGATATTCATTCGGCCTTTACTCGTCGTCTGCGTCGTCGGCGTCGGCGACAATTGTACCTGCCGTCGCGTAGTCCGATTGCGCCGGGGCAGTTTCGCTGGCTCGCCTTCGTCGTCTCCTGCTGGGTTGTCGAGGGAATTCAGAGAGATCTTGGATGTGTTTGCGCTCTTGCTGCGGAGGTGGCCGTTGCTGCTACTCGCGCTGCTACTCGTAGATCCGCTCGCGCCGCTTCCAAACGACGAGCCAGACGCGTTCGTGAGCACGACCGTCGGCCGCTCTGGCTGCTGCTGGTGCTGGGATGCGGAATGTGCGCTGGGCGAGTAGAACTGCATGCCGGTCAAGAAAGATTTCGCGTTTGTATCGTAATGCCTTGTGCGCGCTGCCGCGGCCGCCGAGGTTCCCGACGCAGGCCATATTTGTCCCTGGCTCGCGCTGCCGGACGAGGACGTCGACGACGGCGAGAGGGTCGAGTACTGGTACTGCGAGCTGGACGAGGTGGCCGTGGCCTGCAGCGAGAGCAGATCCAGCGCCTCTGCGTCGTCGGCCTCGGACCCGCTCAGCGCCGCGACAGAGGACCGCCTGCGTGCGGGCGGGAGCGAGTCTTGCATCGTGGACGAGCGCTGCTGTAAGGGCGGCACACGGCGGCCGCGCTGGGACGGGCGCAGGGTTGCCATGATCACAGACGCGCGGGCTCCCTCTTCTTCGGCAGCTGGGGAGAAGAAGCAGCCGGGTGTGAGAGGGAGATCCGGTGGAGGGTAGAAGGAAGAGGAGGAGGAGGAGTGGAGTTGGTGGTGAGGAGGAGGAGCCGGCGGGTATTTGATCTCGATTTTGGAGAGCTCGAGCGTTCAGGATATGCCGCAAGGTGTTTAACTTTAATAGTGGATTTACGCTCATAACTGTTAACCACAAATACATTCATTAATAAATCATTAGATAACATCCCAAAACGCTCTGAACTAAATAAAACAGCTGTAGTTTTTACGAGGACAATGTTGTCTACTTGTATCCCATCCTCACGGCCTGCAGTCCACGGCCTGCGATCGCCCCGATCCACTCCCCGTTCGCACTCCACGTCAGATTATTCACCTCCGCGTTCTCGGTATACGCGAACGCGATATCAGGCCGGTTCGACGACACGTCCCAGACCAGCACCTGGCAGTCGTCCGAGCACGTCGCGATAGCGTTGCGCTGCTTGGGCGCCCACTCCACGGCGTTGATGTTGCCCATGTGCGCGTCCAGCTCGATGACCGGAGTGCCAGGTGAGCGGATGTCGAGCACATGAACGACGTTAGAGTCGATCGAGAATGTGGCGAGCATGTTTGGGTCTCGGCTGTTTGTGCTGATGCGCAGCAGTGGTGGTGGGTTCACCGGTTCGTAGATGATGGTCGAGTGCTCGAGACTGCGCAGGTCAAACACTCGCACTGAGCCGTCGGCGCCGACCGAGGCAAACACGTCCGCGCTCCCGGTCGTGAACCGGGCGTCAAACACTTCTTTGTCGTGCGCAATAAGTTGTGTCTTTGCTGTGGATGTGTTGAGATCCCAGATCGTGCACGTCGTATCGATCGAAGACGTGATCACCAGTGAGTTGTCGGTCGCGTTCCAGTCCAGACTTGTCAGAGGGGCAGTGTAATCAGATTTCGTTTTCTATAAATCCACAGTCAGCACCGGCTTTCATTAAATGAAAGCAGGATCAGGTCATCTCACGTTGGCCAACAGCGAACTCTGCCGCAGCGTCATTGTCTCGGGGTTATATTCCCATATCCGCAAGAAATCACCCGCGGTCGCCAGTCGCTCTATGTTTCCGCCCATCGCGCGGCCCGCAAATGGGTCCCATCGTACGCGGGTGCAGGGGTACACGACTGCGGACTCGGCGGTTTTGTTAAGCTCCAGCGACGGGATCTGCTGGCCGTTGGCTTGGGTTTCTGCTACCGGTGTTGGCTGGAGGATTTGTATCTACTGAATGTTAGTAGGGGTAGATATATGAGTAGAAGTAGAGAGATGAAACTCTCACTCTATTATTTGAGTCCTCTGTGCATGTCGCGACTGCAATGCGCCCTGGTCCACGCTGGAAGGCGCTGGTGGACCAATCGACGGCATAAAGAGGCCAATGCGATTCAAAGTAAGCGCCGCGACGAGGGGTAGCAGAGGCAGTTGTCTGTCGAGAGCCACCACTACTGCTGTTGCTCATGGCAGAAGCAAGAAGACCAGAGCCAGAGACGCTGGCGGAGGAGGGAATCGCGGAGGCTGACGCGGGTCCAGAGGATCGCGGCATGCCTACGGGGGGCTGTGTGAGGATCGAGAACGAGGAGCGTTTGGTGAGCGATGGTTGCGCCATGGTGGTGCTGTGTGTAGTGATGCTGCTGAGGTGTAGTGATGCTGTTGAGGGTGCAGTGAAGATCGCGATGCAATGTGCAGCGAGGAGCAGCAAGAGCGCGCTGGATCACTAGATCACCTGGGCGAACGCGTGCAGAGGCTCGTGAAGAGTCAACAGAGGTGGTGAAGTGTCAGATGGACAATGAGTACTAGACAGTTTTCAACTGATGCCTGAACAAAATCGGTCAGAGCTGAGTAGATATACAGTATTAATATGCAATACAACTACAATATTCAACAGTTCAATATATCTGGCGATGTTCGCTGAGCAGTCAGTGCTGACACCACAAGGCCCTCGTAATATGACTAATCTCTCACCTAATCATTCTAGAAGGCGGCGATGATCAGCTGGGAGCGCGGCAATCTGGCAGGTGCTCGGCGCCAATCCAGAAGGATTAACTGACTTTTTCCGCTCTGCTCCTCCTCCTCCTCCGCTGCTCGTCTCTTCACCACTTCCTATCGCCAAAAGCAATGCTGATCCGGACACAATGACCCCGCCTGGCAGAGCGACCTTCTCCATATTCGCGCCCCTCGACGGCGACGAAGACTCCTCTTCCTCCGCCACCGCGGTCCCGTCCGTCCCTCCCTCCGCCCACCGCCAGACCCCGCGTCCCTCCACTCTGCCCTCGACGGCCACCGCCAGGAAGGAGAACTATGTCATCGAGCACCAGAAAGCCTGCGCGTCGTTCCCGTATGAGACTTCTTCGCTTGGGCCGCAGGACTCGTGGACGCCCAGCTTCATGTCGTATTACTCAATGGCCATGATAGCGCCCTTTCCTTCCATGCTCATATACGGGCCCGAACTGGTGCTTATATAGTATGTCTTTTCCTCTTTCTTGCACTCTCTGTGTGTACTTGTTGTTTGTATGCAGAGTATCTTGTTCTGCAGTCTTTGTTCTGCCCGTGTGGATCCCGCACGTACACCCTCATTGCTCCCAACTCGCTGGCGATATCACCTCTGTTCTCCACACTTGTTCACTGCATCTCCACACACACACCTACCCAACTCTATCTAACCTCTCCTCTTCCTCTCTCTTTTTAGCAACGCGGAATTCGGACACGTCCTCGGTCTCGACCCCGGCATCTACTTCGGCCGCTCCTTCTCTGAACTCTGGGTCGGCTCCGATCTCAACTTTGAACTCTCCGAGGCCCTGCGAACATGCACCACCACCGGCCGCTCCGTCACAAAAGAGAACCTCCTCTGCTTTGTCACAAACCCCGACACCTTCTCCGAAGGCGGCATGAACAAAGAAGCCTATCTCACTTGGAAACTCACCCCCGTCACCGAGGCTGATGGCACCATATCTGGCGTGTTCGCCTCCGTCCAAGATACCACAGACGCCGTTCTTTACGAACGCCGCATGCAGGTCCTCAAAGAACTCTACGACGCCACCGGATCTGCTGAAGTCCTCGACGTCTTCTATACCCAATCAGTCTCCGTCCTCCGTCGCGCCTGCGCCGAAGACATCGCTCTCTTCGGTCTCTATGTTCTCGACTCTGGTACTGCCAAAACCCTTCGCTATCGTTGCGGGTTCGGCCTTCGAAACTTCCCAGATCGGATATCGTTCAGTCCAGAGCAGGAGCTGTTCGAGCAAGCTATCTTAGATTCCAGCTTATCTGCCGTCTACATCACCGCAATGGCCGACGGCTTCAGAAACTACATTGAATACGATCCAGCTCGGGGCTGGAGCGAGGAAATCATTGAACTCGTGTTTCTGCCCGTCATGCGCGACAACAACTCCGTCGTGGGCGTCGCAGTCATCGGACTAAATCCCCGGCGACCATTCGACGAGCCCTACGAACTCTTTCTCGAACTCCTCGGTCGCCAGCTCGCAACCGGTATCGACAACCTTCGACATCTTGAAGAAGCTTCAGACAAGCTGAGCTGGGAAGTCACGCTCAGCACGCGCAAACGTCAAGAACTCGAGCAACTTTTACAGGAAAAGACAAAGCAGCTGCAAATCAGCGAGGGCCGATTCAGTCGTATGGCGAAAATTCTCCCCGCCGGACTCTTTCTCGCCTCGCCCGAGGGCGAGGTCATGTACGCCAACGACGCTTGGTACAAGCTATCGTCCTACCCCAAAGACGGCAACCCGTCGTTCTGGATCAAGGCCGTACATCCCGGCGACCGGGCGCTCGTGCGCGAGAGCTGGCGTCGCGTGATGCTCGGCAAGTCCGAGCGGATCGAATTCCGCTGGGCGCACCGGCCGGGCGAGGTGTCGAAAGTCGAACGGTGGTGCGCAAGCGCTGTCTCGGCGGAGTTTGATAGCGAGACCGGTAAGCTTTCGACGCTGACGGGCGTCTGGACCGACATCACCGAGCGGAAACAGTCGGAGGCGTTACAGCGGCAACGCGCTGACGACGCTGTGGAGAGGAAACGGCAGCAGGAGTATTTCATCGACGCGATTTCGCACGAGATGCGGAATCCGCTGAGCGCAATCATGCAAAGCATCGACGTTGCGTCTGAGAGGCTCAAGTCGCTCGAGTGGATGATTGAGGACAGTTTCGATAGAGGCAGCACTCTGTTTGATGCGCAGGCGTTTAAAGACGGCATGGCTGAAACCACCGAGGCACTGGGGATGATGGATCTTTGTACAAGCCATCTGAATCGGATCATCACAGATACAATCGATCTGAGTAAGATGGAGTCTGGACTGTTCCCGGTCAATCCTGTTTCATGCCAGCCGGTGACTGTCGTGAGAGAGGTCTTGAAGATGCACGAGCACGAGTTGAAGAATATGGCTATAGACTACAGTATTGAGATTGGGGAGAACTTTAGAGAGATTGGGATCAACACAGTACTTATGGATCCCTTGCGCGTGCGACAGGTTTTGATCAACCTGATCTTGAACGCCATGAAAGTGCTTTCTTCTTGGGAAAACGAGAAGAAGCTGATTATCAAACTGGACGCGTCGCTCACAAAGCCGACGTTCCAGTCCCACAACAACGCGTCGTTTTATCTGCAGCATCCAGGTGTAAACCACGAAAGCACAGCGAACTTTGCAAAGCTGCTGTCGCAGTCACCCACGAAGAAGCCGGCGGCGGCAGCGGTCAGTACCCTTGTGTCGTCGGTGTCGTCGCCTTCGTTATCGTCGATTACGTCGCGGTCGGGCTCGAGTTTGGAGTTTTCTATGTCCACCCTGATGCCTCCCGGGTCGGCTATGACAGCAACCGCGACAGCATCAAACAATGGCGCTGGTAAGAGCAATCTCAGTCTCCCGCACTCAATCCGGCCCACGGCCTCTTACGCAGCGCTGGCTGCTGCGCTTTCCACTTCTCCTTCAGCGGTTCCGCGGTCGCCGCCTCGGACAATGATGCTAGATAGCATGGCTAGCAATCCGTCGATGGCAACGCTAGCGTCGGCGACGGCGTCGACCGCAGGCGGCGCGACAGCAGTAGCCGAAGCCACGGAGCGGAGAAACTCGTCTGCGAATGTGGTGTATCTGCTATTTTCGGTCAAAGACACGGGATCCGGTATGGACCCTGAGCAGCTCGCGACCGCGTTCCAGCGGTTCACGTCGCATTTCGCGCCGCGGACACATGTGCACTATGGAGGCACGGGTCTGGGACTGTACGTTTCGCGCAAGTTGGTTGAGAATCAAGGAGGCGAGATCATGGCGGAGACGAAGAAAGACCATGGCTCGGAGTTTGTGTTTTACATCAAGGCGCACATGAAAGAGCAAGACGAGGACGACACCGATCTGGCGGATATAACCGAGAGCGTTACGCTCGACGAGGAAGATGACGAAGGTCGGTTTTCGCGGTCGCGGATCCGGAGCTCGGAAAGCAAGTTTTTGACGACGGCGTCGTCGTCGATGACTAGTATGTCTAGTATACGGATGAGCCGGTCGAATCGGTCGAGCTTGAGTATACCTGGCACGGTGGCTGTGGATGGACAGGCGCGGACTGCGTCGTGCTCTTCTACGGCGTCTTTTTCGTCGTCGTTGTCGGGGGAAACGATTGGCAAGAAGAAGATTCTGATTGTTGAGGTGGGTGTTGCTATTGCTGTCTTTGATTTTTGTTGTGAACGGTTTACTAACGAGTTGTGCAGGACAATATAATCAACCAGAAACTACTAAACCGACAATTCATCAACGCCGGCTTTGCGACAGTCATAGCAAACCATGGACAAGAAGCCGTCGACATCGTGATGTCGGGCGAAGACCCGGATTGCTGTATTATGGACTACGAGATGCCAGTAATGGACGGCTTCACGGCCGTGTCGAAGATCCGCGAGCTCGAGCGGCAGAATAGTATCCCCGGAGCAGGAGACGATACCGACCATGACAGCGACGAGGACAGCTCTGGGGGAGAAAAGAAACGGAGAAGACGAAGGAGACATGGTCGGTTGCCGATTATTGCGCTCTCGGCGAATACGCGACAGGTGCACTTTGATAGAATGCTCGCCGCGGGATCGGATCGATATGTGACTAAACCTTTCAGTTTTCCAAAGCTGGTGGAGGTGGTTAATGAGTTGCTCCATGCCTCATCAGGCGAGCGGACGCAGGGATGAGACATTAGGACTCCTACCAAGAGGGCTGAAGAGTGTTTTTTTTGTGTGTTTAGAGATTTGTTCATGTACATTTTTTCCTGCTGCTGTTTTTTTGTGATTAGTTGGCGCTGCGTGAAGATACATATACATATAGATGAGTATGGGATTACTTTTGAGAATTGTCATCTGCTTGGTTCTTTCTTTTGTTTGCTCCCTTTTGTTTTTTTTCCAATTCGATACTCCGCGCTATCCTCGCTGGCGTCTTGCATTATTACTTTGCATATATTTATTTAGTGTTATAAGTGTTTATACATAGATTAATTGACTAATTACGGGAAGAAAAAAAAAAATGAGGTGCCCTGCCGTGCTGGAAATATGATATAACAAAGACGCAGACGAACAGCGAGATCTTGAGCCAGAGGTGGGTAAAATTAGTAGTTAAGTGGGCTGCCCTTCTGCAGCTCTGCGTTTGAGTTTGCCACTGCTTTCCACTCTTTTTGCTAAATTACTCTTGTCTGTGTTTGCTATCCTCATCTCGTCTAGTATGACTTCTTCCGACCTGAATGTCCGCTTCAAGTTCTCTGCGGGCAACCGCAGCCAGAGCACGGCGGCACCGCCCAAATGAAAATAGGTTGCGGGAAATGAAAAAATGAATCATCACACACGGCGGTGATTTGGGAATCCTGTTTTAAGGTTAGAAGAAAGCAGCAGCAGCTCTTCGGTGGCTCGCAGCCACCCGGACGCCACCACCATCACCTATTGTCTTGTCTCTTGGATGATGCAATTTTTTTTTGTTTCCTACTTTCTGCTCGAATCATCTCGTTTTAGAGAGCGTTGCTGGCTCGTTTGCGTAGATTCAAAAAGGCTGGGTGGACATGCAGACGCGGGCCGGGGCCCGATGACACCTTCGGCGGGCGCCATGGTGTAGGCCCCGTTTATTTTTATTTTTTGTAGTACTTTTGTGCAACGGTCGTGTAACTAAACTATACTAGACAACTAAGCGGAATAACGATGTCTTCACACATAGCCACTCCTCTGGCTGTGTATATTGAGCAGTACTGTAGGTTACTCGAACCGGGCTTATCCGTGGTCCGTTCGTGAGGTCAGAATTGTAAAGAGTCAGAGAGGTTGGTGCTGTAAATCCACGTGCGTTCGCGCAAGATGCACGAATGGTCTGAGCTGGCGCACAGTACACGAACCCCCGGTCTTTTGCAGCTCACGACCGCCGCTGAATGCGGCAAGTGAGGAGAGGTGAGGTGAGGCAAATAAAGACAAAATTCAGCAAGCAAGCAGAGAGAGCGGGTGCCCGCGCCGACGGACAGGGTGCGAAACGCCCGCGAGCTAGTGACGAACCTCTGTTCTCAGCAAGCGAGCTGGTCTCTTCTGCTGTCGCAAACCTTTTTTTGTTACCTCTTTTACAGCAGTGCTCCCCACTGATCCACTTTTCTCGTGTTCTTTGTTCCTGATTTTTTTTATCTTCCGCTTATCCTCCTCCTCCTCCCTCCTCTTCGTCCCTCTCTCGTCGCTCGCTTTGGGTATTGATTCGCATGCTTCGTTGCTTGTCGTAGTTGATATTGTTCTTTGATTCGACATGACGCTATATCAACCTCCCTCGGACGGCTTCTGGACAAGACTAGACCGCCGTCTTCGAGTATCCGAGTACGCCCAAGACAGATCAAGCAACCATGGTAGATATATCCTCTGCATACTATCTCAAACCTGCTCGTCACTAACACTGCTCAGATCTCGACCCTGTGCCTCCCGCCGAACGCACCTGGACCGGTCTCGACTTCACAACCTACTGGATCTCCGACAACTTCTCCCCGCAAGGCTGGCGCAAGGTCGCCTCGCTGGTGACGATAGGCATGTCCTGGCGCACCGCGCTCATCAACGTCGCGATCTCCGACATCGTCGTCGGCGCGGTTGTCACCGCAAACGGCTACTGTGGCGCGCGCTACCGCGTGCCGTTCGCGATCCAGTCCCGCGTCTCGTTCGGGTACTATATGAGTTGGCTGCCGATTCTGCTGCGCTGTATCGTCGGCATCTTTTGGTACGGCATCGCGGCTTATACGGGCGGCGAGTGCGTGCGGTCGATGCTGTACGCGATCTGGCCGTCGTTTAGGAACCTCAAGAACCAGCTGCCGGAGAGTGCAAATATTGATACGCAGATGATGATCTCGTACTTTATCTACTGGCTCTCGATCTTACCCCTGCACTACGTGCACATCTCCAAGATCCGCTGGCTGTTCACGCTCAAGTCGATCACGCTCCCGATCGTCGGCTTCGGCATCATGGGCTGGACAATCAAGCACGCGGGGACGGGAAACAACTCGCTCTGGAGCCAGGGCAACACCGTCCACGGCTCGGCCTTCAGCTGGGTGTTTATGCAGGGCCTGTACTCCAACATTGGCGGCTGGGCCACGCTCGGCATGAACTCGCCAGACTTTACGCGGTACGCCAAGCGGCCGCGCGACTCGCTCTGGATGCTGATCGCGCTGCCGGCGTCCGCCACGCTGATTGCGTTCTTTGGCGTCGTCAGCGCGGCGGGCTCGATCACGCTCTATGGATCCGTGCTCTGGGATCCGCTGCTGTTTATCGACAAGTGGACTTCTGCCGGTGGCCGCGCGGCCGCGTTCTTCTGCGCGCTCGGGTTCTACTTTGCGCAGGCGACCAACAACATCTCTGCAAACTCGATCTCGGCCGCAAACGACCTCAACTGCCTGTTCCCGCGGTACATCAACATCCGCCGCGGCCAGTTCATCGTCTCCGTGCTGGGCACGTGGGCGCTCACGCCCTGGAACGTGCTCACCTCGGCCACCAGTTTCCTGTCGTTCATGTCCGGCACCGCCGTCTGGCTCGCTCCGCTCTGCGGCATCCTCATCTCGGATTTTTACCTCGTGCACCGCCGGCGCTACGACGTCTGGCAGATGTACGACTCGCGCGGAATATACAGATACAACAAGTTCGGCACGAACTTTGTCGCGCTCGCGGCGTTCACGATCGGTTGGGCGCCGCTGCTGCCGGGGCTGCTGCCGAAGGTAAACTCGAACATCACGGTCCCGGTCGGGGTCGAGAGGCTTTACTACTGCGGGTACTTTTACGGGTTCTTGTCTGCGGCGGGAAGTTACTGGTTGCTGAGTATGGTGTTTCCGGCGCGGAGGACGATGCTCAAGCGGGGGGTGTTTCCGGACGACGAGCCGTATGTTGTCCGGGACGAGGGTGAGGACGAGATCGACGATGAGAACCGGCCGAGCTCGACGGAGGGCACGGTTGAGTGCGAGGAGAAGAAGCAGGATCTGTAAAGTAGAGATAATGTAATCAATAGTGTTCTATAACTCCAGCAGCGTCCACAACATAGGCTTCAGCATGCCGCAGCCCGCAAGGCTCATCTCATCACGAGCTTCCCTGGAGCCCTAAGCCTCCCGAAGAGCGGCGGCTGCGGCGTGCGGCAACCCCGGGGCCGGCGGCGGGTGCCTCTCGTCGACGAGCCTCATTGCTCGCGGTTGTCTTATTCACAGGCTGAGCTTCTGGCGGGGGACGGGAGGGCATCAAGTAGTCGCGCGCGGGACAGCAGAAGTTGGCGATGGAGGAGCGGATTCGGTGTTTACCAGCGGACGGGCGCCGGTGGGCCGGGTTCTGCTGCGGTGCTGACTTATCGCGGGCCGACGACAGTTTTCGATTGGCTGCGGGCTGTGGCGGGGCTGGACTGGACCTGGCTTGATTGTAGCGCACCGCGGGGGATGGTTTGGATAGAGACTGTATTATTCGTTGTTGTCATCATCGCATGTGACTGAATATAAAAGGACTTGTACGGAAAGATCAAGAAAATAAAAAGACCCAAATAATACACACGGTAGTTGTCAACCGGAAGAAAATAGGAAAAGAAACTAGAAGAAAGAGAAAAAACTGCCAAACACAAAAGTAATAGACTACTATCGACTACAAAACTACACAAAACATAAACCACAGAAGATAAACGACAGTCAATCACTGTATCGGCTCGCCTTCGATCTTCTTCCACTCGGTCGGCTGCACCGAGTCCGCGCACTTTTCGCAGTGCTCGACAAAAACGCGCGGGCTGGCAAACATCTTCTGACACAGCCGGCACCAGCCCGCGTCCGAGTCCTTGAGCTGGACAAAATGCACAAGTCGCAGATGGCGCTTGAGCACGTCAAGACGGTTGAAGGCGCCGCCGTTGCGGTGGCAGGTCGGGTCCGTACGCCAGTACGGACAGTGGAAGTTGGGCGAGTAGTGCGATCGCAGATGGCGACGCTGATCAGAGTGGCGCGCAAAGGTCCACTTGCATCCCACGTGCGGGCACTTGTACGGCCGCGACGCTGACGGCGTCTGGCCTGAGGACGCACCCGGCGAGCCCGGCTGCTGCGAGTGCGAGTGCGCGACGTTTGCGCCCGCCACCGCCGCGGCGTTGGAGTCGCCGCGCGACGAGACGACGGGCTGGGCACCGACCCCGACGGACTTTTGGTAGGCGCGCAGGTCGCGGCGCGTGGGTGGGGTCGAGGGATGTCCGCTCGGCATGGGGATGTACTCGCCTTTGTATTCTGCGTTTGCGTTCGCGGCCGAGCGCACTGGGTTGGCCGGGATGACGACGCCGACGGTCGAGCCGCCGGTGAGCGCGGGGTCGGTCGGCGGCTGCATCTGCTGCATATGAGAGTGGTATTGCTGCTGCTGCTGTTGTTGTTGCTGCTGTTGCTGGGTCTGCTGCTGCTGGGCCTGCTGCTGGTTCTGGTAGTCGACCTGCTGCATTGTTGGCAAGGGCGGGAGCGCGAGCTGCGGCGAGACCGGCGAGGGAGAGTAGGCAAAGGCGTTTGCGGACTGCGGAGCAGCGGCAGAAGAGTAGGCAGCAGAGGAAGAGGCAGGCGAGAGGAGCTGCGTGTCTATGGGAGGGTTGGCGGCGTTTGCGTAGACGGAGGGTTGTTGTTGTTGCTGCTGCTGCTGCGTCTGCTGCTGTTGTTGTTGTTGCTGTTGCTGCTGCTGTTGCTGCTGCTGTTGCTGCTGCTGCTGCTGCTGCCCAGACGAGTCTGAGAGCAGATCAGCGATAGAAGTGCGGTTGCGGGCCCGCGTAGTAGAGCGGTGGCCGGCGGACTCGTCGTCGGGCATGACGATGCGCGGCAGTGGGCCGTGGGCGCCCTGGGCGGCGGCTTGAGGCTGGGCGGACTGGGTCTGGCGGTCGAGGTCGAGGAGGGCAATGGCGCCCTGGTACTCGCTACTGAGGGCCATTACTGTTTGAGGAAGAGGGAGGAAGAGGCAGCGGTGCTGGGGAGGCGGAGGAGGTGTGGGGAAGAGGAGGCGGGAGGGAAGGAAGGAAGAAGAGCGAGCGACGAGGACGAGCGAAGGACGGCGGCGGCCAGAACTCTATTTTGTTACCCGGACGGATCCAGGCAGCTCTGCGGGGTGCTTCCGGGAGCAGCTGAGATGTGTCTGCTAAGTGAACAGGCTGCGGTCTGTTATAAGTTCTACTTCACCGCAAATCCCTACTCTCATCTCCCCGAGGCCTCCAAACAGACCAAATCCCGGCTCTTCTCGCTCTGGCCGCAAGCACTGCGGCAACCCGCCCAATCCGAGCCGCGCGCGCAGCCGCATCGCTCGCACAGAATAAAATAATCCCGTGAGGCGTGGTGGGGATTTGTAATGACTCTTATTGTAGTTAGTAAGCGTGATTAGTAATAATAACTACACCTGATGACTACGCCGAGACAGTCTCCTCGTGGCCTCTCCTCAGTATTCTGCAATTGTTCTCTCGCAACTGCTTTCTTCCTCTTCTTCTCCTCCTCCTCTTCTCTTCTCAGTCTCTTCTCCTCTCAATTCCCCCTACTGCCTCCTCATGACCCTCTTTGCCGCTAAAGTAAAGGCAGCCCTCTCCGGCGACACCCTCGTCCTCACCCCAGCCCGTCCGCCTCAGCCGGGAAAGGCTCCCTCTGAGCGCATCCTCGCCTTAGCATACGTCTCTGCTCCCCGTATTCGCCGTGACGAACCTGATGAGGTATCTTCTTTTTCTTTTTCTTCTTTAATCTATTCTTCTCTTCCTTTCCTCTCTCTTCCTCTCCTCTCTCGCGTGCAGTTCGGCGCAGATCAGATTTTAAACATGACGTCGACGAGCTCATTGTGAGCAAATTTACCTGCTCTCAACCCCGACCACTGCTCAGCGCCTTCCTCCTCTCCTCTCCTCTCCTCTCCTTCTCTTCTTCTCTCTTCTTCATCTTCTTCTTCTTCTTCTCTACTCACACAGTCTACTCTCCAGCCCTTCGCCTTCCAGTCGCGTGAACACCTCCGTCTCCTCCTCGTCGGCCAGGTCGTCCAGTGCGAAGTCCTCTACACCGTCCCCTCCTCCAACCGCGAATACGGCGTCGTCTACCTCACCGATCCCGATGGCTCCCGCTCAAACGTAGCCGAAAACCTCATCTCCTCCGGCACCGTCCGCGTCCGCGACCGCGGCGGCAAGCCCGACGCCGCCGCCGAGCAAAACGATCTCCTCGACCGCTACCGTGCCCTCGAATCCGCCGCCGCTGAGGCCGCCTTCGGCGTCCACTCCTCCCAGATCGAATCCTTCCAGACCCTCAGCGAGATCCCCGCAGACTTTGTCGCTACTTACAAGGGCAAGTCCCTCGAAGCCATCGTCGAGCGCATCTTCAACGGCGACCGCATCCTCGCCCGCATCGTCCTCCCGGGCCTGCATATCCAAGTCCCGCTCCTGCTCGCCGGCATTCGCGCGCCCCGCTCCTCGCCCTCGAACCCTGACTCGCCCGACAATGCCGAACCCTACGGCGACATCGCAAAGCTCTACGTCGAGGCTCGTCTTCTCCAGCGCTCCGTCACTGTAGAGGTCCTCGGCGCGTCCCAGCAGGGCGCGCTCATTGCCGTCGTGCGCCATCCCGCTGGTGTCATCGCTGAAAAGCTCCTCGAAGCTGGTCTCGCCTCCGTCTCGGACTGGCAGTCAAACATCCTCGGCGCCGCCGCAATGGGCACCCTCCGTACCGCCGAGCGCACCGCACGCGCAAAGGGCCTCAATATCTGGCACGGCACCACCGTCGCGGCCTCTTCTTCCTCTGCTGGCTCGGGCTCCGACAAATCCTACTCGGCCGTCGTCGCCCGCATCATCTCCGCCGACACCCTCGTGGTCCGCAACGCGAAGACCAACGACGAGAAAGTCGTCCAGCTCGCGAGTGTGCGCGGCCCGCGCGCAAGCGATCCCAAGCAGCAGTCCTACGTGGCTGCCGCGCGCGAGTTTGTCCGCAAGCTCGCCATCGGCAAGCACGTCAAGGTGACGCTGCTGCACACGCGGCCCAAGTCCGACAACTTTGACGAGCGCGACATTGTCACTGTCGAGCTCGCCAAGGCGCCGGCTGGCCACTCTTCTCCTGATCTCGCGACGATCGTCGTCGAGGCCGGCTACGCGACCGTCATCCGTCACCGCAAGGGCGAGGTCGACGACCGCTCCCCGATCTGGGACGAGCTTCTCGAGAAGGAAGGTGCCGCAATCAAAGCCAAGGCCGGCTTCCACTCCGGCGTCGCCCTTCCCCCCGACCGCGTCGTCAACGCGTCCGAGTCGAACGCGCGCGCCGCCGCCTTCCTGCCTTCGCTGCAGCGCCAGAAGCGTGTGCCTGCCATCGTCGAGTTTGTAAACACCGGCAGCAGACTGCGCCTGCTTCTCCCTCGCGAGAACGCGCGGATCAAGTTCATTCTTGCCGGCATCACGACGCCGCGCGTTGCGATGGCCAACTCGTCAGAGAAATCCGAGCCGTTTGGCGACGAGGCCAGAGAGTTTTCCGCGCGCAGACTGCTGCAGCGCGATGTCGAGATCGATGTCACGCACGCGGACCACTCCGGTGGCTTCTTTGGCTTGCTCCATGTTCCCGGCACCAAGGACACATTCGCCAAGGCGCTGCTCGAAGAGGGTCTTGCAACCTTTGACGAGTACTCTGCGCAGGAGGCCGGTGTCGCGAGCCAGTTCCGCGCGGCCGAGGAGGTTGCTACGCAGGCCAAGAAGGGCATCTGGAAGGAGGATAAGGGAAAGGCTAAGGCTGCCGTTGCTGCTCCTGTCGCTGCTCCTGTCGCTGCTGCCGCTGCCGTGGCTTCTGGACCTAGTAATAAGGAGTATCTCAACATTGCGGTCACGCATGTTGCCGATGATGGATCCTTCTCTTATGTCATTTTGAACGACTGTAAGTGTCCTTACTTGAATTCAAATCATGCTCCTGCTAACACCACTTTAGCCCTGACCAAGCTTAAGAGCCTGACCTCGACCTTGTCATCCACCGCCCCAGCTCCGCTCGCAAACGCCCGTCCCCGCGTCGGCGACCTCGTGAGCTACATCCTTCCCGAGACCACGCTCCCCGCGCGCTTCAAAGTCGCCTCGCTCGACATCCCCAAGAAGCAAGCCTCGCTAGTCTCGATCGACTTTGGCACAAAAGTCCCCGCCGCCCCGTTTGCCAAGCTCCGCGCCCTGCCGCCGTCCTGCTCGCCCGCCACCTCCGGCGTTCCCGCGCTCGCGCGCCCGGGCGTCCTGCGCATCGTCAAGTTCCCCGAGTTTGCGGACGAATACCTCGACGACGCCGTCACGGTCTTTTACGACCTCGTCTGGACCGCGCCCGAGGTCCTCGTGTCCTCCGCGCCCGGCACCGTCAAGCGCCTTGTCGCCGTCACCGACGGCACCAGCAACGCCGACGGCGTGCCGACCATCGAGCTCGTCGACGCGGCGGCGATGGATAAGAGCATCAACGCGCGCCTGGCCGAGGACGGATGGGTGTACGTGCCGAGCGACAAGGCGCTCAGACGGTCGCCTGAGCGGGTCGTTATTGGCTCTGATACTCTTTCTGAGCTCCGACGCGCTGCTGAGGCGGCAAAGTTGGAGAGGAAGGGTATCTGGGAGTACGGCGACGCCACTCCTGATGACGAGTAGAAAACTGCTTCTACTACTACTGCAGAGAAATAAAAGAAAAGTTTTGTTTGATTTCCAATACTGCATACCAAATCATTTGTCTTCCATCCTGTTTCAATCCACCATGTTTTATTGTCTTCACTTCTCGATGATTTGATCATGATCAGAAAAAAAATTTCTGTACGTTGCAAGAAAAAGTTTTCAAAAATTGGTTTCCGTTTTTATTTTGTCATTGCAGTTTTGATCGTACAGCAACTGTTATCATTCTATACATATTACGACCTTTTTGTACATCACTTTGAATTAGAATCTGTTATGTTTTTGACACCCCTATCCTTTGGTTCCTTTCAGTACTCAACTGCTCACTCCTCCTCAACTTCGCATGGCTCGCTCTCGAATAAGGTACGCTGCTCTTACTATTTTCTACTCACTACAATGCAAGCTACGTGAAATTATTTGAATTGAAAGAATATATTTGCAGCAAGTACAAAGACAGCTATCATTCAAATGAGAAAGGACGAATCAGATCGTGCCTTTTATCGTTTCAGATAATTGATTGAGAAACGATTTAAGCGGAAATGCCGATGACACCTAGGAAGGAGAAGGTCAGTATTTTTATTCATGAATTGAAAAGAAGGTTATGATGACATACCGCAGGCGGGACGGGGACCAGCGTTACCGGTCTTGAGGGAGTCGGGGTGACCGCCCTTGCCCAAGTCATCAACACCACCGTGGACGACGACGGTGCGGCCGAGGATGGACTGGGGACCGATCAAAGTGAGGAGCGAGTCCTCGGTGGAGCCGACCGCGTTTCCGGCAGCGTCGGTGGAGATGTTGCCGAGATCGCCGGCGTGGCGGGCCTCGTCGGTGGGAGCACCGTGAGTCTTGCCGAAGGGGTTGAAGTGGCCGCCGGCGGAGGTGCAGCCGTTGGTGTTGTCACCAAACTCGTGGACGTGGAAGCCGCGGAGAGCGTTGGCATCGTTGCCCTTGATGTCCCAGGAGATCTTGGTGGGAGCACCTTCGGCGGTCTGCTCGAAGGTAACAGTGCCGGAGACGGTGGAGTCTCCGCGAACGACAGCGACTGGGGAGAGATGATGTTAGTGGGTTGTTGCAACTATGTCTGAGTTACGATTGAGATCAGGGCGTGGACGCAGAGGGGATGAAGATGGAGGGAGCGAGATCGCGAGCAGCCGAAATCAATCCGGTCACCGCGAGGACAGTGCAGCAGAAGAAGACAGACAATTGCATCAATCCGCGCCTGATCGGAAAAGAGGAAGAACACATACCAGCCTTGACCATTTTGAATGCGATTATAGAGAGATTGAGAAGAGCGGATGGATGTGGAAGCTGGAGAAGAGCGCGAGAGGGTGGTGGAAAGGAAAGAAAGAGTGGGCGGGGCAGAGAACGAGGAAGAACCGTCTCCGGGCTGCTGCTGATAAACCGAGTGCCGCCCGTTGTTTTAGATGCGGTTCCAACTGTCGCGCGGCCGTGTGCATTGGCTGTGGGGTAGCCGGGTTTAGGGCCAGAGCCCGGTCGAGTATGGGCCGCGGGCGAATTAGAGAGCGATGATGTCATCTGCCTGCTGTGCCTGCTGCTGGTTGTTGGTGGTTGTTGAGTGTTGTTGGTTTTGGTTGGAGTTGGTGGGTGATTTGTCGTGGAGTTGAGAGCGGTTGGAGCGGGTGCGGGCGGAGCATCGATGGGAACAGGCCGAGGGCGGTGCTATTCCACTGTCTTCTACATCGACGATGTGCTGCTGCTGCTGCTGCTGCTGCTGCTGCTGTTGAGATATCAATTGCAACTAGTCCTGCTTCTTTCGTATTTTCCGTTGATCGGCACAGAAGCCGCAGAAGCTGCAGTGTTGCGACGCGTGGTGACTGTGCCAGTGAGACAGACGGACTACTCGGAATCGCAGATGCCCTGCTTTACGAGGGGCTGTTTGGCAGTCACCCGTCTACTTTTTCATAGTCTCTGAATCGGATTTTTTTGCAATTATTTGTGAATTTTATGCATGTTGAGACGTTGCGGTTCGTGACATTCGTAGGGGATTGTGTAGTGTAGAATAATTGCCAGAAACATATTGTCGCTCGACCGCTCTACTGCCACTGCGCAGTAGTCATCAGTCGGAATAGCACAGTTCTTCTATTTTAATACTTATTACTATATCCAAAATCAAATCATTATGATTCAGTGAATTTAATACATCGCAATCAAGTAAAAAGTACAATCACCATCTACCAATAATTCCACATGCAATCCACTACATCTTCAACTCATCGTGCGGCTCTAAAATTATTATCAGTTTTTTTTATTTCATCAACCTTCAATTTTCAAATACATCTTCAGCCAGCTCCACTCACTGGTACCCTTACAAAACCACAGAAAATGAGCACTCCGCCAGACAACACAGTCTGCGACCTATGCGGCGAGTCCATCTGGATCCCGAATCCCGCGCTCGCAGACTCCTCTGACGACGACGAAGACATGGATCTCGAAGACTCCTCCCACGCCCACGGCGATTCCTCTTCCCACGCCCACAGCGGATCCGAGCCCGCGCTCGTGCCGGACGACGTCGTCCTGAACTTATGTCCTGTGAAGCATCACTTCCACTGGACCTGTTTCCTCGCCCACACCGCGCCGGACACCTTCTGCCCCAGCTGTCGCGCCCAACTCATCCCCGACGATCCGGCCGCGCCTTTACTCGCCACCGTGCGCAGCGACGGCGGCGTCGAGACAGACTACGATCTCCGGCAGACACTCAAAGAAGAGCGGCTGTACGCGCAGTACCCGAACCTGCGCCTGCACGAGGCGCTCTGCGACGCCTGCTTCACCGGCGACGAGGAGCGGGTATGGCAGCTCTTGGAAGGTAACCCAGACGAAGGCGACGAGGTCGTGACTGATTTGCCCGAGGCTAAGGATCTGGAGAAAGGGTGGACCCCGCTGTTTTACGCGGCTGTGAGCGGTAGGGAGGGAATCGCGCGGTTCTTGATCGAGAAGGGCGTCGATCGGTCGGCTAGAGATAAGTATGGGCGAATAGCTGCCGAGTATGCGCGCGAGGAGGGACACGAGAATATTGTACGTTTACTTATGGAGTAGATCAATCATAGAATAAAACATCTTATCTACAACTACATATAAACGCATGCCTATCTTCGATATTTCTACTTTAAAATGATCTCAGCAGTCAAGACTGATGTGTCCCAAACAGGAAACCCGTACCCTCAACAACTGAGCATCCGAGAGTAGAAAAAAAATATCGTGAACCTCCTACTACTCCGACCGCTCGCCTTTCACACATCAATTCACCCGTGGTCATCGATAAGAGGCTAGGGAAGCAAAAGGACAGACAACGGAGCAAGAAGATAGGACTATTTACGGAAGCAAGAAATATTCTGCAGAGCTAGCAACTTCCTCCACAAACACACACCTCACAATCCACCATGGCCTCATCACTGCGGTCGCTGGGTTTCAGCAACGCACGACTCTTGTCGCAAATGTCATACCACAGCCGCCACTCACTGTCACTATCACCTGCCATTGCCTCGGCCGCGCTCCGTTCGCAATCCTCCCGGCCGTTCTCACAGAGCCGCGCAGCGGCCGCCGCCGACGACGACTCGAATGCCACGCGGGGAGGATTCGGTAATAATTCTGCGCCCCAGAGAAGATACTCTCCAGGACAGAACGCAGGACCGAAGGGATACACTCAGCGGTACACCCAAGACTACCAAGACGGCGCGAGCAGTGCATCTTCGGGCAGCGCCAGGCCGGCGATTGATAACGCGCTCAACAAGCTCATCGACCGCTACCAGAACCGCAGCCAAAACACCACGGAGCGGCACAGGGAGGAGTACAAGGAGGCCCCCGGCACCGTGAGGCCGACGATCGTCGGTACCATCCGCCGAATGGATCCCGAGCTCGACGAACGCATCTTCAACGAGGCATCGAGGCGGAATGTTGCCGCGCCCAAGCTCGAGTTCGGCGACATCGTCAACCCTTACGATCTCGCGAACTTCGTCCGGCCAAAGTCCAGGAACGCGCTCGAGGGCGACAAGTTCAAGATCGCGGGGCTTAACCCGCTCGACGCGTGGACTGACGCCATCTTGCTCAGCGACTACGTCTCTGAAACCGGTCATATCTTGCCCTCCAAGGAAACCGGGAACTCGTTCAAGACCCACCGACGGCTGTCGAGAGCAATCAAGCGAGCCAGAGCTGCGTCACTTATCGGCGCCCATCATCGTGCTATTCCTCGTCTGTAATTCGTTTCCGACTAGGATGAAGCAGAATCGCACGCACTACGGGTTCCGAGCGTATCCCCTGTCTGTATAGAGAATGCCACAGAATGAGCTCCTGAATTCATGGGATTTTACCTTGGGCCGTGTTGATTGAGCATGCATGTACATACTATCTATTCATGTTACTGTCCTTTGTTTGTGTTTTTCCAGTATACAGTAATCGGATCTATATCCTTGTCCATCCTAAACACTACCACCTCATCGAAAAATCATGTAGCCTACTATATTATGCCTATACACACTATGGATTACCAACCATCACCCTCTCTCGCTTACCACCCCCCGCAAAACAAATCAAAAACAAACTAAACAAAACAAAATCAGAGTACGCCAATCAATGATCTAGCTTAGAACCACAGAATCGCTACTACCACTGTTTATTTTTTTTTCCAAGATGACAGACAATGCACTCAACTATATAACGTAATATACCGCGCTGCATGTTACGACGGGGAGATACTAGCAGTACATATATAGTTATAGCAGCGGCAGCAATAAAGTCAAGAATACAAAATGTCTTCTTCTCACCCCCCCCCCCCCCCCCCCCCCCACCTTCCACCCAGCTCCAAAACAAACAAAGAGATATAGATGCGTCTACGACGGCCCGCCGGGTCGCAGATGAGCTGTCGCGTTCTTAAACAGAGACTGCCACATATACGCCTCGCTCAACAGCAGCTCGATATCCTTCTCTCCCCAGTCCTGCGTCGGCAGGCTCTGCAAAAACATCATGATCTCTTGGAAATCCATCGTCTGTATCTGCGCCGACCACTTCACCAAAAACGCGGCACACACGTACAGATGGAACTCGGAAAACCCGGTCGGGCCTTCGGCCATGTATGTGTCCCACATCCGAATCGTGTTTTTGACAGACACCTCGCGCATCAACAGACAGTTCATCCATCGGAAACTAAACTGGATAAACTCCACATTCTCCTGCTGCAGATGACGGGCTAAGCCAGCGTCGATTCGTTGAGTGAGATCTTTCAGAGCAGCAACTTGCCGCTGAATACCCGGCTGCGCAAAAATATAGTTGTCTTGTATTCCGTCCAGCAGCTTCGTCAAGCACCAAAACGTATCGGCTTCCACAACATCCAAAACCTCTTTTGGTAGCTGTCCTGGGTCGTAGGACTCTATATCCGCATCAACATACGCCGACAAAAACACCTGGAAAAACGGAGTGACCAGATCGTTGATCCCTTGCACGTAGCCACTCGCCGGATGCCGAATCGCCCACACGTACAATATCCGCTCAAGAGCTCGCTGTGTCGATTCAAAGCTATAGAGCTTTAGATGTGGATTCGTTCGCGGAACGTCGATGCTGATTTGATGCCACACCGCATGGTCGATACCGTTATTTGTACTCGAGTTGATGCTTGCTAGGTTTCCCGCCGCCGATCCAAATGCCTGTCTCACGCCATCGATATACTCCTTTCGCTTGCGAGCGAGCGTTGTCACTCGCCGCTCGGTGTTGGACGGCAGATACCCCAGCATTAACTGCCACGCCATCGGCCGTAGCTCATCTGGAATACCCGACCACGCAAGATTTCTCAAAGCAGCAATATCCACATTCGACGGCTGCAGAACCCTCTTGAACTTGTTTATCCGCGCAATCCGTGCATTAAGAGCTTCAATCTCTGCGGGAGAGGTGTCGCTGATCGATGAAATGTCCGGCTGGTAAATCATATGGAGCGCGTTCGCGGGATCTTTGACTATGCGCTCATACTGGGGTTTCAGACTATCGAGTCTAGGTGATGGTCGACGCGGCGCAGGGTATAGATCCGCATGAGATGAATGTATCGTGTCTGGTTGGCTTATTGTGGAGCCTTGGCTGGATGTCGATAGCGAAGGCGGAGATGTGCTGTATGATGATGAGGAGTGTGCCGAAGACAATGAGTTGACGGGCTTGATGCCAAGCGCCATCACGTCAACATCTAAAGAAGCGTCCCAGTCGTCATCAAGATCTGTGTATGTAACTTTCCGGTCCAGTTTCGGACTCGTCGGGGGCTCAGCTGATGATGAGCTCTTGGATGGTTTTGTGCCGTTCGCCCTGTATCGAAATCAGCAATCCGCCACTAAATCTTGTCTGACCCTAGACTTCGATAACATAATTAACAAAACAACATACCGAGCAATATCTGCGTGCGAATACCCAGCACCGTATGGCTTCATGTCGTCTGATAGCAGCAAGGGCCTGGGAGACGGAGTTAGAATGAGCAGAGGTGAGAACAAGGAACGAGATCAGAGGCGAGTGCGCATACCGATATCCTTGATTCTGTTCAAGAAATCTAGCAGATGATTTTAGGAATGTAGCAGCAGGTGTACTCCGTCCATCTGTACATTATAATCAAGGTTAGCACTGGATCTTTGTCGTTGTTGGGCCCCGCCGAACTAGTAAGTGGCACTGCGATCCACAGCACCGCAGGCTACTATTTCAGGAAACCACGATAAGAAATAGAGTAGCAAACATACCCAGCTGCACCATTTCAGGGCCACCGTACTGCTTGGAAGAAGAAGTAAGATTAGTATTCGAACCGCACATCACAAACAGAGCTGAATCTCGTGGCTTAAGGATAATCACCCAGCGCCTCACCGGGATCCAGATTAAACCACTTAGCCTTGCAGCTAAAGCAGAGACAGAACAAGATCGCAATAGACAAACTCACTTTCTTTGAACTCATTAAAGCCAGGAAGGAAAGGAGATGGGAGGAGGGATCGCGTAGGGAACCTTTCGTAGGGTGTTGGCGGGTGCTCGTCTCCTCTAAATTAGCACTCCCAGCCGATCGAACAGGACAAGATTAAGCAGATCGCCGAGGGAATACCGGGCCGAGGGCAGACGGGGCAAAAGATCTATAAAGCAGACTATGCGACGGTGAGCGTGAACAAGAACGAGGAGGCTTCCTGCACGGACTCAGTGGCTATTCGCAGTGGTTGATGATCTGGTCTGGGTATTGTGTACTAAAGGAAGGCTTGTCGATTACGTTCGCAGGATGAGATTAACGGAGTCCAGCGCACGTGATATGTGGCAGTGCGCATGAGGCGTCTGTGGCGCGACTTCCTCGTCTTCTCTATTAGAGCACATTCTATTATCTATATCTAGTTCGAACTCGCGATAATAAATAAAGAAGCAACAAAGAAGGGGAAGAGACAAACGAGAGAACACAAGACTTGAGCCACGCAGATAGCAGATATGTGTAGCCTGCGCTCGCTGATCACTCAAAACATACGTCTGTACTTATACAACACCTTGAGCATCATCGATTAGTCTGTCTTTTAACAAATATGCACATGCGACCATTCGCCCGAGACAAAGAAAGAAGAACGTAGGAAAAACACGAATAAATACAACAATTACGCAAGGTCATTGCACGCCCCAAATGAGATGTCTGAACAAAAAAATTTGGAAAAACAGAAGAGAAAGCGGCTGGTAAAACTCGCACATGTGGATAGCTCATGTTGATCAGAGTCTTAGCACCGATGCTAAAGAAATAAATTAAAAGGCAAACATATAACAAAATTAAACGCCAAAGATACATAAACAAAATGAAAGGAAATATCGACTATGATGCTGGAGCCGTCGAGGCTTCACTGGGCGACGATGTGTTTTCTTCGGACTCGGTTTGGCATCCCCTAAGCCAGGGATCATTCATAACCTCCTCCATAGTCGGTCTTTCGGAAATATTCCGGCTCAGCATTTTCTTGATCAGAGTCACGCTTTCTTCACTCATAATATGAGGTATCCGCAGCTCGGCGTTCATAATCTCAGTACCGTCGTAGAACGGGTTTTCCTTGTAGATGATTGTGTAGAGCAAGATTCCAGCTGCCCACACATCCTGCTCCATTCCGCTGTACAGCTGACCTCTGAGCACCTCTGGCGCTGCATAATCGATCGTGCCAACAAATACTGAGAAAGGGCCGTTTTTTATGTATGCAGCACTTCCGAAATCGATGAGCTTGATGTTTCCGTCGCCGTCGAGGATTATGTTTTCATCCTTGATATCTCGGTGTACCACCCCCACTTTATGTAGGTGGTAAATCGCACTGGCCACTTGGAAGAAAATGCTGCGGCATTCATCCTCATCCATCTCTGTCCGAAGCTCGATGTAGTCAAACAGATCCATACCAGGTATCCCATGCGGAGCCATCTCGATGTAGTAGTTTAACTCGTCTTCGAAATAGTCTAGCATATCAACAACGTTCTTGTGCGGATAGCTCTGTAGATATTTCAGAACGTGAATTTCGAGCGGCAGCGTGCCGATCTTGCGATCTCTTATCCAGGTATCGACGAGGATGCGCTTCTTGATAACATACTTCAATACAACCTTCTATACGCAGCAAAAAGTTAGCAATAATGACCACCACTTCCCGGTCGACAACAGTACATACGAGAACTTCACCCACCTCTTGCCGTGGTGGCTTATACTGAGCCAGTTTTACCTGGCCATAGGCCCCTTGGCCCATGTCTTCCAAAATAATGAACCAGGAGATGTTTTTCCGACCCGAGTAGACGTCAACTTCTGGCGATACAACCAGATCCAACGAAACCGTGGAAGCCTTGCGCTGATTCTCATTCGTGGCGGTAGCGTCGGACTGTGCTTGCGAGTCCAAGGATAGTCGGTCAGAGCAATCTGACACTGTCTCCGAAGATGATGCTGATAAACTGGGAGTGGACGACTTGCGTGGAGTATTTGTTTTTGAATTGGTCGACTCGGAAGAGTTATCAGGGTTGCCGCTTGCTGAATCTGGCTGTTCCTGATCTAGGTCAATAGCGCCGACCGCGGACGCGACCTCGGCCTCGATATTCATGGATTTTTTCGTAGGAGATGAAAACGACGAGTGACTTGGAGATCCTCGAGAGGATGAGTAGGATGAAAAGGCAGAGCCTTTGCTGGCCGAGAAAAAGCCGGTAGAGCTCATGCCTCTTTGTGGCGAACTTGATGGGGTTGATCTAGACGGCGAGTTCACTATAACAACATTCCTATCGTGTACAAAGGGAAAAGTCGAGGCTGGAGATTCCGGAGCTAGTGTGGGTGCAGTTCGCTGGGCAGTGAACGAGGGCGATGAAGGCGGAGATGATGCGGGAAAGTCGGTGGTTGATGATGATGCGAGCGGCATCTGTGGAGGAGAGGAATAGATTGCAAGTCGGTAAACGCGAACGCAGAGCGGGAGAGGAGCAGCTCTCACAGCAGTTCACAGAAATATATACAAACAAAACCCTCTGGATCTCTCCTGTCGCTCGTTGTCGGATTCTGAATCGTTTATAGGTTTGACCGGCGTGGATGAATACGGATAACGATCGGATGAGGGCTACAAAGACACATCCAGGATTCGTTTCTCGGCTGAGAACCGTCACATGGTGCTGTTTATTATGGATATGAAAGCTCGGAAAACAGCACACAAAGTAAGTAGTATGTCTCTGTACTATAGTATCCATAACAACATATAATTTTTCGATTTTTCCTAGTTGCTGCGGCAACGAGCCAACATCTTACAGCTGTTACACAGTTATCGCCATAATCATCGTTATTGACTGATAAGTCTACTCTGTTGGTATCGGTCGGTGTAGATTGCATATTTTGCGCGTTGTGGGCACTGAAGATCCACTGCAAGCGTTCAGAATCTAAAAGAAGAGGATTAGGTAAGATTGATATAAATGTTACTAACATTTGATAGGGTCTCGTGAACGGAATCCAGAAGCGGTTCTTTGAGCTCAAAAACATATCAGAACTCCGTTAGAATGTTCATTTGCTCGTGTATTATATAGTTTCGCCTTGTGGGTCCCGCGGAGCTGTTATACTGATTGCATTGGCTCAGTGCATTGTTTATCATAGACAGCTGTCTAGTTTCCACTAGGTCAGGCCTAGCACGTGAGCCAGCAAGTAACAAAATCCAGCGGCAGTGCAGCATATCATTTGAATGCAACGAGAACCTGTTCGACCCGACACGCGCTTTTTCTCTCTAACTGCATCGCACCTAACTGACTGAAAGATAATGTTAGTGATAAGCCGTCACCTTCCGCCGCTCTAGCGCGAGCGATTTAGAATCGCGCTCAATATAAAGAATGCGCCGTTAATCCTGGAAGTTGCTTCCCGAGAAAACTCCGGGTGCGGCTTCCAGAGAAGACGGAAACAATAAGAAGTAGAAATCAGCCATCGAAGCCGGTATGTAGCGGAATGACAGAGAATTAGACAGGTGGCGACGCTGGCTGATAAAAAGATCAGCAGCTCTTCGCGAAAGCTCATTAGTCCAATGGCAAAAGGCCGATTAACCGACTGCCTGTTCTGTCTAATCGCTCCATGAGATATCGTCGGTGGCGTCGCTCAGATCCCAGAGCTTGGACTGAGTTAATAGACGTCTCATTTCTGCAAACTTCTCCCAGCTGGACAGCGCCAGAATGATTTAGGGGCGCGTGGTCCGAACTGGTTGGTCTGAGTGGCACCTGCCCGCCTGCCTGCTATCTTCGGCGGCTCGGAGCCACCGCTTGCGTTGCTGAGCACGGGACCTCCAAGTCTTATCTCACTGAGGTATAATCTTGGCCGTTAAATACAAAGAGGAATGCAGACAGATAAGACGAAGCTGCCTGCTGGTTCCGCAAAGAAGATTACATACTGAAGATAAAAACTCGACGACGGAATAGCGAAATAGATGGAACTTCGGCATGGCTCAGTCATGTTTCTGCGCCATGGAAGACTTGGCAACGCCAGTGAAGTCGGTGGCGTATAGGGTACAGTTAGTCAGGGATTATTCTACAGTTGACCGGATCGCATGTTCTCTTGTCAAGGTTACTGTATATGGTTGTATTCGGACCGTAGTATGTGAATGCGATAGAGAGACGGACAGAATAGCAGACTGGTTATTAAAAACTGATGTTATTTTGCAAGAACCCTCTATTCTAAAAAGCCACCAATTAACTGCTGTTTGATTACTCGCCTCCGATCAGAGCAGTTTATAGAAGGCTTGGTGTTTGCAGGCAGTCAAATCAATGAAAGCAAGGAGTGAGGATCTATCTTGAGTCAACAGCGAATACGACGTAGGTCCACGATAAGCGACTGATTGCCGTTGGCTGCTGGTGCCGGTCACTGTGGTATCGCGACAATTCCCCGGAATCTGTGTACAAAAGCGGTTAACTGCGAGACTCTCACACTGCTGCCGGCGCTGCCGTTTGACAGATGTCTGCAAGCCATCGCAAGCCTGGCGCTCTTCGCGGTGGAGCCCAATCCCTGAATCGGGTGCGCACAACCAGAGGAACAGATTGCTAAATACGGCTAGTGCAAAACCTACCAACGCTTGCCACAAAGCTTGGTTCGGAACCGACGCTCGCTGTTTTGTATGCGGCAGTTTAAACATTTGATTGCTTGGGACCGCCTTCCGCTTTTCGGGTTAGCGCGGTTGGAGTCTGTACGAGCTTTGTCCGCCTAAGATATGATACCAGACAGCCGATAAGGATTCACCGGGCCCGTTCTTCTAGATAAATACAATTCAGCCCTCGTTTCCTACCAAACGTTCTCTTCTCTCTCACGTTTCGATTAGCCTATTCGTTTTTTGATTTCTGTTGGTGGTTCTATTCGCACCGAACAAATCGAAATCTACGTCTATTAATCTGGTATGTGTTATGTGTTCCGCGGACTATCTCTATAAACCAGCGCGAGCCGGTGCTGACCTCCTGTAGAAAATGTCGGAGAAGAACATGGTCGACGAGAAGACCCCCTTACACCGCTCGTCCAGCATCTCCGACGTTGCTGAGGGCTCGATCTCTTCCAAGGGCTCCCTAGGATCGTCTACTCTGTTCGACAAATTCCGCTTCAGAAAATCCAGCTCAAAGTCGTCCTCCATCAAGTCGTACGCCGCCCTCGAGCCCGCCGATGAGTTTTCCAGCCTGCCCGAAGCTGAGGCGCAAGTCCTGCGCGACCAGGTCGTCACCAAGCCCTCTCCTGCCAACTACTTCACTCTTTACCGATACGCAAATGGCGGTGATAGAGTCATTCTTCTCCTCGGATTGACTGCTGCCGTTCTCGAGGGTTGCCTGAAGCCTGTGATGGCTTACCTTTTTGGACGCGTCACAAACACCTTCACCGACTACCAGCCTGGTGTCATGTACAACTCGACCATGAATTCCTACACTTATAGCGACGGTTCTTACTACAACACTACCAATGCTTTCGGAATGGAGACTACTCCCATCACCCAGGACGAGTACCAGCGCATCATCAACAACCTGGCTCTCTACCTTGTCTATCTTGGAATTGCCGACGTTGTTTTCTCTCACATCAAGACTTTTGTTTTCATCGATCGCGGTGAGGTTCTCTCTGCCCGCATTCGTGAGCACTACCTTGCCGCCACCTTGAAGCAGAACATCGGATACTTTGACAAGCTTGGCTCTGGTGAGATTACCTCGCGCATCACGGCAGATACTATCCTCGTTCAAGAGGCCATCTCTGAGAAGGCTGCTTTCATTGTCGCCAACACTACCACGTTCTTTGCCGCAATGGCTGTCGCATTCTCGCAGTCCTATATCCTGACTTTCATCATGCTTGTTATTCTCGTCTCTATCATCACGACTACTGGTGCTGCCACTGTCTTCATGGTCAAGTACGAGACCAAGGCTCAGGACGGATACTCTGTCGGTGGAACTCTTGCCGAAGAAGTCATCTCCAGTGTCCGCACTGTCCAGGCTTTTGGTGTCGAGTCGGTCATGGCCGCTACCTACGATAACTTCTTGAAGATTAGCGAGTACTGGAGTATCTGGTCTGGTATCGCAGTTGGTCTGATGTCTGGCTCCATGTATCTGTGCTCGTTCAGCACTGATGCTATGGCGTACTGGCAAGGAGGCCGTATGCTTGCAAACGGTGAAATCTCTGCTGGTACCATCATCACTGTACGTTCCTCTACCTCGTCTCGTTTCTCCTTCAGAGATACACATTACTAACTTTTGTTCTAGATCATCTTTGCCATCTTCCAGGGTGCTTATGCCTTTGCCTTGATTTCTCCCTACCTGAACTCGATGACCTCTGGTATCGCTGCCGGTTCAAAGATCTTTGCGACCATCGATCGCGTGTCTGCTATTGACTCCTCCGACGAGAGCGGAATCACTCTCCCCGAGATCAAGGGTGACATCGAGCTTACCAACATCAAGTTCATCTACCCTTCGCGACCCAACGTTACCATTCTCAACGACTTCAGCCTGAAGATTCCTGCGGGCAAGACTGTCGCCTTGGTCGGTTCTTCGGGATCGGGCAAGTCTACTATCATCGGTCTGATTGAGCGCTTCTACAACCCCATCCACGGAACCGTTACTCTTGATGGTCATGACCTTACTTCCCTGAACATCAAGTGGCTTCGTCAGAACATTGCCTTTGTGCAGCAGGAGCCTACTCTCTTTGCCTGCTCTATCTTTGACAACATTGCCTATGGTCTTATCGGAACTCAGTATGAGCACTGCTCTCGTCAGGAGAAGGAGGCTCTTATCATCGAGGCTTGCAAGCAGGCTAACGCCTGGACCTTCATTGAGAAGTTCCCTGAGGGTCTTGACACCAGCGTTGGCGAGCGTGGATTCTTGATGTCTGGTGGCCAGAAGCAGCGCATTGCCATCGCTCGTGCTATTGTCGCCAACCCCAAGATCTTGCTTTTGGATGAAGCTACCTCTGCTCTTGATACCAAGTCCGAGGGTGTTGTTCAGGAGGCTCTTGACCGTGCTTCCAAGAACCGCACTACCATCGTCATTGCCCACCGTCTGTCTACTGTCAAGGATGCTGACTGCATTGTTGTCATGCGCCGTGGAACTATTCTTGAGATGGGCTCGCACAATGAGCTTCTGGCCATGAACGGTGAATACTGCGATCTTGTCAAGGCTCAGCAGATTGAGACTTTGAAGGAGAAGACCCAGGCTAAGATTGATGAAGAAGAGAAGGCTGCCGCTGCTGCTGCTGAGGACGGAATCGAGCTCACTAGCTACCAGACCGCTGGCGCCAACCTCGGTCTCGCTGCTACCAAGACTCGCCAGTCCGCCGTTGGCTATGTTGACCTCGAGGCTGATGAGCAGCCCGAGCCGACTTTCACCGAGGCCTTCAAGTTTATTTACGATCTTTCTCGTCCTGAGATGTTCTGGAACGGTGTCGGAATGTTTGCTTGCTTCATGAACGGCATGGGTTATCCTGCTCTTGGTCTGCTCTGGGGTGCTCAGATGGAGGCCATTGGCACCATCTACGATCTTGATTACCTGAAGTACATCCTTCAGCGCAACGCTGGTTTCTTGTTCTTGCTTGCCTGCTCGCTTGGTATCTCTAACTTCACCTCGGGCGCTTCCTTTGGGTACACCTCTGCCAAACTTGTTCGTCGTATTCGTGACATGTCCTTCAAGCAGCTTCTGCGCCAGGAAATTGCCTTCTTTGATCGCGATGAGAACACTGTCGGATCGTTGACCGGAACCCTTTCCCGCGACGCTCAGTCTGTTCAGGGCCTTGGTGGTATCACTCTCGGTAAGATCGTGGACGCTTTGATGACCGTCGTTGTTTCTTGCATCATCGCCATTGCGATCGCTTGGAAGTTTGGTCTCGTTATGACTGCTAGTGTCCCCGTTCTCATGTTCTGCGGCTTCTACCGTTTCTACCTCCTTACTCAGTTTGAGTCCAATGTGAAGGTTGAGAACGCCAACACCTCGACTTTTGCTTGTGAGGCCACTAGCTCGATCAGAACCGTTGTGGCTTTGACCAGAGAGTCTGATGTGTGGGAGACTTACCACGCCAGACTTTCCGCGATGATCCGCAAGAACCGTCCTGCTAGCATGAAGTCCGCCTTCTTCTACGGTCTTTGCCAGGGCAGTATTTTCATGATCATGGCTCTTGCTACCTGGTACGGTGGTACTTTGCTTGGCACTGGGGAATACACCTTGTTCAAGTTCTACTTGGTCTTCATTTCGATTGTCTTTGGTGCCGAGTCTGCCGGTTTCGTGTTCTCTCTTGCTCCCGACATGGGCAAGGCTATCCAGTCGACGAAGAACATCAAGACTCTGCTGGAGCGTGTCCCTGCTATTGACTCGTGGTCGCAGGAAGGCGAGGATGTTCCTGAGGATGTCCAGGGTGATATTGAGTTCAGAAACGTCGAGTTCAGATACCCTACCCGTCCTGAGGTTCCCGTCCTGCGTGGATTGGATCTCACCATCAAGGCTGGTCAGTATGTCGCTCTTGTCGGTGCCTCTGGATGCGGCAAGTCGACGACCATCTCTCTGATTGAGGAGTTCTACCGACCGAGCGCCGGAAAGATCATGCTTGATGGCCACGATATCTCGGACTTCAAGATTGCAAAGTACCGTGAGCAGATCTCTCTCGTCTCCCAGGAGCCCACTCTTTATGCTGGCACCATTCGCGAGAACGTGAAGCTGGGTTCGCACAAGGAAGTTACCGACGCCGAGGTTGAGGAGGCTTGTAAGCAGGCCAACATCCACGACTTCATCATGTCTCTTCCTGAGGGCTACGACACTCTCTGCGGTTCCAAGGGTGCTTTGCTCTCTGGTGGCCAGAAGCAGCGTATCGCTATTGCGCGCGCTCTTGTTCGCAAGCCCAAGGTCTTGCTCCTCGATGAGGCGACTTCTGCTCTTGACTCTGAGTCTGAGAAGGTTGTTCAGGCTGCTTTGGATGCCGCTGCTAAGGGCCGCACTACCATTGCTGTCGCGCACCGCCTTTCCACTATCCAGAACGCGGACGTCATCTTTGTGTTTGAGGCCGGACGCGTCGTCGAGAAGGGCACACACCAGGAGCTTCTGGCAAAGAAGGAGCGCTACTACGAGTTGGTCAAGCTCCAGGCTTTGGAGGAGCATTAATCTACACACTCAGATGACTTTTGTCTGATTTGATTTTTTTCCGCTCTGTTTTTTGCTTTTCATTCATAGATTTTTCACAGATGTTGAAGTTGGGGATTGGGGATTTTTGCAAAGCATTACAATGCATTTGAGTCTTGGGGTGGTAGAATCGCTAAAGATCTTTATGATTTTCCTGAGCGTTGTTGTTTTTTTGCAAAGTATATTTGTGGCGTTTCTGTTTTTTGCTCTTTGGGATTTATATTTATTTAGTTACGTATTGATGCTATTGTCACTCATTTCTTAGCATCGATACGGTACTAGACTACTCGTTCATTTTTTCTGTGTATGCTTAACGTTGTACATAGTCTACCTCAATATATATAGAGATATTTCAAGCTATCAGTTGACAAAAGCGGGCCGAGTAATTTTCGTCGATAGTTTCGGGTTGTGATGGCAGAGAGCAGGAGTTATATAGCAGACAGCTTCTGATGAGCAGTCGCTATGCTATCTGGATAGATTCAGTGCATCACATATGCTAAAGGCACTACGAGATACTTGCTGCATGTTTGGCGTAAGGCTTGAAGGATATTGAGCTGACGATACTACTGACTCACGCGTCGAGACGGTGGTGACTCGCTAGATATCTTTGTTAGATGATATGAAGCCGCACTAACCCGGCCCGGCAAAAGCTGCAGGAGTTCTCGCTGCCAGTCGACACTTTTTCATTCGCGTTTTGATACGAACAAGAAATGTTGCGAGCAATTAGTAATGTCATACTCGAGTGCGCTGTATGTTCCCGGTATTTGGCGCTGGCGTCTCTGGAGTTACGAAATCCGGATTCTGTAGATGAAGCCGTGGCTGAGACAGGTCTTGGATGACCTGAGTCAGCACTGACTGGGAAGGACCGACGAACAGCTACTAGTAATGCACGAGCTAGAGACTGAAGCGGTGGGGCGAAGACTCATCTGGGGCTTTTCACCGTAAATCTTACACCCGAGGCCGCCACAGTGGATGTTGAGGGGCGGAAAAGAGGAGAAGTGTGGATTTCAGGTCGAGCTCATTGGCGGAAGTGATAGCGTGCAAACTCCGAGGAGGTCGTTTGCTGCCTACCTCACTTGAGCTTTCGATTACATGTGTATTGGCAACTCCGGCTTGTTCATCATTAACCATAGAGATCCTGTAAACACGGGCACTCACTGCTTGAAGATATTCGACTGTAAAAGCCAATAAACGTGGCCAAATTCCATCTATGATCTTCGCTGATGAAATATCCAGAAACTCAAATGGATTTATTCGATGCTGAATCATTGTTGCCGGAGGGCATCTTAAAACCCTTACCCGCGTCCTTATCGCAAACCTTGATATGAACGCAGACCCGAGCCTTTGCCGCGTGACGGCAGGGGCGGAGAAGGAAGAGGTCGGGGTGCTATGGCGAGAAGAAGATGTACTGGAGTGATATCTTTAAGAGGTGCTGTAGAGAATGGAGACTAGCAAGGGACCCGGTGGGATCCACGACGGCTTGGTGTCGGAGGAGGCAGACGAGCGCCATGGAGATTTGGAGTTCCCAGCAAGGACCTTTCTGCCGTTGACATCCACGGACCTTTCCGTGTTTAGCGTCCGCGCCGAGCCTCAGCCCAACCGATAAGTCCTCCAACTCTCTCATCTTCTCCTTCTCTCTCCCTTCGCGCCTCTAGAGCTCCTGGTTTCTGGCTTTTATTCACCCATCCAGGCCGGCACTATGGCTTCTAACGAGAAGACAACTAGCGCGACTCCTACTCAGGACACTCCCCTTCTTGGGAACGAGCAGTCCTCTCAGACCGATATCACCAAGGTTGCTGATGAGTTCTCCTTCCTTGCTCCCCGCGATGCCCAGATCCTCCGTGAACAGGTCAGCGTTCCGGAGGTTCACGCTGGATTCTTTTCCATGTTCCGCTACGTGACTCCCTCCGACACCGCTCTTCTGATAATAGGCTCTATCGCTGGTGTCCTCGAAGGCGCCGCAAAGCCGCTCATGACTGTGGTCTTTGGCCAGCTTACCCAGCTCTTCACCGATTACTACCGATACAACCCTTATGACAGCCAGATCTTCTTCAACGGCACTTACACCGACTCCTTCTTCAACGGCACCTACTTCAACGGCACTGCCGCCAACAGCTCCTCTTCCTGGTCGCCTTTCAACAGCACCGAATTTGGCTTCGACTACTATGAAGACTTCATGAGCAACTACATCTCTCCCGATGAGTTCCAGCGAAGAGTCAACTACTTGGTTTTGTTCTTTGTTTACATTGGTATCGCCGACGTTATCCTCTCATACATCATGATGTACATCTTCATCGACCGTGGAGAGGTTCTCTCTTCCCGTATTCGCGAGCAGTACCTCAGAGCCACCCTCAAGCAGAACATGGGCTACTTTGACCGTCTGGGATCCGGTGAGGTTACTACTAGAATCTCATCTGACACCCTACTTGTTCAAGACGCCATGTCTGAGAAGGTAAGATTACATTTATGGCTTTTTATCAATGGACGTAAAACTAACCCAAACACGCGTAGGTCGGCTTTATCATTTCTAACGTGACCACCTTCTTTGGTGCTTTCGTTGTCGGATTTATTCGCTCGTACAAGCTGACCTTCATCATGACCTCCGTTGCGGCCTTCATCATTGCTACCTTCTTCATCTCTTCCGGAAAGATGACCAAGTACTACAAGCTCGCTCTCGGTGGTGTCTCTATCGGAGGTACCCTTGCCGAGGAGATCCTCTCCAGCGTTCGTATTGTTCAGGCTTTCGGCATCCAGGATCGCTTGTCTATCAAGTATGACACCTTCCTCGCCGTTTCTGAGAAGTACGCCATCAAGGCTGGACTTGCTGCCGGTGTCATGACTGGTACCATGTGGCTCGGTGTTTTCTCCAACGATTCGCTCTCTTTCTGGCAGGGAGCTCGCTTCCTCGCCCGCGATGAGCTTACTGTTGGCGCCGTCATCTCGATTTTGATGGTCATGGTCCAGGGAACTTACGCCATTGCCAACATCTCTCCCCATGTCCGCAGTCTTACCAACGGTGTTGCTGCTGCTGGCAAGATTTTCCAGACCATCGACCGTCAGTCGGTTATCGACTCTTCGCTCGAGTCTGGAAAGAAGCTCGAGAAGGTCAATGGTGATATTGAGCTCCGTGACATCCGCTTCATCTACCCTTCGCGTCCCAACGTCACCGTTTTGGACCACTACTACCTTAAGATCAAGGCCGGTCAGACTGTCGCTCTCGTCGGTGCCTCTGGCTCTGGCAAATCGACCATCGTCGGTCTTCTTGAGCGCTTCTACAAGCCTCTTAACGGTGAGGTTCTTCTTGATGGTATCAACATTGAGGAGCTCAACGTTCACTGGTTGCGTTCGCAGATCTCTCTCGTCTCTCAGGAGCCTTCTCTTTTCTCGTGCTCTGTCTTCGAGAATGTCGCCCACGGACTTATTGGTACCCCCTACGAGCATGTGTCTCCTGCTGAGAAGGAGCGTCTTGTGAATGAGGCGTGCAAGCAGGCCAACGCTATGGATTTCATCAACAGCCTTCCCGAGGGCATCAACACTGATGTCGGTGAGCGCGGTTTCTTGATGTCTGGTGGTCAGAAGCAGCGTATTGCTATTGCTCGTGCTATTGTTGGTAACCCCAAGATCTTGCTCCTTGATGAAGCTACATCTGCTCTTGATACCAAGTCTGAGGGTGTCGTTCAGGAGGCTCTTGACCGTGCCTCGAAGAACCGCACCACTATTGTTATTGCTCACCGTCTGTCTACTATCAAGGATGCTGACTGCATTGTTGTCATGCGCAGTGGTGTTATCCTTGAGATGGGCACTCACAATGAACTTCTGGCCAAGCAGGGCTCCTACTACGAGCTTGTGGAGACCCAAAAGATCCACCAGCAGAAGGAAGAGCTCATTGCCGAACTTCAAAGCCACACCCACGGAACCTCCTCTACTGAAGGCTCCAGCGACTCGATCTCCTCTGTTGACGAGAAGGCCTCGTACGATGCCGAGAACGAGAAGGTTGCGAGCGAGACTGAGCAGCTTCTCGGTCTTCACAAGACCAAGACCGGCAAGTCCATGTCGAGCGTTGCCATCGGCGAGCTCGAGGAGAACAACGCTGAATACGGATTCTTTGAGACTCTTAGCTTCATTCTTGGACTTTCCACTCCCGAGATTCGCTTCAACCTTGTCGGTGGTGTTTTCTCGGGAATTCTCGGGCTCAGTTATCCTGCTCTCGGTCTGTTCTACGGCCGTTGCATTGAGGCTTTCCGCTCCTACCCCCAGGACCGCGAGTTCATGCTCAGAGAGGTCGACGTTTTCGCCGGTCTGTTCTTCATGCTTGCCTGTGTTGCCTTCCTTTCCGCTGTTATCTCGCTCAGTATGTTTGCTTATGCCGGTCAGAAGTTGGTTCGCCGTATCCGTCTCATGACTCTGCGCCAGATGCTCCGTATGGATATCGCTTTCTTTGACCGCGACGAGAACACCACTGGCTCCCTTACCAGCACTCTCTCGCGTGATGCTCAGGCTGTCGACGGTCTCTCTGGAACTACTCTTGGTCAGATCCTGTCGTCGATGATGATTGTTGTTTCTTCTGTCACTCTCAGTGTCATCGTCTCTTGGAACCTTGGTCTCGTGTGCTCAGCTACTGTGCCTATCATGTTGTTTGCTGGTTTCTACCGCTTCTACATTCTCGCAAAGCTGAACCGCCAGAACCAGAGCTCGCACATGGCCTCTGCCGCTTACGCGTGCGAGGCGTCCACTTCTATTCGCACCGTCGCCGCTCTTACTCGTGAAGACGACGTTATGCAGCACTTCAAGGAGGATCTTGACCAGCTCATTGTTCATAACCGTCCTTCAAGCCACTACTCTGCCTTCTTGTACGGATTTGCCCAGGGTATGGTCTACTTTATCCTGGCTCTTTCTTTCTGGTACGGATCACGTTTCCTTCGCACCAGAGAGTACACTCTGTTCCAGTTCTACGTGACCGTCATGGCTGTCGTCTTCGGTGCTCAATCTGCTGGTATCATGTTCTCGTATGCTCCTGATATGGGTAAGGCGTACCACGCCACCCAGAACATCAAGAGACTGCTCGAGATGGTTCCGTCGATCGATCCCTGGAGTGGTGAGGGCCAGGCTCCTGGCGAGGTCAAGGGAGAAGTCGAGTTCAAGAACGTGCACTTCAGATACCCTACTCGTCCCCAGGTTCCTGTCTTGCGTGGACTGAACTTGAAGATCAAGCCCGGTCAGTTCGTGGCGCTTGTCGGTAAGTTTTTACTCTTTATTTCAGTGACTCTATATCTGCCAGTTAGGTCTTTTTCTAACATGGAATATAATAGGCTCATCGGGCTGCGGAAAGTCCACGACTATTGGTCTCATGGAGCGCTTCTACACCCCATTGGCTGGCCAGATTTATCTTGATGGCCAGGATATCACAAAGCTGAACATCAACATGTACCGGAAAAACATTGCTCTTGTGTCTCAGGAGCCTACCCTGTACGCAGGTTCGATCCTGGAGAACGTTCAGCTTGGCAGCAGCGACCCTGTGACTGAGGAACAGGTCATCGCCGCTTGCAAGCAGGCCAACATCCACGATTTCATTATGTCGCTCCCTGATGGATACCAGACCCTGTGTGGATCCAAGGGTGCTCTCCTTTCTGGTGGACAGAAGCAGCGTATTGCTATTGCCCGTGCTCTTATCAGAGAGCCCAAGATTTTGTTGCTTGACGAGGCTACTTCTGCTCTCGACTCCGAGTCGGAGAAGATCGTCCAGGCTGCTCTCGATGCTGCCGCCAAGGGCCGCACTACAATCTCCATCGCTCACAGACTTTCCACCATCCAGAAGGCTGATGTTATCTTTGTGTTTGAGCACGGAAAGATTCTGGAGTACGGAACTCATCAGGAGCTTCTGAACAACAAGTCGAAGTACTACGAGTTGGTTCAGATGCAGGCGTTAGAGGCTTCGGAGTAAGAAGCCATACAGTGAATTTGATTTATTAGATTGGAGGGTATAACATGGACGGGGGATGAGGTTTTTTATTTTTTTGAGTCTATTGCACAACGCATAGAGTAGGAGATTGGGTATACTTAAACATTTTTATTTTTCTGTTCTTTATTTCTGTACATTGCATCATTCTTTTTCTTTTTTCTTTTTTATATTGGATGAGAAGGATGCCACCCACACACACAACTTCAACAGTCGCAACTTCAACAGTCACAAAGTCTCTCCTTAACGTTTGCTTTTTTTGTACACTTTTGGTTACTTGCGTTAGTTTTATATAATATACGTGTTTTCGAAAGCAAAAGACAATCTGCGATTGAGCGTAGATAAGTAAACTCGAGGATGAATCAAAACCGTTGATATTGTCCAGATATATTATACAGCTCGTAAAAAGTACCAGGATAAGTTGCGCTTACTGCTGCGTCTTCTTCTTCGGCTTATCCTCTGTTCGTTCCACCTTGATACCGTCCAGTCCCTTCTCCTCAAGTAAGCTAGTCACGTAATCTTCCACCTCATCGCCGACATCTCCCTGAATGATAATCTCATCCTTTCCCTCAACGTTTTTCGTAACAGACGCACCAGTGGCAAACTTGGAAGCAAAAGTTTTCGCCAACTTCTTGGGATCGATACCAAACACCTCAAGTCCAGAGACGGCAATGACATGTTTCCTCTTTGACCGCTCAACTCGCTTGACGATGACTTTACTGGCCAACTTCTTCTTGAGCTCTTTCTCGGCTTTTGTGGCTTCCTTGGCTTGTAGCTTCTGGATCTCGCGCTCCACTTTCTCTTTGGCTTCGAGCGATAGTCCTTCTGTGGTTTTAGCTAGCGAGTCTGGTGGTTTAGAACGATACGATGTCAGCTTTGCAATTCTTCGCACACGATATTCATTTCAGGCAATCGGTTCTTTACCTTCTGAGTAAATCCTGCTGTACACGTCTGGGTGCGCGTCTTCCAGCCATTCTTTGCACTTTGCTAGTGTTCCTCCAAATTCACAGTACTGTACAATACAAATCGAGTCAATACTTGATTGCCATAGCATTGCAGCAGAAGGCGGCATAGCGCAGTACAGGTTAGATCATACCTCTGGTGGGAAAGTGCACACACCACAATACAATACGGAAACCGCCTAAAACATCAGTCAGAGATTTGGCCGGGAATAAAGATAGCCGTGTCGTGTCTTTGGAGTCACGGATCAATGTGTAAGATGTACCTTGATTCCTTCCTCAGCCATTTTTTGAAGTGTTGGAGCAAGATATGGAAAGACGAGTCAAGTGTATGTAGGAATCGACTTTCTTTAGACGATATGCACACGGAACAATATATAGGTTGTTGATCCAAGACGCAAAATCACTCTCCAAAGCCTGATATCCCGCTGAGATTCAATTAACAGAATCAATATTTTACCACTGGTGGTTGATAGTGGGGTTTGTAGAGATTCAAAGTACAAGCCCCATGAAAATTTTGATATCGTTGTTGCCATGCCGACTGCTAATGTTTACGTGCACAAGCTTACGTGCCCGAACCCTGAGATTTGTTTGTTTAGTTTATCCCCCGCTCGGTAATCGTATTGAGAGAAGTTGAACCAGCTGATTGCTGCAATGATTAACCAGGCATAAAACCATAAATTCCAAAGGCATCTTATGGTTGTTTGCAATCAGCAGTTGCTTTTACTTTGTATATCTGCTTCTATACTGAGGGAAGCACTAGTAGTTTCAGATAGAGGCGCGTTCAGATTGTGATTCAGACTAGGCTGAGTCGCGCGGCCGGCCAGTTTGGGACTTTGTACGCCCGCATGCCAATCAAGGTTTGTTTACCTCTCCTAACCTTCAACCATCGTACCAGCACCAAATCGTCCTCCAGCTTTCGAACTATTCAGACTTGATACTTCCGAAAGACAGAGGAATTCACGATGATGCGGCCTACGACACCGTCTTCCGGCGCCAGCACGCGGTCCGCGTCGCCGACAAAGCTAACGCCAATCTCTCAAAATCTTCCTCACGGCCGCAACTTCTCCATCTCGGCCAGCACGTCGCCCAGCAAGCGAGTGCACACGTTCACGCCCAGTCAAATAAAGAGCGTGCTCGAGCAGAGCGGCGCGGATTCAGATCGCGCTGACGCTCGCGAGAGCTCTGCTAGCGGGACCACTGACGAGGGAGTTGTTGTCGAAGGCGATACCTCGGAGTTTGCAGGGAAGAAATGGGTGTGGATTCCTGATACCAAAGAGGCTTTTATCAAAGGTTTTGTTACTGAGGAGGATGAAGAAGGAATGCTACATGTGCTTTGCACCGATGATACGGTAAGTCTCTTCTGTCGATTTGTAACAAGGCAGCGATAGCTAACATTGTGTAGGAGCGTATCGTCAGTAAGTTGGATGCGGAACGGGTGAATCCCCCCAAATTCGATAAGGCCAATGACATGGCGGAGTTGACCCATCTAAATGAGGCATCTGTTGTCCACAACATTGAAACCAGATATCTAGCAGACATGATCTACGTGAGTCTTTTTTTCCTGCTACCCAGTCAGCAACTATTGGGTTCCTAACATCTCATATCAGACATACTCCGGCCTGTTCCTGGTTGCTGTCAATCCTTATTGCAGCCTTCCAATCTACAGCCACGAATACACATCGCTGTACAAGAATAAATCGCGCGATGAACTACCCCCTCACATTTATGCGATAACTGATCTTGCATTTCGAAACATGCTTGAGATGCACGAGAATCAATCTATTTTGGTCACTGGTGAATCGGGTGCAGGAAAGACGGAGAATACCAAGAAAGTCATCCAGTATTTAGCGGCTGTGACCTCGAATACCTTGCCTGGACTGAAGCCTCAGAGTGGATCGTTTGAGCAACAGATTCTACAGGCAAACCCAATTCTCGAAGCATTTGGAAACTCTCAGACCGCCCGAAACAACAACTCCTCTAGATTTGGAAAGTTCATCAAGATTGGATTTAGTCGTTCGGGCCAGATCTCTGGAGCTTACATTGACTACTATCTTTTGGAGAAGACTCGAGTAGTGACCCAGAGTCCTTTGGAAAGAAACTACCATGTGTTTTATCAGTTGCTGAGTGGTGCAACTGAGCCTCTGCGTCAGCTCTTTCTTCTAGAAGGAAAGGTTACGGACTACAACTACGTCAAGGGTGGTAATAAGACTATCCCGGGTGTCTCTGATGCTGATGAGTTTAAGAGGCTGCTGGAGGCGTTTCGAATCATGGGATTCACCGATCGCGAACAAGAGGATTTTCTTCGAGTGATTGCCGTTGTGTTGCACATTGGAAATCTAGAGATTGGTTCTGAGAGATCCTCTGGACAGGCGAAGCTTCTACAGTACTCTCAGGCAGAGAAGTTGTGTCACGTTTTGGGTGTTCCAGTTGACGCGTTTGTGAAGGCGCTGCTTAGACCTAGAGTCAAAGCTGGTCGGGACTGGGTTGACCAGTCTCGTACGGCGGCTCAGGTACAGTTTTCGATTCATGCGCTAGCTAAAGCGATCTATGAGCGGGGATTTGCATACCTCGTTAATCGCATCAATGAGGTGCTCGAACGCGACAACGGAAGCGCGACGTTCATTGGTGTCCTCGATATTGCGGGATTTGAGATCTTTGAAACAAACTCGTTTGAGCAGCTGTGTATCAATTACACAAACGAAAAGCTGCAGCAGTTTTTCAATCACCACATGTTTGTTCTCGAGCAGGAGGAGTATGCGCGGGAGAATATCGAATGGCAGTTTATTGATTTCGGCCATGATCTTCAGCCAACGATTGACCTGATTGAGAAAAGCAACGTAAGTACTGCTACAGGACCCTATTATGATGTAATTTTTAGAGTCTCGGTTGACTAATGATTTTACGATAGCCTATTGGAATCTTTTCCTGTTTGGACGAAGACTGTGTGATGCCGCGAGCGACGGATAAGTCGTTCACGGAGAAGCTGCATGCACTCTGGGATAAAAAGTCAGACAAATATAAGCCGTCGCTGTTCAATCAGGGCTTCCGGTTGACTCACTATGCTGCCGAGGTTGACTACAATACCGAGGGATGGCTAGAGAAAAACAAGGATCCATTGAACGACAATATCACGCAGCTTCTTAGCCAGTCAACGGAGAGCCACATTGCCAGACTGTTTGGAGAAGATGGCGACGCAGGAGCAAGTAACGGCGTGCATCGCAGAAAAGGATTGTTCCGCACAGTTGCGCAGAGACACAAGGAGCAGTTGACGAGCTTGATGGGACAGTTGGGCTCGACGCACCCACACTTTGTTCGTTGTCTGATTCCGAATCACGAGAAGCGCCCGAAGAAGATGGACAAGATGCTAGTGCTTGACCAGCTGAGATGTAACGGTGTTTTGGAGGGTATCCGCATCGCTCGCACCGGATTCCCCAACCGATTGTCATTCTCCGAGTTTAGACAGCGATATGAGATTCTGGTCTCGCGCGATGATGGCTATGCGAAGATGACGAGGGCCCAATCGACGTCAGGGTACGTCGATGGACAGCGAGCGTGCAAGACGATCGTTGAGGCGCTGAAATTGGACAAGGCGGCCTACAGGGTTGGAGTTACAAAGGTGTTCTTCAGGGCGGGAGTGCTCGCCGAGCTCGAAGACCGGCGGGAGAAGCTGGTGAGAGAGTTGGTGACGCGGATCCAGTCGCGAGCACGAGGGTATATTCAACGACGACAGGCCAACAAGAGGCTTTACAGAGCTGAAGCGGTCCGTGTTATTGCGCAGAACGTGAAAGCATCGCAGATTGAGGACCCGTGGTGGAAGATGTTTGTGAAGATGCAGCCGCTTCTGATTGCGCAGCGCGAGACGGTAGCTAGTCTTGCTCGTGATGGAGAGTACCGGAAAGTGGTCGGGCAGCTCGAGGAGAGCGAGAAGGAAAGCCAGGCCGCACGTGAGCGAGCGCGCAAGCTGGAAGCGGAGCTGAAGAAGATCGAGGAGACGCTGGAAAGCGAGCGAGCGCTAGCGCTGGACAAGGAGGAGATCTTGCGACGATCACAGGGGCGCGAGGCAGATCTGGAGGAGCAGCTGGCGAGCGCGCTCGAGGATCTGGATAAGCTTGAGGCGCAATGCGAGGAGCTGCTCGAGGCGAAGCGTAAGGCGGACCGTGAGGTGGAGTTGTGGCGTGGAGAGCTCGAGAAGGGGGCGCGGATTATCGGACAGCTCGAGGGAGAGAAGGGGGAGCTTGAGAAACGGATTGCGACATTAGACAGCGAGCTTGCGGCCAAGAATGACAAGCAGGGCGCTATCTCGAATGCGATGGAGCTGCTGTAAGTATACTATACTACAGTTTAAAGAAGACAGTTGCTAACTCGAGGATATCGCTTCTACAGGAACCAAGAGATGTCGGTGCTGAAGACGATTATCAACCAGCGCGAGCGGCAATTGACGGAGACCGAGGACCGACTGAAGCAATCGGATCGGGAAGTCGAGGAACGGTTGGAGCAATCGGTAAGTTGTTTCAAGCTTTGGATCTACTCTTGTAGTTTGGATTACGCGTCTCAAAGGAGGTGGCTGTAATGTTTTTTGGGTTTTGGTTTCGCTAACGAGAGCGTCGTACGACAGAGGGTCCGCTATGACCAGAGCCAGCGACAGATGCATGCGGCAGTGCGAGAGAGTCAGGAGCTGCGCGAGCAGATGACGAGTCTGAGTGCAACGTGTCACAAGATGGAGAAGATGGTGGAGAGAAAAGAGCGCGAGCTCGTGGCGCTGCGGGCCGAGCTGGAGGGCGTCAGCGGAGCGAAGAAGCAGATGAGCGGTGAGAAAATGGAGCTGGAGAAGCGAGCTGCGGATGTCGGCCGACGGCTGGCGCAGGCCGAAGACGAGCGTGAGACGCTCCGAAAGGCGGTGCAGGCGGCCGAGGCAGAGGGAGAGCGCCTGAAGAAGACCCTGAAGAAGAGAGACGAGGAAGAGAACGCGCGGCGGAAGCAGAAGGTGACGATGGAGAAGGCTGGACTGCGTGCGGTGCGAGAGGGACTACGCGAGGCGTTGGCCAAGCTCGAGGAGCTCGGCGGCGAGTGAACGTCGTCTGGCCGCAGTAAATTTTGTTTATTCTAGATATGCGGATCGCGTGAGCTGTTTTGTTTTGTTTATTCTTAGTATACCACACCGACAAATACGATCCTTAATGCTTGAGTGAATATCTCTCTGAACTTGGGACGGACGACGATGTTACATAAGCCCTGACATCACCGGCCGCGCATGTCGTAGGTGGCCGCGCGTCAGTGTGAGAGGGGAAATTGGAACAGCGAAATTAAATCTGCGATGGTCCGTGGCGGTGCACAGCACGCTGGTGGGGGGAGGAACTGAGAGCGGTGGCGGTGCTGCGGCTTGCCGGCTACCGCTGCCGAGCTTAATCCGCCCAGAGTCACTCGCACACCCTTCAGCCGCACCACCGACAGTGGGAGGGCCCTTCGCTATGCAGGGCGTGTGTATATTCGCAGAGGCGGTGTTGCGGCCGTCAGCAAACAGACCTGGCGCACCCTGAGCGTTTCTTGGACCTGTCGCCCGGGAAACCAGCAGCAGGCGCGCACACCGCAGGCTCAGCCGGACCGCGAAACCCCCTACCAGAGAGAAGCGCAGGTCAGGGCTCACACATCTTAGCTTTTCGCCGGGACGCGTCAGCAGTGCGCGGTAGGGTTGCGCTAAGCCCAAAACAGGCCGAAGATGCTACAGCCGTGCAGTCTCGAGCAGATTTAGTGCGGCGCGGAATGGCTCGCCGGCTTGGCATCGAGTCGCGCGTCGCACGCCGAGTCGCTCGCTCCTACGCAGATACAAAACTGCCCCGACCTCCTCCTCTCACCTCCTCTCCTCTTCTCTCCCCCTTCTGCCCTCTTTGCGTCTGCTAGTTTGCCTCGTTGCTGCTCGTTTCTTGCTTTTTGCTTCTTTTCTTTGTTTGTCCTTTGTTCGCCATCGTCCGGTCCGTTCGCCATCTCGCCTCAAGCCGCATCCGAGCTCCGCCGCATGAAACAATAGCCAACCAACCAACCAGTTCGCCATGGCTTCCTCATCTTCGTCCTCCGCTCAGCCATCAAAGTCACAGCAGCCGTCGAAGAGCACCCGCACAGATGGCGTCGATATCCTCAATAGCATGCTAGTGCTCGTCGCCAGCCCTTCAGTCACATGCCGTCGCAGCAGACCCGCCGATGACTCGCGCAGCTGCCCTACCGCCCGCGCTGTCCGCAGCCTGCGCAGAAAACTCGCCCGTCGCTCGTCCAGCAGCGAGTCTGTCACATCGTCCGCCAACTCATCCACGTCCTCTCTTTCCTCATCGTCGTCCTCCACATTCAGCGGCGACACTCTCGCCGATTCTTTCGGAAATCTCACGCTCGACAAGGCTGTGCCTGCGGCTGAGTCTTCCTCGTGTGCCCACCCATCTACATCTACTCTCTGTGAGTTCCGCTGTAATTTATTATCTAAAAAGATATTTTTTTCTGACCGCCTTCCAGCTCCCATATCTCATGACAATACCCACACAAAATGCAGAAAGTGTACAGACGCCGACTCTGTTCCTGCTCTCTGCAATCAGCTCAGACAGCTCTGCGTTCGCTCTCGGGCGCAGGCGCTCTGCGCAGACACTGCCTCTTCTTCACACCCTTTGAACGAGAAGCTCGCTGCGATCTCGCTTAGTAGCGCAACAAAGCCGGAATTTACTGTCGCGACCTCGTCAGTCTGCAACGACGACGATGGCGATGACGACAGCGATCGCGAGAACGGCGGCGCGCTTGCAGAATCAAGCCGGGAAGTAGAGGTCTCTTCCAGTCACGATACCAAAGTTACAGTATATGCAGTGGCTGCTGTTGAGGAGCAGACTATGTCTGAGGTCAAGGACCAGAGACGGCAAAGACAAGAGGAACTCGACGCCAGTATCGCAGAGTTGTCGAAATTCCTTGATGAACCGTCCACTCTCATCGCTGCTGCTTCTTCGTCCCTTTCATCCAAGACTGATGAGATCGCAACCGAGTCTCAGTTGGCTGCTTTCAATGACCTGTACTCTACCTACACCACAATCACTCTTTCCAAGGGTAGCAGCTCCTCGCGGCCTGCCGAAGAAGAGCCGTCATATATTTTCACCACCGCATATGCTCAACAAATTCTTTTGCAGAACGGATATACCGGAATTTTGGATTCGGCCGACGCGCTTGAGGCCTTCAATCGTTTGATGGCCACAGGAAGCCTAGAGACCGAGCCTACTTTTGCATCCTCCGCGGTCCCGAGAAGCGCTTCGCCAACAATCTCCTCAATTCTGGCCGGAAAGCCGGGCGTTGCTCATGCTCCCGCTCTGTCTGCTCCTGTTCCAATCAACGCTTCCGGCCCCGGATCGTCACCGCACTCTTCCTCTCCTTCGTCCTCCTCGCCATTTGGCCGTCTGCTGGCGCCGCCGTCACCTCCTTTGGAGGAGACACTTATCGAAGACGAGCTCGAAAGCATGAGCTCAATCTTTGACCTCGGAGCTGCGGCCGACTCGCCTTCGACGCTTCGCGATGCCGAGGATCCCTTGGTCGAGCGCTTCCGTGCTATCAGAGGCATGAACCGCGTTTTTCCAGGGCTCGGAAGCCGAAACTCTTCAGGGCCGTCTTTCGGGTCTGATGTGCGAGGCAGCAATCAAGTTGCCTCAAATTCAGGTAACCCGATGAGCATCTCGCGGCTAATGAGCCAAGAGCCCACACCCACGAGCTCGTCAACGAGCCAGGGCTACCAAAGCTCGACCTCATCCTCCGGCCCAGACTATTACAGCGGAATCGGGGGTATCGGATCGTTTCTGGCGGCAGCAGCAGCAGGCTCGAACACCGGTAGCGACCTTGGACATGGCTACAATCGACCGGTCTGCGGTGAGCTCTCAAACTACACATACAGCCGGCGCCGGGCCAGCTCGGTAGCGGGCTCGCGGACGTCGCAGGACGACGAAGAGGAGGATGGCAATGTGTCAACCACGTCGTCAAACTACGCAGCCACGACTGCTTCTACGGCGTCGAGCACGGTTTCTGTAATGTTGCCGGCGCTGAGCCCTCCTCCTTTGGTCAACTTCAGCACACACCCCGTTCATCGACAGCGTTCGAGTGTGACGCCGGAGATGCAGCAGAGGAGTCTGGCGCTTTCGTCAGGATTGACCAGTCCTTCTGGTTCTCTATCGGTGACGACTCAGGTCTCGAATACGTCGCCCAAGCCTTCTTACAGCCCCTCGCCGTCTAGCTCTGGCAGCAGCGCGGGTGGTCCGCAGCGATCGCGGCCGCGTAAGCAGCAATGTCCCGAGTGCTCGGGGTGGTTTTCAAACCTAGCTGCGCACAGCGCTGTGCATATGGCGTACTCGTCTCGACCGTATTCCTGCTCGAGCTGCGGACGCGGCTTTTCGCGGCCGAACGACTTGCTGCGGCACCAGAAGGCGCACCAAGGTGACTCGCCGTTCGCTTGCCCGTACTACCACATCGACTCGCGATGCCACTCGTCGGGAGGGTTTTCGCGATGCGACACATACAAGAACCACCTGCGGGCCATGCACTTTGAATACCCCGCGGGTATAAAGAAGAAAGACCGCAACGGAGCGGCTGGCAAGTGCAAGGGGTGCAATCGCGATTTCAGGAACGCCGATGAGTGGATTGCGACCCACGTCGAGACCGGCGAATGCCCAGAGCTGAACACGAAGTTAAGCAGCGCGGGCAGCAGCAACAATGATGAGAAGAAGAATTAGGTGACGATGGTTCAACTGGAGTTTATTAATGATTAACGTGTGTTTTATATGGATGTACAGTGTGTTGTCTTGTTTTTTCTTGTTTTCGTCCTCTGTAAAATAGACATATTCGTCATTGCCTGGAAATTAAACGTGTCGAACGGGCTGCGACGCACTTGTCGAGGGGCCGCGTAAGCGTGTTGTAGGGTCGTGTTAGAGAAAGGAAAGGAAAGCCTCAGCCGTGCGTACGGTCAGAGGAAGCCGAACCGAGAGGGTTCCCTATCAGCTGATCACGTGTTTGTGACTTTTGTGTGACTCAGAACAGTGGGTCACAAAGTAGAGTTTTGACGTCATATGAGGACAGCCAGCCGGTTTCGTCAAGAATCTGTACGCAGATCGCTTTGTGCGTTATCTTCCGAGTAGCAGTTCATCTCCACACGCCTCGCATACAATTCATACCACAGCAGTCGGCATGTCTATCCCGTTCATAAGCCGTCTGAGGGTGCTTGAGTGGCCGCAGCTGATCTTTGGTCTTCTGCTGGTCGTGCTCGAGTCCTTCCTGCGGTTCGTGACCTCATGGCTACCCAGTTGGATGATTCTCATCTTTGAGAAGATCACCCGCAAGATCTACGCCACTTTCCTACCCGCGGCAACAAGGGACAGGACTGTTGTTCACCAGATCTACGAAGCACCCGATTTCGTCAATCTGTGTGCGATATTCGGGTATCGCGCTGAAGAGCACATCGTCATGACGCGAGATGGGTATCTTCTGGGCGTGCACCGGATCTGCAAGACCAAAGCCGAGCTCGCGCGCGAGCGGTCGTCGTCTTCTGACTCGGACACTGCCGGGTCTCAGGACTCAAAGCCTAAGCCTGTGGTGTACTTGCACCACGGCCTGCTCATGAACTCTGAGATCTGGGTTTGCTTGACCGAAGCCCAGCGATGTCTACCCTTCATCCTCGTCGAGCTCGGCTACGACGTCTGGCTGGGAAACAACCGCGGCAACAAATACTCAAAGAAGCACGTAACTCACAGTCCTGAGGAGAACAAGTTCTGGGACTTTTCGATGGACGAATTCGCGCTCTACGACATCCCAGACACGATCGACTACATCCTCGACACGAGCGGACAGAGCTCGCTCGCCTACATTGGCTTCTCGCAGGGAAGTGCGCAGGCGTTTGCTGCACTGAGCTTGCATCCGAAGTTGAATGATAAAGTCAAGGTTTTTGTTGCGCTGGCACCTGCTATGGCACCGCACGGGCTTCGCATCGGCATCGTCGACGCATTGGTGAAGGCCTCGCCGACGCTCATGTATCTCTTCTTTGGAAGGAAGGCTATTCTGTCCAGTGCTATTTTCTGGCAGTCAATTATGTGTAAGAGATAATCACTCTATTTATCTTCATTGCTTTGTGTGAAGGCAGTATAGCTGACATTCGGTATAGACCCGCCCCTCTTCGTACGGCTGATTGACTCATCGCTTATTTTCCTCTTTGACTGGCACGGCGACAACATCACGCTACATCAGAAAATCGCTTCGTACGCGCATCTGTACTCGTTCGCGTCAGTGAAGACTGTGGTGCACTGGTTCCAGATCATGCGCCACCGCTGCTTCCAGATGTTTGACGACGACCTGAGCACGCCGCTACGCTTGTACGGGAACGCATTCTACAAGGTCGCGCAGTTTCCGACGAGGAATATCAGATCACCGATTTACCTGATTTACGGCACAAAGGACTCGCTTGTCGACATTGATACGATGCTGGACGAGCTCCCCCCGCATGCGACCGCGATCCCGGTCGAAGGCCATGAGCATCTTGATATTATATGGGGTGCCGACGTGGGTAAAGTCGTGATCCCTCACGTGCTGCGCATTCTGGGCAAATACTATGACGTCGAGCATGACTTGGACGACGAGTATACGAATCTAGAGGCGCTCAAGCTGGAAAAGACGAGCTCGAACTCGTCGACGTTGTCGTTTGCGCACACGACGACCAGGATGTCAATTTCGCGGTCGTTGTCGGGAGTTTCGAGAGCTGGTAAACCGCGTCCGTCAGCGTTGTCGAAAGAAGTAGCAGCTGCTAATGATGAGGGAACATTGCCGTCTGAAACTGTGGAAGATTATATACAGAAGGAGGAGAACGGCGAGCGGCACGAGCAATCTTCAGATGGCGACGATGCAAGCGCACACACGTACGAGACCGCATCAAATTTATCGGAATCGGCGAGTTCATCAGAGACCGTCACGGATACTGTCACAGTTGTTCCATTGCCACCTCCATCACCGCCTATATCTAATTCGTCGCGGGCAGCGGGACGACACCGAAGCTCGTCGATTAGATCGAGCTCGATACCACGGACGATGTCACCTGATACCCGCACGCCACTGCATAAAACCGCGATTCTTAGCCATGCGCAGGCCGAGGGGGGTAATGGGATCGTGCTAGGAGCCGCTGAGCCGGTGACGGGCGTGGTTGTTCCGGGCGGAGGTGGACGTACGGTTGTGCGTGAGCGAAGGAGACGGATGTCGCTAGCGATGGCGGCCCCTGAGCCGATTGACGAGACGGCAACGCGTGAGGCCGACAAGGACGAAGAGAATAACGCGAAAGAGAATCAGAAGCAGGTGTCGTTTGGAAAGAAGATAGAGCTGACGGGGGAGAAGATCAAAAGAAGTTTTCTGGGCGCTTGATGGAATGGAATTAGGTGTTTTGTGTTAAGGCTGGGCAATTGTATTTTGTGAATAATGCGGGGTTTAGTATTTTTAGAAGAACCCATGGCTGTAACGCGAGTTTTTCATGGTAGCAAGTGTTGATAGAGATCATCTTGACGCTACGCGTAAATGACGCGAGCATATGCACGTCAGATCAGGTTGGCTATGCACAGACTTGGGCTGCCTTGTAGGACATGCACGCTACATACTACGCGTCGAGAGCTGTCACGGTCGCCCTGCGCGTGTTCTGTCGATACATCAGAATGGGTTGAGGTGGTGTTGATGGAGAGCTTACGTACAGATAGCTTGACGGCTAGGGACGATGGATACGTAAGCCTCCAGCGGCTCGAGACAGGATTGCTAGTATCGAGGGAGAAAAGAGCGCGTAGTCCAGCTGCGACAAAGACGTTCAATCGCTCTGTCTGCTCTATGACAATTGCCTACAGCCAAGACTACGCGTCCGAAGCCAGAAGAGAAGACAGGTCTTCGATTATCAGCTTCTGAACGGAATGTTTACTCCTTCCACTCTCGAGCGATGAAATATTCTGAGAATGGAAGCACCCTAACCCCGCTACCCAGCCACGTCTCGAGCTAAAAATAGGCGGCTGGGTTAATTTTTCAGTCGCGGTGGGTGGCGGTGCGAGGGGGCTGAGTCTCGCCGTCGTCACTCGTTGTTGCCAATTTTACCCGCGCTCCGTTGGTGCTGTTTTGCCTCCTCGCGCTCGCTTCACTCCTTTCTTCTTCTTCCTCTCCCATCTCCGCCTCCGCTCCCTTGCTCTCCTTCCCTACAAAGTCGCTGCTCGCATCGCAGTGTCCATTCGCTTTCCTTTCCTTCACTCATGCGTCTCAGAACAGCCTTCATCGCGGCCTGCTCCCTCCTCGCGGCCGCTCCCGCGGCTGCCGAGCGATACATAAAGTCGACCGCGTTGCAGACCTGCATGGACGATTCCGACTTCTCGGCCTCGCTCTTTAACCTCATCCTCACCCCAAACAACCGCACCGTCTCGCTCGATGTCGTCGCTACCTCTACCTTGAGCGGCAACATCAGCGCTCACCTCGAGGTATTCGCGTACGGAATCAGCATTTTCAACTACAAGCTCGATCCTTGTGACCTCGACATCTCCCAGCTTTGCCCCATCAGTCCCGGTCAGTTTGACATCGAGACCGATTTCACTCTCAGCCAGAGTGTTATCAATGACATTCCTGGTATGTTCCTCTGTCTTTCACCCTGTCTAGTTGACGGTGGCGTTCGCCTTCTTGCTTCTCGACAGTCCTTGCTGCCGACGCGTCCCAAGTACGTGTTTTTTTCTAACTCCTTTTTCCCCTGCAGGTATTGCATTCACCATGCCAGATCTTGATGGAACCGCTAAAGTGAGAATCTACGACGACAACAGCACGCAGGTTGCTTGCGTGCAGGCTGTGCTGTCCAACGGAAAGACCGTCGACAACGCGGTCGTCAAGTGGGTCACTGCTGTGATTGCTGGTATCGCCCTCATCGTCTCTGCGTTTGCGTCTGCTTCTGGCCATTCGTCGACCGCTGCCCACATTGCCGCCAACGGTCTTTCGCTCTTTGGTTACTTCCAGAACGTCGCTATTATTGGTATGGGTGCGATGAAGCTCCCTCCTATGACTGCTGCCTGGGTCCAGGATTTCCAGTGGACAATGGGTATTATTCGCGTCGGATTCATGCAAGATATCTTCAACTGGTACATTAAGGCCACTGGTGGAACACCAACCACGCTTTTGCAGTCTCTGTCGTCGGTTTCAATCTTGATTCAGAAGCGATCGCTCGAGTACCTGAGCAAATACAGCACCATTGCTGAGCGCTCAAATAACGACTCCGACCTGACCACTATTTCGAGCACATATGTCTTGCATGGCTTCCGCCGTATTGCATACCTTGCTGGCATCGAGATCACGAACCTGTTCCTTACCGGATTCGTTTTCTTCCTTGTGTTTTCCGTGTTCATCACGCTCGCGCTGTGCCTTGTCAAGCTTATTCTCGAAGGTCTTTCAAAGGTCGGAGCCGTTCGTTTCGACAGATTCGCCGAGTTCAGACAGCGATGGTTGACGATCATCAAGGGAACTATGTACCGTTTGGTGCTCGTTGGATTCCCTCAGATGACGATTCTGTCGTTGTGGGAGCTGACGCGTCGCGACTCGCCGGCTACTATTGTGCTTGCGATCGTCATGTTTTTGATGGTCATCGGTCTCATTGGCTGGGCTGCGTTCAAGGTCATCAGACTTGCTCAGCGTTCGGTTGCTATCCACAAGAACCCTGCCTATATTCTCTACTCTGATTCGGCTGCGTTGAACAGATGGGGATTTATCTACGTGCAGTTCCGTGCGACCGCATATTACTTTATCATTCCCGTTTTGCTTTACATGTTTGTCAAGGCATGCTTTATTGCGTTTGGCCAGAGCTCTGGCACGACGCAGGGTATTGTTTTGATGATTGTTGAGCTGTTTTACCTTGTTCTTTTGTCATACTACAAGCCGTACATGGATCGCCGTACCAACATCTTCAACATCACGATTCAGGCCGTCAACTTCACTAACGCACTCCTGTTTTTCTTCTTCACTGGTGTGACGAAGGTCCCTTCATACGTGACTGGTGTTATGGGAGTTATCTTCTTCATTTTGAACGCTGCATTCTCACTAATTCTGCTCATCATGATCCTTGTGTCGTGCACTGTGGCCATCATGTCGAAGAACCCCGACACACGCTACCAGCCCATGAAGGATGACCGTGCCAGTTTCATCAAGTCGACTCAGCAGCTTCCTGAGGTTCTTGAGCTGGAGGCTCTTGGAGCGACGGTTAGAGGCAATGCGCCCAAGTACTGAACATGAAAGACAGTATGCTGGGTTATCAATGCATTGCAGATCCAAGAAAACTTGGACACGAGAGATGATGGCCGAAAATTTGGATCGCCAGATTGCTAAAAAGGAATGAGGCAAAAGAGCCGTGGGATGAAAGAGGAATCGGAGGAGACTGCATTCCTTGCGCCCGGATGATTTTGCTTTGCCGGTCATAGAGACTGTGTTCATAAAAAACATACATTAAAATGTTTTGGATTTTGATATTTTATATTTATTTTCGGAGTATCATGTTTACTGTCGGCTTTGCTTTTAGTTTGCTTGTTATTATGTTTGATCTATCTACGATCATGTATATGGTTTCCAGAGCCTAAGCGCTCTTGCTTTTTTGTTTGTTTGTTTCCTTTTTATATTTTTATTTTGGTTTCTGCTACTCTAGTGATTTACTATGCGTGGGACTGGACTATTTATCGGCTCTTGTTATGTGAAGGTTTCGAGCTCGAGACGGTGTGTATTTATATCTTGTTCGTTCTATCTTGGTATTACTCTCGTCTGTCGTTTATCGTTTATATTCAGAAATCTTCCCTACATGATCTGTACATTGTGCTGTTGAAGGCCATAATTACATGTATTGTTCCTTTAAGCTGGCTATTGCAGGCATGCGCTAATGCAGCCATTGTTTCGGACCGAGCCGTGGTCTCCGGTCCGTGGCTCAGGACAGGTTCACAATCAGCTTGTTATCGGCTGCAAGCTATCAGAAACCCTTATCCCACTGTCTTAACCGCGGACACGATAAGGTTCGACTTGACGGTGTGGGAGTCGGGGAAAACTATGGAGCGCGGAAACCTTAACGAGCACGCAATGTTTGCGGCCCAGGCCCTTTCTCCCTTTTGCTGTGCGCACACACTGCCCTCGTCACTCTTTTCCTTCGCGCGCTCTCTCTCTCTCTATCGGCTTCCTCACCGACCTACTCCCTCTCCCTCCTCCCTTCCCCCTTCTCTATCCGCAGCCATGCGCTCTTATCTGTTTGAGCCGGCGCCTCTGGCAGAGAAATCCAGCTCGGCCGTCAGCATCGACGAGGCTGAGGACTATGACTACGACCATCTAGAGGGCGTCGCGAAAGAATATGCCCCCCAGCCTGACCCGATCGACGACCCCGACTTCAACCCGCTCAAGCGGACCGCCATCATCGTCGGCCGCAAAATCGAAAGCGGCTCGAAGTACCTCTGGCGGCGCGTTCTCGGCATGTCGCGGAAACAGCAGATTATCGCCATCGTCTCAACCGTCGCGGTCGCTGTCGTGCTTGGTTTCACGCTCGGCTATCTTACGCCCGATGACGAGGACACGCCCTACCCAGCTTCCTACTACCACCACGGCTACGAGAAGGAATTCTACGAGGTCACCGCACAAAACAGCGATGACCAATTGGCGGTGAACTACGTCGAAAGCTTAGCGGCCGGTGATGACGGCTCCCAGGAATACGAGGCTATGCCGCAGGCACCAGTCGAGAAATCCGACGAAGTCAGCGCGACCGGTTTCTTTGGCGGCCTCTTTGGATTGGGAAATCTGTTTGGCACAAGCAAGCACTTTACAATTTCCGAGTTCCAGTTCGAGCATCTCGAAGAGCTCGCGCTGCTGAATAACATTGCTTACTGCGTGCCCGAGCCGGGCATCACCTCGCCCTTCAACTGCACGCGTGCCTGCGAGTTCTTCAACCCCGGTGTCGAGATCATCACTACGTTCACAAATACAGAGTACGATACCTCCTGCACCGGCTATCTCGCAGTCGACCATCGCCCTGGGTTTGAGCGCATCCTGCTGGTTTTCCGTGGCACAAACTCAATGACGAATTGGTACACAAACCTCGACACTATCCAGGAGAGCTACCCCTCCAACAACACCGAGAGCACAGTCTGCCCTGGATGCTACGTCCACCGCGGATTCCTCCATTCGTATCTCGCGTCGAAGATGCTCTATATGGATTACCTCTTGAATTTGACGCAGATGTATCCCGACTATGACATGCTGGTCTCGGGACACTCACTCGGTGGCGCGATCGCCGTTCTTGCTGGCGCAGATCTTCTCAACCTGGGTTTCTACCCCGAGATCACGACCTTTGGTCAGCCTCGCGTTGGTAACACCTACTTTGCCGACTACTTTGACTACCTCGTCATGAAGTCGGGCGTGGACCGCATGCGTGTGACTCACAAATCGGATCCCGTTCCGCAAGTTCCCCTCGGCGCTCTCTGGCGCCACAGCGGCGACGAGATTTACATCTCAAAGGGACCACTCTCGCCTACTCCCGAAGACTGCTACATCTGCGACGGCCAAGAAGACGACGACTGCTCGTCCGGCCAGGGAATCGTCACCACCCTCGCTTTCCAGGGTCGTGAGATTGCGTATCGCGCGCACGTTGAGTACTTCACTCGCGTGGGCTTATGCCGTTTCCAGATCTAAGAGATTCTTTTTGCAAGAGGCGGAGTCACTTTGAGAAACATGGTTTTCTTTCTGTACGCTATTTCATGATCGATATGATGCAAGGGTGTGTGTGTGTGTACATCGGGAAAAAGCACAATTTATTCGTCTCTATGCTTTGATTCTCGGTATGATGTGTCACTTTCGGTGATCCTCAGGAGATGAGGAATATTGGCTTTGTGCTCATTGTCTCGGTGCCCTTTCCATTCTATTTCTGTTTGCCTTCATGTTTTTATGATCTTTATACTTTTATACTGTGTACTTGGAGTTAGCTGCTTTTATTGTGTTCGATGCAGGTTGACGTGGGTTGCTATATATACTGTGTGGTTTTTCCTTTTCCCTTTCATTTTTTATATATTTCATTTCATGCTGTCGGAGTAGATTTTCTTCATCATATATGTGGGGTGGTTACAAAAAACGGAGAAGCCCAGGTTCTATTCTTCTTCATTCTTTCTCTTCTTTTTATTTCTTTGGTATATCTATTTCTTCAGTACGTCTGGTTGTTCATTTCATTCTTCATTGTCGGTCTGTTGAGGTCTTTTGTAGTTGCAGGTTGCAGGTTGGTGTTGTTGATGTTTATGAATGCTTTTTTTTACCGTCGTTATAGTCTGTGTTATTTTCGTCTGGGACTTTTTATATATGTTTCTGTTGTAGGTATTTATCATTTCGTTTTGTAATGAATTATCTCTTTGAATCTTTGAATCATTCTATTAAGTAAAAGGGTTTGTTCATGAGATGTAGCTGCATAACGTGAAGGTAGGCCGTAATCATACAGAAATTCGTAGATTTCAGCGCTGATGAAAGTTTGAAGGGGAGAATGTATGATTAAATAAAGTAATCTCTGCCAAAGAGATCAAAATACAGTTACCGCCGCTGTCTATCTCAAGCCATCCGACCAACTACAATGTCTTCTTATCCATGAAATCATTAGAAAAGTCAATGATAGATGTCCAATACCCATCCTTCATATACGTTTCATTATGCGTCCTATTGCAAAAGCATGTCAGTTTATAGCACAGCAAAAGAAAAGAAAGAAGAGGTAATGCATACGCGTTTGCGAATTGTCTCCAGACCTTGCTGGGACTGCTGCAGTGCTCGTATAGATATTTCATGTGCGAAGGCGGGACAATCTCGTCATTGAGACCGCTGAGGAGGAGGACCGGGATATTTGAGATTTTCGAAATAAGCTCTTCAGACGGCCAGGTCTGGTGGCATAGAAACGTAAAGTAGCGCGCGACCGGTAGCACGGAGGGGATGAGAGATGGAATGCTGCGGAATGTGTTTTCGACAATGAGGCCGGCGACCTGGAAAGTAAACATGAGAAATTAGCAGGGATTTTTCAATCGTCATCGTTCAAATAAGTGTGTACCTCATCTTGGTGTTTGTCAGCCAGGTATATCGCAACGGCACCTCCTAAGCTCTGGCCGTAGAGCACAATGCCGGTGTCTTTCAGCTCGGGATCCGCCTTGACGTGTTTGAATACTGTCTCGGCATCAATTTTCAAGCCCACCTCGTTTGGCTTTCCCGTACTCAGTCCGTATCCTCTGTAAGAGAACAGAATCACATTGTACTGCAATATTTTGTAAAACGCAGACGCGATTGGCAAGCGGTGACCCATGTTCCCCGCATTCGCGCAACATATTATGACCGTCCGCCCGTTCAATCTCAGCTCGGGATCCGTCTGCTTCATAACAAACAGCTTGATCTTCTCGCCGTCCTCGGTCTCCAACGTCACGTCCTCGTACGGAAGATCGTAGCTCTTGGGCGTCTGCACCTCGGTCCGGCTGCCGGGTGGGATGTTGCTGGGGTATATCAGTGCCGACTGCGCAAAGTACAGGATGACGGCGAGCGCGCCTACACAGCTGACGCCTGTTGCGGATAGTATCTTTATCGTCCGTACTAGCATTCTCACCGACCAGTCTATGCTCGAAGGGTCCATCGGGCTAGAGTCTTGGGAAAAGCCGGATATATCGAACGATAAAAAGACAATTTTAAGACCTGGTTTTAATGCGCCGCGCGACTAAACTCAGAAGACGTCTCTTGTATGCAGTGTCTATTGCAGCAGCAGCGTCCTTGCCAGTATATTTCTCGTCAAAGCAAACTTGAGCAGGCTTCTAAGTACAGGATATCAAGCAAAGAAGAATAGCCAGAACAGCAAAGTAGCCTCATATAACTGCCTTCAGGCTCAGAAACGCGAGACCTGACGTCAATTCGACCTGCCGCATGTTCAGAAGCCGGGTAACAATCCACCTCCGCCGCGCCGCGCTTTGGGCCTTCGATGACCGTCTCCTTCACACAGTCCTGCTTACACCAGAGCCCTCCGCGAATCCCATCGACTCAATCCGCTGTTTATTGCACGCTGATCAGCTTGTAAACAACTACAAAGGCAATCAGAGGAGCGCGGAATATAGCCACGATGAATGGAATATCAGTTGATATGCAGGCCCTGAAGAAGGGCGAGGTGAAGTACGTTCTGGCTATGCTTGCTATCCGATCTCTTGAATCTATTACTAATTGCTGTTGTTTTTTGTTGTAATTAGCCTCGGAACCTCAATGTGAGTGCTGCTTTTGATTGTGCTAATCGCAGAGATCGAATTAACAATGAACGTAAAGTATGGCGGTGACTTTCGATGGTGGAGTCATTCTCGGCGCGGACAGGTTTGTCAGACACTTTTGATCTTCAGTCCACTCTGCATCCCGGTCACTGACGTGTTCTCTTTTATATAGTCGTACTACTACAGGAGCTTTTATTGCGAATCGGTAGGTGGATACGGACGATTGTACCCTTGTGATTTGTGTGCGATTTCGAGTGTACTGACGAGTGTTATCTGCGATGTAGTGTGACCGATAAACTTACACAAGTCCACGATACTATATGGTGCTGCCGGTATGAATTTTTGCAATATCTTTCCTCAAAATTCTGCTCGATCGATAGAACTAACCTGTGATTGCACAGATCTGGCTCCGCTGCGGATACTCAAGCCGTGGCCGATATGGTGAAGTATCATCTCCAGATGTACAGTGTTCTCTACGAGAAGCCGCCAACCAAGGTTGCCGCGTCGATCTTCCAAGAGATCTGCTACTCAAACAAGGATGCTTTGTCGTACGTATTCCTCAACTCCATCGCTGGTTCATTGAAAAGTCCTTGTTCGCGTGCTGACATCTATTGCTTAGGGCGGGAATCATCTGTGCCGGATACGACGACAAGAACGGTGGTGAGGTGTACAGTATTCCGCTAGGCGGCAGTCTTCACAAACAACCTTATGCTATTGCAGGCAGTGGATCAACAGTGAGTTTATAATATGTGCAGCTTGCTAGTGCTTTGTACTGACGGGGACGTATAGTACATCTACGGTTACTGCAATACCCGATTCAAGCCCAACATGACCAGAGACGAAACCGTTGATTTTGTGAAAGGAGGTACGTATCTACTTTTCTGCCTTCAGCTAGACCTTATAGCCATTATCTCCAAATTTACTAACGCTATCTGCAGCTCTTACCGAGGCGATCAAATGGGACGGTAGCTCAGGTGGTGTAATCAGAATGGTCGTATTGACAAAGAATGGCGTGGAGCGCTTGATATTCTATCCCGACGAGTATCAAAAGGATTACTAAGGATTTAAAACGTTTAAAGACAAGTCTTGTGTATATAAATAATATAGTATAAGACATCCATCAACTGAATTTTTGTTTTCTTCATAGTCGCCGGCACGATAGCTCGTGGCTTGGCTTGCTTACTCTTCAGTAGCTAATTGTATACAATCGGGTCCTCACACTCCCATCTAACTATACATCCTACTCATTAAAACCTGTATCATGAGGTATAATATCTGTGTGACGAAAGAAATTAGCGGGGAAGCACCATAACGATATTTAAAAGTATATAGCTCCCCCGCCCTGTGTAGTGATAGAATAAACATCTAGAGGAAGAATAATGAGACTACTCGTCCAAGACCTCCTCGGCCGTGAACCCAGCAAGCCACATCGCGTCATCGTCCGCATATCCCTTAAGACTCTCGCCGGACTCTGCCTGTTTCTTAAACGCGATTCCTCTCTCAATCTTTGAGAAAAACAGCGGAGTGTTGACTTCGTCCTGCGACGGCCGCCACTCTGGATAATTCCTGTGGTCAAAGAGCGAGTTACGGAAGCAGTACGACATCAGCGCGCGCCAATTTTCGTCCCGCTGGAGGATCTCTGCGTTTCCGATCAGGACCAGCAGTTCTTTAGCGCGGGTGATTGCGACGTTGAACCGCTTAGACTCATGGATCAGGCCCAGTCCTTTATTGAAATCGCGCTCGATAAAGCGCTCGCGTGTGCGCGTCGTGCAGACGACGACGACGCGGTGCTCGGCGCCTTGGTAGGATTCGATCGGGCCGACGTTGACTTCGCTGAGGCGTTTGCGGCGGAGGCTCAGTCGGATCCGGCGGATCTGTTCGCGGAAGGGGACGGCGATCGCAATCTCGTGCGGTCTCACGAGGCCCTTGGTGATGATATCTTGCACGAGTTCGCAGCACTGTTGTTGTAGTAGTTGTTAGCAGGGTCCTGTCATCACGTCTTTTTTACAAAAGAGGCTCTTACCAGGTTGATTTCTTCAGTGTTGTACCACGACACACCATCCTCAATCATCTCATCATCTCCAGTGTTATTAATAAACATCACCGGCAGATTCCTATTTGGAAGTCTAGGCCATTCGCAAAGCGAGTCGACGTTAGTCGCCTCAGGCAGCAGGGTGTCGTAATAGAATAGCGACGACGGCATCGCCAGGATCGCAGGGTGACTGCGATAGTTGCGGACCAGGTTTGCAAACGCGGGGCGCAAGTATGGCAGTGCAGGCTGTTTTCTTGATCTGAGCTGCTGTTTACGAGCAAGCGGATGTTCAGCGTAGAACGCGCGCTCCATCAAGCGCTCGAAAAGCGAGACGTCGAGCTCAGACCTGTCCTCTTGTCTTGATGCAGTCCGTGGACCCAGCTGCTTATGATCGCCTGCCATGACGAACATTGGCAGTTCGCCAGCATAGTCTTCATCCGGCATGACAACTTGGAGGGGGATGACTGTCTCTGGCTCGGTTCCTTGGCCTGCTTCATCGACCAGTAGCGCATTCCAGTGTAGTCTGTCGCTAGGCTCGGGCATTCTGAAAGACTTGTATACGAAACTTTCATATTTCTTGAGAGCTCTGTTAGAGCACTGAGCTTCCATCAGAATCTCCGAGTCCTTGCACGAGCACACGACAATGCGGTAGTTCATAAGCGCCTCAAACTCGGGAAAAACAAACATATCCTGCAGATCCACGTAGTCAATCGCGCAGAACGGCAGTAGCTCAGAGGGAACTTCCGCAAACGGCCTGGTGAAATGGTTTAATCGAAACAATTCCTTGTTGTTCAGATAATGACGTAGTCGCAACGCGAGCGTATCTGCCGCAGCGTCGCTCGGTGCACACAGCAGAACATTTTTTCGCTTGTCTGCTTTGAGAAGTTGGAGTGCGAGCTCGACTATAGTTTTTGTCTTTCCTGTACCAGGAGGTCCGGAGATCAAAAATGGAACATCGCCGTAATTCCTTTTCACTACCGAATCAATTGCGCGCTGCTGCTCAAAATTGAGTCCCTTGTCATACCAGTCAAGGTTGAATGTGCCCTGTGGTAAAGTTGTCTGTAAAGTGCCATCCTCGTCTTTGGGAAACAGCATACGTCTCACGAAGCCCTAGACAATAGTCGTTAGAGTCACTGAAAAAATCAAATTAGAGGAATGAATAGCATACGTCTGGCTGTTCCTTGATCTTTTTCTGAAATACGTCGATGGAATGCGCACACACTGAGAGAAAAGTCTCGTCGTACTCAAACTGGACATTGAACAAATTACTCTCAAACATGAGCCCATCAATTCGAACGAGAACTTCTCCCCGGCCGCGATCAAAATGCCAAATATAGCCGGGATATTTAAACCCCGAGAACGCATCTGGTCCCTGTGTTGAGAACTGGGGTCGTAACTGTCTGAAGTACAAGAGATTGCCGATCTCTACTGTGGGTGTGAACTCCTTGATCCCAGGACATTTCAGCTTGAACAAAGAGCGTTCTCGGTCGCTCTCCTCAAGTGAAACCGCGTACATGTCATAACGGGCTAGTTCCTTCTTTTGAGCATTGATCTCAAGGTCGATGAGGTCAAAGAAATAATCTCTATACGTATCAACTGATAGGTGCCGGATGGCTTTCCCATTCCCAGACTTTTGATATTGGAACGGAGGGACCGGCTCATGTTTGAGGATTTTGTTGCCCACAAAGCCGGAGACGTATTCCTGTAGATTGAAGTCTGGAGGCTTTGTAGAAACCGTTTCTACAGCGACGTAGGTGTTTACGTTCTAAAGAAAAAGTCAGCAGGGGATTTACTTGTCTCAGATATTTATCTGATATTCACCTTCAGCCAAAGCGGAATAAAGGACGACGCGTAAACGTCAGGCCGCCAGTCATCTTCAGAGTCGTCTGAAAGTCGGCGGTCGGTAATTCCAGGAATCACAATTCTCTTTCTCGAACTACTAGTAGTCGACATTGCCTGTGAGAGTTCAGGCGATGAGTCTCCTTGGCGCCCATTAGCTGTATGATTAACGTCGTTCGTGATCTTATTTTCTTTTTGGTGGGGTTGCGATGTCGCTGGGGAAACCGAGGTCATCGTTAGGGTGTCTGCGGTCATTAATGGAGACGCAGTCGCTTGGCTGCCATTTGGTGTATGCTGCTGGAAGAACTGCGGTGCGTCGCCGTTCGGTATGGTCAGACCCGGAGGAGGATTGACGGTCGGTCGTTGGGGCTGAGGCTGGGGAAGTTGTTGGTGTTGTTGCTGCTGTTGCTGCTGCTGTTGCTGTTGTAATAGAAATTGTTGTGGTGGCTGAAAAGTAGGACTTTGCTGCACAGTCTGAGTTTTTGGAGAAGCTTGTGGTTTTTGGAGATCTGGCTGCGTCATCTGCGTCGCTTTCAGGCCGGCAAGCATATTGTTGTGGACTGCGGTTATGTACTTCAACTCCGCCATTGTTTCCGGATTCGGGTTCTGAGCGTATGCTGCTTCTGCCTGCTGAAGGACGGCTAGTTGCGACTGCAAAAGCAACGAATAAGCCGCCTTTGGATCTGCGAGATATCGTTCAGGGTACGGAGGCGGAGGTCGTGCATTTGTGGGTGCAGGTGGAATAGGCATGGCGAATCGCGGAGGTTGCATAGCGTTTGGAAATTGAGGTGATGCCGGGAAAGGAGGAAGACCATTTCTTCCATCAGAAGCAAGTGCGTTTCCATTCGTTGCAAGCTTGGAGATATCTTCAGGTTTCCACTGGGGCATCATTTGGGGCGGCGGGAAGTGGGCGGGGACCTCCATATGCCTACCGTCGGGAGGAAGTGGCATGCCGTAGGGGCCAACCGGCCATACTGGGTACATCACCGGCGGCCTAATCTGCTGGGGATCAGCGACCATATTGTTGAGTGGCGGTTTGGCAGGCCCGAGACCTGGGGGGTAAGGATGGAATCCATGACCCTGAATGGGCGGGTATCCAAACGGGGTTGCCGGTCCTTGCTGCATCTACTTCTTTTGAATGGATTCTGCTATAAGTCGATTTGAGTGCAGAATATAAGATTCAAGAAGTTGAAACAGGAAGAGGCTGTTTGAAGTCTGTAGAGCTGGAGTGGCAGAAGTATTAACACATGTGCATGTGAGTATGGACAATCGTATTCAAGTAGACTGACTTACCTCAACGCGGAAGTGAAATTGCAAACGAAAAGCACAATAGACTGATAGAATGCTCTATCAAGCAACTTCAAAGCAAATAATAAGCTGAAGATGCAGCTGGTGGTAAACAGACGGACAGCGATGGAGAAAGATATCAGCCCGTTTGGTCGTGTTTAGTGTTTGGCGATGAGGAGGTCTCTTTGTGGCCTTGAAACCTTAAATGGAGTTTAGCGAGAGTCGCGATTGGCACTCCTGACGCTGATCATCGCGGGTTTCTACGATTTAGAGCAAGAAAGAGTGTAGGAATGGATGTATTGAGTATGATACTAGAGCTAGAAGGCGTCTACTGAGAAATGGCTAATGCACGATGTAAGAACATAGTGCCTGCGCCCTGTTGTAGTCCAGCGATGGAGTTTCCAGGGAAGCAGGAAGCGGATATTGAGCCGGCAGCCGGACTATTTCTCTTCTTCAGGCTCCCATAGTAGATGTATGTTTCTTGTAGTAATAGAAGCAGACAGAGAACGGAGACGAGATGTATTTGCAAAAGAGCGGAGAGCCAGATTAGTATTGCGCGACGACGTTCTACTAGACAAGTCAGTAACAGATGAGTAAACAGGTCAATTAAACAAACCAGTAATAAGCAGCAGCTCTAATAACAAATCAGATAACACAACCCAGCAGAAGTGGGAGTAGTTGGGCTGAGAAGCTGTGGTCAGGCACAGGCTGCTGCAGAGCGTTGAAGAGTTGAAGATCTCGTCTGATCAGAACCAGATCTCGAACTCGAACTGTACGTCGCCCTTCCGCTTATCGCGCCCTCACCGCCCAACTCCCGTCGCCCCAGTTCTTTGTTCGTCGTCTGCTCCTTATCCGACCGACTCAGGATCTCTTCATCAGCAACTCGCTGCCTAAAACATCTGCAGAAACAGCTGCCGGCTGCCTGACAACGAGCCGGAGTCCAGTTACCCGGTGCCCACGACGAACTGCCAGAAAGCTTACTTGCACGAGCCACTCAACGGGTTCGATGAGGCATCTCCTCCTGTTCTCCTCCGCCACCTCTGCCGCCAGCTTCCCCCTTCGGATCCGCCACTCCTCTAACTATCCTCCGTCTTGCTATATTTCTTGGGTCTCTTTAGTCTTCTGCCGTTGTTGCCGCCATGGGTTCTTGCATGTCCAGCAGTGTCGAGGACACTCATGGCCTCGAAGAACGCAAGGTCTCCGCCATGATTGACAAAACATTGGAGGAAGAGCAACGCAAGGCGCAGAAAGTCTGCAAAGTTCTTCTGCTAGGTAAAATATTCTTGCTTATGTTATTGTCAAATAGTGCGTGCAAACTGACATCAGCCGAACTCTCTCAGGATCGGGCGAAAGTGGAAAGTCAACCATCGTGAAGCAGATGAAGATTATCCACCAAAACGGCTACAAGAAAGAAGAGCTCACTCTGTACCGTCCCACTATCTACAAGAACTTGTTGGACTCAATTAGGGGTCTACTTGACGGCATGCAGAAATTACAGCTCGAATTCAGCAACTCGGAAAACAAGGTTCGTTGTACACATGAAGCAGTCAATCCTCCTTGTACTCGTTCTCGTTCTCACAAGTCACTCATTTAGGAACTCATGGAGTATCTCATGGACGAGCAAATTGACAGCGACGCATCGAAACCACTTGATCCGAAAATAAAAGAGGCAATTGAAGCCGTCTACAACGATTCGATAATGGCGCAGGTCATTGATCGACAGACCGAGTTCTACCTAATGGACTCAGCCATCTAGTAAGTGCTCTCTGCTCTCACACTATTGATTCTTAAAAACAAGTCTCTAACCTCGAACAATTTATAGCTTCCTCGACAGCATGGCGCGCATAAGCGCGCCAGACTATCTCCCAACAGAGTCTGACGTTCTTCGTGCGCGTATAAAAACAACCGGAATTTTCGAAACCCAGTTCCAGATGAACAACCAATTGATGATCCATATGTTTGATGTCGGCGGACAAAGAAGTGAAAGAAAGAAATGGATCCATTGCTTTGAAGGAGTCACTTTGATCATCTTTTGCGTCGCCTTGAGCGAATACGACCAGGTTCTTCTGGAGGACGCCGGACAGGTTCGTATTCGATGACGATTATACCTGTCTCTCTACTTTGTGTTTGCAACTAACTTTTTAATGATCTATAGAACCGAATGCTCGAGAGTATGATTTTGTTTGATTCTATTGTCAACAGCCGGTGGTTTGTTCGCAGCAGCATCGTTCTGTTCCTGAACAAGGTAGACGTCTTCCAGCAAAAACTCAAGAAGGTCCCTCTTGGAAACTGGTTTGCCGACTACGATGGAGGCGATGATCTTAACAAGGCGGCAAAGTTCATTCTATGGAGATTTACGCAGCTGAATCGCTGTGGTCTCAAAATCTACCCTCAGTATGTATTCTTTGCAAACGTTCACAGCTCCATCTGATACTGACATTCTGTACTACAGCCTTACACAAGCAACAAATACCGGAAACATTCGACTTGTTATGGCCGCTGTTGAGGAGACGATTCTGCAGAACTCGCTGAAAGACTCGGGCATCATATAATCAATATCCTAGCAAGGATATGATTAGTGAAGCCATTTTTGGAAGCATTGACCTGACCCGAATTGGAATTGCCTTCAGCTGTGTGTAAGGATGTAGCATGTGTATATCTGGGTGTATATCAAGGTGTCGCGAATCTCAGAGTTGATCTGACGATTGTTTAAGAGTATTTTTGTGGTGTCAGAGTTGGAAGAGCATTATGTTTTTGGATTCAGTTTTTGCAGTACGCTTAAGTAGTATTATACCAATCAGGAGATCTATTCTGTTTCCTCTTTCCAATATCATAAAGACGCGTACTTCTTGTGAAATGTAGATGTACCGGCTTATCTCTTGGTCGAAATGCAGCTGATGTAATTCCCAGGGTTGGGGCAAATCCCCGTCCGAGCTCCTGTCTGATCCCTACGGTCTTAGACAAGAGCCACGCGCACACTCATATTCCCGGACTGTCTACACAAACACCCTCGCGACATTCCTCTTTAGTCATTCACCATGGCTTCCAGAGACGCCAATGATTCTCTGGCCACAACGTATGTGCTTCTCCGTTCTGAGCAAATCCCGTCTGAGTGACAGCTTCCCCGCGAGACTGTATGCCGGCGATCATGCTCGCGGTCAGTTTGTGGCAGCCAGCTCTTGGATCCGACTGATGCGATCGATTTGTTCCGGCAAGTGGCAAGGCTGACTGGTATTGTTCATACATATAGGTGGGCGATTGTTGAGGTCGGAATTGATAAAGTCCTGGCGAAGGACCTCGAAGAGGGGTTGACATCTGCATTGGTATGATTCGAATTCTGGCATTCATTGATTGCAAACAACATAGTGCTCACACTCATTCTAGTACATGAAAATATACACGTATGTTTTGCTTCTCACTGCTGCTGGCGACTTACAACGCGTCCTCGGCATTAACGCGTTCGCGCTCCCTCTAGTGCTATCTATCAGTTCTGTACCGCCACCCGACCGACTCAGCAAATCGGAACCCCACAAGCTGCCCGCGGTGGTATATTCAATCCGCAGAAATATAATATATTCTCCTGAATTATTGCTAATGTTTTGAAATCATAGCTCAACTTTTGGGTGCTGACTTGTACAACAACCTCGTTGAGTATCTAAAGAGACATCTCAGCAAGATCAGAGCGGTGAGTGCGCCTTTGGTAGCACGTCATCTTGGTCAAAATCAAAGCACTAAACGTTCAACTTTCTACTTTCTAGGAGGCTTCTGAGTATGCCGACGAGTATCTCATCAAATACTACATCCGCACATGGAACCGCTACACAACCGGAGCGCGCTACCTCAACCATATATTCGAATATCTCAACCGTCACTGGGTCAAACGAGAGCGTGATGAGGGTCGACGAAACATCTACGATGTTAATACTGTATGGCTCACTTAGTCTGTACAATCCCTGCTATCTGACTACTAACATCACTCTAGCTTTGCTTGGTCAAATGGAGGACTGAGTTCTTTGACTCGATACAGGGCGATCTGATGGACGCGGTCAAGAAGTTGATTGAGAACCAGCGCAACGGAGAAACTATCGAGAACGCCGATATCAAGAGCGTAGTTGGATCGTTTGGTATGTCTTGATGTCACCTTTGAGAAATTATAGTTGTTTTGCTAATCTCCGACAGTATCTCTCGGACTTGACGAACACGACGCCAAGAAGGTCAGTCTTGCGGTTTACAAGACTTACTTCGAGGCCCCGTTTATTGCAGCTACGGAGGCTTACTACAAAGACGAGTCGTCGCGATTCCTTGCCGAGAACAGCGTTGTCGAGTATATGAAGAAAGCCGAGAGCCGACTCCAAGAAGAGGCAGGCCGCGTTCAGCTCTATCTACACCAGAGCACAGAAAAGACTCTTATGCGGACTTGCGAGGCTGTTCTTATCTCTGACCATGCTCATTTGCTGCGCGACGAATTTTTGAAATTGCTGGAGGTTGACAGACAAGATGACTTGAAGCGGATGTTCTCGCTACTTTCCCACATCAACGATGGTCTCGTTCCTTTGCGCACAAAGTTCGAGACGTATGTCCGCAAGCAGGGTCTTGATGCCATTGAGAAGCTTGCGAGCTTGGAAGGAGATAACCTGGAACCCAAGTCTTACGTCACCACTCTTCTCGATGTCTACCGGCAGTACAGCCACCTTGTCAAATATGCGTTTAACAACGACGCTGATTTCGTCAAGTCATTGGATAACGCGTGCCGCGAATTTATCAACCGTAATAAAGTCTGCGCGACATCGTCCTCAAAGTCTCCAGAGCTGTTGGCCAAGTACAGCGACTCATTACTCAAGAAGAGCGGAAAGGCTGCTGAGGATAGTGATATCGAAACAAAACTGAGCGATATCATGACTGTGTTCAAATACGTCGACGACAAGGATGTCTTCAACAAATTTTACACTCGTATGCTCTCTCGACGACTGGTTCATGGTACTTCGGCCTCCGAGGATGCGGAAGCGACCATGCTCTCGAAGCTACAGGAGGTTTGCGGTACCGATTACGTCATGAAGCTTCAGAGCATGTTTTCAGATATGCGAACCTCGAGCGATCTCCAGAACGAGTTTAAAGAAGTTCTGGCGAACGCTGGAGACAACGAGAATCCGATTGACTTTTCGATTTTGGTGCTTAGTTCGGGTCACTGGCCTCTGAGCGCGGTTGATACTCCGTTCAACGTCCCCGACGAGCTGATCAAGCCGTACGAGCGATTCCAGCCGTTCTACGATCAGAAGCACCAGTCCCGCAAGCTTAACTGGCTTTGGAATTTATCAAAGGGTGAGCTCAAGGTGAATTACGTCAAAGGTCCTTCTAGAGTCGGATACACGTTCCAAGTCTCGACGTTTCAGATGGCGATCCTGTTGCCCTATAACAAGGGCGATTCGTATTCTTTCGAGCAACTGAGCCAGATCACGGGCTTGACTAGAGAATATTTGATAAACTCGCTCGTCCCTCTGGTCAAGGCTCGCGTTTTGACCCTCGGCGGTGGCGAGATCGGTGACGCGGGAAGCAAGTACACACTCAACATGGACTTCAAGAACAAGAAGGTCCGCGTGAATCTCAACATCCCCGTCAAGGCCGAGCACAAGCAGGAGACGGAGGCGACGCACAAGAACATTGAGGAAGACCGAAAGATGCTGACACAGAGTGCGATTGTGCGAATCATGAAGGCGCGCAAGCAGCTGAAGCACGTTGTTTTGGTGCAGGAGACAATCGCACAGGTCAAGTCTCGGTTCACGCCCAAGATCCCGGATATTAAGAAGTGTATCGACTTTTTGATTGATAAAGAGTATCTCGAGCGCATCGATGGTGATAAGTATCAGTATCTTGCCTAAAAAGCTGTGCGTGTTTAGATGGTTCTCTCTTTTGTTTTCCTTTGTTCGCGTGTTGCGGAAAAGAGGGCATTTTTCATTGGGAATAAATTTATGTCCTATTTTTCGTTTCGCAAGTTGCTGGAATGGTGTTTACAAATAATATAAATTCAGCTCTTACTACTGCTCTTGACACTCTGTCACTTCGACCGCGTCCATTAGTTGTCGAGAATTACTATTGTTCTTGATTTTATTATAGATACAAACTATATCTATCTTCGGGACCCACCACTCGCGCGCTCGACTACACGTAGAATGCTGATGGTGAATGTCATCACCCACATTATCAGTACCAGAAAAAGAAACGCAGCGAGACCACGCTGGCGGCGGCAGATGTGGCTATCGTACGGGGTATTGTCCGACATCTGTGGAAACTCGTTAGCTACAATGTTCATTCTTGTTAGTAAGGGATAGTTGGTGACATACCGAGGTATCCGGCGAAGCGCAGACCCATTGATAGTCGTATAATGTGTTGAATGTTAACGCCAAGTTTGCCGAAGAGAAGATTATGAAAATAAGATCCAACATGACTAGAAAATTGGTGAGTACTCTGTAGAAATAAGACAAGCACACAGAATACAAAAGGGCACATACTGAGCTTCACTTTATCTTTTGCATCGCGAAGGCCAAGAGGTTTGCCGGAATACTCGTCGTATGTGATGTAAACCAGATAGACAAGCGCGCAACTCTGGACGCAGATCGCCATGATGGTCGACGACTGCTGACTTAGACTATCCGCCTTGTACATCCTGGTGAAGTGATAAATGCTCGCTGCCAGCGCCAACGCCAAGATAGAGAGCACAAAGATGCCACATCGGAGCGTCATGGGCACGTACGGGTTATTCAGGAGCATAACCCGTAGATTCAGTTTCCTGTTTGCCCGCCGTGCCGCCAGATCGGCAGTCATCACAAAGTGCGAGTCGACACTGCTTCGGGAGATCGATGACTGGATGTTGCTGTTAATCGAGTACGCATCCGATCGGTGGTGATGGCTTGCTGAGACTGCGTTTTCGGGAACCGCGAGGCCGTCTGCGCGTCCGGAATCGAGATTTGTAGTCGAGTGGTCGTGCGCGGGATTCCATGGGCCGGTCAAGTCCATTTGTTTCTCCAGGTCTTCAAAGGCTATGATTTTCCGCTTCTTGTGGAAGAACAAGTGTGCGCTCTTGTCTCCTTGCCGACTGCTCTGATCTCCGGCGTCGGTGCCGCTCGCAAGTGTTAAACTGTTGTCGTTCATAAAGGACTCGCTCTCGTTATCTAATTTTTCAGATAACCGATGGGGTATCGAGCCGCTACTTTTCACACCCGGACTTGCAGGCAGTTTTTCCTCTGAAAGACCGTCAGAGCGGACAGCCTGAGACATCAGTCGCAGATCGTTCTCTGTCTTTGTTTGGCCAGGGAGTTGTGAAAGCGAGACGAATTCCGACCACCGGGAGGTGCCGGTATTGCTCCTTTCCGGCGCCAGACTGAGAGGCATGGTAGTCTTCGTCGCAGCCAGTATCGGCGACGGCGGACTGTAAGATGTAGAAGAGGCCTGGGTTGAACTTGTCCTAGGACCAAGACGATCCGAGGACGCGGTCGTAGTCGGTGAATTCGAGCTCTTGCTCCCGGCTGAGCGGCCATCGAGCTTGGCGGCGGCCCAGACCGGTATCGAGTTGGGCCGGAGCAAGGCCACTGAGCCTTCTGACTTGCGCGACGACGTGTCTGGTAGTGTGTCTGCCTTTTGCAGGACTATTTCGGGGGCGGCGGGGGATTTGGGCATGGTTGGGGTGGAGTGGGCGGTGGTGTTGGACGGGTTGGGTCGGCTAGTGATAGCGGGCGGAGTCGATGCCCGGACTATTGGAGGGCTAGTCTATGAGTGAAGACTGCTCAAGAACCTGCTAAAAACAAAAAAGCAGTATAAAGAAGATCCTAGGCGATCTAGAGATGCGCAAGTTGGATATAAAGCGGATGAGAAGTCGATTAGGAACCGACTGATCTGGCGGGCGATCCCAAAGAGGATTTGATTGTAAACAAATTTAGGGTTTGGATGCTGTGCGGCTGTTAAATTTAGACAACGATGGAGATGGCTCACCTCGGTGCTGAGAGACGAGCAAAGAGGCCGCTGGGTTTATTGCAAGGAGAAAACTGGGGTTATTCGCGTTGAGAAGTGCCGAGAGGTTTAGAAGAGATACTATTGTGTGATATTGAGGTGCTTTAATTGGGTGCTACTACCAGGATGTGCCAGCAAAGCTGAGAAAAAAATTACTAGATCAGATATATTTTTGAAGCTCAGATGACTTCTGCACCAGACGCTTCGAAACCGTCGCCGGTGTCGCTAACAGAGGCTATAAGCAGTAGCGATGACCTATGGCGCTCGGTTCTTTGTCAGCACGACTGCGAGTTCGATCTGGATCATTTCGAAGCTGCTATGCTCAACTTGATTTTCCAGCCAAATATCAATTCGTCGAGTATCATGCGAACCGATGTCGTCTACGATTCCGAATCGCATGGTACGAATGGAGCCGAGGCCGGAGCTGCGGACGAGTTTGTTGCTCAGGAGAGAAGAGTGACGCTCGGTCTTGTCGAGTCCGGTCTGCTGTCGTCTGATCTTCCCGACCGGCGGATTCTCAGGACACTGGTTCCCCGGAACCCAAACAAGGATTTGCCAATGAAACAGACATGTCATATATATTCGTCCGACCACACCCGCTCTGTTGTGTACATCCCTCACCTTGACAGCCGGGACGCAACACCATACTACCACCCAGCCGTTTCCGGAATCTTACTGCAGTACAAAAAGCCGGCGAACGACGCAAACGCGCTGGGTGAGCTGCGGTTGTATTATCGACTGTTCCCAGAAGACCAGCACACCGGACTTTCAAACCGTCTAGAGCGGACTGCGCTTAGACTTATTACAACAGCCGCCCGTCACTCAAAGGGTACAATGAGCGGATACGAGAAACGCGTGCATCATGATGTGGTAGTCGACAAAGTCGCGTTCCAAAACAGATATCTGGAGCTGAAGGACAAGCATGCGAGATTTTTGATTGACAACTGGGTTGAGTCTACCGATCCAAAAAAGCATGTGTTTGAGGATCTGTCGATTGCGGCTTTCTTGATTGAGCTATGGCAGACTCGGTTCGGCCATAGTCCAGACAGCAAAAAGCTCATATTTGCGGACCTGGGCTGCGGTAATGGCGTGCTGGTCTATATTCTTATCATGGAGGGATACGAAGGCTACGGAATCGAAGCGCGAAGACGCAAGACTTGGTCGATCTTCCCACAGCGCGTGCAGGACTGTCTGCGTGAGCAGGTTCTTCTACCATACCTCTGCTTCGACAGCGAAGAGGCAGAGCACCAGTGGTCTTCCGAGACCGGTCTCCGCTTCCACAACGGCAAATTCGATTCCGCCACATTCATCATCGGAAACCACTCCGACGAGCTAACGCCCTGGATCCCGCTCCTCGACTGCCCGTTCATCGTGATCCCCTGCTGCTCGCACGCATTCTCGGGCGCCAAACACCGGTATCCGACGACTGTTAGCGCCGCGACGGCGCTCGACAAGGCGACCGGACAGCAGAAACTGAGTACCTACGGTGCACTGGTCGAGCATGTCGCTCGTCTGGCGGATCAGCTGGGTTGGAGTGTGGAGCGCGAGATGCTACGGATACCGAGTACCAGAAATGCCTCGATTATTGGACTAGGTAAACGGGAGGAGGGCGGGGTGCTTTCACCGAGAGAGGTTCTGATGCAGAATGGAGGAGCTGCTGGGTTCATCGAGAACGTCACCGCACTGATGAGTAGGAATCCTCGCTCACACTGAACGCAGCGGGTGTGTCATTATCTATGTGTATAATTCCAAATCACGTCTAGCTATATTACTATAATAAAATATTAACAAGTGTACCGAATATGGCTACATACAAAACTATTGTATCAACAAAAAGATAGTAATCAAAAACCAACAATCACTGACGAATTACAACTATAAAACATTATCCAGTCACCGTTGAATTTGAAAAGTATATAATGTAGAGAGACCAAAGTCGCCAAGAGCAGGAGGTATACGACAAGGCGGGGCTCAGATTGTCATTTCTCCTGCTACTTCCTCGTCGAAATCCTGATGATCGCCGAGGTTTTCGTCGTCCATGTCAGCGACATCCCGGATGCTGGTATCGGGCGGGTTACCAGTAGCCGTGGCGTCGTCGTCTTCGTCTTCAAAGTCGACATCGAAGAAATCCTCGACCGTGCCTGTGACGCTCTCGTACACCGCCTGCGCCTGGGACAAGATTCCGTCGTAGACGATGTCTATCGATGGAGCCGGCACGTAAATTGTCTTTGACGAAGGGTTTTGCTGAGGTGCGACGGTCACTTTCTGTGTGTATGTAAGTTTTAGAAGATATTTCAGGGATTCTGCGGGTAAAGGTTAGCTTGTCACAATACAGAAAACATATGGAGTTGATAAATACCCTTTGGTGTAAAGTTTCGCAAACTCTCGCCTAGACGGACAGAAGAAACCACAGGCATTCCGTTTGGCAGGTACGCAATGTCCTCTTCGCTGACGTCAAACTCAAAGTCCTCTGTTGATTCTCGCAGGATACTCTCTTCCATCTTCTCGAGAGCCAAAAACAGGTCTTTGCGTCCTTGTTCGCCGCTCTCCTGCGTTGAGAGATACCAGACAGCTTGGCCGGTAGGCACCTGTCCGCTTCCACTACCAAGGACAAGAGCCTGGACGGCATATCGGTTTCCGTCCAGAGTATCAGACGGGAAAACCACGATGGCAGCAGACTCGCCTTCGGCAAACCATTCCTTGCAGTCCTTCTCGACAACGGCGACCATTCGCGTGATTTCCTGATCGCCAGGGACGAGACCATGGCTGGTGATCAGTTTCTCTGTGACTTTAATCTTCTCGCCGTTCTCGAGCACGGCCACTCCCGACTCGTCGTCGAACCTGCTCAGCTTTGTTCCCAATCTGTAGACAGCGCCAGCGACGGCCGCAGACCGGCAGAATCCCTGGGCTATTTCGCCGCCAGAGCCATACATCGAGTACATGGCCGGGAAATTTCCGTAGACTTGCATCGAGGTCAGGTATCGCTTTATTCTATCGAGCGCAAGTTCTGTGGGTGACGACAATGAGGGTAGTAGCGCGATCGAGTGCACGAGCTCGACGATCTGGGGTTGGTCTAGACTGAACTTGTCTTTCAAGAAGCTCGAGATGGGCTTTCCTTTGTACTCTAGCCATACGTCAGGAGTCTCGTCCCAAATCACGACGAACTTCATGAATCGCATTAGGCTGCGTTTGGTTAGCAGCGTGAGGTTTTGACTGGTGAAGATATCCTCTTTACTGCCGGGCACTTTCTCGAAGGAATCCTGTTCAAAGGTGTGAAACGATCCGAGTGGTTTGAATTCCAGATATCGCGAGACTCGGCTTTGGATCAGAAGGTTGAGCAAATCAGATCTGGTGAAGAGAACGTGTGGGCTGATGTCGATGGCATATTTCCGCGGGTCCAAGTTGCGCGAGATGTAGAGGTAGGCATTGGAGAAGGGAGTATCTGGACATGAGGTCAGCAATCGGCACATATACCGCTGATCTGCCGGATGGAATCGGGGAAGAGCTTACCGTTTGCGGTTGGGTTATTGATCTTATCGGTCCAGGTCTTCAACTCCTCGAGATTCAGTGACGCCCACAAGCCACCGTAGTAGGGGTTGTCATCCAGATGAAGGACGTTGGTTCCTTGCCATGCAAGAGCACTATTGAGATTGCACACGAGTTAGCAGAACTGGATTGAGGAGGAAAAAAAATTTTCCGCCGGCACACGTTATCGGAACCAGTAGGCGTGGCTGGACGAGAGGTTCCAGGCAATTCCTTGCGAGTCGGCGGAGAGAGAGAGAAAAGAGGGAGGAGATAGGAAGACATACGCGGCGGCAATGCTCTCGACTAAGCCAGAGCCGTAGACGAGGACGTCGCAGGTATCTGGAGGGGCGGTGGAGGAAGTGGCCGACATGCCGGAGTTGGGAAATTGATCGATATCGAAGCGGGACGGGAGGAGAAGAGGTGCTCCGGAGGGCGGAATCGGGGATTCAGCGGACTGAGAAGGGTTGAAGATGATCAAGGACGCTTTTCAGAGCAGACTCGGGCAATTCACAGCAGCTATCGACGCAGACAAAGACGGGCGGGCAGAGCAGCAGGCAGACAGCGGATTGCGGGGCGTGGCGATGGTCGGCGGCACAAACCTGCACGAAAGATGCGCTCGGCGCCCGCCGCCTCGGTAAAATCACGTGACTCAAAATGGGACTCCCGACGGCCATGCGGCTCTTCACTCGTTATTGCTTCAGTCGACTATTTGACTGCCGTCGCATCCTCCTCGCCGTCTTTTCTCTCCTCCTCCTCCAGTCTTCCTTGTTTTTGCCTGATATCCCGGTGGTTGTCTTTCTGGACACCACAGTCTACTAGCAATGGCCTCGCAAAAGCCGCAGATCAACGAGATCAACGTGCCTCTCATGGTTTGTGCCCTGCTTCCTGCTCTCTCGACCTCGACCACATATCCTCCTCCAACTGCTAACACCTCCCCCTTCCCGCAGAGCCTCTCCCTACTCGAAGACCTTCTTCAGCCACTCACCCACGACATATTCCTCACCGCCTTCACCCGCGAAAAGCGCAGCCGGCTGCCGTGCCCGTCCTGCGGCGCCATCCACAACTCGCGTGCCTCACCTGCCGCGCAGTCCGCGCTCGGAAAGGGAAACTACGTCAACAAGCCCGGCTTGGACATCTACGGCCAACCCAAGCAGCAGGCATCTGACCCGAACTCCTACTACGAATGCTCCAACTGTGCGAGGAAAATCGCAGTCTCGAGATACGCTGCTCACCTCGAGCGGTGCTTGAGCGGTCGCAGTACAAGGACCAGAAAGTGCGTATACTCCGTCTCCAACTTTTGCCCGCCTATAAGGCCATGCACGTTAAAACACCGGCTCAAAACCCCATGCTAACGATCTCACTTTGTTTTCTTCAATATAGTGCTGCGAATAGTAACTCCGGAACCCAAAGTGTGGCGTCACCAATGTCCATGTCTCCTTCGTCACCCTACGTGACCGAAGACGAGCCCTCGACCCCGAAACCCGCTACCAAAAAGCGCAAGATTGCAAACGCCAAGCACTCGCACGCAAAGTCAGGCAAGACCCTGCCGACCTCACACATGTCCGACGGCGCGTACTCCGACTCGGGCTCGACGATAACGGTAAACGGTCGGTTAGCACACAGAGACTCTAAGCGTAAGGGCGACAAGACGCTTCCCGGCAGAACCTCGCCTCAGAAGTCTCAGGTTTCCAAGTTCTTGGACAGAGCTGGTAGTCCGTTGACTTTATACTCATCCGACTCGTCTGATACCGAGGTCAGGAAATTCCCGCTGTCGACGAGCTCTCCCAAGGGAGTCAAAGTTGAGCAAATCTCTGATAGCGACTAAGCTCTCCCACTCTCTTCAGAGAGAAGATGGTTGAGTTGCGACGTCTCTGGTGCATTTTTTACAGGAGTTTTATACCCGCCCCCCGGTTTTGTTAACGTTTAAAGGCCTCTGTTTGGTAAACTCTCGTGTCCGACATGAAATTAAATAGCGATACGAGGTTGTTTGAGAGGGGCCGATGATTGTCAGGTTTTTTTTGAGTTTGTCCGTTTGTAAGGCTACTTTATGTCTCTGTAGATATCGCGTTAAGTTGCATTCTGAACTATTTGTATGATTTCATGATTTCCTTTTAGTTTTATAATGCAATGACATTTCAATGACATGATTTTGAATCAAAAGATGACACAAATAAGGCTTCCAGCGAGTAAAGAAACGTATTCTCCACGTTTACTGCGCGGGAATAGTCTTCTTCAAAAACTCCAAAATGTCCATAATCTCGGTCGGCGAGGCGCTGTGCGTGAGGCCCTTGTATTCGTGGAACTCACAGGGGACGTCGAGCTCGGCGAGCTTGTCCTTGGTGAACACGCCGTACTCGTACTTGACGACCGGATCGTCGGTGCCGTGGCCGACAAAGAATGGCATTTTTATGCCGTGTTCTTTGTGTAGCTGCAGTAATGATTTTCTAGTTAGTGGGCCGCATCAATGGTTTGAACAAGTACAGGTGGTAATTACATTTGAGATGTTTGAGCGCATAGGCACAAATCCGGACAAACCGACAACACCAGCGTATTTAGTATCGGCGATCAAACCGGCCTAGATAGATCCGTCAGACAAGCTCTTTGTACCCTCAGCACACTATACATACTAATAAACTGATTGTGCAGCCCTGGCTGAAGCCACCGATGACGATTCTCTCGGCAGGAATACCGGCCTTGACTTCCTCAGAGATGAACGCCTTTAGTCTGTCGACGCTCTCAAGCATCCCCTTTGAGTCTTCCTGAGCTTCGACTTTGTCGAGAGAGACGATGTCGAACCACGAAGGCATCGTCAATCCGAAATTCTACACTCAAGCAGGTTAGCAGGTGTGACGCTCGATTGTATACATAGAAGAGAAATGAAGACATACCAGAGTCACTTTCTGGACAGGAGCGTTCGGGAAGATAAACTTGACATGGTCGAGCACCTTCAATTTTCTGTACTCTTCAGCCAAAAATCTCCAGCCATTGCCAGAGTCGCCGAGACCGTGCATGAAAATGACGGTCGCGGTGTGCTTCGTGAGCGCGGGAACGGTGACGGCAGACATTGTGTTTGTGATATCGGGCTGGTTTGTAACTTGGGAGGTTGACTTTGGCTTTGACGCTTTTGAAGAGGGCGATACGGAAGCGTCGTAACTTTGCGCAGGTAAGAATGGAGAGATGAAGTAGACTAGAGCTAATCCCACGGAGACCGTTAAGAGTAGACGTCGTAACGAAAGTGCCGGTAGAATCGACAGCTTGAACAAGTTGTATGTGAACCAGAGGCTGGAGATTGATTACGTTAGAACAGCACGCGCGCAAAACATACAATTGCAGCACAAATCAGTTAAAGAGCAGAATTACCTCTCAGCAGGACACGAATTGTTCTAGAGAACTAGTTACGACGAGGAAGAAAGAGGAGGTTGTATTCGAGATGACTTTGCGAATTGGAAAGCCCTACTCCTGATAGGACGAATTGGGTGTGAAGTCGTGTTATTTCGCAGTCCACGCCTGATTTCTGCTCTATTTCTTTTAATTACAGATCAGATTTGCTATTGTATCTTACTCTTAAGAACCCGATACTGAACCGACCTCACATACCGTGCTGTTTGTTATCTTATCTGTTAATTCCTCCTGGTCTAAAAGTATTACATAATACATACACGTGACCAACTGTTCTGGTGCTCAGCGCGGGAGCTGTGCAGCACTCGCGGCTTAGTTGCTTCCTCCATCAAAGCCAACCGATCTCTGGAATCAAGACGAACGAGTATCGCCGCTTGAGACAGAAGAGACGCAACAGGAGGATCAATTACATAGATCTGCGCTATTTTACTACTTAAACATGGCATCTACGGCTCCGCGGTCGGCGGACTATGATGCGTTGATTGATGTCGACGCCGAGGGTGGAGTATGCAGCACTTTGAATTCCATTGCGTATTTTTCCGAAGAGCTGCTCGCTGACTGTGTTTCTACTTGTAGATGGATCTGGGGGAGACTGATTTGGAGTTTCATGACTTTCACACTGGCGATAACATGCAGGGAAAGATCCCCGCCGGACAAGGTATGCATATCGCACTTTTTTCCCTCCACTAGACCATAACCAACTGATTGCAATCCCAGCCGGCCGTTTCCCGCCTCCTTCTGCGATTGAGAACGACCCCGCCCGTCCGGCGACGATCTGGTCAGTCCGATTTTACCAGCAGTTCTTCGACGTCGAGACCACTGATGTCACCCAGCGATGCCTCTATGCTCTCTACCCCCGTGTGTCTTTCTTAGAAACGATTGGCGACAACCCAGACCTGTACGGTCCGTTCTGGATCGCTTCGACCGTGATCGTTGTCCTTTTCTTTTCCTCCACTATTGCTGGCGCTATCGCATCGCACGTCGCCGGCGTTCGGTACGAGTACAACTTTGGCTTGCTATCCGCGGCCGCTGCGCTCATGTACGGCTACACATTCGCCGTCCCCGTCATTCTCTGGGGTGTTCTCAAATGGTACAAATCAGAGCACGCCCGTCTCCTGGACTGCATCGCCCTCTACGGCTACGCAAACACGATCTGGGTCCCCGTCGCGCTCGTCTCGACCTCGCCCATCGAGATCTTCAACTTCCCGACCGTTTCCAACGTCGTCAGATGGATCTGCACTGCCGTCGGTTTCGCCGTGTCGACTTCGTTCCTGGTCAGGAATCTGTATCCCGCCCTTATGAGCACAGAGGCTAAGACCTCGCGTATTTTGTTGGTTGCTGTCGTTCTTGGACATATGATCCTGGCGTTCGTCGTCAAGCTCGTCTTCTTTGCGTAAGTCTTTCCAGAGCTCTACTATTACTCTTGATCAGTGCGTACTAACATCTGGCGTGTAGTTACTCGATCGATGACAACACTCCAAACTAAGAACTCAAACTACAAACTACAACTGAGGAATGACGACTTCCGATGCTAGACAAAGTTGTGGATATATATCCTCGATTAGCTAATATTTTTCTAATGCAAATTTTTATTTTTGGTCCACTGGATATTTCAATTTGAGCTATTCAAACAAGTAAAAGGCCAGATCGCGCTGCGCAAAGAAATCGGATACGACCGAGATTACCATGTCAATCGTAGCAAGCGAGGTGGTTGACAGCACCTCCTGATGATAAACGTTAGCAAAATGAATGTAAAAGAAAGCTGGTGTGTGTACATACGGTAGTTTGCTTGACAGAGATGCATTTCTGGCACAGCTGTCTGAGGATAGAAATCTCCTGCGCGGGCACGATATCGGCAACTCGGACAAGAAGCGCAAACAGCCAATTAGACATCTCAGGCGACAGGCTGCCGGTGATCCATCGTTGGTAGTACTTGAACAATCTGAACACGTCTTCCTGCTCGAGCAGCGCCAGGGTTGATATCTCTGGTGGATGGTCTGGAGATTGTATGTACTCTCGCCAGGCAGCCAGGCTCGAAGGTAAATCAGCTCGCGTGAGCGAAGAGGGAAGACGGTCATATGAAGACGAGTAGAGGTTGCGGGTGAATTTGTACTGCGATATCGCGTATTGGTGCCATTTCTTGTCAACTTTTGCGTCCCGGATCGGGCGCTGGTCTGTCTCTGGCGGGGTGGTTGCTGCCTGGATCACGGAAGGTACTGGTGCTGCTCGCTTTGTAACAGTTACAAAGCTCGGCCGACCAGCAGCCTCTCTCCTGCACAATCTGTCAGAAACTGCGACTGTAGTAGCTATAGAAGTACTTACCTGACTGAGCGCAGGTATGCCATTGCGTCCTCTGGCAGGCCATTGCTGTCCTCGTCGTAGTTGAGCGTGATCGCAGAAGCGTCCTCTGGCGCGATCGGTAGCGCACCACGCTGTCCTGTTGCTGGATCCAGCGGGCCCGCAGTGACAGAACCAAGTCTGATTGTCGAGCTGCGCGGTTTGTACACAGGGAGCTGGTCTTCCTGGTAGTCACTCGTGGTCTCGTCCTCCTCCTCTTCGTCCTCTTCCTCGTCGTAGTCGTCCATGTCTCCGAGGTTCGACAGGTCGACCTGCATCCCGACTAGACTGTCCGTCTTTGCATACTTGTCGTCGTCGTCATCGCGATCGCTCAGCACAGAGGCACTCCGCTTCAATGCCGACATAAAAGGCAGCAGCAGCAGCAGTCTACCTGAAAAACTCGCGACATCCCAGACCCGGCTCTCGGTCCGAGGGCGCGCACAATTAGAGTTTCTCCACCGCACAAATGCGCAAACATCGGCTTCTACGCGTCAACAAATGCGGAGCCGGAGCCAGGAATATACGACCGGCTGCTGCGATAAAAGGGTCGAGACCTCGTCTGTTTTCCCGTTCGCTCGCTGATAGCAGTCGTCGTCGTCGTTGTTGTTGTTGTTGTTGTTTGTTATTCTTCTGTGTATTTATGGCGTGAATCAAGGCTTTGCTGCTGTTCATATTTACAAAGTGCGTACAGCGCTGCTCTGCTCTTTCTTGTCTCGTGCCTGTGCTTTGACTGACCGCCCTCATCTCCAGCCCGTCTGCCACCAATGTCCAACTCAGAAAGCGCCCGCCCGCTCCTGCCGTTCTCATACAACAACTCCCGTCCTGAAAATGAGCTCGCGCTGCCTGTCCTCCCCCTCGGCACGCGCAAGCGCGACTATCCTGCCTCGGAATCGTCGGACGCGTTCCCGATCGACTCCTCCACCGACGCGGACGAGATGACGGAGCAGATGACTATCGACGAAGAAGCAGCAGCAGCCTCACTCGGAGGAGGAAAGCCTTCAAACACAATTTTTCGAAACGAGTTACCTCGCGCCAGCAAACATGCTCCTCCGTCGTCGTACCTGCGAACAGTCGCGAACGCGCACAAACGCATATATCAAGAACTGCCCCGCACAGACCTGAGCGACGGCCTCAATGAGGCGTGGGAAATGGAGCTCCCGTCTTCCCCGCCACGCGACATGCAGCGGTCGTTTGCAGAAGAGACCTCTGGCGTGCCGGGCCGGAAACGTCGAGGATCGTTTGACGCCTCTGCGAGCTTTTCCGGCGCCGGGTCGAGTTCGGCCCCGTTCAGCACTCGCGGAGGAGGAGGAGGTCCGCTCAAAGTTCGCGCAGAGTCGATGCCGATGCCGATCACCCACGTTGCCTCGTTTGCGAAGCGGCCTGTTTCGTCGTCGTTTGTGATGCCGCCGCCGCAGAGTGAAGCGACGAGGCAGGCGATTAGCAAGATTAGCTTGGCGGTAGAGGAGTCGCAGGAGATCATCGATCTGTCGGACTTGGGGTTGACGGAGATTCCACAGGAGATCAAAGACTTGAAGGACCTGGTGACGATGAATGCAAAGGATGGAACACTGGGTAGTCGCATCCAATTGTTTCTGGGCCGAAATCGGATCGCAAAGGTCCCGTCATTTCTGTTTGGCCTTGAAAATCTCACGGTATTGATCCTGCGGACAAACAAGCTCACCTATCTTCCGCCGGCGATCGAACGACTAAAGAACCTAGTCGAGCTCGGACTGAACGGGAATCGACTGGAATACTTCCCGTCGCAGATCCTCGAGCTTCGGCAGCTGAATCTGCTGGCTATCGAGCCTAATCCGCTGATGGCGTGTCCGGCAATGTACGCTCGCAAGCCGCTGACGTTGGGTGATATTGGATTGGACGAGAGGAAAAGCGACTTGGTTTTCGCGTCCTGCGCTGTAGCGACAAGACCCAAGTGGGTGGACTACAAGTACCGGAACGGGTACGGCATTAGCTATGGCTCAGCTCCACCATTGAGTGAGTTTTGCCTGCGTACAATCTCGCAGTATCGGCCGACGCCGAAAGAGCAAGCGGTCTGGGAATCCTCACTACTGCTCGAGTCTAAGCGGCAGCGAATAGAGCACGCATACGAAATGGCCGAATTTAGTAATACCTGTGGCATGTGTGGCAAGTTTATGATTGACCACGTAGCGTATGCGATGGAATGGTGGGATGCGGTGCTCAAGAATAATGGCGTGCCTATCAGGCGAGAGTTTTGCTCCGCGCGATGTGTCGGGGTGTGGGAGAAGCAGCTGAGGGGGAATAACTTGCCCTTGATAGAGTATGAGTAGTAATCGATCGAGAACGGGTTATTGGGACTGCATTTGGGGGCAGGGAGACTGCCATGATTGCTTGTGATTTGTTTTTGGTACAAGTAGTTTTGTTTTTTCTTTTCTGTATTCTTATTGTTACCTTTTGGAGGGATCGCATTTGTTTTCCTGTTTCTTAAGTCTTGTGGCATTGGTATAGTGGTATAGCTAACAAAATCATATATTATTCAATCACATCAAAGAAACGACCAGCGGATCTAGAGCTTTGCTTTCTTGTACTCATCCGCCCGAACCTTTTTCCTCTTTTCCTCAACACTGATATTATCCCGAATCGCCTGCTGTCCCTGCTCGTGAGGTTCATCGCAGTACTTTACGATATCTCTCCACATCTGAGCCTTGAGCAGGCCGTAGGAAGGAGACTGTGCAAATTTTGTGAGCTTGTTGGCTTTGATGAACGCGTCGACGTCGGAGAGGTGGCCCTTTGCGTGGATGAGATTGTGCTCGAGGGCCATGTCGGCGTTGAAGCGCGTGGCTTCGATTGCGATTTTCTGGTAGGTCGTGACTGCGGTTTTTTCGCGGAAGATTGCGCTCATTGGAGGAGGCAGGGGAGATCCTATATACAGTCAGCCCATAAGTTTGTAAGCAAGCTCAGTGGGAAACATACCGAATTCAAGTTCATTGGCGCAAAGGAATCCCTTGTCGGGGTTCATGATTCTGTAGTCATGGCACAAGGCAAACATGAATCCACCAGCAAACGCATGCCCGTTAATCATTGCAACCAAAGGAGTCGGGTACTCCAAAAGCCTTTTGAACAACGGGTTTATCCGCTCGTCCCAAAATCCGGGGGTTGTCATTGCGCGCTCGAGATCAAGGCCGTTGGAGTAGAACTTTGCGATTTTGGAAGTCGTCACGAGCGGCAGCTTTTGCTCGGGAAGGAGTTGGTCCTCAATTACATCCAGCACGTACAGGAACGCCAGACATATCTCGGGGGTCAGCCGGTTATCTGGAGGAGCGCCGAAGGTGAGGAGGTAGTATTGGCCAGAGTCGGCTTTGGATACTGTGATGCTGCCCTTTGCGGGGTCGTCGTAGATCTGGAACTCGGCGGGGAGTGAAAGCACCATTGTTGGATGTAGGTGAGGTAGATTCAGAGAAGAGGAGTTGGTGTAGAGAGAGAAGAAAGTGGAGGAGGTGTGTGGAGAAGATGCGTGTTGCGATAATGTGGAGAAGCCGGAAACTCAGCCGAGGTTCAGGCACAAACACCGTGAACCGAAGACGTCGCCGCCGAGTTCTGTTTTTCAGAGCAGCTGGTAGTCTGTAGTTTTCAACAGAACACCAACAATACAAACCACGATCCTGCTGTAATCCAGAAGCACTCGAATGCCGACGATCCGGAAGTAAACACGACGCCCGTGCAAGTCCTCGCAGCCACTTAGTTGCCCTCAAACGTACGTCATCCGCGCCGCACCAAAGAAGGTCTCGAGACTTTTTTCTCTGCCTTTGATGCAATGACACTGCTTTTGAGCTTTTGACGATGCGGGAACTGCTCCATCTCTCGTTCTCGGCGGCTGCGAACCACGTCACCACTCACTTCTTCAACACACAGGAGGCGTACTTCACGTACGAAGAGGATACAAGTACAAACTACACCATCGCCCATGAGAACAATGAGAAGAAAAGCAAGGCTCCTGGTCGGACAAAGATCGATAGCTATATAAGTTTCAGACCTGGGCTTGCTAGCGATGGAGTGACAGAGACGTTTACGCCTCGAAGTTTGCTGTGGGATCTCAAAGGTATGAGAGCAAATTGCTGGACTATCTATACATCACTACTAACTCATTTTTATAAGGTGGACATGGGTCGCTGAAGAAATACAATGCACTCTACGACTCAGTGCCTGACATACCAACAAAAGTGACCAAAATCGAACAGCCGCGCATTGAGGAGAGCAACTACATCAAGGCCCTCAACATGACTGGCAGCACGCTGAGCCCCGATCTGCCGCGACTATCTGCCAGTACGGCCAGATACTGGGCCGACTACTGCAACGTCTTCCATCACCCGCGCTCGCTGCTTGAGGTTGGTAGCTACGTGTATGACCCCGTCCGAGCGCCAAAGGGCCTTGTCAGAGGAGTTCCTCTCAGCGAGGACCCGGCCCGACGTGCAAACTCCGAGTTTCGAGGGTGGCAGACTGGCGTGGACGAGTTCAAGCGCGAGGCCAGCGACGCCGGGGAAGAGGCGCTGGATACACAGTTCAGAAACATGCTGGAAGAGTGCGACATGCTAGGCGGTGTCAACGTCGTCGTCGACGTGGACTCGGCGTGGGGCGGGTTTGCCAGCGAGGCCTTGGAATTGATTCGGGACGATTACATCGCAAAGAGTACGATTGCGGTCTGGGGAATGGAGGATCGGGGAGATCTGCAGCGCGACGAGCAGGCTTCGCGCATAGAGACAGTGCTCGCGCTGTCTGCGGCTGCGACGGCGTACATCCCGCTGGCGCTGCCGGATCGATGCGGTCTGCTGAGTGACGTGGGCAGTCTATGGGAAGCCGGAGCGCTGTTCAATCTTGCGTTTGAGACGCTCACGCTTCCGGCTCGGGTCAGAGCAGGCGACCCCGCGCGGGCGGATATGCTGGAGATCATAGAGGCGGCTACGTTTGGGATTGAAGGCGAGCGGCAGTTTGTGTCAGACGTGCGAGTGGCTGCGGGCGATGAGAGCGTCGCGCTCGGAGGACAGAACTCGGTGAACGACGGCTGGATGGACGCGCGGACACGGCGACAGCGCGCGTACAGACGGGAGAAGAAGTCATCAGCCGCGTCATCGTTTGGGTCTACGGGCGTCGTCCGCGGCTACGCGTCCGCGAGCGCTCTGACAGACGCATGGGCGCGGTTTCCCGCAGACGAGAAGTGGAAGTTGATGCGGGAAGCGCGGCTGGCGTGGCCGCTTCTGACGTCTGCGCCCGCGATGAGTATCGCTGCGGGCGACGTAGTGAGTGCGGGCGCGCGCAGCACGACGAGGACGGCCGCGACGCTCGCGCAGATGGCGGAGTTTGTGGAGCAGTGCTGGAGGAGCACGAGCAGCGGGCGGCACGGGAGCAGCGACCGCGGCGAGGTGCTCGAGGAGCTGGACGAGGCGCGGCAGCCGTACGTGGACGAGTTCGAGGACGAGTCCGAGGAGGAGGAGGAGGAGTAGCGTAGTCATGAATGACATAATCCACAATCACGTGTTTAAGGTTTCCGGCGAGACTCGGCAGCGCACTGCCGGCGCGCAGGAGCACCGCCACAGCCGGTCGCCATCGTGGCTTGCGGGCTGAATGAGAATCTTTGTCAACTGACAGCCGTCGCTTCGACTCAACAAATCCGCAAACCGCCGTCACCGACGCTTCCTCACCGTCTCCACCACCCCAGCCCGCCATGAACGGCTACTACTCCTACCCGCCGCCGCCGCAGTACGGCATCTGGCCGTCGCCCGGCCCGCCTCCGCCCATGCAGCCCCCGGCCCTGCCCCCCTTCGCCCAGATGCCGCTCCAGTCCTCGATGCCCCCGGCGCCCGCTCCCGTCTCCCGGCGGCCCTTCAGACAGCGCCGGAAAGACCCCTCCTGCGACGCCTGCCGCGAGCGCAAAGTCAAGTGCGACGCATCAGAGTCCTCCGCCTGCTCGGAGTGCACCTCCCGTAAGCTCAAGTGCCAGTTCACAAAGGACTCCTCGCGCAGGATGTCGTCCCTCAAACAGGTCCAGGACCTCGAGCGCCAGCTGGCCCACGCTCGAGCTCGCATCGCCGCCTTGGCCGACGCTTCTCCTCCCATCGCTTCCTCCATCTCCTCGCCCTCCTCTCCTCTGGCGCCTCCGTCCGCGATCGTCTCCCACGTCGGCGGGCCCCAGCCAAACTTCGACTTTGCCCATCTGCGGCAGCATCTCCTGCAATACAATCGAGGCGTCTTCAAGCCCCCGGCCGGTTTCCGCGAGGCAGCCGAGCCCACTTCTCACATGCTCGCCGTCTCCTCGCCCGCTTCCCTCCCCCCGCGCTCAGAAGCGAACGCGCTGCTCGATGCCTACTGCGAGACTATCCACAAATGGCTCCCCATCCTTCACTGGCCGACCTTCCTCGAGCAAATAGACTGTCTCTACGCTAGCGACAGCGGTCTCGCCGAGGTCTCTCCCGCCTGGGCATCCACCTTCTTTGCCGTCCTCGCATGCGGTGCGCGAGGGCAGTCGCTCCACGGTGATCTAGCCCGGCGTGCTACCGAAAAGGGCCGCAAGTACGTCCTCATCGCCTGCTCCTACACCGACCTTTTCACCGACGCTTTTGAGGTAGACCACTGTCGCTCTGCTCTTTTGGTTGCTGTCTTCCTGCTCGACCTGAACTGCACTTCCGCGGCGTGGACCTGGGTCTCTGCCGCCCTCCGTAAAGCACAGGACATTGGCCTGCACTGCGAGCGCGACCAAAACCTTAGCGGTCTCTCGCCTATCGACATCGAGCTTCGTCGTCGCGTGTGGTGGGCAATCTACGTATGGGACCGCCTTCTTTCCTCAGAATTAGGCCGCCCATACCTGGTCTCCGACGACGACTGCAGTGTCGCTTTTCCTGCTCCTGTCGACTGTGTCAATATCACCCCTCTTGGCGTCAACGTTGAATCGATGCGATCTATGTCTATACCCACGCAGTCGCAGAACGGAGAGTCGGATGTCGATTCAGACTCTGATGTTGATGACGACGACGAGCATTACTACGAAGACGAATACAATCAGAGACCACCGCGGCTAGTTGCGCAGACAGCGGCCGGTGCCTTCTTCATCCCTACGATCCACGTCCTGCGCATCCTCACCCCTCTACGACAAACTTTGAAATCCACCGTTCTCAGCAGACAGACGCTAGCCACCTTTGACCAATACTTTTACCAGTTCTGGGCAGCCTTCCCGTTCCTTTCTCCTGGAACTGCCGGCACTCTCGGCGAGCATTTGGATCCCCACTCTCTAGTTCCAGTCACTCTAATGCAGAACCTGCGGCTGATCCTACATCGGCACAATCTCACGCCCTATGCGCCCTCCGATCTGCGAACGTTGGCGCTCGATCGCTGCGCGGTTATTGCCATGGAAACCGTCGCCTTTCTTTCTCGGACCATGATCAACCCTGCACGAGTGGATGAGAGTGCGACTGGCAAAGACTCGCATTCACAAGCTGAGCTTTGGGTGGCCAGAATTGTGGGGAATATCACTGCGTTTGAGATCACTCACATTCTGCGCGCATGCCTTGCTCTCATGAGCCGTGGGCTGTTCAGGCATGCTATAGTCTGTATCAAGACGATGTCTGCTGTCCACGATCACCGAGAAGTCAATATTGCTGGAGGCCTGTACCTTGAAGGATTTCTCAGACTGATGCAAGCTCGTATCTCTGAGCATAACACGACCAACGGCGTGCGAACTCCGTACCTTATCGAAGAAGACGAAGATCTGCTTGCGTTGGTATCGTGTGATGTACAGGCTACGGCCGACTCTTGGATCTGGAGAGATCCAAAATCCGATGTCAAGCGCGAACCGGAGGAGAAGACTACGTTGCCAAACGACAGGAAGCAGGCGGAAGTCGTGCCGCACTCGTTCAAGTTCGATGTCGCGACCGCGCTGCCGCACGAGTCGTCTAATTCCTCGCCGTCGTCGTCCGAATGCCATAGTTCTCCAACTAGTTTTCGGCGCGCGAGTGTGTCTGAAGATAGCCGTCAAAAGGAGCACGTCGACGAGGCCTGGAACAAGTGGGCTAGTCTCGAGACGATGATGAACGCTATGGACCGTGAACGGTGTCTGGAAAAGTCGCGCGAGATGTTTGTCTCGCGGGCACGATCGCAGCTGAACATGCAAATGGATTTGATGTTTGTCTCGAGCGATATAGGCGAGATCCTGGTGCCTACAGTCAAGCGCGCGTCAGAGAAGCGAAAATCAGAAAAGAAGGCGCCGGTGGAGAAGCCACAGCCGACGGTGAAGCCGGAAGTGGATCAAGCGGCGGAGGATGAAGAAGAAGCTAGACGAGCGCAGGAGATGAAGAGAGCGCGGATCAGTATTGCGAATATTATATAAGACGTTGGGGGTGTATGCTATGTTTGTACAAAAGGTTTCTGGTTATCTCTGTTTATGTATTTGGGGATGTTGGGATATATTATGATTTTTATGATTGTGTGTTTGGTTTTGTTATACTCGGGGCGTAAGATGGAAGGCGAGCAAAATGACTGTTATGTATATGATGTCTTTCCGCTTTGAATGACTAGTTGATTGTCCAACTGTATCCTTGACTGATACCAAGAGTAGAAAGCTGGTGGAAAGCAGAATGCTATGTAATGTATTAGTAAGCCAAACTCTATTGCTTGGGACTTACAAAATTTATCTCAGATCAACTCATCGACTGTTCAAACGCATCTCGACTATCGACACTAAAGAAGATGGGATCCGCAAAGAAAAAGAAGGAGAAGAGAAAGGACTTTGTGGTGTGTATTCAGCCTTATTACACTGGCTTGGACCTGTTCACGAACCTCGCTAACTCGCTCGATTTCCTCTACTGCAGAAAACAAAGCTGAAAGTTGGAAAGACAAAACCGAAGCCAACAGCGCATACAGAACTTGGGTTTAAAGCCAAATGTGAGAAAGTGCTCAAGTCTGTGTGATTATCTGGCAGTGGTACTGACGTTTATAAATCAAAGCTATCGGTCTTCCGTCACAGTCAATTACAAAGTCGTTTACCTCGTCCGAGTCTTTCAACCATCATCTCTCGCTCACGAAGCACAGTTCAGCATCCACGAGGAAAGGTTAGATATCACGCTTACTCCCAAGTCATTACTCTATATTAATGCTTCATTGCAGATGCGCTGCTATTTCTACTCAACCATCTCCCCACCGCCGAGAAAATAGACTCGTCCGTGTTCACCTACATCGCGCCTCTGATCAGCGACCAATCTGCCTCCGTGCGCTCCACGCTCCTGACATTATTCAAAGCAATCCCGCGAGAAGCCCTGGCTCCGCATATTCACACCATCTCGATTTACATCAGATCAGGGCTCACGCATTTGCAGGAAGACGTGCGAGCTGACACTGCCAAGTTTCTTAATCTGATTCTGAAATCGAGCGATATCAATATTCCTATGCAGCTCGTGACTAGAAGCTGGATCAGTGTGCTTACATGCTTCGGCGGTCTTTTCCATTGGGACGTGCAGCCTTTGACTGCTGCTACAACTCAGCCTACGTCAGCAAATAGCGCTGCATCTGCAAAGCCCGCCAAAGCAGGCGCAAAGAACAAAATCGGCGGCTCGGTATCGCTCGAAGGCATGAAGAACGCGACCGGCCATCTTGAAGCTCTTTTCTCGTTCCTAAAACTAGGCTTATCAGAGCATCTAAGTGACGAAGAGAAGGCTAGACGTGATCTCCCTCTATGTAACTCTGATACAGCAAAGCATCTGTTGCCGGTAAACACGACCGCGCCATATGCGCGGCTGGGCCTGTTCTCGGCCAACAAAGCGATGGCTACCGAGGATATCGGCGCGAGATACATTCTTGTTGCACCCATTCTCCCGGATATTCTGAAGACCCTGGCGTCGGGAAGGTTGGAAGGAGGCGAGATCGGCAGGATATGCAAGCAGTTGACTGATTTTTTGGTGGACGTGCAGACTAGTATCGAGAGTGTTCAGTGAGGTCGACGGCTTTGTTTGGGCTATTTTTTCGGGTTACTTATATTGGTGTCTTGGTCTGGTAATAAAAGGTTATAGATCTATTTCTTTACAATCAAAATCTATTCACAAGTAATGTATTTCTGTAGATATGGCAGTATTCAATACGTTTAAACATCGGATTAGTCACGTGCCTCAATGAATGACAGAGGTGACCCGAGTTCGCGACCTGAAAACCTGGATCGAAAAAAGTTGGACCGCAGATACAAAGACGACGAAGAGCAATCAGTTAGCCAACAAACTTGCAATTACTGGATTTGCAAGCCTTTAAACAAAAGGGAAATAGAAATGGCCCCTCCAGTTCTTTTCGACACACTTCTCCGCGAGCGCACGGCAGCGCTGCTACAGTCCTCGTCAGATTACCGCCGCTATGCTCACCATCTTTCATCGCGTCTGCACAGACTCCGCAAGACGCTGAAGGTGCGTCGTCGGATTTCGGCAAAGACGAATCCAAAGTCTGCTGTTGTGACTGCTAGTGCCGAGACCGAGGCGACTGCGACGAGTGCGCCGAGTTCAAAGTACGATGCGCATGTGCCTTCGCCGAGTGAGTTGGCGACCGATAAGCGGTTTGCTGGGTTATTGCTTCTCGCGGCCGAGCGGGCCTGGGCGCATGCGATGGAGACCAAGGCTACGATGGAGAACAGTGCGAGTGTTGCTCCCGAGAAGCGGAAGCATGTTTTGCAGCGGCTCGAGAAGGCGCGCAAGCACGCTTCGCAGTTTGCGAGTATCTTGCTCGAGTCGGACGAGAGTGGGTTTAGTGACTACGATAAGTTGCAGGTGGTTTCTTACTCGGCATTGTTGGCTGCCTCGGGTGCACTCGAGGCGTTTCATTATAACAAGGCTGTCGTGCAGTTCTCGATTGCGTACACGGGCTTGCAGGGTCTTGCTCTTTCGCTCGCGGGCCCTGATGCTAGCGACGACGACTCCGACACGGCCGATCTCTACCGCGATCTTCTTGACAGCACCGTCATTCCTTCCCTCAAGTTTGCAGCTCTACAGGTTGATCCCTCTCTCAGATCCGAGGCAGTTTCCGCCATCGCGCACAAGTTCATTCCCGAAGACAACGTCGTCGTCGAGCTGGTTCAAAAAGTCGCAAAGGATGAGGTCAAGGTCCGCGAGCTACTTACCGGCAAAAGCGACCACGCCGACGCGCTCGAGTTTGTCGACTCAATCACCTGGCGCTCGCATACCGCCCACCTTCGCGATGCTACTGTTGCCGCGGCAATTGTGTCTGCGCGCGGAGCAGACGAGGGGCTGTCGAAGACGCTCGCGGACGCAAAGACCGAGACCAGTGCGCCGGCGTTCGACCCCGCTTTGCTGGCATGGCAGGACGCCGTCGACGCTATCCACGAGACAATAGTGGAGGCGAACTCGAGCGCGGGCGACGACGTGCAGGCGCGAGTGCAGGAGCTCTACATCGTCTCGACCTTTGCGAGTTACAATCTGATTGCTCGTCGTATCGCGCGTGATAACCTGCTGGCTAGCAGCCTGCGGACGTCGCTCGAGGCAGGCACGAAGAAGGGTGCGCCGGTGAAGTCGAGTGCGTCAAAACTGAGAGCACTGTCTGGAATCTACGATGCCATCCTGCAGTCGATTGCGCAGATTGTCGATCTTCCTGGTGTTGCGAGCGACGAGCCTTTGTCGGACGCACTTGCTTCGCTCCAGAAGTACTACAGTGCGCACAAGTGTGCCTCCGACGCAGCGGCCCTGCTGAGCGGCTCGCCCGCCAACGTGGGCTCGTGGATGAAGGCTGAGAGCTTGGTGTCCGAGATTGACGAGATGGCGCTGAACCTCGACGGCGAGACGAAGAGCGATATGACGGCCGAGCTGTTGTTCAAAGCCGACGTGCCTGCTCTGCGTAAGCTCGTGGCGAGCGGACTCGGGTCTGCAAAGGAGCAGCAGGCTGCTGCGAAGGTGACCCAGCAGAAGCGCGAGTATGCGAAAGCACACAAGGGAAGCGCTCCGTTTGTGGTCGAGGATCTCACCGCGGAGCCGGTGTTTGTCGAGCTCGACCGCCTGGTGGACTTGCAGCACATTGGAAAGAAAATCAAGCCGGTCCCTGCCAAGCCTGTATTCTTTGACACCGCGTTCAACTTCATTGGGTACGAGCAGAGCGAGCAGAGTTCGTCGACGGTACCTGTCGCGGCTGCTGCCGGTCGCGGACAGGCTGCTGTAGCGGGCGCTTTGGCGGATGACGCAATGGAGACTAAGGATGAATCAACTGCGGCTACCGCAAAGAAGGGCTGGTTTTGGCGGCGGTAGATTTGCCCGTCATTCCAGCAAAACAAAAGCAAAAGATTAGTCATTGAGAGGAGAGAAGTAAAAGCTTGATGTTTGAATCATTCTGAGCAGGACGGGTAGTTATCGGTGAACCAACTCGTTATCATATCTACATTGTAAATCGCTATTGTTTTGTTTTCCTCTGCGTTTTCTTCATGAGTTTTGTACTTTTTCCGCCGCGTCTATGTTTTCTTCTATGTTGTAATACTTGACCTGTTTGAATAGAGAAAGATGTAAGGGTAACGAGCTTTGGTACATACGAATGTTCATGTTTCAGTGTACACTATTTATGTGGAAAATGTCGGATTATAAAGTTAATGACGCCATCTCCACAAGCACATGTACTGGCAACCAGATCAAGAGAAGAAGGACGATCCACCTATGTTGAACTACGCTGACCGAGAATTTAACCAAGAATAATCATCTTCATTGAGCAGAAGCGCTGCTGACTGTCGCCTATCCCTATCCACATGCAGAATAAAACACCAACCATCCAAAAACCGTAAACGAAAATGAAAGCAAAAGCAATCTGATTAAACTACCCACGATTCCAAACAAATTTTACTGTGACCAAAACATTAGAAAGAATGAAGACTCCTGCTCAGTCATGACAGCCCTTGCGTGACCCCAGAGATAAAGAAAAAAAGAAAGGAAAGGAAATCACAAACTCCGGACAATTGATGCTATGAAAAACCAAAAACATTTCTCCTTAAGCTACTACTAGAGCGCCGATCGATATTCTCCTCGTGCGCGGCTCGTTCGTGTCGCTCACTGGAGACAGCGTGCTGCCAGAGGGCGAGAGTAAAGAGACCGAAGTCGACGTCTGGTGGTTGACGACCGAAGACTGGGATAGCGCCATGGCGAGCACTTCGATGCGCAGAGAGTCCATTCCCAGCCGCGTGCGGAGGAGAAGCTCTGCCTCGGCGTCAGACGCGATTTGATAGCGCACGCCGTCTGCTTTGCGGGTGTAGTAGAGCGCGACCAGGGAGTTGTCTGCGAGACCTAGAGCTCGGCGGACAATGTTCAGCAGGAACGGCAGGCAGTTTGATGAGGATGCGGCCATCTGCGAGCGAGAGATGAGACACGGGTAGAGGACGTTGGCGTAGAGGAGCTCGAGAGCGATGGATTGGTCGCGGTCGTTGGCTGGGTCCGGCAGAGCGGTTGAGACCGATTTTGAGATGAGAGAGGTTGTGATGCCGGGCGAGGGGAGAGTGCGAGGGAGGGACGAAAGTGTGCTCGACTGCGAGGAGACCGACGAGGAAGAAGAGGCAGTGTAGACGTCGAGCGAGGTTTGCGAGCCCGTAGACTCTGTGTCTTCGTTCGAGGCAGAGAGGTATGACGAGAACGTGCTCACGGACGACATCGACGATGCGGTGGGTGAGCGAGCCAATGTCGGTCTGACTGAGCCAACGCTGGGGTCGCTCAGTCTGCCGAGATGCGAAGGATGGTAACTGCTCATGTAGCTGGAGGAAGCGTCGCTCACGCTCGAGCTGGTGCTAGCCGCCAGGACGTCGATAGATGGCGACAGCGATGCGCTGGAGGACACCGGCCACGGATCAGTCGCCATTCGCGACTCATAGATAGGGATGGCAGAGCTGTGGTCGATCATTCCCATATGCGACGAAGAAGACTCCGACGACATATCGCGCTCGACAGACAGCGACTTTGACCTCGACTTTGACTTTGGCAGTCTCTTTCTGTTTCTCCGCACAGACTGCACGGCAGCCCGGACGAGCTTGTCAAAGTCCTGCAAGGTATCTGGCGGGAACCCGTTTTCCTCTCTGAGCGTGTCGGCAACGGCGATGATCACGTCGTCTTGCTCGGATGCTTTCTTGGTCGACAGCGCCATCTTGTCGATCAGCTCGAGCCGACGCGCAGAGAACTTTTTCCACTTGCCTTCGTCGACAAAGTTCAGCTTCTGGCGGATGCTTTGCGTCACACCCGAGACGCGACTTGAGGGAGTTGTCCTTGCGGGGGCGGGATGTAGATTGAGGATTTGCGCGGACGCATGCGGTCGTTGGACTGGGAGATAGGCGCGGCAGATAAGGGAGAAGTGGGATAATCCGGGATGCCTTGGTGGATCAAAGACACGGGAGGGAGAGAAGGGCGAGAGGTGAGGTGAGGCATGGTCGAGCCCGAGGCGGCGGCGGCGGCGTAGTTTGGATTTGCCGACGGAATCATCGACGAAGGCTGCTGCCATGGAGCTGAGCTCTGCTGATGGTGTAGCTGCGGGAATTGCTGACGCTGCTGCTGTGCGGGCGAGGACTCAGGTGCGAGCAAGACTTCGATGACTATATCGTCGCTGGCAAGAGCCCGACGCAGGGTGTTGTCGTCAGAGAGGTAGAGCGGCATACCGAGGGATCCATAGTGCAGAGGCGTCGCGCGCAGGACGATAGGGCGCGAGTTGTCGATGAAGAACGCGGACTGGATGTACGAGCGGAGACGGGTGAAGGAGACGTTTTCGTCCTCGAGACGCCATTGTATCGAGCGGCCGGCGCAGTCTATACGGATGGTATGTGGGCTCGGCGCGCGAGAGGCGGCAGCGGCGGAGGCAGCAGCGCCGGTGGAGGACGATAAGGAAGATATGGGCGGCACTGTAGCTTGGGCGGACGCGGGGGGCAAGCGGTAGTCGTCTGCCATTGTGAAGATGGGTCGAAGATGGTGAGCAAAGACATGGAAGAAGAGGAAGAAGAAGCTGCGGAGGGCGGAGAAAGATATACGAAAGAAATGGGCGGACGGGGCGAGTAGATGGCGGTACGAGAGGCCGACGACGAGTCAACAACCGGGGAGGTACCGCGGTCTGTGCGCCGCGCTTGTGCCCTTTTTCGGTACCGCCGCGAACACTGACTCGTACCCGGGAAGTACCTCTGATTCCTGCCGCGAGACCCTGTTCCGCTCTGCCTAGTTGCTAGTTGCTAGTTGCCCCCACGGCTGCTGTGTATGCAGCGAGAAGAAACGGTGGTGAGGCAGAGAGTCAGAGAGCCTCGGCCAGTTGGTCTGAGTGCAGTCAGCGAGGGCAGACAGCGCCAGTCCCTGCGCCGGCCTTCTGTCTCTGTCTGGGTGATCCGTGACCACTGTTTCCACCGCCAGCTGCGTTCCTTGATGCGTAATCGTTTGTCTGTTCTCATTCTGTCGGCCGCCGGACTGCGAGAGTTAGTCAGCGAGTATGGCTCGCGGTGGTCAGCTCGTGTCCCCGCTGCAGCTATCGTACATCCGCTTAAAGTCCGCACCGTGCGCGAGTCTTATCGCGCACCGGGCATTTGCTTGGTCTGCGATAGCAATGATTCTTCATATTGATAGCTCTGCGCCTGCGCTGCTCTAGTGAGTTGCACTCTGGCTACTAGAATCTATGACTGTCTGTCTGACTACATAGAACGCTCGTTAACCAGCCAAATAGCGTGCCTTTTGCGCTCACAATGTGCGTTAAATGGCCGTCAGGACCGACATCGAAAAGGCGCACGGATAACCAAAGAGGTCCCCGTGCATCCCTTCTCACGAATGAGTTTCAAATCAGTGCAGCAGTGGCTTGCTTTAGCTCTTCGTAATCAGTCGTAATCGTGTAAATGTGTATCGCTCTGCAACCGCGAAGGTGCTTGGACAAACGAACAGACTGATGACTAACTGATAGGCGGAGTGGACTGGGCCCCGTTCTTTGTTTTTTCTTCTTTTTGTCTTATCGCGGTTTCCGTCTCGATCCGAGGGCTACCCCTCTGCTCAGCAGCACCCGCACGCGCGCTGCCCCGGAAGAAACAAAACGTGTTTCGATTTGTGTATCTAGATTGATTCTGATATCTGTACTGTGCAGGAGGATGTCCCGCTAGCGGTTGGCGGACTATGATCTAAACACGCTATCGACCCCTCGCATTGATAGGGACTCCCGACTCAAAGCCCTCGATAGCGATTCCCGCCTCTAGTCCCATTGCACACTAATTACCATTAAAAATACCTTGGTGCACTAATCAGCTGTCTGATTGACGACCAGGGCGGTTGTCACTCTGACTCTTGCCCGGCGTTATCTCCCTGCAGCAAGTGGCTCACTGCAGCGCTGCCAATGCGCACCACACAGCCAGAGACAGACCCACATTCTCAGATAGATGCTCACGGTAGACAATAGGTCTGCGACAGCTATCGGAATACAAACAGTGTGCGGGTGTAGATAGGCGTCGTCGGCGGGAATCTTATCTAATTATGAATTAAAGTGCAGCGAGGTCAAAGCCGTCTGAGTCGCCCCCATACGGCCTGCGGCCCGAGGAAGGAGTCAGCGGGGAGATACACAGGCGCACGTACCATTCCCTCGTTGTCCACCGGCCAATGTTTACGATCCTGCCATCGTCACTACGGCGGAAAACGAGCCAGGAAAAGTGAAAAGTTTGACATCCGGAGAAGCCGAAAATCTGAGGGTGTCGAACCGCTGTACCTGCCCGCTGCTGTACCTCCCGGTCCCCATACCGCTGCGGCCGCATGTCTTTGTTCCGGTTGCGGGTCTTATGTCCTTTGACCACGACTATCGCCGTCAGATCTATAGTGCTGTTATATCTGCGCTCACCGGTGGTTACTAACAATTATATCGGTATCATGAAATCCTGCCTCTATAGCTCATCCTCGATAGTCCTGCAGCTCTACACCGTGCTCAGTCTCACAATCAAATTTTTTCTCTTCCTAATGTATAGCACGAGCCAGAGCACGAAGAGCAGACGAATACGACGAAGCACAGAGCGAGCACAGAGCGGGTACAAAGGCACGGCGTGGACGGCAATCGATAACTGATAAGCAAACTCTAAAACTGATGTGCTCTATCGCAATCCTCGGAACTTCCGACGCGTACCTGTTCTCCTCCTGCCTCGCGCTCTCTCGATATCCTGCGCTGCTCACTCGGCGCATTTCTATCACAAAATACATTACTGCTGCGACTGCTGCATAAACAAAGCCCGTCGTGTTTATTGTTTATGATGTCCGGGAATCAAGTCAACGTGACTGTGGTGCCAGAGACTAGATTCGCGCTTCCTGCGCTAGGCCGATAAGCCCACGCATCCAGAGATCTGCGAGTCTCAACCCCTCCCTCAAGTCATACCCAGTCATCGTCAGCAGTCAGTCGTAGTCATAATCAGTCATGATCGCCTGCTCGTTGTCAACCCGCTCCGCTCCTTCCTCGCCCTGTCACTTTGTTCTGCAGCGGCCCGCGTTCGCTGTCACTCATTAAACTCTAATGAGTCGCCCTCGAGATAAACAGATCTTGTTTACCTTCCTGTCCACTCCAGTCAGCTCAAATTAATGAAATCTCTCCAGATTGCATGCTGCCCTTCTGCTTTCTGTTCCTCGATTCTTTTATTATTCCCCGTTTGAGTTCAGACTCACCCCGGCACAGGGAAGGTGGCTTGCGGTAGAGCTCCAGAGTCTCATAACAGCATCAAGTTTCCCCGCCTAGCCTCCTGAGCCCATTACAGGAAATGTCCTCAGCGACATTGCTATGAAATATATCCGCCAATCCATCTCTGTTTCTTTCTGTTTTGCAACTTATCTTGGTTTCAGATAGGGTGGCGAATCTCTGTATGATCAGATAATCACGCTCATCCTAGGTGTGCTGACGTTAGAGCACGCGATGTGGACAATGCTGCGTGCGCTCGGAATCACCTTCACCTTCCACCTCTTTTCCGGAAATGCTCCTCAAGCACTCTACTCTCTTCTCTTTAAGAAGTGGTTGGGGAAAAATAGAAAAGATATACTGAATTCGGTGAAAGTAAAGAAATAACAGAATAATCCCCGGTGGTTCAATGATACCTCTTATTCCAAAAAGAACCAAGCATAATAGATTCCTGTCCGCAAGCGTTCTCTATATTTCCGTTTATGTCCGCCTTCAGGGAAATATACTCATTCTCTGAATCTTTTTCGGTCGTATATCTGCAAGATTGCAAAAGTACCGAGTACGATACAGACCGTATACGTCCTTAGGTTTTCCCCCGTGCGTCGTGCCAGTGGTATCCACCATAAATGACGCCATCGCCTATATTTATTTTGCCATGAATCCGCCTGGATGACGCGAGACAGCTTTCAGATTCTTTAATAGTAGCCTGGATTTCTACAATTTCTCTACAATTTGCTTTGCTAGCTGCTCTACGAATTGCCTGTCGTCTAATTTTTACGCAATTTCCTTCGGTATTTCCGTATTCTAGATCAAAAAATGAATCCTAAATACTACAAATAATACGCCAGATCCCCGCCATTCACCTCGATGTCGCAATACCCATTCCCCATAAACATAAAACTATTGCTCGACAAGTACTCAATCTCAAAGTCCTCGGCCCTGATCGCGCTCATGATTTTCTTGAAATGCAACATGCTCCCTCCGTACAGAGCAGTCACTCTGTTCGGATCCTTGCCGGCTTTGTACCACGACGCGCATCCTCCTGACCACACCATTCGTTTGAGAAACTCCTGTGTATAGACATTGTAGTCGTCTATCGACTTCTTCTTCACAACGATGCTCTTGATGCCCTCCTCTGCCATCTTATTCAGCCACTTTGAGATATACTCAACCACCGTCGCCATCCCGGTCAGGATTAGCGCGTGCCCGGACGCGGAGTTGGGCCCGTTCACCATAAAGTAGTTTGGCATCTCCGGCAGCACCGTGCTGAAGTACGCATATGGCGCCTCTGCCCATAACTTCTCCAACCGCGCCCCGTTCCGTCCTGAGAGATCCCATTTCGGCATAAAAGAAGTGTCGAACCCGGTCGCGCACACTATCGCATCAAACTCATACCTGCGTCCATCGTCGAGCTCGATTCCGGTCTCTGTGAACCGCTTGATACCACCTATTATCGGATCTGCAAGCTTGTTTGCAAAGCACTCGAGATAATTGTCTCCAGGCGTGGCCTTGCGACACCCGATATCGTACTTTGGCACGAGTTTCTCAATCAGCTCGGGATCCCCGCCCAGTCGACGGTGCATGTTCTTGGTGACGTACTCCACAAACGCTTTTTGTTCTTTCGAGTCCTTGTGCAGCGAGGGGAAGCGTTTGTTTGTCGCGGTCTCCATCTCGTGTCTGAACTTACGGTGTGTTTCTGGCTTTGTTCGGAATTCGGTTTTCTGCTCTTCAGTGACTGCCAAATATGCGTCAGCATCCCGTATCATCAAGCAAACAGACAGAGAAAATCTTACACTTGAAGTTCTTTCCGTCGGGTGTAAACTCGGCACCAAAATTCGACATGATCCAAGTCGGGCTGCGAATGATGTTTGCGGTATACTTTGCCTTCTTGACCATCTGCGGCAGTATCTGAATCCCAGACGCGCCGTTCCCGATGATGGCCACTCGCTCGCCTTCATAATCATGATCCTCGTCCCAATTCGCCGAGTGTACAATATGTCCCTTGAAGTCTTGCAGACCCGGAACATTGGGCCATCTCCACTTATTCAGCAAGCCAGAGCAATCCACAAAGACGTCTGCTTCGTCTTTGATTATCGTCCTGTCCGCTTTCTCGACCTCAATCAACCACTTTGCCTTCTCATCGCTCCAATGCGCAGACGTGATCCGCGACTCAAACGCGACGTGCTTGTCAAGGTTGTATTTCTTGGTGGTGCGGTTCATGTACTCGAGCACTTCGTCGCGGTAGACGTGGAAATGCGACCACTCCGTGTACGGCTCGAATTGGAACGTGTACATATGCGCCGGCACATCGAGCGCTGCGCCCATGTATCGCGTCTCATACCATGTCCCTCCGATCCCGGCCTACACTGCAGCGTCAATACCCAGTCACTCATCAGAATATCATTCAGCAATACTAACGTTCTTTTCATAGATTTGCAAATCCATGAACTCCTCAGCCTTCAGTTCATGCTGGATCTTGTGCGCCAGCATCAGTCCGCTAAACCCAGCGCCAGCGCACACGATCCTCAGTTTACGCTGGGGCGTATACAAAATCTCTTCGAATACCGGGACCCAGTTTTCAGGTTTGCCCGTATCCCCATTTTTAGTCGAATCGGCCGTCATCGCGTTAGTTGTTGTCGGGTTAAGTCCCACCGTCGCAGAGAAAACAAAATGTATAGAAAGTTCAAGCTCTATTTATCTCAATTCCCACAGAAAAGCGAACAGAAGAGCCTCAGGAAAATGTGTTTTTCCTTTCGGCCTTGTTAGCGATTGTGCATCTCGGATATCAAATCGCACGATCTCACGTGCTGGGACTATGATCTAGGGTTTCTTGGTTCAGACTTCTGTCTTGTTGATTGGATTTTTGTTCGCGAGCTCCCGGTGTTTATAGCTACCTTTACTACGTAAATGCTACACAGAAACTGAGTGATTTTCAAAATAAATTACATAGATGAGAGTTTCGGGCAAAGACGGAAAAACAAAAAGCAGGACTGGGAGAGTCAATAAAAGAAAGAGCACAAATATCAACGCATTTTGTTACGAAAATGGCACTACATACACCCACTCTCATTACCAGCGACCATTCCTGATAATCCACATCCTCTTCGTTTAAACAACCTCACATATTTTTAAACATCCAGCATACACTAAATAAGAATCGCCCAGCGTGTACACCTCCCTTCAACCAGGCGCAAAAGTATTGGGCAAGACAAAGGCGAAATGAAATAAAGTTCTCGCTAATGAGTCTCACCCCTGAGAACTCCGACCTGCGGCGGATCCATCTGCTCGTCTTCGCGTTGTGAGATATTCGTAGGATACAAGTTATAGATAAGGAGTTCATGAAGTGGCATTGGAAAAATGAAAAGTTCATATGATTTTTTGGTATCAAGCAATCTTTCATTTAAATGACAAGTTTACAAACGAAAATTCAGGCAATATGCATAGATACAAAATTATAGCTCTTATACAACTAAATATACAACACGGGTATCCATCTGCTCTCTGTCTTCTCCCTCTTCAGAGACATCATTCATCTAGAACGTTTCCCACAACTCCGTTTATGCTAAACAAAATCATCAATTAATAACCGCACATCAAGTAACCAAACACGCAATCAAGGACAACTAACGTCTAGGGGTTCGTCGACTTCTCATCGGAGCAAGCTTTCTTCCAGCCGGAGTGCTTGCTGAGGGCGGTGCGGCTGCCAAAAACATGTTTCCGCTGTTGTTGTTGTCGGTCGTCGTGGTTCCTAGATATCCAAGTTTATCAGAATACTACTCTCTGTTGCCAAATCAAACACAAATCTAATCGTACCATTAGCAGGGGTCGCAGCAGGCGCAGGGGTACTCGCCCCGAATCCAAACACGGCACTTGGCGCGGGAGCATCTGCCGAAGGAGCTCCAAAGTTGAAGGAAGGCGTGGCAGGCTTGTTGACCGGCGTAGCCGGCACCGCTGTGGAAGTCGAACTACCTCCGAAACCAAACACGGCCGCAGGATCAGCAGCAGGCGCACCAAGCGAAAAAGTAGGGGTAGGCTTTGCACTTCCAAACGCTGATGACGCTCCGAATCCCGTTGTGTTGCTGGTCGACGCTCCAAACACTGGTGTACTGGTTCCGGACGCTGAAGCCGAAGCGCCTCCAAAGGTCGGAGTACTTGATTTTGCACCAAAGGCAGTACTGGCAGAACCCGCAGAACCAAACTGCGGAACTGAAGATACAGCCGCAGCACCAAATGGTGCGCTTGGTGCGCTTCCTGGCTTGTCCGAGCCGAAAACTGGCTTGGCAGGTGCAGCGGTCGATGACAACGAAGGCGCAGCTGATGTTGCTGATGCTCCAAACTTTGGAGCAGACGAGGTAGATGCGCCAAATATCGAAGGTGCCGCCGTGCTAGATCCAAATGTGGATGCCGTTGTTGTCGCGCCGAATGTGGGTAGCGAGGAAGACGAAGTAGGAGTCGCGGATCCGCTTGCTAGGGGTTTACTGGCGAAACCTGTCGTGGTAGTCTGACCAAATGTGAACGTGGGAGCTCCGCCTGTCGACAACTTTGGAGCGGATGAGCCAAAGGAGAACGCAGGCACCGAAGGCGCAGCAGTCGCCGAAGACTTTTCAGCATCTTTCTCTGCTGAGTCCTTACTCGTGGTCGAGAATGAAAATGAAGGCAACGCAGGCTTAGAAGCAGGTGTCGTTGACGAAGAAGCCAACGATGCCCCACCGCCTAGCGAAGATCCAGAGGAAGACGAGGCTCCGGTATTTCCGAATGACAAAGTAGGAGCCGACGAGGCAGGGGCGCCAAAATTGAACGCAGGCTTGTCTGACTCTGCTTTCTTATCACTGGAATCTGAAGGCTTTGATGAAAATAAGAATGGTGCAGCAGTAGGCTTGTCATCTTTCTTCTCGTCGCCTGCACTACCAGAGCTAGTGCTAGGAGCTCCGAATGTGATATCCGGGGTGAAACTTGTAGGCTTTTCGGTCGTCGATGCACCAAACGAGATCGTAGGCGTGGTCTTCTCTGCAGGCCCGGAAGAAAAGTTGAAACTTAGACCAGTAGAGCTTTGAGATGAATTCGACTGCGACGCATCATTAGTCTTTGGCATACTTGAGCTAGAGCTGGCTGCTGCTGCTGCTGCTTTGGCTGCTGCCTCCGCTGCCACTCTCTTTGCTTCTTCTTCTTGCTCTTTCTTTTTGCGCTGAAGATTCTCCAACTCTCTCTTTCTCTCGGCCTCAAACTCCTTCCGTTCTCTTTCTAACTTCTCTCTTTCCTCTTCCAATTTCTTGCGTTCCTTTTCGCGAGCCTCTTCCTCTTCCTTTTTCTTCTCTTCCTCGCGCTCCTTCATTAGGAGTTGCTGGCGTCTGGCAGCAATATCTCCGGTCCTTCTAGGCGAGAAAGGTAGATTTGGACCATCAAAGCTCAAAAACCTAGCTGTAGGTGTACTCGGTGCGTCAGCTGTAAACAGGCGTCTTTTCTTCAATACCGGCTCTTCCGTCGCTGTGGCTTCATCCTCGGAACTGTCGTCGTCAAAGTTGGCCGAGAAGAAACCAGGTCTTTTCTTTCGCTCCTGTGGAACTTCTGAGATATCTATCGGCCGCTTCAATGAAGGCTGCTCTGCAGCTTCAGTCTGTGTGACACTGTCGACATATGGTCGTCGCAAACTCTGCGGAGACGGTTGAAAACTGATTTCACTGCCAACATTATTCGATAAAAGAGAGAATCCGTTGGTATCGTCGAGCGGAGGAGCTTGAATTATGTTGTTGGCCAACGATGGCACCGGGTCATGGATAGGCGCCCTTGGCAAGAGTGATTTCACGCCGGGCCAGAAAGTTGGTGTACTAAACTTCGGACGCTGAAATCTTTTGGCGCGCTGACTCTGCATTTTGGTCAATCTAGATCGAGGATATGTGTATTGTAAGGCGGAGGGTCGAGAAACTGCGACAGCTTGCTCTAATTGAGATTCGTGGGGAGATGAAGCTCGTCGTTTTCGGATCTGCAGAAGTCATATTATGTCAATATACCATCGAGAAAGGCTTCTCAAACGCAAGCATTAGAATGTAATCACCTGTTGGTCTTGGTCACGGTTCGAGTCAGACGCCACGACAAGCGCCCCATTATCGGACCCGTTGTCTGGCTTTGTACTGTCTTTCTGATCGACATCTTCTCGCTCGACTACCGTGCCATTAAGAAGTGGAGCATCTGATGATCCGCCCTGGCTCGGCCGTTTTCTAAAATACAAACAATCTCGTCAGCATGGATATGACTTGATACGCGCACAATAGGAACATTTACGTATTGCTGCTCGGATCGGTTTGGGTGTCTAGCAGCCGTCTCTTTTTTTGTTGTTCCTGTAGCTGCAAAGCTTCTCTATAAGCCTTGACTATAGAGTACTTGTCATTTTTCACCCACTATATCCTATCAGTTAGCTTTCTTGTAGAGATTGCAGGCATCTTCAAACCCAGCACTCACGTTGATCTTTGTGAAATCAAATTTGGACGACATCGAATCTCCCTCATGCTCTTGCCGCATTCGAGGAAATCAAATGTTGAGAGCTGCGGTGTCAGGTATATATCAACGCCTCCGTCTGATCTCTTCAGATGGGCAATAGCTCTATAAATCCGTTTCTATAAAGGCGCAGGTGTGCACGAGTGCAGGTTGAGATGGAAGACTGTTTTTGCTCGTAAGATCAGGTTTGGTAAAACCTTGGTGTAGGTGTTGGGAGTTTTCCAATAGCCACACATATGGATTTAAATGTAGCAGGTTTGTGCATTTACGGCAGCAAAACCCTTAATATACGGACAGGGTTATTTGTTTATTCCATCGCGTCAGTCGCGTATTCTGATCTGATTGATTCTTCAGCTACCATGATTCAGTGTATGCTTCATCTGCCGCTGATAATCAACATGAAATATACATGATGTCAATACTGTGATCTTGAGATGTACATCTTGAAGATTGAAATAAAATATGTATAGCACCGAAAACGTTTAACTCAGCCATTTGGACGACTCGTTCCAAAAGCCATCCCCAATGATATCTTCATGCAACTCAACGATCTCAGCTTTCCGTCTCCTCTTCTCCTCTCTCTCTGCCTGTCGCTTTGATTTCTCCTGCAATGGCATTTCATCCTTTAGATCAGGCTCCGGCGTGGCAGAGGATGCCTTGGCCATGTCCCTGATCAACATCGTACCTTTTCTGAATACAGGGTCCTCGTTGTTGTAGTTTATACCAAACCTTGAGAAAAGAAGCTCGTTTTTGTCGGATGAATTAGTGCCCTGATGAAACTCGTTAGAATTGCTGCAGTTCAGAAATAGTAGACTTTACTCACCATCAACGAGTGCTCTGCCTCTTTCTCCGTCTCCCCTCCCTTCAAAATTAGCGCCCAGAACGACGTATTGTAGAGATTATTAATATGGCCTAGAAACGAGGTTAGTTGTCGCAGATACAAGCAAAGTGATATAAAGAGCAGATCAAACTGACAATCAGCCTGCCGCCAACTAAGGTAGTGGCGAAGTTCGGTCAGAGAGGGATATTGCACTGCTCGAGCATCGAACGAAGGAAGCAGAGTAGCGTCTAGTGGCTGATCGGGAAAGAACTCGTTCCAGTAGAACTGATAGTACGCTGTGAACGTGCTTGCAAATGTCGAGACCAGTTTTCTACACATGAATTCATAATCAGCACCAAATCATCAACCATAAAAAAAACCTGCAAACAAAACTACTCACGCCTCTCGTCGATCGAATAAACGGCACCGTCTCTGCAAGACAAACGAGTACTCGTCGCTCTGTCCGTATGCACCACATATATCTGATATCTGCTTCATCAAGCAAAAGGCAGCTTTGTTCATGAGGCCAAGTGCCCGTATATCATTTGGCTTTGTGAATTTATAATGCGCTGAAAACTTGTGAAATCCTCGTCCGTCAAGTCGAATCACGATATACGTATTTGGCAGGAGGATTTGGTCCTGTTCGTACGTCCGCACGTACTCAAATCTGTACAAGTCAGCAGCTAAATCCATTTTAAACGTCCTTCTAGCAATCTCTTACCTCGATTTCGCCATGAGTGTACCTGTGGAGCTCTTCTACAAAGGTGCGCAGTGAATCAATAGGCATGCGATCCCATCTCCCAAACGAAGGCAGTTGTTTGAAAGACAAAAAAAATGAGCCGCACGCCTCATCGATCTAAAATTTTTATCTTCGACACACCAGCGTTCTTTGAATATACATACGCTTCAGAGGAATTATAGACTGTCATCGCTCAGTCTATTGCTTTCTTCTGAAATTAACTAAGAACAGTACAGTATGGGTCGTCGAGGAAGAAGAGATGTATGTGAATCTCGTATTTGGCTGCAATTATTGGAACGAGGCGCTAATGAAACTACTGTGTCTTTAGAAGCCCAAGAGAGGTCGTGATACCGCCGGCTGGGAAGATGGATACAAGGAGATTGCGAAGGAGTGAGTCTATTAATATAGAGAGATCATCTTGTAGTGGGCTCTGCTAACATGCTATCCTCGCAGGAATGAGAGATTTGTTGAATACTACAAAGGCCAGGGCATTGTCCCAGAGGAAGAATGGGACGAGTTTTTCACCGCCTGCAAGGCCCCGCTGCCAGTCACTTTCCGCATAACCGGCACCAGCGAGCATGATCCCACAAAGATCAGAGACGCTCTCTTGAACGAGTACATTCCCTACCTCAAGGGTATCGTCTGGGACGGCGAGGAAGTGCAGCCTCCTAGTCCGCTACCTTTCTATCCAGATGAGCTTGCCTGGCAGATTCGAGTTGGCAAGACGGTCATTCGCAAGAGTGCACCTTTCTCCAGATTCCAAAAGTTCCTTGTCTCGGAGACCGAAGTTGTATGTCTGACAGTTTAGTTTTGCTTCTCCGATAAGCCACGTACCAGCCGCTAACTCGACGATCAGGGAAACATCTCACGTCAGGAAGCAGTGTCGATGATCCCCCCTCTTCTCCTTGACGTCAAGCCCGAACACACCGTTATTGACATGTGCGCTGCGCCCGGATCCAAGACCGCCCAAATCATCGAAGCTCTCCACGCCGTTCCCGAGCCGACGGGTCTCGTCGTCGCCAACGATAAGGACTACAAACGTGCGCACATGCTGATCCACCAAGTCAAGCGTCTCAACTCGCCCAATCTGGTCATCGTCAGTCATGACGCCAAACTTTTCCCGCGCATCGCAATCTCTGAGACCCACGAAGCCTCAGGCCGCGTGATCCCAACCTACCTGAAGTACGACCGCGTCCTCTGCGATGTGCCTTGCTCAGGTGACGGCACCATGCGTAAGAACATTAACGTGTGGAGAGATTGGAACACGGGCAACGGTGCCGGACTTCATAACACCCAGTATGAGATCTTGGTGCGAGGTCTTCACCATCTCAAGGTTGGCGGAAAACTTGTGTACTCGACATGCTCTCTCAACCCGATCGAAAACGAAGCCGTTGTCGCCCGCGCTCTGCGCGACTGGAAGGGATGTGCTAAGCTTGTCGACTGCAGCAATGAGCTGCCTCAGCTTATTAGAAGACCCGGTATGACCGACTGGAAGGTTATGGGCAAAGACAAGGAGTGGGCTACTGCGCCCACTAGCCGTATCTCCGAGCACTTCTTCCCCAAGGATGATCTCAAGGAGCTTGGAATTGAGCACTGCATGAGAGTTTATCCTCACCTCCAGGATACTGGTGGTTTCTTCATTACTGTTTTTGAGAAGACTGCAGAGTATACCGATGCTGCTGTGAAAGCCAAGCGCAAAGCCGAGGAGGAGCTATCGTCCGCAGACGCTAAGAAGCAAGCTGTCGAGACTACGACTGAGGCTTCTGAGAGTCCTGCTCCGGTCGCTGTCGCCGAGGAGACCACTACCGAGGCTGAAATCACTGAGGTTGAGGCACCCGCTGCACCAGTTGCTCCTGTAGTAGCTGCCAAGTCGTCAGAGGATGCCACTCCCAAGAAGGTGCGCCTGCCTCGTGATGCCAACGAGGAGCCGTTCAAGTTTCTGGATCCCGATCATCCTGCTCTTGAGGAGGTCTACAAGTTCTACACCATCTCTGCTGACTTCCCTCGGGAGTCGTTGCTGGTCCGTAACGCCTCTGGTGACCCGATGCGGTCTATCTACTACGTTCATCCGAACGTTAGACCTGTCATCACGCTTAACGAGAAAAGGCTCAAGCTGTTGCATGCTGGCGTCAAAGTATTCACGATCCAAAAGACGTTGGAAGGTGTGTGCCCTTGGCGCGTGCAGTCCGACGGACTCTTCCTGCTCTACAGACACATAGCAGAGCAGGAGAACGGCCGGAAATGCCGAACCGTCGTCGCAAGCAAAGAATTCCTGTTCCTTTTGTGCGAGCACATCTTCCACAGAATCGAGCTCATCAAGGATGAGAACGTGCGCACGCAGATCGAGGGTATCTCGGAAGGCTGCATGTTTTTGGAAGTCGATCTCGAGGACGGACGCAAGCCTGTCATCTACCCCATGTGGCGCGGAAAGATGTCCACGAACCTCATGCTGGCGAAGCAGGATACTCAGGAACTGATGCTGCGCGTGTTCAAGGTGCACCCTGAAGCTCCTGCTGCTGAGACTGCTGAGAAGGCGGAGGCTAGTGAGAAGGTTGCGGAGGACGTTAAAGAGGAGGCTGAGGTTGCGACTGAAGTTGCTGCGGAGGAGGCTGCGGAAGAACCCGCTGTAGCTACAGAGTAAACTAGTTCGTAAAAGTTTCATAATATTTGTCTATGTTGTATACTGTCTATTTGTAATTATCGGAAGAATTTGGTTGGCACTTTTAGAAACGTGTAAATATATGGACTACCATAGAAACTTACTAGGCACAACGAAATTCTATGTAACTAAGAAATCCATTAAAATAAGCAAAAGAAACAAACAAAAAAACCATTTTAACAGAGCACTTCTATACGGAGAGAAATGGACCACAACCCAAAAGTATTGAACGCAGAGCGAGTACCACTTGTGATAGACCAAGTGCTCTTTCTGCTTCGTGCTGTCAAATAGCTTGTAGCCATACTGTGTGCCAACATCATTATATTACAAACAAACGTTCCCTCATAATGCTAAAAAAAAATACCCCCTTCGAGATATCGCGGTCGAAGGATATGGACATGAGCTTTTCCCATAGAGATGTCGGTGCTTGGTGCCGCTTAATGGAAAAAGTGAAAAAAAAAACGAATAAATGGACGACGAATGACGGGGTGGAGAGCGAAGAAGTCGTAAGATAGCTGTGTGAATGCTTCTAGTTTTCGATTTATGCGGACTTGTCGGCATCGGCCTGGACATTGCCAGCACGGATACGGCCTTCCCGGGCAGACTTGTTGAAGGAGTCGACCATCTGCATGAGTCGATATTAGACTCAACCCCATAACCAACAAATAGCTTTCTAGAAGAGATACACACCTGCTCGCGCACTTCCAGGGGGAGCGTGGGAGTCACGATCTGGGGTCCGAAGAATCGCAGGAAGATAGCACCAACGGCAACGGAGGCACCGACACCGATGAAGTTCTTCTTCCAGTTCTTGGGGTTAGGCCACCAGCCACCTGTGAAACAAAAACGCGTCAGCTCGAGGTTCCATATTCTGTTCCCGATACTAATTGGAAGGTAGCTGTGAGGTTATATCGGGGTAGTCGAACAGGGAAATTACCAGTAGGAGCCCAAACGTGCTATTTTTACAATGATGTTAGATCAGGTACTGTAATAAACACCAAATACACATAAACACGTACCTTAGGGAAAGGATATCTCTTGCCACCGCTCTGTTATAAATAATGATCAATTAGCACTGGATTCTCGATATCATCGATGCTCCTGGGACCTTCGTCCCCACCGCGTGCGGTCCAGATCCGACGCGCGATACAATAACGCTTACCATTGTGTATGCTATAGATCAGTAGAAACGAGTGCGGAAGCTGTGTCCTCTCGACCTGTATCAAAAAGAGTATGCGAAGGTGTCGTGCTCGATGGAAAACCAAATTGGCCCAATCCGCTCGTTCGGGAGCCCGCGCAAAACTGGCATCGCCGAGTCTTTGATTGGGTGCTCAGCCCTACGCCGGCGCGCGTACACCTCAGCACTAAACAATGTCACGTGCACTTCGGGGGTGACTCTCAGCCAGGTCGGAACGCCGCTTTGCGTGAGAGTCGAAAGGCGAGGCCGGCCAAAAAAAAATTTAATGAAGAGCGTGGATTGACGTGGATCCGTATTTCCAGACGAAGAGGAGCCCCGTTTAGCATCCGTACCAACGAGAAGAGGGGACATATTCCAGACTGTGAGTTGACCTGTGTTTGTTCTGGCTGTCTGTGTGTTTGTTGCTCTTGATTGTGCAGAGTAATTGCACTGCGCGGACTGCGCATGCGAGGACATCGGAATATACTAACACGAAGTTTTTCATTGTCTACAGCTCTCTCTTGTTCCTCATCCCTCGCAATCGACAAGCGAAATAAACAGACTACCAAGGGAAAAGAGAACTCTAGAGAAGTAGGATGAGTATACGACACATTGGTCCGGTGAACAGACGTCTCAACCCGTCGTCTGTGTCGCCGTCAATGCTACTACCAGGCCAACCGTCGGGCACGTGGGGAGCGGTTTCCAGTATGTTTTCTCCAGACGATTGAAAAGGATTGAAGGAATGGTTTTTAATGCTTGTTTGTTATATTAGGATTTGCTGTCGTGCGCGCTGAAGCGAGTCAAAGAGTATACGGTCTACACCGCAGTATTCCGAATCGGAGGCTATACACAACATGCGCGCCGAGCAGTTTACGGCCGACTTCAGCCCTTCTGTTCTCCTCCGAATTGCGGCAACAACGACTGACCATCCCGTCGGTTATGTCACGCTCGAACTCGACGGTAGCTTCTGGGGTCGCCCCGTTCCCGGCATCAGAGGTCGCCAAATGCACAGCTCTCGTCGCTCTTCACGCCCGTCTTGAGCTTCCTGCTGAATACGAACTGACGACGCTGGCACGGGCATTGAACAGCGCTACTTCCAAACTGGCCGGAACGTTCCCGGACAACAGCACGCTTAGCGAACTAGGCAATCGTCTGCTGGACTTTTACGTTTCAGAATTCATCGTCTGCTCATACCCCCGTCTACCAATGGAGATCATCAAGGAGGCTCGTTGGGCATACTGCGGTGATGACGCGCTGACTAGCGTCGGGCGTAGCTGGGGTGTCGAGCACGAGCGGCCGAGGGTTGTAAAGACCGGAAAAAAGGTGGAAATAAAGAAAGACCAGGACTTGATTGACTACTTTGGAGTCCTCAAGTACGGAAGTCTGGTGTTTGGCCGTGTTGGTGGTTTGACCGAGTACGTTGACCGAGAGAACGAGGACGGCACCAAGCGCGCCGTGCAGCGATACTCGACCGCAATGAGCGACTTTGTGCGCTCCATTATCGGAGGCCTGTACCTACACAGCGGGCGCGAGGCTGCAAAGCTGTTTATCTTCAACCACATCCTGTCCCGCAAACTCGACATCTCCAAGCTTTTCCGATTCGAGCAACCTACTCGTGAGCTCTCCCGTCTTTGTGCGCGCGAGAAACTGGCGCAGCCCATCTCCCGCATGATCGCCGAAACCGGTCGGTCGTCTATGGGAGCGGTCTACATCGTCGGCGTCTACTCCGGCTCGAACCTGCTCGGCTCCGGCGAAGGCCGGAGTATTTCTGAGGCCGAGACCCGTGCTGCCATTCACGCTCTCAAGGCGTGGTACCTGTACTCTCCCAACAGTGCCCCCCCAAGCTCGACCGAAGAAACCCCCGAAGCTGAATTCCAGCCGCTCTTCATCGACCCTGGCCAGGTCATTGTCTAAACTGATCAAAAGTATGAACACTGCTGTACAAGCTGGTCACGGAAAGTATACGGGAGAAGAAAGAAAAGACTGTTAAGTTGTCGAGTATATTGTGTATATATGTGCCATACGCGTGCCACTAAAGATCGGCAGAATCCCGTTTTTGTATGCTCGATTTTTGATTACTGGTTCCTCAGGTCCATGATTTTTTATTTATTTGCTTTGATGCCATTCTATCTGCGTTAGTAATTTTTGTTTGTTTATCTTGTAAATACACGAGCATTCCGATACATCTAGTGAGACGTAGAGGTTTTTAGGAGCTGTCTAGGAAGTTGAATTATTTGGATGACTCTATATTAGTAGATCAAATACCAAGAAAGAGAACAAAAGGCGAAGGAAACAAGACAAGAAAACTAAAACACCGAAGACAGACAAAATGATACTACATATTTGATCGGGGACAATGACTAGCCATAAAATGCATAACCAGGATACTCTCGTAGGTGCTGCATCATAAGGATATGCTTAGAAAAGAAGAGTGAGAAGAGAGAGAGAAACAAGAATGATGCAGACTACCAAAACAGTCGCGGAAAGAAACAGACACATGAAGAATTAACTATACAATACAAATACATGCCAACTGGCTCAAAAGTAAGAGACCGCTCCCTCAAACAAGTCGTCAATCTGAAGTTTTTCCAATACAAAGCCGTCAGCGAGAGAGATAGCGCTGAAATTTTGTTCGAGAAGTTGAGAGACGACGTGATTTTATGGCCGAGGACGAGAGGAGTCTAGAAGTGTTTTTCATAGAGACCCTCCTTTTTGAGCCTGCATAACAAAAAATACATCACAGAGTCCAGATTTTGAGCTGAAATAATCAATCTGTTAGCAAACACTGTCGTAAAAGTAGTAATCATAACCAGTCAAAACTTACGGTGGCATCCCACGATCCGGTACAAAGGCTCATACCGTCGTTGCTCATTCCCAGGCAACTTATCCGGTTCTGATGGCCATTGATCGATCCAACCTTTTCTCCTCGCAGAACATCCCAAATCTATAAATAATGATATCAGCAAGCCGAATAAATAGAGATTTCTGAAAAAAAAAAAATGAAAGACGTACTCTGCATTCACTGTTTTCATAACCGGCAAACAGCAGACGGCCGGAATGCGAGAAGGCAATTGAAGTAACGCTGACATCCAACGGCGGTGAGCTCAAGACCATGAGTTCCCGATCAGCGCGCAGGTCGTATAATCTGCAAGTACCGTCGTCCGAGCCGGTTGCGAACGCCCGCCCGTCGGGGAAGAACTGCACCGCGTTGATATCCTTCTTGTGTGTCCGGAACGTCTGCGCAGACTTGCCGCCTTCCCGCATATCCCAAACCTTTGCAAAAGCGTCGCAGGCGCCGGAAACAAAAACATTGCTGTTAGTAGGGCAGATATCGACCGACATGACATCGCCGAGATGCTCAGTGAACTCCTGGACCTGGGCGCCGGAGGGGATATCCCAGAGGATGCAGGTCTTGTCGCCTGAAGCGGTGAGAATGCGCTGATCTGAGAGAAAGCGCATGCAGGAGATGTAACCGACGTGAGCGGTGAGCTCGCGGGTGGTGCGGATGGGGCTGCTGCCGGAATTGAGAGAGTAAATCGAGCAAACGTTTTCGAGGCCGCCCGAAGCAACGAGATTACCAGAAGGAGAGTAAGCGCAGGACATGACCCAGGTCGAGCGGAGCGGGATCGCGTGGACTTTGTTGCCTGTGTAAGCATCCCAGACTATGAGCTTGCCGTCCTGGGAGGCGGAGACGAGATTCCGGCGGTTGGTGGACCAGTGCATTGCCGATATCTTGTCGATATGACCCTTGAGGGTTTGCCGAACCCGGAGATTCGGGCGCGGAACCGGGTCAATGGAGGTGGCCTCGCGACGGACTATAAAAAGATAAACAATCAATCAGCTTCGGAGGGTGCGCAAGATACAATGACAGACAAAAGAGAAGCGTACGGTCGGTGTCGTGAAGCTCCTCGCGGCGCGCGTCGACTTTTTCCTTTAGCTGAGCGATTTCATCGCGCGTAGCCTGGACCTTTTCGAGCAATTCGTCAGGCTGTAAAGCCATGATTAGGCAGTAGCAACTGTGCAGATAAGCAGCGAGAAAAGAGGAGCGAGACGGGGATTAGCAGACCGGCGAGCAGCTGAGGAAGAGCGCAGACGGAGGAGCGGAGGCGGGACTTTGGCTGGTTGAGATGAGGCTTTGCTCCATCGCACACGGGCCTCGCCCCTAACTGATTCGCCGTGTTCTGTGCAGCAGCCGCTGCGACGCTTATGCCGCTTCCGCCCGGCCACGTGCTCGGCCGCCCAGAGTTTCGAGAACTCCCAACGACGGCCGCTCAGAAAAATATTTCGAGATCTCTGTCTGCTCAGCACATCAACAGTAATAGCACCTGCAATGTCTGATATACCCGTCTCCGCCAGACCAGTCACCGTCGACCGCGAGGTCCCGGTCAACTATGACTTGGGCAATCTTGCTCTCTACGACTCAAACATGCTCGACGCAGAGGCAATGAAGTCAGAGGCTGCAAAGGAGGCGCACCTGACGGCGCTCGCCCGCGACTCCGCCCAGCTTCTTGTCAACCAGCTCCTTGCTCAGCCGGTCGTCACCGGCGGACGCACCGGTGGCGATGCACGCACGAGTGAAGGCGTCTTTGTCAAGCTGCCTGATACCGTCTACCAACTCCCGCGCGAGAAGCCTGTACGTTCCATGATCCGTCTTTTTTTTTCCATTATCTTTATTTTCTTCGCCTTTATCTAACCCGCTCTCTTTTTCTGTACAGGTTCCTACCCCCAAGCCTCCCACCAAGTGGGAGAAATTTGCCAAACAGAAAGGCATCACCAAGGAGCGCAACACCGGCAACCAAGTCTACGACGAAGCCACGGGAGAATGGGTCAAGAAGTGGGGTTACAAGGGCAAGAACCAGGACGCCCCGTGGATTGTCGAGGTTGATGCAAACGGTGAAGCCGTCGACGAGGGACAGTCAAAGAAGAAGAAGCGTGAGGAGAAACCCCCTTCTTCTCTTCTTAAGACTACTAGACCGTCAAAACGGAAGTAATCGGTTGTCTGCACTTTCCTTCATTTCTTTGTTTGTCTCCTTGCTTGATGGGTTACGGTTTCGTTTCTTGATTTTTTTTCTTGCATTTGTATAATATCGTCAAGGGTCTGGATTTCTTTCCAAAAAGTTATTTACCAATATACTGTTAATAAACACAGATGTTATTTTGATATTGCGCTACCGAACGTAGATAATGGTATATACATTGTATGCCAAAGCTGTAACCAAGTTATATGATATATGATAGAAACCGGAAATTAAGAAATCAACAAAAAAAGAGCGTGTATGAATAAAACAAATTGCAAAACCAAACATTGTAAAAGAAAATCGTTAGATGCCTGACCGTGTTTTCATGTGTATATCTTAGGCATGGGCAGAAGAGACAGACCAAGCCAGTCATACACTTAATTCGACAAAAACTCCTGCTAAACAATCATTCCAGGGACTTATTTTACTCTTCCTGGCAGTATTAATTTTCTGTTTTCGTAAATATGGGAGATAGACCTACTCCAGTCCCTGGCGGCTGGTCTCCTCGATCAGACTGATCTGCTCACTGTAGCGCACCAGTGGACGACTAGGATCTCCAATGCACTGATCAGTGAACTCGACCATCCACGAGAACAATTTGCTGTCCATTCTCATGGTGGGGCACAGGATCAGGACCAGGTTGGAGAGCGGCATCCGGTTCTGCTTGTAGTTGCCGGCTACCTTGCCAAAATGCCCACAGAGGAAGCATAGAGTGTGGTAGTTGTAAGGAGGCAGCTTTGCTAGGTAGTCCTGTAGATCTGTGAAGGGAATGTTGCTCGTTCTGTTCATCAGTATCGCACTGAGTTGCGGTGAGGGAGCCACAATTTCTTCGGGGACTGGGTAGCGATGTTAGCAACGCGATCAGGAATATTGAAAATCATGCAGACTTACGTTGTCTGATGTACGACTTGAGCAACGACGCAACGGTGTGCACGTCGTGTACACCATGACGAAGAACAGTAGATTCACCGCAGAATGCAAACTCTTTCTTGAGTTCCTCAACGGCTGAGGCACTTCCAGAGATACGGTAAAGGCCTTCCTCCTCGAGCGCGTACTTGTTTAGAAACTCGACGCAGATCGAGACAATGGCAGGAACCCAGTATCGCGGGTCATCTAGTCAAATATTAGCACACAGAAAGTTTCTGAGCTGGAGCAGAACTACTTACCGTTCTCGACACTCATACGAGTGGCCATAGTTGCCTCAGTAAGAGTCATGCCAAACACGTCGCATATCTTTGGTGCAGAAAAAGCCTTGCTCTGTCTGAAAAACCCGACGATCGTGTTCGGTCGAGCTCTAGCAGGGCCTTTACGAGGACGAGGCGCAGCTCGTAAACGGGGAACCTGAGTAGTCGATGGCATTCGCGTAGGTGTCACGGGATCATCCTCCATGATCGTCTCGGGAACCGGCCGATCGATGCTCATAGCAGATGACTTAACTGGCGAAGGCGAGACCGAGGACACGGAGGACGGGGATGTGGAAATGTAAAGAGAAGACTCGCCAGGAGTGGATGGGGACGACGACCCGTTCTCGGTAACCGGCGATGCGGTGACAAGTTTGATTGTGGGGGAGATTTGGCCGCCAGAGTTGGGGTTTAGCGATGATCTGATGGAGCCGAATGTGAGCCTAGTGCTCAGTTGTCGCGTTGGCAGTTGTTGCCGCTGGGGTTCAGCCTGTGCAGGAGTCGTGGACTCTGGTTCTTTCGGTTGTGGTTGCTGCTCCTTTTCTTGCTGCTGCTGTGGTTGTTGCAATTTTTCATTCTGCGCCTGCGGCAGTTGTTCTTGTTGCTTCTGTAATACACCCTGGTGCGGTGCCGCAGTCGGAGACGAGGTGGGAGATGCATATGAATTTGAGGTTGAGGTTGAAGAAGACTTTCTCTGGGTTTTCGGTTTGGGAGGTTGAGGTGCAGGTGTGATCGACGCCGTACTGCTGTTCTTGCTCGAATTTGACCACGGCATTTTGCGACGGCGGTCGAGCGAGAGACGCATTCTTCCGAACACGCTCTTCTTGCTATCCTTCTCGGGGCTCAGGCCATGCTTTGTAGGCAGGACGGTCGAGGGGGAAGAGAGAGAGGAAGACTGGGACTGAGACGGGGCCTGCTTGAGAGATGGCTGGGCATGCTGGGGGACGAGAGAGTGGGATTGGTCCTGGTCGTCGTAGAAGGCGATGTTTGAGGAGGAGGCCGAGTCGATTGAGGACAGGGCGGAGGAGGTGGCCGAGGAGCTCTGGCGGGAGTGGGCGGCAACGCGGAAGAAGGAGGACTCGAGGTCAAAGTCGGAGGAGTCGACGATCATGGACTGGGGTCTTCCAACGAAGCCCGAGCGGCGACGGGAGATTGCCGCAGACATGGATGAGTGCGAATGCAGAAAAAGAGAGAGAGGAGGAGGAGGAGGGAAGAAGGAGAAGAAGAGAAGGAGGCACGGCTGGAGAATATTTGAGCAGGACCGGCAGAGGAAAGGAGAGCAGGATTTGATGAGTTCAATCAAGGGGAAACGCGTCGAGGCAGATTAATGCATGGCCGCAACCTTAAATCGCCCGCCTCAGCGCCCCCTGGCCCGGCGCGCGCATCCAGCGTGTGTTGGCTGTGCACCGCCCTGAGCCGCACGCTGTACTAGAGTAGTGGCGGATTAGCCAGACACGCGAAGCGAGATCGCGACTCGACGCGCTATCGGCAGCGGTCGTGTGCATTCCACGCGCAGCTCATTTGCTCGATATTGCAGATTGCTGTTATTTCAGGGAAAACCCCCTCTGCTGGACGATCCAGGTGTTTATCTGCTCGGCTCTGGTTGCTGGCCTACTCAGCGACCGGCGTGGGGACCCGCATCTGGAATGCAGTCCACCATTCTTCTCCTTCCGCTCTGTCACCGCTCAGCCTTTGCTCGTCGCGTATGCCGTCTATGAATTCATTCTTCCCCGGTTTTGGCTGCCAGAAGTATTCGGTAGACCCGTCCACAATAGTCGGCTGCATATTTCTGCCTCGCCCCTCGTCCGTTATTGTCTTACTTTAGCGCGTTCTCCATCTGCGACCGCACACGCGTCCATCTTCGTAGTCCGGATTTGCTAATGCAAGTTGCACGCGCCCGCAGATCTGACTGCCTGCACTGGTTAGGGCAGATCTCGGAGACTTGATGACAGATATCTTAGTCATAATATAGTCACGTGAATAATATAGTCACGTGAGCACTCGTCCACGAAAATATTTATCAAATACAGCCAGCACCACTCCCGAGAACCAAGACTGCTCTGCTTCATTCCATCCAAAATGCCAGTCAACGCAGTTCGTCGCGGAATCTCCGTCATGCGCAATGGCGTCGGTGCCTTTGTGCTTCCCGTATGTCTTTCTCTCTGTCTTTCCAGGTCCGCGTGCGCGGCAATGCCTGCGCAGCTTTGCTAACTTCCTCCATCGCTTTAGTGCCGCAAACTCACCTTCCGGTACTGCAACCGGGGTGCTTCGTCAGTTGGCATGCGGTATGTTTGATATTTTAATTGTCTCTGTTTTGTTTACTTCAGAACGACCGCTAACGTTTGCGCAGAGAATACATTCACGAAAACCTTGCCAAGTTCAGTAAAGAGAACCCCGGTATCGAATTCGAGGTCACCCATAAACACGGCCAGCCCCTCATCACCGGCCACTATCGTACGTCTTCCTACGTCTTCCTAACTTTTGCTTTTACAAATCAACCGCTGACAATTTCTACCGCAGTCAACGGAAAGAAAAAATCGATTGGCGTCGCAAACATGTCTCCCTCCGAAATCGTCACAAAAGCCAAACTGCTCCGCAACTCCTCCGGCAAAAAGCTCGTCCGTCCTACCCACCCCGTCTCTTCTATCAACGACGGTCCTCGTGGCATCTGGTCTCCTTTCCACATGCTTGCGCAGTACCGACACAAGGTCTAAATCGTCGTACGGGGTCTCGATATCGTACATATCTCTTTGGCGTTCTCTTTATTGTATATAGCTTTCTGATTGTTTTCTGTACATTAATCCTTATCTTATTATTAAGAATTATCCAACAATGCAATACAGTTATAAAAAATATCTTAGCAGTACAAAAGAACCCTCCAATCCCGTGCCCGCGCCCTGTGGTCCGCGAAACGTATACAAAAATGAACTATTCACAACCAATCTCAGTTTTTGCGAATCATAGACAAAATAGACTGAGCAGCAGCCGAATTCGCGCCAGCCTGTGCCCGAGTGTCAGCCATAGGCGTAGTTTGGGTATACGCATTGACTTGTTGCGGTTCCTGTAGTTGCTGCTGCTGCACGGGTGCGACATATTGCGCTGTCGTATCAGGGCTAGCCTGGATCTTCTGTTGCTTGTTTGGCCGGTTTTGCTTCTTCTGTTTGACCGCTCCTTTCTCCTGTGTAGACGGTCCGCTATTCGTCTTCAGTTGTGCGGAGATCTGATCGAATATACTCATCGTATTCGAAGGCACCGCCGGCACAGCGACAACCGGCTCCGCATACGTCACAGTCTTTTTCGCAGGCTTGGGCGGCTTGTGCTCATTCACCCATCTCAGCAGCTGCTTCATAAACGGCGCTACCATGTAGAACTTCTTCGACGCCTGGCCGTTCTTTATCGCTGCTGCTGCGTCTCTCGAGTCTCCATACGTCGGAAGCGAACTCAGCTTGAACCATTCAATTTTCTGATGTGCTTGTTAGTATACTTTGTACCGTGAATCAATCCAAACTCAGCACCAACAACTCACACTAATCTCTTTTCTTGTCTGTGGCTCAAACGCAGCATCCATCGGAACGCCCGCAATAATATACAGTCTCAGCTGCTGCTCTCGTATCGTAATATTAATATAATCCTCCTTCTTCAGTAGCGCAGAAACATCATATCCAGTCTCCTCGATAACCTCTCGGATCGCGCAATCCTCGTCCGGCTCGCCTTTATTGATTTTACCCTTTGGAAAACCCCAACTCGCAGAGGACTTCCAGCCCTTCACAAGAATACACTTGTCCAGATTCTTGTTGAGAAGTATAGCACCTCGCACGGGGACACGTGTCTTGTACTGCATGAAATCGGCAAACGCTTGCTCGTGAACATCGCTCCATTTGCGGAGGAGCGGGCAGTGTGTGAATATCCGGGCGGTGAAGTTCTTTTGCGAAAGAGATGGTAACTGGGGGTTTTCTGCTCGGATAAAGTCTTCATAAAACCAGTGGGCTTCCTCCGCTTGAAAGCAGACTCGCTATTAACAGAACAAATTGGTTAGCCAGACTGCAATATCTAGATCAAAACACCATGTATACAGAAAGCGTACCTCTACCGACGTCAGCTCCTCAGGCGGACAGTTTTGTATAAACCGCACAGAGAGATCGTCCAGCACCTCATCTAGCGTCGCGGTTGCGAAATTAAACGATGATCGTATCGTCATTGCGTGTCAATGTCTCTTGTAGATTGAGATGTGGCAATGATTCATCCTGGTCTCGATATGTGCGGCCCACGGAACGACCCCCCTGAAAAGCTTATTTGTTGGCCTGCTTTGGAATCAGTTCTCGCCCACATCGATATTTGTGAACATTCATAACTCTTTCTTCCCCAGTCAAAGAAAGACATCTACCCTATTCAGTTCACGAATGGCTTCTTCTAATAGCTTCAAAAGTCCTCGTGTAGGTCCTGCAGTCACCTCGACTGATACCCCGAGATCAAGACCCCAGCTTACCTTGCAGACTTCAGACGCGTCGGCCGCGACCACTTACAACAGTGCCGACCCCGATTCTAATTTCTCAAGGCGTCCTACTCCTGGTGGTGCTCTGCAGCCGATTCCTTTGCTACCTCCTAATGGGCCTGTGATCGAGCGAAGCAATGTAGCATCAGAGGAGGAGTCTGGCATTGGGCTGCTTGAGCTCGTTGATTACAGGAGACCTATACGTCTGACCAGGACCTTTGCAAACGCTGTCATTAATTGCGAAAGAGCATTTAGGGAGACAAGCTGTGACTTTCTGGATAACTTCAACGAGGGTGTTGTGGTTTTTTTCAAATCGTTTAAAGAGCTGATCACTTCGGTCAGCTGCAACTGGAATCCAGAGTTCTTGGTGTCAAATCCCATCTCCACCTTCATCCTGTTATTGCTCTCAATACCCATTGCAATTCTTTGTGTCTGTCTGTCATGCGTTGTCAAAATCATCCGGGAGATTTACTACTGCTTCGACCCCGACGCTCGATGCTACACTATCCCCCGGCGCTGGTACGGCCTGCCGGCGCCTCCGCTGATTCCACGCAATAATAGATACCGTCTAGGGGAATCTGCCGCGGCACAGGTCCAGCAGCAAGACGGCAACGGGGTTTCTTTCAGGTTTGCTGCGAATTATTTTAGCTCGCCGCTTCAGTCGTCGCCTGTTAGTGCTACGCCGCCTGTCCGTGCAGAGTCTCCTTTCCGAGCAGCGTCTCCCTATCGTGTAGCGTCTCCTGTACGGGCAACGTCCCCTGAGCGTCGATACCTGTTCGAATAAATACTCTATCTATGCGTTCGAATACAAGTAGAATGAGGATGTGTTTTTATTAATCAAATCACATGAAGCAAAACCAAACATAACGCCATTGTAGCCCCAAATACGGATTATCAGTCGTCAGCCTCTTAACTCGTAGCAGCAGTCTGCTTTCGGATGCGATCCAGCAAAACATCGACCTTAGGACCCAGTTTCGGCTGACCACGCTGCGTGTACTGCATCATCTTCTTCTTATGCCGCTCCCTGACAGCAAGTTTCTCCTTCCGCTCCGCAGCGCGTCTCTGCTGCTCCCGTTGCCGGGCCTCGCGCTCAGCGCGCACCTCAGCCGCCTTGGCCTCTTCCCTCTTGAATCTCGAGAGCTTTCGCTTGCGTTCTTCGTGCAACTTGTGAGAGTCGTCGTCTGTTTGAGCGGGCTCTTGCTCCTTGTCTTCTTTGTCGGCATCTACTTCGTCTTTGACTTCCTTGTCATTCTCGTCGCTGGAAGTAGCAGCGTCGGTACTGGTTGCAGCAGCAGCTCGGCGCGGGTCGACTGGGACTTCGAGACCCATCTTCTTCAGCGTCTTTCTGTACGATCGTTTCACTTCAGCATTGTGCGTGAGCGTCTTCTTGATCTTCTCGACTAGATTATTCCATCGCATGTTAGTTTTATCTCTCACTCGATTGATCTGATTCATTCGCAACGACTACTAACGTTTCCGCTTGTGGACGCCGTCTGGCATCGACTTTGGCACTCTGAACGGCTTGTGCACCCCTTTTGCAGATGATGAACTCATGGCTGGACCTCTTGTAGCTGCACACGCGACAGTTGTTATGGAATAGAGTACAAGCCGGAGAGGAAAAAAAAGTCCCAATGGCAAAAACAAAAAAGTTTTGGGACTTTGAAGGTCGGTTCCCAGAGCGAGCTGCCGTGCGCGTCGCGGTAAGCCCGAGGGTGTCGTTCCACGACCCCGACGAAATTCGACAAAAGCGAAAAAAAAGATTGAAAGCGAGGAAGAGCTTCAGCACCGAAAAAATCACGAACAGCATTGTCGCGCTTGCTGGGCATGGGATGAGAGTTTTATCGGCATATATCCTGTTTGGCTTATGTACTAGGTGAAATTTACCCGAGTCGCTTTCTTTTTTCTTTTCTTTTCGGAAAGGCGGTAGCTCCATAGACGTGATCGTCGGTATACTTCGTTTTCCTGCTCCGGCAGCGAGAGAAATCCGATTTTGGAGTAACCCAGCCGGACCACTAAAGACCACAATTCAGACGCCTGCGGAGTAAGCGGGTGCGTGGTCGATTGGGTTACTCTTTACATCTACAGCTATGGCCGATCGGTCGCCGGGATCTCTACTGGTCCAGCTTCGGTCGACTATCGGATTTCATCTAGCCAAGATACTGGGCACGTCAGCAGCCACGTCCAGCAGTCGCGGACTAGGCCGGCCATTTCGTCTGTATCACGATGAGCTATTATTGTGGTCAATGGAAAGTTGCTGGAGTTCGATATGCGGGAGCGACGTGGACAAGAGAAGACTGCACAATCCGTTCAAGTTTGCTCTCTATTCTGCTCGGACAATTGCTTTCGTGCGCTCGGCCGCTGCAAAGTACTCGACTGTGTTTGGATATAAAAACAGCAACATTTCGGCCGACAAGCGGAGACTTTTCAGTCAAAGCCATTATTTAAACAAGAGCGGTAAGTACTGAATATACTAACGCCGTAGCTGGCTCATTTTGACACGCAAATGCTAATTCTTCTTCATAGATGACAAAAACACAAAATTCGACGACATCATCAATTCTTCATTAGTCGTCGACAGTAGAAAATACTGGGACCCGACAAATTTATACGAACCTCCATCGGATCTGTCAACACTATCAGAAGCGGAAACAAAGGCAGCTCTAAGGCGACGAAAGTCATTGAGCGTCGTACCTCCTGATCCGCAAGGTCGGGCTGATGCTCTGCAAAAAATCGTTACCTCGCATAATATCCTTTTGGCGGACCATGTCGGCTTTCTGTGGAGCTTATGTGTAGAGTCACCGGAAACATTCGACAGCATGATGGATATGCGCTACGAAGTCTACAATTACTTCCGAGCGAGCAAGATGAAACGACACTGGAATCACATTCTGCAGCTGTTTAACGATACCCCCGAGAGTATGCGCACAGAGCTGGATTATCAATACGATCTCTGGGCGTTGCTGCGGTTGGGTCTCGTCGACCTCGTTCCCGATGTTTTCATGGAAGGTGTCAAGAAGTTTGAATACAGGGCAGATGCATTTTGGAATATGATCAAGCGCCACTGCTCCTTTGATGATGATTCTGCTTCTCTACTGGTACTATGGAGTATCAACAAATACAGAACAAACCCTGTCTTTGCCGATATCGATAGTCAGACTTTCAATCGAGAGCTGCACGAGATCATCCAAGGCATCGCGAAAGGTCAACAAAACCAGCTTCTTTCGAGCGTGGGGTATATCTTGAAGAATCTAGGGGGTGTCGGTAAGAAAATTTGTCGAAAGATAGTACCTATGCTCGCAAAACTCCAGGCGCCGTTGATGTCGAAGAAGGTGTATATGCTCATCAGACAACACGAGATGAAGCTCGGAGACCTCCATGTGATTGTCCATCTTCTCAACAAGGGCGGTCTCCCAGAAGATGCCGCGAAAATGATTGCATACTACGAAGCGCACACGCATTCGAGCGAGCCCGGCGCCAAGACCCTGATCAGTCTAAAACTACACACGTTGGCTGCCTTAAAGGACTACGCCAAAATGGAAAAGTTTTTCGACAGTCTCCACCAGCCTTCAACGGAGCATTACAATATCGTCATGCAAGCATATGGAGATATCGGCGATATGGAGCGGGTGAATATATTATTCAAAGAGATATTGGAGCGCTTTAAGCGAGTCCCGTACTCTTGCATTTATATATTATTGCGGTGTCGAGTCCTCGAAGGCGACGCCGAAGGCGCAGCCCATATTTTCTACAATCTTCACAAATTCGGTCGCCAGCCGGACGAGAAGACCTACAATCTGATGCTCAAGGCGTACAAGGATCGGCATGACCACAAGAAAGTGTTTGAGATCTTTTTCCAGATGGTGGACAAGCGCATGAGGATCGATGAGCACCATATCACGACGGTTATGTCGCTCTTTTCCGAGCGAGGCGAGGTGTTGGGCGCCGAAACTTTGCTCAGCTATTTTGATATTCTGAAAGCTCGGCCAGACAGCAGTGTTTTCAGCTCCCTGCTCTACGCATATGCTCGTAGTCGTCCGGCTCAAGAATTTCCCGGTCTTGTGAAGAAAATTAAAAGCAGGATGACAGAGAAGGGCATATTGCCGGACGCGCGGATATACAACCGTATACTGTATATGTATGCTGAGAGGAACAATTCTGATGGCGTCAAGGATATTATCGCCGAGATGAATCTATCGGGAGTCCCACTGGACAGCAGATCGTACAGTATCATGCTCAGATATCTGGCTCTGCTTGGCGAGTTTAAGGGTGCACAGATCTTGCTGGACCGAATGCCCTCGCTTGGAGTCAAGCGCGATGCCTCCCACTATACTGAGTTTATGTTGGGGCTCTTGAAACGTGGTGAAACGAAGAAGATCTTGAAGCTCATCGAAGCGATGCTTGCTGAGGGTATACAGCCTACTCAGAAGACAATTACGACGATCAAAGAGGCCTCTAGGATCGCAATGCCAGCGAGGAGGGCTCCATCTGAAAATAGTGAGGCTGAATCTGCAGAGAGTGATGCTCAATCTGGGCCCACAGCCAAACCACAAGCTGATCAGAATGCTGAAGTCCAGAAACAAGGAAAGCAATTTGGAAAGCAACCTGGAAAGCAATCTGGAAAGCAATCTGGAAAGAAATCCGGAGAGCGGTTCAGGGTTCGAAAACCGAAGCCAAAGATCAAGCCAAAGATCAAAAGACCGAAGACACCTTTGCTCTTAAAAAGGAAACGTGGGAAGCGAAGACCGCAACCTTGGAAACACCCAAATCTAGAAAGGATAAAGCGAGGCTCGAAGAAAAAACATTTCTTTGATTGAGCGACGAAAGAAGCTTGATTGTCTGGACAGATTCAAAAGTTCCTCCGCTTATTGCATGGCCGCCGTCGCGTCGGGAAGGAACTCGAGCCGGACATTATATTCACAGAGACCGAATGCTGAGCCGGCTCAGAAGATGAAAGCATGAAGATGTACAGCGCAAGAAAGGAGAACAGTGGAAGGTTACATGCCTGAAAGATTACAGAAGGTAGTGATGGAACTTGTAAATAGATTTGGAGCATTTAAGTATTGCATAGATGTGAATATCAAGTATATATTTCTACATGTTATAAAAATGTGTTCCTGCTCCCAGGCGACTAGAAACGTGGAAGCCTCTGATTTCAGCCCAACACAAGCACAAGAAGGATTCTTATCGGTACCATAACCACCATTACAGAAACTATTATAAAATCTTCAGCAATGGAACTGTGTGTGTTCCCCCGCTGCACAAGCACGCTAGCAACGCCGGCCCGGCTCAGGCTCTCAGTCTGCGTGACCGTCGTCCACCCGCAAGCAGACGACCTCGCGGCATGGGCCGGGACAAAAGAGGCTTGTATCTCGCCACGCAGGTTTGGAATAAGAAGCTAGCCGGAAAACCGAGAAGTATGCGCTTGCACAGCAGAGGAGAAGAATAGCACCAGTCTTGGAGAAAAAAAAGAGAAAAAGAGGAAACAGAAAACGCGCGACAGATTTATTTCTCTCTGAGCGAGGAAGTCACAGCACTTTGGCAGATATGCAGATAAAAGTTTATTCTGCGACGCTCTCTTTTCTTGCGTTGGGCGAACTTCAGGTTGTTGCTCTGTTGACCGATCTACAGACAAGAGACAATGCTGTGTGGTAGTAAGTATGCGTTTGGCTTCTGATTTGCTTTTGGCAGGATATGCTGACCCCGGTTTGTTGTTTTCTAGTTTCGGGAACCGTGCCAAAGGTGCCCGTGATTTCGCCAAAGAGCGGTAAGCTATCGATGGATCCAGGTCGAAGACGCAGGATATAGATGGTTCGGTATAGCTGATACACATATTTTAATAGGATGCCCGTTCGAGAAGTCGCTACTAGAGGCTTACGTTGCAGAGAATGGAGTTGATCCTGTATCAAACGAGCCGTTGACGATGGAGGAAGTTATCGAGGTCAAAGGTTCGATCCCAACAGTTTTGAGATTTTTTTCGCGTTTTGGATTTTGCGAGGTGTTTGCGTATTTTTAGTCGGTGAAGGGGCGAGATTTTGAGAGCCGTGCTAACAGAATTGAAAATAGACGCGGCGGTGCCAATTGCGCGGGCACCCGCGCAAGCAAGTATCCCATCTCTAATGCAGACGTTCCAGAACGAGTGGGACGCACTGGTGCTCGAGACTCTATCGCTACGACAAGAGCTGCTGAAGACAAGGCAGGACCTGAGCACAGCCTTATACTACCACGACGCCGCGGTGCGGGTGGTCGCACGGCTGACGAAGGAGCGCGACGAAGCCACAGAAGAATTGAGCCGTTTGACTAGTTAGTTAGGATCGCGAGGGGCTGGTTAAGATACCGGGGGGCAAACGTGCTGGATCGGGTGGGTCCCGAGCGTCTGGGCCTCTGGAAGAGTGTAGGATATTACTGAGAAAGAATTGACTAAGCATGCTTGCACATATGAACAGAGCAGCGAGAATACAGTAACCTGCCTGCGGTCTTGATTGCTTGAATCCAAGCAGAGGACGGTAAATGCTCAGTCTCTGGAAGCAAATAACGTACAGCGAAAGGAAGTTTGCCGAGCGTAGCGCGTCCGGCTGATAAACGCCTCCCAAGTTACGCTCTATCAGTAAGCGACAGGGTCTCTGCCCGTCGAGCAAGAAGGAGGCAGATAGAGGAGCCGGTGGCCGGCAGACATCTCTGCAACGCTCCGCTGTTCTGTTCGCGCAGTCTACGGACATTAAAACTACTAATCTTCCCGCACCGGCAGCTAACAATAAAACATCCAGAAAACATCGCAACTCTTTTGTGAGGGCTGCTGGCGTGCGAGTGGCTGCCTCGGCCGGGTTAGGGTCGGCCCTTTCGCCAGGGCGCCGCTATCGACGCCGCCTCTCCGAATTTGCCATGATCGCGTCTTGGATATCTACACTTCCTCACAAAGAAATTTTCATCCCCCTCCCTCATTCATCATGTCCGCAGTCCGCCGCCGCGTCCGAGGCGTGTGCGAGGCCGCGGGCCGTTTAGTGTCTGATATTTCTCACTCCCGCGTCAGCGCGAGCTTACTGCGTCGTCGGGTTCGCCTCAGTCCGCGCATATCCGTCCCTCTCGTGCTCGTCATCGCCCTGCCTTTCCTCCTCATCACTTTCGCCCTCCTGCCTGGCTGGCGGCCAACAAATAACTCGGCCAACTCGGGCTTTCTCGAAGTCAACCGGCTGCCCAGCATAAGGTGCGTTTCCTATTGTTTTCTATTTTCAGAACCTCGCCTCTTCTATTCGCCTCTCTGTACGCTAAACGCTAATATCTCTTGTCCAGGGCCATCAACGACACCATAGACCCTCCCTTCGCTGTTGGCTGCAGAGTCCCGGATGTAGACAAGCCTCGTGCCAACGCGGTCCTTGTTATCCTAGCCCGGAACAAGGAACTTCCTGGTGTTCTAGACTCAATGCGTTCGATGGAGCGGCACTTCAATCGCTGGTACCATTACCCTTATCTTTTCCTCAACGACGGCGACTTCAATTCCACCTTCCGTGAGGGCGTCCAGAATGTCACAGAGTCTGTCATCGAGTTTGGCCAAATCTCTCCTGACCTATGGGAGTTTCCCGACTGGGCCGACCAGGAAGAAATCGCGGAAGGCATCGCTCTCCAAGGCGACCGCGCAATCATGTACGGTGGGATGGCTTCCTATCACCACATGTGCCGATTCTACTCTGGAAAGTTTTACAAGCATCCTATGCTGGCAAAGTACGAATGGTACTGGCGAGTCGAGCCCGATGTCAAGTACTTCTGCGACATTACATACGACCCTTTCGTTTACATGCAGGAGCACGGCAAGGTCTACGGCTTCACCATCGTCATCAAGGAACTCATCGACACCATTCCAAATCTTTTCCGGTACGCCGCTGGTTTTAGGCGCTCCAGAAATATCACGTCCAAAGGAATGTGGGAAGTTTTCTTGACCGACGAAGAGAAAGAAAAGGCCGAGAAGAAGGAGAAGGAAAACGCCAAAAAGAAGCCCTACGACCACGAATACCGGCTGCGCGACCCTCCAGATATCGACCCCGAGAGCATGAATGGCGAAAAGTATAACCTCTGCCATTTCTGGAGTAACTTTGAGATTGCCAAACTCGACTTTTTCAGAAGTAAAGAGTACGAAGACTTCTTCCAATACCTCGACCGGAGTGGCGGTTTCTGGAACGAGCGGTGGGGTGATGCTCCCGTCCATTCTCTTGCTGCTGGTATCTTCCTCGCACCCGAACAAGTTCATTATTTCCGCGACATTGGCTATCGTCATACTACAATCCAGCACTGCCCCGGAAACGCCCCCAAGAAACAACTCCCGCGAACGCCTTACGTCCGGGACCCGCACAGCAAGAGAGACCGAGAAGAAGATCGCTACTGGGACTCTTGGGATGTCGAGCGTGAGAATGGTGTTGGATGCCGTTGCAAATGCGACACAGATATCGTCGATGTCGAAGGAAAGGAGGGAAGTTGTCTGCCTTCGTGGGTTGATGCTGTTGGTGGTTGGGCAGATTAATCTTCATCATTTCACCATTTTTCTCCTTACGTCATGCTCTTACTCTCACCTGCCATCTTTTGCTCATGCTCCCATTGCCATCCAGCAATCAAGAACCGATTTTTTTGGAGAGTGGATAAATCATTCTGCCATTATGCATCTCTGACTTTGCCTCCTTGACTTAACGAATTAATTCGCATGGTTTGAAGATTTTCTTATAGACCGTTTTTGCTTGTTCTTAATAATCGCTCGTCTGCCTCTTGGGCTTCTTGTTTGTTAAATAGCCCGTCTTGTATTCCTAATGTCCGTTTATCACTGTTATTTGCCGACTTAAATGCGTTTCTTCGGCTGTATAGTTGTCTGTTTACTGGCTCTTTGTTTTCGTCTCGTCCTATTGTTTTTTTTGTTTGTTCATTTTCCCTTTATTTTCCAGATCCTACACAAACCCAAAATGTTGTACTCTTAATAATTTCTGAATGCATGCTTCTTTTGCGGTCATGACTGTTTTTCATGCTACTACTCTTTTGGTCTCATAACCCCCGTTAGTCTATCAGTATATGCTTTTGGACTGCATGATTTCATATGCGAGTTGTGGTGGTGTTTTTGATCGGCGTATATGAGGACATTTTAGAGGACAGAATTAATCAAGTCTACACAATCTTAAAACGTAATAACCAACTTTTTGCTGATCTATCATACACAACAAAACCTTTCACTCTAGACTTTTAGTCAAAAAGATAGGCAGACTGATGCTGTCCGTGCTCTTAACATGCAATGATCTGATCCCGTCCCATCCTCCTTTTATGACGCTCTTTGCCAGCTCCTCAACCACCGCGTCCACATTCTCAGCAAGTTGCTCGGCAGTAAAAGTCGAGAAACCGATCTTGACTGTTGTCAAAGCACCAGCGGGCAAGACAACGATAGCGGATTTCAGCGTCCGCTCAAACTCGGCCTTCACTCGCTTCACCGAGATATTCTTCTTCTCCTGCTCGATCTCCTCCTCAGGGGAGATCTCGGCGCGCTTCTTCTTGCTGAGCTGCTGCTTGACAGCTTTCTGCGTCTCCTCGTTCTTCTTGCCAGTAGGACCAAGAAATCTGATCGGTATAGGCATCTTCTTCACTCCAATGAAGGTTTTACCTAGGAGAGGGGGAAGCATCGCAACGATACGATCGTCGGCAAGGAATAGATCGTAGCCGTCTCTGAGTTGTCGGCGAGCCTCAAAGGTCTTGAATTTGCTTCGAAGTTTAGAGACACCGATGATACGGGCTAGAGACCCTGAGATAACTGGGTCGTCGTCGCCGATATCCGACGGGAGAAAGATGTCTTTGTAAAGACGTTGGGGATCCTTTGTGAGAAGGCAGATCGAGGTGGTATCGCTGTTGTAGATAGGATGCGGGACAGTACTGAATACAGTTAGCAACTCTCCCATAAACATGGGCAACACAGATTCCAGACATACATGCGCTTTGGCTTCATAACCAACCGATCGCTCAAAAACTTCTTGGTGCTGACGACAAGGTAAATCGCTTTCTTGTCTGACTGCGCCGGATCCGACGGGTCGTCCGACAGCAAATTCAGCTTGCGCTTCTTTCCAGACAACGCATCGTCTCCTTCGTCAGCTGCAACTTCGCCCTCAGCTGCTACCTTCTCCATATGCTTCAACAGTGCCATGAGAGCCTTCTTGGTCTGCTCGAGGGAGTAGTCAGTAGCCCCGGAAATCCCAGAGACAGTCTCTTCCTCAACAGGAGCAGGCTTAGCAGCAGCAACCGCCTTTGACGTTGACTTCTTTCCCGTCTTCACTTTCTTCGAAGACATCTTGCTGGTCTTGTAATCAGTGTGGGTAGATAAAACTGGGTTACGCTGCAAAGGCAAAAGATTATTGTCTGCAAAAAAATTTTGGGAGTTGGGACTTCTGCAAGTAAGCTTTCAGGGGAGTTACCCGGTGCCTGATATCTAAATCAGTCCTAGTCGCGTCTGCCGAACGCTGTCCTTGATTATAGCGCGTGTGTGGATATTAGTGACAAATATACGTAAATCGATAATCTAGACAAAGCTTGCTGTTACTTGAGTAGACTCACTTATGGGTGCACTTTAGGTATCAGAGGTGGAGAACTGGATGTCTGATTTGGCGCAAATTATGACATAAACGCGCGCGCACGTGGCTATTAATCGCGACTCGCGCCATCTACCTCGAAGCTAGCTCCTTACTCTTCTACCACCTTTCCAGCACATCTCGCAAGTCCAGACTATTGGAACTGTTTTGTCGGAAATGTGCCTGTTCTGAGTACTAGCAAAAAGACTTGTATAGCTTCCGGTCTCCTTGCGCTATGGCTGAGTTCTTCCGATCCGCTATCGCATCCCCGCGATCGCGGCACTACGATCCTGTTGCAGACACATATCTCGACCTTGCCTATCTGGACAACAACATAATAGTCTGTTCGATGCCAACCGCAGAGTTTCCGAAGATTTTGTACCGAAATTCACTTTCTGATCTGCGCAAACTGCTCTCGCTGAAGCACGGATCGCACTGGCATGTCTGGGAGTTTCGGGCTGAGGGCGCCGGCTATGACGACTCCGAGTTCTTCAATCGAGGTCAGTCCTCTCGTCTTCTTTGCTTTGTGTATAGATCTGTCAAGACTGTTAAGCTTACTTAGTGTTTAGTTTCCCACTTCCCCTTCCCGGATCATAACCCCCCTCCGTTTGCTATGCTTCCATCCGTCATTTCCTCGATCCACAAGTTCCTCTCGCAAAACCCTGAAAACGTCGCGGTCCTGCACTGCAAGGCCGGCAAAGGCCGTTCTGGCACAATCTTTTGCGCGTACATGATTGCGCAGCACCGGTGGACTGCGCAGAATGCACTCGCTCATTTCACTGCGCGTCGTATGCGCTCCGGGTTCGGCGAGGGAGTTTCGATTCTGTCTCAGCGAAGATGGATCTCATATGTCGAGACTTGGTCGCGCGATCCTAACAGGGAGTATAGAGAGCTTCCGGCTGTTATTACTGAAGTGCGAATCCTGAATCCGGTGAAAGGCATCGAGGTCCGGATATGTGGGTTCAAGGAGCATGGGAAGAAAATTGCTACTCTGTACGAATTTGGCAGCGATGATTCGGTTCAGTCTAGAGAGTTAAAAGGCGTCGATGGCAATCATAGAGGGAGAATTTGGTTTGGGGGAGACGAGGTTGAGGAAGACTCTGCCGCTGAAGCGAAAGACGAGAATCAAGCAAGAGATTCAACTTCCTCGGGAGCGGAGTCTCCGGAACATTCAGATATAGAAGATCAGCGACATGATTCAAAGCCAGAGCTTTCCGAAGCAGATGATTCAGCAAAACGCATTCAAAAGACTGAATCTGGTCGACAACCTGCCGACTTTATAACTGGTACAGAGGTCATCCTTCGCCCTCGAGCTGACATACACGTCACCGCTGACGTCAACATATCAGTCGAAAAGAAACTGTATGGTCCAGCAGGTCTGTCCTTTCTAAGCTCAACCGCTTATACCTGGTTCAATCTTTTCTTTGAAGGCGACCACGACACTGGCGGTACCTTCTCCATCAAATGGGAAGACATGGATGGCTTTAAAGGGACCAAGAAACGCGGCGGGAAGATTTTTGATAGAATCGAGGTCGACTGGGTAATCTGGCATCCGATGGAGTTTATGTCGGGAGATACTGCCAGACGCTCGAGTGTTCCATCTTCCTCTGCCGAGTCCGCCGCTTCAGAGGGTGGCATCTCGACCTCTGATAAGCCAGACATCATACCAAAAGATAATTAACGACCTTACGGGCCATGAGGTGCTAGGACGATGGTGTTGTAACTTGCATATTCTATTCCTGGATGATCCGGCGTTTTTCTTTAGATTATCATGTGTAGTCATTGGTTCCATAGTGAAAATTAATTGACGTCTAAATGATGTATCCATCGCATATGAATTAGGACAGAGCGTGTCGTAGTCACGAGCTCAAATTATTAGATATATAAAATACAAAGCTACGCCTGACTTCCCACGTATTATAGAATACACCATTCATCTCCACCCCCATTTAATTAGCCTTCGCCATGTTCACAGCAGGTTTATCAAGCCCTCGCACTGCCGGCTTGACACCCTTCGCCTGAGCTTGTGCGGCCTGCTTCTGTTTCGCCTCCATGATAGCTTTGGCTACTGCGCTTACTCGCGGTCTCGAGGCGGCGGGTTTTCCGGACGATCCTGAAATAGACGATGCACTGGATGACGCGCCAGAGGACGCGTTGGGATTCACTTTCTCGAGAGCTTTCCGAGCCATTTGATCGAGATTGTTCATGATCCTGAAAACAACAGTCAGCAACATACATCCATAAGTACAAAGGCTAGAGGTGAAAACTTACACGGCAGAATGGCTGGGCCATAGTGTGTCAAACTCCCAAAACGTGGTCCGCATACATTCCCGGACCTTTGGGTTGGCGTCCCCAAGACCGCTTTTGATGCTCGCTTCAAATAACTCAACGCAGTTCGATGCCTCCATAGTAGCTTTCTGATCCTTGTGCACCATTAGTAGGAGCTGTAGCCACCCTGCGCCAAACAGTCTCGCCGGCGCGTTCTTGTCCCGGCAAGCACCACAGATATGGCTAGCCACTCGCTGATGGAAAGAAGTGTAGGCGATCAGGACGACAAGAGATGCATTCGCATTCTGCCCAGAGATCTTTTTGGTAGCTGCCGAAAGTTTGACGAGCGTCTGTACGAATCCATCCACAAATGGGTCGATGGCACTGCCAGTCACATTTGCAAGATCGCTAATCAGCTTGCAGCCATGTGTACTCAAAGTCGTTCGCAGGGAGCTAACTGCTTTGATGATACCATCCACAAGAGGTCGAAGAGAAGTGATGAACTCCACTGCATAATCTGTAAACGCATTTCCACGAAGCAATCCCCGCAAAGTCACCACGCTCTTCTGTCTCTCTGCCCAGTTTGCCTCAGTCTCTTTTCCGTCAAAATGCTTCACCATTGCTTCCATGAGTAGCTCCAAATCGCGAGCTGATGTGGCATACACTGGCTTCAAATCCTCCATAGCGGTTCCAGGAATCTGTTTGATGAAAAGCATAGCAGGCTCAGGAATCGCTGGTGAAGATTGGTGCAGAGGAGCTGTGGGAGAAACATAATTGGGAATACTTCTGTTCTCGTCAGCTTTGTCGGGAATGACAGCCAGCGGTGTTCGCTTGGTCGCGCCCACGGTCGGTCCCGTTGCTGTGGTGGTGTTGGTGAGATTAGCTGTTTCGTCCTGCGCGCTTTTGGGGCGAGATAGGCGCTGAGATGAATTGGTAGATGAGGATAGCAAGGATCCAGAAGATTGGCTGTAGCTGCTGTCGGGAGTTGGTATGTCGACACCCAGCTTGCTGAGTATATCATTCGATACCTCTGTGGGGATATGTTGGTTCACCAGCTCAGTTTTTAGGTCAAAGAGCGCTTGGAGAGATCCATTTCTAGATGGAATGATGTATAGTCAGTAGACTGAGTCAATCAATTAAAATCTGGAGCATGCCCACCTGTAGAGAGTCAGTATGCTCTCACGGCAAGTCTCTTGGACTTTCGGATCCGAATCTTTTAAAGCCGATACAATATCAAACAGTAATCCGCGCACGATAAATTTTGGTTCTGTCTCCTGGAGTGTGCACAGGAATATTAGAGTCTGCTCCCTCACTTCGCTGCGGTCGTTCAAAAATCCTGATATGCGAAGGCACCGTTCCACGTCGATACTGGAGGCGCGCCAGTAATCCATGAGAGCTTTGGAGGCGACATCGTGGATCTTGTTGCGTTCTGGGAGCTTTTCGAGCAGAACGGGGACAACCTGGTTTGCGTAGCGGCGAAGTCTAGATGGCTCCTGGAAGTATAAGCGCTTCACTAAATGGCAGATGCAGCCAAAAGAGTACTGTGAGATCCGAATGTCTTCGTGGAACATCCCTTTGACGAAGTAGTCAAAGAAGATATCGACCGCTTTGATCTATGCGATTGTCAGAACATTGTGCTTATATAATTACACGCGTTTGGACAAATTACCTCTACCGGTTGATGTTTAAGGTCATGGCGGATTTCGGCTAGTTTGTTGACCAGCTTTTCGTAGTCTATAGAACAGTTAGCGTTCGTTACCCATCTCCGGCAAGGGGACGCAGCCAATCTTACCGATATGGACTTTGTCAAATTCACTCTGCAAGATATTTGCGTCACTGAGCGACATATTCTCAGACGAGACGAAAATTAGCAAGCTGGAAGCAAGTAGGTCGAATGCGATAAGAGCTGGCGGACTGGAGAATCACGAACACTGCTGTTTACCGAACGAGCAATGTTTACATCCACTGATCTGGCGATTACCCGGGCAACCGCCGTGCACCTGTTTTCTGCACACTTATGCTTTAAGCCCTTACCCTCATGTTATTATTCTGGAGCCAAAAAGACGCCGAATCACGCGTCAGGCGTTAACCTCCCGAGAACTGCTGCATAGAGGTTTTTCATCTACACCAGCAACAGGCCACTTCTCGAACTTATCGACAAAGACACCGCATAAAGCAACAATGTTCGCCCGTAACATCCTAAGAGCTACCCTGCGCCAGCGTGCCGTTGTCGGACGTCGTTTCGCCAGCTCCGGCGGTTCGTCGCCCGTCCCAGGCCCCATCGACCCTCTCACCATCGTCGTCCCTGTCATCACCATCGGATTGATCTACTACTTCAAGAGTACCGTCCCGATTTCGACCGAGCCCTTTGCTTTCGAGGAGCAGTCCGCCAAGATTGAGAAGATCAAGGCCCAGGGCCTGACCGGTGATGCTCTCTACAAGGCCCTCGCCATCGCCGAGGGTGCCAGCGAAGACGAGGCCGACGACATTGTGTCTGAGGTCAAGGAGATCATCGAGGCTCCCCCCGCCAAGTCAGTCGTCGACGAGGTTCTCACCGCTACCGTCGAGAAGCTTGGAGATGAGTTTAGCCTCGACAAGTACTTCGAGGCCAAGAAGGCTGCTGAGGCCGCTCCCGAGGAGCCTGAGGCTGCTGAGCCCGAGGCCGCTGAGGAGGCCCCGGCTGAGACTGAGGCTGTCGAGCCTGTTGTCATCGTCGAGGAGGAGAAGTCGGAGTAAATTATCAGGCGATTGGACGATAGGATAAACACAGCAGCTGTTCCGGTTAATTGTCCAAATGATGATTGACCGATAAGCAATGGAAGGTGGGGAGTTGCCTTGGCTTTCTTTGCAGCAAGTCACTTGATTGCATTTGCGAGTCCCGGTTTGGGGGTGGGGTGAAAGATTTGGTTTCTTTGTTTACATTTAATTCTAAATACATTATGCATTAAAAAAATGGTTGATCTATGATTGCCGGTACGTCGCTGTGAATGTGATGGCTGGAATTCTCCAGAGAAGCGGAGAGCTACTTACAGATGATCATCCTATCAATATTCCAAGGTGTGTTTGCGTGCAAAATATAACTATGTATTCGATATCTCCCAAATGAAGAACTCCTAGTCTGGTTCGCTCATCTATATACAATGGAAAAGGTCACCACATACGGACATGCATCATCCCCAATTATTCGTAACAACACAATAGAATCAAAATCAAAATCCCTGCAGTCAAAGAATCAATTCTGAAAACCCGATAAGCTCTACAAATCACCATAGGTCTCTTTGTTGTACTCGACAGGATCGATTCCAGGCGGCGGAATACAGTATAGCAGCTTTCCTTTGACATAGTCCTTCAGGATAACTCTGGCAGCTTTCGACTCATCCGGACGACCACCTTTACTACTCCGAATAAATCCACGAGCGATGGCATAAGCACCCAACAGCTCATCGGCAGTGGGGATGCCCGTACCGCCGTCGATCTCTGGACGTGTGTGGATCTTGATTCCATAGGTCTTTTCTATGTATGCTTTCGGGATTCTCTGGGCAAGCAATCCCGCTGGACCCGTGTATTCTCTCATCTGGTCAATGGGCAAGACACCGTTGCAGACCAGCTCTGCTTTCGTAGATGCAAAGTTCGGAAACACGAGACCCGGACAATCGCAGAGGATTACCCGCTCACTAAGGTGGATGGTCTGGAAGTGCTTTGTTTTTCCGGGTGTGGCCGAAACGGACACTTTCTTTGCTCCCAGGAGAGCGTTGATAGTCGACGATTTTCCGACGTTGGGGTATCCCACCAATCCGATATAGATCTTGTCTGTTTCATTCTCTGGTGGTGGCGCGGTTTTCAAGAAAAGATCCTCCAGCTCATCAACCGATAGAACGTGGATATCCTCGGCGGTAACATCATCTTCATCGGATTCTCGTTTCAGCTCCTCGTCCACCTCACGATTAAGACTCATCACCTCGAATGCATCCTCCAGACTCGCCATGGCTGCCGAGAAGAACGCGAATCTGATCTTTTCTTTTTTGAAGTGCCGGGCCCAAAGTCGTCTTTGCCGAACGGTGAGTAAATCGGCTTTATTGATCAGTAGCAGATTTCGTTTCTCCTTCTTCTCGTTGAAAGCCAACTCGCGAACATAGACCGCCAGATCTTGTGATCGATAGAACATCGGTTCGCGCGCGTCGCAAATTTGCACGACGACCGACGATCGCTCCACAACTCGCCATAGCTGACGCCAGACCTCCAAATTTCGCTCAAATGGTGTAAGCAAAAGATCGTGCTGCTCTTCTAGCTCGGCAAGCCCTCTGCGCCACTCCAGAAAAGAGGCCTTCTCTGCTCTGTCGAGCTCATCTCGAGTCGTAGATGAATCCCAGGCAGGACGACGAGGGACCGTCAACCGCCTTCTGTTGGATTGTTGTCGCTCGTCTGCAGCTTGTTGTTGCTCCTCAGTCAGTAGGTACTGATTTGTCTGATCTTGGTGTAAGATCTTGATGTTGAGTTTGGTGGCCGTAAAATCTGTGCCCGCGAGCTCTGCGGTGTTCAAAAACTCGTCGAGATCGCGCTCCTGTGTGACTGATTGCAGACGGACCCAGCCAGGTTGTTTGTCTTCCTTGGTAGCGCTCGTGGTACCGTCGGGGAGTTCTCGCTGTCCTCGTCGGGTTTTATTGCGTGAATTGATGATAGCCCGTCCAAGACCGTCTGGGCGGCGATATGCTTGTTTGTGACCCTGCAATGATTGGCGTGGTTAGTGTCGGTTCTTGCCAGTTAGAAGATGAGATCCTCTTACCATTATATTATTATATTTTCGTTTATCACAGACAAATATCTGAGTATAAATCTGTGGTGAATATCTAAAAAAGATGTGAACAAGATGTGGGAATAAACTGACGAGAGAACGAAGATATTTTTTTAGAGTTAAAAGCTGGTTGGGAGGAGAGGGATTAGATAAAATGACGTAAATTAGGACAGCGAACTACACAGATTTTGGATCCCCTTTAGCATATTCAGCACTGTCAACCAGACTATAAGACATCACCAGTATCATTTTCAAAATGTCTGAGCAAGATCAAATTGCAGAAGATACGACGAGCGACGAGTCGACAGAGAAACAAGCATCAGAAGAGCAATCGACGAGTTCAGTGTCGGAGAGCAGCACTCCTGCACAGCTTACAGTCTCGTCCGCAAGAGGTAGTTCGGTGTCTCTAGAAAGAGGAGTCAGTAATGACGGAGAGCTATTTGAGGATGCACTATCTGATGTGCAGGGCGTGTCCACTGGTAGAAGCTCTGCATCCGAGGCAATTGTTGATAGCCTAAACCACACCACGAGCAGCGACGACAAGTCACAACAATCGTCTGACGAAATAGCAGCCGACCAAGAGACAGAATACAGCCCATCACCAGAACCGGAGTCGGAGCAAAGATTACAATCTGCTGCAGCTGCAAGAGCAGCCAAAGCTAGAGAGGCGGCCAAAGGAAAAGATACATCAAGTCCGGTTGCTGTACTGCAGACGCGTGGTCTCCAAGACGAGATCCAAAGTATCATAGATAACCTGGTAAGTCAAACGTCTGTGATGAATGAAAGAGGAAGTGGTTTTTAATCGACTTGTGTTTAGAACAAGGAATACGCGAAATCATCGAGCGAACTGGAATCAAGAAGTATGTTCTACCATCCCACCTGCTTTGCCCGATCTCAAGCTAATACATTTTCCTGCACTGTAGTGGACAGCATGCAAAAACGGATGGACGAGTTAGAAAAGAAAATAAGTTCATGATGAATAGTCGCAAACTACAAAGTACAATACGATTAGATAATGACAGGCTGAGGAAGGAGCAGAACGATCACCAAGACGAGTATATTGCTGTAGACGTCAACTACATTGTTACAAAACAGGAGTTATGTTCAAGTTTCATTTAGTAATCATATCACAGAAGTTTCTCATTTAAGCATCTTGGTTTGCAAAGAACAACTGAACTCTGCCGAAAAACGCTAGTGAAAGCGATCACAGTTCATCCTGAATATGTGAGCCAGCAGGAGACTTGTACTTCTCCAAAACGTCCGCCAGAATATTTTTTCTAATCTGGAACTGGTCGGTGTTTCCACGGTTCATAGTTCCCTTCTTGAGAATGTTCTCGAGGCGAGTGATCTCCTTCTCGAGATACTGCTCGCCCTGGTTGGCGACCTTCTCGACGACCTTGCCGTAGTAAGCCGCATACGGGATAGAAGAAGAGTTGGCGACCTCCTTAGCCTTCTCAATAGCCTTAGTCGCATCGTCCTTCAGCAAGGCAATCACGCTATCGAACTCCTCAAGGAGACCGATGGTGTCGTCGAGGCTACCGTCCAAAGTGCGGTGAGTACCGGCATGGCTGTTGACAAAGCTGACAAAGTCTTCCAGAGAACGACCAAACTGATAGTCAACAGGAGAGTCAGATCCCTTCGGAAAGAATTTGATAGTTGGGTAACCCTTGATCTCAAACTCCTCAGAAATCGAGCGAGCTTCCGGTGCAGTGCAATCAACCTTAGCGATGATGACATCCTTATCGCCAGCAAAAACACCTGCAGCCTGCTCGTAGGCAGGAGCCATTGCCTTGCAGTGACCGCACCAGGATGCGGTGAAAGCGACGAGAACATCCTTGTTGGGGTCAAGAGCGAGTTTCTTGAAATTTCTGTCATCCAGCATCGTAACGGCGGAAGGCGGAGCCTTGGGCTTAGGGCTCTTCATTCCGGTGTTTTCACTGATGAAATCCTGGAATTGCTCGAGACTGCGGCCTTTCTCATAGTTAATAGGATCACTGCCCTTGCCGTCGAAGAACTTGAAAGTCGGGAAGCCTTCGATTCCGTACTTCTTGGCTGCCTTGCGGTTCCGATCGCCGTCGATTTTGACTATATAACGCAGATCATGTTAAATACTCAGTCACCCAATATAGATCACTAACTGTCGGTAAATGTGGGCCATTACCAATCTGGATTTTATCCTTCTTTGACTCGTACGAATCAGCAAGCTGCTCATAGATCGGAGCTGTGTTCTTGCAGTGGCCGCACCATGTCGCATAAAACTAGAATGATGTCAGTAAGAGCAAAACAGACAACGAAGCAAAATCCTAGGCTCAAAGTCGTACCTCAACAAGGGACGGGACGCCGCTATTGAGAACGACTTTGTCGAAATCTTTGTCGTTAACCTCGATGACGTTGCTCGCCGTGACCGCGACTGCAGCCGTAGCCAGAACAGTCAAGATACTGCCAAAAAAACGCATGCTGTGTATACTTCTTGCACAAGATCGTTGATCGAGGAATTGAAGTGTTGGAGGAAGTGGAATATGCGAGGAAGTAGGTGACCGATAAAGATTGAGGAATCAGGGGTGGGAGCAGTTATAGAGAAGAGGACTGATCAGATTAAGGCGACTCAGGCAACGTAATTTCTACGCCCTGCACTGCTTCACCACCCACGCATCTTCTTCTGTGACTATAAGTAGATAAAAATGCATTTCAATTGTCTGTATATCTATTAACTGTTTTACAATCACTATTCACGCTGAATTACACCTACTGATCTCTTCTACCGAGTGCTATCGCGTACGTGGCCAAAAAGATTACTAATAGCTCAGCTTATGTCATTTATTTAATCACGTGACGTGCGGCTAAAGCGAAAGTCGCTGCCCAAACGCGATGTCCCCGTGTTGACTATTCGGACACCGTTGATTGCACCTACGCCATGAAATCCAGATGAGGAGTGCACAGGTATCGGTGGCTCTTATTTTGAGCCTGCTCCATTTAGTCGCAGGACTGAGTTGGCCTTCTGTGGCCGACTCAGATCGATATGCGATCCGGTCACAGCGCGACCTCACTTTGAATGTGTCGATGGATCAGCTTCTGTATCCCGGCATAAATCTCAACTCGGTACTTCTGGAGCCGTTAAACTATACATATGAGGTCTTTTCGAGTTTTAGTGATTTGGTATCATGGGGCGCTGGCAGATTCTTTCTGAATCTGTACTGGAATTATCGGAAAGGTAATTGGCAACTGTGCCCTTACATCGAAGGCATCCAGGAAGAGTATACAGACGGAGGTGACCACAGAATAGTCGAGCTCAACTACGACGGAACAAGGGAGGCTGCTGTATTTTACTACAACGATAGCGCGTATACATGCAATCTTACTGTCACCTTTGACACCTTTCTTTCCGAGATAGTCAGAGATCAGTGGATTCGGACGACAGATGATAATCTGAACGCGAGAACAATTATCGTCACGCTCAACTTGCAGGAGGCCATCAGTCCTGACTTTGCACCTAATGCCTCTATTTTGACTGAGAGTGTGGTTTCGACGAGCACCAAAGCCACCTCTAGCACAAGAGCACACGGAAGTAGCAGCTCACTTCTCTCTACAACCACTCGTCCTTCGTCCGAAGCTACCTCACATCACTCCCCGCCCAGTGAGAGAGCGAGCTCAAGCCTACTATCTCACACATCACCTACTGCTAGTAGTAGCTCCAAACCACAGTCAACAGTCACTAGCTCTCACACATCTTCTAGCGCCACGAGCAGTAGTTCTCATGCACTTACCAGGAGAGCTGTGGGAACCGAACTTTCAGAGTCGGCGTCATCGTTTCGGGTTTATGCAACATCGACTGCTTATGATGGTCTTGATACCTCTTCAGATTCAAATGACAAAGAGTTATCACTATCTGAACAAGTCAAAGAAATAATGGACGACTACATCTACACACCCAAGGATTTAGCGCTAGACCGGAAACGAACATCTTTCACCTGGAACTCGACCGGCGCTTCTTCTGTGGGCTGGCCACTACTGGAGGATATTTTGTTCCGTGACTTCTACCGGATCCTCTTCTCGTTCGGTGATATTGATGTTGATACAGATGAGTATGACACCGACGGCGATCTCGACGTAATTTTCAGCAGCTCGGAGGTTCCATATTTGGGAACGCGAGCTCTTCTTTACAGCACTGCATTTTCTTCTTCCGAACTGGATCCTTCTTCCTCTCCCGTTTGCTCGATAGATGTGAATACGTATAAGGTGGATTTGACGTCGACTGGCGACGCAGTGCCTCCTTCATTTCTGATTGCAAGTGACATAAGTGATAATGTTTTTACTGCCGATGCTATGAAGCAGTATCTGAAATGTGGTTTCAGCCCTGTACTCAATGCGACTAAAAGCACAGAGACGGAAATCGTCAACTATGTGACAGAGAATCTGGCTGCGGCGAAATGGTCGTGGGAGAAAGATGAGCCAAAGGTGATCTCAACAGCATCTTCGGAGACAACGTCTTATTTACAAGTGAAATGTGCTGCACAAACAGAGGATGGCTGGGTCGTTGAGAATTGCTACAACAAGTATCGAGCAGCCTGTCGGGTATCAAAAGAGACGTATAATTTTGTGCTCTCGGAGAAAGAGGTTTCTTATTATGACGCGGTTGATGCATGCTCGAGCACTAGCAATCAGCTTTTCACCTTACCACGGACTGCGCTCCAGAATACGGTTTTGGAGAGATTACGACAAGAGAAGGTGAAGTCTGAGCCAATTTGGGTCGACCTGAATTCGCTTGCGCATCCGGTAAGCAAAGAAGCTGCTGAAGTTGTATGAGGTACTCGGCTAACGTATTCAAATGTTGTAGAATTGCTGGGTTTCTGGAGGACCAGGGGCTAGCTGTCGTTACGAAGCATCCACGACTCGGCAGAGTGTTGAAGTTGTCGTGCCAACAGTAGCGGCTATTATTGTTGCTATTTTGCTCGCCTGTGAGTCTATAACTGGAAGAAAATACTGCCTCTGCTCATTTTTGCTGATTTGTGACGTTTAGTGACGCTATGTTCCAAAATATTTGGTTCTCAGCAAGTCAAGGCTCGTCGACGTCGGCGGCGATATGTCAAATTGTTTGGGGAAGCAGAGTATGACGGCGTTCCGGTAAGTTTGTTATTTTTGGCTCCGTGTACTTTTTGGTTTTGAAGCTGACCGCTGTCTAGTCTTGATTTGGCTCGCCCGCGTTTCGAACGTCATCTGGCGTCCAAACCGCTAAAACGCACGAGAAGCCGATGCTGAACATCGTGCTAGTAAATATAAGACGGTCTGATAGAGGAGTTTAGGATATACAACACAATTATCTACTTTACAATCATCCCCGCCGCGGATCTGATCTGACTCCGAGCCGTTGTTCCGTTTGAATTCGAGCACCTGTTAATGGCCCGCTCGGCACGGCTGCGGCAGCTGGACAGACACCGCGTTCTGCGCCGTCCAGAATGCGGCTGAGGCTAAGAATAGCACACTAGTCCCGATCGAGGAGATTATAAATAAACAACTAACGAGGCACAGCCCTAACCCATTTTTTACTTTCTCTGCACCCCCTGTTTTTAGCTGTCGACGCCCTTTCGAACGCTCACTCAGCTCGACCGCCGTCAGATTCGCTCCTCGAAATCAGATTAGTTCTCTGAAACCTCTCCTCCTTCTTTGTTCACGGTTGGATACTGGTCGGACGCGTAATACCATTCACATCTCAGGTGAGCTCTTGCTGCCTCCATCTTACCCCTGTTCTCGCGCTGTTCGCATACTGACCGGCGCACGCCAACAGAATGGACCCGTCTACTCCGGATCGTGGTCTGCGGACCACCATCACAACCTCCACCTCTGCACCGCTCATTCACAGAACCGACCTTGAACGCGGTCCCTCTGGGCGCATGCCAAACTCGGCCTCCACCGGCGACTTCCAGCGAAAGCGCTCTTTGGTCAAACCCGAGCGGTCCCGCATCAATAAGGATCATCCTACCTACTACTATGCTCAACATGCCGCGAAGCAAAATATGCCAGTCCTTCCCTCTTCCACTGGAAATGACCCCAACACCTATGATACCGAAGAGCCTGAGATCGCTGAGAGCAGCGATGGCGCACAAGTCTACTACGATGACGATGAAGACAGCACAAGCAAAGGCTCACCGACATCAAAGATCACCGACGTCAACCTGGCCGATAGTCCTTCTCAGGTGCCTCAGCGATCCAAGTCGACCACATCCGTCAGAAAGCCCCGTCTACAGAGCGCTGAGCAATACAAGCCTCCATCTCTGTGGCAGAGTTACTGCGCCTTAATAACATTCTGGGCTCCTCCTATAGTTATGGGCTGGTGTGGAATGCCCACCAAGGCTCGCCAGTCAGCCTGGCGCGAAAAAATCGGTCTGATCTCCGTCATTCTGATGATTGGAGCTATAGTTGGTTTCCAGACCTTTGGATTCACTGAGGTTGTCTGTAAGAGCGCCGGAGTTCGTCTGAGATCGAACCACATCAACACCGGCTACCTTATAATAAACGGCCGTGCGTACGATTTGACCAGTTCCTCGCACCCCCTTGCGAACGGCATCTCGTCCGGATCCAACATTCTATACCCTCCTACCAATGCAGGTGGCATGGACGCGTCCTTTTTATTCCAGAACGTCAACTCTCACTGCAAGGATCTATTCACACCTGCTGATAACTCCGATATCCCCTATGACGATGACAATAATATGGGCTGGTACTTTCCCTGCAAGACGTTTGCTCAAGATGGCTCAAGCTCTCCCAACTTCACTTGGTCTTACTACACCGGATATGCCTGCCATACTTCCACTGTGGCCCGTGAAGCATACTACGGTTTGGACGTTACTGCTGAAGTCTACCTCACTTGGGACGACATTCGCAACGCCAGTCGAAACTTGGTGGTTTACAGCGGCTACGTACTGGATCTTGATCTACTGGACTGGCTCGATACCGATAACGTGGAGGTCACCACTGATCGCTTTACTGAGCTTCAAGACGCCTCTAGAAGCGGTGTGATTCGTGGCACTGATATTACGCGATTAATGACTTCCGCTGCCGATCGCAAGGTTGCCAACTGCATGATTGAGACCATCAAGATTGGGTCTGTCGATACTGACTCGATTGGCTGCATTGCCTCTGACATTGTTCTCTACATCTCGCTCACTTTCATTGTTTTGATTATCATCATCAAGTTCGTGGTCGCTTGTATCTTTGCATGGTTTTTGTCCTGGAGACTTGGTGTCAAATATTCAGCAGCTGAGAAGAAACGAATGGCTGAGATTGAGGACTGGTCTGATGATATCTACCGACCGGCCCCACACATCATCAATGCCTACAACAACGGTGGTGGCAACCGTGGAAGTCGATTTTTCCCCCGAACATCCCGTTTCACCTCGCCTTATGCGCAACGTGATCGCTCTAGATCTCGCCAGAGAGGAGGTGCCTTGACCACTATGGCCTCCCAGGCTCAGCTATCAACATCTCATCTTATTGTTCCTGGATCTTTGTATGCCTCTCGAAATGACGACGCAGCCAGCAACCTTTACTCGTCTGGTGCATCGACTTACGCTGGCGCGTCATCTCCGGCCTCCATGCCTGCTGGTTTTGCGTCGACTTCATCTCTCAACAACCAATCGAGCCGAGGCCGCGAAGGTGCTCCTGCTGATGTCGATAGCATAAGGATGTCGCAATATATCTCGGCCGAGGACGAAGCTGAGGCAGGAGGAGTTGTGTCGTTCTACCAGGATAATGTTGTTCCCCAGCCACCAGCGGATTTCCAGCCTTTCGGATACCCGCTCGTCCACACTGTCTGTTTAGTCACTACCTACTCCGAGTCACTCGAAGGTGTGCGTACCACTCTCGATTCCATTGCCACCACTGACTATCCGAACTCCCATAAACTTATTATGATTGTTTGTGATGGAATCGTCCGCGGTGCTGGAAACGAAATGAGCACGCCCGACATCTGTCTGAGTATGATGAAGGACTTTGCCGTTCCTCCCGAGGAGGTCGAGGCTTTCTCCTACGTCGCTGTTGCCCAGGGTACCAAGCGTCACAACATGGCAAAGGTCTACGCTGGGTTCTATGCCTACGACGACGAAACGGTTGATCCTTCCAAGCAGCAGAGAGTCCCCATCATCACTATTGTCAAGTGCGGCACACCTTCCGAGAAGACCTTGGCGAAGCCCGGAAACAGAGGAAAGCGTGACTCCCAGATTATCATCATGGCCTTTTTCCAGAAGGTTATGTTTGACGAACGTATGACTGAGCTTGAGTATGAGATGTTCAACGGCATCTGGCGCGTAACTGGAATTTCTCCAGACATGTATGAGATTATTCTCATGGTTGACGCCGATACAAAAGTCTATCCAGACTCTCTCACTCATATGATTTCTTGCATGGTTCACGATACAGAAGTCATGGGATTGTGCGGAGAGACAAAGATCGGAAATAAGCGGCAATCATGGGTGACGATGATCCAAGTATTTGAGTACTATGTCTCGCATCATCTGTCAAAGGCGTTCGAATCAGCATTTGGTAGTGTGACCTGTCTTCCTGGATGCTTCTGTATGTACAGACTGAAAGCACCCAAGGGAGAGGACGGATACTGGGTGCCTATTCTCGCCAACCCTGACATTGTCGAGCGCTACTCTGATAACGTTATTGATACTTTGCACAAGAAGAACCTTCTGCTGCTTGGTGAAGATCGATATCTCTCGACTTTGATGTTGCGCACATTCCCGCGACGAAAGCAGATCTTTGTTCCCCAAGCTGTGTGCAAGACTGTGGCTCCTGACACTATGAGTGTTTTGCTCTCTCAGCGTCGTCGCTGGATTAACTCTACTGTGCACAACTTGATGGAGCTCACCATGGTGAACACGCTGTGCGGTGTTTTCTGTGTCTCGATGCAGTTTGTGGTTACTATTGAGCTGATTGGAACGGTTGTGCTGCCTATTGCGCTTAGTTTTACGATTTATGTCATTGTTATTGCTATTGTGAGGAAGCCCGTTCCGGTTGTGTCTCTTGTTTTGCTGGCTTTGGTGTTGGGATTGCCTGGTGTCTTGGTCGTGGTCACTGCGCATCGATGGAGTTATGTACTTTGGATGCTTATCTACTTGATGGCGCTGCCGATCTGGAATTTCCTTCTCCCGATGAATGCTTGTAAGTTGATCTGTGAAGCTATTTTTTGAAAGAATGATCTGCTAACGAGATATATAGACTGGCGATTTGATGATTTCTCTTGGGGTGAGACTCGACAGGTCCAAGGTGGTAACAAAGCGCATGACGAAGCGGAGGGAGAGTTTGACTCTTCGCACATCAAGATGCGGAGATGGAGAGATTTCGAGGCAGAGAAGCGGAACAAACTGCAAGGCACTCAGCACCAGAAGCAGAATTCCGAGTCATATGGATATCGTGCTTCGAGTCCAGGGGCTTGGCCTACGCAGTAAATGAATGCTGGTGTTCTATGATGGATGGGATATGAGGGTGAAATGATCAAACAGCCAGATGTTTCTGGTCGTAATATTGGGTGAATGACGGCAAAGTTATGAGGATTTGTATAAAGTTGTGAAAATGAAACCCCAAAAGAGAGAAAAAAAATTAGGAAGGAGGCATTGAACTATTAGTTGTGGTTTGGTATGCATTGATATGTTTTGTTTTTGACTTTTATCCTTTTTTTGACTTTGCGTAATTGGCGTATGTCGCGTTGTATTCTAAATAAATATCAAGAGTCGTTATGCGGTTGTGAAAACATTTATAAACAAAGAAGGGTGTATATTTCATTAGGACTATCTATAATTCAAGATATGGGAACTTTTCTTTTTACAGCAATCCGCGGCCCAAAAGAGTCTCGGCGATCAATATGCCAGAACCAGCGGCGCCAATGACGGTGTTGTGAGAGAGTACGACGAACTTGAAGTCCAAGACCGGATCTTCTCTGATACGTCCGACAGAGACCGCATATCCGCTGTCGCGGTCACGGTCGAGACGGGGCTGGGGTCTGTCGTTTTCTTCGAGCACGTGGATGGCCTGCTTGGGAGCGGAAGCACAGTTGAGGACCTGGACTTCTGAGCGGAAGTCGCGAAGAGCCTGCTTGACTTGCTCGAGCGAGGGCTTCTTGTCGGACGCGAACGCCATGGAGACGCACTCGAGATGGCCGTCGGTGACGGCGACGCGGTTGCATTGCGCGGAGACCTTCATGTCGGAGAGGGGAACGAACGTGTCGTCGTCGCCGACGTTGCCGAGGATTTTCTTGGTTTCCCATTCAAGCTTCTCCTCTTCTCCCGAGATGAAGGGGATGACGTTGTCGAGGATGTCAAAGCCGGGGACGCCGGGGGAGAATCCGCCACCGGAGATGGCCTGCATGGTAGTAACGGTGACGGTAGAGATCGGACCGAATTTTTCCATGAGCGCGCCGAGCGGCACGACGAGGCCGGCGGTGGAGCAGTTAGAGTTGCAGATGATGTAGCCGCGCTTTGATTTGGGGAGGTTTTGCTCGTTGGCGGCCTTGATGCGACGCGAGATCACATCGAGATGGGAGGTGTTGACGAGCGGGACGACGAGGGGAACGTCAGGAACGCGTCGGTAGTTCTTTGCGTTTGAGATGACCACCAGTCCATTTTCCGAGAATTCCTTCTCTAGAGAATTGAGAAAAGCAACAGGTCAGTATTGAGCAGCAAATCAGGGGAAAAAGAGATTCAACATACCAATATCTCCAGCAACATCAGCATCCAGACCAGAGAAAACGACATCGCAGTCTGCAAACTCGCTGCTCTTGCAGTCGACAACGACGAGGTTCTGCGCAAGTTCCGGGATAGTCGCAGTCTGTCGCCACTTGACGGCGTCTTTGTAAGCCTTGCCGGCAGAGCGTGAGCTCGCGCCGAGTTTGTAGAGCTCAAACTCTGGATGCTCGGAGAGCAGGAGGATGAATTTCTGGCCTACGCTGCCAGTTGCGCCGAGGACACCTGCTGAAGTTAGCGGCTGCGTGAGTTGAGATAATACAAGACAGAAGAACGTACCAGCTTTCTTTGTGGGGGCCATTGCGGTTGAATGAGGGATCTGAGAGAGAAGTTCAGGCAACAAAAGCTTTGTGGTTCCATCAATTGCTCATCTACGGATTTTTTTTGCTCGGTGGGCAGATTTGTTGTTCTGGAGTGGTTAGTACGGCTAATATTGGTTGAATAAGCTGGTACTAACAAACCCACAATAGAGCTTACTTTCTGGAGCACAGAGTCCAAAATAAGAACGTCACAGAAATCCGGAGTAGCGAACGAGACAATTTATCCATTAAAAGAATTTGTTAGCAGCGACAACCGCAACGCGTGAAAGACGGCATCAGACACTGCTCGAGCGTGAATATCCTCTTTGTTTGGCTGTTTTATTGGGGTATCGAGACTAGGAATCAGAGTGCGTTGTGGACTCTCTTTGTACTTTATCTTTGTCTTCTCTGTCGGCGCTCGTTGTTTCTATCGGGCGCGATACCAGCTTGTGTGTGGCTTGTACATCTCATAGCCTGTGGACCACAGCTATTGATACATTGAGCTGCTGAATTGGACCAGCTGAGACTCTGCAATCATACTCGTCGAGTGCGATAGCTCAAGAAGAAGTAAAAAAGAAGGAAGAAGGAAGAATGAGCGCAGCGGTATCATCATCCACCTCCCACGGAAGCGAGAGGATCCGCTCCAACAACAGGGCAAATGGACACAAGCGACACAGCAAGAAGAAAGTGGACCAGTTCCTTGGTAAGTTAAGCCGCTACCTCTTCTTTGAGGCTGCTCATGCTAACCCTCGCCAACTATCCGCAGCCGGCGATAAAGCTCCCGTCGACGACCTACAGAAGGTCACAGGCGACGAAGAACTCATGGAATCCTCAGATCCGAAAGAGCCCGGTGAAAGCGTAAGTCTCTATCCTGTTTGAGTGCTTGCTTGCGATTGACGCGCCAACGCTAATACTACTCATAGTCCGAAGTGTGCTTTATCTGCGCCGAGCCGGTGAAGTACAGCGCGATTTCGCCTTGCAACCACCGCTCCTGCCATGTTTGTGCGCTCAGAATGCGAGCGTTATACAAGACGAATGCCTGCGTTCACTGTCGAGTAAGTAGCAAGCTTCTCTACTTAAAAGAAAGCTGAGCTGACTCTCTTTGTGAATAGACAATCCAACCGCGAATCATATTCACTATCGACAACTCTAAAAAGTACGAGGATTACACGGAGGGCGATATCGCGTGCTCAGATGCAAAACTCGGCATAGACTTTGACAGAAGGCAAATCATGGAGGATACGGTCAAGCTGCTCAAGTTCAACTGTCCCGACAAAGGATGTGCGGTGGTGTGCTCAGGATGGGCAGAGCTTCGGAGACACGTCGGGGATGTGCACCACAAGACCATGTGCTCTCTCTGCACTCACAACAAGAAGGTCTTTATTCAAGAGCACAAGCTGTACACACAGAAAGAGCTGAACAGGCACGAAAAATACGGCGACGAAGACGGTTTCACTGGTCACCCCGAATGTCCGTTCTGCCGTCACCGGTACTACTCCGCCGACGAATTGCGCGTCCACAACAGAGAGAAGCACGAGAAATGCCACATATGCGAGCGGAATCTTACAGGAAACAGCGAATCTCAATTCTTTGTAAACTACGACTCTCTCGAACGACATTTCCGCGACATCCATTACCTGTGTCCTGCGTCTTCGTGCTTGGAGAAGAAGTTTGTGGTGTTTGAGAATGAGATTGACTTGAAGGCGCATCAGCTCGCCGAGCACCCTGGTCTTTATGGAAACGGAAGATCAGCCAGGACTATCGAGACAAATTTTATGTTCTCGGCACCAGCAAACAACAATGGTCGCAGCAGGCCAGGCTCTTCTGCGTCCACGCCCGGGGGAAATTCAAGGCGGCAAGGAAACGCCGACGCCAGCTCACGCGGCGACAATCAGCGAGGGAATCACACGCAAGCAGCAGCTCGATCGACTGGGTTTGGCACGCAGCTTTCGTCGGATTTTGGGCAGCCGAATACATCTGCGCCAACGATGAACTGGGATGCTGCTGACGGTGACTCCAGGGGAGCCAGTTCGACTATCCGGATGGATGACGAGTCTGGTTCGAATATTGAGCATTTGTGAGTCCACAGCAGCGTTTTTTTATCTTTAATTATATCCAGCAATCTAACTTTATCACAGCCGTCGCCAGCGTTTGGATGAAAGAGCGGTGCAACACATCAAGCGAGGTTCACCGCAGTACAAGAAGTTCCTGTCTCTCAACTCGAATTTCTCTACGGGCGCCGTCACAGGAAAAGATCTCGTTCTCGGCTATATCGATATATTTGATACGGATGTGAACGAGATTACTCTGCTTATACATGAGCTTGCGGAGTTGTTTGCAGGACCTCAGGAAGCGAAGAAGAATGAGCTCATCAGTGCCTTGAATGACTGGAGAGCGAGGGTATGTCATGCTATCTTCTTTTTAAGTCATCTTATAATCAGCTAACGCGGTACAGAATGAGGATTTCCCCGCCCTTCAAGCCATAGCTCCAGCGAAAGGAAAGGGCCCTATCGCAAAGGCGCCCGTGAAAGCCAGCGCGACACGTTTCGGAAAGCTACCCGTAACCGGCGTAGCATGGAGCTCCTCCTCCTCCTCTTCATCATCATCATCAGCGGCAGGCAAGGCTAGGATCAACAGATCCGACATGCCCTCACTTGCCTCATTGACCGCGCAGCTCGGAAACTCTCATGTCTCGATCCCAATGTCCTCGCCCCGCCGCGCGCCATCTCCAAAACTCGCTCTCCCGATGGCAGACTCGCAGTCCGCGTCTGCCGCGTACGCAAGCACATGGGTGCCAAGCGGCTCCGCGAACCCCGCCCCGCAAAAGATCGTGTTTGCAAAGCAGAAACCGCTGTCGTCTTCGTCAAACTGGGCGGGCTCGTCGGCACCGAAAGGACCCGCTCCGAAAAATAATCTGAAGGATTTCCCGCCTCTGCCGAAGGCTGCGCCGATTAGGAAATATCCCATGCCAGCGTCATCGTCGTCGTCTGCGTCATCGTCGTCGTCGTCGACAGTGAGCGGATGGGCAAAGTCAGCTGCGTCGCCGGCGCAGAGCGAGCAGTCCAACGAGTTGTTTCCGGGAGCGGTAGTGTCGAAGGGCAAGAAGGGCAAGACGGTTTTCCGTCTGAGTTGATAGGCTCCAGAACAACCCTGGCTGATAGGCTAACAACTGTTTTTGGTGGGATGTGTTTGGATAGCTATTAAACTAATTTGCATGGTGGAATATAATTGACTTTTACGACGCTTTGGTCTGTTTTCGAATGGCTTCAAGTGTCTTTATTATCATACCACGTCTTTCTCCTATATTATAAACTATTCACAGAATGGTCTTTCTTTTCAAAACATATCAAAAACTGATCACTATCATCATCTATGATCTATCAAAACAGGCATAATCGCGCGGAACATGCTGCTGACTCGCGACCGCCGAGTGGTACTGGTACGCAGGATAGCTGTACGCGGTAGAAGGTGGATAGCTGTACGCGCTCGAGGGCTGATTGTTTGAGCAGCTAGGCGATGGTGGCCGGTCGCCGTATTCGACGGATGAAACGGACGAGGACGTCCATGCCGAAGAAGTGGGCGACATGGTGCCCGGGCTTATCGGACCGCCGTGCGGTGACTTGTCGCTGTACTCAGTTTGCTGCTGCTGCTGCTGCTGCTGCAGACTGTAATAGTACTCGGCGTAGGTGGCGGGCGTGTACGCCGACTCGGCACCCTGCAAACTCGATCCGTATATATGCCGAATAGGCAGCAACGCATCAACCCGCCCATTCGCCGACACCTGCGCCGACCGCGATCGAGAAGCGTTCGCGGCCGCGGCATCCCGCACGACGGCGGCGTGCTCGATCATCAGCCGCTGCGAGCGGGCGTACTGCTCCGGGTTCGAGTCGATGTTGTGGACGATCTGCAGATGGCGGTAGAGAGCGATGCGGCGGGGGAAGAGCTTGCCGCAGCCTGGTTGGGGGCAGCGGTTGCCTGGCTTTGCGCAGTGGGTGCGCATGTGTCTTGCGAGACTTGATGACTGCAACGCGAGGAAGGCTGTTAGTACGAGCAGAGGAGAGAGGGAAGATGAAGGCAAGGCAACTTACGTCTGAAAACCGCTTCTCGCAGCCAATGTACATGCACAGATAGGGCTTCTCACCTGTATGTGTCCTGAAATGCACGGTGAGAGCAGATCGCTGGATAAACGACTTGTTACAGTTCACGTACTGGCACGCGAACGGCCGTTCTTGCGTGTGGATCTTGAAGTGTCGCTGGAGGTCAGAGTTGCGACTGAAGCACTTTGCGCAGTCTGGCCATGTGCATGCGAACGGTCGGCGCGGGTTTTTGCAGGGTGAGGAGCGGTCGAGCATGTTGTTGATGTCCATTGTCTTTTGTCAGATGCCAGATTCGGAACAGCGGGAAATGTATATCAGAGACTAATGACAGAAAGAGCAGATGTAGTTTGCACATCAAAAAAGATCGACAGCGGGGCCGTTGTTCAGCAATATATATCCCATCTCCAAATATAGAATCCCGGTCTGTTTTCTCACTCTAGGAACGACGTGTAGCAGCAATCTCCCTAATTCCACTCCACCCGCCCCCCGCAGCCTCCCTTCCAGAAACCTCAGAAAACCTCATAGAAGCGACCTCAAGAAGTCAGACGGTCAAGAATAGGGTTCTTCCATGCAGAATTGATAAACAGAAACCGACGCAGATCTAGGGGGGGGGGTTCGTCTAACTGCCTCAAAAGTGACGCGCACATCCGAGCCGCGTTTCCTATTCGGGCGACATGTAAATACACACCCCCGGTTCCCGCCCGTCCCGGACAGGCACTTCGGTAGACGAGGAGCGGCTACCGCCCCCCTTTCGCGGTAGAGGCTGCGATGCCAGATCCTTGGGTCGGCCCGGCTGATGGGGCTTTGGCTAGGAGCGCCGGCAGGGCTTGGCAGTCCGAAAGTCGTTTTGTTCTGGTCAGGTTTGGAATAAGGAAGACTAAAGGGGTGCAATCAAATGATTAGTTTGCAGGTAGTTTTCTTTGGTAGCCGCATTACTCTCGTCCCGCACGCATTCCTTGGAAGGCAACAGGGTGGAATCTGCTTCTTTTGCTCACTAGCGTTCTGCAGTTTCAGAAGCAAGATGGAATATACAATAACTTGATTAAACTGACTGTACATATTCGGTAATGCGACTACTATAAACAAAAATATACAAACAGAAAACCCCAGAGAGCAAACCCTTGCCAATTAAAAGCATGCAGATGGAAAAAACAAAACCAGGACACCGAAAGAACGTGCGTGCGTCCCTCTTTTGTGGAATTTGAAAGTGGAACGATCCTCGTTCGAACGACATTGTGTGACATCCTACTACAGTGATATTACAACTGTACATAGAGATCTCGTTCTCGGTTATTATTATGATGAAACTCAATGCACATCCTCCTCAGTTCTGAGGCGAACTTCGCATCCGGAGTGAGAGACGCTCAAAGTGCCTCGCCGCCCCTTCCGGCACGTAGAAGATACTCCCGCTGTCTTCTCCCTCGTTCAACTGGTCGAGCAAGCCGTCAAACTCCTCCGCCGACGGGATCTCGTTGGCAGTAGCAGTCTGCCTCGCCCTCGCGTCCTGCGCTCTCGTCTGGCCGTCGCCCCCCGCCGCATCGGTCTTTTCATCCTCGGGCTTGATCAGCTTGATCTGCGCGGTGTTGTAGGACCTACAACTGTCGCACTTGAGCCCCAAAAAATGAAACGGTACCTCGGACTTTGCAGAGCAGTCGTTGCAGTACACCACGCTCCGCCAGAGGTTGTACGGCTCCGGCAGCGCCTGGCGCTCGATCTCGCGGTCCAGCAGCCGGAACTGGCTTTCCATGTTGATTATCGACCGCGCGCAAGTCGGGCATTTGTACGAGTTCTTGGTGTGCTGGTAGTAGCATTGCTGGTGGATCGAGTGGCCGCAGGACATGAATACTACTGTCATTGTCGACGTGAACATGTACTCGCCACAGATCGGACAGTTGCATTCGGTCGAGTGTTCTATGCACCTGTGCGCATTCTCAAGCTGGATCGACATGCAGACATTACAGGTCTATACATCATGTTAACCCCGTCCGCACACTTCTAGACAGCTCCCTAAAATGATAGACTGGGCCTTACCTTGCAGTGGAAAAAGTCTTTTCCTAATCCCTCGCCTATGCGACAGATGCCGCAATCTGCGCAATGGTAAATCGATTTCTCGGGGTCATCATCCCACAGCTTACATATATCACAGTAATATCTCGCCACCCGCGTCCCACAGCCCCTGCAGTCCTGTGCAGCAGGCTGGGGTAGGAGACATCTCATGCAGAGCATGTTTCTGGTCTCATACCGCACGAGTTGATGCGAGTCCTCGACTTCGTCGTGGCAGAATCGGCAGGAGTGCCACTGCTCGCATTGCGAGCATTGCAGCTTCACCCCGCGCTGGTAATGTTGGCAGCCACGGATTCCATTTGACTCGTCAAACCACGTACTTTTCTTGTCGGCCTCTGTCAATTCCACCTCTTCGTCTCCGTAATACTCCTCATCCAAGCCGTCGTCGTTCTCGTCGAGGACGCTGGAATATGGATCAGGAACCTGGCCCCTAGAATTCCGCAGCCTGTAGTACTCCTCAGTCATGACCGCATGCATGCGCAATGCGCGCTCGGTTTCAGGAATATCAAGGGCCTGAATAGCCAGGATCTTGTTCCGTAGCTCCCTCTCCTTTTCCTCACTAAGCTCGACGCTCACGCCAACATCGGCCGCAGCAGCAGCCGTAGCAGACTGCACTGTATCGCTAGAAGCTTCATGGTCGTGCTGCCGTTGCTGCAGCTGCTGCGCCCTTCGCCGGCGCTCGCGCGCACGTCGCTGCCGTCTCTCTTCGCGCTCAGACATACTCAGACCTCTGGCCGAAGGCGAGGTTGATCGAGCGCCGACGCCGGCGCCATCATCGCTCCGGACGTCTGCATCCTCGGTATCGTAGCCTTCCTCGCTCATGAGATCGCCGGTAGAATCGTCGGCGTTTGCGAATAGGTAGTTTGCCAGATGTCGCGAGAATGAAAATGAAGGGGCAGAGAAGGTAGGGAAGTTTGGTGGCTGCGGAATCCATCTGCTAGGCGAATGGGCGGTGACCGAGTCAGCTGCTGCCGAAGGGGAGGTCGAGAGAGGGGGCTCGGCGGGGACGTGTAGCGAGGACGTGGCTGTTGGAGAACTCGGGCTTAGTAACGTAGTCCATGACGGCCATGACAACTTGGCTGCTGGCTCAGATAGTCCCGCTGGCTCAGCAGTAGTGCTGGACGTTGGTAAGGACGTGTCTGCAGATGGCAGGGCCGAGCTGCCGCCGAGTAAATTGCTCAGACCGCTCCGTGGTCGCGTGTATCCCTCGGCGGCGGCGAGCAGTCGTCGCGGGAGGAAGTCAGGAAGGCGAATGCTGGATAGACGAGGGAATCCGCCGATTTCTGATATTTCAGGGATGATTTCGTCGTCGTCGTCGTCTTCATCATCCTCTTCTTCTTCATCCCCTTCTTTTTCTGTGTAATTGACTCTGGTAGACTTGGCGGGTTTGCGCGAAGGAGTCGAGGCCTTTATGCTCCCTGCAGGCAACTGGCCTGACTCGGGCGACCGATCCTTGATACCGATCGCCATTCTGACACTGTTGATATTAGCAGCCTAGAAGAAGCTAGTGAGGGTTTGTTGCGCGGGGGATCTGTGAATGGCAATAGGCAGCTGATTCGAGTCCTATCGCGAGAGTCAATCGGTCTCGATACAACGACTCGGCTAAATACGACCGCTCGCTTTGATTCAAATGCAGACGACGAGAGGCAGCGATCCTCTGCGCAGAGTCCGAGGAGATCTAGTAAACAGCAGACTGAGCTGGTAGACAATGGGATTATCAGTCTCGGTCTCGGCGGCGGTCGAGTATGCCAGGTTATGTTGGAGTTGTCCCAAGCCGGGTGATTTTTCGTCATTTTATTAATCATCAAGGTCAGTGCTTATTACTACTTCTTTGGGCTATGAGATGCTCTACATGTTGTTGTTCAGCAAACAGTGGTGGAATTATGATATTATAATACATTTAAGAGCCAGAGCGTTAAAAGGAAGGACTGTCTGTTGCGATCCGACCATAATTTGTACTAAAACACATGCTTCTTGACATATTTTTTTGATTTTGTAGCATACCATTTTTTTACAACATTATAACCTGTAGGTGATCCATTAATGCCGCAGTTATTTTACTTCCAAATAAAATGACACGCCTTGAACGAACGAAAAAGAGTCAACAAGAGATTTAACGCGACCGGGCGGTGACCTTGGGTGCGGCACCCTTGAGCTGCTGCTTCGAGAACTTGGAGCCACCGGAAGGAGCAGCGTTCTTAGCCTTGTCAGCCTTCTTCTTGGCCTCAGCCTCTTTCTTCTTCTCCTTGGCGGCGGCGATGGACTGGGAGCGGTCGGCCTTGCGGACCTCGGGGCGGATGGAACGACGCTCCTTGATGACATCGAGCGAGGCACCGACGATGGCACGCTGGTGCTTGACGGTGCGGCGGGAGCGCTTCTTGGAAATCTCCTCGGTGATTCCCTTCTTGTGCATCCGGCGGAAGAGGACGGTCCACGAGATTCGTCGGGGGTTCTTGCGCTGCATGAAGAGCGAGGCGCTCTTGGAGGCGACGAATCGGAAGACCTTGGAGTCTCCACGAACGAAGAGCTTGCCCTGGGAGAGAGTTAGTATGAAGTATAGAGGTGGGTTGTCTTCGATTGGCTCGCAGTGATTGCAGGGCAGGAGGTGATATATGATGACGAGAGACGGTAGATGAGACAAGGGAGACGAGCTTGACACGATCAAGACATGATGAACACGACACAAGTGAGCGTCGCATCTTTGCCGAAATACAAGATAAACAGATCAGAATAACTGAATCCTGATTATCAAAACCAAAACCACCGACAGTGCATCACAGTCGAATCAAAAGAAGAGTTGTTGTCGTCACTGTTGCCGGTTCTCGTCTTCGTATGTCGCTACCAACCTCGCCGCTACACCCACAAACCAATCCAAAGACAGCAGAAAGAAAGGAGAAGAAGAAGACGTACTCTGCCGGGGTAGATTCTGTTGCCAGAGAAGGAGTCGATTTCGGTTCTCATTGTGCCGGTGATGTATGGTGAAACAGAACTTGTTGCTGAAGACCGAGAAACAGTAGATGGAGAGCTGGGCCGGGTTTGGAGAGTCGCGGGCGGTGAGGCGGGTCTGTGATGGGGGGGAGAGTACAGAATATGGCACAGAAAGGGGGGGTGCTGATGTGCCCACTACAGAGGCAAAGCGAGCCAGTGTTGGCGATCGAGCACCGCAGAGACGAGCGTGACTGCTAAAACACACACGTGACCAAACACTCCAACCCTAACACAACCCTAAGAAGAAAATCGCACCGCCACACGCCACAATGGCTGTGCTGTGCGGCCGCGAGGGAGGCGAGAAAAAGCAAATTAGGCAAAAGTCAGATAGCAGCGCGGAGCAGCCATTCGCGGCCAAAGCCCTGCGCAGAGTGGAGCAGCACCTGAACCGTTTGGCTGCGATGGCGGATGCTGCAGCGAGCGGAGCAGCGGAGCGCAGCAGCAGCGCAGCGGGCGATGGCGGCAGCATTTTCATTCTTATCTTTCGTGTGGTGGGCAGCTGTACTCTGCTTCTATGTTCTGTGTTCTGTGTTCTATGTTTATGTTTATATTCTATGTTTATATTCTACTCTACTCTACTCTACTCTACTCTGTCTACTTGATACTTATACTACACTACACAATACCACTCCATACAATACTACACCCTCCTATTCCTTACCGTGAACACCACGCGAGGAATGCGACGCGTCAAACGTCCTCCGCGCAGCACGACGCAGCCCGTCCGCTTTCGGCTTAGCCCCGCGCCGCAGCCGCTTCAGCCACGCCATTTCGGACTCCGCGCCGCATACACCGCCCTAACCCCTACGCACCGCCTCACCGCAATAAATAGCTTTTCTCGTCGGTCGTCGCCTTCCTCCTCTCTTCTCGCTCCTTGACCCTCTGCCTGCTCTTCTTCGCACCAGACCTGCTCTTCCTCTTCTTCTCTTCTTCTTCTCATCTCCATCTCAATCGCTCATCATGAAGGGACTCATTCTCGTTGGTGGCTACGGCACTCGTCTGCGCCCTCTCACCCTCACCCTCCCCAAGCCCCTTGTTGAGGTAAGACGCGTCTCTTCTTCCTCACCACCTCTTTTCTCTCCTTCACGCGTAACTAACTCTCTCCTCTCTCCAGTTCGGCAACAAGCCCATGATTCTTCACCAGGTCGAGGCCCTCGCCGCCGCCGGCGTCACCGACATCGTCCTCGCCGTCAACTACCGCCCCGAGATTATGGTCGCCGCCCTCAAGAAGTACGAAGAGCTCTACAACATCTCCATCACCTTCTCCGTCGAGACCGAGCCCCTCGGCACCGCCGGCCCTCTCCGTCTCGCCGCCGAGGTCCTCCAGAAGGACGACTCCCCCTTCTTCGTCCTCAACTCCGACATCATCTGCGACTACCCCTTCCAGCAGCTCGCCGAGTTCCACCGCTCCCACGGCGGTGAGGCCACCATCGTCGCTACCAAGGTCGAGGAGCCCTCCAAGTACGGTGTCATCGTCCACAAGCCCAACACCATCGGCCAGATCGACCGCTTCGTCGAGAAGCCCGTCGAGTTCGTCGGCAACCGCATCAACGCCGGTATCTACATCCTCAACCCCTCCGTCGTCGACCGCATCGAGCTCCGTCCTACTTCCATCGAGAAGGAGACCTTCCCTAGTCTCTCCAAGGACGGCTCCTTGTACTCCTTCGATCTCGAGGGCTACTGGATGGACGTCGGCCAGCCCAAGGACTTCTTGTCCGGCACCTGCCTCTACCTCTCCTCCCTCTCCAAGAAGACCCCCGAGCTTCTTGCCTCCACCACCGAGGACTACGTCCACGGCGGCAACGTCTTGATCGACCCCTCCGCCAAGATTGGCAAGAACTGCCGCATCGGACCCAACGTCACCATTGGCCCCAACGTCACCATCGGCGACGGTGTCCGTCTCCAGCGCTGCGTCATCCTCCAGGGCTCTACCGTCAAGGACCACGCCTGGATCAAGTCCTCGATCGTCGGCTGGAACTCCACCGTCGGCCGCTGGGCTCGCGTTGAGGGTGTCACCGTCCTCGGCGAGGACGTCACCGTCTCCGACGAGGTCTACGTCAACGGTGGCTCCGTCCTCCCCCACAAGACCATCTCGTCGAACGTCGAGCACCCCGCCATTATCATGTAATTTGTATTCTTTCTTGCTCTCTTCATATCCCGAGTCGATCTACGATCAGCTCTCTAATTATTTTGCTCATCTCACTGTATCCTGCTGCCGATCTTATTTCCACGTTCGTCTGATGTCTCGTCTGTTTTTTATTTTTGGCCTCTTGTCGATACAAACAATCTCTCTCTTTTTATTTTTCTTTATAAGTGTGGTGCTGTCTTGTTAACGTACGGTCTGGTTTATTGGTTGTTTTTGTAAAAAAATTGGGTTTTTGATATTTAACGGGCGCTAAATCAAGTTGAACAAAGAAAAATTCAATCGCTTTTCCTATTATTTTCACTTTTTACCACTATTGAAAGAAATTACGGCAGAGAATGTGCAGCTAATCCTTGTTTTCCTTTTTTTACCTTTTCTGTTTCTTCTCCATTTCTCCTTTTTCTTATTTATTGTATTTTATGCATTCCTAATTATCATCTCGCTCTATTGATCCACTTCTTAAAATTTTCACGGCTGCTCCAGCCGAAATTGCATTCCTCTGCACCAGTCGAGACCCTTGTTCGACCTGTTCTGTGGCCCTGATGCGCGTTTTCATTGGTCGCCTATTGACTTTCAAATCGCGTTTTATTCAGAACAGATCGTCAAGCCTAGTATTCTTGAATTTCACCACCAAGGCCACGTCTAAAAGAAGCTACTTCAAAAACCCCTCACGCTCTGCGCACGTTCTCAATCCTCCATCTCGTACTCGACGCGTCCTAATCAACCATCTAAACAAAAAAACTGCTGCAGCAAAGTGCGCCTTTTTACCTTCTCGGGAAATAGTTACCCGGCGCGAAGAATAAGGTTTGTTTACGCGACAACTCGTGGATGTGTTGGCATCTGGTTTGCTTATATCAATATCGCCTCCTCTTCATCCTTCTCTTTCTTCATCTGTTGTCTTCTGCTCTTTTGATTTCTTGCTGGTGCTCTAAACGAGTTGCGAAGATGGAGTCGGGTAAATCTACAGATAGATCAGCGCGTCGCGTACATACCAGATCTACATCGCCCGCCGCGCCTATCTCATCTAAACCCGTCCCGTCCAAGAAACAGACTTTTAAGAAAAACCCCTCCGAGAGCGACAGTTCGTTTCTCGAACTAAGTCAGACTACCGCGCAAAAAACAAAGAAGAGCAGCAGCAAGAAGAAAGAAGGGGAGACTGTTGTTCCCAGGCAAGGGTCGAATCGCATGCTGAGATCGTCTTCGGCTGTGGGTGAGCATCTCGCGCCACTTGTTGTGCCGAGGTCTAGTCCGCCACCCTTGCACAGAGATTTGGTGCTGGAAAAGCACGCGGCGGAGAATGACGCAGTGGAGAAGGATACAGTGGAGAGGGACGCGGACGGATCAGGGATCGATGCGTCAACGTCCGCCAAACCGTTTGAGAAACCCGCACGCAGGCCTATGAAAGAGACGACTGATCTGAATACAAAGAAACGCAAAGCGGCTGAAGATTCATCGAAATCAAAACCAGGAAGCTCGACTAGCAAATCAGGTCTGTCGAAAAAGTCACGGAGCTCTAAAAAGACGACGACGACGACGACGCAAGATTTCTTGCTCAATATTGAAAACGTGACATCCTCACGTCTCACGGTATATCGATGCTATTTGCGCAGACGCGTCCAAGCTATTTCTATTCTGTTGAGAGTTTTGACTGACTGTTTTTAGATGCCCCGCAAGGTTTCAGGTGGCATATTCAGAAGAAGTCGTTCTGGGACATCGGATAGCGCTCTTGGTGGTACCTCAACATTACTCCCCAACTCTGACTGCTTCCAAGCTAAAATAACTCTCTTAACAGTAGGCGACCTCAAATTCTCAAAAATCGACAGTCTGGCTCAAACACCGGTTTCAAGGTCATCTACCTCGAAATTGCCAGCTCCTGCGATCACCGCTCCGGATCCTGTGCCGGCGCCTGTGTTTAAAACTGAGCCCGAGGCCGAATTTAAAGAGGAACTGCTGCGTCCGTCTACTGTTTCTGTTTTTGAACCAGTGCAAGAGCATGCACCGCCGTCGTCTCCTGTCATTAAATCCGAGCAGCGACTGCAACCTGTTTCTGTACCTACCGTTCATCGCGAAGTTCCAGCGCGGGAGGAAGTTCCAACGAGAGAGCGCGAGGGGATTTCACAATCTCTTGCAGAGATCCTCGATACAGCAAAGAAATGTATAATGTCCCCCGCCTCCTCGCCACGATGGCAGCCAGTCAATCGTCCTCAATACGAAAACAGAGTCTCTGAAGAGCGCCAGGCCGAAGAAGCTCCTGAGTTTTACGACGAGTACAGTAATGACGTACTGTCTACTCCCGACTATGGGCGGCAGGACAGGTCGAGCAGTCATTTGGTAACTTACAGTCCGGCGGAAGTATCTCTGCCTCTTCTCGAGGAGTTCTGGGATAAGAGCCTAACCAGGTACCAGCCAGATCACCCACGCCACCACCGTCCTCAGCAGCAGTACTTCTACCAACCCCTACCAGACTTTGGCTACTACGGCTCCGACAGCGATCAATTCGCCATGACGCTCGCGCCAGGAACCCCGCGGCTCGCAGCCGACCCGGTCATGGACGCTGCTAACTCTAGCTATCTGTATAGCGACGGCGTGTACGGGAACCAAGAGCAATCCATAGCCTCGCTCGAACGGGACCTGGGTTTGGCGCCGCCGATACCTACGGGTGAGGTTTATGTGCCGCATATCTCACCGTCGGAGGTTATCGAGGGTCCTCCTAAAATGCGGCGTCATCGACTATCCTAACTGTTTTTTCTTATTTTCTCTTCTATTCTGTTTGCTTCTTCTTGTTTGCAGTATAAATTACTATTATTTGTGGGAAAACAATCTCATTCTCTCGTCATGAAAATACATACATGCGCTCTCACTCAATGCCAACTCACTACAATAAACAAATCTAAGCTACCATGCAAACTTGTGAAAAACAACCATTAACCAAAGAGCAGAACCGATAAACCAGGTGCAAAAAAACAGAGAATCTAAGTGTGAGATGTCTCGCAAGACAACAGTAATTGAGGAATCGTCATAGAAATAATGTAGACTGAATGCAAGGCGGGTGATCTAATAACAGAGCAGAACGACTACCACGTCTCGGTAACGTACTGCCAAGTCCTCGACTTCTCCTTCCAAAACGCCGCCGCCTCATCCTTCGTCATCCCACCTTTCTCCATCGCGACATTCACCAGCGCGGCCTCGACCCCCTCGCCCATACCCTTGGACGAGCCACAGACAAAGATGCGGCCGTCCGGGTGCGAGATGACGGACCAGACGAGGTCGGCCTGCATCACGACTTCGTCTTGCACGTATTTCTTTGTGCCGCGGCGGGACTCGACTACTTTGCGCACGTCGTCGCCGTCGACGCCCCACTCGCCTGCGTAGAGCTCATCGACTGGATATAAGAGTTAGTTAAACTATACACAGGGTCCGCTATCGGTTAATAGAGAAAGGGGACATACCAAGCGAATCGCGGCACCCTTGCAAAACCCAAACTTTATTCTTGCAATTCGCGCTCTTAAGCCGGCGCTGGACAAAGCCTCTGAACGGCGCGACGCCGACGCCGGCGCCAATCAGCAGCATCGGCCCGTCGGCGCGGAACTCCTTGGCGAGCGGGTTGGCCTGCAGGCCTCTAAAGACCGGGATCGAGATCCCTTTCTCGCCGCGCATTTTCGCGTGCGCGAGGGACTCGAGGAACGCGGTGCAGTTTCCTGCGCGCATGCGGGGCTCGGCGCGCCAGTCCTCGGGGGCTTCGTGCACGGTCACGGCGATTTCGATGCGGCGGATCGGCGCGGCCGAGGACGACGAGTCGATGTCGGGAGAGACGAAGTTGTCGACGGGGTCGGACGAGAGACTGTAGAATCTGGGCATGAGTGTGGGGAGTACGCACACGAGGTGGTCGACAGGCGGAAGCGAGGACGGGAAAGCGAGCAGGAGCTGGAGTAAAGTGGGCGGATACGGCGCCGAGCGGAGGTTGCAGAACGTCGACTGGCCCTGCTTGCTGCACAGCCAGGACAAAATCATCCGTTCGCTGTAGTCGCTCGCGTACTCGGCCAGCACGCGGATGAGGTTCTTAGACAGCACGCCGTTGTTGACGTCGACGGTCCAGCTGAGGATGTCGCGGAGGGTGGTAGTCAGCGTGCGCGGCTCGTCTTCGCCCCAGATCGTTGGCCACCGGCCGCCGGTGGTGCACAGTTTGACAGGCGCGTCGCGCCTCTCGGCAGGAACACCGAGGCGCTCTAGGATCTCGTCGACGAGCGTCTGGTCGTTGCGCGGGCACACGCCGACGGCGCCGCCGACGCGGAAGTCGACGCCGGCGATTTCGTCGGGGTAGGAGGAGACGTCGAGGTCAAAGTGGTAGGTGCGCTTGATCGCGTCGAGAGCGGTGAGTGGTCTGGCTGTTATTATCGGCACGCTGTGGACGTCGTATGGGGGGTGGGGTTTGAGGTAGGAGGGCGGGGAGAGGTTGCTGCTGGTGTGGGTGGCGGAGGAGGACGGCGTGATCTCGTCAGAGACTATAGAGACGGTCTTTTCGGGAAGCGGGGTGACGCCCAACAGTCTAGCTGAGCGAGAGATCTTGAGCAACGGCAGCGCAAGGGAATCAAATGCGCGGTTGCCGTCAGGAAAAACAACAGAGGCAAGAGCCGAAGGCGGCCCGCCAGGCGTTCCGGGGGTGGAGACGGCGGGCGAGCTTCCGGTCTGGCAGCAGCCGCCACCGCAGCACTCCGAGTCGTTTTCGTTTGCGAACGAGCGCGCGGGTGCCGGGAGCGGGTCCGGGTCTTCGGCTAGGGCGAGGTCTGCGAAGGCGCGGGTGAAGTCGATGCCGAGGGTTGTGAGCTTTGGACGGAGCGTGGGCGAGGATGGGTCGGATGAGGGAGGCGAACGGGGGAGGGTTGTTGATTGCGAGACGATCTCCATGGTGTAGAGGTGTAGAGAGAGTGAGGGAAGATGAAAAAGAGAAGAGAGAAGAGAAGGAGGATCAGCTAGGTGCTGAATATAAAAGAGAGCAGGAGGTGGGATATAAGAAGAAGAGAAGAAGATGGGAAGAGGACGGGGGAAGGAAAAAAGCAGAGGTGTAAACTCTAAATGCCCCATGTTTTATTCTTTCGGGTTGTTTATTGTTTATTGCTGTTTAAATTTATTTTTTATTTATTCCGCAGCCGAGCATCCGCTGCTGAGGACTCCTATGAGTTCGGAAGAGTTAACTTGAGATACTTGATGCTTGAGTAAAAGAAAACAGCATCTTCATCGTGAAGCAGCACAGTGCATCGACGACTCTCGACCTCCCCGCGTCTTCAGCAGAGTCAGAGAGTCAGAGTCAGGTCAGAGTCAGGGCGGCGAACAGTTGAAAAAGGAGGAAGCCACCGCCGGATCAGATAAAAGCCTGAAGAAGGAAGCTCTTACCCGGCTTTCAGTACACCGGACTCGACCGCCGCGCCCAGCCTCGTCGGCTCTGCTCTGCTCTGCTTTACTTTGCTTCCGGTTTTGGCGATGAAGGAGTAGGTGTTTGTTTTAGAGTGGGGAAATAAGAGTAGATTGGATGCAGGAGGCAGGAACAGATCTACAGTCACTCCTTTATGGATTCATCTATGTTGAGATGCAACCGTGTTTTGTTTAGGTCGTTGAAGTAGTTGAAGAAGTTGGAAATTGTTGAGAAGAAAACACTCCGGATACAACTGAATATCAAAAACTTACTATCAAACAGCTCTCTATTTATCAAGTCCGTCAACTACTTCGAGCAACGGATGTAAAAAAGACAGAACAGACAGAAGAGCAGCGATGAAGGAAAAAGTATTGGTTTAGGGTACCACAAGAAGCAGCAGTTCATCCCAACTCTAACCGAAGAGCTTCGTCTGCCGAGGCTCTCTTAAATACAAAAAAGATGCAAAATCAAAATAATTTCCCTATCTTCACCATACTTCTCTCTATCCTCTGCTTTGTATTGCTTCTATCTGTTCATCTACTATCTCCCGCTGCTATACCTGCACGCAGCACAGACGGTGCTAACTCGTCGTAAATAGAGTTGACTTCTAATCACAAACCTTCACTTGTCTGATAATCCGACAATCTGATTAGACATCAGTCATGAGAAAAAAAAAACCGCCGACACTACGGCCATTGCAGGAAAATTCCTCAACGTCAACACTTGCTGTGAAGATAGAAACTAAGTAGTTATACTCGGTATTATTATATTATTACTATCAATACTAATTGATCAAAGGTACAAAACTATCTCGTCGTCGTGCCAATTCGCATCTGACGTCGAGGGGTATACTATATAAAAGCAAACAAAAAGCAACAAAAAAGGCTAAAGAGCACTTCGCAACGAGAAAAAAAGAGAAATTCAAACGGAGTCAGACTCAACGTTCTTGGGCTCGACGCGGTCCTCCTCCTCCTCCATCTCGGCGCGGATACGCTCCATTCTGGCGCGTCTCTTTGCGATCTTCTTGGCCTCGTGCTTCTCGGTCCAGGACTTCAAGAACGGGAAGTATCCCTTCTTCTCCTTGTAGAGCATGAGCGCGACCGAGACCATGACGGCGATCCAGTAGCAGTTGTAGCCGATAACGGAGCCGTACGTGGCCGAGTTCTGCCAGCCAAACAAGGCGTTGAAAATCATCCAGCCACCGTCGGTCTCTCCGTTGCAGCAGTTGACGTGCCAGACCGACTGGCGGACATCGTACGAGCCCGCGCCGGAGCCTTCCTCAGACACATCCGAGCCGACGAAGCTGACCCAGTTGTGGTTCTGGAAGTACCAGCACGCCTTGGAGAACAGACCCGCGCCGACGAGGTAGAGGAAGCAGGTGGCGATGATCAAAAAGTACTGGATCTTGACAAAGTCACCTCCCTTGTACATCAAGTAACCGATAGCCGAACCCGCGAGCATACCGCAGATAACAGGAAGAGGGAAAGCCTTGGCGGGCGCGGTAAGCGAGACACCACCGACGAAGACGATGGCCTCGACACCTTCACGCAGGACGGTGATGAGCGGAAGGATAGCCATGGCGTACTTGCGCGTGAAGCGGCCAAACATGCCCCTGCCTCTGCGGTTGCGCTCCTCCATGGCAGCAGCAATCTTGACACGCCATTTCTCCTTGAGTTTGTTGAGTCTGAGCATGGCGAGACCCATGATTGAGATAATGACGGTAGCGATGATCGAGAAGATACCTTCCCAGAGATCCTCGGACGAGCCCCAGACATCTCTGCCGAGGGAGTACCAGGCTCCGATGAAGGCACCACCGATGCATAGACAGACCAAGAAACCGATAGCAGAGCCAACCCAGACATGTTTAACAAGACGTTTATAGATCACAGGGTCGTCCATAGAACGACCGATACCCTGCTTGAGGAAGGCAAGCAGGACCGAGATGATGATGGACGCTTCAAGCGTCTCACGGAAGACACTATACACATGTTAGCACTGTGACGATAAACACAGCAGAGTAAACAAGACGCACATGAAAAAGACGGAGACCTCGAAAACCTGGGCCATGGCTGCAGAGACTGGACTTCTCCTGTAAGAATACTAAACAGAGAATGAAGCAGGCCTACTGGGCAGACGGAGGGATGAGAGGAGAAAGAGAAGAAGAAAAAAAACAACAGAACCCGGGCTCGATATAAAAGCAGGCGGGCGAGCGAGCATCTTCCCGTCTAGGCCCGGTCCTTTGTTGGTCCCGCGCTTTGTGACCCGCGCTAGTCCGACTCTGCCCGCCAAATTCCCGCAGAATAAGCTTTTCCCGCTCGCTGCATCTCATCAGATAATCGGCCATCTGCCGGCTGGAAGGGAAGGAACCAGGCCTGGCTGTCTCTTAATTCTCGCGATGTCCTGCTGCTGCTGGACGAGTATGCCAAGAAGCCTGCCGAATGCCAATCCTCCGTCAAACAGCGGCCAAGCAGCCAAGAGCTCAGCCAAGTCTTTGTCCGCTGCCCGTCCGCCCGCTCGCTGCCTTGGCTGCCAAGAGCTGTGTTAGGGTTCGGACCCCCTGAGAAACTGACTGCAAACCGGCCCAGACCGCTTTCGGCCGTCTGCTCTCGCAAACTCTTTCTTCATCTGATAATCATCGCTCCATCGCAGACCCTCAGAGTACCGGTCTTGAAGAGAAAATCTTTGCTGGGCCACGGCCTAGCCTCTGGTCTTCTTTGCTTCTGTATCTTGTCATTATCATCTTATTACTATATTACTATTAAACAAAAACAAATCATCCGTCTAATAACTATCCTACTCCGTACCTCGTATCCTTCCTTCCTTCCTTCCTTTTCGCTATCCATCACTATTAAACTTCTCTCCCGCACGTCAAAAGTTGGCATGTCCATTGTCAAACACAATCGTACCCCCCGGCGTGCTCGCGCTCGCGCTCCCCGTCGTGTCCATCAGACTCGCCTCCGTCGCCAACCCCGGGTGATGCTGCACCGCATCCCACTGCAGCAGCGGGTTCAGGCCCCCGGCCGGCGCAACCGCCTGCCCGCCCACAGCTCCTACCGCAGCCGACCCCTCTGGCATCGCCGCACTCAGCAACCCGCCCTCCGCTAGCGTCCCCATCGTCGGCCCGCCGTTCATGTTGTTCATCACCATCCCGTGTATATACATGTCCCACTCCATCCAGTTCACCCCCTGCGGCACGTCGTTCCCTGGATTCTGCGTCATCATCATCGCGCCCGCATTACTTAATATACCCAGGTCGTTTGGCAAAAACATCCCCGCCGGCATCCCGTTCGGCGACCCGTTCGTACCTTCCGGCACGAGTCCAATGCTTCCGTTCGCGTTCGCTCGAGCCCCACTCCCAACCGCACCTGCACCACCCAGCCCGCTCCCACTCCCATTCGGAAGACTGGCCGCGACCCCGGCCTCGGTCCCAAATATCGGGGTCGCAAGTGACGCTGTCGAGCCTGTCTCTGGTGTCGTATCTGCCTGTGCTTGTAGAGATGGTCTATGCTGCTGTTGCTGCTGTTGCTGCTGTTGCTGCTGCTGTTGCTGTTTTTGTTGTTCTTGTTGCTGCTCTTGTTGTTGCTGCTCTTGCCGTTGCTGCTGCTCTTGCTGCTGTCGCTGTTCGGCTCCATACATCTGCTGCACCCACGACGCTCCCGGCAGCTTCCTCACCCGGAACGGCGCATCCATATAGATCTCGTCCTCCTCCGGCAAGAAATTCTCGTACGTCATCGAATCGATCTGCATCGACCCTTGTCCCTCCTGCTCGGCCTCGATCTCAAACACCGTCGCCGGAAGCGGCTCCGCTGAGCTGAACTCCTTCTCGTTGTTCTCCTTCAGCGTCTGCTGCACAAGCGACGCATGCGAATCAAACCCAACCTGCGAAACATCAACGTTGATCGTCGTCTCGGAAACTCCCGGCAAATCAAGCGGATACGCCTCCTGGTGCTTGCGCTGCCGCTCCAACGCCTCGCTTCGCAGCTTCGCCCGTGCCTCCGGCGTCAGCTTCTCAACCTCGTAGAACCGCTCCAGCAACCCTTCAATCAGCCCGTGCTTCTTCGCAGCTGACATATCCCATCGTCCAACCTGGCCCAGAATCTGCCGCGACGCGTCTACCGCATCCCGCACCATCTGCCGTTGGAACGTTGACATGTCGTCCATATTCGACATCAGCTCCACGCTCAACATGATACACGCGTGGAAGAAATGATTCAGCATCAACCCGTCCGTAAACCACGAAAACGTACTCAGCGTGTCCCGTGCCGCCGGCGAATGATACAGCCAGTTCTGCCGCCGCAGAATCTGCAGCGACGCATCCATGCACTCCTCTTTGCTTCGCCGAAACTTATTCGTGATCTGCGCCCGCGCTGCAAACGGCCGGTGCAGTACAATCAGCGACTTGCGGTACTGCAGATCGAGCATCAGCCGCTGCATAATCATGTACGGCGGATCCGTCGGACTTGAGGCCTCGGGCGGAATCCGAAGGTATTCGGGGAAACTTGCAAACGTCGCTCGCAGCTCCGCATCGTGCGCTAGAATCGTGTCGTACCCCGGCCGCGGCCGAAGCGAAAACGTGCCAGACACAATCCTGCACAACACATTCGACATCTTTGTAGAGCACAACAAATAAGAGCTGTTTGTCTCGTTATCAAACGGTCGCGAACGCGGCACTTCTTCAATCGACGGTGAAATGTCTTCGTCGTTCAGATTCAGTGGCATTCGCACGTCATGTTCACCGGCTCGGATCGTAAGCGGAAGCCCCTCGTTTATTGAAAACAATATATCCAGCGAAGTCACGATGCTCCACATCTTTCGTCGGATCTCGGCTTCAAACGGTGAAATATTAAACCACTTTGGATCACGATGCAGGCCCTAAACAGTTATCAAATGTTAACATCACCACCACCACAATAGAAACAGCAGCACCGCACACATACCATAGACTGCGCTATCCTTATAATCATCCCCACTGAAACCCACGTCCGGTCCATCCAGCATCCAGCAAGCGTAACCCTCGTCTCAGCCATGAGCCACAGTATTAAAGCTCGGATGATTGATATACTACCCTTGATCATGAACTTCCCCTCAACAAGACACATCTCTGCAGCCTGATGCCATCCCATCCAGGTTTTTATCTCACGCCCTTGAAACGCCGCCGGTGCGTCACCCGGCCGATAAGACTGGAGTGCTATCGACAGCATGCTGAATAACATCCCTATCCAAACAATATCTGCCGAGTCCGGATCGAGCCAAAAATCTGAATACTCTTGCTGAAACGACGGTCTATGAATAACCCTGTACACAGGATCAAAGCTGTCAAAATACCGCAAAACGAGACTATCGCACACAGACTTGTCCGGTAACAGCTCCATTATATCAACCCGCTCAATCCCACGCACATTGCTGAAAGGAAACCCGTTCGGCATTCGCCCGTCTGTTTCATTCTCGTCGCCTCTGAAGGATTTCTGGAATGGATAGTCGACGGCGATTTGCTTGCTCTTCTCAAAAAGTGCTTTCACTTCACTCAGCTGTAAGACAGAGAAGATAAACCTGATTAGCTCTGGACTCTAAACCTGAAAATCGACAACCAATCAACTTACCTCATTCAGCAGCGCACCCCAATGCGTCTCACCGTGATACATAGCTTTGCCCTTCTTATCCAACTTCATCATACCCAGCGACTCACGCACGGCGTCTACATCAGGCGCAAGCTCGCCGGTGGACTTGTTGGATCGAATTTTAGGCCGTCTGTGTGTTGATCCGTTATTGCTGTTGTGGTCGTTGGTCGATGGCGAGGCGGAATCGTCCGCGTATGCTTCTTCGGGGCTTTCTGACTCGCCCGCGGTAGTGTTCATTAGACTAGTTAGATTACATACTGTTAGCGTACTCAAAGTAGAAACCCGACTCGACTTGCGTGTTATCTTACCCCAACACCAGACTCTCTAGCTTGTCCAGACGATTTTGTAACTCCGCTCCTGCGGGTTTCTTTCCATTCACAGAACTAGCAAATACTTGGGGTGACAGTGCTTGTGAAGTCGAAGCCTGTGATGTCGAATGCGAGGAATTGCTGGCCACCAGATAGACACACATGGATTCCTCCCCTCGCTTCACGCAATTCTCGCACGGATGGCTGCGGTTACACTTCAGTTTCCGCTGACGGCAAAAGTTGCATGACAACGGCACTCGGTTGCGTTTGCGAATCGTCTTGAAGTCGGCGGCAGACATCGTGTTCATCGTTGGCATACTCGGTGGCGTCAACGAGTTTCGAGGGCCCGTGGATGATTCGTTTGAAGAACTCATGGTTGCTGGTTTCGTTTTCGACTGGTGAATTTCAAGGAATCGAGAGCCAGACTGTCGTCGTTGGTTGATCGACTTTATGACTTTAAGTTTTACCTGGATCCGCGGATGCGACTGGAACACATGAAAGCGTAGTCGGACGGCTATGCAGGTGGATCAAAAGTCGAGTCGCTGGCAATTAGCGTCGATTCCGGGCAATGAAAGTACAGCCCAAAGATAGATGGTGCTAATGTCAATCACAACGTTTGATCCTAGAGAGTACCAAGTAAATCGTTAGCACTAGTGTTCTTTTCTCCGGCAGTGACAGCCAAGCTCGAGTAGCTACAGCCCAAGCAGCTGCTTCAAATATTCTTCTCGAGCAGCGAGACAAGAGATCTTGCTCGGTATTCAGCAGAGATCATCATCAGCAGCAATTTTGAGCTTGCCCGGGCCAATTGAGAGAAGTGGGTGGGGTTGATTTGACCACTGCTGTAGCTAACATCAAAGCCCACCACGCCGAGAACACCGGCCCAGCAATTGTCAAGGCGGAGAGAGATCGAGAAAGAAAACGCAGGCGAAACATACAGATTGGCAAACGTACTCAGCGACAAGTCAAACGTAAATATACAGAAAGGAGAAAAGAAGGATGCCGACGTATGGCACACAATCAAGGCAGCCCAGAAGTGGTGTGAAGGCTGAACGGAGTCCTGGCCGGTTTGATTTGGGAGAAGAACCCAGGAAGGTGGACGCCGCTGGCTACAATGGACCACAGGCTGCTGTGTCAGCAATTACCTCCTAAAACGGCATCCAAAATAGATAAATTAAGGTTTATTGATAACTAAGCACTGCGCTGGTTTATTTACTTTGCCCACGCGTCCTGTTTTCACGCGCGGCTGCTTAGCAGGTGACGACTGATTGTACCGAGGCCGTGTCTTTTGATACGCAACAGACAGCTGTCTAATCTGCTGACAGCTGTATGCTCTTCTTCTCAGACTTCTTTGCTTGCATTCATCGTCAAAAGTCGGCGCTCGTTGTCGAAGATAACAGTAAATGACTAATTCTGGAATTAATAGTTTAAACGCTAAACTCTATCATCCCCAGCTTACCCCATTCTGGACTCGTCTACTGCTACTTTCCTCGGCTTTTGCTTTAGTAAGACATCGAGGGAAACCCCGTCATAGATAATTGGAGTTGTATTTCAATCTGACAAATAAAATCAGACAGCATATAAATCATTCCTGTCAACTGCAGCATCTGTGGCTAAACGAATGATGACTCGCCGTTCAATGACGCGTCTTCTGCATCGCAATCACGCCCTCGATCTTCTCTGACGCCAACTCGAGCTTCTGCTTCTTCTCCTGTAACTCCAAGTGCCTCCGCACTTTCAAGTCCTCTCGGGCGAATTGCTCGATCTGTGTAGCGCTCAACCCGTGTCCTACCCGCGAATCGAGTTCCCGTGGAAGGTGATAGTAAAAGTCGGAGAGCAGCTCGACGTTCAGAAACAAGACCGCCGTTTGCGTCAGCTTGTCGGCAACCACGTCAAGAAAAATCTCTGGGCAGTAGTATTTGTTTTCCTTCGACCTGCACTGCTTGGACTTTAAAGCCTGCATACGCAAACGTAATATGTCTGCACGCTTGCTCAAGAATAGACCTTCGCGACCTATACACCTATATGTTAGCTTCTATCTCTCACCCTTCCACTATGCAGCACAATAATTTCAGTACATACCTTTCTCCAGCAGAGCCTGGCTGAACCCGTATACTTCGTTTGCCTCCTCAACCTTAGCTTGACCCTTCATATGCTTCTCCACAAAGGACTCGACCTGCATAAGCTTCTTATTTCCTCCAACGCTCTTCTGGAGTGCACCGTAAGCATGCTCGCATTGCCTCAGTTCCTCCTTCAGCAGCGCAAACGCATGCTCTCGGCTCCTGCTCCATTCCCGGTCCTCGACTTCGACCTCGTACTTGTACGGCTTTATGCAGTTTTCAACTTGATCGGCAGTCGAATAGAACCGCGAGTTCAGAATCTCGTTGGTGGCATCTTGGATCACTGTCTTCACAAATGGGTGGCTCTTGAATGATCCGCTGTTGAGCAAATGTTCCATCTCTCCCGATAGAGCATTGGAGACAAGCGTGGTCGATGTTCGTCCTACGCCAGACTTTGTCAAGCTAGAGACACATGCGTCAAGCTGTCTGAGCCAGTACACATCGTTGTTCCCCGCGTTTGGCAGATCTGAAACCGCACGGATTATCGATCCGGCAGTACTAGGCTCACCAACCGCCTTCGACTCCTCCAGTCGATTCCAATACCGCTGTGCTAGCAGGTCTAGTACCCGCTGATCTAGCTCACTCCTCAACAGCGCCTTGACCTGTTCCCTTCCAAATTTGCTGGCAAACTCTTTGAAGCTCAACTTGAACGCATCAAGAGACTGCGCTAGATAGGATTCCGCAGTGAGAGGCCGGTCGTTGTATTCGACCTTGAACTGGTATACTGTCTCTTCCAGCTCCTGGTGTATGGCGTCACATGTCGGCTGCAGGTTCTTCGCCATCGTCTTTTCAAGCGTCCGCATGAGCTTGTTTCTCAGATTGATCACTCCCAAAGACGCCGGCTGTTCTTTGTCCAGTGTGCTAGCAGGTGCTAATAAGGATGTAGAGCTCTGTTCCAGCAATCGCGAGAATTCGGGATGACTCTCGAAATAGCCCTCCTCGTTTCTAGCAATCACGGCACCGATATCTGTGCTTTCGCGTCCGCTTCCCAAACGGAATAACAGACCGTTCGATGGTCTCGATGTTGGTATGCGACTAATCACTCCAACATAACCCATCTGCAACGGATAATTTATATTTTGCAAAATCTCAAGTGCCCGCTTAGGATCCACCAAGTCCATTTTTGTGATGACGCCGATCGTTCGTTCACCTCTGGGATCGACCCGACGGGAGGCGCGCAAGGCGGTCGAGTTTGCAAGATCAACGTCCGCTGCCGAAATGGCGAGAATAATATTCGGCGCTGCAATGTACTTGTCACACAGAGCAGAGATCTTTGATTTCAAACTCTCCGGTTGATCTGCCGCAGCAAGTTGAATATATCCTGGCAGATCAATTAACGTCAAATCTGGAATGTGAGGTGAATAGATATTGAGTCGGATAGGATCAGATGAGACTGCCTCAGAGTCAGGAATCGCAAGATTCAGATCTGTCAGGGTTCGCTGAATCTGGCTAAAGTCGGTGATCTTTCCTAGTTTCAGAGCTGGAAATTCACCGTATTCAGCAGCAGCATCCGGCGAGTTGACAAGTGTGAGCTCAATTGGTCGTCTGGTCACCATGTTGTTGCCCTTTGGTAAGAATTCGTGTCCGACGATCGCCTCAAGAACCGAAGACTTTCCTGAGCTCTGCGATCCGATGACAACTATAGACGGTAGCTGTAAGCGGGTCAAGGACGAACTTCCGGCGCCGCTACTGGCGATCTCTTGCAGAATGCCGCGGATCTCAATCATTTTCTTTGTCAAGAGCATCATCTGAGATGTCGAAGCTGCTATCCGTTCGTCGGTATCTGTGCTATCACCCATAGACGAAACCGCGGCAGCAGTACCAGCAGCTGCTAAGGCCGTATCCTCGCCACCTCCCCCACCTTCACTGCCGCCGCTGGGTTCTTCACCAGAGTTGCCATCTGATCTCGCTCCCTCAGCTGATCCTTCTGATGCTGACTTTGAGGATCCCTCGGTCCCACTGCTGAAAAGAGAGTTGAACCACTCAGGAGTTGATAGTCCTTCCAGCCCTTCTTTGACATTGTTCGCTGTTCCCGAGATCCACTCTGCGGCGGCGTCGATCTGCTTCTGTGTGTAACCGGCAGCTTCTATATCGCGTTGAAATAGTAAACAGTCAGTCTCGTATTATCAAACGGGGATACCATAAATCTTGTAAACATGTAAATGTACCTTGAACCTGATAGTTCACGTATGCTAACCCAGCAACCACGGCACCACCAGCAGCGGCAGGAACGCGAATCATTTTCGCTATGATCTTCCCTGGAAACAGAGAGAATCCGCGCGCTCCTGATGTCATGGCGGCGATCCGCCGGTAGTTGCTGCTCTCGAAACCTCCATAGGGGCGGGGTCTAGTCTGACTGTAAAGGAAAGGACGCGCAGCTCGTCTTGTGGAGTAATGTAGAAGGCTAGACGACGGTCGCTGCATTTGAGATGCCGCGTAGCGCATAGGACGTGACATCGTTAATCGTCAAGTGCTGGTGATTACTCTGGGGCTTTGCGAGAACGTCCAAGTTCTCAGGCCGCAGTAGAAATACAGCAGATATAAGAAACCAGTGTAACAGATATATAGCCCCTGCCGTATATCAGTAGCCAAAAACCTCCTGTAACTTGTCCTCAAGAGAATCGAATATCGAATACACAAAAGCTATAACGCAACGCCACTTCTGATGCGGTAAACCCCAATTAGGGGAGTAGATCACGTGCATGCTGGGAGATTCTACGGATCACATGACGAGCCCAAAAGGACTATTTTTCCCGCGCTGGGAGCTGTGACAGTTGAGCGTTTGGATAAACTGACGTCAAGGATCCCTGCACCCAAAGTGTAAATTCGAGATTTATCGGTTATCAATTTACCGAATCCAGCCATCCTTGTTTCTTTGTTCGACCAGTCTATTCCGGCCTCTGTCCACTCTGCGTATCAGTATCACTTAGCATCTTACTCTTTTGTATTTTTACTGTATCTGCATGCCTTGCGGTTGTCGTTCATAGCCACCATCTCTCTAGCTTCGACATCTGCTACTGGTCGTGTGCTTTCGGCGACTGAGCTGGCAACAGCCTCTACATCTACCCCGAAAGCCTGCAATTTCTTCAACACTCGAGCCTTTGAGAATTTTATGAACAGAGCATGGCGGTAGTGGCAGATCCCGGCAGCGGCAATATCAAGGTCGTTGTTCGCGTGCGTCCGTTCAACAATCGAGGTAAGGACAGGGATAGCGATATCATAGGCGATATCTTCCAAGATTGTGGACCAAATGTACTAACGAGTCATAGAACGGGCCCGGAAAGCAAAATGCGTCGTTTGTATGGAACAAGATCAGACTATTGTTACATCGGAGGAGCCTCCTGCAGCAAGCACGCCTACAAAGTCGAAAGGTGACCGAACAAGGGTCTTCAAATTCGACAAGAGTTATTGGAGCTTCGATACCACCGGTGGAGAATACGGTACGTCAGGGTGTCATACTCGTCTACAAATGAGCTCGTCTGACTGATCTTCATTCTATAGCGGGACAAGAACAAGTTTTCACGGATCTTGGACAGCCACTACTCGATAATGCCTTCCAGGGGTTCAACAACTGCATTTTCGCTTATGGACAGACTGGCTCTGGAAAGTCCTATTCAATGGTTTGTCTGATTTACCATGTCTGTCGCTTGTCTTTCGAGCCAATGCTGATTTTCTTTTTTTGTCTAGATGGGCTCTAGAGACGACCCAGGCGTAATACCGAGAATTTGTGAAGCCCTGTTCAGTCGCATGTCAGTAATCTCTTGTGTGAACTCAAATTCGATTGTTTAAATTATACTAACATGAATTTCCTACCATAGCAATGAACTCTCCACCGAGAATGGCACCCAGTTTACCGTCGAGGTTTCATATCTCGAGATTTATAATGGTATGCCGTTATTGCTAACTTAGAATGGCGCCGTGGGTTGGAGGCTAACAGCTATGCAGAGAGAGTGAGAGATCTACTCAATCCGAAAAATCGAGGGAATCTACGAGTCAGAGAGCACCCATCGCTGGGCCCCTACGTTGAGGACTTGGTAAGATTGAAGTTTGCTGTTACCAGTGCGAATCATATTTGGCAATTCACTAACGTATTTCTAAAGTCACGCTTGGTAGTCAGTTCGTTTGCTGAGATTGAGGAGCTCATGGATGAAGGAAACAAGGCTCGCACAGTGGCCGCAACCAATATGAACGAGACCTCATCCAGATCGCACGCAGTTTTCACCTTAACATTGACGCAGCATTTCAACGATGCTGTTACTGGACTGTCCTCCGAGAAAGTATCAAGAATGTCTCTGGTCGATCTAGCTGGTTCTGAGCGAGCGTCTGCGACTGGTGCGTCTGGTAGCAGATTGAAAGAAGGCACGGAGATCAACCGCTCGCTGTCAGCGCTTGGCCGAGTGATTCGTACGCTTGCCGATGTATCTAGTGGGAAGAAGCAACGTGACTTGGTGGTTCCGTATCGAGATTCTGCACTGACATGGCTATTGAAAGACTCTCTGGGAGGCAATTCAATGACTGCTATGATTGCAACCATATCCCCCGCTGATATCAACTACGAAGAAACAGTATCCACCTTGCGCTATGCTGACTCCGCGAAACGGATTAAAAACCACGCAGTTGTTAACGAGGATCCCAACGCTCGTCTGATCCGGGAGTTGAAAGAGGAGCTGTTGATTTTGAGAACAAAGTTGGGAAGCGGTGAGGATCGTGGAAGCTCAGATAGCCAGGAAGCTGGTGACGACAGCTCTGATCGGATGGTCACAATCACGGCGCCTGATGGAACCGTAAGAAAAGTCTCAAGGGCAGAAATAGCTGAACAACTGAATGCCTCTGAAAAACTGCTGAAGGAAATGAATCAGACTTGGGAAGAGCGTTTGGAGATGACCAAGAAGATTCAAAAGCAGCGAGAGGCCGCTCTGGAAGAGATGGGAATCAACGTTGAAAAGGGGTTTATCGGCCTCCATACTCCGCGAAATGTCCCTTTTCTTGTGAATCTTAGCGACGATCCCTTACTGGCAGAATGTCTGGTGTACAACATCAAGCAAGGGAGTACAAGTGTCGGAAATGCTGATAGCTCAACAACAGCTCAAATCCGGCTTCGTGGTTCGAAGATCCTGACAGATCACTGTACTTTCGAGAACGATAATAATATCGTCACCATTATTCCCCATGCAAACGCGTCAGTGATGGTGAACGGGCTGCGACTCAGAGAAACCGCGAGAAGATTACATTCTGGAGACCGGGTGATATTGGGAGATTTTCATATCTTCAGATTCAGTAATCCTCAGGAAGCTCTGCAGGAAAGAAAGAGCGGGTTTGCTGTATCAGGCCCTATCCGTGGACTACAGGGATCGCTTCAGCGCACCAGATCTTCTACGACGACTGGTAGTGGCCCGGGAGTTCATAGTAGCTCCTCGGCTTCGGATCATAGTGAGAGAGCATCTAGCGTCGCTTCAGACTACGTCGACTTCCCGTCCTTCGACGACGCATCTATAAGTCGAGCCCAAACGCCAGTGACCAGCGAAGATCAGAATGGTGGTACGAATGACTGGTCTATGGCTCGGATGGAGGCTGCGAGAACGTATCTGGGAGGAGACTCCGCGACAGTCAACGTGGGCGCGATGACGGATGAAGAATTGGACAAGCTCTTTGAGGAAATGCAAAGGGTACGATCGATAAGGAAGGGTCGGTCTGACTCGATGTCCGAAGCGTATGACGGAGACACAGACTCGTTATTTAGTTTTGGATCTCCGACTACGTCTTCACAGAGTAAGCTCAGGTCTATGCAGTCAGCTTCCGAAACTGCGGAAGACCCTTTCGTCTCTCCGAGTCCCACGTCTGGGATTGTGAATGCTGCTGTTCCCGAGAGTTCTTTATTTGCAAAGCTCAGCCAGGGACATGCATCCGATGCTAGGGGTAGACCAACAAGTGCTCAGCGATCGGATAGTGGCTCGAAGAAGCCTCAGAGACCGGAGACGGCGTCGACCAAATCCCCGCCCGAAAAAACTGAAACAACGAAGGACGTTCGATCTGCGTCTAGAGAATCGTCTACGACAAGCACATATCAATCTATACATAGCCAATTTCTTCCGCAGTCTTCGTTCATGCTGCGGCGCAACCCGGTATTGTCAGACGACGAGAAGAAAGTCGCCAAGAAGACAATCAATAGGTGGATGCGGCGAGGGAGTCTGCGAATGGCCGACTCCATTTATCGACATGCTTTGCTATTGAAGGAGGCACAGATTATGAGCAACGAGCTTGACCAAGGGCTGCGATTCCAGTATATGGTTGTGGACGAGGGATTTGTTTCGACATCGCCATACGATCTAGTTCTCAACGACGCCGAACCGGAAGAGGACAGTTTTATCTCGAAGGCCTTGAAGCCGTGCATTGGTGTACGCGTAACCGACTTTCGCAATGAGACAATCAAGGTGTTCTCGATCGAAAAGCTAGAGAGTAGAGTGCGTGCCATGCGAAATATTTACAACGAGTCTCCGATGTACTCGGAGTTGCAGTCCTCTCCCAAGGCAAAGAAGTTTCCGTTTTCCGATACGTTTAATTGCAAATACTCCTATGTGGGCGAAGCCTACGCCTCGATGGCGGGTGTGATTCACGGCAAGGTTTCTGAGATTTCGGCAGAGATAATATCGCCGTACACCTTGAGCGTGATTGGAATAATCAGCCTTGAGCTTCGTCCGCCGGAGGAGAAATCAGAAGACCAGTCGCATGATTTGGCGGTCATTGCACATCTTCGGTCGATTGCTGGATTTTCAGAGCGCGAGTTTACGGACGTTCATGTACAGATGCTTCTGCCTGGCAGCAGCTACCCTTACTCTTCCAACAGCGGTGGGATTTCAACTAGTCCAGTCGTTTCTGGTTTCGGTGAAGATGGACCGGTGGTCATTGATAGTCAGCATCGGATTACTGTCAGCTCGCTGCTCGCAGATAGCAGCATCAGCCACGGTGGTGTGAACTCATCTCTGTTGAGACTGAAAGTATTCGCAAAGGTCACCAGTACGCACTTGGAGAAGCTGGAAAGCTGGGATGATATGCAGGAGTCAGAGGTTGATGTTAACAGCAAATTGCGAGAGGGTGCTAGCATTCACTCCGAAAGCTTTGCTGACGACTCGTCGATGGTGCAGCAGCATGACTCGTTCGTGAAAATCCAGATGCTCGAACTGTCTGACGACGGGTGCTACGAGCCTGTCGATATCTTGCGCGGATATCATGAAGAAAAAGGAGTTTTGTATCTGCATATTGGCGTGCAGAAGCAAATCCGGCTATCGATCACGCATTCGTCCGGTGATACGTTTGACTGGTCTGATCTCTCAAAGCTGTCTGTCAGTAACATCCGACTATTTGACTCTCAGACGGAGACACTGAGCGAGTCTGAGAGCAAAGTCGATAAAGTCGAGCTCAGAGTCACGAACAAGCCCAAAACTATTGCGAACGCCGACGGAACGCGAACAGTGACTGTGGTGGGACAGTGGGACTGCAGCGCTCATTCTTCTCCGTTTTTGGATCGCACTACGCCAGACAAGCACAGAATAGTAATGAGTGTCAACTGGACGGTGTCAACACCTTCGGTCACGTCTCCTGTTGAATTCACCACGAATCTAGTAGGAGTCATGCTTGGACGTGCAGCGCGAGGCCCGTCTAGGTTCTCTTTGATGTGGGCGTCTACAAAGCTAATGCGGTCGTATGTGGCATTATTCCAGGTCCGACTAAGACCATATAATAATATCGGCAGCGAGATCTCAAGTGCTCGAAGCACTTATATCAGTGGAGAAGAGTATCTTGGATTATGGAAACCTCGTGGATTGTCTTTGGTGGGCCAGTATATCAGGGCAATCGATCAAAGACAGAGAGCCGTTGAGCTTGGTCATACGGTATCGACACTGTCGTACATCAAGTTCAAAAAATACGACGCATCAGCTCACAGTGCCCAAAGTCAGGAGGTGACGGATTCTTCGGAGGACTTGGCGCAGGAAGTCGCGCAGGTCTTCACGTCTCATGAGACTGAAGTGATACAAAGGTCACTGAAGCTGTGGAAGCGGAAGCCTGGTTACGTCGATGAACAGAGTGGGGTATCTACTCTACCAGTGTCATCTATGTCGAAGCCAAGTGCAACAAAATATGTTGCCGACGTACGCCAGTTCCAGAGAAGGTAGGGACTGTGTGTTTGCTCTTCTGTATCTAAAGTATAACTTCGAGCTGACTTTTATCTAGTGTAAACGTCGTCAAAGACGGCTACGCATACGCACCGGATGACGCCATGCAGTCGTGGGTGCGACGATATCTCGAGCTTCGTCGACCGTACCTGCACATCTACAACGCTTCAGATATGGAGGAGATCTTCGCCATCAACATCACCCAGTGCAAGATCAGTTGCAAGCCCGACCTTACTCCTGAGCTAGAGAGCCGAAATCCTTACAATGAAGAAAACACTTTTGTTGTATTTTCCGAGAACGGCATGCATCTTTTTAGTGTGAAGTCGCACTCTGAAATGAGCGAGTGGGTGCTCAAATTGAGTCAAAGTTTTGGGAGCGAAGTGCAAAGCGTGATTGAGTAAATATTTGCTATTTTTGGTAGCTGACTATTGTATTCTGCGGTTTTTGCTTTTGGCTGTTGTTTGTAAGATTATGGTTGATACCGGAGTCATTGCATTTGAATAATATATTGTAGCTATATCTTCTCATTACTGATGGCATGTAATATGGTAGTAAGTCTTCACCGTATATATTTACATTCTCTATCCTGAGTGTAGTCCAAATCGTCCATTATACTGTTTGGCGCATATTTAGTAATAAGCAACTGGGCGCGTAGCAATCAAAAGTCGATTGCCTTTGCTTTTCCTTTTCCTTTTCCCTTACCTTTTCCGACAAAGCCACCGTTTGCACTTTCGGACTCAGGTGCCTTGGCATCCGCGCCAGTGGCAGCAGCAACTTTCCCACCTTCGAAATTCTCCCGTACGCGAAGGTAATGACGCAACTCATCTTCGCTCACACTAGCCACTAACTCCCGTCTAGCCTTCTCAAAGTCCTCGAGACCGACGACAACCTCAATATCCTCTTTCGTAGCCTGTGTATCAAACCACCACTGCAGGTTGACCTCGGGCTTGAACTTGCTCACCTTCTCGTCGATAGTTCTCGCAAGCCGGGTCATTGCGTTCAGCATAGCATCAGAGCAAAGGGCGTAGAAATCTGCTCCTGTGTAGGTAAATGGGCAGGTTTGAGTTACCTGCTCAAGATCGAGATCTGGAGCAAGCTTGAACTTTCGCGTCAGGGCCTTGAGGATATTCAGTTGTTTCTCGTGGGTATCTGAGACTCCCAAATAGACCATTTTGTCAAATCTGCAGTAAGATTGAAGTCAGCGGCATGTTTTTTGGCCAGTTCGTGAATATATTCTAACTTACCTTCCAGGTCTAAGCAACGCCTCATCGAGCAAATCTGGCCGGTTCGTCGCACCAACGACAAAGACGCCCTCACCACCATTGCTACTCATACCATCAAGCTCAGCAAGTAACTGTGATACGATACGATCCATGACTCCGCCTGAATCGCCTTGATTTCCTCTTTTGGGTGCCACAGAGTCAAGCTCATCAAAGAAAACAACACACGGCTTAGCGTCTCGCGCTCGTTGGAAAACCTTCCTAACGTTCGACTCGGATTCTCCAATGTACATATTTAGCAGCTCAGGACCCTTCACTGAAAAGAAGTTTAGAGAGAAAGTTGTTGCAATGGCCTTAGCTAGTAGCGTCTTTCCAGTTCCAGGAGGACCATAGAATAGAATTCCGCTCCGCTTCTTGACCCCTCCGGCAAAGAGATCAGGGTACTTCAAAGGCATCTCAATCGTATCAAGAATCTCGTTCTTGACGTCAGCTAGTCCACCAACATCTTCCCATTTCACACTCGGAATGCGCGGAGCACCGATGGAGTCGCTGTACTTTCGGCGAGCATCGCTAGTAGCTTGTTCGAAATCCGATGGAGTTAACTGCACGTAACCCGAAGAGGCAAGGACAATATCGCGGACCTGCACGTCTTCATTCGCAGATGCAAGCTCTTTTGCTTCTTTCTCTAAGCGATCAAGGGCGTGCGACTTTGCTGATTTGACAATAGCAAGCAAGTCTTGAGGAACCAAGCCTGCAGATTGTAGCGCCAACCCAGCAATGCTCACATCCTCTCGAACTGTAATCATTCCAGAAAATTCACTACCGGTGTCGGCAGTAAACGATCCAGAGCCGGTATCACCCAGAGCCAAAGTAAATGGAGAAAGCAAATACTGGAAGATTGCGTGGCGTTCAGACTCAGAAGGTGTCTCCATCTGAATTTCAAAATTAAATCCTCCTCGTACATCGTCCGCGAGACTGTCAGCTTCTGTTACTGTAGCAATAATCGCCAGGCCCGTTGATTCTATCATGATTCGATCAAGAGCGGCCAAAATCTTTCCAGATATCGAATTCATGGTCCCACTCCCTTCTGCTGGCTTCTTCGCAATAGCTTCAAGGTGACTGATCAAAACCACACAGGGAGAGCAGTTTCTTGCTCGATCCAGTTTCGCCTCAAAGGAGGCGAGAGTTTTGGTATCAGTTTCCCCAATGACATCGTTCGCCTCAATCTGATACACGTGAATACCTAGCTGAGAGCAGATCGACTTTATCATGGTCGTCTTTCCAACTCGGGGTTTCAAGGAATAAACCAATAGTCGTGAGCGTACTACTGACGACTTGATACTGACCTGGAGTAACTGTCTAAGTCGCTCGCTGCTGGGCGAATCAATTCGCGGCAGAGGCGGGATCCTGAAGTAGCTTGACCAGTCAAATTTATCGGTAGGAGGTAAAGGCGCCTGGATACTTCCCATCTGTGCCACTCGAGTCTGCGAGCTATCGACGCAAAACGCATATTCTTCGCTCTTGGAATCATCGGATTGCGGTTCATCGGGAGGCACCACCGCAGTAATCTTGAACCATACTAAAGTAGAGGGATTGGATCCAGGCATACCTTGAAGGTCCTCTATTCCAAGACTGTTGCTTGTAGAGTCTGCTCCACTCCCACTCATAAGGCGTGCCAGCACCTCATCAATCGGAACAGCTATCAAATCGCCCTTAACCACAACTCTTCTGTACCTTTCAAAAAACGCACGTAACCCTCTCATAAATGCATTCTCGTAGACTCGCTCAGTGGATGCATATGAGTTGACCCGAGCAATTGTGATTTCTCTGGCGGCTCGCGGTTCGATGCGAGACACTGATGAAGACACTTGCAATTCGATGGCTTCGGGACTTTTGATGTTGTAGAGAAGAATCGGTGACAGATAAATCGAATGGGGATCATATTTTTGTGATAATGGAAATGAGTATAAACGAATTGGCCTTTTGGTCGAGTTCGTACAAACGTATACCTGAAAGAAACAGTTAATACAGCTGCGAATACGAGGGAAACCGCAGCAGGTAAGCTTACCCAGCTACCAGAGAAAACCCCAAGTTTCGCAAGCACTTCAATATCAACAAACCCCCGTGACTCGCCGTCGTCATACTCTTTGCCTATCGGTGTCAGAAACTCTGAGCTGATCATCATATCCAGAGGCCGAGCGTAGAGTGCGACAGGCTTTTGTGCTTTTTCGACCAATTTGGGAGCGAGCGTTAGAGCTGTGTTGGGCGATCTCTCCCAGATCTTTTGTGAGTCGATGTATTGATTTAGACCATACTCCTCTTCATCTGATGACCAGCCATTCGCACCATTGGTTTTGCTCGTGCCGTTGCTTAAGTTCGACGAGTCTGTGATGCGATTGTCCTGAGACGATGAGGTTTTGTCGCAGACGAAAGTAATTCTTGTGATCCCCTTCTCTACCAATCCCTGGTCAACAGGCTCGCAAGCCTTGACATTGCAGTCCAAAGTCTGTAAATGTTGGCCCTTTCGCAAGAGCTTGTATGGTCTGAGATAATTTAAAACCTCCGATTCGGGAATGCTAGAGATGTAGTCGTAGGCCGGTTTTGGAAAGACAAGAATGACACTCTCCAAACGCAACGGCTCTACCGGCTGGATTAATAATTGCATGTGGTCTTCCAAACCGGTGAAGTTCACGGCTGTGAGCGAAGCAGTCGATGGAGGGAGTGAAGACCGGCGCTCACACCTGTACATTGTCCATTTGGGAGATAACGAAAGCGCCAACTCGGAAGCGGGGCAAATTGATACAGTGTTGCATGGCTCGGGAAGCTCCTCAGAGGTCTTAACTGCCAATTTCGAAATAGTTTCCGCCAGATCATTTCCGTTCGGCAAGCCAGTGCCGTTGGTTCGACTGTATCCTTTGTGCTTCTTTCGAATCAACTCGTCAAAGAGATCATCCGAGAGTCCGATTATTTCCAGCTCCTCTCCTGTAGATTCGACAGTCTCTGACTCTAAAGCATCAAAGAGACGAAGTGTTGCCCTCCGAGGTCTTGTTGGTCTGCTGCGGTGAACAGATCTTCGGCCACCTCGGTTCGTTCCCGCATGCACTCCATTCGTCGCATGATGGCGGACAGCCACCGCGCGATCTGTATCAGGACTGAAACTCGTACTTGGTGCAGTCATTAAAACCCAGTCTTTGCGATGCACATAATCCAAAAGACAAAGTGTTGCAGGTCTGCGATATTATACGTTGCCGTCTTGGTCTTGCTCGGCTTCAGAATTTGTTCAGATGACTTAATTAATTGCGGGGGCATCTGCTTCCAGCGACCCGCCCCGCCCTCAGTCTGACGAGCCGCGGCGGGGTTGTCAGCGAACGAGGCGTTTGTGTAGTACGTCTTCCGGCCTACGAGTACGTTCAGATGCGTGTAAATTGTTTGGCAGCATGATATTGTGCTAAGAATTATAAGAGATACAATATATGCAAGATAATCCGAATAAAGAAAACAGTAAAGAAAAGAAATAAGCAAAAAACCGAAAAATCAATCAACTTTTATAAACAAGAAATAAGACGACCAGCCAGTAACCATTACAAAATCCCAGTTTTGACGTTCCTTCACTATTATTCAGAAGCTCACAAAAACCCAGATGAAATCAACTTAACAAGATCAAACCAAAAAATTCTAATAATATGCCGGCCAGAAAATAAATAAAAAATTCAATACAGATACAGTAGTTACCAATGAGAAACAATGAGAAACAATGGGATATATGCATGAAACAAACGGAACACTGATCCCAGAATTTAGCTCAGCTGAAAATCTAGAAAGTGATCTTCTTGCCCTGGAAGGGAACAGCGTTGCTTCCGGAGGCACGTCCGCCACGGCCACCGAAGCCACCGCGGGGACCACCACGGCCGCCACGGCCACCACCACGGCCGCCGAAGCCACCGCGAGGACCACCGCGACCGCCACGGCCACCACCGCTGGAGGGATCACGGGGAGTAGAGAAGTCGAGTCTGACGGGACGGCCAGCAATCTCCAATCCGTTGAGGGCCTCGATGGCAGCCTTGGCCTCATCGACAGAGCCGTACTGGACGTAGCCGAATCCCTTGAGCTGCTCGGTCTCAGGGTTGGTAGGAAGACGGACGCTGGTGACGTTGCCGTACTCACCGAAAGCCTCGAAGAGAGAGTCACGGTCGGCATCGAAGGAAAGGTTTCCAACGAAGATGGTGTCGGAGGGCTCAGAGAGCTTGTCGCCGAACTTATCGGCGCGCTGGTTGCGGAAGTTCTCCTTCTTGGGAGCCGGGTTCGAGAAGTCGAGGTTGACGGGGCGACCGTCAATCTCGAATCCCTGGTACTCGTCAATAGCCTTCTGGGCGGAGGCAGCATCAGAGAAGGTGACGTATCCGAATCTAATTCATTGTTACAGTTAGTCTCAACAACCTCAAGTCTAATCAATAAAAAACCGATTGACATACCCTCTGGATCTGCCAGATTCTCTGTCAGTAACAATGCGGCACGAGTCGACGGGTCCGATGGCCTCGAATTCACGCTTGAGCCAGTCCTCATCGACGTTGAAGGACAGGCGACCGACGAACAGAGTGGCGGATTCACCCTCAGTCTCCTCAGTCTTCTGCTTCTTCTCGGGGGCGGCGACGCTCTCGTCAGCCTTGCGCTTGGCAGCCTTGGGCTTCTCCTCCTCCTTCTCCTCCTCCTCGTCAGACGAAGAGCTGTCGTCGCCCGAGCCGGACTCAGAGTCAGAGTCGGAGTCAGACTTGTCAGAGGCATCAGCCATCTTGACGTCCTTGGACTCAGCCTCCTCCTCATCGTCAGAGTCAGAGTCAGAAGAGTCGGAAGACTCAGCAGCGGCCTTGGTCTCGGTCTTCTCCTCCTCCTCATCAGAGTCGGAATCGGAATCAGACGAAGACTCCTCCTTAGCGGGGGCAGCGGCCTTCTTGGCGGTCTCCTTCTTGGCGGGCTTAGCAGCCTCCTCCTCAGAGTCAGAGTCCGAAGAGTCGGAGTCAGAGTCGGAGTCAGACGATTCCTCCTTAGCAGGAGCAGCAGCCTTCTTGCCGTTCTTCACGGCAACGGGGGCAGCAGCCTCCTCCGAATCGCTGTCGGAGTCGCTGTCAGAGTCACTGTCAGAGTCGCTGTCAGAGGAAGACTCAACGACCTTCTTCTTCTTCGAGTCCTTAGCGCTGGCCTTCTCGGCGAGCTTAGCGGCAACGGCAGCAGCGGCAGCAGCAGCCTTCTGCATCTTAGCAGGCTTGCCGTTCTTGTCAGCAACAGCAGAAGCGGTGGGCTTAGCCTCCTTCTTCACGCCGGCGTCCTTAGGAGCAAGAGACTTCGACTTCTTCTCGTTCTTGTTGTATTTGGCCTTGTTTGTCTTAGCCATTTCTGAAGGTGAAAATATGTTAGAAAGTTGAACGATGAACATGAGACCTGCATCCATACAGGCTCGAAAGCCATTCTGCAAAACAAATCAGAGCAGCATACCTTAATATGTGATAGTTATTATATAAATAACGGGTTTGTAGATAGCAAACGAAAATTCTCTGCTGGGTGGTGTATACGAAAGAGAGAGAGAGGAAGAGGAAGAGCGCCGTAACTTTCTCCTTTGGATTCAAAAATTTTTTTTCGCCGGCTGGGAGTTCGAGGCAGATTTGTGAACCTTAAATTAAGGCCCAAACTCCCAACATCTGATGAACAGGAAATTGCAGCTCTCATTATTATTATTATCAGGGCATATTGTTGCTTCGATCAAACTATGAACGACTGCTGTTTATTGTCTGGTAGTTTTATTAGATGATGGTTATTTCCTCTGATAGTATGTAGGACTCAGTTACTTAGAACGGCTGAGTTCGGGGGTCTAAACATTGGGGATGCAGCCCTACAAATTCAAAAAATTCGGCAGGACGCATTTTAGTAAGCTCTTGAAAGGTCCTCGCTGGCTTGAATCTATGATATCGACTGTTTAGATACTTCCAGCAGGACCCGTCAGTCTACAAGTTCGAAAATGTATGCGGAAAACTGTCGGCGAAATACGAGTGTAGCCTACTGCGTATTTTAAGCTTTGGAGGAAAGGTCGGCACGTCGTTTTTGAAAGATATAGCACTAGTAAGTGCTATACTATTTCGACTTATCTCGGTAAAGCAGGGATCAGCACTTCTATTGAAGTTACTGGAATTAATAGCAAGCTGTCTGATTAATTAGTTTCTCTTCTAGAAGGAGGTAATAAGCTTATGTCGGCTCTAATTGACTTGTATTGCTCGTCGTTCGGAATCAGCATCACACCACAGAACTCAGATCAGGCAAGATTTCAGTCTCGGTGAAGTGACCTCGTATTCCCATATATTGGAAGATTCAAACTCGTAGATAATACCTGAACAGAATCTGACTCAATCGGAAACGTTCCTACTGAGAGCAGAGCACAACAAGCCGGCACAGCACCAAGAACGAACCTTCGCCTTCAAGGCGTTTGTAATTTCTCCGCTCAACCAAATCTAAAGTCCGATCTGAGTGCATAACACGACAATCCAAATACAGCTGTTTATGCGTGATCGGAATACCAAGAACTCATTGTTCAGAAGTCTTCAAGAAGACAATGACGATAGTTGTAGGTAGTGAATGCGATCACACCGAAACGAAGAAACGACGGACTTCCGGTCCGACCGAGGCAAACGTGTAGCGGATATCATACGTACAGAACAAGCAACGGTATCCTAGATCTCAAAAAATGACAGAATATGACCACAAAATAACAGAGTTACGTCATGCCCCGCATCAGAAGAAGGTATAAGTTGAGTGACAGCGTGGGTTGTCTGTACTGTCACGAGCCAGAGTCTGATTGCAACGCACACTCGAGTGGCAAAGGAATAGCAAGCGAGCCCTGAAACATTCATTCATATCCCGAAGAGATTTAATATATCAAAAGAACGAGCAAAGCGGAGCTTCCAACCCCAGTAAACCGCGAGGAAAGTGAAATATCAGGCGATTGATGTGAGGCCCACATCGCCCCCAAAGCCAGCGGAACAGTCACCACTTCACACAAAGGTTGGCACGCGATCGGCGCACGGCGCCTGCCTGGACGTCGCACGGCACTCGGAACTCGCCACGCGACTTGCGGTAAGAGGAAGTGCTGCGGTGGGAGAGAAGGAGCGAGCAAGGTGAAGAAGCTATAAGGAACCAGCCGCAGATTCGGTTCCGCTGTTGGCGATACTTGGCGTAGGACCGCGCATGCACGACCGAGACGGACAGTGACAGGTCCCCGGTGCGCGGACAACAAGCCAAAGACGAGACAGTGCCCTGCAGACGCCAGCAAGGACACAGCATCCCCGGACCGAGGAAGAAGGACTGGACCCGGGTGTGATGGACGAGCCACGTGGAGTGGTCTGAACTGGCGCGGCGCACGCGCGTGGACTCCACGCGACGAGGATCGTGCGGCGACGGGTGAAATCTGTGCTGAAATAAGGCGGTAAGCAAGGAGCGGATTTCCTATTTCCGCACCAACTCGCACTCGCTTGCGGCGATGAGGCGGGCACGTGGCATTCATTCGTCTGCTTCCCGACGCTGGACGCTCTCAGTGCAACAAGCACCGGCAAGCACAAGCAAACAACAAGAGCTGCTCGTCGCAGGCACCGACCGCAGCCATGTCTCCGCCGACCTTGCCGCCTATTTCTATAATGACGCACGCGTCTGCCCCGTCTTCGCGTCCGCTGCTTCCTCATCCTCAGAACACGAGTGCCTCTGATTCAAACCCGTCTCCTACAATGTCCGCAGCTCCTGCCCGAGAGATGTTCTACCGTGGTGACATGTCCCCCTACAACTACAGCCACCCTCAGCCATACCACCAGCAGCAGTCTCAGCAGCAACAACAACAACAACAGCAAGCGCAGCAGCCTTCACAGCAGTTCAACGCAGCTCCGCAGCAACCCCAACAGCCCGTCCAGCAGCAGAGCTCCTGGTATGGCCATCCAGCAGACTACGACTCTCGCAGAGGGTCTCTAGCTTCACAAGACTCGGCCTATGTTGTTCAAGGCGGCACCTCTGCTACCGACCAGCGAGCAGGCCCGCCTTTTCTGAACGGGCAAGCAAGAGGTCCTACAGTCCCCCGTGGTGCACCCCCCGTCACCAGGCCCACTCCTTACGCACCGAACCCCAACGCAGCAGCTCCCACAAAAGGCTTTCCCTACGCTTTCCCAGATCCAGCTGCTCTAGCAGCTCCAGTAACACCTCAAGTTCCATATGGCGGTTCGCCGGTTGTTTTGGGCTATGCGAATGCTGCTGCTGCAGCTTCGCGGACCTCAGTGGACTCCTACGACCGCATGAGCGGGCGATCGCTCGATCTAGATGACGCGGCCTCTACGGTCACTACAGTGGCCACACCAAATGGACCGGTTTACAACGGTGGTCTCGGGCCTGGACCGTACTCTCGGTCACCAGAGCTGAGGCAGACGCATAAGATTGCAGAACGAAGACGTCGACAGGACATGAGCACGCTCTACGATGATCTCAAGAGAATTTTGCCGGAGGAAAAAGGGGCAAAGTCCTCGAAGCACGATATTCTTAGTCGTGCGGTGAACGTTATCAAGAACATTCAGACTTTTACCGACGACATGCAGCAGGAGATCAACGAACTGCGATCGAAACTAGGGCTGCCCCCAAAGCGTTTCCCCTCGCTGTCTGCTATCGCTACTGACCGGTCTAATCGCAACTCGATGGGCTCAGACCGACAGGACTCGTCAGATAACGATCAGATGGATTTGTCGAAATGAGCTAGTCAAAGAATTTTGCGCCTTGGAACATTAATTGGTATGCTTCATAGTTAATATCGTTGGTTTCGAATGGGTTGATTGTTGTGTTCTGCGCGTACATTTGGCGTTTGTTTTTTTCTTTTTGGTACTTGTAAATACGACTTGTTTAGTGGAGCGCGATGTGACCCGGCGGCGATTCCACCCTTCCGGTGGATGAGCTGTGGGAGGGTCCCCGATGCGCTGCCTGCTGGTGCTGCAGCCAGCTATCATATGGTTTTCTTCCCTGCACGGAGTTTTCTTTTTGGCAAATGCAGGCAAACATTCACATATCAATTGTATGAGTAATGAAAGTGGTGAAGGTGAAACGGTTTCAGTAGGTGCAGAGTTGTAGTGTAGCGGGGCGTTGATGTGGGCTGGGCTGGCTGGCTTACTGAGCGAGTGGAGGAAACGCACCCCACCGAGTCTGGTCGACGTACGCAGATTGTGATGCACGGCATCGTCGGCACACCAAATGTCTCTTGTTGCTCTATTCCTAAAGGTTTTGTATTGGCTGCAATGGCCATCGCTATCTTCTAGATCGCCAGTCGCTGTAGAACCATACGCTGTAGCTGCAGACGGTGGCTAAATGGCGGACTCCGTAGTCGAACTGTAGACGAGCAAGCAGCCAGCGTACGGCGGTGCAGCTCCACACTCGCACAGCAGTCGCTCCACTACGGCTACCTGCTCGCAGTAGTTGTTTACAGCCAGTTCTCTACTCTCATATCCTTATCTTAGTCTTTCTGCAATCACCATATCTGCAACATCTCATACCGCGTTGCACTATATAGTGGTATGCCCTACTGCCGCTTCGGGGCCCGTAAGGATCGTAGCATTAACTTTATAAGCCGCACACTGTGTGCTTGTGCGCGTGTCAACAGATCCACCTCCACTCGCCAAACTTCGCGTGGAGAACACGACTTTCTCCGAAACAGCTCGGCATCAATAGGGCGTGGCATGGCACCCGCATAAAACTGCTGAGCTTGGTGTATACAAGTCTATGCAACCCGTTTGGACCGATCGTACGCGCCTAATTGTTTCAAGCAGCAGAAAGGAGACTTACCGATTCTCTTCAACGCGTCTCGATGGCCGATCAGCACAGCTTCGAGTTCCAGGAAAAGGCCATTCGGCGCGAAGTTCGCCTGTATACCATTCAAATCAGACAGGAGCACGAATGTCTTGCCAGTGTAAGTATTGTTTTGCAACCTACTAGGGATTATAAGCGCTAAGCCGTCACATTGCTCAGGACCTTCTCAAAACATCTCGAGCTTCTGCTCAGCGGGCAGCTAGGAAGATAGCAAAGTCGGGAAAGCCTAAAGCCCGAGGAGTCGGAGACTTTACTCCCCGCGTTCCCGAGTCTTCGCGGTCGGGCTCTTTCAAATTTACTGTGGAGGTATGCCACTCCAGATGGTCACTACCAGAGTAAGGCTTTTGTAATACTCACATGGTTCTTATAGTCATATCCAAAGCAATATTACACCCCTCCAATCAAGAAACAGATCACAGAGTCTGGTATCACGATACCCTTAGTTGAGCCGCTACCGCTTTACAAAGACTTCACTTCATTATCGACATGTGTGCACGTCGAAGACGACGAGGTACTACGGTACTGGCCGTACTTTGGAGAGAACGGCGAAGAAGCGGGACTTAACCTAGAGGAGATGTTTGAGGACCGAACTGAAACCCAGGCGGAGCTTCTAAGACGCGAGAGTAAGTTATGCATTGACAATTGCTGGCTAGACCATGATACTGATCCACATCCTTCATAGATTCCCAGTTTTTATCGTCGCGCTTCTTCGAGTTTGTGGCAAACTACGGCTTGACCAAACAGAACCTCGTGTCATTTTATGTCTACAACATCGGCTCAAATCATATCGCCCACAAAGCTGTCCTGCCGGACACAGACTCGTTCGAGATTGACGAGAAGAAGCGTAAGCTTTTTGAGGAGTATATCAAGAAGCTGGACAACAAACTTGCTTGGAGAGTGGATCTGTTTTGCAGAATCTTCAAGGAAGTTACGCGAACGAGCGTGTGGGAAATTCTTAATCTGTAAGTATTACTGTTTTAAAGTATATCGTTCTTCTTATAAACCGAGATTTGCTGACAGGCTTTGACAGGTTTCCGGCCAGTTACTTCATAGAAGACAAGAGGACGGCGTAAGTGAAGAGTTTTTGCCGATCACTGTCACCAGTTCTGACCAAAATCATAGACTGCGAAGTTCCCAGACATCTTCAGCTTACAATCTCGATTCTTACTCGTCACTCCTGTGTGCACTGTGCTTCATGCATGAATGTCCATGGCATAGTAAGTTCTCATAAAGGTATTTGGAGAATACATCAAGAAAAGGCTGACATATTACAGAATCTCTCTATGTCACATCCTGCAGTGACGGTAACGTCAAGACGACCTCCAATATGCCGCTCTGCAACATTGTCAACAAAACAACCTCCACTCGAAATATTCTTCCGGACGGCATCTCCTGCTCTCCGGAGTGTTTCCTAAATGTGAGTCCGAGCGCAGAATTTGTAGGCAGCCCGTTCTCGAAAGACGATGCTAACTGGGAATCAACAGGACCCGCAAAACACTCGCCAAAGTTTGGTGAAAGCCTCAAAGTGGTCCGATGAAGATATCGCGCTTGTCAAAATGACTGGAAAGGTCATGCTACAGAACTCGCGCACTTCGTGTCTGTTGACTACCATTTTTAACAAACCCTGCAGAGAGGTATGCATGCCCTCTAATTTCGAAACGAACAGCACTAATTGTTATTCTAGATCAATCAAAAACTTATAGAACTGAAGCTTACACCCTCACATATTCAAGAGTATCACAAGGACGTTGCTAGCTATGCTTCCGTCGAATCCATAACAGCTCAAATCTTTGGCAAACGCAAGCGCAAGGCACCCACCGGCTACCCCGAAGACTGCTCCATGAGTGGAAATCATCTCAAGCGTGTTGATCTGAACCCTTGCATGCACAGCGGACCGTGTGACGCCGACTGCGCCTGTGTCGACGGCAAAGTGTTTTGCGAGAAAGCTTGCGGGTGTCCGCCAAGCTGTCCGAGACGATACCGCGGGTGTCGGTGTACTACCAGTCGGTGCCGTACAGCGGCTTGTGAATGCTTCAAATGGAACCGCGAGTGTGACCCCGACCTCTGTCGATCCTGCGGTGCAGACGAGATTCTGGATCCTAAGAACCGCGATATTGTCGAGAACAAACGATATTGCAAAAACGTCAATCTCCAAAGGGGACTGGGCAAGCGGGTCATTGCTGGCCCGAGTAATGTCTCCGGTTGGGGTTTGTTTATCGGTGAAGATATGAAGCAGGACGAGTATCTTGGCGAGTACAAGGGAGAATCAATTTCACAGGACGAGGCCGAGCGACGAGGGTGAGTCGAAACAAAACTTGATTTGTTACAAAAACTATGCTGATATTTTTCCTATAGGAAAATCTACGATAAGCGCGGTGTATCATTTCTCTTTGAGTCTACAAAGGGTATGCTACGAGTCCATAAAGCCGTTCTTATGCGTTGCGTTATACTAATGAGTTCCCGTTTCTAGAGCAATGTATCGATGCGACCCGAGCAGGCAATAAGTTGCGCTTCATCAATCACTCGCGCCAGAATCCGAATTGCTTTGCTCGCATTGTGTTTGTGAACGGAGTCCACCGAATCGCCTTCTTTGCTAGGCGGAGGATCAAGGAGGGAGAAGAGTTGTTTATAGATTACGGGTGTGTACTTTTGAAATGCCCTCTATGAGTGTGTTGATCCTGGTAACTGACGTTTATATGTTTAGATATAACAACAAAACGATGAAGTTCGTACCGCTGGAATACGGAAAGACTTCCAGAAACTGAAATCATCAATAAAGCAGCGGTCACTACGGGTTTACGGAGCCATGTGCCATCATACTGTATACCAACAATATCGGTCATTCACTCTTAATCGCTAGCAAAAGCAAGCTACCACTTATATAGATATGATCAAGCCGTAATTTAGAATAATTGTACATTACATTTTGTCACACATGCCACAAAACAAAGAACTATATAACCCATAAAACTTTTTATATTCAAAAAAGCATTTAGAACTTAGCAAACTGCTTCTTGCCACCCTCAGTGCTGTTGACGCGGAGGACGTTGAATCGAACAGTCTTGGAGATGGGTCGGCACTGGCCAACGGTGACCGAGTCACCCTCGTTAACACGGAAAGCAGGCGAGACGTGAGCGGCGACGTTCTTGTGACGCTTCTCGTATCTGTTGTACTTGGGGATCTTTATTGTTTGTTAGTACTCTTGTTCATATTTCAATCGAAGTCTCGTGGTGGAATCTGAACGTACGTAGTGAAGGTAGTCACGTCTTATGATCAAAGTACGGTGCATCTTGGTGGAGACGACGGTACCGGTAAGGATACGACCACGGATGGAAACGAGACCAACGAAGGGGCACTTCTTGTCTATAGTGAAAAATCTAGCGTTAGCACATATTCTCCTGCTACCGTTCTTCTCATCGAAATCCAGCACGAAGTATGCGTACCAATGTAATGTCCCTGGATAGCCTCCTTGGGGGTCTTGAATCCAAGACCAACCTCCTTGTACCAACGCTTGGTCGACTTCTTTCCACGGGTCTTCGAGTTAAGGAAGATATGGGGTTGCTGATAGGAAAAAAGACGTTAGCACACTCGAACTACTTCCTCCATGTCGACCTTCATGTACGATTCTTTCCCTCCCGCCAAATCATACACGATCGCATTCACAACATAAAAACCACAAAAATATATACCTTCTGGTAAGCACGCTCGGCCTGGACGGTCAACTCAGTAGCCATGGTGAATGTCGGATTTGCTGATTGACTTCGGTGTGTTGTCGATGTAGTAGCACTAAACTCCAAGTACGAGAGGAAACCTCGAATTCCTCAAGCTGGATGTGTGTCGTCTGGCGCAGCAGGACTGAAAGTCACGTGTATTACACTGCTGTTCTGTGACTGCTTTTTATGTAATGGTCAAAGTTGCTATTAGGGCTACGTAGCCCTACACACGGAGGGTTTGAATTATGAAACCTTATCTTTGTTTACTTTCTGGGTCTCGTTTGTTTACATTCGCGCCAACTCTGTTGATGCTGGAGTCTCCATCATCTATCGTGTCTGCCTCCTTTATCCCAACCACTCCCAAAGCCAAACGCTCCAGCTGCAGCACTTTTTGACCAGCATATTTATATCCAACTAGACGAGACTGGTATTTGCTATCAAATATATTTCATATAAGCTCTTATCATGAGTTCACCGTCCAAAGTCATATCACCGCGCAAGTCGCCGCGCAATCATCGCAAATCTCTCGCGTTTCTACCATCTGCTGATAAAGAGAATGGATTGAGTGCCGGATCAATGGGCAGAAGAAAGCGAGCAAAGAGTTTAGACGGCACTGAAGATCCCACCTTATCGATTCCCAAGAAGCGAAGGAATGAATCGCGAATTCCTACTGCCAGCGGTGTATGTCTAGTCATCCATCTCCAACAAATGTCATATTCGCTAACATTCACATTTAGCCACCACGGGGAATTTTGAAGGCTACATATTCCAACGATGATAACCATACCGTAATCGGTGTGATGCAAGTATCACTCAAAGAGGAACCTGTATCGAAACCAAAGCCCAGCAGGGTCATGAGCAGACGAGTCAGCTTTGCCCCAGAAGCCACTTTACAGTAAGTCTATTAGATAGATATGAGTGATATCGGTGTATGACTAACTGTCTTATAGTACATTCGATATCGACAGTTTGGATGACGCCTCCTCTCAGGCGAACTCGTCTGCCGCCAGTACCCCACGACGCTCTGACGATCGAAGCGCCGCTGAGCAGAGACCTCCCCTCGCAAATCTCGACCAGTATAATCAGCTATCCCCAGTATCATTGCGTGGTGTTCAGGATAGTGTGGAACAAACTGCGGATGATTCCGACGACGACGCTCAATTCAGCGATGATGATAGCGAGGTTGAGATGGAGGATGCAACAGATGTGTTTGACGATGAGACATTTAATCAGATAGCTAGCAGTACTAGTCCATTTAGAGCAGTTCAATCGCCGGTTGGCACCGTTCGCGCGGGAAAGGGCAGTATTTTTGGTTCAGGACTATTCTCTCCAAAGCCTGCCAGATCCCAAGTGAACGATAATGACGATGACCAGAGTGAGGATGATTTCAACGATGATGGTGAAACCCAGACTATGGAGGTCACCACCGCTTTTGGAAGCATTTCTGGAAACTCGAACCTGACCTCGGCACAAGATGCTGATGAGGACGAAGACCAAACCATGGAGGTTACCCGAGCAGTAGGATGGATCGAACAGCCGCAGATGGAAGAGGAAAATGATGATGACGACAACGTCACGATGGACATCACCAGAGCAGGCGGCTTTATTGTCTCCAAGGCAGACACTTCGGTTGTACAAGATGATGTGACAATGGACGTGACAATGGATGCGACGAGAGCTATCGGGTCCATCCAGGAAAGCCACGAGACCGAAGATTCAAACGCAGATATAACGATGGATGTGACGCGTGCTGTTGGTTTTATTGAACAGGATGATAACAGTGTCACCATGGACGTTACGTGTGCTGTTGGAGTCATTGAGCAGCCCGCTGTCTCAGATGATGAGGACGACATGGACGTCACTATGGAGGTAACGCGAGCAATTGGTTTCATCCAACCTGAGGTGGATAGCGACGAGGATGTCAGCCGAACAGAAGCCATGGATGTGACTAGAGCTATCGGCTCCATTCAGCCAAAAGAGGCCGACGATACTGTTGCTATGGACGTTACAATGGCCATCGGATCCATTGCAGACAACTCCTCGATGCCTGAGGAAGCGAATGGGACTTCAGAAGATTCTCACGTTGCTACTCCGAAAGCTATTCAGTCACCCCAAATCAATCGAACGCCAACTCGTGCAGGTAGTGCTACGCCTCGTTCTTCTGCGAAACGTTCATTGGTTAGGACTGATAGTATGGGGCTCAGCACTCCGGTGAAAGCTCCCGAGGGAGTTCAGAACTCTCCAGGACCATCTGCCATTAGCCGGAAACGGAAGAGTCTTTTGGAGAGCCAGATTCTCGGTCAAGAGTTTACTGGTCAGAATATCACTATCGGCACCCCGGAGGGGCGAAAGTTGAAGAACGATATCAACGAGACTTTATTCAACGCCAGCTCTAGCAACCTGCAAAAGCGAATTCAGAGTTTGACACCTAAGAAGGTCGTTCGCAGCCCTGTCAAGTCACTTGTGAAATCAGCACGCAAGGAGGTCATCGCAGCTATCAGGTCGGAAGAACAAGAGGCGCTTGCTAAACGCTATTCTCCACTTAAAAATCATGCCAGCACGCCTGCTAGAAGTCAGACTCGTCTTTTGTCTGACCTCCCTGCGCCAGTGCTGAGATTTGATCTTGCACCCAAACAACCCAATACGCCGAGCGCAAAGGTGCCTCTCGTTGTGGAGCGGGCGGAGGAGATGAATGAGGATGATTACGTTCCTCTCTCGTTGAACGAGTTTCTCCAAATGACCTCCGTACAATTCCTTGAAGGATTGAACACCAAGAGAAGGAACACAACGATGATGCAGTCGTGTGATCTTCTGTCGGAGAAGAGCTTTGAGGACGTTGTTCTGTCTCGTCAGCTCCATTGCCCAATGTTGGAGCTTTATGAGTTTGTAAGTTTTCTGTCAGTCTCTAAATTATTTAAACTTGATACTAATGACATCTGATAAACAGAGTTGCCGAGAGCTTCGCAAGAATATACAGGAAGGAAACGACTTGTTTGAGCGCCTGGAGTCTGAGACTCTGGAAGAGAATCCGAATCTATTCCGTCAGTATCTCTCTGCGTCTATCGATGGTCAGGTCGCTTTTTGCGCTCAGTTTAAGGTCATCAAGACATATGCTCGCTTGCTGTCGAAAGGGGTATGGTACGAGTGGCGCTCAAAACTTTTAGATGGTGTTATGAACAGCTTGACCAAAAATCAGTCAGCTCTTCAGAAGGATATTCAAGATCTGCAGCCAAAGGAGAAGAGTGTATCTCTTTCTTTACCGGAAATCAGAGCCAAGCATAGTGCACTTAAGACTAAGCTTGAACGACTGCGCCAGCGAAGAAATGAGGTCGAAGGCTGTGACAAGGATGAGCTTCTTAGCGCGAGAGAGATGCTCACAGCTGAGAAGGCAGAAGTTCAGTCAAAGCAGCAAGTCAGAGAAGAGTTGGCGGCAAGCGATCAGAATTTGACAAGGATGGTCGACGAGAAGAGGTCTGGTATAGAATCATGCAATGCTGGAATTGCAAAGGCGGAAGCAATTGTTGAGGAGAACCGGGGTATTGATACTGATCAAACTGCCCTGATAAAAGGTGAGGTTGAGAGTTGGGCTACTTTCTACCTGAGATCTGTTGCTGACATCTGATTTAGACAAACTTACGTTGCTCGGAGAACTATATGGATGGCAAGTCACAAGCTATGCTGATTCACTCATCACTCTGTCTCTGGGTGATTTCGTCACTGTTGAGATTTCAATAGCAGAAGAACGGATAGTCAAGACCTCATTTGCGACATCCGAATCGCCGGTATGTGACACAGTGCTCAATGGACTTTTTGACCAATGCTAACAGTATCGATATAGGTGATTTCTTTCTTTGTTTCTGCGATTGAGCTTCTAGCAAAGAGTCTTCCAAGCAGCAAGTTCCTCCGAAGTGGAAGCAGCTTGCTTTTGCAATACAAGGCTATCTGTCGGGAGATCAACTGGCTCGAGAACCGCTATGTCTCCAACATCCACCTGGACAATATGGCACTGAAGATAGAGTCTGAGGTTTTTATCCGCGAGACCTTGACGAAATTTCGAGCCAAGTACCAGCTATCATTGGATCTGACGGTCCCTGACTTCCCAGCTATTCACAGCATTCCTACGTTCGAACTCGTGTATGGTAGCTTTGACAGTCTTCCCCGTTACGCGTGCAAGTCGACCGATTCCACGTCAACCATGTCTAGAGGACGCGAAATGGAAAATGGAGCTGAGTGCACGAATATAATTGGGGCGTTTGCGGGATTCTAGAGCTCGAGGATGAAAGGCGTAGGTGTTGGGTACGCAAAGAGTAATCGGTATCGGTTCAGCGTTTTATATTGTTGGTGTTAGTTTGATATCCGGTTAGGCAGGCTTGGTGTATTGTAGTGAATATGCGTTATAATGATCAGTTGATGTTGGTAAATCTATAATTTATAGTCTATGTCCACTAAACTAATAAATGATTAGTAGTCTGTATGGCACACTTAAGCTTTCTCGCAGACTGTTAACCGAGCTCGAATGCAATTGCTGAACCATTTTCCTAACTTGGCCTAACAGGCCCGAGAAAGCCGCTGTGTGCAATATTTAGTAAGAAGGATCATGAATAGAAACATCAGACTCAAGGCCATTAGCTGTGGTGACAATGGTGGCGTGAATACGAAAGGTAGAGGAAGAGTCAGGCGGGTGGTGCCGACGATTGGAGAAAGGCGGTGCGGCTGCTTGCTCGGAGCGCACGGTTGGCTCCCCACGGGCTTCAATGGCTGAAGTGCGTCCCCATGCTCGGTTTCTTATGAAGCATTGTTTCCAGAAGCTGCTCTCACACCGTTCCTCCAGTCTAGTGTTTAGAAAACAGCCTCTATTTTCATCAACCTCTTTCATAAGATCATTTAATCACATTTCCACGATGCCTATCGATCAAACCGAGAAAGACGTCACCTTGACCTATGCTGGTAGCTCGGTCAAGGTCCTCCTCCATGGTGCAAACATTCTCTCATGGAAGGTCAATGGTGCAGAGAAGCTGTTCCTTAGCGAGTATGAAGCCGTTGATGTTGGTATAAGTGCTCAAAAGGCAATTCTTGAAAATGGTGTGCTGATCTTAATAATCTAGAGGTGCAATCCTTGACGGCTCCAAGGCCGTCCGAGGCGGTGTGCCGTTGGTCTTCCCGGTAAGTTGGAAGCAACAGTTTGATCTGGTATTTGAAAGTTAGTATGTTGACAATTATCTAGGTGTTTGGAAAGGCAACTTCCGGTCCTACTGCTACTCTGCCCCAGCACGGATTCGCTCGTTTGTCGACTGTAAGTCAACTTTTTCTCTGTCGGTTCCTAGCAACTAGCCTACATGATTCAGTCGTCTAACCAATCTATGATTCAGTGGGAATTCCTCGGACAAACCACCGAAAGCCCTCTTGCTGTTCAGTTTGGTCTTGGGCCCGAGAATGTCTCGGAGGAGCTCAGATCCGCCTGGCCTTACAACTTCACCTTGATCTACACCGTCTCTCTTGGAGAGGACACTCTCGAGACTTCTCTGTCGATCAGCAACCCCGGTGATGTTGCTTGGGATTTCCAGACCCTGCTTCACACTTACTTTTATATTCCTGATGTTGACAAGGTCGCGGTTACTGGTCTTACTGGAACTGAAGTCAAGGACAAGGTCACCAAGACTGACTACTCAGAGTCGAACGAAGATGTCACTATCGCTGCTGAGGTTGACAGGGTGTACGAGAATGTCCCGAAGCCGGTGACTATTAAATCTGATGGAAAGACTCTTTTCGAGATTACCCGAAAGAACCTCGATGATGTTGGTGAGTATTGTCTAAAACTTCATACAGTAGAAATCAATTATTGACAAGCTTGTCTATTAGTCGTCTGGAACCCGTGGACCAACTGCGTGAAGATGGGCGATTTCAAGCCTGTCACCGGCTACAAAAACATGATCTGTGTCGAGGCTGGCAGTGTCAGCAAATGGACATCGTTGGCTCCTGGCGAGACCTACGTGGCAGTCGAGACCGTCAAGGCTTACTTGTGAATAAGGCTTGGTTCATAATTCGGGCGCAGTCTGTAAATAACATTGGTCATTCGGAAAATTGACGTGATGGATTTGGATATATAGTCGCTCTTCATTGATGGTGGTCTTGTGAATGACATTGGGTAATTGTGAATTTCATATTAAACAAATTTGGATTCAGTATTATACATGTAAGCAATCGACGATAATTAGGAAAACAGAGCTGTACGCAAGATTCTCAAACACAGCAAGTTATCGGCTTTTACAAGACTTGGCTATAAATCGCGAATCTAAGCCGACTTCGGAAGGCCGCTCTCGTCAACAAGACTCTCAGCAATCTTCTGGGGACTGGGACCCACACCAGTCAGGATGATTCTACTCACACCATCCTTCAATGAATCGTACATGTCCTCGCTGACGCCATCCGGAACTGCCGCAGAAACCGTAGCCTTGTTCTGCCATCCATCGAGATCAGGGAGTGCGGCCTTCAGCAGGCCCAACACAATCGGCTCGTCTTTCTCCAGGTAGTACAAAACCGCGTTTGGGCCAGCGTCGAAGGTGTAAGCTGCCACCACGCGGCCAGCCAAGTTGTTCACCTTTTCGATAAGGGAGATAACATTGCGGGAAACGTCATTCATATAAAAGACAGGGGGAGAGGAGTCGAGGCAAACGGCGTGGAACTGGTTTGAGTCTGCCATGGTGAGCTGGCCAAAAGTCTCGAAATCTTTGTCTAGGATCGACTTCGACATGACCTTGAAACGCTCGGGAACAACAACTTCCACGCGGTGCTTGAAAAGAGGTGAGGTTTTCGCGGTGGTCTGCATGCCAGTGGTCGAGGACGTCTCTTTCTTCTTAGCAGAGACAACGAGGATGGCAGCCCGCATATCAGGCCAGTCAGTTTCCGTAGCAATCTGCACAGCACGAGAGTCTGAGCCATCCTCCTTCTCACCCATCTCCCATGCCACATATCCACCAAACAGCGAGCGGCAGGCGGAACCTGAACCCTGTCGGGCAATTCGCGAAAGCTCCTCGGCGCTCTGGGGAAGTTCGTAGAGGTCCGCGATAGCACGGACGAGAGCAGCGAATCCGGCGGCCGACGAAGCCAAGCCTGCAGCGGTAGGGAAGTTGTTCTCTGAGACTATATGAAGCTTGTATGTGCTCAATGGAGGAAGAGAAGGGTCAGCGTCCTCCAGAGATTTGCGCAGAGCTCTCAACTCTGCGAGACAGGCTGAGGTACGAGCGCCGGTCACTGACTCCTCGGTACCGTTCAGCCAGAGAGTGTCCTTAGTGAAAGCCTCCGAGGCAGCAGCCGTGGTAAAGGTCCTTAGGTCATCCTGAGAAAGAGTGACTGAAATGGAAGAGTTCGTAGGAAGATTGAGCTTCGTGTCGCGCTTTCCCCAATATTTGAGGGTCTGCATTTAGATGCTAGTTAGTAGTCATCCCTGGCCCCTATCTCTCATCCCCCTCAGATAAAGCAGTCAATAATACTCACAGCAATGTTCACAGGAGCAGTAGTAGAAGCTGAGTATATTTTTGCCATTGTTTGAAGTATGAGCTACCGTCAATAGCTTTGTTTCAAGGACTATTATCAGATAGACTCTGAAATTTTAAAAACACGACGACTGTATTCGGCGAAGCCGCATGTGGTGTGTATGTCAACGAGGGGCTAGTAGTCATGCCCCTTGCCCCGGCGACGAGGACAATTATACTAAAACTGCATTCACGTCGCTCCCCGCCACTTAGATATCTGTAATCATTGATTAAAATACTTATAGCTGACAGACAAAAAGCTGGGCTTAAAATCACATCTTCAAGTGAATGGCGGCATCTGCAAATCACTTTAGACCATTTTTGTGGGTTAGGTTTTAAGGACATCTGTTTATAAGAAACCAGAGGCCAAATTAGGCGGACTTAGGTTGTATGGTGTAGTGGTTATCACTCCAGATTTTGACATTTGATAATAAATTTCTGGCAACCCCGGTTCGAGCCCGGGTACGACCTTTCACCTTTTTCTTTTCATTTTTTCTGGAGACATTTGTTTTTATGAGTTGCTTTTTTATTTTTTTCAGTTATATTTTTGAAGATCAGTTGAATGCTCGTGAATTTGCTGTAATGGAGTTGCTAGTTATGTAGCGTAGACCTTTTGTTCGAGGCCCTTAAGCGTGCGAACAGTAAATGGAACTCTGTCTTCGATTGTCAAAACGCGTGTCGCGCGCGCGTGTCACCTCAACTGTAAAGTAGTTTCTCTCCTGCATCCGCGTATCGATCCGGTCGACGACTATAAAGCCTTGCAGCATCACCGAAAACCTGATAAACGATCTGGACTTCTCATATCGCGGATTGGACGATAGAATCAATATTATAACTCGAACATAAGCAACGAATAGTATCAGCGATGTCGATTGTTTCACTCTTGGGAATTAACGTCCTGAACAACCCTGCAAAGTTTGATGATCCTTACGAGTTTGAGATAACTTTTGAGTGTCTTGAACCTCTGAAAGAAGGTATGACTAGAGCTGTTGATGTGCTTGACTTCTTTTTTTCAATAAACTGCTGGCTAACGGGTTCTTCGCTTGACTAGATTTGGAGTGGAAGCTCACATATGTTGGTTCATCGGCCTCGTAAGTTGTCCTATCTCTCAATCGCTCTATATGATCCGTCTATTTGTATCTCTTCAGAATCATTAACTCTTGAACAGCTCACAACACGATCAACTTCTCGACTCCTTATTAGTAGGACCCGTACCAGTGGGCACCAACAAATTCATCTTCCAAGCCGATCCACCGTCTCCCGATCTCATTCCTGCAGCTGAGCTGGTGAGCGTGACGGTCATCCTCCTTACTTGCTCCTATAAGGACCAGGAGTTTGTCCGGGTAGGATACTACGTGAACAACGAATACGACACCGAAGAGCTGCGAGAAAATCCGCCGAGCAAAGTGCAGATAGATCACGTTGTACGAAACATCTTAGCTGAGAAGCCGCGAGTTACACGATTCAATATCGAGTGGTGAGTCTTTTCTTATTTTACTTTAAGCTGTATCGCTTTTTTTGTTGTTGATGCTGATTATAAATGTAGGGATAACGACGAAAAGAAAGAGAAGGAGGACGCAGATGCGAACGGCGATGAAGAAGAGGAGGATGCATTATAAGATGCCGAATGAAAGGGATACGATAAATTCTATTAGTTTCTTGAGCTCTGCGAGGGCCAATCACTTTGTATAATAAAAACCGAAATCTTAACCGAGTATACAGATGATCGCAATTACAGGGACATGGTTTGACTGTTTTGATTTTAACGCCGTCCATCTTCAATATTCTATCTGCATTACCACACTTCAAATCAATATGGAATATTGATGTACATCTATCTCCGCTGATTATGCTTCCAAGACCCAAAATCACGCTTGTACATATCCATATTCCAATTCCGCCAAACGATCTTCCCGTAAGGGTTTCTCATCAAAGTCTCGCGTCCAGCCATAAACTCCTTTGCAATTTTCTCTCTGTAGTGATTCATTCCCTGGGCTGTCGTGATGTTGCACGCGTCGACAACTCTAGAGGATCCGGCACCGCAGGACAGTTCCACAAAGTGGCCATCGAGATCGTTCATCAGACGTTTGCGGGAGACGAGAGGAAGATCCGATTTCTTGTAGATCGACTCTGCAACATGCGCAAAGACAGTGTTCTGCATAAATTTCAGCTTGGCAGACTCGGGGAACTGTATGAAAGCGTCGACTATCTTGGTTGATAGTTCGGGAACGTGGGTGATGAGGCTCTCGACAAACAAGGATCTCTGCTTGATACTATCATTTAGTCGACTTCTCTGAGTCTCGGTGATAGACTCGTAGTCATCGATCTCCAGTAACGCCAGGAGGAAGTTTTTGTTGTCTTTTGGCGAGATGTTGGTTATTTTCTATGTGTGCGTTAGTTGATGTCCAACTCTAGTGTGGGAAGGAGAGGTCATGAGCTTACCTGCAACAGCTCTTGTTCCAGAACAGAGTGTCTTGAGATGGCAATGATAATGCTATTCAGGATTATGATGTTGGGTACTAATAGTCCAAAGTTAGAAATCTTTCCTAGTTAGTATCAGACAAAAGGGAGACTTACAAGATAAGTCGTTGACGCGCGCAAGCAACGCCTTACCGAATGCAGCAGTGTTCGACTTATTAAGTCGCTCCATGATGGCCTTAACGGCAAAGCTAAATCCCTGCGCCTTGTACACAATGTCTAGTCTAGGGACGAAGAATGAGAAGCAGAGGTAATCGACAAAGGAGATGGGGCAGCTATGTAATATGTTTTCCAAGAAGTGGCATCCGACAGAGCTACTCAGAAGGCTCTCGAGATAAGAAACCGTGATAAAATCAAGCTCTCCCGATGTGGTGGGGAAGATTATGCTAAGCATATCCTTGCGCATCAGACTGTCTTCGATTTCGATAATCAGCTGGACAACGGGACTCGAGATGGGATCGGAGGCTAATCTTCGTGCCTCGTCAGTCGTCAGTCTGTCCAGCATCGCAGCAAGAACATCTAGCACGGCATCCTTGAAGACCAGAGGGGTCTCATATGATTCATAAAAAATCTTGTCCGAGTTGTCAACAGCTGTTTTCTTTTTAGCACCCAGCACTTTTTTGTTGCTCATCACTGACTTGGCTGTTGACTCTTCGATAGCGGTACCGGAGAGGGCAAGGAGAAGGGTGCGAAACACATGTGACCCGAACGGATGGAAAGCAACGCGATAAATCTCAGGTTTGATTTCCTGTACTTCAAGTCAGTGTTTGCCATCCAATAGTCAGAAGCTCAAACTTACATACCGTATACATGTCCAAGATATTGGAGATGATTGGAGTCTTTTCAGGCTGCACTACACTGACTTCCGCAAGTTTTGGATTGCTCTTCATCTCCTCGTCAACCAACGCTCTTGATCGATTAATCCACGTCTGCAAGCAGTGGCTAGCAAATCGTTGAGTGGCAAGCTCGGCAACTCTGGAAGCGAACGCCTGATACGTCTCTAGCAGCCTCTCTTTCGAGGCGACGAGAAGTAGGCGTTCAAAAACTTTCGATCCAGTGGGATCAGTCACAACCTTTAGCTCGATCCCACTACATTCGTTCCACAAAGCATCATAGAGTTGATCCCGCTCTGTAAATAGTTGATCAGAGTGTGTTCTGGGCGCATGAAAAGATTGAAAATAGGCTGTCGACATACCTTCGTCGGATGAGAATGTGTTCGCATCGATGATTCCAGTGGCTTGCGTGAAGTATTCAATCTGGGTACTGTCCAGCAATCCGTAAAATGCCTGGGGATGAGGAGTAGGTTCTATGTTGTTGTCTTGTTAGCATGATCTCGACAGCCTTGCACTCGTGTATCGAATCTTTGTTACCTTCAGATCCCTCCTGCTCCCGTGAAAACTCGTGCTTTTCCTCAACCTCAGCAGGAGCCTCAACAGCTTTATCCTCCTTCTTGTAAGGCTTATCCTTCAGCCTCCGACCTCTCTTCTTGTTTTCTTTCGGCATGGTTGTACTGAGGTGGTTTAGTTACTGCTGATAAAACGACAAACAAAATACTTTCAGTGGAGGAGGTTGGGATAATTCTGCGATAGCCCCTGAAAAATTTTGTGTTAGCGCAACTCATGGGATTAGGGCTTTGAATTCAGGCTCGTCAGTTGAAGCACCCCTGCCATCTAATGGTGGTTATTATATTTGTCATTCCAAAAAAACGAGGTCTGTAAACTAAAATCTATATATCGTATACTTCCTCGTGAACTGTTGCCCCCAGTCGGCGTCCCCATTTTGAGCACTCGCTCACGAGACGTCGACTACCGCACGAGATGACCCACATTCCTCCGCTATCGACATCAGCTAAAGCTTTGAATTCCTTCAGTTCAGTTTCAATGTTCAGACGACCATATGTCACCTTGATCCCTTCTTTCAAACCAAACTCAGTCGCCTCGTTTCCAAGCTCATCCGAGATCGGCTCTCCGACATATTGGGGGTCAGCAGCATCGAACCCAGAACTGGGAAGAGTATCTTGAAGTTCCACCGGCTGCAAGAACGGATCCTGCGACTGATCGTTCGCGTTGGAGCTGACAAAGACATCAGCATCCTCAAGGCCAAGAATCTTTATCAAGCCCAGATCTGCTTTCGAGCGCACAGCCCAAATGATCTTAACTCTCTCGTTCATCTTGATAAGAGTTTTGGCAATCGGTGCCGCAAAGGAGATGCCGACACCGCCTGCTATTATAACTGTTCTTCTCAGAGGCTTGTCTGCTTTGTACATGTTGACAAAAAAGTCATAAGACAGTGATGGATAGGGACCGTGCACAATATATTCCCGGTCCTCTTCGAGCTTGAATCGTCGCGATGGTTTGACCACTAGCTGAACGGTGTCTTCGTCTGCCGAGAGACTGGCGATCGTGTATGGATGTGATGCAGATAGAAACCAAACCGGTGCAGATTCGCGCGTAGGAGATAATCTGATGTGTGATCCTGGCTCAAAATACTTAGGAAATAACTTCCGGGGTAGACTAACGACAATCGTATGCCTGCTAATCTTTTGTATTTGCAGACGACTTTCTTGACCGAATCCATGCCGTTGGAAGAGTTGGCCACCGATGCAGACCAACAATAGAATGGTAACTGCCCATACACGCGGTCGTGCATGATAAGCCAGCAGCGGCAGACACAGCCATGAAAACGCCAGATGTGTTTTGTAGAAAAGTTCGTGGTTGCGATGGCGGATGAAATAGAAAGATACTAAAAGAGTGAGCACAAATCCGGCGGTAATGACGACTCCCGCAAAATTCGCAAAGTGTAAGATGTTCTGCTGCTTTCCCATCTTGAAAAAGTAAACCAGGTACAGCACGCCGTGCGCTGTCGAGATTATGACGAGGAGACGACCGAGCCAGATGTGGAGAGGCATTAGTCGCAGGTACGATTCGCGAGGAATAGGTGAAGGTTTGAGGGAAAGGAAGTAGAGCGCGGGCATGATTGCGGCCGATATTCTAGTATAGTTGACTGTTTAGTTTGCGGTTTAGTGTGCACAATCTCAGCCTGAACATACCGTCCCAGTCTCTTTGTAAGGAACAGGAAATCATCGTGAGTTTGGAGAAAGGACACCAGGATCAACACAATTGAAGTCAAAGAAACGGCAAAGACCAACGGAACAGGCTTGCGCATGAACCGAGGCAGTCGAGATGCTACGAGCGCGCGAATGGCAATCAACAGGAGAACGATGAATGAAATGAAGAGAGTAATACTGGCGTATCGAGTCGTTAACACCCGTCTGAGCTGCTTCAGCTCGCCTGGCGGAGAAGGATCGATGGAGAACATGCTAATATCGCTCTCTTCACTTCAATTCACCTTGGACAGAGAGCCCGCAGCAGGCTCAGGAGCGACAGACTTGCGCAAATTTACGTCTGAGGACTGTTCGCCGGAGTTTGTAGCTGAATATCAGAGAGTACTCGTCAGCGAGCACGTGTTAGGAGGCCTCCCCCTTGTTTTTCGTAAACCCTAATGCGTCGATGTTAGGGTACCCCGACGCGTATACGCGCGATCCTGCATCTACGTCGCGTCCACTATCCGAGATTTAGAGGTTTGCCTGTATTCAACATGGCGGTGGACTATAACACGCTGCTTGCTACTCGTGTAGTGCACGAGCAGAAGCCGGTGAGCTATATAATGGTATAAGTGAGATTTGCTCGTGCTAACTCGGATTCAGATAACCTATCGACTCCTATCAAGAGAGCAGAAGATAAACGTCACTGTCGCGAAGAAAGTGTTGTATGCGTTTTATGATGCCGCTAAAAAGCAGTATCCGGGACAAGTACATGCGACCTACGCGATTGCAGGTGTTGAGCGCGTCGCGACCCCAGCCGATGAAGACACAGTCATGAGCGACGCCTTGCCCAGCTCGCAGCCAACCGATCCCGACAGCTCTCAAGCGGAATCTGAAGTCAGAGTGAATGAAACTACACGGACGACTTTCCAGCTTGTCCAACAAGAAGATCTGGAGGAGGTGAAGCTCCGGTTTGACAGGATCGATATGATTTATGTGTACTCTCTCGAACCCGCGCCGCTGTCTAGTGATCTGGTCGTGTTGTCTGATTGTCAGCGCGCGGTACGAGAGATGGACGTTTCCGGTGGTCTTGAGCTCTTCAACACCATCGCGACATGTCAGAACCCCAAGGCAAAGCAGAGCTCTAAGCCTATCCAAATCACTCCGCCATCGGCCCCAGCAGGACGTGCACCTGCTCCATCGAAGAAGGCAGATAAGCCTACCGTTGGATCTGGCGATGACAAGAGCTCTCTCGCCAAGCAAAGTTCCGCAGCGCAAACTAAGAAACCTACTCAGCGACCATTCCAGCTCTCTACGACGTCAAAGCCGAAGCCAAAGGTCAAGACCGAAGCCCAAGAGTCTGTGCAAGAGTCTGGGGCTGCCAAAATGCTCGAATCAACGAAGGAGGTTCCAGTTATCAAAAAGGAGAAGCCGGCAACAAAGGCCGCCTCCTCTACGAAACCTGCCGAAGTATCTCAGGAACTGCAGAGCATGTTTTCTGACAACGAATCCGATCAAGAGGAAGACGCTAAATCTGATGTTGACATGATTGACGAGGTGGACGAAGCGCCTATGGACAGTGGGCTGATTGGAGAGCCTGCAGAAGTGCCAGATGATAGTGCAAGTACTTCTGCCAACGACACCCCGGATTCCAAGATGGACAGCCAACCCGCTGAGGATCCCGAGCGTCAAACCGACTCTGCAGCTGAAGTCGAGACCGAGGAACCTGTGGCGGTTGACAGTACGGCGCCAGCCAAGCCAAAGGGACGAAAGAGAGGTACAAGGAAAGTGGAGGAGCGGGTCAGTACGATGGAGAATGGGTTCATGGTGCGGAAAACTGTTACAAAGTGGGTGGAATACTCTGAGAGCGAGAGTGAGAGTGAAGCCGTGTCGGTTCCAGCAAAGGCCAAGCCGGCTTCGTCTAAGCCTGAGCGCAAGACTTCGCCGGCCGTGAAAGCTGAGCCAGCAGAAGGAGATAAGGATACGGATAGTAGCGACACTTCTAGTAAGAAAGGAGGCGTCAAGAAGAAGGGTCTCATGAAGGGACAGGGGTCTCTGATGAGCTTCTTCAAAAAGAAATAATAAAGAACGAGATCAGTAATCTCTATATTCTATACAACATTATCTAACTGAGCCGGCTCTGATCTGTAGCATCTAACGAGCTTCTCTTAGCCAAAACTGATACTTTTCTGATTCAATCATGGTGCCAGTCGGTTCACTTCCCACTCAGAATCCTCGTTCTCGCGAGTAAAAGTAAACCGGTCATGCACTCTGTTCATGCCACCCTGCCAGAACTCGATCTCCAACGGCACTATACGCAGTCCACCCCATCCCTCCGGTAGAGGAATATCGTCGACATCCTTAAACTGCTCCTTCTTCTCCTCCACAAGCTCATCGAGCACCTCGCGAGACTCGACCGGCTGACTCTGCGGACTCGCCCACGCGCCAATCTTACTATCGCGCGGTCTTGTCTTAAAATAAGCGTAGCTCTCTTCTGGCGTCACAAACTCGGTCTTGCCTTCGACACGCACCTGGCGCTCGAGGCCCTTCCAAAAAAATGTGAGTGCAGCGTGGGGATTCGAGAGAATGTCGCGGGATTTCTTGGATGTACGCCAGTTGGAGTAGACGATGAAGCCTCGCTTGTCGAGTTCTTTGAATAAGACTATGCGGGCTGATACACGGCCGGAGGGCAGCTGGGCGGTCGAGAAAGTGGTGGACTCGGCAATGGGCTCGTTGGCCTCGACGGCTTCTTTGTACCAGGCGTTGAACTGCAGCAGAGGACTCTCGTTCAGACTGGCGCGAGTGAGGTGCGCCCGCGTGTACTGCTTAGTAGCGGGGGCGACTGGAGACGTGTTAGTGTGAATGACTTCGGATCAAGCGGCGAGAATTATACGTACAAATCAGTCTTTCTTTGTTCATTGCGAGTATCTGTTTATTTAATGTACAGCAAATGGAGAATCGGTGCAGAGAAAGAAACTATGCGCGAGCGACCGGGATTTATGGAGAGGATGAGTTTTATGACGCATATGGCTTGTGCGGCTCACACCATTTTTCTTCTTCGTTCACGATAGAGACCGCTCATCTCATCCGTTGCTGGTCCGCGGTTTGTCGGCGCCACCGGAGAATGAATCGGGTATCTCAGTACCTCAGAGGAAGATGAGCGATACGGAATCTCGAGACTTAGTGTCTGGAGGAGGAGCAGAGGCAGAATCGGCAACAGCCCACACTGCGCAATCGTCGTCTGCTATCCTTCGCCGCCACCGCGTCAAGTTCGTGGCAGCTTCCACCGAAGAACAGACTGTCACGCAAGCTGCCGCAGACCGCAGCAGAGGACAGTCTGTTTCTTCGTTCTACGCGTCGTTGGTCGGTATCAACAAGAGCCCGGAGTCGGACACGCCAACCCCTCCGCGCGAGAGCCCGCCAGAGACGTCTATCGCGCGTCTGCTTGAGAAGACCCCGGTCGAGGCGCCGATCGCGCGACTGCCGGTCGAAGAACACTCTTCGGGACATCGGTACCTGGTTCGCTATGGCTGGCACCCTCTACAGCCGGTGGGTTTAGGTGCGCCGGGGCGAGAAGGTCGACGCGTGCCGGTAAGGGCGGAGGTGCGTCCGGACTACGCGGGCGTCGGCGCGAAGGTGAAAACCCGGGCGGCCGACGCGAAGAAGCAGCAGGATGCGCCCAAGAAAGTGACAAAGGCCGAGCGAAAGAGGCTACAGCGAGAGAAGACGGAGCGCGAGAAGCGTGAACGGCAGGCGCTGTATGATGAGATTGTGCGTGGGCGGTGAAGTGCGCTGACACCTGCTGAGTGTCTGGTACCTGTGATTAGGGTTTCGCTTTCAACCTGTTCCTGCTCTTCTAATTCTGGCATCTCCCGGCACAGGCAGCTTGCATGTCCATCTCCGGCTCCGTCCAGACTTTGCCGCTCATCGTCGGTCACATATCAATGCTAATTCGCAGAGACTGAGCATGCATCATCGTGCTCGCTCTCCGTCTGCTCGTCCCCGCCAGCAGTTTCCGTCAGTACTATCATCCTCGACCGCGGCCTCGGCTTTGGCTCCCAACCCCGCCAGTCTTCCTCGAGCGTTTTCTCGTCCCCCGCGATCCTCGACTCCATCACCCGAACGTAAAGCCCGATCTGCGTCTTCGGTCCGTTGGACTTATCGTGCGATTATAGCAGGCATGGTTGCGATTACTAGCTTGCTGCTCCTGGGATCATTCCTTTTCAGCACGCCCTCGTATGCGGTACAAGAGTCCTGGAGGGTGCGTGATGCATCTTGCCCGGATTATAAAACATTCTCAACTCGCCGTCATACTCCAGTAACAAATGGTGAGTATACAGTCTGATGCGATCTATCTGATCTCTGGCTTACTTATCGTTTGACAGGTCCCCTGCGATTACCGTTCCAGCGGCCAATATCAGAATGTAGAACGTTCTCGTCAAAAGAGGTTGAGCGGGTGATCAAAGAGGTGACTGGCCGTATTCCCGACGTTGATCTCTCTAGACTGTTTGAGAACTGCTTCCCAAATACTCTGGACACCACAGTACGTTGGCATGTGCCCGGGCGTTCACCCCAGTCCTTCATCGTCACGGGCGACATCAACGCCGAGTGGATCCGCGACTCCACCAACCAGCTCTCACCCTATCTCCCGCTGGCCAAGGTTGATAACGACATCCGCACGCTAATTCTAGGTGCGATTCACACGCAGGCCGAATTCCTTACCTTCTCGCCCTACTGCAACGCTTTCCAACCTCCCGCGCAGTCCCATCTGAAACCGTCGTCGAACGATCAGAGCGATAACGTCAATCCTCCGTATGATCCGTCGCTGGTTTTTGAGTGCAAGTATGAGCTGGATTCGCTTGCGTCGTTCCTCAACCTCGCGAATATGTATTTTGAGCAGACGGGCGATGCCTCGTTTGTCGGCAGCGACCCATACTTTCTCGAGGCGCTGAAGAACGTGCTGCAAGTACTCGACGAGCAGGCGCTTACGACTTACGACGAAAACGGCAACGACAGACGCAACCGATACATCTTCCAGCGCCAGACCAACGTCGGAACCGAGACCCTGGCGCTGCAAGGAGCGGGGAACCCGACGAACCTCAACACCTCGCTAATCAGGTCTGCATTCAGACCGTCGGACGATGCAACAATCTTGCAGTTTTTCATCCCCGCGAACGCATTTGTTGCTGTGGAACTCAAGCGGGCTAAGAAACTGCTTGCTGCTGGCGGCTATGCCAAGATGGCAGACGAGCTATTTTCAAGAGGCGAGAAGATCGAAAATGGGGTGTGGGAGCATGGCGTCTACGAGCACAAGGTGTATGGCAAAGTCTTTGCGTACGAGGTCGATGGCTACGGCAGTATTATCAACATGGACGATGCCAATCTGCCGTCGCTGCTCTCGTTGCCTTTACTCGGCTTCGTCGACGCCAAGGACGAAGTCTACCAAAACACTCGCCGGATGCTGCTCAGCAAGGCCGGCAACCCGTATTTCCTCAAGGGCCCAGAGTTTGCGGGCATAGGCGGCCCTCACATCGGCGTGCGGTACGCGTGGCCGATGTCGCTGCTGACTCTGATCCGGACGTCGGACGACGACGTCGAGATCGCGGCCGCGCTCGATCTGGTCAAGAAAACCACGGGCGGACTAGGTCTGATGCACGAGAGCGTGAACGTCCGGCGCGCAAGGGATTACACGCGGTCGTGGTTTGCGTGGTGTAATTCGGAGTTTGGAAAGACGATTCTCGACTTGGCGGCGCGGAAGCCGCATCTTGTGTTTGGAGAGGGGGCGGAGTCGTATTCGATCGACTCTGTGGCAGGTGCTTGAGAGAGCACGGAGTATTTTCCAAAGCGTGGTTTTTATTTGAAGACCGCAGGAGTATTTTTATTTGCGTTGTAGCGTTTGTGTTCTGTACAGCTGGTAATAAAAAAGTTTCACTGCATAAGCTGTATTCGTAACCTGAGGGAGGAAAATAACGTATAATGTCATAAGATATTTCTATGTACTTCTACAAAAGAGTCCAAAAAGAATAATCGAAGAAGAAAACAAAAGATGCGTATGTAGTACAAGAACTGAGGAAAGAAATACACCAGTTATGCGACAAGAAAAGAAAGAAGAAAGAATTACGTACGGTAGTTATACGGAAGAAAAGAAACAGAAGAAAAGAAACGGATCCGGAGAAAGACTAATTTACACAAAAGAAGTATAGAAGATTATGTATGAGCCAAAAAAAACTGTGGAAAGGGGGACTAGAAAACATGTTCTTCGAAATCCAGGACGTCGTCCCCGGAGGCGGCGTTGCGACTCCGGCCGATTTCGTATGTCTCGACGGTACCGTTGATGAAGACGACAAAGAGCAGGTATCGGCGGTGATAAGCGTCAGCCTGGGAGTCGACGACCGCGACGTCGAGGCCGATGAGCGGGTTCGTCGAGCCCGAGTTTTTGACTCTGCCGATGACGTATTCCTGGCGCAGCCCGGCCTGGCGGGTGTCGTCCACGCGGCAGCATTTGAAGATCGAGACGGAGCCCTGCTGGGTTGCGACGATGAGGCATGCGAGCTCGCGGATCGTGATTGCCATGTTGAGACGGTCGTAGGAGGCGGAGAATTTTTCGTAGTCGACGCGGGTGCCAAAGACTGTGGGGCACATGTTGCAGAGCTGCATTTCGCCGTTGTCGGGCGAGAAGTCGAGGAGACGGGTTTGGTAGAGCGAGCCGTGGTAGACGATTAGGTCGTCGATGATGTAGGTCTCATTGCGCTTCTTGTCCGACATGGTCGGGTGCAGGAGGTATGCAGAGGGCGTGGCGGAGACCTGGGAGGTCGGCACGCCGAGGAACTCTGCGTCGAGACGTTCCTGGCTGAGCATTGTGGGCCGCGTGGACGAGTCAATGACGGTTTCAAAAGCCGACAAGGGCGTGCCGGCGCTGTCGTAGATTTTGAAAGGCGAGTCGTGCCGTTGGTGGCGGAAGAAGATGTTCATGTACGGGTTGTGAGACTTTGTGGGGAACGAGAGCACAAGCCTGGGGTCGGTCTCGGTGTGGGCTAGTGTGACGGGGTCCACTGTTTTGAACGACTCGCGCTTGACGTTTGTGATTACGTCCGAGTTTGCGACGTTGAGGAAATCGTGGCGCCAGAGGATCTTTGTGTGCCATCCTTTTTTGTTGGGAAAGGCCGCGGATGCAATGCACTCTTTTGTGTTTACGTCCCATAATTTCAGATCACCGTCGATGGCGGTCGACGAAATGCACGCCCGGTAGGCGACGCGGCCGTTCGATTCCCGCAGCGGGATATCCATGAACTGGATGCAGGGGATATTGTTGTCGTGGGCCTCGACGATGCGGACCTTGAATTTCGCCAAGTCGAGGTTTCGCTTGTTTTGTGGCTCGTGCGGCCTTAGCTCATCGCTGCCTCGGGTTCGCTTGGTTTTCGGCCGACTGCTGCTGCCGCTGCTACTGCTGGCTTCGCCCGGATCTGTGGTGGTGGCTTGTGCTGCAGAGGCCGAGGCCGTAGCCATGACGTCCGAGCCCGCGGAGTAGTCGGTGTCAAAGTCCTCGGTCTCTTGGCGCCGGCGCGTGTGGTCTCGCTGGGCTTTGCCGTGGTCCCAGTTCTCGAGCGCTTCTTTGATGCCGAGCCTGAAGACGGTGATCGAGCGGGTGTTGTCGGAGACGGCGACGAGGCATTCGCGGTCGTGGAAGTCGACGCCCCACGCAGACTTCTCGACCTGCAGGGTCTCGATCGGGAGCATGTCGCGCGCGCGCTCGCCGGCGCCTTCTTTGTCATGGCCGCGCAGGATGGCGGAGGTCGCGTAGACGTGGCATTGGCCGGCGTCGGTGAGGACGGCGAAGTGCTCTTCGCCGCCGAGGGAGCCCATGCGGAGGGCGTTGATGCAGAAGAGATCCATAGGGTTGTTCGCGCCCAGGATTTGGGTTCTGGTGGGGGGGTTGGTTTTTGGGGGCGTGAGCTGAGTGAAGAGAGTGAGTTCTGGCCGCGAGGATGATAGCATCTTGAAGACTTTGATTTTCTATTGATTGATTAGTCAATTGAGTAGAAAATGTATGAAAAGCATGCATAAAGAAGCAGGCAAAGGAATGAACATACCACTCCATCGGCAATGAATATAAAGCCGTACCGACTGACACCGACAAGATTGTTGCGCCAGGTCTCGAGACGGGCAAAAGCAATCTTCTGTCGCCCAATAGGTTCCACATCGAGAAACAAAGGAGTCTTGTCCTCGGCGGCCTGGGAGATTCCCGCGGTGCGGGCCATTGGCGAGCGGATTTGGTTGAGCGGGGTGTGGACCGGGTGAAAGTCGTAGGTGATGTTGCGGCGCTGGCGAAAATCTTCAGACTCGCCGTACTCGTCGTCCTCTGCATCGGTGTCTTCGGAGTCCTCGGAATTGTAGTTGTCGGAGTAGTTGTCGGGGTAGTCGTCGTCGTCATCGTCGTCGTCGTCGTAGTCGTCGTCTGCGTAGTCTGCGGGGTCGCGGCGGGCGGAGGAGGAGGATGAGTGGCCGGGAGCGGAGCTGGAGCTGGAGCCGTCGATGTTGTGGCTGGAGGAGGAGGTGATGGCATTGAGGTAGTCTGGGGTAGAGGAGATGGGCCCAGCCTGCGGGAGAGCCTGGTTGAGGCTAGCCGCTACATCTACGAAGCTGGACACGGAGTCGTCGAGCGAGGCCATGCGCGAGGTAGAGGCGGCGGGAGAGGAGGGGGGTTGGCAGAGGTAGGGGGAAGAGTGCAGAAGCCAGTCCAACCTTATCGTGGTCGACGGGGAGGAGAGACTGCCCGCGAATCCAGAATGACTTATCTCTGGACGGAGCAGTGGTGAGGAGCGAGCGGTTCGGCGAAGAGAGTGGGACGGCGGTGGATGGGGATGAGTGGTGAGCCGGGGGGTCAAAAGCAGAGCAGTAGGAGGAGGAGAAGGAGAAGGACCAGGGCGAGGAAGAACGGGGAAGAGAACGGCGGAGGCGGTTTGTTGTGGCCGGGCATGCAGCTCACTCAGTTATCGGCCACCCGGCGTACTAACTAAAAACTCTAGCGCGCCGTGGCTGCCTGCGCTGGCTGAGAACAGGGGCGGGTGTGCGGGTGGTGGTGATGAGGGCGATGGCGATGATCTCTTATGATGGATGCAGTAATGCTGCTCGACTGCTTCTCTACGCAGAGGCTGCTGCCCTGTGCTGGCCGTGATCCGGCCATCTCGGACTGGGCGCTGGCGTTGGCGCTGGCACCGGCGTCCTCGCCGCAAGCCCTCTTTGTCTCTCGTCCACTGATCCTCGTTGGAGAGTAGTAAATTTCGACCGGTCTCTGCTACGCTGCTGCTACGCTGCTTCATTGTTCGCCACTCGTCCGTCCCGTACCCGCACAGTGAACAATCGCCAGAAGCCGTTGAATTCCCGGGCCTGGAAGCACTGCAGTGCAGCCTGCGGTAGGCTGAGGGGCGCACGCCATTTTGTCTGTAAATGGGCCCTAACCCGCAACCTTCGAGCGATGTTCTCTTAATTCCGTTTGAGAGAGTGAAGTAGTGAATGTGAAGTGGTGAAGTAGTGAGTAGTAAGTAGCGAAGATGAAGCAGATTATTGCGATAAGAAAGACTTATCAAAAGATAACACAAGACATCAGACTCACAATCCGAGACTGCGATGATGCGATCCAAAGGCTGAGTTTGCGTTCTCACGCGCGTATCTTCGCGAGTACGTTCACCGTTTCTTCTTGTCTCAACTTCTGTCTTTCGTCGTCGATATCCGATATTCACACTCTTATTCTTATTCTTTCTTCTCTCTATCATCCTCCCTCTCTCAATTGCTGTATGTTGTAGCACGTATATGGATTAGTCATGGATTACACATCCATCGCTCTTCTCCGACACCAGCCGCACACTCACCTCCTCCATCCTCACCGATCTTCACCAATCTTCACCAATCTCCCTGATCCCACCAATCTCCCTGATCCCACCAATCTCCAATCTCCAATCTCACAATCTCCCTGATCCTCTCGATCTCACAATGAGCAAACACCCCATCACCTGTCACGTGCTCAACACCATCACCGGCAGACCCGCCGCCGGCCTCCGCTGCGAGCTGCTCAAGCAGTCCTCGTCCTCCTCCACCAGCGACTTTTCCACCTTCGCCACCGCGACCACGAACGCCGACGGCCGCGTCGTGTTCTGGGACTTGCTCGAGACGTCGGAGAGTACCTCGCCGGCTTCAAATCAGGCGTTTCTTGACCTCGCATACGTCGGAAGCGAGGACTACGCGTCTGCCAACGACTGTCTTTATAAAGTCAAGTTCCTCGGCATCGACCAGCTCTTTGACAACGACACCTTCTTTCCCTACGTTGACATTGTTTTCAAAGTTCCGGCTGGGAAACTTGGGCTTGAGCATTTCCATATTCCTTTGCTGCTCTCAAAGTACTCTTACTCTACTTACAGAGGAAGCTAAGCTTATAGACATTTGTACATATACTTCTTTATATAACAACATCACCATAGCTAAATTAGAGCCAAATAGCACTTATTAAGAGTCTGTCTACATATATACCTACGTCACATCACCATAGATAATAATATAACGACTCAGCGCTAAGCTTATATTCAGAGATCTGTGTACAGTTACCTCACTTCAAAAAACCAGTTATATGATCGACGACGACTCACTCGGCGCCACTCCCGGAATATTAATCCGCTTCACCCGATTCGTATACGCCGACGGAATAATCTCCACAATCTCGTTCCGCTCAAACTCCAGCTTTGGAATATCGTTCGGCTGACACGCCATCAGGTACCCGTACAGCACCCGCAAAACACTCACGTGCGCAACAATCAGAATGTCGTTCGGAATCCGCTCCATCTCCAGAATCACGGGCTCCAACCGCACCGCCAGATCGTGGTACGACTCTGCGCGCGGGTACCGGTGGCGGTACGGGTCTTTGGCGTGGTTCTCGACCTCGTCCGGGAACGTCTGCTCCAACTCCTCCCGCGTAAGCCCATCGCACGACCCCGGATGGAGCTGAGAAAGCTGGCTTCGCTGTCGGCACGAGAATCCCCGGTTCTCAAACTCGGCCGCAGACTCGATCGTTCGTCGCCGCGTAGACGTCCACACTATAAGCTCGCGCTCGGCAACTGACTCGCCGTTCTCTTCTAATGCCTTGTGCTCCTTCCGTCGGTGCTCAAGTAGTGTATCTGCCAGCTTCTTCGCATAGTCCAGACCTTCCTCGCTCAAATGTGGATCCGACTTGTACTTTGGCCGTGTTTCAGTCGACCGTCCCGCCTAATCTCCTCGTTAGCATAAATCCACTCCAAATTAAATCAATCTCACTCACCCTAGCAAAGTAGACGCATCCCGCCTTGATCTGCAAGTTCATCAAATAAAACACTATCCGATTCGGAAGATACCCAACCCGCGTATTATTAAGCAAAATCCGCTCGCCCGCATTATATAGCTTGATATAACTGAACTCCGTCTCATCCAAACTCTCATAATGCGGAATCTTGTCGCTGATCCGCCGCAGGTAGTCCTTGATCGCCTCCTTCTCGTCCCAGCCGATATAATCCGGCGACGAGATCTTCACGCTGCGCACGTTGGCCTCGATAATCTCGGGCCGGTCGCAGATCGACTCGATGAACAGGACCTGGATCCCATGCTGTGTAAACTCCTTGTGCAGCATCCGTCGGCCGTTCGACGTCGGGTTCACGGCGTCGTAGATTGCAACCTGGCCGCGCTCTTCGTCAAAGAACTTGAACACGTCGCTCTTGCACGCTGCCATCACGCGCTGCCGTAGCAGAACTGTCTCGGGTGAGGCGTTCACCATGAAGTAGTCCTCTGGCACTTCTTTCTCGTTGGGAATACACGTCCGTCGATAATCGCCTAGGTGAAATGCGTGCGTCTTGACTCCGAGCCTGTTCGAATCAAATAGATCAGCAACCACTCTCTTCTTCACTCTCCCCTTCACTCCCTATCAAGTTAACTCACCATCGTAGGTACCGCGTAAGCGAAACCGCCAAATGTCTACATAAAAGTCAGCACAGAACACCCCAAAAAAACAAATCAGACTGCATACGTCTTGCCCCGCGCAGGCAGGCCAACGAGCGCAATACACACTTTCCCCGCATGAAACAACTGTCCCGACGCGGTCGTGTACAGCTGCGCCGGCGACATATGGCTCGCGCTCGGCGGCTCGTGGATCCCGTCGTAGTCCACGCTCGAGCCGATCCGCGGCCGCTGCTGCTGCTGCTGGAGCCGGGCGGTCCGCGGAAGAGGCCGGGTGTAGCCGCCGCCGACGGCGAGGGGTTGCATGCGGTACGTCGACGGCGTGGACGGGCCGGTGAAGACGCTGGTGATGGGCGAGGTGGCTAGCTCGGAGTGATATGTGGAGAGGCCTGGTGGAGAAAGCGAGTCGGAGGAGGAAAACGAGGGTTGCCGGCGGGAAGTCGGGATCGGCGTCCGATCTGTCGACGGGGAAGATGCAGAGATGATTAGTCCGTCGTCTTCCGCGCCGCTGTCTTCCGAATCGGACGAGAGCGGCGGAGGAGACGGGGAGGGGGACAGTGAGAGCATCGTTGAGGATAAATGATCCGCTGGGAGAGAGAAATTAAGACGAGTAAAACTGCTCAGATCTGTGACAAGAGGACAAGAGAGTGATGAACCACAGTAGAGATCAGTCTACCAACAATACAAGGCAGCTAGATCACTGCAACACCCAAACTGTCTGCAAGGTTATTAGGAAGGAAGAAGACAAAGATTGAGGAAGATTGTGGAGAGTTCAGAGTTCAGAGTTTTGCCGGCACGTGATTACGATCGACCTGCCAGCGACGGCTTTCTGTCGGATGCGTGTGCGGATCGCAAAGGCCGCGGCTCGCGACGGGTTGATTATCAATAGACAACCGTCTGAGAGTAGTGATTGTTGCGATTTGGAATCATGTCTTTTTATCTGGCGATTGTTGGCACGAAGGATAATGCTGTTTACAGTCTAGACTTTGGGACGTACCGGCAAGGCGGGGATGGAACATCAAAGGTACATGCGCCAACGACTTTGAGGGAGGTTGTAGGATTTTTACTAATTGATTCTGGGTGATTAGTTCTCGTCTGATATGCGGCAATTATGTCCGTTTATTGTGCACTCGTCGCTTGATATCATAGAAGAAGTGCAGTGGACAAATGGCGCGATGTGCGTATTGATTCGATCTCTTATGTTGCGGCGACGGATGATACTGACTAGTTTCACGACAGGCATCTTAAAGTCATTGATAAATTTCACAATTATCTGATCTCTGCCTACGTGACTACAGGAAGTGAGTACATCATTCTGTTTGAAAATACAGGTGACAAGAGCTGATCGGGTTGGTATAGATATCAAATTCCTGCTACTCCACGAGACGCGCGCGGATGAGGTTATACGGCAGTTCTTTGTCGATCTATACGATTTGTACGTCAAGACTCTGATGTCGCCGTTTTACTCTGTCGACCAGGCAATCACGAGTAAAGTGTTTGATCAGCGCGTGCGGATGCTGGCCAAGAAGTATTTATGAGTGCTCAGATTCTGCTCAGAGTTGCTTGTGCTTTTTATGATTATTGATGAGTCTCTGGTCTGGCTTAGGTCAGAGTCTTGTCCCGGCGTTGGTCTTGTCTTTTCTCCTCTTTTTTAAAATCCTTCTCAAAAGCAACCTTGATGGATACAACCACTCCTTTGTCTAGATAAGGAACGGGCCACAGAAACAGCTGCAGCTGTGTTTGCGTTGCATAAGTTTATGTATTTTTGTGTATATTAGAATTTCATTGGACAAAGAAATTTTCTGTTTTCTAGATGTCTTTCTGGTTGTAATGGCAGATTTATCATATAGATTTGTCAAAATCGTATGAAATTATGTAGTTTTATGCGTTCTTTATTTGGATATCGTAAGGACTGCTATGATAGCGAGCATAGTAATTCATGAGCACAAAGTTACAAATATCCACGTACATGAGAGCAGGAATTTAGCAAATGGGGTTGGAGTAGATGGTTGGCTAGTCATAATTAATGTGTGAATATTTGAAGCAGCTCGGTTGTAGCAATTGTGAGCAAAGCGCGCTGACTTACGAAATTACGAGTCACTCCAGAAACTTATACAGTTCTTGCGCTTTTGTTATTTATCACAGTATTGACACAACGTCTTGCAACTAATTTTCTAAATTACTGTTCATTATTTTATTCTCAATTATTCAAACAAAAAACAATCTCTAGATATGCGAACAGAAACAAGCATATCTAAAGAAGACTGTCGAGGAAATAAAAAGAGTACTAACAAAGTAAGACAGAGATGTGACAGATATGCAAATCCTGCACCACAGTCGATGGCCGGCGGGGAACAGCGCGATAAGATGAGTCGCAGTCGAGGCGTCGGAAGGTCAGAGATACGGACAGGTCGTTCACTCGCAGCCTTTTTTTCCCTCCACCTTACTCTGAAAGCCTACACCTGTGCTCTCAACCACTCAATTGATTAGACAACTATAGCAAGAAGCAGCAATGGATCCGCAGACAAAGTCGCAGTTTATTAAGGACCTGCCTAAGGTCGAATTGCATATGCATTTGGAGGGTAAGCTACGATGAGCACTGCCGTGGGCAGACAGTCGAGTACAGTACAATAAGCGCTGCTAACAACTATTATTTATAGGCTCGCTGGAGCCCGAACTTATGATAGAGATTGCGAAGCGTAATAATGTGGACATCCCGTTCACATCAGCCGAGCAGATTCGCGAGGCGTCGGTGTTTACGAGTCTGCAGTCGTTCTTGGACCTGTACTATCTCGGGCACACTGTGTTCAAGACGCGCCAGGATTTCTACGACCTGATCTGGGCGTACTTCAAGCGGGTTGCGACGGGAAACCTGCGCCACTGTGAGATCTTTTTCGAGGCGCAGGAGCACGTCAACCGCGGGGTGAAGCTGGAGGACATTGTGCTCGGGCTGCACGACGCGTGCGTGCAGGCCAAGAAGGAGTTTGGGATTACGTGCGGGCTGATTTTGACGCTGCTGCGCCATTTCCCGCCGGAGAACATGATGGAGCTGCTGAAGCAGGCGGTGCCGCTGAAGGAGTACATTGTGGGGATCGGGATGAGCTCGTCGGAGGCGGGGTGCCCGCCGTCGCTGTACGTTGACATTTTCAACTTTGCGCGCGAGCAGGGGTGGCATGTGACGTCGCACGCGGGAGAGATTGGACCGCCCGAGTACGTGAAGGACTCGATTGAGCTGCTGAAGATCGAGCGGTGCGATCACGGGATTGGAGCGCGGACGCGGCCGGACATTGTGAAGCTGCTGGCGGAGAAGGAGATTGGAGTGACGATGTGCCCGATCTCGAACGTGCTGCTGAAGGTGACGGAGTCGATTCCGTACTCGCCGATCCGGCAGTATCTGGACGCGAACGTGAAGATGTGCTTCAACAGCGACGACCCGTCGTACTTTGGGAGCAACTACATTGACGAGAACTACGCGGCGGTGGAGAAGGAGATGGGGTTGAGTGTGCGGGAGTGGGTGAAGATTGTGCAGGATGCGATCGACATGAGCTGGGCGGAGGACGATGTGAGGGGGAAGCTGCAGGAGGAGCTGGACGGGGTGAAGGCGAAGTACAAGGTGAAGGAGCTGTATGGGATTGAGTAGAGAGTAGAGAGAGTAGAGTAGAGAGAGAGTAGAGAGAGAGCAATGAATAACCCTAAGATCACGTGCAACTCTACTCCCCCCCGCAGCAGCAGCAGCAGCAGCAGCACCAAAAGCGGCCGCTGGGAATTCAGGCAAACTGCGGTCGAAGTTTCCGAAATTCGAGTCTGTTTTGGCGCAGAAGCCGCAACGGCCGCTGATTGGCCGCTGGTGGTGCAGCCCTTTTCCATCACCGCTGATGCGCTGTTTCTATAAGAACCCGCGGATCCGCCCGGCCGCTTGTTTGTTTTGTTTTGTTTGCTGTGGATTGCTATCTTCTCTCTCTCTCTCCTCTCTTCTCTCTTCTCTCTTCTCTCTTCTCTCTACTTATATATACAATGGCTGGGTATGTCTACTTCTCTTTTATTACTACTATTCATCACCACCACTAACTATCTCCTCAGACGTGGCAAAGGTGGAAAGGGACTCGGCAAAGGGTAAGTCTTCTCTCCTCATCCTCTCCCTCTCATCCTTGTGATGAGATCGCGCTGTGGCTGCGGCGTTGCACCCGCCACACCGCACTCTCACAGCCACCCTTACATAATCCCTTACTAACTCTCTCCAGCGGCGCCAAGCGTCATCGCAAGATTCTTCGCGACAACATCCAGGGAATCACCAAGCCCGCCATCCGCCGTCTTGCCCGCCGCGGTGGTGTCAAGCGTATCTCCGCCCTCATCTACGAGGAGACCCGCGGAGTCCTCAAGTCCTTCCTCGAGAGCGTCATCCGCGACGCCGTCACCTACACCGAGCACGCCAAGCGCAAGACCGTCACCTCGCTCGACGTCGTCTACGCCCTCAAGCGACAGGGACGCACTCTCTACGGTTTCGGTGGTTGAATTTCTTGCTCTACTTTCTCTTGCTTTCTATGTTTTTCTGTGGGTTTTACGTTCTGGGTCTCGTTCTACGGTTTCAAGTTCAAGTTTCAAGTGGCTGACTGGACAGAGGGCGCTCGGGTTTCTTTTATGTACATCATGAGTTGATGCTATGAATAAATTAATAAGCAGTACCTATGTTATGACTAATCTTCTTCACTTTTCCTCCACCTCTTTATATCATGAATCATGAACATGAATATGACGTAGAAACAGTAAACAGGTGGGCGCCTCAAGTATCTCCACTATGAAGTAGACCGCAAACACTCACAGAAGCCCGGCGAAGGTGGAGAAAAGGAAGCTTCTTTGGTGGAGAACTGCGACTCGGTGCCCCAAAGCCAAACACCCAAAGTCAACAAACCCTTTCGCTGCAAAATGCCCGTCTGCCTACTTCTATTCAACTACTCACATATACTCTTATAAACAAAACAATAACAATAAAAACAATCAACAAACACTCTCAGAACAACACTCACAACCCCCGCCAAAATCTACACAGAACGCGCCCAGAAAGTTGGGTGCCGGCTTTTGTTGGGTTCCTCGCACGTGACCTCGGTCCTCTCGCGTAGTATTTTCTCTGCCCGGGCCGAATCTCAACCGCGCTCAAGAAGACGCGCCTCTGCTTCGTTTTCTCTTCTCCTCCTCTGCCACGCTGCTTCCCACTCCCCTCCTGGCCCTTCCGCGCTCCCTCCCTCGCCTTCTTCTTCCTCCCCTCCGCTTCCCTCTCGCCCGTCTAGCGCTCCGTCGCCCTCGCTGCCGCTGCTTGCCCGCTCTCCCTACTTCCCTCTCCTTCTCCCGTGCTCTCTCTTGGACGTCATCAAACCCCATGTCGGCCGCCGGTAGCAGCCTGCCCGCGCACTTCATCGGCCTCAATACCGTCGACGTCGCTCCCAGCAGCCCCGTCAAGGACTTTGTCCAGAGCAATGGTGGTCACACCGTCATCAGATCCGTAAGTCTTCTCCTCCTCCTCCTCTACCTCTCCTCCTCTTCCTCCTCCCGATCTAACAAACACCCCAGATTCTCATCGCAAACAATGGTATCGCCGCCGTAAAAGAGATCCGTAGTGTCCGGAAATGGGCCTACGAGACCTTCGGCGACGAGCGCGCCATCCTCTTCACCGTCATGGCCACGCCTGAAGATCTCAGAGCAAACGCAGACTACATCCGCATGGCGGACCAGTACGTCGAAGTCCCCGGCGGCACCAACAACAACAACTACGCAAACGTCGAGCTCATCGTCGACGTCGCCGAGCGAATGAACGTCGACGCCGTCTGGGCCGGCTGGGGTCACGCATCCGAAAATCCTGACCTCCCAGAGTCCCTCGCCGCATCTCCCCGACGCATCGTCTTCATCGGTCCCCCTGGTTCGGCAATGCGCTCGCTCGGCGACAAAATTTCCTCCACAATCGTCGCCCAGCACGCTAAAGTTCCTTGCATTCCCTGGTCCGGAACCGGCGTCAACCAGGTCGTCGTCGATCCAAAGACAAACCTCGTCACCGTCGCTGATGACGTATACGCCCTCGGTTGCACCGCCGATGCCGATGCCGCCCTCGCAAAAGCCCGTACGATCGGTTTTCCGGTCATGATCAAGGCCTCTGAGGGTGGTGGTGGAAAGGGTATTCGAAAAGTCGACAGCGAAGACAATTTCAATGCTCTCTTTTCCCAAGTCGCTGGTGAAGTCCCCGGATCGCCCATCTTCGTCATGAAACTCGCCGGCAACGCCCGCCATCTCGAGGTCCAATTGCTTGCCGATCAGTATGGCAACAACATCTCGCTCTTTGGCCGTGACTGCTCCGTCCAGCGACGTCACCAAAAGATCATCGAAGAGGCTCCCGTCACCGTCGCCAACCCGGCCACCTTCAACGCCATGGAGCAAGCCGCCGTCAGATTAGGCAAACTGGTCGGCTACGTCTCCGCCGGTACCGTCGAATATCTCTACTCCCACGAAGACGACAAGTTTTATTTCCTCGAGCTCAACCCCCGTCTTCAGGTCGAGCATCCCACAACCGAAATGGTCACCGGCGTTAACCTTCCTGCGGCTCAGCTGCAAATCGCCATGGGCATCCCGCTCCACCGCATTCGCGACATCAGACTCTTCTACGGCGTTGACCCGCACACCACCACCGAGATCGACTTTGACTTTTCGAACGAGAATTCGCTCCAGACCCAGCGTCGTCCTGTCCCCAAGGGCCACACCACCGCCTGCAGAATCACCTCCGAGGACCCCGGCGAGGGATTCAAGCCTTCCAGCGGTGTCATGCACGAGCTCAACTTCAGATCGAGCTCGAACGTCTGGGGTTACTTCTCCGTCGGTAACCAGGGTGGTATCCACTCGTTCTCTGACTCTCAGTTTGGTCATATCTTTGCCTTTGGCGAGAACCGCAGCGCCAGTCGCAAGCACATGGTCGTCGCTCTCAAGGAGCTCTCGATCCGTGGTGATTTCAGAACTACTGTCGAGTATCTCATCAAGCTCCTGGAGACCCCTGATTTCGAGTCAAACAAGATCACCACCGGATGGCTCGACGAGCTCATCTCCAAGAGACTCACTGCCGAGAGACCTGATCCCACCATCGCCGTCATCTGCGGTGCCGTCACAAAGGCTCATCTGGCCTCCGAGGCCTGCATCCAGGAGTACAAGAAATCGCTTGAGAAGGGTCAGATCCTCTCAAAGGACGTTCTGAAGACTCTTTACCCCGTTGACTTTATCTACGAAGGTAACCGATACAAGTTCACGGTCACTCGCTCGTCCCTTGAGACGTATCAGATCTTCATCAACGGTTCCAAGTGCCTCGTCGGTGTCAAAGCCTTGAGCGATGGCGGCCTTCTTGTCCTCCTCGGTGGCAAGAGTCACAACGTCTACTGGAAGGAAGAGGTCGGAACCACTCGTCTCAGTGTCGACTCAAAGACATGCTTGCTCGAGCAGGAGAACGATCCTACTCAGCTTAGAACCCCATCTCCAGGAAAGCTTGTCAAGTTCCTTGTTGAGAACGGCGAGCATGTCAAGACTGGCCAGCCGTTTGCTGAGGTCGAGGTCATGAAGATGTACATGCCCTTGATTGCTCAAGAAGATGGTATCGTCCAGCTCATCAAGCAGCCCGGTGCCACTCTCGAGGCTGGCGATATCCTTGGAATCCTAGCCCTTGACGATCCTTCGCGCGTCAAGCACGCCAAGCCTTTCGAGGGCCAGCTCCCGGATTTCGGTTTGCCGCAGGTCATCGGTAACAAGCCCTCGCAGCGATTCCAGCTTCTTCTCGGAACTCTGAGAAACATCTTGCAAGGCTTTGACAACCAGGTCGCCATGATCAGCACTCTCAACGAGATCCGCGACGTCCTGCGAAACAATGAGCTGCCTTACTCTGAGTGGAACGCGCAGTTCTCCGCCCTGCACAGTCGCATCCCACAGAAGCTTGACGCCAACCTGAGCGGAATCATTGAGCGCGCAAAGTCTCGTAATGCTGAATTCCCGGCCAAGACGCTCCTTCGCGCTATCGAAAAGTTCTCGCAGGAGTTTGTCAGCCAGGACCGACAGATCTTTGAGCAGTCTGTCGAGCCCTTGGTCTCGGTCGCGACTAGATACCAGGGTGGATTGAAGGCTCATGAGTTTGCTATTCTCAATGAGCTGTTGGAGGAATATCTCAAAGTTGAGACTTTGTTTTCTGTACGCTCACTTTTGCCATTATTAATTGTGTTTTTGGGCCGACTACTAACAGCTTTTTTTTAGGGCCCCAATGTTCGCGAGGAAGATGTTATCTTGCGTCTGCGAGACGAAAACAAGGATGATCTTATCAAGGTCGTCATGACTGGTGAGTGTTTCTAAGTTTCATATAACAATGCTATGGGTCTAACAATGTTAATAGTCTTCTCTCACGGACGTGTCGGAGCCAAGAACAACCTCATTCTTGCGATCCACAACGCCCTTCGCGCCGATAAGGCTGATGTGACCGAGATCTCCAAGTACATGCGCCCTGTTCTGAGGCGCTTTACTGAACTTGACTCCCGAGCCACCGCTCCTGTCGCTCTCAAGGCCCGCGAGCTTCTTATCCAGTGCGCGCTCCCTTCGCTCAACGAGCGTACTGCGCAGCTCGAGCATATTCTGCGCACATCAGTCATCGAGTCGCACTACGGTGAGGCTGAGTTTGCGCATCGCGCCCCGCGCATGGATGTGCTCAAGGAGGTCATTGACTCGCAGTATGTCGTTTTCGACGTGCTGCCAAAGTTCTTTGCTCACGAAGACCCGTATGTCACTCTTGCGGCCTTGGAGCTCTACTGCCGCAGAGCTTACCGTGCCTACAACATTGTGAGCGTGGAGCACCACAGCGAAAACGAGTCGTCTCCGGTGTTGACCTTCAAGTTCATTCTGTCGCCTATTGGTAACCCCGCGTACAACGCTGTCGGCCAGGGCAGTGGCGCTCAGGAGAACGGGCAGGATCTGCCTAGAGCGGCGTCGGTCTCTGACCTGACCTTTTTGGTTGGCAAGTCTGATGGTGAGACCGTGCGCTCGGGATTGATTGTGTCTGTGGCTGATCTTGACGAGATCGATGAGGTTCTTCCTCGGTCTCTTGAGTACCTTCCCCGCGCCGCGGGTGCTGGTAACGGCGGCCTTTCCTTTGCCGTCAAGTCCTCGCTTGATTCGTTGCGGAGACCGGTTAACGTTCCCAAGGCCGATGCGCTGATCAACGTTGTGAGCATTCTCGTGAAGTCTTCTGCGTATGCTGATGACGCCGAGCTGTACTCGCACATCAAGTTCATTATCGACGAGTACAAGGAGGAATTCTTGGCCCGCTCGATCCGCCGTGTCACTGTGGTCTGCGGTCACGAGGATGGTTCGTACCCCGGATACTTCACCTTCCGCGGACCTGAATACACCGAGGACGAGTCTATCCGAAACATCGAGCCCGCGTTGGCCTTCCAGCTCGAACTCGGACGTCTTTCGAACTTCAACTACAAGCCTATCTTCACTGCCAACCGTAACATTCACGTGTACCAGGCAGTGGGCAAAGATGTTCCCAGTGACACGCGCTTCTTTGTGCGCGGCATTGTCCGCCCCGGTCGTCTGCGCGATGAGATTCCTACCTCGGAGTACCTCATTTCCGAGACTGACCGATTGATGTCCGACATTCTTGATGCCTTGGAGGTCATTGGCTCGAGCAACTCGGATATGAACCATATCTTTATTAATTTCTCACCAATTTTCCATCTCGTCCCGGAGGAGGTCGAGGCTGCTTTTGGCCAGTTTTTGGAAAGATTTGGAAGACGGCTGTGGAGACTGCGCGTTACTGGCGCGGAGATTAGAATCATGTGCACGGATCCGGAGACGAACGTGCCTTATCCTCTGCGAGCTATCATCACCAACGGTAAGATCACAAGTTGCATCAAAATCGAAACATTTCATTATCGCTAATTCTAGTCTTTTTATAGTTTCGGGATACGTTGTCACAAGTGAGCTTTACACTGAGGTCAAGAACGACAAGGGCCAGTGGGTGTTCAAGTCTCTGGGCAAGCCCGGAAACATGCACCTGCGTCCCATCAACTCGCCGTATCCTACCAAGGAGTGGCTGCAGCCGAAGCGTTACAAGGCTCATCTTATGGGAACGACTTACGTCTATGATTTCCCGGAGCTCTTCAGCCAGGCGATTCGTGCCAGCTGGCGTTCAACTAAGACCAAGAGCCCGGAGAAGGTGTTGACCTACAAGGAGCTGATCATGGACGACAGTGGTGAGATCTCTGAAGTTTCGCGCGAGCCTGGTGCCAACACGTGCGGCATGGTTGGCTGGATTTTCACGGCTCTTACTCCTGAGTACCCCAACGGCCGCCAGTTCATCGTGGTTGCAAACGACATCACGTACAAGATCGGCTCGTTCGGTCCACTCGAGGACAAGTTCTTCAATCAAGTGACTGAGCTTGCGGTCAAGCTTGGAATTCCTAGAATCTACTTGTCTGCAAACTCGGGTGCCCGAATTGGTGTTGCTGATGAGTTCATTGCTCTATTCTCGGTCGCTTGGAACGATGCATCGAAGCCGGAGCTTGGCTTCAAGTACCTTTACCTCACTCCTGCGATCTACGAGGGACTTTCACCTGCGGCGAAGAAGACGATTGCCACTGAGCGCATTGTTGAGGATGGAGAAGAGCGATACCAGATCACGACCATTATCGGTGCCGAGGATGGTCTTGGTGTCGAGTGTCTCCGTGGGTCTGGTTTGATTGCCGGTGCGACTTCGAAGGCTTACAAGGACATTTTCACAATCACTCTTGTTACTTGCCGCTCTGTTGGTATCGGTGCTTATCTCGTTCGTCTTGGACAGCGTGCTATCCAGATCGAAGGCCAGCCGATCATTCTCACTGGCGCTCCGGCTATCAACAAGCTTCTTGGTCGCGAGGTCTACACTTCGAACTTGCAGCTTGGTGGCACACAGATCATGTACAAGAACGGTGTGTCGCATTTAACTGCGAACGACGATCTTGCTGGTGTGTGTAAGATTATCGAGTGGATGTCTTATGTGCCGGCGCGCAAGCACGAGAAGCTGCCAGTCTATCCTTCGACCGATCCTTGGGACCGAGACGTTGTTTACGAGCCTCCCAAGCAGATGAGCTACGACGTCAGATGGCTGATTGCTGGACGCGAGGACGACGATGGATTCCAGGCTGGTATGTTTGACAAGAACTCGTTCCAGGAGACTCTGAGCGGCTGGGCGCGAACGGTGGTTGTTGGCCGTGCGCGCATCGGCGGAATTCCTGTCGGAGTTATCGGCGTCGAGACTCGGTCGGTTGAGAACGTGATCCCTGCTGATCCTGCCAACCCTGATTCGACCGAGCAGCTGACGCAGGAAGCCGGTCAGGTGTGGTACCCCAACTCTGCGTTCAAGACTGCCCAGGCTATCAACGACTTCAACCACGGAGAGGAGCTGCCGCTTGTGATTCTTGCCAACTGGCGTGGATTCTCCGGTGGTCAGCGCGACATGTACAACGAGGTTTTGAAGTACGGTGCTATGATTGTTGATGCTTTGGTCGACTACAAGCAGCCTATCTTTGTGTACATTCCGCCTCATGCCGAGCTCCGTGGAGGTTCGTGGGTCGTTATCGATCCTACGATCAACGCTGAGCAGATGGAGATGTACGCGGACGAGGAGTCTCGCGCTGGAGTGCTCGAGCCTGAGGGTATGGTTGGAATCAAGTACCGCCGCGAGCGTCTGCTTGAGACCATGAACCGTCTTGACCCAGTGTACGCAGATCTTAAGCGTCAGCTTGAGAAGAAGGATATCTCGCCAGAGATGGCTTCTGATCTCAAGGTGAAGCTGCAGGAGCGCGAGACGGCGATCATGCCGGTGTACAGACAGATCAGTCTGCAGTACGCGGACTTGCACGACCGTGCGGGCCGTATGAAGAGCAAGGGTGCGATTCGCGAGGTCTTGACATGGCGCGACGCCCGTCGCTACTTTTACTGGCGTATCAAGCGTCGTGTGCTTGAGAGCTACGTGCTGCGCGACTTGTCGGTCGCGAACGCGAAGGCGTCGCGCATTGAGCGGGTTGCGCGCATGAAGGCGTGGTATGCCGAGGCGCAGCTTGACGAGACCTCCGACCAGCAGGTTGCCGAGTGGCTTTCAGAGAACGAGGCCGCGATCAAGAGCAAGGTCGAGCAGGTGCGCAAGGACGCGAAGATCGCCGAGATGGTTTCGGTCGTGCGGGCGGACAAGGATGTTTTGGTTGCGTCGTTGAAGGCTCTGTCTACTGAGGACAAGGAGTCGATTTTGAAGCTTTTGGGCGAGAACTGAGGATTGAAATGAAGTAGACTTATATATATATAATTATGAGGAGCTGTAAAAAGTCTGGGTATTGTTGTGTTTTGTTTTCTTTTTGCTGATTCGTTTGTAAAATACGTTGCTTATCGCGTGAAATAATTTACGATGTTGTTGTTATATTTTTAAAACTTGTATACTGCGAATCTGAAATAGTTGTAAATATGAAAACAGTAAACAAAGAGTAGCAGCGAGCAGCAGGAACGCGTTGGGGCGAGTGTTTATGCAGCGAGCAGCAGGAACGCGTTGGGGCGAGTGTTTATGAGATCCCAAAACAGTAAAATTCAAGTATCCGCAAAACGTCACTCTCAAAACCACGTGACTAAAGTTTTTCTTTGTGGACGTGTTTTGTTTACCAGCCGCGCAGGTGTGTTTACAGGCCGTTCCGAAACCGCGCGCTGGAATTATATCACTCTTTCTGCCTGATTCGCTGCGTTTAGTTGGATTGCCAGCAGCAACAACTGTGTATACTTGTTTTTGTTTTTGTTTACTGCTGGACGATTGAATGGCGACTTTGTCTGTGCAGCAGCAGCAGCCTGGCGACAGCGGTCTTGAGGATCGCGAAGTGGGCGGGAGTGATCTTGCACTGGAGAACAACGTCAACAGCGTGAACACCAACGAGAGCGACGACAGCAACAACAGCAGCAACAGCTCTGACGGTTACCAGACTAATCTGAAGCAGAACGGACTCCACAGGCTGTCTGAAAAACAGCAGCGGCCGTCGCTGGTGGAAGAGTACGAGCGCTCGATCGCCCAGATCCCGGAATGGCACGACGCCGAGCTTTCAGAGGAGTGGATTTCACAGCCCAACTCGCCGGTGCTGGAGCCGATGATGACGAAGAGCAGCATCAAGTCGACTGCGAGCGCAGACTCGCGCGGCAGTGTGTCGTCGTCGCAGAATGCGGACGGGACCACGCGGATCTTGACGGAGCGCAGGTCTGTGAACGAGCAGCAGCGGCCTGCGACGCCGGACTGGAAGAAAATGACGCTGCCGAAGGATATTTTTAGTCCGATGACGTTGGAGCGCATGTTTAAGCCGTCGGCTACGAATGAAAGGTATGTTTGACGCGTGTGGTTTTGCTAGTGTGCTATGCGATTTTAACAATAAGACAGCAGTAGTAGTGCGCATCAATCATACTCCACGCTGCACAAGCGGCACTTATCAAAGGATTCTCAGGCGCGTCTGCGCGCGAGTATGACAAAGTTAAGGAACGAGATTGGAAAGATAGAGCCTATTCTGGGACCGGGGCCGATGTCGAAATCGCTCGAAGATCGCAGCCGAACTTCGACGATTCGCAGAAGATCAACAACGTCGAGATCAGCAGGGTCGGCTACTCACCATGTGATCTTAGAGGATGCAGAAGAAGAACAAGAAGAAGAAGGAAAAGAAGAAGAAGCAGAAGAAGAGCCAGAGATTGACGATAGATCAACGCGTGAGGCTGATCCGCGTGCAAAGTTGGGGCTTGAGCCGTCAAAGACAAACAGTCCGCGACCGCCTCAGAAGAAGAGTTTTGATTTCACCGTTTCTCGGGATACGAGCGTCAAGGCCGCGTCGAACGCGAACTCGCTTTCTCCACCAAAAGGTTCACTCAAGCTCTTCCAGGTTCATGATACCTACACGAATGCAAAGCTTGACAATCTCCTGAACCAGAGCGGGCGGATCACTAGTGCCGATGCAAGCCAGTCTGAGCAGTCTATTGTGGAGAAGCCAAAGTCGCCTACCAAAGAGCCTTTGGCAAAACGGCCCAGACTGGATCAAAATCGATCGGTGCTGACGACGCAGGACTTTCTCTCCCAAGCGGAAAATATCATGGACATGCTGCGTGGTCTGGGGAGACCTGAGTCCGTCACTACAGATGACGCCGATTACTCGCAACGCCAGAGCGAGCTCACTGCATCTGTTTCGCAGTATTTCGGACAGTCGGCCGATCGAGAGAGTGATCTCCAGCGCCTTTCTGACAAACTCCACCCAATCAGCTCGTACGAGTCCTCCGAGGACGGCAGGTCACTGAGCGAGGAAGATAGATCTCCTTACGCGTCATCGGGAGAACGTCAAAATAATTTGCAGAGACCTAGGAAAGATAACCCGCCACCGCCTCAGCGACAGCCGAAATCTGCTCTGTATTATGACTCGATTCGGAATCGGTATGAGACGAGCGGGACGGAGTTGGGACAGGACTTGGGCGGCAGTCGCCGGACAAAGAGATCGCTTGCCGAGATTGGCCTGAGTCCTGTGCGCCAGAGCGCGGTCACTGCATCGCATGGGTCAGAGCAAACAAGTAACGGCACCCTCAGGCAGTTCAGGTCTCGAGGTTCTGGACCCGGGGCGAAAAAGAATGTGGAAACACCGACCAACGAGGCTGACGCGCCAGGCGGCCATCTCAAGACGAACTCATCAAAGGCATCAAATAAGTCTCACCAGGAGGCAATGCAAGTCATCCGCCAGCAAGATGTGATTGATTTGATTCCTCCGGCTATAGGCTCGATGGTGTACGACCCTAATCTTCTCAAATGGGTCAAGGCGACAAAGGAGAACGCGCATGTTTCTAACGATGACGAGGAGGATGTGTTTGAGGGTATCGAGGATCTCACTGATAACAACTCCGACGCATACGACAGAAAAGAACATGAAGTGCACGTTGACGAGTACACAAACTCGCTGCGCAGAAGCTTGTCGTCTTTGGAAGAAGTTCTGAGCCGGGGCGCGACAAACAATCCTCCATCGCCTCAAAAGAACGGATATGGGAATAAGTATAGTCGACCATCGCCGCAGGGCTACAACTCCCCACAGAAACTGGGCGGACGGAATAGTGCGGCGAATTTGGCATCCAGGCCTGAGGTTTCGTTTGCTTTACCTCTCGATGACCAACTTGGAAAGCATTATGCACCAGATGTATCATATATCGAAGCTCGTCATGAGGCTACCGCTGTCTCTGAGCTTGAGTCGTCGTTCTCAGTTGCTGTGCAAAATCTAGTGAAGGTGCTTTCAGATATCTACCCACAAGACCCGTACTGGGAGGATCTGACAATCCTGGATCTTCGAGGACGAGGCCTCGAGACGCTAATCCGGCTGGACGAGTGGTGCCCGCAACTACTTGATCTAAACATTTCCGACAATGAGATTGGGTATCTCACCGGCGTGCCGTCAACGCTGAGGGTACTGCGGGCGAGCCACAACAATTTGTCGCAGTTGACAGCGTTTGGGTTTTTGACGAATCTGCAGTATCTCGATCTGTCTGATAATAGGATTGAAACTCTTGATGGTACGTTCTGTTTGCTGAGTAGGGGAAGTGCCCAAGCTAACAGTCTGATGCGATAGGAATGTCCAGTTTGGTCCATCTTCGTGAATTGGTGGTGGACAATAACGAGCTGGTCAATATTAATGGCATATCGCAGCTCGATGGATTATTAAGGCTTAGCGCAAAAGGCAACAATGTCGGCAGCGTTAATTTTGAAAAGTCGAATCTCTCGAGACTCACTGATCTAGACATGTCATTTAACCAGCTCACGCGGGTTGAAGGTATCGAGAGGTTAAAAAGTCTGATGACTTTGAATCTTGAGGATAATATGCTATCAAGACTTGAACCTGAGGGGTATCTGCCGAATCTGAGGACTTTGAAGGTGTCGAGGAACAAGCTTAGCAAGTTTGATGCGATTCCGTTTCCGAACCTGAGAGTCCTGATTTTGGATGAGAATAGACTGAAGAGCGTCTCTGGATTGAAGAAGTTGAGACTTTTGGAGAATCTGAGTGTGCGCGATCAGGATGATAGTGCAAGGTAAGAATTAGACGAGGAGAGAGGTGTTTAGACAAAGCTAACCGGCTGAATTTAGTGAACTGTATTGTCCGCACATAACTGACGTGCGAAAACTGTACCTGTCTGGGAATATCCCGCGAGACTTGAGTTTTGAGAACCACTTTCTCAACCTGCAGTGTCTTGAGCTGGCATCAGTCCAGCTCCGAAAACTCCCCGACAACTTTTCAGTGTTTGCGCGCAACCTTCGAGACCTTAACCTGTCGTTCAACGAGCTCAGCGATGTCTCTGGCCTGATGCATATCCCCCGCCTGCGAAGGCTTTACTTGATAGGCAACCAGATCAGCGGGCTCGTCAAGCTCGCGAGCGTGATCACGACGCTACCCGAGCTTCAGGTCCTGGATATGCGGATGAACCCGCTCACGCTGCAGTTCTATCCGCCCGTGATTGCGATCGCGGACGGAGCCGAGAACACAGCCAGGAGCGCCACACTCGCGACGTCTACGCGCGGCGACCTGCACCGGCAGTACAGTCTTGTGATGTCGCGGCAGGCGCAGGTGCAGTGGGAGCAGAAGAACCGCAAGTTTGAGGCACACATGCCGGAGCTGTGTATGACGAAGCGGAAGGGGTACCAGGGATTGATGTTTGCGTCTGCGCGAGCGCTGGCGTGGTTGGACGGTGCGTCGTTTAGTAAAGAGGAGCGCGAGCGCGCGGTGAGGGTGTTGGAGAAGGTGGCGCTGAAGATGGAGAAGAGGGAGTTGCAGCGGGAGGAGAGACAGAGTCCTAGGAAGGGACATCATCACCACCATCATCACCATCACCGGCACGCATGAGTGTTTGAGTATGAGTTGTTTCGATAGTCTATATACCATTGTAGTTGTGTATGCTTAGTGCTTAGTTTGTGTTTGTGTTTGTTCTAGTTTATGTTTTTTAGTGTTTTCTAGTGTTTTTTTGGGGGTAATTGTTTTTAAGATTAAGAGAGCACGAGCTCGGAGAGATCGGTATATATTATGCAATTGATTCATAGTAACTATTATATAAAACATCTGAAGATATTGAGTAAACAAAAAAGTGAATAACTAACCAAGAAAAGAAGGGCATCGTTATTGTACAGGATAGGTGAGCCAGTAATAGACTGGATCTTACTTTGTTAGAGAAAGTGCTTCAAGCGAGAGTAGAGTGCTTCAAGTGATTGAGAGTTTAAGCACGACGAGTCATCTTCCTCTGCTGCTTGCGCAGCTCCTTCTCGCGCTCCTTCTGCTGCGCCTTGCGCTGCTCCTCAGGCGAGAGCTTCGAGATACTCTGCTTCTGCGCCTTTTTCTCGAGCGCGCGCGCCTTTGCGAGTTCCTCCGCACGCTCGTCGTCCGCCATCTTTTTAAGCTTGCGCTGCTCCTCCTCGCGCGTGGCCTTGAGCTTGCGCGCGAGTTCGGGGCGCCAGTGCGCTTTGGCGACAGCGACGTCGAGAAGGCCGAAGAAAGCCTCGACGAGGGCGGCGGTGGCGTCGATGTCTTCTTGCGAGGTAGCCGCGCGGAGGACGAGCAGCGCGCGCTTCTTGAGCACGAGGTCGTCGAGCTTTGCCGGGCGGTCGGCGGGGAGGTCGGAGAGGACGAGGTACTCGAGCACGTTCTCTGCGCGCTTGACGGCGGCGAGGAGGTCCGGGGTGAAGAAAGTGTCTGTGACTTCGGCGGCCTCGGACATGACGGTGAAGCAGACGGGCAGCTTGGGCGAGTCGCTGGTGCGGGTGAGCGAGATGTCGTAGTTTGACTCGCGCACGCGCTTCATGTGGTCCTTGTGCACGACCGCAAAGACAAAGGAGTCGTACTCGCCGCTCGGGGTCGCGAGGATCTGCACCTTGTCCTCGGGCAAGGGCGCGGAGATGAAGAACGAGAAAACGTAGTCAAACACGAGCATGATCAGGTTCTGGCGCGTCTTGAGCGTCATCTTGCCGTGCGCGGCGTGCACGTTCAGCCGGCCGGTCAGGTAGAAGACAAAGTCGATCGGGCCCAGCTTCTTCAAGTACTTTGTCCACGGCAGCGCGGCGTAGTCGGCCTCGGACTCGCAGACCGCGCTCGCGTCAAAACCCACCTGGTAGAACTGGTTCCGGAACGTGGGCACGAGCGCCGCCATCCAGCTCAGCGCCGCGCGCTTGTTGATGTATGCGCCGCCGAGGTGGGCGAAGACAAACGCGAGGACTATGCCGAGGAACGAGAGCTCGTTGGTCCAGTTGTAGATGAAGATGCGCTTGTAGACTGGCAGGTCGTAGAACTCTGCGATCGTGATGTTTTTCCGGAAGGCGGGACTACACAAAAACCGTCAGCGATCATGCAATTCCTTCACTTCACCGCATCTCTTCACACTCGTATCTTCACGGCAGTAATCTCAGTACAAACAGCAAACACTCACATGCTTCCAGACGCAACCGACGCCTGCGCAGCATCAGCAGCAGCAGCAACAGTCTCGGCCGCGCCATCGACGGGATCCGGGCGATAAGCCGAGAACTCCTCGTCTGCGCACGCCAGCACGGCAATTGCGGCAAGCAGCAGACCGTACTGCAGCAGACGACAGTGGTGGGATTTCATAGCCATTGAAGATCGCGGGTGGCGGTGTGGCGATTGAGAAGAGGTTGGGGCCTTGTTGCTTCGAGATGCTTTTGCAAGTGGAGCCTCGAGAAGAACGTCAAAGACGGCGATGCTTACATTGTGCAAGGGGTTGGTGTGTAATTACATAATGGATTACTATACATTTGCAGATCAACTCAAATGTCGATGAAAATGTCAATTGCCTCATGAATGAACTAACGAAAGTGTGCCCGAAATAAAACAAAACAAAACAAAACAACCTCAAAAGCAATCGTATCCCACAACCACCTACGCCAAGTTGATGTTCACAGTCTTGACCTGCGTGTAGTTCTTCAGCGCCTCCTTTCCAAGCTCACGGCCAATGCCAGATTCGCCGTATCCGCCAAACGGCAGAGCAGCGTGGAACGAGTTGTAGCAGTTGACCCAGACGGTGCCGGCCTTGAGTCGGTTCGAGACCTCGATTGCGGTGTTGAGCGACTTGGTGTGCACCGCCGAGGCAAGACCGTAGTTGGTGCCGTTGCCCTTCTTGATCACGTCGTCAATGTCCGTGAACTTGGCAATCGTGCACACAGGTCCAAAGATCTCCTCCTGCATCACGCGGTCGTCCATCTTCACGTTTGAAAGAATGGTAGGCTTGATGAAGTATCCATCGCTATCGAGCGGCTCACCGCCAGTCTCGACCTTCGCACCCTCACCCTTTCCAATCTCAATGTACTTCAAGATGCGCTCGTACTGGACCTTCGATACTTGGGCTCCCTGGAAAGTCTTCTCGTCAAACGGGTTGCCGACAATGTTGGCCTCAGCACGCTTCTTGAATGCAGCAACAACCTTGTCGTAAACGCCCTCCTGCACGTACACGCGCGATCCCGCAGAGCACACCTCGCCACTGTTGTAGAAGATACCAAAGTTGATCCACTCAACCGCGCGGTCAATGTCAACGTCGTCGAAGACAATGTTGGGCGACTTTCCACCGAGCTCAAGAGTGACCTTCTTGAGGTTCGACTCGGCAGCAGCCTTCATGATTGTGCGTCCGACCATAGTCGAGCCAGTGAAGGCAACCTTCTTGATCTTCATGTGGTAGGCGATCGCATTTCCAGCATCACGACCGAATCCAGAGACAATGTTGATCACACCGGGAGGGAAGCCAGCTTCCTTGATCAACGTGGCGACAAAAAGTGCGCTGAGAGGAGTCTGCTCCGCAGGCTTCATCACAACGGTGTTGCCGCAGGCAATCGCAGGACCAATCTTCCACGCAAACATGAGCAGCGGGAAGTTCCAGGGGATGATCTGGCCGCAGACGCCAATAGGCTCCTGCTTGGTGTAGCAGAAAGTATCGCTCGAGACGTCCATGACCTTTCCGTGGATCTTATCGGCCCATCCGGCGTAGTACCTGAAGCATCCGATGCATCCGGCAATATCGCCACGTGCCAACTGAATAGCCTTGCCGTTGTCGAGCGACTCGATCGAGGCGAGGATTGTGAGATTCTCCTCGAAGAGATCGGCGAGCTTGTTTAGCAAGATACCGCGCTCGGCGGGGGGCAGCTTAGACCAGGGGCCTTCCTCAAACGCTCGCTCGGCGGCGTCGACCGCAATATCGATATCGGCAGCCTGCGCCTCGTGCACGCTGCAGATCACTTTGCCAGAGCTGTATGTGATGATTTCAGGATTAGAATTTGATGTCGACTGACAATTCGTAAAACAGGGCATGTGCGTACCTAGGACTAGTGACCTCAAATGCAGACGAAGCCTTGCCGGTAACGAATTCGTTGTTGATGAAGAGACCGAGAGGCTGCTCATACTCGACACCGTTTGGGAGCTTGATGTGGGTGGAGAGAGGGAGATTGGCTCCGGATACCTGCTCGATGCCAGCCATTGCTTTGATAATGAGAAGATAGTAGTGAGTAGAAGATAGTAATGAGGAATCAGACTAGGCTGTCGAACAGAAATCGAGCAACCGGGGCATCGGGCAGCTTAAATATGTTGGTCCCGGGCGGGCGGAGAGCCAAATCTGTGACGCGAGCAAGAGCGCTAAGTGCGGGGTGACGCTGACCCGGACCCGAATAAGCGGGGGTCGGACCCGGGTCAAAGCTAAAGGTCTAAACCTTAAATCTTACCGCCGACCTCCACCGCGACCAGCGCCAAACCTCCCAGCGGACTTGTTCCCTGTCAGCCTAACGCCGACCAGAGCCCAGCGGAGTTGCTCAACTGCGATCAATCTTATCTTCGGACGTATAATAGCGGCGTGGTGCTTGTGGAATTGATTATTGATCGTTGCTAATCCCTACATCCTCTTGAACGCGACCGTCGACCGCCGTCGGCTGTGGTGGTGCTGCCCGCGCTTCCGGTCAGCGCTGCTCGCGTCTGATCCTACTCCTACCCCTGCTCCTCCTGCCGACGCTGCTGCTGCCGCTGCCGCTGCTGCGGCCAGAACCGACGCGGATCCAGTGCTACTCTTATCTATCAGCGCCTGCTCGTGTGCTCGCTGCTCTGAGCCCGAACGGAAGAGGGTACGCTTCTCCGACCCGGTGCCCAGACGGCGCCAAATTGATCCACCAGACGACGACGACGACGAGCTTTCGGCGCCGCCATTGTTGTTGTTGTTGGTGTTGCTGCTACTGGTGTTGGTGTTGCTTCCAGTGCCGCTGCTGCTATTAGTATTGTTGCTGTTGTTATTATTATTGCTGTTGTTGCTGTTGTAGTTCGATCCGGTGCTGAGTAAACGTTTCATGCCGCTTCGAAGAAACGTGGGCCGTCTCTCCAACGTCGACGACCCGCCCGCTGCTGTTCCTGAACCCGCATTCGTCGCGCATTCTGTCGCAGCTCCTGCCGACGACGTCGTCGTCGTCGCAGATGCTCCAGGCCGCGTGCCTTCGGACGAAGATATCGCCGAATTGCCCCGCTCGCCTGCCATCGCCGATTCGGGCCCCACGTCGTGCGGCTCAGATCCGACGGACTCAGGGTCAGGAGTAACCTCGCCCGCGGTCTTCCTGGCTCGCGCATCACTCGCTGCTGCCACTGCTGCTGCTGCCGACGACCCGGCTTCCGTGCTGATTATCGTGCGCTCGCGTGTGATGTTCGAGGACACCCGCATCAGCGACTTCTCGTCCGTCACCGTCGCCGCTGTTGACGTCTCCCGCGGCGCACGCACCTGGATCGTTGGCTTTGACTTCGCCTTTGTCCGCGACGCCGCGAGCGATGCAACCGCTGCTGCGGCTGCTGTTCGCGACGACGATGAGCCTGTAGTTCGCAGAGAGTCGCTGCGGGCGGGGAACGACGTAACATCTTCCTTAAACAGCTGAATGCTCAGATCCGGTCTTCGCCAGCGCGACGAAGACGTCGCTGGAGTAGCTCCCGGCCTCGCTGCTGCTAAAATGCTCGCTTGATCCTCCGCGCTCGTAGTTACTGATTCAGCAGCGCCAGGTGATGTCTTTGCCGGTGCTCTATCGAACTCGGGTACTTCTGTTGGCGACGAGACCGTACTCTTGCTACTGCTCACTGCCGCAATACTTTTAACGGTGCTTGTAGTCGTGTCTGTCGCCGCCCTCTGAAGCGGCGCCTTCGTCGCATGATGCGTCGTATTAGCACTCACTGGCGTTCGTGGGAAGAGTGGCTCCGTTGATTCCAACGGTGCAGACTGCTGCCGCTTTGCCAATTCCAAATATGAAAGTGCATTACGACTATATCAATGTTAATTATCTTCATCATCAGAAAATTATTGAACGCTTACAACTTACCACCTGATCTGAATTCGCTCAGCGCCAGTTTCTGCAGCCTGAGTCGCCCATTCGCTTAGCACCTCGTCGAGCGGCAAACTAAACAAAAGAGACAGAATTGTCGCCTCTCTATATCAATCTGTTAGCTCAGATTCTCTCGTCATACTGAATCAGCAACGGAACTCACAAGTAGTACGCGTTCTCGCGGAAAATTTCCCTGGCTTCCAATACCAGTCCGCATCCAATCATCATCGCGGTAGCAAGATGTACGGCTTCGACATCATCTCCGTAACTCTCTTTATCCCGAAACAACACCTCATCCGTAAATTTTTTGATCATGGCTTTCTTCGTGTCCAATTCACTTCCTTCTTCTCTATCTCGTGCCCCTACCAAATGCATCGCAAAAATTAACCATGACATCGACACCGTCATAGCTCGACTTGTTGGATTTCCCATTATAGCCGATAGTGTCTCTCCAAATTCATCAACAATATCCGATGGAGCCAGCGCAGAGTATGACTCCGCTTCATCGTACCGCCGCAGCCATAGATTCAAAACCATCCGCATAAACGTCTGCGTTGAGCCATTGATACTGCTGACGCTGCTGCCTATGCTGTCACCGCTACCTGGAATTAATCCACCTGATGACTCAAGCTCCCACTTCACAACATCACGTACACTGTCGCCCGCAAATGCTGGAGGCCATCCAAAGAGTATCTCGAGCAATGCGCGTTTCGCCACCGGGCCTGTCTTTGAAAACTCAAGACCAGTAGGCGACTCCTGCATAAGCTCGCCCACGTTTGAAAATAAACAGTCTGGTAGAATAGGTTCAGGAAGCGCTGGCTCGATTTCGGCTGGCGTGCTTGGTGTCGACGCTGAGCTGTAGTAGTTAGGCGACCTCTGCGCGTATTGCTGAGTCGCCTGTAGCTGCTGCTGCCTCTCCTGCAACTCAAGCTGCTCTTTCTGTAAAAGCAACTCCTGTACCGCCAAACTATGTTGATCTGGAATCGATACGACAGGAAATGCTGCTCCTGTCCCGGCATTGGTCGTGATCGTTGTCGCAGTTGGACCATCAGCAGTCGTCTTTAGCATATTCGGCTCCATATATGTCCATATCGGCGAGGTTGCTCTGATCGCAGTCGTTGGGTGCGGCAGCATGTCTGCAAAAACGTCGTTTCGCGCAAGTGCTGGTGTCGGCACTGACCCCACATCCACATCCTGCTGGGCATCTTTCTCAAACTTTGAATTTCGCGCCGATAGCAGCACCTGATCGTCGGGTTGATCAGGCGATTGTTGATCCATGTAATACGCAAACAAATCTGATGACGATTGTCGTCGCAGGCTGCCATTTCTTGAAGACGATGACCGCGTTGATCGAGAGCTTGGCGAAGACCGATGCCGCTGCGGCGATAGGTGGGATGAGCCCGCAGACGACGGCGGCAGTAAAGGTGGAGGAGTGTTAATCCCCCGTCGCTGAGCCTCTTCAATCTGATGCACTCCAGCAGGCTTATTAGGCGAGGTGGAGTGCTTGGGGGTCTGTATTAGCTGTAAGGGTTCCTGTAGATCTTGCTGCGCAGATTGCGATTCCGCGGGCCCTATGTTTACGCGCGTATGCTCGGTGCACTGAAGCAGATCGTAAACGTGGAGCGTCATCGACGAGTCGACTACCCAGGCAACTCCGGTTTCGCGTAGCAGGTCCATAGTTATTATACGAGTGCCTGGTCTGGTCGCTATCTTGTCTCGCGCGCCGTTATTCCTCCTCACATCGTAAATCACAATCAGGCTATAACAAAGTACTTCAGTTAGTCGCGGGTCCCAGATTCTTCAGCAACTACATCAAAAACGTACTTTTCGATAAAATGGACAACGCGCCCATTTTTACTCCACTTCAAACTGGGCATACCAGGGGTTTCTGCGCCCGGCAGACCAGGATGCAACCTTCGAATTAGGTTTACCGACTTGCCAGTATTCACGCACCAAAGCTGAATCTCATGATCCTCGTCTCCTTTCGTTTCGGCACCACGGGGAGCGTTCAGATCGCTGTTATCAGACTGAATCGGTACGCTTCGACGGCGGGGCTCGAGCCAGACTGCGAGCATCAAGGCTTCAGGATCAACCGAGGTAGGATGAAATGCGAGGGAGACGACACGACGAAAGTTGCTTGTGCTGGAGGATTGGTGCTGCTGTGGATCTGGTGGTAAGGTGTGAACGAGGTCTAAGCTTTTTATATGTCGGGGAGGGGAGGTGCCGAGAGTGCGGGGAGGTAAAGCGGGAGGGGCGTCGGAGGAGAGACGGCAGAGGAAGGTGCGGCCAGAGACGCATGCGATAGCAAAAACGGTCGGGTCGTGCGGACTGGCGGAGAGGGCGATCGCAGAAGAGCCGTCGGGGGTGGTGAATATGTCAATGGTGGGATCTGCTTTGGTTGAAGGCAGCGAGGTGGCTCCAAGGGAAGCGGATAGGTCGATGAGGGCGAGACAGCCGGCGGGGAGGGCTAGATGAGAAGAGATGAGGTGAGTATACGTACGCTAAGTTTAGGGGCGGGATCCAGTGCGAAGAGATGATCAATTACCACAAAGAATTGTCCGGCCATCGTGGCTCCAGCAGCAGGCTTTGGTCTGGTCGGGAAGGGAGAGGGAGGGCGAGGCGAGGTCGTCGATCAAGACCGAGGTGGGAGAACAGACACGGACGAGATCGTCGGGAGAGGCGCCTACATCATAGCGCCAGACGGATAGAGCGAGATGGGGTGAGTGCTGCACGCAGGCAAAGGCAGTAGGGTCGCATGGACGAGGGTAGAGGGCCGCGAGAGCGTCGAACGAGGCCGGCTTGCGCTGGGGGAGGAGGGAGGCCGGTGCGAGGAAATGGACGCTGAAGTCGTCGCGGAGCAGGACTGCGCCGGCGGGGAGGACGTGGAGGGAGAGATCCATTGCGGGAGGGCCAGGCGGTCAGGCGAGAGAGAGAGAGGGGACGGCCATGAGCAAGACTTTGAGAGGAAGGTAGAGAAGAAGAGAGAGAGGGTGGTGGGAAGGGGAAGAGGAAGAGGAGGAAGCGGTTGCGTGGTAGAGCGAAAGGAGAGAGGAAGCAGAGAAAGCAAGAAACGCAGGACCGGTGACGGGTTGACGCGTCTCCGCAGCCGCACGGGGCTTGTTTGAGCTCCCACACGCTTCTGATCCGCAGAAGAAGGAGGATATTTATGATTGTGAGTGGTTTATGTGAGTGTATTTGATTATTTTAATCAACTGAATGATTCAAGTATTCTTACTTCCTTCTATTCTCTCTTCATCTACTTATCTCTCATATTGAGTGCCCATCCGACGCTCGTTATGGCTTCGAAACCTGACGTGGGCAGCGCTGCGGCTCAGGATTCTTTCCTTTATTTCTATTTTTGTTTTACAAACATTTTCATAAACAAACATTCTCATCCTCCTCACAATCGATACCCGCTCCTTCCGGTCTTCGTCTCTCCTCTGATTGCGATTTCTCAACGCCGAAGAAATCTCTCTACGGCTCGAAAATCCCTCGTGGTCTTTGTTAAGCTCTGCCTGCGCCACTTTTGCCCTTCTCTCGTTCCGCAATCCGGCGCGCCTATATGCGCACCTTTAAACCTTCTTGCACTTTTATTCCCTCTCTGCTCACTCCAGCACCAACACCTGCTCCAGACGCGGCAGCAACTTCAGCACTCTCGTAAACTCTCGCTTCCCTGCCGATGTCGAGCTATGATCTACTTCATTTACTCTTACGCTCTCTTTATTGCAATAAACTTATATAGACTTATATACCCTCCTCATCTCCTTGGCCGCTCCTGCCCTCTCTGCCAAGAGCCCTCCTACATCTCCCTATACACCTGCTCCAGCGTCTTCCCCGTCGTGCACGTCATATACGAGCTGGACAGAGAATTCTGCATACAAAGTCCTCCCATACGCTCTATCACTGCCTCGTCAAACTCCCAGTCTCCTGTCAACCGTCGGTACGCGTCCAACACAGGATCAACATCCCCACTCACAATCACTTTCTTCGCCCCTGTCTTTGCGTCCTCCACTTCCTCAATCGTATACGTCGGTGGCGCCCTCTCTCTCCTATCTGCTCCCTCTCCGTCCGTCTCTTCCTCCGTCTTACTCTTTATCATTCTCTCGAAATCTTCTAGCCTGCACGCCGTCGCGCTCTTTGAAAAGTCAAATCCGCTAGGAATAGCCTCTGCTTCCAGCGGATAGCAAACCATCTTCTGCGCTGCAGTTCTTGCCAACCTATACGTAAGAAACAGTCAATAACACTCTCCTCATCTCAACTCAAACTATCGAATAATCATAAAAACCTCTCTGCGGCCTGTAAGCCATTCTTAACCGCAATCGGCGGTTTCTTCCCCCTCATGCACGCCAAATCCACAGACACCACCCCAAGCTGCCGGAGCGTGTTCACAGACCCATGGATTGTTTCCCACATACTCTGCCCCGGAATCTTCTCTCCCTTCACGTAGAACCGCGAGCGCACCAACTCTGGCAGTTTAGAAAACCGTTGACAGAGCATCGTCGATCGCGTGTAGATCACTAGTCGCTGCGGCAGCTTCGCCGCTGACATTACCTGGACAAGCGCCTGCATTAAAGCCAATGTAGTATCCGCATCCTCGAACTCATACCCCGAGCACCCAAATGAATTGTATACCGATCCTCGGGAAAAGAAAACCGCAAAACCAGCCATTATATCGGGCCTCGTTACATTCTGCGTCGATTCCGTCTTGTTAGGCCCAAATATCGGAGATTCTCCCGTCTTAATTTCTTTATCTCTCTTGGATTTATATCCGTGAATAAAACAGTATAACGTCCGAGCTTCTGTCCATCGTCGGCCCTTGTATGCTTCCTCGTCGTAATACTTAAACTGCGGATACTTCACCAAATCATTCTCAAGAAACGTGGCGGCTGTCAAATCACTCTCGGTCGTCGGGCATGTCCATCCGCTATCTTCCTCATAGTGCTGCCACAGCGTAGGATTCACTCGTAAAAACTCTCGGCCGAGGATCAAATCAAACCCTGCATTACCCTTACCAGGAATCAGCTCTTCGACCACATACGCATTGACCGTCGTATATGTATTGTTGAAAAAGAGCGGAATCGCAACCTCCCTTCCCCAGCTGATCTTCATATGCACAGGACGAAACACTGATGAAAGCTGTTTCCAATTCGTCTCATTTCGACCAGTCAACCTTCCTTCATCATCTTCCTGTTGGAGAATCAACGACATGTCGCCCGCTGGCGGCAAAGGAAGCCCTCTTGCAAGCTTCTTAATTGTATCCGTCACTAAATCTGTCTCGGCCGCCTCTGCCTCGGATCTAGTCATCGTTTGCTCAGAGTGCAGTTTACTACTCTCTAACAGTAACTCGTCCACAATAGCTTCCGCTGAGACTCCCAGAGCTGAATCAGCAGCAGTCGCCATCTTTATTGGCTCTTCTAGGTCGATCGGTGAAGGAATACTCTTAAGCTCTAGATAGAAAATGACGGTTAACAAGAGTTCAAGTCATGAATCTTAAAAAGTTGTCAGTATTGCATGCTCTTCAACTCCACCATATCACCATGACCCGGTTTAGTCTTGTCTTCTTCAGGCATTGACTTGTCTTCTTCAGGCGTCGACTTTGCTTCATCATCGGCGGAACCCTCAGGCGAGACCTTTCCAAGACTGACAGTGATTGTCCCTTTCTCGCTACCCTCTTCAGTCAGAGTCACGGCGTCGTCCGCCTTTTCCTCTTTCTCAATAATAACTTCCTCCTGAACCTGCTCGGCATCAGCTGCTGCATCATCTTCAACTGACACATCATCTTTATTTAGTATGGAACTAGTCTCAGCCGAGACTTCAAATTCCGGAAGCATTGGAATAAAATCATCTCCAGCGTCGTCCTCCCAAGACACCTGACGCCATGAGTCCTGCCATTTCTCATATGTAGCCGTCGATCGGTCAACCTCAGACTTTGGATCAGCTACGTGACCTTGCGGCAGAGGGTCCGACATCACTTTATCAGGCGAATTCTCTTCTCCGACTGGAGTAACACTTGAAGCCGATGTATCCGCGACTATCTGTCTGTTCTCTGCAGTTCCGGCGGCTACTGCAGCCCACGAAAATGACTGTAGCGGGCGACGTTCAGACTTGGATTGTGCAGCAGAAGCTACAGAACCATAACTCTTGGCTCCGGACCCGGGTCGGTCTGACTGTTCTTTATCGCGGTCATTGCTCATCAATGAATCCAAGGACGCCACCTTGGGCTTCCTAGCAACCAACTTGTAAGATTCAGCTTCACCGCCTGCTTCCGTACTAGTGGGAGTAATCGTAGTCGCTCCCGGTATCCCACTGGTGTTGATGCTCTGCCGCGCCACTTTGCTATAGGAGGGGCCAAGCTTAATTGGCAGATTGGAAAGCAGGTTGCTTTTGCTCGTAGTATGCGTAGTCTGATTAGCCAAATCAGGCTGCTCAGTCAGAGGCTGCTTTTCCTGTCGTTGCTGCTGCTGTTGCCCCTCTTTCTCCCTCTGCTTGGGCATCTTGACGATTGGTGTCCATTCGCCGTCGGAAATCGATGACTTGAGCAGTTCTGCGCATGACTGCAAATTTGAACTTGATTTCTTCGTTTCCACAACCGTCGCGGTCGAGGTCGTGGGCGTGGTCGTCATTGTGCTATCGGCGGGGTTTCCACCGGCCCCTTGACCGAAGAGTCCGGAGATACTGCGAATCGCTGCATCTGGATCGTAGTTTTTGATTTCGAGCATGCTATTCTCATTCGACTCTGCCTGCTTTCCGCGATCGACCACCTTGGCAGTGAGATCCGCCGCGCCCTTCTCGCTGCTGTCGTTGTCGCTGTCGTCGGTGACAGCACGAAACGACGCCCCATAAAGCGCCGTGTTCAGCACCTTTTCTTGAGGTACATATCCATCCAGTACTGGGAATCGAGGCGCATTGCTGAGCTCACGGCCGGCGAGATAGCGATCATATGCGTCACGACTGATGAACGTACTCGCTGTATCAGACGGATCGATTAGCACTCTGAGCCTTGCATTTGAGAACGCGACTGAGATCTTTATTCCTTTCTGTTTCGTTAAAAGTGTCTGCAGCTGTGGAGTGAAATTGTTGTGGACAGTAAGGTCAATTTCCAGTCGGTCATTGTTGTTGTTGCTACCTCGCACCGAGGACTCGGGTTTCATTCTCGGCCGCGTATGTTTGACAGATTTCAGATCAAGAGAGCAAATGAGCCACGCAGAAACAGAAAGGTTCGGATTGTTGGGCGTAATCAGAAGGACGGATCAGAACGGGCAGTTGCGAGAGTGGGATGGCGGAAGACGTTGTTGATGCGCCCCGCCTTTTACATCAGATCGTTGGTTGTGTGCGCACCACAGATCACGGTCCACTACAGTCGGCCACCGAATTGCTCTACTACGACAAGATCATGACTTTACAGCTTCTTACACGTCCAGCTTGACTAAAACCACACCGATCATTGATTGATAGCTCATAATGCATTAAATAGGCAACGATATACAACAAAACAACAAAACGCCAGTAATTCCCAAGCAAAAGCAGACAAAGACCAAGACTTCAACGCAGCTAGTTGTGGCCAGCCTTTGACGCCTTTGCTGACCGCTTCCGCTCCTCAAGCTCTTCCACAAATTCTTCAAGAACGTCTTTTAATCCCTCGTTTCGTCGACACATCATCAGGACGTCATCCGTGTTCACGGTCTTTCGTTTTGCGTGCCTAGATGATTAGAAGGTCAGTGTCTTGAGCAGAAGTAGCGATTTGAGAGAGGTCACCAACCATGCAAACGATTCAATATCAGTAGCAAGTGTCACTAGTAGTTAGTTAGCAACAAACTCATACAGTCAAGCTATATAGATCATCAGAACACACCTGCTTGTGCGTAGACCAGTTCTGTCAGAGCAGCGGTATACTGAGGTGTAACGTTCACCCCAAGACTCTCACACGCTTCATCAACAATCTTGCCAACTACAATAGTTTAACAAAGTCAACCCCGGCACTGGTTTCAAAACTAAGCAGCAGTAATGCGTATTACCTGTATACCAAACCGCTGATTTCAGCCTCTAGAAATTACTCAAAGTCAGCGCACGATCTGGATAATAGAAGGCCTTGTTGTCGCGTTCATTGGCTCCATTGGGTTTATCTCACATTCTGAAGCTCAGGGTCCATATCTGCAGAAGGCATTTTCTGAGAAAGCGAAATATCGTATCAAAGAAGTTTTCCTGAGGACTGATGGGCGACTTGTATAAACTTGTCTGGGACGCAGGAACAGATCGCGTCGCGCACGCGTTAGACTTTGAGATAAACAAAACGAGCCGAGAGAAACCCAAATCGCCGTAACAACCGAGGGGTTAAACAGGGTCTGTGAGTCCAGACTAAGCTATATATTTATAAGGTGCACTGACACCCACAATACCCCATCGGCGCCACACGGATGTCAGAAGAATACAAGTCGACCTGTTTTTCTGTCCTCGGCCGTTGTTTGGAGAACATAGAAAACGCCGGCGTTTTCCCTCCGTCCACTTGCGCGCATTACTTCCACTCGCCATTCCACCACCCCGACAATACCTTGCGCTGAACAAGGCTCTTCTTTTGGATATACCACTATTCGCAGAGAATTCCCGTCTACCGCTTCCTACCCGCTCACTCGAAAGCCTTCCTCGAAATAATCGCAACATACCATCAACATGGAGATCAAGATTTTCGACCACCTCAAAGACTACACAATCAAGGATTACTATCCTATATTTATAATTGTGACCGGATACATGCTCTTCCGTCCCTACCTCATGAAAATCGGCGCCGAGCTACAGAAGCGCGAGCACCGGAAAGCCGGCGCTGAGACTCGAGAGGCGGCAGTCAAGAAAGCACTCAGCCTGGAAGATGTCGACGAGCAGTTCGAGGAGGAGACTGTCAAGAACGTCTGGGGCCGCAATGCCCGCAAGCGCCAGAAGAACGTCATGAAGCAGATTGAGAAGCGGTACGAACGGCAAGCCGAGATTGAGGCCAACTACGAGAGCGACGAAGAAATCGCCGAGTTTTTGGCTGAATAGACGCCAGTTTCTCCTCTCTTCTGGCTCTTGTTTTCTTTCTTCTCATCCTTATCAGTTTTTGGATTCCTTTCTCGGTCTTTATCCACCGACCGAGATATTTCTGGGCGGGTGGCAACAACATTAATCGCAAGCGCAAACACAATAGAACTCGGTGGAAGTTGTTACCCTCCAGCTATCATAGAGCATATGTCACGAATAATAATGAAGAAGGGCGTTCGACTAGAAAATGGAAATTAATGCTCTGATTTTGTTTCAGAGTGATGTTTTATTTGCCGGTTATAGAGATGTTCGATTCGGTTGCTTGCAAGGTGTTTTCTTGTGGCGTACGTGTATATATCATAAACATTTAATTTGGACCTATTGTGTTTTATAAATTTATTCAATGATATTCCATCTAAGAACTATATGCTTCCCATAGATAAACACAATCACAACATATACTATTGTCTGTCTAGAAAATGCATCCTCCAGAAAAACTAAAAACCAAGATATCTCGGACTGTGCACTCTAAGTATTTCAAAGCAACAAGAATTTAGTAGACCTCGAGAATATATCTGCTCTTCTCCTTGAGCTCCTCAACCTCCTTCGCAGTGTCGATCTCGACGTTGCGGATCTTGGCATCCTCCATGATGACATCCTCCAGGACAGCAGTAACGTCCGGCACGGGCCAGGTGGGACTATGATACAATCGGTTAGTCTCACTATCAATAGAACCTTCACAAAACAGTTTAAAACGTACCCGCAGAGATAGAAGACACCCTTGCTCTCGACATAAGCCGGGACAAGCTTGTCGATAGACTGGCGCATCTTATCCTGGATGTAAATCTTTTCAGGCTGATCACGCGAGAAAGCAGCACCAATATGGGTAATAATTCCAGCAGCCATATGAGCCTCCCAGAATTCACCATACCTATACATCATTCGTGTTAGTATTACAACCATAGAACAGTAAACCAGACATTGCTTTGCATAAAACTTACAAGTACTCCTCCTTCTGGTGACGGGATCCGAGATACAAGAAGACATCTCCAATCTCGTGACCCTGCGCCTTCTGCCACGCCTTCTCCTCAACAAAGGCCTTGAAAGGAGCAAGACCGGTTCCGAGACCACTCATAATGATAGACTGAGTGGTCAAAGGAGGCAACTTCATAACCGAAGGCTTAACAGAGACGACAACTTCAGAGCCAATCTCGAGCTGCGAAAGGTAGCGCGAGCACTGACCGTAACGCTTGCGGCCGAGGTTGTCAACCCAGTCGACGACGACGATGAGCAAGTGCACGGCGTTCGGGTGCACCTTCTGCGAAGACGCAATCGAGTACTCACGGCGCTTGAGCGGGTTGACCATCTTCACAAGCTCCTCGAACGAGGGGCGAGCAGAGTCAAACTCGATGAGAATATCAGCATAGGTAAGAGTCTCCTCCTCAGCTCTACGCTTGAATTCCTCCGCACCTTCAGCGCTGGAGAGCTTCACAAGATGAGCCTTCTGCTTCTCATCAGTGGCATACTCGGCAAGCGACTCGTAAAACTTCTTCGGGGTCTTGCCGAAAATGTCAAGGTTCTCGAGCAAGACCTGGTAAACAGTACGCTGCTCGAAACGATCGGGATCCTCACGCGACGGAACAAGGACGACAGCATCAGCATCGAGGCCATAGTCAGCAATGAACTTGGCCACGAGCTCGGAGTCGTTGCGACCATGGATACCAAGAGCCTCTCCGATCTCGTACTTCAAGCCAGTTCCAGTGATGTCAAACTCGATGTGGAAAATGTTACGGTCGTAAGACGAAGGAGTGAGACGCTTGAGCTCCTGGACCTTGGCAACAAAGTTCTGGACAGGCAAGTCAGGACGGAGTTCAGCCTTGTACTCGTATGCCTCCTTGAACGCAAGAGTCTTCGCAGCAGTCTGGTAAGTCTCGACATCAACAACAGGCTCCTCGATAAACTTCTCCTCGTTGGCAGTGAAGCTGTCCGAGACCGGAGCAATAGGAAGCGAAGTGGGCTCATCGTCGCTGAGCTCCCAAGCGGAAGGAACCTCGGCCTTGACGAGCGCAGCCTGGACCTTCTCCGACAGCTCGGAAACGGCGGCGGCGTCGAGACCAGAGTCAGGGTTGAGAGTAAGCAGCTTGCCAATGTACGCCTCGGCGAGCTCGGTGGGGTTTCCGGTACGCAAGACAGCGATCTGAGATGCAAGGCTGACCGCGGCGCCGTTGGCGGAGTCGGCAACATCGGCAAGGTTGATCGTGTAAACGACAATCTCCTTCGAGGTCAAGAGCTTCTTGATCGGGAAAGGAATCTTCTTGACGAGATCCTCAAACTTGTCGGTAGTGTTGACAAGAAGCGAGCCTCCGAACTTTAACGCATCGACCACATTGTACGCAGAAAAGATACGGTCGTCATTGACAACAACGATATCAGCATTAGTAACAGCGAAGGTCGAGTCGATGATGCGCTTGGACGAGCGCAGCTCCGACTGAACAATGCCAGCCAAGGTCTGGTTGTCAAAGGTCGAGTAGAATCCAGTGTTGCGCGAGGTGTCGAGCGAGAAGAACTGGGCAAGCTTGACAGGGGAGAAGGCAAGCGGGCTGTCGTCAGCAGACCAGAACACTACCTGGGAAACGTCTTGGTCTTCGAGCAAGTCGAAGGACGCAACGGTAGAAAAGCCGTTGGCAGTGACCTCCTCCGGGATGGAAATGGTGATGGCCTGCGAGCCACGGAGAATCTGCTCGTAGATCCAGATGAAGTTCTTGGGAGTCATGGTCTGCTCCTCGCGGGTGTACTTCAGATCAATGAGCTTGGGACGAGACCCAGCCGGGAAGTCAGGAGACATGACAACGGCAGAGAAGATGTCGCTGTAGATCGACGACTTGAAGGCAGGGTCCTTAACCTCAGCCTCAGAGTAAACCTGGCCAAAGACATAGACCTGCTTGGTCGAGCGCGGGAGAGCGTTGAGGAACTGCGACTCGCCGAACGGGGCGGCAACACGGACGGTCAAGACACCGACGCGCTCGCCCGCATCAGAAAGGTTGAGAGCGACCTCAGACGCAACAGCCGACTCGGTCGAGCCGAGAAGGACAAGCACAACATCGGGCTGCTCGTGACCCTCGTACTCAAACAAGCGGTAGGAGGTGCCCAACTCGGCGTTGACAGCAGTCAAAAGACGGCTGGCCTTGATGACGGGGTCAGCGCGGAGGAAGGTCTTGTCCTGGGACGAGAGAATATCCTCGTACATGTCCTTGACACGCTTGGTACCGAGAACGTCGACGACGCGCTGGCTCTCGCGAGCGAGGCGGAGACCGTCATAAAGATGGACAGCAGGCAGAACCGACGAAAGCAAGGAGGCATAGAGAGACATGTGCTGAAGCTCAGAGACACGAGACGAGGTCACAAGAGCAAGCCCAGACTCACGAGCAGCGTTGAGAGCAGTGATGTAGTCAACGACAAACGCATCAGAGACGGGAGAGTAGTCAATTGCCGCAACGTTCAAGACAATGGGGGAGGGCGGCGAAGGCAGATAGGCGAGCTCAGATAGCACAGGGGAGAGCGCGGGAAGAGATCCAGACGAAGCAACGATAGAACGCGTAGCGGTATCGTGCTTGCGCGAGAGGCTCGACGAAAGAATGTACCCCAAAGGAAGAGACCCTGCGCCAGCGCGAGTCTCGAGCTGGCTGACGAGGGGAACAGTTCCAAAGCCGTTGGGCTGGTCAGCAGTCTTCCAGGCCGCAATATCAGAGTCCAAGCCGAAGGTCTCTGGCGAGTAGGTGAAGATGGCATCAGAGAGAGCATAAGTGGAGAGCTCAACCAACGTCTGAGGAGTCACATAAGTCGGTCCATCGAGAGCAGAAATGTTCTCGGGAACAGGGAAGGGCGCGACGAGGGTGGCCTTCGCGAGGAAGTCCTCCGAGACCTGCGAGGCCTTAAAAGGGATATCTGCAACCATTTTTTCGTGAGCTAACCGGGATATGACGGAAGAAGCTCTGCGAGAGGTTGAACGAGGTTCAGGAGCAGAAAATCTAAGCAGTTGGGTGGGGAGAGGAAAACTCATTGAGCGGGTGGCTTTAGTTCTTTGCTGATGTTGAGGAGACCCGGAGTTTTTTTAAAATTTCTTTCTTCCGGAACTCTAATTTCTACAAATGCGCAATGTCACGTGTGTGTCAGTCACGTGAGGAGTCAGCCTTGCCTTGTATTGTGCACCCAGCTTTATCTGAGCTCTCAATGGGGGACCAACTGAAAATGGACTAATTATGCTTGATATGCCATGTGTATTACTTGTAGATTGAACATCAGAAACCAGTCCACTAACTCTGCAGCGCCCGTAGTCTCTCGCGCATACTGTCTAAATCGGCCTCCTCTTCCTCTTCTTCCTCGGCCTCGGCCGGTACGCTGTCTGGTACAGCACCTGCCTGTCCCAGCTTGCCACCGGTAATTTCTGAGAGAATAGCATCTACCTCGGCATCGGCTTCCATTTCCATAGTATCATCTGCCTCGTCTAAACCATCAAGCGTATCGCCGACCATCTCGTCCATTATTCCAGCCTATATATATGCGATAGACGTTGGTTAGCAACGATAGTACGTTAACATAGATAAAGGCGATTCGAATGATATACCTTCATGAGCTCCTGGCTCAGCTCGCGCATAGTACCTGATAGCTCCGGCATGCGTACTAGTGTGTTGACGTCCTTCATTATGCCGGTACTGGCCTTCATACTTCCTTGGATCTTGCGGACTGCGAATGCTTCCCGAACTTGCATACCTACCGACTGTAGCTGTGCCTTCGACTTGAATAGTCTCGAGCGCTGTTGTCGAACGTGGTACAGCTCCTTGGCCAAAATCCGGGCAGATGATACATCGCCACGTTTTGCAGCTTGCTTGATCATCGACTTTGTTTTCGATTCGAGACCCGCCAGACTTGTAACCTGCTTCTCCAGTTGACGCTCGTTTTTCCGTAACAGACTGTTGCACTTTCGCATCTAGACATATAGGCAAACAGTCAGTCCTGTTGATATTCTGTGGCGTATCCTAAGGTTGAATTGCGATCGCAGTGCAGTAGACACTATCTTACCTGCTCGGCCGGATCTGGTCCATATATCGCTCTCTTTAGCATCTCCATTTTGCTGTGTAGTCGCAAACAGTAGAAATCACAGTAGACTGCTCAATTATATTCACCAACGGGCGAGAGGAAAGTATTGAGGCGCTCCTATTTCTTGAAGACTGAATGGTCGACCCTTGTATAGTAGAGATTATCAGTGACAAAAGCGGCGCCGCTCTCCCAGAGATTTTCAGTTTGCTCGCCGCATTGGAGATAGTTTCGAGGCCTGGAAACATCGGAAATGGCCGCAACTTTTCGGGATTGGCAATTTCTCGATGCAGTAAATTTCAGATTTCGATAATAGTATACAAAATTGAATGAATACTGAAGAATACAATAAATGTCACTATTTAATGACAATATATGGCACCAAATCGGCTACTGTATAAACGCATATAACATGTGATTTATATGGTGCTAACCGACCACTAACTTTCACGTCGCTCTCCATCGCTCTGATCTCGTCCTCGTTGAACCCTACCACAGTTCGCCCTATACGAGCAGAAGCCCTCCTTCTACCCCGGATTTACAACCCTACTTTGATAACAGACGAACAAATGATAAGTAAGTAACGCGACCTGTTCTGACCAAACACAAGAAGCCTTGTTCTCTTGTAGTCTAACACCTCTCTCTTGATAGCCGCCGAGATCGAGGGTCTCGATCCTCACCCTTCTGAGGAGGCAAACGCACCTCAGTCACCGCGCGGCGAGAAACGCGGTCATGATGAGAACATGTTCCAGATGAACGATGCTGAGCAGCTCCGGTTTATCGCTGATCAGCTGGAGTCTGTCCAGGGCCATGACGGCGCCGCGTTTGATGACCTCGGTGCTCTTGATCACCATGATCACCATGAACCACAACACCAACAACACCATCAACAGCACTACCAGCTACAAACGGTGTTTGACTATCCTCTCGACGAGCTCACAGGCTCCAATGATCCTTCAATGCAGCTCAAAATGCAGAGCATGCCGATTTTAGATAATCTCGTGAGTGGCGCTCCGTTGAGAATAGCAATGATGCCAATCTACTGACCAATTCGCGCTCTCTACAGTCTAACCAAATCCTTGCTACTCTTGGGCGCGGGGCATATGAAAGCGCGTATACTGTTGTTACTCAGCCCGAGAGCGATCAGGGCCAAGCTTTCCGGACTTTAAATTCTCTGTTTGAACGTATGCTGCGTTTCCCTTGTATCATTCTGACGAGGGATGGGGTACTAACTAAGAACTGCGTACAGAAACAAAACGACTCTATACTACTGATTTCTTCTTGTCCGCCACCGCTTTGGGCCTCTCAAAATCTCCACGCTATTGCTCCACTATCCGCAAAGCCAATCTCGCTACTTTTGTTACTGCAGTCTACGGTATCTGCCCTGCCGGCTTCTTCCATCTCGATAAATATTTCATCGACTCTTTTGTGCCCGAGAACAGTCGCCTGCTCAAGGTACAGGGCGCTCTCTACCTTGATCTGAAGACCCAGTCTTTTATTTCGGGCTTGGGTCAGAAGGAACGTACGAGGGAGCAGCTTCTTGATGATCTATTTCCTGATGAATTAGAGCGGATCTTTCTAGATCGGAGACCGGGTGCGGGCAAAGTCTTGAGCGCGGGCGAGCTTGATTTTATTGCCCGGTGTAAGAGCAGGAAAGAGATCGTATGTCACCAAAACTTTTCTTTTGCCATCGAGATCGATTTACTGACCTTCTTTTATTTGTATAGTTGGCTAACCCTGCAGACGATGAGGCGCTGTCTGAAAAATATCCCTGGACTAATTTCGTGCGGGATATCAATGACTATGTGGCGAAAAACTATGCTTCGATAATCGCGCTTCCTGGACCATCTAGCAAGAAGCAGAAGCGGTTAGGTAGTATGTCGCTGGGGTCGGACGGAACAGTCTCGGGTGGAGCTCCGGATATGGATTCAGTGGATGTCAACCCGTATGGCGAAGAAGCTGCAGTTGTGCATGCTGAGCCAGTCATACCGAATCTCTCATCGATGCAACATCATGTGGACGCAGATATACCTGTAGATCCAAGCATGCATCTGGGCTCGTCGGTGGGGCAGGCAGGTTCCGTGAATGTCAATGGCAGCGGGGAAGGAATACTAAGCGCGGAAGAGGCTTATGCGGCTGCGAACGAGATTATATCCGGAACCCGCGTCCATGATGGTGAGCATTCAGAGGGTATTTTGGCGTCAACTGGGAACGGACAAAGGTCAAAGCCGCCCCGAAACCGGGCGTCTAATGGAGGTGCAAACAAGCGGCGGCCATGGTCGAAGGAGGAAGAGACAGCGCTACTGGAGGGTTTGGAGAAGGTACAGGGGCCAAAATGGAGCGCAATTTTGGAGATGTACGGGCCGGGAGGTACTGTGAGTGAGGTTTTGAAAGATAGAAACCAGGTGCAGTTGAAGGACAAGGCGCGCAATATGAAGCTGTACTGTTTGAAGAATGGGATGGAGGTCCCGTTATATTTATCGTTTGTCACGGGAGAGCTGAAGGACCGTCACAGGAAGAGCGGGAGGACTGATGACGACTGAATGACTGTGTGGATGTATTTTTATTATCGTGATTGTACAATAGTTGGATTTATAGAGTTATGTGGATCAACAAACAAGCAGCCGTCCGTATATGAGCCAGGATGTTTGTAATTGCCGAAACTGGTATTTAGGGGGTTAGGGTGTTGACGGCCAATCAGCAACACCCGAAAAGAAACCCTCGTTTTGCAGAGGTTCCCCGAACTCGCGACCTCAGCCTTCACAACTCAGACCTTCACACCTTTGCCTGTCCAAGATCAGCTTTCTACTCAAGATGATAAGGCTCCCATCATTCGCTGCTTCGCGCTCGCTCGTCCCGCTGCGACCGAGCCAGCAGGCTCTCGTGCGTACTTTCTCGGCCTCGACATCGGCGTCGAAGCCAGACAAGCAGGTCGTCGTGTCCAAGTCGGCGCTGCCCAAAGACTACCCCTTGCCTTCGGAGCGCAAGCCTCAGAACGTGATCGACTATGCTATGACTACGCTTGATGCTATTGCGAATTGGGCTCGTCAGGGCTCGTTCTGGCCCATGACCTTCGGTCTGGCGTGCTGTGCAGGTATGTTACGACAGACGAGATCCTCTCTCGCGGGAGCTTCAAACAGCGCGGGAGTTGGTTGCGAGTGGTAGTAATCGGGCTCTAATCTGAATTTGTTTATTATAGTCGAGATGATGCATTTGTCCGGTCCCAGATACGATCAGGATCGTGTGGGAATTATTTTCCGTGCCTCGCCGCGTCAGTCCGATATTATGATTGTCGCCGGAACCCTCACAAACAAGATGGCTCCCGCTTTGAGACAGGTTTACGACCAGATGCCTGAGCCCCGATGGTACGAGTGTTTATCTTACTTGATAGTTGTGATCCGGACTAACGTTTGGATTTATAATTAGGGTGCTGTCTATGGGCTCCTGTGCCAACGGTGGTGGCTACTACCACTACTCTTACTCTGTCGTCCGTGGTTGCGACCGAATCGTTCCTGTCGACGTCTACGTTCCCGGATGCCCGCCTACCTCGGAAGCTCTCATGTACGGAATTCTGCAGTTGCAGAAGAAGATGAGACTCCAGAAGATCACTAGACTCTGGTACCGAAGCCGGTAAATGTTGGTTGAGTTCGATATGTCAAAGGATGCAAGATTACACGTTCGCAAGAGAGTGGGCGTGGGAAAAGTCTGTTGTGTGTTCATGACGGCTGCCTGGCATTGGTTTTAGAGCATGCAGTGCGGACTTTGTTTTGTAGCGTGGCGGTGTGAATTGCGGCAAAGCGATTTCGCACATGGAGAAAACGGGATTCAGATCAGGCAGTGTTTGACTTTTTTTGCTAGAGTCGAGATTGTGTTTTGTGGATTTCCCGTTTTGTTCATTTGAATGATGTTGTTTTTTTGGCGGGGTGTCGGGTCAATTGTACTGGTTTTTTTCTTTTTTACACATGTTCATTATCTACACATTTTTTCAATCTAATTTATTTGCATATGAAATACAAAAGGGAGAGTTGATGAAACGTCAATTATCGCACGGATAAATTAGTGTCAATGATGTGAAAGTTGTCGATTCGTATATCGGAATCAGTAGAGGGAAGGATCCGATTTGTAAGATAACAAACGAGGATGATATGAGCAAATTTACAAAGGAACGCGAGCAAATTTAGAAATATAATCAATCTTTTAAGATGTGGGAAAAAGCAAGGTACTAGTAAAACAGTATGTTACAAACGAGATAAAAATACAGCTGACGGTTACAGGCTGCACGTAGTCACAAAGATAGTAAAACAGTTTTAGAAGCCGTCGTAGACGTTTGCAGCCTTCTCGTCAGCGTGGCGCTGGTCGTTGATCTTCCACCACCACTCGAAGAGCTCGTTCTCGGGATCACGGAGATCCCATGGCTTGGGGGTCAAGATGTAGTGGACGTTCTTGACCTCCTCGTCGCGCCAGATTGGCTTGTGGACGTCGCGCAGTGTCTTGAGGGCGTTGTATTTGTATGAGAGAGGAACCCACGAGTCACGGAAGACGTCCGAGAGCAGGGACTGGTCGGCGAATTCGTAGTTATCGGTCATGGTAGGAGATGCCATGGCGGCGACAATCTTGTCGTAGGAGTCCTTCGACGGGTTGACGACCTGGAGACCACCGTTGCAGATGGCGAGGCCGGTGTTGGTGGGCGCGCCCTCGGTCTGGGCAACATCAGGGGTGTCGTGCTGGTGAGTGAAGGAGCAGTTCTCGGGAACCCTGAAACAAGCAAGCAAGTGTTAGTACAATTGTGGCGAGGAAAGGAAGGAAGAGAAGCGGGAAATGGGGCATTGTCGTGAACTTACCAGTCCTTGGGATAATGGGCCTTCTTGAAGGGATTGCAGGTGCATGCGTGAGATGCGGCGAAGATACGGTCGGTATCGTTGAGCTCCAATTCCATGAGCTCGTCCATGTTCTTGACGACGATCATGTCGGAGTCGAGCTGGACGACACGCTTGAACTCGGTGAGGTTGAAGGGCTGGAGCTTCGACCAGCAGTCGTAGAAGCGGACGTCGTTGCCATAGTCTTTGTGGCTCTTGGGCAGGAGGTAGGCGATCTCGCGCTTAGGAATACCACGTGCTTCGAGGGCGGCGTGGCCTTCGGGTTCGAGCGTGGAGGTGTAGAGAACGAGGAAGGGGTACTTGGAGCCGACCTTGCGGAGGGAGTACTCGAGGGCGAGGAGACCAGGTAGGTACTTTGTGTTTGTAAGGAGGGTGGTCCAGACGTGGGTCGTGTTCTCAGGCAGAGACATTGCGGTCGTGTTTGAGCGAATGCGGGTGGAGAAATGAATGGACGGCGGGCGGAAGCAGACACGCGGGCTGGTGAAGAGGAAGATGAGGAGGAGGAAGAGAGGAGGAGAGGAGGAGAGGACGGTGCTCGTCACGAACCCGGCCCACGCTTTGCTATCGCGGGACCCAATACGCCCGCTGCAACGTACGCAGCCCGCTGGACTCCACCGATCGGCCTAAATATTCCGGGTAACAGCTGCTGTCTACGGTCTGCCTACTTCTCTACTGCGCGGTTGTCGCTGCTCGGAATAAGAGCCCAATTGCTCACTCGCTCGGCCTCTTCTCGCGCTGCTTATCAGCCTCGAGGTTCGAGCGCCGACTTTGCTCGTCGTCGGTCGTCCTTCATCTCAATGTCCGTTCATCTCGCCGCGCCGCACTTCAGCTGCGGTCATGTGATTCAAAGTCACGTGAATGGGCGCGGAAAGCAGAGCAAACCACACTCCAGGTCGGGCATTTAGCGCATCCAGCACCCGCCCTCTTTCTCTATCCCCTCGGTTGTCTACTTCTCTGTATCAGGTTATAGATAAAAATGGCTGGTGGACACGGACCTACAAGTACGTTATCTGCACACTGATCTTCCTGCTCGTTTGCCGCTACTTCCTCCGCTGCCTCCCGCACCCGGGACGAATCCGGCCAATGAGCTTCCCGATATTATCATTCGCGCATGCTAACATCATACCAGCCCTTCACCGGGATCCCGCTATCGACAGACACTACAGTATGTATTACCGATAATAAAGGGCTTTGTTTTGCCGTTGATCTCGCTTTGTTTTGGTTTTTCTGGGTCTTTGTTGTGGTTGGATGGGCGACTGACACACTATATCCAGCCCTCCGCGAGAACTACGAGGCCTACTACAGATGGACCCCCAAGAACGCTCGCTATGCCCTCATCTTCCTCGTCGCCATCCCCGGTGCTCTTCTCTACACCTCCTACAAATTCGAGGTACGTACCCGGGCTATCCTTATCGCGGCATCTGATCTTTATTATTGACATATCTACAGGGCAAGATCAACTTCGAGGCCAAGAAGCGTGGAGAAAGCATTTTTGAGAAGTGAGAAGCATTAGATACGATCTAAATAAATCTGTACAGTTTCCTATCAAATCTAGTGTACGTTCCCGGCCTATACGGAAACAAAACAGTTCTCTTGGGATTGACTTGCATTCACTATACTTTCTTGAGTTGGGAAACGGGAGTTGTTTTTTCATTATTTCTTACTTATCTACTTTACAATGTGGAGCATTACATTCGGTACCGTCCTAGTTCATCATGATCTATCCTGTTCATTTAAATAACCTCCTCTTCCGTCGTAATCATGCTAATATACATATATTCCAAACCTGAACATAAAAAGTCGTTACCGTAATTGACACACAAATATCAGTAAACTCCCACTCTCAGACAACGCCCCCGAAATGGTAAAACTAAAAATACAAGGTACAGCAGCTGTACCATCTTCACTCCTCTGTTTCCGTCTCTTTGGTATTGTTCACAATCATCGCCGTCATCTTCTCAATATACACATCACGCTCGGACGCCGCAACACCCTCGTCAGGCAAACTGACCGGTAACTTGCTTTCTCCGCCGAGCTCGACAGTCGAATTCTCCTCAAGCCTGCGCAGACTGGCGACTCGCAGCTGGATCTCCTTACTTTGTGCAATCAGGAAGCGCACCGTCTCGTCCATAGGCGCGACACCACTCGTACGTCGCAGAAAGGACAGCGCTGCATCATATGTTTTGAGAACTGTGATCAACTGTCTATTTTGACGGCTCTTTATCCTAAGCTTTTCATTGGCGTAGTATGAGGCTTGGAGCGTTTTCCGAAGATTTAATAGCCTGTTATCGAGGTTCGCGTGTGATATTGAAAAGTCGATTCCCTTTATGAGGTATTAGCCAAACGTACAACCACAAGTAAGCTATACAGAACGTACTTTGTGATGTGACAGTCTCATCCAGCCATCGGCGACATCGTCGGGAATCGCGAGGATATTCCGTAAAACATAGAGCTCGAATCTGATCAGTCGTGATACGTTAGAACCGTGACTGAAGATCACCAACTGACAAGACAAAGAACAGCACGATACCTATCAAAATTGCGGTCCACTATTCCTTCTAATAAAGTCTCCAGTTTGGCGGTTCCCAGTTCGATCTCCTCGTCTGGTATATCTTTGCAAGGTGGGGTATTTTGCAGAAATGCTTCAATGGCTGCTGTGCATTTGTATAGAATATTATTGACGGCGTTGATCACGTCGTCCAGAAGAGCAATCGGAGGGTACTCGAAATGCTCCGTCAGAAGAGAGGTCGTGCCCGACGACGGCTGGGCCATTGTGCTGCTTGTTTACGTGTTGCGCGGTTGCAGAGCTGCCTTCGTCCAGACGTGTTCTTGTATCGCATCGCGCCGGGAAGTAAACAAAGGGCACTGATCAGAAAAGATACCCTAGACCTGATCATTATGTAATGTATGACTTATTATAGGGTTGTTAGGGCTTGCAAAAACGCAGTCACACTTAACTATAGACCGTCGCTGAGCCGCACGGTTTGCGGGCGTGGGAAGCTATATCGAAAATTGTTCGTCTTTGTCTTCCCTTTTGAATTCTCCACAGGACTGAGCAGCTTCATCACATCTCTCTGTCGACGAAGTCCCGTTACTTAAAATCCAAATTTAATTCATCTTATTCAACATGTCTGATACCGAGGAAGTTATCGCCGCCGAGGAGATCGTCGAGGTCGAGGCCTCCGCTCCCGCTGGTGGAATGACCGTCGAGGAGGCCCTCAAGGGTGTTCTCCGCAAGGCTCTCATCCACGACGGTCTTGCCCGTGGTCTCCGTGAGGCCTCCAAGGCTCTTGGCCGGTATGTTTTGGCAATTTGATTCAATTGATCATCGCCCAGAGATCAGTCGTGAAGAGGGGATTGATGATATGAATAAATCATGGACGAGATTGCTGACCTCGTGTTTTACAATCTATAGCCGTGAGGCCCACCTTGCTGTCCTCTGCGACTCTTGCGATGAGGAGTCGTACGTCAAGCTCATTGAGGCTCTCTGCGCTGAGCCCGAGAACAAGATCCCTTTGATCAAGGTCTCTGACTCCAAGAAGTTGGGCGAGTGGGCTGGTCTTTGTAAGTTCTATCTATCATACTGTTGTTAGTGTTCGAGAACGGCTGCTAACTGAATGAATCAAGGCGTTCTTGACCGTGAGGGTAACGCTCGCAAGGTCGTTGGTGCTTCGTGCGTTGTTGTCAAGGACTGGGGTGAGCAGTCTGCTGAGCGTGACTTCTTGCTCCAGTACTTTGAGAGCAACTAAGGTGCAGGCAGTTCATGTATAGTTCATAGTTTTTTTTTCTTGGGTATCATGGGGTCATAAAAGTATCTTTTGTATATATCTATTGGGTTCATTGCGCGAGGAAAGAAAATAATGAATTGAATTGCAGCATTTATGAAAAGTTGAGCTATATTGTTGGTCATCGTAAATCTACCCTTTCAAGAAACGAAACCCCCGACACATTTTTGTCTTCCAAAAATCATGCAAATAAACATCTAAAGCAATTGAAATAATGTACAGAAAGAGTAATCTAATTTTCTTATCCTCTGTTAGCCAACAGAGATCCCAAAATTTTTAGCACACTTAATCGGCCCTGGCTCCTGGTGCCGTCAGATCCTTGCTATTGACATCACCCAGTTTTAAAAGACTTCCTTCGATCGAGAATAGCTTTCCAGAGGTCTCGAGGGCCTCAATGACGAACGTAAGCTTGCCGTCGACCTTCTTTCCCTTCGCATCCACCCAGCTACCGTAGCTCTTGCTCGCGGCCGGTCGATCGTCGCCGCTGATCAAGAGACCAGCTGCGTCGCGGTCTTCTTCTTCTTCCTCTTCTTCCTCCTCATTGTTGTAATCATTCTCGACAAACTTCCACTTCGGTGGTATCCGGTCGCGAGTTATGCTTGCGTTGAAAACGTCGCAGACCAAGAGACCGATATGACTGCGCGACTGCATGTTGATTCTTCCCTGTAAAATGTCTCCTCGCTTTGGTCTCCACACCAGAAACTCTGCGTTGACCCACGCAAATGCAAAGGGAGACTCGTTGATTATCCTAGCACCCGCGTTCTCATCGACTGATACGTCAAGCACGGCCAGCACTATACCATTGACGGGATGGAAATATGTCATTGTGAGCGGATCCAGATGTTGCGCCCGAACGCCCTGCAGCGGCGAGAGAGAGTACATCGGCGCAATAGACAGATACAGCTCTGCAGACACGCGGAAGAAGCACTGCGACGGCGGCGGGTTGCCGAGCACGGAGACGCTCGACGGCGGGTATGCGCCCTGGCGGGGGATCTCGGACAGGATCGACTGCGAGACGGTCGCGGCTTCTTTGCTAACCTCTGTAGCAGCCAGCGAGGATTTCTTGGGTGATTCCGACTCAGCCGGAGCTGAGACAGATGACCTCTTCCGCTTCTTTATCTTTTTCTCGACCTCTGCCATCGTTCTCTTCTGGTATCTGGCGAGGAAATGAGTTGTGCTGGGCCGAGAAGAGGAGGAGAGGCTCGAGAAATTTTTACTGCGAAAAAGAAGTTTGGGCAGCGTGCGGCGCAGGTAGAAGGTTGGGAGTTCTTTTTATTTTTATTTCTTCTATTTCTCAGTCTACTACTGAGTATGTTTCTGTTTATTCTTTTACTCTGCTATAAGAATTGTTGTTATTTGAGTCACTGTTATACAATAAACTTAGCCACATGTACTGAATACTCTTATCTTTGCCACAGGATCAACCAAACATGATCATGTACCGGAAGAAGGCTCTCACCACTGGCATTATATCAATCAATATTCCTCCTCAGTTATAATGATGTGGTAGACATAACTGCAGAGAGAGATTATCTCCCTCATTTCAGTCATGTCATATTTATTGCTGCCCAAGATGAGAAACCTCTTTTTAAGCTCTCTTATGGTTTGCGTCGCGACGTCGCTTAGCTGTGCGTGCGCGAGGTTGAATAGCTCCTCCTTATTCTGTGGCTTCACCCCGCTTCCTTCAAACTCATCTAGTTTGCAGCGGACGTTGTCGTACGGAGTCACGATGAACGACGTATCGCCAAAACTCGTTTCTGCGATGTAAAATTTATCATCTGGGACATCAAGCCCATTCCGCAAAGCATCGGCTAAAGCGACGCGCTTGTGCACCGCGGCCTCCGACCCTGCTGAAACGTACTTCACGCACTGGGCGAAATCGATGGCTAGCAGAAAGTAGGCTGAATGTTCTTCCGAGGTTCCGAGAGCCGACTGGTTTCTAGGACCTTCGATCTTCACGGGGAATTCTTTGATGATACCATCAACATCTTGAAAATAACGGCCGAATGAGCTGTTCTTGCTTCGGGATGGAGAATCCGCTTCAGACTCTTGTCGTAATATCAACACCTTCTCCGAAATCGCTTTGATTGAAGTTTAGACAAATTCGAGACTCTGTTTGAATTTCTCGGCGACCTCCTCCATCGAGCGCCCTGAGACGAGAAAGTGTAGAAAGACGGATAGCATTCGCTCAGCATGTTCACTTGACTCAGCGACCAGACCTTCCTCCTCGATCAAGAAACTCAAATCATTAAATACACCATAAGTCACTCCTAACATTTTTTCAAAGCAGTCCTCGTCTTCATCATTAAACAGTATTGCGACAAACGGGTCGTGCGAGGGCGAGAAGTCAAACATTGATAAACAAGGGGTGGTTGAATTCTGCGAGTACTGTAATTTTTCTCACTGCGATATCCTCGTCAGTAATATGTTGGTTTATGTTGGTGGTGCACTCTGTTGGCTTATGTTGGTGATTCACTCTGTTGCGTATCCTTGTTGTTGACGGGGGCTGCGGTTGTCGGTGATGGCGGAGGGGGGAGGCTGTGTGGAGAAAGTTGTTGTGTTATGACGGCGGAGGCGGTCAGGCAGCTATCCGAGTTGCAAGCCAAGAAAGAATTTCCTAGTCTCTAGAGATCTCCTTTAGAATGATAGAGACGATATTTTTATGCCTATGATACGCGTGGATGCTTTGTGTATTTTCTATGGAGTCGTTACCCATATATTCTACGCGACTGTTTAATTCGGTGATTATAATGGCGTGTGCTTGTTTCTCATATACAAAATGAAGAATGTCGCAGGTGGCCAATCAACGGGGCGCCGCAAAAGTATGTCGCTGGAAACAAAAAAGCGTAGTTTTTTGAAAAATAGTTGGCTACCGAACGCGATTCTCAATTATTTTATTATGAATTACGAAATGGCCGGCGCGTCAGAAGTGTGTGTACTTTCGGCCCAATCGAGAAACCCCAATACACCAGTGCGCGCGCCCGCCTGGACTGGAATCCGCTTATTTTAACGCGCCCGCCTCTTCTGCCGCTCTTCTCCCTTCTCTTCTTCCTTTCCCGGGACAGGTTTTCGGCTCCTGTCCCACCGCAGCGATTTGATCTATTTCTCAGCAATAGATCGGCATTCCGGCTCTCTCTCTCGACGGCAAAAACAATAGGCGGAGGTTGATGAGGGTAAGCTTTGATCTCTCTTTCTTTTCTCGCACGCGTGGTACCTCGTGAGGTCGCCAGAAAGCAGCCCGTACTACGCAGGTAGCACTCTCAGAGGGTAGCATATATCGAAGTGGTAGCATTCCCAAAGAGTGGTCTGCACTGTTCCATGAGCAGTTCCCAGAGAGACTGCCTATACGGCGTGGGCAGCGTTCTCGTACTGAGAGCAGACTACTCCGCGCTAGGTAGCACTCTCTGGGGACGGCTATCACTGGAACAGATAGCGCGCCTTTGGGGGTAGCATATACCCAGGTAGCGATCCTCTGAGAGTAGCATATACCGCAGCAGATAGGACTGGCATTCTGGGGACGCCCCACGAGAGGTTAGGGAGCTGCTCATACCGGTCCGGTTTCGCAGTTGCTCTTCTCCAAGAGTGGGCGTCGTGCCATGCATGCGAGAGAAGAAAGGGAGAGAGAAGCTTACTCGACCAAGCGGTCTGGTATATGACCTGCCCGCGCAGATACCTGGTGAGCTTGCTCAAAGGAACTGCAGTTCCGTTGTCGGCCCGGTCCCTCTGCGTGGCCGTCTCATGTACGCGCCGAGGATCCTGCTTGTCAGGGTGGACGCGGTTGGTTAGGGCGGCCAATCTGATGAGCTTCTTCTCTAGCCAGGTTGCTCATTGGATTTAAAACGTTCTCGTTGTCGCGTCTCTTTAACAAATGCACTGGTAAGTTGCGCCGTCGCACGGGAGCCCCGAGGCGACGGTTGTTGAAGAGAGTCCGCACGACCAAGTGGTTCAAGCGCAACGTTGACAATCCACCAATACGGAGGCAGTCCATGATTGCCTTCTGGGTGAAGTCGGGTGTTAGTGGGTATGGCGATTTCGAGAGAGTCGCAGAGTCCCACATAACTCTTGGATGGGAGCTTGATCATCTCTTGCTGATCATCTCTTGTTCAAGAGTATGCGTAATGCATTCTTCCCGATCCTGGCACCGGTCGCTTTATGCGCGCTCTTACTGTTTCTGTTTTTTCTGTATCTGCTGCTCTGGTGTTGTGCTGTTATGCTGCTGTACTGTTGTACTGTCGTACTGACTAGCTGTTGTATTGTTGTATTGTTGTGTCGTTGTGTCATTGTATTTTCGATTTTTTTTACCTTCATGTCTTTTTGTTGTGTCGTTGTATGATGTTATATTTCTTAGCTGAGAGCAGATTTGTTTTGTATTTGATGTATAAGAGCGCGTGGCGATACCGTATTGTAAAACCAAGAAAGAAAAAAAAATAAACCACATTTATATTTTACAGATCAGAGATAGCAAACACATGCTATAGCAAAAAGGCATCTGTCGTACGGCATTTACTTTACACATTCTGGTCACTACTAATACTAATCACTCCCTGTTCCTCTCATCCCACAAGCGCTTAGAAATTGCTTCCCGTTTGTCTTCAGCGGTAAGACTGGCCAGCCCACTCACCCGCTTGTTCTCAGCATTTACATCCCGATTAACTAGCGCTAAAAGCAGCAACTTTCCCTACATAGACACGTCTTCCATCGAAGCGCTTTCCGTGGCCTTTCATAAAGTTTCAAATAATACAGAAGCCTGTCACTAATCCTGCTTTTGCTGCAGTGTCGTAATGTTTGCTGCCTCAGACTTTCAATGTGTTTTCAAAATAAGCGCTCCTCGAACTGAGCCCGACGCGTCGCGCGCAATGTCGATACTGGGCGGTAGCGAGTAATGATAATTGCCTGTTTTGTAATATCACTTGTTTAAGCCATAATTACTTTATTGGGATGTGGTTAAACACTAAACCCCAGGCCGGGTAAACAAAAATAATTTTCTTCGCCTCTGCCTTTTGACTCTGGAAAATCTTCCTCCCAACAGGCTCTGCGGTCAATATTTTCTTTTTGTTTGCACCTCTCCGCGCCTTGTTTTCTGTCTTTTTTCCTCAGAGGACTACATAGCTGCATAGATGTCGGACGAGGTACTTTTCTTGTTTTTGTTTATTGTCTTATAGTGCCTTCTGTGCTGAGTACGTTTGACTAACTGCTATGTGCTTGTATAGATCGTGTGGCAGATCATCAACCAGGACTTTTGCTCCTACAAAATCAAGTACGTTTACTCTCCGCCTTTCTCTTTTCGCAAGCAATTACTAATCTATTTAACGCTTAGGACATTGAAAGATCAGACTTTCTGTCGAAACGAGTATAATGTGTGTTTACCGCGCAAATCCACCATCTACGCTATCTGAGTAATATCTAATCTCTCGAATACTATAGGTCACCGGCTTCTGCACCAGACAATCTTGCCCGCTCGCCAACTCGCGCTATGCGACCGTCCGTAACGTCAACGGCAGACTCTATCTCTACATGAAGACCATCGAGCGAGCACACACGCCTCTCAAGCAGTGGGAACGGATAAAGCTGTCCCAGCAGTACTCGAAAGCGCTCGAGCAAATCGAAGAGCGCCTGATTTACTGGCCCAACTTCCTCATTCACAAATGCAAGCAGCGTCTCACAAGACTTACGCAGGTTGCTATTGCGTCCAGAAAACTTGCTCTGAAGAGTAAAGATGAAGAGCGACGGCTTGTGGGCGTCAAGCCGAAGGTCGTCAGACGCGAGACCACTAGGGAACGAAAGGCGCTTGCGGCCGCGCGTGTTGAGAAGGCGATTGAGAAGGAACTGCTGGACAGATTGAAGAGCGGCGCTTATGGCGACAAGCCTTTGAATGTTGACGAGAAGGTGTGGCAGACAATCATGAACAACATGCGGAGTTCGGCTGAAGGCGAGGCGGATGAGGATGTTGACGAGGCCGAGGCTGAAGATGAGGAGGAGAGCGAAGGCGAGGGTGAGATTGAGTACGTCGAGGATGAGGACGACGACGATGAGCTTGTTGAGCTTGAGGATATCGAGAACTGGCTCGGCGCTGATGTGGCCACGGATGAGGAGTTCAGTGACTCAGATGCTAGCAGTGAAGAAGACTCGGATGAGGAAGACGAGGACGACCAGTCTTCGGCCAAGACTGCTGCTAAGCGCAAGAGAGCTGGTGCTTCTGCGAAGCCCAGAAAGCGTATGTGTTTCTTTTGCTATTCAAATTCTGCTATCGATATTTTGCTAACGACGAATGAAATCCACAGGCGCCCCACGTGTCGAGATCGAGTACGAGCAGGAACAGGCGCGGGCAACCAACATGCAGGACACTGCGTGGTAGGATCATTATCAGTTTGTTTGAGTATTTTGTTTGGTGCATTCAAGTGTCATAGTTGTCTTTTAGTATGACTGGATGGTTTTCACTTAGAAAAGAAGACGAGTATAGAAGTAGTTTAGTGTTTACATGGGAATGATCGCAAAAGTACATGTTTTAGTTAATAATCGGACTGGAAAGGTTTCATTTTACTATTGCTCACTTTCTGTTTATTTGTTTTGGTTATCATGTTGAAGAACAGTGCTGGTTTATAATGTAGTTGCATTGCAGACAAAAATAGAAGTAAAATCAAATTGGGAAGTTTGATGATGGAAAAAGTACACGTCGTTCGACCCCTGAAAACCATCTCGTCGGCCGCTTCGCCCTTCTACTCACCCAGCAGCTGCCCTTGTTCACCCACCACCGTATTCCCTTCTAGGGAGTAGCCCAGTCCTTTCCATACCTTTTTTCTCAACTATATTTTTTAATCCTGGATTAGTCTATATGTCACCTCTCTCGCCGGCCTACTCTACCCTGGCCGCGGGTGGGCGTGCTGGCGCCTCAGCAGACGCGTCGTCTACTGCCAACGACGGGGTGCAGACCTCAGAATGGCTACCTCCTTCGCCACCGTCGTCCAGCAGATCGTCTGCCTGCTCATCAGTCTACAACTCTGAAGATGAGAATCTAGACGAAGACGAAGCGCAGGAAGAAGAAGAGGAAGACAGCTACGAAAGCAAGTACAAGGACGAGCGAGGCCACATCAGCACCAGATCCTCTGGCGTGTTAGGATCCTCAACAACAACGGCTACAACAGCTCGACGACGCAAGTTGCGATCGCGTCGACGCGTAGCGGCACGGTCGACAGTTACAGTTCTGGACGGGATCAAGGACGGCTATAATCTCGGATTCCGCAAGAAATGCGTCGAGTCGGTGCTCATACTCGGTCTGCTTGCGCTCGCGGTATCGCACAATCTGCCGACTGTCATGGACAATTCGTCGTTTGTGTCTCAATGTGCTTTGATTATAATATCAGTGCTGTACGCTCGCAGAGGGGAGTGGAGCATGCCATCGATCCTATACATATATCTGTTTCCGACCGCACTCACGCTCGCAGACTATCCGCAGTACTTGCGCCTCAACTTATTACTTTCAGTATGCTCGCTACCGCTGCCGTCAGAAATACTCTCAAACGTCGCCGTCTTACTTGAACCGACCTCTCCGAGTGTATACTACCTCTACACAAGTCTGACGAGCATAGTCGGCTCTCTCGTCACCACGTCGCTCTCCCCAACCGAAACATCGCTCGCGGGCACTCTGCTTGTCAATCTTCTGCTGAACGCGCGGTCGATGGACATAATATTTCTCCGCGCGTTTGTATTTGGATCGCTGTTTAGCTTACTGCCTGCTGTGCCGCTGGTAAAAAGAGTCATGAAAATTTCCGTTCTGCCGAGGCACCGGAGGCCGAAGAATTCGGGCAAGAAGAAGATGACGTATGCGCTTGGTGTCTACGGCATTTTTGTCGCGAACGTACTTGTCTTTGTGCGGTATGCACTTTCGGTTCAGCTTGGGATGGATCCGTTTGTTTACATGATTGATTACCTTTTCCTGGCCGACGACTCATCGCGACGGCTGCGCATGCTCATGTACTGGTCCGCCTGGCTAGTGCTCGGGGTACCGACGATCAACCATCTCTCGCCAAACTGGACGATTGACATCCGCCGGAAAGTATGGCACGGCATGGTAGTCGGCATGTTTCTCTTCGGCGGAGTCGGCCGAGATGCAACCTTCACCTCGCTCTCGCTCGCAATCGCGCTCACGCTCTTCCTCCTCACCGAGTTTGTGCGCGCGACCACTATGCCCCCTCTCGGCGCGGCTATCCATGCGGCGTTGAAGAAATATACAGACGAGCGAGATACATGCGGACCGGTTATTGTGTCGCATATTTTCTTACTTCTCGGCATCGCCTTGCCGATCTTCTGGTCCGGTTCTCCAGCCGGCATCATCTGCCTTGGCTTCGGCGACGCGTGCGCCTCAATCGTCGGACGACGATACGGCGCGCACAGATGGTTTGACTCGAAAAAGACTCTGGAAGGCTCAGCCGGCTTTGTGGTCGCGGCGTTTTCGGGGCTTATGTTAGCGAAGCACGTCCTCCCGGGCTACGACTCTATTCTCGGATCCGCGGAAACGTCAGTCGTATGGGCGCTTGTAACTGCCGTATCGACTGCCGTGTTGGAAGCCACGAGCGGCATGAACGATAACGTTATTGTCCCTGTGTATATGTACGTCGTTCTTCGACTCGGAGCCGAGAATCTTACGCGTGCGAGCGTTGTGGGCCAGGCTCTTGGGTTCTGATGTACTCTACCGTCTCCTTTTGTTTTTGTCTTGATCCGTGTTGTAACTTGTGCGAACCATATCGTCCAGGGTACGAAGCGACGCAGTCTGTTTGTAAATTCATGTTCTTCGTTTTGGTAAAATTTTGGTAGGACTGGGGCTGGGTTTTACATTGTTATGAAGGAATAATGGTTGAGAAAAGAAGAACAGTTATAGAATTCTGGTTTGTCTTTGTTTTTGTTGTATAGGGAAGGGTTTGCTGTTTTTTATAATCGATGTTTTCAATGGGCACTCATTTTGAACATAATCATGGGTGTCTCGGTCGTGGTCGGTCACGACGGCTTAAAACGATCCTCGCAAAAGTAATCGCTACCGAGACAAAAGCGGCAGCCAAGAACCGACTAAAACAATAGATTAACATGTAGTGTATTAATATCTCGAGCGAGCGAGATGAAGGACAAAAATAGAGCAGGATTCCGAAAAGGGAAACAAATAGTAACAGCCCACGTGAATATCAACACCCCGAGTCTATGCAAAGTGGAAATAATTAAAACTATTGAGTAATGTACATTCATGTAATAGTACAACCGGGACCTAGCTTAGCAATACCTTGCAAACGAAGAAAGAAAATCCGAAAAAAGAAGAAAGGAGAGAGGACGGGAAGCTAACGAGAATGCGGAGAGTAGCAAGCTCAAAGTCTTCTTCGCATTTGTCGATGTGGCGTCGTCGCAAGTTCGGTGTCAGGTACGACCCCGGCGCTCCTCGTCGCTCTTGTAGATTCGTGAGCCACAACAGTCTGAGGCGACTGTCGCGCGCGCAACGTCCGTTGGACGCGAGGTGTCTCTGGCGCAGCTCTGGCTTGCCGCCGTTCGAGCTCTTCGGCGACTCCTTCGGTTTCCAGACGGCGGCGCTTGCGCTGCTCGCGCGCGTACTCGACTCTGTGGTCCAGAGTCCAGAGACGTGACCGAGGTACTCCGGCCAGAGACTGAGGGGGTACGATAGTGTACCGCGAAGGCGGGATCGACGGCTGTTCTTCAATTTCTTGGACGGGGGCTTCAGTCTCTGAGACAGCGGATGTGATCTGAGCAGAGTCTTCGGGCGCGTCCGGCGCTTCTTGCTGTGCTTCTTCTGTAGTCTCTTCGTTCACATCCAGAGTTGTGTCAACCTGCTGCTCATCCTCCTCTTCAGCAGCTTCTTGGTCCTCCGCACTACCCTCAGCAACCGGCTCAGCAGGTGTTGGCACATACACGCTCCTCGCAGTCGAGCTTCCAGCCGCCGTCCCAACCTGCCACGCCGCCGTACTATAGCTCAACGAATTTATCCCTCCCGCGCGACCAATCACCAGCGGCGTCCAAATAAGCTTATCCGGCTCGAGCCTGATGTATCCCTTCGCTTCCCACTTTGCAATCGCGAGCTCGACGAGCGCGCGGTCGACGCGGATCGCGTAGCGCCCTGTTCGCGGATCGCGTACGATCGCGTTTAGAGCTTCGAGACCGCAGACGACGTCGTCGGATGTCATGCCTGTGCGTTCGGAGAGCTTTGCGATGCTGATTGTGTTTGTGCCGCTGTCAGAGCCGGATTCGAAGATCTCGTGGAGTTGGTAGCACATTGTCTGTTTCCAGTAGTTACGGTAGGAAAGAAGACCGAGGTCCGACAACGGCTTTTCGGGGGTACCTACCTTCCCCTCTGTCCGCGTGAGAAGGTACGAGAACGAGATCAGGAAGTTTCCGTAGCCCTTGCGCTGGTAGATTGGTAAAGTGAGAATGCATGATACGTTATAGTTTGATGTCGTCAGTTTCTCCTTTGAAAAGTAGCCGACGAAATGACAGCCGCGGTCGTCGGTCTCGGTCATGATGTAAAACAGAAAAGGCTCGACGTCGTAGTACAGGGTCTTGGAGCCGAGAAAGAGCTTGGCAAGCAGACAGAGGTTCTGGCAGTACATTGGATTTTTGCGCCCGTCGACTTCAAAGATCGAGACGTCTCCCGACCGATAGATTTCGTCTCCAGGTGGATGCCGCGCAGGACATTTCAGCTGATGTCGCCAATTGACGTACTCCGAGGACATGTACTTTAGACAATACTCGCAGATAAACAGCAGAGAACGACGGTTATACTCTTCCGGATAAGGCGCCGTATACCACGTCTCAATCTCGTAATTGCTGAATCTGATTGCCCGGATTTTCGAAATCGACTGCAGGCGTCCGTGGTCATCGGCTTCTGATTCTGAATCGCTGAAGGCTTCTTCCTCGTCTGATTCCAGTTCGGACTCGGCCGAGGAGGTTGCAGACGAGGATATATTGTAGATGTAGTTTGCATCGTCATCCGACTCCAAATCCTCAATCTTGTGACTGCTGCCTACAATCTTCTCGTCGAGATGGGTCTCAGGCTCAGCACGCCGTTTCCGCCGTTCGCGAGATTCTCTATTGGAAGTTTTCTGCTCCTTCCTTTTTGATGCCGCACTCGCCGATCTCGCATGCCGCCGTTCGATCTTTTCCTTTTGCTTCGTCAGCAACATCGTCTTGCCAAACATCATCCTATCCAGCGGTCCCGGCAGCGTGCGCGTCGTGTCGGCCTGGCTCGGCGTTAGGATTCCACCGTACGGCTTCTCAATCTTGCTGTTGTCTGTCATGAATGCTCGTCTTCCGCTACCGGACGCGCTGGCAGCGGATTTTCTATAAAGGTAGACGTTCCGCTCTTTTTGATCAAAGGACATGTACCCCGAAATGGCGAGGTTGTTCTCGTAGATGTTGATGTGATTGGCAAGTTGCACGAGATTGAACTTTGCGATATACGAGTACTGGGTCTTTTCGAATGCCACCAGTTTTGAGCCGTGAGATTTCCCGGACCGGAATGGGTGCGTCGTAGTCAGACGCAAATGTATCGGCTGAACACTCTCGTGCGCAGGCGCTGATGGTGGTGGTGGTGGTGGTGGCGGGTGCGAGGGCGCGCGCACGCGTAAACTCACGGTAAGCCGCGTACTTTCAGAAGCAGAAGCAGAGTCCCGCTCTGCAGAAGGTTCGTGAGTACGTTGGCGTTTTTCAGGTTGTTGCTGTCGTTGTGAACGCGGCAGATCGATTGGGTAGATGCGAGGCCGGCCTCGACCGCGTTTGGGCGTATCTGCAGAGATGGGATATGTGCTCGGACGCGCTGACGCCGGGGTTGGTTGGAGAGTTGCAGGCATTGTTTCAGCAGGCCGTGAGGCCGACCGCGTTGCCCGTGCAGACTGCAGAATTATCTCCTCAACCTCTGGTGTCACAAGTGCTGTTGGAATCCGCGTGCGCAGCGACCGATTAGGCACAGGCGCGGCCTCTATAGGTTGCGTATACAGTTGACTGTAATCCGCCGGACCTAGGAACGAGTTGTCCTGAGGCAGATCTGCGAATTCGCTCGCTTGGTCTCCTGGTGGCGTGTCGAAGGTGGTTGGGTTGAGTTGGGCGGGCTCGAAGCCTGCGTCTGAGCCCAGGAGAGCGGGGTCAATCATTGGCGCGGGCAGAGTATTTTCTATAGCGTCGTCATCAACTTCCGCGTTGGAAAGTTGATCCTCCGATACGACGTTCTGCTCTGCAGACACGACGGCTTCGGGATTCTCGAAGATATTTGTTGAGACATCAGCGGTGGTTTGACGCGTAGAGTCAGGGTGTAAAGAGCGTAGAGATCGGGTCCTGGGTACTTCGCGAAGAGCTAGAGGCTGGCAACTCGAACATGTCCAGTCGGTTGTCGAAGACGACAATGTACGTTTCAGGCAGTCGACATGAACTAGCACAAAATCAGATGTTAATACTATCATCGAGAAGCAAGTGGATAGAAAATCAGCGGGAAATTATACCTCTTGAGACATTGCACTCGGTGCAAAGCTGATAGTTTTTACTTCGCCTTCGATCATTGCATATCCTAAAAGAGATATTAGCACCCAAAGCTGCATAGAGCAACACCACGAGCTTTCAGATACACATACTCGCAAACCAGCTCCGCTTGAATATTCTGGATTCCTTCGTTCTCCCCGCTCCCAGCTCTTCCCTGCCGGTCAGGCAACGGACTCGAGCTCGATAAACCGTCGCCGAGATTCATGGAAGTCGGAGGCGAGGATAACGGCGACGAGAGCGATTGCTCCCGCGCGGCTTTGTCAATCCCAGACATATCCTGCTGCTGGCCAGAGTCGGAGGCACCAATCACTTCTGAATCGTTGTTGCTGTTTTGATTGCCGCTGTTGCTGTATGGCCTCGCACCTTCATCGTCATGCGACACCCTGCCGTTTCTGCGCGCAGACGCGCGCGTCGTTGGAGAGGATGCGGGTGGAGGAGTTGTGGCTGTCGCTGCTGAAGCTTGCGTCAAGTTCTTGCTTCTCTGAAAGTGCAAAAATATAAAGGATATTGTCAGTAAGTTTGCGGTTGCGACGTCAGTGCGCGTCGTGTTTATCTCGACGCGTGTCGATATGACGTACCACGCTCGACAACACAGCACAAGCAGCACAAGCAGCACAAGCAGCACAAGCAGCACTAAAACAGCAAAGACAAAAAAGATCAGCGTACCTGAACAAGAGGTGATCGCGTGTTGTGCTTGCGCAGGTCCGGCGTAACCATCTGGATCCTGACGCGTGTAGGGGATGGGGCAGCGGCGGGGGGGTATAAGCCTGTAGGCACCGCCAGCAAGCACGTAGCCCGACTATCCGCGCGGTTGAGAGAAAAGTCACGAGATATAAAGGTCAGATATCTCCGATTAGCTATGACAAAGGCATAAGATGTTTGTTAGTGGATGTGGACGGAGATGGGTAGGTTGGCGGAGGATTCAACGCGTCTTTGTGATGACGAAATCATAATCCAGCCGATCCACCGCTTCGCTTGAGTTCCGCCAGACCTCTCCTCGACAATAGCAATTCAGAACTCACCTCGTGAAGAGAAAGACAGCGTCTAACTCAAGCCGATATATAAGAGCACATACGGACCACACCGGGACGCGGTATAATACAGCTCTACGGCAGACTGGACGAGGCAGTGGAGCCAGGGAGACTTTTGTAACTTTCTGGTGAGCGAACGAGAGACCGCCGCAGCGCAGGGGCGAGAGAGTCACGTGCTGTGGTCACTCAACCTGGCTCGCCGGCGCTCATTGCTCGCAGTTTGCACTATTATGTCATTCAACCATCAATTATAACCTGATGATTAGCTATTAACACTACCATTTTCTAATTACTTTTACTGTTTGATATAGTTAACAATTGCAATTGACAACTACCTTCCAGAAGATCGTGGAGTTAACATACCCTAACCGCTGGGAATAGCCAGAATCTTAAAAAAAATCTCCAGCACGTTCAAAGAAGACCTCAGATATCTGCTATAGAAGCGCGCATGTACTTGCGGTAAGATCGATAGTGTTGCTGTGGACCTGTTCACTTCTCTGTACCGAATACGGAACACGAATAAGAAGGAGAAGGAAAAGGGAGGAGACAGGGCAGAGAAGCGACGATGTTCATCCTCAGCAAGTTCTCGGATCTGATCCGGATTGAACCATCAAAGTTCTCGAAAAAGACCGAAGACGCTCTTGAGGACGAGATTAATGTCAAGTTTGCAAACAAGGTGCGTGTATAGCTTTTATATGAGCTGCATTGTTGGGTTGTGTATTGACGTTTTGGGTGTTGTAGGTCGTTCAGGACGTGGGGTTGTGTCTGTGTCTGTATGATATTTTGGAAGTTGGAGATGGCCTTATTCGGCATGGCGACGGTTCTGCATACATCAAAAGTATGATCCAGAGTGGCTTATTTATTTACGAAGAAGACAAACTGACGCGGTGTTGTTTTCTCTAGCTGTGTTCCGGTTAGTAGTTTTCCGGCCGTTTATAGGTGAAGTACTAGTCGGTTGGGTTTCCTCCTGCTCGGAAGAGGGTATAAAAGGTGCGAGCGCTCATAATCTACCTCTTATCTCTATGGCATAACTAACACGGATTGACTACAGTTCGCATGGGCTTCTTCGACGACATCTTCATCCCAAAAGAATACCTCTTCGAATCCTGCATCTTCATCCCACGAGAACAAGCCTGGGTCTGGCGCGACGAGCACGATCTCTACATTGACACCAACGAGCGGATCAGGTTTCGCGTCGAACAGGAGATTTTCACAGATCAATCCCCTCGCGGGCCGAAAAATACCGAGCCCGAGGGCGCGTCTTCGGCGGTCGCGCAGAACGGGGGAGCGGCGGCTGGTGCGACGAGTACAGATGCAGCGGCGGCGGAGCAGCAGCAGCAGTTGCTACAGAATGGAAGCTCACACACCGCTGTGCCTCCTTACTCGTTAATAGCTTCTTGCCAGACGTATGGAATGGGTTTAGCTACTTGGTGGGATTAGTATGTGCAATTTTTGGATTGGGAAGAGAACCGTGTACGATATTTCAATATAGAGAGGGTAATGATGTAAATCTGTGACATAACGAATGCACTCTATTGTATTCTATCAACAAACTAAACCATTTACGTAAATCATCAAGGATCAATCAAGCTTGAGACTTTGTACGGTCTGGTCGGTGAAGCCTTGGTGTTCTTAGTGCTCTTGACACCGAGATCGATAGCGCTCAAGTCATCTTCTAGACTCTATCGAAAAAGATTAGCGTCGTCTCTATACTTTCCAAAAAAACAAAACATACCTTTAGTTGCGTCTTGTAAACTCCAAGCTTCTTCTCTAGATCCAAACACTCGTTGATCCCCCTATCGAGCGCCTCCAGCAATCTACTCCCCCGCCGTAGATCAGGCTCGATCATGGTATGCACCGCCCCAAGCTCGACCTGCTGCAGCTCTTTGATGATTTGCTTCTCCAGTCCTCGGGATGATTCTCGATCGGTCCAAGAGAAGAACTCGAGTGTTTCTTCGATGCCAGACACTTCTTGCGCTGTTTTGGCGGAGGACAGGAAGCTGAAATATGACTGCGTAGTGGGTTTCTCCGCGCTACTGTCCCCGTTGCGAGTAGCGGAAACAGTCTCGCCCTCGTCTGATGAGAAATCAGAGTCGTCATCGTCGTCGTTGGTGGGCTTAAGACCGCCCATGTTTGAGATCTGAGGAACGGAGCCTTGCGAGCCCGACAACACCGGCATTGTACGCGACTGTTTCAGCCGCGCAGAGAAGTCGTCTGCGCTGTTGCTAGTTTGTGAAAATCCAACATTGGTCGGGGGTGAGTTCACCGGCTGTCCGCGCTGGGATTTGAATGACATTGTAGGCACGGCGAGAATCTCTGTCCGGCCAAAGGAGGGGGACTTTGAAGGCGACGACGGCCCGCCGTTGGCGTCCATACCCCGGCGATCTGGGATCTTTTTTGATATTGACTGGAACATGGGCGGAGCATTGTGCAGAGAAGAAAGGGAGATGTTGTTTGAGGAACTGGAGTTGGTCGAGAATGATGATGCGGATATTGAGGTTGCTGAGCGTTGAAGGGGGGACGGGGCGGGTCGGCCGGTCGGGGTGGATGAGCCGTTGCCGCCGCTCAGGGATTGTTTGTGGCCGCCGGATGACATGATTCTGTTACTGATCAGTCTTTGTCTATATCATTCGCGAAAAGCTGCTGAGATGACTTCAGATATCGAGAACACACGATCAATGGAGATGTAGAAGGCGACGCGCGCAAACCGAGATCCGCCAGCCCCAGCCACTGCACAGCCTCCACAAGCCACAGAAGCTTCCACTTTGAACTCCCAACGACCTCGAAGGAGAAGAAAAAAAATTTGAGAGGCGGGTGTAGAGCAGCTTTGTCCTTTCTCTTTCTCGTCTGCAGAGTATAGACGCACACGAGATTTCAGATCTACGGTAAACTATACACGTGCATAGAGGTGTATAAGGCGGGTTTGACAGCGTGAAAAGAATACAAAGCAAAATGGCAAAATCAAGTGCAGTGACACACATTGGCGACAGCTCGGAGGACCAGACCACGCGGGCGTTGATCCAGCAGGTTTACGTGTTTTTGACAAAGAAGGGACTTCCGGTGACGGCGGAGAAGCTTAAGAGCGAGGTTGGAAAGAAGTTTAGCGGGGTCGAGCTCGGTGAGGAAGATGTGGCGGGAAATGATCCGTTGGAGCTGATCATGTACGCTTGGAAGGAGGGCAAGACGAAGGCGGAGTTGGCAGGGGATGAGAGCGGCAGCACCAGCAGTGAGAGCGAGTCTTCGTCTTCGTCTGACTCGGAATCGGGCTCTGACTCCGACTCCAGCTCTAGCTCTGATTCGGACTCGGACTCGGATTCTGATGAGGATTCTGATGAGGAGGTGACAAAGAAGAGCGAGCTTGTCGATGACGAGGCCGAGGAGGCGTCGAGTTCGGAGGAGGACAGTTCTGATTCTTCGTCTTCGTCGGACGATGATGATGAGGAGGATGAAGAAGAGGTTGTGACTACTACGACGTCGACTACGATTACGACAAAGTCCAAGAAGGCCAAGAAGGAGTCTTCGAGCGATTCGGAGTCTTCTGATTCCTCCGATTCCGATTCTTCAGAGTCTAGTGATTCTGATTCCAGCGACTCTGACTCTGATTCTGACTCTGAGAGCAGCTCGTCGAGCTCAGACTCGGATTCAGACTCGGACTCGGACTCTGAGAGCGAGTCCGAGAAGGAAGAGAAGAAGCAGGAAAGACAGGAATCATCAGAGTCGTCGGCTACGGCTGAGGACGAGAGTCAGGGCGAGAGCAGGAAACGGTCGCGGGACGAGTCGGAGGGTGCGGAAAACAGCGACGGTACAAAGCGAAGAAGGCAAGTGATCTAGGTGTGCTGTGGAAAGAAGATGAATGCAGACGATGCTAACAGTACTTCTTGCACAGATCTAGTACGGACCCGGCGCGACGATTCTCGCGGATAAACAGAGAGAAGGTGGACTTTGTGTCCGACGTGCTGAAGGATAATACGTACAAGGGGGCTGCGGGCACCTGGGGCGAGCTGGCGAACGAGAAGCTGACGCAGGTGCGCGGGAAGGACTTTACGAAGAACAAGAACAAGATGAAGAGGGGGAGCTACCGGGGCGGGACGATTGAGATGACGAGCGGGAGCTTCAAGTTCACTGATTAGGTGTTGTTTAGTTACTAATAGAGATCCGACTGATAGAGATAGAAGGACAGAAGTGGTGATGTAATAACAGTGTAGACATCGAAGCAAGCTTGGGACTGGGACGCGCGGGCCCCGTCGCTCGAGGAGCAGAGTTGGGCGCTACGACGGAAAGTACCGGGCGTACCTCAGAACTCTAATCCGGAACCTTGCACAAACCTTGTCCAAGATATTGGTTTCCGCTTCTTGTAAGTCGCCGGGTCGAGGGGTCGTCATGAGTCGAGCCGAGTCGGCCGAGTCGAACGCGTACTATGACTTTATAGCCCATGCCAGTCAGTTACGACGGACCGACCACGCGAGAGCCTCATGCTCAGGAGCGCCCACTGCAATCCTCGAACGAAGAGGCCTCGTTGACTGCTCTCCAGGTACTTCAACACTCGCGGCTCTCGTCCATTGCCCGTCGGCTTCTCTTCTTCCTCCTGTTCCTCCTCCTCCTCTCCTCTCCTCCTCCTCCCCCAGGCGCACCGATGCCACTGCTCCCGCCTGCTGCATCATGCCTCCGCCCGCCTCAGCAATGCCCTCCATCGCAGCCCTCGTCGACCCCCCAGCCTCGCCACCTCTCCCGCCCCGCACCCCCATGGCCGTCCGTCGCCGCGGCCTCTCCGTCAGCGACTACATCCTCCAGCTCCGCCAGCAGCCCATCCGCTGCAAGGCCGCCGGCGCTTCCGACCGCGCGCTCGCCGACAGAAAAGCAATCGACCCCCCGCCCATCGTCCACCTCATCGTGCGCGACGGCGACCCGCACTGCGAATGGCTGCAGTCCCCGTTCTTCTTCATGTGCGCAAACCTCTACGATCCCGTGCACGACACCCCTGTCCCTCGCCCACCGTCGGAGACCCTCGCGGGCACGCTCGTTTCCTCCCTCCACCGCGTTCGCGACGAAGAGGATAACGAAGGCGGATACTTTGTCTTTGGCGACCTCTCCGTCAAGCTCGAGGGCCAGTTCCGGCTCCAGTTTTCCCTTTTCGAGATGCTTGAGTATGTTTCTCCTTTTACTTCTTCTATATAACATTTCTCTTTCCTCGCTATCCTCCATCTCTCTCTACCCTCTCTCTACCCTCTCTCGATCATCAGCTAACCTCACTCATATCAGCGGTGCCCAAGTTGAGTTTATAACCTCAATAATGACCGACGTCTTTACAGTATTCTCGGCAAAACAGTTTCCCGGTGTGCTCGAATCAACAAGTCTTTCGCGCCAGTTCTCAGATCAAGGTGTTCGGCTACGGCTTCGCAAGGAAACCGGCGCACGTGCTGCCGCTACTGCTGCTGCTGCCGCGGCCGCGGCGGCTACCTCGTCTGGCACGTCGCCTGCTTCGACTTCTGCAAGTGGATACAGACGGACGTCGTCAGAGAATAACGATGAGAAGAGTGAACAGCACGCGAGAATCGCTCCCGCTGAGCAGTATGCGCCCAATTCGAAGCGGCAAAGAGTTACAGTCTACTCTTCTAACGTAGCTCTCCCTCCTCCTCCACCACCACCACCTCCACCATCTTCCGCTGCTTCTGTTTCTGTTCCTCCTGCTACACGATTTCCATCACAAGGTATGGAGCCCGCAGAACTGAAAAGCAGAAACAGCAGCCTAGCGAGGAGTAGCGTCAGCAGTACGTCAAGCTACATGTCGGTAGCCTCGGCGCCACCCAGCTCTGTCTCTCGAGGGAAGCGGAAATCCAGCGGCGGCGGCGCGGATCAGATCAAGGAAGAGCCGTTTGCTTACGACCACTACGCCGAGAACCAAAAACTGCAGCAACAGCAGCAGGCACAAATCCCTCCACAGCAACAGCAACGAATGCTGCCAACGTACACTTACGCGCAGCAGCCGCAACACCACTACGCACCACAACCACAGCAGTTCTACCCTTCTCACGAAAACCATTATCCCTCATATCCACACCCTCAGTACGACGAGTACTATCGTCAGCAATACGCCCAGCAGCAGCAACAACAACAACATCCGCCCCAGGCAATCCATTCCGCAACTCCTCCGGGAACACCGCAAAATGTGCAGCCGCGCCAAAGTGCTGCTGCACCACCCCCACCACCCCAGCAGCCCGCTTCCCCTACTCAGTCGTCGGCGGATGCAGCGGCATACCAAGCCCGGTCGTCCTACACGGGAAGCGCGTACTCGTCGCAGCAGCCGTCGCCGCAGTCGCGATCCGAGGAAGTTCGGAGTCCGTATGTGTATTCGCAGACGCAGAATGCTTCAGCGAGACCTGCGGCGGTTGTTACTTCTGCGCCGCCGCCGATGCCTCCGACGCAGTCCGATCTCTCGCATATGCAGCTGCCGTCTGGTCCTGTCTATGTTCCTTCGCCCCCGCCCTCTCTGCTGTCGCAGCCACTGACGCACTACCGTCAACAGCAGCATCAGCAACCACAGCATCAGCAACCGCAGCAGCAGCCAAGTCAACCGCAGCACCAGTCTCTGACACCCCCATCGCAGCTACTGCATCCGTCTCTGATCCCGCGCATACCACCGCTCAATGTCGCGGTGGGCCCGGGAGCGATCGCGTCTTCGATGAGAGAAGGCGACGGAAGGGTACGGCTTCCTCCGTTGGTGTTTGGCGATGCGCAGCAAGGCTTGCAGGGGAGTGGGGCCGATTCCATTCTGCAACAGTCGTTTCTGAACCGCCAGCAGCAACAGCAACAGCAGCAGCAGCAGCATTTGCCGCTTCCTCCTCCCTCGCTTCTTTCGCCGTCGCAGATGGCACCACATGCCGGGTACGCTAACCCGCTGACGCGCGGCGGCTACGATACCCGTGCAGAGTGAATACGGAAAAGGAGAAAGGAGATATGCACCATGTTGATTTTTTAGTATCGGGATTATATTTGGGATGGGTTGTCATGGGATGGAAGTCATAGGTTACCGGTCTGCTTGCGAATGTTTTCTTTGATTCTTTGTGTATTTGGGTATCTCATCCGACTTCTGGAGTCTTTATTTTTAACTTGTCATTTTCTGTTTGTCCGATTTGCTTTTGTTATATACATACAGTTATATTGTTTGCTTGTTATGGCTGCGTTTTAGAGCGATGTGAATATACATATATATGTGTGTGTTTATGCAGAAAGTGTACGCTAATATGTTTTGGTTGTGCATTAACGTGATTCAGACGATCGCCTTGTTGATATCGGATATGTAAAAACACAGATATTCACCCACATCACACGAGAAGTGCGGAGCAGTCTGGGAGATATCAGACGCAGGAGACATCAGAGACAGAGGCCGAGACAGATCAGCAGGATGAGTGGAAGCAGGGAATCGGAGCAGTCTGAGCGCGTCGGATTTCAGGTTCCGTGTTCGAGACATAGCGAGACATAGCGAGGACAGTGAGACATTTAATTAGGAGATGCGCAATCTGTTTTTCGACGGTTATTGCGTTTGCCTATCAATTTGATGAGCGGCTAACGCCAAGAAGCAGTGGAAGAGAAGGAAAAAGGGTTACGGTGGTCGGATCGGGGACTCTGATTAATTGCGGGCGGCGGTGTGTCGCTAACAAAGTGGCAGCGCAGTATTCGTGGTTGGCGGAACCTAAACGATAAATAATAAAAACCATGTGACGATCGCAGGGTATTTATTTATTGATTGCTGTTAGCTATATTGGCTGTAATGTAGACGTATACAGTGCATAGAGTGGATAGTTGCAGATTTATATTGCCGCAGGGAATCCTGGCTGAGGGTGTCTGTGTTGCGCGCCACCGCTGCGGGCTGCAGTGCTGCTTCATGTTGGAGAAAGTCGCCGTGGTTTGCGGTTTGTTTAGTTGTGTGGTTGTTTGTTGTTGTTGTGCTGCTCTTGTATTGTGTTGTGTTGTCTCCCTGAATTACGCGCCGGTGACCGAGTCCGCGCGTGTGCCCGTACGGAGGCCATCAGCGCTCGAGCGCACCAAGATGGGGTTTGCAGCAGCGAAGTATCTTCTTTTCAGACAATGTGTGGGATGGGTCCCACGGCTCCGGCGACTTCACTGTATAGACCCCCTTCTGCTGCTGCACATACGCAGACGCAGCCGGCAGGAATCTGCATCCTGCAGTGCGAGTGACCGACTAGCGAAGTGGAAGTAGGATAATAAATCTCAAACATCGCGAGAGATGGATTGTGGGCCGTGGGACGGCCAGCGGGAAAGACACAAACAGAGACAAAAAGTCCAGCGGCGGGGCTGCGTGTGTGCGTCGTCGAGCGTAGCCGCACTGCGCTCAGCAGTAAGCAACTGAGGAAATGCTGCTCCTGCTGCTGCCGCTGCCGCTGAATCATTGCTCTCTGCATTAATTTCCAGCGCTTTGTTTCATGAATGCCGACCGCCGGACGAGTGGATCCGGTCTCAGAATCAGGACTCGCAGGATCAGAGGACGACGGCGCACAGAGTAGAACAATCCTGCTGTTCTGGCTGTGATGTCTGTGTCTCTGGTCTTCGTATTTCGGCCAGTGATCGTGCTGCTGCTGCAATGCTCCATCCTCGTCTTTGGTCTTTCTCTTCGGACTTGTCTGGCCTCGTCTCTTTGGTAATTGCCTTATTTTTCCTCGCTTTCTCCGACCGCATCAACATCCTCTGCGTCTCGGGTCGTGGTAACGCGCATCCATCTCTATGCACCTCCATCGGCTTCTTGCGCTTCCTCTGGCCGCGCATCTCTGCATCTCTGCATAGTCATTCCACCGCTCTTCTTCCCCGTCCTCTTCCTTCTCCTCCACCCACCCCAGCGGAGCAACGGTGCAGCTAGCGAGAAAATAAAAAGTCACATGCGGATAAAGCCTACCAGCATATGTCTCCCCGCCTTGGTTTGACTTTGCCGTCAAAACACAGTCATCAGGTCCGGCCGCCTAACACGAAGCGATATCAAAAACCTGTCTCACGCCCGCGAAATCCTCCGCGCTGCGCCTGTCTCACTTTTTTTCGCTCTAGCCTAAGCTCCAGCTCGAGCTCTAGCCTACGCTCTAGCTCCAGTTTCATGCCTGTCGCCGTGACTCCGTACCGCCTCTCTTTTTTTTTTCTCCCCTTGGTCTTTCTTTCCTGTTTGCGGGAAAATGAAGTACGCTTGCGTCGTTGTTTCGCGGGGTGTATGTATGTTTAAGAGCAATCGCCGATTGGGGGTACGGTAGTTGCCGTCAAGAGTTTGCGAATACTGCGTCGCTCTGATGTTTGCGGCAGCACGGTAGCAGCAGGCAAAGCAATAGCGGGTTTTAAGCTGAAGAATTCACGATCGGGTTATCATTACCAATTGCTCGACTCTGGATCGCAAGAACTTATTTCAGATTTATCGTCAGGCGAAAACAAATCTCTCTGTACACTCTTCTCCAAGAAGCTCAGAATCAAGCTGTTTTGTAAGTAGTATGTCGCGGACCTGGCGAACGCGGTTGGGGAGACTACAGTAGGACGAGACCCTCGCTTAGGTGCCATTCCCCATCCTCGTCTCTCTCCTTTTCCGACCCCCCTTCCACTCGTGCCTGACGTGACTCCACCGCGCCTTATCAATCATATCCAAGCCACTTCCTCTTTCTAGTGATGCTTGCACACACTAACCTCGCCGTCTGTCGACATGCGTTCGCTCTCGAGCAGACAAGACAGAAGTAGAGACGCGTGGGAGGACTATAACAGCAGCAGCAGCTCGGCTAATAGAAATATATTAAACTTAAAAACACCCTGCGATATTTTTGCTTTAATTCCGTGCTCTTATTTTCTAATCTTCTTGATTTTCTACAACTTTGTTATTTTGTATTATTCATCTTGAAGAGAGAGGGAGGGTGTGGAGAAAGAGAGGCATATAAAAAGATAGAAGGAGAAGGAGAGTGGAGGGAAGAGGGAGCGCTGATTGCGGATCCGGATTTTATCATAATTGTGACAAAGCCATGTTCGTCGTCTCTGCCCAGCTACCTTTCCTTCTGCCGTATCGCTTGGTTGTCGATCTACTACTCAGTAGCCTGCTCGTCTTTGCCTAGGTGCTCTCTCTGCTGCTATTGCTGTATCTGGCAAGAAAATGAGATTACGTGAAAAAGTATACAATAGCGACATAACATTTGCTATAAACCCCCTCCGCCTGATAAATATTTCTGCTACTATTACTACTGCTGCTGTGTTGCGCGCTGCTACAGACAGTTGTGGCGCTGTGCTGCTGCTGTACGCTTGCTCTGATTATGGTTAGACATCGTCTTATACAATCCAGTAAAACACTGAGCAGAGCTAGAGATCAGCAGGAGTGGTATTTAGCATTTATTACAGAGAAAATAGAAGGATGCGCGCTAGTAGAGAGTTAAGAGGACTAGGAAAAAGACGCGTCCTCGCGCTGTGTACCGTGCTGCTTGCTGCCTTTAACACCCAACACCGCACACAGACACATACACATACACAGACACAGACACAGACACAGACACAGACACAGACACAGACACAGACACAGACACAGACACAGACACAAGCACAGACGTAATCACCGCGCTAATAAACGAAGCGAGCTAGCGTAACGCGCAATTAGAAAAATAATAAGACCAAATTAGTCAAGGAAGTAGGAAATTCCATACGCTATGGGTCGGCTGATTGCCGGAAATTCTATTTTTGTAGAAGAAAATAGTGCGGAGACGGAGGACAGACTATCGAGAACGCCACATATGCAGGTGTGGTATTTGCGGAGTCCTCCGACGTGCAGGTTGGCTGCGAGGTTAACTGTAGACTGGCTGCTGCTGGGTTAGTCCGTGAGTAGCTTTCATTGGGTATAGATGAAACGTGAACGGGACCGCGAATTACGACAAAAACGTATGCAATACGACAACTATGAGGCAGCGAAGTTGAGGCCTGCGGTAGAAACCAGGACATGCATAATCAAAGCAACAAAGCAGCGAAGCGACAAAGCAGCGAGCAGCGAGCAGATAATGTCAGCGCAATGCAATGCAGCGCAACGCAGCCAGCACTTGACTCCCTCTTCCGCTCGAGTTCTTTATGCGCGCGCCCTTTCGCGCCCCAGACAGACACAGGAAGACCAGACCAGACCGATTACCAGATCTTTCCACTTGCATGCTCTTTATCCGATAGCTAGGGCACATCCGGCGGGAACCGTGGAAATGATGAGTAGTGCGCCGTTTATCTCGTGCATTGTTGTGTTGATAGCTAGGCGCATATACGAAACGGGACTCGGTAATTAACTAATTAAACGTCTCTAAGCTCCAGTGCACGGGGCGTACCCTACCAGTCCGCTCGTCCGCACACACTCAGTACCGTGCGCGGTTCCGACGTCCTTGCCGCAATTAGTCGCACATGTGGAAGAGACGAATCAGGTAGAGTAGGCAGCGGAAGGAGGAAAAAGAAAAGGCAGATGGTAGAAGTACGCCTACCGGCAGATGGGCCAAGCACAGTGTTGAGGCTGTCGGCACGTAGAAACTGTATCGACCCTCCAGCCCATCCGTCGGTCGGTCGCGAGAAAGTCTGTTTCCCTTCCCGCTAGCTTGCGAGCCAGTGGAATGAAAGAAGCAGGTAATCTGCCTCTCTTGTTTACAGTTTTCTGCTTTTCTTTTTTTCGACTTTCTGTGCTGTAAGTTTTGGTTCAGGTTGGCTTGATGGTTTGGTGCTTGGGTTGTTAACCTTCTTTGGCGGCTGCTGTCTATATCCGATACTGCTTTTGTGTTTTGTTTTGTGTTTCGATGTAGAGTCATTTCCTGTACTTTCTCCTCGTTAATGAAGGCATATATTCGTATATGAGCATACAATGCCTGTTTGAAACATCATGTAGTCTTATAGAGTTCTCTAAACAGATGCGAGCAATGCGGGGAGAGGCACAGGTCCGGGGTCTGGACATCACCTTCGCCCTGTCTTTCCCTTCCCTTTCCCTCTCCTCCTCTCCCCCGGGAGCTTGTTTTCCTCGCCTCTAGCTGCGTAACAAACAAATTGCCGACTCATCGCCGACTCATCGCCGACCGTTTTTTTACCTTTTTCTCGACCTCTTTTACTTTTTTCTTTTCTCAAACCAATGCACAGAATTTAAGCTCTCACTTTTTTTATTGGCGTCTTCCACCGGATGCGGGATCCCCTTATTTGCCTTCATTTATCCTGTCCTTGCTCCTGCTTTGTTAGCGCGTCCGTCCATTAATAATCAGTCAGCCGCGTAGTTAACTTAGTTTAGCGACTTCATCTTCTGACAACTGTTTCCCACCACCTTCTCTCTTTTACGCCCACCACCACAACGAGAAGTCCTGGTTATAGGTAAAACCACTCGACTCAGACCAAAAAACGCACGTGCTTTTCACGACCTTAGCGTCATTGCTCTCCTCCCCCCAACATCCGCCCACTACGCCCACTAAACCCTGGCTTTCCCTTTTTCTTTTTTTGTTGCGCCCCTTCGGCGTACACAATAGTTTCATTTCGATACACCTAATTTTTTTGGTTTTGCTGCGTCACGGGGCATTACGGCGTTGCATCGATTAAAGCCCGATATCGCTCATGCGGTCTTCAAACGCTCGGGAAGAAAATTTTCATAAGACTGATGAGCAGCAGCGAGCGAGGGCGGTCAACTATTTCGCTGGCATTCTGAGAGAGTAATTTAGATGTGAATCGATCACTATTCGGCAATTGTATAGATCACCAATCCCTTTGCTACAATATCGGATTTTAACTCGTAAAATAGAAATTGTAGAGACGCAATGCGACAGCTGTCTGTCTCGCTGCTGCTGCGACGTCCACACCATTATCCGAGCGTCAGCAAAAGTCTCACTGAGCTCATTCACGTTGCGTCGCTACTTTATTTTTCCGCCATCTCTTTTCGCCCACTTCTCCTTTCCTGTCGCCATAACGTCTTGTTTCGGCTTGCTTATTCCTTCCGCTATTCCGCCTCTTGTGCAGTATTCCTTTGTTGGGAAATGAAACGCTGGTCTTAGCTGCTTGGCAGCCGCCGCCTGCAGCGACGCTTCGTCGCGCTCTCGCTCGCATACCTTGCTTTCGCTCACGGCCTCCACATCTCTGCAGCACTGATCAAAAGCCAAATTCCATGTCTCACTTTTCTATCGCTTTCTCTGCGTTTTCCGCGCACCCGAGGGGCTGTGCACGGCGGCAGATAGTTCGATTGTATCCCGCTTTGCTAGCGAGGAGTGCACTGCTGCTGCTGCCGCTGCTGATGCTGCTGATTGACTAGTAGCTGTACATCGCTTATTACGGAAAGTATAGGTACCGGTAATTCTCATTAGCACATTTTGGTCTTTCCAACTTCACTTTACGACCTAAGAGTTTACTATTCGATTTACGGTATCCACAACTGTCTCGGCACGATCAGCTACACTCAGCTCAGCTAAAGGCATTCCACATCCGGGATGCATTAGGTTAGCGACGCGCATGCAGAGGTAGGAGCTAAAACACACCAAAAAAACAGACAAAAGCGGTCTCGGAAGTTTTGACATAATGCAGCTAGCTCCGACAGAAGCCGTTGTACGTGAAAGCCGGCATTTCGTTGATTGTGTCTGCTCGTTCGCCTGCCTGCGATGCTAACCGCCGCGGCTGCGACTAGTCGTTTCTGTGACCGTTTTTCTCGTTGGATTGGACGTCAGCCGTAATCCGTAAGCATACTCCTCATGAGCTTCTTCATCACCATAGAGCGAGGCTCGGATCAAGTTCTCTCTCGTCACGGCACTTCCGCAACACGAGTCCCCAACCGCACGGCGCATACGCAGACCGTTATTCCAAGATGCTTCTTGATCTCCCGGCATGCGTCGAAAACGAAGCAAACCAAACCGCAGGCATCCATCTGCCTCTCTATCTGTGTACGCACATATCCGCTCTAGCCGGCATTGATCTGGGATCGCGATATCAAGATCAACAGCCGTAAACCAAATCTACGCTCGACTCGCAAAGAACACCGTTTCCGGGTTCGAGAAAATGGAAACACGAAACGAGGGACAAAAGATATTTTGCCGAATTGAAAATAACAAGTGCTATAAAGCAAATCAGAAACACAGGGTCATGCTTTGCTACCAAAGTACACGGGGTCTAGTCCGGCAAGGTATGGTCGCAAAAAATTGCTCTAACTACGCACAGCACCGCGCCAATATAGAGCGTGATTGAGTGGAGGCTCAGGGAGGAAGAGTGAGAGATACTGGATAAAACTCGCAGGAAATGGCAAGCTTGCGAATCAGGCAGGATAGAACGAAATGGCGTTCAAGCCCCTGCGACTAAGATGACAGTCAACTTTACCTTCTGTTGTTACGGTGTAAAGGGGGCCGTTGGGGTTATCGCTTTTTTCTAACGTGAAATAAAATTGAAAAATAAAATCAACTGATTGGCGTGCCTTAATTAAAACTGACAGGCCGCAGCATCAGCAACGCCCTTCTAACCATCGTCATCGTCGCCGAGTACCGATACCGGGATGACGACGATCTATCTCTTTCTCCCTACTTCCTCTCTTCTTCTCTCTTGCTTTGCTAGCTGCGTCGGAAGAGCGGGTGGCTTCTTCTTCGCCGGTTGTGCTAGTGCGTTCTACCGCTTTTTATCTGCCGCATACAGCCGAGGTCCGGTTCCGCAGGTCGAGCTCGCGCAAGGTGCCGCACGCGAGATCGATGCATAGGCCAAAAAGCGCGTGCAGCGCACGCAGGCAAAAAGAAAAAGGAGGGATGCGGCCCGCACGGAAAGGGTGAAAATATGCAGGCTGACTTTGTTCCGCCGTTGAAGAGCAGATAAACTAGTAAACACTAGGTCCAGAAAGAAAGACGGCCCCTTTGATTAACGTACAGAAAGGAAACCTTATTGTCATTGACTGTCATTTCTAGTTAGCTCTTTGTTGGCTTTAGTTAGTCTTTAGTTAGCCTTAGCTACACCCTTACTAGCCCTGCTCTGGGTTAAAGGGTAAGAAATACGGTTTAATCTCAAACACCGACCCTGGGCATTTCTATGGTACACAAACTCTGCTTGCTGCGACATATTTTGTCGTACATCAGACCTCGAATCACAAAATTAAGCTTCCCCTTTTGTGACCGCGCTGGGGGCAGAGATGGGGAGAAGAGGAAGGGGTTGGGATGAGGATACGGGGGGTGGAAAGAGGAGAGAAGACGGGCCGCGCTGCGCTATCTTTTGCTGCTGTCGTCGTCGTCGTCGGTACACCTCTGGCTTATTTACCTGGTGTCCATTATTGCGCCCGCACCTTGCTGGTTGTTGTGACGTTGAGCAAAGTGCAAGGTTTCTAGATAGGCTGCTAATTAGACACGTCGTCCCTGTCTGATTTTGTGCGTCTTCTTTTTTTAATGGCTGTTTTTTTGTGTTGTCCACTGCATCTTCAATCAGTGCGCAAACGATAATATCAAACGATAGCGACGTGTACAGCAACCCAGCTCATGCACCTTAACGCACTCCGAGGGCTCCGGCTAGCTCCCCGGAAGCTCTTAAAATATAAACTCGAGCAGCGCAAAATTTACTTACCGGCCTGCTGCTGCCTTGCTGCTGCTTCCTGGCTAAACTAAAGCCGATTAGCTAGAAATTCCCTAGCTAGCTGACTGCAGATCACGGCCTCTGCAGACCGACCTACACCCGACGTCTCATTCTGTGTGACGTGGCTGCTGCGAACTACTCGTAAACTTCACTTTTCCTGCCGCTGGCGCTGTCTTCTCTGCTGCTTCTTTGCTTCTTCGGGGTTAAGCTGGCTTGAACAGAGATAGAGAGGTGATCTGGGGCGCATATACGTGTGAAATTCTATTTTGCAAACTGTGGTCGCGAAATGAGCCCGCACCATCTTTCAGAAAGAGTCGACATTTTCTTTTCCGTAATTTAAACCACTTGTTCTGGTGATTCTCACTCATCAATTTTACTCTAGCCATTAAAAGCACTTCCAGTCTGATATAGAGCGCTTCAAAACCCGGTTTTTAACACCGGTGGCTTCGCTATAATTTCAGCACTCATAACCCTTTCTTCCCTTCCTATACGCAAAATGACGAAATCGCGATGCGCGGCTGCCCGGAAAAATTTGAGCAAAAAGTGTAAAAAGGGATTGAGAGAGAGGTGAAAGCTAAAGCAAATCAAACTCTCCCTCGAGGATTGGGTAAGTTTTCAGACTTGCCGCAGGAGTTTATAATTTTGTTCTCGACAGAGCGAGAGATCTCAGAGCGAAACCGGCGAGCGAGAGCGATAAAGCGATTTTTGTAGGCCAGAGAATTCGAGGACTATACAGTCGTGCGAGTCAAAAAAGCCTAAATTCGAACATGAACACGGATTCTAGAATTCAGTGCGCTATAGGCTTACAGAGAAGCCGCAGCGAGAAAATTAATCTTCGGAAGCTGAACAGTGCAGAATGCAAAAGTATAAGAGTTACGCGTAGCAAGGAGAAAACGTGGATCAAGGCACGTAGAACGATAAGCCTAATGACGTCTATTTTCAAATCAATCTGATTAGAAGCAATCAATTTTAAAAACCTCTCAACCGTTTTTGTTTTTAAGGGACTGATGGTGAAACTTGGAAAGTGGAGGCGGAGAAGGCGGTGGAGGTATGTCGAATGAAATTTTCACGTCAGTGCGGTGTGAGAAAGAAACAAACGGTCAAGAGAGGTCGAGAGAGAGAGAATTGGAGAGAGCGGCTGCGGACTCGGAGATAGTAGGTTTGGGATGAAAGTCTACGAGTCTGGCGGCCGCAGTTCGCGAGTTTGTTTTGTTGCGTATCTCTTTGTGTCAATTTTTTTCGTGTTTGCGTCATGGGTCTTGTCATGTTATATCGCAGGATGAGTTCTTGTCATGTTATATCGCAGGATGAGTTCATGTCACCATATCTGCTGGACTGTCTGAAAGAGCATGAAATTGAGAAAGACAGTAGCGCCCTCACGTCGGTCAATCGGCCGGCCTAAAGTTCTTCCATTCCGAGGCAACGTATATCTTGTTGGTGCCGTAGGCAAGCCGGAAAGTTGAAGTTTGGAATTGGGGGCGGAGGCGGGCAGGGCGCACTCTGCATGCGCCGAATGTACACTCAACAACCTTACCTGACTCTGGTTCAGCGCAAACTTCGCAGCCTCTCCAATCTTAAGCTCAGACTTCGTGGGTAGTGGACGGTGAGTAGGTGCAAAAGCCTGCATGCGTACGTACGTCAGTCGTTTGTCGTCTGTGGTTTCTGGTTGTGGTTTGGTCAGCAGCGCCCGACTCTTCGGCTGTTGACGTAATGAGAGCAGGAGCCGAGGTTGTGAATGATGTCGTCGGAGGTTAGAGCTTGAGATCAGAGATTGGGCTGCTTCGAGCTTCGAGGCTGAATAATCAGCCGATCCAAAGAATTGCTGCGCAGAACTGCTCTGCAGCACTTGCAGTTCGCAGTCGTCTTCATCGTCATTCATATCGAAGGAGGCGTTTACATCTTTCTATGTGAACATACGTATGCTTACGATGCTTGGCGATATGAGTTCAATACTGCCTAGAATTTTTACGCAAGCAGGATTATGCGGCGGCGTACCGCTCGAGAGCTCACTGGCAGCTTATTTCACGGACCATTCATCCATCTTCTCTCACATATTTCAACTGCATGAATCGCCAACAAACAACGACAAACGGCGGGACGTACGTACGTGCATGCAAGTTGTCTGCTTTGTGATCGAGAGGCGAGGTGCAGAAGTAGTGCTGTCGTGGTTGGTAGCGTGGGTTGCTAATAAGTTTCATTCCTCTCGGCAAGTGACCGCGCTCTACCGGTCATTAGCGGCAGTGAGTGACGATCAATGTGAACACGAGCAAATATATAATTGGGGAATAGAGTATGCGAAAGAGTTTATTAGTAAACTAACAGAGCAAGAGGGCATCAAAAATAGAAAATAAGGAAAGGAACTAGAGAGAGGTATGTTGGACGGACGCATATAAGATAAATTCAATGGGCAAAGTTTAGTCGAGCGCACAGAAAGAAGCTCGTTCGGTCGTTCGGTCGGGCTCTCGGGACGCGGGGCGCCGACGTCGCGTGCTAGCTCGTAGTTCAGTCTCAAACAAGCTTTTGCGCTAATTGTGAGATTCCACAATTCGTTACCGCTGAGCTGAAAGAGCGGTATGATAGTTTAGTCCGAGCCGTGGTGACAACTAAACACTCCGCCCGAATGCAGTGGGTTCGGACAGAAGAACAAAGACAATAGTTGATCGGCGGTCGAGGAGGACTTGTGAGAAGGATCACTGGCAGTCTCGTCTTCGTCTCGTACGGGCTGCCCACCACAGGAGGCGTGAGTACCAAATTTAAGACACCTGGTTATTTAGCATCCTCCAGCAGCATCAATCGCCCACTTACCGGGCTTTTACACCGCGAGTGCTGCTGCTGCTGCTGCCGCCCTTGATAGTCTTTTTTATATAACGCAACTAGCGCCTCACTGCATGCTGCTTCCACTGCAACCGAGCCCTACCGTTGGACCTAGCTCGTCCTTCTTCGCTCGTAGGTATGTTTATGTCGTAAGAGTGAGAGCAAAACTACGGGCCTAGATTCGTTGGCTGAAAAGTAGCTCAAAACAAAACTTTAGGATCTCTAACTCAAGTCACCAACTCTGGTAGTGGCGTGTGAGAATTTTGTGTTTTTTTTAGTTTAGACTTGCTGGGCTTTTAGCGAACGGCTACGATTGGACGTCGTGTTTGAAGTTTCATAACTTGCAACCCCGAAGCGTTGTCGTCGTTGTCGTTGCCGTTGTGTGTCTCCACCTAATTTCTCCTCGCTGGCTTCCGCCGACGTTCTTCATTTCATTAAGTCGTCGTGTAATACTTCTATCTTGGGCTCGTTTGATTTGGCTTCCAGATCATCAGAACAGACCATCAGATCATTTTATAGTTGTATCGGCCAGAACATGTGAAGATCAAAGCAGGCGGCTGATTATTTGGTCTCTCTTGCATTGTACTCATTGCCGACGGCATTTTTCTGAAACTTGTCAGCCACCGTCGTCGACATCAGCGGATTCCTTGCCTCGTCCGCCAGTATCGTCTCGACGTAATGTAAACGACGTAAGAAAAAGCGAAACAGCGACCGGCATTTTCCGACACAAAAGACTAGTTTTTTCTTCGCCTGTCGCGATTGCCAGCGTGGACATTGCACCGATTCAGTGCTGCTTTATTTTTTTCTCGCTGGTAATCGCCGGTACCTACGGCTATTTTATTTTCTCGTCCTTTGATGCGCTGTCTTACTTGAACTCGGCTGCCTCGTTCTCGCATCTCGGGCAAACTGTTTGCAGCAGCAGCAGCAGTGAGTTGAGAGCACCAGAACTTGAAACGGTTGCTTAGCCATGTCTGCACCCGCCCTGTGAGGAATGGATAGGTAAAGTCTTAAATTCTAACGATGGTATTGTTTTCCACGCACAGTGGGGAGAGACGAGTGTCGCACAGCAATGCAATTTAAATGACCTCTTTGTTTAGTTATATAAATAGTGCTATATCTGTTCGGATTTCTTGTTCAGTACCGGTTTATCCTCGTTCTTGTATTTCATCTCCCTTCCTATTCCGTGATGCTATAGCGTCATCGGGCTCTCGCGGATAAGATGCAGCTTATAGCAGAGTGTCCAAGGAACAGGAGAAGCAACTAGAGCGACGCAATTAAGCGACGCGGCTAAAACAGTGGGTGCCGTCTCCCTTATCCCTCCCTGTCACAGGTCTGGTGCGCACGCAAACCTCGTTAGCCTCCCACCCCACTTTTTTGCTTGTTGCCGCATTCGTCACCAGGCAGCCTAGTCTAGTCTGACTTCGTACTGGATGGTGCCTGTTGTCACAGGGTATTTTAGGCTTGTTTTCGGCGATACGAACCGGTGATCCATTTTCCGGAATTTGGCTCTAGCCAGCATCGCTAAAGACGCTGGTAGCGGCTGGCCTGATTAGCTTTTGTCACGCTCTTGTCCTTACTATCGCGTCCTCTCTATTTCCATCCTTTACAAGGACTCTGCTTTGATTAATGCCGGGATCTGGTGCTCGCATAGTCGATCACAAACGTGAACTCAACCTGTCATTTCGGGTCATATTTGCGTCATGAAAACCGCGTTCTTCTTTTTCTGATAAATTCTATTTGAGTTGATCGGATTTTACATTACACCACAGATGGGCCTTCTTAGCTTTTCCCGTCACCGGATTTCTGTCCCCGTAGCCTCGTAGCTTCTAGCACTTTGACTCAAGCCAAGCCGAACAGGAAAACTTTATCGCCGCAACTCAGTTCTTGTCATACCATCTCATGTACGGAACGTCCCGCTGGGGACAAATCGTGCTGGGCTTATCCGGCTTGTTCTTTTCTTTTTGCTTCTCTCGCTCAGGGTTTGTGTTTATGGCGTCGGCGCCGGGGGTGGGGATCCAACATTTTGTTGATCGGGTTGCCTGTGCGCGCCCCAATTTTTTCTGTGTTCTATCAAATATCGAGAGACAGGCGCACGGACGGGGGGAGTGCTCGATTATCACGTATCATATCGTATCATATCGTATCGCAAAAGCAAAGCACAACACAGCGCAGCATAAACAACAATAAGCAAAAAAAATCTGAAAAGGCGGGATAAAAAAAGAAAAAATTATTAAAATTAAAAAGAAACGGTACCTGGATCTGGGTAAGGCTGGTCTAGTCATTGAAGACCGTTGTTAACGGTGCATTCAGAGATGTGACAGGCTGTTGAGTCCTGGTCACTTTACACCACATCCTATCTGATATAAGCATGTATGGTTCTGGCGGCAACGGCGGACGGTGACACGACACGCTTTGCCTACTGGTACGGGTCTTGCGGATTAGGAGTAAACGAAAGCAGAAGACGAAAGAAAAAAAGAACAGAAAAGAGAGAGGTCATGGCGTGCTTTGTGTCTGGCTCGAGAGCAACGCAATGCAGGAAGTAAGGGAGAAAGGGGACCACAGAGACGAGAAAGGGAAGGAGGAAGCCCAGGCTAAGCAAGCAGCCACCGCTGCACACGCCATAGCTATCCAGTTCTCGTGTTTCATATCATCAGTTTTCTTTATTTTTTGCTGTTTGCTTCTCGTTTTAATTTTCAGGCCTGTTCTCAGTTCTGAGTGGTGAAAGTGTTTGCTGGATGCTAATGCGAGAACAGAAAGTACGGCAGATCGATCGGCGGTAGCAGACGCATGATTTGCTTCGTGACGGACTAGATAAGACATACGTGCATCATACCATCATAATCCATCGTTTACCGTTCGTCGTTTCGTTTACCGTTTAGTTAGTTAGTTCTGTCCGGCCCTGCCCCAACTCCGCTCGCTGTCCGTAGTCAGTTAGTGAGTTTAGGGGGCACACTGACTTTGGAGCGGCAGTTCAGCTAGGCCCGTTCGTTACCAATAATCTGTGAGGGTCCGTCCGCGCCAGCAGCTGGAAAAATAAAATCGGGCGAGACAGGAAAAAGCAACGTGACATGAAAACCGAAAGAGGGTGCTGGTCTGGTCTGGTACGAAGGTTCTGGAAATAGCAGTGCTCTCCTTTGCTCCAGCTCACCCGAACTCTGGTCTCGTGTTTTTCTTTTTCTGTTTGGGACTGCCTTCTTCAGAAAGAGTGTGAAATCCCAAAGATCGAGCGTGAAGAAGAACGAAAAGCCAAAGTAGATCCACAAACACGGGGCAGCCGATACATCTGGATCCTTGGTTCCTTTGATGTGTAGACAGACACCACTAGTGATAAGCATAAGGGCACCCAGCCCAGAACCCAGATCGCATATCCGCCCGTCTATAGTTCCTTGTTATTCCGCAAATGTCGTCCAGCCAATGACTTGGCTCATCAGACTTGCTTTCTCTCCCGTCCTCACCCTTGCTCTCTCAGCGCGAGATATCCTCGACACAGGTCAAGGCACCCGCCGGTACCGATCACGACCCCGGCGGCCTGTGCGTTCGATCTTGGGAGCCGCTGCTGGGCTGCTTGCTTGCCTTGCTGCTGCTGCTCGGCTGCAGCACTGATTGTTATACTACGTGTCTCTTCATCTACGCTGTGCCTTAATCAAACCAGGCAGTTTATCGATTCTGGAAGCACCGTTGCTCATCACCCTGATGCGAAGAGAAACGACACCTCCACACTCCACCACCGCAAGTGATAAAAAACACAGTGTCAAGATTTTAGAGACAGCCGAGGCCAGCTGCTGTTTCACGCGTTCCAAGCAGTGCTTCGCCGATGGTCCACGCTAGCCGCTGCCGCTGCTGCCGCTGCTTCTGCTGGGAAGCTTGACGGGCGGGCATCGCGATAGGACCCAAAGCAGTGTAGCGCAGAATAAAACAAATACCTGCTCGAAGCCATTTCAGTAAGCGATCTGGCGATCTCTCCTATCCCGATTTTTCAGGTCTGTTCTCGCAAACTTCTTTTGCGGTATACAAAAATAAAGGACGTGGTTTAGGATGCGGCTTTAACGAATAAATAGAATAAACATGCAAAAAGATCGATAGACGTGTTCGATTCAGCGAGCAAACAAAGCAAAAAGAGGCGAGCCCCCTATTGCCTCATCTCCTCGCTGCTCAGAGGTGTGACTGGGGGGTCATCCCCTTTCTTTGCTCGTCTAGGACAACTAAGTGCATTGACAGGTCATTCGGACTTGGGTTTGGATCACTTGTTAATTTATATATATGGTCATCTAGTGGGATTAAACCATGCGACACAAGCCAGCAGCTATATGCATTATAAGTCGATCCACGGCGCTGGTAGTTGGTAACTGGTAACGACAACTTGACAGTTAGGATATTAATCTCG